AACGACAAGTCGAAACGTCTATCTGCTGCATCCACTACATCCACTGTCATCGAAGCCTTTGTTGTCGCGCGTCCACTTCAACAACAGAAACAACCAGCCCTACGACGAGTCAGCAGGGTGGATACTCTGCGCGAAGATGCTTCTTCAAGACGTAGCTCTCTCGAGTCTCAACATACTATGGATCATCGCCCGTCACCTCTGCTTGGACGGAAGCACTTGGTCAATGGGGATGTTGATGCAGCGCGATCTGTCTCTAACCCTGAGACAGGTCGCGTAAGCAAAGTGCCGGTAATCATCATCCCTGAGCGCCGCTCATCTCGCTCTCCTACCTCTGATGAGGTAATTGACAAGACGCATTTGCTTACTCCTCACCAGAACCGGCTGCACCACTCGAAGAACCATGTTTCTCTGAAGCAAGACTACATCGAAGGCCAAACTCCGCGTAGATCATTGGATCAACAGATCGATCTCAACAGCGACATCTGGCTCGACTATGCAGCTCCTGATCAAGATGCTCAACAGCCACGAACAAGGTTACGCCACGTATCTGCGCCCATTCATTCCGCTGCCGATTTTTCCGCAAACGCTTCGAGGGATGTGTTCCGCCGCGTAAACGGTCAGGATGCGAAGATAAGCCTTGGTCCACAGCAAGGTTGGAAGAGGCATTTTATTGACGCTGAACTCGAATCGCCCAAGCTGGAACGTCCGCCAAGGCCATCTGTGGAACACACTCAGTCGATTGACCACAGGCTATTGCTACCTTCACAGCAGAAAAACTTTTCAACACAAGCGCTGTTCGAATATCCACAGCCAACTTCGCCTCGTAAATCTTCCAATTCCAGAGATTTTCGCAATGTCCACTCAAGCACAAGTCCTTTCTCACAACTCTCCGACCGAACAGATGCAATGGAGCTGAACGAGGCTCAAGCAATCAACCTCTACCCGCATGGAAACAACTCCTTGCTCATGGTTCAACATGTAGCCAAGAGACGACTAGCAGAAGCTCGAAATGCAGATGAAGTTAAAGATATCGAAGCGCTCAAAACACCCGAGAGTGAAATGGAGCCCGTTGTGGAAGGCTCACGTCCTACATTCCACGCCGTCATCGACATACCAACACTTCCTGCTCTTGAAGACCCCAGTCGCGTGGAAGTTGACTCTCCTCTTCGAAACCCACGCGCAGCGCCCCAGCCACCTCATCTTCCCGCTGTAATCATCAGTCCTGCGACTCCATCCTCTCAACTCCGCAAGACGCCATCTCCTCCCTCACCACCACTCCGCCGACCATCTCTTGTTGAAAAGGCTCGAAGGTATTCTGAAAACTTGATTCAGCCGTTTCTCTCATCTTCCCTTTCGAGACGGAACAGCACTTCGTCACAACGACCGAAGAGCCAACAAGACAGAGATACAACTCTGCATCCCTTCTGGCGACCTCGAGGCTTCTGGGACGACTTTACGGATAGTGAGGAAGAGTATTCAGATGACGAGTTGCCTTCAGGCGGCGATACCTCTGATGTTCAAAGTCTGGAATCTATCGAGCAAAGCAGGGGTTGGAGACCCAAGCGCCTGAGTGTGAGGTTACCTGGCTTCAGGGGTCAGGGAGGTTTCATGCTGGGCAACTCTCTGGGCATCAATAGACATGGCACCAATGTGCGTCGCCACTACGTTTCCATCGCCAACACCAACCAGCCCACATCTATGCACCAACAGAGCAGAAACAAGCAGACTTCTCTTCTTACGAGACTCTTTGTTTCGTTCCCGACCCTCAGAAAGAGGAAGAGCACGGATTTGTTGAGGACAGCGGCACAAAGCACGGAGAGTTTACGACGCTTGAGTCAGAGACACTCTCGACGATGGGACTTGAGCAGTTTGAGGAGGAATATGGTGAGGAGAAGGGAGAGAAAACAGCAAGTCAAGAGGGAGAAGTATCGAGAGGAGATCAAGGGGAGAATTGGAGCGCCCATCTATGCCGATGCTTGATGCCGTGGGCGCGAGGAAAGGGATGAGACAAGATCGAAGTAGGGGACGAAAGGACGGAGATGGGGATGGAGATGCTGATGATGTGATATGATACCATGGTTTTATGGCTTTGTTTTCTGCTTTTCTTTTCTTGCTGCTCTTTTAGCTATTTTCGCACGAGATACCTTTTTGCCTTGCCTTTGTTGCTGAGGTTTCATGAATTGATGTTCTTTTTGCTTCCCTTTGCTTTTCCTCCTGCCCTCCGTCTTTTACTTTCTCTATATGTCGATTTGTCATTTTCAGAGGCAGCTCTTCTCCTTGCAAGCTGAGTCCAATTTCTTGTTCTTCCAACGTTAAGAGGTAACCCAACATCCCCGCAAATCACGCATAGAACAACGAACTGCCAGCACCTCATTCAATTGCTCAATGAAGCTTGGAGCAAGCTCCCGAGAAGTGCATATCTCCAGTGAAGCCAAGTTTGGAAGTTTCTTGAGCCTTTCCACAGTCTTTGTGTTTTCGGCCTCGATATCGGCAATCGAAACGCCCAAGACGACACTGCGAACGAGATGGAGGATATGCAGATGACCCAGCGTTTGTATGCAGAGAGCGAGCTCCACATTGATTGTTCTGAGATTCAACCTGTGGAAGTTGAGATTGCGGAAGATGTAGTGGGTGGCATGCGAACGGCANCTTTTGCTCGTGCGGCTCAGATTGTGGAATGTGATTGTATGCTTGCGTTTGGACAAATCTTTGTCGATGACTTCGCAGATCATGTGGGAGAGCTCTGGAGGAAGGCTTTCGAATCGAGAACTCATCTTGTGATGGAGATGCTGTTGACGAGGGAGTGTTGATATGTTGGATCTTTGTATGGTGTATTGATGCGTGATCGAGAACTCTTGCTGGAGAAGATGACATGGGGAAAGCGTTGACGTCCGTCTGCACTGCTGAGTTGTATCAGAGAAAGCCCGGCTGAGATGCTTTTGTGCGGTGTCGAACTTACCGATCTTCGCGCCGGTCTGAGGATGAGAGGTGTGGTGGACTTGAATGCTAGAAGCTGTTGCCCCAAGTCGTGTGCTACTGCATCATGTCAGAGGATGCCGACTGAGACGATTTTGCTCGATGTACGACTTACTGGTCTGCGTCCTGATCTGTGAAGATTAAGGGAGTGATGGACTTGAGTTCAGAAGCGGCTGTCAAAGGTCGATTATGTCTGGATGTGAGAATTCTTCTTCTAGCTCACTTGCTCGGTGATTCTTTTTTTGCACGTCCCAAGGGGTGTTGTGGTTCAGGTTCACTGTCTTCTAAAAAAAAAAAGCCAGATGTATGCTTGTGTGGTGATCATTACTTTGACATGGTACACGCAAGGCAGAGACACTAGTCCTCGAGCAAGAGCAATGCAAAAAGAGGCAACGCTCACTTCCCAATTCGAACCATGTGTCTCTCTACTAGGCATATATATTTATCCCAGATTTGCTTTGTTGCTGTAATCGGTCGAGTGGTGTAACGGCTTATGCACTCACGATTCATAATAAAACACACCTCTGCTTTGTACGTCTTAATTCATGCCCCCAGATGACTGACATCTGGTGACTAAGATCAAGGAGTTGAAAGGGGTGATTTTCCCATAGACTGGTTTTTTGCTCTTTCTAAAAGTGGCAAGATGCTTGTTGTATTGTAAGGATGGTTGACAGTTGAACTCTCTTACCAAAAGTGCATTGTGCAGGCTTTCCAGTGCTTTATTAGACCTACGTGCGAAACTGGGTACATTCATGAGAGCCATCTCGACAGTAATCCGGCCATTGAAGATGGGTCGCGCAACCAATTTGTAAAATTGATTTCTCTAGATGAATGCTCATTATCCTTGTTCCCTGACGGATTTGAAGCCTGCACCATTCGGACTTGGTCATGCTAGATAGCAGAGTGGTGGGGCTTGTGTGCGCACTTATCGAAGCATGAAATGAGTTGGTTCAATATATGTTTCCTGGCACTTCTTCCCCAGGTTTGAACTTGATTTGAGTTGAAAGCCGACCAAGTTCTTCTGATCCCTTCGGGGGTATCTTACAGAGGAGGTTGTATGAACACCAAGCCCCAATCAATAATTTGAGAGGATTGTTTGGACGACCGTGTGATTGGGATCAGGAGATGCAGTTTGCATTGCGACAGGATGTTTATCGAAAGTCCCGAGAGAAGGGGAAGGCCACCATAAAATGCGACGACAAATGAAAGATCGCGGCTTATGTCTCGAATAGGAAAGATCACGAAATGATGAAAGCAGCGCGCTTGAGCCTGCAGACGAGAAGTGGCGGTTGTGACAGCAGTTCGCTGACCAGAGAGGCAGCCACAGGGCGCTAGCTCGCCAATGCAGTGCGCGGTGTAAGCAAGGCTAAGAAAGAAAAGAGTCTGGTCGATTTGAGTTGAGCTGAAGAGGAAAAGGCCACGCAGGCACCCGGCCGCAGTCTCATCGCGATGAGGCAGTTGGCACGAGTTTCTTTGCTCCAGTGGTAGTGGTATCAAGTAATGGTGATGGGAAAGCTAACGCGTCGAAGGATTTGACCTTGACTTGAAGCGGTTTTGGATCAGAGGTCAGAACAAGGTCACCGCGTGCCGATAGAGACTCTGTGTGTGCCCTTGACATGGAGCCAAGGACGGGCAAGAGAGGGCCTTTCGGGCGCATTGCGACATCGAGTTTGAATGATGGAGAGACGGAGTTCAATGACGGGTAGTGGTGGAGTTAGGGTGATGACAGAATATTGACCAATCAGGTCGAGGGACGAGCTGGTGACGTCTACGGAAGGTGCGCCCGAGCTTCTCCATACTTTATGTGACCAGACGGACAAGAAGGAAACAAGAAGGCGAACCTCGAGACACCAAGAAGAATTGCCCAGAGACATTCTGTCACACATCCGCTCAACATGGCCAGCATATTCAGACCAGCTGCAGGCTGCTTGCGCGCCTCGCTCGAACAGCTTCCCGCTTCTCGAACAATGCTTCGACAGCCAAACCCGAGACTATGCAGACACTTGCACGCAACGACGAAAGCAATGGCATCCAAGAGAGGCCCGGTAGGGCCACCGAAGACAAAGGATCGCGGCCCTACCAGCAAGGAAGACACGCAGACCGATTTCGCTGCCATGAACGTCCTCGGAAACACGCCCGCCCCTACCACCGCCATTGACGCTTGCGCACACGACGGCTTCGCACTCAACTCGGGCCTCAAGATTGCTGGCTCTGGAGTCATGCTTGTCGGCGGAGATGCCTTCAACTGGAAGCCGTGGATCAGGGAGGGGAGAAAGGAGGGCACCATTGGCGAAGGCGCAATAGGCGACGACAACAAGGGCGTCTCGAGCGTTGGAGGCTCCCTGCGCAACAAGAAGGGTCAATGGGAAGTGCCCGAGCACAGCTGGGGTCTCCTCGACGCTGTGTGGCCCAAGCCTGGTACGTCCCCAAGACCCCTTTTTCCTGTCCCTGCCAACATTGCTGATGCCGCGTCTANNGATCTCCTTATCTTGGGTACTGGTCCTTCGATTGTGCCAGTGTCGCCCGAGACGCGGAAGCAAATCAGCGATCTGGGTATTCGACTTGAGGTTGCAGACACGCGCAACGCCGCCTCGCAGTTCAATCTCCTGGCCACCGAGCGTGGTGTTCAACAGGTCGCTGCCGCTTTGATACCCATTGGTTGGAAGGAGGGCACTTACTAACAAGTTCTCGTCTTTCTCGAAGCCACCAAACGAGCTGTGCAAAGCTTGGGCCATCGAAGGATGAGTCTCTCCCTCCATGATATGCAGACGGGCAGCGGTGCGGCACGCTTAACCACAGCGTTGTCATCGCTGCATATGAGGGACATCTGAACATCTGCGAGATATGGCGTTTTGTACTCGTGAGAACCCAAGTTCACCCCTGTGTACTATCTGCGAGACATGAGACTTTTTCTCCCAAAGCAGCCCTTGCAATTTCCCTTTTCAATCTGCTCTTCGTCTCTACCCTTGCTTAAGAGCCCAACATGGTCAGATTTTGTTATCGTGCTTCACGAAGCCCGGCCCTTTGTCGCCAAAACCGTGGCCCGACCTTACCGGACCCATCGCGTTTGAGCTGAAGTCCGCGACCGCCGACCGTTTAGGCGGGAGGATTTGCTGCTAGACCCACTGGCAATTGGCAACTGGCACGTTTGCGTTTATGGCTGCGGTCTGCTCCCAGGAAGCGCCACGTCCGTTCATCTCACGACTCACGAGCTCTGATTCATGCAACCAAGCAGTTGTCAAAGGCGTGATGTTGACCCTTTGTTTTGTGATTTGGCCTGGGAAGGGCTTTTCTCATTTGCGGAATGGAGAACGCCCTTTGGGAGGATTCTTCTGAAAAGGGAGAGCTAGACTCACGTTTGATGATGATGATGCTCTGATTGTCGAGCTGAGACGATGATAGGTGGATGACGATCACTCGTTTGCTGCCATCTCAAAACACACACGACCTTGTCTCAAGATCATCCTCTTCTTCAGCCCTCTGGAGGGATGGCCATGCAGTATCTGCATCTCAGCACAGGCTTCGTCAAGCAGGATACGTCATGCGAGGTGTGCGATGCATTGCGATCGTGCGGAGGTGGATGATCTTTGCATGTTTAGCACGGATGATGGCAAGCGTACGCGTGCGAGCAGCAAAGAGACTCTCGGGTCCCATGTGACATGCAGCAGCACGCTGCTGGAGCCAGGCCGAGAAAAATAAAGACTTCGTATACAGCAGCGAATCAGAGTAGCAACCGTGGTCCCAGACGAAGCACTGAAGGCACGGAGTGGGCGGTTTCCCGCAAAACGGGTGTGTCGAGCTTGCCCCCGCACATGGGAGTGCTCCAGGATGATCACGACGATTCTGATCCTGCAAGCCGCATACGACACAGCGGCCAGTCTTGAAGGGCGCTGACTGTGCTCAGCATGCACGCTGAGCGCTGCTTCCTGCCAGAAAACTAAGGCTCCATGCCGCCCCCGCGGCCGACATGGCCTGGCTAGCATCTGTAGGCGGTGCTTCGGCTGCCGGCGCTGTCTTTGCCCCCCCCACCCCTCTGAGCTCACCATACCACTCATGTTTCCCCGTTCCGTTTTCCTTTTCCCTTTCTCGAGCACCATGAAGTCGTCGCGACAGATACATCATTACAAGCAGCTCAAGTATTGTCGTCTCGCAACCCGCCAAGTTTGACCTGAATCCATCTGTTTGCCTACCTTCCATACTCTTTTCGCGACCACGATATTGTCCATTATTGTTATCGCCCTTTTGCGGCTGTGGATCTCATTACTTGACGCGCGCGCTGCCAGCAAGAAAGCTTGCATATCCCTTCCGCTCCCAATCTGTTCGTTTCGCCTTGTCCTGGGCCTGCCTGCAGCCAGCCCTCTTTTCTTTCCACAATTCCCTTTCTTACAGCGCTCTTCCTTTGCGCGAGCAAACGGACGTCTCATGACTCAAATACATCCTCTCCACCCCAGCAATTGTACATACCTGGACCTTGTACCTAACCATCACGACCAGTTCAACATGTCGTAAGTCCCACACCCACATGTTCCCTTTCCCCAAGCTTAAGCTTTCGATACCTTGTCATGTAGCGTCGCGCCTGTACGGCCGTATAATACATGTCATGGACCGCAGCTACACCTCGATGACTGACATGCATACCTTTCTTCCACCACACAGTAACCTGTCGCAAAACCAGCAACAAAAGCGAGGCTTGCAACAAGTGGGAAGCTTACCTCTGTCGGCGTCACCACAGCAGCTGTCGCTATCAGCCGGATTACTACCTCCCTCTTCCTATTCTACAAACCCTTACCACTCATCACCGTACACGACAAACGCGTCGCCATTTGGCTATCATCAGGCACCTCCTCTTCACCATCAACAACACAGTCCCTTCCAGCACAACCCTCTCGCCCCACCACCTCAGCCCCAACAGATCCCTCAGTCACCACTAAACCCACGCAAGCGACGTGCAAGTGAACTCGACCCTCATTCTCTTCCTGGATCTTCTCTCGGCGGCTATGGTCTTGACCAGCATGGCATCTTTGGTAACCCTGACCGTCAGAACAGCGACCAGAACTACGTGCTGAGTGGACCGTCGAGCGGTGGCACGGGACCAGGTGATCAGGGGATTCCTCGACACGACACTCCGCCTGCGCGACCAAAGAAGGGACGAACCAACACGCCCTGGACACCCGCGGAAGAGCAGAGGTTGAAGGTGATGAGAGATGCGGGTAACAGCTGGAGCGAGATTGCAAAGACGTTTCCCACACGGACCGAAGGCAGTGTCAAGAAGCACTGGTACAAGGTATGTGACGCTCATGTTCAGTTGTCCATCTTCTCTTTGCCACGCCCTCCTATCAGATCTACAGCCTGTCCATCACTATACGTCTGGACATCATTAGCTAACGTCTTTCTCTCCCTCGCAATAGNNGACATGCACTACGCAGAGTTTGCGGAAGACGAGGTCAGCCATTTCGTCCGCCTCTCTGATCTCTTGTATCATTATCCCTGACGGGCTAACACCTACTATAGANGCGCGGCACTACTCGCTGCCATCAAAGAGTACGAGCAGAGCAAGTGGAAGGTCATTGGACAGAAAGTCGGTAAACCTGCCAAGGTGAGTGTGGAGATCTCCTTTCTCGAAACCTATCCTTGCTCTTGACGATACATCCACGCCGTTCTTTGCGAGATGATGCTGACGACCATTCCAGNNGCTTGCGAACAATACGCCAAAGAGCACTTTGGCTCCAAGAGCTGAGACTGCCAGTCCGCTGCCCTGGAGAACGATCTCTCCATCTCGCAGCAAAGAAGAGAAGGATTGTGCATGACTTTACTTTACGCCGACAATGGGAAATGAAATACAGGGACAACGGGCATCATATGGGGAAAACGATGGACATGAATTGGAAAGGGTTGGCAATTTTTCGGGAACCTGTTCTACTGCACACAGAGAGGCTTCTACTCCATGCGGTCTGGGAATGAAACTGTATCAGCGGGTAGGACGTTTGGAGATTCGAGCACCAGAACAACAGCATGGGTGTGCACATTTGTTTGTTTCTCTTCTTCTTTATACTTCTTTTATTATTACTCTTGGTTTGTTCTTCTTCTTTTTTACTCTTTGCTTTCCTTATCTCTAATCTCTTGGGAAGATTGAGAACGAAGCTCTGTTTCGATATCACTTATCATGCTGTCATTCTTTGATTGGAAGCAGCAGTCGTCTATTCAAGCAAACGTAGCCACTCGTCATCATCTTCCATAACTGGATAATCTCAGCTCTTATCCAGAGAAAGCGCTGTCACACACCGTACCTGCTTCCACATCTCCCACTCCTTTCACTATCTCAGTCCCTTGGTTCAAACACCACACAGCCACACTTTGCTCCAACGATGGTGGTCAGCAAGAAAAACAAGAAAAACGGAAAGATCGTTGCGAAACTGTCTGTCGAAACTCTGTTGCCGAAACTTTGACTCAGCCACAGTCGTGCTTGCCCAGCTGAGATCGTGAAATTCATCTTTTGTGTAGCTGGTTTGAACGGCAGTTAGGTGCCGGGCCACAAGTTTGGGACAGTGTGGTTGCACTTTTGACCAGTTCGAATGGTATCTGATGTAACAGTGAGCTTCAAAGTCGTGTTGAATTGGTAAGTAAAGATAGATGGGTAGCTGAGGAAGATGATTGGAAAGGTGATGGGGTGTAAGAAAGGAACGTTTGGCAATGATAACGCGTAGCTGTGGGAGATCTAGCTATGATCCTTATGCGCCTTGATGCGTTCACAGAGAGCAGACACGCTCGAAGTTGTGTAATTCAAACTGTGCGTATTAGGCAGAGTCTTGACTTGACATACTTCCTTCCTCATGCTTGAAGGCAGATTAATCTATAATCAATCTATCAACGAGAAATACGCTTTCTCTAAACTTAAGCATGAGAAAATACAAAGCTTCATTCCTAATCATAACACATAAGCTCGCCCTATCCATCCCTATCCCATTTCCCTACTCTAGTTAGCATCTCAAATCTCACAATCTATACCTAAACTCCCCATTTTTCCTATCCGTAACATCTGCAAACTCAATATCTGCCTTGTGCTCTTGACCTCTTTGCTCAACAATCCTATCCCTCCTCTTGTTCTCCCACTGGTAGTAAAACCTGAGCAATAGGGTCAACACCACAGCAGCAGCACAAGTTACAATGATTGTAATCTTTGCAGGAATGTANTTCGGGGCGTCGGCGGCGCGGAAGGTTAGGGGCCCGATGATGTTGCCGAGACAGAAGGAGATGAGGAGGATGGCGTTCATGGTGACCTGTTGCGTGAGCGTCAGTATAGGAATTGAGGGAACTAAGGTAAGAGAGGGAGCATACCTTTTGGTGTGACCGGCGTAATTGGCTCCGACCCATGAGTATAGCAGTGGCAGACTTGCTCCAATACAGTTGGTAAGGTAGTTTCCTATCAGTTTTCCTGCTTTGTTGTCCTCTGGCAGGAAAGCCATCAGAGCGCCTCCGAGAATGCCTGGGATGAGTAAGGTGACGATGTTCAGTCCTCTTTGATCGAATCTTCCGGCTAAGTATGTAGCGATCAGAATGGAAACTACACTACACACTCCAGCAGGGATTTGGAGGAGAGCGGTTTCCTTGCTGTTGTAGCCAAATCCTTTGATCAGAGTGGCCTGGAANGATGAGACTGCCCCATTGGGGACAGATGATGATATCGTGATGAGAGAAAGCAACCAGGTCTGAGGATCGCAAAAGCATTCAAGCACTTGGTTGGACTTGAAGTGCTTATTCTCGATACCAGTTTGATTGCCGCGTAGGCGTTCGATGGCCCAAATCTTCTCTTGGTGCGAGAGACGTGAGGTCATTGGGTTGTCAGGGAGAATCAAGACCACAGTGATACCAATGCAAACTGTAACCAGACCAACAACCAGGAAAAGGATTTGCCAAGAATAGAGCGAGGCAGACTGTACATGTTGGAAAGCGTACGACAACAAAGATCCAATGATTGTGCCGGTGCCAGTGCCCAAATACCAGATTCCGACGCGAGGNGGCTGTTCGTTTTTCTTGTACCACATTGTCGTTATGAGCATCAGAGAAGGTGCGACTGCGGATTCAAAGCAGCCGAGCAAAACTCTGGTGGTGATGAGGCCGGCATAGGAATGGCAAGCAGCAGTGACAGTGACAATGGTGCCCCAAAGCAATACCATGACACCCAGATACTTGGCAGTAGGGAAGCGCTGCATGCCATATCCATGAGGAAACTCGAACGCAAGATACGAGACATAAAAGATCCAAGCNCTATAACAAGTCAGCCCAGCTCCATCCATCTCACCACCCCAAAGGCAACTTACCAAATTCGAAAAATCTGCCTTCGTGATATTCGCATCTTCATACAATCCCATGACAGCAGCATAGTTGATCAACGTCTTGTCCAGGTATTGGCAAACATAGCAACACCACATCAATGGCATAATCATCCAATCAATTTTCCTCACCAATCTCTTCTCATCCTCTTCCGTCATCTCTACTCCCTCGCCTTCATGCCGCAAAAAGTCAAGCGCGGCATCTGCATTCTTGACATCTTTGACTTCTCCGACTTCAACTTCTGGGATCTCTTCTGGCGTGGAGTGTAGCGCTTTTTCCTTGTCTTGAGCTTCAAACATGGTGACTGCAATATGTGGAGAAAAACAGATGGGCAAAAAGGCAAAATAGATGGCAGATCAGATCACTTACATATCTCAAGTGATTGCCTATGCCGTCTTTTCTCGCAAAGAACTCCGCGCGGTTCAAGATACAAGCCAAGAACAGATATGGCCAACGTTCAACCGCCTATTAGAAATGCCACTTACAGTACAATCGACATGTGAGACGAGGGCGAGAGGCAAGCATATCTCGATCTGAGATGCCTATCTGGGTATATGATATGCACTGCATTGCATTATCGCCCTATCAGTTGGAGACACGGCAGTTTTGGGGTAGTGTTCCTTATCAGTCCGCCGAGCAAGAAAGAGAAATCAAGTCAGTCCAACGATCTTCAAAGCGGTTGACTCAACCAACAAGAAGAGCACTTGCGGATGATTGCTTTGTCTGGGTGTTAAACACTGTCTTAAGTCCGCGGGGTATCTCGTGGTTAAGATAAGGAGTTGCAGAGGTCAACTGCCGGTTAATGATATCGGAATCTGTCGGGAAGGCGGGATAAACAGATGGCAACTCCTCGCCACGTGAGACTCTTGAGATGCGCTTTACTGTAAATATTCTCCAAGGAGGCATTTTGGTCATGAAAGAACATGTTTGATGAGGAGTTGTCGCAGATCTCAATGAGGAAGGCGGGCTGTTGGTGATAAGCGACTGTCGACTCTGAGTGGCCAGAAAGATTGGCCAGTACTCGACTTCCACTTTCTCTAGGAAGATCATGTGCCATACTGATCAAGATCCACTGTAAACATGTCTGGTTGTTCGTGTTACTGATGGTCTTGTGAAATTGCCTCGAATGACCTCTATACGAGCTGTACGGTATGAATATGAGGGAGGAAGGAAGACTCGCAGTGGGCATCTCTATTGAAGGAAGTTCGAGTATTATCCTGTAGATCATGAATCATCATAGTTTTTGCTATACAGAGAAGGCAAAGAACCCAAAGAGAAGAAACTTGCCTAGCTTGTTGAGCTTTACTGCACATCAAATGGCTCGCTTGGCCAAATATGTTGTTGAATGATGAAGGTATCAATTATCGCGTGCGAAAATCACGAGAATGGACGTGCTGGGAGAGACACGCGAGAGTGCGAATTCAAAGTGCGAGTATTGGAGACGACAGCTGGCAGCAAGTGGTATAGCCTCATGGATCAGAGACAGGTCGACAGCTGATACCCTATTTGGTCTTGCCACGATACGAGAATTACTCATGCAAGAATTCTGCGGCTTCCTCTCATAAGTATCCCGACTGCGCCTTTCAGATGGCATCAAATACACGACCTCCATCATCAAAAGGGATGAACATGCATCAAAGGAGATGAATGTGCATCGAAAACAGCTCTGCATATCTTCGCGATGGCCAGCAGAATGAGTTCTTCGCCGACATAGCTTTGATCGGCTTGTTCTGCTGCGCTCTGAAAGTCATCGCATCGGTGCAGAGCTTTCAAGAAAGCTTTATCAGCCGCGTGTGTCTCTACAGGCGGCATCTGTGGTTAATCAGACATCATACTTGATACAGACAGCCTCTTTCAAGGCTGTCTTCTGTCATCAGATGGGCTATCGCAGCTCTGCCGTCGATGGTGCAGAGCTGCACCTGGCAGGAGAAAGAAGAAAAATGGCTTTCAGGTCATAAGATGCGTGGTGGATGACGATGCGAACAATGTTGTTGCAGAGTGGAGCCTTGCATTTGCTGCGGAAAGTTCTGTCTATCTTGTCGCTTTCTCGTTTGCTGTTTGCTGCTTGAGCTGAGCACGTTTTGTTGTTGTCGTCGCGGGTGTTGTTTTGGTAAAGACGAGGACCCGACCGATCGAAAACAACCAAAATTACCATCACCTCAGTTTTCTCTCGATTCTCAAGCTTCGTTCCGCCTCTTGAATTTCTCCCAGGCTCTCAACTCTATCCTCACATCTCGACAACCGAATCATCCTGACCGAGCTTCATGACTCTCCAGGTCCGCTGACAAGACAACTTTGACATGTGTATATGACATGCGCAAATGTTCGTATATTGTCATTCATCTTCCTTGGCTTCATGTTCCTCCTCTTTATCTCTTCCAAGAACATTTCTGGCAAACAGCTTAGCCATCGCAAGGCACGCTGGACTCCAGCCGGTTCACGCTGTTCAGGGAGACTCCTTCTGGCTCTGAGTCTCACTGGATACGACGTCTCGATATTCGATTTGGTGTCTTGGAATGGCCGCCCTGTCTTTGGGACCCTTTTGTGGAAGAGGGGCCGGGTCGACATCTCCGGCCTGGTTAATTTATTTCCATTGCAAGAAGATCCGCGGCAACTTGTGTCTTCAAAAATCCTTTGGTACATCTGGAGTATGGCTTCAACTTGGTCCCATCAAGTGCATACCATCCCTCATAATCCAAGCCGTTGCTCACATACTTGTTGGCAGCGACACGGAGAAGTTTGATTCCGCTCATCTCGTGGTTGACTCTCTGATCGGCGGTGGCAGCAGCAAGGAGGAGTTCGACTCCGCTCATATCGGAGTTGGTTGTCTGGTCGCTGGTGGCAGCAGTAAGGAGGAGTCCGACTCCCCTTATATTGGAAATGACTCCTTCAGTGACTGGTGAAGGAGGCTCTCCAGGAGACTGGGTCTGCATGTTGTGACCAGATGTTGCGACGATGGCATCTTTGGTGCTTGACTTCTTGGGGGCGGAGGGGAACTTGGGTTCTCGTTCTTTCACACAGGCCTTGGCTTTTTCCAGCCATTCTTCACCACGATGACCGTTGATGATCTTGTTCCACTCCGACCTGAGTGCTTGTTCGCTTCGCTCGAGAAGTTTGGCCACTTCTAGCCAGGCCGGAAACATGGCGTGGAGGTAGATCAACTCCTGGCGCTGTCCATCATTCCAGGGTCTACTGCCCTTAGCTGCGAGATCCGTGGACTTGTTTTTGACGACGCGCTTTCTGATTCCACCGGCCAGAGGGCGTCTGCCCGAGGTGCTTGGGACAGAGGCAGATGTGCTGGCGATGTTGTCGGAGACCTGGTTGGTTCCGATGATCTGAGTCTGGTTCATGAAGGAAGCCATGGTTTCTTTTTGGAATACGATGGAGTTACTTAAGAAAACGTTTAATATATCCGTGCCGCGATGGGTATATTCGAACCACGATGGCCGAAACAGAAACGCGATGAGGTTGCTGGGTTTCCTATGGAAAACACACAGAACACGATGAGAAAACTCGAAGTTCGTGCAGAGTATTCGATGCGTAACAGACGGGGTTGATCGCAACGGGTACAATACTCGGTGTGTAATGGCGATGGTCGTGTCGCGTTGAAAGTTGCTGGCAGACAGTATATTTCGGTCCAAGTTGTGGATGTCAGGAAGAGACTCTCACCAAAGATCGAGTTTCTCTTATATGTGTTTCGAATCATCGTGCTGCGGCCAGTCAGTGGGTTTGAGGCAGTAAATGGTCGTGAATACGCGATGCCCAGACCCTCAAGCGAAAGCGACAGCATCTGGATTGGTTGCGTTGCGCAGAGATGACTCCTGGAACATGTGACTGACAGCCGTTCGACATCGGAACGCTCCTGGAATGGACAGGACGAAGCGGCGTGGGCGTTAAGGTTCAGGCCAGTCACCGGTACCCCTAACCCAGGAAATGCATAGAAGGCTGGGACGCGAAGTATGCATCTTCTCATTCTTGGCATTTCGTTGGCGACGATGTAGGCAACAGCTCCGGCGTTGCCCGAACCCAGCAAGTCCGAACAACACGCATTGATGGCTCCTCCGAACACAGAAGATCGATTTTCGAACGACTGGGACAGAGACTGTAGCCGCATTGTAACATGTCTTTGTCCTCTCAGGGGCTCAGAGGCATATTTACACAAAGCCTGACTGAGATTCACAATTGCATTGCAATGGCCTTGCGAGTTTCCAGGGTGCTTGCAGGCCCAGCTGCTTTGGTCGACTCCGCAAAGCATTGCAGAATGGGACGAACATTCACAAGTTTTTGTTACAATGGGGAAGCACGATTTCGTTTCGAGAAGCGAGGGTGTCTGGCGATCTATGAGAACATAGATGATGATCTCGAGGGTCGTTATGCAAGCAAATCATTTCGTGGTGGAGCGAGATGGTACGCTGCAAACCAAAGACGCAGCGGTTGTGCCTAAGCATCGCAGCGACGACAACATCAACTCGAAACACGGAAGGAGCTTCTGGCGTACGAAGAAAGAAACACCAACTTCAGAACGAGAGAGCAGCAATGTTGGACTGCATTCCAAAAGGAAGCAGCGAACATAGACGCATTTTCTCTGCAAAGCAATCCTCTACCCTTATATACTAAAAAAAAAGAGACCTCCCAGCGGCAAAGCTACCTCGGGTTTCCTGGCTCGTCTGTTCAACACAGGGTGGCGCAACGGTAGTTAGCTCACAACAAAAACCATGTGGCATGGCGGCGATTACAGCAATACGGGGAGGGAAACCCAAGTATTAACGCGTCACGTTGTTCTGAGAAATCAGTTTTGAACCCCTGGGGGTCGTTGTTCTTTTGGTCAGACGAGCACGATGAGGCGATGATCCTGCTCGAAACGAAAAGATTCTACCATTGCAATGCTGCGTGGTGTTGATCTCTCTCCGTGGAGCTTGGCCCCTGGAGGTGTCTCTACTGTAGAGTTTTCTTTACAATACGTATAAAGAACGAGGTACTGCATTCTGCAAGATTCTTGGTTCGAATCTCGTCAGGGGCTCGAATCTTTACGCAGAGCTGAGGACTAAGACAACGAGATTCACTTTTCCCTGGGCCTTGACAAGACCTTTGGTTATTGCGAGCCTTGATAAAGTGACTCTAGACCTTCACTCTTGTATCAAAGTGAAAGAAACGGCCTGTCTGAGCGGAAAATTGTCCTCTGGGCTGCGAGCAAAGCTTGTTGGATCTTGACGCGCTTCTCAAACGCTTTGGCTGTTTCCATCTTCGTCGACGCAGCACCTTCCTTTGTTCTGTCGCATCGACCTTGCGCATCCAGAAGCGTCTCCGATGTTTCTTCAACTCAGCAGGGAACAGGCTCCTGCGCTTTCGAGCCTGTCTCAGGCTACACCCCTCTCATGCCTTGCCTGCGTCGTTTGCCCAGCTCTTCCGTCCAACCCGCTCCCTCGATGACAACCCGCGTCTCGTCCTCTCGTCTCAACATACGTCCGCCATGCCATCGATGCCCCGATCGCTCAGAGAACACGACCACCCATCCATGTTCAGAACGACGCAGACGTCCCGTCCTCAGAGCTGCCAGCAGACTCAACACCAATTGGCACTCAACACGCAACTCAGCGAACCACCGTTCCTCGTGTGCTGAAGTGCTCCGGATACACTCCGCACTCAGTGTGCTGCCGGTTCACGCCTGACATGCTGCTGACATGCCCATCACCAACCCAGAAAGCAATACACAAGAGAAGACGGTGGTCCAAGACAATGTTGTCTCCTTCTCAGGTGATAATGCTCGCTCAGCCAGAAGCATGAGACGGTCAGGAGTGATAGGCTTGTCTGGCCAATATGCCCCCAGCCCTAGTCCTCGCCAGACACCACTTCCGTTTTCCAGAGCTCTGCGCATAGTTCAGCCAGACACAGGAGACCCGACAGCAATCCGAGTCTGCAGTTTCACCGTCACATCACTTGCACCGGCAAAGAGTGTCTGCGCTACATCAACGTAGCGACTTTTTTTGTTTGTGTCTATGAAATTCGGTACAGCAGAAATAGCAGAGATTGTACAACAGTCCGCGCAATGGTGATGAGACAGGAGGATTCCGATTCCGATTCCTCAAACAGCGCTGACCACCATGTGCCGCGCAAGAAAAAAGCAGAGCGCCGAACTCCTGAACCTCCCGAAACTCCTCGAACACCCCAGATTGCTTCAACACCCGAGTCTCCAAACTTCCCAAAACCGTCATCCATAACTCCATACGCCGAATACTCTTAATCGACGTTACGTTCTCCGCCGTCGAATTCGCCCACGTCAAGGCCGCACATTGAAAGCGCATATGAATACGGTGGACGAGACGATGCAGGTCTCTTAGACTGCCTGGCAGCAGCAGCAGCATCAGCCAACGCATCGAGTCCACATCTCTTCGTAACATGGCGTGCTGGATCGGCGTTCTTGGCGGCAGCTTCTTGCAAGCCAAGGCTTGTCTTTGTTGTTGGCTCCATTGGAACCGGTTTGGGTTGTAGCTCGCTGCTGGGCTCATACTGGCCCTCTGTTAGACGGTTACGAACCTCTCTCAGACTATCATGCCTCACCTTGTCGGCACGAGACAGATTCTCTGTTCCAATGGGCTCGACATCAGACAGTGGCTTGGTCGATGGCAGGCTCTGTGGGAAGGATCTCCAGCGTGGCAGTTCTCCGTGACTCATCTGATAAATCTGATCGGGGTCCTGAGATGATCCAGAAGAGGGGCTGGTCTCTGGAACTCTGACATGGTAGCTTCTGGTCGGCGACATAACTCCAGATGAACGCATCGCCCATAGCTCCTCAAAGCGCTGACGGCCACGCTCGCTGGACCTCGATCCATCTCGAGGCAGACCGGAGGAGCCAGGCACAACATGCATGCCAGATGAACCAGAAGAGTCAGTGGCCGAAGATGACGGCTGTGGAGACTCGTTCTGTGAAACTTCGTCATCTCGTTCGACAATCTCTTGTCTCGCAGCCTCTGCTGATTTCTTTGCTCTCATCATCTTCATCAACTTCAAGCGTGACGATTGCTCTGAACGGCCAAGATATGCGGCAATTTTCCCATGTCGCCAGCCACATTGTCCAGCACGATAAACAAAATCGTTCTGGTCATCATCCCAAAGCATGTTTTGGTTGTCCAGAGGGTCTGGTACACCACTTTTGATGACGTTCACGATAACTGAGTTATTGCGTTTGATGCCAGTCGGTATCTGGATACCGTGATTGGCGAGAACTTTCACCTGAGCGTCGACATGTACTTTCATCTTTTTGTAGTCTGCCCGTGTTGGGGGTGCGCGCTTCTTGTCCTCAGGTTGTACATCTTGAGCAGAATCTGCTCTGTCGATGAGACTTGCGCTGTTGGTTGGTGCTGGTCTCGCGCCCTTTCTAGATCCTCGAGTTTGTACCCAAGCCTGGGTAGAGGCTGCTTCGGTGACAGTAGTGACTTGTTCGACCTCTCTGTTGACAGAGGGTGCTACACCTGCAGCACCTCCGTTCATGGATGTAAATTTGGGCATCTTCTGCGATGAAGTGGAAGGGTGAGTCGAAAGGTCTCCAAGCACGGCAATCAAGTACAAGGCAAGTGTAAGAAGATACGTACAAGATAAGTGTGTAAGGTGTGTGAGTATGTGGTGCTTTCGTGTTATCCGTAATCGGGTGGGAACAACGAAAGAGGTAGGACAGTTCAAAGAAACTTATATTTGTAGACACGATGACTGACCCTGGCCACGCGACAAGAGTTCCTAACCGCTTTTGACCACATCTCCCAAAAGATGGATTATCGCATACACGAACATCCCGAGAACTCTCAGAGTACACTTGATCTGCTCGGCTCTTGTTTGACAATCCTTACTCTCGAAGACACGGCGTGTTTTGACGGCTATCCACACTTATCATCCCTCCCCACATCGAAGCATCATCACATTTTTCCTCTTCGCACATCGGGAACAACTTCGCGCAGACCATTTTCGATGAGCATATTCAGTCACAAACGCCAGAACAGAGTTTGAGCCGAACACCAGTTCATCTCAGATCGGAAACCCGATGACAGCCAGTTCTAAGCCACCGAGTCGATTCTCGGAGCTCTGGCCTTCTGGTCTTTTAGTATGGACAGCTTCCGATTCGTAGCCTTAGCGATCTCGTCGTGAATGTAGAATATTTCGTTGGCTTCAGTGCTTCAAACGAAAGTGGAAGGAAAGACGAAGGAGTCATTGCATAGCCGCAAAACCTCGCATGCGCATTCTGCAACATATATATCTATTCTTCGCATGTACACTATCCAAATCTACTCGTTTTTCCAATAGGATATATACTGTTTTGATCCAGCATATTCAGGGGACGATGACCAGAATCTGCGATATCAAGCCCGTTATCTTATCTCCACAGATCGCGGATCTCCCACCAACTCTCGATACACACTCCAAGATGCCAAACTTGGCTTTCCGATACGCGACACTCGAATTCACGCACTTCGACATCCACGCGAATGTAGTATGAGTCAAAGTGGGGGCTGTGCAGAAAGCCAAACCGTGGGTTGGGTGAACACAGTGAGAGGGTTTGCGGAGGGTCTTTAGTCACAAGCGAGATCTTTAGGCAGCAGTGTGGATGAAGAGTTTTGCATCGATGTTCGTATTTGGATTGTGGGTTCGCGATATGCCAAGTGAAGAAGACTCTTCCAAGCGAGGAAATCACGGGATGATGGTCGCATTGAGGGTGGGCATTTTGAGATGATGTTCGGGAGCACCGTTTCCCTTGATCAACATCTACGTTGTCGTCTTTGACCACCGTGCAACATTCCATTGCTCGTCCGCCTTTTCTGGATCGAAGTAGTTCGATTTGTGGGAAGGTTCGGTATACCAGTGACTGTCATCTTCTTTCCACATCATCTGATTGGACTGGCATCGTGGACTACCCTTGAAATGGCGAGGTTTTGGCCCGCTAAGTGAAATTTTGCGCACGCGGATGCGCTTGGTTCAGGCAATCAAGGATATGCATCGGGCGAATGCGGGATTAGGGATGTTCCGGCGACGACGACGACGACGACGATAGGTCTTGAGTCCAGTGGTATGGTGCGCAAAGCCCGTTGACGTGTCAGTTATCCGTTCCATTCTGGAGTTGACGCCTCCGTGTCAGACTGAGGATGCCAGACACTGTATCGACCAACATCGCGGGAGCTGCTCGGCTGCGACTGCCCGACCGTAAGACAGACGGCAGGAGAGTACGTCCTGATCCTTCGTTCCATGTGGCCAGGTGTGTGTATTCCTCTCTTTCTCAGACTCCCTCATCGGTCCGGCTCTTCTGGTAATGCGAGTGTGTCATGTCTCAATTCCTCCCTTTGCATCCTCTTCTTCGACACCGTCCCCATCTACGCCATCCTGCTGATCATCATCAGAGCCAGAGGATGCACCGTCGTCTTCCCTCATGCCTTCAGCCTCTATCTCTTCTGCTTTTGCTTTGCATGCAGCAGCCGAGAAGCCACTGCCAACTTTGCTCGAGATGAACCGCCAGCGGTCGTTGTCGTAGTCTTGTATCGCCGTGTGAAGACGTTGAATCTAAGTTAAAGTTAGCACTCTTGCGTGGCAAAGCTTTGTGTGTGCTATTGATGGGTCCGGGTGTGTCCATAGGTGGTTCGATCTGTGAAACGGGGTCCAGAGATGTGCCACAGCCATGCGAAGGACACGTTCCTGCGCTAGCTGCGATCTAGTGCCAATTGGCAAAAAGCTTTCCAAGGAAGGCACCGAAGCATAACCCAAGATAGCTCTGCTGTTCCCAGGTCGGATGATTATCGTGCACGTNCCTCGGAAGCATTGAACTTCGCAAGCGTGCCACGAGATTCGGCTTCGGGACACAGGCGCGTGCGAGTCCAGCTAGAGACGCTACTTCTGGTCGTCAGGGGTATGGTGCGTCTTCTTGTCTGAGAAAGTTCGCTGCATGATGCTGTCGGCCGGTGTTCGTTGATGCTCAGAAGAGTCGGTAGAGTGTTGTCGTTGTCATAACTCTGTCGAGAAGACGCATGGTCCTTGTCGGTCCATAGCTGCGAAGGATGTCCAGGTGGCCATTCCAGACAGAAGGTGTTGATTAAGACAAGGAAATGTGTTACTTACCATATCGTCGTTCCACAGAGTGGTCTTGGCCTTGAGCTTGGTGCAGTACCTGACCTGCAATGTGCCCGCACTGCGACCTGGGAAGAACTCGGCGATCTGCTTCCAGGTCAAGTTCTTGGTTTCTTTCAGTCTGACGAGCAGCGCGTCGTCCTCTCGGGTGAACTTGAGTTTCGGGCCCTTCGGTCTAGGCGCAGGCTCTGGCATTCCTTCTTTTCCAACCATACTCGGCGGTCCTGGGTCACCTACAGGTGAGACCTCTTCGCCATGCTTAGTTCGTTTGAGGGTCGGCGAGTGGGGCGGTAGACGGTGGTGGTGATGCTGGTTCGTGTTCGCAGCTTCTGCGGGGCTGTATGCTTGCTGTGACTGAAGCTTCTGGGTGTCGCTCTGGGGTGACCGGTCTGTAGAGGTTGCTTGTGGGAGCTGCGGGGCGCGGAACTGAAACGGAGAAACAAGGTTCGAGGAATGATGCCCATTTGACCCCATCATGGTAGGTATATTAAGAGTTAGATTAGTGTTGTACATTGGGGACTCATGGGTGGCCGGTTGGAAGTCGTCAGCGCGGCTTCTCTTGCGCGATGGTGGCTCCGAATGCCCATACTCTGAGGGCCTTCTGGAGTTGTCGTATTGAGTTGAACCACTCAGCTGGCTTGAAATCGAGGTCGCAATGCTGCTCCGTTCTGGGTTATGGTGTGGGATGCTGGTGTTTGGCTGAGTGATTATAGTAGATTGTAGCTGCTGAGGCAGGATGTGATATTCTGATTGCATAGATAGCGGGAAATAGGAAGGCTGTAACGTCGAGTATCCATGGTCCAGGTATGTATGTCCATAGATTGAGCTTGTTGATTGATCCTGTTCCTGGCAGTCTTGCCCCTCCGCCGTCGACCCTCCATACTGGAACGAGTAGTTGCCGTAAGGATTCGCCACGGCTGCGGTGAAGTACGACAGATCAGTCAAACGTGCTCCAACTTCACTTGTCCCCAGCGGTCGTTGTAGAAGCGCCAGATTGTCGGGTAGGAGTGGTCGCTATGTCTTGCCTCTCGCCCGAATGATGTAATCAAATCTATACAGGGTGTGTGAATAAGGTTGTGTCGAAACGTGAGGCTTGTTGGGTAGCTGGACAAGCCTCAGGAGAGCGCCGCTCACCTTAATATTGGGGAAGGTATGCAGACCTAGACTTTAATGCCCAGCATCGGCTCAATCAAATGTGGCTAAGCGATGCAGTAATTGCCACAGTCATGAACCATGTACGGGTAGAGAGGTTGTGCAAAAGCGGATTGGTCGACGCGAGAAAGTAGGAGACTTGTCTCCCAGATCGATACCGAGGAAGCATGAACCATCAAGTATGTGCCGAAAAATTGCTTCGTTTGACACTTGCTGAGACGCCAAAACCATTTTGGCCATGCGCCCGCCTGTTCTGCCCTGAACGATATCAATGGCTAGCGGATTTTGGCTTTGCTGCTATGCTCGGCGCGAGGTGGCCGCTGCGAGAGTCATGCCCTGGCTTGCTGTCCTTGTGGAAAGCTGAAACATAGGTACAACGGGCACTGTTCTTGCTGCCACTGAGCCACGCAAAGCAGCGGCTCGGTTGTGCTGCCGCACGACAATCATTGTGCTGTGATTCGAGAACACGACGAGCCCAGTCCAGGTTGCTGTGGAGAAGCTTAAGAAGCGAACTGTGGCTGTGCCTATGCCTGCACCGTATGACGGTGACAGAAAATAGAAAAATGAACATGCCCCTTGGACATGCAAACAACGTGCAACTAGTCCCAAGTCCTACATGATCGACTCGGTTTGTACGGAATCCAGGCCTTGGTATCGCGACTTCCGAACCGATTCTCTTCCCAGTGCTCTGACGAGTGACGAGGTGTTTCCAACTTTGCTTGGTCGGTCGGACCTGCCTGCGGTCGGCATGCACTTACCAATTGGCAGCCTGCTAGAGGCAGAAGAGAATTGGCGGTAAATGCAGATACCCGAATCAGATCATCGTGTGTCGCACCGTGATCGGAGCGGGAGGATCTGAGGACCCAATGGCACATGGCACCGGGGATGGCGCCATGATGGTAGGCAACGCATCGAACTGGGAGATGCAGGATGACCAGAGGAGGTCGCTAAGTCTGGAACAGGATATGGCCCGTGAGGGTTCTGTCAAGAGCGGTAATGTGGCTGNNCTCTTACCGCGTGGCAAAGAAGNNCTCTCAAGGAAACAAGACGGGAGAGCCCCAAGTCGCGTGGCCCCCGCGACTCGGCGACGTCGTTTCGCTTGGGGTTTTCACGGTCAAACCGGCAGCTGCGACTGCCGACCACAACCTTCCAACTGACCCGAGATTACTCTTAGACACACGCTCTCACTGCGGCTTCGCCAATATCTTCCTTTGAATACAACAAACTTGACACATCTCGCCCCGTCAGCCAGAAGGTGGCAATCGAGATTGGACAAGGAATCTGCCGTGCTGCATACAATGGATTAACGGCTGGCTTGCAGATGCAATTGTTCGGGGGCTTTTCCGTGTCGTCCTGACCGTTTTCTGCCTCGGCACCTAACACGAACGTCCCTTACGTCTGTCATCNCAACCAAATCGTTCCCGTCAACAGCTCCTTCTTTTGCTGTCTTGACCATGTTCTGGAGGCTGACCCTGACTCGGTTGACGCCTCCAAAGGGTAACGCGATCAGCAATACCACCAAAGCTTACTTTTGATTAATCGAACCGGCCCAGGCACGGGCGGTTAGCTAATGACCGTGTCGTGGTTCATGCGACATCGCTAGGGCCTTTCCCATTCTGTGGCTACGTGAATGACAAGTGCACACGCAGGAGTCTTGTCTAAACCACCTTCCCGGTCTGCTGACAAGACATCACCAGATCTAAATTGAGCTGCCGCAGATGCTATCTCGGCCACGGCACCTACGCGTACGTCGTATACCAAGTCACTGTACCACTCTTTGCATACATCTTTCAATCAACAGGGCTTGTTACAGAGATCAGCAGTATCCACCGTAAGTCACGCATGAAAGACTATGCACAATGCCGATCCAGGAAATGAGGCACAATTTCTTGGTTTTGGGATTATCTCCGATGTAGACCCAGGAATTTCGTCCATTCACCACCCAGTTGGGAAACAGCATACAAGAATCGTCGATGATGAAACCGACAGCTTGGCAAGACGGAACATGTTCACCGCTTGCTGGAGGTGTCGTGGAGCTGGCACTAGAACTAACGAACGACAGTTGGGTGATCACCTGTGACTTCCTGGCCGTCACCCTCAAGACTTCCTCTGCTGTCGGAATTCTCGACGAGTCTAGTTGTTTTGTTGTTGTAAGGTTCTCTGAAGAAGGATCATATGGCTGTTGGGTCTTTTAGTGTTAGGGCATCGATGTACGTTGCTGACCACAAGCTTCGTGTCGTTGCAACTGAATTTGCGACCAAGACTCGGATTACGGCAAGCAATGGATGCTGGTGAGATGCTCTCGTCGTTACATGGGGAAGATTTCTGAACTCTTGCTTTCTGAGATGCGGTTGGTCACATTGCGACACCATCCATCAGAGAACTTTCATTTCTGCTACAATATGATCTAGACTGCCACAGGAAAGTGCCGTTGTAACTTTAACGTTATATCTTCTGGTAAACGGAAGACCTGGCCGACTGCACGAGGGCATCACGACAACTCCTGAAACGAATCCTGCTGCGCGTGCCCCATACTCATCAATTCTTGATGAAGCCTGCCCTCGAATGCGTTTCTGGGAGGATTCACGCTTTTATCCCTATGGTAATGGCATTCATGCTACTAAGCTTCTGGCCAGAAGGAAGCCGTTTGCTTTGAATCTCGCGGATTGTCGCCGGCTTTCCTTTGTCCACCGCGCTGTCAAGCTCGGATTGATTAATTCTTGGCAGTATTGACTATCCTGGTAAGGGGTACCTCATGACGGCAGGTGCGACACAGGACGCTTCTTGGATGAATCACGCACTACAGGACGTGTCACATCAATGTTGCATACTGCCCTCCCTTCTTCTGTTCGTTCGAAAGTTTCGATGCTGTCTCCGCGGCTGTAGTCGATGAACTATGCTTACCATGATGCCACATATCTAGGCCTCCTGGGGGTTGTGCAAACTTATATCGCTGTCTTGAGTCGTGTCTTTGTCATTTCTGGCAAGGGAAACCCGATGTGACTCAGCCCTCGATCCTTTTTCGACGCTCAAGCACGTAATGCGATCCAACTTGCGGCATCGGCATCCTGTTACTATGTCTCACGAATCGCTGGCATCAACGTCCAGAACACACGGCAGATGCTTACGGAAATATCACACCTTTCCCGAACAACTTCCTGACTATCGAGAGCCTCAATCGGCCGACAGAAGCCAGAGTGGAGCAGCCACAAGCACCAAATCTGGAATCGATCGCGAAGTGTCTGGGTGGGCCATAGGATCGTTGTTGTCGTCCACGACAGTCATGGCAAGAGACAAATTGTGCTATCAGCATATGTGCATGCTGAAGAAGCTCAGGAAGATGCGTGGGAAAGGATACTCTTCTCCATGTTACCCCTGTTGAGTTGGCTGAGCATCTTGAGCATCGTGCTCTTACGATTCACTGCTGACAGCCAACTCTCGATAGTGTCCACATCCGTCGGAACAGTCTGACACGTCCCGTCGCGCTCGTCCAACATCACCCAGTGTACAACTCTCATACGACAACTGGAGTCTTCGGGTGTCCTGACGCCAGTAAAACTTCTGCCTCTATTGGTGTACTGTTTGGCTGCATTGGTTGTCGCAAATTGCCGGTACTCAGCATGCCTGTCCTGACAACCTATACTGCTCATTGGAGAGGCCCAATCTTATTCGACAGATCACACACGCAAGTATGTGCTGACGCGATTCGAGCTAACACCGTTGTCGTTCTGCCAGGTGCAGTTCATGCTGCCACTCTGTCGTTACCGCCATTCTATTCACGTCTTCGCCGACCAATCGTTAACATGCCACAACCCACAAGAAGTGCATGTTCATCTCGCATATCTCCCTTCGGTAGCGCTTCCCAGCAACGCAGACCCATCTACGAACAAGCAAGAAACACTCATATGTTTCCCGAAAATTACCGACACAAACAGACACAGAGAACAACGATGCCAGGCGCAAGATTAGTCCCACACAGACCCTCAAGTCAAGCAGAGGCTGACACTTGGATGTATGATACTCCATGGTCTCTCGAACTCTTTTTGTTGCACGACATCATCACGCCGTCTGCTTATGAAAGGTGAAGCTGGTGATTTTCTGGGGCCGTGGAGTCCCGCGTGGCTCACTTTATCGCAGGAGCTGGATTCATCACACTGAGCACTCTAGTAAAGCCGAGCTGCTGATACAAGTCTTTAGCCTTGTTCCACATCGCTATGCCTGACAGAACCCATGTGTGGTCAGCCACTTGTCCAAGTACTGTTCCTGATCATGGGTCCCTCAACCAGATCGGTAGCGTTTCCAGGCTGTCATCGTCACACAGTTCCAGTCAGGCAGTGACCGTTGTGGCCATAGAGTGAGTGAGCACTCGACGACGGCTCATTCATTGCGTTCCACCATACCATCTTCTGCACCAATGACTCCGACGGTCATGCCTCGACAGACTCAATCTAGAGCCGTGAGTCTCTTGCTCTCTACGATCTGAAACGGTTCCAAAAGACAATCGCGCACGGCAAGGGTGCATGCTAGTGATGCCCCAAATGTGCTCAATAAGCAAGCTTCAGATTTTTGCTCAATCAGACAGCCTATGAATTCTGATCCCCAGCACAGGTCGTGGTGATGTCGACACTCCTGCCAATAATAACAAGACCTATGGTATTCTCAACTTGTCGTGTCTCCGTGACTTCTAGTTGCAGTCCCCTCGACCTCGATGTAACCTCATGTCGCAGGTCGATGAACCCTTTTGACTCTCCTGAGCCACGTTGTTTGTCTGTTCATAGTTGCGCGGTTAGCACATTTTACTTGGGTGTTATCTGTGGTCCTACGGGATCAAAGTTGTCGAAGTAACTTTATTGACACGTCGATGACGAGATTAAAGGTGAGAATGGCGGTGCCCTGCTTGTGCTCAGAGTAGTCGAATTCCTTGGCCATATGGTTGTGAGTCTCAAGTTCGAGTAGAATGTAAGAACGTCTGTGTTGAACCAGAGCAGAGGAGCATTTGTACTGCTCATATGAGTTTTGTTGTTGTGGCTCAGCAATGTTCCCTTGCATACACTAAAAGTATGATTTGTGGGATTTTTCTAATTGATCCGTTTTGTTTTCTAGTATCAAGTATTTGCGGACTAACAGCAATCAACATAATTCACTGACCAAGCTAGACGCAGACAATGTGAAATGTCATTCAAGGAGCAAGTAGAGAATCGATAAAGGCATAGCAGTACTTGCCTTGCCATCTTCCGGATAGTCTAAAGACCCGGAGATAACCAATATGCGTTGTACAGCTTCGGTAATGGTACATATGTGCACAAATTGTCGACAGTGAAGACGCAGGACTTTGTGGCTGCCACACAAATCGGATGCTGTCAATGTCGAAGCAGCAACAACACATCTCAAGCACATGAAGCAAACACAGAACAGCAAGAAGTGAGCACGAAACCCTCGAGGCTCCCCGAACGACACGTAATTCCTCAGCGTGATAATGCCAACCGCACCCTACCAAAAGGCTACCCGAACAAAGACGCCGTCAGGCTCTGCCACTGCGGCCAGTAGTCAGGGGGTTCATGTAACTAACTCCGGATGACTTACTTGAACGACAGTTCGCCCGTCTCAAGTAAGCCAGCTGCAGAGCAGTCCCATGGTTCTTCTGTGTAATGTTTGAGGGGAAAGAGCAGACTCCAGCTGCATATGGCTTCGGTCATCTTTCCGTTCTTTGCTTGACGCTAAAAGTCTTCTACTTGTTGTCATACCGCTCCCATGCACAAGCTAACTCTTCGCCCCACAGAATGACCCTCCTCCCCAGTCCTTGATGGTTGCTAAGCTGTAAACCTCAGCTACAAGTAATTGCCGTATCATTTTTATACCAAATATGGCCGGATTCCCCGTTCGGGACTCGAAGAACCATCGTATCGACATGCCGCAAGCTCATTACGTTACATGAGACGACCAAGCAACGGCAAATTTGCTCTGGCATTAGGGCTGAATTGCTTGCCATAGTGACTATCTTTAGGGTTAGGGTTACATTGTTGCTTCCAGCATTTTCATATATGCTTGGTCTTCACCGATGCCTCTGGTTTGTTGAATGCTACATATACTACACCCACCTTTGGCTTCCATCAATCTGCAATCGGCGCCAGTTCACTCAGTGAACTTCGATCAATCAGACCTGCCGGGGTAGCTCAATCGGTAGAGCGTGTGGCTCTTATCAATTGATAAAGTACAACCTCAAGGTCGCGGGTTCGAGCCCCGCCTTCGGCTATTCCTACACAATGATTGCGATTGATATGTTTTTTGTCATTTGCATGGCATATATGGTGGTGGAAGAGGTTTATTTTTTGCGACTGTGGCACGTGCAGGGCTGAGGCGTTGCGGGCTGAGGCGGATGTGGCGCGCCAAGAAGGGAAAGGCTGTGGGCTCGAGCGTGCGTTGGAGACAGGGTGCAGGTCGCGACAATGGAAAACCAGGTCGAAGGGGCGATAGCGAGGTGTTGCAGTCGTAACTTTGTAGATGTGTCTTGATAAGCACATTCTTTGAGCTGTTTCATGGACGTCTTCCGAGTCTTGGAGCAATTCAGCACGTCGTGATCTCGATATTTGAGAATCGTGTGTTCGGGTCATGGAAACCAGAAAATAGCGTTGCAATGCATTATTTCACTCCCCTCTCAAAATCCTGCGCGACAAGGATTAGAAAATGATGTATGTAGTGCTCGGATAGCTATAGAAGCATCACACATACCTACACTTGCCAGTCTTCAGCAGTTCCGAGTGTCTCTGTTGACTGTGGCATGGTAGACAGACATACCGATGGAACATCAAAGACAAGTCGGATTTATGCCGGATTATGCGCTTTCATATGCATGCATGTATACATAGTTATCCATATAATGCGTCAATTCCACTCGTTCTATCACCAATTTTACGATCGAAACACAATCGAGATATACAAAATTTAAGCTCAATATCAATGTCAAGTCCCAGCGTAAATACACAAACAATCATCAAAATCTACCCCTCATCCACTCTCATTTGCTTCCCTGCAACAGAAGTCGAAGAGATCGCGCAGAAGACTTGCCAGCAAGATTGTGACGATATGGCATGTTACACACCTTCTACCATGTAACCACACCTAAGGCAAATGAGTTAACGGCGTCCCTAACCCTTCTCGACGAGTAGCTGCTCTCATCCTGCAGGGTGTGACTTTGTATCTGTGCAACTTCGGCATGTCATTTGCACAAAGCCAGCGTGATTGGGAGTCAAAGATTGCAATAAATCGACCTGAGAAAGAAAGAGATGGCTCAAACAATCTGCATTACTCTCTAACTTCAACCTGGCATCCAAACAATGCCATCGAAATACAAAAATCTATTACTACAAGCCACTACCGAAGTGGAGATGTCCATCTATCCTACAACACCAAAATCCTCTACGACAAATTGCCCGTGCCGAAAATCTCCAACTTGATTCTCTGTTCCTCGACTCCGAAGCTCTGAAGTTTGTTTCCCATATCCCTCATAAAGCCACCAGGACCACAGATGTAATATGTTGCTTGCTTGTCATTGAGACATAGATCCCCTTCCTTGTCCAGCTTATCCAGATCCATGCGGCAAGCAAAGTCATAATCTTTGTCTGTCGAGGGATGCTTGTTGAAAACCACAGAAGTGATATGCGAGTATTTGGCACTAGCATCACGGACATTAGATCCAAAAGCTTGAACAGCAGACGATCTCGTCGCATGGATGAAACTGATCCTGCGATCTTTCTTCTCTTGAACGAAAGTATCGAGGATAGAAACCATGGGAGTGATTCCCACACCCGCAGAAATCAAGACCAGAGCGGCTTTGCTGTTTTCCTTGGGATCGGCGTAAAACTCGCCGTAAGGATGCGAAACTTGAAGGATATCTCCTTCTTTCTTGTCGGAGTGCAGGATGTTGGAGATGTAGGCTGGGTGAGTGATTTCTGATTCGCGCTTTACACTGATGCGGTAATGATCAGGAGATGGCGCTGTGGAGAGCGAGTATTGGCGATTTTGATCATGGTGGAGTGAGGGAACTGAGGTGGCGACGCTGATGTATTGGCCAGGAAGATAAGAAGGCAATGGCTTTCCATCCACAGGAGAAAGGTAGAAAGATGTAATCTCCTCGGACTCGGGAACCTTTTTGGCAATGCGGAAGTCGCGCCAGGATGTCCAAGGACCGGCAGACTTGTATAGCGAGTCTTCTTGCTTGATCATNCTATATTATCTGTCAGCTGCCAGAAGTGACGAGAGAGAAGTAAAGACAGTACTCACGATGTTCGCCAATTGCCAATAAGCCTGTCCCCAAGCCTCCAAAATATCAGGCGTCAATGCTTCACCAAGCACATCACCCATGGAGCGTAACAGATATGTTCCCACAACATCGTAATGCTCGGGTTGCACATACATACTCGCATGCTTATGGCAAATCTTCTCAACAGCAGGAGACAGTACACCCAAGTCATCGATGTGCGAGGCGTATGCGTACAAGCTGCCAGCCAATGCACCAGCTTGATGTCCATTCTTCTGATTCGTTTGGTTGAAGATGCCATTCAAAGAAGGGTTTTCCTTGAGAAGTAGGTCGTAGAAGTGGGCAGTGATTGTGGTGCCATGCTCTTTTAACACAGGCACAGTTGCTTTGATAAGCTTGACTTGATCCGGTGTCAACGACATGTTGGAGTTGATGCTTGTTTCGTAGCCTCAAAAGCCCAGTACCGAGATGAGCTGAAGTTGTAGAAGTCAATGTTGATAAGAACAAGAAAAAACCTAGCTGCAAGTGACAAACGTAGGAATAACATTTTATACTCCGAATGGCAGAGCGAAAACCACTCGGGCGACGCGGACGCGAAACCGCAGCATCCGCAACATCCCTAAACTTGCCCTGTGAGAAAACGCGGTATGTTTTCTGTGACTGTGACAGCTCCAATCAGGGCCACGAGCAATTTGCGCTTTGGTCATCAGAAAGAGAAAACATCAAGCGTGACGTGAGAGCAATTCGTCCCTTCCGAGAACGACAACCGAGCGTTTGCGACGGCACCTCCGAGGAAACAACAGGGATGCTGCAGACATGAGTTTGCTTCTACTTTTCGCTTGGAAAGAGCTGAGATAAATGGCCCATCTTAATCCGAGACTCATGTCGATATATTGATAGTATTCATGGATCAACCCAATGGGTTGTCGTTGAAAAAAGATATACACTTTCCCGCTTGAGGCGTGCCTGCCAATTCAGCCGCGGAGATGCTTCGAAACGCCAACACCACCCGACTTGCAAGGAAAACGCCTCATCAGGTGAGCATACCAAAAAGAACGCGTAACGTAAAACACATATTGGCATTCAGCTCAAGTAACGATGAGATTGCTGATTCGTACACCCTTGCTGGTGAAGTAATATCTCCTCCTGACACCAATGCCCGGAACTGCTTCAACCTCTTTCTTCCCTTTCGCTTTTGCTTTGGTCGTCTTCTTAGCCTTCTTCTTGCCAGTCTCCATTGCTTGTGTTTGTGTAGCTCCGGCTTCAGCTTGTGCAGTGTCTGTTTTCCTGCCGTCCAAGGTACTGATGGCACCAGTGTTGTCAGCAATACCTACAGTACTCGCTCCTCTCAGAAAAGTGTCCCAAACAGTTTGACCACCCGGGACAAGAGCAAGACAAATCGGATGACGTCTTGGTAGTCCTTTGGGTGTCAATTGAACTTCGTCAACTAATGGCCTTGTTCCTTCGTCGCTTCCAAAGCTTACCACCAAGACTAGTTGTAGTGACTTGGCAGAAGGTGGGAACGAAGGAATTGCAGAGAGCTTNTTGCTGAAACTGCAGCCACCACGACGAATTATGAGGATTGTATGCGTCATGACAAGATCGAGCGGTATGGGAGCAGTATTGCACAGATCAGAGTCGATGACAAGGATAGTCGTGTAAGGGAGGCTTCCAGTAGAAAGACTTCGCGGATCGGGCGACGAATCAATGACTGCTGGCAAAGGTGCTGCACCAGGTCCTATAGGTAGCATTGCTGGTGTAGTGAAACGTTGTAGATCTTTCTTCTGCTGAGAAGGAGCTGCCGAGGAAGATGGCAAGGCAGCGGTAGATTTTGATCGAAGCTGTTTGACTGCGTCACGAAGAGCGTCATCTATGCCGTCAGCATCAGGAAGAACGCCAACTAGTCCATCGAGTTGTTCCGCAAGACGATGGACATCAGCAAAAAGAGCTTTGGGTAGAGAATCCAAAACCGTGTCGCCAGGATTGGAAGTGGCACCCAAAGCATCCAGGTCGAAGTCGAGACTGAAGTCAAAGACGTGATCAGTCAATGCAGTGTTATTATACACGAGAGCTTCGACTACGGATTCTTCAGGATGTGGTACATCGATGATCAGATCCATGGCTTCGACATCACGCATGCGCGTAAAGTGTGGATCTGTTGGATTGATTTGTGACAAGGTGTCTCGACTCAATGCGATGTGCTCGTCGCGACCAAGGGCAAAATTGCCGAGAGTATAGATTCTGTACTCGTGCTCTTCTGGTGCTGGTGATTCTAGTACCATACCAAACCTCAAACCTGAGATTGAATTGACGAGGACACCTCCATCAATCTTTTGGAGTGTACCAATCTCGAGACCTGTACCAGCAGTAGTAGGGAAAGTGAGGTCAAAGGTTGGCTTGTTGGATAGCTTAGTGCTATAACCATCTGTAGGCACCAGATTGAGAGGCAGAGTCCAGGGGTAGAAAGTAAAATTGGTTGGAGATTCTGGGCCAAGCATAGTCACACTAGGATGATCAGAAGCCCAGTCCAGCGANGGAGCGCCAGGCTTGTTTCCAATAGGCATGAGATGTAGTCGAGCTAAAGAAGCAGCATGGAAGACATCTGATCTGGCAGCGGTTGATGATACTGTCAAGGGCAGCAAGGCTGGAGGTAATGGACACTTTTCCGCTCGAGGCTTCGGCACGATATTGATCCGACTCTCTTCTCGGTTGTAATATTGCCTTGTGCTTGTCCTGTTGGCTTTGGGGATAATCAGCGGATGTCCTTCTGTCGTAAAGACCCAAGGTGCGTCAATCGTGTTCAGAGGATGGTCCGGATCGAACAACAGGTACATGTATTTTGCAGTTTCACCTAGGAAGAAACTCTCCATGCGATCGGTTTTCTCGCCTGTTCGGACATCTTGCAGACCTGCCCAACCGCACCTGGTATAGCACCTGCGTTTGATGTCACGCAAGGCCATCTCACCAATGTGGAGATACCAAGGATCTTTCGTGGCGTGATAAAGATACCACGTAGATTCGATGAACTCTGGTCGACCACCCCACCATCTCAGACCGCCATGGATAGCACCAGTAGTTGCGTCCCACCTTTCAGGCAGAGCACCATACCTTGACCATAGGGCAGTGTACAGAAGATGAGCAGTGACGGCCTCGTCTAACTCACCAGCCAGAACTAGTAAACCAGGATAGTAAGCACTCAGACTGTCTATCCACGTGAGTCGTGGTCCACCAGTATACAGATCATTCTGAGCGTAGTGCGGATGGGTGAAGTAAGCGTCCCGATAGACGTGTCGCATGATGGCAGAATGAGCGTCCTTCCAGGTCTGAAGGAAGGCATCTGGAGAGTCTTCTGTGACATTGTAGGAATCGCCTTGCAGAGCAGATAACAAGACGTGCGACTTGAAAGCATATTCGAAGAAGCTGTCAATACCAGCACCGATACCAGTCCAAGGGCCGATCCATGCGCCAGTCTCTGCATCAATGCCAGCACCGATCAGGCCAGAAGCACTGCGTCGTTCCCATACAGCCCAGAAAGCCCGTTTGGCCAGACGTTCGAACCGAGGGTCGTTGGTCAGACGGGACAGGGTGGTAAACTCAAGCACGAGACTACCAGCGCCAGCACTGCAAGTTTCTGTAATCTCACGAGATCCTTTTGGCTTTTGAGTTTTGTGACACTGTCCATGTTCAGGGTCGTTATTCAAGGGCGAGTTCTCATAGAAAGGAGTGCCGTAGCGAAGATTCACTCTGGGGTATGGCAGTCCAGTCGGAGTGTGGAAGGCGGGCAAGAGTCGCTCACCCAGATCTTGGGCAAGTCGTAACAATTGGCCATCATATACAAAGCCATTCGGCCAGTGTATTCCATCCTCTCTGATGTCAGGTTCGTATCCACGGATGGGCAATTCACCAATGGCAAACAGGTGGGCACTCAAAAGACCACCCAAGCCGCGGATCGTCGTCTCAAAGACTTGAACTTTACTATCCAGGTCAAAACCTCTTGCACGGCGACCCTGGCCAGCAGGACCGGGCGAGCCGTCTCCATACTCTTCAATGACCAAGCCCACATAATGTTGGAAGTCGTGCAGAGCGTTGTGCTCGTCCGTGTCGGAAGTCGGGTCAGAAGCGAGAATGGCAAGAGTGGACAGACTGTCTACCACCGAGAGCGAGTAGTTGCCCAGAACATCATTGACCTCGATATGGGCGGGATTGGCGCGGTCGCGTGTCAGGGGTGCGCATGAGAGTGGTCGCAACTCATCGTCCGGGTAGGCGAACTGGCGGTAGTTGGTCAGACCATGGTAGAAGACGGAGCGTGTTTCCTTTCTACCTCAAAGTAAGCAAGTGCGACAGAACAAGGCGAAAGTGTGACATGTGACAAACCTCAAGGCATCCACCTCAGACTTGGTCATTGCCTGGCCAAGGACGGCGCAAACGATCACCAGCCATACCAGGGTCGGCCATGACTGAGATGAGGCCTGAGGTTGCGGCCGAGGGTGAACACGCATTCCCAGGGCTGCATAGAGAAATCAAAGCATTCTAGTCGACAGTGATGATTTCTCGACAATGACGGGATACCTGTCTAGATGGCGGATGAAGTCATCGGTGCTTTGGAGACGCCGACCTGGAGAGCTTTCAAGACTTTCCCGTTCCTTCCACTTCGGTGACCCAGTTTATTTCGCTGCACCTCACACGCACCTTCCCGCACAACCAGACTCGACGAGTCGCACAAGAACATCTCCTAGCGCAGGCGCAACCAAGAACCATCTCTCCCACCCGCGCATAACCTCGACACACAATGCTCTCGCGCGCGGCGCAACGTGCGGCAAAGGCCTCGATTGCCCACTTCTCCACCTCTGCTCGCTCTGCAGCCAAACCCAGCCGCTTCGTCCCTGCCGGTGCTGCTGCTCCCAAGCCAGCAAAGCAACCCTCTCCTGCCACCTCTGCCCGTCAGACCTCACCGGGCACCAGTCTTCCCAAGGACAAGACATGGAAGCCCATCGATAGCATCAAGTTCGCTGCTCCTGCCGCCGCTGCACAGCAACCCGTCCGTCCTGCCGCCGATGGCCCCGTAGCACCCGACGCTTCTGCCAGTACGAAGGCTACCCCCACCGCAAACACCACTCCCACAGAACAGCCCGGTCCTTTCCCCAAGACCACCTCCTCCAACCAAGCCTCGGAAGCCAGCAATCCTGCCTTCTCGGGCCCGCAATCCGCAGATGCCAACACTACCCCCACAGAACAGCCCACCGAGTCGCAACCCTCCGGTCCCCTGCCTGATCTGCGCCAAGGTATTCCCTCGACCTTTGATTTTGAGTTCATGAAGAAGGAAGCTAGCGCGCAAAACCCCACCGAGCAGAAGGTTACTGGTGAAGAGACTCCCGAGTCCACTCCCGAAGCTGCTGGCTTTGGCGGCAGACGTGGTGCTGAGGGTGAGGATGAGCAATACCGTCGCGAGGACTACGAGACATCGTTCGACAAGCGTCGCGCCAGAATGGCCAACTACGGTTATCTCTCCTTGTTGGCTTTCGCTGCTGCTGGTACCGCTTATTTCACAAGACCCTACGGAGCCGATGAGACTCCTCAAGGCCTCGAGCCCGAGCACATCACCGGATGGGCACCTCAAAGCATGTACGCCCGTGTCAAGAACCGTATGAGCAGCCAAGCCGCCTACTACACCGAGCCCACCTTCCAGAAGCTGTTGCCCGAGGTTCCCGAGTCTCAACGTCCTCCCTTCACTTTGGTCCTCTCCCTTGAAGACTTGCTCATCCACAGCGAGTGGTCTCGCGAGCACGGCTGGCGCACTGCCAAGCGTCCTGGTGTCGACTACTTCCTCAAGTACCTTAGTCAGTACTACGAATTGGTTCTCTTCACCTCGGTTCCTGTCGCAATGGCCGACCCTGTCATCAAGAAGCTCGACCCCTTCCACATCATCCAGTGGCCCTTGTTCCGTGAAGCCACCAAGTACGAGAATGGCGAATACGTCAAGGACTTGAACTACTTGAACCGTCCTCTCGACAAGGTCATCATGATCGACACCAAGGCCGCACACGTCAAGAACAACCCCAACAACGCGTATGTTACTTGGTCACCTCACTCACTGAAACATGCTAACTCCTACATCCAGTNNATCGTCCTGCCCAAGTGGGAGGGCAAGCCCTCAGATCCTCACGCCAAGGACCTCGTCGCCCTGATTCCCTTCCTCGAATACGTCGCTACTATGGGCGTTGAAGATACCCGCAAGGTCCTCGAATCATTCGCCGGCTCCGATATCCCCATCGAGTTCGCCGCTCGTGAAGGCAAGGCTCGCGAGGCTTTCCAAAAGCAGCTCGCAGAAGAGCAATCCCGCCGTCCTCAACGCTCGATCGGTGGTCTTCTCAACAAAGCCCTCGGTATCAAGGCTCAACCTGGCGGTCTCTCCCTAGACAACGAGACCACTGTCGCTGAAGGCTTGTCCCAAGGCAAGATGCTGTCTGACCAGATCCGTGAGCGTGGTCAACGCGAGTACCAACGCCTCGAAGCCGAGATTCAAAAGAACGGCGAGAAGTGGCTGAAGGAGATGGAAGAGGAAGAGAAGAAGTTCATGGAGAACATGAGCAAGGACATGAAGAAGAGTTGGTTCGGCTGGGGTTCGGCATCAGGAGCCCCTGCAGCCAGCGAGACGGCAAAGAGACAGGAGTAGAACTTCCTCGACACTCTGCTGACTAACTTCTCACGTTATTGCACTCGTGAGTCTATGGCTCCTCATTATTTCTTCGTCTGAGATTCTCCTCAACCAATCATGTATTTCTATTACGGCACGCATGAATGACTGCTTGCTTTGCTTGCTTGGCCTTTTGCGCCTTTTTCGGTGTATAAAAATGTATATCACGTCCTTACTCTTTTCCATCATTCTCTTGAGCCTTTCTATAAAGCAAAAGGTATCCTGTTCTCCATCTTGCTCTCTAACCATACAATTATCCACTTCATGACCCTGAATCTCGAAACCACTCTATTTACGATCATACCGATGCTCCCTCTCATTCTATCTCTCGAAACATCTTGTTCGAAAGTCCTATTCACATCATGTCATCCTCTCATCCATCATCCTCAGCACCAGCAACAGCATCTTCCTCTGCATAACAACTTCTCCAGTAAGCAGCAGACGCATGCATGAAGCTAGCCACATTGACTGAACTCTCCATATAAGAAGGCGTGTGAGGGTCACTTGCAGCAGTGTTGGGAGGCGAGATCAACCATTACTCTCAGGGGGACTAGTGGCAGGCACACTTGGTCAATCATCTTTGAGACCAAAAATTCTTTGTGTGTGCTGGGCCATTCTGCCATCTCTTGTCTGCAGCAAATGCCGTTTGTTGTCATACTTTGCGCGCTATGATAAGCCATCACTTGTATTGTGATACAAACATGTAGGAATTGCCTTGGTACTGGGGGTTGGTGGTAGTCTAGCTTAGACAAGCTAGAGACAATTATATACAGTAATGGTAGGGTAAGTATTACTGATACTCGTACTCACGGTCACGGTGACCGTGGTGGTGGCGGCGGCGTAGTCGTATCTGTCTGGATGTAGTATGTGACTCCATTGTTGGTAGGTGTAGAGCCATCGGCAAAGGTTGTGGTTGGAGCCGAGCTGGAAGTGGTGCTGGTGCTGGGTTCTTGAGCAGCAACTGAGCCGAGGATGGCAGGCAGCGAGACTGCGTAGCGGGCGACCATGGTCGGCGTCAGAGCGATCCCGACTGTAAAGCGTGAGGTGGAGGTTGAGATTAATTGGATGTTCTAGAATGCAAAGACTTCCCATGCGGCACTTATAATCCTTATCGGCCGTCATGGCCAGAGGAGGATTGTCAAAATCTCGGGAGTGTATGAGCTGAGTCGTGGAAGTGGAGATTGCATATCACTTAGGGAGTACTGCTAGTACAGCCTATTGAACGGCTGTAGCGTTTGAAAGAAGAGTCTTCTGTTGGGCTAGTGAATCGTGCGTTGCAGAAGTCATGTACAGTACGCTGGTACAGTATGATTAGAATCTGTTGTCAGCTGAATGTATTAATGAAACCCTGCAGCATTTGTAGGAGCAGGCGTTAAACGTCTAGCTTAGCTTCCCAGCATGGGGCATAACAGTTTTGTTACAGGCGACGGTTGAATTCCACAAAACAGAACACAACACATGATTTCTCTTACCCGAATCCAGGAAAAGCAAACATACGCCAATGGTGAAGACATGTTGACCATGGGTTCAATGGTCAAGAGTCGTTCAGTAAATCTTTGGTGAACAGCTCGTATCGACGTGATAGGATGATGCACATGGCCAAGGAGTCATAATGGCGTTCGCAGATGGTATCAAGACATTTCGATTGAATCTCGTCGTTGGTTGCGACAGCGCAAGACCCAGCACTCGCTCCATCGGTCTGGAATGCGGCGTTCGTGATCTTATCATACCTACGAACACAGACAAGCGGAATTGAAGCAGGATCGACATGGCAGTCCGGCACGAGGAGAGCAGTCTTGCCAGAGCCGCTTTCGTGCCACAGTTGCCGCATGCGGTGATAACCGCTCGATCTTCGCTGCTGGTGGAACTTGGAGTAGAAAGAGAAGCGGGATTTGGTGGAGGCATATATCTTGCCTGTCGTCGTCGATGGTCAGGTAATTCAAATCGGTAAGGAGCGCGATCTTCTTCGCTCTCATGGCATACTGCATTGTTGCCAAAAGGTTGCCCATACGTCGATAGAATGGATCATCGCAGATCATCATGTGCGTAGGACGGTGTGCAAGCTCACTTCGATGTGGTCGGCATGCAGCTTAGTATCTATGAGATTTCTCAGACACACCACTGGCGACTGCAGTATAGACGTTGGCCACATCGTGAACACGAGCGACAAGGCGAACCGTCCTTCGCCTTCTTCTTGCCACAAGCTTCTTGAGGATGCTGGTCGTCGCCTGCAGCCATACACTTCTTTACTGAACCAAGCACCTGTCTGATCGCAACCTTCAAATCTTCCAATGATTGGCGAAAGTCTGGACGAATTCTGCAGCCCAAGCGCATCGTGATGGCGCCGAGCAGGCAAAGATGTCAGTCAGGACATTTTTCCACCATGTCCAGCTCCTCAGGATCGTGCATATTTCTCGTAACAAGCGTCTTCGAGGTGAAGATGGCGTTTGGGATGAGAAGAGACGACTTAGATTGGTGATGTCCGTAGAGAACCGTAGACAAGTTTGAGAAGAAAAAGCCGAAAGTGGTTGTAGGCTGACGCGAAGCTGCAGGAAGCCGCGATCAAGCAACCAATTAAATGAGAGGCAAGACTGAAGCTGTCCGCGTCGAGCGAGTTTTGATTGCTTGTTCATGTGAACCAAAGACCGACGGTGGCTCATTTGTCAAGAAGGAAAACCATCCTTCACGCCTTCATAGTTCCACAAAGAACCACATCATCGCCAAGTTGCTGCCACTTTGTGCGTTGAAGACGAGCAATCGGCAGACTGCTGCTTTCTTTCCTGGGTGGAGACACGACAACGCCACCTTGACCGAGCCAGGTAGGTGCGATGGTCACAATCACCGAGTTGACCAGGCTTGCATTATCTGCCGACAACAGCGAGTTGATGACAATGCCACCTCCCTCAATCATGATACTGTCGATGCCTTTTTCCTTGATTGTCTGCATGATGTCGAGCCAAGCGATTGATGTCTTTCCTTCAGAATTTTGTGCTTGTGGCTCGAGAACAATGTAACATCCTCCAACCTCTTCCAGCAACTTGGCATTTTCTGCGTCCGGCGCCTTTGCGGTCACAATCCATGGCGCTTTACCTCGTCCTTGCCTGGCAAGATTCAAGATTTTGGTTTCAGAGGTCAGCTGCCATCTTCCGTGAGGGTCAATAACAACAGGCCGAGGCTGGCCAGTCAGGCCTTCACCACCATAACCACCGACGCCTTGAATTCTGCAATTCAAACTCGGGTTGTCTGCAATTGCAGTGCCTACACCAACCATGATAGCGTCATGTCTACAGCGAAGGTAGTGGGTCATTGCTTTCGACTGCGGACCTGATAAAGCCGTCTGTACACCAGGAGCCAGAGACAATGCCGAATCCAGAGAAGTTGCGAAGGTGAGTGTAACAAANGGCACGCCTGAGTCTGTTGACAGACGTTTGGCTGCAGGCAGATAGGCTTCTAGGAATAGACGATCGTCCTCAGGATACAGCAGCTCTCCGCGGCTTGCCATGATGTGCGATGTTTACACGTGCCGCGATGGAAAGAGCTTGGGAAGATCGTGCCGTTGCTTTGTTCTCGACAACCTCGGCTGGCCAAAAGTCTTGACCGGAGGATTTTCAAGCTTTCTTGTGACCCTGTCCACCCAAAGCCCACATCTCCAAGACATCCAAGACGTCTGCTCCTACAGTCAACACCACTCTTTGCACTTCGTCCTCAAAGAGGTATCTGAATGGCGTCCTGCAGTGCAACACCGGAGAGTAATCACCACTTGATCTCTACCGTTGATCGCCTATTGTTGTTTTTCCTCTGATCACATGCCTTCATGCATACTAGTTAGTCCGCTCTACTTCCGCCATGTCGTCGATCATTCAAAACTCTGATTCGTCACCATCGAGCCATGGCTCTCATACGCCTACAACTTGAACTCCTGACTCAAGTCATTCGCAGTGAAATTAAAGTGCCTCAGAACAAGACGACACCTCATTCCTAACAAAGATGCCGTTACTTGGCACTCGACACCGCTACATTGGGACAAGCTCTGTTCCGTGGCTACAAGCATTCGTCCGAGACTCTCTCATACTCAGACAACCGATCAGACGAGGCACCACAATAATGACTACACTCGTACCTCGACGGCAAGACCTATGACGATGTCATCATATGCGCATGCCAACTGTCGACTCCTGGGCAATGCTTCCAGGGGTAAACGAACTAGCTTGGCAGCTACACAGAGAAACAGCGCCATATGACAGCACATAAGTATGACCGTTGAATCTGCAGAACTCATTCGGGGTTACATTCCGCACCCTCCTGATCACTGATCATCCCCCATGTCGATCTTCTCCACTGGTCAGTATATCATCTTAGCCTGTGGAATAGCTAGTTCAAAAGCCGCGCTTCTCCTCCTTGTTCACAAAGCTTTCCAACACATTACACCTTCATACAGAAGACAAGATGTTGTCTCTGGCATCTTTATCATTGCTGGTAGCGACAGTCTTAGCCCAATCATCTTTCTCCCCTACGAGACCACCAGCAATACCTCTTGCAGTTTCTAACCCGTATCTCAATACCTGGCAACAAGCTGGTAGTGATGGTGGTAATGGTGGATATGTAAGCAGTATTCAATGGCAAGAATAAGAGACTTACTAAGAAATGATAGNNCTTGCCGGTCAATGGCCGAAGTTCTGGGCGTATGTCAGAAGCATCTTCTAATGACCAAATTACTGACATTTCACAGAGNGCCAGGTGACAGGCTGGACAGGTAGCTCTGTGTCGACAACCTTCCGATAAACCAGATACTAACAGATCTCAGGTCTTATAAAAGTTGATGGAGGTGCTGCAGTAACCTGGATGGGCGCTCCACCAGGACCTGCTGTTGCTACTCAGACCAGCTTTGAGTATACGTCGACAAAATCCGTCTTCACACTATCCGTGGATGGCAAAGTGGGCATGAATGTAACCTTTCTTTCTCCAGTCGAACCTACGGATCTCAGGCGCCAATCTATCCCAGCATCTTACATGAACGTTGAGGTCTTTTCTATCGATGGTTCTGAACACAAGGTCCAGCTATACTCGGACGTGTCCGCTGAATGGGCATCTGGAGATAGATCTGCTGTTGCAGAGTGGGATTTCGGCACTATCAATTCTGCTGCTTCGAAGCGTGATTCAAACACGAGCTACTCAACGATGCAGACAGTGGCAGTTCCAGTATCCTCGGTTGCCTCCTCGAACCTTTCAACCACTGCTGTAATCTCTTCTCAGACTGACGCGACAACCGCATCTGCATCCTCAGCATCCGCAACTGCTACAGGAATGGCGGTCACCAGTGGTATTGCATATCATCGCTTCTACCGGCGGGATCAGCAGCTCTTCACGGAGAACTCAGACCAAGCGAGCTGGGGTAACTGGATTTACGCATGTCAACATGGTGGTTTGACCTACGCGAACGGTGGTGTTGACACAGATGTTCGTGGTGCATTTATCAATAACGGCGCACTCAATAACGAATTGAACACCAATTACAGAGCGATCAGCAACCAATGGCCAGTGTTTGCGTTTGCTCTCGACCTCGGGTCTGTTGGAAGCACTCCGGCATCAGCATTGTTCACATTGACCTTAGCACAAGAACAAGCCATTCAATTCGAGTACGAGAAAGACAAAATCCAGCAACTACCGCCACTTTGGACAAGCTACTTTTCAAACGAACAAGATCTGGTCTCATTCTTTTATAGTGACTGGTCCAATGCTCAGACTACTGCAAATAGCATCGACACAAAGGTTGCTACAGATTCCTTGGCGAACGCAGGACAAGACTATCTTACCATTACCAGTCTCGCTGTTCGTCAGGTCTTCGCCACTACACAGCTTGCTGGCACACAGAATTCTTATCACCTTTTCATGAAGGAGATCAGTAGTAATGGTGATATGCAGACTGTGGATGTCATCTTCCCTGCTTTCCCAATCTTCATCTACTTCAATCCAGATCTTGGCCGTTTACTTCTTGAACCGCTGTTCATCAACCAAGAGACTGGCAACTGGCCTAATGCGTACGCAATTCATGATCTAGGCACTTTCCCTAACGCTACTGGCCACAACGATGGCAATGCTGAAGAACAACCATTGGAGGAGTGTGGCAACATGATCATCATGGCTCTTGCTGTAGCCCAGAAAGTCAGTGGTGGCGCCGACTACTTGAACCAACACTACAACATCCTAAAACAATGGAACGATTACCTCGTCATTGAGTCCCTGATCCCCTCGAACCAGATCTCTACAGATGACTTTGCCGGCTCACTAGCGAACCAGACCAACCTAGCACTCAAGGGCATCATCGGTATCGAAGCCATGGCCATGATTGCAAACCTCACCGGTCACACTGCGGATGCTCAAAACTTTACCAACATTGCCCATAACTATATCACCAAATGGCAGCAGTTGGGAATTGCTCCGGCTACCAATGGATCGCTTGCGCATACCACACTCGCATACGGTATGCCCGAGACCCACGGTCTACTTTATAATCTCTACGCCGATACCTGGGTGAAAACGAATCTCGTGCCTCGTAGCGTGTACAAGATGCAGTCGAACTTCTACCCAACTATCGCAATGCAATACGGCGGTAAGTCTCAATCATCTCTTACTCTCTCTTTATACTGACGTAAACAAANNGTCCCTCTGGATACTCGTCACACCTACACAAAACTTGACTGGGAGATTTTCGTCGCTGCTATTGCCTCTCCCTCTACCAAGAAGCTCTTTATCTCCAAGATTGCTTCGTGGATCGGCAAGACTCCGACCAACAGACCATTTACGGATCTTTATGAGACAGGCAGCGGAGATTATCCTGGTGGTATCAACTTTGCGGCCAGACCGGTACTGGGCGGTGTGTTTGCTCCGCTGTTGGTTGGACAAGGTCCCCTGGGTTGAGTGATAAGTGATATACGACAGGATTTATCCATTCCGTATGTCAGACACGGAGAGATGGCTATCGAGAGTTGGCTCTCTCTGGAAATGTTTTACGCAAATGATTGTGTGTTTCACAGCTACGATTTTTACTGGATTCTACATGCAGAGGAGCAAGGGTTGATGCGTGGAGGAGATACACCAGGCAGGTTGCATATTAGGAGCAGGAATTTCTCAATCGACAATGCATACGTTTCTCACCACAGTCAAGTGTTGCAACCAGCTGCTGTGAAAGTCACGATACTATCCAAAAAGAAACTATAACTAGCTCGAGTGCAAATAAGCTTCTCTCAGCGGTGACCACGGCTTGCAGATGGTGCTTTTCAAATGCAAACAGTTCACAATTCTATCGCCTCCTCGCAAAGCCATCCATATAATCTCCAATCGTTCCCAATTGCAAATGTCTTTTCTTTTCTCGCGTCCAGCTTCCACATCTTCTCCTCTAATTCGCCCCGGCTCCCCATACCATTCCTCCCCTCACTACCGTCACCCGCCATCGGCGTCTCCAAATCTGAGACACCGTTGCCACCAAAAGGCTTGATATTGCTTGTGTGTCCAAAACAAGCACTGTTCTTCAGCTCTCGCACCGTTTTGCTTCCACCCGTCAAATCCGGCAATAATCAGCATGTCACCCCGCGGGGAGCAGCTGAGACCTATGGGGTTCTGGCCCTGAAATGTCAGTCTCGGTATTTGCAATGTACGGCAAACGAAAGGAGGAAGGAAAGAACGATGGAGAAGTCGACACATGTCGATAAAACAGACACCCCGCCGATCCCGACCCAAATCTGGACAAACCATCAACAGATCGTCCGAAAAGTTTCCTGCAGCGGAGATTCGGGAATGCAGGTCCGAAAACTCAAGTAGCAGCGAGATAAGATTTGGAGTGTGATTTCAAGATAAGGGACTCGAAGTACCCAGTATTTTTAAGATCGAGTTTTCGAGAAAAAAAAAAAGGCAAAGGCAGATAGTGCACGCGACCCAGTTGTCAGCTGCTTGCAGTGAACGGAGCATTTTACGGATTGCGTGGCCTGCAAGACACTGGATAGAAAATGCCGTGTGGCGCAACCATCAAAACCTTCGCATCTCAAAGACAATAATAAGAGCAAGAGGTGGAAATTGAGGTATCTAGAGGATTAAGTCTTGTATGTTCATGATGCTTGATGCTATGCAAAGAAGGGAAACAAGATGTAAAACTTGCAAAAAGGATACAAGAATGTTATCTACAGATGTGCGTCGTGTGGTATCGTGTAAAGGCAAAACTAGCGAAGATGCAAAATGCCGTGGATACGAGTCCAAATGCTCTGCGCAAAAGAAGGATCCAAAAACGCCGTCGCTAAAGAAGCGCTGTCATCGTAAAAGACTCGAGAAGAGTCGGTGTGTACAGAGCAGAAAGATGCATGTACAGTTGTGGCATATAACGCCAGATCACGAAGGTGGTAACGGGGCCAGGTTATGAGGATGTGTGATCGGTTGGTTGGGTCGAGGTTGGCCTTGTACAGCAGAAGCGTCGACATTGACTGCTGGTGTGTTTGGTGTAGCCGAGCCGCCGACGGGTCTACCTTTATGTGTGTAGATGACCTTGTTGTTGGGCCTGCCACCACCGGTCGCTCCATTGAGAGTCGTTGGATTGCTACGACACAAGTGTTAGGACACGTTTTAAGATGCCATTTGTTGCTGCCTGTTATTCTTCGGTGAGCCCCTGCCTTGCCTGGCATACGATAGGGGTTTGAGATAACAGAAGAGAGTGTGCGTGTAAACTTACGTGAGAGGAATCCATTCCATCTTTTGCTGGTCAAAGTGGTGATTCTCGAATGTTGTCTTGACCAAGGCCTTGGAGCCGTACTCTTCTGCAAGAAGGTCGGTGTAGGCGTACGGGACCTTGACAGGGGTGTTCTCAAACACACTCTCGCGCAGAGGGAAGATGTCGGTGAAGTTGAAGTGATGCCTGTCTTTGCACATCATGGCTCCCTCGATGCCTAGGGCTTCAGCAGTCGTGTTGCGGTGCAGTGTGGTGATGTCAATAAACAGGCCGTTGCTCATGTCAATCCAGCGAGCGTCAATAACGTTGAGTCTATCAGTCGTGCTGAAGTTTCTCCAATGTGGGTTGATCTCGAGCATGTAGTCGCGGCCTTCGGGGAAGTCGGGCAGCTTGTAGTGGTGAACGGTCATGTTGTAGAAGTCACTCAAGTGCTCCATCGACTTTTCGGTCATCTGAACATCAACATCCGAGTCCCAAGGCATGATCTTCCTGTTCCAGAACCATCCAAGAAGACTTCCGTGCATGATCCAAGTTTCTGCTCCAATATCGTTCATGGTCGAGAGGTATGTTTGCATGAGTGTGGTGAGATTTGAACGACGGTCATCATAGCTCAGGACTCTGTCACCAAATCGACCGTCCATGTGGGGGTGGAATGTTGATTCGTGGAAGTACTTGTCCTTCGGATCGCCACGCTTGCCGCTGTAGTCTTTGGTGAGGCGAGTTCGCACGCTTTCAAAATCTGCATCTCGTTTGCGAGCAATGTCTTGTGTGGGCACCTTCATAGGGCGAGCATCAGATCCAGTGGCCAGTGCCGTTGCGGCCAGGAGAATGTTGAACAGACGCATTGCTGGTCGAATGATTGAGGTGAGTGAGAAATCCAGAAGTTGCAAGAAGATAGGGCACAAAGGATGGTCGGGAAGGCGGGAGAGTCGAAAGTATAAGAAGAAACACCAGGCTGGGAAAGTGGTCGTGTGCCTGAACGTGTTTGGTGGAAACTTGGCCTGCTTGGTGTCGTGTGAGAGAAAGCCGAAGAGGGTGGATGATCGACGAAACCTCCTTGGCCTCCTAGATAATCCTGGTTGTTTGTTGGAGAGACAAGGGTTGGATTACGAATGCACGCAGGAGGAGGGCTTGTCGCGCGTCTAAATACAAGATACCAGGACGACCGCGACGGCCATTAGAACCCAAAAAGTCGCGCAAAAGACATAGAAAAGCCAATACAAGACGTGCCTACAAATCAAAGGCCCAATTGCTGTCGCGGCCGGCCAGCCCTCGAAACCGTTCTGATGTGGCCGCGTAGTCTTGCATCGAATTCTTCACCCATCGGCGTCATCGGAGAGCGACAGCCGCTGGAACCTAGCCAACGGTGCGCGGCGAGCCTGTTTCGGGGGCAGCCCCAGCCGCATGGACGCACTTCCGAACAATCTCCAGCATCCGAACACCGCCTTTCACCCACCCCATTTGCAGGCGGGGAACATTGACCGTGGAGTGTCTGGAGTGCTTTTGCCTCTGCATTTCTGTATTACGATCCTCAGACAAAAGATACTCTAGATATATCCCTTGCGTGAGACGCCAACACAACCCACACGTCTGACCCACAGGTTCAGCCGAGACAAGCATTCGCCAAGGTCAACCAAGCATTGGGCACGCCTTAGCTCTCGTGTGGCGCTCTCGTCGACAGGAAACTTTTACCAGACTGCCACCTGAACGGAAAACTGATAAACTGTTATTGAACGTGGCTTGTCGGGTGAGCTGAACATCGACCTATACAGGGAGAAACATTTCCGAAGCAGCTTATGTTTTGAGACCGTCTGGCTCCGAGAAATGAGGGTTGCGCGGCCTCACGAGCGAGCGAAACGCCCCTCCCTGGGTTCCAACAGTACCACGTTTGAGCTGTTACAGAATCGCTGTGCGAATTCTCGAATCGTTTGCCCCGAGGCTCAACGCCTTCAGAAGGACAGACCAAGCCGAGGAATTCAATTTGCCTTTTGCTAAGCTCATTGATGCCGTTGTGCGTTAACGTGCATACCACGGCCGATCGGGTTCCAGCTCAAATCGATTTCTCCATTCCAGGAAGGAACGAAACAGCTTGCCGGCACTACGACGTGGTCTTGTGAAACTCGACACTGCTCTGCGATTTTCTGACTGTCGTGCTTCAGAATAGCTATTCCATCGAGATGCCAACACCGCCAAGCTGTTTGACGCGCTTGGATTACGTAGGACAAGAAGGGAATCGATCCTTTCACCTTTTGTGGCCCCAACCTGCTTGTTTTCATAACAACTCATGCGACGTCCCTGACCGGAAGAACTCGCTTCCCTCGATCAGGGGACCGAATCCTTCGACACGCGTGCTTATGGAGATGATTGCACAGCCAAGAGATATAAGACAAGCATAGACATGACCCGAAACTTTGGATCACAGCAGCCACTCAGTAAACTTATCACCTCCCCACTGTTCCGAAGCAAGATAGGACAAAGCATAAGATAGCCGAGAAAACTAAGACGAAGAGCGCAGGCGATATTCCAATGGTAGAGACCGGCGCCACTCTCACCAAGACGCCTTGAAATCCGATCATGCTCCGGACAAAGACAACGGACATAGACAGAATCCGACGAGGATACTATTGCTTGATCATCAGACAGACAGTGGGATCTAACTGTGTGCTAGCGATTGTCACAACCCTGTGATCGATTCTCTTCCATGTCAACATATGACAATATTGTAGTCCAGATGCGATCAGACCCGCAAGATACTTTCAGCGTCCACAATTCACGACCCACGAAGAGATGGGATATCATCAAGAGTAAGCAACGCGATATTTCTCGACCATTGCTAGAACAGAAATGCGACACAGATGGAATCCTCAATCGGTGAGTTCGGTTATGGACTGAATGCACGGCGACGATCGCGCGCTTTGCTCGTGATCTACGCAGACCATCTGTGCTCTTCCATTATTCCAATTGGCAGAAAAAGTAAGAGGACCAGGTCGGTGATACTCAGCTCAGCCTCCAACATCTCACTACAAGCCTTGCCTTATGCTATCTTGACAGTGGGTCTACAGCCGCGGAAGGAGAGAGCAGAGACACATTGTGCATCATTGACCTGCCTCTCTTCTTACTTTCTGATTCTTGACACCATGCAGAAATCAGCATTCCAAGAAAGCTTACATTTCCAGCACACAAGGCCGGTTTTGTAGAATCGGAACATTCTTGGTTGTTCTCGGCATCGCATCCATCTTTTGTTTAATACAACGGAGAAAGCATGCTCAAGCAGACGCTCTGGTACCGAATTTGTGCCAGTAATGCAGAATGCAAGCTCAAGTAATAGGCTGTTTCCTTGAACCATACATCTGAACCGATATGATTTGAATACACTCACATAATTGAAACAACATTAGAGATAGAAATTGACCAGGAAAAACAAGATACTATAAACATCCAATATGACAGCGCCATCCCAGTCTATTATATGTATCCACATCAGAAGTCCCAAAAATTACCATCCGGGCAATCATCCTCTTCATACCAGTCCAGATCACCGCTCCAACCTATCTCAACATCATCAGATGTTTGTGGGACAACATACCTACAGCAAACTTGGACGCAGCCTGGACATCGGCAGTTACTAATCTACTCTAGAGCATGGAAAAGACACCGAGAACGAGACGGAACGAAACGAGCCAGGTCGATGAATCTTTTGTCTCCGGTGTATGCTTTTGGTGTCGTGGTCTTCTAGCTCAGAGGCAGGTTGGTGGGAGAGTAGTGGTACAAACTGGGGTTCATCGACCGGTGCGTTTCGTTGTCAGTGTCGTGACTATTAGTTTGTAATTATTGTTTCTATAGAACAGTGGAAACCGTGTACCTGTGCGTAAAGCTCAGGACATAAATTTCGTTATCTGCCATTCGATGCAGGATGTTGCAAACATCGTACGTTGTAACCAATGCAAACGTCCATTGTTGCTAGAGGCCTTAGCGTCTTGCATCGAGCACTGCATGTACGACCATCGGAGCACGGCAGTGGCGTCTATGACCGAACGTAAGGAGACCTTGTCCTCCAGGTCCCTATCGCTTGTGTTGATGATCTTGCATTGATGCAGCGTGTAATCGGCAACCGCTCCTGTGTAACGCCGGACTGAGTGTTGCCCTTGCTGATACCTCGGCATCTTCTGGAAAGTGACGAGAAGAGGAACGCTGAAAGACCCTGCTCCAGGATAGCATGAGAGATAAAATGACTGCACGGACACATGATAGGATTGAGACTTAGCTCATACCCAAAGAGAGCAAGCAAGTGAGAGCGGAAGAGGGTGGCAAGGGGACAAAGAACAATGCTTGTATGATTGATGTAGCGACTCTATCCATAACTACGTGAGGCGGTCGAGCGTGAAGTCTGCATGTGCGAACATTTGCTCGACTGAGATTTGAATGTACGCGGTCGGCATGATCGGAGACACGATTGGTATTCGACATTGGAAGGGCTGCAGTCCGTATTGTCGGATATGACAACTGCAATGATGGGACTACATGGCAATGAGTGTTGCCGTATGAAGGCAACAAGTGGCCTCTTGGGAACCTGGAGTAGCGGAGATGCTTCCAGGAAAGCCCGCTGACTGGATCGTCCGTGGTCTTAGTCAGATGTGTGACACCCGATCTTGAGGGTGGTTGAGGCCAGCCAGTCAAGGCTGGCAGATGCTGATATGCTGAGAAGAGTCAAGAGCTCATGAGCCTTTGAGAGCCATGACACCAAGAACGGATGTCTCGAGCTCTTTGATCTCGACTTCTTTCGAGACCGTGCCATTAGCGGCGCCCTTCTTGGTCTGAACATTGAGCTTGTAGATCTTACGGAGTCGTGCCTGATCAGCGAGCTCTGAAAATTCAGCGTCCGAGACACCTACTTGCTCGCCCTCAATGTTTTGTTGGAGGTGTTGGCTGACAGACTCTGCCGTAACGTCCGAGGATAGAACTTTGATGGCCAGAACATGTTGAGTTGTATCGGAGATACCAAAGCGGCGGAATGATTCAGCAATCNNTGAGATAATTTCAGCTTACAGAAGCGTTTTGGGAAATGAACCGCGACTCACGTTGTTGTTTGGTGAGAAAGAAAAGACGATTTCGGAATGAACATTGTGACTCTTCATGCGATTGCTTGCAAAATCGTTGATGCCTCTGAAGGAAGCGGCGAGAAACTGCATGCGAGAGACGACNCTTCTCGAATTAGGAATAGTCTTAAGGTGGAGAGAAGAGCAACATACAACAGAAGCATCAAGGAAGGCATATTCAAAGTCGGCGTTGCCAGCCAGAAGCTGCTGGCGGAGGAAAGAAGCATTCTTCACATTTTTGAACAGCCCAACGCACAGAGGATACTGCGGAAGGTGCGGAAGAGCGATAGTCTCAAGAGTAGACATTCTGATGAAAATGAAAGGCGTGTTTGCTATTTGGCTGGGCAGTGGTGGGTCGTGGTAGAGGAAAGAGTGATGAAGGGAAATGGTCCGTGCGCATCACGTGCAAGAATCGGCTTGCTGGCGCTCTTGGATAGCGAAGTTGGTAGAGAGAAAATTCATGTCATCCTCGGGAGGCGATCTCATCGTAATACAGGCTCGCATTATCACACCGCCATTGCAACACGCATTTTCCCGGACGTTGCAAGACTCTTTTGCTCGGGTCCTTGTGTTTGATAAGTTCACGCAGCTTCAGCTTTTCCTATCGACGGCTTGTACCGCGTCCTTCTTGCTCACGGCGAATACCGTCTTGAGTGAGGCATGAGCAGCAAACGCGCGAGCGAGGGCAGCCCAGATGGCACGCCAGCCAAGCTCACCAAGTCTGAGAATGGAGACTTCTCGCGCTCTGTCAGGAAGAAGTTGACGACGACGTCGAGAACTGGTCAGGCCTGCGACCGCTGCAAGGTGAGACTCGACCATCGACATCACCGTCGTCCTGTCATGGGTCACTGACAGTGCATGCAGGTCAGAAAGATACGATGTGACGCTCGTCCAGGAGGATGCTCACCATGCATCGCCAACAACCTCGAATGCAAGACGACGGACCGTATCACTGGACGCGCCACCTCGAGAGGCCACACCGAGCACATTGAGGGGGAGAACATGGCATTGAAGCAGCACATCAACGACTTGCGCCAGCAGTTGATCGACTCTGGACTCGACCCTCGTCCTGCTCCAATAATGCCCCTGGGCTTTGTCGGCAGTGGTGGCCAGCCTGCCTATGCCTGGCCTCAACAGATGTTCGACCTCTCGTCAATCCTCGGAGCAGAAACTCATCTCGACCCGGCCAAGTCTCGCGCTCGTACGTCCGCCCTGCCCGACTACCGCAACAACTCCCTCGGCGACAACTACCTCGGTATCTCTGGTGCCAATGAATGGCTGTCGCCCATCAAGGGCACGTCGGTTGCTCTCTTCGGCATGGAGCTGGACCTTGTCGACTTTGTTACCAATGACAATGACGAAGCCTTTTCGCCTACATCATACGAAAACTTCCTCAGCATCGCCTTCAAGTCGTCGCAAGAACGTCCGCCTCCACCTTCGTTCCCTTCGTACCGCGAATGCAAGGCCCTATGCGAGTGGTACTTCATCTCGGTCAACTGCCATGCGCCAATCGTCCACAAGCCCGACGTCTTGGACATGGTCGATCGCCTCAACTCGGACGAGGTCTACCAGCCAGATATTAGTGAGACTGTCCAGCTGCACATGATCATCGCCATGATGTTGTTCCAGTCCTCAGTCAGAAACAGCCGTCCGACTCAATGGGCCGACCACTACCGTTACGCTGCCAGTTTCCTTCCTGACCTCATGGCCAAGCGTACACTGCCAAACATTCAGGCTATTGCTTTGATCTGTCTGCATCTGAGAAACTTCACCAAGCCCGGAGCTGCCTGGTTCATGTCAACCCTGACACTCAACCTCTGTGCAGAGATGGGTCTCCACAGATCGGTCAGCGCTTGGGGCAAGTCTAGCCCGGAATTCAGCGAACATGAGATTGAGATGCGCAAGCGAGTCTTCTGGAGTGTTCTGGTCATCCACACTTCCATCAGCAATAAGCTTGGTCGACCATTGGCCATGCGCCTTGAAGACTTCGATGTCGAATTTCCCATGGCTCTTGATGACAACACTGGCAATGAGGCGACTTGTATCGACGAATGGCACAAGTGCTCGTACCGTGTCGCGTGTCACAACTTCAAGTGGGTCTTGCTTGTCATCCAGGTTCAAACCTCGATTTACTCAGTCCGCGCTCCACCTCACTCATATGAGCTCACCATCCAGAAGCTCGAGCGTGATCTTGACTATTTCTTGAAGAGCATCCCCATTGAGCTTTCTGGTGGCCCCGAGACTGCTCAGGACGACAGAGCCTGTTCACTATACCTGCAATTCGGCGCTCAAGAGCTGAACTTGCTCGTTCATCACCCTGCCGTTTGTCGCACTCAGAACACGGACGTCAACAACAAGAACTTGGATGTTTGCCTGGACGCCAGCGCCAAGTTGCTGCACATTGCGCAAAGTATGCGTGCCTTGAGAGCTCTTGACACTACTTGGCTCAATGCTACTGTCTGGCTCTCTGCCATGTTTGTCACTCTCTTTGCCTACAACCAGCGCAAGGACCACATCACATCCACTGATCTTAGCGCTCTCAAAGATACCATGGAGCAGTGGTTGAGCATCATTGGCGACATCGGTCAGCTGATGGGCAGTGGCGCTAAGCTGCAAAACGCCGTTCGTCACATTGTCAACGCTTCGATTGACAACATTCATCGTCACCTTGCTGCCAAGACTGCAAGCGCTGCTGTTGCTTCGGCCAACATTGCCCACTCCTCGCCCGCTCTCGCCGATGGCCAACAAGACGGTGTCAATGGCTACAACGCTCCCTCTGGTTATGCTCCTGCATATGTTCCCGCTGACCCCAATGGTGCTCCTCCCACCGATACCACTGCTGGTGCTTCATACCTTGGCCCCGATGAGAATGGTTTGCAGGCCCAACAGCCTTACCAGACCAACGGCTTCGCATATCCTGACCCATCAGGCGCATCAGCACCCGCTTACCCTGCATTCGTCGACAGCAGCGCTTACACCAACGGAGACGACATCAAGTCCGATCTCACTGCTCAACTCGCCGCTCACAATGCTGGCCACGCCCTGCACCAAACCAATCATACGCATAACCAGAACCTGCCGCAACAAATGGCCNCCCACGATCAGACGGCACAAAACCTCTTCCAAGCATTCACCTCTCCATCGCCGAATAATAGCTACGCTTCTCCGAATACCCCTGCAACAACCGCACCGGCAATGACACCTCAACAACAACCTCAACAAATGATGATGGGACCTGTCGCTTGGCGTCACTTTACCCATGATATGCTCGGTATCATGGGCACGGGTTACCCTGGCTTTGACGTCCAGAATGCCAATGCATTGTTGGCACTGGGCCAGAAGCCTCCTGGTGTGGATGCTAGCAGCGTCATGCCTGTCGGAGATGGACCACTGCCTTTGATAGGAGATGGGCTTTGGCCGTTGACGACGTATGGACCTGTGAGCAGCTCTGCCGGTTACTGACAATGATAGTAGACGAGCGCTTTTGCTCGTCGCTAGTCCGACGATCGTTCACTGGTGCTTCACGCAGATTGTGGATCGTGCCCAATGGAGGGCGGAGACTGGTGTTGGTGGCGAGCTTGCTTGGTACGGTGATGGCGTTCATGGGTGATACGAGGGAGGTCCAAAGGATCGTTGCTTTCTTGCTTTGCTAGTTGCTGGTTTCTCATAGTCGATCGTGCTTTTTTTTTTGTTCTGCGAGTTGCTTTTCTATCCCGGCATGACATGACAATCGAAATGCATATTCTCGCTCTTCCATCTTCTGACTTGCTCTTTATACACGCATCACTATGCTGATTTGTACACAACGCTTGTATGTCCAAGAGACCCTCGTGCCTGTTGACCTTCGAAGTGATGACCTAAAGCCCTCGAGGCGATTCCGGTCTTGTGCCGATATAAAAACGACTAGTCGCATCAGACTGGAAGCTCTCCTACAGACACCAGGGAAATTGCCTTCCTCATCACCAAGCAAGGAAAGAAGGACATGCTCGTGCTAGATCTAATCCACTCTCAAGAGATTAATAGAGGCAGGCAAGAGGGATGGAAGAGGCAGGGAGGCAGGTCTGTGATACTGCAGTGATGGACCACGATCTCCGGAAATGAGTGATTTGAGGTAACTAACGGTTAAAATCCGACAAGGTGTGGAAAGGAGAGATGAAGATGAGAGAAGTGGTGATAGAAAGGGTGTCATGGAGCTGGTCACTTCTGTTGTCTCTCAGTCATTCCTGCTTCTTGAAGTGGAGCCCTAGTCGGTATGGTTGACAACTTTTAGATGGACTCACGTCCTCTGCACCGTCGAGATCACTGGTGACATGATATACATTTGTTCGAAACGACATGTGTTAGCGACGGAGGCGATATCCAAATTGAACAGGTAGTATTTCATATCTGCTGATTGCACTAAATTCGATGTGATGTGCATGGTGTATGATGTTCCTAGCATAATTTCGAACAGAGAACGCTACATCTGTGTCTTTTGCTACATGCGCCAATGATTACCCAGAGTGGTCGGTCATCGTATATGTGGTCGTGGCTATCATGAAACTGCCCACTGCCTGGTAGCAATTGATCCCAATCAACGGATGCATTGAGCTGGGGCATCCCGTCCTTCTCCGCTAGCAAGAAGCGAAAGATATGGTGTTGGGTAACCGGGACAACTTGCTCTCTCGGGTCTCACAAGCAGAGAGAAGGAGAGAACCAGGTCTACGATACTCCTAGAACAGAACGGTTTTCTTGAGACAGTGCCTGTCAGTGTTCGAACACGAGAACATAATGAGATAGGAGATATACAAAGAGAAAGTGGTATCATGGATCTGGTGACTTTTGGTATCCTTTTGCTGGAGATAACAGGAGCATTCATACAAAAGCCCGGTGAATCATTGCCTGATCACGTACCAAGGCAGATAGAAAGACATGATGGTTTGATTTCCAGTAAAACAAATGGCGAGGTCGGATAATGTTAAGTGGAGTCGAGAGACCAAAGGGTTTGATATTCTATGTCATCGGTGTTACCTTGAGAGCTGTGATCATTAGTGACTTGTTTCATCGTCGGAATCTTTACGACTCTATCAATATAGGATGCCTGCCAGTGAGATCAGAAGAACGACGTGATTCAACTTAGACGAAGTTGACTCAGGACCAATGCACTGACTTCAGCATTTCAGTCTTGTAAATTCATGATACTACTGTTGATTTATGTTTGATCAATTTCTAATGTCCACATACCATTAACCAACAGATCATCGCCTCGGAACTGTGAGTGCGAACAGGCCGAGATTGCCTATTTGCGCTCGATCAGCATTCCAAAACTGCAAGATGTGAGGATGAAAGGAGACACGGATCCGTGGAATTGCAGCGGTAGCCACATCAAAGTAGAAGGTGTGAAGTTTGATCGAAAGATATCCAGACTTTTTGTAGCAGGAATAGATCTTTCTCTCTCTACAATTTACGTAGAAACTGTAGCTATACTAATGCACAATATGATTAAGAAACACGATGGTATCCGATGAGAGAGGCGTCTCATACAAAATTCAAGCAAGGGACTTTCCATACTTTCTAGTATGAATAACTTCGCATTTTTCTTTGCTACCCATTTTTCCTTTTACTAACTATGGCTCCTAACCTCAGAGATCAGATAGATCACCATCCTGCTGGAATTATGCTCTATGCTTTGCAAGACTATTATGTACGTAGCTATATAGTACCCACTCCACCAACGTCGACGAAACGAACTAGGTCGACGTCGCAACTTTCTACTATCTATCTCCGCACTCATAAGGATGTCACATCGTTACTGTACGTCAAGCATTATATAGAGCAACCTCGACAAGTAGGGAGAGTGTATAAGAAAGACTATGATATCGACCCCGAGACTTCGTCGCACTTCGTCGGCGAGGCGGCAAAGTAATACATAGAGATTAGAGATCTTGATGTGTTGCACACCCACGCAGTATCACATGCTTCAGAGCTTCCAGATAATAAAAATGAATTTGACAGTGTATAGGAAGAGAAGAGAACTATAGAGGAACGAAGTAGGTTTATATATGAGTGTAGGATGTCCCTTGCTTTTGCGATTTGATCTATGGAATTGAAGATCTATGTAGATCGATTGTGGTATGAGCTGAATTACATGACTGTAATGGTTACTCAAAAAGGAATGGCTGTGTGTTTGTTAGCAGGTTGCACTAAAGTTGATTTCTGGAAATTAGTCTAGTTTTGAGATTTTCGTGGGCTACATGGCATTCGAAATGACAAGGCAAGGTAAACAGCAGTGTCATGCAACATATAAAATTGTGGAGCAGAACTACCTTTCCTCTCTACTGAGCTCCGACAGAAAAGGAAAACACCAACAAATCTGGCAGAGCGTCGTTCCTTAAGCAAGACCTCTAATGAGATTAGAAGGTTTCAGTCAAACGCTGTATTTGCTACATCATTTGTTCTAGTACGATCAGTAGAGCCGGATGCCTGAATAACTCGTCCAGAGCTTGGACAGTTTAGCAGATGATAAGTGCTATACTCCGAGCGTTCGCATAACGACATCTTGATAGGGGCGGAATGAAACGACGAGGTCTGTGATACTGCACTAGGGGACGGAATTCTCGACGAGAATGGGAAGGACAGTGCAAGACTGTCGTCAAGGGTGAAGAAGGCTAGACTAAAAAGGAATCTCGCAGACCTGGTCATTCGTGGTCCTTCCATCTATGCAAATCATCTCGAACCGACTTCTGATCGTTGAGAGCTTGTGACGTTCGCGTAGTGGCGGAGAGACAAGGTTGATTTCTTACAAACAGGCAACGTCTGATGATAATCGAGTTGTGTTCCAGACTCGGATTGTAGTGTTGGTTGGAAGCCTGTGTACGTTGATGGTGTTGAATTTCTGGAATGCGATGCGATCAGAACTGTCAGAAACTTCTATGACCTCCAAAGGTAGTACTTATCTGCCAGAAGATGATCTTAACCGACAATCGTTACCAATGTTTGAAACTATGATGTATTGAAATGTCCAAGATATACAGATCTGACTGGCCAGGTCAACACCTCATTTATGTGCTTTGATGGAAATGCCACCACTGAAGTCATGATGCTGGAGGGCATGTTCACAGACCTCTCTAACACAATTCTCAACACGTCACACGCGAGTGAATTTCAGTCTCTATCTTTTGTCAAACCTGCAAACAAACGAGGAGAAGGGGGAAGATCCGTGTTCACGCAGAAGCAGGCCATGTTTCGAATCTATGGGATACAGACCGCTCAGAAACAGAATAGCAGACAGCCCAGGTGATCAAGATATACGGCTTGCTTCCAGGATCTAGATCGAGAGAGTCATGAGAAGGCATTTGTGCCCTGTGGCCATTACTAGTGCGCTGTGTGTTCAGCGTGGAGTCGAAAACTGCTTTCTTTGACCAAAAATGTGAAGAGTGAAGATACGATGAGGTCTGTGATACCAGATCAAAGATTATTGTTTGAAGAAGGCACATTCGGGGGTCAGAAAATGGTTCAAAAGATCTGGAAGAAAAAGAAAGCAAACAGGCGATGCGCCTCAAAGAGGGAGTACATCGACGTGATCGTTCATAATGACTGCCAGCGTTACCATATAAGACGTTTTACGTAACATTGACGAGGGCAAGCTCGACTCTTGTAGGCACCGAAAGTACTTTCCGTGGAGGTTGTCGGAGGCGCTGTCACGATCGTGGCCAAAGCACAAGGAAGAATCAGGAAGGTAGGCCGTGATTATGACGATTGCTGGTCGAAAACATCTAGGTACACGAAGAACATATGAACAAAAGCGAGAATTAGAACGTTTGATTTGTCGCAAAGTGAGAGAGGGGTCTGATGGTTGGCGCGATCGAGAAAACATATGAACAGACACCGCGGTGTAGACAAATCGTTATCCGGAAGAAAAGATAAGCACGATACCTTTAGTGTTGATCACGCAACTCATCTGGATGAACTTCGACTTCATCTTGAGTGGAGAGAGTGAGAAAGTCACCATCATATAGCCGTTAGCCATCCATTGTATTCCGTCGATTTTATTGCCTTTGCATGTCTCGTACTGGCAACCGAATTTCATTCGCAGTACGTGTTGCACGCCAGGCAAGTATCATGTTATCATTTTGACACTATAGAAGAAGGAGCGAGTTGCGGGTGACCATCGGCGGAAAATCTCACGTCTGTGTGAGTTTATGGGTCATGATGATACTAGTACCTCCATGAGTTACGTTTCTACTTTTTCCTACGAGATACCACTAATGTTACCTACGTACTGCTAAAAATCCCCTAAGGAATTTTGCTTCCAGATAGTCCCAAAATTAGCTTACCATCTTCCTTATCATACAAAAAAAGACGATCCAACATTCCTTGCTCATATTGGAGTTATGTAAAGCCTGTGGCATTAAAAGCAAGCGGGTTTCTAATCCTTAAATAACACAACTTTTCTGTGTTTGCATATTTTTCTCTATTATCATCAAATTTGTTAGACTTCGCTATAACAATCAGTAAGATGTAATGAGGATGCTTTAGATTATTTGCGTACTTCTTATAAAGGGATTACAATTTTGTACGAATGCTCCCTTGCATCTACTACAATTGGGGTCAATCTGCATTGCCTTGCAACATGATATTCATTGATAGGTGCTATTCTCCGGAATGGAATCAGAAAAAACAATTTTACAATGATACACGAAGCATCTTCTTCAGATCAAGGAATGCACATTCCGAAATGCTGATCTATTTGTTACCCCGACAGTACTAGGCAGAAGAGGTCTTTCGTTATACCTACCATCTATTGTCCAAGTCGACTTCTGGATCTCACCGCAGTTCCATCAAGACTCACAAGTCTGGAAAGCACGGTATCAAGACGAAGACTGAGACAGCCATTGTCGTACAGAAGATTGCTCTGCCACCGACCAGAGCAAGAGTAGCAGGTCTGTGTCGCAGCGAACTTCATATGTTCTTTGACGAGTAGAAGGGTCAACAAGTGAAACGTTCTGCACTGCGTACAGGACTATTATTAGTTTTCGCCGGAGAAGTGAGAGATGCCTGTCAATTTCAGCTCATAGATTAGGCAACCTGTGACTGACGCTGCCAAAGAGTCGCGAGCTTTGCAGATGATCAGTGTGCAAAACAGCAAAGCAGGGTATGGGGTCAGTGACTCCAACGTCACTGAGTGCTCTCTCCCAGGAAGGGAATTCGAAAGCTGGTGCCAGCAACAAGAGACCAATCGAGATGATAGAGTGGCAGAGACCAGCGTTTAACCATCAGATTCACGGACCTGATCACCTTGGTGCAGAGTCCTTGCATGCCGTGTGAACCAATCCAGCTTTTCAAAGACTTCGTATGCGATGTGACCTTCGGACAGTCTCTCGGGTCTGTTTCGGTATACTGTTGGGTGAAAGCACAGGGTGATAGTTTTCCATAGTGTGCACGCTAGACAACTGACTTTTGATGTAATTGGTGATTGAGGACCAATAAAACGAGGAAAGTAGTAAAACAGGTGTAAAATCATGGAGGAAACAAAACAGGGGTATATTATGAAGCTGTAATGAAATCGAAATTGAGATGAAGAGAAGAGAGAGGGATGAGACAGGAAAGGCAAAACAACAAGCAAAACCCATCGGATTATGACTCGGAGGTCAAGAAGTTGCCAACAACCTCAATAAAGGCATCCGTCTCTTCCAAGTGAGGACAGTGACTGCTCTCAGGGAAACGAACCCATTTGACTTTGCCAGGAATCTCTCGGAAGAATGGCTCCATGGTGATATCTTGAGCTTCGTCGTAGTTGCCATTGATCAGTAATGTTGGAACGTTAATCTTATGAAGTTCGGATGTTATGTCCCAGCCCTTGAGCGAACCGATGACGTTGAATTCGGAAGGTCCGTTNCCTGCATGTTGTCAGCAGAGGTTTTGACAGAACAGAGAACAGCAGACCCACATTGTCATATACACGGTATCATCATCCTTGACTTGAGCCAAGGTTTGCATGAGATCGTCTGGGAAAGGCACGACACGGCAGACATGTTTCTCGTAGAAACTCATCATTGCAGTCTCGTACTCTTCCGTGTCCGTCGAGCCTTGTTCCTCACATCGCGTCAAAGTCTCCTGAATTTCCTTGGGCAACTCCTTTCGTAGCTGATCCGCGACCTCGACCCAAGTAGTCAAGCTTGCTGGAGAGTTGGCGATGATCAGACGATACAAGCCAGCCGGTCGTTTCGTAGCATACAATGCTCCAAGCATACCTCCCCAACTCTGTCCGAAGAGGTCAAATTTCTTGATGCCCAGATGGGATAGCAGATTTTCCAGTTCGGCGATGAAAAGGTCGGAGGTCCAGAAGCCAGTGTCTCCTTTCTTCTGGCGCAAATGTGTTGAGTTTCCACAACCAATCTGGTCGTAAAGAACGACTGGTCGTGAGAAAGGTGCTGAGGATAGATGAGCGCAGGGGAGGATATAGTTGTGAGCCATGCCAGGCCCGCCATGTAGACAAATCAAAGGAGTGACATTCTCAGAAAGCTCTCCGTACAGAGCATACCATGTCTCGGCTTCAATATCAGTTGCTGGAACCTTGAAAGCGACCTTCTCGGTCTTTGAAGGTGCGGGCAGAGTTTTGGACGTCCGCGCAGCGGTACCGGCAGATGGATTCATGGTCTTAGACGGGTGTGTTTGGGAGTGCGAAGGTATACTAGAGGATAGAAGAAGGCGCCAAGCTGGCTTTATAGAAAGGGGAATCGATTCGAGTCAGGCTTGTCGCAGTAGGTATAGCTCATTGCAACAGCCTTTCAGTAGGCAGCGATCAGCACTTGGACGGAAGTAGAAGGTAAGAAACGGCAACTGTCGTCAGCGGACGAGCCGTTTGGTGAGTTGAAGGGCAACATGGTGTTTGTACACGACCGATGTCGGAGATAGAAGAGTTGGTTTATAGGTTGAGTTTCGTAGTCATAGGTGTTTTGGGTGAGTATGAGCTGCCTGCCTATTCGGGACAGCGCGGGCTTGGCGAGCAGTCGGAAGCAGCTCGATTTTGCGACCTCCCTCGTTCCGCTCCAGCAACGCTCTTTCCCTCCAATCCCATCACACAAGCGCAATCCGTTCGACAGTCCATCACACACGAGCCGCGTGCTATTCCCGGTGCCTGCCTCTGGTAAGTTTTCCTACAAGCTCACCTTCCTCCACAAGCACAACATGATGAGATTAAATTCATTGGAGCTGTCCTATCTCTCCGGAGACTGAGGAGACAACTTATTACCTTATACGCAAACATCTGAAACAACCCCTCCTTCACTCTATCCCAATCACGCGTCGACGCAATCAAGGAGATCGAACTAACGCGTAGCAGCACTCTATTTGCCTTGACGACATCGACTCGACCTTCCCGAAGAGTCTGCGCACGCGTCCCAGTTACAGCTCTGAGCCTGCCTGACCTGCGCCTATCTGACATTCCTACCTCCTCCTTCCTTTTGCATACCACATCATCCAGCCATGTCTGCCGACCCTAGGAGGCGACCAGCGCCTGCACAATCTGCTCCCCGCCGCCACCTCCACCTCCCCCACCAGCAGAGGCCCAGCCAGACTCATCTGTCCAAAGCTTGGATGGCGCAAGTGATCAAACTCCAACACAACAGGCGAAAGCCGAGGATAGCTTCAAGCTGCGCTTCTGCACTGTATGCGCCAGTAACAACAACAGGTATGTTTCGCCAAGTGATGCCGTATACCGTGTCTCTGTTCAATCCCATGTCCTGCAAGACAACGTGTCCCGTCGCTTGCTCTGCTTCCACCTTGCGCTCTGCATAAACGTATATACTCGCCGAAATACAAAGCCTCTGCTTGTCCACCGTCTCTCCTGCCTCGTCGCCGTCATGTCACTGTTTCCTTTGCACCAACCACCGTACTAATACGGTGATGCANGATCTATGGAAGCACACCTGCGCCTCGCCGGCAGTGCCCAACAGTATCCCACCATCTCCTTCGGCACTGGCTCGTTAGTCCGCCTGCCTGGTCCTTCCATCACCCAACCCAACATCTATAATTTCAACAACACTTCATACGACAGCATGTACCGCGAACTCGAAGGCAAAGACGCTCGCCTGTACCGCGCAAATGGCATCTTGCCTATGCTCGACCGCAACAGAAACATCAAATGGGGTCCCGAGCGTTGGCAAGATTGGAGAATCGGATACCCGCGTGTGGGCAAGAGATATGCCAACGCACCTATTCCTGGTGATCCTGTCTACACCAACGACATGGGCGCTCAAGGTACCGAGTCAGGAACGGTAGATATCGTCATAACTTGCGAAGACCGCTGCTGGGAAGCTGTCGTCGATGACTTGCTGTCAAGAGGAAGTCCACTCAACCGCCCTGTTCATGTCTTCAACGTCGATATTAAAGATAACCACGAAGAAGCACTGGTCGGAGGAAGAGCCATTCTTGAACTCGCTGATGAGTTGAATGCTGCTGCCCAGGATGAGAGAAAGATCCATGCCGAGAAGACAGGCAGTACTGAGGGCTTTGACACTGCTACCGGAGGCTCAAGAGATGGCTTTGATGCTAGGGTGCCCATCATCCTCGGAGACTGGCAGGAGAGATGGCCTCATCTTCCTGCTCTGTGGACTCTGGCTTGGTTCTAGGTTGATCACATCACATCATGCATACCACTAACAACTAACATCGATACGACCGAATGCTAAGATAGCTTTATACCCGAATCAATTATACACACCAATGTTTCTGCCAAACGATCGATTGCACCATTCGTTCTTCTCTAGAGCTAGCATCTCCTTGGCAGTGAATTCAAGTCACCATGACCAGCTATTGCTTTGTTATAGAAGTTGTCATTGCCAAGCACCCACATCTTGAATTTCTGAAATAAACAACGCGTCGTTCGTAGAATCGTCCTGTTTTTTTGTAGGTACCAAATATGATAAACCTAAACGACTACGAACGATGACCGGTGGGCAAAATTCCTGCCGTGACGACGATCTTCAAGACCAACACTACCACAGAGCTGCAAGAGTTGTTGCAAATGCAGCAACGGCTCCCCCACCACCACCAAGGGTAGCAGCGGCAGGTTTATGAAGTAGGCATATCCAATCTTCTCTCCTTTTGGAAAGGAAAGCTTGTTAGATCGACCTACAATGCTTCTCTATTACGGAAACAGAAGTGTTCAAGCAGATTCACTGAACTGCGTGCTCAGTTCCTCCTACGAGCAAAGGCGATTGATCAAATCCGGGCTTCTGCTCAGAAGAACATCACTCTCCTGGATTGCACTGATTGTCCACAAAACCTCGAGTTGATGCGAACGCGCACTGAAACCACGAAGAGTATGTGTGGTATCTGTTGTCTAGTTGCAGGAAACCAAACTTTTGTTGCTTGTATATGGTGTATCCTACATCGCCGAGGAACGTGCTATCAATCTCCTGTCCCTCTTTCTCAAGATCGATACTTTTCACAAGACGCATACAGACCATCGAGGTCATCTGCCAACATTCCCTGTGTATCAGACTTCGAAACCTGGAACAACATATATAAGTTAGCTGGCTTACTGCTTGAGACCACAACAGCAGTAACAGTAACAGCAGTAACAACAACAATGCACACAACGGATTTCTGCCAAGGGTGCATGCCTAATAGCTATGACCAAGTTCTTAAAGCTTACAGAGACAGCAACAAACACGAGGAGGTCTGTGATGTCTAAATTGGATGCTTGAACTTCCGTAAAGCAGAGTAGTGTTAGTTAGGGGCCTGGCTAGGGATAGTTTGAAACGAGTGGTATCATGGATCTGATGTCTCTACCTCCATGAGGTATGCAGTTGACCGATGCGATGCATAGACCTGCGCGTGGGAGTCGTGAACAGACTGCTGCTCAGGGAACAGGATAAAGTCGGTAGTGAATTCCATCTTGATTGTGTGTGTGTGTGTGTGTGTGTGTGTGTGTGTGTGTGTGGAACGCACTAGGTCGACAACGCCTTATGTTTCAAACTTATCCCGCGTTGTTAAACCTATCTTGTTAAAGTTAATGTAAGGCAACGAAGATAGATCGGTGTATACGGAGGATGGAAATTAAAGTCGGAGTCATCGACCTTATTCGCGACCTTCTTTCGCAGTAAATCCGTATACCATTTTTGAAAAAAGGAATGGAAATGTTATATACCGAAGACTCATAAATAGTATTTCCTGTTTTCCGTAATTCGAGGTAGTAGTCAGGGTCGGCTTTTGATAGTTAGAAGTGTTGGTATGGAATATTATATACTACGGTATAATGGGCTAAATCTGTATTAACACATTCCGTTTCTATAATGCATATTTCTGGTTATCTGGTACACATGATTGATTATGCTGCTTAACGATCCGGATTAATTATACTTATCAGAGCCGGTACGCTTCTATAGAATATGCAAGCATCAGTGTTGTATATGGCCTATACCGACAAATGGCCAATATACTGCAAAACAATTCTATCACAACTGCGAGTCTACCTGCAAACTTGGATGAGGGTCAAAATTGGATTAGTGGATGAATTCTCTACTGTCATGCAGACAAAATTGGAAAACCACCGCGTGACAGCATTAATTCGCTATAAGAGTTGGAGCAGACGTTGAACAGGAAGATATCCTTCTTTGACGCTCTATGGAATATTCAATGGAGACCTCATTGGTAAAATTCATGGCGATTCTGCTCAACTGTAGACAGGGAGATTCGTGCTCAGAGCGGGATCTGAACAAGAGTTGTTGGAAAGCAAAGTAGAATCAAAAGGGCCTGTGATACAGACCATCCGATCTGCTCTCCCCATACTAGATCAGAGGTATCTTGCGTATGCAGCAATACTCAGATTTGGAGAAGTGAGTCCAAATCTTGAGATTCAGTGACCTGTGTCTCCAGTCTCCTGAGCAACTCCTATAAACAGGTGCGCTTGACAGAGCTCCTGCTTCTATCGCTTACAAAGTGTTCGCTTGGCTTGAGCTCTAGGGATGGAAGGAGCTGCTGGTAGACAGTCTGGTGAGATTCAACACTTCTCCGAGAAGCCACATTCAAGCACGAATCTACCTTTGGCAAACATTGCGTTAAGCTGCAGTTCTTCGTCATGATACACGGCAAGATTGGTTCTCCTCTCCTTGCAACCTGTTTTCTGTAAATGTTCTCATCGATGGACGTATGTAGGGAATGGGACCGCGTATGATTATGTCGACACTGAATCTAGCTCGACTCATATCAGTCATGTCAACGCACCGCCGACCCCCAGCTAACAAACACACACCATTCATCGGCCATGCAATTGCTTGGTTAATCCGTTTCTTTCCTCGGCCGCTCTCACTAATTCTCACCTTGATATAACAGAGACGCAGGTCCGTGATACATCATCAGGTCTGGGACCTTTCGCATTCGCGCTTGTACTTAAGGAAGTTCTTTGAGATGGGCAGAATTCAAGTGGGACAAGAGATAGGCTACCAGTAGTGTCATAGCCCTACTTCTTCAATAGGATACATAAGGTGTTCAGGTTGGCTGATGACCCTACACCTTGTGAGGGGCTCGAGAAAAGAAGTAACAAGTGCGGGTGTTGGTCGAACAGTTCAGCCTACTGTAATCCCAGAGGCAAAAAGACATGGGCCAGATGGATACAGGTTGTCTTGACTTCACCTCCATAGTGCTGGACAAACCAAAAGAAGCATTCTTAGAACCATGATATTTTCTAAAGTTCTTACCAAGGCTTTAGTAAGCTGCTCTACTTGGGAGATGGTGGGATGTAGGAATCTAACGCGCCCATCCAGTTCCAGGGCAAGGGATTTCTGCTGTGCAAAGCGATCGAACTACGTATTTCCACCGAGATATGCAGTCTCCACTTGACTGTTTTTCATCCACTGGAGCGAATGGTTGTTGAAGATAGCTCAACTTTGGGTTTATAGGGTCGAGGTTGATCTTTACAAGCGGGATAGAAGTGTGAGGCAACCATGTATACTATCTTGCTAACTGAGCCATTTACTAGATTCCAAATCGAGGTGGTTGATTGCCACGGCAGACACATCTGCGTAGCAACACTGTACCTTGGCGTTTAGTCAGGTGAGAGAGACGGCGGAAGAATGACCTCGCAAGTTCATCTCCCTACAACGTCTTCAAGAGAGGCAGTCAGTGTCGGACTTTGTTTAGGTAGATCCGAATGTTGCCCCTTACACGGAAGAACTTACCGGTGCCCATCAGTACACCATCTTGTTAGAAGGCGGTTGTAGACTAACCCACCAACATGGCGCCCATTGACAGAACGCTTCCAGTCGATGTTGCTCGGCGCCTCCTCGAGGCGAACACGACGTTCCCCTGGGTGTTGAACGGTGAGTCTGACCTGATTGCACCATTGGCCGCGATATGTGAGCCGGCTTCGAAGCAGAAGCGGAACAAAGTGTTCAGAGAGTTGTGCTTGATCGCTGGTGCAACTCGCACCAGCAGGCTTCCGTTCAGCTATGACTTTGTTACGGCCACCATAGGCGATCCAATAGCAGCATCAGGTCCATCATGCTTTCTCGATAGCTTTAATATCCCGATACCTGTAGCCGAACAATAATTATGTGTCTAGCACAACCGTTAATCGGGAATTCACAGGTGCTACAGCGAAGAGTTGCAGACCTAGTGACTCCTCTCTTGTCTTCTGTACCTACTCACGGAGTCTATATCCAGCTGCCGCTCCTTCCTTCGCACCTCTCGCATCGAAAATTGGGTCGCGTGAATGCTGAAGACACAACGTTGCTTGTTGAGTGGTCTTTCCGCATCTCGCTTGTTCATTTTGTAGGGGTTTCGTGACCGTGCCTGCGTTGGTCTTTCCCGTGGATGCTGGAACTGTTTGCACTATGGCTTTCGGACTGGAAGGTAGTGTAGCAATTTGAGCGTCTTCAAGGCCAAGTGGGATGCATCTCCTTCCGCCGTCCGTAGGGTGAGCGATGACTAGAACCCCAGAGGTGTGCGCTATATTGCAGACAGTATGCTTCGCATGTTTGTCTCGCGCTCTTATGGTCTCGCCATCGCAAGTAGTGAGCCAAAATACACACAAAGTTAAAGATCAAAGTTGTCATAGTTCTCATAAGTAGCAATAGCTCCGTGTACATATCACACCAAGCCTCCCCAGCCCAACCCTTGCATCCCGATCATCATATCATCAAGTCCTTGCCTCTCGATCTCTTGCTCCTCTTCTTCCGCTTCCTCATCCCCNTCGCTTTCATCTCCATCAGCAGCACTCTGCACGACAATGTTCTTTCCGTGACACACGACGACGTTGTAGCTACGTCTGAACAACTCTATAGCAGCCACAACCCTCATACTCTCATTTTCTACGCTTTCGAGATTCATCTCCCAGCTTCGTGACGGTGTTCTTGCGAATGACTCTAAGAGGTGCCGTGTGGCAAACTCAAGCGTGTCCTGCCAAGTACAATGTACACTATCGAGCATTGGCGCGTCTGGTATCATTAGTGAGTCTAGGTCCGGAAGAGGAATGGTAGGTGCGATAATTCGAGCACTGAACTCTTCTCCAAATGCTATGAAACGATGGAGCAGCTCCATGGCATCACCTGCCTTGCCGGTAATGCGGTGGACGTATTCGAGAAACGTGAGAGCTTGGTCGACTAGGCCAAAGATTGCTACTAGAAGACGTAGAGACCCGATGTCACGCGACGTTGGCAAATATGAGATTGACACAGCGAAGCGGTACGCTGTTGCGAGGACAGAAGTGATGGCATCAACGTCCGTTCCCGTACCTGTCTGATCGATGATATCCAGATCGAAGATCATGTCATAGACAACCATGCTACTGGCTTCAATAAGCGGCGTGGCCAAGTACCAGCCTTGAGTCGAGGTACTCGAACATTCAATATATGCCGGTAGCAAAGCCGTCAGTACCACGCTCCTTAGACCTCTTGATGCATTCCCGGTAAGAGCATCATGCATCTGTTTGATTAGATATGGTTGCTGGTTCTCCGAAGCTGCGCGCTCACTGACTGTCTGCACAAATACAGCAAGCTGTTTACGTGCGCGACTGTCTTGCAGTTTCAAATCGTAGCTCTTGAGCTTTGCTTTGACATATGTTGGGTCGTCCAGAGGAAGTGGGAAAGCGGCAGAGTCCTCAAAGAAGGAGTCGATGGGACAGATATCCGACGTGTATTGCTGCATGAGGGAAATGATCGATTGGACAAACTCGACGTAAGCTCCTTTGACATTGTCACAAGAGGATCCACCGAGTCGACCAGACATGTTCTGCAGTTGTTCGTAGGTGCCTCGCATATGTTGCATGGCAGCCTTGAGCATGTCAACATACTCTCTTTTGCTTTCTGACGATGTCGAAGAATGAACGGAATTGAGAAGAGTATGCATGTTCGACAACACGCTGCCAATGAGACTGATCCGCATTTGACGGAACTCGGCCATGGTCATACGGTACTCGCCAGTTTCGTGGTCAGTGGCGAACGGCAGATTTTGCAACAGTGGCTCCAAGGTCGCTTTTTCCAACAGACTCGCTGTAAGACGGTGTTGAAATTTAAGCATCGATTCACGCTCAAACAACGACACGAACCAAGCTTTTATGAAGAGGATTCGATGGTTGGTAAGACTTGACTTGTCGCTTTTGATGACAGATGCCAGGAAGTAGCAAGTGTACTTGTACCTTTGCTCCGTCTCTCGAAGCTGGAACCATGAAGTTGTGCTGTAGACGTCCAAGAAGCTCGACCAGTCAAGAACATTGTCTTTGATCAAGTGTTGAGCAGTGGCGGTCCAAACATCAACAACCTTCTTGAGAAGCGCATCATCAGGACTTTTCTCCGAACCGAAGCATGTCGAAAGAAGTGAACCAATAGATTCTTGCAGGAATGCCACTTCTGATGTCTTCGGCTCCGAACTTTCTGGCTCTTCCATGACTTGTTCCATGAAAGACCAATCACCATAGTCCTGGCTGTCGTCACTGCCCGGTTGACTCTCTTGCTGCAAGGGCTTGGAGAGCCTGCTCTTGGCTACAAGCAATTCATCAACAATATCTAGTGTCTGTACGATGGCGACGGAGAGCCTGGGCTGATCCGTATCGAAGAGCTTCAGCACTTCAATCAAGTTCGACTGCTCGACAATATTGCGAACTTTGGACCATGACTTGGCGATCTTGACAGCATTACGCATTGCTAAGAGCAGATCTTGCAGAATGGCAAAAATGCTTCGTTGGTTGGTTGTAATGGTCATCTCGAGCATCTCGGGTGAGATCTCCGTCGGCCCTCTAGATCTCGCAGCAGCGTATTGTGCTTCTGCCTCAGACCTGGCAAGTCGATATTGAGATATGGTGGTCGAAATCATGTCTTTGTACCATGAGGCCAAAATATCCTCATCGTTGAACGGTTCAGCTTGCGAGAGTTGGTAACGAGCGATCATACCCCAGGCGTGCACGCTCAGCCGACAAGCTTCTCGATGCGAGTTGTCGTGGTCGACTAAATCTTTGATCATCTGCAATCGAGGTCCACAACCAGACGGCATAACCCAGTAAAGCGTGCATAGCAAGTCATGATGATTGCGCAAGGCAGTGAGTGCGACATGAGTGACCTCTTGCTCTTTCCGATAGGTACGGCCATGGTTGGGGATAAATCTCCATGCGAAGCCTCGGACTTTGTTCTTAGGTAAGATTTCTTGCAAGCCTCGTAACCCAACCACAAGCAGCTTGAGGAATATATGAAAGGCACAATCAGACGTTTCGAGCTCGATTGTCGGATCTTTGTCAAGATCTTTGAGAAAGCGTGGTGAACCTTTACCCTCTTCCTTGTGGAGTTGCGAGAGATTGTTACCAGCAAAGAAGTCGTATATTGTTCCCAGCGCAGGCTCACACCTCTGCCAGCCCCAACGTGTGATCAGATGATACACTCTGGTCAGACATGCTCGTAGATAGTCGTTCAGCATTGGAGTGCGCGCCTTGCTAGTTGCTGGATAAAACTCAAAGGTTCGTTGCAACAGCATTTTTACCAGGTTCCAATTGTCGTTGGTCGCCTGAAACCTGCTTCGTAGGCGAAATATGCCTTTTGCATCAATCTCAAGGAGAGGCTGTATAGAGAATGCATCATACCATATCTGGTCAAGGGAGTGAATGTTGCAGATCGTGCTAATTGCACGAATTTGATGTGTGCTGATGATTTCAGAAAGCTTGACTGATGCATTAGCAGTGGTAAGCGCATGGTTGACAATCACAAGGCTCTTGATAGTGATGTCTTGCTCCTGGATTCCAGAGTCACGATGAGCGTGCTCACGATGTGTTTCCAGGAACTCACGGACTGCGGTGAGTCTCGAGGGTAGCGCTGCAGCGATGACTTTCGTGCTCAAACGAACACACTTCTCCACAAGAAGCGTCTGTAGCCTGAGCTCAGTGGCAGGATGTTGCGAAATACATACAGATTGTACAGTAACACAGAGCAAGTATAAAAGTGAGTCGACTACAAGTCTGTCGACATGAGTCCGTATGTCTGAGTGAGGGTTGAGAACAATCGTCTCCACTTCGACCATGTCTACGAACTCATCGACAAAGCGGGAGAGGCGGCTCAAGCATGAGGACTGATCGATAGGGTCCAGAAAGTGAAGACAACCTGAGAGATATCTCACAACAGATCGTAAGAAATAGTTGAAACGTGCGGTGGTATCCTCGATGGCCGTTCGTCGCATGTCTGTAGTTTCGAACTCGCCGACAGCGTGTAGATCTTCCGTGCAAGCTGTGAGTATGAGACCAAGACCAGCAGAGACATCTTCGTTCCATGCACTCCAGTGCAACGAGCGACCAGCTACTTCTACGGTTATCCGGCCAGCAGGTACATCGAGGTCGCGCTTGCGTAATGTCAGGCTATCATTGAAGTCTCCGCTACCCACAAATGTGCTGGTAGCAAAGTAGGTACCGATCTCGAGCGGTCTGACGTCGAAGTCTGCAGGATATCGAGTGCCAAAAGGACCCAAGCCTTGCAGTACCTCACTCTTAGGTATACCATCTGTATGAACAGTCTCTGGATCTTGGGCAGAGATGGAAGGAACATCAACAGGTAAGGGCTCGTTTGGCTGGCGAAATCTAGTTGTCTCAACGTCGAACCGTCGAGCCAGTCTTTTGCGAGCTCGTGAATGCGGGGAGACATTGTCAGTGCCTATCATGTTTGTATCCTGTTCCTGCATCTGATCCGGAGTAGGGGCTTCTGGAGAATCATCCTTGTCTTTGAGGAAGCGCTCGAGTCGGAATTTGGAGGCTGGCTCGTCTCGTCTATCTCGAGCAAAGATCTCCATCAGACGGGATGGAGGTGCAGCGTAGGTAAGCGGATCAAGATCACGATGTGTGGCTTGAGCTACGCTCTCTAGCTGAGCTGGCCGCATGCGATGATCACGTTCGAGCAATTTCAGTTGGTTTGCTCGAAGTAGATTTGGAGCGGTACGCTTTCGCGCGTCACTGCCTCCCTCTTGTAGCTGTTGCAACTGTCTCCGCCTTGCACTCACAAGAGGTCGTGGTTGTCCAGGTCTTCGGTGCTTTGGACCACTCGTTGCAACTGAGCCTTCTGGCCCATTAGGCACTTCAGTCTCTCGTAGTCTTCCATCGTTGCGGATACTGCCGACGGATTGTGCATCTTGAGGTGGGGGNACCCAACTGCGATTCAAGTTGCCTGCTCGCCACGACAATAACGGTTCGAGAGCATCTTGTGTGTCTTCTCTTGTGGCAAGACGGATCTCCTTGTTGGTCGGGCTGTGTCTGCCGTGATCAGATCGTTTACGAGCCTGGCGGGCAGCAAGACGCACAAACTGAGGTCTTGGTACTGCCCGTGGCGATTTTGGTTCAGTGGAGGTGGTGGCATCCAAGATACTCAGCCGGACTGGCTTAGGCTTCTTCGCAGCTGTCTTTCTCTTCACGTTCGTGCTTGGCTTGTGGTGCGACGTAGACTTTCGGGCTGAAGAATCACCAGTGGCTTTCCGTTTCTGACCAGTATGATCCTGTCCCGAAGAGGACTTGGTACGCGTAAATGTGGCTGGGAGCTTGGACTGTCTCTTGCTTCCGGGTAATCTGAAATGATTCCTTCCACTAGTTGGAAACATATCGTCAATCTCATCGGGTTCGTCAATCTCCAAGGTCTCGAAAGGTCGACCTGATGGGCGTCCAGTAAATGGTGAAGGCAGTCTGGTTTGAAGCAGACGAGGAGCTGGAAGTTCTGTAATCGAACCGTCGGAGTCGGAATTGTCAGAGAATATCACACAGCTGTTTTGACGAGCTGGTGTGGCAGAAGTGCTTGTCACCCTTCGTTGAGCAACACCCCTAACATGAGCTGTTGGTCGTGGTGTCTCCATTTGGACTTCGGAAGGGGCAACCGAAGGTGACGGCTGTCTGACCTGTCTGTCAAGCTTGAGGTAAGAAGCAGGCAGCACACCCCTGATCTTTCGTCGCATGCGCATCAATTGTCTGTTTTCCTGATCTGATTCTGAGGAAGAGCTGAGCCTCACACCAGCATGGTGACGACTCGCAGCATCATCATCATCATCGGACGATATAACTACTTGGCGAGGACGCCTGACTGATGTGGAGGCCGGCAGCTCGGGAGATGAAGGGATCGGGGTAGGTACAGCTGCGGGATTAAGGCCGTGCGGAAGCCTGAAGCGAGGAGCGGCGGCAGGTGTGGGTTCAGCATTCGCTGGGCTTGATGTGCGTGGAGGTGAAAGTGGCAGTAAGTCTTGGTTGAGTGATCCGTTCGTGATTGAATGGACGCGATTCAGGTTCAGGGACTTTAACCTTCCTCTGGCTCTTGATGTGGACGAAGGTAAAATATGTCCATTTAGATCGGTGTGAGGAGTCTCAAGGGTCTTGCGGCGCTTGTTACGAATCTGGATAGCACCATTGACACGGCGACGGATGGTATCGAGGTCAGGAAACTCGTCTTCGTCATCACCGACAAGGTTGGACAAGTCAAGAGGTGGCGGTTGACTGTGGGTGGATGAAGCAGAAGATTCTGGCGGAGTCGACTCCTGCGTATGCTCTGGTGGACGACGTCGGGGCTGACTCTCTTCCTGACGAAACTCGGCATCCTGGGAATCATCTTGGTCTCTTGGTCGCTGGCTGTTGGTGGCAATTTGAATGGGTCTCACGCCAACAGCTCTGAGTCTGCGACGATATTCTTCAATCTCGAGGGCGTAAGGATTTATCTGGATGGCTTTTCGTGCTCGAAGGTTGCGTCGGGGTTGTTGAGCAGCAAGTTCAACGACATGTTGATCAGACAGAGAAGTGACGGCACTTTCGAGGGCGGTCGTCTCAGGCTGGCTGGGAAGTCTCGGTATCGAGTCGTTGGTTCTTGCCGTACTTATCGGTAGAAAGAAGAAAGGTTGTGGAGAAGAGATGAGCTGCATGTCGACGTCGGACAGGTCGGAACTCGAGACAGACAAACGTCGCTCGGCGTGGGAAGGAGCGATCAGGGAGCTGACGAAGATGGTGCATGTTCTGGTTCGACATTGTCCTCAACCAACGTATCGATGTCCATAAATCCATCATCTTCCTGTGCATCTTGCTCGATCCGGTCGACTGTGTTGACTGTACTCTTGATCCTCTTCAATGCTCCTGGCCTGAACTTTCGGCTGTACGTCTTGACATTCTTGTTGGTCTCTGACGGCGACTCTGCTCCTCTGGATTGGGTGATCAAGACTATTGGCTGCCGAGCCGAAGGCTTCTGAGTCGTTTGCCGTGTATCGAGGTTATCATCTAGTATGTCGAATGTGGTGTCCTCTTCTAAAGCCTGAACAGGCCCTTGTGGTTCGATCTCCGGTTCCAAAGGTCTGGCGACTCCACCTCTTCCATTTTCCTCAGCATCATCAACCAACTCTACAGAAGCACATCGTTGATCGGGTGTTGTCGTCGTCCTCGGCGTCTCTCGTGTTGTTATTGTTGTACCAGCATCGTCGACCAGAGAAACATCGTCCTCATCCGAGTCCGGGACATAGCCTCGATCTCTCCATTCGCTCATTTGATCTGGCCTTCATTGCAACATTTACAAATGAATGCTGAACAATAATGTCTAGAACCGAAGACGCGACACTAACGCGTTTGCCAATTTCCAGAGGCAACGCGCTTCGGCAACGCGATCACTGCTGTCCCACGTCATGCCAAGACTTATAGAAACTCGAGCTGTTCCATGTGCTCATTATTGAACCCGAGTGGTTTTTGCTGTACAAGACGCGAGATCAGAAACAATGAATAGATTGGTTGCACCTGCATTGGCGACGGTCTGTGGCATTGCTACCGGTACATACTCTCTAAATGCTTGCCGACCAAAGTCAGGACATATTTTACTGACACCCCTCACAGCAGTGGCAGCATTCCAACCGGAACTGCAGAAACAAGCAGCAGAAAGAGAAGGAAAGAATGTTGAAGAGTCTCAGCAACAGCATAACGGTGCTATGTACGACTTCTCCTCACCCTCCATACCCCTTCTGACACCTATCATTTCTCCTTTGAAACTACACTAACCCTCCTACCAGTNNCCGCCAACAGCACACGACCGCGAAATCCCAGACATCAACAATGACAAATCCATCGGCGCAGAAGTGAAACAACATCTCCAAGAAGCAAAGCAAGAAGCAGTCCAGACGATACAACACGCACAGCAAACAGCAAAGACAGAGGTGGCTCCCAAGAAGGCTTGGTGGGGGCTGGGTATATTCGGAGCCAGTCAAGGCGGAGAAGAGAGTCCAAGAGAAAACAAGTAATAAACCACTCTATCCATGGAATACAAAAACTAACAAGGATATCAAAAAACGGCACAAAACGCCAGAGTAAACCCCTACTCCCTGAATGTACTCTTGCCTAGAACTGTCTATGAGAAATCCTCATCCTGGCTCTCTATCTTCTCCTTGATCCTGAGCAGCACGGTAGTCTGCCACTTGTTCAACTTTTGCATCTGGTCGAATTGGAACAGGCGGTCGGCAAACATGTCTTGGTCTCCAGCTTCGACGGCTTCCTTGAGGTCGTTGAGGAGTTGGAACTCGCGGGCAGAGGTGAATTGCGTGTGCTTGGAGCGCCATTCGTCAAAGGCGCGGGATGTAGCTACCATGTCNCTGTACAGAGATTAGTAAGAAGCAGAAAGGCAGAGGGGAGAGTGTAAACGTACACCGGTGGCCAAGTGACAGATTCCAGCCTGGAAGAGGTAGTTCTTGATGTTCCAGGCAAGGAGGTTGTTGTTCTGAGCCTTGTCGGCAGCCGTCTCGTAGCCATCAATGGCACTCCTGTAATCGCCCTCTAGCGCCTGCAAGTCTGACAGTGCCAGTGTGATCTTGTTCTCGAGCGCAGGAGCGGGATCTTGCTTGTAGCACTTGAGGGTATCCTTGTAGGCCTCGATGGCCTTTGCATTATTTCCCAGCACCTGCTGGTAATGATTCGCCAAACTCTCAGTGTTTGTAGCAGCCGGCCTCCACCTTCCCAACTGCTTTTGCTTGCTGATAGCCTGCTCCAACATTGTCGCAGCCCTCTCTGGCTGCACCTCGTGATACAGCTTAAACGCCTCGTTGTAGATGTTGACGGCATCCAGCGGCTCTTCCAGGTTCTCGGTGCAGATTCTGGCGGCAGACTCCAGGGCAGAACCACCTTGGGATATGGCGAGCGAGATTGTTTCCGGGTCGTCGATGGAGGTGAGTTTGACGCGGTAGGCGTTCGCGGCGGAGCGGTACATTTCGACGGCCTTTTCGTATTTTNNTTCTTGCTTGCCACCGAAGAAGGAGAAGCCGCCCGAGGCGCTCTTTTCTTGCTTGATGGCNCTGGAGGGGAGTGTGTCAGTCGAGGGGTTGAGGATGGGAGAAGGCTGGGACTGATGAAAAGGAGAGGCGCGTACCTTGTTGAGCAGATCCTGCTCGGCTGCGAGTGAGGAAGCCATGATGTGTGTATGTGTGAGGTGTGTCGAGTTTACAGGAAATGTTGTCTTGTTGGTGTCTGGGGGCCTGCGAGCACCAAGTCGGCGCTGACGTATCCGGACCCTGCCCCGCTGTGATTGGCCGCTGCTCCCAATTGTTCACCACCACTTTCTTCTCTCCCTCACTACATACCCCAAGACAGTACACACAAGATGCCGCCCCTTCTATTACGATCACGTCTACGGTTATGCCTAAGCCGCCGCGCAAACTTCCACACCGCACGTCCAACCCGCTCAAAACTCGACACAGACGCTCTCCTCTCAACACCAACCTGGTCCCTCCACACCTTGCTCCCTTCCTCCTCTTCTACCACAGCCACACCAACAATCACTTCAAAACAACTACACCACCTCCTCCGTCTCTCCGCCCTCCCACCCCCAAAAGACAGCTCCGAGGAACAANAAATGCTCTCCTCACTCCATCAACACCTCCACTTTGTCGCTGAGATCCGCAAAGTCGACACTACAAACATAACCCCCTTGCAAAGTCTACGGGATGAAACCAGTGCTGGAATCAAAGAGCAAGAGATCGGGTTGGAAGAGCTACGGGATGCATTTGAGAAAGAGGATATCAAGNGGAAATACTATAAGAGGATTAGGAGGAGACAAGAGGAAGCAGCAGAAGGAGAGAGTGCAAAGACTTGGGATGTACTGGGTGCGGCGCAGAAGAAGGTAGGGAGGTTTNTTGTCGTCGATGGTGGGAAGGAAGGTTAGAGGATGGACGTGGCCAGGGTTGCCCTGCTGACATTCCGCCATGTTTAACAAAATACTGTCATGACTTTGATGCTAAAGTGTGGCATTATCGTGTTGTGAGCATGGTCTTTGTATGCTTCTCGAGGCCTCATCAAGGTTGTGAGAAAAACCGAGCTCACGGACATGGTTGGCATTCTAATCATAAATCGATCGTCGACATCTGATTTCCATGAAGAACTAGACATGATGATACTTAAGGGCCACCCGCAGTATCGACATACACTCGACTCTCCAAGGTGTAGCGTAGATATATGGAACGACACGGATACTCTTACTTTCAGAGCCAACGATATGATACATCCAAGTAGAACCTATCAACAACCGAATTTGCGTTACACAACTATAATCGTATAGAACTATTCATGTAATGTCGAAACCAACATCACTTCGACCTCATCGGCAACGACAGCGTCCTACTCGTCGAGGGACTAAGAGTAGGTCCCAGATCCACATCCTCCTCCTCCTCTCCCTCAGAAATAGTAGCCGTCTTGTGTGCTTCACCCCAAGTCATTGCAAATCTCGGAGCCCCACTAGCTCCATGACCAGGGCTGCTCGACAAAGCATAGTTGCCGCCAAACGGATTGTCGCCATCACTGACAGCACTGCTATGGGACGCCGATCGTATCTTCTTGAGCATGTTGCTAAAGTTAGCACCGTGTTGCGACACGCGACGGCCACTGCTGTCTTTGCTGGTGTTGTTGTTGTCGATGGAGTTGAGCGACGTGCTGATGAAGTTGTCAAAGTCTTCTTCGCGGTCGAAGAGGCCGGTGGCAACGGATCGGCGGCGCATCTCTTGGCTGTTCATGCCGGACATGGTGGACAAGCGGCGAAGGGTCTCGTAGCCGGTGGGGTTGGCGGCAGCCCAGTTGAAGACGTCACGGCACATGTCTTGGAGGTCGAACTCGGCGCGCCAGTCGAGATCGGAGGCTGCTTTGTCGGGGGAGGCGGTCACGGTGCCGAGGTCTCCTGCGCGTGCTTCGCCGACGGTAAAGGGGATAGCTGTGCCGGCTGCATTGCTGAAAGCCTTGATGATCTCGAGCACAGAGTATCCTCGACCTGTGCCCAGGTTGTAGACATTGTAGTTAGAGACTGGATCCTGACCATCGAGCTCTTCGCCCTCAGGTACTGGATCAGGCTGCCTTGTCGCTTTGCGTAGTGCTGCCAGATGACCCATGGCGAGATCGCTGACGTGGATGTAATCACGAACACCCGTGCCATCCGAAGTGTCGTAGTTGGAGCCAAATACATGAACGCGGCTGCGACGACGTTGATATGCCTGAAGGATCACAGGCACAATGTTGTTTGGTGTACCCTTGGGATCTTCACCAATCAGTCCACTTGGATGAGAGCCGGTAGGGTTGAAGTAACGTAGCGAAATGGCATGGAAANNGTTCGGGTCCGCAACGCAGTAATCGTTGATAATCTCCTCTGACATCCACTTGGAGCGTCCATAGGGATTGGTGAGCAATCCGCCTCCAGAGCCTTTGCCAGCAACTTGAACAGTTTCCTCTGTGATTCCAGCCTCGTGGCCAAGACCGTAGACCACAGCGCTCGAGGAGAAGATGAGAACATTGATAGCATGAGCCTTCATGGCTTTGAGCAAGACTACAAGTGCAGCAACATTGTTCTCGTAGTACTCCAGAGGCTTCGTGATGGATTCCCCTACAGCCTTGAGGGCGACGAAGTGGATGACAGCAGTGATCCTGCCCCAAGCGGATGGATCTTTGGTCTGCGGACTTGGTTGAGCTCTCTTTGCTGGGTTCAACGTATAGTCGAGCATTGGATAAGCCTTGTTCGCAGAGACCTCGCCGACGCTCACAGGGAATACAGCCCTCTCAGCATGGATCTCGTCAGACTGCCAGAACTCAAAGACCTGGTTCATGGATTTTGTGCTTCGAATGTCCACTTGGTGGAANAAGATCGGAGGCACATTGCCATTCTGCTGGAGACGCTGAGACTCGGTTCGAGCAATGTAGTGTACACGATACAGAGACTCCATGTGGCTGTTGCACAAGTTGTCGATTACAACCACAGCGACACCTGCATTAAGTAACTCGAGGACCGTGTGCGAGCCGATATAACCTGCTCCTCCAGTGACAAGACATACTGGGAATGATTTGATCTCTGCGCGAAAGCGTTCCGCCTTCTTCTGGAGCGATTCTTCGGTGGGTCGATTGGCAGATGGCATCGCTGCAATTTTTTCGTCGGTGGGTTGTGTTTGGTTGTTGCGATTAGTTGCTTCGCCTTATGATTGAAGCGTGCAATACACTGCTTGTCCTTGGTCGCCAGGAGTTCAGGAGAAGACACCCGCATCAACGAACACTACAAAGACGTCAAGGTCCACATAGAGCTGTAAGCTCCGATACAGAAGCTGTATCCTCTGTTGCATCATGAGCTACATAATCTGAACTCTGGGTTCAAAATACTGCAACGCTGATCACGGCAGTACGGAGGAGATCATCTGGTGATGACTTCGCCCCCGACACCAAGAGCACGACTCGGTATGAGCGATGCAACGTTGGTGTTGACGGCCAACCAAGCAACGTCACCAAAGTCAACTTGTTCCAAGCTGAGCGGTTTCGAGTCTAACGCTGAGTATCTGCCATCTTTTGCGTTCAAGCGAGTAACCTTTTGTCCAGAGGGTCCACATGAGTGCCCTTCTGTCCACAGGATCCACATTTCGAATTGTTCTGATCCGAGCATGTTGACGGCGGCCGAGGGGTTACGAGTGATGTGCCTAGAAGCCACAATTCCCTTGTCCGCGCCTTCTTTGGTTACTGCTTTGAAAGGCGCTCACAGAGCAAAGGAGCTACATCGCTATGTAAGTCGGGCCAAATGTTGGTAGGTTGAATGTTGATGAGGTTCCATGTTCTTGTGTTTCGATCGGAATCCACACATAGTTTGTTTGATGCGCGCTGCAAGAGCAAATGTGATTGTCGGGCGCACACACATGTGGCAAGACATGGTCTGTTTGTGAGGAATCAGAGTTGCCAAAGTCAAAAGCATGAGTAAGACTGGTGTTGCAGATAGCAAGATGAATGAGGAAGTCGCGATGACAGCAAGGACACGTCGTCTCAATGGGGAAAGTGGAGCGAGACCTTTCGCGTCGCCGCTTTGCAGACCTCTTGACTTTAACCTTCGAACAATCTTCTGAATTACCGCAAAAGGACGACAACATTATTTACCTCGTATCGAAAATGATATGTCGCCAATGTCGGTTATCCTACCCCACCTTACCGACCACTGCATAGCAAACCCACGCGTCTCAGAAAGTCCATATTCGCTTTGCCTGAGATCATTTCATGCAAAGGGAAGCCTCGAATATCATGTCTGCAACCCAAATTGTCGATGCAAGTAGTCAAGTGGGTGTTAGAGAGATGGCGGTAGAGCATGGTGCCAGCCTCTTGCTGAATCGTTGAAATGAAGTCAAGGTAGGTCTTCTCTAGTCTGAACTAACCATGCTCCGGCGGAGCTGCTTACGAAAAGCGATCTGCCATGTAGCTCAGCTGTAGTCATTGTCATAGATGCTACGACTTTCGGACGTCATCCGAAGTGGTCCACTAATGCCCAGCTTGAGCATTGACACGCGATGCTCCATCGTTTCTGCAAAGACATCTGAACGGATGCTGATTCCATGGATTACATGCATGGAAATATCATACAGCCATGGCATCCTTCTTTCAGCCCTCTCTTACAGGGCCAAGCACTGATACAGACACCAGCACGAGGTTTCTTATCAACTGGAATGCAACACTGAAGGGCTCACAGCTCACCCTGTACTGGCACCAAATCCTTGTCGTTGCAGTCGGTGGTACCTCTCTCGTCCTTGGACTCTCAAGCTTCATCATACAATACATTCGAAAGAAGCGCCCCCTAAAAAAGAACCCTCTACCACCAAGCATCAAAAGATTTCTCCAGCTCCCGCGAGCATGGACACAACCCAAAGGCCCGTCACCAAGAACAGAGAAAGACACGCCAATCACCTCTGAGAAAGCTCCACCTACACCAGTCTTCTCCCCACCCAAGTTGTCGTTGGTCAAGACTNTTTGTGTGTCCGAACACGAGTTACCAGTTCAGCACTTCCGATCCAACTTTGACCTGCATATTGTTGGATTGACTAGAGAAAGGACCCTCGATAGACCACCAGAGCGAATTCAGGATTCCATTGACCAAGTACGTGGCCATGATGAGCCGCCAACGCGCTCAGCGCATGGCACTAACGAAAGCGCGAAGTCATCTCGTCGCTCGACACGAGACTCGCTTGGGAGTACTGCACATGACACGGCTCGAGATTCCATACACCCTCCTCGAATCTCAGCCGATGCGCAACCAGCGACGAACGTCTCGACTATCTTCTATGGTGCTCTCAAAGCTACATCAGCATTGCAGAAAGAGAGTATTGAAGAAAAGGCCGCATTACTCAACAATCTTCGACTCAAACAAGGTCTACATGGAGTCGTTGTATCATACAGCCGAGACGACTCGGCTGAGGACATCAATGCACTCTTGATAGCTTTGAGAAACCTGCACGTGTCAGTGATTCTTACAGGTGATCCTGATTTGAAGATCGTCGACTCAATTTCCTTCGCGCTCATCGACGGCCTTATAATACGAAACGCATTTGTTCTGCCCGACGGTCAGCGCCGAGGTNTTTTTCGCGCCGCCCAAGTGCGAGAGTGCGTCGCAAGATGCAAACGTCAAATGAACGCTCGACCAGAGTTCTTCATGGGCTTTCTCGAGATCTGGATAGTCAGACCTTCGGCCGCAACTCTACGCAGGGCATTCAAGCTGGCCGACTTCTTCGGGGCTACAATTCAGGCCCAAGCGGTCTCGCAGCACAACACACGAACGGAGATGTGTCTAAGCGGATTCGACTGGCTAAAACGAATGGAAATAGTGTATCTACAAAAATGCTGGTCGCAAAACCCTGCGACGAATGCTTTAGATGCAGAGACAGACGCCATTCACTTCGACACCCAAAGACTATCTGAGATCCTGGGTCCAGCTGAAGATCTGCTCGCGCTAGCTCCCTTGCCTCCTGATCTTCTATCTATCCAGAATGAGCGACTGGAAAGCGTGCCTAGTCCAGACTACATTTTGAACGCTCCGAGAAGAGAAAGTATATGGGACGTAACGAGCTGTGGCGCGCCGCTCTGCAAAAATGGATGTTACAACCTCCGGGACCAAACCACAGAGGAGCATTATGGGCGTATCTTGCAAACTCAGCGCCGACTAAAGCAATTGCAAATGCTGCACATTTACGCAGAAATTGAGATCATGACAACGTCAAAAGTGTTGAGCACAGCCTTGAAGAACTCTTCTTATCCTCAGTTGCTGCAGCTGCTGCTTGACCAGCTTACAAAGGGACGTGTGCGGATCTACAAGGGCCTAGATAGTGGGTTTAGCCTTCCCGATGACGGTGGGCATATGTTCGGGCTCTCTGATAGCTCCCAGGAAGATGGTCATGTCTTTATCGACATCTACATCTCACTCAAGAACGCATACGACACTGCTACTATATGGCACGTGTTCCTCGCACATCACGGGATACCGCGCTTACAATGCTACGAAGAGGAGCTCTTGTTCTTTCCTGGCGCGCGGCTTCCAAAAAGTCTACAACAGGAGTTGACTCAAAGCACGGAAGCCGAGCTGCTTTCCATCATTCAACAAGTCCGATTGAGCGATACCGATCATGTTTTCCATCAAACGATCATCGAAACATGCGCCTCTATCTTACTCGAGGATAGTAGACAGACTACATGGACAGCCCTTCATTCTCGAGCCTGTCTTGACGGATCATTGAGTATGCGAACTCTGATCCAGATGCGTCTTGAGCAATTCGCGAAGCAAGGCGCACGCCAGCTTCCTGAGCTCGGAAAGCTTGTGGAGTTCTCTCAACTCCTCGAACGAAAGTTGCAGGATGCTTTGTTCACTACCGATCGATCTACGCTAAATCAGCTGTCAGCTCCTCTTGTTGATGCTTACAATGCTATTGGAATAACCCGAGCGGCTGGCAGCAGACTAGATCTTTACGGTTTGATGTACTTCTGCACTTTGCGCAAGCTCGCTTACGAGGATGTCTATCTTGAAACGACAGACCGCTGTCCGTTGTTCTTGCAACAGCATGACCAAGCTGGTGTATTCTCTGAGTTATGGGTTTTGGGCTCGCAGTGCGAGATCTACTTCGGCATTCAACCCCGAGCTCTGGGAGAAGTCACCTACGATAAGTATCACGAGTACCTATCTCGGCATCCACCTCCACCTGCATCGTGGGATGGTAAAAATGTTTTCACCGCTTACTCCAATACTGAAGCTCGGATAAAGTTAGAGAGACATGAGGTGATGACAGGCTCTGGCTCACCTGTAGATTTGCCTGGACAAGCACCTGGTTTTAGACTCGACGAGCCAGAATCGACAAAACGTCTTACTGAAGCTGCCAGCACATTCGGTGCCCTGTCGATCTTCTGTTTTCCAGCTATAATCGATGTCCTATTGCTGACATTTGTCGGTCGTGGTTTCTATATCACGGCATTCATGGATTACAGAGTTACTGACATGGCCGACTACGCCATTCTGACTGCTCTGCTCATGACCGGTGGCATCACTGGCTGGGTGGGCAGCACTGGAGGCTTTTATCTCTACAATGTAAGTCGCACACCTTGGGAATTCTCTATTGTGAAAGCTAAAATGTCTAGTNTTGCGTTTGACAATATGTCGTACTTTTTCGTACAGCGTTTCTCTGGAGCATTTTTATTGACCACGATCGTAGCATTATGTGGCTTCTTCGCGTTTGGTGCCCAAGTTTCCTGGTTCCACGGTGGATTCATATACTTGGTCTATCTCTTTCCTTTGACGACTTTCCTTAACTTGTTAGGTAAGCTTCAGATAGTTGTGCTCCGACCAACCACTAACCATCGCTCAACAGGCATGTTCGCTACCATGCACCGGCTAGGTTGCCCTCTGACTTCCGGCCGCATCGCAATGTGGCGGTGTATTCCCATACTCTTCATCTCTCCCATTGTCACTAGCCTCGTCAATGGGCATGATCTTCTGATCTACCTGCTCATTATTTATACCTTCGTCATCACACTCCTGGTCACCTTTCGAAACCTTCTCCACGAATGGACCACCTGGCTGGCCAAAGTACCGTCAGTGAAAGAGAAGGATTTGATAACCTGGTACAACTCGAAGATGAGGAAGGAGCAAGAATCTGTGTCTGGAGGCCACTCTCAAGAGATTGCCGCTAGTGCTCGTCTTGCTCTCCGACTTGCGGTACATCAATATCGCAACAGAAGCTTTTCTAGTCGAGTGTTCAATCCTGAAGCGGACGTGGATCCTTTCGTCAAGAAGATGGGCATCGGGCATCCGTATGCTCTCTGGCTTCTCGAAAAAGAAGCTGGGGGAGCGGAACTGCCTCCTATCTATACGACAACTTGGTTTGTGCAACTTGAGCTTGCGTTCACCGATCAGCGACAGTTGACGCGAGGCCTCAAGGAGCATAGTCAGTTCATCACCTTTCGCTACTCGAAGTACGATGTGAGTTCTGGATACATGCTCAGTTCTTGAGATGTCACTGACGCTCATCTAGNNCTTGGACAAAACGTTGGTTTGTTCTTAAGCGCCCTTATGGATCGCTGGATCGATCTTATCATGCTCGCAAGACGACCGGAGATTGTCACATATTTCGATGATCGGGCGCGTTATGGAATCTGCTTTGGGCTTTTGTACTTCCTGCTCAGTGCAGTCGCAGTGGATCTGGTGTTGCAAAAGTACTGGCCACTTGCAACCGAGCTCCCAGATCGCAAGATTGCCAATCTAAAAACATACGATGAAGTCAAGCTCGATCAGAAACGGTATGCTTTCTTGCCTTCGTCTATATGAAGCTGTACTGACAAACCTGAGCNNCTTCGTAACGAGTATTATAGAGTTGCACTGGGGGAACTTATGAGCTACCTAGCTATAATCTTTGGTGTTTTGACCGTTCTCATATGGGTCTTCGTCATCGACCACAGATCAATTATCTTGTACTTTCTGTATATTTCAGGCTACACAGGAGTGTGTCTGTTCCAGGTAAGTTGACATCCTGGTGTGATATGTCTTGGACGCTGATCTCGGTAGTTCAATCGGTGCTTTACCAAACACCCAAAAGCTCACGTGGTCGCCGTGCTAATATGTTGCGCTGTGGGTTTTATTGTTGGCTGCATCCTTCGAGCAGCACCCTCTACGAAAAATCTGTTCTACGATTTTGTCATTGGCTTGAACATCACCAGCATCTCAGCTGCTATTGCTACTTTCCTGCTGACCGGCTATTTTTCGTCGCCAACAAGTCGATTAGACCAACCTGGAGATGTTACCAAGAGAAACAGCAAGACCACCGACAAACGTTCTTCGGCTGATGCGAATGCTCAACCAGCAAGCTGGGCGACTTTGTTCAAAACTCATACCAACACACTATGCAATTTATCGCACACTACGCATCGCAAGATTCTCCAACATTTATGTCTTGACATCGACGTTAATGTGCAGTGGACCAAGATTCCTGACGACGTCCGATCTCTTATAGTATCACGCATGCTAGGCGTAACAGGCCATACGACTGCCTCCGCCCGGACATGGTTAGCTGCGGAGTCAAAAAATACCCAGGAATCTGACAACGAGTTAGAAAGGTGCCTAGTGAACTATGGAAGCCAGAAATCGACCGTCAGCAAGGATGCAGACAATGCTTTCAAGATCGCAGGCTCGTACAGAGACCCAGAGTTGACCTCTGTACTGGGAAGAAAGTTCGGTGTGGTGTCCAAGCTAAAGCACTTTGTTACAACTGTTGGCCTGACGATCTACGACATTGTGAAATGGATAGCTCTCATCTCAGGTGGGGCACCAGACGCCAATCGTGAGCTGTGGTTTGCTCTCAGAAACAACCCGTTACACAAGCCTCTGCTCTGGACATTGCTCAAGATCTGGAAGGCATGCTGGTTCGTCAAAAACTTCTTGACCTACTTGTTTCTGATTCTCGGTAAGCCGTCACTGTCATCAATCTTGGACATGAAAGACCGAGGGCTCCCTCGAACCCTTCATGGAAATGTCATCACAGTGGACACGCCTTTCTCAAAAGTTAGTGGTTTCCTCTCGCGAGACGTGGATGGCAATCTGGTTGTTTCGGCTTTTGACGGCATTCACAAAACTCTACCTGAATCGCAATCTTTGAGAGCTTTGGCAATTTATGATCAAGCCTACCGAGTTATGCACTATGAGACCAATCCTGGAGACTCAAAGACCAAGACGACCTCGACGTTTGAGTATCAAAACAAAGAATGGAGACGTTGGCCGACGAAGAAAATCACCAAGGAAGGAGACGGCCATGAGATCGAATCCCTCTATGACAAACATGGTCGCGTAGTCAGTGGGAAGTTGTTTCGTGGCGAGGCAGGGTTCTCTTTCGAATATCTTTACAAGAAGAGACCCAAAGGCAACACCGAGATCCTTAAAGCGACCTACACGCAGGAAAACGCTGAAGGCACTCCTCCCGTTGTGTCTGTGTTTTGGAGCGTGCAACCCCGATCTGGTTCTGAGAAGGTCAAGAGTTGGACTCCTTCTGAAAAGATTAGACGAGTAATCGCAGTTCTGGATGGACAAACTTACGAGACTGAATGGGTCTACAAGCACGCAAGAGATCCCGATCTCGAGACAACATTGACAGATCAGCACGGTACAGTGCTTACTGGCGTACCGGCCCCTGCGGCGATCTTGGAAGATGCATTCGGTCTGCTCAAGAAACCAAAAGACTTGTCTTTTGACCATGTCGATCTGTTGGTTTATCATTCTCTACGCTGGCTTACGAGATTTCCGAAACATGGCGAGGAAGTCTCTAAGCCTTCTTCATGGTTCATGTCACTCATGCCATTTGGTTATTCAGACACANAAAAGAAAGTCGTCTACCGAAGGCTGCCGACTGCTGTCTTGAGGACAGCACTTTGGACTTTCTGGGCAAAGCCACCTCACCTGGATGCTGTCTCGGCATGTTTCCTGGACGAAATGATATTGCGCAAAGAGCCTCTTCTGAAGAAGTACTGGAAGCTTCGGGATACTGGCAAGCTATTGGAAGCTGCGCACTTCCTTGATGAAAATCTTGACTTGATTATATCTGCCATTGAGCCGTCTACAGAAGCATCTCAGACGTGTCCTCTTCTCATCAAAGTGTCAGACTTGTTTATTATGGGTCTAGGGAAGGACGCGAATCAAGTTACAGCTCGTCCCGAGGATGCATATCGCGATACCCAGACTCGTACATCTGTGATTTTCTCTGACAATGGCTGCTGGCCTGATAATCCGGGTGGTGTGTCCAACTGCAGGCGAGATTTGGTCAACGGGCATACTACTATTCGAGGTCACTGTTTAGCCGAGTCAGCCAACGATTTCGGAATACCTCGATACCAAATCGAGCAGAACATCAACTCTTTGAAGATTCTGCCCTTGTGGGGACTTGACGGGAAAACACCATACCACGGCGTACTTGACAATTTACTGCAAACCCAAATCGATGAGAGGTTCTTCCAGACACGGATTGAAGAAGACATCAAGGTCATCTTTATTCCTCTGCTCACAACCTTCGTCAAGGGTGCACGGATGAGGCGTTACACCCGTAGCGACTTAGTCATATTTAGTAATGTGATCTTGCAGATGAGCAGGTACTTTGAGAAATGCGACTTCAACAAAACCTGGGACAACAAGGACGTCTGGGATGCATGGATCCAAGCCTGGCTCATTGATTACCAAGATCCAAATATTGGCAACCCTCGAGACTGCTTCGAGATCGAGCAAGCAACTATGAGCGACTTCAAAAGTGCACTCGGCTTGTACGTCTGCTACTTTTTCATCTATTCGGTCGAGCTTCCACCGGATTGTCCCACTGTCTTTCAAAGCACACATCACGGGATCAGCAGTCTCTATGGTATGCTTCTCAAATACCGTCGTGGAACTACCTGGGGCATTTGGGATCATGCAATCTTGTGGCGAGAAACATGCTTGAACATCAGTCCAGCGCAATGCTTGCTCCCGATTCCAGTCCAGTCTATGCTTCTTGCCGGTATCAAGCTGGCTTGCCATCTGGCGTATACCCATGTTGATATCATCCTGCCATGCACTTCCGTCTTCAACCCTGACTGGGAGATTGATTTAGGCACAGATCAAGGACTACGAGGTAGCAAGAAGCTGTTCGCACGCAAAATTGATCCCATTGTGAATGGAATCGGTAATATGGATGCCTTCCAGCCAGTGACAGAAACTAGGAGCAAGATCCCAACATGCGTAATGCTCTCGAATGTTCAGTTTATCAAGGACGTCAAAAATGCCGTACTGGCTGCAGATGTCATTGTCAACAAGTACGGCTTCGCCGACTATCGTCTGGTTGTTTATGGCGCTCAAGATAGACAACCAAGCTATGCGCTCGAAACGACTACACTCATCAACACACGCAATCTTAACACTAACGTCATCCTTGCTGGTTTTGGTTCACCAAAAGAAGTTCTCAAAGATGCCTGGCTGTTCATGAATTCTTCTCTCTCTGAAGGGCTTCCTCTAGCCATTGGTGAGGCCGCTCTTTCTGGAATTCCCATTGTTGCTACAGAAGTTGGCGCTACTGCTTTGGTGCTCACTGACCCTGATGACTCGACAAAGCGTTACGGCGAGGTCGTACCTCCCAACGACCCAGAGGCACTCGCAAGAGCACAGCTGAGCATTCTCGGCATGCTTGGTCCCTGGGCAGAGTACACTACCGACAAGATCAAGCCACCTCCACTCCCTGACTCACTCAAGCCCGATGATGTTGCACGAATTATGGCAAGAATGTATGAAAAGGCAGCCGATCGTCGTGCTCTAGGCCTCAGACTTCGAGACGTCGTCCTTCGCAGTTTCCACGGACAGAGGTACCTTCGCGAGCACGAGCAAATGTATTGGATACAACGCTGTTGGGCAGAAACCCGTCGCTCGGCATACAAACTAAGCCGACATCCGCCAGCCAACGCCGCTTTCGGCGAGTCGAACATCTTCGAGTACGATGACGCTGGTGATACTGGAGAAGATGCTAAGGCACGTTGGCAAGACTTCCAGTTGGATCAACTGCAATCTCGTAGTCATCCGCCACCTTGAAAGGAAAGACTAGGTACGTACGAAAGGGAAATGTCGACGATGGGGTAAATCTAGGGGCTGGAAGGTCGAAGCAGCGAGTTCATAGTTTGTCAAAGCTTGAAAGTTCAACCGTTCGGATGTTCACTTCTCCTTGGTCTCATTCCATACTTCTGGGAGCCTCTTGCCAAGTGCCGCTTCTTTGTAGACCCATTTGTGCTATAGCATGTGTACGTCCAAAGGAGGCTCTTCTCGCCGAAGTTGGAAATGCAAATAGTAGGAGTCGAGGGACAGCGTTGTCTGATTCGCCCCCTCGAGTGGATGCACGTGGCCGTTTCGTCACGAACACCTTCTGCTCGGAACGGTTTCTCTCAATCCGGCCTCTCTTCACAACGATTTTCCAAATCACAAAGACATTGGCAGGAACAGGATTTTAATCCGTATATCATTGAGGATGCCGCTGTCAGATAGGATGGCTTCACTCAAATCAAACTTGAGACTTCGATTGAGGAAAGTACTCGGAGACAAACAAAAACCCTTGAGAATGGCGATGAATATGCATGTTGCGCTTCCTCTTTACATGTATCCGTCAGCAGGGACATGGCAACCACTTTACGACGCTTTGAACAACAACCCTCGAGTCACCTTCGACATCATCGTCAACCCTCGTAACGGACCTGGAGGCTCTCTCCCAGACTCTGACTACATCTCGAATATCTCCATGATAAACTCATATAACAACGTCAACACACTTGGTTACGTCCACACCAGCTATGGTAACCGATCTCTCTCAGACATCTCATCAGACATCGATACATATCAATCCTGGTCCACATACACAAACTCCAACATCTCACTCAACGGCATCTTCGTGGACGAAACACCTGCATCTTTGGATGACTATGACTATATGGAAACCATCTACAACAAAATCAAATCGACCATGAGTCATGGAAACCTCGTTTGGACAAATCCAGGCGTCCGTGTTGATGCTTCCTTTTACAACATTGCCGACATGATCAATGCCTACGAAAACACGTACGATCATTGGATGCACCAAGGAGGCAATTCGAGTATTCCGCAAGCGATGAGGAGTAAGAGTACTGTCATGTTGCATAGTTATCCTTCTGGCACTGAAACTATGGCATCTGATGTTGATGAGCTGGTGGATGCTGGCTATCATGGAGGCTTGTTGATTGTTGATGATCAATACACGAGTTTTGATCCAATGTGGTCGACTTTTACGTCGGAGGTTGGGCAGTCGAATGCGAATGTCAAATGCTGATTTTCTTGTGAAGAGAGCTGGACTGCAAGCATGTCTTGCAGCGATGAAGCTTTCTTCTGTCATGTAATATTAATTTGTTGGATATCGTTGGCAAACATCGAGGCTGGGGTTTTTGGATGAAAGTGATGCTGGGAAATTTTTAATGTATGGTTTAATCAGCTTGTATGATCATCGGATATGTTTCCACAAATGCCCGGTGTCCTGTGCACAACTTTGCACAAAGTTTCGCGCTCCTCCCCACTCGCGTTTCCAACTTGACTTCTTTCCTTGCACTCAAAGCTTCAAACTTGAGTCCTTTCTCACATCATTGTCGTCGTCAACGTGGTTTTTCTGTCACACAAGCACAACCCATGATGATATTCATGAAGAGTCTTTCTGTTCAGACGAACTCAACTCTTGTGGATGACGCGATAGCCTTCGCAGATCTACACGGTCAATGTGCATCTTGCCGGAGCTCACAGGATGAAATCCGAGTACCTAGAGGACAAAAACAACACATCTGCACAACTTGAACGATATCATCAATTCCCCCGAGATGACACGAATTTTGTGATGTTTGCCTTTTGGTCAGAACATATACTGGCCAGCCTAGGTCGGTTGAGCTGTCCGAACCACCCACCACCGTATCAGCTACATGACGGAACTACCTCGATTCATTATTCATCGCCGAAGCGGGAGCGTACTATCCGCCGATCGCGCTTGACAGCTTGGACAGGACTGGCAATTTGCTTTGCGGCACCAAGTCGACACCATGACCTGAGAGGGAGTTTGAGAAGCTGTAAAGCCGTTATGCTTCAGAGAGGGGCAGTAACACGCTCTGACCAGCGGTGTGTCGGCAAGCTTCTTCTATGAGCACCTACAAAACCATGTCGGCTGTGGGTACTTTGAAGAACAAAACCAGCTCCGCACACAATTCTGAGATCTCCTAGTCCCTCAACTCGACTGCAAGGATGCGTGTCCCTATTTTCGAATGGGTATGTCCGACACGGGCAGCGAGTGTCATCCTGCTTGGTGTTTCCCATCTGTCACATCTTGTCAATGCCCAGTTCAGCAACTCTACAGGCGGGCAGACAGTTGCCAACACGATTCTGGTCTTTGCTCGCGATCAAGCATCATCCTACTCGGCAACTTCAGGTCTCAATGGCTATGGCATTCCTTTTGAGCTTCAGCTGGTACCTCAAGCTGGCATAACTCTTCCAACGCTCAACTCGTCCGCTATTCAAGGAAACTACGGTGGTTTCATCATCCTCGGTGAGGTGTCCTACGACTATGGTAACAACACCTGGGCCAGTGCTTTAACGGCTGCTCAATTTGCTACAATCTATGCATACCAAGAAAGTTTTGGTGTGAGGATGGTCCGTATCGATGTCTATCCTGGGCCCGCTTTTGACGTTGTCCCTACGATCCCTGGCGCTGGATGCTGCGGTACTGGCGTTGAACAGCTTCTGAGCATCACCAACACAAGTGGCTTCCCATCCGCCAATCTTGTACAAGGTGCTACCATCAGTACTCAAGGCATCTGGCACTACCCAGCAACTATCACCAACCCAAACACGACTTGGGAAGTTGCAAGTCTCGCGACGAGCTCTGACGGTACCTTCTCTGGACCTAGCACGGCAGCTGTCATACACCGGGACGGAAGCCGTTTAGAGATGGTGTGGTTCTCAAGCTGGGCTACGCAATGGGCATTAACTTCCAACTACCTCCAGCACGCCTACATCGCTTGGCTGACTCGTGGTTTGACCGTTGGGTATCGTCGTATACACCTGAGTACCCAGGTTGATGATGTGCACCTGAATACAGCACTTTACCAGCCCGCAGATGCTTTGTTCAGGTTGAGAGCAGCAGATCTCCAGAACATTGCGAATTGGATGCCACAACTCAACTCAAGACTTCCATCCGGCTCGAACTACTTCATGGAGCTTGGCCACAACGGAAACGGAAACATTGTTGCTGGAATCACTTACGAAAACAAAACCTTGTGTCAACCCGACCCAGCCATCATCTACACTGGGCCCATGTCCTCGACTTCGCTCGAATACCAAAAGCCACTCGGCACGGGTACTGATATATGGCCTACAACACCCACAACGTATCGCTGGAATAAGACCTGTTCTTTGGTCGACCCTCTGTTCAAGTGGTTGTCGAACCCACAGAACATGAACGCCNTTGCACATGTCTCTCACACATTCACCCATGAATCCTTGAACAATGCAACCTTCAACGACACCTACCGAGAAATTACCTTTAACCAGGCTTGGGCAAACGTCACTGGAATCAATCAAGCCGCGAGGTGGTCACCCAATGGTCTAATTCCTCCTGCTATTACTGGAATGCACAATGGCGATGCAATCAGAGCGTGGATGACGAACGGTCTCACCTCTGCAGTCGGCGATAACACTCGAGCAGTGTTGATGAACCAACAGAACGAGTTTTGGCCATTGATGAGCACCGTAGCCAGCAATGGATACGATGGGCTGCTGATCATCCCACGCTGGGCAACAACAATCTTCTTCAATTGTGACCTTCCTGACTGTACCACAGCAGAATGGGTTGCTACTTCTGGTGGCAAAGGCGGTTTTACCCAACTTCTCGCTGATGCTCTTACAACTAACGTCCGCCATTTGATGGGGCTCCATCACGACCCCTTCATGTTCCACCAGGCCAATCTCCGCAACGCAGATGTCAATACTACCACCATCGGTTCCGTCACTGGACAGTTCGCGCTGATTCAGATCTGGGTTGAGGTCGTGACCCAAGAAATGAAACGCTTGACCAACTGGCCCATCATTTCTCTTAAACATGATGATATGGCCGTCGACTTTGCCAACCGCATGACTCGCGATCAATGCAATTCCAATCTGACCTACAAGTATGCTCTTGACGGGAAGACCATCATTTCTATCACTGTGACTGCAAATGGAAATGAGTGTGCTGCTCCTATCCCAGTTACTCTTCCAGTCGGTGCTACGAGCAGTGCTCCTGGGCTTGTCAGGGAGGTGGTTGGGTCTGAACCCTTGGTTATCTGGGTGCCATTGACTGGAAGCCCTGTCACGCTGGCTTTGGCTTCGCCGGTATCAGTCATGTAGAAGTACTTGTGAGAAGAGTAATCAACCCTCTTTCTGGGGATTGGTGTGAGACGAGAAGGAGAGAAGAACATATGTAACATATTGTCTGATGTTTTGATTTAATTAGCAACCAAAAGCAGAACCCGCTTCAGTATATCTATGTACGCGAATAGCGACGAGAGAAAGTTTTTTCCTTGCCTCACGATCATCTTGTCGATAGCCACGCGGTCAAGCCATCGCACCTGCCGCAACCCGACGTCCTCGGCAACAGACTCAAATAACAATGCAGAACTTCTGCCCATTGTTCCTGCCTCGTGGATACTGCCAGAAAGTCGCAGTCAGAATATTGTTGCCTCGACATACTGGTCTGGCAGTCACGTTCCAACGCAGCATTGTTGTTCTTTCATAATCATCATTCTATCATCATCTTCAACGACCAAAGTCAATGGAACCATCTTTGGCCGTTTCCCCAATGATCATGCCACCGACAAACCGACGCTTTTAGCTTTTGCAGATCAGATCGAGGCTGAGCTCCTGCGCTAGGTATGGCGTGACCTCAGGAATTAAGCTTAGGAACAAGCTTACCTTGATGCTCCACCACAAAACATCAGAAGAGTCTAGCTTCCTCTTCTCCATATGGAAAAGCGCTTATAAAATGCAAAAGCGATGGGCATGGTGTCTTCCTTTGCTCATGCGAACTTACTTGTTGCGCGCGTAACAACGTTCCAAGAAGTTTTGGTTGACATATCCACATCAGGTGAGTCAAACATGGTCTGGAGACATCACTTGAAAGGTGGCTTAGGGCATACACTCGGCAAGAAGGAGCGAGAAGATAGGCAAAGTCTAGACAAGAGAGATCTTCATGGGAAAGCGGATGGTTTGGAGAGCGAGTCATCGATGAAGACGATTGTGGAGTTTTGGAAAGTGTTGTGGAGATGTGGATACGGGGTTGGGAAGTCTTGAGGTATGATATGAGATGTGAGGCGGGGTGTCACGGTGGACATGAAGCAGAGGGTGAGATGGTTGGTTGAGGATCGAGTACAAGACATGACGTAAGGTGAGAGAGCTTGGTGTTGGCTGCTCTTCCCCATGCTGGATGGGAAGTGAGATCCTGCATGGGCAGGGTAATACAACATGACTTGCTATCATTGCTTCAGCTACTGTCCGGATCCGAATAGTCCAGCGTGTCACACACAACAACGAATTTGGGACCACACGCAGCAAACAACTGGACGTGTCAAATGAATATGGTCTAATATCTCTGATACGACCTATGCAGTCAACCTCCTTTGTATCAAGTACCGATGTCTGTATTTCAAACTTGATCATCCAGCTTGAGCAGAGCTCAAGACCCGCATCGCCTATACAGCATATCATCCAAAGAGGACTGGAAAGTACGTCAGTAGATTCTCGGATGGAGGGGTACTGTACAACGGGGAAATGAGGAAGAGCAACAGGTCCATGATACAGACGCAGTGTGCTATCTCCCAAATCATATTCTCACATCGCCCTTCTCTGGAAATAACTCCTCGATGCTCGAACAAACAGGCTGAGCTTGTTGACCTGCTTATCCCCTTTCGCTCCTACCTCAAAAATTCAACATGATCCATAAACGGAAACACAGGCAGCTCTGACGAATACTTCATCGGAGACAGTTCTCTTGCATCGATGTTGTGATCTGAAACCATATTGCGTGAGGGTTTGATCTGAGATGGCTAGCAGTGTACTTTCTTATGGTATGGAGGAGCAAATAAAATTCTAAGTGGAATGTACGAAACCATGAGTGTGCACGCCATACTCTTGCTCTAGGTAGGAGCATTAGATGCACCTTCCATGTTAGTATGATAACTTGTTGTACCACATACAAATCGGCAGTGCTTAAGATGGATGGCTCCTTCCCATCTTGAGTTCTTGACTGAGGCAAGACCACAGCCTCGACAATGTGGATGGTTCTTTCCAATCATGTATTGATGGCACATGCAAGTTTTGGTCCCATCGAGCTGCATGTTGGCTCCAAGTCCAGTAGAACAGATTCCTGTATACTGTCAAAATCGAAAATGTCGTATTAGTATTCTCTCTCATGGCAGCGTGACCTAGTGGAGGCTGGGAAAGGTTTGTTTCCATCTTCTACTAGGTGGGAGAGGAAAGGACGACAGGTCTGCGACTCACCGATACCTGCTACTCTCTCCTTTCTGGAGGGGTGATGGGCATGAGCGCGAAACAGGACCGGGCAAGAGAACTTGAGGGAGCTTGGAGTATTCGATGACAACCACGTTTCACAGACCTGGTTGCTTTATCCTTGCCACCTTCAACACATGGCTCCAACAATCGTTGGCCTAGATCTCTAGAACACCTAGCCCCTTTACTCTCATTATTCTGTGGTACCTTAAGTGCGTTCTTCGATCTCTTTCTCGAAGGTAGTGATGACTGTGAAAGATGATATAACAAATACATACATAATTCTAACCAGCGACTATCTTACACTTGTCACAAGACCTTGCGTGAACCATGTTCTTCAATACAACGTTGGAGTATTGAACACAGTGCCGTCGCAATACTCCACCCATCCACCCAGCTCTTTACCCTTGATCACCTCTGAGTATCCGAGATTTCCCTTTATCTTACAGCTCTGCGCCAGCGCTTGCTTGCTCACCGCACCTGGAGCGCCNCAGGGGTATTCGATCTGAAAGACTGGTTTGCCGGCTGCGATGAAGTTTTGATAGATGTCACACTGGCCCTGGGCAATNACCTGGTACAAGAGGTCAGAATGAGGTCTCAGCAGACTGGAAAGTACGAGAGGGAATTACTTACAAGATTCTATGATGGAGAACTCAACCATACAGGTAGCGTTTGTAGCGATTGTACCAGCATTTTTGAGACCGATGGCCATGTTGTAGGATGCGGCTGTCAATGAGAGGAAAGAGAGGTAGTTGAGAGCAGTGCTTGAGTTGAGAGGAAAGCCAGTATCNAATTTCCTGTGCCTTTATTAGCTTTATTTAACGGAAAATATGCTAGGGAGTGAGGTTCGTAAAGATGACAGCTGATGAGAACAGCCAGTGAAAGCCATGCAGAAGCTCTGTAGAAGAAGAAGAAGACTCACAAAACCATCCATGTTGTCTGGGTCAACAGCATCGCATCCCTTCTCAGCTGCCATTTTGATCCTGTCTGCCATGATACTTCTCACAGTTTGGCTTTCGGTATTCAACCATTTTTCACCAGGCCAACCACTAAGATCATTGCCAATATCTTGAAGAGGAAATCTCCAAGCATCAGGTCGGTGAATCTCCCAACTACCAGCGGAGAAGTAGCAGATGACTTTGATGCCTTGAAGATGCATCAGTTGGATGGTGGCAGCGGTGTTGCCGTACATATCGATGTCATAAACCGAGAGAGCAGGCAGCAGAGCTTTTGTAGCATCAATGGGACTGTTGAGCACAATTTGCCAAGGTGTTCCGGGAAGAGGTTGCCAAAGCGGTGTTGTGTTGGCCATGAGATTCAGTCCCAACAGACTCAGACTCCCGGCATGACATCCTGTTCCCTGAGATGCAGTCGCAACAGGAGGATCAGAGCGTTTGTTTGGAGTATCAGTGGAAGTGGACTCTGGAGCCTTTGCGGAATTGGTCAACCCGACACCAAGCCCTACACCGAGGGTGATGCCGAGTACAGCGATAGTGCCTGCCACGGCGCCGAGGGTGCGGAATTCGTGACGGCGATACCAAGGGACCTGGCGCTGGCGCGGTGGTAGTTTTTCGTCGTTGTGAAAAGGACTGGACGACGTCTTGTGAATCTCCTCCATATGTGCTTTGAAAACTTGGAGACTGTCGTGGACTGAGGATATGCAAGGAGTGAAGATATGCAAGGAGTGAAGATATACAAAGGCAAACACAGGGGTGAAGTAAACCAAAGCTGATGCTGAGATATGAATATGGTGCTGTAGCGGATATGTCAAAAGAAACCTGGTGGTCGATGTCGTTTTATTCTCCTCATAGCCTCCACGGCTACTGGTGATCTCCAAACTTACAGAGTCTAAGCCCTGAGGCTGTTCTAGGAGGTCTAACGGAGTCGATGCTTCCCGAATCTACATGTCGTTCTGGCGTAAGAAAGAGGCCTCTCCACAATTTGTCAAGCGCGATATATTGAGCAGTCGTGTCTCGAGGTGGGGATGAATTTGTCGCGATCGTCACGCGTTACTGGTACTACCGGCGTTCTCAAATGCTGTTCATATGCCTACTCTCCGATAAGGTATCGAGCTACATATTGGTACTAGCCTCCCACCCATCATCATATACTGGCGCTCTGGCCGAGTGGTTAAGGCGTTTGACTCGAACTAGCTTCTGATATCAAATCCATTCGTGGGCGTGTGTTCGAATCACACGGGCGTCGACATACTTTTACTCTTTGTGCATGTGCTGTGGTTCTTTTGTCGCAGAGAACGAGATATGTGGAAGAGCAGCGAGATGGTTGAAATCTTGGCAGCCAGGCTTCAGCTTTTTTGTGGACTTGGCGCGTCGAGCGGAACGGTATCGACGGCGGAGGAGTCTTGGCGTAAGATTTCGACAGGGTCTTACCCATAACAATCGTTTCCATCTCTTTTCCACGATTACACCGCCAATTGTACTTTCGACATCACCTACTTGTGAGTTAGCACTCTTCGTCCCAGCATAATTCCTATATCAACTCATCCGATGGTTGTGGCTTGTTGTGGTTGAGCAATGTCCACTCAACGCTTTAAACATGTCGAGTTCAAGAAAGCTTCCACAAACCGCAAGAAGTATGATCGGACGATCAGATTACTTGACATCAAACCCAGATAAGGTGCTCACATGAAGAAGAGAGTATTGTTGTTTTGAAGATATATTGGATTAGGTGTTATTAGAGGGTATCTGATAATCATGCAAACACTTTAGGAGGACAACCCCTTTCCAACCCAGTGTATAAGAAAAAGGTACAAAAGAAAACACACTAAACGCCAGTTCATCCTTCGTCATAAAAGTACAGCTATCGAGCTTGGCTGATGCCAGTCGTCATCAACATTGAGACGGACGTTCAACTACAGGCCGATGGAGGTTTTGTAGGGTATCGAGTTAATGGTACAGGGTGAGAGACAAACAGCTCTTGAGTCGCTTAGAAATCACGAGTGCTAGCAACACCAGGAGAGGTGTAGTAACCACCGTGAACGCTGGGGATGGCACCTGCGGGAACGTCGGCAGTGCGATCAGGGATAGTACCAACGTTACGCTCACTACCGTAAGAACGGGGAATGGTGGTGGTGGCAGGAATCTCTCTGTCGTGAGGGTTGTAGCCAACGTGAGGAGCATGGCCGTCATGGGTAAGACCTTCCTTCTGGATGACAGTGGGGTTGGCGCCGACAGCAGTGTTGCCAGAGTAAGCAGTGTCGTGGGAAGGACGGATGGTGTGGCCAACGGGAAGAGGGTTGGGGTTGGTGCCAATAACACCCTTCTCAGCGTAGTCGTCGGTAGGGACAGTCTTGGGCTTTCTGACGAAGAGGCCGCGCTTGGGGGCGGTGCCAGAAGTGTAGTCGTTGGAAGGGCTAGGTCCGAATCTCTTCTCCTTCTTGTGGTGACGCATGAGAGCGAGTTGCATAAGAGCAGTGAAGAGGAAGAGAACAGCTCCGGCAATGGCAACGGCGAAGACAGCCTTGTTGAGCTTGCAGGCAGTGCCGAGGTTGGGAGAGAAGTTGTGTCTGCCCTGGGTGAAGGGAATAGCATTGTTTGCAGGTCCGTTACCGATAGGGGTGACGACGTTGTTCTTGCAGCTCTTGGCGCCCTGGCGAGTCAAGACAGCGATGGCGATCATGCCACCCATGCATAGAATGTCGAAGAGCAGACCAAGGGCGGAGAGGAAGGTGATGCCGGCCAAGCAGCATGTCAAAAGAACGGTGCAAATGGTGTACAGAGTGATAACACCAGAGAGACCCTCAACAGCCTTCCATTTGGTGGGGATGTCGAGATTGTGATCTGCGAGGACAGCGAGGAAGAAACTGAAGATGCCGATGATGATGGCGGCACAGCAGAAACAGAGGAAGTAGAGAGCAGTCTGCAACAGACGCAAGGCGCCTCCCTTGAAGATACCCATGGCGATTGAAGGATCAACTTTGAAAGAAGAGACTGGAAAGGGATATTCCTCGAACGAGAGAGGATATTGAGAGGCGTTGACTGTTGTTGGTGATGGTGAAGTGGAAGTCGCTTGATAATGATCCTATTCCAACGAGGGAAGGAAGCTCTTAATATGTGCTTCCCCAACTAGGAGCCGGTCCACGTCAAAACTTGCAATCAAGTGACACAACAGCACGGAAAGCACAAGAGTCCAGAAAGACGTCACCTTCAGCCAGTCGTCATCGCAGTTGTAAAGGGAAGGGACGGGTTGTGGCTTGTAATAAAGTTTAGCGTGGAGCGGCAGAGACCCTGCGAATCATCAAAATTACTTCATAATTATCTTTCCGCGTGCTTTTTGCGTGTCATTCGTCGAGAAACAGGGAACACGTCTAACGGCATTGCTGCTATCGATGAGAGGTCATGGTATTTCCTTCTTGCCCGTGTGAGCGGGTGAAGACAGTGTGGACTCTTATGTGGAAGTGATATAGCAATGATTCACGACAGGGATTCTTGAGCACAGCCGATTTCTGTTCTGGATAGCCACATATCCAAGCCACAAGCAAATCCGGGGTCCATAACAACTTCCTGCACAAACGTTAGAGTCCTCTTTTGCGTCGCTTGGATTTGCGAGATTAATCAGACCTCCGTTCAGCACACCAATCAAGGCCGGGTGCCTTGTGTTCACCACATGCAGCAAACCGTTCGTAGCTCTAGACAAAGTTCCTTGAATTCACCATTCGTCTCAACACTGAAGCTTCAAGCCACGTTATTACGTCGATTCATACGAGGAGGGAGCATAGATCGGATACAGCTTGCGACTCCTTCAATTGATGATCATGCTGTTGTTCACGAATGCTTGTGGTATATCTCATCAATGCTGGACCAGAGATAGTCGATCTTTATTGACGAGTCGTTTTGTTCCAATATTATATCTCATTTCCATCACCTGCATACCGCTGTGAGTCCATCCGTCACGCAGGAACATGATATATATACAACTTTAAATTCACATTCCTTGCTCGGCGTTCGTGGCGTTGCGCAGCCTTACAAGCTATTCGCGGCAGTGGCTACGAACCCTTGCAATCCCTCGGAATAAAGACGAGAGTTTCTGGTCGACAAACTGCCCAGTTGCTTGGGAATTAACAAAATGGTATGGATAAACATATTGATTGGGTTTGGTGGCTGTTTCTTCTTTGGATCGGGTCTCTCGGCCAGCGGTCATAACCCCAGGAAATTGCTTCTTTTCTGAGACGGTATGACCGCAGATCATCCGAATCGATCCGTCCGAGCCATTCGGCACGCAGGTCCAGATCTCCACATGCGCACGCACAAGATTCAAGTCGACGCGTATGAGACTTACCAGAACACAGGAGCCCCGAGGAAACGTGACGTTGGTTCGATGAAGAACTCGTCACACCCGTGACGGTGTGATTCATATCCACTGCGCAAGAGCTCAGGAGCCCCATGACTACATGTACAGACCAGACCCGGTTTCCTACAATGAAGGCAGAGACAAAAAAATGCGAGCAATGTCTTCCCTCGGCCGACCCATCGTGATCGAGTCGACAACCCCGCAACCAGCTTGCCAGAAGCGGCCTACTCGACGTCGTTGGACTTGATCAAAACCTTGACGTGGTTGTCTTTGTCTTTCAGCAAGGTCAAGAAACCTTCCTCGATCACGTCTTTGAGCTCGACCTTNTTGGTAATCATCTTTTCTGGCTTCATCCTACCAGAGCTGATTGCCTGGAGGACTTCGTCAAAATCTCCGAGCACATACGTAGCGACACCCTATGATCAATCAGTCGTGTCGATAAATGGTCCATGAAAGCTACCGACCTTGTACGTTTTCTCTCGGAAAACAAATTGTTTCGGTATGATTCTTGCATCTTTCTCCCTGGGTCCATAGTCAGCATGAATTTTCAGACCATCTCCGGTAAGTCAATCAAGGGTCTGTCTCCCAATGACGACGCCAAACGGTCCTTGTTGATTGCGATTTATGAGAACTAACCAGATGGCGATATTCACCAAAGTGCCTCGAGCCCTCATCGCGAGTACCGCAGAGTCAAGTCCAGCTTGAACACCTGTCGCGTCGAACACGCAATCCACACCTCGAATGCCTCCGCAGATTTCTTTGCACCGCTCCGGAATGTCATCTTTTGTTGGGTCCAAGATGAAGTCTGCGCCAAAGTCCTCTGCAAAAGCTTTGCGTTTTGTAGAGACTTCCGAAACGATGATGGTACCATTACCATGTGCTCGAAGAGCTTGGATCACAGAGAGACCGATCGGCCCTCCACCAAGAATCAAGGCGAATTGGCCCTTCTTGAAATCTTTGACCGGAGACATGTTGACTGCGTGCCACGCGACAGCTAGTGGCTCCACAAGCGCGGCTACCTCCAAGGACACATTGTCAGGCACAGGTACTACACAGTACTCTGGGACCACGATGTGTTCAGCCNNTGGATGGACTTGTCAGCAAGATTCGCGACAAAGGCATACTAGCCCTCCTCCCCAGCCCGAGAGCCCGACGAACCCGTTCTTATCGCAGCAATTGGGAATGCCATCCTTGCAAGATCCACATTCTCCACAGTAGATGATTGGCTGTACGACAACTCGTTGTCCGCGTGTATACTTGTCGGATACACCTTGTCCTAGCTCTTCGATGATGCCGCTGAATTCGTGACCGATGGTCAAAGGCACAGTCTCGTTAGTGATAGGGTGAGGAGTCGTGGGACATAGTGAAGGACCACCCATGTATTCATGGAGATCTGAGATGAAAATGTTAATTCCTAGTCATCTGGCGGTGTCGCTTGACTGACCAGTGCCACAAATTCCGCACCAAGCTGGTTTGATCATGATCTGACCATCTCCACATTGTGGGCTTTGGATCTCTTCCAGCCGAAGGTCTTCTTTGCCGTGGATACGCAGCGCCTTCATAGTACCTGCCTTGGAGTTTTTCGGTGTGATAGCGGAATCTACCTTGCTCAATTGTTCGGACATGGCTGGAAACTATAGTTGAAGCTGTGAAATCTGTGGTTGAAGGTATGAAGGTTGTTGTGGTACGAATCTGATGACTATCCTTCAGATATATGTGACGGTGAACAGCTCGCCCCACCGACTTACTGCTGTAGCGCTAATCCGCAAGATGGAGTTCCAACTCTGGACATCCGAGATGCCTTTCGTGGCCAACCCCTCAATTCCCCGCACTTCCTATCTCTGCAGATCCGGGGCATTGCATCTTGCGTTGCTACTCAGACAACAAGATAGGTAACACTTGTCGTTCTTCTCCTGAGTCCAGGTGTCCTGAAATTCCAAGAGGATGAATCGGGCAGCATCTTGGTGCTCGTTGACATTGACCGAGTGATTCGCGGAAACCAATTTCTCCATGTATTATGGCGAAGACGGCCGGACCTACTCCTTCCAAGCAGCCACTGTCGGGCCATGGCTCAACGTCTCAGCTGGGGTGGCTGAGAGTTCCTTATAAGAGTTGTTCTGGAAGCTCGTCTTCAACTCCGTGCATCGGAATATTCTTGGCGCTAAGTACTCGGGTTTCCTAACTGGAAGAACATATGCACGAACGATCTGATGGGGATTGTCCGCTTGGAGAGACGGCATCGATATGGTCTTCTCAGTAGTCTCTACAGCTGGTAAGCGCGTTTTTGTATAGACGCAATGTCGAGTGAATTGGTTGTTGCTTGATGGTTCAGGTCTGCGGCGGTCAAGGAGTTTGTCGCCGACATGGTTTGACTTGTTTGAACATGTGGGGTGAGCTCGAGGAGCTCGCTGCGCGCACTGAGCTGTGCTTTATCAACTCCGCAAAGTCCCGCTGTGTCACCCTTGACCTTGATCACGAAAAGGCTATCCGCCAACAAATTTTGGCTGTTCTCGACGCATCTCAGAGCTGTGAGAAGGATTCTGTGTAGGATTACAACGCGATGTAATTCGGCAAGGCATATTTGGCCTTCCTTCCGGTGGTATGGCGGTTCATCTGTTTCTGGGTCCGTCCCGATCGAAGATTCAGAGCCGCATCTGCTCCACAAGTCAAGATGACATATTTCAGATTCCCCTCCGTTACATCATCGGTGATTGGTGGAGTCAATCAGGCAAAATATGCCCCTCTATTTTTCCGACACTGACCGCCGAGCCAAGATGGAGCAGTTTGATCACCATGAGGTCGCAGAAGACACAGGAGTCAAGCTGCCAGACGAGTCTCGAGAGACGGTGAGGATATGTAGGGAAGCTGAAAAGAAGAAGCTTCTTCGATGCAGCCCAAGTGTGCGATTTGAGGTTCGAATCTCCAGTTCTTCCTGGGCCATAGTTTCCGCGGTGACAGCAACGGCTTGATCAATTACGTCGAGCACGCTTGTAGCTGCTGCATGAGATCACGTTGCTTGGAGGGGAGCTGTTCTCTGCCCCAATATTTTGCCGCCTACAAAAGGTTTCGAGCTGCACCTCTTCACTCAATTCCCACATACATTCTACATTACACCTTTCTCTTTCTCAAACCTCCAAACAATTTACATACCGCAACAATGGGTTACCCTGAAACTGCCGAGGGCTTCATGATCCACGACCACAAGAAGTGGTGAGTACACATTGATCAGTTCGCAACTGAACAAGGTGCTGACTAGCGTCATTTCCTAGGTNCCGACTTCAAGAAGGGCGAGTTCAAGCTTAAGAAGTTCGAGGAGCACGACGTCGACATTGCCATTGAGGCTTGTGGTGTTTGCGCTTCCGACCTTCACACCATCACTGGAGGCTGGGGTGATGCTCCCCTCCCTCTTTGCGTCGGCCACGAGGTCATTGGCAAGGTTGTCAAGGTTGGCAACAAGGTCACCAACTGCAAGATCGGTGACAGAGGTCAGTACAATGCATAATTTGATTGATCAAGACTGCTTTCTAACAATGTTTCCANNGTCGGCGTTGGTGCTCAGATTGGTGCCGACTTGACCTGCGACAACTGCAAGGCAGACCAGGAGAACTACTGCCCCAACTCCATCGACACCTACGGTGCTCCTTACCCTGATGGCACCATTTCGCAGGGTGGTTACGCTTCGCACATTCGTGCCAACGACTACTTTGTCTTCAAGATTCCCGACAACCTCGAGACTTCGATTGCCGCCCCTATGCTCTGCGCTGGTCTCACTGTTTACTCTCCTCTTGTCCGCCTCGGCGCTGGTCCTGGCAAGAAGGTCGGTATCATCGGTATTGGTGGTCTTGGTCACTTCGCTCTTCTGTGGGCCAAGGCCCTCGGTGCTGAGGTCTACGCCATCTCTCACTCTCCCAGCAAGAAGGAGGACGCCCTGAAGATGGGTGCCAAGGAGTTCATCTGCACCAAGGAGAAGGGCTGGAACGAGCCTTACAAATTCGCCTTCGACTTTGTCATCAACACTGCCGACGCCATGGACCAGTTCAACCTCGACGACTACTTCAGCACCCTCAAGGTGTGGGGTAAGTTCCACATGGTCGGCTTCGGTGACAAGCCTATCCCCACCCTCATGGCCCAGCAGTTTGCCGGCAACGGCTGCTCGCTGGGTGCCTCCTACATTGGTAACCGCCCCGAGATGGAGGCCATGTTCGAGCTCGCCTCGAAGCAGAACATCAAGTCGTGGGTCGAGACAATCGACGTCAGCGCAGAGGGCTGCAAGACTGCCCTGGAGCGTCTCGAGAAGAATGACATCAAGTACCGCTTCACTCTTGTCAACTTCGACAAGGAGTTCGGCAAGCGCTCTTAGATGTGCGGGTTGACACGGTTGGATGATTAATATTGTAATACACCTACACGATTTTCATGATGAAGAACGAAGTTGGACTTGGTCCTTGGCTGGCCAAGGTAGCATTTTGGAATAGCTAGATCGCTCTTGCGAGTAGATGTAGTATCAAACAACATTTCGGAAGACTTGGTTACTTCTGTCCTTTTGTCAGTGATAGTTATTCTCGGTCAGTTTAGAATCAATTGCAGGCCAAGATTGCATATCATTTCTCGGTCGGACATGCGGATGGATGATCAGCCGGCGTCGGCGGTCCCTACAAGATTTGTCGACAACATCCAAACCTTAGTTGACATTTGACATGTGCCTGAATCGTGGTTGCAACTGCCGGTCGTGATGGTTGGTATGCACTCTAGATGGGCGACGGCATGTCTCGTAGACGAAGACGGTAAGTAGACAGGGTAGGACTAGAGTGCCGAGAGCACAAACCGAGTCGCCCCCACATCAGAGGGCCCGCTCCCCTGTCCCGCGTGGAGGCCGAGATGGATTGATTAATTGATAATCACGCGGCTGCCCTTGAATCGTTTCAGGAGTCTTTCGTGTCCATAGCCTCTGTCGCATACTCACCATCGAAGCATACAGCAATGGCAGACTACACCGTGTAGGTACACGTCCAACGCGCGTCACAAGAGCAGTTGCCGAACATGGCTAACACGGCACAGTCCCCTCTGGCTCGACGGCAAAGAAGTCGTTACCGATACCACCTTCGATGTCAACTCGCCCGTCACCGAAAAGAAGCTCTACAGCTGTTCCTCCGCCTCGGTCGAAGATGCCCAGAAAGCCGTCGACTCGTGCCAACGTGCCTGGAAATCATGGAAGAAGATGAAGAGCACCGAGATCCGCAAGATTCTCTTGAAGGCCGCAGATGTCATGGAAAGCCGCTTGGACGAGCTGGCTAGCTACCAAATGGAAGAGACGGGTGCTCCTGACTTCATTGTCAAGAGCTTCAACTTGCCCACAACTGTCGAGATGTTCAGAGATGTCGCTGGTCGCATTGGTGGTATTGTCGGCATGATCCCTCAGACACAAGACGGTGGAGCTCTGGTCTTCAAGGAGTCTTACGGTGTCATTCTGGGCATTGCTCCTTGGAACGCTCCCTACATCCTGGGTCTGAGAGCCGTCATCTACGCCCTGGCCACTGGCAATACTGCCATTCTCAAGGGAAGTGAACTTTCTCCTCGCTCCTTCTGGGCCATCGGAAGTGTCTTCCACGAGGCTGGTCTGCCCGCTGGTTGTCTCAACGTTCTTTACCACCGGCCCCAAGATGCTGCCGCTGTGACCAACAGACTGATCGAGGCACCCGAGGTCAAGAAGATCAACTTCACCGGCAGCACCGCTGTCGGCGCCATCATCGCCGCTAAAGCTGGTCAGAACCTCAAGCCCTGCTTGATGGAACTGGGTGGCAAGGCGTCAGCTCTTGTTCTCGACGATGCAGATATTCAGAACGCCGCCTTCCAATGCGCCCTGGGAGCTTTCGTTCATGCTGGTCAAATCTGCATGTCTACCGAGCGCATCGTTGTCCACAAATCCATCATTGAGCCCTTCTCGGAAGCCCTCAAGGCCGCCATCGCAATGATCTACCCTACCTCTGGTGAAGCTCCTATCCTGGTTGCAAGGCCAGCAGTCGAAAAGAACCAAAAGCTTATCAAGGACGCTGTCGAGAAGGGTGCCAAGCTTCTCTACGGCGACCTCAACTCANAAGAGACAAACTCACACCGTCTTCGCCCCTTCGTCGTGCAAGACGTGACCAAGGAGATGGACCTTTACTATACCGAGTCTTTCGGCCCCTCAGTATCTCTTCTCACCGTCGAATCGGACGAGGAGGCAGTAGACTATGCCAACGACACTGAGTACGGTCTCTCCGGTGCTATCTTCACCAAGGACCTGCAAAGAGGTATCAGACTCGCCAGACAGATTGATAGCGGTGCTATCCACATCAACCAAATGTCTGTACACGATGAGGCAGGTCTACCTCACGGTGGTGTCAAGAAGTCTGGTTGGGGTCGTTTCAACCACGAGTATGGGCTCAACGAGTTCTTGAAGCTCAAGACTGTTACTTTTGCTGGTGACTGGTGAACGTGAGATGTTGTTTGTGAATTTGCCTAGATACCATCTTGACGATTTTTCTGTTATATATACCAAAGTTTATGAATTAAAGCGTCCACATGTCGATTACCCATGGCTTGTCACCGAACAATATCAGCCTACTCTTAATCACCTCGTGTCTGTGTGTGCTCAACACAGCAGATGTGTGGATAAGTCGACCTGTGCACAGTTTCATAATCTTATGCAAGCTATCTATCCTTCTCCACAGGTCAAAGCTCGTCTCTTATATTGCCCCAACACCACCTTGCAGGCTGCGGCATGCAACACTCGCCGTCTGTGACGTGTCTGTGTGGACATGTACTTGTATCGAACGCTTTTTGCTGGCATTCAACAGCTAGCTGGTAGTGGAAAAAGCGATCAGACAATGTCGGACTCATCTTCCCCGCCGCCATCGCCGACGAGGAGCATAAGCGATGCTAAACGTGTTGAAGACGACGTCTTGACTGGACCATCAACCGAAGACGAGATTTCCAGCGATGTATCAGATGCAGAAAAAGACACTATCGTCGTTGAACCACTCGATGACCAAGACAATGAGGCTTTCAAACTTCGAGCGTATCAAGATGAGATGCTGGCAGAGAGCCTGAAGCAAAATACCATCATCGTGCTAAACACTGGCGCTGGTAAAACACACATGTAAGTTTGAGATCAAAGAGCCGACGAAACTGCACCGAGAAGGTTTGACGAAAGCCATCTTTTACAATAGANNGCACTTGCCAGGACAAGAGCTGAGTTGGAACTGGAACATTCAGACAAACTTGTCTGGTTTCTTGCACCTACAGTCGCCCTTTGTCACCAGCACCACAAATCAATCACAACGAATTTGCCGGCATATCAAACAAGACTTCTTACCAGCGAAGATGGCGTCGACAGATGGACTGATCAAACAGTCTGGAATGGCGTGCTCAAGGATATGAATGTAGTTGTCAGCACGTATGGTGTCCTCTATGATGCCCTATGCCACGGATTCGTTGCGATGCGGAGGCTTTCGCTGTGTGTGTTTGACGAAGCACATCATTGCACCAAAAGCNATGCTTCCAACATGATCATGCAGCAATTCTATCGACCAGCCAAGACTGCTGGACGGCAAGTGCCTCGGATCCTTGGTCTGAGTGCTAGTCCAGTGATGAATGCAAAAGCTGGAGGTCTGGAGGTACTCGAAGCGAACATGGACAGTCATGCGATCACACCGCGCCTACACAGATCGGAGTTGATGCAGTACGTGCATATTCCGGAGCTCTTGAAACGAACTTTCGAAAGCAAGGAGGCCCATGACACACCAAACTCGTTGCGAGAAGCCCTGACTACTGCCATATACAACTACAAGATACGCGAAGACCCATACCTCGTCGAGATCGTCCAAAATGGCGGGCCCGATGTAAAAGCCAAAGTGGACGAGATCCTCATGTCACGAAAGACTTATTGTACAGATCAGCTGAGAGCGCTTAGAAAGCGTGCAGAGGTCATTGCTAGAGACATCAGTCCATCTGCAGCAGAAACATATATCCAGGCTTGTCGTGACAAATTCCTTGCAGGCGTCCAGCAGAACGATGTTTCATGGATGCCGGACCTTTCAGACAAGGAGAAGAGTCACCTTGCAAAACTTCTAACAGATTTGCGTGTGGATCCGATTTACTTGGAGACGACTGTGAGTCCTAAGCTTCAACTACTTTTGGACATCTTGAGAGAAGAGTCTGGACTATCTTTCACTGGTATCGTTTTTGTAGAACAAAGGGCTGTTGTGGCTGCTCTGGCAGAGTATCTGACTTCTACCCCGGAGATGTCGCAACTGTTCAACATTGGCACCTTTGTGGGAGGCTCCAACTCATCCAAGAAGAAATCAAACATTGGCGACATCAACGACCTCAAAGCACAGCAACAAACACTCGACGACTTCAGGATAGGAAAGAAGAATTTGATTATTGCGTCAAGTGTGCTTGAGGAAGGCATAGACATATCTTCGTGTCAAACGGTCATCTGTTTTGATGCTCCTCTGAACCTAGTATCCTTCGTTCAAAGACGAGGCAGAGCAAGGAAGAGAAATTCAAAGTACATCATCATGCTGGCTGACGATGACGATAAGGGCGAGCCAGCCAAGTGGCACCAATTGGGAGACCGGATGAAAGCGGCATACGAGGACAAATACAGAAACGCCCAGCTGGCAGCTCAACTAGAGCAAACCCACGAATCCGAAGACAGGAAATATGGAGTGCTGAGTACGGGTGCTCTACTCACTCTTGACAACGCAAAGTCACATCTCAATCATTTCTGCGCTACCCTTCAAACTGCCAATCACGTCGATCATCGACCTGTATTTGAGTGTCGGACAGACGCAGAAACCCTGGTTACAGCAAAAGTGCTTCTGCCTTCTTCTGTAAACAAGAAGTATCGGGCAGCCGTCAGCGCACACAGCTGGAAGACTGAACGTGCAGCGATGAAAGATGCAGCGTTTCAGGCTTGTGTAGCATTACACCGTGGTGGTCTGCTCAACGACCATTTGCTTCCCCCCCACATCCAGATGCCAGATCAAGCGCGTCAGAACCGACCTGGTCTCACCAAAGTTGCGACGAAGGTTGATCCTTGGGCAGTAGACACGTCACACTCTTGGTTCAGACACGTTGTTGAGCTTGAAATAGAGGGAAGGTCTAACATCTTGATGGCAATGTTTCTGCCTGTTGAGTGCCCAGACATTCAAGACATCGCCATCCATTGGAGCATGTGGATCAGAGGTGTCGCAAAAATCGGAGCTGGTCAGCCGTGCACACTGACTGAGGAGGAAGCCAATCAAAAGCAAAAAGATACCGAAACCATGCTTCTTTCTGTGCTCTCACCTGCCAATGTCGAAAACGTAAGAGGCAGGTATGCAGCAATGTTCGAACCCTTGGATAGACCGTCCATGGGCCCACTGAGCAGAACGAGTCGACCAGCAACTGAAATCTTCTCTACCGTGCAACCAGAAGCAGATGTGGGTCTCGTACAACTCAACGGACAGCTAGGAAGAAGTTACGTTTTCCAAAGCATACAAGGTCAAAACCAGCAAATCTTGGAAGTCACAAATTTCCCAAAGAAACGCGACTTCCTCACTCGACCTTCCGAGGAATCAAAGAAGAATCAAATTACTCGAGAGACACTGGCAACGGCACAATGCACTATCAATGTCCTTCCAGCGAGATATTCATGCTTCGCTGCTTGCATTCCTTCAATCCTGCATAAAGTCGAAACGGCCATCCTCGCTGCTCGTCTGCAGAATACTCTTCTCAAGCCTGTCGGCATCAAAAATCTGCAACTCATCATCGAAGCCACCACATCGGGTGCTGCAGACTTTACTGCCAGTTATGAAAGATTGGAATACCTTGGCGACGCAGTGTTGAAGTATTGCACCCATGTCCAACTGGCAGCCCAACACCCGGAATGGCCAGAAAGCTACCTGACGGCTGAGAAAGGAAGGACGAATGGCAATGCATCACTTTTTTGTGCGGCTCTGAGCAGTGGCGTGGACAGATTCATCTCAACAACCAGATTTACAGGAAACCATTGGAACCCGCCAATACTCTGCACAGATCAAGAAAGTAAAAACGACAAGAACGTGGACAGGAGTACCAGAACACTCGCAGATGTCGTGGAAGCATTGATCGGTGCTTCGTTCATGGATCAAGGTCTTGAGGGAGCATTAGCCTGCATCCGCATTTTTCTGCCTAATGAACAGTGGTTAGACCATAAAAGCTGTCTATCCGCCCTGATCGCCCAGACACCTTCTCTATCCAGTACTCCACCTTTTCTCGATACCGTCGAAACACTCATCGACTACAAATTCACCAACCCCTCGTTGCTGTTGGAAGCGCTGACTCACTCCTCCTTTTCCTCGCCCGAAGCCCTCTCCTATGAAAGACTAGAATTTCTCGGCGACGCAATACTAGACCAACTCCTGGTGCCCACCATCTTCTCTGCAACACCCGCACTCAAGAACCACGAAATGCACAGAATGAGACAAGCACTAGCAAACGCACACATCCTAGGAATCTGCTGTTTGGAACTGTCACTCGCCTCTCCACGCCTAGAACCCTCAACAAACGAAACCGGAGAGTTGATGTTACAGGAATCAGTGCACCTACATCACNCCCACGATTTTTTGCGCTGTGGAGTCAGTATCCAGAACCAACGCAAAGCAGCTTTGGACAGATATACCCTTCTACGCACCACCATCCTCGAGCAACTAGAAACCAGCCACGAGTACCCATGGCCAGATATGCTGCGTCTCAGCCTCCACAAATCTTGCAAATGGTTGTCAGATATCCTCGAGTCAGTCTTAGGTGCCATCTACATTGATTCCTCTGGCTCCCTCACCACTTGCCGCGCCTTCATCGAAAAATTAGGTTTATTCAAATTGTTGGATAGATTTTTGGACGAGGGCGTGCAAGTCGGATTTCCGAGGGAGAGATTGGGGTTGATGGCTAATGAAAAGGATGTGGAGTATCGAGCGAGCAGTGAGGGAGATGGACGATGGGAGTGTACGATTTTTGTGGGGAAGAGGGAGGTTGCGGATGTTAGGGGGTGTGTTAGTAGGGAAGAGGCGGAGGTTAGAGGTGCGGCTACTGCTGTCAGGGTCTTGCAAGAGGAGATTATTAGGGGTATGGAGAGTGTTGGCATTGATGGTGGTGAGGATCAGGAGATGGTGGATGCGTGAGTATAGTCAACAAGGGCCTAACAGGACACAAAGTATCAGGTATAGCAATTCTTGTATACACACATCTCTTATTGTCTTCGAGCACTTTCTGATAATCGAGGTACATGCATGGGACATTCTTGAGAGCACGAGTTGAAGACATCGTCGCAGTTAGACACATCTGATAGTTGGATAAGGTTCAATTTAAACTAATATTTTGGTTTTGAATTCGGTTGGGATGCATGCATGTTATAGATGGCTTAGTTGATGTGGAGGCCATGGGATTCTCCTCGCACTATCCTTGTGTTGACCTATGTCGAATACCCGAAGTCGCTCTGCAGAGGCAAGTAACCTACCTGTGCCTATGACTAACGCAGCGCTGCTGTGGCGCAAATTCGCAGCTTGGTAGGGAGAGATGACTGTGTGCAAGTCAGCGTCTGTTTCGTACTCAAGAAGGTCTGAATAATAAAGCGTGATTGATGAGAATATCAGAGTAAAAGGTTGTAATCCTCGGGCCGCCAGAGTAATAATCATAACAACCCTCAGGGATTTTGATTTTCGTTTTGTGTAGAACATCATGCTAGGGAATGAAGAGAAGAGAAGAAGAGCAGCCGCATACCTGAGTCTGATGTTTGGACCTTGCAAGTCTACTGTAGGTCTCTGACCTTGGCGACTTCAGGTCCATCAATTCCAGCCATCTTGACGTTATTCTCTTCTAGCTCTTGTGCTAGCTTCCTGTCAGCCTCGTCGCCTTGTTCGACACCTTTTGTGCCCTCGCGGATGACGGCGGTCTCGAAGCCTGCTTTGGCAGCATCGATGGCGGTGGCTTTGACGCAGAAATCTGCGGCCAGGCCTACGCAGAAGACGTGGGTGATGCCCTTTTCTCTCAATGTGTTTGCCAGACCGGTTTCGACGATCTTTGGTTTCAGGAAGGGTGTGCAGAAGGCCGAGTACATTTCCACTCTCTTGTCTTGTCCTTTTTCTACGATGTCATCCAATTGGCTGACGTCGAGTTCGGGGATCAATTCACTGCCTGACGAGCCAGCGATGCAATGGACTGGCCATAGTTGGGTCGTTTGCGTCTCGTCGGGGTTGTGAGGGTTGGAGATGGTGATTGTCGACTCAAAGGGCTTGTTGTTCGGCGGTGGATGATTGGATGCGAACGAGATGTGGTCTTCCGGGTGCATGTCCTTTGTCGCTACGCGGCAGGCCCATGGAAGCCTCAGGAGGTCGTTGATGACAGGAGCAATGGCCCGGCCATCCGTCACTGCCAGACTGCCGNNTTCTACATGGCGTCAGAGATTTTCGGAGCATGAACTTTTGCATCAAGTGAAAGAGAGGTGAAAGGACGAGTTTGACAAAGGAGATTTTTGTGCCTTGGTAACGCCGCGGGTCTGAGCGCGCGCTGGAAGGTGGAGACTTACTGGCGGGCAGAAGTCTTCTTGGAGGTCGACGACTATGAGAGCGGCTTTGAAGCCTTTGTTTGAAACCATGATGTTGTGTTTACTGGATGTGAGTGAGTTACGAGCAGTTTTCAAGGACGCAGTCTCCTCTTCAGAAGCACCGTGTCCTTGAGCCTCATCTCTCCAGCCAGAGCGATGGTGACGGAGACGATCTGGGAAGGAGAGAAGCTCGGACTGGAGTTGACATGTGAAGCCTCACGTTCTGCTCCACCTCCACAACCTGATTTATAACCTTGCAAACCCTTCAATGTAGGAGATCAGGGGCGTCTGGCGCAGTGGTAGCGCGTCTGCTTTGCATGCTGAAGGTCTAGGGTTCGATCCCTAGTCGTCCACAGAATCTACCTTTTGTTCATACATGTGCTCTTCTTTTGCTCACCACAGGAAGAGGGAAACAACAAGCTACATGTGGGCTTTTTAGCCAGAAAGCTGCAAGGTTGTGGTGAACAGCGAGAGGGTCTCTTGTACTACGGGAGGGGTCCACTGACGTCTAGAAGTCTTTCTTGTGAGAGCCATCTTCGTGTCGATCTCTTTCGATCATGACGTCTGCTGACTGCCTGCCAAAGACACACACCATACTTAAGTGTTCGAGGAGGCTCTTCTCTTGACGCTCATACATCATACAAAGTCACAAACCAGCCAAACAAACATGTCTTTTACACAGTCTTCGCAAGGCACTCATGCCACAAGGGAGGCCACTCCGGAGGAACAGAAGTTCATCACAGACATCCTCAGGCTGTACCAGTGTGACCCCAACGAGCAGAGCTATACCCACTACGCAGAGAGTGCTGTCTTCCACGACCCTGTCAGCATCGCCAAGGGCAAGGAAAGCATCATGTCACAATTTAACGGCATGCCACGCATCTTTGCGCGTAGCGACACCANNAAGGTTTGTTGCTCATAGCTCCATCATCAGGTCTTTACTAATATGTTCGCAGAGGTCGCAATCCTCGCATCGTCAACGCCCTCTGAGCTGCAGCTGAACCTGACACAACACTATGTGTTCAAGTCGCCGATTCCGTTCAAGAAGGAAGGTACCGAGAAGACCGTCAACAGCAAGTTGACTTTCAAGCTCAACAGCCAAGGATTAATTGAGGAGCACATTGAAGAGTGGGACCACGAGACCAACAAGACGGCCGACGATGGATTTATGGGCAAGCTTCAAGAGCAGCGCAAGAAGATTGATGCCAAGGTGGTTGAGGCAACTGTCTCGAGCACTCCCCGAAGGCATCGTAAAGGACGAGATATCTCCATAGACAAGCCTACGAACATGAGGCTTATGAAGTTATGAATATATACCAGCTCACAAGTATAATGATCATATCGTTGAGAACACGAATCCATACATGTTTGTGAGCACAAGGCTTCAAGCAAATCACATGTCAGGATGAGGGGCACGCCTTTGCGATGACCGGCAGCTTATGTATCCGGACTGCCGATGTTGATGCCTGGCGTATATACGTGACCTATCCGGAGTGCAATACGAGGCCGTGGTTAGCAGAACAGTCCGACAATATATGCCGACTGCAAAGAGATTGGCATAAGAGAGGAAGTTATAGCGAGCCTGGCGTGAAGAAACAGCGATTACGGAATACGGCGAGTGAGGGGTTGTTGCTTGAGAGCTCCCAGCTGTGCCAAGTTTGGAGTCTGCAGCTGCAGCGAGATGCAACCCGACATCTGACTGAGTTGCCAGCACGCTGGTGTGTCGGGCTGCGATGCACAGTATATCACAGGTTAGAAGATTGATAGCCTCGTTCGTTGGCGTGGAGAATCTCGGTGGCATTCGACAAATGCAAGCTCTCTAGCAGCACAAAAAAGTGCCAAGGATTTTGTGACGTAGACAGATGTTTAGCCCTCGGAGCAGCAGGAACAAACAAGCGGATGCTCAGGGAGCTGCTCTTCTGGAGATACGTAACAGGGCCACGTTGAGTGACGACGACAGATATCATTCATCTTCCTGTTTCAGAGAAGTCAGAAAGAAAACACAGAACATAAGTGACTGCAACAAAGCACGAATCAACAACTTGGCAGCCTTACCGACGGCGTTGTGCACAGATCCTTCCTTTAGCACCGGAGTGACAAGGGGACATTAATAAAATACGACCATGGTTCTTGGACATTCGCATAGACGCCATTCGGCTGCTAGTTCGTACAACTTTTTCACCCTCACAAAATGACTTTGGGACTGAGAAGAAACACTGCAGGCAACCGATCGTCTGTCGAGGGCGACCGTCCAGACACAACCGCCGACGATGAGACGGTCGTTGACCAGGACCAGGGCAATGTCCTGTCGCACATCATCAGCCAGCTGCGACCAGGCGCCGACTTGAGCAGAGTGACGCTGCCTACCTTCATCCTCGAGCCGCGATCTATGCTCGAGAGAATCACAAACTTCATGGCACACCCCGAGATTCTCCTTACGCTGCCTGGCATCGACGACCCTGTCGAGCGCTTTGTCGCCGTCACCAAGTTCTACCTCAGTGGATGGCACATCAAGCCTCCGTAAGTGTCTCTCTGTTCGCTCTTCTCTCTGGGCAAAGCTAACAGACATGCAGCGNGCGTCAAGAAGCCCCTCAACCCCATCCTCGGCGAGACCTTTACCGGATACTGGGACTACCCCGACAACACGCGTGGATACTACATCTCGGAGCAGACTTCTCACCACCCTCCCAAGTCGAGCTACTTCTTCATGGCCCCCGAGCACCACATCCGTGTCGACGGCACCCTCAAACCACGCAGCAGATTCCTGGGCAACTCGGTCGGCAGTTTCATGGAGGGCATTGCAGTCATGCGTCTCTTGAACCGCAACGAGCGATACTTTATCACACAGCCCAACATGTATGCCAGAGGTATCCTGTTCGGCAAGATGAAGTACGAGCTTGGTGACCACGCCTACGTCCGCTGTCCCGAGCTGGGTCTGGAAGCTGAAATTGACTTCAAGGTCAAGGGCTGGATGACTGGATCATATAACGCTATTGGCGGCCATATCAAGGAAACCAAGAGCGGAAAGAACCTGTTCGAGTTCAGTGGTTACTGGGACAAGGAGATGTACATCAAGAATCTGACAGTAAGCTGCCTTCCCCGCCCGAGAGTCGAGACATATGCTAACACACAGCAGACCGGTAAGAAGGAGCTCATTTTCGATGCCACCCACGCAAGACCTTCGTACCCCAAGGCCCGTCCTCTCGAGGAGCAATCAGATCGCGAGTCGCAAAGACTATGGGACAAGGTCACCAAAGCCATCAAGGTGGCCGACCAAAGGGTTGCCACCGACGAAAAGTCCTTCATCGAAGACCGCCAGCGTGCAGAGGCCGCAGAACGTGGAGAGCACGGAGAGTGGCACCCCAAGCTCTTCCGTGCGACAAGAGCTGGTGCAAGCCAGAGTCCAGGCGATATGGACGGCGAGGAGAACCTCGACTGGGTCATCGATGCCACCATGTAAGTTTTCTCTTCACCTTAGCGCCTGCTCGTACAGTTCACTGACGGATGTGATTCTAGTGACGGCAAGAGCCCCGATGAGATTGTGAAGCAGGTCCTCGCCATCGCACCCATTCTACCAGGTCAANAAGCCCAAGCCCAAGCCCAGGCACAACCTCAGGCTCAGACCCAGCCTCAAGCTCAGGCACAACCCCAAATACAGGCACAATCCCAGGCACAGCCTAGACAAGAGACCGCTCAAGCAGCTCCTGCATCTGCCGCCATACCCCAGCCACAATCTTTCCAACAGCTTCAGATGCCCCAACCAACTCAGCAGTCGCAACAGTCTCAACCCGCCCTATCATCGGGACCAAGTAACCTTGTCGACTTTGGCCATGCAGGTGGTGTCGCACCCAGCCAACCAGCTCAACAATACACCTCGCCTCTGAACACCATGGGCGACCTCAAGGAGCCATTGCAACCCGTCATCCACCGTCAAGATAGCGTCGAAGGTATTGACGAGACTTTCCACGATGCCGACTCATAGACTCATTGCGATGCGGAATGGCTGGAAGCGCGAGAAAGTCGGTTGCCGGGCATTGTGTCCAAGACGATGATGACACAGAGAGGGCATCGGAGGATGTGTCTTCTACGAACAACTCTACTTTATTGTCACGCCTTTTCTTTTCTCTCTTTTCCTTTAACAGCTTTTTCTCTCACAAGTACCCAGAAGTGTTTTTTCCTTCAACAGATGAAACAATAAGCCTTTGCCACTATGGTCAGTTCGAAATCCAAAATCAACAATCCTTTCCTCCTTCTATCGTAACAATCTACACAATACTACGGTGCTCGTTTTATCCTGATGGCCATGGAACGAGGACAGAGAACTAATAAATGGTCGACAGCTTTGAGCTACAGGAATCGCTCACCGTCTCACAAATGAGACTTTGACTACAGCATTCGCAAAGTATGTTCCTCAAGGTGGATTGAGCATGGGCGTGGGTTATGAGAGGCAGCAAAGAGTGTAAATAGGGCCAGCAAAGCTTGTAGGAGAGGAAGAAGAGTGGTACGAGTGTGTAGATATGGTTGGGTATATCATAGGTGCTGAGGTGGAGGCAGAGTGGGGATATACGGGTATAATTTGGGGTTTGGTGGTAATCTAGATAATCACGTCTTGTTGATCTATCAAGTAGCTTGACTTTTATGTCTGCCTCCATGAGTGTCGAAGTCGAGATGTGGTCTTGAGTGAAGAGCATTGATGTCAATCCGAAAGGCGGGGTATCACAGAGTAAACAAGCACCAACGAGGGAAAGATTTGTCAAGAAGGAAAAATGCACTTTTGCTTTGTTTTCATGTATCAAAAACTAGTTGGGTGCTTCAAGGATTTGAATTAACTTGATCTTCCTTCCTCTGTGCAAGGGTTCATGTCTCGTATTCTATTTTGCCAAGTCAAAGACGCTTTAGGTTCAACGACACGCTTAGAGCTCGCCAGCAGCGGAGATGGTGGGGGAGCACCGCCGCCCTTGNATGGCGCCAGAGCTGGAACCACAAGCCTCGATGGACTTGATAACGGACATGGAGGCGGTGTCACCGGAGGGGACCTGGCCGAAGACGACGTGACGGCCGTCGAGCCAGCTGGTGACGACGGTGGTGATGAAGAACTGGGAGCCGTTGCTGCAATGTCACGTTAGTTGTGTCAATGCCTGATGGTAGATGGAAACATACGTGTTGGGGCCGGCGTTGGCCATGGAGAGCATGAAAGGCTTGTTGTGGGTGAGCTTGAAGTTCTCGTCGGCGAACTTCTCACCGTAGATGGACTTGCCACCAGTGCCCNNTGTGATGCATTGTCAGTCTCGTAGAGTGATTGGTAGCTGACAGAAGTTACTCACGTTGCCACGGGTGAAGTCACCACCCTGGAGCATGAAGTCAGGGATGACACGGTGGAACTTGGAGCCAGAGTAGCCGAAGCCCTTCTCGCCAGTGCAGAGAGCACGGAAGTTCTCGACGGTCTTGGGGACGACGTCGTCGAAGAGCTCGAAGTTGATGCGGCCGGAACGCTCNTGTTTGCCGTTAGAAGTGAATTGAGCTCACAGGTCGACGGTGGACGTACGCTTGATCTCGCGGTCGGTGTTGGTGGGCTTGCCGTTGCCATCAACGTTGACCTGAGGACCGGTCCAGGTGCAGTCGAAGTAAACCTTTTGAACCATGTTTGCGGATGAAGCTGAGAAAAGTCTGCTTTGTTGTTTGAATGAGTTGTTGATGAAAGTGGTTGGGGTCTTTCGGAGAGAGAACATGTGGAAAGAAGTGTGGAAGAAGAGCTAGAAGTGGCGGGGCAACAAGAAGCCCCTCCTTTTGGTGACCTCAGAAAACTCCACCCTTGCTCCGAAGAATTACCGTGCAGCAGCAGATCACTTTCCATCACCTTCTGCCGGCGACATGCGCTTCACATTGGATTTGGTTACCTGTTGCAGTATCAGGCTGTTCAAACATATTGGAGCTTCACTTCATATCTATGCTGCTTGTATTGTTGAACCTGTCAAGCCATCCATGCAGAGCTTCTTGTTCAACGCATCGCAACATGCAGCTCTTCCACGCCGCAGCTTCGAAGCTTAGCTCATCACCGAGAGGGGGAGCTAAGCCACCATGCACAGACAGATGTCCATCATACCTGTGAACTCTTGAAACTCGTACGAACCTGACATAACCAGATATAGTATCGTAACAAGTCATTGAAGTTGTCCTGAAGCTCTGTATGGTCAAACGCTGCCACTGATATCCCCAGTAAAAGTCGATGACGCAGCTTCGCGGGCAGGGTTGCACTGTCATCGTAAAATTCGTACGTTGAAATTGGTATTGACAAAGCATTTCTCTGTTCAAGGCTCTATAACTTCTATATGGGTAATCCATGGGTCTATAAGACGTGAGATAATCAGCATGTGCAGGCAGACATGGCGTGGAAAAGAAAGCAATGAGGAACATTTGAAGCATGTAACGCCTGGCCATGAATCTCATTGATTGATCCTATCAGCCATTTACATACTTGTCAAGTCGGATGTAATTCCAAGACTGTATCAGACGGCCTAAGTTGCTGCTTCAAATGCTCATGTCTGTTTGTACTCCTAGCTCGGAGTGATCCGAGGGGCGATGGGCGCATTCATTGTCTTCACGATGAATTGATGCCAACAGATGTAGAACACATGATGGCTTTGTTGGCGTTGACAACACTTGGCATCTCCGTCGAATCCGGGGACGCCGCTGCGACGCTCAATAAGTCGAACGCGACCAGCAGCGTGTCACTCCCAGATCGAACAGCAATACCATACCGAGTTTCGACGCAAGATGGATTTCGAGAGCTTGAAGAGTCAGGTCAGCAATCTGACGCTTTACGACCTGAAGGCAGGTGTTCGTAAGGTGCAGAATGGTATGTTTGTGGTATAGCGACCAGTTCAGGAGGCTGGGCACTAATACGCGGTCANNGCTGTCATGAACTACACAGAGATGGAGTCCAAGGTTGGTCGATTGTCCATTTGCTGTTTGAATACCATCATTGACTAGAATTCAGNNGTCCGAGAAGCCACCAATAACGAGCCCTGGGGAGCATCTACCACCATGATGAACGAGATTGCCGCTGGAACCTTCAACTAGTACGACTCCAGCCTGCGCCGGTGCCCATACTCCCCGTTTCTGACTAGGCCACAGTNNCAAATCCTCAACGAGATCATGCCCATGATTTACAAACGCTTCACAGAGAAGACGGCCGAGGAATGGCGACAGATCTACAAGGTGAGTTCGATGGCTACAGTTACTAGAACATGTCTAAACCACGACAGGNCCCTTCAATTGCTCGAATTCTTGATCAAGAACGGCTCCGAGAGAGTCATCGACGATGTCCGATCCCACCTCTCCCTCATCAAGATGCTGCGCCAGTTCCACTACATCGACCAGAACGGCAAGGACCAGGGCATCAATGTCCGCAATCGATCAAAGGAGCTCACCGAACTTCTCAGTGATGTCGACAGAATTCGGTCTGAGCGTAAGAAGGCAAGACAGAACAAGAACAAGTACAGCGGTGTTGAGGGTGGTGCCGGTCTTGGAGGCTCAATGTCCACCTCCAGCAGATACGGTGGCTTCGGCAGTGAGTCTGCTCCTGGAGGCTATGGTGGAGCTACAAGACAAGTCTACGGTGATGGCGGTGGTTTCGGAGGCGAGACGGTACAAGACGATTGGGAAGAGCGAAGCCAGAGCCGCAGCAGGGGTCAAGACCGATTCGACGAATACGACGAGTACGACGAGGGCACATCAGCAGCACCACCAAGAAGAAAGGCAGAGCCCTCAAGAAGCGGAACCAAGACATCAACAGCAGCAGCAAAGAAGCCCGAACCTCCCAAGCCCAAGGAACCCGAGGTTGACCTTTTCGATTTTGGAGACGAGCCATCCTCGATCGCAGCACCTGCCATGCCTGCCATGTCTTCCAACGGCAAGCAGCCAGCTGATGACGGGTTTGGTGCCCTCCAGTCTGGCGGTGTGGACGACGATGACTTTGATGACTTCCAATCTGCTGCCCCAGCTGCTGCTCCTGCTCCAGCACTTGCAGCAGCTCCCAAGCCCAACTACACTCCCAACTACACAGCGATCGCACCTCCTGTCTCTACCGCCACACCCAACACTCAATTCGCACAGCCTCAACCAAGACAGGGCACTAACGACGCTGCCTTCAGCAATCTCTTCTCCACCACATCACCAGTCACTGGCGCAGCAGCAGCACCACCACCTCAGAACATTGCATCACCAATGTCGGCAGCTCAACCACGTGCAGGCGGCTTCCAAAGTGCACAGCCCAACTACTTCACATCTGTCAGTGCCACCCAGTCACAACCGGCATCGACAGTGGCATCTCCTGGTGTCAAGTCGCCAATTGGAGGTGCTCCCAAGCCCAAGGCTAGCGGAGACGCCTTTGCCGCCCTCTTGTCTGGCACCAACCTCAAGAAGTCGGGCACACCCGGCAATAAGGGACCTACCATGGCAGACATGGCCAAGCAANAGGCTAGCGCTGGTATCTGGGGAACTACTAGCTCGTCTAGTCCCGCTACACCATCTGCTCCTCAATACGGCGGCCAGAAGACTGGCGGAGCCATGGACGATTTGCTTGGATAAGAAAGTGTGTAGATGAACGATTGAAATGCGTTATAGCCAGAGGAGGGAGCAGAAAAGGGAATCCAACAGACTGTGACTTTTCGACGTGATGAATACAACAAGCATTTGCATAGATTTGTTCTCCTACAAGAAATGAAGTTGCAAAGTGAAGGAGACGGGTAGTCGTGATTTCCTAATTTGGATTGGGGTCGGAGGAAGCGCGGCAAGTGCCGCCGACGCACAGAATTTGTGCGGGCTGGCGATTTCTCGACTGTGGATTCGGTGTAGACTCATTCGACCAGCAACGAAGCGACACCCTCTCCCTCAACTCCCCACCGTTCATACTAATAAACAGTCAAAATGGGTCGCGGGTATGTGTGCAACGAGCTACGGCGACTGCGAAACGACTGAAGAAATGCTGACATCTTCCACAGCCGTGGTTCCACCTCCGGTAACAAGCTGAGAATGACCTTGGGTCTGCCTGTGTACGTCGAAAAGAAAACCCTTCACCTCCTCCATCATCAGCGCATCGCTATGCCTTCCGAACGCTCTTGCAATCGTCTTCCGAACACTCCTTGAATCTCTCGAACGATTACACACGACCCGCCCGAACATACACAACTCCGAAGATGGGAAAAACAGAAACATGCGGCTAACACGAATTTCTCCACAGCGGTGCCGTCATGAACTGCGCCGACAACTCTGGCGCCCGTAACCTCTACATCATCTCCGTCAAGGGTATCGGTGCCCGCCTCAACCGTCTCCCCGCCGGTGGTGTTGGTGACATGGTTATGGCCACTGTCAAGAAGGGAAAGCCTGAGCTCCGCAAGAAGGTCATGCCCGCCGTCATTGTCAGGCAGTCAAAGCCCTGGAGACGCGCCGACGGTATGTTCCTCTACTTCGAGGACAACGCCGGTGTCATTGTCAACCCCAAGGGTGAGATGAAGGGTTCCGCCATCACTGGCCCCGTCGGAAAGGAGGCTGCTGAACTCTGGCNNCCGTAAGAGATATCCCGACCCGGACACGCAAGGAACATACAAGACTAACACACACTCTAGCGTATCGCCTCCAACTCCGGTGTTGTCATGTAAATTCTCATATCAATCAAAAGAGGGTTCTACTAGACAATGTTTCACGGTTGGGGATCAAGCTGACTTCGACGAACGACTTTTGCACTCGATTTTTTTCTGGGCGTTGATGTGAATTTGCACGGTCAAAGGAAAAAGAAGCGCAGGGGGCTGTGTCGAATCGATAAAGATGAAGGAAGCAAACATGTCAGGGCACTGCGAGACATTTTTCCAGGCAGTGCGGCATGTTCTTTCTTAACAATCACCCGTTCTGCTCTTGAAAACCAAGAGAGTGGAAGCATGGGTTTCATGAGAAAAGCAAACAAACTTTCACCAAAAAACACACTTGACGTCTATCAACACCCTTCCGCTGGCCTGTACATGGATGATTGTGTCTACTGAGAGTGATGCAGTCCTGATATCGTGAAGCAGACATGTATCTTCCAGCCTTGAACACGTCGACATGATCATGTTAGGTGATGTTGAGTCAAGTCGTCACAGACGCGGACCCACAGCATGTCGACCAACAGTAGGTCTAGACACGGAATGGAGATGAAACAGATGCACGCTTATGTGGGTATTGCATGAGGCGTGTAAACGAATGGCCAGTATCAAAGGACAAGAGGCGGTGAAATGGACTGGACTTTCTCCTTTCTTGTTTGCATGCACCGGGTCGGAAGTGCAATTGATGATCGCTTACAAGACGTAGATGGTGCTGATGTGAAACGCGTGTGCTCGTACCGACTGCATGCTATATCAAGACGTGGTTATGCAGTCCTACTCGAGAGAGCGTATCAGGTGGTCATGGATTACTGATGTGAGAAACAAGAGAGCACATGCAAGGTTATGCTTCAGAGGGATGGTAGATATACTTTTGCTTTGTGACTCGGATACGGGGACTCGTGGCATGGAGAGTGAGACAAAGGAGTCGTGCTTGGCGATGATACGAAGCAGTGAATAACAAAGTGGCAGATGGACAGAGTGGAAGATGTTTGTAAGAGTGGAAGAGAGTGGAAGAGAGTCATGGTCGGAGTGGAGAGGGCTGTCAAATGCAAAAAGACAGGGCTTGGTGGGCTATTTTGGTCTCCGGCCGTCAAGGACAGTTTTGGCGCTTGGTGGTTCACGGGCTTTGGCTTGGGCTTGCTGCTGCTGCTGCTCTGTCTTCAACAACAACAACAACGACAAGCTGCCTCCCTTGTCGCTTCTCGATCCTCTGTCGGTTTGCGCATCTTGTCGCCAACTGTCCTTCTCTTCGTCTTGTCTTGTATTGCATGGTTGCATCTGATTGGAGTCTCGTCTTTTGCGTATTACCCCCTCTTCTCTGTCTTTCGGCTCCTGCTTCGTGGGGGCTTTTTGAAGGTTCGACAAGGGTCAGGTACTCGGGCGCTGTCACTGAGAGGACTCCGGTTGCTGGACACGCGCCTCTTCCTACGACACACACACGCACCGTAGACGTGTGTGCTTAGTCTTGACAGAGCAGAGCAGAGCTTTGTCAGAGCATCCGCACGCCATTGAAGCGAACGCGAAGGCTTCGGAGAATTAGCAAAAGAGTAGGGGACTTGTCTGGACACAATGACGACCAAAGTCTTGTCGTCGTCGTCAACCGACACGAATATGAGTGCACAGGCGCAGGCGCAGCAACCACGCACACACTCCCAGACCGGCCTGCTACCACCCGACATGACTCCTCCGGCACAACCATCCTCCACCACCAACAACCCCACCCTGACCACGTCCGCCAACAACGTCAACACCTCCCAAAACAACAACAACAACCGCCAGAGTCTCCGTCGCAGTCTCATGTCGACGCGCAGTCACACATCACAGCGCTCCAGACCCGCCTCTTCCGTCTTTCCCATCTTCCCCTCGTCGCTGTCCTACGCCCTGGTCCGCGACTTTGCCTATCCTCAATTCCACCCTCTACATTTCGGTCCCTCACCAGAGCCCGCCAGCCGTACCTCTGACGACGCTTCGAACTTCTCTTCTAGCAGACGCCTCAGCGATCCTCCCATCGGCAGCTGGGATCCTCGTGGCTGGGGTGCAGGCCCCTGGGGCGGTGATGGCGGTGCTCACTATGCCCCAGGCGACCAATTGCCATCCACGAGTTTCGACGACGATGCCGATGACGATGTCACGGGTACCGCCAAGTTGGCAAAGAACCACAGAAAGAGCAAGTCGGCGCACGAGGAACCCAGGGGCAGAAGTACCACGAAACGCGGGCCGCGCAACCAGGTACCAGGACTCGACAGTCAGGGCTTCTTTGCTGCCGGCCCAGACGACGATGATGAAGAGGAAGAGGACGAAGACACAGAAGACGAAAGCAACCATCACAACAAGAGTACTGGCAGCACATTGCCGGCGCACCGCTACACACACTCACCAGAAGGCCTCTTCAGCCGCCACCACGCCCGCCTCTCAGCACTCGAGCCTCCCTTCTCGGATAGCAGCGATCCAGCCGACGCGCCAGGCGGACCTCTACACCACCTCCACGATGGTCACGCACACCGCCCCACTTCAACCTCGCTGGACGAATCCTTTGCTGGCCCCAGTCTAGCCCTCTACAACTTTGTACCTGAAAACAGCAACGAGCTTGCCTTGCGCGAGGGCCAGATCATCCAAGTAGGCTATAGACACGGCCAAGGCTGGCTGGTAGCCATGGACCTCGAGTCAGGCGAGCAAGGCTTGGTGCCTGAAGAATACGTACGCCTACTCTCGGAGATTGAGGGCTGGNGGGAACACCTCGAAGGCGTCGAAGAAGAAGGAGAAGCAGACGAACACGGCAGCTTCGAAGAAGAGTTGGCACAAGAAGTGCACAACGAAAGCAGAGCAAGAGATACAAACGTCAAAGCCGCCGCTGTTGCAGGAACTCAAGAGAAGAATCTGCCGGTACGGGATAAGGATGTGCGGTAGCGCTTTCTCGCAAGCATTTACTCATCATTGCAAAGTTGGCGTTTCATTTATGTTGTTAGCGTTGTTTGTTTTCATCCTGCCTGTTCTGTTGCGTCTTTTCGAGGAGTATACCCCCTTGTCTCTGCAAGCCCCTTTGAAATTGTACGCTTCTGTTCTATATGCCTGGCAGCCTCCATTCCCTCTCTGCTTTCTTCGTCCTCGTGCCTTTCACATGATTGGAATACTCCACTCCGTAACTTGAGTGACTGGTGTTCTAGCAAGGTAAGTGCCTTCACGCCTCTTCGACTGTCTCTTCGCACTATTTTCCCTTGTCTTGCTTCATTTCACCTATCTCGCTCGCTCATCCCTCCCATCCTCTGGTTCTCGAAGTTGTTCTGCCCACTCTGCATACACAAAATACTACACCAATGCCAGAGGCCGATCTAGATGGATTTGGAGAAGGCGCGATAGGAAAGAGAAGCATGCGCCTCAATGGCACTTTCCTTTGTCGAACCAAGAAGGAAAAGAAGATGGCGAGCGACGAGATTCATGATTCTGACATTCGGGATGCAACAACGATCCTCGTTACTTAGCTAACCAATTTGCTGCTCTCACTTGAAGTAAGCAGACTTTTCGCCTCCTTCTTCTTCTTCTTCTTCTTCTTCTTCTTCTCCTCCAGAACTCTCACCCTCGAGAACCTTTCTCCTATGTCTGTAGAATCTGTTCAAGCAGTCCGTCTTCTTCTGCTCACTCCATCCTTCCAGCACGAGCGCAAACTCAGTCGCATCTGCAAAGCCATAGTACTCTGCCATGGAGCAGAAGAGTCTCTTCCTCACATACTCTGGTGGCTTGTAGTTGTACCCAATCTTCTTCTCGTCCTCAAAGCTTGAATTCGCATTGCCTCGAGACTTCTCAAAAGCGTACTCGTTGGAGAGGTCAAAGTCTGTGCCAGCAGCCATGGCGCGCTTGGACAGCTGGGCTTCCATCTTTGAAGAGCCGATTACATCGTTGTTGTCGTGTGTATATTCCACGCCGGCCATGTTGAGGATTGCTTGCACAGCGCGGGCTTGTCGCTTAATCTTGGTGTCTTGTTCGTCATCGTGTTTCTTCTTCTTCTTGCCGCCTTCACCAGTGATCTCGGCGGCGAGTTGGGAGATTGCAGCATCTTCGCGATCCATGATACCGTCATTATCATCGTTGTCCGAGTCTTGAGATGTATCTAGGCCGACAACGCTGACGCCGGCTTTGGACTCGGCAATGTTTGTCTTGTTGACGATGTCGCGGAGGACGAGATTTTCGCCTTCGTAGCTGAAAAGGTTGAGTAGACCAAAGATTTCACCTTTCTTGTCTGCTGTGTCTTGCACGCCGCGGAAGTAACGACGCTCGGTAGAGGCGTTGTAGGCGATGTTGGCTTGCTGCTGCTTGTAGATCTGACGGGCATAGACAATCTCTTCAACAGTGCCAGCAGATATCAGACGAAAGACTTCGACGTCACGGATCTGGCCAATGCGGTACGCACGATCCTGAGCCTGAAGATCATGACTTGGGTTCCAGTTCGGGTCAAAGATGACGACTTTGTTTGCAGAGGTGATGTTTAGACCGACACCTCCAGCTTTCGTACTGATAAGAAAGACGAACTGAGTCTCGTTGGCGTTGAAGTCGTCAACTTCTCGAGTCCGCTCTTCGTACTTCATGCTTCCATCAAGATAGGAGACGTTGTAGCTTGTCGTCGATCTGAAGAGCATCTGTAGCATTTTCAGAAGACGGACCGAGTGGCTAAAGACAAGAACCTTGTCACCATTCGAGTGCCAGAACTTGAGCAGCTTCCGCAACACTTTCCACTTTCCGCAATACTCTGCATTGGCATAGTTGGTGATTTGGTCGCGGTTGTGGTACATTTCGAGCCAATTGTCAGGAAGAGCTAGCTGCAAGTTTTCCAACTCCTTGTGCTGCATCTCCTCGGAGTCCTTGCTTTGAGGACAGAGAAGAGCGAGATGGTTTGCGAGCTTTTGCAGTGTCATGAGCATGGGAAATACATGATGCTGCCATTTGCCACGATCAGGGATCTCCGTGTAGCAACACCAGCCTTGTTTCTTGCCGGAAGAGCAATCACAAGGATCAGAGGAACGTCGAATGTAGTCGATCTTGTCGCTGTCAACAAGATTCATGTAGGCTTCTGATTGAGCGTCAGAGAGCGGACAGAAGACCACGCGGTCGGTCTTCTTCGGCAATTGATGAGCGATCAGCGACTTCATTCGACGCTTGAAGTATGGTGGCAGTAGGTTCTCTACCAGCTTCTTTGCAACCCTCCTGCAGATGGCTAGTTGTGCAAAGGTGGTGTCGTGTGATTGTCCAACCTTGAGTGGACCGCTGACACTTTGTCTCCATTCAGCCATGGTTCCGAACTTGCCAGGATTAGTCCAATTAAGCAGAGTCCAGAATTCGTCGTACTTGTTTTGTACAGCAGTGCCGGTGAGTCCAATTCTGCACAAGGCGTTGACCTCATTCATGGCCTTACTGATCTCCGAACTCCGCTCCTTGATGGTATGACACTCATCTGCAACGACACAGTCCCACTCAACCATGTTTATCTCGCCTCGATGATTGCGATAGGTGGTGTAAGTTGTGATCATGACCTCAAGCCTACCTTGCTTCGCTGCAGAAAGAACAGATGAGCGGCTTGCGTTGCTTCCATGGTACGTGTCGTAATGCCAAAAGCCCCAGCGATCAAGCTCCGACTTCCAGTTGTCCATGAGAGATCCGGGACAGATGAGGAGGACTCGTGGGTACCAGCGGCCATCACGTCGCATCTTGCGCATGCGCTTGTAATCTCGCTCATCTCCAGTCTTTCCGAACGCAGCTGTCAAGAAGGCAATGACTTGGATGGTCTTGCCCAGGCCCATATCGTCACCAAGGATGCCACCCTCTTGGAAGACGAAAAGCTCGTGCAGGAACCTGACGCCGTCGACCTGGTAGTCTCGCAGCCATTGAGCGATTGGTGCCGGGATGATTCCTTCTGACTTCTGCAGTTCGATGTCCTTGTAGTCTCGGGACATCTCAGCATCGCGAAGCAAAGGGCGTTCCTGCAGCTCTTCCAGTCTCTCGTCGTCGCTGAAATAGACGCCATCGTAATCAGGAGGTCTTGCCAGCATGTCGTCTCCTGACTTGGCACGGTCTTGGTTCCACTTGGACTTTCTCGCTTGCAAGAATTCAGGCAGGGTGCTCTCCGGTGGCTCGTCTTCAGAGTCGGTGCCGTAAGTGTCGTTCTTGAACTTGCGTTGATTGGGTTTCTTGTCGTCGAGCAGAGCCTTCTTTTTCTTGCCAACCATGCCATTGGCCTTTGCCTTTGCCTTTTTGGTACGAGCGGCGATGGCTTTGCGTTGGTCGGACTTGCGAGACTTGAACTTCTTGTAGGCCTCTCCGGCATCTTCATCGTCATCGAAAGCAACGCGATCACCTTCGTCGTCTCTCGGACGTTTCCTGGCAGCTGTTCCAGAGTCGTCGGAGTTCAAGAGATCACTGTCTGTGCCTGTGCCATCTGAATTTTGGAACGTGTCGAGCAGGCTGACTTGTTTGGCGGTGTGTTTGACAATGTCGAGATCACTAAGGTCACTAGCTTCTCCTTCGTCCATGATTTCGATCTGGCGATCGAGTTGATAGTCCCGCCTATGTGAGCGAGTGGCGCTCTTGTAGGAAGAAGACATGGTGATTGATGTAAGGAAAGAAGAAAGTTGGATTTTTCAAGGCGGCATGTGGTGTGTGAATGGAGTTGGAATCCAGCAGAGTCGTGTCGACATCATGCCAACATGCCTCGTCAATTCATGAAAGTGTTGGAAAGAACGAGTTGGACAAAGACCAAGGCAGCATTCGAACCAAACACCAAAGAAGCGCGGGAGACGCGACATGCCGACGTTCATCCGGAGAGCTGAAAGGGCAATGACGACAAAGAGGAAATATTAATTGTTGTCGCATTATCGAAATACACACACAACAATGCCGCTGGACACATCATCATACACGCTTGCGCATCTGCGCCTGGACGGAAGGAGATGGAACGAGTTGCGACGATGCCATGGACAAATGTCGACACAGGCGGCCGCCGACGGCTCCAGCTACCTCGAGATGGGCAACACAAAGGTCATTTGCACGGTCACTGGTCCAACCGAATCGCGACGTGGAGGAAACATGGGCAATGCTGAAGCAAAGATTGAGGTCGAGATTGGCCTGGCCGGCTTCAGCGGTGTTGAGCGCAAGAGACGTGGAAAAGGTGACAAGTGAGTTGCGCCTGCCTAGACCGCCATGCGGCGACGAGCTGACGAAACGTACAGGCGCACAAGCGAAATGCAGCACACAATCGCCTCGGCCTTCGCAGACACCCTCTCAACCCAGTTGTACCCTCACAGCACAATCACCGTCAACCTGCACATCCTCTCTCAAGATGGCTCGTTACTAGCCGCCTGCATCAACGCCTCGACTCTCGCTCTCATTGACGCCGGTATCCCCATGACCGACTACATCTCAGCCTGTACAGCTGGCAGCACCGCATCCTACGCTTCAAACGATGAACAAGCCGACCCTCTGCTCGATCTGAACGGCATGGAAGAGCAAGAGCTGCCTTTCCTGACTGTCGCAACCCTGGGCACAGACGACAAGATCAGCGTTCTCATGATGGAGACCAGAGTCCAGCTCACTCGTCTCGAGGCCATGATTGCTGTTGGTGTTGATGGCTGCAAGCAAATCAGAAACACTCTCGATGGCATTGTCCGCCAGCACGGAAACTCTTTGCTGCAAAAGACCGTCACCTGAAACTATTGCACGGCTCCACAACTTCAGCAGTCTTGTTAGACACCCGACGCTCAGCCCTCAGGACATGACGAAAGTCATGTACGAGACCATCTTCGACACGCCCCAAGTACGGACGAATCGCCAACCAAGCGTCTGATTCACGCATAGTGTGAATCGTATGCCGGCCACCTCGATCGCACGACAAGATTGGCGGTTAGAGTCACAACGCTCGCTGTATGCGAACGGAGCTTGGGCTCGAATACAAGCCACAAGCGAGCATAGAGGATAGATACCATAAATTGACAATCAAAAACTCAGAAGGCTGTTCCTCTAGGAAACGATCAAGCCTAATTTCCCCGCTCCAACCACTTCCTTGATTGTAACTCATGTCTTTCATCTCCAAGTCACGACAGCGTCTCTTCCATCTTTTATCAATTCAACGGTCCCAGATTAGACGATTCCTGATAGACAGATAATGACTATCAAGTCTCAATGGCCGTAGTCTCTTCAAACCTGAAGCATCTGTACTACTCCTGACCACCAAAGACTAGGAACCCCCCCAAACTCACCACTGGATTCCTCGTCAAGAGAAGATCAAGCAAAAAGACTCATCTGAACATCCATCATCACCACATTTCGTATGCCCAGACTCTATGGATGACGTGAGGTTGAGAAAGAGCAGGTGTCAATGTCGGCGACGGTGCTTGATAATTTGGAAAGTTCATTCACCCTCCAAAAGTCTATACCATGGTCATTGATGGATCAAAAGAAGAGTGCTAGATCAGCAAAAGCAATGATTCCGCCCGAGCTCAACCGGGGACCGTCTGTATGTTGGACAGAAGTGATAACCAACCACACCACAGAACCAATCGATGAAGACGAGATAACGTAGCCGTATTGAACAGAATGCAACAACGCATGACTATGTAAGCCCCAAAGCACTGTCACTCTCTTTATCAACCGATTGGGACCTAGCTTCTCACCACCATAACCATGATCAACAACAGACCCATCGCGGGCAACACCATTAGCTGTTTGTATAGCGGGTAGGCCACGCCGACACTGGCGACATCGTGAAACAGGCCGATGACCGCAAGTTCGTCATTGCACGCTTCGTCCTCCATAAACTCACCCTTTGGTAATGAATTGCTTCAGCGTGGATAAAGTGTGTCTGGAGAAGTACACGGCGGTATAAGGAAACGCTGTTTGGGTGCTCAAGCATCCTCTCGTAGGCAACAAAGAGATACATGTTGGCTTGTCGAAATACACGAGTATTCGTAATCTTCATAGACTCAAGTAGAGACAGCGGTAGAGTCGTCGGTTCCGTTGACAAAACCATGTTTCTGGAAGTATCAGAGGTAAGCCTTCTTTGATTCACGTCAAGTACAAAGCAATCGTGCGTTGCTTCAGCCTCTGCTTCCAGCCATCGCGGCACACGAAAGGACAAAGACTGTTTACACGGCTAGGGACGTGATCATCTCATTCGCCCTACGTGTGCTGTGGTTGACGCGAGCCTGGAGTGTCGGACGAGTGGTCAGAAAGGCAAGAGCGCTTGTTGGTCGAGTGTCCCAGCGAAGGGATGAGGGAAGGAACAGGATGACACGTTAGAAATGCTTTCCTTTATAGCTGTTCTCTCCTGTCTATTGCAACGCTAAACATCAAAGCAGTTCAAAGCTTCCAAAGCCTCACCATTCCCTGAAGGATGGTCCTAGGACATGCAAACACCACTTACTATAGCCACGATGCATGCATCCATCCCAATGCTTCCCATCCATCAACACCAAAATGCCAAAACCATCTAATGCAAAAATCCCCACTCATGCAACAAACCATTCCCTTTTTTTCTCAAGTCCAACCAGCCAACCTTTCAATCTTGGGCACCAACTCAGCAATCCTGAATGGCTTGCTAATCCCATCATCCATCCCCGCCTCCATAGCCCCATCCCTCTGTTCTTGTCTCGCATTCGCCGATACCGCAATAATGGGCACGTGTCCGCTTAACTTCCCTTCTGTCTCCCATTTCCTGATCTCCCTGGTTGCTTGTAATCCATCCATAAGTGGCATCTCTATATCCATCAAGATTACCGAGGGTGAAGGCGCAGAGGCAGAGGTATTAGAGCGATAAAGCTTTGTCTTTTGAAGAGCAGAGAGACAGTCTAAACCATTGTCCGCGGTCGAGACTGAGAACCCGTGTTTGGAGAGTTGTTGGCGGAGCAGTTTTTGGTTTACGGCGTTGTCTTCGACGATGAGGATGTGGATGTCGGATTTCTTGGTTGCTTGGGCTTGTGTGTCTGTTTGGTTTCTTTGTTGGAGGGTCAGGTTGTTGTGCATAGACGCTGTGATGGGTGCTTCTGTGTGTCTGGTCTTTATGAAAAAGGCAAACGTGCTGCCGACGTGGAGTTCACTGGCCACACCTAGATGCGAAACTGTTAGCTGCGTGATAGAGCAATGTGGGACCAAGACGTCTTTACCAATCTCTCCACCTTGGAGTTCCGCAAGCTCACGCGAGATAAACAGACCCAACCCCGAACCTCCATACTCCGATTCCGTACGTGGGGAGCCTTGAGTAAACCTCGCAAAAATACGGCTCTTCTCATCCGCGGACATACCCCTCCCCGTATCCTCGACACTAAACCAAAGATAAAAGCTCCGATCCTCAAACTCTGGATCATCATACGCACAATCATGCAAACTATGCGCAACCACAAAATCAATATCCGGCAGCACGTTTTCCGAAGGCCGTATCTTGGAAGCGCCAACACGAATGGTGACTTTTCGCTGATTCTTCTTNTTGCAGAATTTGATGGCGTTAGTGAGGAGGTTGATGAGGACTTGTTGGACGCGGCCTGGGTCTAGCATTGCGTAGCACACGTTCAATTGGTTGAGGGAGGCGTGCGCTTGGGTTTCGAGTTGGACGTCGCTTCGTTGGGATTCGGCTTCGAACATTTTNTCCACGTCGTGTAAGAGGGTTGTTACTTGGACGGCTGAGGGTGTGATTTGGAGGAGGTTTGAGTCGAGTTTTGAGAGTACGAGGATGTCGTCCACGATTCTAGAGAAGATAGATCAGTACTGTATGATGTGTGTGACTGTACTCGTAATCGCTCACCTCTTCTGATGTTGCGAGCAGGATATGATTGTGTTGACTGAATCAACGCCACTTGCGATTAGTTCGTGCAGCTGTCCCCCAATCTTGGACTCTGTGGTGGAGGCCAATCGATTTGCGAGGACTGTCATATCGGCCAGAATTTCTTGCGCGGCATCAGAACAGTGGAATACTGCACCAAGAGGGTTTCTAATCTGCCGAGANGTCAGCACATTCACAAAGGCTACATGTGTTTCTTTCAAGTATACCTCACTAGAAGCACATAATATTAGCAATGTTCATTCAGCATACCAAAATTGTACTTACTGCGATGTCATGTCGATGAAGTTCGAAGATTGGCGTTTTGCTTCCATGGCTTCCTGTACTTTCATCTGCTGCACCGTCTCTGCGAACTTTAGTGCCGAGATGTCTAGCATGGTGCCAATGATGCCTTTGACAGTTCCATCTTCCTTGTATTCAGGCAGCGCAGATGCAGTGACCCACACAGGACCTATGGTCACTCCATTTCCGTCAACCCAGCTTCGTCTCAGTCTGAATTGCACGTTTATGGGCTTTTCGGTGTCGAACACACGAGTCCAGTGACTCCTGACGAGTTCAATATCCTCCTCGTAGATTATGCTTGCCCAATTGATCTTCTCAAAGGGCACAACTGGATGTCCAGTCATCTCAAACCATGCGTGGTTGCAGTAAGAAAGTTGGTGATAAGCCTGCGTCCCGAAGTAAATGGCAATAGGAGCCATTTCGGCAAAATTCGCGAAACGCCGCTCCCACGACTTGGCTCTTTCGAGTGCTTGCAGTCGCTGTACGGACTCTGTCTCTCTCAACTTAGTGTCGTGGATGTTTGTGGTACATCCAGATACACTTGTGATGACCCCATTTTCGAACACTGGAATAACAGCTGCAAGAACCCAGACACCATGACCGTCGGGAGTTTTAAACCTCATTTCAAAAGTACAAGACTTGCCGCCAGCGGCGCAGTTCCATTTTGACATGATGTACTCGGCATCTTCTGGGTATATCATGTCTAGGAATACCAGCTTGTCTCCATGCATGCTTTTGGGTAGACAGTGGGTTATGGCCTTGTAAGCCTCATTGGCGTATATCAGCCGACCTTCAAGATCGTACTCAAAGATGCCAACGCCAGCCATATCCACAACCTTGAGTGTACGCTGGAATTGATCGGTCACGGCTACCGCCTCTCTGTCACGATTTGCGAGTGCGGTGGCTAGAAGATGTTGCTCTCTGGCAGCCTGTGCGGCCCGGTAGTGTTGCTTGCGCTTCTCTTCCTCGGAAAGGAGAACGTCCGTCACAGCATTACCCAGGCATCTAGAAAACTCGTGAATCCATTCTCGATAAGTCTCGTTGTAAGGTCGCTTTGAATCTGTTCCAAGGAAGAGATATGCGATGATTTTTTCCGATCGGTTCGAACGTATCGGAACCAGAATACAATCTTGTGTTAATAACGACTGCATCGAACCAGGAACCTCGTTCTGTCGAATTGGGATCGGGTCTCTCAGATCCGAGACTGAGGCAAAGTGGTCGGATCCTAGCTCTTCTGGTAATGTCGAGGTTATCGTGGGGTTTCCAACAGCCCCTTCAAGCTTGAATCGCATTTCATGAGTTGGTTCCGGGGAAGTGTCGATAGAACGATCTGAGCCTGTACTTGAACCTGCAACGTAAAGAAATGCGAAAGGGAACAGAGATGGGTCCAAAGCCAGACTTTTCGGGATGCTTTGCCAGAACTTGCGAGGATCCTTGACAACATCCCAAGCAGTGTTGAGTGCTCGGAGGGCAGCTCGCCTCTTCTCTGCTAGTGTCGTCTCCGTCACATCTGTCAATGATACGTAGAAACCTGGAGTTGTTCCAACTAATGGTATGACCGTCCATGAGAGATAGACTTCTTCGAGGAAGCCATTCCGCTCGTACACCAGTGGTTGATCTCTAAGCTCGACTCGTCGTCCCGTAGTCTCTGCGGTGGCCAAAGGCGTGGTGATAGCGTCCATAGCCACATCACCCCAAGCTTCGATAAGAGTCTGACCCAGGGCGCCTGGATGCTTGTTGCCGCACATCTCCGCATACGCTTCATTATAGAACAACACACGATCAGATCCGAGAATAAGAAGACGCGGTTGCGGGTCCAGCAAGCAGATATGGCAGAGTTGTGTCAAGTCCTGAGGCCATGACTCCAGTGGTCCAAGAGATGTCGAAGCCCATTTCACCCTTCTGATGTATCCCAAATGCTCATCTAGGCGTTGATCTCCCGTATGTGTTTGGAAAACGACACCCTGTCGTATGGCGTTGCCGAGATCCAAGGTAGGTTGCTTCTTGACCGGACTGGCAGCATACATGATTGTAGGTTACGCAGTGAGAGAAATGAAGACACGAGAGTCTCTGTCTATTTGGAGGAATGTGTTTGAGTATGATCCTGTTACAAACAGGGAAGTGGTAAAACGGACGTGCTCGTTGCTGGTATCAATTTTGAGGCCCGTCGGACTCGGCACTTAATTTAAATCTAGGCCCTCGGATCGGGATCGCATACCACAGATGATTCGTATGCTAGTTAGGTATCAAGCACACATGTAGGGTATACTTGCTTGTAAACCTTGACCTGGCTATGATCGGTTGATGCAACAGCTGCAAAGAGTCCTTGATGAATTACTCCTTGTTGATGCTCTTCTTCATGCAGGAAATAGGATTTGTTGACAGTGCAAATCCCGAGCTGAATAAGCCCTAGCCCCGCATGGCTTCCTGTTGACAACTTTATTCGAGTCCTGTGTTGGCAACGTCCTTCGCGAGTCAAACCCCTCGTCAAAAGTGTCAAGAGCGAGAACGACCCGAAGTGTCTTACACCACTGCCCACTATGGCGAATTTGCGATTTAACAACACTCGCGCCCGGAGCGATTCGGCATGACAACATCCTTGTTTCGTCAGCAGGGGACAGCCCTACATTGCCTACGATGTCGTGATACAGATGGAGAGCACTCCGAAGCAGGGAAGTTTGCATTCATCAAGTGCGCCGAAAAATTGGTCATCAAAGTCGTTTCAGTGTGCTATCTGGATCTGTAGAGCCTGGATGACCTCGTGCATCTTTTGAGCGGAAGATTATTTGTCCGAAGTCTTGACAATCTTGCTGCGAGGAAGCTCACGACAATGTGGACAGAGCCACTCGCCCTTGGGTTCTGCTTTGAGATCGACACACCCCCAATGGAACCACTGATGTGGACAGTCATCGTTATCGCAGGCGACCATATCACCAAATGACACTCGCTGGCAGACACAATAGACTTGAGTGTCATCCTCCTCTCCTTCAGCATCAGGTTCGGCATCTTCACCTTCCTCGTCAGATGCTGCAGAAGCCGCTCGGGTGCCGCGTAGACGCGAGCGTGATTCTACAGTACCGTCTGTTCCAAGAGGCAAGGTCGATGGTGTCGGACTGACACTACCTCGCGAAGAAGAAGGTGTTGGTGAGGTGAGATGACGCTTGCGATCTCCCTTCTTCAAAGCTGCGTTACCAGATCGAATTCGCTTCCTGTTAGAACCAGGGGCAGATGCCTGGTGTGGCGCGATTCTCTTGTTATGAGGTGCTTTCTTGTTAGGCTGAGCAGATCCAGCACGACTAGAACTTGGAACGGGTGTGCCGGCTTTTGGAGTACCAGAAGTTGGGCCGAGTGACGACTGTCTAAGAGATGAAGCAGTGGCTGGAATGTTGCCAGTCATCGAGCTGTTAAGGCGACGGCGTTTCGATGCGTCAGCGCTGCTTTCCCGCTGTGACCTCGCTGACGGGCTGTTGAGATGTGCTTGGTTAAGTAGCGCGTTCTGCGCATTCAGAGGTGATGATGTTCGTTGGTTGGTAGCATGTAAACGAGCAATGGCGGCATTCGCAACATTAGGCGCACCACCAGATTGAGCCGAGTTGATGGCGGCGGCTACGGATGGAGTGTTGGTCGTAGCAAGGCTGCCAGCTTCGGGCTGCAACAAGGATGGCAATGTTGGATCTGGAGGCATCTGTTCACTGTTGACAAGATCACGCAACTTGACGTCGAATCTTCGAACATTACGGTCGAGCNNTTGGGAAGTCAGCATTTGATCACTGGCGTAGACAAGTAGCTCCTGACACACCAATCTCATGGCCTTTTCACTCAGACCCAGTTTCTCAGCTTGCAGAATTTCAATGCGATCAAAGTTTGCCATGATGACTTTGGTGAGGCCATCTTCCTTGGGATTTTTGACGTGGCCACCCTGGGCTCTGACAAAATTCTGGATTTGTTTGTCGCGCGAATTGATGACTTCGCGCAAGTCTTGGATATGTTGATCTTTGGCTTGAATTTCTTCCAGTAAATGCGCTATCTCAGCGGGCAAGTTTGCGACTNNGAGCAACAAGTCAGTTTGCGACTCATTTGAGGGCAATCAGAGTGCGTCCTTACCATCGTGACAAAACTGGTCCAAGACGGTGGCAGCATCATCAGTACCGATTGCTGCCATTTCGGATGTTATTTGGGCGCAAAGTGATGTTCTTTGATGAATATGGGGGCTGCTGGAAAAGGTGGTGGACGAGTGAAGGTGGAAGAAGTCGCGACCTCACAAACGGAGCCACCAAGTGAAAGGACGCAGAACAACAAACAGACTTTCCGCAGCAAGATCACCGCTGGAAATGACTACAACTCTCCAACAGCACACCTATCGAATTGGAATAACTTGTTGGATATCCGAGCAGCATTCTCAATAGAGCATCACACGAAGCGACAAGATGCGAGCAGCAGCGCGCCAAGCCTCGCGCCTGATCAGCGAGCAGACTCGCGCCGAGTCATGTGGGGACGAGGACGATGCCGAGCACGACCAAGACGCCCTGTCTAACGGCAGCGACGACGAGCACGATGACCCTGGCTACGACTTACTGGCCGACAGTGACTTTTCACACGACGATAGCAGCGGCGACGACGACGACGACGACGACGACGACGACGACGACTATAATGATACCGGATCCCCTCACCTGAGAGACGATCAACAAGCCCCCTCATCTTTCCTACGCAGAAGCAACACTCCACGAGTCGACCCAGTCAGAGCCCCCATCAGACTGCCGCTTAGAGTCGCGCCAGCAAATTACAACTCTCTGGGCCACAAGAACAAATCTGCCTTTAGAAGGCCTCCAATCAGAGACGCGATCATGTCAGTGCGACAGAACAATGGCATCCCTCGTCAGAACATGCGCGACGCCATAGTACAGCAATGGGACCCGTCACAACGTCCGAATGGCCAGCCACATCCACAGTATCCCACAGGAGCACCACCGACGCCGCCATTGAACGACAGCGAAGAGGAACACGCCGAAAGACAGAGGACTTTGCGCGACAAGATCATGCAGCAAGTTGAAGAGAATGGCATTGAGCGTCCCCGGGGCTATACCGTCTCATATCATTACAACCGCCGTGTCGAGAACATGCACTTTGGTCGCACCCATCCCATGAAGCCATGGCGCTTGACTTTGACCAAACATCTCGTCATGGGCTATGGTCTGCAGTTCGCCATGGACAACTACGACGCGCTTCCCGCAAGCAAAGAGACTGTCGCTGCTTTCCACGACCAAGACTACGTCGACTTTCTCTCAAGAGTCTCGCCTCAGACTTTCAACGAGCTCTCCCTCATCTACGAGGACAGGACCCCGCCGAGTTACCCTGGAGACCTAGTAAAGCTGGGCCCTTTCAACCTGTCTCCGTCACCAGGTGCTGATTGTCCTGTCTTTGACGGAATGCAAGAATACCTCTTTTTATATACCGGCGCCACCATGGAAGCCGTGTCGGCCTTGACAAACAATCAATCTGATATCGCTATCAACTGGTCTGGTGGTCTTCATCACGCACACAAGTCCGAAGCCTCAGGTTTCTGTTATATCAATGACATTGTCCTGGGTATCTTGGAACTACTGAAATGCCATCAACGTGTTTTATATATCGACATCGACGTCCACCACGGCGACGGTGTCGAGGAAGCCNTTGCAAGCAGCGACAGAGTCATGACACTCTCCTTCCATCGCTATGGTATAATCGATGAGGATTCTAAGGAAAAGCATCTATTCTTCCCGGGCACTGGCGCGCTGAACAGCAACGGAAACGAGAACAGCATTGGCAACCATTTTGCTTTGAACGTTCCCATCCCTAAGGGTATCGACGATGATCAGTTTTTACATCTCTTCGAATCTATCACTAGTCGTACACTCGAGCATTTCCGCCCTCAAGCCATCGTCCTGCAATGCGGTGCTGACTCACTTGGTGGTGACCGTCTTGGTCAATTTAATCTCAACATTCGCGCTCACGGCGAGTGCTTGGCCTTTGTCAAGAAAGCTGGCGTGCCTCTTCTTATTCTTGGTGGAGGCGGTTACACGGCGCGTAACGTCGCTCGCGCCTGGACTCACGAAACCGCACTTGCAGTTGGCGCAACTCTCAACGAAGAACTACCAATGCATATTGTTCCGCGCCCCCAAGCTTTTATGGGCAAGGAACATGGTGACGGCAGACTATACCCTGAACTCGCGGGTTTCCACAAGAACAATGTCACGCAGAAGGAGTTGGATTTGCTGGTCGAACACTGTCATGAAGAGTTAAGATACATCAAACACGCACCCAGTGTTGTCATGGAAAGTCTTCCTAGTAGAGCTCAAATGGATGCCGCAAGAAGACAGGTCGACGACGAGATGGAAGCAGATCGCGCAGCCGAGAGCAGCAGAGGAGAGCGCGAGAGACGCAGACGCGAAAGAGGCACAGGTATACGCGGAGAACTTCGATAGAGACGATTTCACTGAGGAACAAAGGGCGCTTTTGGCTGGGAAGAAAATAGGGACACGCATAAGTGGCTGGCGTTCATTGTGTTGCTGGTGAGATACCCCTCTATTTGGGCTCGTTTTCTTCGATTTTCTTTTATTGTATCACTACTCAATCATCATACCCAATCCATAAATATACCCGAGTATCTGCGTTCCTATGCCGAACCTCCACTGAGTTTCTCGAGTTTACGATAGCAGAATATTGTCCTGTCAAGGGATCGTATCATTCACTATTCTCAGGCTATCAATAACAATCCATCTGCTTACAAGCAAGTGCGTATGAAGCTATAAATACCAGTCACATGCCAGCACCGTAGACACTGCCTCGCTAAACCCAGTGATGAGGTGCTCGCCAACCACGCCACCTACGACAACGACGGTGTCTTCTCCGAGGATGACACCACAACCGAATCGTTCCCTCCGCGTACACTCACTTCGACCCCACCGATATCGACCTCGAACTGGAAGAAGACGTGTCAATGGCTGCCCGCAAGGGGCGGTCCAGTAGTGAATCAGGTCTGCGACCCTAGAGTACCAACTCCATCGCCCCTGGAAGTAATGAGAAGTAAAGGATGCAAAGGCTAAGGAGGTTAGGGAGAGGGTATGTGATGTCAGTATCATGAACCTGATTGTCTATGGTCTATGAGTTCCCCAAAGTCTGTCAAACAAATCCGCAACCTTGCTGGATATATTCATTACCTATGATGTGGAACAAGACTTCGGCCGTCGAAGTTTGATCTGGAGAAAAGCATATGAATATGACAAACTGATGCAGAGTATATTCTCCTGATCTGAGCATGTAGCAGCAGGACTTGAAGAGATCAATCATGTAGTTGGATCATTTGTGTTGGCGATGTGCGTAAAGGCGATGTTCGATGTCGATTCCATATCCGAAACCCAACACTGATGTGAGTGGTCGGCCTTTCGGTCCCAAGCTTGGAGACACCACTTTCCTTGCGTTGATGAAAATTTGGATATGCCTTTGAGCTCTGGATTTTTTCATACAGTTTCTTGACTTGCTTCTGCTTTGTGTCGCGATATCTTGTCCATTGTACAGATGTATGCAGACCAAGCAGCATCAACCGTGTTTTGTTCACAGAACTGGAAGTAACAGTTAGGTACTGGTTCCTTTCTCTGTCACCTACGTATTGGTGTACTGGCTACCAACATGTGTTTACTACAACAAACGGAGTGGGTTTGTAGTCTAATTTGGCAAGCAATCAAGTCAAGGAGACTGATTCAGATGATTCTTCCAGATACAAACCTGGGTGTGACCGATCAAGCGATGGAGCTACCTCCTTCTCCGAGATACCAAAACGTCGAGAACGAAGCGAACAGGGTCGATGACTCCGTACAGGGTTTCTATCTCTCTTTTTCGGACGAATAGCAGTTTGTTCATAACAGCATTTACGAGAGTAGGATCCTTGATCGGATTTATCGACCGGAGAACTTTCGTTCTCGCGGTTGTGAATCCATGAAAGCAGAGAAAGATGGGGCACAAGTCAGAAGGCAGTGGTATCTCGGTCTCACTGATACAATCTCGAGACAAGAGGTACGCAGTTCACCTAAGAAAAGAGACACGTCCATCCTGTTTTGTAGAATATGATGGTTCTGGGTCCTTCTGCACGATGTTGCTCTACGATCTGTCGAAAGTTCAAGGTCGCCTGATAGACTACACTGGCAATCCAACATATGCTGTCATAAAAATTCATGAGGCGAGAGTACTACGAATAGTATTTGATGTTGAAGAGATTCATACTGGTAGAGCTTGTACACAGAAATTAGTGTTGTGTATTACAAAGGTAGTTCTTCTCACCATCATGGCAGGCAGGCATGACTTCACCCACATTTAGGTCTCACGTAGCATGGTGGTGAGAATTTATTGCCTCTGCAGCCATACTACTGTACCGCTTGATGCTTCTACACAGCATAATCTTCTGTCGTCACAAGATACATCTTGTTCTGTTAGCTACCTTTGCATCCGAGCTCAGAACACTGCCAAGATGGCTGGTCACTGCTGCTACTATTAACGAGCAGTTTATGATGAAGGCACTCATCTCTATGGACTTGAACACTCCTGACTTCGCCAACGCCATGAATGGTCTGGAGGTCTACAAAGCCGAACCGATAGATGTTGTACAAACATCCACTCATCTATTTCCATCAACAAGGAGAGTAGAGACGAAGACCAGAGGAGGTCCATAATCCTTGGCCCATCTATCCTCTCTCGTAGTAAAATAAAGAAATTCAGAGAATGGTAAAGGGTTTCTGGAATAGGAAGTACATAGAAGGATTCATGGACCTGATGACTCCACTTCTTACAATTCGTACAATCTTCTATTATGGGTAGCTCCCTCATGGTACTCTCATGATCTGGCCAGAACTGCCTGCAATCACTGGTATTGATCTGTGTAATAGGTCTCTTGTAGTTATTGTCGTGTTCGAATACTCGATACTCGATGTTGATGGAAGCGATCGATCGATAATACTGTGCCCCAGCATTCCATAGTTTGACGCAAGGCATTGATCATTAGATACCAATACGAAGATGGATGAGTTTAGATACCGAACTCCTTCTGCGTTGTACAATGTCCTCTGCATCATGCATCGCAAGCCATTAGACAAACCATTTCACCTACCAGCCAATATAAGTATAGCCAAAAAGACAGCACTGAGCCCAAGTTTCAGAGCTCAACAGAAACACATACAATGATTGCAGTGCCCAGAGTGAGATAATCTGGATGCTCAAACTCCTCCAGGAAAGCGCTACAAGAAGCATTATACTCACTCGACAGATACCTCGCCACATCACTGGTATTGGAGAAGTCTTCGACAACATGTAAAAGCATGGCCACTACGCGGAGACATCTGTCCATTCACTGTTTCAGGAATTTGGAGACCATCAAGAACAAACCCATGTAAACCAATGGAAGGAGCAAGGAGGAGAGAAGGCCCACCGGCCCACGACTGTCCTCCCTTCCCCTGTCTCTCTCATGAATCGCGACGAGGAAGGAAGGCGTGGAGGAATCAAGAGTACTGCGAAGGGTCGCGAACCCAATGACTTCGTTCACTACGTTAAAGAGTCACCAAGTGTCTCTAAACGAGACTTCCTACGCTAGGATGTTCCGAGGCAGACATGATCATTGCAAGTCCGTACTGCTCGATGCTTCGACGAAAGCGAAACTGAGTTGTCTGGAATGACACCATGGCGAGATCCCTCTTTTGCACTCGACCAGGATGTTCGTTAGAATAGCATCTAGAAACCGAGTATAGACCCATAGAGAATCCACAAGGCTTCCTGAAGCTCAAAAACGTGTTCAGCAGCTCTCGCAAACATCATATCGTATCTCACGGCTCGGGAAAGTTTAGCTCTTCGAACACAATTTGGAATCGCAAAAGTTGATCATGAATTCATCTGTATCTGTGTTTCGTTCTCCCGTACTCGTGTCTCCCATCATCCCTCATCCACCATTTCATCAATACCGCAAAAGAAAACTAAGAGCTGTTGAAGCCAAGAACAAAAACAAACCGCCGCTACAAGACCAACTCCCTCCTTCCCAAACACAATGAAAACAACCATCGCTCTTGCTACTCCAATCAGAAAATTTGCGCACTGCGCTCTAAGCCATGAACCCTTCAGGCATATCTAAGAACCCATCCAATGCCCAGCCCAAAGAATCAAACGGCGCATTGGCCGCAAAATTAAGATTCTCCCAGTTCTCAAGACCGCTCAAGGTCAAGTCTTGGTCAGGCGCCATGGTAGACGGCGGAAGCGCATCACTAGTGGTGTCTGCGTTGGGGATAGCGGTAGGTATAGTAGGATGCTGGATAGCGCGATCGAGATTCTTTGATGCTCCTGCGCCGACATGATCTTTCCATCTCCAGACACTGTCGTAGAGTAGACTCATGCTCATTCTGCAGCGGACCTTGAGTTGGAGAGAGTGTTCTGGGTCCTGGATGAAGTTGGGAGAGTCTGGGTAGAGTTTGTTGGTAGAGCCTCCGCCATTGGCTTGCCATAATTGAGCGAGGACTTCTGCGAGACGTTGGGGAAGGTCATTGGGTGCGACGGAGAGATTGCGAAGGGCGGCGACTGTTTGCAGGAACAGAGTTCTGCCGCTGGTGACGTCGACTTTGTTGGAGAAGAATGAGTTTAGTAACTTCATCAGAGTAAAGCCTGCGGCCAAGAGCATTTGCATCATGTAATTGGTTGCGAAGCATTGGTAAGGTCCTGAGAGGTGTTCGCCGCCGGGAGTATGCACTCCAACATTTGGAGGAAGAGCCAAGAAGGTCTTAAGCACTGTTGTCGCAGCAATGTACAACGCTGAGAGATCGGACTTGTAGGTCGGAGCCGTAGGGGAACCAAAGAAGGCTGTTAGACGGAGATGGAGGCATGCGATTTGCGCGTTGAGAATATCAATGTGGGAAGCGTGGTTTGCACGAAGAGATGTTTCCAGCTCCTCGTATTCTCTTCCCAGAGTGTCGATAAGAAGGAAGCGTTGAGCTTCGTCACCAGCAACGAACTCGTCTCGTTGCATGATGTAGCATGTACGGGTGACCTTGTCGACAAATCTCTCAATCTGGATGCGATTGCGGAAGGCGCCAGAGATGCGATCGAGGTGCAAACCGTGAGTGTACCAGTTCCAACGCGAGATTTGTGGCATGCCATAACCAGTGGAGGTGTTCTGTGCGAGCAAGTTGACAGCAACCCAAGTGTGCATGCGATCCTGGATGTCCTCCTCGCGCAACTCGATGCGATTGCGCGAAAAGTCTTGGGCATGTGAAGGACGATGGAGACCGAATTGCATGGCGAGCTGTACCATGGTTCCGCAAAGCATCATACTCGGGTCGTGAGACGTCGAGCTGCTAGGCATGGGCCATGTGCAGATGAGAACCAAAGCCTTGACAATGTGGTACGACTGCGGATCCGAGGCGATTGTAGACCACATCAGGTCTGTGAATGAGCGGCGCAGCTCTTGTAGCAGTCCAGGACGTCCTTCGTAGCGGCGCATGGCGATTGTGAGAATGGTCCAATGCAGTAGGGGAGACATGGCGAAGAAGGCTGTGTAGGGCGTGTCAGGAGACAGCAAGGGGAGGTATGGATGGTAGCGCGCAAAGTAGATTCCGACAAGGTCCATGACTTCGTTCTCGGTCAGAGTCACTCTCCCCAGTGTGTGTAGTGTCGGCTCTCGTGTCGGGTAGTCGATGCTGCCTTGTGCCAGGTCGAGTAATGATCGCGAAGCAGCTGCTTCATTGGGGCCCGGGAATGGGTTGTTCGCGCTTGCGTATGGTGGTTGCGGCGGGAAAGTAGGAGGTTGTGCAGGATCTCCGGTGGGCATGCCTCCTCCTCTTGTGATAAGCAGACGCAGGTTCGCGTTCTCGTTCTTGAGCGTGTCGAGCTCGCGCTCCATCTCGGCATGTCGCTGTCGCTTCTCCTGTCGCTTGAAGCCTGGGTCGATGGCGCACGTCAGGTTGTGCTTGATGCATCGCGCGCACGGCTGGAACTCTGGCTCGGTCTGGATGTTGCATCGTAGCTGCTCTGGTTGTCAGTGCCTCTACCCAGACGCGTCTTGTCGCGCGTAGAGTCTGACCTTTTGCTGCCGACACTGGTTGCACGCTCTCTTCACCGGGTGCGCCTTTGCCAGGCCTCCTGACGTGTCTGCCGGCGGACTGGTGTCATCTTGGATCTCGCTCTTCTTCCTCTTCCTCGGCGGGCCTGCTGTCGTTGACGATGAGGGCGTGAGTTGCTGTTGCTGCTGCTGGTGTTGGACCTGCTGCAGCGACTGCGGCACGTCTCCGTTGAAGGGTGTCGAGGTCGATGACTGATGGAGACCCGAGAAGTCGGCACTGCCTGACCATGCCATGACTACTGCTGAGTACGGACGAGATGCAGTATGATCCTCCGGTACCGCACTGCGTTGACACCTCAGTAGTATAAATGTCACCGATTTCGCGTGACTCAATCCTGTGAAAATGTTTGTCAGAGATGCGGGGTGTTTCGTCGGAGAGCCTTGGCGTCTGACATGTCACTCTCTTGAGTACCACCACACCTCATACTCAAGGTAGACAAGAGTTTTCATAGGTAATGTATTATCGACTTGGGCACCCAAAGTCCAGAACTCTCGCGCGAACCGCAAGCAATAACGCTATGTGGATTTTGAAAAGACATGTGCTTTCTACCGGCCTCGACTGCTTCCTCCGTTCTTCAAGGTTCATCAAGTTTCTCTAGCAACTGTAGTCATTGGGTTCCACATATCAAGTGCTTTCGGAACCATGTGGCGCATGTCACCACGGTTGTCGACAAGTGAAAGGTGGCCCCAGAAAAGCTCCTGGGTTGGGAATCTGATGCCGCATAGAGTACAGGAGTATGGAGAATTGGGGCTAGCCATAAGACCGCTATGGTGCTGCTCCAAATGATCAAGGGCACCGATTATGCCTGAAGAGGTAAAGGCGCATTCTCCGCATTTCTTGATCTTCTATAGAAGATCCTCAGCCTCCTCACACCTGGACAGCTGCACATAGCGTTGAAGAGCGAACTCATTGAGAACCCCCTTCTCGCATCCAAAGGGACAAAAATCATTCTGTCCATTAAAAAAAACGTACTGTATGAGCAGGGTTCTCCATGTGCTTGTGGACTCTATCAAGCGTGTAGGTCTGGGTCAATCTCGTCTTGTAGTTGGAAACTGGACAAGACAATGACATCCTACTTGTCACGCCCCTATAGTCATTGGCGGGTTTGCGATTGATAGGCTTCTTGGATGCGGGTGAGTCAATTGGAGCTATTGCAGGACCCGGGGCGACGCTAGGATCAGATGTGGAAGAAGCAGCAGCAGGAGTCTGTGCTAGGCTCTGAGTGGTTTTGGGAACAGATGCAGAGTCAGCGTCGGACTCGGGTGAAAGCTGTCTTCTAGGCTTCTTGCCATGTTGAGACTGCAAAGTTTGACCTTCGTTTCTGACTTCATTGTCAGACGCGAGTTGTCCGCCACTAGGATCATGAGATGTGTTGTCAGGTTGTGCAGCATGCCGACCGTTGTTGTCTGTGTCGACTGCATGCCCTAGATCCAGCTGGCCGTTAGGTGTTTCGCGCTGTTCAGGATGTTGACCGTTGTTGCCTTCATTAACCTCACGCTCTACGCTCTGAACTCTGAGGCGGTTTGGATAGATGAGCAGATTGTTCGGTGAGTTGAGCAGTGAAGTCGACTTGATCTTGAGGCTGAGCGGCGAATTGAGCAGTGGAACCGACTTGATCTTGAGACTGAGCGGCAGATTCGAGAGACTGGTCGGCGGGTCGGTGAGTGCTTGCATTCACAAGAGCTTGGATGAAAAAGTTCGACGCAGCGGAAGGAAGTTTGTAGAGCCTAGAGAAAAGGTCCTGGAGCAGCTTCTGGAGCAGCGGTTATACCAGTGATGAGTTTGTAAGTGATATTTTCATGCGCTAAACTATGCTAGGTGTGTGCTTATCGGGGTACACAGTACTTTCAAGGAATAGGGTGGTGTGCATTGAGAGACGACATATCGTATGCTCCCTCTGTTTGAATACTTGACTTGAAAGCCTTTGTGCCTTTTTCCATAAGCCAGAAGTTCACCTACATTCTTGTATAAGAGTGGAAGTCACAGACTGTAGCACATGGAGAAGAAGAAGATTAGTCGAGTATTGGTCAAGAAATGTCAACCGTTGTTGATAGGGGTTGAGGACCTCGAAAGCTTGGCCATAGCCGAGATCTGTATGTACATACTACAACTATGTCAGCCATTGACTCATCAATTGGTTCTGTGGTGTAGTTGGTTATCACTTCTGTCTAACACACAGGCGGTCCCCGGTTCGAACCCGGGCGGAATCATTGCTTTTGCCATCTCATGAACAATCTTTTGGATCAATGCGAGTAGTATAGCCTTTTGAAGCCTGGAAGGAATTTCTCAAATTTTTGAGCAGGTTACGTGGACCGCCGATGAAGCCGCTGCCGACGCCGACACATGCTCCTTCCTCAACCTCACACCACCAAACATTTGTCCTTTACAGTTCAATCCACTGAAATGTTGAAACTGGTGTGATGTTCTTTTCCATGAGTGCCTTCAGGCAAGTATCATTGAAACAAAGGGTTCTAGGCAAACATGTGATTCACGTCAATAAAATACTATCCACAAGACTACCAACGATGCAAGACGTCTTTGAGGAGAACTATAGGCACAAACAAGCGAACAAGCAGAAGAAGCAAAAATACGCCCACACTCAGCAAAGAAGCTGCCCCCAGAAGGATGCCTTCAAGCGCCAGGCATGTACCTTGAGGCCAGCCAGCTCGACAGATTCTGACCTCGCAGTCATACGTGCGCTGCTCCTGAAGAGATGGCACACAAAATCACATCAACAACTAAACACACGACGCAAAGTCGCCAAAACAAATCCGAAGTTGCGTCAGTATAAAAGGACGGAGATGTTCATACTGACGGTGATGTCCATACTCAACAAAAGCAACAACGTTCTCCGAAAACCCGAGTGTGTGTACAGATGGAGGCAACCATGAGCTTTGATCTCGTAGTCGTTGCTGGCGCCTGCGTCTAGAAGACGACACACAAGCGTGTTTGGTGCTGCCTGATGAGAAAGAAGAAGAAGAAGAAGAAGAAGAAGAAGAAGAAGAAGAAGAAGAAGAAGAAGAAGGGTGTTGATAAACAAAGTCTGGAATTCGAGTCTGTCTAAACAAAAAAGTATGTTCACTCCCAGCAAAAAGATGCACTCGAAGATGCGTCTCAGAGAGCCAGGCGTGTACTCCCACCGTCTAGTGTGAGTATCAATCTTGCAGATTCAATAACGCGCATGTCACTGAGAGAGACAAGCGCGCTCAAACCACTGCTTGGTGGAAGACGAGATGGGAAGAGTACTATGGAAAGATTGAATTGAAGTCGGCATAAACACGAAAGGATTTCCACATCCAGCAAAAAGACGCCCTCGAAGAGAATGTCTCTGAAAGTTGAGGGGGAACTGAAGATCAGCACGATGAGCAAGCCAAAAAGAAGAGTAAGAGTCAGAAAAGCGTTGAGACAAAGAAAACAAAGGCAAAGGACAAGGTGGCAAGGGCCACTCTGAGCAGGATACGCAATGACGCGGCTGCCAGAATGCACGATATGGTTCGCAGACACATCCCCGCAGGTCCTGAGCAAGCTGCTTTCGACGAGCAAGCTACCCTAGTTGCCGACTTGAATAGTCAAATCGACAGAAACACTGAGGAGTACATCAGATGGAACGGATCCAGACCAGAAAGAAGATTTGGCGATCGTGCAGTACAGCAACCTGAGCAAGAGGAGTAAGAAGTGGGAAAGTTTTCACGAATACACCACTGGTCAAGGACAACAAGAGGGCATCACAGACATTGGTGAGTATACAGGAAGGCCACAGAACGACTCTCTCGACGACCGCTGAAGTTTACAAACATATATGACAACACGAAATCAATCAATGCCACCGGACTTTTATCGAACAAAGACTCTCCTTGCAAGACACCAGTTACATTATATCCATCAAAAGGCACAAAGTATTTGATGTCAGCTGATTCTCCACGGAGAGCAGCTGCTCAGCACACTTCTCACTGGAAACAGCAAGATTTGTCGAGAGTACTCTGCGTTTCGACCAGGAGGTATATGGCCCGAGCATCGACGGGAGAGAACATTGGAGGTGAGAGAACAACACTATAGTGACTCGAGAGTGAGTCCAGCCATATCAATTATCTCGAACAGACGGTTGCTACGTGGAGCCAAGGAACAAAAGCGCTTATATCGGTCAGATTGGCAGACGAAATCAGCTTCACTCACCAACGATCCAAACAGAGTCGTCGCCTCGACGATCTCGCGCGAAAACAAAGGAAGCCACATCTTCACTCTCTCCCTTTTTACACCCTCGCACAGCTATCACAACATCGTATTCGCAGCCACGCGCAATTTCAAATTCAAACAACATGGACTACGCCAACATGGCTCAAGTCTACATGCATCACGCCAACCTAGACCATGCCAATATGGAGCATGCCAACATCGAGCAGGTCAACGTCGAGCCCACCAACATGGAGCCAATCACCGACATCAAGAATGATAATCCTAACCCTACTAAACTTGACGGTGAACCTCAGCTTCGCGAGATGTGGGCAGTAAGTTCACCATCACGATGTGATCACCAGAGTCAGCTGCTAACCTTCTGCAAGGCCAACCAGAACTCCGAACTGAACCTCCTGGGTGCCCTGAACGCTTGTCAATCGACTTTCGACAACACCACATTTTGGGAACGCGACAACAGAAACGGTTATCACAACTTCCAGATAAACGACGCTCAAGCCTGCTTCGTCGCTCGTCAAAACAGCATCAACAACATCAACGCCAACAACAAGATGTACACCGGCATGGAAGACTTCTACGCCGAGCAGCAAAAGGCCTACAGCAAGCTTTGTGCCTACAATCTGAAGAAGTACAGCAAGGAGACGATCAGAGGTACCAACCGTCAGAAGGCTGCTCGTGGCGGTGCTGCTACCCGCAAGGCCAACAAGGCTAAGCGCCATGAGGAGATGGTCATAGGAATTGGCGAGGAAATCATCGCTCTCAGAGACTACTCTGGCGTCCTGGATGAGAAGTACAAGAAGCGCTTCGACATGGTTGTCAAGCGGGTCCTCGCTGCCACAAAGGTCAACATGACTCCTAAGATCTTCGCTATGGTCAGTGAGGCTGCTCTTGATACCAAGACTGAGTGAATGCTTTCGGACTGAGAGTCAAAGATCAGCAGAAATGCAAACACGGAAGAGTTGGACATGATCCACCTTACTGAGATTCTGTCTGCTCGGATCTTTGGGAGTTTTTCTCCATGACGACAGCGCAAGGTCTGATGGCTCTGTCGGTTCACTTGGCTGGCTCATGGTGGGTTCTGTGAAGATTGGAGGAAACTGCATGCGGTGCTCAGGGGTCCAGATAGGGAAAACCCAAGGTTCCGGACCACGAGGGAAACCTCTCGATCAGAAAGCAGTCAGAAAATGTTCAAGCGTCATCACACACGCCAAGTTTTGTTCCTTGCACCTTCTCGTTTTGTAACGCGTGTTTTCTCCATCATGACGATCAAGTCGAGTCCTGTGGTGAGTATGGAGGAAGGCACGAAAGACAGCTTGGGCTTGCCCGAACTTCGATTCTTCAACCACAGACTTTCTCTCCTTTGCACACAACAAAGCATCTACATTGACGACCAGCCCTCGAATGTCATTATTATCGCTTCTTGTCAACAGTTATTTTCCAGCAAAGATCGAAAACATGGATGAGTTTCAAGCCGATGGATCCCGCAGACCCTTCGAGTACGATGATGGTATTTTGCCCATCTTCATCCCCGTAAGTGTTACCACCATCTCGTTCCGGATCTATCATCTAACCATTCCTCGCTAGTACATCCAGGAATGCGACCAAGATATCCTGCAATGGATGAACGTCTATCAAGAGCAATGTCGTAACCCTCGGGGTACATTTGTCGTCTGGCAGTGCAGTTCTAGCGGCCACTATTCGCCTCTCGAATTTGAAAAGACCGCTACACTACCTTCGAATTCAGTGATCGTGCTGTGTATGAGATGGTCATGCAAGCAGCCCACAACCGCAATCGTCATCCTTATCCTATCGATGAATCATCACACTTCAACGAGTTCCGGACAGCTTTCTTGAACATGGCTGCCTACAACAAGACGATGAACGAGCGCTAGAAGCAAACCAGTGATGACCAGAGCGACACGACTCTGGACAACATGGAAGTCGACGAGGTTGGTCTAAAGCAAGATGGCCAGGAGTCGCAAGCTGTCAACGATACCGGGAGTAAAAAGACCACAGAGCTTGCACACAAAGAACCGGTACTGAACCTTTGCCGCGAACTCGCTCGCCTGTCCATCGGTAAAGCGACAAGAACCTTAGGCTTCGCGAAAGCTCAAGAACATCTGCTCGAAGCCATCGAAAACGATCTTGAAGAGGCAAACAAAGATTAGAGAAGTGTTTAGGACTGGAGAGTGAACTGGGAGAGGTGTTTCTGTGGCAGCTGAAAATGGTGATTCGAGTTTCGATGGAAGATAGCTGTACGATCGCTTGATTCACATGTTGAGATCATACAGATCGCTATTCTTCGGGTCATCTGTCTCATGTCTTTCGCTAGAGTCTTTGCAAAGATCAGTGGAGGATCCTCTAACTAGTGACAGCGAAGGTCTACTGCTTGCAGAAAAATACCCGCTATCGCAATCACTCACATTCAGCAACATACTCCATCTTGACTGCACATTGATCTCTCACTCACCGCCACCTCATCATATACAACTAGGACCCACGAACGCCCTGAGGTGCCTCTCAAGATGTCGCACGCCATGCGCCCAGGCGAGACCATCGAGGAGATCGACTTGAGCAACGATCCCGAGCCTATACTTTCTCGAATCCAGGTGCGAGTGAAGCTTCGTGGCTTTCAAGACAACATAGACTAAGCCTNNATGTCACAGAACCCTCACTTCGACGTTCAGCTGTATGTCCTAAACCACCGACAAAGCCTCAAAAACAAATCCACAGTCTGGCACCGAGACGCAGATGGCTCTTTCCACGCTGTGGAATGGACAAGCCGATTCATGTACCGTCGAGATCGTAAACCTTACCTGGACAGAGATGGCCAAGTCGATCAAGAGTGGGCGAATGAGAAGTGGTCACAGTGGTGTCAGCGTGACTTTCACCCAGCTGTCGAGGCCTATACCGAGTACAACGAGCCAGCCCCCGAGATGATCGTACTCGGCAACGTGAATGGCCATTTACACAGTGCAGATGACGCTCTGGAAAGAGCATGGGAAAGGTTGTCTCACGCAAAAATGACCCTTGAGCTTTCGATCCATACTTCAGGTCTGCACAGCTCCGGCCATCTTTTGGCCCAGACAAGGGATGTTATGAAAGACATCTTGGACGATATGGACATTCAACTGCGCACCATCAACGAATCTCATCGTGAATCTACAAATCAGTTGAACTCTCTAGAGCTTGCGATCAAAGCACTTGTCAGATCGAAGAACATCGCCGAAAAGTCTAGAAAAAGAAGGGAAGAAGAAGATGAGAAGATGGTTGATACGGTTAAGTTCCTCAAAAAGTGCCTGGACAACCATTGCAGACTCGTCAACATAGTTCTCGGCAAGCCAGAGCCATTGGTACAGCAGGGTACCGATCTTGTTCAAGCCATGTTGTCCGAGATGTTCGGCTTGCCCTTGCCAGCTATCCAAGAAGCCGCAGGAGAGCCACAAATTGAAGGAGAAAAGCAGCTGGAGTCAGAATCTGAAGTCGAAGTCATCTGGGAGAAGTTCGAGTCTCAAGATCTCATGGACATTGAAGCAAACGAATGCTCTGGAACAGAGTCGGACGAATACATCGACGATACCAGCAGCGAAGAGACAGAGTCAATCCTGGACACATCGACAGACTACAAGAAAACGCTGAGACGTGAAAAGCGCGAAAGGGCGAGAGACGAACTGTACAACAAATCCGGCCTGTCTATCGTTCACGACGACGCAGAAGACCTGGATTCTTCAGAAGGAGAAGAGCGCGCAAGAACCAAGCGCCAGAAGAGAATTTTCGACAGACCCAGCGAGCCACCCAACGGTAAGCTTCCCATACGCCGCGAGATTCCTGTCATGAGACAGACTACACTCTCCTTCGACAAGGTTCGCAAAAGCAGAAGACTGTTCTCTCGCAAGGAGTTGAGCCAGAATGTGACAACTGGAGACCAAGAGGAAGCAGAAGTCACCTCTCCAGGTCCTGTCAGAAGAAACCCAAGAAGAGCTACTGTCAAAGCGCACATTACCGCGACGATTTTCAGTCTCGGTTCAACCGAATGCTCAGATCAGGAGTATGAGAGTAACGCTTGCTTGCCAGACATTGGCTGAGACGGCTACGGGGAGAGGTAGATTCGATGTAGCCGTGGTAGATGGGAATGTTGGGAGAAGATATGAGAGATAGGGAAATATGTACTGGAAGAGGAGAGAGCAAATAGTGGTTTCAGTGGATGAGAGTATGTGGCGACGGGCGTCGAAGAAGAGGGGAGCAGCTTAAGTCACACGGGTAGAGAAACAAAAACCCGATGGGAAGGATGGAAAACGATCTTCAAGTCACGGCTGTCGACCAGGTATCGCTAACCGGATCAAAACAGAAGTTACATTATCATTAATTCCAGAATTCTTGAGTCCCAAACGCTAATCAACCAGAAACTCGAAATCATTTTCCTCATCAAGTGTATGCGTTAGGCTGCCGCGTATTGTTGGTGAAACTGTTGTAGACGATACCTGTCCCACTGATCGCATTGCCAGCAGAATTGATCAAGATTCCAGGTGCATCCATAAAGTACGCATATCTAGCCACATCAGGCTGCTGATCCATCCATGGCATAGCTTTCTGCAAGAAAGCCTGAAGTTCAGCATCGGTATAGCTGAACTCACTGTTCAAACCAAACTCAGTAATCCAGATAGGTCGTCCTGTAGCTATGGCACGGGCAGAGTTGATGTGTGACTCGAGGTACGAAGCGCCTGCGTACTTGTTGCTGTACCAGTGGAGGTTGATGAAGTCGATGGTACAACCCGTACAGTTGCCGAGGAAGTACTGCAGATATTGCAAGCCCACAGGAGCGGCATCCGTGCCACCAGCGTTGGTGACAGCAGGGGCGCCAATCAGAGCTTTGCCAGCAAAGGGCTGCATATATTGTTGATGGAACACGACCGCCGTAGACACATTCATACAAGCACTGCCATCGATACAGTAGTCGGGCTCGTTGAATGACATGAGGGCGGTAGAACCATTGTCAATAGCGATCTGAGCTGCAGCGAACCATTTGGACAAAAGATTGGGATCGTTGTTGTAAAGCAGAGGAACAAACTCAAGCGCTGGGTTGAAGTTGCAATCGTTGACGCCGGGAGTGGTGCACGATGCATAGAACCAGTCGTAGGCCCAAGAGACCTGGCTACCCTGTCCACTGAGGGAGAAGGGCGTAGTGAGATTTGCCTTGTTGTAAGACAGACCACGTTTGCCAAAGTTGCGGACTGGTGTGGGTGCCGCAGATACTACAGAGCTCGTGCTTGATAGGGAAGCAACACGAGAAGACGAGGATGAGCTCGAGCTCGAGCTCGTTAGAGCGCCAGACGAACTGATTCTGGACGAAGAGCGAGAGGAGGAGGATGGAGAAGAGATCTGCGAAACGGCAGCGGACGGTGCAGAAGCTGAACTGCCTGATGTGGCAACCGAAGCAGATTGAGACGATGTCTGTCTTGGTGTGGATGCGGCAGAACTTGCAGAAGGGTTCGATACGACACTGCCCGAGCCAGAAGAAGAAGGTGGTGAGGATGAGCCAATTTGCAAGGAGCCACTCGATGAAATCTTGGACGCACTTGAGGGAATGGAGCTACTGATGCTTGAGCTAGACGAGGATGCTGCAGAAGGACCTTCTGAGGACAAAGGACTGGCAGTGCTGCTTGAGACTACTAGAGGCACCGATGTACTAAGAATAGTCAAACTAATTAGCAAGACCTTTGTCACAGTGTTCATATATACTTACATGCTTGTAGCAACAGAGTTACTCGAGGAATCGGTACCCAGCACTATAGTCTGTGAAGGGAGTGCCGCTGATGCAGGTTGATAAGTGGATAAGCTGGGAGAAGCAGAGGCAGACGCACCCGAGGATGAAAAGGAGGCCGAGCTACTCGATGCGCTAGCCGAGGGCACATAGGAGGTTGCGCTGGTGATATAGACGACTGTATCAGGTCCCGTGGGGACTGGTGCGTTTCCTGATAAATGTTGCGAGATATAATTAGAGATTTGCGTTGAGAAGGCGGCCGCAGAACTGCTGCTTGTCGATGTATCAATGCTTGGAGTCACGTAAACAACCGTGTTGTCGCTTGTTGGGACTGGCGCACTATCCGAGGTTCTCTGAGATAGATGATCTCCAATAGCCGATGAGTAGCCTTGGGTTGCAGTAGCCACAGTAGGGCCAGGGGCTGTGGCCGAAGTAACCGTGCTAGGGCTTGCCAAAGCAGCTAGTATAGCCATATAGTCGGCTCTAATGGCTGCCACAGCTCCTGGACTGTTAACAATGCTGTTGATTGCTGACAATAAAGTGCATTGGCCGAGAAGGAAGGTGGATGCCACACATCTAGGCAAGTTCGCGCAAGATACAATACATACTTGGAAAGATTGAGCGCTTTGTTGACGTTTTTGGTTGGTTGTAATGACGTCTCCACCAAAGGTCTGGCCACAGGCAATTTGGTAATCCGGTCCATCACCGGGAGAGTATGGCTGTCCACAGACTGGCACTGCTGATGGTATTGCGGTGGATGCACTTGTACTTGATGAAGATGCGCTCAGCGGAGAAGAAGTCTCTAGAGCCACGGAGCCTGCCGAGGAAGAAAGAACGAAGCCCGAAGGAATCAAGCCACCAGTGCTCGAAGCTGCGCACGCAGACACGTGAGTAGTAATGACGATGGTTGGTGTGACGATCGCTGGTCAATGGTCAGTCTCTCTACCGACCATACAAAGTGGAAGAAGGCATACTTTGGCAAAAAGCATGTCGAAACAAAAAAGCAGACAGTACAAGAAACTCCGAGTTGGTCCTCATCTCTGGATGAAGAAGTGACGACCGTCTCTCGGCCTGCAATCAGAAAGCCTTCGTAAAGAGCGAACAGCAGTAAATGTCTTTTAGCTGTAGATTACTGATAGTTGAGGGGTATCAGGAACCGATGTGCAATAACGGGTCTTTCTTGATGGCAGTATAGATGGCTGACGTGCCTGGTCAGGTGGTGAAGACGAATATTGCAATTGATACCAAAACGAGTGTAGTTGCAAAACAGAAACAAGAGATCAAGAAGCGAGTATAGAGTCCTGGAACCGATCATGGCTATAACATTGGTGCTGAATCTGGAAGCATTGCGAGTCGGGTAAGGAATGTAAACAGCACCATAGCGGCTGGGCTTTTCCAGGCTCTTGGAATGCATTTGAATTGATAGTGGCCGATTGACGTTCTGGAATTACGATAGATTAGATCATGCTATCAACGAATATGTGAATGCTGCTTGGGCATTTGAGAAAGAACTGTTCCCAAGCTCATGTCGAAGCTGCGAGTAGATAAGGGTCGAGTCATGGTGATGTTGTTGATCGATTTATCGAGACACTGGGTATTCATTTAGTGTTTACTACTTGACCGTATGGAGATAAAACGCGATAGCTGTTGTTGATAGAACGAGTGCCAATCTGGGTGGTTGAAGCGAAGGAAAGAAGGCGCCACACCTCAGCCACACTTGGCTGCTCTTTCCCGATAAGTTGCCAGAAGTATCGACCCGCTGACAAAAGAGTCGCCACGCGCGCGCGCGCTGCAACGCCAGGAAAGCCGACGACGAGCTCGAGATCAGATAATCGTCACATTTCATCCCCATCCCGACTCAGCGCATTCATCTCAACTACATCATCATGGCCAATTACCTCGCCTCCATCTTCGGTACCGAGCAGGACAAGGTGCGCATCTTCAATCGTCTCGAAACACGCGCGACTCGCAACTAACAAGCTGTCCGCCAGGTCAACTGCTCTTTCTACTACAAAATCGGCGCATGCCGTCACGNNGGAGACCGCTGCTCGCGCAAACATGTCAAGCCCTCATACTCGCAAACCATCCTCCTTCCCAACCTCTACCAAAACCCCGCATACGACCCTAAGAGCAAGATGAACCCGCAACAACTGCAAAACCACTTTGATGCTTTTTACGAGGACTTCTGGTGCGAGATGTGCAAGTACGGCGAGATCGAGGAGGTTGTCGTCTGTGACAACAACAACGACCGTACGTGCTTCTGCTCTGCTGTTCTCTGCTACCGACCACTAACCTTTAACTCAGATCTCATTGGCAACGTCTACGCCCGCTTCAAGTACGAAGAATCCGCCCAAGCCGCCTGCGACGCTTTGAACTCGCGCTGGTACGCCGGTCGTCCTATCTACTGCGAACTCTCCNCCGTCACCGACTTTAGAGAAGCTTGTTGCCGTCTCAACTCAGGAGAAGGTTGTGTCCGTGGTGGCTTCTGCAACTTCATCCATCGCAAGGACCCATCACCCGAACTGGACCGCGAGATCGAACTTGCGACAAAGAAATGGTTGAGACTAAGAGGAAGAGACGAAAAGAGTGCTAGCAGATCCCCCACACCCGAACCCAGCAGAAAGAGATTCTAGGGCGAGCTTCCACTCAGAATAAACGGGCATCAAAACGGCGTTAATGGCGACTTCATTGGGGATTATGAGGGACAAATACCCTTGTTTTGGTTTTACAACTGAAGAAAAAGGCCATGACCACGCAACGCCTTCTTACGGTACATACTCATGAAAACTTCTCACACACAGGAGACTACCATATCATTCTGATTCTTCGTCTTGATTCCATACTGATATCCATAAAAAAAAATGCTGTCTCGGATGCTCTGGAGTCGGCCTGACCACCGTCTCTCAGGCCCTGGTACTGCTACGTAATCCACCTACTAACTTGCAGCCATTTCAATTCCGCTGAGACCTCAGTCTCGCCAGCCTCTCCGACTTCTCATCAAGCCGCGTCGACTCAAATCGGGCCTGGTCCACTGTCCCAACAGTCAGCACAGCTCCCATTGATTCTTCCAAGCAAACCCCGCCTACTGCAACTCCAGCCTGGTCCACTCTCTCGGAAGTCAGCATAGCTCCTATCCGACGCTCGATATCATCCCGTCGAGCTAGAGCTTCGACTGCCACTGGGACTCGCAAACTACCTCTTCGAGATAAAAGCATCTTTTCCGATGGCCAGGGTCACCCTCCTGCCCAACTAAAGCTTGAACAAGAGAAAGAAGCGACGATCGTCCTCGGCAAACGACCTCACATCCTCAACACAGTTCCTTCATTCACTCCCATAACTATATCACGCAATGCCCATCAATAAAACTCATGTTCTCGATCTTTGTATCTCCCTTACCCCTGCAGTTTACAGTAGAAAGGCAGGAGTGAGCCGGCCGAAAGCAACCGGGATGGTGTAATTTTGGCCTGGGTGTTTCAGAAATGCCTCAGACTGGCACTTGCGACGTGCAGGCCGGAAAGAACCAACTATTCATCCTTGATAGCTCCTTCCATCCATACGACTAGCATGACTCCGTAGATGCCAAAGGAGTCGCAAGTAGGTCACAGGTTAGTGTGGATGAAGATAGCGTTCGAGAAGGCTTGCGGATACAACTCTTGCGGCTTTCCCATACTCCTTCCTTCTTTTCTCACCTGTTCCATCACTCTGTCTTTATTGTTTTGTCTTTCTGGAGATCCCGATTGATTCGAGATCTTGTACATTCGTTTCATTGAGGCCACCAGCATCAACCACGCGTCACGACATATCCTCGAATCACGATCTCTGCCATTTCTACATTCCTTAGGCCTGCCCGGAGCTGCCAATCTCAACCGTACCCAACGTGACGCGCGACGACCAAGCTTCGTATCTATCACCGACTCTTGGGAACCTTCTTTACAAGAAAACAACTTCTGCCCAATCTCAAGCATATACGTCACGCACTTGCGAGGCCAACCACTGGAACAACAACAAGAGGATACCAGACCAGTATAACGACCAGCACAAGCCCGAGAAAAGAAGATACGGCCTTCTACAAACCACCCAACCCACTGTAGCTACCGTCAACACCTCAATACAAGACAACCCCAAGATTCACCAATAGATATATCGAACCGAAACCATCCACCAACAACGCGGAAGCAGCCTATTACACCTGCTCCTTCATCATTCCAACTCTTCTCCTTCTGTCAGGAGTCAAGCTCGACTCTTCCATAAAGAAAGGAACCTGAGCGGAAAATCAAAAACACACATCCACAATGGCAGTCCCTCGCGACCCGAACTTCTGGAAACGCTTCAGCACGGCGGTACATCAAGACGAAGAAGCACAAATCGATGATCAAAAGTNNAAGCCTTCCTCTTTCATTTAACCTTCCAGCTTACCCTTCATCTTCCTATCTTCTCTACCATCTTACTCGTCTTCCTATGTTACCCTTGCTCACTCCATTTCTAACCTCCATTCCTTCCTCCCATCAACAACCTCAACTAACCTTCTTCCCCTCAATAGATCAGAAACCTGGCTCATAACCACCCGCCGCAAAAAACGCCACTCCTACGCCCGCTTCTGCTGCACCTTCTGGATCCTGCTCTTCGCCATCATAGCAATAATAGTCGTCGTTTTCTTGATACTCGTAAAGACTCACACACTACAAAAGATACACATAGGTGGTGAGGGACACAGAGTGGATATAGACTCGAACGGCTGGTTGGAGGGGTTATTCGATACTGGTGGTGGGTATAAGACCAATGCCGGGGAGGGCAGTTGATGAAGGAATTGGTGGTCAAGAAGGGGAAGGAGAGGGGGATATAATAGTATATATGTTACTCGAGGAGCTGGCATTCTTCGAGGGTAAGGAAGGACAAGTGCGTACGAGACCGAAGATCATGTTTACAACTCATGTATAGCTGTTAGATATGAGCAAAGTAAGAACGAACTACCCTTTCATGATTCTTGTCACGGTGTCCGTTTTCCTGAGGGATCGGGACCTCCTTCAGCAGAAAGACGAGATGTAAGACACGTTTGGGTGAGCAGCATAATCGCAGCCAACACCGCCCGCATCAGTCACGCACACTGAAAATACGCACGAGATTGAGCAAAGACATTTTGGTTGGAGCTATAGACAGTGTTTACCATCCAAAGGAAGAAAAGCCACCATTTCTATGTACCCAGCTCCACAGTCATGCTCGGATAAGTTTTAAGCAACACCAAAGTTCTGGTCAACCTCATGACCAGAACCATGCCCAGCGGGTATGAGACATAACGACCTGGTCGTGAGCAGAAGAGTGTTCGAGCACACGCTGCACTTCACCGTTCCTCGATTAAAGCGAGCATGCTCAGCAGCGCCAGCGGCACTTCTCGTTGCCGCACTTGCTGCACATCAAGATCAAGTCTGGATCATTGATGTTGTCGACCATCCCTCTGAACTGAGAGTTGAAGTTGATGCTGCAGTCATTGCAGGACTTATGGTCCAAAGCATACTCCTTCAGAGCCTTTAGAACTCTTTCGAGGCGATCGCCACCCCCGGAGGGGCGGCCGTTGGAGGGAGGGCCGAAACCACCACGACCTTGAGACTGGATGTTGCTGGCAGGACCTAAAGTATGTTAGCGTTATAAAGAGAAGGCATATGTGAGTGGCTTACCAGCGCGAGCATCGTTCAGTTGGGCCCTAAGGAAGCTGTTATGGCTTGTCAGGCGCTGAATGAGGCTGTCTCTCTCATCGGGAGAAGCACTGACCTCACCATTGGTAGTGGTAGCAGGATCAGCGGAGGGATCGCGAGCAGAAGCCGCGGTGCTACCAGCGGGACCAGCAGTGTGTGTGGTAGAGGGAGGGACAACAGGAACGGCAGCAGTGGCGTTTTCCTGACGGGCGTTGTGCTGAGAGGTGCCATTGGTTTGGGCGCTAGCAGCGGCAACGGAAGTTCTGGAAGCAGCGTGAGGACCTCCTTTGGTCAGGCGCGAGTGAGGGCCACCGCCACCACGAGCAAGGGCAGCGGCATGAGGACCACGAGGGGCACCATTGACAGATGGTGCGCTGCCGGCCACGGTGCTGCTGGTTGAAGGTGCAACGCTGGGAGAGCGCATGGGCTGCTCGATGGCGCTGGGAGGACCACATGGGGCGACGGTCATACGGGGAGGGACCTCGCTGGAAGAGGCGCTTTCTTGGTCACCGCCTTGGAGACCGGCAGCTATGCGGCGGCTGCGTGCAATCCTATCAGCAAATGTCATGACTCCGCCAGAAGTTCCAGTCTGAGTGATCATGGTCGGGGCAGTAGGCACAGGAGGAGTGGGAAGAGGCGAAGGAGGGCGTGCAGCGGGAGCAGTGCTTGACAGCTTAGCGATAGTGTCCATCGTGCCATTCATCTCGCCAAAGCCCTCGATCTTGCGTTTGGGCCCAGCATCCTGTGGAGGCTGGGTAGGTTGCTGAGGGCGAGAGGGCTGGGCAGCGCAGTTGGTCACAGACTGGGGAACGAAGACCGGAGCAGCAATGATCGACTGCTGAACGTGAGCAGCCAGCTGAGCCTCGAGCTCCTTGATCTTGTCCTCCGAAGCAGTCAGGCGAGCCTGCAGCTTCTCAGAGTTCTCAATCGCCTCCTTGCGCTCCAGAATATGCATAGTGTTATCGGGCTGGCCAATGCGCTGAGAGTTGATTTGGCGCACCAATTCAGCGTTGCGCTCATTTGCGTTAGTGAGTGTATGACCGAGCTCAACGTTCTTGCGCTCCTGCTGCTCAAGCTGGTGCTCAAGGTTGTCGATGACAGTATCCTTGTTGACCTTTTGCATCATGAGCTTCTGAACTTGGCCCTCCAGATTGGTCAAGGGAGTCTTCTGGCCCTTGGCTTGAGCGGCCTCCTGCTCAAGGACATCAATCTGCTTCTGCTTGGAAGAAGCGGCATCCTGTGCCTCAGTGACAGTCTCCTTGAGACGAGCAGCCTCCTGCTCCAGAGCCTCAATACGCTTTTGCCTAGCAGAGACGGCATCGAGAGCCTCAGTGAGCTGAGCCTGAACATTGGCGACAGCTGAAGAGTCGACAACAGAAGCAGAATTACTGGGACCGGAGGCCGAAGAGGTGTGCGGCAGCATGTATAAGGTGCCATTGGTGGATGCCTGGAGCCTGGCCAGTCTTCGGTACAGGAGAACAGCAAGCTTGCCGTTGTGCTCCAGAACGGTGAGGAAGACCTTGTTCTCGACGAGATCCTGGCAGTGACTGAAGCACTCCTCAACCAGGTGGCCATACAACAGACCGTCGGAATCGACCACTGATTTGAAGACAGCGTTGACAAACTGAGGGAAGTCATCCTTGTCGAAAGAACCAGAGATGAAGTTGCCGAATCTATGAGCGGCCTCGATCATGAGACGATCAATGTCCCAAGTGATGGCAGCACGGTACACCTTCACACTGGCCAAAGCCTTGAGCAGGGTAACAGATTTGCAAGGCTGAGAGGTGAGGTGCAGGTTGTGCAAGCCCTGGGTCAAAGCAGCCTCTTGATACTCCAGAGGAGTGTCGCTCAGTCTGTTGACGGACGAAGGTGAGGCGGGAGGCTCGACCCTAGGGAAGGTCAAGGTCTTGTCCTCATCCTGGTATGTGCCCTCGTAGATGAAGGAGAGCACTCTCCAGACAGTCTGACCATCGAAGAGGAGGAGAATAGGAATCTAGAAGTTCATGGTCGGTCAGATGTGCCACCCAAAATGGACAAGTGGAATGAAAGTACCTTCCCATCATGCAAACAATCGTCGNATGTGAAGCTGGAGCTTACAGTCCTTGAGCTTGAGCCATCCGTACTCGAGGATAAGAGTATGGAATGGAATAACGAAGCCGTCCGAGGTCACCAGGCGAACATCGGCGGCCCTTTCGCTACCAGTGGTAATCTTGAGCGTCATCTTGGCCTGGTGCATCGCTTGACGAAAAGCGAAGCACTGACCAAAAGCGTGGTCCGACCTGCGCACACATGTCAGTCGGACGCCCAATGAAAAGAGTCTGAGAGAATAAAGATCAACAAGACCAACCTGGTGGAAAGTTGAGTGAGGTGCGAGAGCCCAAAAGTGGAAGTCGCGGAGGTGGACTTGCAGTCTGGCGGTTGTTGTGGTCGTGGAGAAGAAGGAGCAAGATCGCAGCTCAAGCACAGGATTTTGAATTCCAATCTCGAGTGTAGGAGTGCCGAGAGCACGACTAAGTAGCAACCTTGAACGCAGACGGTCTCGAGTGGAAGACGAAGAGCTTGGAATGTTGGGGCGAATTTCTGGCGACGAAGAGGGCAAGAATCTCGAGATCAGCCACGAGAGTAATGGCGAGACTACTGAACGAGGTGTTAAAGATGTCAAACATGTCAAAGTCACTGGTAACGAACTGTGTGACGCTCCGATAGGGATAGCAGAGAAAGCACTGCTCCAGAAGTCGAATGCGCTTCACGGTCAGTTGAACCACTACTTACTCTTGGTTAGCAACTGAGGCGCGGGAGATGTTTCTGATGGTGGTAAGGATGAGGAAGGTCCTGCAGATGATCAAAACATCAGAGCGACCTTGACGCTCTGGTAGATGCTACCACTTTCGATGTGTATATGGTGTTCAGTCTGTTTGAGCCGTAGAGCAGTGATTGTCTACTGATAAGTGATAGTTTAAAATCACTGCAAAGTAAGCGACAGCATGAATGAGAGGAAACATGCGTTGCTTGATCCCTCAATTGACAATAGAGAAGGTGCATGTGGTCGCGACTCCCTATCTTGTGGAGACATTGACACCCATCATGCTGAAGCCAAGGCGACGTACAGTCGCTCCCATCTTCAAGTTTGTCCATACAAGTCAACAGTACCCTAGTGAATCTATTAAGCATCCTGAGAAGAATGTGAGTATGAACCTGTCAGCTTTTGAACATTCCAGCGCTCTGTTGCGTAAGAGCTGGTTCACCTATCTCAAGGGTCAGAGTCCATCTTCCTGGCCGAACTACCGCGTTAAATCCCTTGCGGTGATAATCCCACATGCGCACGTAGTTCTAGGAACATGAGTGAAAGGAAGCAAACTGCAAAGGTGAGGTCAACAGCTGCAGTGCAGATCCCGAAGTTCTGCCATGCTCGTTGCCAAATGACGAGACACTACCATTGCTCCATCACGTGTGTATCTTAAGAGGAGTAGATGAGAATAAGGATCTGCTGGGCTCGAATCGAATCACTGCTGTATAGGACTTTTGCTCATGTTTCGTAAGTATTCAATTGAACTGGCAGCGAGACGAGCAGCAGTAGAGAACCATTTTGCTTATTGATTATAGCGTGTCAGAAATCAAATCGCCAGCGTCTGATCACTAACAGCTTCCTTCGAGCCTGGTACGGACGAGGTTAGAGTCCCAGTGTAACCTTAGTATACTCTATCGAGATTCATTAATGCCGTATTTGGAACAGCTCGACCCTTCAAGCATCATTCAAGACAGCCTTGAATGCTGAAAGAAGATCCTTCTTCAAATCTTCTACATTTTCTACACCGATACTGACTCTAAGTACTCTCGGGTCAATCTTTGCGTCGCTCATACGACGCCACTCGATCAAACTCTCTACGCCACCGAGACTGGTGGCATGGTGGAAGAGACTAAGCTTGCTGGGCAAACACCTGGCAAGCTTTTCCTCAGCCATCCAGATAGCAAACACGGGGTTGTAGCCTCCAGGCATTTGCTTCTTCAACCAATGCATATCGTCTTTTTGCAAACTTGCGTGTTGGACGCGCGAAAGAGCCTTTTGGACAATGGCGACTTCTTCTTTAGGACCCTCACCAGCTTGAAGAGACGCGAGCCATTGGACCAGAGCTGTGGTCGTCTCGGATTGACGTTGGACGCGGAGCTCGAGCGTGCGAATGCTGCGAACACCAAGCCAGCCTTCGAGACTGCCCATAACGGCACCCAGGCATACGCGTTCGTCCCACATGCCCCAGTACTCTTTGGTTGCACTGGGACGAGCAGGGTTGATGGCAACGACACCGCAGAGCATGTCGCTGTGGCCTCCGAAGTACTTGGTTCCACTGTGCATGACGAAGTCTGCACCGCAAGCGAAAGGGTCCATAAGTGGTGGTGGCGCAAAAGTAGCATCGACTGTCAAGACAGCACCTCTCTCATGTGCCCATTTGGCATATTTTTCAATCTCGTATGCCTCGCCAGTAGGGTTCAGCGGAGTCTCCAAGTGTACCACGTCGCCTTCACCCAAGCCTTTCCAAGTATCCGGGTTGTGTACGTCGACAATCTTGCAGTGCGTGAGCTTTTGAAAGATCTTGAGCACGCCGTGGCAGCCGTGATAACCATCGCCAATAGCGACAACTTTGGGGTTCAGGGCGACAAGAAGTGCATGGAAAGCGGCAAGACCGGAGCTGTAGGTCAACGCAGGACCCTTGAGAAGGTGCGAAAGGATGGTTTCGAGACGAGAGGTGTTGGGAGCGGCTTCGCGGCTATAGATGAGAGGATCGGCGCCGCTTCCTGGCTTCAACGGGTCACGACCGGCCATCNNTACAACTTGGTCAGCGGCTGAGAAATGGCTCTTCCGTATGCGACGGCAACATACCACATCGTCCATGCTGAAGGGCACTAGCTTATCAGGGTCCTCGGGATAGCGGTAGGTGGTCGAGACATGCATAGCAGGCGCGACATCCGTGGAGTCGTTGAGCGGGTCGTCGCCGTGGACGGCCAATGTCGAGGCTGAATAGTGAGAGTAGTCCATACTGAGTATTGTGTGTTTGTGCAGAGAAGGGAAAGAGAGACGGGAAGATGGTTGAAGCTATTCAGAAGCAATTCAGAAGCAGGGTCTCACACTTTTCCGAATGCCTGCCTCGAGATGGAATCTGTTGACTCGTGTAAATGCCATCCTGTCACCTTTTACAAGTACTTATCTCGTCGGACCTATGTAACATCAATCTTTTACCCACCACCGTTCTTCCCGACAGGGCAAAGGTTGATGCAAGAATGCTGTTGGACATGTCAAAACCACGCCCTTCACGCGTCCCTCAGTCAAGCTGTCTCAGAAGCTTTGGTAGCTTGCTCAGAAAGGAAGGTGTGGCGGCCTCGGCAGATTCAGGACACGAACACCACTTCAACGTATCTCATATACAATCTTCCGTTCCAAACTTTTTTTGTTATTCATGTCAATTCAATTTTGGTTGATATCTGCTCCTGTCTTCGTTGCACTAACGCCAATGCTGTCTGGATGATACAGTAACAACTTGTTCGTGTCGTTCTCCTCAAATGCAGCGTCCTATGAAAAATACAATCCTCGCAAAAATGTGAGGTTCAAATACGCCTCGCTCGCCCGGAAATCAAGACCCGCTTGAAAACGCTTCAGAAACCATGGGTATAAGCCTGTTTGCATGCTCGATCCGAAATGCAAAGAAAATTTTCGTTATCGCGACAAGAATGAGTTGCTGTCCTCTCACTGACCATAAGCACCGGCTTGGTGAGGGAACTTGGTCATAGTCTTGGTGATGGTCTTCTCACGACCATAGGTGTCGACAATAGGGAAGCGTGCACGACGCTCAAGGTCATCAAGATCCATATGAGAGCGAATGTACATGTTTCTGCTGTCATCAGGAACCTGGTAGTCCCAGCTGTGGAATTCGCCAGTCTTGAGAGCACCCCAGACGAAGCGGCGACGGCGCTGCTGAGCAAAGACATCCTTGGTGATGGCGTCGAAGTCCCACTTGGCAGCCGCTTCCTTCTCGAAAGCCTCAAACATAGACTTGGTCTCGGGATCCTGGCTGGTTGCAAGATTGGTAAGCTCCTTGGGGTCTGAGGAGAGGTTGAAAAGTTGAGGTGGGTCAACGGGGCAGGTAATGTATTTCCAAGGACCACGACGGATCATCATGAGAGGAGCAATAGTGCCTTCGCCCATGTACTCGGCAAAGACAGTATCATTGCCCTTCTTGCCTCTGAGGTGAGGCATCATCGAGTGACCATCCATAGGCAGACCAGGGACAAGCTTAGTGCCAACCATGTCGCAGAGGGTGGCGGGAAGGTCAAGAGTGGAGACGTTCTCGTAGACACGGTGGGGAGTGTACGCCTTGGGGTAGCTGATGAGCATAGGTACACGTACGGAGCTCTCGAAGTACGACATCTTGTACCACAAGCCGCGCTCGCCAAGCATATCACCGTGGTCGCCGCTAAAGATGATGATAGTGTTGTCGCGCAACTTACACTTGTCGAGAACTTCAAGAAGCTTGCCAATGCAGTCGTCGACATACGAGCAGGCGCCGTAGTAGGCACGCTTGGCCTTCTTGATCTGCTCAGGAGTGAAGTCGTAATCTTCGAGGTCGCAGACATGCTGCAGACGCTTGCTGTGCGGGTCCTGATCCTCCTTGTTGATCTGAACGTCGGGCATGTCAATGTCGACATCCTCATACATGTCCCAGTACTTGTCCTCGATGGTGTAAGGGTCGTGGGGGTGGGTGAGGGAGACAGTTAAAGCGAAGGGTCTGGCATCGGGACCCTGGCGAACGTAGTCGTACAGGTATTGAGTACTCTTGTGCATGCTGGCCTCGTCATAGTCGAGCTGGTTGCTGCGCACGCAAGGGCCTGCCTGGAGGATGGAGCTGCTGTTGTGGTACCACTCGAGGCGAGTGTCAGGCTCGTCCCAGTTGACAGCCCAGCCATAGTCGGCAGGGTAGATGTCGGCAGTCAGTCTCTTCTCCCAGCCGTGCAATTGGTCGCCAATGAAGTGCATCTTGCCAGCCAAGACTGTTTCGTAACCGGCGTGGCGGAGGTAGTGTGAGAAGGTGGGCGTGTCGGAGCTGATGGACGAGGCATTGTCGTATGCGCCAATCTTTGAAGGAAGCTGGCCAGTGACCAACGACATGCGCGAGGGTGCGCAGAGAGGAGAAGGGCAGTACGCCGAGTCGAAGATGACTGACTTCTCAGCAAGTTTGTCGAGGTTGGGAGTCTTGATTTGAGACTTGTCGTCCCATATCTTGAGTTGAGGAGCAGCCAGCTGATCCGCCATGATGAAGAGGATGTTGGGTGTTTCGGGCACTTGAGGCGTGGAAGCGCCATTCTGACCAAGGAAGCCAGGAGGAGGTGTCTCTGGTGGCGTGGAAGTCATGTTTGCGGTTCGGTAGAAAGACAAAAAGTAGGGTGGAGAGGCACACGATCTCTAGAGGGAGGTTGGTGTTGTTTTATGAGCGATCCCTTGGCTTGGAAAAGATCTGGCAACGTCGTCTTCAGGGGAAACGAAGTAGCGGTGATGAGCAAAGCGAATTCGATTGAATTCTTCCGAAGACTGCGTGATAGACAATAATTCAAAACAGAAAAGGCGCGCGTGCTCAAATCTGGACTTTGGTTGATAGCAGGTTCCTTTGCATGTGAAAGTCAGGAGTTGTGGATGATATAATGCGTTAAGAACGTGTGGCTGAACTAGATGACTGTCGATCGGATTGATTGGCCTGCAGGCAGCAGAATAAAAGGACAAACAAGATGGAAATGAGGAAACAAAGAGTCTCAGAGGAACGAAAGAGCTTCTAAATACTTTGGTGACTTGCTTACGAGTCTGAAAGGGGCAATGCGTCCTGGGTGATGTGAGTGGGAATTGCGTGCTCTCACACCATCGCTTTGAAATCGAGAACGCGACTCTGGAGTTTGCAAAGCGTCTGTGTCATACATCTTGTCCGCAACCGCTCCCCGGGACTCTACCCCGTAAATTTGCTGCAGGCGCCCCGGACCTGCAGCTAGCGTGTCATTCCCAGGATTGCAACATATCACCTCATCGATCTGCCACCTCCTCTCCAGTGATTGTGCTGGAAATGGGCCTCCATGCACAAAACGGCACTCTTGCACGCGAGTGAAAAAGTTGTAAATTCTGGGGTACCTCTGGCCTGCTTATAGCTACTCAAAGAAGACGGTACATCCACCAAAGTACCCTGAGATAGATAAGATCCGAACATCTTGCATGAGACTGTAGGACAAATGTCTTGAAATCTCGACGCACGGACGAAAAATTTGCCATCCGGTGCACGCGAGGCGACCAACACCAGACCACGATGATCTGTCCAGCCAACGCAACAAAGCAAAAAGAGGAGAAAGCACCGAAACGAGAACAATGGAGTCACGCGCTACAGAACTGCCCTCACTCTGGGCCGTTGCATTTGGCGCTTCCGTCGTAGCAGGCCTCGCAGGTTACTTCCTGGGCACTGCCTCGTCTATCGGTGTGTTTGGCAGCAACCCCAGCAGCGCGTCGTCAGCAGCACCGGTGCTCAGCCTGGAAAGGAACACGACGCCAGCGAAGATGAGCACGACAATGCATCCGAATCCGATTTTGAGGACTCCGAAGATGATCAGGAGGTCAATGGCTTCGAGGATTCGACCGAGGAGTGCAAGCTCGTTCTCGTAGTTCGCACTGATCTAGGCATGACAAAGGGTACGTATCACACTCTCATTGCTATCAAACAACATCACACGCCCTCTGTTTCCCCTCACTCCTTTTGCCGTCGATAACGTACACGCTGTGTATCTTCAGCTGTCTGCATCTCATGGTTTCGATGCCCTGAAAGAGAAAAATAATGCATACCACGATGACCACTGTCTGACAAATCGATTCATCTTTCGCTGCGATACAGGCAAGATAGCAGCCCAATGTTCACATGCCACCCTTGCATGCTACAAGACCCTTGTACGCCAGAACTCGCCAATCCTCAAGCGCTGGGAAGGTTACGGTCAAGCAAAGGTCGCCGTGCAGGTCAAGAGTGAGGAAGATTTGTTGATCCTCCAAGCTCAAGCTATTAGCCTGGGTATCTGCGGACAGATCATTCACGACGCCGGACGTACCCAGATTGCCAGTGGTAGTGCGACAGTACTCGGAGTCGGCCCTGCTCCCAAGTCCATGGTTGACCAAGTCACTGGACATCTCAAGCTTCTGTAAACAAACGGTTGTCGAAAACGTGGCGAACGTCATGAAAGCACATGACTCCAGCGCTCCACAACTTCGAAGCCATCGGACAGCGCGGAGGACGTATGACGAGAACATGCATCACATCAACTCATGCGAATAGCGATATCGCACTTGGGCGCAATCATCTCCCACTCAAACGCATACCATTATTGGTATGCATCAGTCTCTCACTACACGGCTTGTACACACAAGACATCAAAGAGCAGTGCGAAGGCTTCCGGATTCGATGTTCTAGAACACCATTCGACAAGCCACTCTCATCGTCTGCATCGGCAAAGAGCGACAGATACAGACCCCATCAGTCAGCAACGAAAGCGTCTTACGATGAATGTTGAGATCACCATCGCAATCAAACTCAATGTTATCCTCTTTGACGGCGCTCCTTCTCATTGCGTTCAAGCCAGCACATAATATCAGTATCCCTTAAAGGAAAGGTTCTATGCCTCTTTGTCATTTGATGAACCAATCACAAGCGCCCTTTGTCCTGACGTGATACGAAGCAGTCTGGGCTTTTCCTGTCTATCGATATGATTTTCTACTCATCATGGTAATGTCATTTCTTTTGCCAGCGAGTGACAACGTGTTCTTGTCACTTCGTCTTGAAATCGATTCACTCCTGAGATGCAAGAGTCTTGTCGGAAGTACACCCTGCCTTGAATCGTATATCATCGTGCACATAGCAATATACTTGTTTTGCTAGCCATTGAACTTACGGTGGTCTCACTAGCGGTGCAGGTAATATTGTATTGTAATGATTGTCATGAGAGAAACATAGCTAGTCGTAAGCTAAAGCAATGGGTGGGAGGCATTATTGTTTTCAGTCAACCTCAATCTCAACCTCGACCTCAACTCTCCTCAAGCGGTGAACTCCTTGCTCCAGTAAGCAGGCAAGTCGATACGGCTTGCGGTAGTCTTCATAGAGTGGAACTTCTCAAGATCGAACGGACCGATGCTCTTGTTCTTAGTTCTTGCGCCAGGCACCTGTGGGCGCAGCCAGAANGTACCATTCTCTTCATCCCACGCAACACAGAAATGGCCAGTGTTCCAACAAGTCTTGCAGGCGTAGTGGCCTTCACCTTCCAAGGTGAGGTAGCATTTGCTCTGGTTCCATAGCACAGAACGAACACAGCCAGCGGTCTTGGCCCTGTCAGACCATTCAGAATTCTTCTTGTTGGAATCTTTACGTTGCTTTCTCCATGCCTCGCGAAGGCGTCCGCCATCTCTCTTCCATGCGTCGGAAGTTGCTTTGTTCTCATCCTCGGCAATTTCCAGTTCGAAGTTCTCAGAGTTCAGCCAGATAGTGGTGCACTCGTCGACTGCGTTGGTACTAGCATTGGATTTACCAGTATCTGCGATGGAGTGATGCTCGATAACTGTATTAATCTTGAGTCTATCAGCAGCCAATTCGGGTTCGAGATTGTGGTTTGGGACCAGCGAGGGCGTTCGCTCTTGACGCGGCGGGCAGCGCTACCGGGATCATTTATTGCCATGTTAGTCAAAGAATCAAAGCGATGACAGTACCGACTTACCATCAACAACGGTTTTGCGCTTGTTGGTTGCGGAGCTGGGTGGTGGGACGGTCCTGCTACTGGGAGTANNCTGCCAGCGGGTAAGGCGAGTACAAAATTGATTCGAGTGATGGATCGATACGCACGGTGTCGAGTCTGGTGCGTCTTGGCCACTGAAGATGCCCGAGTCTGGCTGCAGGAGCTGCTTTTCGGCTTTCAAGCTGTTGATCTCCTGGATATAGTTGTCGGACTTGACGGCGTTCAGCTTCTTCAGTAGGTCCTGGTTGGATTCTTGTAGAAACTCCAGCTTCTGGGAGAGGTTGCGCTGTTCGCGNTTGTTCACGGTCAACAACTGGATGTGTAGTAGGACATCGGACAGCAGCCTTACCTTGAGATTAACAATTTCCTTCATGTTTGATTCGATCTTCGCCTCAAGAGAGGCAAGGTCGGTCTTAGGCNNCTCTCTAGCCAGCAGTGCGATTGATGGAGGCATGTCGTGATGCAATAACAATTAATGGAGATGGGTAGGTCCAGAGAGAGTTCAGAGAGCGAAGCGCAGGAAGAAAAAATGAAGTGGAGGCCTTCCGATGAAAGAAGCGCTGGCTGGGAAGTTGCGGTTCCGTCGTCGCTGCCTTGTTTGACGAAGTTACGGCATGGCAGTGACGCTTCGAACCGAAATCTTTAATGGCTCTCACTGGACGGAAAGCCAGGCGAGCTAGACCACCGCGTTGCAGCTATAAAAATGCACAATACTATTCAGATGGGAGTGATGTCCTTGGAGAGAGAACGGTATTCTGGGTCATCTTCATGGCCACTCTCCTGGTTCGCGAATCGATCATACATTTTTGAAGCTCACAACAACGCCAAGCATCATCTTGAGAGCATCAGTGGTGACTTCGACAGGGCATGCTGTGTCTTCTCGAAGCAAACGAATAAGTTTCTTGCAGACATTCTTGTCCATGGCAGCCTCACCACTTGTTGATGCCTCATTGGCTCTTTTGTAACTTTCCTCATCCGGGCATCTTCCAACTCCATCTTTTACTCTCGTCTGTTATGCACTGTACTGGTTGAGCAAGTTTCTGACTTGATCCTCATCGTTCGCCTGTATCGTGATCCCCACATCGTGTTCGTCCATGTGTTGCATTAAGTTGGGAGGGTCTCGTATTGGAGCAGTGTTGAGTTCAGACCTCATGCGACACACATCATCATACTGTGACTAGTTAGCAACATAAAGGCACAGGATTGGCTGGGTACACACCAAGATCTTAGCCTTAGGATAGATATCTTTCAGTGGCTCGATGATCATCTGACATATCAACACAGCACCAATCCTATTTTCTTGACCTGGTGCTGAGTATCCAACTTGGTCGGGTATGAGAGTCAGGATCTTCGCACACTGATGTGCGCAGCCAGAAATGGCGGCATCATGCACCGGTTTTGCGAGGCCGAGGTCCAGCACTTCTGCCCACATCTTCGTCAGCTCGATGGCATGCGACAGACATTTTAGCCTCAAATTCTGTGCGAAGTTCAGAGGTGTGTTTCTTAGCGCTGCTTCCGAGATGCTTTCTTTTGTTCCTGACAGGGTCAAGCGATGAAGGTCCAGTTTGCACTGCAATCGCCAAGTATGAAGCATAATGTAGCTCGAGAGGCCAGGTGCATACATTCGTTTCTGCAAGTGCGCCTTGTCCCACTTGAGGTCCAACGGGATCTGCTGCTCGATTGTGTCGATTGCAGAGTCTAGAGCAAGGAAGTCTTGTGCCGATGTGTATAGACTCTCGTCGGTGGATCGGACGCGCTTGGTAAACCTTTCTAATGTTAGCCTGATTCCACCCAGCAGCGAGATGTCATACTTGTGAATCTTGTTGCGCAGTAGATCCAGCAGACGAACGGTGTAAGCAAACTCATCCATACCCTTGGCATTGGTGATTGGTACGCCATTTTCAACCCTGGGACGAAGGACCTCTGTGTCGGTACGCTGTCCAAAGCCAAAGGCTCTCTCGATCGTGGGCAGCCGAATCTCCATATGTTCGGCAGGGATCAAAGTCAGCTCGTCAACTCCACCAGAACAGAACTTGTCGAGGACAAAGATGGACCACATGAGACGTCTTCTAGACTCTTGCTCGACTATTGACAAGGTAGCGTCTTCGTAGTTGAGCCGCTTTGTGAAGGCAAGACGAGCCGCCAGCCCAAGTAACATGAGAGCTTTTGTTGAGTGTACGTGGTAGGTAAACTCGAAGAAGGCAAGCAGGGTTAGAGCTTGCAATCGAGGAACGGTTAGATCTCCGAGATGTTGCAGAGCGTCCAACTCGGCTTCATGCATCCACTGTGCTGCTCGTTCATTGTCTTCCTGAGTAGTTGAAAAGACTCTAAGCGCACACCCACAGACGACCTTCAGCAAAGTAACGTTTACGGTATGAGTGTGCCATTGGCGCAAGAAAGTCGGTTGATGTAGAAAGTTCATGCAACCAACTGGATACACAAAGCGAAAGAAGGCTTCTATGTACTCGGCAATGACTTCTTTGTCTAGATTTAGANNCTGCAAAAGGATCAGCTATAATTGTTATGATGCGATGGCAATCATCAAAACTTACTAATAGTCGTGCTTTATGATGTCCGGCACCAGTCGGGGAACCTGCTGACGAGCCGTAGGAGCTGGGGCCTGGTAGATTTGACCAGGCTGCAAGTGCGATGATGGCGAGCCATTCAGCTGATGTTGGCCAGGGACATCATAACGCGGTAAGCCAGCTTCCCAATTTTGAGTCGCGGAACTGTCATCACCGACTTGACTTCTGTTGACGGTAGGATAAACACATGATTGATCACGGATGGCGCATGCGCTACATGGCGTTTCTCCAGAGCAGCGAACCTTTTGTCGACGACACCAGTCACAGGCAACCCGTTTGGGAGCACGGTCTTTGGCTTTTTGTACCCGATTACGATTCGCAGAGCGTGGTGGACGTGGAGCGGTGGCGGTACTCGTCAAGTTGGAGCAGATGTACCCATTTCGCACGCAGCTTCCGCAAGGCTGGCGAGGATTTGCAGCGTCTGTCTCGCAGTGTAGTCGTCGTGTGCGACACTCGACACANCCAACAGGAGTTGTATAAGTAGATATTTCCAGGGTCCTGCCGGTTTCTGCCGGATGCTGGTCGGTAGACATGATGATGGGAGATGGCTGTTTAGCAGAAGGACATGGTTGGTCATCAGTGGAGAGAACATGAGGCTGGGTGCCAAGAGTGGGGCTGGGGAACAGGTCTGACCCACGCCGCCGAACTCCAACCAGAACTTCTATCACGACAGCACGCTACCTTGCTATAGCAAGAAAGATCGGGACCAAGCGATGTCTGCAGGCTACGAAAATCTCAGACGTCTCAAAGACGTCGTTGCGAGAATGAAGCAGGTCGATCAGACAGCGCCTACCTCTCCAGAGGGGTGAACTCGATGCAACGATGTTTACGACCCGCTCATGTTCTTCTTGTGACAAATCCTCATTTATGGTCTCGGTACATATGCAAACACATCTGAGAGTTGTCTGAGACAGCTTGAAGCTCGGTAAAACAAGAATACTGATGGGAGTTTGGTCCGTGTGTGCCCCAAACGCTGCGACACGCGTGAATCAAGCACATGTCTTGCCTATCTGTGACCTATACCACAAGAGTCATCAGAAACAGTCTTGCTTTACAGAGACCTCAACGTACGGAATGTTCCAACACCGCCTGCAACTTCGGCGCTCGGGATACTTAAGGATGGGAGTCCACACCACTTCTCCGTGCTCTTCATGCTCTCTTAGCCTGTCTTGACACGATGGCTCTCAAGATCGAGATTCAAGGCGAAGGTGCCGCGAGTCGTATGGCTGACAAGGTCGAAATCCATATCGGTTTCAAGTCTAAGAGCTTTTACCGTCACGAAGCCAGCATTACCCTCTTCAAAGCCGTCGAACAACTCGCCGAAATCCTCAAACAACTCTCCCCAAAGCTCGAGAACTGCACTTCAATGTTTCAAGCTACGGCCAACGGTCCTATCACCTCTTGGAGCATCGGAACTCAGCACTCCCAGTCTCAGACTACGCCAATTGCGAACACCAAAGCTCATCAAACCACACACATTATCACAACTTCTCTAGACATTGCCATTCACGACCTGAAAATTCTTGATCAAGTCTCAAGAGCCATCACCAAAACCCCTTGCGTTGCTCGTGTAAAGACGATCTGGTCGCTTATCGACTCAATTGCCACTCGCTTGTAAAGCCAAGTGCATGAGTTGGCTGCCAAAGATGCGCTGAACAAAGCTATCGCCATCGCTTCCAGTATCGGCTTTGACGGGGTCACCGCAGAGGAAGTAGTCTTGCAAGCCTCACAGCAGACTCTGCTTAACGCAAGCAGCCACTTCGTTGAAGAGGATCTTATGCGTCAGCTGCCGTACCAAGTCCGTCCTTCCGGCTGTTTTGGTCAGGACTTCGACTCTGGTCACGGGTACAACTACGACCACAGCGATAGCAAGTGGGCAAGCCACGATGAGGCCGGAGACTTGGACGTTTGGACTCTCATACTCGCACCCGAAGAAATTGTTCTCGCCGCTAGAATCGTTGCTAAGTTCTCCGCCACCAGCTCAACCGGATGGGTCTATGAAGAGCTCGACCAACATCGCTTCCTTACCAGATAATTGGTCAAGACGCTCGGATCTTTCCAAGTAAATCGACAGGAAACAACAATAGCGTGGATGGTACTGCACAAGTCTCCCCACAGAGCTTCCCGCTGTTTGACTCGCAGTGTCTGGTGGTCGATGACTTTCCTGAGTTTTCATTCTGATGACCATGTCGAGCCCACGGTCTTTGCCAACAATCACACTCTTTGTCTATCATTCAAGCTTTCCTACAAGGCTCTACCTACATCTCTTCAAACCAAGCGTCGACTCTAGATATATGCAAGCGGCATACAAAACAACTGCTAACTAGCATTCACAATCTCATATGGTGTCTTCCCATTGCTTATGGCTATGACTCTCCAATCCTGTGCCGCTAACATACCAAGAATTGATGAGTTGACTTGTGCCATGCGGATTTACGTAGCTGCCCTTCTTTGAAAACCCTGTAGCTGAACAGTGACCGGACTGATGTAGTAATCAGTGGTTGACTCTGAGGAGCAGGTGATGCAGCTTGTATGCAGTAGCGTCGGCAACGTGCCAAAGGTCAGAGTTGGCTAATCCGATCGTACGCCGAGACCAGCATTCGCAGCCTTGTTGACTCGAGACGAGATAGTTATGGTCAAACCAAGCAGAGCTTCATCTGTGTGCTTGTGACTTTGCTTACTACCAGAACAACACCACTCGATCGCTCGACTACAGTCGAAACAAAATATCATCTGCCAGCACACTCAAATGCATTCGACTATTTCCAAAGAGTTTATCACAGCTTCTCGCCGCATCTTCGCCTCCCGCAGACGCACCAAGGCACTTACCAAACGCCGCATTTTCTGTAAGCGCATATGATGAGATTCACAAGCAATTTCACTGACGACGAAGTAGGCGGTCGTGTCAAGCAAGCCGAGTACAAGGCAGATACTCTTGCTTGACTGTGGTTGAAGTCCCGCTTCAGTCTTCGTGCTTGAGATTCGGCTGGACGCGCCTGCCTCCTGAACTCGGAAACCTTCTACACGACTTTTCCGTTCGGTCATCAGAATCCAAACAATCAGACTCCCGCGCCTATCCTCTTTGTCTGAACTGGCTATATCATCCTTCTTTTCAAATTCAGTCTCACACTTTATCCATCGCAACCATGAACTTCGCCCCCGTGCTTATCACAGCCACTCGGATCCAGAGAACTTTCCTCCCGCTCGTGGCGCTTTCGAAATACCCCTTGAGGGCGTCAAGATGCCTGACTTCATCACGGACGAAGAGGTCAGATCTTCTGCGTATGTCTTGTTCTGATTATGCTAACATGATACGCAGTTGCGCAAGGGTCCGCGCCGACAGAACACGCTGACTTGATGAATGCTGTTCAGGCTTGCCTGGACGAACATACCTCCTGGGACCGCCACCTGAATGGCAAAATTGGTGTCCGTCTCCACGCGAACGTCGAGGCCTGCCATGTTGTCCGCGACAACCCCAGATCCATCGAGAACCGCCCCATGAAGAGTCAGTCCATTTATATCAAGGAGGATCTTCAGCCCGCCATCGACATGCTGGTGTCTCACGAAGAGCTGAGGATGGAGGAATTGACCAAGCTGAGAGCCGAGATTGCGAAGAAGTCAGAGACCCAAGGTGCCAACAAGAAGCGCAAACAAGAAGATCAAGCCGGTTCTCAACAGGCTGCAAAGAAGAGAAAGCAGGATAACGACAAGAAGTTGGACGCCTTTGTGGGTGAACTCCAGGCTCTGCGTAAGCTTGTCGATAAGAAGATGAACACCGTGGATATTGAGATTAGAAGACGGTTCCACAAGCTTGAAGGAGATATTCTCGAGCTCATGCTTGCCGAGCTTTGAGGAGGTCTATCACGCGAATACGGAGTCGGAGACGCACTGGGCTTCTACTCGTGAAACTATCAGTTGTTTGATGGCTGCTCTTTGCTGGTAGACGCATCAACCTGTTCCTCTCGTGTTATTCTTCACGGTAAAGACATTGATATGTCCCGAATCGAAGTACCTTCTTCTATGCTATGCAATCTTTTGCACCGGCTCTTGATAAGTTGCTTCTGTGCATCTATCCTTTCGTTTCCTCTGAGCTTTCCAAGGACTTCTTCAGTCTGTTCACGCTTAGACTGCTCCAGGTGACGGTGAATAGTAGACCCATTATTGTCACATCCCACGGCAGAGAAGTTATTTCGTGCCTCTTGGTGATGTTCCTCCAGGGTTATCTTTCATGTTGATTACCCCTACTTCTGGTTTCCTGTCTTGCAATTGGAGATGAGAAAGAGAGTAATATCAGTCCTGCTCCACCAGCATAGTCATTGTCGAGCATGCGGTCCAGACGCTAGCTTGATGCTTTCAGAGTAACCACAGCAACAGTTGCAACAGCTAGATAGAAAACCGTTGACCATGACATGGTTGTGGATGATAGCAACATGGTAGAGATGGCCGTGTTCGCTAGCTATACATCTCACAGCTCTCTGTTTTCATCCAACAATCCCAATTGGTCTGGTGGTTAACATCACTGTTAGCTCAACGCAAGCTGACTGATCTCACCAGTCACTTTCCTCTCACAACTAGCACCAGTTCAAATTCAACCATCAGCTCATCATTTCGCAGCAACTCTCTTCTGTATCAGCGCCATCAATCGTTCGAGGTGGAAATCCTCTATAACTTGGACTTTGGTTCAAGGGTCTCTGGGTGAAGGTGCCCCTTGGAAGGGGTCGAGTCAAACATCTGAGGCGGGAGGATTTGGACATAAGGGCAAGCAGAACAAAAGCAACAGAGGGTAAGTGGTATCTGCAAATCACCAGACCAGTGAATTCTTTTTTTGCATGTTGGTCCCACTTTCAGTCTTGCTTACGCTTGTTGTCCAGGGTAGAAAGATCTATCGTAGATTTGGGATGTTCATCTTTAGGCCTGGAAGATCGACGAGTCTGTCCGGGATCCATTTCGAAGTATTCTTTGGACTGCTGTGAAGTATGATCGCTGAGACTATCATGCTTATGGTCAGCGAAAGAGTGTATGGAGTTTCGAGCGGTTGTATCAGTCAGTCGATGGTACTATGCCTTTCGAGCTCGTGCTGCAAGATCTGGTGCTGGTAGGAAAGCTTCTCGTGGAACATTGAACATTCCCAACAAGCAAAAAGAAATTAGGAGCTCTGTCGCATCGATCATGGCAGCCAGAAGAAGATAGTTAGAGAGTTCAACACCAGGCTTTATTCATCGGACTATATCCTACTTCTTCGCCGGCGCTTTTGTAAAGAAGGAACTCAGCTTCATCATACCCGTCGTGTTGATCTTGCCCAACTGTTTGACACCCCTACTCATGTTCTTCTTTTTGCCTCTTCTTCTTCCTTTTTCCTTCTCTTGGTAGCTTCTCTTTCTNTCAGCCTCTTCGTCGTTCATGGTGCTGCGCTTGCGGGATATGTTGTCAGACAGGGAGCGAAGCGCTTGAGCGCGGCGTTTCGCGTCGGCAATATGCTCAAGGTGTGCGTCGAGAGGAGCGAAGTCCACGGGCGCTGTGAGAGGGGCCTTGAGCATAGCATTCAGTTTTGAGTGGAGAGTCGAGGGAATATAGGTTGAGAGGAGCAGGTTCAGTGCGGTGCGAAGGCGGAGAAGGGTGATGATATTGTCAGGAGTAGACTCGGAGGCCGATGTGAGAGAAGTAGCTTCGGTGACGGCCGATGTTTGAGAAGGTTGAGATTGGTCTGTGGCTGTCGAAGGAGTCGGTAGGTCTGCACCTGCTGCTGGGGTTGCTTCGTCTTGTGACTCTGTTCGTTGCACAGCCATCATAGGAATACGGAGGGCTTCTTGTACAAATTGGCTTTCTATGGACGCAGGGAGGCCATTGGCATTCATGCGACGGGCCTTGCTGACGAGCTCAAGTAACAGCTTCGCATCGGACAAGCGGAACATCTTTTCATGACCCAGATCGACATTATCGCAAACAGCATCCGCCCTTTTCTCGAATGACTCTTGTATCTTCGTCGAACGAAGCAGGTGAGACAGATGTTCCGCTCCTTCAGCCAGCTTGTCAAGGTGATCATCGATTGTCAGGAAGAGTTGCTCGTGCGAGTTGGCGGCAGGCACTAAGGCGGGTAGGAGAAGGAAAAGGGGATCAACAGGTGTCGCGACAAAGAGGTCTGCATTCTCGACGCTATAGCCTGTTGCAAGCATGGATTCCCCATCCAAATTATCTGTTGTCGGATGTCCGGGAGCGATCAATAAACTCCGAGGTGTCTTCTTTGGTGCAGCGATTTTGGTGAACTCATAAATGCCTTTAGCCGGACAGAAAAAGTATCGAGTAGGAGCTGAAGAGGCTGGGTTTGGCAGAGTAACGACGCGAGCATCCGGCGAAGCCCCATCTGGTAGAACGAAGAGGAGTGGAGGGTTGCTGCTGCTCAGTTCTAGGCCGGTGTTTTCAGAGTTGCTCTCCTCGCTGGGCTGGGCAACTTTGACCGAAGTCTTTGTTGCTCGAGTCTTCATGATGAATTGTGTGTGGTGAATGCAGAACAACGGATGTTGCAGAAGTCAGTGTGAGGAGACGCGACTGTCACCAGAAAGTCATTATACTTCCCAAAGCAGACCAAAGTGCGGCGCGTGTCACGTTCTCTTGGCAGGTTCCTTGGACCCTGGATGTGTTGATTGGTTTGCGATGCAGGTCACGCACCGTCTCTGCATGCGTAAATTACTCTGGACATCATCATTGCTCTGCTGATATCCATCTAATATTATTCTGACACACAGAAGAAGCTCTTGTGTGAATTCAGTGTTTCGAAGATTCCCAAAACAAGCTCAAATCAAGGTTATCCGGTGGCTGCGAAGGAGCCGGAGAAGGGTCAGATTTCCAGGACAACCTGCCGGCGCATCGTGTACCAAGGTTACACTGATGGTCGACCTTGCATCTTTGTCCGACCGTTATATACTTGTGTCATGACGACCGTCTGTCAAACAGCTAGCACCCTATTAGCGACTCCCTGAAGATGCAGGACCGCCAGTCCCCCAAAGCCAAAGGTATTCAAGCTCCTCCCAAACTCTGCGCTGCTCTTCACCATGAACCGCGTCCATGCTGACCACACCACAGCCGCGGCCTCCCAAAGCAACAATTGGCCACCAAAGTCACCTCTCGAAGCTCTACTCAGCTCTCCCAAAGGACAAAGACGTTGGCAGGAACACAGAGACCGCATCAGCCAAGAACGCGACCGTGACGTCTCACCTTCTCCTCGCAAACAACCACCCTCGTCCAGCAGAGCCCTACAGGACCTCATGGCGATGTCCGACGACAACAGTGATGATGACGAGGAAATCCTCCAACTCCAACTCCAAGCCATCCAAGCAAAGCTCAGGTTGAAGAAGCTTCAGAAACAAAAGTCGTCGCAAAACACAAACGATGACGACTCGAGACCGAGTTCAGAAAACTCGTACTCACCACGAAAGAGACAGAGAACCCATTCAGCAGCCTTCGACAATGCCGTTCAAGTCAACGTATCACCCATCAAGAGCCACATGCCGCCTCCTGCACCGCCTGGCCCGACATCCCCAGCACGCGTCCTTCTGGGAATCGACAAGGGCCTCAAAGCCTCGGACGTTTCTTTGAAAAGAGCTAGGAATGGTATAACCAAGAACTCAACCAGGACGACACTACCCGCAGAACCCGAACGACCAAAGCAAAGTTTCAGCGACCGCATTGCTGCCAATCGTCTATCCGCCGAGCAACAACAAGCCAAACAAGAAAGAATTGAGAGGTCCAGGTCGCAGGGCTTTGGACTTACCGCCCCAACAACCCCTCGTCCCACGCGAGAGACAACACAGTCGAGGCCGCAATTGTCACGAACACAGAGTGATAGAGCTACCAGACAACTACCCACCGAGAGCAGCACTAGCAGCTTCAGCCGTTCAATACCTACTTCTTCAGCTTCACAAAGTCCCTTCGTGTCTCAACGTGCTACTCAACAGTCATCATCATCGACCGAGGTCAGGGGCCGTTCATTCCGTCCTACTGTAGGCTTTTCCCACGACGACACACCTACATCCACCGAACCTGCGACAGACGGATCCTGTTTCGAAAGCTTTTCATCGCTCCATCTCTCCAAAAGAAAACTGCCGCATACAACTTTGGCGCGAGCGTTGGATGGCAAGGAGATCTACACTTTGCCTCGGTTGTTGAAGGAAATCAAAGCGCCGACATACGAGCCTCCAGACTGCGAGACTGACTTTGTCGTCCTAGCCGTCATCGCTTCCAAATCTACCCCCTACGATACACGCCCGAAACACAAACAAAACTACTCTGTCGACGACGAGGACTCTGGTCCCACGAAATTCATGGTCATGACGCTTACTGATCTGAAGTGGGAGGTCGACTTGTTCCTCTTCGACACTGCCTTCGAGGCCTTCTGGAAAATGACGCCTGGAACGGTCATCGCTATGCTCAATCCCTCAATCATGCCTCCCAAAACCAACCAACATTCGGGCAAATTCAGCTTGAAGCTTGCTAGTTCCGAGGATTCCGTCATGGAGATTGGCTCTGCACGAGACCTTGGCTTCTGCACAGCCTTAAAGAAGGACGGCCAAGAATGCCGCTCTTGGGTCAACTCCCGCAAGAACAAATTCTGCGACTTTCATATTGAGCTAGCGATTAGCAAGACGCGAGCATCAAGAATGGAGGTCAACACCATGTATCGTCCTAATAGCGAGTACAAGAAGAATTCGCGTGTCCTGTCAGGCGGATACCTTGAACGCCGAAAAGAACCTATCAAGAAAGACTACGAGAGCAACGAGCGATATTTTATGATTCCAGGTTCTCGCACAACCGCTTCTCTCCTCGATCAAGACGACTATGGCAAAGCAGACGCGATGCGTCGCCGCCTGAAGGACAAAGAGAAGGACCGCCTGCTTGCTGAGAAGCTGGGTCAGATGGGCAATGGCATCGGAGCAGAGTACTTGAGGAGTACAACCGGTGCCTCCGCCAGAAACACAGCCTTTGATAACACAAACGAGGACGCGCCCCCATACAAACCTACCGCCGCCGAGCTTGGTTTAATCAATAAGAATCCCTCTCAGGTTCGGCTCAGCCCAGCTAAAGACCGCCGAAAACTCTTTTCCGTTCTTCCTGGTGGCACGAAGACTACTGCTGCAGGCCCTGAGGCTATGGGTTGGGGAGGCCATGCAAGACGTGGCTTGGGTGAAACGTCTCGCAAACGCGATACCAGTCTAGAAGAAGGACAGACCAAACTCAATACGCATAAACGACCCAGCTCCATTGCTTCTTCCATGGCTAGCGCTGGCGCTGGTCCTGGAGAGAAGAGCCCAAAGAAAGCCAGGTTCCAGCTTGCAAAAGGAATCAGAGAGCCCGGGAGGGACAGTCTGGATGCTAGGGTCGTCCTCGATGATAGCAGCGATGATCTGGAGATCATCTAGACTTAGAGTGCGTCAGTGGTTCATGAGTGCCGGCAGTTGGATCACACAGGTTTTTTAGCCGCTGATCTGGTTCGGCTATACTTGTAGCTTCTTATACCCCTTCTAGTTTTGATGTTCTCTCCGGCCAGAGTGACATGATTGCCGTATCATGAACCATGTAGTCATTTCGTCTTCCTTTGCACAGAGATCTGCAAACCTGTTTTAGCATCATGATCATGGACGCTGGCTGATAATGTCGGACAGCGATAGCTCAAGAATCAAAATCCGAATCCCAAAATCCGGAGCCGACGGTGGTGACCCTGGCATGACGTGTGATTTCAATCTCACTTCATCCACAGCTATAAGCTTCTCCTAGTCCGATCGATTCATCAACAAGTAATCATCAAATCATCGGACATTAAAGAACAACCATCTGTACCGCTCATAACCATCTCCCCAACTTCGAACACTACAAAACTACCACACGAAAGCTTCATCAACATGAATACTCCGACCGCCATCTCCACAGCCAAAGTTCTTGGCCCCAGTATCTCTCTCGCAACCGCAGGGGTTATTCTTTCCATGTCCGCCTTTTACACACCCCTTCTGTCTTCTTCAGCCCGCTCTCAATCTTCAGAGAAGCCCTCGCCCAGCTCGACACTCCCTGCTATCCGCTTCATCTTCTCGCGAGGCAGCCACACTATCCCCCAAGCTGCGGCGCTCGCAGCTGCCAACTTTGGCTTCTTGGCTTATCACGCTCCAAGCACTGTTGTGAAAGTCTTGGGTATGGAAATTGATAGTAGGGCTGGCTTTATCGCGGCGGGAGTGCTGAGTATGGCTATTGGTCCTATTACTGGAATCATGTTGCCGATTTGCAACAACCCCCTGAGGGAGATGGCCGAGTTGGAGAGACAAGGGAAGGGTAGTCAGATTGACGAGGGGAAGCTGAAGAAGATGGTTCAGAAGTTTGAGTGGCTGAACTATGTCAGAGGTGCAGTCATTTTGGCTGGTGGAATGCTTGGACTGGCCGTGATCGTCGGCTAAGCTCAAGTATAAGCTTGTGAAAGCGGTCGCCGGTGCTCAATGCTCTACATGGATTATACATTTGCATTTGGGCAAGCAGAAACAAGGGATGTGTCGACCTGACTGACATCAGTATTGCCCAAGAGTGGAGCAAAAGATATCGACAAGGAGCAAGAAACAAGTAAGCAGAACAAACTGTTCTTGTTCACTCTGTTCGTCATTCGAAAGAGCTTCATATCTATTTTCATTCCTCTCCTTTTCTTTTTCTTTCCTTCTCAAACGACAACGGACGTTGGCGGATCTCAGATTCAAACCAGCACACCAAATGAAGATCAGACCCGATGAGCCCCCTGAGCATCCTACTCGCCGTGAGATCTCGCTGTCGCGCTCCAAATACAATCACGTTACCATCGAGACCATCGACGATCTATTCACTCGATAGAGTAATGGTACGAAAAGAGAAATTCAGCTCTTTGATGAAAGGTGCAAAAAAACAACCAATTATCAAGTTGGGGGAAAGCAGCTGCGACCAACCAAGGCTTTACGTGAGATTCGAACTCATCACCTCTGGATTCTATTTATGCCTAGTTTCCCATCGAGTGTGTTGCTGTGTGAGCCACAGAACCGAACTCTGAGATCAGGACAGATCTGCTTCAATACAGTTCTGGGAGGAAACTCTGAGTAGTGAGAACATCTATTGGGAGCTTGCATCAAAACTCCCTCTTGTCGAAAGTGAAGGGATTCAGTCCATGGCCCTGATGTCTCTTGAAGACGCATCAACATCCATGACGATCTATCGACCACGCTAGAATTCTTTCCAAACGGATGCGGCTTCTCGCATACGACGAACAGCGTTCGACCAATGAAGATAAGATCAAAACGATCTACCAGATTCACCAGGCCCGATACTGGGAAGTAACCACAGCGTCCCGTTGCTTGAGCAAACGACTTTGAAACGTCTTGGTTGATCTCCAAGTTCTGTCATCTCTACCCAAACGACTTAGATGTCTCTCTTGCCCTTAACCTTGATCTCTTTCCTTCTCCTACCTACAGCGATCACCGTTCCGGAGCTGCCGAACCTTGAGATAACTCTCAACTTCGCTTGTATTCACATACAAAAGGTATTGCGGCATTCTACACGCCTTCCCCCAGTCCGGATCATGTTCTAGCTTCTCAAGACTTTCTCGACTTCCAACGACATTCAAGCCATTCCGCATCTGCCAACGAACCAGCCCTATTTGTCTCCGTCAACAAGCAAAACATGCCTCGCCCCGTCGATAAGTCGGGTCTCGAGCGTAACGACGAACGCTCCATTGAAAGCATCGAGAAGGAATCTCTTGCAATCGACAAGTACCTTGACGAACACGATCCCGAGACGCTCGAGAAGGAAGCTCCTGCGATCAAAAAATACCTCGAAGACCATTATTTCGAAACGCTCGAGAACGAAGCCTATGGAGTTCAGAAGCGCGCTCACGACTTCATTCGGAGAATTGACAAGGAGGTCGACAGACTCAACAAGCTAGAGATACGTGCTTCCCTCCTCCATTGCGAGCTGCATCACTTGCGACTTTGCATGTGATAGTCTTGATCTCTCTTCCATTGTACCACCGTCTCCCTCTTCCTTTTCTTACATCCCACAAAAGCGTTGGCGTCCTCGCTTGCGTCTTGTCTTGCACCATATTCAACGAACCACTCTTCTTTCCTCACACTCTCTGTACTACTGCCGACTTCCGCCATGGCAGATCTCAGAACTACGGGCTCTGGACCTGATGCCGAAAATCTTCTATGCATCAGGACCTACATCAGAGAGCTGTCGAACGAACATGATAAGGTGCAGAAAGCGATTGACGTCCATACAACCGACATCAGTCATCAAGGACCGACGACCACCCTGCAGATCCGTGTGGAGCGCCGAGATGGTGAAGCAGAGGTCGATCTGCACACGATTGAACGTTTCTCTCTCGATCATTGTCATGTCCATCGACGATCTGGTGCAAGTATCATGGGATCCACCATCCATAATCGCAGTCCAAGATTTGATGGAATCCATGGATTACCTCGACAACGAAATTTCCGTTGAAGGCTCAAGTACGATTCTGACTGTTTTCGATGATGGCACGCCCATATCACTCTTTGATGCCTTTGATGATCTGGAATCCGCTTCTAAGCCTTTGTCGAAAGAGCATGCTATCAGAGTCACCAGAATCCTACAGACGACACAACTTGCCGTTAAAGAGCTCGCAACAAATCCTAGCAGTCGGGCTTGGGCTCGGAGCCAAGCCAAACGACTGGCTTATAACATGGAGTGTCAACGCAAGCAGCTAGGCACGCCGGCATCTACTGTCAACTCTGTGTCTTCGAACGGCAATCCTCAGAATCCTCCCCATGCAGAAATCCCGAAAGCGTCAGCTCACGACGCTCACATCAAGGAACCCCAGATTTTCGGTCAAAGCTTGAAAGTGCGGTCTTTCCACAGTTGTCTCGATGATCTTCTCACTCGAGTGCCTGAAGATCGTGTTCGAAAGGGTCTTAAGAAGATATACCATGATTGTCAATCTTAACCTGGTCTTGAGAGAAAGATGGAGGAACGTGAGAGTGACCAGGGAGTGGCTGTAGAATTGGCCAAGATACTCCACAGAGGAAAGTTACGTCCAAGGAAGAGGATATATTTTGGGAGCTTCTAGTACTCCTGAGGCCACAGTTATGGCTTTGGAAGCAAAGATACACTTTTATAGCCCACGAAACCACTCTGCATCATCATGGAGGAGGGGTAGATCATGAACCTGTAACAGCGTTGGGCAAATGATGAACGAGAAAGTTGACTGACTCCTCAAGGCTGATCGAGATTCACGCTGCACAAAGATTACTACATTCTTCTCACGTCGAAGCTACAGGCAGTGAAGAGAGAGTTCAGGGGGTCTTTGGAATCTGCTTGTTGTCTTGAGATAGTGTGTCTGTTGGCTAAAAGCTCCTCGGGTATCAAGTAGAGCTGTGAGGAATCTGAGATGAGAAAAGACAAAAGAAAAGGGAAAGAGGTGCACAAAAGAAATGGAAAAAGGAAAAGACCAGATTGTCGTGTGCTCCCTGCTCTCGAATTTGGAAATGTCCATCCCTTCATCGCTTGCTTCATGTGTCCCGCATTCTCTGGTGCCATGAGTCTACCTTGATTATGGGTTTTGACTTCGTTCTGTGTTCTGTTTTCCATTGGCGCGGTTTATTAGGGTCCCGTAGACCTGTATTGAATTGGCAATATCATTTGGAAGGAAAGACTGTAAAAGAAGGTCTGGTGAGTGGTGAAGCGGTTTTCAAGAAGAAGTATACTCACGTCTTCTTGATAGGCTGTCTTCTAGTCGATATCTTGCTCTCCGAGGAAGAAAGTGTTCCCATCAATGCAAGCGAGCATCCACATAACACAGGACTCAAGAACGAAGTGTACAGCTTCAGCCAAGATGGCAAGACCAGGGATGGTGGGCTCGACCTTTCCGCCTTGACCGCAGAGAGCCTGGAAGTCTTGGATAGCCTTGTTGGCAGTGCTGATGCACTTTTCGAAGTTGGCGCGGACCTCCTCCTGGTGCTCCGGTCTTGCGGTATCACTCATCTTCTCGCGCCACTGCATCAGTGTCCACTTGCTCTGACGTCGACATGGGCACTCCAAAGGCTCACTGCCGAACGGAATGAGCCAGTCCTCAATAAAGCGGCTGGCGAGATCAATGTGAAGATCGTATTCGTCAAAGCTTTCCTGGAAGCGGAACGAGACATGGCGTAGGTCCTTCATGTTGTTGGGACTGGTGTGCTGCAGCCAGATTTGCCCGCGATTCTTGATCCATTGTGTAGACTTCTGGTCTTCTTCTACGACTGGCAACATGAAGCGAAAGTAGGCTGTACCGTAGAAAACCGGAGTGGCTTCGGCGCGGATCTGACGACTGGTTTGAAGAAGAGCAGGCTCAGCGACATCGCGACGGCTTCCCACATCCAAGTCTCCAGTTCTGCCGCCGTCAAATGCCATGCCGTAAATGTGTAGACGAACTTCAACAGGCAAATCCATAAGACGGAACGAGCGTGGAGGGTCGGATTGCTGTAGGAGCTTGGTGAGGCCGCCCTTTGTGCGTTTTCTGGGCAAAGCGATGTTGCGATGCTTGACTTCGATCAAAAGATCTTCGACTGACCAGGACGAGTAAGGGGTAGGCTGCTCTGTAGCTTCGCGGATGACGCGCTCCATCACACGACAGCGCTTTCCATGGTTCTCGGGTAACTTGTGCTTGCAGAAGCAGATCTTTTGCTCACAGCATTTTTCGACTAAACGAATGAACTCTCTGAAGCGCTCATTGTTCCTTTGTTGGTCTACCTTTGCTTGGGACTTCACAGGCTGCTTGATCGAACGTGCCCTGGTATCGTTAGCATACAACATGTGGTTAGGTTCATAGGACACATACATGATGCTGCGCTGCGTCAAGTTTCGAGGGTCGTGTGGGGTTATCGGTGCTGAAGAGAAATATGAGAACCGAGCCATCTTTCTTCTGTCCTCTTTTGACATGTTCTCCATGCGACGCTTGAACACTTCATAGTTGGTGGGCGCTCCGGACAACATCTTGAAAGAACGAGGTTGATATGAAAGCTGACTAGTCTGGCAAAAGACGACGCAATCGTCGAGTTTAGAGGAAGACTGGATCTGACACCTGGAGTGTATGTTGGTCAAGCCCAGAGGAGGTTAGAAGAGAAGGAAAGGTTTGGAGAGAAAGACTCCTTAGCTGGACGGTTTTGCTACGAGTGATAGTCGGAACGAAAGCTACGAGTGAGAATCATATAGTGAGGCACCTCTCGAGATGAAACTATGGCTAAGTAGCAAGTGAGTGGGCGCTGAACTGACATGATTGACTTAGAATCACCTGAACACGATGATTTAGATGCCTAGCAGTTCTGTGGACCCTGGACTTCTACTTGCTAACACATCTCGAGTGAACGCGATAGTTCAGACTCGAATCGTTGCTCCCCTTTGGATGGCTGTCGTCTTTAAGGGTCAGGGTACCGCAGAGTAAAAGGTTCAGACAGGAATAGACAGGAGTCATGGCTTGCTATTATTGGGCGTCCACCCAGAATAGGTCGTTCACTCTGCTGTAGCGGTATCCCGATCGACACAGTGCTGGCGCAGATTTCTCTGACTCGGCGAGGTATCACTCTCATCCAAGTCAAGATCGTCTCCATGAAAAAGCGGAAGTGAGGGAAGGAGGTCGTCAGCAGGCATGTCTCGTGGGCCTTCCCAATGCGGGGTTGGGCCACGCGGGGCATGACGCGCATGATGCCTTCTTTCCTTCTCAGGCTGCGGTATACATTCCCCTTCTCTCACGAACTATTTTCAGCTGTAACTATGGAGTCCATGTCACGCCGCCCGTCGCAGCGCCAGAGCAATGAACACAGCCCTCCAGAAGCATCGTCTCAAGACGCCTCCTCCCTTCAAGAGTCCAGCGTACTAGTCGACCATCCATCTCCCGAAACACGGTCAACACCGCAAATACCTGACGACAACGACCTGAAGAAATGCTGGATCTGCTTCTCAGATGAGAGTGAGGATGGTCCCGAGACGTCGGCCTGGAGAGACCCCTGCCCTTGTGCGCTGGTAGCACACGAAGCATGCCTCCTCGACTGGATTGCCGACATGGAGTCTCCCACAACCCGCAAACGCACTCTCGGCCCACCTGCTATCGTTTGCCCGCAGTGCAAGTCCAGCATCCAGCTCGTACGACCTCGCGACCCAATTGTCGAAGTTGTCAGAGCACTTGAAAGACTGGCTGCCAAAGCCGTAGCCCCAGCTGCCTTGACTGTGGCCTTCAGCGCTGTCGTTCATGCCTGTGCAGTTCACGGTCTCTATACCATAACCTCCATATTCGGCCCGCAAGACTCAAGACGTATCCTCCAACCCTTGATCGACAACATCTGGACGGCTGCCCGACCCATGGATCAACTACGCAACTTCATGCAGCACTGGCGCCTCCGCATTGGTCTTCCTCTCATCACACCACTCCTCATCCTCTCGCGCACCACTCTCGCCGACTCCATCCTCCCCGTACTACCTATCGTCTTCTTCGCCACCCAAGGCGACACCTCCGACACTCTCGACATGATTTCCTGGCCGCCGTCAGCAAGCATGACTTTCGCAGTTCTTCCATACATTCGATCAGCCTACAACACATACCATCAACGCGTCTGGGCTGAGCATGAGAAGAAGTGGCTCAAAGAGATCCAACCTAGAAGCGGTCAGCAGGACGCGGATGCCAATGCTCAACTCGCTCTTGATGCAGAGATGGAAGCTGCCGAGGAAGACAACAACTTCGAGATCAGAATCGATGGCAACATTTGGGAAGACTGGGCTGGTGCCGACGACGATGATGTTATGCTGGAAATACAAGAAGGCCAAGCTCATCCTCTTAACGCTCCACCCTTGCCGGATAATGCTCCGCTGCCTCCTCCGAACCAAGGCCAAAATATACCACAACAACCACAACCGCCTCGACCCCAGCAAAACCCACCTCCGCCACCGCCACAAAACAGAGAAGAGCGCCTTCTCTCTTTCAGCACAAACTCGCTTGCGCAAACCATCATGTCTGCACTTCTCTTCCCTACGATCGCATCGGTATCAGGCGATCTACTCACCCACATCCTACCACTTTCGTGGACAACGCTTCCAGCTTCGAAATGGGGCATGGGTAGAGGTAGAGCGACAGGTTTGCTACAAAACAAATGGGGCAGAAGTGTAGTGGGAGGGTGTCTATTTGTGGTCGTCAAAGATGCTGTCATGCTCTATGTCAGATGGAAGATGGCGAGACAGCACCAGAGAAGACATGTGGTTGATTACGACAGGAAGAGTAAGAGGTAGGTAGGCATTTTGGAAGGTCTTAGATCTGGCTTTGAACAATATAATCGGCATCTCAACAAATGGCGCATGTATAAATCCAGTTTGCTCTCCACCGCATCGCACAAGTATGCAAGTTCAAACTCCTCGAGGTCATTCGCCTCCTCGCTTGATAACTAGCGAGTTCCTCCGCCGTCGTCAAGGAAGATCTGCCTTGCTGATATATCAAATCCTCATACACACTTTTTCTCAATCTTCATATTCCTAAATCACTCTCGACTAGACACTCCACTAATCACTTCAAACGCACGATAAAGGCTGGATCTGAAGGCATACAAATTCATTACGAAATCTTGGTTCTGTGGCTGCGTCAGAGTATTCTGTTTGTCACTTGTCAAAGTAAGAATTGTCGTCAAGAAGATGTTTCCGTCAATTAAAGCTATCGGATCTGCGCTGGAGCTATGTAACTCCATGTTTCTGTTGGCTTGGGCCGATTTGAATCTTCCTTTCGCTAGAGCTAACCTCATGCTTCTGCTCTTCTCTCTGACGCCTCGATATTCTGCCCTCCAAGGCCAAATACCAGGGCAACGGCGACTGACTCCCTTGGTCTTCACGATAAACATGTCCGCCATATCGACGACCTCGTGATCCCTCGAGGTCGGCAAAGGTAGAGCTTCAAAATCCTCTCGAATTCTGGCAAAGCAAATGCGCCGTTTGTTTGCACAGGTCTTGCGGGCGAACTTGCCGGGATTCATCTTCGTCCAGTTGTGGCCCATTGGTCCTAACGCCATCGACCAAAGGCATTTTTCCCTGAGATCAAGAGTCATCCAATCCTCAGTTTTCTTTTCCATCTCGATGACCTGGCTGTCCCATGTAATCTTGAGGCGTTCCCATGCTGCATCCTTATACAAAGAGTTGGTCGCCAGATCTCCGTTCTCGTCGATCCAGATTTTGATCGACGAGTCCCGGCGCGGCTTTCGAGAAGAAGGTTGTTCTCTAGAGGATAGTCGTCCCCTCTCTCTGGACAGCGGGATTAGCTCATCCATATCTAGCTCTTTCTCGTCGTTTGCGTTGATGTCAGAATCCTTGAGTGGCTGAAACGTTGGTTGTCCGTAGACATGATCGCCAATGTCTTCTTGTGATCTTTGTTTGGGGGTCTGGTCGATGGGGGCACTAAGCGTTCTTCGAGATACCCTTTTTTTGAAGACGTACCCCTACGCAAAAGTATCGTGCATCCATGTAATCTTTCCACGCATCAAATTCTGGAGATGCTAGAAAAGTGCTAAAGGCAAAAAATTTGGACGACTAGGGGATCGAACCCTAGACCTTCAGCATGCAAAGCAGACGCGCTACCACTGCGCCAGACGCCCAAGTATAAGTTTTCGCTCTTTAATTCATCCCATATATATTATCCACAGCATGATAAGCCTCGGGACGAGTAAGTTCAAATCTCAGGAGTTGTTGAAGCATGCTAGATACACCAACATGCATATTCGGGACAACGCGCTGAGAGCTGCTGTGGTAGTGGCTTTGGCTACGATAGCCAACGCGTCATTGGGCGACCGCTTGCCAGACTTCAAAGAATGCGTCAAGGTTCGAATAACACACTTGCGACAGAAGCTATACAATGTGTGCACCGAGCAGCTAGCTGACACGAGCATCACAGNNACATGTACCGCGACTAACTGCGTACCTGGCGGTCCGCCGATCTGTAAGCCCTGACCCACGCTCCCATCTACAAAATACAAGAAAGAGCAAGGAACAAGAGGATACACAAGATGCAAGCAACAACAGAAGCTCATACAAAGCTACATCAACAGCTNNCTACAACACCGCCTTCTTCTCTGGGATTGCCCCTCCGAATGCGACTACTCCTGTCAACACATCGTCACCGATACACGCCTCGCCCGCGAACCTCCTTACCGCGAACCAATCCTCCAATTCCATGGCAAATGGCCTTTTTACAGGTACCTCGGGGTGCAAGAGCCGGCCTCTGTCATGTTCTCGCTGCTCAACTTTCTGGCCCATGACCATGGTATGAAAGTGCTGAGAGAAAAGGTGCCAGCAAGCTATCCTCTGCGAAAGTTCTACCTTGGCTTTGGATACTTTGGACTTGCGAGTTGGATCTTCAGTTGCGTTTTCCACACGAGGGACTTCTCAATTACAGAGAAGCTGGATTACTTTGGTGCTGGCGCATCAGTTCTATATGGCCTGTTCTTGTCTGTGGTGAGGGTGTTCCGTCTGGACAAGAACACGCCGAAACGGTCTAGTGTGCTCAGGGCTTGGATCTTGCTCTGCATCTCGCTTTACCTCGCTCACATCTCTTACCTCTCTTTCTGGCGCTTCGACTATACCTACAACATGGCTGCCAATGTCATGGTGGGTATCATTCAGAACCTCATCTGGAGTTGGTTCAGTATTAGCAGATACCAGAAGACGAAACGCATGTGGGCGGCTTGGCCTGGTCTGATTGTCGCCTGGGTTATCCTGGCGATGAGTCTGGAGTTGTTTGACTTCCCGCCTTGGTGGGGTGCAGTGGATGCCCACAGTTTGTGGCATATGATGACTGTTTTTCCTACGCTCTGGTGGTATAGGTGAGTTTTGGTTGTCATCATGCAGACTTTGAGCTTCGCGATGCTAATATTGATTGTTGTANGCTTTTTGATCAAAGACGCGCAGGAGGATTTGCAAGGTCTTCGTCTCAAGGCATAGAGTGGACTTGTCTGATGCTGTATCTGCATTCTTACATACATTCTTACATACATTCGTACATACATTCTTGTAAGCCACTTTGATCACTCCACTATCCCGACACCATAGACAGCGCACGGTTTTCGAACCAAAATCAACAGATAGCCATTTCCATAGAAGTGAGTATGCGCGAAACAAGCATTACCAGCTCGGGATTGTGGCCGAGATCTTCAACAACTGTATCGTACACTCCTTAAGTCCTACAGGCGTTCTAGTTCTTCTTGGGCACTTCCATAGTTGGTGTCTTCGCCATGAGCAACTGTCCGACCATATTCACAGCGCCGTCAGGATCATCCTTGTTGTATAGGAACAATCCTTGCACAGCGGCCGTGCTGACAGAGTTTACCAGACCGTATTGCTCGACCCGCTCGAGGAACAAAGCTCGTTTGCTGCCATCAGGGTCTAGATGTGCGTAGAACCTGTCCCACATTTGCTCCATCTGCCACAATGTCGCTTCACCGAGACGTAATGTCATGTCAACTCTTCCGGGCCGGATAAGTGCATCATCGAGACGCTCGATGTGGTTGGTTGTCATGAAGGCGATACGTTCTTCTGCACTAGCGACACCGTCAAGAGCATTGAGCAAGCCGGAGAAGGTGACTGTGGCTCCGCTAAAGCCGTCCTCGTCGCGCTGTCTTCGGTTGTTGAAAGCAGCATCTGCATCTTCGAGAAGGACAAATGTACGTGGAGGCAAGTTGAGCATCAGATGGTTGAGCAAGTCATCCGTCAACCCACGTTGACTCAGACTGAGCATGGCGATGTTGAAGTCCAATTCTCCAGCCAATGCTTGCACAAAGGACGTCTTTCCGGTTCCAGGTGGGCCATGAAGAAGGTAACCTCTTCGGTATGGAATCCCACGGTCGAGGTACCAGGTTCGAGCATTCAAGAACTCGCGTACATCATCTCTGATCATTTCTGCCATACCTTCCTCCAGAACAACAGAGTCAAAAGGTCGCTTGCGTTTGGCGTCTCCGAGTGGCATCCATTGCATGTTTCTAAGGGTGTAAACCATGGTCTTGCCCTCGATACTCTGCATAGACAGCGAGTGTGCTTCCGAGAACATGTCTTCGAAGACATGACGGTGTGCATATAATGTGGTGAGTTTGATGGTTTCAAAAGGTTGGCCTTGAGCATCGAAAGATTTTCCTTCACGCTGTCTATCCACTGCAATGAAAGCATTTTTGAATCTCAAGATGTGTTTTCCGTGTCCAGGGACCAAAGAAAAGTGTGTATGCGATGCTCCACCAGGAGTCTTCTGGCTTGCTGTCTTGATTTGTAGGTGATGCAAACCTGGTGTGAAGCGTCGTATGAGAGCTTCCATCATGCCAGGTTTANNCTGTCAAAGTCAGCACCAATTGACAGAAGGTATACAGTGTCTGACATACACAGTCTCAGCGGTTTCTGAAAGCGACTTTTGATATTGCCGTGTCATCCAATTAAGAACCCACGGATAAGATTCATCATGCCGAGTGATCTCAAGATCAACCAGCATACGTCGTTTCAGGAGCTCTCCTCCTCTTCTCAAGCCTTGTTGGCCAATTCTCAGGGCAGCACCGAGACCTGCCAGGCCAAACCCTGCAGTAAANAATGGATTGCTTGTGAGCTGTTGAAAGATAGAGCCATCGCCACTACCACCTTCAGCAAGTGATTTCAGAGCTTGTTCTTTCGATGGCACGGCCGGAAGACCGGGCGCCGGCGGCACAGTATTCAATGCATGATGTTGTTCCATTGCAAAGAATGATCGTAGTTGGGCGAAGGTCGCTGCCAAAAGTTAGAGGCGGGAGGCACGTTCCTAATCGGGTTTGGTGTCCGTCGTCGGCAAAACGTCGTGAGCAGCGACACCTGAACTTCTGAGGCTGCACCTGCTTCTCTTCTTTACTTGCTGCCTACCATGAACACAATATTGAATCAGACGGTGGTCGATGGTTCTCCCTCTCAAAAAAGAGCACATATCGCGCATCGACGTGTCGTTGCCTACAGAGTTTAGAAACTCGCCTGTTCCAGCTTGAAAAGTGCTGAATGATCTTGATCCAGCTAAGGCCCGCAATTCTTCTCCATATCGCGGTATAAGCCATGTGGGTAAAAAGATGCCTAAATAACAGTTCAATTTGCTTGTTCTATTCTGGAATGACACATGGCAGCGCTCGCCGGCCATGTTTAGCCTAGCCTGTCCGATATCAAGTTCGATTCATACCACAAGATGAAGCTGTTACCGCCTGGTGACTTTCGCAGACTACGGCAAGAATGAGAAAGACCCTCATCGACGGGCGTATACCGATACAGCTAGGCATCAAGACGTGAAGTTCAAACAAGCGTCCATGGTCGTCCACAGAGAACGAACGTTATTTCGATTTCATCAGAATCAACGCATCTGTACATTGCGACGTTCTCAGGTACACACCTCCAGTAAGGTATGGATTCTTAGACCTACTGGAGACGTGTAAGATGCAGTATTGGAAGGCGCGATCAATCGTGCGCGTCGTATACCTAGCTTCTTCATCAACCTCGATTGACATCTCATCAACATCAACATCAACAACATACTATTCTCAACCTCACGAGCTCTCCAGTGGAGCAAGTTATCCACGCGACCTAATCTACGGATCTCAACAGGTGAGTCAAGAGTGTCGTTGCAGTCAATTTGTCACATGGCTTCGACTCATAACAGAATTGATAAGTTCGCACTCGACATTCGAACGTTCTTTCTTCAAGTGTCGCAAGGCTGATTTACAAAAACTCTGAACTTCTGGATCTACTATCCACCGGCACCAGGCATCATATAAGTCAAGACATCAGCGTGTTTTATTAATCATCAATATGCCTCCAATGGGGCCTCCACGCAAAGCGCACATGGCAGGACGCCCACATCAGTCGATCGCTCCAAAGCCTCCTACAATATCCAGGACAGAGGTGCTCTCCTGCAATGATGATCTTAATGCCAGGCCGACTTTGAGCGAGACGAGCTTGCGTGGTCAACCATCTGTTCAAGGACCGAACTATCGATCAGTTTTGGGGCCTCGCCAGACGCTGGCAGAAGGCCTAACACCAGCTCCGGCCTTTCATAGATCAAGACCTCCAGCGCCGCGTGTGAACTCGTCCTTTCCTGTTTTTTCACTACCATACTTCCAGTGGACCGTCCACGAAGCTGCTGCCGCGTCTTTGATGTGCGATCATATGTCCCTTCACCAGGTACCAGCAAACGGTCAAGGGCCAGCGTCTTACCAGCAATCAGCATATAAGCATGGGCCAGCGTATAATCAAGGTCCAGCATATGAGCGATTCAACATGCAGGCCGCCAACCTTTCCTTCGCGCCCGGTTACGACGCTCAACCGGCCCTCAGCATGGCTCCTTTGATAGATACTTCCTCCTCATATTCATCCTCGACAGCGAATCGCAATCTCGAGGATCTTTGTGGACAAACAATAGCACAAAACAGCGGCCACACTCAACAATATCCTGCTCAGCAACCTGGTGTGTTCGGGCACAGCAACGATAACCTGCAACCCTCTCCCGCTGAACTTTCCATATACAACACTGCTCTACCTGCGTCGATGCAGCCTCAGGCAAAGAACTGGAACTTGCAAATGACCAACAACATGCCTGGTGCTTCGATGTCGTCTACTCAGGAGATTCCTGCCCCAGCCACAATGCCGCACTACAATCACGTAGTAGCTGACAACCAGAGAGGTACCAATGGGATGATCAACCATTCAAGCTACTCTATCGACCGACTGCATGCGCCTCAACCTGTCAGATCCAGCCAGCCATTCCATCACCGCTTTACCAGCTCCACCCAATGCCCTTCCACAACTCTACCTAACGCGGGCTCTCACAAACGTCGACGCGACAGCAGCGAGGGACCAGATTTGGAGGAGGTTGGGCGCGAGCAGTGGCAAAGAGGACAAGAACGGTCAAGAAAACGGCGCGATGCTAACATTGCCACGGGTATTTCTGTCCGAGCTGACTTTATAGCGCGTGGTGTCACTGTCACAGCTAGGACAGAACAAAACAGTATGAGCATGAGAGAAGCAGAGAATGAAGCTCCGATGAGCAACGTGAGGGAAGAGAAGGCGCAAGAAGAAGACAAGCATGACAACGAAGACGCGGATGGGAGTACCGTTGGTCTGGGCCGTGCACTCACTTCCAGGCTTGACGAGGCTGATGGAGCACAGAATCAGTTCTATGAAGGACCAAGTCAAGGTTACTATGGGCAAGGAGCTTAGGAACGCTCGGATTCCGCTCGTTTTTGAGTAAGTAAATAAGAAGTCAGAGTACAGTCAAGCAAGACAGGAGAGAAATGACAGATTATGTTTTACACAATTGTGGATTTCATTTCATGACACAAGATCTCTGTATGCCTTATGGGCAGGGTATAGTACAGGATCGGTCTTTAGACTATCTAAACCCCTCGACCCGCACAGGGAGAGGCGGTGGATATCTGGGAAAAGCAGAGAAAACATGACAGTAAACGAAGAAAACATCCTCCTCTTCAACAACATGTATCATGTGGAAGGATGCCGGGTGCAGGAATGCCATGCGTAAGTCTCATGAACGCCCCCAATCCATGCAGAAGAGACAGGATGTAAAGAAACATCAAACCTCCATTGAGTAAAACCACAAACTCCCAGGTTCCCCTACGCTTTTTGCGTCATGCCATGCAGAAGAAAGGTCGAAGACTGAAAAACAGGAAGAACAATGCGTTGAAGAAGTGAAGTGGAGCTGATGAAATGAGGTTGAGTCCAAAGACAGAAAAAGTCGTTCAAGGACGGTCGGAAGTGAAGAGGTTGGAGCGAGTGCGCTTGGTTGGCATTTCAGGCTCAGACATGGTAGTGCGGTGACGCTTCTCACCACGAGCAGCCTTCTCCTCAGCATTCTTGCTGCGAGGCCAGCCAGCGAAAAGAGGACCAGAGACGACCTTCTGAGGCATGGGAGTGACTGAGGGCGAGGCGAGAGCACGGTTAAGCTCGTTGTGAGGGTCAGCGAAGATGGTAACCTGCTGAGCGGCCGAGCGGGTCTGGCGGTGAGACGAAGGAGGAGTGGCGGGGTGGGCGGCAGCCTTCTTGGAAGGGGTCTTGGTAGGCTGGACGAAAGCGCCGAAGGGAGCCGAGTCGACTGAAGGGATGTTATCCTCGTCAATGTCGGTCAGGGCCTCCTCATCAGCGTCGCCATCGCTGTTAGCGCTTGGCCAGAGCAGACGAGGCTTGAAGGAGGAGCGAGTCAAGGGGCGAGAAGCAGAGGCGCCGGCCTGGCGCTTCAGGCTGTTGTTGGAACCAGTAGAAGCATCCGAGTCAGCAGGCTCATCAGTAGACTTCTCGAAGCGACGGAAGACCTTCTTGCCACGGAAGACGTAAAGGATGCCCTTGTCGTCGTCAGCGTGGGCGTCCTCCATGTCAACATCAATTGACGACGAGGGAGCGGTCTGAGCTCGGGTGCGAGCTCTGGTTTTTCTGGGACCAATGAAGGGGTTGTCTTCAGTTTTGTCGACGGTGGGCACACGATCCTGGGTGTCGGTAAAGACCTTGACCTCATCATGGACGGCATCGTCATCGTCAAGGGTGAGACGCGACTTGGCCTTCATGCGTGGGGTGGGCATGACCGACTGAGTGCTGACAGGCTTGAAGTTGAGGATGCGCGCGGTGGTCTGCATGGCGTTGGGGTCGCGCTTGTAGGGGGTCTTGTTGGGAGTGGGCAGCATGGATGCGGGTGTGGGAAGTTGTGGTTGAGGTGCGAAGACGTCGAAGAGAGAGCTGATGTTGGGTGTGCTGGTGGGTCTGTTGCGCGTAAACAGCGATCGACGCACGGGAGTAGGTCTGGCAGGTGTTTGTTGTGGTTCTTGTCGGTCCACAGCAGGGGAGGAAGGAGGCGAGAGGGTTTGTGTTGACGATGTGCGCTGGAGAGTCGACTTGCGTGACGACGAGGACTGGGAGACCTTTTCGTGAATGTTGTGCAGGCGCTGAACTCTCTGGGACCTTCTAGGCTCGTACGGGTCGTAGGAATGGTAGCCAGCACCGTGCTTGGGTGTTGGAGGAGTGCGAAGTCGCGACGAGGGTGGAGGAGGGGTTGTTGCGTCTCTCATCATGGCGGCGGTGTGAGTGAAAGCTAGACGTGTCTTGGGTCGACAACAAACGACGACTCAATTGTCCAAGGCGGACGAGTCTATCGTCCTGACGATGACCCTGACTCCGTGGCAAGCTTGAGACTTTGGTCTTTGTCGACAACAACAGTCGGACGCGACGAAACACGAGAAGGACGCGATGCTGCGCAGGCGCGTGGTGTTGAATTGTATAGCGATGTGGGTATCCAAGAAGAGTGTTGCAGCAGGAGCTGTATGGGTATAGAAACGGGCAATGAGGACGGTAAACAAGACAGGGATGGGATGCGGTGAGGTTGTGCAGTTGTGCAAGGGCGAATGTCACGATATCCCTGGCATCGTTCCTTCCGACTTCTGAGCGAAACGCGGTGGCTGGGAAGTGGCAGGGACGATGGAACGTGCACTCGTCGCGGCATCTTCCGCTCCTTCCTTGCTGCTAGTTATGCTCAATGCTATGGGATGCTACAGACAGAGACAGACGTTCGGAGAAGGTAAAAGACAGCTGTGAACTGGTTGGTATACTACCTTCAGGTCATTAATTTGAGATTGATACCTTTTGTGGTGGAGGATTTGGGCAGAGACAGGCCGAGTAAACATTGACAATGCAAACAAGCAATCAAACACCTTGATTTGGGCCATAACAATTCTCGATTTGGCTTTCGCAGCATCGTGACTTTCCCAAGCCAAACATGCCACAACCTCCGGATATGGGCGCATTGCGCTTGGACGACGACGTAGACGAACAGTACGACGATATCCCTTACGAAGACGAAGACATTGACTACGACATGGACATCGATCTTGGCCCGACCCCTTCAAAACCTAGCGCGCCTCGACCAGAGACGTCCGAGTCGCGTGAAGCTGCTTTGCGCAAAGAGTTGGACAGTGTGCGACAGATCAACAAGGTCATCGAGGACGTCGTTCAGAGTCTAGAGAAAGCAAAGGGCAACATGGATGTATGCTTCTCCTTGTCCTGCGCATTCCATACTGCTGTTAACACTTGGTAGAACGTCAATCGTACTGTGCACTCGGCCTCGACCCTTCTCGACACTTGGACGCGCATTCTCTCTCAGACCGAACACAACCAACGCCTGCTCCTAAATCCGAATTGGCAAGGCGCGACTCAAGACTTACAGGATATCGAGAACGAATCATTTGTGCGCCAACAACAAGCCGAGAGACGTGCTGCCGAGGAACAAGCCAGGAGAGAGGCTGCTCAGAGGCGCGCTGAGGAAGAAGAAAGAAAAAAGGCTGCTCCACCACCTACAGCGCGCGGCTCGAAACTCGGGGGTAGAGTCGGTACAGCATCCAGTCGCTTGACCAGGCAACCCTCCTCAGCCTCGGCTACCTCTACATCAATTTCAGGATATGTTGGCGTCGGCGGCCAAGGTGGTCGAGGAAGGGGCATCTCAAGAGCTGGTAGCGGTATAGGCAGAGGTGCTGTCAGAGGCTCTACTCGAGGTGGTGCTCTTAAGTGATCTCAAGCGCTCGAACGCGATATACTTATGCATGGAGTCAGCCAGTAACGAGCAAGTTTGCGTCGACTACGCATCACGAACGTCAGCCTCGAAACAATTCTTCCAAGGATTATGCAGGCGAGAATCATGAGAGAGTTATTTCTGCCTAAGAGTCACGATCTTGTAAAATCACTCGACTTGTTCCTTCTTGTCTTCTTTTCCTCCAGCACAAAGCTCAACGAACCTCGAACGCCACAACTCCAGACTCAACTTGGACGTAGCGAAATTCGACTATCATCTCCGGAATATCTCAACCATCAAGAAACACGCTTCGCAACTCCTCAACGAAGAGATCTTCCAACATCCGACACCACAATATGTCACTCAACGCCTCGAGGAGCTCGCAAGAGGAGCTGAGCGTCGATATTCTTGAGTCTCCGATCTATCAAAGTTACGAAAACTGTCTCTGCCGCTATCGCATTTGGCTTCCCAGCCACAAACTCGGTCTGGTATAGACGGTAGAAGCGATCTTGTTGATTACAGCTATGCGAACTCACCAAAGTCTCACTGACCAGATCAACTGCTCTCCAAACGAGATGCCTCTCGAGGAGTACACGCAACTCCTTGAAGATCTTTCGAAAGTGACCATCTTCTGCGATAGCCTTGCTCCGCACTGCACTGATCTCAGAATCCGCACTTTTCAGGACTTTNTTGCCGTGACGGGATACCCTGTCGAGCACATCACGCAGGCCTGGTATCTAGGTCATACCTCAGCTGAAAACATTACCCGTTTCATCACCAAGATTGGCTGGAGAAATGAAAGAGAAGCAAGAAGGCGTGCCGAAATGGAATGGAGATCTGGCCGTACCAACCACCGACCGCGATGCCTCTTCATGATGCCTCGCAGGCAAGTGCTCACCGATGAAATGATTGATCACCTCGCTGTCGCGCAGAGTGTATCTATACCCGCGCCGTCGTTGTCGTCCTCGCAACCAGATATCGCAAATTCGCACGACATGGGCGAATTGCCAGACAGAATCAGAAAATCCTCGACATCATAGTCCTGTCACTCTTCTTCCTACAGGGTCTCGACGAGGACGGGATCGGTTTTCTGCACTAGATATAGATACACTGCATTGCAATCATACATCATACTTTTCTACCATATCGAGCTCCAATCATAGTGCATAATAGCACACCGTCATAGAAATGAAAAGTGGCATAAGTAGTGCTTGTTGGAATTTGCAGAGAAGAACATCTCATATCGTAGATCGAGACGAAGATTGGAGAGGGACAGGAAGTCGCGCGCGCCAAGAACATCGCGCCTCACGAATTGGGAATTTTTGCATCACATCTGATCACGTACCAACCAACGACTAGACTGGAAAGAATGGCCGAACGACAGTCCTCCACCGGGAGGGTCCACGCACTCATTGACTATGAAGATCGCTATGTTCAACCCTTGATCTTGGCTGCTCTTAAGGCGCGCATGCCCGCCGACGTTTTGGTCTTGATGCAAACCATCTCGGAAGCACCTGCTTCGGATACCAAATTGCTGCAATGGAAACAGTACGAATCTCTGGATCTGGATCATGTAATGGAGAATTCTCAAACCAGCCTGATGAACTCATATATTATCAGAAAAGCCCTGATCAGAAAGCATTATTTGTCTACCACGGTATCTCATTGGTTGACCAAGAACCCCGAATCTTGTCTGCGGAAGAACGTCAAACCCAGTGTTGAGTTTGAGCTGGATTTTGCTGAGTTTCTGGATGATGCCCTGGTCGAGGCTTTCGAGCTGAGAGAAAGCTTTGAGCAGAACGAGGAACTCGAAGACCCGAAGAAGCAGTGGTGGATCTTGAAACCTGGAATGAGCGATCGCGGCCAAGGAATCCGTCTTTTCAACTCCGAGGAGGATCTGACTGCGATCTTTGAATCTTGGGAGGAAGAGAGCGATGACGAGGAAGCCGAGCACTCCGAAGATGGATACGAACACAAGGTCGACGATGAAGAAGACGAAGGCAATGGTGTGATCACATCGCAACTCCGCCACTTTGTTGCACAACCATACATCCATCCACCTCTATTACTTCCTGCCCCCTTCGCTTCTGCAGATCGCAAGTTCCACATTCGCACCTATATTCTGGCAGTGGGGGCACTGAAGGTCTTCGTCTACAAGCCTATGCTTGCTCTGTTTGCTGGGAAGACATATACCGCACCATGGGAGACTGAGGACCCCAACGAGGAACTAGCAAGTCACCTCACAAACACATGTATGCAGACTGGCGAGCGTGAAGGCAGCGTACACGCTTTCTGGTCATTACCTGACGATGTTTCTGGCCTGCCATCCGATTGGAAGCAGAACACTTTCGACCAGATTTGCAAGATCACTGGCGACGTGTTCGAGGGAGCCGCCAGGGGCATGATGGTCCATTTCCAACCACTGCCCAATGCTTTTGAGCTGTTCGGTGTCGATTTCATGCTGGATGCAGAGGGTACTCCCTACCTGCTCGAGATCAACGCTTTCCCTGACTTTGCTCAGACTGGAGATGAACTAAACAGCATCGTACAAGGGCTTTTCGAGGAGGTGGTCGATTTTGCTATCAAACCATTTTTCGGCCTGTCGACAGAGGAAGAGCAAACACCTAAGAGAGAACGCATGGCCCTGGCACTAGATATCGACTTGGGTAGAAACTAGGACAACCCTCATGATTTGACCTGGCAGCGCACGATCTCACGACCCAGTATCTTCCATCGTCGGAGAACAAGTCTCACTGGCCTCACCGGATGATTACTCGCGAAGAAGGATCGTGTCTCATGTTGCGATATATGTTGTTCAGGACACGTCAGGGATCAGGAAGGCTACGAGGGCCCTCTCACGGCGCGATGCTTCTGTTTAATGCCGTAGCTTCGATATCGCTGATTGTCGCTCGTCGAGACCTCTTGAAGTCACCCGTGGATCGCTTTTCTATTCGACCAAGAGGTTCTTACTGGACCGACAAGCTTTTCGCAATGAAGCATGGACTTTGGTTATCATGGAATGCTGTGTACTATCCATAGATGCAGCAAGCTAACACAGTCGGTGGTATGCTTTCCAGCAACAAACTCATATAGAGGTTGTGAATTTGCTAAATCATTTTCTGATGACAGATGTGTCTCTGGAGAACTACCTTGAACCTGACTCTCAGTGGAATATAGTGCTTCTCGAGGATACCGTGTTTCTTGTCAACGCTCATGTTCGACTCTGCTGTTCGAGAAATCGAAAGCGCCGCATTCACACATTCTATCATGTTTTCTCATTTTCTCTAGCACCGAATATGGTAGATCTTGGTCGTGGGGCTCTTGTGTTATCTTTGGCTGTGGGTGTAGACCTGGACTCTGTTGTTTTTGTGTTGTCTGTCGCTGCGACTGGTGGGCGTAGGACTTTTGTTCGCCATTCAGGGCATGGGCCGGTATATGCGTATGCTGAGGATTCCAGGTCGATCGATGGAGATGCCCACAGTTTGTCGCAAGCCTCAGTCGTTGCCATGTTTGAATTCGGGTTCTTGCTTGGTTGTCAGAAGTGTAGATTGGAGAAGATGTGCGCGGAAGAAAGATGCTAATGTATGAGTGGTAAACCTTCGTTGTTGGCCAAGAAAAGTTGGGAGCAAGTTTGGGATGATATCAGGTCACCCCAGCTTCAGGTGCCAAGTTGAAGTACCTCTCTGGCCCGGGTCCCTCTCCTGCATTTTAGCAGATATCGACGACATGGGTCAAGCCAATACCTCGCTGACCAAGCCAAGATCGATCAGGAAACCAAACACTTTGCGTCCATCAGAAGGTCCTTCACATACCGGACATCGACTTGAAGATAAAGACTGGCCCTGGCGCATATCCCGCCAACCTGGTGGTAGTTTCTCCATCCGCATACTATATCGAGGTCCTTCGATATGGCATCAGTATGCATTGAAAACACACTGCGAGAAGAACCATAAACTTTGCTGCAAGGAAGGAGATCCATTCGTCCTCTTCACATGCAAGACGGAGCCCAGGAGATCAAGACACCTCAAAGAGATCGACAGACAATGCAGATTGATTGTCAAGACGTTGATTGATCATCGATCAGAGATACGTTGCGACTGTGATTTGGACTACATCAAGACCGGGAAAACAAGGCGCGACAGTATGAAGGGCTCTAGCATATGCGAAACGAGGGACAAGGCAGTACTCAAGGCTATGATGAAGCACGACAAGATCTGTTTATGCGGTGCTTTTGAGTTTGCTCAGCAGGAAGAGAACACTCCGATACCATCCAAGACTTCTACATCGTCTGGAACTCCTACATCATCCAAAACCCCTACGTCTTCGAAGGCGCACGCATCTCCAAAAACTCAAGCACCAATCAAGACCCATAAGTCTTCAAAGACTGCTATGTCGACTAAAGTCCCTAGACCTTCCCAAACTCCCAAATCTAAGGCTCCTGCCGAGATCCCTAAGTACACGACGAAGCATCTCTTGCATTATCAAAAGGATCCATTCGAAAACGAGTCCGACTATGACGAAAACATCTTTGAAGGCATACCTCGCAGATTCTGAGCAACGGTGTTTTCGGAAATCAGTTGTTATAAGAACCTTCCGCTCGAGGAATCAGGACTCTGCACAAGGGAGGTGCAATCGAAAATTTGGCACACCGGTTGAATTTATTTCCATCCTTTTGGTTTATATTCCTTACTTGTACTCCTCAAGACGCTGTAGCAAGTCGCAAACCTCTGTAGCAACAAATGCAGGATCATCTCTTTGTATAAAATGCCCACATCCCTTAGCAATAATGGGACCTTTGCTCTTCCCGCTATCCGTCAATGTAGCAAGCTCTTTGTTGTATTCATGCCACACTGGATTGATGTACTTGATGACCAATGCTTTCGAAACGCTAAAGCTTTTNCTGTAAACCACATTAGTATACCCAGATCAGTTTTATACAAGTTAGAAACTGACCTTGTTTTCCTGAGCGAACGTCTCAGGATCGTGACCAACGACCGTGAGTAATGGGCTTCGCAGCTTAGGGCGATCTGCCCGTGGCAGTAGCCCAGCCAGTGTGCTTCTATCCAGTTCCTCCGAATTCGGCACAGAAACATGGAATCTCTTCCTATACTCCTCTCTTACACTCTTCACCTCCTCTGTCGTGGTACCCTGCGGTAGCGTAGTTTCATCGAACCCAATGGCATCCACATCAGGCCACAAAGCCACCAAATCAACATGCGCCATGATGGAATCCAAGAAGAGCATTCCGGATACCATGCCCGGATAACTGTCGGCGAACAGCCTCGCTATAGCACACCCAATAGAATTGCAAACAAACACCAATTGTGCCGGCATTTTTCCCTCTAAATCTTTTGCACAGAATGCCGCAAGAAAATTATGGAGATCCTGAACCACATCTAAGACATCATGTTCACCACCTGGATGCTTATCGGAAGTGTCTTGTCCATATCGATCGTAGGACAATAGATGTGGTCGTAGCGATTGCGAGTCCTGCAGCTTAGATTGTATAGCCAGTATAGTCTGTTCCCAGGATGATTTTGGGAGGATGAGGCCATTCAGAAATACCACTAGCCGTTTGGTTGTCGGGTCGCCGGGAAGGAAACTATAGCTGAGGTTGGTGGTTGATTGGGTGGGCAGTTGTAAGGTGTCGTGTTCCATGAGGTCTAAACTTGTGTTCATAACTGGATTCCGTTCGAGTCGCGCCGTAATATTCTGTGGAAGAAAAGTAATGAGGTGGATGCAAAGGGAAATTGACCTGTTGATGGAAAGGCGGAGGTGATGCGGCAGGGAAAGGCACAACTGCCCATCATCCAGCCAACCACATGACAAGTGGACGAAAAACGTGGTTTCCGTCTCCCTGTTTCAAAGACTATTGCAGTGCGGCTATAGAAATGCACAGCAGTTTCTACGATACAATCTTGTTCAAGGAAGAATATCGTTTCGAGGCTGATTCGATGGTCACAAGTCTGATTTGATAAAGTACCGTGCATCTCTATAGCATACTATAGCACTGTCATTGGGCCTGAAGAGGGACGATGTATCAAAGTTGACCACACGCTTTTCTGCACGAGAATCCAAGCCGTGAGGAAATCCAGTTGTCTTGCTCTGACTGTAAAGCAAAGAATGCAACTATGTAACAGATGAAAACAAAGCACACCGCTAATGCCAGGAGTCTGTTTTATGCCCAATGGGGCAGATAAACGAAAGAAATCATAACATCATTTTTTGCGAACCAAGAAGAAACTCCGCTCCTGATACCCGCAGATTGTCACCCCTTGAAAAGAATAAACAAAAAGAAAAGGAAAAATCACCTTGCCCAGATTACGGCCAACCAGCTAGGCGTACGCGAGAGTCGTGAACCACGAGCCGCATACTCGGCAAACTCGACGCCATCAACGAATGCCGCGACATCATCGGCGCCGAATGGCTTCTCCAAGGCAACTAGCCATGACTCAACATCCTTGATCTCGCGATCTGAAGATGTACGGCGATGATGAGCGGCGTGGACTGCCACCGCTGCGCCAGCTAGTGCTTCGCTTTCTCGACGTTGGTCACCTGTAAAGGCATGAATGCCTTGAAGAGGTTCTCTCGAGTTGCCGTTCGATGGTGTCCAGGCTGGTGTTTGAGGATGCGAATGCGACTGAGGTGATGCATCAGGATATGCAGCACGGAAGCCATGGCCTGGGTAGCCGCCACCTGAAGTTGATGAAGCCGAGGCTGGAGGGAAGGCGTTGTAGAATCGGAAATGCGGGTTGTTGCTGTTGTTTTGAGGAGCAGATTGCGTGAGACTTCTGCCAACAGCTACAGCAGAAGCTGCTGCTGCTACACTGTTGATGGCATTCCAACGTTCTTCTTGCTGCGCATGAGCTTGCGCTTGCTCAGCAGGGGTAGAGAAGGATTGTTTGGGCGGCGTGCCAATACGAGGACTGCTCACATCTGATCGAGGAGGAGCAGGCGCACCGTTAGGTAAATCGGAAGTGGCAAGAGCGTCTGACATGTCGACATCAGAATCACCAGAGTCATCTGGATCTCTCAAAGCTCTTTCCAGCAAGACTCGTGTGCTTTCAGCATTCGGTGGGTGTAGTTGAGCAGTGGCGATGCTTTGGTCGTGGAAAACCCCTGGCAGTCTGGCTGCAGAATCCATCCAAGTCTTCCTCAAACCAGAAAAGTACTTGTGTGAGCGCTTGACAGTCTGGAAANNCCATCCACTAGCCATATACAGTCGACTTTTTGTCGAAGCAAGCAGCTCAATGGCTTTACGAGCAGCGTCTGCACCGGAGGTCATGCCGTCGTCCTTGGCAGTTCGGCGAAGGTGGCCTTGAGTGTCCATCCAGGGAAAGTTGATGACGTAGACACCAAGCAAAGCAACGTTATAAAGAGCGAAGCCGACCAAAGGAGTCTCGACTACGACGCCCCATTCTTGGAATGAGCCGATCAGGTCGACAATGGCCCGAGCAGCACCGAAGCACTCGCGAGCACTGTCTTCCCAAAAACCTGGAGGAGAGGGTATGGTATCGAAACGCGTGCCATCGAGGGGGCCTGAAGGCTTGCCGTGTCGGAATGGAACGAATGGTAGGAACTCGCGAGTAAGGAGGAGCTGAGAAAGAAGAAATGTCAGGTGTACGAGAGCGTAGGGTGTGGAAGAGTGCAGATTGATATGCGCTGATGTGTTCTGTGCCGTCAAAGAATGGTGTCTGGGAAGGCTGATCTTGAAGTCATCGAGGGTCTTTNNTCTTAACCGGTACCACTCTGATTGTGGGTTCCATGGTGGTAGAGCGTCACGTCTGGGCTAGTCAGCTACTGCTTTCTGGATGTTTAGTGATTCAACTCACTTTCTGCCTCCTCCACATGCCCACCGCATCACCTTGCCATGGATATCCAATACTTTGATGTATCGACTGATAAGGCCCTCGTCCGCACCGACTTCCCAGCGGCCTTCGGGATCTTGAGGTGAAGATGTGCCAGTCGCGCTATCATGGATCGAGGGCCTCTTATGAGCATGGTTCGATGGGTCAGTAGCCAAAGAAGCACGGCGCTGACTTTGAACTTCGGCTCTGGACGTGTTCTCCTCGCTCAAGAGCAGGGTGCGAACCTTTTCACCAAACAGGAAGGCATGTTCACCGGCTGGCAATTGGATGCGAAGATCTCTCGCATTGAGAGCCTGAGGTCTGAATTTGCCGTTGCTGAAGTAGCGATCCAGGATGAAGCAAGCCCACAGGGTACGCCGGCGGATCTCTTGTTTGACAAATGCATCATTCTGGCAACTAGCATCAGGTGAAGCGTTGCCAGAGTCAACGAAGCCTTGTTGGTCGTTTGCTCGAGATGGTAATGAGCGCGACAGAGGTTGATCATCCAGTTCCTCCTCGTAATGCAGTCCCATGGCCTGTGCAGATCGAATGACGATACCGAGATGAGCCCATGCTTTCGGACCTCGATTCATGCCCCACTCGTGCAAGGCGAGCATTAGCATAGCTTGGATTGTTGAGATGTTGTGAAGCCCCAGTCTGTCGGTTGTAACAGCATTGAGCTGAGCGGAAGCGGCAGAGGCGTAGAACTCGGCAGCAATGAGAGGCTCGCTGGAACGATTGGCGCTTCTTGGCGAATGGTGGGCGACGAGTATAGGATGGAAGCGGGAAGTCAAGGCTAAAAAGGCCAACAAGAACTCGGTAGATGCGGGAGGTTGGACCGGAGGAGCAGGGACGTTTGTATAGGGTCGGTATTGAGGTGCCTGGGCTTGGGAACTGGCCTGCCGAAGAGGCTTGAGAAAGGTTGGAGGGTGAATGAAGGGAAGATCGGCTGAGAAGTGTAGTTGGAAGATGTCGAACNNTAGGTACTGTGTTAGCCAGGTACATGAACCAGCATCCTCGGGTCGTCTTACCAACTCCTTCCAGACCGCCGGAGTCAGAAGGATGGGGTCCAGAGCATCTGCTGGTACGATAGAAGGCTCGACAAAGGCGGGCATAGGCTGGCCCGGCAAGCCAGCATTGCTCTTACGCTGCTGCCGTTGTTTGCGGATNCTGATTTATAGTCAGTGTTGCCGACGTGGCAGATGACAGACAGGGCGACTCACCTCTTCAGTCATAGGGTCAACCTTGGGAGCAGGTCCGGTCAGACTGTTCTCCCTCTTGCGTCCACCCGTGACAGGTACCGGATATGTACATTCCCGATTGCCGGCCTCGCAAGACCGACACGGTGTGCCAACACCACTGTTGACACATTTGACCTTGGACCGACGACAGCGAGCACAGGCGATCGAGGAACGCATACGTGCCTGAGCATGGCGCGTTTGTTGAGCGTTGCCGGGCTGCTGCCGGGACGATTGATCCGAGCCGGCGGTGCCGCTGGTGAGGGTTGGGTGAAGCCTGGAGGAGCGGGAATAGGACGAGCCGGAGTTATTGTCGAGCTGATGTCGGGACGAGGGCTTTTGCGAGGCCTGGCATCGTAGTCGTCGCTGCCATCGGGAGAGACGGAGAAGCGGCGCTTTGGCGACGGTGCCGAGGGCCCCGAAAGCAGATTGGAAAGAGCGACTGAGGAAGTAATGATTGCGGTTTGCGTGAGACTCTCACGACGTGGATACAGCAGCCCGCTGAGGCACTGAGAAACTGCTGCACGCAGAGACGGATCAAAGGAATAATATCTCGAGCACTGTCGGCTACCAGCTCGGCGATAGAGCTCAGATCAGCCGAGGGAAAGCGAAGATAGCGAACTTTGCGGAGTAACTGTTGTCCAAGCACGCGCGCCAGAGAGAGACGGCAAGACTAGCAACACAGAAACAGCAATCGCTCGTGTGGGAAACGACTGTCGGTCGGGGAAGAGGAGAGGAAGGGGAAGGGAACAAGGAAGGGGAGCCGGGACCGTGGTCCTCTTGAGCCGTGGGCCTTCAAACATGCTGCTCCCAACTACAGGCTGCTCATATCAGCTCTTCGATTAAGCCGACACGGTCCGACTCTCTCCACATCGAACAAACCCGAGTGCCGCCCGACTGTTGATCTGATCTTCTCTCTGACATGTGATCTTACTTGCCCTTCCTGTTCTGTATCCCGTAGCACGACCGCCGTGTCCATATCGCATTTCGATGATTCTCAACACATTTTACCGTCGGATCTCAACTTTCCATCATGCAGCACCGAGCAATATCATACCTCTTCTCTGATGTCGTTGTTAACTTGTTCCCTACTTTTTCTTAGCCGCATTCCTTGCTCCGGTTGGCCTGCTTAACCGCAACCGCCAGACCGTATCCCGCCAACTCGGCTCCATCGTGCCTCTGACTCGGCAATTCATACTTGGACGACTTCCCGCCCAGTCATCGTTCCTCAAATTTACCCAGACCGATTTTTTTGGAAGCCCTTTGTGTTACCCTAACTGCCGGAATTTCGTACAAAAGCGTACCGAACGAACCCCGCGCTTGACTTGGACTTCATGCGCGGCAGCGCCCTGACATCTGCCCCGGATTGAGGTCGAGATTCCATGTCTGACTTACCCATCACCACATGCCATATCAGATTGACCCAAGGATTGTCTTGTCATGGGTCATGATACTTGGCGTTGAGCATAGGCTGAAAAGACCTTACAGAGTCTCGTGGCATGCCAGTATACCGGAAACCTGGATGTGCCGCCGAGTCAAGCAAGGGCACCACGTCTCTAATCGATATCGTGGAATTTGTATGATGTCTCTCATCACCTTGTTGTAACATGACTCGGACTAAGATGGACCGGAATATCGTCCCTCGCATCCGACGAGCTATCATAGTAAAGAGACCACTTTCCACTCAAGGTTGTATGAAATGTAGGTAGAGCATACCGGCCTACCGCTCCGGTGGAAGACTTGCCAAAAGATGTCGCAGCGTCCATAGCTTTGACGATCTATCTCTAAGCTCACCGCCGGCCCGTCGGAGATTTCTCCATAGCCACACTTGCAGCCATCGGATTGGATCAACCCAGAGTAGTACAAAGGGACCAAGTTATATGGCTCAGTCAAGGTTGCTAGGCCTAGAACAGGAGTTACAAGCACTACTCGCGGCACATCAATCCCAGAACCACGGATCAAAACACACACATTCTTATTTCACGACTCAGCAATGTGACGTGCCCCTCGCTATGTTCTGTCAGGCCATGCATTGTTTCTTTGCGGGCAGATCTGCGCTGTGCAAATCCTTTGCCATCATCGCGCGATCTTCTGCTGCTGCTCAAGCCTTAGTAGAGTGCTCCTTCGAAGAACTCGCGTTCCTGCTCCGCCTCATCTGTGCTTTCCACCGAACTGGCACGATCATCGCAAGGAGAGCTTATTGGGGTGATGCTTTGGTTGCCTGAACTGTCACCACGATTTTCCTCCTGGCCTCCATCATCATATGTGCGGAAGTTAAAGATACCGTCATGGGCGGACTGAGGACCCGCGGGCGTCTTTTGAACTCCAGGAGCTGCATCAGACTCGTGGTTGGTGGAAGAGCTCGATGAACTTCCACTGGCCATGGCGACAACAGTGTTCAAGGCCTTGGATTGTTGGTGTGGCTGTTTGTCGCCATCTTGGAGTTGAAGAGGAGCTAGCGTGTTGTATGCTTCGTACGATTGGTCGCGGACCTGGGTCTGTGGAATGTTTGGACGCGGAGGAGGAAGGCCAGAGTTGATCTCTGTCTTGACAGCAGCAGGTGTTGGAAGCTGCCTTGATGCGGATGGTTGTGTAGATACGGAGTGATAAGATGAGGCGCCAGAGGATTGGCCGTGGTAAGCATTGGCGAGATAGACACGGACCTCTTCACGGTTTCTGCCTGTGAAGAGCTGAAGCGTGTCCATGACTGCACCCATCTTGATCTTGTAGATCTCATCGGCCAGAGAAGCATTGTGCACGATCCACTGGGCGTTGTTGGCAGTGAGGTTGTGCGAGATGTAGTTACTCATACCCTCAGTGAAAAGCGTNGCCGGGGTTGGATCGAAAGCACAGTACTCTCGGAGATGGCCAAGTTGCATGCAACCACCACAGCGAACCAATTCTTCCTTACAAGGAGCAGGGAGGTGCTACAACCGGGAGTAAGCTAGCTGCCTTCTGTGCTGGAGAGAAGCATGGTCAAAAGCAATACTGACCCATTTTTGACAGTTGTGGCAGAGGGCGTAGTACTATCTCGGATGTTAGCAACGATTTTCGGTGGTGCAATGCAAAAGATTGGGTCGATATTATACCTTGTAATCGGGCTGCAGTCTGAGCGCTCCACGGTGGCAGAAGTTCCAGGTATGGCCGAGGGCGCCGCAATTCAAGCATTCTTCGAGAGGCTTTTCACATGTGCGAGGTCCATGAACTGCANNGGTGTTAGCAACGCAAGAAAGATTCAGAGTAGATGAGATACCCTGGTGGCAGTTGTAACAGAGGTCCGATGACATCTTGGCGACGGAATGCTCTTGAAAGTTGATTCACGCTAGNAGGCAAATTGCGCATTGACGAACAAGATCCGAGCGCCGATGAAGTTGAAGAGTGGCGGGAGTGAAACGTTTGACGAGTAGATATGGAACATGGGAATCGCCGAAGGCAGGAAGTGGGCAGACACGCTTTCCAAACATCTTTCTAGCAGGCAGCCATGCACTTTCGAGCCACTTCGTTCTTGGCAGTAGCGCACAGGCAACCACTCTGCAGATCATACCTACATCTATCGCTTATTCTTCTTCCAGTTTCCACCCTTGCCGCCTTTTCTCGCAGCTGGCGGCTTGCGATCGAACAACTTCTCTTTAGAGAACCCAGCGTCTGCCAGTCTCAAGTAACTGGTGACTCCCTGGTCCACAACAGCCAAAATCACACTCTTATACCCATTACGCAACTTCTGATACAACTGCGCATCTGAGCGGGGTGGCTGGTATGGCTGTGTGTCGATGAGAGCACTCAGCTGGGCAAGTGTTGGGAAAGTCGTCTCTCGAGCATCGACAACCGCAATGCGGAAGTCAGGTGTACCGGGGTCGCTTTTCTTGTATGTCGTCGAGCCAGGCTTCCATAAGTGGTATGTAATCCTGAACGCAGAATCTGTCGTCTCTGCAGAATTCCTTTTCCTGGCTGCTGGGTCGTAACTGGGGACAATTGCAAGGCGACGATAGATTTCAGCTNNGAACAGTTTAGTAGGATAACTTGTACATTTGATCGACTGGCACATACCGTAATTGCGGTAGACTCCTGGTGTTACCAACGGACCGACTTTCTGTTCTGCTTGTGTTGCAGCTCGGGGAATGAACAGGCTTCGCCATTTGGCCCTCAGCAGACCCAGACTCCATAGAGTGCCTTGCACAGACGGATAGCACTCGTCTCCCGGTTGATCGCCTGGACCATCCCAGCTTGGAGCTCGGTGGACTGTGTAACCTGACCTCTTCAAACCTGCGTATACAGAGTATCTCTCGAAAGTCAGGGCACCGTCGCTATTGCCTTCCATTCCCAGAAATGCGGCATATGCACCTTGAAGACTCATAGGTATGCCTTCGCCATCTTCACTGTTGTCGTCGTCGTCGTCCAGCGGCCATCTGACATCAATCGTACCTCTCTCGAGCAAGTAGATTGCTTCTTCTGGTAGCAACCAAATTCTGTTTTCTCCAGCGGTACGAGGTCCGAGTGGATCTTCCTTGCCAGGGAAGACCTTGCCCATGTTTTTGAACAAAGGCCCTTTAGGGTCTTCTGTATATGCCATATTCGTCCCTGGGTGGTAATAAGCCAGAACATGCTTCTTGGGTTGATGGACGCGCTGAAATGAAAGTGCATTATGCATAGCATCTCTTGATGCGGTCAAAGCACCCGACTGTTTGTTTGTATGATGGGGCTCAAAGTCTTTCTCGCCTCTTTTAGGAATTTTTGTATCATCGCCGCTGATCAGAAGTTAGCAGAGTCAACGGATTGATATCTATGACCAGATTGGAGCCCACGAGAAGTTCAAGAGTAAGCGGAAGTCTTGTGTCTCATCTGAAAGATCGATATCACCGACGTCTGGACCACGAGGGATGACGTCTTCATCTGCATCTGCCATTGCAACTTGTAACTTTTTCGATTTGCAATCTTCCAATCGAGTCCAGAGCTTCCTGTGAGAGTGAAAGTGAATGGAAGCAGAGGTTAGAAACACGGCTTGTGAGTGGAACTATGCAGCTAGTCTCAGTAATACTTCTACGAGACAGATATGCGATCCAGTTTGTTTCGTTCCTTCTACTAAAACCTTTGTGACAAGGCGCTGAGTCTCTAGGTTGATTCTTGCGCAACGACCATTCGACGCGAAAACGCAGTCGCAGTCAGAAAATCAGAACGACGCGATACCCTTTTCGGCACCATCCGGGCGGCTAAATCAGCCCTAGCCGCTTTCACTTCACCCCACTCTGATCACCAGTTCATCCACCACCCGCCGGCGTGTTTCTTGGTTACTCAGCATCGACTTTCGCGACATAACATACCATGGCTCGTTTGTCCGGTACAGCACAACCGGCAGGCCTGGGCAAGACCGCTACTGGTCTTGGTGGAAAGGGACTTGGAAAGAGTACCGCTAAGCGTCACCGGTACGTATCAACCAACCACCATTGCCAAGAGGGTGACCCTGCTAACCAATACAACAGTAAGATCTTACGCGACAACATCCAAGGCATCACGAAAGGAAGCATCCGGTCCGCAGCTGTACAATACATACTAGTTGAGCTCGACTGACAAGNNATCTCTAGTCGCTTGGCCCGTCGTGGTGGCGTCAAGCGCATCTCGGCTACCATCTATGAAGAGGTCCGCTCTGCCCTGAAGAGCAGACTGCATATGGTACAACAACAATCATATCCGTGCTTTTGCGTGCAATGACTGACATCTTGCACAGCTTCTCCAGGATATCTGTGCTATTCTAGGTAGTTGCAACTAGCCCAGTTGTTTACCCTTTCATGCTAACAAGCCATATAGNAGAGTACTGCCCGTAAGACCATCACTGTACCTGATGTTGTCTTTGTTCTAAACAGACATGGCACTCCCATTTATGTAAGTTGTGCTGTCAAGCTCTTTCTCATAATATCTACCAACACTCGACAGGGGTTTGATGCTCCTTTCCGCACCCGTACCTAATACTCAGAGGGCGATTGTTAATCAACATGACATGATGGATCGTAATGATAAATGATGCATCCAGGGACAAGGCGTTTGTGGTGGGTTTGTTTGGGGAGTTCGTGTCGTTAGGGCATCTGAAAAGCAAGGAGACCAAAGCAAAGTTGCTATACTGAGATGAGAAACGGTACAAAGGAGTCTTTGCAATCACTATTGATATCCCTTGATGCAAAGAAATCACAAGATGATTGGTCAAAAAAGTCAGGATGTCGTGCAGTGCTTGTGTCCTGGCGCCAAAACGCCGCCTGTTTGCGGAGATGTGTCAATCTTCTTCAAGCTGCAGTGGGGAAAGCTGTTCCTTGAAACCTTCCTTCCCGGACCACTCCTTGCAATAACGGATAGTGGCTGCCAGCATGCACGAGCAGGGCCTACCGACTTCTAGTCAGGCTGCTGTGTGAGATCAGTGAACAAATTGTGCGTAGGAGCGATAGATGAAACGCATTCGCGCGCTGCCAAACGTTTCATGTTTTAAGTGCATGAGAACCAACACTGCAGCTGCTTGCAATTGCTTGGATGGTAAGACTCGCACAGAGGCAAGTGCTGATAGAGCCACTCTCATTTTCCATTCTCGTACTCCCCCTTCTTGCAATAATTGGACCAATCCTTTGCGCCTGCTTTTCCGAAGCACTTTCTTCGGCCTTCCGTCATTCGCACTCCTTTGTACAAACGCATCGACATTTAACTGCTGTCACCACGCTCATTCACTCTTTCTTCTCCCAGATCCAACCCACGCTCTTTTACAACTTTTCGTATTCTCTTCTGCTGCTTTTACAATTCTGTTTTTCTCTTCTCTTTGCTCACCATGAAGATTTCTTCCGCCGTTCCTGTGCTCGCCTTGATGGCTGCACAGAGCGTCAACGCACACACCCTCTTTGCCGAGCTCTACGTCGATGGCGAGGCCCAGGTAGGCACAGACTCCGTCTCGCCACATACTGGAGACCATCACATGCAATGCTAACAGTACATAGNNGGCGATGGAACCTGCATTCGTATGCCCTCTGACCCTAACACTGCCACCGACCCCATCCCCAGTCTTGACAGCAGTGATATGGCCTGCGGTGTCGATGGTACCAAGGGTGTTGCACGCGTCTGCTCTATCAAGAGCGGCTCCGCTCTGAGCTTCGAGTTCCGCGACTGGCCTGACAACCCATCAATTGGCAGCATCGACATCTCTCACAAGGGACCTTGCGCTGTTTACCTCAAGAAAGTTGACTCTGCTATCAACGATGAAGGCGCTGGCGACGGCTGGTTCAAGATCTGGGACGAGGGCTATGACGAGTCGGCTGGCAAATGGTGCACCGAGAAGCTGATTACCAACAACGGCCACCTCAGCGTCCGGATGCCTCAGGGACTTCAAGGCGGCTACTACCTTGTCCGTCCCGAACTTCTCGCTCTCCACAATGCAGACAAGGGCGATCCTCAGTTCTATGCTGGCTGTGCTCAGGTCTGGCTCAGTTCTGCCGGCACCCAGCTTCCTCAACACACCGTCTCCATTCCAGGCTATGTTGACTACAATCAACCATCAACCTCCTTCAACATCTGGAACGAGCCGATGGCATTGCCCTACCCAATCCCTGGTCCTGCCGTTTACGCTCCTTCATCCTCTGCCAACGTTGGTAACCAGAAGCTAAGAGTGTCCCAACAGAAGCAGACTGAGGGTCTCGCCNCCAGTGACTGCATCATCACCAACGGTAACTGGGACGGTATTGAGCTTGACAAGTACAGCGACCAAGCCGGCTGCTGGAACGCCAGCACGGCTTGCTGGGCTCAAGCCAAGGAGTGCTACGCTACTGCTCCTCCTACTGGTAACACCGGCTGCAAGCTCTGGGAAGGCAAGTGTCAGAACATCAACGACCAGTGCAGTGCTGGCAACTACAACGGTCCTCCCGACTACATGAAGAGCCTCAACCCTCCTGCCAGACAGGTCAATCTCCCTGCCGCCGTGTCTGCTCAGAATGGCGACGGTTCTTATCTTCCTGCCACCGCCGGCAGCATGCCCGCCGCTACCACATTCAAGACCTCTGCTCTCGTCGCCAAGGCCACATATGTCGCTCCTCCCNCCAATGGCAATTCGCTCACCGTGTCCGCCGAAGGCAACTGCGGCAATGGCGTGACCTGCAAGGGTTCGAGCTTCGGCGATTGCTGCTCTAGCCATGGCTACTGCGGCTCCAGCGATGACTACTGCAGTGCTGGCTGTAACAGTGCTTTTGGCACTTGCGGCGGTCAGTCTAAGAGAGATGAGCACCACCACATGCGCATCCACAAGCACAAGCGTACTGCCCGTGATGGCGTCGAAGCCAGAACGATCTAATGATTCTCCATGTTCGACTCATGACCAACGAAAAAAATATTGGGAAGCATGGGATGGGAGTTTTTTCTTTCTGGTTTGATGGCTCAGGGGATGCATTGAGGATAGGATGGGTTGCTATGGATGCTGTGCGTCCTTCTTTCTTCGTCGAGGCTCTTGTTTTCTTCCGCCCTTCTTCACTTCACTCTACTTCTCTTTTCTCTTCTTTTAGGGATGATGTCTCATCATAACTGTTGTTCTGCTGTGCAGGATATTAGTCGTTTTTCGAGAATTACCAAAACCTTGACAAGCTTGTCTCGATAAAATTCCTTTATAAGAGTGCGATGTGAGTGTCGTTGGCTTACTTGTGCTACACGAAGAGAGATGAACGAATTAAAATTGATAGAAGGTAAAAGGGTATCTATGCGAATAACAAAACGCCAGACTGCATCTCACAGCAAAGATTCCCCTAGAAAGCGAAACAGAAAGGAAGTCAATCTCTCAGAGATTGTGATAAAGAGACAACAACAAAGGCGAAAAAGAAAAACAGAATCAGCCAGACCACCGCATCCACCTCTTTCCCCGCCAGGATGCCTTTATCTGTCGGGATCTCTGCTCGCGCTCACTCCCGCCCAAGGATCTCTTATACCTTCCCTCCTGTTCGAACATCCTCTGTTCACACCCTCGTTCCTGACGTGAACGACTAGCAATGCCAGCGCCAAACTCGTCCACACATCGTAGCCCACGACATTGAAGTCGAAAACACCCACCGTGCGCAGGTAACCGATTGAATCGCTGTCCTGAGCGCCAGGCACAAAAGCAACGATACCGAGCAAAGTATGCGAGACCAGGATACCATATAACGGTGGCGGCTGAGTCTCATCCACATCAGTAGACCCAATAAAAGCAGGGGAGCGTTTTGGTGCCTCGTCAGAAGAAGCCAACCAGTGTTTATGCAGATTTGAAAGGCGAAGAAGCAAGGTATCTTGCATGGCATTGACATCTTCATCTCTGGTTCCAGTGTGGATTTCAATGAATGGGTAGGATGGGAATTGGTTTCTGCTATCCCAATCTGCCCAGTGCATGTATCTGTGCAATTCATCGACGATGAGTTTTTCCGGTGCAAGACCCACGGTGATTTTGTCTCTGACTTTTGGGCCAAGCTGCATGAGTCTTTCAAATGCATGTTTGGCGCGGAAATCTTTGCCGCGCAGGGTATTGATGTAACCTGGATGTTCGTGACGCTTGGGTAGAAACATGCCTTCAGGCATCATAGGAAAGTCCATGCGCCAGTGGAAAGCAAACAGGGGTTCGCGGCCACGGTTATGGATGCGTTGGATGAGCCAGACGGTGTTCTGGGGCCAGCCGCGGGCGAGAAGTTGTTCCTTTGACACGCGCTCGTCTTCGAGACTACCGACGCGAGCACGTGAATCGAGCAGGATTGTATCTTCGCCGTCCTGGGCTTCTTCGAAAAAGGAACCGAAGAGGGAAGGCTCTTTGAAAGAGGTTACGAGAAGTGAGGAGTTGTCGTCTTGAGCGTGATTAACGTCCAGAGCGTCGTTGTCGCTGGCATCTGTGTCGGCAAAGACGATGAGGTCTTCGTCTCCGCTTCCGTATACAGGAGGTGCTGGTCTAGGAAGGACATTGATGACGTCATCGTCGATTTCTCCCTCTGTGCTGTCGATGATGATCTGGGTAACGTCTCGAGGTAGGGCGCTCTCGAGGAGGGTCCTTCGGCCTGAGAAGGGCCTGTCCGAGCGAATGGTAGGATTGTAGATGTTGTAGTCGTACTGAATGCCATCATCCTCATTGCCGTCTCCCTCAGACCCCTGTCCTGGTAGCTTTGACGAGTTGATGGTAGGATTGTAGACGCTGTAGTCGTAATGTGCACCACTTTCCCCATCCTCATCTCCACTGTCGTACTCATCGTCCTCGGAGAACAGGTCAGCGGGATCATACTGTTCTGTCGACCGTTCCACACGTTCCAGCTTCAGGTCTTCGAGACGGACTTCTTCGGCGTCGGTCTCGTCTTGCGACTCCTCATATTTGCTTCTCTTTCTGTAGTCCTCGACCTCAAAGTCTCTTTTTCTCTTGGAGCCAGCGTGCGTGTCGGCGGGTGTGGGTGGCAAGTAACCACTGCCAGGGCGCTCGGGAGTAACGAAATTGGTCAGAGAGACGCGTGGAGGTCGAGCATCACGGGCGACTGCCTTTCTCTTTGTGGTAGGTTGCTGTGGAGAGAGATAGCCCCAAAAGGCAGCCGAAAGTCGTTCGAAAAGCCGTGGTGGCATGGTGAATGTGTTGTTCAGTCGCAGGTAGCTTTTGTTCGAGGTTCGATAGAGTCTGCGCGTATGATTGCCGTGATGTGTGTTAAGGCAGCCAGACTTGACAGGAGCCGACAAGCATTGGTTCAAGATGCGACGAGCGTGGAATGAGTGATCGAAAGCCGAGTATTGTCGAGATCGAAGAGTGAATGCACACTCGTCTCATCATTGACCCTATTCATAATTGTTTCTATTGATTGTCCGGCTTCGTACTTGGTTCATGCTGCTCTTGACCATCACGAATGCAATTTCCCGCATGCGGTATACGAGCTCGGACCAGCAAACTCGCTCTTTCCGTTTTCGGAACTTTATCTTATCGGGCAGGTACCTTGATGAACGAAAGTCGAGCGGCGTCATTATGCGAGCCAAAACAGGAGGGTATCTTTAAAAATGCAATGTAGTTATGAAACATGTAAGACAAAAGCAGCGCTTCCTTTCTCATGTAGTCAACTGCGTCTTCTTCTTAGTAGCTCGCATGCCCAATATTGTTCCATCCCTGCCAAGCCCCCTACCACATTCCAAAACAATCATGCGAACAAAGTCTTGGAGAAGCCAGTAGCTACTGTGTGCACCGAGCATCGTCAAGTATTGAATCTCGAGCGGTCCACCTCCGTACTTGAGGAAATAGTCAATCTGACCATTGTCGTTCAACAGAAGCATGCGCTGCTCAGCAATCTCCTCGCGGGAGAAGTTGTGAGTCTCTAGTTCAACGTTCGAAGGCAGTCTAGGCAACTGATCTGGTCGGGTACTCGATGCTCCCTCGGGCGACGAGTAGAACCATGATCCTGATGAGGAGAACCAGCCTGAGCTGGCTGTGGGTACCCATGCCGCTTTGAGCGATGATGCATACGAAGCATCGACCGTGGCGTTGAGACGGTACGAGACTGGATCATAGGGGTTGACGACGTTGTAGATATTGTCTATGGGCAGACAGCCGTACGTTCCACGACTTCCACAGATCGGTTTTCTGATTGACGACAAGTTTGCTCCGGGCTTTTGCTTGCCCAGACGTGGAATGAGAGAGGCGCGTTTGAGGAGTAGAAAGAAGCCGGCTGGAGAGCCACACAGGAACAGACCAGAAGTGTTGAAAAGGAAATGCTCCAAGACCGGCGAAGTGTTCAGATCAACAGTGGTTGGATCGGCCAACTCAGGAGGAATCGACGTCGGCTGTTTGGACAAGATGTCAACCGCCATGACGCTGCCCAAGGAGTGTGCGATAATGTGTACTCGTCCGTACTGAGCGAACCCTGGGTTGTTGGTGCACCAAAGCTTGTAGATGCGGTTAGCCTCAGCAATCACAGCAGCAATCATCTTGGGCTGGTGATCTGATAGATAGTAAGGAACGTCAAGCATAACATCAGAAACGATGTTGCGCACGGATGGCAGGGTCTCGGGTGTGATGTCCTTGAGCCCAAAGTCATTTAGCGCTGGGTCATCGGGGACTTCTCTTTGACCATCCTCAAAAGAGAGGCTCTGACGCCAGTTCACCGGCAGAACCATAATACCACCCATGTTCTTTCTTAGGCGAGCTTTTACGCTGTCCGTGCCCAACTCGACACTGACCTCTCGGCGGAATGCGTTGATGGCATGCGTGAAATGGAAGCTCTCCATGCGTTCCGAGAGCTTTTGGCCAATACCGTGAATGACAAGGATCAGCTCAGTGACCTTGGGTCGCTCAGCATGAGCAAGAGCGGGATCAGACTTCTGTCGGCGGTTCGGAGGTGCGCCCGACTGTGAGGTTGACACACCCTCCTCAGCTTTTACTGCAGCAGAAGTCTTTTTCGTAGGATACAGTCGATCATAGGCTGCCTGGTCGAAGCCACGAACAACAGGGATACCTAGCTTGCGACCTTTGCGGATATAGTTTGCAAGTGGACGGCGGCCGTGATACGCTGAGGGCTGCAGATTGGGTTTCAGGATATGAGCATCGGTCGCGTTCGCATAGATGACACCAGCGGTGGGATACCATCGAGGTAGACCGCCGCCAGAAGAGTATGCTGATGTACCGGAAGCTTTGTTGTCAGGTCCATCAACACCTGCAGCAATGTCGATGATGTCGCAAGCAACTTCGACGACATGCTCACGTTCCTTATCGGCCGAGAATGGCTCATCGTCAAAATTGACAGAAGTCATACTACCCATCTCAGTCCTGGCAGGGTTCGGCCTACTCTCTAGCCTCTTGAACAGATCGGGCCAGAGCTTGTGCAGTATTTTCGCTTCTCCTGCAGCACCAACTTCAATAGCGCTGTTAAGCTCATCGTTCCAAGTTTCGGTCCAAGGTTGCAGCTCGGTGTAACCTGCCTCAAGCATGTTGGCAACAGGAGGCTCGACAGGAAGCATGCTGTCTTTGTAAAACCAAGTGGCTCGTACGACCGGGGAAACATCGTTAACTGGACGCCAATAGATGGGCTCTAGATTGAGATCTGGCATCGCTACATGGTGCAGTCGCGATACGCCGACGGCGATCCTTGCAGAAGGTGCTTCCGGATCGGCACGCGGCTTGACAGGCTGTTTGGATGCTTCTGAAGGGTCGCCCCACTGATAGCTGTCCAGTGTCTGGGGTTGAGGTCGGGGTGGAATTCGATCGAGCTTCCGTGCTGAAGGAGCACGAATAAATGGAGTACCCGTCGTATCGTGGGCCTCTGCCTCTGGTGGGATGGCAGGTGCCTCGTATATGTCGGCAAGTCTGCTCCCTCTTGTCGATGCATCACTGGTTGATGCTGGCCGGCGGGCAGAAGGAGAAGTGCTCAGTACACCCGGTTCCGTCTTCTTTCCCTTCTCTTGTCTATCGCTTGGCTGAAGGTCCTTCTGCTTCTCACCTCGCACCTCGTTGTATCGGAGGAGCTTATGCCAGAGGTCATGCCATGCTTTGTCGAGAGCGGCGTTATCGAACTCGGAAAAGGGTCGTGGTGGTAGTTTCGCGTACGTCGTTTGAGCAGTCTGAGCTGAAGGCGGTAGAGGGGACAGCGGATCGTCTATGGCGAGTGGAGAGGTGTAGAAAAAGCGGGCGTTCACTGGAGGCGGTGCCTCGCTATGGTGCAGGATTTGGCGGATGTACTGATTCGTTGACGATGCCATCGTGTCGCCTTGCACGCTTCATCTTCAGCCAGACGAGCAAAGAAGTCTTTTCAGCGGTGTTGTTGCTCATCTGTCCGCCTGAGCACCGCCGACTCCAATCTAGGGAACGTCATTGGGTCCGTGCTCGGCATGTGAATGTCACCGCAAACATCACCTCCATCGTGCCTTCCTGATCGAGTGGAATGTCTTTGCACTGGTTTTGATTCTCTGTGTAAAGTGTTCTGATGCTTTCATTGCTTGCGTGTACCCATATCCTCTTTCTTCTTATCATGAAATAGAACAATTCAGCGCTTGAAGAGTCCTTGAATGCAAATGCGACCACGCAAACTCCTTGACATGCATGTTTACTTTCCTTTCTTCCCACGTTGAAACAAGGGTATCGTATGCGAAAATTCCGACCATGATGCCGCCCATACCCCCAAATGCTGAGGCCGTGATGCTGTACTTCCTTCTTTTCTTCTTTGACATCGTCTTTTGTGTTTGTTCGATTTCCTGGCTCGTGTTAGTTATTGTTGTGGCTGAAGATATGCTTGGAGACTTACTTTGGTCTGTGCTGTTGTCTTGTGTATGAGAGAGGTACATGCTGCTGCCCTTGGCGTGCCTCCTTTGTATATAGGCCCTTTGAGAGTTTTTTGAGAGTGTATTGGGCAGTGGTGTGTGCAGGAGAAGCAGCCCATAGTCCCATGGCTGAATGATATGGGTTGTGTGTGTGCCAAGATGCGGTGAGGGACCGCAGGCTGCAAGGGTAGCAGCGTATTTGGTGACTGTAGTGTCAGGAGGGGAAAGCCCTCTCTGTAGCTTAAGAGCTTTGCTTGGCCTGTTCGATCATGAGGCAGAAGAAGATGGTTGGCCCAGCTGAACCATGTTGTGATGTGGTCGAACGCGAGTGGTTCGAACAAGGTGCTTTCGCTGAGACAGACGGTGAGGAGCTTTTCACAGCTCAAAGTGCTGGTTGAAACCTCCATGGTTAAACAGGGAGACCATAGCGCGTCTAGCGTATGGAATTTGCTCGGGACCAAACTCCTTGGTAGGATTGGAGAGTTCGAGAGCAGAAGCAAAGCCGTTGAGGCAGGTGAACACGCCGCAGTCCGAGCCGTTGTTTTGGATTGAGCTGCGACGGTCGACCTCCTTCCATTCGCCTGCGACATATTTGTCGCCAAGCTCCATCTCGAGCCATTGGCGGGCCAGTCTAATGTAACGGGCGCTCTTACGGTTATCTTCTGAGTAACCTACGTCCAAGCTGTCGAGGTACTCAATGGTGTGAATATCAGGGCAAATGACAAGCAGTGACCAGTGGTTGCCAGGGTTAACAGGGAAGAAGATGCGCTTGCACTGCAGCAGCTTGTCTCCCTTGATACCCTTGCGGCGTGACCATCTTTCGATGGCGCTAATACCCTTCTTAGTAACTGAAGAATACCATCCGGTTATATAGGATGCGTATGGAGGTACTTTGCCTTTGGTATGACCAGCCTTATCGTTCATGGCATTGCACAAAGCGGTGAAGAAGCCATTGATGATCTCGTCGTTGAGCCATCCTTCAGGCTCGCCGGTGCGGTAGTTTGCGGAATGAAGGAGAGTAGCAAAGTCTTTGCGAGTCAAGTCGTTGCCTTCAGGAGACTTGACGATCGCTCTGCCAGGGTTGGTGATGCTGAGGATTTCTGTGACTTTCTGGTCCAGTTCATGAGGCAGTTCGGAAAGGAAGAGGGCGAGCTTGGCTCTCAAAGGAGCTTCCTGGTCTTCCTCGATGAGTTGAATCTGGCTGACTTGTTCAGCAAAGGCTTCGGCTTCCTCATCTGACACTGCGATGCTCTTCTTCCAGTCAATGAGGGAGATTGAGATATGAAGATTCGAGCCTCGGCCAGAGTTGAATTTTCCTTCAGCATATGACTCTGCTTGAATGTTGCGGCAGGCCCAGTAATGCTTCTCGGCGGAGTTGATTGCATTTGCTTGGTTGTTTGCAAAAGTGAGGGCTTGCTGTGCCCAATGTTCGGATGGAAGAGTGGATGGGTTTGGCCAGGGCGATTCCCAATGCTCAAGTGCGGCCTGAAGGCGGATCTTTTCGGCATGGAAATGGTCATCAGAGCTGGCAAGAAGATGATCGGTATACAGGAGGTCTTCATCATCTTGGTCTGATTCGTCCTCAACTATAGGCGCAGAGTCTGGTGCTTCATCAAAGTGATTGCGCTGAATCTGAAATTTGCGACGCGCATCGATGAGTGCTTTGGCCTTTCTGATGTCTTCGTCGCGTCGTTTGCGAATTCTATCGCGAGAATAGTCCTGGACGGCAAGGTCGTCTTCATCGTCAACATCCATGGGACCATCTAGTTCTCCCAGACAAATGCGCAAGAGATCAAAGCCGTCCTCATTGGGACCTTCGGCCGTGTGAACGGCCATGATGTGTTGGGTTTTCTCCTTGGTGTGAGCAAATGTTGGTGTCAGAGGTGGTGGAATGGACGCGTCTGGTTGCGGTTGCGGGATGTGGCTGATGTTTGGTGGGTTGTGGCTGGCGCGGATGGACTGTGCGCAGACGTCTTGTCCCTTGACTTCCTCTTCATTCACTCTTTCGTGCTTCACTTGTTTTGCGTACCAGTTTCTGCGGTCGCTGGCGTACTTCTCGAGCTCAGACAAAAGCTGCTGTGATGGCTCGTCCATGGTAGTTGGTGGCAAAGTTGCAGGAGACATTGTAGTTGAACGTCTTCCCGGCGGCGAAAGCTCCTTGACTGGCGAAGTTGGCGGCTCCATGAGCTCTGGGACTGGTGAAAGAGCGCGCTGAACGTTGCCGGCTTCTATGGACTTTGTGCTGGATTGAATGTTGGACTCGTCGTCTTGTAACAAAGCTGGATCCATCTCCAACCCGTTTTCTTGCAACCAAGCTGGATAGGTTACCAACTCGTCGTCTTGCAACAAGGCTGGGTCGATCTTATGGTCTTCGTCTTGTAACAAGGCTGGATCAATCTCGTAGTCCTCGGTGGTGGCGGCGGTGGCGGTATCCACAGCTGTGACAGGGCTGAGAATGTTGGCTGAGGTACTGGTATGTCCAGGCTCCCTCGCCAATCGCTGCTGTGCCTTGGAACGGTGTTGAACCATTGCGGCAGCTTGAGCGAACCCAGCAAACCTGCTTCGGAGCAGTTGCGGACTGTCGACATCACTCTCGCTGTCGCTGCTGTCGGCACGAGCAAGCTTGTAACGAGCCACTGGNATTCGGAGAGCGGCTTTCAGAGGACAGTCGGGGGTCCAGAGATGACCAGACAACAGGTCTGGTGGTTGAAGCAGCTTCGTACGCGCCATTGCCAGCAACGGCAGCGTACTCACCACTGACCACAGTCTCGAATGCTTGNNATGGTGACTCGAGCCGACCTGGTACTCCATGTCCTGGTCGGTCTCAATTGATGCCACCATAGACATTCTCGACTCCTGACCCTCCTGGTAGTGACTGGCGGGAGGCAGGGTCATGGCAGGCCCCTGGAACGGTGCCAATTGATCCAGGTTGTTGTCGGCATGCTGGCCGACGGTGACCTCTTCGTCATCTTCATAGTCCGGGAGCTCCTCCTCGGACTCCACGGAGCCGGCACTCTGACTGGCGACAGAGCCCGCATCGAACATACCATGTAGGCCGCTCTGCGGGGANGAGCGGGACCTACGTGCTGCGGTCCCCTTTCTTCTGCTGCGAGAAGGGCTTAGCCAACTGGCCCTGCGAAGGGCAGCTGTATGGTCGCCGATGTCAGTGACCGAAGTCATCTGCCTCCTGGGCGAGGGGGACTGAGCGTCGGTATCCTGGTCCGACGGGTCGAGAGACCGCTTGCCGTGAGTCGGCGAGGTTGCTGAGAAAGAAGGCCTTTGGGTACGAGTAGGCGAACCCAGGGCGGTGGTACTGGTGTTACTGCCAGGCCCGGACGAACGGGACTTCTTGACGGGTCGTGTGAACTCCCACGTCTCGCCGGACTCGGTCAGGAAGGACTCGAGTTTGCGCTTCTCGCGCGGAGGGGATCTGTTGCTGTTGTTGCTGCTGCCGCGAGGCGAGACAGCGTGCGAACGAGAGGCGGAGGAGTGCTCCATCGCGCAACGCTTTCGCTTGCTTAAGGCTACGGCGTGCTTGTTGGAGATACTCGAGAGGGAGACGCAGGGCAAAGGAAGCAGTTGGTAGTGCCTGTTGTCGTTGTCGAGAAAAAATCTGACTGGTTACGGTGCGCTGAGGAAAGGAAGAAAGGTTGGACGGAAAAGTCGAGAATTGCTTTGATAGTGACCAAACGCGACTTTTTACTTTTGGACGTATTGTTTGTCACTTTCACTCGACTTCGTCACTACATATTTCTTCCGCACCGTCTATGGTCGAGTCACGATGTGTCTACGTCGACCTTGTACACCACGTTGGATTGACCTCCTGGATGATGTAGACTGACTCTCCCCCAGTATAGTGCTTTAGTATACCTACTGCCGAGACACAGAGTGCCTACCAACCGATTCAAGGCAGCCATTGTAATGTGTTGTTTGCTGCTCTCTCTGGAAACGCTGCCTGCTGGGTTTACATGCTGCATTTTCATAGGCCCAAGATTCCTTTCAACGGCACTTGAGATACAAGCAGATGGCGTTCTAGATATAAGACTCGAAGGTGGTGAAGGAAGTAGACAGAGATGAAATTGAGTGAATACCTACCTTGCTACAGCAATGGCGATAGATGGACAGGCTCTGAGCCATGAATTATGAGGTAGTCTAGCATCTGTGTCATGGACATGTCCTTGGGCGTCGGGGAGGAAAATGGACACAACGTATAGTGAAATTTGGGGGAAGATTTGAGATTGAGGTTGGCGGCGGGATTTGGAGAGGCAGGGCGGTGGAGCAGTGGAGCAACTGGGCAAAAGCACAACTTTCTCCTGTTTGACGAGGCGCATTCACGAAACACTCTTCTCGCTATTCTCCTAATGCTTCCTGCTCGAACCTCAGACTCCCATCTCAGCTACCGCACTTGCTTGAATTGATATTATATTCCGTCGGCTCGTCGATCCTGTCAGCACAATCAAAGCAGCTGACGTCTCCGACTCGGGCGCCATCAACGCTCATCGGGCGACGAGACACATCTCGCCAACACCCACACCTAACTCTCAATCTCCACGACACTCGACGTCAACCAGAGTCAATCCGCTATCGCAACCCAGACCTGAGCTCGACTATCACTTTGTTCGCCTGCGAGGCTATTTCTTCCCACCACGCTCTCGTCGCTTCGACCAGCCGCCGCTGCCCCTCACTTCCGCAACAACATGGCCGTCTACGGCGCGCGCTACACGCTAGAGCAATTGAAAGCTCTTCGTGAATCGCCTTTAGTGCGCAAGCCAGACGAACTGCCCTCGATCGATGAGTGGATAGAGTAAGCCCCTCCTCTGACCGCTTCCCACCAAGTCATTTTGCTCAACAAAGAAAAGANNGGTACTCAGCAATCGCAACAAGAGAATGCCGGTCGCAAGCCACGCAACCAATCCCAAAGACCCGAAGAACCCGCTCCCATGGGCAACTTCTCGTCACAGAGACCATCATTATTACAGACCAGACACACCTCACGCTCTACCCAGCAGCCCGGTAGGTCAGCCGCTCTGTCCAGACCTGCCAATAGCTTACCTTCACCAGACGAAATCGTACTCGGCCCACCANAAACATCATTCGCATCTTCTCGGAACATCAACAAGCTCGAAGAGCGCGAGCAGGAACAAGAGTCACCAGTCGCCAACCAGCGTTCGCGCTTCTTCCGTGACCGAGAAACCACAAAGACAGGCAACAACAGAGACTGGCGCTCGTCCAAGCAACAGCAAGAAGACGACGATGCTTTAACTTCCGAACCCAGATTCACACCGCGCCAACCGCGCGAGGGCAACGGCAATGGCTTTGGCCAGCGCTTCGACCAACGCTGGGCTCGCGACAATATCGACCGTGACCGTGGTGCTGACCGCGAGCGCGAGCGTGAACGTGAGCGTGAGCGAGAAAGACCTAGCCAGCGCGGCGGATGGCGAGACAAGGCCCGCAATGAGCGCCAGCAGGATGCCCCTGAGAAGGAGCCGGAATGGATGGACGAGCCGCTGGAGAAGGAGAACAAGAACCAGATGCACACGCAGGAGGACTTTGAGCAGTGGAAGGAACGTATGAGGGCTGCTGCCAACGGTTCCGCTACCGAAACCAAGCAAGACGCATTCGCCGACGAGGTCGCCACTCCGGTCAAGTCAACACCGGCACACTCGAAACCACAAACTCCTCTGGTGACAGACGCGCCCGGCTTCGACAAGAGCATCTTCGGATCTTGGGNNGGAGAGAGCAAGAGGCTCGAGAGTCCTGTTGATACACGCACAACCAAGGCGCCGGCCGGAGCAAAGGGAAAGTCCTCTCGCTTCGCATCCATGTTTCAAGCTCCCAAAGAGGAGGCTCGACCTGTTGTCGAAGATGTTGCCAGCCCCGCCCCACTCGAATCGAACGAAGACAAGGCAGGCTTCCTCAGAATCATGGCAGGCCTTAGAAGAGGACAATCTCACTCTGGCGGTGTTGACTCGCCTGTTAGAGAGCAGGATGGAAGAGGTCCTCCTGCTGGTCCGCCACCCGGCTTTGGCATTCAGCCATCATCTCAAGACCCTCTGGCTGCCATGTTAGACAAGACTCCGGCATCTACTCAGTCTCCTCGACCTCAGTCTGGCTTTGCTTCCGACTCTTTCCTGCCACCTCCCTCTCAGTTCAGCCGTCCCACTAGTAATGTCGCCTCCCCTGATCCGTCATCTATGAGAGCGAACAACTCCGTGTCGCACCTACCTCAGCAGATGCAGAACATCTTCCTCGACCAAGCTCCTCGTAATGGTCCGACGCCCGAGAACTTCAACCAACAGCATTCGCGCAAGCCAAACTCTTTGAACAAGGACTCCGAGTTCTTGCTCAACCTCATCCAAGCTAAGAACGCCAACAGAGCTGCTCCTCCCGCTCGTAACCAGCATGAGCCCGAGCCCTTCCAGCTCTTCCTCGACCAACCACCGAAGTCTCAACCACAGACCATCGCTCCCAAACCGCAAGCTCCTCGTCCTACTGAGTCGATTGAGGAGCAGTTGTTCCGTGGCAATCAACACATGGATCAGGGCCGTCCTCGTGCTCNNCCCCCTGGCTTTATTGAAGATCCTTCCATTGTTTTGCAGCAAGCCCAACGCAGCTATCCCAACGGTCCTCTTCAGCCGCGCCGCCAGAGCACTGCTCAGCAGATGCCGAATGCTGGTCCTGGTGCTCCTCAGGACTTTCCTCCCAATTTCCCATATATGACTGGTGGTCCTCCACCTCCTGGTCCCGGCGATCGCCTACCTCCTGGCTTCAACCCTAACATGCGCCACCCTCCTGGCTTCGCCAACATGCCCGGCGTTTTCCAGCAGCCTAGTTCGCAGCCTCCTCCACAGCAGGGTGCAGGTATGCAAGGTCCTCCTCCCGGCTTCCCTTCTGGTATGGGCTTGCCACCTCCTGGATTCGGAGCTCACGGCCCGCCCCCGCCTGGCTTCTTTAACAACCCCAACCACATTCCCGGCGTTCCTCCCGGGTTTGCTCCTCCGGGCATGATGATGATGCCCGGGGCTAACGTAAGGAGCCCTGATGGCACACCTGGCATGAGAAGTCCTCAAGAAGGCCCTGGTATGGGCATGCCAATGCTGCAAGGCATGGGTGCTGCTTACGGTGGTAGACGCTAGGAACCGTCTCCGACAGCTTCAGGTACCTCGAGGGTACGTCACCATTCACCATTCATGGTCGGTTTTGAATGGTTAAGAGGCTTGATGAAGGAGAGTGCCAATGACTAGGAAAAGACAAAACCAAAGGATAACTCTTCGGTTTGGTGTCGAGATAAACATGAATAAGATCAAGGGCACCCTGGCCTTACTTGCTATCCTTCAAACTTACATTCTTGTGTACGCGCCTACTGAAAATTGTCACCTCATTGTGTAAATTGTCCGTCTTGGTATCTTTTGCTTTTGTTGCTTCGTAGTCCAGACTTGAAGCCGGTGCATGATTATTGTACAAGGTAGAGCGTGTCTTGAATTTCGTGATTGGGATTGCTTCAAATAGGCATAACACCACGACTACACAACGGATAGGTACTAAGCTGGGGTGAACTATACATCAAATGTTCTGAAAGGCTCTCATAAGCCATCAAGAATAAAACGAGTGATATGGTCAGGTTAATGAGAGGAAAACATGCTTCGATAGTTGTATGCGGTGCGACCCTGGCTGATGTATGCCAAGCTCGGCGAAGAAGGGCTAAAGTCCGAGGCTGTTTTTCCTAGCCAGAAAAAAGTCACCTCTTACCGATCCTCTTGCGACCATTTGAATATTTCAACTACCAATAACATACAGAACTCGATACTTCCAGCCCGGTCGCGAATAGTAAATACTTGTACTGGATTGATAATCGCATCCTCAAAACGCCAATATGCCAGCTCAAGGCAAAGCAAAGGGCAGTCGCCGCAGTGATGGCGCTTCCTCTTCTGCTGCAGCGAGTACGTTTGATATACCAAGAAGAATGAGAGTCAGAAACTGATACGCGTATCAGGCGNACCCTCGTTTCGCATCCATGACCACAGATCCCCGCTTCCGCCTCCCCTCGGCACGACACAGCAAAGTAGGCGTCGACAAGCGCTTCACCCGCATGTTCAAGGACGACGACTTTTCCAAANAAGCCACTGTCGACAAGTACGGTCGCAAGGTTGCCAAGGGTAATGCAAAGAAAGAGTTGGAACGCTTCTACAAGATTGAAGATGGAGATGAGGAAGATGAGGATGAAGAGTCAGAGGAAGAGATGGGCAAGGCACAGAAGGTCAAGGCCAAGAAGAGCAAGAAGCCAAGCAGAGATGTTGTGGGAAGTGATGAGGAGAGTGAAGAGGAGGTTGTTGCTGATGATGATGAGATTGAAGCTGAGCTCAAGAGGTTGGATGGCAGAGTCAGGGATCCGGCGAGAGAGGGTGGTTTCTCGTCATCTGAGGATGATAGCAGCTCTGAGGAGGACAGCGAAGAGGAGGAAGAGATTGAGGAGGATGCAGTCGAGTTCCCTAACGAGGGAGCTGCTGATGTGCCTCTTGGTGACGTCTCGTCTCGTCTGGCTGTCGTCAATCTCGACTGGGACAACATTCGCGCAGAGGATCTTATGGCTGTTGCGCAAAGTTTCGCCTCTACTGGTCGCGTCTCCAGGGTTGTCGTGTACCCCAGCGAGTTTGGCAAGCAGCGTATGGAGAAGGAAGAGCTCGAAGGCCCACCTAGAGACATTTTCGCCAGCGCCACAAAGGAAGTCGACGAAGACGAAGATACCGACGACGAGGAAGAGAGAATCAAGAAGGAGCTGCTGAAAGGAGACACAGGCGAAGAGTTTGACTCTGCAAAGCTGCGTCAATACCAACTGGACCGCCTAAAGTACTACTACGCCGTCATCACCTGCGACTCCAAGGAAACCGCCAAATCCCTCTACGACGGCATGGACGGCCGCGAATACCTCTCCACAGCAAACTTCTTTGATCTACGATTCATCCCCGACAATGTCGATTTTGACACCGATACCCCTCGCGACGAGTGCACAAAGATACCCTCGGGCTACAAGCCCAACGAATTTGTCACCGATGCCCTCACCCACAGCAAAGTCCGCCTGACCTGGGACGCCGACGACACAACAAGAAAAGAAGTCCAAAAACGTGCCTTTTCACGCGCCGAAATTGACGAAAACGACCTACAAGCCTACATCGGCAGCGACAGCAGCGACGACGAAGAAAACGACACCGGTCTAACAAAAGCAGAACAGCAAAGACAAAAGATGCGCGCTGCATTGGGTCTATCCTCTGAGGCCGCAAAGACGAAATCCAAAGACGATGGTCCAGTGGGAGACATGCAAATCACCTTTACATCCGGCCTCTCCAACGCCGCCGCATCAAAGACCAACGGAGTCTTTGAGAACGAACCCATCATCGAAGAAACCACACGCNGAGAAATACATCCGCAAGGAAAAAGAACGCAAAGCCCGCCGCAAGGAAAAGATGAAGGCAGCCCGTAATGGCGAGACCGTAGAAGCCTCCGACGACGACGACGCAATCGTAGAAAAGAAGCCTGCTGCAAAGGAGTCTGCAGCACCGGCACCCCAGCAGACGAAGAAGACCCCTTCAACGACCCCTTCTTCAACGACACCGCCACAGCCCAAAAAGCAGAAAAACTCGCCCGCAAAGCCGACCGCCAGAAAAAGCGCGAGGCCCGCGAAGCAGCAGACGCCGCTACCGCCGCCAAACGCGCAGAACTCGAACTCTTGATGGTAGACGAAAACACCACCTCGGAAAATATCCGCCACTTCAACATGAACGAAATCGCCAAAGCCGAAAAGACACTCAAGAAGAAAAGCAAGAACAACAAAAAGGCAAAGGATGCGGCGGAAGTGTTGCAACAAGATGATTTCAGTATGGAAACGCAAGATCCTAGATTTGCCAAGTTGTTTGAGAGTCATGAGTTTGCTATTGATCCGACGAATCCGAGGTTCAAGGGCACGCAGGGTATGAAGGCTTTGCTGGAAGAGGGTAGGAGGAAGAGAAAGGGCAGGAGCGATGAGGATGGCGAGAGAGCTGATGCACCACCGGTGGAAAAGAGGGAGAAGAAGGCAAAGACGTCGGCTTCCTCTGGTGGTGAAGATTTGAACTCGTTGCTTGCGAGAGTCAAGGCAAAGACAAAGACTAGATAGATAGAGATGATGAGTGATTGCAAGCATGAAATACCTAGCATAGCATTTGTCGGGTTTATGTAAGCCCTCTGAGAACGAAAAGATCACAAACCACTTCTGCCCCTGAATGATCAACTCAGCATCTTGGACTCAATACGTTTGACCCTAATGGTTCTACGGAGCAAAAATACAACTAGACCAGTACTGTTGTCTCTTGTCCTCACCGTCCTGAGCGAATAAGAGTACTTTGCAATCGTAGGCACCCTACCAAAGACTCATTGTATGCCTTATTTGCGAAGATGATGATCAGGCATGTGTCGAAGACAACTGCCCGCAGAAGCCTACATGTTCTACCTGCCCAAGCATCTGACTGTCAAGCACCCACTGCGGTTGTCGGTGACCCACAAGCATCACCGCTCACTGGTTGGCCCGAGGAGCCCTCCAAGCACCAGCTGCATCTATGTCTCAGGCTCCAAACCATCTCTGCAGAGGCACTCTCTCTCCAATTGCAACTTCTCATATACGTTCAATTGTCGAGCTGCACGGTATGATTGAAAGAGAGCGCAACATTTAGAAGCCACCATTTCAATGGCCTTCTGCAAGGATGGCTCTGGTATAGAAACGATTCTGCAGCTCTGCAGCTCACATGTCGTTTTGTATCAAGACTGGAAGGAACTGACTTGCTTGAATATCAGTTTTGTTTTGATTGATTTGGAAAGCGATGCCTCTTCTACTTTCATATGAGGCCAGCAGAAAGCTCACGATCTAGCCTAGATCTAGAAGCATCAGGAAAAGGTTGGAAAGAGAACAGAAAAAGACATGGAAACGCCTCGCTATGCCGTCTTAATAGCCATGAGATACCGTGTAAACGCCACCTCTTTTGTAAATCGTGAAGTACTCGTATAGCTTAAACGCGAAGAATAGAAGCCTTGCTCTCGATGCCGTCAAAGATGCATGTGTTGTCGATGGGCACGTATTGCTTCGTGATCACCTTGATGACCTCCTGGGCTACCATGCCACCGGTCAAGGAACCAATATTGTGAAGTTCGGAAGCACCGGCACGAACACTGAACAATGGTTAATAATGCTCGAAGCTACAAGGTGGAAAGAAGACTTACAGCTCGCGCACAATGTTGGCGCACTTTGTCTTGAGCTCATCGTATCCGGGATTCTCGATGAATGTGCCAGCCTCCTTGATCAGAGCATCGATGATATTCGAAGCAATGCCGACCATCTTCTCGGCATCAGTATCAATATCAACATCATTTGAGCCAGGGACTCTAGGCTCGCCACCGAGTGCGTCGACATTGTGACTTCCGACAAAGGTGTCCCAAGCGACAAAGGCAATGTAGTGCAAGATGCCGCTGTCCAGACCAAAGGTCAAGTTGTTGAGGTGTTCGACAGCAGTTTTGGCAACATCCTCACCCCAGTGAAGAGGGGCATTACCACGTGCAATGCGAAGAGGCTTTCCTCGGACGAGCTTGATGTGAGCAGCACCCTTGCAGAAAGCCTCGACTTCCTTCTCGTCGATGGGATCTTTGCGACCAAGGGCAGCCTCGAGGGAGCGGACAGTTTGCAGGACCTCGGCAGCATCCTTGCGAGCTTTGGACTTGTAGATGTTCTGCAGTTGAATGTAGTCGGCACTTCTGGCCTTCATGTCTGGCACAGCGCCAGGAAGAGGGAGCTGGTCATGCGTAGAGTAGAAGGTGCGAACGGCATTGGCGATATACCAGAAGGCGGAGGAGGTAGGTTCAAGAGATTTTGTTTCGGGAGCGTCGAGAACAGCGAGGACAGAGCCAGGAGCGGTAGGTGGATTGAGTGACTTTATGATGGCGGCAGTAGCTTCAGAGAAGTTCTCTTCGTCGGGTGGAGAGGCTTTCGCGACCATTTTGCGGAAGTCGGTCTTTTCCTGGTAGGATTGGGGTGGTTGGCCATCGTGAGATGCACGCCACTCATCGAGGAAGTGCAACAAGAGCAAAAGGTATGGGACATGGCCTATATCCTCGGGNGACAATGCTTGAAGATGGCTGGTCTTCTCTTTCTGGAAATGGACGAGTTCTGGCCATGGAGCGAGCAGGCGCAAGTCGGTTGTTGAAGCAGGATCGGGGTGGGTATCGACGATGGGGAAGGCTGGTGGTAGCGAGAGGGAGAAGTGCGAGTAGAAGCCAGAGCAGTGAATGTAGAACAGAGGTACGGCGTGGGTCTGGCAATGGGTTGAGATGACTTGGAGGACGTCTGGCGTGATGGGAGCGGTGACGAGGACGAGAGTGTAGGGGTTGAGAACACCCTCTTTGGCGAAGAAGGTCTCAAGTGGCTCGGTGATGGCATGGCCTTCAACATCGGGGTTCAGCTCTTGCAGCAGACGACGGCTCGATTCGGCGCGGAAGGATCCCAAGGTGGATTCATCGAGGAAGAAGTTGAGGCCCAGGTCTTGGTCGGACACGAGGGTAGAGTCTAGTATGGTGAAGTGTCCAATGCCAGGCAGGATCAGGTTCTTGAGCGTCTCGACACCGACGACACCGGGGCCGTTGTTGATGAGCAGAATGTGGGCTTCTTCCAGGGCAGCTTGTCCGCTGGCAGCCCAGAGACGGAGCTGTCTGTCGTATCTCTTCTCCTTGGACGTGGGCACTCCCACAAGAGGAGGCGGTGTTGCCTCTGCATTGGCCGCCATGATAGATTGGTGCGCGGATTGATGGATTGGATTGAACGCAAGGTCCAGATCAGGAAGCCACGGCGTGGTATCGGCGTTTGGTCGATGACGTTGAAGAAATGGCGGGGCACACGGCGGTGGAAGCGATGCCGGACGGCGGTTTGCAGGCGCCGGCAGACTTCCAAAGGACCCCGCTACCATCAATTCCCCTGCGGCTAATATCGCCTTTTTGGTTATCACCACTCGAAGCTATTTATCCAACCATCCGCTGTGCATGTTTGGTGGTAAGTTGTTCTTCGCATTGTGTCACTGTGACTGAAGCCTCGATTGCTCATACCGCCCAGCTTCGTCCCAACAAACATTTGTCCGTCTACTGTCCAAGTCTCGCTCGACCTTCACCCTTCGCTCTCTCCGCCCTCTGTCCCGCCGACACCAATTCTCCCGCAACATGTCTGTCACCACCGGAGCTCTTGGTTCAACGGCAGCTGCTGCCGTCGACATGATCGAGCAGGCCAAGCGCAAGGCCGCTTACCGCGCCGTCGCCGACCACTTCAACCCCGAGATGCAGTTTGTCGGAATTGGTTCCGGAAGCACAATCATCTACGGTGTCGAGGCCATCAAGGACTGCTTGACCAAGAACCCTCCCAAGAACGGTCGCTACATCTTCTTCGTCCCTACCGGTTTCCAGTCGAGAAAGGTCATTGAGCAGGCTGGCCTGATGCCCATGGGTTTCGACAGCTTGCCCGAGAACGTCATGCTGGATGTTGCCTTTGACGGTGCCGACGAGGTCGACGACGACTTGAACTGCATCAAAGGTGGTGGTGCTTGTTTGTTCCAGGAAAAGCTGGTCGCAACCCGCGCAAAGAAGTTTGTCTGCATTGCTGGTATTACACCCTGAAGCCCTTCTCTGCCTCATCAAGTGCTGATGCCCCATCCCANNGATTACCGCAAGAACCAGACCCGCCTCGTCACAAAGTGGCCCTCAATACCCATCGAAGTCGCTCCCATCGCTCATGCCACCGTCATGCGCCAGCTCAAGCTTATTGGTTCCATCGACCCTGTGCTCCGTGAGCACACTCTTGCAAAGACCGGTCCTGTCCAGACCGACCAAGGTTTCTACATCATTGACGCCCCCTTCAAGCCTCTTCTTACACAGGACGACATCAAGAACGGCCAGGACGGCTCTGGCAAGGATGGTCAGTGGGAAGTCACTGCTCTTGCTCACAAGATCAAGTCCATTTCCGGTGTCCTCGAGGTTGGTCTCTTCTTCGGCCCCAACGGTTACGAGGTCCAGGCTGCTGGCGGCCAGGGCGGTCAGAAGCCTGTCGCTGCTTACTTCGGTAACGAGGACGGTTCTGTCAGTGTCAAGGAGGCACACCCTCCTAAATAAGGTGGTGCTGTTCTCTTCGTTAATTCCTCATGTCATACGTGCCATCTGCTCATCATGTTCATGCCAAAAGATACCAAAGTACATCGGTAGTATCCCTTCATGGATACTGCATTTCCTTTGCTCCTTGCCTCAGTTTCCTGTTCTCTGCTCGTATATCATGTCATGTGCTCAAACACGTTACTCACTTGGTTTGATCACTCGACTATTTCGGCAGCTCTTGTGACAACCAGGCTACCTCCACAACCAGACATGTCCATGGCCGAGTCATGCCGTTGTGCAGTCTGTCATGAGATGGCGATCCAGGCATGGCTAGGGCGAGTCTTGAGTGGTTGCAATCAGGCTACCAACAGAGATGTCAATGGAGGCAGATGTGAATCGTCTCAGCAAGGCCAGTGAAGTACGATATCAGACATCAAACGTGAAGGCCATCATTGCACTGTCTCTATACTAAAACCAAGCTGCTATGAATACAATCAAATCCCCAATGGTCTGGTGGCTAGCATCACCTCACCGTCGCTTTACCAAGCTAACCGAGTTCGGCAGTCACTTTGTAAACAACGACTCGTCCACCAATCACCAGCCATCAACACCAACTTGCTCGAGTTCGAGCCTCTGCGTCAGCCAAAACTTTCACCAGCCACTCAGCAACAATACATGGTCTCTCGATAGACGCGTCCCTGTGAAAAGGTGGTCAGGTCACTGTCAGAGGCTGGGCGAGAAGAGAGGAGCAGAGGAGGAAGGAGCAGAGGATGAAGAGAGAAAGTAAGTGTTCCTCTGAGCCACCAGACCTGTGATTTCGTTTTTGCTCCTGTGGTGTAGGGGTTTGTGGTTCTGTCACGGTGCACACTTGAGTGTCTATATGCTGACAAGGCGCAGGCACCACAGAGAAAGCCAGATACGCATCATCTCTGCTCTGCTGTTACAAGACTTGGTCACAAGATGGCCATTATAACACATTCTCTGCTCTGTCGATCGAAAGACCTGGGCAGGATTTTCATTGCTGCGTACCTCTCTGTGTGCAGAGGTTTCTGATACATGCATCGTCAAAAATGTACAATCGTCTGCGAAGTCGAGACAGTTACAGAGATGGCTGAACTTTTGATGGTTCTCGATAGACATCATGTTGTTTTCCGAAAGTGTTGTGTGATCCATAAGCTCATAACTTGAGTAGTCGCAGCCCCTGGATTTGAAGCGTCACATGCAAGATTGAGCTCTGTCTCGAGGCAGTCGCGACTTCCCAATTTGAGAACATGTTCTGTTTCCCCGACGCCTCGACCTCTGACCTTCGACCCAATTCTTCCATCAAGCTACCTCTCTCTTTACCATATAATTCATCTCCGATCATCACAATGTCGAAGCGCCCTCTTAACAACAATAATCCTACCGACGTCCCAGCCTTCAAAAAGCCCCGCCTCGACATCGACCACACTACGGCCGAACTCAAGACCATGGATATCCAGTTAGTCGACTCACTAAGGGCTTCGATGGCTACGACTCAGTGGGGTGACGAGAACTGCCGCAACGACACAATGGCAAACATCACGAAGGCCCAGTGCATGATCCTTGCTTGCAGCGACCTCGAGCACGGCTCCAAGGAGTAAGTCATGGAGTCGCATCATCATATTCTCAGCGATTTATCACGTATAGGGCCTCTGCTACAGTCGACAAGCTGATCGATGCACTTATCGACAGCGAGATTCGTCATGTGAGCGTAGCGCTCAGAACCTACGCTACGGCTGACGAGGCGCGCTGTGAGTCAAAGACCATATTCGTGGAGGGAATCTTGAAGTGCGACTGCAGTATCACGCAGCTTGCGAAGCTGTGCGTCAAGGAGAAGCTACAAGGCCTACCAGTGGATGCAATCATCGACAGGATCGAGAAGGAGACGAAGCTTGCATATGCATCGGTCACACAGAAGAAGTTCTTCGAGGTTCTTGAGGGCGCACTCGGGGTGAAGAGAGTGGAAGGAACCAATTGCTTGCCATCGAAACCAGGGGGATAGATGGGTCCGAGGCCCTCGATATTGCTTCGCTTTCTGCGAGTCCGGAACAAGATGCTTCCTTCACTGCAGACATGTATTCCTCTTCTTGCATGATAAGTGAGAGCAAATTCTATTGAGCGGATTCTGGTCTTTTCTTCACTCATCGCTTCCTTTGTGTGATCGACCTTCAAAGTTGTGCTCTCACTTGGCTCTGCGCCTATCTGCTCAACAACACAAACGCAACACGCTCTCAGCGTCACTTCTCCTCTTTGTAAAGGCCTTCATCTTCCGCCTCTCTTCGCGTCTCCGCACACCACTCCAACTACATCACAAGCCACTCGACTATAACCTCTTCAATCCCATCAACAACAATGCCACCCAAGGGATCGAAGCGCACCGAAGCCGGCACTCCTGCCGAGTCTTCTCCCATCGAGGGCAACAAGAAACCACGCCTCGACCTCGAAGAACAGATCAAGCGTGCTAGTACTCTTGCTGCACAGCTTCGTGATGGTGTCAAGGATGGCTCCGATACCAAGACCTCTACTGCCAACCAGATCGCCACCGAGGAGCTCATGCGTATCTTTGAGATCATGCAGGAGAAGACTGTCGAGTGAGTTTTGGAAAATCTTTCTCCGCTATTTGTCTTCTGACATTTGACACAGCNNACTTCCAAGTCTGTCGAAGATCTTGTCGCAGCTCAAGTCAAACTTGAAGTTAGGAACACAATGAGTCTGCTTTACAACAAGGTCGCCACACCCAAGACTTCAGTANACTCCATGATTATGAGCATCCTAAAGCCGCACAACACCACTCAAAAAGAGCACGTTATCAAGAGAGTTCAGGAGAAGATGGAAGGTATCACTTCTGGAGACTATGTTGCCGTCATCAAGGAAACCATCAAGTCAATCTTGATCGCGGAGTAAAAGGAAGGCACTGGTGCTGAGCTTACTTCCGTCCTGAACACTCGTCCATAGTCTACTTCAGTATTCGAACAGAATGAAATGGAAGGATTTGCTGCCCGGGTGGCTCTACTCGATCAAACGCCTCCGTAAGAAAACACCACTGTCGCATGGCTCATAGTCACTTCACTCGAGATAACAAGAGTGATACAGACAGTTCAAACACCGTTACGTATACTTTAAACATGTTTCTGTGTCCATATGTGCTTTTTTTCAGTGTCTGCTAACAGGAAGACACGCTATTTTCAGCTTCTGGTGAGACCTGAAGTTGTCCAGAGGTGCAATATCGCTCTCTCTTCTCGCCTGTCTGTTTGTTCGATTGAATGATGCTTCCTCTAACATTGGTATATCTATATTCACTCACTTCTGTTTCTCGTCCAAAGTAGACCAACGACTCACATGACGATCTTCAGATCATCTTGACTCTGATACTAAAGATGTCCAAACCTGATCCAGCGAATAGTCCTACGCCCATCAAAGACAGCAAGCAGTAATGTCTCAATCTTCAGGAGCAAATTCAGCGCGCTGTTGTCCTAGCCACACAGCTGTGTCGCGAAACGTAGAGCCCCAAAGACAGATCTTTCAATATCATGTTTCCTTCATTGCAAGCCCAAGATCGATATTCGAGACAACGAGTATCGAAAGTTTCTGATTAAAAGGATCAAAGTACAGAAGGTAGACGACGACAACCACAAAATCTCGAAATCGTCCACTAATGTGCAGAAAAGGAATAGGAAACCGTCGCGTCTGGTTACCATGTTGGCAAGATCAAAGGAGTTGATTACATCAGGGAAGAGCGATTCTTCAAAACGCAGCTCAACGATTGGGAAGGCGTGACAACTCAACGCAAGGGAAGGCTTAATGGGCAAGAGCGTATGGGCATTATATCAGGCGAGGGATTGAATTGAATCAGGCAAGCACATAAAAGACAAGAAAAAGCGACATGAACACTCGGAAACCATCGAACAAAACAAAGGCAAAGTCGAAGAAATGGATTCGAGACTACTTGTAGAAAAGATACAGTACATAGAAAAGCAGAACAGAAAGACAAAAAAGATACCGCTCGCCTGCTATAGGGTAATTTGGAACACAAATAAACACAAAGAAGACAAATCTCCATCATCAAGAAGCAAAAGAAAAGGTGCAACTACAAAAGAAAAGGGCGAAAATTTTGAACCAGCCACAAAGACTGAGACATCGAAGAAGACCAGGCAAAAGAGACGTCTAACAACTCTTACTGCTTAGTTGACAGCACGCATGTTGAAACGATGCTCAAGGCCTTGAGTCGAATACTTTGCGTTAACGGGCTCTTCGTCTTCAGCAGCAGAGTTGGCGCCAAACTCGTCCACAACGCCAGAGTCACCAGACTCTGCGCTCACAATCTTGGTGGGCAGCTCAGGGATGTCTCCTGTCAGAGTGCTGCGCCAGTGACTTTGGACACTTCCTCTGTCGGGTGTCGCTATTGTGGAAGATGAGATCATGCTCATGGATGTGCTACTGCGGTTCATCGTACCCATACTGTGGCTGTGAATAAGATCCGGTGTGGGTGGGATGCTGCTGCGGACCGTGTGGCTTCGTGCATCGTGCAGGCTGTAGTTTGAGGCAGCGGAGCTTTCAGATCTGTCATCATACTCGCGCTCTGAGGGAGCGTCGCTGAGTGAGGCGCGTGTCATGATGCGACCCTTGCTACGGCGCTTCAGGTTGCCGCCGTGCTCGGAAGATGCAAGACTGGCATCGTCGTCGTTCACGTTGCGACCGCTAGCAACAGACTCGGTGCGTTGGGCCATGTTGAGACCTTCGACGGCGGCGGCACACTGCTCGCTAATGTTGCGAATGATGAAAGCGATAGCGTCAGTCTTCTCGCGCAATTGGCGGTCTGCTACATCGGTCATGCTGAGGGAACTCAGACGGCGACGGGCGTCGGCATTGCGACGGAGTGCTTCGGCCGCAGCATCCTCGCCACGAGCTGACAAGCGAGTGCTGCTACGTGATGATGCGCGCGAGGTATGGGCGCTAAATGAATCTCCGGTGAGAGAGGTACCAGGGGCAGGCGATGCGGGAAGGGCAGTGGCCGCAGCCTCGTCCTCTTCATCGGGCAACTCGATGGTTCGCACAATGTGCTCCATGTGGTGAGCCTGACCGTCAATTAGAGCACGCAAATGAAGTACAACACGCTGTGCCTCATCGCGTTGGCGGAGCACGGCAGAGTTGGTCTGTTGCAAAGACACGATTTCTTGCTTGTTACGCTTGCGTTCGCGTTCGAGTTCCTCGGCGATTTCTTGTTGCAAGACAAGAGCTTCCAAGGCATCGTCTCTTTGCTTTTCCGTACCGCTGAGTCTAGGTGTAAGCCGGGCGATCTCGTCCTTGGCCTGATCGGCGATCTGAGCAATTCTTCTGTTCTCGCGCTTGTGACCCTCAATCTTGACCTTGAGTTCTTGTGTCTCCTTAGTGAGTGTCTCAGCGAAAGACTGGAACTTGAGGAATTGCTGCTTCCAGGAGTCGAGTTCAGCATCAAGAATGTTGTTACGCTTGGTGACTTTAACAACTTCGGTGTCCATGCGGCCCTTGAGGTTGATGAAATCTTGCCATGCCTCGTTTGCATCGCGGGAGTATTGGTTGCGTTCGCGGATGATTTCGTTGAGATGACGCATTGACACCTTGGTCATCAGAGGCTTCTTCTGGGAACCGCCAAAGACAGCCTTCAAGCCAGTGTTGCGCCCCAGCTTCTCACAGACATGGTCCATGACAGACATGACTGCGTCTTGATTCCACCAACCAGGGTCCTGGACGCTCTCGACTTCTCCTCGCATAACAATGATTTGACCAGCGGGAATCAACTTACCGCCTCCATAAGCCGAACGAAGATGTTGAGGAACGCCCGAAGGAGCGACATCGCCGTTCAGAGCCTGGGTAAGACGGTTGACCATTTTCGTTCTTTGACCTCCAGTCAGAATATCCGGAGGGCTTGAGGTCAAGACAAAGTTACGATCCAGGTCGACGACCAAGGCGTCGTTAGGAGCGGTGAAGAGAGTGCGGCATTCAGCGGTGATACCCATGATATACGGACCAGGTTCCTGAACAAGGTCTCTAGCATGGCGAGCGTGTACAATAGGAACATACAAGCCGCTCCATTCGTAGACGCGAACCAGGTAACGGATAGTCTCGGCAGCCATGGTCAGCATAGCAGGATAATGACTGACAAAGATGATTCTCCTGGTCGGCGAGATGGCGGCTTCGACAACGCCGACGATGTTGGGAATAGACAGACAAGAAAACAGAGGCCACATGGCAAAGTTTTGGAAGCCAGTGGGCGAAGGAGGGAACTGATAGCAGAGAGCGTAGTCCTTCATGTCGATGCGGACGAGGTCGTTGAGTCTGGGAGCAGGGAAGCTAAGAATACGAGAAACTTCCTCGGCGTGGAAGAGGTTGGTGGCTTTGTTCCAGTGGATCCACATGCCACGGAGGTAGTCGCCGAGGAGGTTGTAAAGAGGGTATCTAGAAAGAAAACTCAAGCAGTAGGGGATCCAGTATGTCTCGCCAGGGCTGTCGTAGTAGTCGGTCTCGGTACGCTTTCTCAACTCGCGAATCGTCTCGGCGCGCTTCTCATCTGCGCGAGACCAGACGCGAAGAGTGATACCGTAGAGGGTGTGGGAGGAGTCTTGCTGGAGGACGAATGCATGGTGGACACAGTGAGGCTGCATGGCGCCAGTGCAGATTTCAACGTCGTGAGGGAAACATGCCNNTGGACAGGGTCAGTGTGTTGTTTGGGTATGCATTATTGGAGAGCGTACCCTCATGGCAGCATGAAGAGCGCGGGCAATGTCGTTGTCCTGGTCCAACCTCGGGCTGCTTCCTAGAATTTCTGGGAGCCAGAACTGGTTGACGGCGCCCTTCATGTGTCCGATCTTTCCCTGTGGAGGTGGTGGAGCCCTGCCCCATTGCGAGGGCTCACGGCCGACACCACATACCATGTAGGCATGGGTGAGAGTCTTTGGTGTACGCTGGCCATTGCGCGGCTGCGTTAGTTGCGATGCCAGGGGCTGTGTGATGCGTGAGTGGAGCGACGACGTGCGGTCCGGGATGACGAGGTCGTCGTCGGCTCGACTGGCAGGCCGCGACTCTGCGCGCGACGAGCGTGGGCGTGATGTGAAGCTTGGAGGCATATTGTCGTTGTCGTCGTTGAAGCTTATGGATACGACCCCACGTTGCAATCGCCGGGTTTCAGAGACCCTTTTTCTGGCTCAACCGTCGGATTCGGTACCTAAGGTCAAAGTCGCTGGCACGTCCGGCGTCCAGGCGTACGAGAGGCAAGAGCTGGTGTGCTGGGCAAGAGCGAGAGACAGGAAGCAGCAAGCAGGCTGGACAGTGCTGGGAAGGAGCGTCGGGCAGGAGGAAAAGAGAAAGTGGTGCAAGGAGAAGATTCAAAGCGAAGATCAATTCATCGCCAGCCGAAGACCGTACACAACAGCGTCGACTCCGTCACCCGCTAACCTACAATCGCTCAGTCATGGCCTGTTGTAGCGCGCCACTTTGCCTGTAGCAGCGCAGTCCGATGGGGGGAGCGGGATCGACGACAGTGCATAAACCACACTGGAGAAGTGCACGGTCGCCATCTCAACTTTACACGCCCTCGCCGAATCAGCGCCCTCCATTCCTGCGCCTCGTCGAGATGCTGTGGACCTTGAACTCGCCCTAACTCTGCAACCCCGGCCATGCACCGCTCACCATTTTCCGACCCTTCTCATCTCTCAGGCCTACACAACAAGGCCTCCTCTGACCATCAGAACGCTGCTTGTCCAATCTCCAGAGCACGCTGCCCGCCTTCGCTTGTGTTTCGCGACAATCAATTTTCATTCATTTGGCCGGGTGATGTTCATTACTACTCCCAAATCAGCAAACCACCATATCCCTGTTATATCACGAAATAGCCTTGAACTGCCCTGTCTCGTACCTTCTAGAATTGCCGCAGCCGGCATCCCTGTCAGATTCAATAAAGGTTGCTCTCGCTGTCTCGCAGCAATCCTACCACACTGTCAACCACGCATCCTTGTGCTGCTTCGAAACTCGGTCGTGAGCTCATCGAGCAGACGTGCAACCATCTATCATGATCTGTGCCATGCGTGCAACAGTGCGTGCATCTATCCGCTGCACCTTGCACGTTGTTGTTGCCGTCGTCCCTCGATATTAAATACTGCAACTCAATTTGTTCTCTTCGCGTCGAGATCCAAGCCCTCAAGCCATCATGTTCCCAACAGCTGGACTCCAGTCGGCCTTGCCGAACCTCCGAGGTCGGCTGCCGACGCATCTGATAAGAAAAATCTGATAATCTCTCTCACCAAAAAGCCATCACCCGCAGCAGCACCAACATGTCGTTAAAGTCAAGACTTTCACAATACAAATACTTCAATGTGTCTTTTCCAGATGAGCGCATTATCCAAGTCACACTGAACAGGCCTGACAAGCTCAACTGCGTCGATCAAGCCACGAGCAAAGAAATTGCCGAGATTTGGGAGTTGTTCGATCAGGATGAGAGCTTATGGGTCGGTATCATCACAGGGAATGGTAGAGCTTTCTGTACTGGTGCAGATCTTGGAGGTAGGCTTGACAGCATCATTGCCCTGTCCTACCCACCGCTGACTCGGCACCAGNAATGGAACGAAATGAACAGACGCGGCATTATCAATGACATGTCAGCACCAGGCCTCGCTGGCCTGCCACGTAGAGCAGGAAAGAAACCGATCATCGCTGCTGTCAACGGTATTACAATGGGCGGAGGCTTCGAGATGGTCGCAAACTGCGATCTTGTAGTTGCCGCCTCCTCGGCCATCTTCTCGCTGCCAGAGGTGAAAAGAGGCATCGTACCGGTCGCAGGTTGTTTGCCTCGCTTGACGCAAACCTTGGGTCTACAACGCACCACCGACCTTGTGCTCACAGGCAGAAACGTAACAGCCAAAACGCTTTATGACTGGGGTCTTGTCACGGAATTGGTCGACACTGCCGAGGAGGTCATGCAAGCCGCCATCAAGACGGCCCAACTCATGTGCAAAAACAGTCCTGACGCGTTGGTTGTTGGTCGCTTGGGCATCAGGCTGAGCTGGGAAGCTGGTAGTGTCGAGGATGCTGTTACCACACTTGCCAACGATTGGTACCCACGTCTCGTCCAAGGCGAGAATTTCAAGGAGGGCATCAAGGCATTTGCAGAGAAGCGCTCACCAGTCTGGGTGAGCTCAAAGCTGTAGACGTGAGCCACGAGATCCGATGCAAAAACAAGAAGATTGATAGAAACCAGGATGGATTAGATGGTCACGTTAGAAAGATACAACACAGGCCCTACGTTGAGAAGAGTGTTGACAACATGTTTGCTGCATTCAAGCTCTCTGCAGAATGGTGATGTGATCAACCGGCTCTCCACCTTTTGGTGTTGCTCAACTCGCTTCCTTCTCGGTTCTTGCCGATCTTGGTTCAACGCGAACTCGAGCCGCTTGTTTCGAGTCGTTCAGGCGTCAAACCTCGACCAAATTCTGAACTTTTGATCCACACGCAAAGGACACAAGATGAGCTCTTCTGTTCTCTGCTCCGCCGCACTAGCCCTATGATCATTCTCACGTGGCATTGCACGATAACCGAGATGCGATCTGACAAGGATGTTGGCTTCTGGAAGCACGAGCAAATATCGTTCATGTTGCACTGCACGGAGCTCATGGGCCACTGTGTCACAGCGTGTTTCTTCCTCTGGATCAACTCATGCAGTTCGATAAGACCAGAACCCATCGCAGTACATCATGAATACCCCACCGCGTTCGCGTAACACACCTTGATGAACTGTATCAAAGATATTGCAGGTTCCATCGCTAACTCAAAGCCAAGGGCTGGAATTCTGTCGACGAAGAATCGAAAGCTGTACCGGCTATACAAATTCCTGCCCCAAACCCAAGACAGGCAACCCAAGTCATTTGTAAGCATAGGACTCTGCCCTGACTAGAGCCTCTGTCAACAACAGCAGCANAAACCCCCATATGGCCGTCGGACCAGCATTGGCCTCTGGGTGTAATACGGACCGCTACCTGGACAACCGCCTCTGCCATACCCACAACCACCTGCGCCATAATAGTATCCTCCTCCGTACCTTCGTTGCGGTCTACCTCCGGGAAAGTAAGCATGCGGCGGCCGCTGAGGACCACCGTATCCTCTGCCATACCCACAATACCCAACTCTCCCACACGGTCCATAGTATGTTGGGCGACGATAGCCACAGTCTTGCTGACGGTACTCGGGCGTGAATGCGTTTGATCGACTGGGTGCTGTGTATTGCATCTGTGGTTCAGAGTCATAATCAGGGTCTTGAAGATGATCGTTCATGGCCGCGTCGGTGATGATGTGTTCAGACTCGAAAGAATGGTTCAATCTAGGTTTCGACCTTCCGGGCTTTGGCAGTCCAATTATGTGGACTAATCTCTGCATGTCGTCGAAGGAAGTTGTTGATATGCTGTCTTCAGAGATGCCGTCTTCATGTTTGCGAGACAAAGTGCCTGGGATGACCAATATCGTCTCCAGAAGCTTTGTGGGGAATAATGTCGAGAGTCTGGAGCCTGGAATGTCGATTCGATGTAGGTCTTGCTTGTCATCCAGCATTGCCAATAGGTGGGCATCAGCCACACTATGCGTCGAATAGGTCGAATTCCGCACACTCGCCATTGTGGCTGTCCAAAACACAAGCAAAAGCGTTTTCGCAGCGGCATTAGATGCTGGCTGGTGGTATATCACTCGAGCGCGTTCAACATACCGTTCGTAAGCATATACCGACTGAGTATATCGGTATCTTGGCAGGACGCGAAGCCCTCATGTTGTGCTCTCATCCTTTGCTTGGGACTGCTGCATGCGGATGACTGGATCTGTATCGATTCATATACACGCGAAACCCACCAACTTGTAAGGCGTGACTTAGACTGACAACACGCGTTTCCATCACATGTAAATAGATTACTGAAAGCAGCCTTCGAGATATCTCAGGATCAGGCCTTGGACAGATAGAAGGTGCGACTAACATGGCTGATCGATCTTGCCACAGCGTGTAAGGTTCGTCACCAGGATTACAAGCGTCATGAGTGAATAGAAGTAGTCTATCACTCCTGCCAAAACGTAGACCGTATGGGCTGATGAGAACGATAGTCCAGTAATCCCACAAGACAGCGACAAAGCGCCAGAAAAAGCCCGAGGCATCAAAAACATCGATACAGAGCCACCACCTACTGCTTTAAGTCCTCCTCAAGCCCTTCGCTCCGCTGAGCCAGTAAAGCAAGACAAGATTACAATCTTCCATTATATGTTTCCATCTGGGGTTGGAGAATCACAGCCTTTTTCTCATGGCAGCATTTTTTGAGTGCCATGATCGATGCTGGCTCCTCCATGTTGCAAAGTCAAGGCAATGCCACCACGCTCAGACAGGACGAGGAGAGATGGGAGGGTGTCAAGGACGATCGTTGTTCACCGTCTACATCCGTCACCCACCATCAATCCCGTCATGTTGCGTAGCATTGCAAAGCTCATGACTAAATGGTTCGGTTGAAGGCTTGAACTCTTTATCGAGAGGTTAGAGAGAGGAAGGAAGATAGGAAGAGAGTGTACAACACATGAATCAGAGGCTTGATTTACCCTGATCCGTGAGTCGCCGACGCTGGTGGAGATCGATTTCTGGTATAACCGTGGATTTTTTTCTTGCGGCAAGCATTCCGTCTTCAGTGTGCCTGTTTGACACCAAGAGCGCTGCTAAGCAAGCTGTTCAAGATGCTCTATGGCTTATGGTCTGGCGCCGAGGCTTGCTCCCCAAGTGCATATATCGTTGCTGCACAAATGATATGATACAGTCCACAGATTGCCTGGAAATGATCATTCCCGTCGTCAAATCGATCGATGTGCTAACATACATCGACAATTGGACATAACAGGCTAGGCATGTCAAACCAGATACGGTTATACACGAAAATGTGATCAATTCTTGCTGTCTCATCCGTGACTTCACGAGGTCAGAGATAATTCTGTAGGGTGTCCTTCGTTCATCAACAGGGTCATACTAGAGACAAGATTTCGGAAGCGGACTCCTTACAGTGGCCAAAAGTCGTGACATCCATACGCGAGCCCCAAGCCTCACGCGTTTGCGCCGCCTCGCACTCAGAGCAACCTATGAATGACACCCATCATACGAGTACCCTAACTTATCGCATTAAGCAGATACTCGCGTCCTTACGAGCGAGTGTCTCTCACTCACGGCAATCTGCCACGTTCAACGTCGTATCTGCGAAACAAAAACGAGGACTTCTGCGTTGAACCGCGGTTGTGAACGCTGTCTCATGACGTTCCTGCCGTTGACGTTAGGAGCTTCTTTCCACAAATGTCTCAACAGACGTTTTCGAGGCTCCATCCTTGGATCGTGAACCGAGGATACTAGAAGTCCATCCTCGCACTCTCATACGGTTGAATGAAAGGTACTGCATACAGGATCAAGGTACCGCCGATGGCAGAGGACAATACACCAAGCAGGACCAAGACAAAAAGCAAGAAAACATGGCTTGCCATACGAGGACTGGGCACGTTTTGACAGATCTAGCTCCCAATGGCGAGGGCGGTGACAACGTGGGAGACTTTAGGATCAACCAAAGTTCGTGGGCACCAGGACAGACTTCTACTAGAGTTGATGATCTTCAGGAACTTGACTGACGAATCAAATGGGTGCCTGCTGCACCAGTATGTTGAAGTCGTGTGAATTGGTTCACTCATCAATCGTAGGGCATGCTTCGCAGAAACCACATTGATGGCTACCATATGCCTCTAGCGTTACTCTCGTAAGCTAAATTNNTCCAAGTCCACCATCACGAACAACCCGACGTCATAATCCAGTCACTGGGCTTTCTGCAAGTATAGACTGCTCTCCAAGGACTTGAGCCNNAAGCAATAACAACGTACAGAGGGGGAGGGAAGTTACAAACATCTCCAATTGGTTACCGATAATGCTACACGTTCCTGCAACTGTACATCACAGCTCTCCACATACAACTCGGCCCGTCGCTCGAACATCCTCCACATCTACCAGATTTTCAACCAGGCGGAGNGACCATTTGGAGTGCAACCCCGCGATTGGAAGCCGCCCAGAGCCGGGTCGTATTTCCAGATGCCCAAATACTGACTAGATAGCGCCAATGACGAGCCTAAGACATGCTTAAATCTATTCATCCTGCAGGTGTGGAAGTCTTTGGCCAAAATTCTGCTTGCAACGGTCTAAAGATAGTGATTGTGGCATTTTATAGTTCGGCGTGGTTCCTTGGCTCGAGATTCAAGCCGATCAATCTTAACCGCAACGGCCAAGTTCAAGAGACCATCGACACCTGGGGAAGCCGCCATGGAGTGTGTGGAAAGCCAAAGCATTCGAATGTTGACAAGAATAGTCTTAGGCTGCACAGAGAACCTCTCAGTTGATGTCATTTGATGGATTTGATGGATTTGATATGGGCAAAGAAGCTTTTTGTCATCCCACCTTCACGAATACGGGAATACCACAATCCATCTTCTCCGCTCTCTTGCATTGGATGGATGCAGTTGCAGGTGGTTGGGTCTTGTCGATACGAGCATACCGGCCAAGAGCCCGGGAGTAACAGTGATATGCTTTCTTGGAAGAGGTGAAGTCTTCTTCAGAAGCGAGGCTCGATGGTATATAAGATGTCATCCCTCGTCCTGCTATATGTTCTTTCTCTGTATCATCAGCATCTTCTTCTTCTTCTTCTTCTTATACAACCAATCACTTCATCCATTCGCTCAAGATGAACTCTATCAAGGCCGTTTCGGTCCTCTCGTTCTTTGCCACCTTCGCTGCTGCTTGGCCCATGAACACGACCACCACTTCATGGGAATCCACCAAGTCTTCTAGCTCCAGCTGGGAGTCTTCCAAATCCCCAAGTTCAACCTGGACTCCTTCCTCAAGCTCTGAGTGGATTCCTAGCTCGAGCTCCACCTGGTCTTCTACCAGTTCGGTCGAGAGTTACGCATGTAACCCAGCTCACAGTTATCCCAATGGACAAAGCTGTATCTCCACTGCAGGATCGTTGACCTTGGTCAGCCCCTCGGCCAGCTCAACTCAGTCGTACGCCTGTAATCCAGCTCACAGCTATCCTGGAGGTGCTTCATGCATCAGTACTGCTGGATCTCTGACTCTTGTCACCCCTACTCAAAGCACCACATACACGACTACATACACCACTGACTATGTCACATTCTGCCCCTCCCCCACTGTTCTGACCATTAACAGCAAGACGATCACAGTCACTTCTGCGACGACTTTGACAGTTCCTTGCCCAACCTGCGTCAAGACTTCTGTGATCACCAAGCCGATCAACCAAGCATCTACCACCAACGCACCTGCTCCCAGCTCATCTGCCATTGGCTGCGCTGCAAGCCTTCTCAAGTGCCAGTACACTCCTGCTTCTGATGGTGGTTCTGCCAACGAGGCCTACTGTGCTTCTCAGAACGCAAATTGCCAGGGCGCATGCTACGCATCCTACAACACCTGCAGAACTACCCGCGGTCCTGATGGCCTTTCCGCCAACCAAGCTCAATGTGCTTCCGAATATGCACAATGTCTTGGTGAAAACCCCTTCGCCTCCACTGGAGGATTGGTCTCGACTTACATCCCTTACACTGCCACTGCAAGCTCGTCCACCCCCGTCTCGAGCTCAACTATCTGGGTGACCTCGACCACAGTTTACGTCACTGACTACGTTACTGTGTGCACTACCCCAACTGTAATCACTGTCAACAAGCAGACGATCGCAGTGACCCAACCGACTACCCTGACAATTCCCGTGCCCACAACTCAGGTCATCACCAAATCCACGGTTGTTCCTGTTTCTTCTGTTCCCATGAGCTCGAAGCCCGCCACTCAGCCCGCTTCCCAGCTCGCCTCTTCGCCCGTCGCCCCTGTCTCGACAGGACCTGTTGCCTCTGGAACTGTTTGTGCTCCCCAAACCGTGACCGTTACCCAATATGTCACCATTTCCATGAAGGAGACTTCCATGGCTTCCATGGCTCCTCCCGCTTCAAGCAAGCCTTCCTCGTCGGCTCCAGCTTCTAGCAAGCCTACTCAATCTGCTCCGGCTTCCAGCAAGCCTGCATTGTCCGTCCCCGCCTCGTCCGTTCCTGCTTCTAGCAAGCCTGCGTCTTCAGCCCCTGCTCCCTCCGCTACCCCTGCTGGCAAGTGCCCTCTTGACCTCAAGGCCGGCGCTTACGAGTACCCCACGGCCTTCGCGTGAACGGTGTTAACGGATACAAAATCACCGTCAACAAGGATACCAAGACCGACGTCTCGTTTGACATTCCCCAGGCTGATGCTGGCAAGACCTGCAGCACTTACTTCACCATCCCCAAGTCTTCTGACCTTGTCACTACCGCCTACAGCTTGTCTGGCTCTGGCATGATCAATGTTTCCAAGGGCGGCAAGGTCATCAACAGTTTTGCTCCTGTTGCTGGCAATGCCTACCTCATTGAGAGCGGCAAGTGCGCTGCTGGCCAGTCTGTTGCTTACACTTTCAGCACCGGTGACTCGGTTTCTGTTAACCTGTTCAACGACTTCAACCCTTGTGCTCTTGGCGCCTTTGTCACCATTGCTTAAATTGGAGAACACTTGAAAGACATGAAGACGATATGGATATGATATAGGAGGAAAGCTTATGTTTTTGGAGATATTGTTTCACCTACAGAAAGGTTACACGGTCCTTTTCGATATGCTCATGTTAATTTAATGTTTTCTGTGTACAAAAATCGTATGTTTGCTTTTACATAACTCATTCCTTTTGCAATGTGATACTGTTGCGGAGACTCGATTGGCTGATGGGCTAGCAAAATAGATTGAGAAAACAAGAACTTATATCCATCGGCCATGCTCTGTGTTAATACTAGGATGCCGTCAACCGTTACCTGCGGGCTGCAGTGCGCCACGATACTAAACATGTAGTCATGAAACAATATTTCCTAGCATGCTCCTACCTGATTGCGAGCTGTAGAAATGCACGATGTTATCTGTTTCGAGAGAGAAGGCCAGCGAAGACATTAGGCATGCATAGATAGTGACCATAAGTGCTATCGCCAATCTAATGCATACCAGCACTACAGCTAGATCCTGCTCAAAAGACCCAACTCCAGCGAGAAGATGCAAGATATGGTTCAAGGCCAACAAGAAAACGAAATCACAGCGAGTGAGAATCGAACTCACATCTCCCCTATGTCCATCCCAGACCCATACGCCAAACGTTCACTTGTATTTGCAAGATAGTAGTCCGACGCACCTCTCCCTACGGTTCCGCAGCGGGGAGAAGGGAATGAGTAACAATGCTTGTGTTTGCAAGGTCGTTTGATGGGACAGGCGCTCTAGCCATTGAGTCACCGCCGCTTTTGTTGCAGGAAATTCTACTTTGGCCACTTATAAGGTGTTGTTTTGGGTTGTGAGTTCGATTCTTCCGGTGACCGAGCATCCTTTTGAGATCTTTGGGAGACGGGTATAGTGTTGAGGGGGTTTTCTTTGACTAGCGGAGTCTTGCATCGTGTACTTACTTATTCTTATGTGAAGAAGACTTTTTGTCTTTACTTGAAGAAACCTCACGCATTGTCGATCTTCATCGTCAGTGACTCTATCATTTTTGTCCTGAAAATGTCTCTTTCAAGATGGAAGTTGTGTTTTGCACGGAGCAGATTCTTGGAAGGAAGACTAACATATAACCGTGGTTGACAATGAAGTACAATATGTAAAGTGATTAATATCAGGCAGCATAAGTCCACAAGCGACAACCAAGCCCAAGGTTCTTTCCCATTCTTTTCATTGCTCACTACCACCCACTTGCTCCTCATCAGTCCCTACAATCTTGCCATGCCCCTGGACATCGCCGTTTCTATACACTGGATCGTCTTTTTGCGGGAAGTACGCACTCCAGGCCTGCCAACTCTCATAGGTACGACTGGGGTACCTCGTCTTCGTCACCTCGCCCAGCTCCTTGATACTCTTCTTTCCACCTTCGAAGCTGTCTTCAAAGGGAAACACGTGCGCGCCTTCGTCAGGTATACGTCGGTCGCGAACAGCCATGAGAACAGAAATGGCATCGTATACCGCACGAGGTTGAGGCAAAAACGAGATGATCTTGCCGAAAGGTGCGTAGAAGAGTGATTTCTGAGGTGAGTAGACATCACCAGATCCGATGTTGTCGCGACCAGATTTGATCTGTAGCTCAAGTCTTGCAATTTCTGTTTCAATATCTGGGATGGCAGTCTGGGAGGGCATTTCGTGGTTGATTGCCCGAAGCATCCAGCGTAGCACGACATCGGCCAAGACACTGTTGGGCTCTAGAGTGCCAGAGAGAAGGTTTGGGATAGTAACGAGAAGGCGCTCAAGAGGTTCGACTGCTCTGCTACGTAAGAACTTGAAGCGCTGACGACCGATATCGTAATGACAGCCTGGGAACCATGTCTCGTGGATTGAAGGAGCTGTCTTGCCATTGTCGCGGTCGCGCTTCGTAAGGCATGGCTGGAAGAGTGACAGACGATCGTGAATACAGCAAGCATGGTAGACTTGTTCAACACTGCTTGAGACGACTTGATCCCAAAGGGTGGGATAGGAAGGTCCATTACCAGCGTCCAGGGAAGGAATGCCGATGCTACCGACAGTATCCAGGAGGCCCATGAACTTGATTGGCGTTGTGACATCCCAGCTTGCTCTCGATCGAAACTCTTTGCTTTGTGCGGACGACGGTTTGTCGGCGTCGTATGGAGAGGAGTAGATGCGATAAACTTGATCGCAAAGGTCGCGGGATGGATTCTTGACGATACCGCAGTTGTTGATCATGCCTACCACACATCGTACTGTGTAGGCACCTCTGCTCAACCCAAACACCCAGACTTCGGTTCCTTCGCGATAGTGTTGTGCAATGTACTGGTAGATTTCGACGCAAGTGTCTCCTATGTCATTCGCGGTCGCACCGTTGAACAGATAGGCGAAGAAGGTGCTACCCAGACCAATGCCATTGAAGTATTTTGCTCGAAGCTTTCGTGCTGGGTCCTCGAGTTCTCTTGACCCTTTCGGATTCTTCATGTCGATACCTGTCAACTCTGCTAAGATCTGAATGTTGGTTCGGGTATCAGTCTCCGGTCCGCACCAGGTCCCGTCACAGAAGACCAAAAGTCTCTGTGGTTCCGAAGCAGGTCGCATTGCGAAGGGTTATGCCGAGCACAGTAGGTGTGTGGAGTAGTGATATAACTGAGTATGTGGAAAAGGCGGGTTGTCGATGGTATGGATTGAGTATGTACACAACGAGGACAAACGAAGATTGAGAAAACAGGACTGGGCGACGTTGTTATATCTCCAGATCGACTCGAATAGAATCAGCACATGCGAAACTGCTTTTTTTGGTCTTCTCGCTGTGGCTTACCGCAGTCGTGCATATAGACAGTATGCCTCAGCCCCAGAAGCTTGCCTTGGCTTAGCACTGACCTTTGACCGTTTTCGTGATTTTCATGTGATACGCAGCCTGAGTAAGTCGGGGAGTCGGCCTTCGATGGTGACACTGCGCACGGCTGAGCGAAATCTGTAGATGGGGAAAGCTGCAGCGGCATGCTGTGTTTATGGAGAAACCGGTCAGGGGTCCATCGAGGAGGGAGCTGAGAGACAAGGGGCCGTGCAGTCAATCAGCAGGACACGCGCAGCTGACAAGAGCTGGGCAAATTCAACAATACCCATCACGTTCCCATGCCAGTACTTTCTTTCGCTGAGCAGAACATTGCTATATCACCTCCAAGGCAACACTCCAACATGCTCGACCAAGAATGTCGGAGGTTGGCTTCATCTGGAAGCGGGCGTGTTGCCAAAAGTCGTGGCGCACGCCCTGAGCTCCTCGACTTGCTTCACTTTCCTGCCTTCGTTTCGAACCCACGACAACAACGGCATAGACCTTTGATATTGTCCAATTAACCATTCCGGAAGGCCTTCTTCAAGAGTTTAAGTACTCTCATTTGCCTTCGCTGCCATCGGAAGCCATCTACAATCTCTTCGATCGGAAGCAGTTGTGTTGTGCAAAAAGATGCGCTGACGATGGAACCTATCATCCCTGCGGCTTGTATTGAGCATATTCGGCAGATTTGTCACTCGCCAATTTCTCAGGAATTGAAAACGTGCCTCGCCCTTGTTCAAGTTCATCATCCTGGTTGCGGGGATGCCTCAGGCGACGGAACCAGAGATAGCCACCACAGAAGAGGCACACGAGAATGATCTGAATTGTGAGGTAAGGCTCGTAGAAAGAGAACAGACGGTCAGACAAAATGTTGTGACAATGCATCTCTGGTAATGCAGACGACCAAGCAGAGGTTGTAGTCGATGTCACGAGAGCCTGACTGGTTTGTAGGACAGTTGTCGTGGGCCTATGTGTGGCAACTGTTGCTGAGACGTGCTGTACTGAGGCAACTCCAGGGACAATCGTATATAATATACCGACAGTCTCGATCTGCGAAGGTGAAGGTAGGGCCATATTGACAACAAGAGCATAGGCCGTGTAAGTTCCAGGCGAGCCAACGTATGTCGTGGTATGTGTTAACGTCTGCCTTGACGTGTCGTCAATTTTCCAAACATATTCGTATGCCACGGTAGCGGTAAGGTCTGGCTCAGAATCTACCATCTTGCTCAAGAAAAATAGTCTTCAATATTGATCGGCAGGTATACGGAAGGACATGAGTAGACACTCGAGAAAATTCCAGGCAGCTAACAGCAAGGTGTTTATCAAGCATTTGAGTACGGAGTATATAGCCGTTGTTTCCAATTCACATTCCTGAACCCATTTCTAGCAAGAATGCACCCGACAGTCTGGGTGAAACGGCTGCGTGTCAGTCGCTCTGGCGCGCGCCTCAAACGAACATGTACTCAACAAACCACTGAATTCCACTTCCCTACAATCAAAGTGTGATGTCGTAGGCTGTGGACATAAATAGAGCACTTCTCTTACGGAGTAGGTATCTTAATCCATTTCACACTTTTTGCCAACCGCTCGTTGGTTCTATCCGTGTGTTGAGAGGCATCAATTGACCTTGCTTGTTTATTCATGGTCAGGATGTCACCATGCCGATATCTACTGCGTGGCGGCCATAATCGGGTTGTTCCGGCTTTAGACAAAGAGGTTTCCTCGTTCGTGATTTTAGAGCGAATATTAAATCAAGTCAAAGCACCACAACGAAGCATTCCTGCACATGCTCCTGAGAAGATTGGGATACGAAACGCAAACACGACTGGAGGGATTCAACCCGCTGTTGTACGAAAACTGCCACTGAGTAACTAATCTCCGGTCGTGCTTATTTCCGAGTCCAGGAAAACCATTAACTGGCGTTCTTTCAGTCACGCTGTAGACCACAGCGAACAGGTCTGATGGTCGATTCTGTTGGTTTCTGCTTCGGTCGCGATGATGCCTACATCTACACAACAGCATGGGCTGTTGCAAGATATTCATGGCTGGGTTCTTGAAGGCGGTGGCGCTGTCTCCGTAGCTACGCGGGCCGAGACTTCCGGCAGAACTCCATGATCGCCCGCCCTTGGGTGACGACGCAATCAAGGACCCCATGGGGCCAAACGACATATCTTTTCCTGGTCAACGACTTTACCCTGTGGACGGCATTTGCATCATGGCTGACGACATTGAGAACTCTACTGGACATATCGATTTTAGAACCTCGAAGATACGAATGTCAGGTATCGACGCCTGCCATTTCGTTGTATAATACTCGCGCTGAATCATCATATCAATGGTCTGAATCAGCGAAAGATATTCGCTCATCAACTGTTAGGTCTTGGGAAGCAGTAGGGGACATCTGGATCTTTCGGCATATGTTTGTATACGAATGCTTCACCCGCGAGCCTTTCTGGGAACGGACTGGTTGGTTTTTGTCGTCCAGTCGTCGTAAGCATATCTCATCGGATAGCCGGCAGCCTCCTGCCACCCGTCGTCATTGTCTCAACGGCACCAAAACAAGAAATGATCAATTGCTTGACAATGCTTAGCACGGGAGATCATACTACTCTTTTTCGTATCCTATCAATTCACAGCAAAACATCCACTCTCACTGATCTTGGTATCCATGGCGTTTCCGGACTCCTCAAAATATGGAATCTTCTGCTTCAGTATCATCTTGTTCGCAAGACTCACCAATGCCGTATCTCTTGACATCACAGACGCAGGTACGGACGAACTCTTCGAACCCCTGAAGTGCCATACACGATCTAATCTTGGTCAGNATTCAATACGCAATGCATCGAAAACTGTTGCCAATGGCATGATGGCGTGGTATGCAGGCAACAACACTGGCGGTACGCCCGGTATATTGCCTGGTCCATACTATTGGTGGGAGGCTGGAGGCATGTTCGGGCACATGATCAATTACTGGTACTATACTGGAGACGACTACTACAACTCGATTGTTTCTACAGCCATCCAGTTTCAAGTCGGAACAGGCGATGACTTTCTACCGGCAAACCAGACGAAAGATGAAGGAAACGATGACCAGGTCTTTTGGGCATTCACCGCCATGGACGCCGCCGAACTCAACTTCCCTGAATCGACAAATGCGAACGCGCCTTCTTGGCTTTCTTTAGCACAGGCAGTCTTTAATGAAATGGCTGGACGATGGGATACTAGCACATGTGGTGGCGGTCTCCGATGGCAGATCTACACCTTCAATGCTGGCTACAACTACAAGAACTCGATATCGAATCTCGGACTCTTCCAATTAGCTGCTCGACTGGCTCGCTACACCAACAATGCCACATACACAGATTGGGCCGAGAAGACATGGCAGTGGTATTCTGATGCTTCTCTTTGGGACGGCACGACGTTTGAGATTTACGATGGCACGACGACAGACAGCAACTGCACTTCAGTGGACCACTTCCAATGGACGTACAACTACGCAGCTGCAATTAGTGGCGCAGCTTACATGTACAATCACGTATGTTAGGCCGACCACTTATACGACAGAACTTCCTGCTAACATATACACTCTAGANCATCAGACCAGAGTTGGCTCAACATCGTCGAAGGCCTTCTCAATACCACATTCACCACATTCTTCCCAACCACCATGGGCAACAAGATCATGGTTGAGATAACATGCCAACCCCTCGGCAACTGCGATACTGACCAATTATCCTTCCGCTCTTATCTCGCGCGGTCGTTGGCAGTCACCACACAACTTATCCCCTCTCTGCACGATACTGTATACCCCTATCTCCGTGCTTCCGCACAAGGAGCAGCTGGCCAGTGCGACGGAGGTGCGACAGGCGCAATATGTGGCATGGAATGGAACACGACAGTTTGGGATGGCACATACGGTGTCGGTCAAGAGATGTCAGCACTCGCTGTGATACAATCGTTGATGCTCGACGTCAATGTCGAGGACGCAAAGTTAGCTGCTCCGTTGACATCGTCCACCGGTGGCAACAGTACGAGTAACCCTAGTGCTGGCACAGGGAGCACTGGTGCCAAGTTTCAGCCTTCCATCTATACTAGGAAAATCACCACTGGTGATAAGGCAGGAGCTGCGATATTGACCATTGCGATACTGGTGTTCTTTGTGGGTGGCTCTGTGTGGCTGGTCTTGTTTGACTGAGAGGATCGTAGAAGGGAATATTTAATGATGTATCAAAGACTAATATTGAACGAACGCTCTTCAACTCGGTTTTGGTTGACTGTCTTTTCTGTCCTGTCTGAGAAAACCTTAACTCCCTAGGGTAGTCGCAGACAGGCCACGACGTACTGTGTCGTCGAATCTTTCGTCCATCTGCAACGAAGTTCAGAATTCAAAAGTTATACTCGCTGTTTCCATGGTTTACGTTCGCTCTGGAAGGCACACCATATATCCGGAACTCCGATATCACCTTGCTCCTATACATGTTCGTTGAACGAGTCATCCTTACCTAGGTTGATATCGTGTGGGAGTCTCTTTTACATAGAATATACTTTGCGTCCTAAGGGATACTGGATTGAAGAGATATGATCACGTAGACAAGCTTCAATCCGAGAAAATATGTAAAAGCATTGACGCTAATGTAAGAGTTGTTGATTTGCATGTGTCGTTTATGCCCCCGTCATTAGCTCGACTATCTGGGTCATCTCGACTACTAGCTACACGATTAACTACATTGCTATTTGCTTTACTTCCATTACTATCATAATTAAAAAGCAGAAAATCATGTTTGTTGCACCTACTATCCTTAAGATCGCTGTTTTTCTAAATTCAGTTGTTACTAGATTTATAACAATCTCCGGTTAGTCTGCTCCTGCTTATTGCTTTTAGAAATGCTACCCCATGTACACCTAGTGATTTTCCTCTCTCGTACCCTCTCCATCTGCGAAACCGTGCTACTTTCAAACAAAGAAGTACATGCGTGATACTTTCGAGAACCTAAACGATGTGCAAGGAGAGACGTTGTCTAGAGACGCTTCATGGATCCACCTCTATGGTGATACTCAATCTGTCATTGATCCTTCCATGTTCTGGACAGCATTTGGCGGTCGCGAGATGTGTTTGGCTCTCAAACAGCTCCTTCCCCTCTCTTGACAGGAGCTCCCAAGGCAACCATCGCACATGACCAGAATAATGGCATCGACGGTCACACGAGACATGACGATTAATGTCGTTGTCGTTGGATCCAGGCACCGGGAACAAAGAATGCCGGAACGACTTGGCCATCGGGTATCCGCGGCACAGAGCGGCTGACACCGGTTAGTCGCGGAGAAACAGACAAAGCAAAACAGACGGATCATGGATCGGAGTTTTGTTTTTGTGGACGGAGCCAGGAGATAAGATTGATCGTGGTCAAAGAGACATGCAAAAGTCGTGAAATGGTCGCGTGAGCGCAAGAAAAGAACTAGAGAAGATGTGAAGTTATATGATTTTTTAGATTTTTGTTTGTAGTATGCTCTAAAGGGGTATTTGGTATCGCTGGAGAAACTGCCCTTCAGGGTAAAAGAAGCACCTACGATAGTAGAAACAGAGGAAAACCCATATCCCATCCAGGGAGTCGAACGCCGGTAAATCGCTAAAACGCCATGGAAATGCTTGTTGTGAAAGAAGAAGTCATCATCGCTGTCCGGTTCGCAAAAGACGCCTCATTTTGCCAACATCGTTATCATCATCGGAGGAAGAGAAAAAGGTAGAGAAGAAGAAAGGGGGAGAAAAGGCTTAGGCAAGACCAAAGGTGGCCTTCATGCGGCGCCAGATCTCACCACGCATAGCATCTCTGCTCTCAACAGTGCGAGTAGCGGCGTCCTTGTTCTCGGCGGCGCGACGGAGAAGGTAGTTCAGGCAGTCGGTCATGGAGCCCCAGGCAGTCAACTTGTAAGCACGGGGAATGTCGACCATCTCCTCAGGCTTGGCTTGAGTGGCGCTGATCAGTTCGCAGCTGACCTCGTCGGCCATACCCTGGAGCTGAGCATAGGCGCAAGGAACTCTCTCCTCGCCGGAACGAAGCTGGTTGGTACGAATTGCTTGAGCCTTGCGGACAGAGTCGGCGTTGTGGGTTGCGAGAACGAGACCAACGTTTCGGGGGAAGACACCGTCGTCGGAAGAGATGGGCTTGACAACGTCGTTGTAGGTGCGGGTGAGAACTGCTTCGGCCATGCCATCGTAGGCACGATGGGTGTCCTGGATGGTATCCCAGATCTTCTCGCGAGGCTCAGAGTGCAGGTAAGCGCCACGAACAAGCTTGACACCGAGAGTGAAACCTTCGGTCTTGGCCTGGTGGAGGTGGTTGGAGAGAGAAGCGGGTGCGCCCTTGAGGTAGCATTGGTAGGTGTTGTAGAGGACGATGTTATCGGGCTTGTTGTAAATCTTCTGCAGGTTCAAGGTCCAGGCGTCAATCATGGGGTTGGTGGTGGTTTCTTCGGCAGAGGGGACGAGAGCGATGCGCTTGGCCGAAGCGGCGTCACAGATCTCCTTCATAGCCTTGTCCATGATATCGATGGGCTGCTTGCCCTGCTTGAGCAGCTGCATTGCGTAGCCGCCCATACCGGACCACTTCAGGCCGATGATGTCGCCAGGCTGGGCAGCCTCGACAGTCTCCATCAGACCCTTTCTCCACATGTCGACATCGCCAGCCGTGTCGTCGGAGGGAACGTCGGAAAGAATTTCACGAGCGTACTCGAAGATGACACCAGAGTAGCCCAGGCTTTGCAATTGAGCGCGGGTAGCACGAACTTCGGCCTTTGTCTCACCACCGCAGAACTGCTTGTAGAAAGTCTCTCTGAGGATCATCTTGAGCAGGGGGTTGCGCTCGACGTTGAAGATGGGACCCTTGGCGTGGATCATGGCGGTAAGAGCCTTGAAGCAGACGGACAAAAGTGCAGGCTTGCAAGAAATCGAGGTAATCATGTAGGTTCTCAGGACGGTGGAGAGAGGGAGAACGGCAAGGGCCGGAGTCTTGTTGGTCTTAGTGACCTTTGATCCAGGGACATGCTTGGGGATGGTAGCCACCTGAGGAGCAGTCATAGCGTGTTGCTCAGCCGGGGTGCTGTGCATGTGTCTGGCGGACATCAAAAAGGGAGTTGCGACGCGGCCATCCAGGCGGCGTGCCATGTTGGAGCGCAGCTTGAGCGAAGACATGTTGTCGTCCTGTATGCGATATCTTCCTGAGGGCTGCAAAAAGGTCGATAGGTTCACTTGAGTCTCCCCCAGCAGAGGGCCATCTGCTTTTAATACTCATTCCCATGACCCTTATGCCGTCGTTCTCCTGGTTCACTTGCCTCGCGGCTACCCTCGGTCTTGCGTGTTGACGTTGATAAGAGAAAGTTGGCGGTCTTTGTTCTCCCGCTGGCGCGATACTCGATCGAGCTTGTTCCCCAGCTTACGCTAACCACATCAGGCTTCGCTCGGCTACAGTTTGCTGTCGCACCACGAGTCCAGATCGATTGCAAAATCTCTCCACCAATTCTCGACACAATTTTATCGCCTTGGTAATCATACACCTTCGGCTTTCCTGACTGTCATCTCGGTCTTGTTGAACGGCCTGTGTCGGTCTTGGATGGGATGCTCCCTCTTTACTTCATCTCCGCACCTCGCTCCTTCTCCATTTCTTCGCTGCGAGTTCGGAGAAAGCTGATCACGATGATTCGAAACTGCTGAGTATCCACCTCTCCCATCCATTCCTCTACCGTCGATATCCGAGCATCACTTGTGCCTTCTGTCTTGATGCATGATGTGAGGCAGCCATGAAGCTGTTGACGCTTGCTCGCGGCGTATGCTTTGCCATCGTCTGACGGCTCTCGTGACTTTGCATCGCTATCCGTCACATCAGCTCAACATCGCTCAAGCCTGCTTACTATTGCATGCATACCCGAATAAGCAGCGCATTTGCAGATGCATACGAACAACAGCAACCTGGAGGCTGTCGTGACAGCTAAGAGATCTGTCTGGCGCGTCGTCCTTGGTCGTTTGCTCAGAACTTTGCGTCGGTCGGGGAAATCTCTTCGACCACTTCGACGTTCCTGACCACCATCAGCTCTTGACAACATCGCCATGAAGCTTCAACAAATTCTATGGCACGAAACGACGGTGGTGAAGTCTTCTGCTCAAGGCTCCTAATGATGCGCAAGCTGAGATCTTTGCGCTTCAAACTAATATCGACGCATTTGCCTATCTTCGCAATTTCAGCAATTCAGACAGCTCTCGAATGTGCTTTCCGACATTTTGTCGCCTGACACGCGTTGTGCTTAGAGCTGTACGCGGTGATGGTACTTTGTCAGCTTACCACAATCCAGGACCTTGATCTGACAGTATCCGGTCGCGTATCTTGACTGCCTCTGCTTGAGTTACGGTAAAACAATTCCCTGGATACTACCGTGTTTGTCAGCACCAACAACCAACATTGACAGAGCTGGTTCGACCATCGCAGAATTGCACACACCGTAGATGCACAAGCTCAGCCGACACCTAATTGAATCTTTTACCAGATGCGTGGTATGCGCCTGTCAAAAGTGTCCCAAACGGAAGTGCCAGGTGCGGATGCCGAAAGCGTATCGATCTCAGATCCAACGTCAGAAGGATTCTCATGCTCGGCTATCTACTCTTTGGCGCATTCCTCATTGTTATGGCGTTTGCATGGTATTCTTCGCCCATCACGAGTCGCTCAAGATCGGTTTTTTTGCTCGAGGAACTAGGAGTGACTGCAATCAATCCTTTTGCGAGTGGCCACGCTCTCTGACATCCGCCCCATGTATCATCATCGCAACCTGCAAGCAGCAATAGAAGAAGAAACGACTTACTTTCTTCGAAACCGACTGTCTGGATTGTCATCAGCTGTACGCGGATTAGACACGGTCTTGCCCTTGTTTGCATCATCTGTAATCTCACACACGATCAGTACCTGCTTCATTTCGGTCCTGCGGTAGTTAACGGAGAACGAAAGGCTGCAGGTGTCTCTCTTCGGTCTGGTCAAGTATAAAACTCCTAGCTTTGTATCACCGCAACCAAAGCATTCTCCAGGTAACGGATACACGACTTCGCGGCATCTAATCAGTCTGGACCTACATCCCACAACGTCAGCGTCAAGCTCTCTTCGGAAATGAAATGTGCATTTCTTTCATGGATGGTGGTCCGATGTGTGCAGACCTGAGCCGAACTGAGAACTGCTCTCTTGTTCTCATTATGCATATGCAACGATACAAGATAGCTCTCCCAACTTGTCAAAGCTACTAAAGCTCGAAGACTTTGTGATTGACTCCCAGGAAACCGTCAACGCAAAGAGCTTGTCAGCAACGGTAGTCTTTTCCGAATCAGTTCAAGATCTGTGGGATGAACTATCTGCTTCAGAGAACTTATGTTACCAGAGGTTTTTGTCATCTTTGATCAACGGATTAAGTGCTTTTGTTCATCACGCAGCTCAAAAGGAAAGAGACATATTTTTGACTCACCGCATTTGAGCTTAGGCAACATGGTACCCTATTCAGACCTTCGTTCTGACCTGCAAAACATAACCAACAATCCGCTATAATAGAATCAGAATATGCTGCGTTTGGAAATGGAAACGTGGTCGGATATGCCCGCGGCCTTTCATTAATCTCATTCGCTGAGTCAGATTAAGGAGAAGAAAAGTCGCGTCCATCATTGCCGGTGTACCTACCAGAGGATTCGAATGCTGATAGCCTGAAACACGACTACCTCCGCGTTTGGAAGACGGATTATGACTCTTCAACCTGCAAAGCAATCATCGGTGTCAGCAATGTTCCTTCAATTGGCTCGAAATACTGCGGAAGGCGATAGAGCAGCTCGGAAGTGCCACACGGCTTTTTGTCGTCGTCATTGACTGATCGGACCAAAGACAAGGAAGTGCGTTCACTATTGCTTCGCAAGACATTTCAGGACCAGCGAACTTACCAGAGCATTGTTTGGATGCACTGCGCACTGCACCGGGCTAAGTTAATACCCAAGAAAGTCAAAAAGACGATACTGTTCTGCCTGCAAACCACCATTTCATGTCAGCCATGTTCTGCAAATAGCCTCATGGTACAAAAAGAGAAGAAGAACAGCTCAGAATTGCCAAGCGGCCGTCTTTTCTTATCATCCACCAAGTCGACACAAGAGCAAGAGACATTGAGCTCATCATAGTTATTAAGGAGGGTCTAGGGGCAAACTTACCGGACGAAGTAGTATCCTCTTGGCTTGAAACGACATCGCCATGGTTACATGTATTGGGACGCAGTCTCGATATTCAATATCTTCCTTATTGCTAACACACTGTCCAAAGTATCAGTCAGAGTCTCTTCGCTTTCTGATGGAAGGAATTATCTGCAGCTCCTCCTCATCAAAAGCGCATAGTAAACACAACACAAAGGACTGCTCAGCACGAAGCATGAAGCGCCAAACACAAACATTCCAGATTCTTCTCCAGTTCCCAGTCAAAGACCAGAAGAAACCGATGGAAAAAGTGTTTGTCCACAGAGACCAAAAGTCTCTGTCAACTTTGTGTTCCAAAAATTGATTGGGGCGAACCCCGTTAACAAGCCCAGAACCTATAGAAATGTCAGTATCCCATAGGTCTTCACCTAGAAGGTGTGAACGGTTGAAGAAAGAAAAGAGAGACAGAGCAGCTCGGGACTGGCCTTTTATACCCGCTGGCTGGGAACTCGATTACCTCAGCGCGTATGGTCAGCGCTTCTCGCGTTGTTGCTACAGCCATTCAACAGCGAATGAGACTGGTCGAATTCGCAATGCTGTCTCCAGGGTCACTTCTGCTATCGTTCTCTGAAGACATACTCCCTGGTCAAGCTGCTCCTTATCCTGCACCAATGCTCTCCTCTGAAGCTTACTACACGAGTTGCCAGGCTGGAGAAGACAGCTGCCTTGACATGGTACTGAACTGTATATGAGTACATGCATGCTCTGGTCCTCGCCCCCAAGCAGCCTGGATGCTGTATACTGGTATACAGATGTGTGACTGCTGCCTCCTCTATCCCTCTCTCTTCACCACGTTCCAACCACAACAATGTGACCGCCTTCTGTTCCCTCACAATGTGACTGCTGCCTTCTCGTCCTACTCACTCTATTCAGCAATAGCATGTGAAGGCGGTCCACGCTCAACGCTCCCAAATCCACACAACAAAACCAGCCAGCTTCCTTTCTTCTCCTCTTCTCCCACCATGGCTATCAAGAGAGGCCACCGAGGCACCTCTCGCCAGTGCCTGCGAAGGCACTGGCGAGAGGCAATCAAACGCCTCGAGCACAGAGCTGCTGTCGCTGCTGCTGCCGCCGCCACCATCGAGCCTCAGGCTCCTATCGACTCCTCTGCCGGCGTAAGCTTTCGTAGCAACGAGATCTTTTGACGACACACTAATGCGTTACTGCAGCTCCCTTCGCCTCCCTCCTCGCCTCCTCCTCCTCTGCCCCTTCGCGGCCCGGCATTGGTAAGTACTACCCCTGGGTCTGCTTTGAGAGGATTGGACTTGACACTGATGCATTGCATTATAGCGCCGATATTCTCCTCCTCCTCTGGGATGGAGAGATCCTCCTGCTCCTTCCTCGGCCCCTCGCCCTCGTCCTCGCAACCTCCCTTTGGGGTTTGTGGCTGCCCCGCTGCTGTGTAAGTCTGATGTGTCTCGTGCTATGGTTCAAGAACATCTTACTGACTTATTTTGTTTCAGGAGACGAACGAGGAAGCAAGCTCTCGTCTGAGGGACATTAAACCATCCGACCACAGGTCGTTAAGCATGTACAAAATCAACTTCGTTTCTTCGCTCTCTTGATATGATTTTCCTTGTGTGCTTTGCTATGATTCTGATGTGACTTTGTGAATACGTCTAGTTGGGAAACAGTTCAGGGATAACCTTGTATATGTACCTTATCCCCTGTTTTGTTGTATGTCGTCACCAAGTTGCTTGAATGCGAAAACCTTTGTGAGTTTCTGCTGCTCCATCTTCTCATGTCCTTGCCATATGGAGAGCATGACTCTTCCTTGAACGAGTCCTACTCCCCACTATCTTTCCGTCCCAATAGTATGCCATAAAAATGCAGCAACTGGTCTGCGATCAAGAAAAGTCCAAAGAAAGTCTTGTGGATCTCTTCTGCAAAACTACCTCCTACTACACATGCTAGAGTTTGAAGATCTTTATGACTTTCTACCCTTACATATCCTCTTGTCAAGACCCCATGGAGAGCCTTATCATCACTTGAGATATCCACTCCCTATCATCTTTGCATCCTCAAAGTATACTATAAAAATGCAGAAAGCAGTCTGCGATCAAAGAAAAGTCCAAAGAAAGCCGCGTGGATTTTCTTCTGGAAATCTTTTCACTACTCAGAGATGAACTTCAGATATCCTTGTGACTTTCTACTCCCACGTTCTGCCATATCGATGGCCCATGGAGAGCTCCGTTTTCATTTTTTTCCCCTTATCATCTTGTCATACCATAAGTATCCTATAAAAACGCAAAGAGTGTTCACGTATCAACAAGGGCCCAGCGAAAGCCACATCATTGACTCCTCATGTAGACAGTTCCATGAGAAAAATGAACTGGTTGCGAATATGTGGCTTCCTGATGCTGCATTTGCTGCCTGTAAGTGGTGGGAAGCGTAGTCTTGTGGCAGAGTCTTGTTCTTTCCAGATTCAATCACATCAGAGCATACAAGTAAGATGGTCTGAACAAGGGGAAAGAGCAATTAACGTTCTTTCTTGCGAACTCGTAAATACATAGATCTTTGGACCGCATCGGCAAAAGCGCCCAGTCCTGAACACAGACTCCTTTACTTCGTATTGTTTGAACAGAAAGGCATCATCAGCAGCAAATTCCGTCCCAGTAATCACATCTCCTTCTCAAAGCCCACCATAGACCGCCAAAGCCTTCTGGGCTAGTGCTCCAAAGTCCAACTTGCCTTGGTCTTCGGGCATGTACTCTCCACTTGCGATACAGTGTACCTTCATGTTTGGGTGGTACGTCAAGTTTGGCAGCAACTTTGGCGTAATGAGGAAGTACTGCGAGGTGTGTTCTGCGCAAGCAATGTCGACCATGCGTGAATGAACCATGCGCTCATTGCGTGGATCCATTCCTTGGTTGATTTCGTCAACAACACGGAAGGGTGCTCGGGCCAAACTTTGTAGGGCCATGAGATAGAAGATTGTCGACACGGCGCGTTCGCCACCAGATTGACGATGGGAGTCGAGGACGGACAGTTGTTCGTTCTCTCTGTAGTGTCGGTGTTAGTATGACTTCAAAGAAAGAGAAACATCGCTATTGCATACCTGAACTTCNACCTGAATCTGAATAGCCCATCTGTTGAAATCATCATCCTCTTTGTAGACCTCAACTTGACCAGCGCAATTGATCTTTGCAAAGTTCTCGCTGAAAGCATCACTGATCTGACCGATGAGTTGGTCGAGCTCGGGTTCCCATTTTTGTCGAACCTCGTTGATGTTTTGTTGCAACTCAATCAGCTCGTTCTCGATGAGTTCGAGTTTACGCTTAGACCTCTCAATATCGCCAGCACGCTTTTCGTACTCGCGAAGGATCTGAGGGTTACCTCCGTGCACCATCTCAAGTCGCGCCTTGGTACTGTCGATCTCAGCTTCGTATTCGTCCAGGTTCATCTTGTTGAATTCAGTGTAGATCTCCATTTCCTTGTCCGAGAGGTCCTGTAGCAGGTCGTTGCATGCCTTGAGTCCAGCTGCGGCGATTTTCTTCAAGTTGTCCCTCTCGGTCATCAAAACCCCAACGTCGCGTTCTCTCTGTTCGAGGTTTTGTCGCACTTCCTCGTTGTGCGCCTTGAGTATCTGGAAGTCGGATTCGGCTTCGATCATCGCAAGACTTGCTTGAAGGAGATCCATCTCCAGCTTCTGCAAGCTCTGGACAGACGAGACGAGAGTTAAAGCATCCTGAGCTCGATCCAGAGCAAGCTTGTCTTGCTTGTCTTTAATCTGTTGCACCCGAACTCGGTAGCTTGCTTGGCGCTCATCCAAAGCATCACGTTTCGATACAAACCCAGCAATCCTGACCGGCAATTTCTGCCATTCGGATCGGGCGTCCTGCGCTTGCTTCTTCTCGGCTTCAAGATCCTTTTTCTGTGCGACAAGTTCTTGATGCTCACGACCATAGCGAACACTCGTAGCCTTATGTGCTTCAGCTTGTCTTTGAACTTCCTGCCGTTCATCCTTGAGTTCGGCAATTGTGTTCTTGTACTCTTGTTCGGCATGTGTATCCACAGGCTGGGAAGTGAAGAAGCGGGCCGTCTTGATGCGCGCTGTGCGCGTCGACGTACCAGCATCGCCGTACTCTCTTCTCCTTGTGACGTTGTAAGTCTCGGTGGGCGTCGCCCAGCTCGAAATCTTACTTGACATCATTCCGTCGAATTGTTGAGAGCTCAACTCTTGAAATGCAACGCCATACATGTGGATGTTTCTGTTGTCACAAAGCATGCTGAGGATCTCTTCCGGTCCTTCGAGAAGATCCAGGATGTAGGTGTTCAAGCCAAGCTGTCGTAGCTCGTTGTCAGAGTAAGGTTTTTCCCAATAGCTCAGGGGCGTATCCAGCATTCTCAAGTTGATATCAGATAATCTTTGGTTATTCAGAAGTTCGCGCTGGAGCAGATTGAAATCTTCTTTATGGGTCATTGTTATACAGACCATGTCTGCCTGACCAAGCACTGATTCGATGAGATTAGCAAACCTTGTATCCTTGACAGAACATTCGAGAATTGCTGGACCGAATACTTTGCCGGTAAATTTCTGTCTGTTCTTCTGAATCCAGTCCCAGGCCTTGGCAGTATCCGGAGAAGCATTGTTGAGTTTGTTGACTTGTTGTCCAGCTTTGGATCGAAGCTGTCTCAGGCTCGTTTCTGCCGCAACGATACGTTGATCAAGTGAGTTACATATATTAGCCTTATCGTCTTGCTTGGCGTTCTCGTCTCTTGCAGCATCGGTCTTTTCACGTTGTTGGCGTGAAATGTCCCTGATCTTTTCGTTGAGCGCGGCGACATCAATCGTTGGTGGTTCGTTCTCGACTTGACGTTCCAGACTCTTGATCTGGGCGTCAATGCGAAGGCGCTCTTGCTTGTGCGTCTTGACATTCTTCTTCTCAGCATCAAGCTCTTGGTCACAAGCCTTGTGCTGCTCTGACGCCGTGTGTTGCTTCTTGACTTTTTGTCTGATATCGCCTTGTGCACGTGTGACAAGACGTTGGCGGCGCTTAACAACAGCGTCAATAGCCTTGACATAGGCATCCTTTGAATTGACAGCAGCCAAAGCAGGCTCACACTCACGCCGCAGTGCTGCAAGGTCATTGTTGGCTTCCTTCCAGCGTTCCTTGGCTCCATGGTAGTTGTCCCTTGCGACGTTGTAAGCGGGGAAAGGTCGTAGACGTTCCAGAGCAGCAAGCTTTTCTTGTTGTTCGGCACGCTCACGCAGGCGCTCAACATCACCACGCTGCATGTTCTGTCGGCCCTCGAGGTTCTTCAAGTTCTCGGTCTGTTGGCCTTGTTCGGCCTGATGCTTTCGTTGATCGTTGCGCATGTTTTTGAGCTGATCATGCCAGTCACTCATGTAGTCGGGCGCAGCGGCTCTCTGGGTCTGAACAAGAAGTTCGATAGGATCCAGGGCAGCGAACTCAACGACACGGTCTTGTGGAAGGAACTGACACAGATTGTCGACCTGGATGGAGAACGATCGGCAGAGTTCGGCAACGGCCTTCTGGGTGCTGTTCCTGCCATCGATCATGAAGAAGGTCTTGTTGTTCGAGTCTCTTTTGATAATACGCTTGATGACGGGGTTGGTGCGGTGACGAGCAGGATCGCGTTCGAGTTCAATCTCAATCTCAGCCTCTTTCTGGCCATGCTTGACGAACTCGGAGGGATCCTTTGCTCGACCAAGAACGTCAGGTTTGGCTCCGAGACCCAGGCAGATAGCGCAGACCAGAGTACTCTTTCCAGTGCCGTTGGGACCGATAATCATGTTCAAGCTGGGACCAGGAAGGAATTCAGCCATAGTGTATGTAACAAAGTCCTTCATGGCGACCCTGACAATAGAGCCAGGCGAATGAGTGAGNGGTGCCGCATCGTTCTGGTCATTCTCGTAGCTGCGCGGCAGTAGAGGAGCCTGTACCAGGGAATTAGTGAAGGCGCGAGAGACATAGAGTGGTAGACGATACCTGTGAAGCATGGCCGTTCAAGCGTGGGCGCTTATCAGATGAAGGCGTCGAGCCGTCGATATCACTCTCGTCGTCTTCGTCATCACGCGGCCTTCGCATGGGCACCAGTCCGGGCATGTTTGCGGTTGCAACAGCGATGTACGGCCGAGTCGTAGGACTGAAATGTCTATGTGCTGCCTGGGCTGAGGTGACGCGTTTGCCGACGCGACGGAAAGTGGAAGGCGCGAACTTTCCGCACGACCAAGCAATTTACCACCAACTGCTCTGGCTCTACACTCAACACTATAACAAGACAGGTTTGATTTCAATAGTGATTGTTTGATACATCTGTCGAATCGTATGCAAGGCTCGTGTTTTCTACTTCATGTCTATCCCATCCCAAACGCCTCGTAGTGGTATCAACATGCATCCGTGAAACCCATCATAAACCAACCATCCAAGCCATGAATAGCACTGCGAGGCTACTAATCATCGCCTGCACTGTCGTTATCGTCGACGAAACTTCCGTCGACGCTTTCTTCACCAGCAATGCTGGTCTGTAAGCTTGCTGTACTGCCAACTCTCTGCAGCTTCATGCGTTTGCGTAGGGGTGTGTTGTCTTCGTCGTCTCCGAGCTCGTCTCTTTCTCTCTTGTCCGTCTTTGAATCTGACTTGCCCGGACGCTTTCCAAGCTTTGAACCCTTGACGTCTTTCTTCATGCTTTCCTTGAGTCCTCGTTTGAGTACCTTCTTACGCACTCCTCCGGATTTGTCATCGTCTTCGTCCTCATCGTCGTCTCCGTTCTTCGAACCACGTGAATTTGGTGTCGGTGTACCGCCTCTGCTGCCGAGTGGAGATGCTCCGTTTGCATTGTTGAGGCGGGCGGCTCTAGCACCTCTACCTCCGATTCCAAGACACTTCTCCAAGTGTTGGGCGAAGCGCGTGATGAGTAGACTGCGCTTGCAAGACGGACAAGTATGCCATGGGATGTATGTGCCGCCCTTTAGTCTTTCGCCGACCTTGGCAGCCTTTTTGTCAACAGGACCACCTGTATTGGGCTGTTCTGCCGAAGGCGAGGGAGGTGCGGTACCGTTCTCTTTGGAAGCGTTCGATTCGGCCTTCATCCTCTCGCGCTCTTTCTTGGTCGGTGGCTTGTCACTGCCAGCCACTGGGAATGGATTTCCATAGATGTCGTGGCCAGGTCGTGTGGACCAGGGTATGTGTGTGCAGTATTGTATCTTCTTGGGAGGGTTCGCGTTTGCTAGAGGAGGATCCAGGAGCCGTGGGAGGTTACATGACGGGCAGATTGGTAGACCTGTGGAGGGGTCGACGGTTCGTAGAAGTAGTTTCTCGCGGCGATGTGTCTGTAGTACCAAGTCATGGATGACGGTATACAAGCAGTCGTTGATGATACTTTGAGTNCTGCTAGCTAGTCAGCGTCAGACTCCCTTGTCACAGGTTCCGGCGCATACCAAAGACCCAAGGTCGACTTTCGCATCCTGGTCCGAAGACATTCCGTCTGTTGTGGCTCCCAAGGACTGGCGCACAACTCACGGCGTAGGTTGCGATTCAACAGCAACTGGTCTCGATGCTGTCCACCCAAGAAGCTCCTCTATTGTGCAAAGATAGAATGACGATGGCTGTTCGACAAGTTGCGAGTGCAGCTTTAGGGACGCCGACTCGCCGGCTATTCTTGACCGAACCCCAGACGCCCATTTTAGCTCCCGTGATGTTTGTGGGGTCCGCTGTGCAAGCTTGAAGCATGTGAAGAAGGCTCGATGGGTAAATTAAAAGAAAATCATGTACATTTGAAACCATGCCATTCTACATATGAACCCATCCAATCTAGATGACCAAGTTCATCCGAATGTCCGTCTTCCACTCTGTCCTCCGACCCTCCAACTTCTATGTGCGCAAAACACAAAACGCCTTGTATTGTTACACGACTCAGTCACCTAGCCTGTCCCCTATGACAGAGGAATACCCTCGTACTCAGCGTAGCCCAGAGCGAGGTTCATGTTCTGCAGGCACTGAGTTGCGGCACCCTTGAGCAGGTTGTCGATAGTGGCGTTGATAACGACACGCTTGCCACTGCTGTGTACAGCAAAGCCGCCAATCTCAACGCCATGCTTACCAGAGATGTTCTTCACAAGGGGNCTCTCGCCAATGACCTTGACAAGCTTCTCCCCGTTGTAGCGATCTTGGTAGAGCTGACGGATATCACGAGAAGCCATTGTCTCGGCCAGAGGAATAGAGATGGTGTGGTGGATGCCAGCGAACCAAACAGCGACGTGAGGGATGAAGCCAATCTCACGTCCGAGCTGAGCGCTGATCTCGCGCTCGTGGATGTGATCGGTCAAACTGTATGGGATGAGGTTGTTGGTGAGGTTGTCTACGTCGTTCTTGGGACTGGGCTTGGTGCCTGCTCCCGAGTAACCCGAGACACCGAAAACAGTAGGGTTTGCAGGAGCTGCGGCAAGGTAAGGGACTAGGGGAGCAATGCCGAGCTGGGCGGCAGTAGCATAGCATCCAGGGTTGGCAATACGGGTAGCACCTGCGATCTTGCTACGCTTGACAAGCTCGGGCAAACCGTAGGTCCACGATGAGTCAAAGCGGTAGTCGGCAGACAGATCGACAATGACAGACTCCTTGTGGCTAGAGGCCTCAATGGCGTCGACGAAAGGCTTGCAGACACCATTGGGCAGAGCCATGACCCAGCAGTCAATTTCGCCAGCATCAGCCATGCGACGAACGTCATCGGGAGAAAGGTTCTCGTATGTGATGTCGCGCTTGGTGTAGCCGGCAAGCTTCTTGCCGTTCAACTCACGCGACGAGACGTGACGGAGATCCATGTTGGGGTGGCGGTTCAGGAGATCAATCAAGGCCTGACCAGTGTACCCACGGGCGCCAATAAGAGCAACCTTGGAAGGGTAGTCCTTGTCCTGGTTCTTGATGCCAAGAGGAGGGTTGGGGTTAGTAGTGGTAGCGTAGCCACGTCTGCTGGGAGTACCGAAGGCACTGGGACTGGTTAGTAGGTAATATCATCAAGGTTCTAGCACGACTAACCTGCGAACACGCTGCATGTTGCGCGAAGAGAAGGAGCTGGTCGAAAAGGCTCTGGTCTGTTGGCCAAGCGATTCTCTGTGCTGCTGCAGCTTTTGTGCGACATTCTTGATTCTAAGAGCACCTGATGCAGCGCGGTGGAGCTGACTCTCGAGGTTGTTATCACCGAACATCTGTCTGCCGTGTTGAATGAACTCGGCCATTAACTCGCGCACTTCCTCGGGCGTCTCAATGCCGTACCAGAAGAGAACCTCACCCTGGCGGGCGATGCTGCCATCGGCCTTCTCGGAGAACCAAGTCAGATTCTCGTCGTCCTGCTTCACGGTCCAGGCAAGCTTAGGGTAATCGTTCTTTAAGTGCTGGAAGACATTGTCGGCAATGTTGGAGAGCCATGCGGAACGGGTCATGGTCAAAGTAGCCAAGTGAGCCAGACCGCTAGGGGAGGACGAGTCAGGNGGGAGGACAACAGCAAGAGCCTCCATACCCTCATCGTGGTAGGCGGCGAAAGTCTTGCCCTTGAGGCTGTCGAGGTAGCGGTCGACCACAGCCTCGGCGTCAAGACCCTCACGGTCGCGGACAAGAACCTGCTTGAGCTTGTTCACGTCGGAAAATTCGGAAAGCGATGAAGCCTTGTGGAGCTTGGTACCACGGCGAATCAGGGTTCCGGCACCGGTGTGAGTGAACAGTTCGCGCTCAAGACTCTCGGGGTGGATGATGGCGACACTGGAAGAGCGAGGCAGGTGGTCAAGGAGGTCCTTGATGTCTCGGATCTTGGAACGGGTGCCGTGGATGACCCAGGGCATGTTCATGTAGCGGTCGTACTCCTCGTCGAGGTTGATAGCCTCGATCAGCTTGCCCGTGTCCTTGTTGTGCAGACCTCCCTTCTCGGACAGGTATACAATCTTGAGGGGGACAAGGGCCTTGGCCAGCTCGGCAGCGGCCTTGTCGGCGTTGACGTTGAGGAGCTGACCCTCGTTGTTCTCGGCCATGCAGGTGAGGACGGGGATGTAGTTGTCGGCAATGGCGGCATTGATGGGGTCGGTGTTGACCTTGTTGACCTCTCCGACGAACTTCCATGTGTCCTTGTCCTTGTAGTCGGCCATGAGCACGCCCGAAGTGACGGGGCGGGCGCGAACACCCCACGACTCAAGAGCCTCGACAAGCTTGAGGTTCTCCTCGAGGAACAGCTTGCGTGCGACGCCGAGCGTGGGACCATCGGTGATGCGGATGCCCTCGCTGTACTGAGGCTCGATTCCGGCTTCTCCAAGCAGCTTGTTCATCTGGGGGCCGGCTCCGTGGATGATGACGGGGAACAGGCCCATCTGGTTGAGGTTGCGCAACGAGCTGCAGAGGACATCGATGTAGTCGGTGAGGATGGCGCCGCCAACCTTGATGACAGCGAACTTCTGCGACGAGACGGACTGGAATTGCGAGAGGTATTGCTGCACCTCNGCCTGCCCGGACCCGGCTGCGTCAGTGTCTGTCGAACCATGTCTCTCGAGCTGCCGCTATTACTCACGCTTGGATCCAAGGTTCTGAAGCACATTGATGACGGCCGAGCGGGCCGATGTCTCCTCGTGGCGGGTGCCCTTCGAGATAGTGGCATAGCCGCCAGCGAGAGCCGGGCGGACAGCTGCTCTGCATGCTGCTGCCGCCGTCGACACGCGAGCGGTCCTGGCCCTGCCAAGGGCGCGCATACAAGGACGAGCCAACATAGCGAAGTCTTTGTATCGGGTTGGTGGTTGGGGGTTCAAAAATCACACGCCGGCCAACATGCAGCAACCCAATGAGTACAAGAGGAAAAGCACAGCAGTTCGCTTTGCAAAGGACAAGAAAGTCACAATGCCCAGGTTACATGCGGGCCTTGAGTCGACGCCGATGTTCGGGGCATGCGGCTTTAACTCACCGATTTTCCACAATCTAATCTGATTTTTCGACCCCTCCTTCTCACTGACACGCTCTTGTGTGTCTGACAGGCCTCTATCTTTGTCTTGTCCTCGTTGTCGCCTTCGAATCGCGACTCCTCTACTGGTCAAAGAGACTACTATAGAGTCACACAGAAGCAATGCCTCTTTGTTTAGCTGCTTCATAACACAGGACATCGTTATCGTCTGTTCTTATATTACATTCTATCATGGATCCGCTTTTCTGCAAATGTTATCGCCCTTGACCATAGCAATGACACCCTACCAACAACGCCTTCGCTGAAATCAGAATTTGTACACTTCTTTACCATATTTTCTTCTATACTTCCTCCTCGTCAGACGAAGCCTCATCATCGTCATCGCTCTCGTCCCAGCCCTCGGCTTCGAGGCTCGATGATCGGATTCCGAAGCTCAAGGCGAATCCTAAAAGACTGATACCACCGAAAATGCCGAAGGCGAGAGCTTCGCCCTTGGGCCGTACGTGGGTTGCTGCAGTGAATAATGATCCAGAGACAAAAGGTCCGGCAGCGCGTCCCGCAGCTGAAAGTGTTTGTGCAAGCCCGTTCAGCGTACCCAAAACTGAGTGATTTGGTGCCGAGTTGGTGATCNNTGTCTCCATAATTAGCATTTGATACCACACCGAGGAAGCATTTGGTCTTACCAGAAGCAATGCACTGGTGAGGCCGCCGACGGCTGCTACAGTCTTGACGACGAGCACCGCACCGAGCTCAACCCACAGCCAGACTTTGCCTGCTGTTGTGTTGTGTCCAGATCCATCCTTCCCATCCTTGTATCCGACCCAGGGCATGAGTAGGAACGCAACCACGAAACCGAACAAGCCAACGCGATAGGTCGTCTTGTTTCCCACCTTTTCGCGCAGCTTGCCAAAGAGACCGACTTGGAAGACAATAGTGACAAGTCCAGCAAAGCCCAATGAGAGACCGATCTCTTCAGGCGACAACCCACGGCCTGTAGGAGGTACTGCTTGTGCAAAGATAGGGTACAGCGAATTGTACGAAATGTTGGACAGCTGGAAAATAAGGAACGTGATAAGTAGGAGGATGGTGTCACGGTTGAAAACAGCAGAACTGCTAAGCGTTTCGTGATTTCCGGTACCCAGCAGGTGGGTGGATTCAGCATCGCTCTCGTCGTCAGTCGTGTCTTCTTCAGTACCATCGTTACGGGCGCTGGCGGCTGAATGGGCGTGTTGCTCGTGGCGCCTGACATACGAAGGTTTTCTAGCATTACCGGTGAATTGCCAAAGCCACGCAAAGAGATTGGAGACTCGTTTGTTGAGAGGCGGTAGGTCCTTGGCTTCTTCCAGAGACTCTTCGAGGAAAATTATGGTCAGGACGAAATCTACAAGCAGAACACCAGCGCTGAGCACGTTTGGGGCGAGATAAGGGTATGGGTTGGGCTTGCCGTTCCAGGGGATTGTCTCGAATACAAGCAGTCCACCAACAAGAGGACCAGTGATGCCGCCGATGCCGTAAACAACGGGAAGGTAGGTGAAGGCTCTACTCTGATTGCTTCGGTCGGTAATCTCGCCCAGGCAAGTGCTGATAACACCTTGGTTTCCGTTGACCAAGCCCATGAGAGTCTGAGCGAAAATAGCCTGCCACAGGGTCCGGCTGAAGCCAAAGATGACAAAGCAGCAGGCGGTCAAGATGGTGCCCATGAGTACGACGGGCTTCCTGCCAATCCTGTCGCTAAGCCAGCCCCAGAAGAAATTGGTAGCGAATTGTGCCAGAGCAAAGCTCGAAGCTATCAGACCGACGTACAAGCCGACTTGGCCATCTTTGACCTCGGGAAAGGTAGACGCCATGGCAGGCAGATAGGGCGAGATGGAGTTCAGGGCAGTCTGCTCGGCGAGGGCTATGACGGCAAGGATGGCCAATTGGGCCTTTGGGAGCGGCGTCTCATTGTGCGTGTCGTCTTGCGGTCCGGACTGGGCATCGGCGTGGATGTTGGACGACGAGGGATTGGGCGAGGTTGGAGGCTTTCCACGCGATGTGGGCGGTGGAGTGGGGAAAGTCTGATAATGGAGTGTCGAAGATTGTCTCTGGATGAGAGAAGGCTTGTCGGTGCGTGCCATCGACGGCGCGGAGGGAGGGTAGCGGACGATTGAAGCCTCGTGCGCTTCAGAGTCGCGCAAGGCGGGTTTGGTGGTTCGGTGGTGGAAGGTGAGACGGGGTGTGCTGGTGACAATGTTTTTTCTCGAAAGGCACGCGAGATGTTGCAACTTGCAGGTGCCTTGTGCCTGCAGAAAGACGATCGTTTTTCCCACCATCCGCCGACGCTGCTGTGACGCACCTTGATCCCCGCTTTCGGCCACCCTCGCCCGCCTTCCTAACTCGGTCGCCGTCTCTACCCTCTGTCCGTATCCACCGCATACTAGGTACCCAGCTATGCATTTGGAAGATTGCTTGCACAGCATGGCTTGAGTAGAGAGAAAGCACCGTTCTTTGTGGTGCATGATTGAGAGGCGACATGTGCCTGGCAGTTGAATATACAAATCCCCATAAACGCCTCGCTGTGCTGCACAGCATACTATCCCAATGCCACATGCTTTTCTAGTAGTACAAACGTTCAAGTCATATCTCACCGCCAGACCACAATCCTAGAGTGGCTCTGTGGAGCCTTCCTGCATCTTGTTCATTCGCTGGTCTTGTTTCCAACGAACAGTCCGGTCGACTCTGTTTTCGCCAGACAGCTGGCTTTGAGGATCAATTTCCCTCCAGCTGCCCCGGCCACGACGACTGGGCTTCTCTGGTGAGAGACTGCCGCTCTCGCCCCACATGCTGAGTCGCTGCACCTTTCGAAGCTTCCTCAGGCCCCAGACAATGGCAATCATACAGAAGGCGCCGCAAGAGATGCTGACCAGTGGGAATCCGAAGTCTGTTTCCTCGATGAAGTTCTTCAAGTTCATGCCATAAAGACCGGCGAAGAAGGTACCCACACCAATACCAAGCGCCAGAATTGTGAATTGCAGATCCAAGAGCATCAGTGAGTTGCGGTTGGCGTCCAGAATGGCCTTGACNGCTGTTGCAATTGTCAGCCAGGACTTAACAATCCACTTCTCAATCAGGACTTACATTTCTTCCGTGTTGCGGATGTTGCTGACCAAGTTACTGCTCGCCTGCACGATCTCGTCGCACACCTTGTGGTAGGATTCGAGCAACATTTCGACCTCGGTATGGTCGTCCTCTTCACGCATCACACCATTCGCCTTTTCGGTCAAGTACATGTCTGACAGATCATCGTCTGCCTCGAGAAGATCATCGATGGCATCACGAACTAAGCGCGCTTTCTGCTCGAATGTACCCAGTTTCTTCGAGTAGATCAACAAGTGACGCAGCTTGTTACGATCGATGTCTTCTTCGAGCTCTCTCAAAACTTGTACAACGGGTTCGCGCACGCCTTCAAACTCTCCCTCGAGCGCAGAAGTTACACTTATCAGGACGGCTTCCAGCGCACGAAACTCGTATGGTAGAGTGTTGGCAGATCGGCCTTCTCGTAGTTGGAGCTTGCCTTCCAGGTCGTACATGAAGATTGACTGTGTATGCGAGTCTGTGGTCCCGTATGCATCAAACACTAGAACGCGATTGTGGTTGATGAGGCAGCTTATGTGTAAGATTTTGATGAGGATGGCCGAAGGGCGTACGAGAATATGCGGCAACGAAGCGGAATCGATTTTTCGGAGGTCGCGAGGAAGGAGGCCACANCTATCGCGCCCAATAGTCAGATAGAGCTCTGAATCATTGTAGTTGTAAAGTAATACCTTGGCTATGAGCTCGCTCTTCTTGAATGCGCCGTTGACCAGGGTGACTTTGCCATCGCCGTCAAACTCGGTACACCGCATCCTAAGCTCGTTCGTCGGTTTGACGATACGCCCCAAACTGGTAGCTCCCGCATCGTCAAGTAATCTAGGCAGGGGTGGAAGGTCGTTTGGCTGTAGAGGAGCCGTCTTCTTTGGCCGAGCTTGTTGCCATGGCCTTTGCCATCTTGACTTTGACGCACTGTTCCAAAATCCACGACACGAGGGTTGTAGTGACTGTTTTTCCGCGATTCTCAGGGAAGGTCTACGTTGCGAACTTGTCAAGGAGCGTGTTCGAGCAGTGTCGGGCGTAGCATGGTGGTGGTTTCGGCGCACTTGCGACTGCGATGCAAGGAATGACAAACATTCGGCTTGGATGCTCAGAAACTTCAAGACTGCAGGTGATGGCACAGGCGCGCGTACGAACGACAGCGCTTGCATGTTCTGTCTGTTGTTGATACTACTAATTCTGCCTTCACATTCGTTCAATCTTTTCGCGAATGTCGAATCGCGACGACGTCAGAAGCTGCTTGGCGGCTTCTCGTGTTCTGACCAAGTCATCTTCGCGACCCTGACCACCCTGCCCTAGTTTTCTAATCCTCGACTAGTAATTTTTAGAGATGTGAATTAGCGCAGCATGCCAGTACCAAGCAGTACTCGCTACTTCTATTCTATGTGCAATTCATTCTGACATGGGTATTATCAAATCAATGGGGAACCTTGTGTTGTCACAAGATTGCAGACCTCCAATCCGATCTCACGCAAAGTGTCCTCGATTTCTTCTCCACAACACGATAGCACACCAAGAAAACAACAGACCTACTCTGTAAAGCGCTCTACGCCTTAAGCCGAGTATAATAACAGTACTATATATATATATATATCCTATCGCCATTATAAGCATGTCTATGCTAACCGCCGACACGCTCGACGTCAACATCAGGATGAAGCAGAGACCATATGGCTCGGAACAAAGTCCGAGTCTGCCTCGTCTGCTCCTCAATCACCTTGTTGGAGTACGGTCTGCAAGATCAGATTTCAGTGCTATTATCTTGTGTCAAACGACAGCTTTAATGAATACATGAATATTTCGATATCTTTGATAAAGCCGACCACCTCACGTGGCCTTGCACGCGGCAAATGCGCCACACAACCCTGGTGGCGCTCGAGAGAGTGTGTGAGACAAAAACGCCCGGACATATCGTCAGAGATCGCGGGCTTCTTGCATCGGTGAGATTCAAGCACGATGTCCAGTGATCTACACACCGACGCTACGTCTGGCCTCGATCTAACCTGCAGGTAACAGCGTGTCGGGGCATGAGCTGCACGCAGATTGCTCCAAGCGTAAGTTGCTTAAGGTGGGAACGTCCGCAGGGCCCCTCTCTCCGCCAACGACAATGTCATGGCTCGCATGAGAAATCTCTCCGATCGCACCAGCCCTCTCGTGTCTCTTCAGATCAGATTCACCATTCCGCTTTCAGACACAGTTCACCCTGTTTTCCGGTACTCTTGCGTCGCCAGTTGTTGCTTGTGTCTTGATGCTCTGCTGTTTTGCACAAGTTCGCCCTTCGCTTTCCTCGCGAGCACCAACTCTTCTCCTTGAGACTGATGACATATGCTCGCCTCACAAACTTTTAGCATACTCTACCGATTATCGTTCGCCATGCCTTGACGGATGACATCGTCCTTTCTGGGAAGCATACACTCAGGGCTAGCTCCTCAATACTCTACCCTTAATATCATTTCTTTCTATCCGACAACGTTCTTATTCACCTTTTGCGTCTAAAGTATCTCGCACGCCACATCTTGTGTCTCCCAGCCCACTTCCTCATCTTACACAGCATACGTCGACAAAACATGTCTCCCAAGGCACGCGTTCTCATCTACGTGCTACGCCGCGACCTACGACTCGCCGATAACCCGATATTCCACGAGGTGTCACGACTCTTCCAGCAATCCCAGCACCCATTCACCCACTTTCTTCCCGTCTACACATTTCCAGCCAACCAGCTCGAGGTTTCCGGCTTCATATCAGATTCCTCAAACAAGTCACCATACCCAGAGGCCAGAGCCCCAGTCAGTGGGTTCTGGCGATGTGGTCAGCTCAGAGCCAAGTTTCTGGCAGAAAGTGTGTGGGACCTGAAGAAAGACTTGGAAAGAGTTGGCAGTGACCTTCAGATACGCGTCGGCACTGTTCACGATGCGGTCCGAAGCATACTTCAAGGTTACAAGGAACACAACGAAGTGGACATCGCAGGCGTTTGGATGACCAACGAGGAAGGCGTTGAAGAGAAGAGGGAAGAGAAGGATGTCAAGAAGCTCTGTAAGGAGTTCGACTCGGAGTTCAAGCTTTGGGTGGACGAGAAATACTTTGTGGACGAGTAAGTACATCTCCAAAGCTCGTGCTCCGAAATTACAGGGCTAACAAGGATATCATAGTNNCGCGATGTTCCATTCGATGATCCGCGAAAGTTGAACGATGTGTTCACTGCATATAGGAAGACCGTCGAGCCTCTAAGGTCTGCACCGCGCAAGACCATCCCAGCACCGTCCACCCTACCGCCTCTCCCTAATCACATTCCCCCACAATCCGAGCCCTTTGAGATTCCGGATTCTCTAGAAGGCATCATGGCGGCCCTCACCAAGCCACTTGGAGACGATCTCGGCCTTGCAAATGTGGCAAAATGGCCAAAGGGAGCAGAATCCGCACATCCATACCTGGGTGGCTCAAAATCAGGCCATGAGCGCATCGACCATCTTATCGAGAGTGGGAGCATGACCGCATACAAAGACACTCGCAACGGACTATTAGGCCTGGACTTTAGTACAAAACTATCTGCATGGTTGGCTCTGGGGTGTTTCACAGCACGTCAAGTACACTGGAAGCTAGTCGATTTCGAAGACGGAAAAACACCGCTCGGAAAAGATGCTCCTGGATATGGCAAGGGTGAAAACAAGGGCACAGCCGCTGTACGCTTCGAGCTCTTGTGGCGAGATTACATGCGCCTGTGCACGCGCAAGTTTGGACCTCGCCTATTCCGTGTGGAAGGCTTTAGGAACGATCAGAACGCCTCATGGAAGTACATCTCTAGCCCCTTCAGCGATTCTACCGACAAGAAGAACAAAGGCGGGAGCAATGACGATGATACTGCTGCAGCTGTACTGCGCTTTGTTACAGGCCGGACTGGTACTGGTCTCATCGATGCTAGTCAGCGCGAACTCTTCTTGACCGGATATACCTCGAACCGCGCAAGACAAAACGTTGCAAGCTACCTATCCAAGCATCTTGGAGTGGATTGGCGCATCGGTGCAGAGTGGTACGAGTGCAACTTGATCGATTACGACCTTTCAAGCAACTGGGGAAACTGGCAATACGTAGCCGGCGTAGGCAACGATCCTCGCGGCGAATCGCGCGTCTTCAACCCTGTCAAGCAAGCTCTGGACTACGACTCACAAGGAGAGTACATCCGCACGTGGGTCGAGGAACTCAAGGACGTCAAAGTAGGATCCCAAAGCGAAGGCACGCAAGATTCGCAAAACTTGATGGGTGTCTTCCAAGCATGGAGATTGCCAGAGGAAGAAAAGAAGAGATTGGGCATACAGTCTGTGGAGTGGGTGCAGAAGCCTTTGGTAAAGATTGATTTCTCGCTCAACAGACGAGGTGGTGGTAGTAAGCGTGGCCGGGGCAATGGACGTGGTGGACGTGGAGGAAGCCGTGGAGGAAGAAACGAGAAAAGAGGTACGCCCGAGAAGGCACATGCATAAATCTACTGCCTGCTATAGATGAAAGACCAAAAACATATTCTTGATACCATCGATAATTCATCTTCAAAATCTCTTATAGTTACCAGAAGCTTGTTAGGTTGAGGTGATGTATTTGGCACTGAGGATAATAGGCTACACCGTTGCCGTATCTATAAGAGCCCTAAACTCGCATGATGAATCACCATATAATGAGTATTATCGGAAGCAGACTAGAATGGATCAGGAGTGCGAATCACAGGCAAGCTCTACAGAGGACGAATAACCTCGAAGGACATCTCGTTTTCTCTTGCCTAGATTCAGGAATGTCTTCTTCCTCCATTAGCAGTCTACACGATCATGGTGTTAGCTTGGATAGCGTGCTTCTGTGGGCAGTACATCAGCAAATATATCATTAGAGAAGGATTCTGAAGCATCGTGTAGTTTCTCTTCAGCCAAATTCAACAGAAATGCATCACGGAGAAAGGGCACATCAGTGGCCACATCGAATCGATTTGAGCCTTGGTGGCTACGAACCAGTGGTCGTCGGTGCCGACTCTTTCCATCATTTTTCTTGCAAGCAATTGGCAAGAACCAGACGAGCAACATTGCATGGGATAGAACTACTTGTGTGAGAATGATTTGCCAGTGGAGTTGTGCTTTGTGGCTTTGATCTTGTGGTAACAAAGCTACGATGGACATAACCACGGACTTAGAAAACAGAGCAACTGATGGGAGCTGTGGGGTTGGTCGCCTCGGACGGCAACTCTACACGACAGCATTGGGCAAGGAAACACAATGGTACTACTTTGGTGCTGGGAAACAGAGGGGATTTCCCAAGAAAAGTCGTAGGCAGCCAAATAACGACGAGTTCTCATCATCCTTCACATACGATTGATTACGGCAACAGCGTATTCGGAGCCGCGGGATCCGGATCTCATGATGGATGCAAGCCGCGCGGAGACGGGAACGTCAAGTCTCGTCATCGCTTGGCTCCCATTACGCTGACATTCCGCCTTCTCTGGGTAGCTATTTAGGCAGCCAAACCTCTACTGTCTGAGAACTTCCCATCCCATTAGCAAACATGAGGTTCTCACATATCCTCCCTCTGGCTGCCTTAGGCGCCGCATTCGTCGTGCCCAACGAGCAGGTCTTCAGTGAACTCTCAATCGATGACACCACTCACGCTCGTGCAAACCAGGGAGCCTGGTCAGAGCAAGTTCTCTCCGAGCTGAAGAACGACTTCGCCGAAGCTGAAAAGGGCATCAAGGAGGCATCAAACAATGTCAAGCACGCTCTTGATGAAGCCTTCAGTTCTGCCTCGGACATTGGAAGCTCGATGACAACCAAGTTCCAGGAGACCGCTTTTGATGCTAAGTCTTGGTTCGAGTCTGCTGCCAACAACGCATACGATGCCTTGGACAGCCACGATGACCACNCCGCATCCTCCTCACCACGGTCCTCCTCCTCCTCACCATGGAGAACCCCATCACGGGGCCCTCACCACGGCCACAAGCCCAACGAGACTGTCTGGCAGCTGCTCAGCTCTTCCAAGTACACCGAAAAGTTCTCCAAGCTCATCAGCGAGTACCCTGACCTCGTCAAGAAATTGAACTCCACCGGTCATGGTAACTTCACCATCTTCGCCCCTAAGGACACTGCTTTCCCTGACCACCCTCACCACAAGCCCAGCAAGGAGGACATCAAGAAGCTCATCGAGTACCACATCAGTGACGACTTCTACCCTGCTGGCAGAGTCCTCATCACTCACACCATCCCCACTCTCATGAAGGGTGAACACTTGCCTGGCAAGGCCGCCCAGAGACTCAGCGTCCACCTCGGCTTCAGAGGCTTGACCATCAACTTTTATTCTCGTGTGGTTGCCGTCAACATTTTCGGTACAAACGGAGTAATCCACGGAGTCGACAACCTTCTCATTCCTCCCCCAAGAGCCTTCAAGATCATCGATCTCTTGCCTTCTGAGTTCTCTACCTTTGAGTTGGCTCTTGGCAAGACTGGTCTTCTTGACGCCTACAACAGCACCGATCATCCCAGCGGTACTCTGTTTGCTCCTTCCAACTTCGCCTTCCAGAAGCTTGGTCCTAAGATCAACGGATTCCTGTTCAGCGAGTATGGCCGCAAGTACCTCAAGGCTTTGATTCTCTACCACGTAAGTAAAGCAAGTTCATGATGATGACCTGGACAATGCTGACTGAAGATAGNNACTGTGCCCGACAATGTTCTGTACAGTGATGCTTTCATCAAGGCCGAGGGACATGATGGTATCCCCAAGGGTCACTGGCACGTCGACCTTCCCACTGCTCTGGAGGACCACTCCCTGTCGGTCGATGTAGGAAGATATGGCGGTCTGATCGACATCAAGGTTAACGCCTTCTCGCGCGTCAGCGTCCAGGATGGTATTGCCGCCGACGGAGTTATCCAGGTGGTCAGCGACGTTCTGATCCCTCCCAAGAAGCTCGGTAGCGCCAAGTTTAGAAGCACCAACTGGTTTGGTTCTGAANAGGAGCTCAGCCTTGAGGAGTTCAAGGCCAGATTCGAGCCTTATGTCGAGAGAATGCTCGACCTCTAAATTAGAGGCGGAAAATCCTCTGTGTGATATGACCATACGATCCTTTATGATTATCTAGTTAGTCAGTGTGTGGTAGCCGTCAAGGTACCAATATTCAAAGCAGCCACGAGCTTTTCGTTCTTGAAATCTTGTCTGAACACCTGCAACGTCAATCGTCGTGATTGCACATAGTTGAGACAGGGACGACCATAATCAGATGTGTTCTATCCCCTGTCGACACGGATGTTTTTGAAAGTTACTGTGTCTTCTGTTGTATTGTTGGTGAGAGTCGGGTGAGGACGAGGAAGGGACTTAGGCCAAGGCGTTGCGGCGGACGCGAGACGTGATTGGTCGAGTGGCAGCGGAAGTCAAGTCGAGACAGAGACAGCACGGCGGATCAAGTTTTGTGCACAGCATACAAGCAACAGCGACAGCAACAGTCAACAGGCTCGCCATCTTCAGTCCAGCTCGGCAAGCAGGGCAGCTCAGCATCGACGCCGTCAAGTCAATCGTGCCATGATCGCGGCATAGACACGACCACAGCACACGTTCATTCACAATGGTTGCCCATCTCCATCCGCGTTCGCGGTCCACAATGTCGCTCTTCAGCGGCTGCCTCGCCATTTGCTTTGCTGTCGTTGCAGCTCCTCACGTCCTCCCGTGTCCTGTCGACAAGACACAACTCGCCGACAGCGCTTCATCAGATGGCGAGCCCAGACGCCGAAGACGCCGCAAGCAATCCGCTCCGGCTCCCGACTCTGACCAACAAGACGACAACGATATGCGTGCCATGGTCGACATGGCCCGACCGAAGCGCGAGTGTCCCGTTCCCAAGCCCAGTGGCCTCATTGGACAAGTCATGGGCTTCAAGCCACAAGAGCAACGACAGAATCCCACCATCATCATTCAGACATTACGCGACCGCCATGCCAGACAAGATTCGGACTCGACCGACAAGTCCTTGTAAAAGAGCTTCGAACCAGATCGACATGTGTATTATACTAGACGCTCTAAAGGTCATCTACGAGCAACCACTTCCCGACAAACCGTGAACTCCTCCAGCCGAGATGTAGCTACAGCTGCCCGTTCCCGTGCTCGTCGAGTTTTCGGCCGTCGTCAGCGTGACATTGTCAAAGCTGATGTTGAAGCACGGATGCACCTTCGAGCAACTCACACTCGCCGTCCGATTCTTCGACTCCTTGCCCGACAGCCAGCCTGTGAAGTTGGCAAACACAATGTTACTCACGTCCATCAAGCTTGTGCCTGCGTAGCTGCCGTTGTTGCCCGAGTTCTGATCGATAGTCGGTCCTGCGTCTGCGCCCTGTACCTGGAAGTTCGAGAACTGGATGTTACGGACGGATCCCCAACCACCTCCTCGTGGCTGCCCTGCGTTCTCGTAGTAGCCATTGGCCGAGGGATCTTGAGGCACTAAGGCGCCGACCCAGGTTTTGATCAGGACGGACCCGTGCATGTCTTCGTTCCATCGGATGATCTGCCTTGGAGTCAGTCGCTGCTGTGTGCCAACCAACACAGCAAGAAAACATACCTTCACATCATCCACAATCACGTTCTCGACAGTGCTGTCCTCGAGGTACTGCCCAACACTCCCGATGGCCATGCCGTTTCCGCCTCTGCATGTGGCGTTCTGGATGTAGATGTTGGAAGATCTCGGTTTGACAGCCACACAGTCGTCACCTCCCTGATACACAAAGTTGGTGAGACGAATATTCTTCGAGTCCATCGTATCNTTCAAAAAGTCAGCCCAATGTTCGTATATATCAAAATCTAGTCAATGCTTACCAAACCCATCTGTATTCTGCACCCAGTTCTGGCTTGCATTTGCTTGTGTTGCTGTCGCGTTGCAGTATAGTTCGTCTACCCACACATCTGTACCGTTCATGATGTTGAAGCTCCACAAAGGCGGGTCGATGATGAAGAATTTCTTGACTGTCACGTCTGAGACATTCCAGAGGACAAATGGCATCGGGCGTCCAGGTACTGTATGACCCGCTTCTGCAGTGTACNNCTTTTCAGGATCAGCAAAATAGCTTGGACATTGTCCATGGATGGAAACTCACCAGGTATCGCCATTTCCATGGATGCCTCCTGTTCCGTATCCATTGATGCGTATATGGTCACCTGTCAAGATGAACGAGGCAGCATGGTTCTGGAATGCAATCGGATAGGTAGAGCTGTTTTGTCTCCAGTACTCGATGTCGGGAGAGAACTAGGGTTGTGTCAGTACTACTTCTTCCTCTACATCGTTGCACTTCGCCGTGTAGTTATAGAAGTGCACAGTCCTATCGAGAAACAAGGCAGTATCCACTGAGAGCCGACAATGTAGCGGCTCTCTTTGGCTACTCCTCTTCTTTGGAAAGAATTGTGCCTTAATAGTGTACACTTTGCTCTACGCTCTCGAAGGAGGAGAATAGTGTCGAAGAGGCAGTGTATTGCTTACCGTCCAAATACCCGCCCAGTTGATGTTGACATTGTTGACGACAGGGTTTAGCTTCGAAGCAACATAGTAATTCTGGCCTTCTGGAAAAATAATGTCGCCTCCACTTCCACATTTACTGAATGCTTTGAGGATGTTGGGGACGTCGTTGGTGGTGCCTCCATTAGCGAGGACAGTGCATTGAGGCCGGCTGCCGTGGTTCGAGTAATGGACGCCTCCACCAGCAGATGCCAATGAAGGGACAAATGCAAGAGCAGTCCAGAGGTTTGTCGAGATCATCTTTGGATGCAAAGAGGGGAGATGTGATACTGTTTGGCCATTTCACTGGGCTAGTCTGTGTCTCTTATATACACTTTGTAAACCGCCTGCAGCAACTCCTCACAGAGACGGCACAAAGAGGAAGATATAATTTCGCTCCAATCATTGCAATGTAACCTTTACGGTATCCCCGTAGATCCCTCGCGGAGAAGTGCATTCTAAAAGACAAGATCTTCATGGGTACAAACAAGCATCCCAGAGCAGCCACTTGCTCGGCATGAAACACACCGAGCTGCTGACAAGAAGGTGCGAGTGGAGCTCAAAAGGGAAAGAAGTGATTGCGGGGAAGATCTTCCCGATGACGTATGTGTTTTTCTGCAAGGCACCACGACAGCGACATCTTTTTGATCTACAGGAACCAGACATCAATTGATACCATTATACACAGCTCAAGATCAAGATGGTAGCTGCAGCATTGACGAGATCACGATTCGTGGCAACCCTGCCGCGAAGCTACATCCAAAACTTCACGCGTGCATACACTGCCACTGCACCTAAGAAGGCAGCAAAGAATCGTCTCTACAACTCGTAAATATCACCTCTAGATACAAATCTTCTTCAAGATTGCTAACAAGAGAATAGTGTACGCTACGAAGATGAATTCGAAACCCTAAACCTGCTTTCGGCCAGCAGTCGCATACCTCTAATTACCCTCTGGTCTGCATCATGGTGTCCATCCTGCAAAGTCATCTCGCCACTGCTAAAAGAACTCATCAATGAAGGTGTTGGAGAAGCTCAAGGTGGTGTCTCTTATGCCGAGATTGAGCTCGACTCGCCAACACTAGGAGGCTTGGCTTTGAGATATCAGGTTGGTTTTATCTAGTCAAACACTTGACAGAAAACGTAGTAGTGTATTGACAATGGACAGGTCAATTCGCTACCCACATTGCTGGCATTTGACAGACAAGAGGCTCAATTGGAGACAAAAGTCCACAAGGTGGATGACATGAAGAACAGGCAGTTCCTCATCAACTGGATCGAGACGGAAGCCAAACGTCATGGCGAAGGCGGTGCTGGAGGAAGCAGTCTTTTCGGCTTGTTCGGACGTTAACGATACGCATACGAAAGCATGGAACTCACATATAGCGGATCAGCACAAGGCGACTGATGATGTTCATCTAGCACGGAGGCTGAAGAGCTCAGATTTCGATAAGAGCAAAGCGCAGAGGCTCCTTGAAATGCAAGCCACACATGCGGTCTTTTGTCACGAGGATGCGATATCGTCGACTATGGGAAGCGGAAGATGCGTGTTCACGAATAATCTCGAGAATGGAGAAAGACATCGAGGGTATATATGTGATCTAGTAAGCGAACAGCAATGTTTCGGCTGGCAGATCCAGCCGACGAGCGAGAAAGCAAATATCATTAGTGCACCATAAAAACGCCGCATGAAAGAAGCCACCCATTCCTACTTTTTCTTTCGTCAGACATGATCAGATGGTTTCTGCACCTTTCTTTCAGGTGAACTTTCAGCAAGACATTACACGATCTCTGACGGTAGTCGCGCGGAACGAATAAGAAGGACACAATTAGAGAACCGCAGATGTGGGTATCAATATGCAATCCGTCCCAGAATGAATTACGGGATGTCGTCGACTAGGCCTGATAATACAGTGCAGATTGATTAGTAACGGGATTTGGCGCCACATATACATTCTGGTAAGGATGTGATGGCATGGTGAAATCAGCATTGGCAAACATGGGATTCACCATGCCAGCTGGCGGGCGGCGAGATGCTGCTGAAGTTTGTGTGGGCGCAGGTGCAGCAACGGGCGTGATGGTGGTCGAATACTGCCCGTACGGTTGTTGCATTGGCACAGGACTCGTGAGCAAAGACGTGGAATGAACCGGAGCGATGGGCTGGGGTGGCGGCTGTGGTTCGTCTTGCCAGCCCCATTTCTCCTTGAGTTCTTTGAACACGAATGCGATACGCCATCCTGTCTCCTTGTTGATTTTCTGGAAGATCTGAAGCACCTCTTCTTGCTCACGTCGGTCGGTCAAGCACTCGGCAGCATGGGCCAAGGAACGGATAGCTACACTTGCGACTCCNCCCTAAAATTTGGTTAGCATCAAGACCTGTCCGACACCAGTGGACGGAGTTACTTACCTGTCCTTGACATGAGCAGTAATGCCACAAATCATCTGCGAATGGCGGTGCTGCATATCGTGCATCTCGGGGTTATCGAGGCCAAAGTAAGGGTGTATTTGTGAAAGAAGGACCATGACAGTGTGGTAGAATAGACGAGCGACAATGGTTGTACGCTTGATCAACCATACCTCCGGGAAACACGACTTGGACGAAGTATGCTGAGGGTAGAGATAGGCCATAGGATGCATGGTACGAGGAATGTTGTCGTTCCAAGCATCGGTCCATGACTTCAGTTTCTGCCATTCACCATACCTATTCTGACGACGAAGTTCTTCTTCGCGCTGATCTTGCTCCTGGTGCCGAGGTATGGTGGCTCTGAAGTTTGCGACCTTCGCGACGATGTATAACATACGGTGAGTCCAGATTTCCTCTCGGCCATTGTGAATCTCGCGATTGAAGTCCATGTCAATACCCCAGTCGTCGGGATCCCAGGCGACCTGCCAGTTGAAGTGGAGGCAACTCAAGACTTCCAGTCCGACATTGAGCCAGAAACAAGCGGCGCCGATGCCTTGAGAACGGGCATTCCACCCGCATTCTTTAATCAGAGCGCGGGCGCCAGCGATATGGTTCATTCTCTGTAATGCGCGCTCGCTCATGATCTCGTATACGTTCAAGATGACGGCAGTAGTGGCACACACGATGGTGTCGCGATTAGGATTCTGGAGGTTTTTGAGCAGATACCTCGTTGCAGTATCGTAATAGTGCAGAGCCTTTTCTTCACTGTAAGCAGAATTGACGAGCACTAGATGGCGGGCACCGCAGGCTAGGAAGGCGTTTAAGAGCATAGGCTCGCCTAAAGAATGAAAGGGCAACAAACGTGAGAACTACGAGGCGTTAGTCGGTGCTCGAGAACCCATTAACACAAGGGTACATACGTGTTTCATAGGATCCATGCTGTCCATCCATAGACCAACTTCTTCGACGAAGACTTGCATGAACAGAGTCTCCTCTTGTGTGGTGAGAAATTCGCGTCTGCCCTCAGCAGCATCGTCTTGATCTTGTTGTTGGCTGTAAGCTGATATGGAATTCCTTTGTTGGTTTGAGAAAGGAGAATCTTGAGTGGCATGGTTGGATGTGTTATAGGCATCGTACTTGTGGTCCTCAGTTGAGGGGTATGATTCAGGAAGCATGCCTTGAATTGGCGGTAGCGGTTGGTATGACATGTTTGGAGCAGACGGAGGATTGCCTTGAGCCTGTGCCTGAGCCTGAGCCTGTGCCTGTGCCTGAGCATGGGCTTGCGCTTGCGCTTGAGCTTGGGCATGGGCTTGAGCCTGAGCATGAGCGTGAGCTTGTGCCTGCGCCTGAGCTTGAGCCTGGGCATGAGCGTGCTGTGCTTGAGCATGTGCCTGGGCTTGAGCCTGAGCGTGTGCGTGGGCCACGGCAGCTGGGTTATATTCGAACATGGGCATGCCCGTCATATCGGTAGCTTGTAGCTGCGGCTGTACAATCGAGGGCCGCGAAGGGCGCGCATCTTTCGCGCCGTACTTCTCTAAGCCTCCTACATACTCGGACGCAATGTCGCGGGACTCGTCCATGAAGTCTACCTTCCATTCAAGCGTGGGAGCCTTCTGCGGCGGGCCTTGGCAGTTTGTGTCGATGAAGTTGAGCCGCAGGCCGCGTTTGCATTGGCGATTCGACTTTCGACAGTTCTGGCAGATGGGAGCTCCTTCGTCGCATNNCTTCAGATGGCGCTCGCGACACGTCAAACATCCGGTACGCACGCGCTTTGGTTTGGACACGACGGCGGCGGCTGCATCGGGCACAGGCACGTCGCCATTGTTTGTCGGCGCAGTCATGGAACTGGAGTGCGTCCTTTTCGCGTACAGCTGGAGCTGAGCTGGACTCGGTCGGCTGATCGCGAGCGTCGCTGAGTCGAATGGTCGAGTCGAGTCGGAAGCGAAGCAGTTGGCGACGTCTTCGCTGGCGGATGCAGGCACGGGAATCCTACTGGGCCAAGTCGCGTCTACTAGGCGGTACTGTTCGCACGAGGGCGCCCGCTACAAAGTCGATTGGATCAAACGAGATGGAAACAGAACATGAGGGTGATGGTGAACTCAAAAGCGCGATGCAAAGGTGGGAAGTCGCTGCCGAAAGCACGTCTGCACCTTCCAAGCTCATCCCGCGCTTGGACCCGCCCGCTGCTCCTTCCTAATCCTCCAATTCTCCTGTCCCGCTATTATGGAGCCTCGTATCTGCTGTTTTATGCACCTTCTCGTGAAGTCCTGCTCTGATACTGACAACTCGACCCGCTTGCTCATGCGGGCTGCTTCAATTATTGCTTGCACGTTGTGAATCGCACATTGCTGCAACGCTATCTTGCCTGTCGCTTCTCTCGGCTACTCGTGCATAACAGACCCTTGGCTGGCTCAATTGGCAATTCGAGCCTGCTCGTGGGCGCCTTCCCGCTGTCATCTGTCACTTTGTACCGAGCACCTCTCATGATCTGTACCTGAACAGGTTTCGAGTCCCACTTCTATCTGCACATGGCGCTGTTACAGACTGCTGCTCTGCCCCCTGCTCAGCCAGCCTATGTGCTTAGAGGCCATAATGCACAGATTCACAGTGTTTGCTTTGTGCGCCATAACACCCGCCTCTTGACTGGTGACGCCGAAGGCTGGCTCGTCCTATGGAATCTCGCTTCCAAGCGACCTGTCGCTGTATGGAGGGGTCACTCTGCTGCTATCCTAGCCCTGTCGACCTGGGCAGATGACAGGCTGATTACGTGAGTTACAGGCACATGCCAATCCCATCCCATCTGTTACTGCCATGCTGATAAGCTTCCAAGGCATGGGAGAGACAGTAAGTTGCATGTCTGGCAACTGAAACCATCCGACGAATCCACCTTTTCTGTTGTTTTACCCATAGAAGACCCCGTCACACCTCGCCATGAGCCATGGCTACTGCACACAATCTCGGTGAACACTCTCAACTTCTGTTCATTTTCCGCCTGTGAAGCCTCTCCATCAGAGGCTGCCCAACTAGTCCCCAAAACTACCGACGCAGCTCTTCTTGTTGCTGTGCCAGGAGATTGCGAAGGCGATATTGATGTTTATTCTTTTCCCTCCAAAGCAAAGCTCACTACCATCTGCCCTCCTAGGACTGTCAAGCTAGGTATGTTCATGTCTTTCGCTCTCCTTCGACCGTCACTAACGTTGCTAAACANNGGCATGGCAATGTGCGTCAAAATCTTCACTCAGGATGGCCACCTCATTTTGATAGCAGGTTACGAAAGTGGCTATTGTTGTTTGTGGCGTTACGATCAAGACAAGAAACAATGGGCTTTGCTTTCTACCACCAAGAGTCATACTCAGCCTATTCTTTCACTAGACATCGCAAAGTCTCTTCGAAGATACTACACATCTGCTGCAGACGCTACTATTGCTAGCTACTCTCTCACTGATTTGACAGCATCTCAGCCCATAAAGTCAGCTCAAACCAAGCACTCCGGCCAGCAGTCTCTTTATGTTCGGTCCGACGATAAGATCTTTGCTACAGCCGGTTGGGATGGATGTGTGCGAGTTTACTCTGCAAAAACAATGCGGGAACTTGCTGTGCTAAAGTGGCACAAGCAGGGCTGCTATGCCCTCGCATTTGCAGACCTGTCTCTAGAGGAGACCGAAATCACAGAAGGTGAAAGCAAAAATGCCAAAGAGGAACAGATCTCTACATCACTTCAAACGGTCGGACAGAGACGCCAGACCAAAGCTCAGACAACGCACTGGATAGCTGCTGGGTCGAAAGATGGGAAAATCTCGCTATGGGATCTCTATTGATGAGAAAGAAATAAGCTGGCGATTAGCCAAGGTTGAACTCCGAAGCACCACCACCCATCATAGCCTTTGTCTTTGCGCGCATTATTCTGGCTGCTTCCTGAGCATCAGTCATCTGCGGACCGTCGTCTCCGTCAGGTGCAGACCTCTTCTCGCCTGAACTCTTTGCGCCCTTGACGTTAGCCTTGTGACGCGAGTCCTTGGACTTCTTGGCGTCTTCCTTGCCAGGACGCAGACCTGGCACCTTGATGCTACCAGGCTTGTCTCTAAGCGCAAAGGCTTTGGCCAAATGACCGAGATGCAGAGTCTTGATGTTGAAGATTCCTCTCTCTGCCGCCACATGGGTAGCATAAGCTCGGATATGACTTTGGTATGCGCGGCGAGCCTGCTCGAGATGTTTCGGGCTCTCGAGAGCCCATCTTTCGACATCCAGCTGCCAGTCCGTTGCTTTCTCTTCCCATTCACGACCAGAAGAAACTGTGCCCGAAGTTGGCGTTAGACCCTTCTTCAACAGCTCAACAGCGTCATGCCGAGTGAGGCCATGTCCTGCATCTCTTCGGCCTTCTTTCAGGATGTCGATGTATCCTTCTTCGTTGCCAGGTTGGAGGAAGATCAAAGCACGTCCGTCACGTCCTGCACGAGCGGTACGTCCGATACGATGGAGATGGTCGTCCTTGCTGAAGGCGGGATCGTATTCGATAACAAAGTCGACGTTCGGAAGATCCAGACCACGAGAAGCAACATCGGTACAGATCATGACTGAGGCATCCTTGTTGTTGGTGAAAGCCTTGAGCGTGGATGTACGAATATTTTGGGGAAGCGAACCGTGCATGCGGAAGATGGAGACATCGTTGTCTTTGCCAGAAATGATTGGTGAAATGGCTTCGGTGCACGCATCGTCAATCGAACCTCCTTGTCTGATCTTGCCTGGAGCCAGCTTCTTTTCATAATTTGATAGTTCCTTCTCCTTCTCTTTCTTCGCAGTGGTCGTGATAGGGTTCATCTTGTCCAGCTCAGATAGTTCCGGGTTCTTCTTCCTTTCTTCCTTTGCCTCGGATCCAGTGATTTTCTTCTCTCCACCACGTGTTAGGACCTCGAAGTGGAAGTCGACAGAGTCAGCGCATGACATGAATACGATGGTCTTCATAACAGATCCCTTCCTGGCAAACGATCGTCGGAGAATGGCAGCAAGAGTGACCAATCTCAATTTGGCAGGAACGACAGCGTACGACTGTTTCAATTGAGCGGGTGCTGAGAAGGCATGGCCGTTCTTTTCTGCGTCTTCAGCATCTCTAGGCTTCTCGGCAGAGATTGACACGGCTTCCTTCAAGGTGATGTTTCCCAGTCTCTCGACGTCCATCTTGATGGTAGCAGAACACAAGACTGTTGTTCTTTTCTCAGGCAATCCGGGAATAGGTGTTTGCTGTACCTTTCGCATGCGCAAGTTCATCAGAGAGACGATTTTTTGAATGTCATTTTCGAAGCCAAGCTCCATCAAACGATCACCTTCATCCAGTACTAGCCATCTGACGTTGCTGACATCCAGTACTTCAGTGTGTTCTAAATGATCGACCAGACGACCAGGAGTGGCAACCAGAATGTTCAGGCCCTTTCTTAACCTCGCCTTCTCTGATTGTTTCTTCTCTCCACCAATGACAGTTCCAGCAACGATCCAGTGGGCGGCTCCAAGTAACGATTCGAGGACGGTTGAAATCTGCTTGCTGAGTTCTCGTGTGGGTGCTAGGATGATGGCGAACAGTCCAGAGTCTCGGGTGAGGCCACCGGTACCGCCATTCGCTTCCCTCGCAGTCTCTGACATGGTGACCAGACGTTGTACGATAGGAAGCAGGTAGGCTAGTGTTTTACCGGAACCAGTTTCTGCCTGGATGAAAGCGTCCGAGTCGTCTTTTACTAGTTGTGCAACAGCCTTTGCCTGAATAGCTGTCGGAGCCTTGATGCCCATCTTTTCGAGGAGGTGGCGAGCAACTTTTGGCGATAGGCCGAGGGAGGTGAATGTGTCGAGTTCAGAGCTTAGGGGGGGCGTTGGAAGGTTGTATGGGTTCTGCGTCCTCTGCTTCCTCCTCTTCTTCGACGGGNNAGCAGTTGTGGCAGTCGGATTGTATGTGAACAGAGACGAGATGACCTCCTTCGGACGTTGTCTAGGGGCATTGTTGCTGTCTCTGGGACCGGTGCGGCCAGTTGTATGTGTGGGCTTGTATTCACCTCCGTCGGTCTTTTGGCGCTTGAAAGGGCGAGGTTCCGAGTTTGAGCCTGAGCGCACATCGTTTCTCGCGTCATTCTCCTTCTTGTAGTCCGGGTTGCTCTTGTTCTGGCCGTATTGCAGGGCCTTCTTCGCAGTCAAGCGATCCTTCCAGCGGCCGCCCTTGTATGCGGTAGTTTTAGGAGCCCACGGCTGGTCGCCAACCGCGAAGTTCAGAAGCATTCCATCGTCGGCCATGGTGAATAATATGTGTCTGTCGACACAAAAGTTGATGCAGAATCTGGAAAATTGAACGCGAGAACTCAAGAAACTCTTCGCAGATCTGGGGTATTCGAGCTCGGACCAGGCACATGCCCGCATCCTCTCCCGAGCCGCCTGGCTGCCTCAGTCATCTCTACCTACCACAGTCCTCTCGACAGATTCTTCAGATCGTACTGAGATGCTGCCGGAAGTCGCCTCGTGCCCTGAGTATCCAAGGTAGTGTCCGTACTCGTTAACTTGCGTGTCTTTGGACCATCCCAGCGGCACTTCTATTGGTTGCGTGAGATTGCTCCCAGCCACGCGCAGCTGTTTAACGAACAGTTTCCCATTTCAGCTGAGCCCAGCAAGCCCACTTGCCAGCTTTTGCTGGTAGATGACCGTCTATCCTCGCTCATCGCCGAGTAGCTATGTTTCAGATGTGCCATTGGTTGCTGATCTGCGTATGTGGCAGGTTGGCAGCACTGAGACAAGAGAAACCGTTGAACCATGACGTGTGTTGAAAACCACGAGCAACATGCTTTGATGCATCCTGTGCCGCTCTCTATCAACCTGCATATCAAGAAAAAAACTTGCATCCTGATTCCTCTTGCGACAGTTTACACAGCTCTCCAACATGGCCCAACGAATGCGAGCAGTACAGTACACTTCGGTTCAGGGTGGCCTTGAGAAGAACCTACGCTATACCGAAGAGGTAAGTGATTCCTTTCCCTCTCCCTCTGCGCTTCTTCTCTCCTGCACATACGAGTATCCAATCAGACGCTGATAAGAATAGGCACTAGCACCTCAGCATGATGAACAGATGCAACGTGGCGATCACATTATGGTCGAAGTCATCTCTGCTTCGATCAATCCACTGGATTGGAAGATGCCCGAGACCCCTGTCATTGGCAAGGCCTTGACTTACTCTTTCACTTCGTCCGCCACGATACCCGGCATGGACTACTGCGGTAGAATCAAGTCGACAGGCTCCACCATTGATAGCTTAAGCATCGGCGAGCTAGTTTATGGTCGTTTGACCAGGCCTACATCTTCAGGCACTCTTGCTCAATATGTAACTTTGACCGACGCCGACAGCAACGATTCAACTACTAATTCAAACTAGGTCAACATCGATCCTGGAACCTGTATACCCCTGCCAGAAGGAGTCAACCCAGATCATGCTGCCACAATTGGTATTGCTGGCGAGACAGCTTACCGTAGTATTGTTCCGAACGTGCAGACTGGCGACAGAGTCTTCATCAACGGAGGCTCCTCAGGCACAGGTACATTTGGAATCCAAATTGCCAAACTTTTGGGCTGCCATGTCACTGTCTCCTGCTCAACATCGGCCATCGAGCTCTGCAAGGAGCTCGGTGCAGATGAGGTCTTTGATTACACCAAAACGGACCTTATCGCCGAGCTTATTGAGAGCGGAAAGACAGAGCCATTCGAACTTATAGTTGATGACGTTGGTCAGCCTGACGATCTTTACAAGAACTCGCATCTCTATCTCAACCCTGAAGGCAAGTTCATCTCGATCGGCAGCAAAAACGACATTGCCTCGCTAGCGGCACGCACACTCCCATCCTTCTTGGGTGGCGGCAGACGCAGATCTGAACAGGTTCATGTTTTGCTTGGAACACACCGCGACGACTTGGTACAGTTGGGAAGATGGATGGCCCAAGGCAAGATCAGGGCTGTCATTGACTCGACCTATCCTTTGGCAGATGCGGCAGAGGCATATGCAAAGCTGAAGGGTGGTCACGCACATGGAAAGATTGTGATTCGGGTGGGCGCGAAGCAATAATGAGCTGAGCTTTGAGGTCTCTCGCATGTAGCATTATCATACTATACAAGTTTTAATTGATCTTCACCACAGCTGCAATGGTGCATGAGACCGGGTGTGATCAGAAGCCAGGCGTATTTTGAAGCACAAGCATGGGTATTGCCCATACTCAAAACCACCGCGTACTGTCCATACTCGATGACAGTCAATTGCAAATTCCACTTGCCAAAATGCTGACAATGGGTTGAAAAACACGACGTCGACCTCGCAGCGCGGGGACAAGCGATTGAAAGAACAAGCAAAACTGCCATTGACCATCCAGCACAGTCAAGCAGCAGAAGCGCGACAGCATGGCTTTCCCGAGGCTCCGTTCCTTCCAAGGTATGCACTCCTTCCGTTATACCTCTTCCAAAAATGCATTGGCTCACAGCTCATAGNCGGTCTCGAGATGTCTCCCGTATACACCTAGCGTCGCCAGACGTGCGATACACACCTTTCGCGAAGTCCAGCCCCTCCGCACATTCAGAAAAGAGCTTCAGGCATCGCAAAGGACAGTGGGCTTTGTGCCGACCATGGGCGCATTGCACGAGGGTCACATCTCATTAATGCGCCAGGCCGCCGCTGAGAACACCGATGTCTTCGTGAGCATCTACGTCAACCCTACCCAGTTCGGCGTCAACGAGGATCTTGACAGCTACCCAAAGACATGGCAAGAGGATATGGACAAGCTACAGGCTCTCAACAAGGAATTGAATGGTCAGACTGGTTCTGGACGCATCACTGCTGTTTTTGCACCCATCACCAAGGTCATGTACCCGACATTGCCGCCATCATCCGAGATCACAGGCCCAGGATCCTTCGTCACAATCACCNCCTTGGGGAGCCTGCTCGAAGGTGCCTCGCGCCCAGTTTTCTTCCGCGGTGTTGCTACCGTTTGTATGAAGCTTTTCAACATTGTTATGCCCGAACGTGTCTACTTTGGACAAAAAGACGTCCAGCAAACGGTTGTCATCAAGCGCATGGTGAAAGACTTTCACCTCGACACCGAGGTCAAGATCGGACCTACAGAGCGTGAGGCTGATGGCTTAGCTTTGAGCTCGAGGAACGTCTATCTAGGCGCAAGGAGAAGGGAAGTGGGTGTGGTCTTATCGCGTGCTCTCAAAGCCGCCGAGGGGAAGTACTTGCAAGGGAAACGTCTTCGTGCCGACATCCTATGGCCCGCTAATGAGGTCTCGTCGAGTAAGATGATGGAACAGGATGACTTGCCTCTGTCAAAGCGTGCGCGGGTTGAGGTGGACTACATCTCTCTGGCCGATCCAGACACCATGGAGGAGGTTGAGGTTGTGGATGCCTCGAAGGGTGCTATTCTTAGTGGAGCTATCAAAATGCTGCCTATTGAAGAACCTCAAGAAGGAGAGGATTGCGGTCTCGGCGGCGGCGCTGTCCCCGTCAGATTGATCGATAACATTATCTTGCAGCCGATAAAATAAACAGCTAATACAGGGCAATAATGGGCCCAAGGACAGCGTGTCCAAGAGCAAAACTCTCTCGTGAAGATGGATCATGTGTTAAGAGATTCTCATAAAAATGATCGACGTATCTCTGTGGTACCAAAGATAGTAGATCAACAGACCCGATTTACAACCAGCCTTGTGTTCCTTCGGAGTGTTTGATATGCTGAGAAGATCGAATCAACAAAACAACGGCAAGTCGGTGGAAAATGTCGCCGGCGAGTGCTGAAGATGGTTCGTCGATCCCTGCCGAGACTTTTGAAAGTCCGTAGCGGGGAAGCCTTTTCAACACCTCATGACGATGTTGCTGCATACCTGCATGCTCAATCCTTGGTTACGCTGCCGTTTGACTGCGAGAACAACGAGGCTTCCATCGAGTTGTTTGCACGGCTCACTACCTGATGTTACACCACTGATCACATCCCGTAAGCTGCCAGCCGTGCGAGGCAGCGGTGGACGTGTGTCTCGGCCTTTCGAAAGATGATCCATTCTGGTTTGGACCAGAGAAGAGATTCGACAGAAAGAACAACAACGAGCAGAAGTGCCTCTTTGATAAGTCACTGCTAGGCACAAGGCCCACAGAAGTTGCGATGATCCTGGTCGAATCGTCCACAGTACATGACTCTTACGTACATCGGCTCTCCAACTCGAACACCTCGACCACGGGGCAACATCAATGATGCCACTGCGCGTGCTACCCTCCCTTAGCAACAGCCCAACTCTGTTGGTATACCTCCCCTAGGCGGGATTAGTCAATCGGGCAACCGGCATCAACATCCCACCGATGGATGCCTTCCATGCGATGCGTAAGTGTGGTGGAGTAAGTGGTAAGTGTTCTAACCTTGGTTTGCCCTCTCGCTCGCGTGGCTGTACTCGTATGTTTTTCTTCTCCATCTCCCCCCAGCCACTGCTTTTTCTTTTCCTGCATTCTTGACAGCTCTAGGTGATTTCTGATGGTCAGTAGTGTCCGAAACGTTTCTGCATCTGCTTGTGCAGGAACAGCAAGTTTGTTTGCGAGAAATGAATCTAACAAAGAGTCCAGGCTTCCGTCCATGAGAAGGCGCCGTATCGGCCAGAAGCCCAAGCTTTGGGTGGTATACCAACCAAGATAGTCGACATACCAGTATGCGCTGTCTTTATGGTCCTATACATAATTGCTGGTGCTTTGCACATGGGAACCTTCCAGAAGAACAAGAAGGCTGGAAAGAAGTTCATCTTTGGCGGTATGATGTTTGGTAAGACCGTGCACTTCTTTTGTTCTAACACTCAACAGCATAGCTTATCATGACATCTAGGCCTCTGCAAGATCCGCATTGTAACACTGAGTCTTCGAATGGCATGGGCATGCTACCCTCGCAATATCCGTTTGGGTATTGCAGCGCAGGTCTTTGTCAACATTGGTGTCGTCTTGCTATACTTTGTCAACCTCTTCTTCACACAGCGCATCGTCAGAGCTCAACATCCCAACTTTGGTTGGAGCAAGGCCTTTTCACCACTGATTCCTATGATATGCGTCATCACCGTCTTGACAATCATCGCTCTGATAGTTGGTGTCATTCAATCTTTCTACACCTTGGACACCAACATCCATCGCATTGATCGGATCATTGAGCTTTATGGATCGACAGCATTCTCCGCCATCGCCTTTGTTCCCATCTTTATTGTCACCCTGTCGACACTCCTACGAATGGTCCCGGGCATACGCGGTCAGAAAGCACAGGACAAGTTTGGCGAAGGCAAGATGAGCACAAAAATCATTATCGTACTGGCCAGCTCGGCCCTCCTGACCCTTGCCGCCTCTATCAAGGCCGGCACTGGTTACTTGCCATCCATCCCTCTGGTTGATAGCAGCAATCCATCGATAACCGAGCCCACTCCCTGGTACTTCAACCGTGGCATCTTCTACGCTTTTGGCTTTGGTGTCGAGATCATCATCTTGTTCTTCTTCATGGCCGTCAGGGTAGACAAACGCTTCATCATCCCAGACGGCGCCAAAGGACCCTACAGCTACGCGGGCGGCTTCGTCTTTGCAGGCGAAAGCGGAAACGAAAAGTCCAAGTTGGGCCAGCGCGATTCTACTCGCAACCTCACAGGCAGTTCGCAATCGTTGCAGTCATGGGGCGGATCGACCCGTCGTGGCAAGAGTGGTGCTCCTTCCATCATCAGTTGGGGCGGCATCAGTCAAGCAGATACCGAGATGGGCATTGGCGAGGATGGTATCGAGCCTGTGCCTTACGTGACTGTTGACGACGGCGAAATCGCCAAGCCCGCGAGCATTGGAGGTGCTGGACAGGAGATGGGCTGGGACTCGAAATCTGGCAAGTGGAAGCTTAGACCTGTTTCCACCATGTCCGCCGTCTCGACCGGTACGCCAATATTGGCCAGAGAGGATGTCTAAGTCGCGGATGTCATCGTTCAGGACGATCTTGCTCAGGAGTATAACTCAATATGATGTTTAGGTAATAGGCGTTTTTGAGAGGTTGAGCGAGGAGTTTTGCTCGTCATCAAGTCGTTTTCGATTCTTGTAAATAAGCACCGTATGTTCTGACGTATCAGCAGATGAGTTTCTTAGTCTTTTCTGACGACCTTGATGCCGTTGTCGTTGTCGGTTGACTGTTTGCTAAAGAAGGCAGCCTGCATTGCTTCAAGGTCTTCGTCTTCGTCGTGGTCGTTGGGGGCTTTCTGCGTGCTCTTCTCCGAAGACGGGTCTTGAGCAGGTACGCGTCGCACTTCAGGCTGGCCCGTCTGGCGAGCCTCTTCCGCTTTTTGATCCTCGATCTGCTGCCTTTCCATTTCGTCAAACTCGTCGCGTCTGTCGATCCAGCGTTCCTGGACGTCTCTAACATCGATCTTTCCACCCCAACCTTCCTGCATGGCAACCTGCCAGACCGAGTCATTTGTTCCCTTGTCTGTGCCAAAGACGTAACCACTAGCGCGATCGACAGCATGCAGCAGGTTCGTCATGGAGACCTTGTCCTCGACAGCAAGAGTCTCAAAGGCGACAAGACCAAAATCACCGATCAGTTGGATCAGAGCTTCGTTGAGGGCTGTGAACTTCGTCTCTGGCGGTTTGGGAATGTCTCTATCTCCAGCACGGTCTTGGAGGTTCTGTACCGAGGTGTTGTTTTGTTCGGCCTCGAGATGTGGTAATAGGTAGTCCAAGTCTTGAACTTCGGTATAATAGTCTAGATTGAATGGTAGAGGTTCAGAATTCTTTGCGAGATTGTCGATCTTGGTCAAGACATTGACAAGAGGAAATGGCATATGGAGCATACTGCGCAGGCAGAGCAACAGCGAGGAGATGTATAGGGTAGGGCGTGAGAGGGTGAGGGAGTCGAGGAGGTGGACAACAATCAGCNNTGGACAGAGTCAGTGGGGCAGACCCCTTATGGATGGAAGGAGAGGGAGACGGACTCTATAGCCAATCTTCTCGAGACGGTGGAACAAATTGGGCATTGTATTGTGATGTGTAAATAGCTCGACCTGGCCGGGGCAGTCGAAGAGAATGTACGAGTCGCTGAGTTCCTTCAAGCCTTCCTCGAGCCACTCGAAGTTTTCCTGCAATTCCTCAAGGGCATACATGACACCACCGTTAGGGCCTAGCTCTTCCTGTTCCATGACTTCTTCGAGCGAGACCAGGTCCCGGATGTCGAGGGCGCATGGATATGAGGTTTTGTCGTTTGCAGGGTCGAGGTTGACGACGGCGCATTTGCGATCGATGGCCGTGAGGAACTGGTGCATGCCATCGCAGTAGGTCGACTTGCCCGCGCCTGGCGGACCGATGACTAGTTGAGCAAAAGGCATGTTTGTGAGATGCGACAGGTGGGATGGCAAGAGCGACAATAATTGTTTGCAATGACGACCGAGTGCCCCGCAAAACTTTCGAGGCCGACAAGCTCCTGCCGTTTGCTCACGTCTCTTTCCCACGACACCATCACAAAACAATGAGCGGCATGTGTCCTTCTGGTCTGGCGTATTCTGCTCTTACTAATGCCCTCTCTCAGCTCAAATAGAACTCGCACATGCGCCGTCCGACGCCATCTCGGCCGTCCGCTTTGCTCCCCAATCACCAAACCGTCTGCTGGTCGCCTCGTGGGATCGCAATGTCTACCTCTACGACACAAAGAGTGGAGAGCAGGGTAGCCTGTTGCAAGAAGTAGAGCACCGCGCTCCCGTTCTGGACATTTGCTTTGGCGACGACGACTCGACTGCCTTCAGCGCCGGCCTCGACTGGGACGTCAACAGGATCAACCTGGAAACTGGCGAGAAGACCGTCATATCGTCGCACCAAGCTGGCGTCAAGTCCATCGTCTACTCGGACAGACACCATCTGCTCATCTCGGCCTCGTGGGACAGCACCCTCCACGTCCACATACTCAACAACGGCAATGTCGCCCACGCTCCCTCGACCATCCCTCTGCCATCCAAGCCCTTCTCCATCTCTTTGACTCCTACAAAACTTGTCGTCGCCATGGCCTCGCGCCAGATTTTCATATACGACTTGGCCGCTCTGAAGATGCTCACTTCGCAATCTGCTCCTTCTCAAGAATCTGGAAACCAGAGTATCCTCGAGATTCAACCATGGCAGCAACGTGAGAGCAGTCTGAAGTTCATGACACGCGCCGTCTGCTGCATGCCCAACGACCAGGGCTACGCACTATCCTCGATCGAGGGCCGCGTCGGCGTCGAATGGTTCGATCCCTCGACCGAGTCTCAGAGCCGCAAGTACGCATTCAAGTGCCACAGACAGGCCGATGACGGCGTCGATGTCGTCTATCCTGTCAACGCCCTGGCCTTCCACCCCGTACACCAAGGGACATTTGTCAGTGGAGGTGGTGATGGTTTCGTTGTACTGTGGGACGGCGTCACCAAGCGCAGAATCAGGCAGTACCAGGCATACCCTTCCAGCGTCTCGAGTGTGTCATGGAGCTCTGACGGCAGATATTTGGCCATTGCAATCAGTCCCGGCTTCGAAGACGGAAACGAGGTCATTTCTGAAGGTCAGGTCAAGCTGTTCATCAGGGAACTCGCAGATGGAGAAGCAAAGGGCAAGAGCGCCAAATAAAGGAGAAGAGAGTGATTGGGAAGAATTTAGAAGAATCGTTTCTTTGATACATTAGCGTAGGCGTTCTCGTCCTTATTTTCTCGAGGAGGTCTTGACATGAAATTTATGCCCTTTTCTTCTCCCTTCAATCCTCGTCCATCTCATCTTCGTCGTCATCGCTTCCGATGCTTATCGAAGCTTCTGCTCTTGTGTTGTTGCCCACACCCTCACTTCCAAGCATTTTATCAAGTGCAAGGTCGGATCCTTTTCCATGAGCTGTTGCTCGCAGAATCGCAGCCTTTGCCCTCCTGATAGCCTCCTCTTCCGCCTTGCGGATTGTTCCAGATACTCTGACAACCTGAATGACACAGGCTTGATCGATGGGTCGTGGTAGACGAGTGACGAAACTTAGAGCGGCCCACACAAGACGATAATGTGCGCGCGAAACTCGAACAATGGCCGTAGAAGTCGCAGGGGATAGATATTTTACTACTACAAATCAGCTCTCCCTCCAGGCCGAATTGGGGACGAATAGACGCACCAACAAGNNACTACTGGCAATCATGCCACTTCCATAATCTCCAAACAACTCTGCTACACCATCTCTGATCATACGTGCTAGCAGCTGGGCGTTGAGTTTGTCCGACGAGGGACGGCGGAAGGATACGACATCGGGGACTTGTCCGTCTCTTGTCGTGGGCTTTGTGGGAGTGTCCGAGTCGGGGTATAGAATGTTGACGAGCAGGTAGCGGTGCTTCAATCGGACCATGATGACGGGTGTGGGCGCGTGTGATGAGCGCTGGAATTTGTGTTCGATGACGCGACCGGCATCTTATGTGCGATCAAGTCATGGTTGGCTAGAAAAGTGGTTGCTTCAAAAGTTCACGAGGGCCTTGGTTCGAATCAAGTTTGAAGCTTGGCGCGGATGTACTTTTGGGCATGTCATTGTTCGCAAATATTTGTGTATTCCATAATGCTTAGAGATGGTATTCTATGCTAGAGTTCGCTTCTGACGATTGTCTGCTCAGGCGCGCTTGGTTCTCTTCTTGCGCTTCTTGTTCTTCTTTGACTTTTTGCTCTTCTTGATGCTAGGTGCAATCACGTTGCCCTCATCGTCCAGCTGTTCCTCGTCCTCGTTGTCTGACTCATCTTCGTCCTCGTCCTCATCCGAGCCTTCTGCGTTCTCCTTTGCTTGTCTCTGCTCTTCCTTCCTAGCTTTCTTGTCGTCGGCCTGCTGCTTCAACTTTTCTTCTCTTCTAATTGCAGCTCCATACTTTTGCTTGACTTCCTTCTCGAATGCCTCCTTCTCGAGTTTGAACAGCATCATGGTTGCTCTTGCGTCCTCGACGGAACTGTGCTCTCCACCTTGAATCTCCATACCGAGGAACTCCTTTGCCAGTTTACGCAGCGCAGGTGCTCTACCCATCGACATCTTGCGGAACGTCGAGTGTCTGGATGTGTCCCGGATGTCTCTCTTTGGATGCGAGAGTAGCAACACATCCAGATCGTTCTTGAGCGCGTGTCCAATCAGAATCTTTCCGTCTATCAATGCGGCGACCTCTTTCTGTACCTCCGAGAAGGGTCGGGCGACATCTGGTTTCAGGTGATGGGGTCGAATACCACTGACAAAGGTGCGGTAATCGGTGACCTCGACGCCTGGTACGGGCTGTACAAAACTATCGTAGATCTGTTCGCCGTGAAAGTTGACAATTGACACGCGCGCGAGCACATTGTCGTCGAGCGGACCAGTGCCAACCATTTCGCAATCGATGGCTAAGAACTTTCCAGGCTTGTGTGTTGGGTGGAGGCCTTGGTTGACTAGTGAGTCGGTAGAGGTGCGAGTCGAATCAACTTCCTTAGCCGTGGTGGGTTCGGCATTTGATGCGCTTCCCGGTGTCGAGGCAGATGATTTCGAGGGAGCACCGCCCATCTTGGTCTTTCTCTGAGCAAAAGAAGGCTTGCTCAGCTCAGTCCTCGGTCGCTTTGTTCCATTCGAGGAGCCCTGGAACTTCTTAAACTTTTCGTCTTGCGACTCGGTCGTTCTCTTGCGCTTCACGCTCGCGTTCGTGTCATCGGCTTTGGGCTTTGGCTTGAGTGTCTGCTGCAGTCTCTTCCAATTGGTCGACAGGTTCGCAACACCAACTTGAGCCATGTTTTTTTGAGGGTTGCTTTGCTCTGCACAGTCTGGGGAATCCATCCAACACTTTTTTCTCCAGCGCCGAAGGCCGCGGCTGCCGGCCCGACCACGCGGCTTAACGCCGGCTTGGGCCATCTGTCACATGTCAGATCTTACAGAGATCAACAGGTACCAGAGTACGACCATCTTTCTCATAGTCTCGTCATCTCGTACGTGTATTCTTGCAGAAAGACAAAAACTCGTACAACTGTCTGTCCTTGCGATATGACTCAAAAGAAAGCTGGGACGATGCATGACCATGATTGATCACAGGTACCTCAACTGGTGCAAACCTGCAGTTTCACATGCAAAATTCAACGACTAAACAATACGTCATGGAAAACACAAGTGCTTGTGACAAAGGTCAGCAACTTTTTGAGCGTTTGTGAATATATCCTCTTCTCTTCTCCCTACTCTCCTGAATAGACTCTTCACAAACAACCATGCCATCAATCATAGAGCTCGGTGCCCCCGACCGCAAGAATGGCGACCTGACCGTTACTGGCGATTCCAATGCGCTATTGTCCCTGCTTAAGGACCAGATCAGCNGATTTCCCCCTGGCAAACAATACAGCATCGCCATCAAAGAAGTCCCGGTGACTGTCGAACGTCTACCTTACTATCCAAAGGACGGTGATCGTCTCCAAGACCCTGGAACAGCTCGTGTAAACATTGCTGCTTCCAACGAGAGCCCCAATGGAACCTCTCAGGATAATTGGGCTCAGAACCACCAACACCAAACTGTATGCCATGTCTTTCGTTCCTGCGTCAGTCTTCGCCACTAACACCACTCCCAGGTCGTACAACAGCATGTGGTCTACTGGGACAAGGATCAAGATGGTATCATCTGGCCTCTGGATACCTACAGAGGCTGCCGGGCGTGGGGCTGGAACCCAATTCTCTGCCTGATCGCCACTTTCCTCATCAATTTCAACCTTTCCTATCCTACTTCGCCCTCCTGGATCCCCGACCCTTTCTTCCGTATACACATCTCCAACCTCCATAAGGACAAACACGGCAGTGATTCCATGACCTACGACAACGAAGGCAGATTCAGTCAGTCTTTTGTAACCAAATAGACCATCTCTTAGTCTTGCTAACTCGTTGCAGGACCTCAAAACTTTGAAGACTTGTTCTCAAAGTACGATCGCGGCAACAAAGGTGGACTCGACGCTTATGATCTGATCAGAATGCACAAGGGTCAAAGAATGGCAATGGACTTTTTCGGCTGGAGTGCGTCCTTCTTCGAATGGCTCGCTACCTATCTCTTGCTCTGGCCTGAAGATGGTATCATGCGCAAAGATGATGTTCGCAGAATCTACGATGGCAGCATCTTCCAGTTCAAAGCGGACGAGTATGCCGAGAAGAAGAGACATCACGGACGTACCAACAAGAGCATAGAGAGCAGGAAGAAGCAAGCTTGAGTGTTGGTATGGCTAGCTGCTGACGAAGATGAGACCGCCAGCAAGTCAGCTAGGTGACCCGTGGTGTTGTAGGCTTGGGTCAAATTTACGATCCTTACGACATAGACAATAACAGATATATGATCAATAGACTTTGAAGCCCACATTGCAACCGAAAATGTGCAAGCATTGTGCCGAGATGATTAGACACGCCTTGCTCAGCTCTTTATAATGTCTTGATAACGTGAGACCCCGGATGCACGCTACAAACGCTTCAAACCCTCTAGTTCCAGTTGGGGACCACTCTCTTTGCATAACGCATGAACTTCCAGAAGCCTACTGCCCATTCCACACTTCCTTCGGGGTCAGTCACCCTCTCGGGCCAAGCAATGCCAGCACCAAAGAGTCCAGGAATCTGCTTTCCATCGACATTCTTAAACGACCCTGTGTCCGGCTGGTAGTTGTAGGTGATGTCGGAGCCAGCGGTATCCTTGAGTCCGGGTAGAGGATCTCTAGTGTAGCCAATGGCTTGCACATAGCGATTGCAATCAGAGAGATGCTTTTCGTAAGTTTGGGTTTCGTTTTCTTTCTCGTAGGCCACCTTGTTGATAAACTTGCTGACAGAGGATGACTCGAACTTCTCGGGTTCTAGGTTTTCCTTGGCCCATGCTGCTGCTGCACCCTTCAGACCCGTATTGTCACGTCTAATCCAGCCGTCCATGAACTCGGCATATCGAAGAGGATGCCTTGTGAACCATTTGATTCGTAGGTCAGGGTGAGTAGTAGAAGCTAGGTTGTGGAGGTTGATGAGTACCAGGACGGCACTGTGGGATGCGCCAATCACGGCAACAGTTGTGGGCTCTTTGGGGATGGCCTTCGCCAAGAGAGTCGGGCTAAGAGCGTGGTCCAGTTCTAGGGGTGATAGATCCGAATTCGAAACAGGAAGTTGCTGGTTTGTCGGAGAAGAGCCGGTGCAGAGAATGACTCTGGATGCAATAGCCTTGCTCATCTCACCATTTGACAGCCTGACATTGACAACCCAGTCGCTTGTCTCGCTGAGAGTTGCTTCGGTGACTCGACCTTGACGGGCTTCAACACCGGATGCCTTCTTTAGACCTTCCGTAAGCATCAGGCACATGTCTGCGGCATAGCCGAGATCACATCCAGTATCTTGGGGTAGGCCTCGAAGATAGTCGACTGCATGAGGTGATGGAGTGTCCTTCAAGATCTTCTGAAAGGGTGACACGGCCTCTGCAAAGTCCACGAACAGTTTGACCTTTGTATTTNNCTGTCTTGGTTAGTGGTTGCGAGTGACTGCAATGGGTGAGACTTACGATGGCACCTCTCTATATGATTTGTTCACTCTGCCAGCCTCGAAGAGGTCATCAACCCAAAGCACTGGCCCAACCTTTCTTTCCAGAAGGTTTCCAAGCACCGTGATTCCTGCAGGGCCGCCACCACAAACCACTGCAGCATACTTTGTTCTGTGGACGGACATGTCTGATACGAATCGTGAAGAACGAAATGGCGTAAGAGAGGACCCATAAGACGTGCTATCTCCCAAGCATTTCAATGGCAGCGTCCCCGAAGAACCCCTCAATGCTCGCCGAGGGAGTGATCCTCCAGGGACGCGCCCTGCTGTGTATGCGCGACATAGTGGTCCAGTTAGCTGTTGTCGAGGGCATGCACGTGTAGCGAGCACTGCCGCATGCGACAACTTGGGTGCCATAGGGTCGGATAAGGAGTGGATAAGTGTGCAGGGGAAGGCGAGTCAATCTGTCACTGGTCAAATTATATAGATGGATTTCCAGGGTCCAAGAGAGCCACGAGTTTGCGTACGCCATGGCAACTTTCCTTCACCGCACGTTTATTGGACGTCCTGTGACAGAACCGACCAACCCACTATTCTACTTATCTATTGGTTTATCTCTGATGATCCTCGCAGATCGGTTGCTTGTTCAAGGCTGTCTTCGCTCACTCCTGTCCATTGCTCAGCGGGCTCATTCCGCTGTCACCTCCGTTCAGAATTCGAGCGCCCCGAAAACACCGGCGACCTTTGATATCCAATCAGGAACGTGTTGAAACAGGACTAAGTCTCGTCAATGTTCCTACACAGACCCGATCGGAGCAGCTCACACTCGATCATCAACGTTGCCAGTGTCGTGTCACAAGATGAGACAACAGAAGTCCTGGAATAGCAGAGGAAATCAATGTAGCCATGCCTGATGTCTCTCTTACTTCCCAAGTTGTTCCATCCTTACTCACTCCTCCCTTATTTAGGGTCCCGTAGTCAACCAACCGTCTTTGCTTCAGTAAAGGATGATTTTAATGGTTGTTTTATGGCATCTGCTCCGATACATCATACAAAAAGCCGATGTTCATCTACGGACAGCAATCTACTTGACTCAAAACATTGCTGCCACTCTTCAAGAAGAAGTCGGTTCTGAGACGCATCCGCAATTCCGATGCGAGAGAAAGCGATATATGATGAATATAGAGTTCGAGAGTGAGTGTCCGTGAAGCGAGCCCTCAGACGCTGTGATGATTCATCAGGTGACATACTCGTGAGCTAGCTGCTTTGGACTAGCTTCCAGCCGAGCTCTCGTAGCAAGAGAACAGCAGTCGATCGATGGCTATCTCGTCGATCAAATATGGATCAGCCTGACCGCTGTCCTGGTTTCTTCCTTGAGAATGATTACATCTGAGTTCATATAGCCCGAAAGATTGTTATCAGCATTGAGCCTTTGATTAATATCTCCGTGCTTGGGGTGGCCGAATTTGTAGCATCACTCCTGGTAGTAGAGTAGCTGTATTTGGATCGAGATTGGGAGAGAGAAGCCCACAGGCTGAATCCGGCTCTGTGGACTATGGTCAAGCAGGGAAATGGACAGATTTTGTGGTTTGTTCAAGCATCAAGATACCGGACGCGCTAGGTGGCATGGGTGACGGTTCAGATCCTCGCGAGACATCATGTTCAAGCGATCATTGTGACTTCTGATGCCCAGGAGACTTGTCAGATACTGGAGCTGTCAAAGGTGATATCAGCCGGCTGGTGAGAGGATGAGAGTCTGGTATATACCACTGCATAGATAAGATTAAATTACAAGTCACTACCTTGAATAGCTCCGTCAGAAGCGATGAGCACTGATCAATCGGAAAACCCACTCGACCATGCAGATCTGGAACTGGTAGAGAAGATAGACAGCTTGAGACAATCCGATACGGGTTCGAGCTTCGCTAGCAGGAAATGTTTTTCTTGGTGTCAAGGCGGAATGATAGGCTGAGAGAAAGCTGGATGATACGGAGACGATGGATGGCTGAAGAGATGTGATTCACATGCCTGCCTGACGTGATATAACAAAGGGCGTGGTGTAGGCTATAGGAAGACATGGTTGTTCCCGATGCAGAGGAGTTGTCGAAGCGAACCGCTGATGTGTCAACTTTCAGCAAATACTGCTCTGTTTCTTGATAGCACTGGGATCGAAGACTACTCGAGTAGAAGCTAGACGGACGGCTCTTTGTTGGATAATACTATACTCTTGGTCCAAGCGTACAGAAGGGTGGCTTTCCGTGCGTACTGACTTTATAGGCTCTGGCTCGTGAAGACGTGTGCCGTCATCCTGTGTTACGCATGTGTTTCTGTGACCATGCGCGAACCAACGGGATTATACCTAGGTATGCGTTGAGTCGATATATGGAGCGGAGCCACCGAGCAATAAATTTGTATTCTGGAAGGAACCACCACCAACATGACGCATGTCCCCCACATTTTTGGATAAGGCGGCGATAAGACGAGGGGGAGTGAGCTCCATCGACTAGTTCTCATTTCTGAACAACCTAGTCACCCTCTCAAAACATAGACAATCATGGCCGAAACAATCACTACAATCTCACCTATCACCAACAAGGGTATCATCGAGCGCAAAGGGCTCAGCGACTCGGAGCTCAGCAACTTGGCGAGCAGATCGGCTGAAGCCTTCAAGTCCTACAAGAAGACATCGTTGGACGAACGCAAGAACTATGTCAAGAAGGCTCTCGAAATCATCACTTCCAAGCAAGATGAGCTGGCCAAGGAGATCACCGAGCAAATGGGACGCCCAATCGCATACACTGCTGTCGAGGTGAAGACGGCCGTCGCTCGTGGCGAGTACCTGCTCAAGATTGCAGAAGACGCCCTCTCAGACACCCCTGGCGAGCCACAGGAAGGCTTCAAGCGCTTCGTTCGCAAGGTGCCTCTTGGTCCCGTTCTTGTGCTCTTCCCATGGAACGTGAGTCTCGGCTGTATCTCGTCCGATCTGGCCAATGTCATGCTAACCGCTCATCCAATTCCAGNNTACCCATACCTAACTCTTGTCAACTCAATCGTTCCCGCTCTTCTCTCAGGCAACACTGTCATCATCAAGCCTTCGCCGCAAACACCAACCATTGCCGAACAAGTCGTTTCTGCATTCAACCAAGCCGGCCTTTCCAAGGACGTCATCCAGTACTTCCACTGCGGTGACTTCCAGAAGATTGAGAAGCTCGTCAAGAACCCAGATATCCAGCTTGTCTGTTTCACCGGCTCCGTTGCTGGTGGTCTTGCCGTTCAGAAGGCCGCAAGCGACAGAGTGGACTCGAGAGTTGGTCTCGAGCTGGGTGGAAAGGATCCAGCATACATCAGACCCGATGTCGATCTGGCATGGGCCGCCGAAGAGATTGTTGACGGTGCCGTTTTCAACTCTGGACAAAGCTGTTGCAGTATCGAGCGCGTCTATGTCAATGAGAAGGTTCACGACGACTTTGTCAAGGAGGTACAAAAGGTCTTGGCCAACTACAAGCTGGGCGATCCGTTTGACAAGTCCACACACGTCGGCCCTGTCGTTTCCAAGCGCTCTGCCGAGACCATCCGCGCTCACGTCAAGGATGCTATCTCCAAGGGTGCTCAGGATATGACCNCTGAGAACTCGTCTTTCGAGTCACCGCCAGCTGACGGAAACTACGTGGCTCCTGTTCTCCTTACCAATGTCTCTCACAAGATGGATGTCATGACCGAGGAGACTTTCGGCCCTGTTATTCCTGTCATGAAGGTCAAGGATGATGCCGAAGCCATTAAATGGATGAATGACAGCCAATTTGGCTTGACTGCCAGCATCTGGACAAAGGAGACCGAAAAGGGTTACGAGCTTGCCGACGATGTTGAAGCTGGAACCGTCTTCGTCAATAGATGCGACTATCCTGCTCCCGACCTTGCATGGGTCGGATGGAAAGACTCTGGCAAGGGACAGACCCTGTCAAAATTCGGTTTTGATCAATTTTCCAGGCTTAAGAGCTACCACATCAAGAACTACCCGAAATAAATGCATAATCCCGCGTGGGGTCATGGCATTTGATATATGCAGCAACCGACAGAGGGCCATGTGGATCCCTTGTCTTTGAACTTCAACGAGACGTTGACAGAAGGAATGGGCGCACGTTCACATTCTCATGCAGAAGTACGTTTTGGTAGTACAGGGAGTCTGAAACATCATCCCTCTCGTTGATACAAACCTCGACCTCAAGAAATACTATCAACTCGAGGACGAGTCTATCTCGTCTGCATATAGTCTCTCGATCAAATCAATGGAGAGTGACTTTCGTGTTTCATATTATTGCTTCTTGCACCATCCGGATCTAGGGTCATGCATTCCTCGGTATGCCGAAGCATTCCACAGATATTGTTCGGCAAGGTTGTCTCGGAGGGAGAAGAAAGAATGTGTCAACCATCATGTCCTATGGCTGTATCAGTAAAGATTGACCCAAGCAAGGCGAACAAGACTGGTCAGGCTTTCGACGTCTGCCAATGATTGAGACTTTGGCAAGCTCGTCGGGTCAACGCAATCTTCAGCGAGATACTACAATCTCCAACTTGCAGGTCAATCGCCAGGTCTGCCGAGTTCGTTCTTCCTTTGGGTCCTGATGCGGTCTTGTCCGTCTTCTACTTAATCTTTCTTGTGCTTCTGGTCGTATGATTGCCCACGACCTGTCATTACCTTGCTTGTTATTGGGAAATACTCCTATGTCCTGTTGTTGTTCTTGACTTTGGTTTCATCTTTGGCGTGTCCTTTGTCCTCGTCTTGGTCGTGTTAAAATTGCTTGCGTGCTTCTTTGTCTTGTCCGGAACTGTCTTGTTTGCGTCGAATAGACCGTCGTGTCTCTACTCTACGACGGATCCACGACATTCGTCTTCGACTTTCGATCCACTAGAGACATTTTCTCGGCGTTCTCGAACACGCTCACTTTGCGTGAGCGTACATGATCTTTGTGCTCTCCAACTTACGCTCTTTTCAAACCACGAACAACGATCAGACACCATGTCTACTTTTTGGACTAAGATTAAGACCCTCTTCTGCTGCGGCCAGGAAGAGGAGCAGCCTCCTGCCCTGATCATCGTAAGTCATACGTTGTTGTCGCCACCAACTTGACTGACGCCTTCGNCGCAACAGGGCGAGCCTTTCGGCTTCAAGCGAGTCGATGTCAACCTTGCCGGTCTTTCTGAGCAAGAGTCAGGCTGCCCCTTCAACTAATCAAAACGAAGACCTACCTGCTGACTTGAGTTGGACTAGANNCAAACCATGATCAACAACAGACCTGTTCCTGTTACGGTCTCCATCAGCTCTGACGGAGCTTCGCAAACCTGCCGGCTGGACCGTGCCAGGGCTCACACCAGAGCGCTGAGCAACACCTTCAAGTCAGCCACCACCAACGCAATGTCAAGTGTCGGAGCTAAGGGCTCTGGTTATTCTGCACTCGCTAACGGCAGTACTTCGACGATGCAGCCTCTGAGATCCGAAGAAGACCACACTCCCCACGCGATGAAGGAGCTGCTACCTCGCGGCACAGGTGGCCTGGAGACTAGCAGCAGCGTCGGAACTGCCATTGCAGGTTGTGAGGAGGAGGATGACGGTGTCAAGAGCTTCGCTCGCATCGAGTGATATCAAACAAAGAGCAGTACGGGGCACACACAGAGTAGATGATGGAGGCGCGGCGGCAAGAGGCCTGCGTGCATATCAGATACAGGGTCTAAAAAGGAAGAGGGAAAAGAGCCTGCGGGTGTTGCAGTGCTCATTACGACCCAATGGTGACAATTGCTTGTCCATGGTTATGCCTCAATTTCCTCCCAAACATCAGCGCTCGGCGCGTATGTAATTGCTTTTTGACAGGGCTCCCGGATCGTGTAGTGCGTCGGCTATCTATGTGACGCCAAAGCGATATTGGTATAGGGTCGGTCCAGTGATAGATAAGCACAGGACATAGTTCTATCGCTCATGATGTATCCATGGCATCGTCAAGAACGCCTGCGGGTATTCTACCTTCGTTGAGAGCCTTCTCCAGACGAGTAATCTCAGCCAGGGTCTTTGCGTTCCTGATCAGCTCCTCAATGCGCTTTCTTTCCTTGTCGGTCAACTTGACTCGAGAGATCTTGTCGGTGCCGTTTGCATTGGCTGTTGAGGCGGTATTGAGTGATCTTGACGAGCGCGAAGAGAGAAGCTTNTGTGCAAGCTCGGTAGGTTCGGCGACGGTGCCAAAAAGTTCTGCAGCTTTACTGCGCTCTGCATCCTTGACCTTTTGGAAGTCGAGGAACCTGACGGATGGACATCTCGTAATGACCCAGTAACGGTAGTTCTGTGTCGTGTTAGACAAGAAGACTTGTTGCTTTAAGAATGGAGTATAACTAACCTCTCTTGAGGCGACAGGGTTCTCCAAGAGGGTCAGGTGTGTCAGCTTTTTCAAGTCGGCCAAGGGCTCGAGGTCGCCGAGTTCGGATATGGAGTTCTGGGTCAAGACAAGCGTGTCGAGGTTCGGGATGGAGTTGTGCAGGCCGGGGGTGATGGCGGTGATGCGGTTTCGGCCGAGGTACAGAGCCTTCAGCCTGTGGTTCTTGGGGAAGTTGGCGAGAGCAGGAATGTCGTTGTCTGTAAAGTCGATGGCATCTTCGTTCNNTGGCGGCGCATTCACATCAGCGCTGTGTCTGGATTCGCGTAGATTGTGTGCAGGCGAACATACCGTGATGAGACCCAGGTTCTCCAGAGCAGGGATTTTGTGACCTTTTTAGCCTATGAATCAGCTAGTTCAAGTATAGTATCTGTCCTTTTCTTGACAAGGGATAGTAATACCTCGCAGGTCAAGTTCGCGCTCCTTCAGCGGATTGAGATATGAGAGCGAGTTGTGCACAAGCTCGGCTGTGAGTCTCATTGTGATGTATGTGTTGGCTGTCCTTTCGCGACGCGATTGCACTGGGTGACAGGTAGATTAGATGCGATGAGCGAGTCGAGTTGATGTAGTCGTCTGCGTCTTTGCGATCCCTCGATGCTTCAACTCCAGCAAAAGTGATGGCGCGCTGTACCCATTGCTTGGCATTTCATTTCTTCTACACGGCTGCTTTTTATTCTCAATCAATTCATCTGTATCTCGATATTCTACTGATCTGTACATGGCTTGCTTCTTCATCTGTTTCAGTGCCGAGCATGCTATCTGTCTTCACCGCACACCGAACTCAATGTCCTGGTCTCCGTGCTGTTCAGGCTGCCACTCCAAATTTCTCCATGTTGGCTGCATGTCCGTCGTATATATACACGTCGACTTTTCCATCCGTTCCACCAATGTCTTGTGTGCTCCTGCCTCCTATTCACGGCCGTTTGGTTCGTGTGCGTCTCGTGCGCTTCGTCTAATCGCATCTACACTTGCTCGGCCCCNCAGCCAGCATCGGCGTCCCTGTTATCGCGTGAGCATCCGTGAGTTACGGCAGCGCTGCTGGAGCCTTACCTCATGTTGGCCGGAGGCTCAATGCTAGGTACGTATTCAAGGGCGACGTAGGTGATACCAACAAGTATGATGATGCCGCCGATCAAGTATTTGGTCCAATGACCTGTGAAGCAAAGTCCTCCGATAAAGATGTAGACTGTTCCATCTTGGTCAGCCTATGCCATTGTCAAAAGCAAGAGCTCGTGTGTCTTACAAACACCGCGTCCGATGAAGGAGAACATGAAGGAGGCATATCTGGCGATCTGAGGGGGNATTTGGAACTCNTGCATAGCTAGTCAGACGTGTCGCGCTTGATCGAGGGAGTATCGCAAACCAAGAAGAGCATTGGCAAGACCAAAGAGAATGATATAGACGGCGCAAATGGTGCCTCGAACGCTGACCTCGGGGAAAAATTGACTGACACCTCCAAGAACNCTAGACACAAGGTCGCGATCAGTAGAGTTTCCGATATACCAGAGAAGCCGTCGTACCATCAAGGCTCCAGTTGCGAGGTTGACAATGCGGCTGCGCAATTTCATCAGCTACCGAGTATGTGAGTAACATGTATTTGGCACCCACAAGATATCTGAGAAGTCCATGACGACGGTGCTACAGGATTTATGTCGCGCAATTGAAAAGCAGTGGAGTAGATGTGTTAAAGAGGACAAAGGACTGGCGACCTGGAAGCTGTCAATAGAGAGCTCGAGGCTGGGGCCTGCGCCACTTGGCCAAGCTCCACATCGTCACTGGCGTCCCGTCCGCAACCATGTGCTTTCCCGATCCGAGCCCGTAGCTTCAGGCTTCCGCTTTTCGTGAAACTACAACTTCTGTAAAACCATCCCGACATATGATACCGTTTCCGGCAAATGACAGGTTGTAGCATTGCTCAAGTCTCCTGTATAGATAACCCATAACCTCAAACATGGTCTGTTCATCTGTTGCAGACCTTATGGTTGCACTCTCCTTTTCCAAACCTATAAGCGTGCCTTCTCTGTCAAAGACTCGTCGACAAGTCGGACAACAGCGGCAGCGCAACCCCATGAAGTTTGGTATCCATATCCACCATGACCGATGCTGTGCACAACTCTGACACCGTTTCCATCTGGACCTTTGATCGTCTCCTTCTCGGTCCTGATGCCGCCCTTGCGCATCGGTCTCAAACCCACACCGTGCCTGATGACGTCCAAGGCTTCGATACCTTTTCCCTCAGGCACGAGCTCAGGTGTCAGAGCAATTGCGCGTTTCATGATGCGGATGGCAAGGTTAGGGTCCACTGCCGAGTCCCATCTGTCTGCTTGCAAACAGCCTCCCAGAATACAACCACCGCCAGCCGCACGATGCATGATATACACTGCTTCATCTTCGCCATCATCGGTTCCTGAAGTGGTAGCCATGTATCCTGGATCGTTGCGAACGAGAACAATCTGTCCACGAGCCGGGTACATGTTCTTGTCTTGAACTCCTTCCATGAAAAGAGAGAAGAGTCCAGTACAATTGACCACCAAGTCGGCCTTCTTTCCAGAATGGTGGAGCAACGTGGCATCTGCAATATGCTTCACGACACCTCGTTTGAAGATGACACCATTCTTGAGACACTGTGAGACCAGCCAAGGGAGATAGATCGCTGTGTTGATGCAGACAGAGGTGAACGAAGTACCGCCATCCATACCCTTAGGCAATTCTTCCTTGCTAAGGACTTTGAACTGCACATCGAGTCATCAGTATGGTTCTAGGGGAAGCAGAAATATACCATCACGACCTACGTTGGGTACAACCTTGCTGAACCATGCATCTTCGCGAATGAGTTCTGCAAACCACTCACTGACAGGACCCTTGTCCTTTTTCCTGCGGTAGACAAGAGTATCTGTACACAGTCAATTAACCATATATAGAGTGCAATTGTGTTCTTGTTGCAAACCTTGAAAGTGAATGCCCGCTTCGGGGTGCTCCTTAGCGAGTTTTGCCAACTCTGGCCATGTATTCCTTTCGTATTCTTGCGATGGGGTACCTTCCTTGCCGACGGGTAAATAGTTTGCACCAGCCCAGGGTGATGCATACTCAATGTCGTAGTCTCCTGGCATATGCTTCGCCGCAACGGTAATGCTGTAGTTCTTGTTCTTGGAGAGTATAAAGGCGGCGGTCAAGCCAGAGACTCCGGCTCTGTGGACTGGTCAGCTGGGTGTATCGTTCTGAGTCAACTACGAAGACTGACCCCAGGACGACCACTCTATGTTGTGACATGGTGGATGACTGTAATTGCCTGGTCAAGTGATTGGTTGGAGAGTGACTGCTGCCGACTTCTTGAAGTGAGTAATCCTTCGCGGCTTGGTAGCTTTCACAAGTGAGCTTGATGGGACAACAGTTCTGAGTCACAGGCCAGCACGCTTTTATATCCAAAATCTCACTTGCAGGTCTGCCTGCTTGTCACACCTGTTGTCCTCCAGGTCTGTAGTTGTCCGCCCCGCATGAGCACATCTCTCCGCTGAGCACAAGCCGCATTCGGCGCCGATAGTGTATCTTGGCCGGCGCTCACAACCACGCCAATCAGACAGAGGTACGCGATCAGATAACGGGCAACCCACCAAACAGAGGCACAAGAGAAAGAGGCCGACTCTCGTGATGCACGGGGTTAGGCGGCGGCATTAAGCTACGGAAGGCAGACAAATTGCCGTAAGTTTCTGGCGGTGGATGCGCTCATGATTTGCGGCGTCGTGGGCGTCTTTTTGAGCGTGTGATGATGCCAAGGCAAACGCTCCAGCTTTCCAATTCTGCTCCTTGTTCTTCACTCACTCCTGACCACCGAGCGGGCCCTACTCGTACCCTTCCACCTGTCATGTCGTTCTGATTTGCTGTTCCATCCGCACCCATGCCTGTCTGCTGTGTTGTTGACTTTGGTTCGCTGATAAACCCTCCCTTACAGCACAATGGGCGGCAGTCAAGAAGAATTTCCACTCTTGAACAGCCTTGGCTTGTATGCTGCCAACATACTCGGTGATGGTATGGAGTCGTTCCATATTCTTTGCCTTCACCCACTAATGTAGCCAGGAAATTGCCTTTTCCACGCACTTAGTGATCAGCTGTACGGACACCAGAAAGAGCACCAGATCATCCGTTCCAGAGTCATCGGTTACATGCGAGAACATGCCGACTATTACAAGCAATTCATAGACGCTCAGCCTGGTGGTGGCACACGGAGGAATCCCAAGAGGAAGAATGTCGGCTCCTTCTCAGCCGTCGCCGCTGCTCCATCGGCCGCAGACATAGACCACACGTTCCAGAACCACCTTGAGAGAATGGCAAAAGGCGGCACATACGGTGACAACATGGAGATCTCGGCCTTCAGCTCGGCATACAATGTGGATGTCAAGATCTACCAGCGAGACTTTGCCTACATGATCTCGGGCTCTGGTGATGAAGGGGAGCGTGACGTAGCTCATATTGCTTACCATGTCGGTAATCCGCCCCGATCAGACCGTACCTTTGCTGACCTTTGTAGGNCCTGGGAGCACTACTCTTCTATCCGCAACCTTGATGGCCCTCACTCTGGTCCGCCAAAGGTCACCGTCAAGGCTCTCTCGCCCGACGAGGAGCAGAAACAGAAAGAGAAGCTAGCACAAACCCCTCACGTGCTCCCCTGGATGGTGGATGTCGTTTCGTCCTCTCTTCCCTTCCTTGCCGACAAGCCTACCATCAAACGTACACTTGAAGAATGCAAAGGCAACATTGATGCTGCCGTCGACAAGCTTATGGGTGCCGAAGAAAATGGCAGCCTTTCATCCGCACAAGAGAGCTCTAGCGTTGAGCGTGAACCTGACAGCGATGAGGAATACCCAGGCAAAGATGGGCCCAACAAANAGCGAGATCGTAGGCCGTCATCACGACAACAATCTGGCGAAGTCAACTCGGACGACATGCGGGCCAAGTTTGAGACACACAACGACTCATCTGAGTCTGTCAAATCAGAAGCTTCAGAGTCTCTGAGCTCACAACCTGACAAGAAGGTCGACGTCGTCCCTGACACGCGTCCAAGGCCTACCATCAGACTGAAGTTCAACTCACAANAGGCATCCTCGCCGGCCCCTGTTCCAATCAAAGGGCCTCAGCGACAAACGGCTCGGGACAAGAAAGACATCAAGAAGCAGGCACAAAAGGCCGCTCGCAAGGAACGGGAGCAGGCGACCGCTGGTAGCGATCGACCCGAAAGCCCAAACACATCCGGCATGAAGCTTCGCAGCAAAGGCGTGGTGAACACTCCACCCATCGAGTCCGGTTTTCGTACCCTCTTCATCTAAAGCTCAAGCTTTCTTTGCCAACAATCTTTCGGCGTCGGATAAACGGGTGATCATGCGGGTACATGAACAAGACGCCCTGACATCCTCTTTTCTTTCTTTCATGGCTCTCAATGATGCATAGCGTGGGCACTTTGACGGCGGACAATCTGTGATTTTTCTATACCACCATGAGCATGGCGACGGCGTACACAGGAGTATTGGTGGTAGACTTGGGATACGAATTGGCCTTGATGTGCCAGAAGCATGGCATGATGACACTAGACGGGTATCACACCCGAGCTTCTAATCCTTTTTGCTTTCGTAGCGATCAACGACTCGCTAGACGAGGTGCAAAGAAACAAATACTATTGTTCCTCATACTGAACCTCCTCTTGATCCAGAGACGCAATGCCACAGTCAATCTTCTCCCTCACGCTAACAAGTGGCAATATTGTATAGCTGGGTTGACATCCATGCATATATCCAACTCTCTCTATCAACAATCGTCCAATCTACACAACGACAGCTTGTCCAAGCTTCATGTAATTCCAACAGACTATAGTGCGAGTTAGCACAGCCAAACTNTCGATAGCATCGAAGTGATACTTACTCGAATTCGCCAGGTCGCTGCCAAAGTAAGTGTCCATCAAGTCTTCTCCAGAAGCAGTTCCTTTCGTCGAGTCATACACAACTGCCTTCTTTCCCACTGCTAGGCCCATGACATTTGGAAACTCGGACAGTTCTTTGTAAGAGGGTATCTGCCCACAACGGTGCTTGAGCATATCTTGATGGATGTTCATAGCACAGTAATGACCCATATACATGGCACCTCCACAACGTTTGATGCCGGACCAAGACACGATATCTCCTGCCGCGAAATGGCTGTCTGCGTTTGGTACGTCGCTCTCAAAGCGTAAGCTATGACGGGGTCAGCAGAGTCCAGGTAGGATGAATCGTTGTTCGTACGAAGCATCAATCTTGACGTAGCCATCGTTGTCCAGGGCGGCGGGTGGGAGATAGCCTGATGTTGGTGTGCTTCTTGAAATGGCTGCAATGACATGCCCAGCTACGATCTTCTGACCGTTGGACAAAGTGAGTCTCCACGAAGCAGCTTCATCGTCAGTCTTTACAGCGGTAGTGTCCGTCACTCTCGTTTCCATGATGACCTGAACACCTGTCTCCTTGAGCAGCTCGAGGCTACGTTCCTTGAAGTCATCTGGCAGAGGCTCTGCAGATAGGAGTCTATCCCGCGAGTGAACGAGAGTAACCTTTTGCCAGGGTTCAATCATCTTGATCTCGCTAGCCATCTCGATCCCGACAGCCCCTAAAGGTAAGAAAGTTAGTCTGAGGTCTAGTTCACACAAAATGTACTCACCTCCGCCTATCACCACCACACCTTCTCTGGCATCTCTGACAGCTTTGGTATGTGCCTTGGCCTCGGCAAGAAATTGGTCTCTATTTAATGCTTGCGGCACCACAGGTGAAGTTCGTCGAAGGCCTGAGGCAACCTGCAGATAGTCATATTGCTGCTTACGAAGTTGTTTGGTGACAGTATCCACTACCGACGCAACCTTGTTCTCACAGTCAATACTCGCGACACTGCCCTGCAGAAATCGTACGTTGGGCAACTTCAGTGCAGGAATGTCCTGAAATCTTGTCCAACTCTTAGAAGCGGCTTCATCAAACGCAAAAGCTAACGGATTTCCAATCAGATGGTCTAGGGCGTTAATCAGTATTGTAATAACTTGATATGTCGTTACACTTACANNATAGCCATCACGCTCATCAACGATGGTGATATCCACAGGCACTTTCGTCTTGGGAGATGTGGCACCTGTAGGTGTAGACGTAAAACGGGGCTCTTTTCCATCGCACAGGTCTACAAGATTGACGCTTGCTGCAAGTCCAGAGTAAGAGCCTCCGATGACTATGACTTTCGGAATAGTCTGGAGCATGTTGGGGCCTTCGTTGAATGGCATTGTTGAGAATCGAGGAGCGGAGAGAGGCGAGAAAAACAAAAGATGAGAACGAGAAGCTTTGAAGCAAGATGAAGCTCCTACAGTCGCCGAGCAAAGAGTCTTGGTATTCCTGCTGTGCAAGAGGATGGGTCTCATGAATCCTCGTGTAAAGTTCATGTCGGTGGAGAGCCGGCACGTTCAGGCCCCTGTTGTCTACCCATATTTGACATTCTGGCATCAACTAATGGTCTGATTTTGATCCTTCCTCAGCTCCGATGCGGCGATGTGAAGACCATTGTACGCCCTGTGGGAGGAGGAAAACTGCGAGCGATAGGTTGATCAGGCCCGCGCTAAGTTGCTAGCTTGAATCTGATCCGGCGCCATTTATCTGATTGATAAGAAAGCTTGGCATGCGGCATCAGATATGTCGTATCTCCCGACCTCGAGATGCTATATCCGAATTGCGAACTTGAAACTTACATTTGATACGTTAGACATATCTCGACTGATCTTCTGTCAAGTTATCGTACAGTACATAAGTTGTGAGAGTCTAGTATTGAGAACTTGGCTGGAGCGGCTCTCAATATGGCCTGTGCGTTCTCGAGAATTATTGCATCATGCAATGAAGCTATGACCTCAGGCTCTGGTCAGTAGATTGATCCCAGCAAGGACATCGAATCTTAAACGTCTGTCGAGTTCGGCCGCCATCCATGTCGACTTCAATGAACTATCTCGTGACCGGTGCGGGTAGAGGCATCGGCAGAGGACTGACACGGAATCTCCTTGCACGGCCTGGAAATCGGGTCTTTCTTCTGGATAGCAATGAAAGCGAACTAGAAAACACTCTTTCGCTTGCATCGATTTGGATACAGTCATCAAACACCGATAGCAGTTCTTTCAAGGGCAAAGTGGTTGACTTAAGGAACCGCGATGAGATCAAGACCGTTGTCCGCGAGGTGAATGACTTCTTCGGCGGCAGATTATCATGTCTTGTCAACAATGCTTTTGCTACTCCGCATATCTGGAGGGACGATAAGGGAATGGAAGATGATCTTTCTTCCGACGAAATCATGGATCAATGGGATGTCAAAATCGCCGTTGGTCTGACTGCACCATTTCTTCTCTCAAGGCTTTGCGTACCCATGCTCAAACGCAAGGACGAGGGATCGAGCGCCGGATGCATTATCAACATTGCCTCTACACGGGCCAACCAGGCGGAAGACAATCACGAAGCCTATAGTGCAGCTAAAGGCGGACTTCTTGGTCTCACTCAGAGCATGGCAATCAGTCTAGGACACAGGCACAACATTCGCGTCAACGCTATCATACCTGGCTGGATCAGCGTTGAGGACGAGAACAAAACAGCAGACGAGGAAGGGACCAAGTGGGAAGAGGGTATGACGGACCAAGACCATTCGTGGCATCCTGCTGGCCGGGTAGGAAAAGTCGAAGATGTCTACAAAGCGGTCAAATATCTGGTCGAATCTGACTTTGTGACCGCCGAGAATATGGTGTTGGATGGAGGTGTAACCAGGAAGATGTACTATCCGGAATGAGACGACCACCATCGAGCTAGGCAGTTTCTATTTTGCATGCCTTTCTGGCGGATCGACGATGCCAATGCTGGAGTCCAACTCCGCGAACGAATCAAGGATGGTAATCAGGCTTCTGATTAGGTGAAACAAACTAATTGTATGACTTCCACAAGGAGCGAATATGATATCGACAAAGTAATTGTGTCCAGTTGCGATGCGTGTTGCAGCCTGCTGGTTTTGGTCTCGACACAAGGCCATGGATATTATTGCCATGTTCAGAAGGTCAGGTTGACATAATAGTAAAGAAGAAATTGGGTATCATGGGTATGCTTCACTATACAATTGCGTTCTCAGGGGGTTTGCTGCAATCCAAGTATTCTCACATGACCACGCACTCAGCCTCATCTCTCTTCTGATTGCTTCTGGTCAAGCGACCCTGATTGGGTTGGGGCTTTGCTGCTTTGCCCTTCCTGATTTCTTCTAGTCTTTCAACGGCCTTGGGGAACTTGTACGAAGCGGCCCTGGTGTACCACCTCTTGCCTTCCTCTAGACTAGCAGGACAGCCAATGCCGTTCTCGATGTAGTAGCCCAGAGCATACATGGCCTTTGCAAGCGGAGGTTCACTCGTCGCAGCTTTGCGTGCCCAGAGGTATGCCTCCGTATCCGACTGGTTTAGAATCCCCTCGGCACCCGTGAGGTACCAACCGGAGAGCGCCAGCTCAGCATTGTGCTCACCCTGAGCAGCTGCCTTGGAGTACCATGCAATTGAGTTGCGCGAATCGACCGGCAGACCCAACGATCCATACTCGAAGGCTTGGCCCAGTCTAAACTGCGATTGCTTGTAGCCCATCTTGGCTGCTTGTATGTACATCTTCTGTGCGTATTTCTCGTCCGGCTTCACTGCTGCACTGATAGCAGGATCGGGATTTCCCTCTTCGTGAAGACGAGCAAGTTCGTGAATGGCATGTGGATTGTTGGCATCAGCATTGTCAGCTGCTCTTTTGAGGTACGCCACGGATTGCCCTACGTTTCTCTGCTGGCCAAGAAGGCCCCTGAGTAGGATCATTCCCATCTTATACATGGCAGCCACGTCTTGTAGCTGCGAGGCGCGTTGATACCATTGCACAGCTTTGTGATAATCTCGCTTGGTGCCGCCCCCNTCTTCGGCTCCCATCTCGCAACACATGGCGGTTCGGTAAGCTGCAGCGCCATGTCCAGCTTTGGCCGCACCTTGATATAGCGAAAATGCCTGCTTGGGATCAGGTTCTAGTCCCAAGTCTCCAGATCCGTAGCAGTCTGCCAGGTAAAACATTGCTTCCGGATAGTTAGCCGCCGCGAGCTTTTTGACACGTTTGTGGGCGTCAAGAACATATCGTTCACTGTTTTTCGCAGTTGACTTTGCGTCTAAACGGCCATTCTCCGATGCCAATACAGTCGAAGCTTCGACAAGCTTCTTGACCAGAACCATTGCAGTTTTTATATCATTGGGATTCGCCTCAACTCTTGAACGCAACATATCGAGTTCACCTTTCGTCACTGGACCAGAGCTGCCGCTATCAGCACACGTAGGAGACTTAGGTTGCGACTGAGCGCGACTGCTTGATGACAAGTCCGGGTTGTTGGCATAGTTGCGCACAGGAGCGGGTTTGGGAGCAGGAGGACCGTTGTTCAGGCCAGGCCTAACAGGGACTGGATGGCTGGGGAGTCCATCAGGATTAGCAGACTGGTTGTAGCCATGTTGCTGAGCACCTGGTATCGTCTGTGGAGCAGACCGTTGTTTGGCAAGTGGAGCGCCAAAGGGACGGTCAGACGATGTTGGCGGAGCAAAGCCATTTCGTGTGGCGGGCGCACTTGGGGACCGGTCGTCCATGGCAAAGCGCTGGTTTGGCGTCCTCCCGAGCATTGACGGATCGGCTCCGTAGCCATAATCAGCTTGTCTAACAGGGGGAGGCGCGAAGCCGTTCGCCATTGCAGGTGCACTCGGAGCTCTGTCACCTGATGGTTGGCGCTGCGCAGGTAGCCGGTTCTCCATTGGCATTCCTGGTCTAAAGTCTTGCTGTCCAGGCACTGGTCTCCTGGATTGTGGTCCTCTGGACTGCGATCGGGGTCCACCGTTCGCGGGCATAGGTCCCGGGGCATAGATCCTGGGGGCATAGGTCGAGGTGGCGGCGGCCCACGACGAGCTTGCCCATTTGGCAAGGAGCCTGGAGGCATGCCACCCATTGGACCTTGAAGGAGCGTGGGACCCCGCCTAGATGGTCCGTGAGGCATATACCCATTAGGAGCCGCGCTGGCTNGTGTGGCCGTTCGGCATGGGACCACGTTGCATAACAGAATTTGGCATAAGCCCGCCTCGTTGCATAGGTAGTTGCCCACCATACTGCTGCCCATGGTACAGATCCTGATCGTCCGAAGTGNNAAAGCTCTTTGCTGCTGCGGTGGTCTCGGTGGCCCTGGGCTAGGGTCGTCGTAGCTCTGGCTCCGTTGTTGATCGGGAGGCGGCATGGTTNTGATGAGCGTAGCCTTGCTCATACTGCTGCGCCCTCAATGGCCTACCTGACTGATCTGCTCGCACGTCATAGCCTTCGTTGCGCGATGGATCATGAGCTGGTGGTTCAGGCATGGGGATCTGGGCGTTGTAACCATGATTGGATTGTGCGGGTTGTGGCTGGCGATGCAGAGAAGCGAGAGGCGTAGATGATTGGTTGCGGTAAGTGTGATCATGTTGTGGGGGCTGTGGGGGCCTAGCAGAAGTAGAGTGTTGATCGCCATGAGTGCGATCCCATGGCTGCTCTCGATGCGACTGAGTGTGGTAGTACAGAGCTTGTGCAGGGTGCTGCGGGAGACGAGTGGAATTGTGAGGCTCAGGAGACTGGGTCAGCTGCTGGCCCTGGAAGCCGAAGTCAAAGGCATTGACCTCATCTTGAACAGGGGTACGTTGGCGCAGATCTGGTTGAGATTTGGCAGATTTGAGCTTGCTGGAGGCAGTCTGATATCCTGACTGAGGATGAGCAGACTGAGCAGGACTGTTCGAGTGCATGTTGTTCAGATGTTCGTCGATAGTGGGCTGACGCTTATGCGCGGTAGGTCTATCAAAATCGGGCATGGCAGCTTCGATCTCGTCCTCCCGGTTCATGGGCCGAGGAGGTTCTTGATAGTAATCATCATAGACGCCTCCCAGACTTTCGTGCTTGTCCGCATGAGGGTTCCAGGGCTGTTGAGGATGAGAAAAGTCATCCTGATAGGCCGAAGCGTTGGAGAGGTGAGCTGCCTGCGAGATACGTGCTTCGTAAGGAGCGTGGGCCACGGGAACGATGGCCGGACGATGGCGTGCGGTTACACTACTCAACAAAGGTGACTCGACACTATGAGGAACGGCAGCGACGTGGGTATCAAGAGGCGCAAGGAAGGGGCGTTCACGGCCATTGGCAGAATCGCTGGTCGAAGGACGAGAAGACGCCGAATAAGGCGGGCTGAAGGTGGGTAGAGGAGCAAGCTGTGCTGGAGGCTGTTGTGGAGGACTACGGTAGGGGTGGCGCTGGTCTCGAATCTGTGGACGGGCATCTCGACTGGCAGACCTTGGATCTTGTAGGCGAGTCTGTGGTGGGTGGTGTGGTTGCGGTGGAGGCTGTGGGAGAGGGTGGAAGGATGTTATAGGATTCGGAGGGTCTTGGAAGCGCGAGTGTGGTGGAGGGCGGGGCGCGTCGGCTGTCGATGGTCTTGGATGGGACGTGTTGGATGAGTGTGAGTGATCGGACTGGNNGTGTTTGGCGGCCTCAGGTTCGGACTGGCGTTCGCGGTGGGTGGATGGTCGCGAGGTCTGNGATGCATCGCGCGGGGGCCTCTGCTGCTGGTGGGCAGCGGCAGCAGGAGCGACAGAGCGCTTTGTGGGAAAGACGGGAAAAGCGTTGTCTTGAGCCATTGGACTTTGTCCGGGCGATGGTTGATCGAGCAGCGGTCTGCGGGCTGCTTGGGAGCGTCAGTGTCTGTGGCATGCGGTGGCTATGGAAGCCTTGTCTCACCTGGCCGCGATGGCTNNCTCGTCTTCGCGACTCGTCNNTCTTCCTGTCCTGCCTCGGTTCGTGTGTGTTTGCCTGTCTGCTGCGGGTCGTGGCTGTGTAGCATGCTCTTGGTCCAGGTGATTGTCGTGCGTCGTGGGTAGCGACTCGAATGCACCTCGATCTGCTCGCTGGTCTCTGTACGCCGGTGACTGGGCTCGCTCGACCAGGTAGCCCCGCGTAGGTGGAACGTAGGCATTATTTGGGTCATATGCCATTCTGGTCCAATCCCTGCGTCAACGTCGGACCCGGCATGAACCTTCTCTGACCACTAGAAGCGACGAAGAGCAACGAGCCTCAAATTCTCCGACTCTTTCGAGGGGCAAGGGTGCAAGATATGTGGTGACGATGCGCCAATCAATCCACAACAAGGACGAGATTACTTGGTCTGCTCCAGCGTCGATACGCAAGGTTTCAGCTGATGCTGCCCATGGTTTCGAACCTCTCGATTACGCGCCCGAAGCTTGGACACTCAAAACGCAAGCCTGTCACAAAGACCGTCAGTTCGCTGTTTTCACTCTTCTCTGTAGAAACACTCTGCGTGCTCTTGAAACCACATGCCAATTTCGACTTACTCGCCCTCGTCCTTCGATCCTTCCTGAAACCTTCTCTAAACATCCAGGTACCCAGAGACCGTGCTGCCATGATCGTCAGTGGCTTGCCGAGGTCTGTCTTGCAGAACGCTTGGCCTGTGTTGAGCCTCATTTCTCAATCCTCCATCCACCTGTCTTGTCGCGCTTGCCATGGCTTTCTTCTGAATCTTTGTTGCACAGAGCGATGCTCTCTTGCCGCTCTCTTGCTCCCCGTGCTGCAGGCTTGTCCTCGTGTGCGACCTGAACTCTGCTATGTGGTCGCCAATCCCCTGACACCGCACGCGTTCTAGCATGAGCTCTTCATATTTGTCTCGTCCCTTGTCAAGCTGTACATACACATAGTGTTGTGCTGCAAGGCTAGCAACGGCTATAACAGCTTCTTAAGTCCAGCTGCCTGCTAGTGGCCATCCTTCAGCTCCACCCCCTTCCATTGTCAAGCACCCTAGTAAACCCCGCTCCATATTTACGGCCGACTGTTGATAAGTCAGCCTGCCGAGGGCCAAGTGTAAATATACAAGCACAAGCACGTTGGCTGTTGAGCAAACTGTTCCACCAAACGTCGTTCCTTGTCTTCTTTCTGCTCGATCTCTTCGTCACCATGGATCTAGGTGAAGAATATTGCACTCTTCTTAGCTTGTTGATCTACTCACACTGCAACAGGTACTGCCACAATTGCTGGTGCCGCCGTCGCTGCTGCTGCATATATTGATGGTAAACTCCAGGTTCGCAAGGACCTGCGCGATCTCTGGAATGTCAAGAGAGCTCAGTTTGAATGGAACCGAGCAGGTAATCAAAAGAACTAGATTCTGCTGGAATTAAAGCTCTAACAAAAACCAACTTGAATAGTCAAGAAAGGTGAAGCCTCACTCTGGAGCCAATTCGAGCAACAAGTAGAACGTCTGCCCTCCTCAACACGATGCATCTGGTCCAAGACTGGATGTTATACCTGGTCTGAGGCACACGCTCAGGCTTGCCGCTATGCCGAATTCTTCTTGACCAAAGGGGTTCGTCCTAATGAACCGGTTGCCATATACCTCCAGAACTCGCCAGAGTTCATGTTTACTTTACTTGCCACATGGGCTCTTGGAACAGCTCCAGCAATGATCAACTATAATCTTACTGGTGATTCGCTGCTACATTGTCTCAAGATTAGCAACAGTAAAGTCCTTGTGGTAGATGAGGACGCTGGGTGTCGGCAGCGAGTTGAGGAGTGTCGGGAAAGGATCGAGCAAGAACTAGATATACGAATTGTCGTTCTTGACTCATCGACAAAGGCGTCAATCGCTGCGATCAGTCCAAAGCAACCAGAGTCTCGCTACAGAGACCACGTGGATGGAGAGACACCTGTTCTTGGGATCTACACTTCGGGCACAACTGGACTCCCAAAGGCAAGCCACTTCCACCTCGAAAGAATCTGGTTTCTAGGCGACTATCGTAGACGTCTCACGAACCAAAGTTCAGGGCCTGACGGAGATGTATTCTACAACTGTATGCCTTTGTACCACGGCACCGGAGGTGTACTCGCTACTGGTTGTATGGTTTCTGGCATGACGCTGGCCATTGGACGCAAGTTCTCAACTTCCGGATTCTGGGATGAGATCAGGGAGTCTGGAGCAACTGCTTTTGTCTACGTGGGAGAAACCGCGCGCTACCTGCTCTCTGCACCACCCTCGCCCAGAGACAAAGACCACAAAGTCCGTCTAATGCACGGCAATGGTATGAGACCGGATGTCTGGAGAAAATTCCAGGAGAGGTTCGGCGTGACGGACGTTATGGAGTTCTTCAATAGTACCGAAGGTGTCTTCACTTTGAACAACTACAGTCGAAACGATCACTTCGCAGACGCAGTCGGGCACCATGGAGCAATCTTCCGAGCTGTGTTCAGAAATACTTATGTTCCGGTGAAATTGGACTACGAGACGGGTGAGATCTGGCGTCATTCAGAAACCGGGTTTGCACAGCGGCAACCGTATGAGGAAGGTGGTGAGATGCTGGTCAAGGTTCCCGACGAGAACCAATTCAAAGGATACTGGCATGCACCTGAAGCCACAGCAAAGAAATATGCTAGGAATGTCTTTGAGAAAGGTGATCTCTATTACAGATCTGGCGATGCACTGCGAAGATCTTCGGATGGAAAATGGTTCTTCATGGACCGTCTCGGAGACACTTTCCGTTGGAAGGGTGAGAACTGCAGTACGACTGAGGTCGCTGAGTGCTTGGGCAGATTTCCATTCATCAAGGAAGCCAATGTCTATGGCGTCGAAGTCCCAGGCAAGTCTGTCTTCGATTGCTGAAAGATAATATGCTAACAATCGCGTTGCCAGNGTCATGATGGTAGAGCATGTTGCGCTGCCGTATATATCGAACCAGCAGATCGTGCTTCGTTCGACTTCAAGGCCTTCCTCTCTCATTCGCAAAAGCTGCTTCCCAAGTATGCTGTCCCATTGTTCTTGCGATTCGTCCAGGATGACCAAGCACATACCATGCACAACAACAAGCAGAACAAGACCCAGCTCAGACGTGAGGGCGTAGATCCTGAGAAGGTCTCTCGCGGAACGGCTGGCGCCAAGGACACACTTTACTGGCTATCACCCAGAGGCAATACCTATGAACCGTTCGGCGAAGCGGAGTGGCGCAGTATAGTAGCAGGCAAGGCAAAACTGTGAAACCTCGATGGATATGGCAGAAGGATGCGCTTGATTGGTTTTGGTAATCAGATGATTCATCATCTGCCCTGCGCACTCTATTACACATGACTATCAACTCCTGGCCCTTTTGTATGGAATTCTGACAAGTCAAGAGACGTTTGACAAGACAACAAGCAACAGCAGTAGGAAAACTTGCAAGGGACTAGCGACGTCAAAGATAGTTGAAAGTAACACGCAATACTCGAGTGGCTCTATAGAAGCTGTTTTTTCATTTGTCTTGAAAAACAAATAAAATTGTCATAATTTCGCGATGTTGCCACTATGGCATATAATGTCATTACCAGTTACCACAAGGCACAATTGCTTTTGATAGAGATCTGGTTATGGGGACGCATCAAGAGCGGCCGATTCTTCCCCAACGCTGTCGCAAAAGTGATGGAATATCCGCAAAAGAGCAACGCCCGACCAGAGGCTCGAACTCTGAACCTTGAGATCTCTATTTCATAAAAGTCTCACGCGCTGACCAATTGTGCCAGCCGGGCAGAAGATAGCATGGTCGCTCAATCATAGTATATAATGTTTAATTGTTGCGCATCATTGATCCAGATCACGAACATCACTTCTCGCTCCCTCAAATCGTACACTGTTTTCACTCGAGCACCGTTTTATATCTCGTTCTAATACACTTGACTGTTCAGTCTGTTAACACAGCACACGAAGTACAATGGCCACGAAATCTACTCATTTGACGAAGAATTTGCTAGAAGTGAATTACTTCGAATAGCCCTATCCAATACATACAAGAAACGATCTGAACAACCTACTGATGACTGTAGTCACAACGTAGATGCTTGTAAGTCTGCTTGAACGCCGAACTCTACATCCCACACATATTGACCCGACCACCCTGTCTTGGGTGGGCCCTAGTGTCTATATAGGACTCCGTAGTGATTGATATGGATCTTGTTGTTGCAACTAGCTCTACTGTACCAGATATCATTGAAGTATTCTGTAGCCTTGAGACTGTAAGCTCTCAATCTCACCAACCACGTAGGAAGTATATCCCACGACCTAGTTGTTAGAGTGTCTGTCTCCAGGATAGAAAGTACGACGAAGCATACTTTTGTCACACTCGGCAATCTTTGAAATACCAGCAAGTCCCATGCTCTGATCAAGGTCNCTATATGTTTTGTCAGCTTCTCAATCTGGCTCAACATCGACCTCAAAATAACTTACCGCTAATATACCACGGAGAGCATCTTTGGCTCCCGCCTTGCCGCTGATACCCAGGCCGTAGACCCAAGGACGCCCGATAAGGACACCCTTGGCTCCAAGAGAGAGTGCTTTGATAATGTCGACACCGGTTCTGATGCCGCTGTCGAACAGAACATCGATCTTGTCACCAACTGCCTCGACAATCTCTGGCAGGACTTCGAGGCTGCCAATCGCTCCCTGAATGTAGTCAGCCTTATTTCTCGAAGTACATTAGAGATCACGTACATCTAACTGCCTGCCCCCGTGATTGCTGACGACGATGCCTTGAACACCAACTTCTACCGCTTTTCGGGCATCCTCCACATGTTGGATACCCTTGAGGACGATAGGACCATCCCAGTTATCCTTCAAGTGCTGCACTTCGTCCCAGGTATGAGCAGCACCAGGGAATACCTTGCTTTGCCACTCAAGCGCAGCATCGTGAATGTCGTCCTCTACCTCTTTGTTGTGCTTTTCCTTGAACTGTCGACGGAAGACAGGGTCAGAGAAACCGATGGCATCTCCAATACCCTTCATGAATGGCACGTAAGCACCNCTGGAGCGAGTACATAATTAGCATGATCTCACCAAGTTGAATGTAGGAACACCACAGCTTTGCTAAACCAGTACACTCGGCTATGCAAGATGCCATCCCGGACGGTGTTTCGTATGAACCCAACCCGTTCGAGCGTTCCACACAGATTGAGGCAAGGCGCCAGCACTAGTCGTGGTGTTCGTACCTTCGGCTTAACTCACATCGAGATCGAGAGGTCTCCAGCTGAGAGACCAAGTATCTAGTGTGACGACCAACACTTCGTAACCAGAATTCTTCGCTCTTTTGAGCATGCTCTCGGTTATAGCTTTGTCGTGAGGCCAATAGAGTTGAAACCATCTGTGGCCATCGCCATTGGCTTTGGCAACCTCCTCGATTGTAGACGAGGATGCAGTCGAAAGGATGTAAGGCACTCCGATTTCAGCTGCAATCTCAGCAACTCCAGTCTCCTTGTCTTCGTGGAAAATCGACTGGACACCGACAGGAGCTACGAGACAAGGCGTGGGATATTCCTTGCCCAAGATTGTCGTCTTGAGGCTTCGGTGGGTCGTGTCACGAAGCATGCGTGGTACCATCTTCCAAGTCCTGAAGGCTAGGCGGTTTGCGTCCATGGTAGCGCCCTCTCCAGCACCTCCACCGACGTAGTTATAGCTTCTACGATTCATGGCTTCCTTTGCTTGTTCCTCGAGCTTGTTTGGGTTGGTTGTGACGGTGGGAACGACATTGTCATACATTCCCTTGCGATAGATCTCGGTCTGGAAAGCTCCATAGTGATCGTGTTGGGTGGGAACATTGCCCGCGCCGTCTTGATGAGTACCTTGAATTGCGTTCATTTTGGCTAAGAGATAGCAATATCGGATAGAGGAAAGAAAGAGTAAGGAGATGAGGATTCGCGGTACAGAGTTGGCGAATGAGACGAGATGGCAAAGTGCAACGAGAGGTAGGTGTCTCGTCTTATTTATCCTATGATGATGAATGAGAACCGCCGTGGAGAGACGATAAAACAGTGATGTATGCAGTTGCGTAAATGACGTGGATCGCGACTTCCGCGGTGCCGAAGCCTGAAGGCCCGAAGCCCACGAAACGATCAAGGATGAATCGGTCTCTGTCTGGCAATGTTCGAATCAATTGCCAGCGGCATGAGGAAGCTTGTCTTTGTTCAGCGCTACTTCCAAGATATCGGTTTGTGTTACTCCATGATTATTCCTTGTTCCTCCATGATTGCAAGCTTCGGACAGTCACGGACAAACACGTGAATACGACACTGAGCCCATGGCCGCCAACACGCCGCCGCTATGGATAAGAAACACATCACAGTTGCTCCGTACTCACATGTTGCTCCAATTGCCAACACCCTGCGCTGGTGGGTGCATTCCTGTCGGCGAATGTATTGACCAATAGAAGTCGATTTAGACGGCCGCGTGTGCAGCCTTGCGGCGAGAGTCGTCATGATGGCTGTTGTGCCAGGTAACTATGACAATATATAATCGCCAGTCGCGCTTTCTCTAGAAGCTCCTAAATCCTTCTTACAAACAAAGGCACCACAAACAACATTTGTATCACAGCACCAACCATTGCTCGCTGCCATGAATTCGCAACATGCAGAACAACTCTCGAATGCATCCGTGCCATCGTCAGAGTATCACGAACAGGCACCTCCACTGCCAGCTCGTACTGTCAACACCTCAAATGCTTTGCAAGCAAAACTATCATACCCAGTACCACCTCGACGATTGAGTAGTGCCAGATCATCAAATGAGGATATCTCATCACCAGTGCATTACACTCGAGATCCACATCGCCTCGTTGCTTACTTGATCCCGTTCCCGAAACCAAAACTCCATGGCATCTCGCCAGACGCTATTCCAACCAGATTTCTGATCTATACTCCCNCGCCTCCTCCTCTGAAGGCGCCTGCAGAAGGAGAGAAGGAAGCCAAGGTTCACAAACTGCAACGCAAATGGCAAGAAGAAGTGCGCTCGGCAAAGACGTCAACTGCTAAGACTGCGAGCTGGAAAGGTGTCAAAGGCAAAGCTACGAAAGCAATCGACACAGCAATGGGTTGGACAAAGAGCTCTAACCTCGAATTCATCAACAGAATCAACGTTGACGGCGAGAAGGGATCTGAAGCGCACGCACGGGACGAGAATACTGAGAGAGTGACTCACCGTACAGTCGGTCTCGAGGAAATGTGTCTTATCTATCCCATCAGCGTCAAGAGCAGTCCAGATCAGCTCAAGGTGGAGTTTGTCGAATCAATGATGCGAAGCAAGAGCAAGGCCCAGAGAGACTCGATCATCGCCACTGGATTGTTGCCTGTATCTGCCGCGATCGACATCATGCTTACACTGATATGGCCGTTCGGAGGACTGTTGGAGATTGACGCAGTCTGGGCCGCTGCTTCGATCAGAGGCGCGAAAATTTCTCGAAACGTGACCAAAAGACTCCACTCTACTTCCACGAGCGGCAATCATGATGAAGACACTTTGAGACTTTCGTTCCATCCTTCATCCCGTCTCGAAGTACTGGACAAATATCTGGAGGCGAGATGCCACGAGAAGGACGCAAAAATCTTTCCATCTTTCGGTTGTGTGCCGACAGAGACAGAGTGTCTCCAGGCAATAGGATGGGCTCCCAGTCAGACCGATGGAGAGACAAGAAATTGGGAAGATGAGTACTGGGAAACTGCAGAGGTAAAGGAGGACCTCAAGACTGTTTTGACCAAAGCAGCACACGAGTGGGACAGGTGGTGCAGAGCCTATGAGAAGAATCCCGAGAAAGCAGTGAAGAAGTAAAAATGGCCATGGAGATGTGCTATCCACCGGTTGTTTTCAGAAGCAGGATATTGTTGTCCTCAGAAGTTGCCACAGAGATAGATTGATTCCGGGGTAGGTAGTGTAGCATGTCTTGGTCAGGGCATGGTATATGGTCAGATATAGAAAGGCGTGCCGAAACAGAAGCAGGATGAAGTGGTTATATAAGTTTTCGAAAAAGTACTTCATTGTTGGGAGTGGGGACGATTCTTGTAGTCATAGAAATGTCCATAGCGTGATCCCGAGGCCACGTGCGAGACCTTGATGGCCACGAGGAGACAGATGTAATTCTTGAAGCTTCCCGAACCTTTTTGAAATGCTTGTTTCCTATGTTTGACGTCTTCTGCTAGACTTCACACTGCCACCTACCTACAAGTCTGCAAGATAAGAGAATTTTGACCTGCATATTATGAGGGATGAGCAACATCCAGGCACTGATAACGCCATCGCAGATAAGCACTAAGGCAGCAGGTGCCAGTAGGGAGAGGTGCGACACTGGTGCTTGATAGCAGTGTCTATCTATCTCCCTGAAAGCTCTCCTTATCATGTCGTGCTTCGATGCACATATAGTGGCCACCCACCGCGCACCCGTACACAATCGCTGCCTTCAGGAACCCATTCTACCAGCCAGAGCACGCCACCCCTCCTTCTCCAGGATAAACACCGTCTTCAAGGCCGAAAGATCAAAAGTCTTCAGAAGATACTCGGTGGTGAACCTTACACAACATCAACCGCATTTCACTCAGCAGCGCATCCAGCGTGGATCTTTGGTGCTTGGATTCTGGATGATCCACGCCCAGTCCTACTGGTAGCCCGCATTCGCGGCCCTGTGCAAGCGAACAGCTGCATTGCGACCGTCATACATGAGCAGGAGCCTACATTCACATGCTGGTGTCGCACATTAATCAGATCAGCTACTTGTAAGTTGTAGGCCAGCCCTCGTCAGGTCCTTGAGAACCAATATCTACCGATATACCACTTGTGAGTGGCTTTGCAGACACGAGATTGCCATTAGCGAAACGAGATGATCATTCCAACTGGCAGCATCGGCCGAAGCAACCATGTCGCCCGGGTGAGGAGAGGCCATTGCGTGGCAGCGCGTATCAAACAGACGCGAACGCCTGGCTCCACGCAGCCTCCTGCAGCAAGCACAGGCTAATATCACGGCGATGGTGCTCCCGTTCCAGACTTCTCGCCGAGGCGACGAACGTGCGTGGAACCTCGATTGTTTCGATCCGGATGTTTCTGTCCTCCGGGCACGCGAGCAATCAACAACAGCAGAAGCTCCTCGTTCCCGTTAGAAAGCCAACTCTTCGACCTGTTTTGACCGTGTTTCGCCGGCTCAAGGTTTGAAGCTGTCCCTGGAACTGGAGGATGCAGGACCCACCCCACTTTATCACGGAGGCTGAAGTTAAACGCCGGCTCAAGTCCTGGCTCTTCTTCCTTCCTTGTTCTCGCGCTCTCGGGTGTTGATCACTGATAAAACGCTTCGACTCACGGGCTTGGACAGCATGGATATATGCCAGCTCTAATGAATTCTCGAGCCCGAAGCAAAATTCTAGCGGTCTTTTCCAGAGTCGCAAGATCTCGGACCCACTAAGCGGATTTGACCCAAGGAAATTATTTCTGGAGAATCGTTGGTTGAGTTGTCGCGTTTCTTAGCGCACTCATCCACATGGTTCGGGCGAGGCCACCTCAAAAATCACGGGGAAAGAGATCCACATGGTCGTGTGCGAACAACCTTTGCTCGAAGGAGGAATTCTCGTTCCTGAAGCACACACTGTTTCGACTCGCGACTCGCGAGACGTGTGGCCAGACCTCTGGAGCAGAAGCGCATTGAATGTATCAACGACACTCCGGCACATGTAATGCCTTTTGCGAGGCTCGTGGTAAACGACGAACGAGTTTTCTGGAACTCACAAACTTGTAAGGAATTGGCATGTGAGAAGACAGAAACGGAAGCGACGTACGTAGAGAAAACGGTGGTGGAGCTTGTCTCGTGCATATGCATTTTTGCTTGTTCGCTTTGCAGGATCATGAAGCATGGTGATCAGCTAGCCACCCATGGTGCATGGCATCGGTAGTTGTACTGTACGAAGGTAGGTACTTGGTAACTAGACAGATGCGATTGGTGTCAGGCACACTCTTGAGAGTCATGGACATGCACAACAATAAATTAGGCGGACGTTCGGTCGATTCCAGCCTTGGAGCGATGGCGTCCGTGTCAGTCTCAAATCGCTCTTGAGCCCTGACTCTGACACTGACAGCACGGAGGAAGGTTCTCAATAATCCCCAAAGAGATGAACCGAAGATCAGGGTCTATCTCGGGATATCACGGATGGCTCAGCGATGGTTGTGGGGAGGCTAAAGTGTCACGCACGGATGGTGAGAGGCATGTCGAGTCAGAAGGCGGTGTTGACGGAAGACGAAGGGAAAAGGTACACACGACTACATAGTGATGAGATGGGTGAATGAGTGCAGGGGCAGAGGCACAAACGAGAGGGCAGCTTGATGCGTTCGATGTCGGATATATTGAGAAGTAGACAAGGAGCGGGCCCCGAGTAAAGTAGGAGGTGGATTCTCAACCGAGCGGTTCAACAACGGCAAAAAGGGTTGCAGACTCGAGCAGATAGGAGGAGCAAGGTTTGAGCCGCAGAGGTGGGTCGGACCTTGGGGCATGGAGCCTGTCAACGCTGTTACCATCGTCATTGGGCTTTTGCTGCGACGAGCAAATGCAGCGAGCCGAGGGCGTGGGGGCTTCATGTCGGCCCTGGATCTGAGTATAGACAGGATACGTACGGAAGTTGATGCAAACAGAGACACGCTTTGCAAGGATGACGAAGCCAAAGATATAGCGACCGCAACTGTGCTAAGGTTACGAGAAGAGCGAGCAGAACGAGGAGCAGCAACAAGATGCGACGGTAAGGGTATGTGGCAGCAAGCAGAGCATGTGGCAGCAGATCCCTGCCCGTCTGTCGGCGCGCGTGGGCGAAGCTAACGGATTGAATCAGCCACATTCAGAGTGCAGGGAGACTAAGTTGACGGAGCGCAAAACAGGCGACGAGGAACGAGCGGGTTCGCCCCTAGAGGCTAGCAACAGTAGGCTACTCGCTCGTGTGCCGACCCTTTGCTGACCGAGTTGGACTCCGAGTTCGAGTCAGCATTAGACATACCCACATCCCACCCTCTGTCTTTCCGCAGCGCGTCATTTGCATCTCCAACTATTCGTACTCTGCCCTTGGCTTTTGTCTATTACAATATTCTGGAGCCTGCCTGCTTACGCCCCGGAAAGTTGCTTGGAATTCGCGAGCACAACTGCCTCTCCGCACGAGAGCTTATGTATTAAGGCCAGCCGAGTAATCAACCAAGGACGTGGGGGCCACCCAAACATGACATCGCCGCGTGCCTTCGCTCCCACCATGGCTGAAAGGACGGCACCTTCTTCGTCGACAACGTCTTCGGCGGTCCAGTCTCTCACCAGCGCCAGCACGCTGGATTCCCCTACTGAGTCATCAGCGCGGAGGGCGCTGCGGGATAGTGTGTTTGAGTCGGCGACATGGCGCGAACCTGACGGCGAGAGCCCCGAAGAACTACAACGAAAAGACNCCCTCGGCACCCAGATCTGGAAGCTGTATTCCAAGACCAAAAACACCCTGCCCAACTCTGAGCGCATGGAAAACTTGACCTGGCGAATGATGTCGATGAACCTGAGGCGCGCCCAGCAGCAGAGGTATGCCCACGTAACAAAGAGCTGCCGACGAGGAACAAGATGACTCTGACACGCCGCAACANGCCGCCTAGCCCATGCATACCAGCAGCGTGCCAACGCTCCCAGCGGCATTGCACAGTTGCGACAGTCGGCAGAGGCCCAGTCGCACTCGCAGTCGCACTCGCAGTCGCACTCGCAGTCGCACTCGCAGTCGCACTCGCAGTCGCACTCGCAGCCGCACTTCCCCATCCCAGCCCACGATCACATGAATCTGGACGACTTTATTGTTCCCTCGTCCATCGCATCCCCCATCAGCCAGCCCTCACCGCCTGCCTCGTTGGACCCATCGACCACGTCCGACTCCAAGGCCACCCCGACAGGCATTCCCATCCGCCGCCATCAGCAGCTGCAGGACGAGGCCCAGGACGACTTCATCGCGCGTGCCTCGGCCNCCTCGGTCGCTCCCACGGCCATCAACAAGACGACCGACGAGTTTGGCTACATCCAACGCCATGTGCGCAAGACTAGTATTGACGAACGCAGGGTAATGTCTCTCTTCTCTACTGACCACCTTGACCGCATCGCTGACTCGTATAGCNCACCCAAGCGACGTGCCGACTGCTCACCCCAAGTTCCTCCCGTCACCACTGGCATGCCCAATGATGCTCTCCTCAACAACTACTCGCTCGACTCCACCGCCTTCAACCCCACCAACACGCAAGCTCAAGTGCCCTTTGGCCTCGACACTTTTGCCTTCGACACAGGTGCCAACTCGGCCCACAACGACCCGCTGCTGACATCGGCCGGCCCTTTTCAGACCAACTTCAACTTCTCCCCTGTCGGTTCACCCATGATGAACACGCCCTATACCAACATGTTCAACCAGTCCATCATGTCCAACAACTACTGCTCGCCGCCACAGTCGTCCTACCACTCCCGTGTCTCGACTCCCCAGCCTATTCCCGAGCACGAGCCTGTCTTCTTCAATACCTCTAGCAGTGTTGACCTGAGGCACCACGCCCACATGAGCAGCTACACTAGCCAGCAGCCTACCCCCGTCGCCAGCATGCAGCCTCAGTACATCTTCAGTCCCAACAACGACAACATGTTTAGTCAAATTTCGGCCCCCGATCCGTCGACTTCTTTCACCCAACCCTCGTCATTCTCTATGTCGGGACACGTTGATCCAACCGAGGTCTTGTCGACAGCAATGTCCTTGCCGCGAGGTGACAACATGTTTACCTTCGGTGCTGACTCTGACAACGAAGACGATGAAGCCGGCTTTGGCGACCGCAACAACTTCATCATGCAGACCGACTTTTCACCTATGGAAGACCCTTCAATGGGCGAATACCAATGGGAGAGCGGTCTCGCATCAGGCCAGTACAACTCGCTGCCCGCTCGCTATGCCGGACCACCAGCTCGCAAGGGCGTCACCATTGGTCACACCGAGATGATTCCCTCACCACAGGACTGGGGCGTGGGCAGCTTGGGACGCACACACGGTTCAGCTGCCTCTGTCAGTGAGATCCGCAACCGTGGTAATGACCCTCGTCTTAAGAAGATTCCTCGCACCAGTTCAACCCCAAACGCGGCGGCTATGGCTGCCCAGCATGGTGTTTTCTCTGCCCGCCCACAATCTTNNTCGCCCTCGTCGCCGCCCGAGTCGTCAACTGGCTTTAGCTCGGTTGCGCCTTCTCGGCCCGGGAGTCCCAAGCCTGGTGACAACGGCTTACCTACAACATGCACAAACTGTTTCACTCAGACCACTCCTTTGTGGCGCCGTAACCCTGAGGGACACCCATTGTGTAACGCATGCGGCCTGTTCCTCAAGCTCCACGGCGTTGTACGTCCGCTATCTCTGAAGACAGATGTCATCAAAAAGCGCAACCGAGGCGGAGCTGGTTCTGCAACCATCGGACCTTCTTCCAGCCGGTCCAAGAAAGTTGCTAGCAGGAAGAATTCGGTTGCTCAGACTCCCGCGACCACTCCCAAGCCTACATACGATGCCGATTCTCCCAGTACAGCTGCTGGTTCCTCTATCACCGCAAACACTCCTACCACTCAAAACAACCCCGTCATTGCGCCCAAGACTACTGTGGTGCCCATTGCGCCTGGTCCACCCAAGCCACAAATGCCAGCCACAGGCCCTGCTCCTACACGAATGGTTGCACCCAAACGTCAGCGCAAGCAGAGCAAAGTCGGTAGCTCTCCCCAAGAGATCGAGATGGGTGAGGCGGACGATATCNAGTACGGGCAACAAGCCAAAGGAACTTACTCAGGCACCACCACCCGCTTTCTCATCCAGTCAACAGCCAACCATGATAATGAACAACGGCCCACCTNNGCATCAATGGCTAGCACTCCTTCTGGCATGCCCGCCGGTCCACAGGAATGGGAATGGCTCACTATGAGCTTGTAAGGTGTTGAATGTTGGTAACATCATGTTGAACAACAACCTCCCAATTCTCTATACGCAAGACGGGAGCTTGCAGAGGTCGGCGCCCTTTCACAACGCTGCGCCCAGCTGAGCATTCTTTTCTGCTTTTGAATTCGATCATATACCCGCCCATATCTCGGGCACTGGACATCCGACCAGGATTGTCCCGTCGGTCTGATGAGTTGGCCGTCGCGTGCGCGGCCCATGTTTTTGCTTTTTTTCTTGGTGTTGATTTAGGCGCTATTTTTGGCAAGAGGTGTGGTACTGTTTCTGATTTACTTCTGCGAATGATTCCCTTATTAGACTGGTGGGCAGGTTTCGGATTGCTGTTTCACGGGATTATTAGATCCCCATTGTTCTTCATCTGTCTTCAATGGGCCGAGGAAGAGATTTGTGCAAGATGATTTGGCGATACTGCCTTGGGAATGATGTTACACGACTCTGACCTCTTCCACTTCTTCGACTGGTTGTGTTAATGACCGGGGTTTTAGAATTGAATCTTTCTCTTTTCTCGAGTATTCGATGGCGGGATTGTTTATTCTAATCACATTTGTGCTACATGATTTCTGTGCAGAGCTTTGTGCAGTGCTGTGTATCGTTGTAGTCATTAAAGGTTTATATCAATGCTAGGATATGGAACTAATCGTGCGCATTCTGATCCAAGGTACATAAAGGGATTCACTGAATGGTGCATTTGCAGAAACGTCAAGATATATATGACCCTGCTGGATTGAAACGTGACCCAAGTCTTCCTGAGCTCTCAATAACTTGGTGCGTTCCCGACACTCGCCCTCAGGCATATCATAACTCGCTGGAGTCGGAATAGTGGACTTGTTCCAACAAGTAAGGCTTCGCTTCTTTGCAGTGTGCATCAAATCATCTCACCCTCCTCTCCAGGGCCTCCACTCGACTCCTGAAAGCTGCCACGATGTCGCGAATACGTCTTATCTTGTCGAATTCGGTCTCGAGTTCATCAATCTGTCTCAGTAAAGCATAGACCCGAGCAATCTCTGCGTTGGCAGCCTGGATCGAGGCGCTGGCTCTCGAGCTCTGTCTTTGCACTGACGCTTGTGTTTCGCGGGTCAANCTCCAATACACAGTTCTGTCAGTAGATGCTTCAAGCTCTGAAAGCATGGCTAATTGAAACAGTCATCATTCAACCACGACAACGAGACTTGAGTCCTCCAGCATCCTCAAACAAAAGAAGCACGAGACCAGAACCTATCCTCAAGGAATGAGAAGGACCGTTCAGCGAGTACTTACAAGATCAGCCCTCTGCTGTATACCAGTCATGACGCGATCGAAATGGTTGGCTAGCAGCTGCAAACTACTCGCGTCGACCAAAACTCTTCCATTCGCAGCTGCAGTGCGCGCATTGTTGTTTGCTCTCGACAAGGCAACTTGCTGATGTCGCTGGAAGGTTGCAATTTCTTCGCCATTTGTCAGGCCCAGTTGCGACAGGGGCACTGTGGACGCTACAGGTGCCGCTGCTCGAGACGACGAGGACGAGGGTTTNTTGGACACCATGGATGGAGGCTCATTTTTTGGCTTTCATGCAACTGCGCCTGGAATCGGAAGAGTTCGGATGGTCTCGCAAAGATGATTTCCTTTGTCGTATCGCGCTATATTGCCGCTTGGGATGCTATGCGTGATGTCGACGTTGATGATTAAGGAAATACGAGGATGCGCGCTGTACAAAGTGCTGTGGAGTGGTGTGGTATTGCGGCCTCGCCGTCGTCGTGGGGTGGATGTTCCCTGCCCTAACCGAGCATCCGGCGCGAAACAATCAAGAATTAAGCCCTTATTGTTCATGCGACTGGACATTGCGATGTCGTTAGGACATGATCAGTGAGCATTTCACAACTGCGAGATTGGACAAAATAAATTGTGATCCTTCGAGCACTGGCAGCACCTCGAAAGGTTGAGACAAGAGCACTGCAAGCCTGTGTCAGTTGGTTGGGCCAAGTCCACTCACCAACTCAACCGCGAGCTCCTTCGCCATCTGCTTTGTGGGTCAATGTGGATCTGGACACGACTTGAAGTAAACCGACTATCGATTTATTGCGTGTAGCTTTGCAGCCCCATGAGAAGTAATTCTACTCTAGCAAAAACAGTGTTCCTCCCTCCTGCGTCTCCCCACCACGAGGGGTTGAATGTAACCTCACGCCTGAAACGCCATCCTGTGTCTCCTGTTTCTAAAATCCTGCTGCCGTTCCAAACGGCGAGTCCCACCATTCTATCATTCAGTAGTCGTTCAAGTTGTGCAAGGAGACGTCCTGGCTGCCGCGGTGCATCAAGCCAGCTTTGGGTCTTTTCTCCTCATCCTCGCCATCGGCAGTGATTTTGCTGACGGCTGTTGCTTGTGCTTGATTGCCCTCGTTGGCAGGAACCACATTACCCTGGCGGTCGACTTTGACACCGCTCGCCGCCATGCGCACTTCCTCCTCGCCGGCGGTGCCCTGTCTGACGGCCTCACGGGCACTTTCCATGACCTTGAGCTTCTTTGCATCTCCACGCATGCGTTCGAGATGCTCGAAGTAGTCGTTGTTGACCGGTGTGACATATGTGCCACAGAAGACACCAACTTCGAATTTTTGGTTCGGACGAGGACTGGCTTCTGCGCAAGACTCTTCAAGATCCTTGAGCGACTGGTAAACGACGGCGTCGGCACCAATCTTCTTAGCAATGTCTTGAGAGCTGCTGTGGTGGGCGATGAGCTCTGAAGATGATGCAAGATCAATACCATAGATGTGAGCATAAGTGATTGGGGGAGCGCAACTGGCGAAGAAGACTTGTTTGGCACCGGCCTCTTTTGCCATGAGCACAATCTCGCGACTGGTAGTACCTCTGACGATACTGTCGTCGACAAGAAGCACGTTCTTGTCCTGGAACTCGATGGGGATGGCATTGAGCTTTGCACGGACACCCTTTTGACGAGCCTTCTGGTTCGGCATGATAAAAGTGCGGAAGATGTAGCGGTTCTTAACAAAGCCCTGGCAGTAGGGGATCTTCAGGTGCTTAGAAACGGCATAGGCAGAAATAAGACTGGTTTCGGGAATGGGGATAACAGCGTCAATGCTTGCGAGTTGTTCGGGNGAGAGTTGCTGCTTGATGGTCTCGGCGAGGCGGTAACCCATGAGTTGGCGACTGCGGTGGACCGAGATACCGTCAATAACAGACTCGGGACGGGCAAAGTAGACGTATTCGAAAATGTCAGGGGCGTAGTTCAGCTCCTGTGCAACTTGGGAGAAAACGGGCTCCTTGCCCTTTTCGATGATGACAGCCTGGCCGGGCTTGATGTCAATGATATTCTTGTAACCACATTGCGATAACGCAACAGACTCGGAGGCCATCATGTAGTCAGTGCCGACGCCATCGTCCGAAGGCTTGGAGCCGAGGACCATTGGGCGAATGCCGTAGGCGTCGCGGAAACCAATAAGACCGAAACCAGCGAGCATGGCAGTGCAGGCCCAGCCACCAGAGCAGCGCTTGTACATGCGCTCAAGGGCGGCAAAACAATCGCTGGCGTTGACTCTTGCCTTCTTGGTCTCGTTCAACTCGTTGGCGAGAATGTTCAGCATCAACTCGCTGTCGCTGTCCGTGTTGATGTGTCTGTGAGCGACCTGATCGAGGTATTCTCTCAATTCAGGAGCGTTGATCAGGTTGCCGTTGTGGGTGAGAGCAATGCCGTAGGGGCTGTTGACGTAGAAGGGCTGGGCTTCCGAGTTTGCGCTGCTACCAGCAGTGGGGTATCTCAAGTGGCCGATGCCCATAAAACCGGGCAGGTCGGCGACGCGGGAGCCGTCGTGGAAGACTTTTGCGGCGAGACCATTGCCCTTGCACTGGTAGATGCGACCATTGCGGGTACAAGCGGCAATACCGCAGGCGTCTTGGCCACGATGTTGCAGGTAGTATAGGGCCTGGTGAATCTCAGCGGCAGCGTCGAGCGATGACGGGTTGCCGTGGATAACGCCGAGGATGCCACACATGGTGTCTGGCTATATAGACGAGGTTTGGTAAAGGGTAGAGAGCGAGGGGTTCTGCAAGAGACTCGACGTTAGCCGACCGAGACAAGTAATGGTGGTTGGCAAGGTCGTGTGCTCAAGGTGTTGCTCAGTTCTAGAAAATGTGTTCATGAAAGATCACTAGTCTAACATCTATTTTTTACTTCTGATCTCATCCGTGCAGAGTGGAGCGTGTTGAAAGAAAAGTCTGCAACTTACGGATCAGGGCGGGCGCGAGGGGGAGGTCAAGTATGGGCGTAGTGAGAACGGCGAGGTTATTGGCGACTGGACATGGGCAGTACGCCTTGAAGAGGCACTTGAAGACGACATTTGTGTAGGAAGGAGAAAGCGTCAGAAGCAAAGAATTTTGATAGCGCTGCCGGAATCCCCACCAATCTTCACGAACCCTTCACCTTGGTAAGCCATGCCGACTCCCGATTTCGGGGGTCGAGCACGTAGGTGATGGGGGTTCTGCATCCGGGGGAACTTCGTCTCATCTGCAATAACATGACAACTCACAGTCATTCAGACTGTGTTGCCATCTTCCCTTGTCATAGTATAGAATTGGTGGTTGACCCATCTCTTTGAATGATGGATCTGGTACTTCATCAAAGAGCGGCTGTGGTGGCCTAGCAACTCCGCTCTCCTCTGCTGGTAAAGGCAAGTTTGTCGTCGAGACTCAAAAAGAACATCATGTCAATGGTCTAGGTGCTATCAATGCTTCAACCAGAGGTCTTTTCTTTCACTTTGATGCTACTAGAACACACATCCCCTTCCTTGTCCTAGATAATACCTGACTCTAATCTTCTATTCCATATCTCTCCTCCACAACACCTCTGATTCCATTCTCTTCCCACAACATCATTCACGCCTTTGACAGACTTCTTTTCTTGTACGCACGCCCTCTTAACCCTTTCATTGCAACAAGGAGTGCTTTGGGAGAGTTGCTGTCTACTTCACAACCTTCCTGCGACACCACGAGGCCAGTTCTGTCACTTCTTTCGTGACGTGATTGCTGCTCGGCCTTTGAGACTATCTCCAGCTTTCACTTCATCACTTCTTCGCCTTTCCATCTCTTCCAGACGTCTAGTGAAGCATCATAGAAAGATCACCAACCTTCTCGATCACACTTCATCTCACTCCTTCTCATCCACCAGAGGAGGACCCATTCCTGATGAGCATCCTTTCATCATACCAGTCCACTATGCGCAGACCAAGTGCTACTACCCCTAGCCAGATAGGCACCTCCCGTCGTAAGTGAATGTCATGATCACTCTCTCCTCTTTGACTAACACCAGAAACAGAGCCAATCATGATCGATGATGATATCGACTATCTGAGCACGAACCTCTACGATGCCATCACGATTGAAGACGACGACGATGACGTACGATTCATCTCTGTACAAGGACCATTTGTCGACGATGAGGTCCGTTGGGGTGCACCTGGGCCCCCACGCCCTCACAGAACGACCAGAAGACAAACAAAACCTTTTGTCATCTACGAGCCCAGAACCAAGCCCGTCACCAACGCATCTTTCCTGCAAGGCCACTGGATCACAGACACTTTTTGCCTTGTTTCTGGTCTCGTTGTCGAGCTCAGACAAGACCCCGGCGCGCCCTTCAAATGTGGAGACTTTCTGAAAATCGAAAGCATTTACGAAGATCTAGACACTCATGCAGTCTATCTCAGAGGCTTTCTCTATCGTCGTGCAAAGACTTTGGATGGTATGCTCCCGAAAAAGCTCAACGAAGTGTACCAGGTCCTACAACAGAATCTGGAAGATCCCCGTGCAATCCATATTCAATCTCTCCACGACGTCCCGGTCAGTCTAGTTGTCCGCACCCGCTGCTTGAAACACACCAATGCCCCTTTTCCTGAGAACAGCTTCCGCACGCGTGAAGACATGCATGAACAGACAGACGAGTTCCGTCGAGACAATGCGCAGCTCACATGCCGTTGGAAGAGGCTGTTTCAGTATACTTGCTCAACGGATTTGAAGACTGGTTACCCACAGCAGCAGTCTCTCCAGAGACTCACCGATGTTGAATGCGATGAAGGCTTTCGTGTTTTGGATGTTGTGCTACGCAAAGCTGTTCCGAAGATCGAATCAGACCTTACCGCTGTCGACCTTACCGCGGAAGAGGCAGCCGACCAAGACGCTCAGCAGCTGTCGAGCATGCTTCGCAACACGCACATCTCTGATACAAGCACCGACTCTGCATACACTTTCGGTGACTTTTTCTGCGGAGCAGGTGGTGTCTCCGTCGGAGCTCGAGAGGCAGGTTTCAATATCGTCTATGGCGTCGACCATGACCGAGACGCTTGCGCCACGTATCGGAAGAACTTTCCCGGCACAACCGTCTTCGAGGAGGATGTCAACCACAACCTAACCGTCAGACAGGAAAATGCACATGTACGCTGCGTCCATATGTCCACTGTGTGCAAAACCATCTCTACTGCATACACCGTCAGAGGCAAGAACCATGACGCGAACGAGGCAACTCTTTTTACCATCTCGGACATCCTTCGCAAAGCTACACCAATGGTCGCTACCCTTGAGCAGACCTTCGGCGCTCTTAACCAAGGCAAGAAGCAGCTCTTCAATGCTTTTGTCTGGCAGTTTACTTCGATGAATTATTCAGTCAAGTGGGCCGTTCATACTCTATCCGAGTATGGTGTTCCACAGGCACGCAGGCGTCTCATTATGATTGCCGCTTGTCCCGGACATCCTCTGCCTGAGTTCCCAATGCCTACGCACGCCCCTTCACCCGAAAGCCCTGTTCCAGGTTTGAGGCCTTCTGTGACAATTGCAGAAGCTCTTCGACCCATTCGCCGGAACACACCAAACCACAATCCTGGCGCTCTACCCTCAAAAGACCTGGCTCCCTACAGCCCTGACCAGCTGGTCCGAGGTTGCATTACCACTAGCGGTGGTCAAAACAACTGGCACCCGAGCGGCAAGCGCCACTTCACTGAGCGTGAGTACGCCTGTTTTCAGACATTCCCTCTGGATCATGTCTTCGTGGGAACCAGATCTTCGGTTGTTCAACAGATCGGAAATGCAGTTCCACCTGCCTTTTCTCAGAAGCTCTTTGAGAGTATACATAAGACATTTGAAGAGGTCGACAAGCAAGACCGTGAGAGCGCCGAACCTATTCTGGTCGATGATGATGAGGATATGACGGACGAACTCAGGGTCGTTGTGGACCTGACTTGAACATCTTGTTCGTCATACAGTTCATTCGACTTGGCCGATATCGTCTTCTTTCGGCTACCGGTGTTTCTCACATCTCACCAGACCAGATGGACGATTGAGCAACCAAACTGCTTTCTCACTTACACGTTTTCCTTTCTCTACGGTCCAAAGAACACTGACCAATGCCCAAAACGCACAGAAAAATCATTTGCTGATGATATTGCTTTCTTCCAAAACAGCCCGTTGTCTTTTGTCCACTGTCTATTCTGTTTATGATTTTCGCTGTTTCGCCCAAGAGCCATAGCTACTACTGTTTTACCGTCTGAGATTCTGAGGGGCCAGGTCTGCTGTATCGCAAGAGAGTTTATACAAGACCGCAGTCATAAACATTGTTCCCTTCCAGCTGTCTTCACTAGCAATCAAACCATGTTCTTCCACAATCTTATCGAGATACAAGTGCGAGAGTTGTGACAACGTTTTTCACTCCTTCCGAGTGCTAATGACTACCATATCATAGCTATAAATGGCACAACATGCGTACATGATGACAGTCTTCTCGATGTTGAAAATTTTTATCCCTCGAAGGGTTGGGTGAAAAGATGATGATGTGGAGGAGGAACATTAGAGAAGCCAGATTGCCACATTGCCAGGTCTATTTTGGACCATGCCCCTATCTAGCCAATGACAGACAACAGGAGCTTGAGTAACTGATCTGGTTCATAGTGTCATTCGTGCTTGATCGCTCTTAACCATACGACTGATACAGCTCTCAGCACATGTAGTATGGCATTGGTGAACAGTAAGCGGACACATGTGCATTCTGTGTTGGGCGTGTTTGTATCTGACCACAGCCGAATACTGAGCGAAAGTTACAGTCATGATACACGAAGCCCTGAACACCCGCTGGGTCACTTACAACATAGTTAGACATGCATGTCAGGCCTGATCGGCCTTCAAGGTTATGACGCTGTCTGGCAGTCATAATGGGCAGAGGCAGAAATGATTACCGTGGAACGACTCGCACTCCATGGTGCGATAGGAGGATGGGCTAGAGAGAACGAATATCACGATAGCAGGTAGGCTGATCGCAAGTCTCATGGTCTCTGACGAGAAAGAACATTCTTCCGCAAAATTGTGCTGCAGACATTGCGCACGTCTTGAACAGAAGCAGTAAGAGCAGGCCGGAGCAGAGTGATAGCCAATGCACCAGTAAGTGGCGACTTTAGCCTGGAGGGGACAAGAGGTTCACCCCATCTGTTGAAGCCGGAGTTTCTTAATTCATCTATGAAGGTGTCGCGAAACCTTCTCGTCACCCAAGAGCGAATGGTCCGTTTCTTTGAGATGGCCATCGGAGTCCTGATAACCCAGTGTAGTCGGTTTGGACTCCACTCGTCAAGGCGACGTGAGATGGGTATATGCAAAGGATGACGGTCATCGTTGGCAATGGTTTCGGTAGCAATGAAAGTAGTGCAATTAATTGGCCTAGGAAAAGGCTCGAACCGGACATTGAACAGGGTATTGAGGTGCTTGTGTAGTTGTACGCGCGACATTGTATGGCTTGTAGTGAAAGAAGATGTCGCACAATGAGAAGAGGTCAAACAATGAGATGTGAGAGACGAAGGGCTGATAGGCGCTGGCCAAGAGATTTGGCAGACTCTGAATCCCCCACGCCGACGCAACTTGCAACTCATGCGTCACGGCGACCGCCCCTCCTTCTTTTCCACAACCACAAGCACTTCACACTCGACTTTTTCCGCTCTCCTACACCCAGGCAACGAAGCCGCACTAGAAACAGTCCAAACACTCCAGCGACACATTCGCCATGCCCAAGAACAAGGGAAAGGTATGCGCCCCGCAAACTCTACGAGAAAAACACGGGCTGACTTGGCTGTGTCAACTAGGGTGGTAAGAACCGCAGAAGAGGAAAGAACGAGAACGACAACGAGAAGCGCGAGCTCACCTTCAAGGAGGAGGGTCAGGGTATGTCATTTTGCACAAGAAACGAAGCGCACAGAGCACGAGACTGACCAAGAGCGCAGNAGTATGCCCAAGTCGTCAAGATGCTGGGTAACGGCAGACTGGAAGCACAATGTTTCGACGGCGAGAAGAGACTAGGACACATCCGTGGCAAGCTGCGAAAGAAGGTGTGGATCAACCAGGGCGACATCATCCTCCTGTCGTTGCGCGACTACCAGGACGAGAAGGGCGACGTCATCCTCAAGTACAACGCAGACGAAGCACGCAGCTTGAAGGCATACGGCGAGCTGCCCGAGTCGGCCAAGATCAACGAGACCGACACATACGGCGGTGAGGAGGAGGGCATCGGCTTCGACTTTGGCGAGGACGAGAGCGAGAGCGGCGGCGAGGTCGACATTGACGACATCTAAGCGCGAGACTGGTGGCCGCCGGCGATGGAGGCGGCATTCACGATTTCAACCAGCGTTGGGCGTCTTTTTTGTTTCACGAGCATCTTCCTTCAAACTGGGTCTGACGCCGCCGGCTGGCAAAAATGAAGTTTCTTTACTACCTGATTCTACTACCTTGACGAATGCAACGCCTTGACAAGACAAGCACAGAGCAGGCACTTGAAGATAGATGCGAGGCGTGCTCGTATGGACATGATATAAACATGATTGCAGGTAGCGAATTCCTGATTGGGCAGCAGCGACCAAAATTGGAGTGCGGAAGCGGCGGGCTCGGCGGACGACGCGTGTGGAAAGAGGCTGGTGCTGCTGCTGGTGCTCGTCGGCCTTGTCTTCCGTAACTGACTGACGTACCGCTCTCGAGCCTTCTGCCCACCAACTACCACCAGTTACTGCGCAGTGTGCCTGGCTGTGTGTCTAGTTTCACCATCTTTCCACTACCCGTGCCCCTCACTCTGGATTGACACATGCGCATCCTCTCGCCCTCACCATGCCCTCGATTCTAACCGACGATGACAAGCAGAATGTCAAGCGCCAGGTGCCCAAGGCTTCCAACAAGATCCATGCCGTCGCTGTCGCCAAGTTGTATGTTGCATACCCAAACCATAACAGATGGCAGTACACCGGTCTGCAGGGCGCCATAGTCCTCGCCAACGACCTCGTCGGCAACACTTTCTGGATCAAGATGGTCGACGTCTCGGTACGCCTTCTCTCCTCGTCCCTCATGCCATGTGCCCCGACTGACCACCTCTCCAGCCCTCGAATCGCGGCGTCGTCTGGGACCAGGAAATCTACGATACCTTCCAGTACAACCAGGACCGTACCTTCTTCCACACCTTTGAGCTCGAGGACTGTCTGGCCGGCCTGTCGTTTGCAGACGAGAAGGAAGCCAAGCAATTCAAGAAGAAGATGGACGAGCGCGAGAAAAACGCACACAAGAACACAAAGAACAAGCCCTTTGGCAGCGGCAGCGGCACCACCAAGGACTATGCTGCTGCGAGCGGAGGCGGTGCTGCCTCGACTAGACACCGTTTCGGGCTCAGCAGTCTGCTACCCGGACATCGCCAATCGCAGGCAGCCCAGCCTCCTGCTCAATCCATCATTCCACCACGCGATGTGACTATCAGCCACGCCGCGCCTGCTCGCCCCACACCATCTCACAACTTGGACATGTCGGATCCTGCTGTACAAGAAGTGCTCAACCAGCTGCTGTCCATGGGCATTACCGAGGACCAGCTGGAGGAGCACGCTGGCTTTATTCAGACCTATCTCGAGCAACACAAGGCCAGTGCCGCTGCCGAGGAAGAGCGCAAGGCTCGGGCGCCGCCGCCACCTCCGCCTGTAGCTGCACAGATGTCTCCTCAAACCACCGGAGGAAGTGGAAGCACTTCGAGACGTGGTCCTCCACCTGCTCCGCCACAGCCTAGGAGGGGCGCTGCACCGATTAGACCACCTTCTCCCTCTCCGTCGCCGCCACGCGCTCCTTCACCTCCTCGACCCATGTTCCGTGCTCCTCCTCCGATCGCCGACGCTGGAAAGTACGCCAATGTCCCTGCTCCGCCAGCCAGATCCAGAGCTTCGTCTTCTGCTGCTCCTCCGCCTCCACCACGTGTCCCGGCAAAAACGCCAGCAGACGAGCCATCTTCATCCAGGTTCGGTGTTCCTCCTCCTTTCGCTGGCGCCCGCATTCCTTCTGGTCCTCCGCCGACTCCTGCTCGAGGGCCCGTACCACCGCCCCTCCCGCAAGGAACAATGTCGCCAGCCCTGGTGTTCCTATGCCTCCGCCACTGCCTCCCAAAACTCCAACCTCTGTCGCTCCTCCTCCGCCTCCTCTTCCTCCACCATCAGCTCGTCCTGTTCCTCCTCCTCCCGGCGGTGGCAGTCTCCCACCACCCCCTCCTCCTCTTCCTCCATCAACAGGAGGCGTTCCCCGCCTCCTCCGCCGATGCCTCCAATGGGCGGTGCTCCTCCACCGCCCCCATTGCCACCAGGTCGTGCTCCTCCTGGTGGAGACGCTCCAGCACCTCCGCCTTTGCCTGCTGTTGGTGGTGGCGGTAGAGACGATCTTCTGGCTTCCATCCGAGGCGGTGCTCGTCTTAAGAGGGTGTCTGACCAGGAGAAGAAAGATCGTAGTGCTGCAGCGGTTCCAGGTAGTGAACCTCCTGCATCGAGTGGCCCGAGTAGTGGCGGAGGTGGTGGTGATGCTGCTGGCGGTCTTGCTGGTGCTTTGGCTAGTGCACTTGCCGCCAGAAAGTCCAAAGTCAGCCATAGTGGTAAGTTTTGCTTTTGCTCTGGTGGTGGTGGCCGTATGCTAACTGTTTCACAGATGACGAAGACGACAAAGATGACTGGTAGATTGTTGCAAGGACGCGACTCAAAGTCTTCTCATTTGACGAAGGAGCGAGGTGTTTCAAGGGATATGCCCGGAGGCTGTCGCTCAATATGGGCATGTTTTGTCGGCTTATTATATATCACGGCTTTATGGCCAACTGCAGCAGTGCAAAGTTTCGATCAGCAAATATGCAAAATGGCAGTCATATTTCTCCATTATTCGACAACATTCAACCCGCAGAATGCTCATACGATCCAGTTGAATTCACCATCTGCATACATGTATTAAATGGCAATGTGAAATTCTGATCCGGATCGAACCATTTGTCAGGTGAATTTCATGGTGAGCAGCGTATGGAGATGATCTTTTTGACATTTCAAAACCACAACCAAGACTGTTCGCTCAGAATGCTTTCGTGATTGAGTGTGCACGACGGAAGGTGTGCTACCCCGTAAAGAATTGTGAGATGCTGTAAGATAGACATTTCAGACAGATTTCAATATTGCTGTCGACGATTTATTGCGAGACCAGGGTAGCCCTGGCGACGAGAGATGGCTTGACCACCACTGAGCTCAAAAATACAGTACTTCCTCCCAGACCAAGTTCATAACCCACCACCCTTCAACACATACACGAACGATGAACAAGCTACGGAACAGCTCCACACGGAGCTTGCGACTTATTCGCCAAACAAGACAGGCGTCGACACTAAACCAGAACTCCAACGCAGCACCCTCCATCTTCCGCAAATACCGCGGCATCATACTATGGACGTCCATTGGCCTGGCAGTAGGTGGCACAACGGGCACTATGGCCTCGCACACAATCGCTCCTCCACCGCATCCTCTACCAGGAACTCACGAAGACGGCATCCTCATGCAAGACCTCAACACACGCATCGACTCCGAGTTCAAAGTCAAGGTACTGCGAGGAAAGTGCACTGCCGTAGCGGTAAGCTTGCGCGGCGACGAAGGCGTCTGGCGCGAATTGGATCCCAGAACTTTGGACGGCTCGCTCGTAAAAGACTCGTTAGCCGGTGCTCGTTCGCTGGGCGTCCAACGCGTATTCTGGAATGAGAAAGAGCATGAATTGGTTGCCGTGGTCTGGTTTGGAGGTGCCATGTCTGGCTGGCCTGGCGTTACACATGGCGGTGGCATCGCGACTGTTCTCGCCGACAAAATGACATTGGCCGCTCGTCTTGCAAAAGGCATTGCCCCTGCTCAGGACTCTTCTCACGGTCCCTCGGAGCCGACGCGTCTGGATCTGACCTACAAGAAGCCTACATATGCTAATGCCTTTTACGTCGTGCGTGCAGTGTCCAGGTATGGCGCTTTCGAGACTTCGTCGCCCAACAGCATCGAGGTTGATGCTCAGCTCGAGACTCTGGATGGCATAGTTTGTGTGCAGGTCAAGGGCGCTGTTCCTGTTTCCGAGGGAGAGAGTGCCATCAAGTCTTCCATCAAGAGCTTGACTCCTGCCAAGTCGTGGCTAGGCTGGACCTCTCGCTCAGACACATGAGCGAACTCGGCAAGCCTCAGGCTGAGGATAACAACGTCCAAAGCAAGACGCGATTGAGCACTCCACTGAGCTCAAATCGCCAATCCCGATTCAAGCAAACTTCAAACATCAAGACGCTCACGGCTGTCAAAGCATACATGAATTTCAGCAGTGAGGATGACACTCGGTTGTTCGACAATTTTTGTCTGATGACACAAAACCACGCATAGCAGGGCCTGGCCACGAAGACCAATAACTGTAGAAGATGAAGAAACTGATGTGGTAGAATGGAAAACAGACTCCTGAGTGCAACCCATCACACACTCAATAACACCGAGACCCCTCACGATTGTTTCAAACCCAGATGCTCCATTGCCCCCTTTCCCCAGAACCATATCGCATTATTGTACACAGTGTGCATGTACTGTTAGACCTCTTCTGTCATTAATTATGCAATCATCCACCTGAGTAATGTTAGTCGAGCTAGTCGTCGCACTACGAGTTTTGACTTACCATGCGCCTCCGACGAGAGCCACAAGAATCAGCGCTNNTTTAGACGTCAGCATTTTCACTAGGGATTTCAAGCATGTTGATAACATACCTGTGATGATACCAGCACCAGCCCGGTCGCTGGTATCGATAGGATCGGGAGCAGCGATAGGATTCGTGTCACCTCCGCTTCCAGCACTAGGANNGAAACAAGTCAGCTAGAACCCGAGTATCCCGAGAGGTTTTACTCACTTGGGGTTGCCTTTGGAGGTTCCGCCGGTTGAGTTGGATACAGGGCCCTGGACCTATTCATCATTAGCATCAGAACATTACAAGAGGCTCGTGAGCCAGGGACATACTCTATCTATGAGATTGGATTGGATGACCTCAAGAGCGGACATTTGCTGTCCGACACCCGTTGCGCCATCCCAGACGCCGTTGTTCCACCATCTGGTTCCACAGGTCGTGCCNTCGTCTCCGCCACTGCAAGACAGAGCTGCAGCTTGGGCGGATGCTTCGAGGTAAGGCTTGATATCATCGTAGAGCCAGGGTGCCACCTTGGTAGAAGCGGCCATCCAGCGTGACAAGTAGGCTTTGAAACTGNNCTCACGGTCAATCGATGCACAAACAAGATATCACAAGATAGAATCGTACCTGAGTTGATCGATGTTGCAGTTGTTGTTCGGTTCGCAGGCGACCTCGAACATGATCTGTCCAGCTCCCTGGCCACCTTGGTTTGTGAAGAAGACATGAGTTGCATTCCAGATGCCAAGGGTGCGCTCTCTCCAGATATCGCTCTGGGTCACGTTCCACATGGTGGCAGCTCCAAGAAGGAAAACGCCAGCATTGTAAGACCACTGGATATGGTTGAGCTGTGTGCAGTTGATCTTGTCGTCGCTACCGTCATAGAAATAGTAGTCATCGCTCATCAGGCCGATGGACTGAGTCCACTCGAAAGCTCTCTCGGCCCACTCGGAGTAAGTCTGGTTGCCGGTGTAAGCTGCAAGGCGTGCAGCAATGTTGAAGAAGGCACCGTTGGAGATGGTGTTCTTGTAGTCATAGCCATTATTGAAGGTGAAGATCTGCCACCTCAAACCTCCGCCGCAAGTCGAGTTGTCCCAACGCAGAGCCTGACTGTTGAAGACAGCCTGAGCTAGGGCGAGCCACTGAGGCTGGTCTTCAGGAGGATTTGGGAATTTGAGCTCGGCAGCAGACATGGCAGCCATGCCCCAGAAGGCCTGATCGTCGTTACCAAGCGATTTGCTTTGATTACTGGGCATGTAGTTGTCCTTGTCACCGACTTGGAAGAGCATGGCTTGAGTGGTGACATCGTTGTAACTGGTATCGCCAGTGTAGTACCAGTAGTCGATCAGAGAGCCGAACATGGCGCCTGCTTCCCACCAGTAGTATGGACCCGGAAGCAATCCAGGAATGCCGCCAGTCACGTTTCCATTGTAGAATTGCATCATTCCGTAGGCGATAGTAGAGGCGGCCGTTTTGATCGAGTCTNNGTCGTGGTTAGTTTCTATGCGGATATATGACAACAAGGAGCGCTTACCCTCGCTAGTCAGATCAACGGTAATAGCGGCACATGGCAGTATTGCAAAGGCGGCGCAAGACAGGCCGGACAGTATTAATGAAGGGCGCATGGTGATTACAGTAGTGTATGAGGAGTAGGTGAATTGACGAGGCACACACCGTGGACGGGTGGCTGATACTGATGCTGGTGATGGATGTTCGATATAGTACCAATGATAGAAGTGGAGGTTATTGCGACACAATAGAAGAGTCGACTAGACAGGTATCCGGGGCATCCAATACCGTTTAACCAAGTTTGCGATGGTGACGTCGATCGAAGACAGGGAGAGCTGAGGGCGGCAAACACTGGGAGGCGCACCGCGGTACGGCAGATGGCTTGGACGAGCGTAAGAGAAGGCACGGGGGCAAACAAGTGGCACCCGAGCAGGAAGATGGATGGTTAGCGAGAGTGGTGACAGTGGTAAACAGGATGGCGGAGAATGTCAACCGAAGGAAGAGAAACAAAGCAGCATGAGCATGATGCATCTATTAGTCTAGCAATCGGACGGCGCACGGATGGAGATGGCGCATGAAAACCTCTGGGCGCCAATCAGCGTGCACCAGCGGCCATTTTCTCCACAGCTGGGCAGCCGTCCTCCGCACTCTGTGCCAGAAGATCATCCTGCCCGTCATGTCTCCAAATTGTTTGCCGCGTCAGGACAGACCATCCATCACTCTATCTCGAGTCATCTTGTCAAAGGGGTAACTGTAAGCAAGCACCCACTACAAAGCAGCGTATCTCAAGTCTCGTGGGAACACAAGACTTGGACGCGTATAGACCCAAGGCTTGATACGAGAGGATTGCAGGTGGCGCCGAGGCTGACAAGAAGAATTCCGGTAGCGGCCAAGCACCTGGCGTCTTTTGCACAAGAAGTTTTTGTGATTTTACTGTTGCCGATGCGCGACGCAACTCGCAATCAGTAGGGGCAGTGCAATGCATCTTCCCCTGAGATTTGATGAGAAAGAAAAGTGCTGCTTTGATGTTGAGACAGCAATTAATATCCGCACGTGAGTCGTGATGGATGTTTACCCAAGCCTGCCGGAATCTTCTCCCAGCCGCAAGCCAGTCACGGTAGTTTTTACCCTGGTGGTCGCTGCCGTCAGCGGCTTGTTTCTTCCCAATTAACTCATGCCCAAGGAAAAGAGAGTCTGGGAGAGACTGCTCTTGTTGCTTTAGGCTGACAATGAGCTACCTGACTATTGATGCATGATTGGGCGGCCTGAGGTGGAACAAACAAAGCACAGAGATGTTCAAAGAGAGCCAACAGCAGACGTAGAGTCGACAGCGACGAAGAAGGCAGGAAAGAGGACAGCACAAAAGATAGGCGAGCGCAAGACAGTATATAGATAGCGAGCAGATTGGAACGGTGGGCGCCGTGACAGAGACGTTTGTATTTTTGGGTGTCTAGGCAGCGAAATTCGTCAAGATGGTCTGACGAGAGTTTGGCTTTGATTTTGTCGTCGTTGCACCGCCCCAGCCACATCGTGGTCGCGGCGGTTTGAGCTTCTGTCAACCTCCGCCGACCGACTCTCCTCTCTTGTTCAATAACCTCATCTTCGCGCATCCACAACTTCGCTCCGCAACAACCTGAAATCCTCTGCCTGCGCTTTCGCTCCGTCCGTACAACTCAGTCAACACTCGTATCCTCGTCCATCACACCGCCCACGTCGCCACAATGTCCGAGCAGCCTTACGACCCCTACATTCCATCTGGCCAGACCGGCGGCGCCAGCAGAGATGGCAACCAGCGTACTGCTGCCCTTCAAGCCGTACGTCGTGCCCAAAATACTGCAACGCACGTGCACACAGCGACTGACATACTGTGCAGGNAAATCGACTCGACCGTCAACGTCATGCGCAACAACATCAACAAGGTCTCGGAGCGTGGCGAGCGCCTCGACAGCCTGCAGGATAAGACCGACAACCTGGCCGTCTCGGCGCAGGGCTTCAGACGCGGTGCCAACAGAGTCAGAAAGCAGATGTGGTGGAAGGACATGAAGATGAGAATGTGCCTGATCATCGGCATCATTCTCTTGCTCGTCATCATCATCGTCCCCAGTGGTGCGTCTCCATTTCCCTTGTTTTCTCTGCTTTGCACAAGTTTTCCCAGCTAACACGATNGCAGTCGTCGCAACAAAACATCACTAAAGCGACNNTCCTCTCCGACACGTTTTGACGACATGACCTTGCAAGCTTGCGAAGCCTCTGGTTGAGAGGCACGCCTATTATACCACTCTGCCACGATTCCCCCTGCCTNNGTCCGAATCCTCTCCGATACCACGACATGCCCCCGACTGCACTTAACGAACTGGCGCATCAAGGAGCATCTGCTGATCTGTTTCTTGACTTTACGATTGTTTTCCTGCCTTTGCACTAGCCAAGGCTCTCTACACGTGTAGTAATATGATTGTTTTCTTTTTATCAGCTTCCATTTGAACTATGCAGTAACGACCGACATTTCTCGTACAGTCACAGTGACAGAATTCAGAGGCCTATTCACAATCTCTTCGACCATACTTTGGCGCCACAATCGCTGCGTCTTCTGACTTCTAACTTTACGGCAGTTGCATTATCCCTCGCACTGTTGTTCTCATCCTCCCCGTGCGCAACAGGCAGTCACACCCTACGATCGGCCCTTCTCTCTCACTAACTCATTGTGTTATAATAAGCTATAAAAATGCACAGTTTCTTTTTGAATAGAGGCGCCATCATTGAGATGCTTGAACATAACGTTCTCTCCGTGGACATCGCTTGATTATAGAAAGAACTGTGCATTTTTATAACTACACTGTGAGTGTGTATTGCAGACGGGGAGGACTCACTTCTTTCTACTTCAAAGCTTCACTCGTACTTTCATCCACAGGACAACGCCTCTCAATCCTATTTCCAGGCTGCACACCAGTCACTCTATGGTTCGACATCATATTTCAACACCACCGGAAGCAGTCTAAGCATCATCCACAGCCCCGTCATCTATCGGGTTCTCACTCGTCCAACTTCACTCCGCTCTTGGTTTATAACAACCGTTCAGCATAGATACGACCTCTTCCTTCCACGTACGACTCCAGTCGCCTCCGCTCTTAGTACCTGCTTTCCTTCTTCAACTCTTACACTGTAAGAACTTCCAACAAGATGGCTGCTTCACTTCAATCCACCACGTCAAGACTGCAAACTCTTGATAGCCAAACCATCGAAACGATCAAAAAGAGGGAGCACACCCTCGCTCTTACGATCAGACAGAAACTCAAGCAAAACCAACCACTCTCTAAGAGCGATCGAGCTTATATTGAGAGGCGCCCTCGAGGCCAGCACCGAAACTATGCCATGAGCAAGACAAAACATGGTCTCCTAGATGCAGGCCAAATCTCAGAGCTTGATAGTATGTTTTGATTCTGTTGTTTCAGTACGTGTCTAACAAGTTTCANNTCAGAATACAGCCAGAAAGCTCCAATCATTATGTTCAGATCTTCCACCCTTACTGGTAGAAAACATACCAACGGCTTTACAACCCCAACTTTGTTTGTGCCAGGCGCACATCTCGTGAAAGATTTGGCTTCCAGAAAAGGTAGAGATGAGACCTCCTGGATACGAGCATCCCTATCCGATATCCCACTCCAGGAACTCAGACCTATGTTAGGACATCATTTGCTTTGACGAGACAGGATACAAGACGAGCTCCTATCTTGGACAATGTCTTACCTCTTTGCCACGGTTCACTTATATCTACGCCATCTCAAGGGCCAAGACATCGAGTGTATCTCGATGATCAACCGCACCCGGGCTGTTCATCCGGAAAAGTGGCACGTTGAGCAGCTGGAGTCTCAGGAGTACAAGCCCGCCAACTTCTGGTCTGCTAACGACCTCTGTGACTCGGTCGGAGTCTATCATGATCATGAGTGGGAATGCCAAAGAGACCTGCCTGGTCTTCATCCGCGAAAGACCAATCACGAATACATCCCTCATGGTGTTGTCGAATATCCTGAGGACGATCCCCTACTGCAAGTTTCATTGGCTGACCTTGTGGCTGCCGGACTATTCAAGCTCATCCCTGAACTAAAGGTCTGTTTCTGCTCTAAGGCCGCAGGCCTCTATACAGTTCTGAGACACATTCGTACCTCGAACTACAACGACATTCGCACAACCACAGAAAGCGAGCTAGAGGTTGCACAGAAGATAGCCTGGTTGCACACACGCTTGCGACCAGGTGAGGAACGAGAGGAGGGCCGACCAAACTTGTGGATACTCCTCCATGCACTCAATTTTCATAAAAGAGCAGCAGGCGATCAGTCACTCCAGAAGCTAGTTCGCAAACTTGGCTACACTCGTAAGTTTGTCCTTCCTTTCAGTGTGCTGAATTGTGGCTATGGAAATGCACAGTGCTTTCCGAGCTATAAGCGTGGCCAGAGAGAGAGAGAGGCTCACAGATGACTTCTCTCCGTGGGTATCGCTTGCCTCTATAAAGTATTGTGCATTCCTATAGCCTACAATACCCCGAGAGAGGCGTCAATCGTGCGATCACGAATCGATAATCGACATGTCACTAACTTCTATCACTCTTCAGGCTAAGATTTGGATGAAAATCTGCATGAAGGTTTCGGAATCTTTCCCTCAAACTTGCCAGAGATGCATTCGTTGTATCATCTAGCAGTAGATGTACAGGCTGTAGTCGGTGGACAGCCGTTGAACCCTCTCGTGCTGACAAGCACTTACTCGAGAATCAAACTTCCTGATGATCTTCAAGGAAGAGACGATGCTGATTACGACAAGCTGTGCGCGCCTAAGTTGATCGAAGGGAGCACTGACGGCTACAAGATCCAGCGCAAATGTGGTCTGACTTGTGACTGCAGTAATTGGGGTCCAACCTACAAGCGCAAGAGAACGAATGAGGCCGAGGAGTCTAATCAGTCTGACGAAGCAGACAAACCTTCCAACAACCAGGCTGAGGCACCAAGTCATGCGAGACAAGAAAGGCTCGAAGAACCCACTCTTCCGGAAGAGTACGCGGAGGATGAACCTCAGATTCGGGGTCTGGAAGATACTGAACATGCAGGACCTCTTGGTAAGTCGACAGCATCTAGGCCATTGTGGACAGATCATGAAGTAAAACATACGAGTGGCTTACGGTCGCAGAGGCAGTCCATGCATGAAGAGCTCAACACCATGCTTCTCACGTATAAATACGTGAGCAACACCGACTACTAGGTAGTTTTTCGAGACAGGAAGGACATGGGCAGATGACATTAGGGGAACTCCATAGTAAACAACAGTATCTGAGAACATTCTCCCTATATTTCCGATCTGCTGCATGGACTATTCTTTTCTTCGCAAGATAGAGCAACACTCACGGAAAGCCATCACAGTATAGGATCTTGGAACAGTTGGGCATCGTGGGTACGAGTCGTTTGAGCAGCCTGAGAGTGACTGACTTATGGAGAGACATGGACTTTGAAGAATCGTCAGCTTGCGGCTGTGAAACTGCACATCCTCTCGGAAACGAGCAAGAGTGGTTGGAGACGCCGGTTGTCTGATGTTCTTTTCCTGGCCGTATGTTCGTCTCATAAAAAAATACGCAATTTCGAAGCACATGCCTCTACACCTACATGATTGCGCCGAAAGGTTTCGCAAGTTGGTTGTTGGAAAATCAGGGTTTTCAGATAATCCATGCATCTGAGAGATACATTCGTCATGTCGAGTCATGTTGCTTCTGTATCAGAGCAGGGTCTTCCATGCTTCCGAAATTGAGTGCAGCACTGTGAACAAAAATACCTAGGTGACAAACACCTCATAGTGTGCATGTTGTCGTTGGGTCTTGGTATAGGTAGGTTCCCTGCGGTCGGAATTCGAGGTGCCCCAAGGACGTGATAACGAACGCAGTATGAATGCACATTTTCAGTTGCGGATGGAGATCGGCTTCTCCACGCCCAATTGCGTAAAGGAGGGTGAACAAATTGCAAGGACGCTAAGAATCTAGTTGTAGTGATCAACCTGGTGCCGGCAAATATCAGAGGGCGACTGTTGTGATTGCTTCTATTCTAGCGAGTGGAAGAAAGCTGTATGCGTGTCTAGTCCTTGTGCGAACTTTCAGCATCTCATACCCACAGTAAGCCCCGCAGTCCCTCCTCGGCCAGATGCATCTTGCAAGCCAGGTGTTGTGTGTGAATATCGTCCCAAGGCGAAGAATGTGGGTCCTGTACCGGCATATTCAGCCATGCGAAAAACGATCAACGCGCGAGGTTCGTGTTCAGCTAGGACGGGTTCCAGTAGGGTTAAAACATGCCAAGTAAATTGCCGCGTTTGATGAGATGTCATCTCATGGCTACAAAACACGTTACATATCAGGGACCAACATCATGTTATGAAGCGGTCGCATCACAGAGCCTGAGAATGTTGCAGGATGTTGCATCTGATCAAGAAGGTTGACAAAATAGAAAAGTGGCTTTGGAAGCGAGCAGTTTGCAGCGATTGGTAAAGTCGTCAGGCCGCTCTCTCGTAAGCATCGGCGTTAAAGGACCGCCGCACGGCTTCGGAGGATCCGGTACCCGTGCCCGTTAGGAAGGAGGTGGGAGGATGAAGAAGGAGCAATCGGCCAAGCAGCCCCTACTCAGCAACAAATACAACAATAACTACCTAGCACGCGCGAGTGCAGACGTCCATCTGACAGACACAAGCTGCCGTTGGTCGTCAAGAAATAGAAAAAAAGCTCGTTCTGAAGAAGATCGCTTGTCGAGTGGAGCGCAGTTCGATCAGACAGTTGCAAGGGAAAGTCGTCATTACATTTCTCTGGACTCTTGCGTTTCGAGACGTTCTGCCGTGTTGGACGCATCCGCCGCTTTCCTTTCCTTCCACAACACTCTTTGGCATCTTCCAAACCGACACGGTCTGGACAGACAACCTTCGACTTTTGTCGCGTCTTCCGCTCGCTCGCTCGCTCTGGTATCGCATGCTTGCAGGCTCTACGCAGCGAGCCTGATCCTGGCTCTTGAGGCTCACTTGGACGCCTCGGCGCCCACCTTTCATGGTCAACACCAGACAATAATCCACCACTTTGCCTCGACTATCTATATCTCACCATGGCCATTCAACCCTACCAGGAAGACAATGAGGCTTCCTCTGGACCGCACGACACGGCTCCTGCAAAACGATTACGCTGGGCTACGCAGAGGGTGACGGGCTTACAGNGGGGCACAAAACGACAATCCATTCTCAGACGTCTCTCGCACAAGAAGCGCTCGAGCGACGACTCGACAAAGCGAGAATCAAATGGAACCGACCTCGAATCTGTACCCGAGGAGTCCGAGGCTTCGGCCGAACAAGCTGGTGCCGGTCGCCGCGTCTTCTTCAACATGCCCCTGCCCGAGGATGCGCGCGACGAAGAAGGCCACCCTATCACACAGTTTGTGCGAAACAAGATCCGCACCGCAAAATACACGCCCATCAGCTTCATACCCAAGAACTTGTGGTTCCAGTTCCACAACATCGCCAACATCTACTTCTTGTTTATCATCATCCTCTCGGTATGCAACCTACCATTGTGCTCGGGTTACTACTACAATCATGCTGACTGGTCTTTGTAGATATTCCCCATCTTTGGCGCCTCGAATCCTGGTCTGAGTGCCGTACCACTGATTGTCATCGTCTTCATTACCGCAGTCAAGGACGCAATCGAGGACTGGAGGAGAACTGTTCTTGACAACGAGCTCAATAACGCACCTGCTCACCGCCTCGTCGACTGGGAAAACGTCAACACAGCCGAGGACCAGATCTCATTGTGGCGAAAGTTCAAGAAAGCAAATACTCGAGCTATCACTTATGTCTGGCACCTCTGGAAGAACCGCAAAGAGTCCAAAGATGAAAAACGAAACTCCCAGAAGGATAGAGCCTTGGACGAAGGCAGACCATCTGCGGACGCCCGACGACCATCCATGTACTCTCAGCGCATGTCGGCAATGTCCATGGCCACCGAAGAGCCCGGCGCTATGGAAATGACGCCGGTACATTCGCCAATGCCCGCCCCGGTTATGGAAGGAAGCAAAGAGATGGATTTGGGTGACCACGTCAGAAAATCCCTCGAGAACGATGCCCTTAAGCCAGGCGACGCGCGTCAAGTTGTCGAAGTTGCAAAAGATCCCACCGATACCATCGCACCCATTCCAAAACGATTCTACGGTAACGTCATCAACCCCAACAAACCCAGTGGAAAAGCGCGGTTCAAGAAGGACTGCTGGAAGAACGTCCAAGTCGGAGATTTCGTCAGACTCTACAACGAAGAATCTATCCCTGCGGACATCGTTGTTTTGTCGACCTCTGACCCCGATGGAGCTTGTTACGTGGAAACCAAGAATCTGGATGGAGAGACCAATCTCAAGGTACGCCAGGCTCTACATTGCAGTCAGAAGGTCAAGAGAGCCCGCGACTGTGAACGCGCCGAATTCATTCTGGAAAGTGAACCGCCCCATGCCAATCTTTACTCTTACAGCGGAGCCGTTCGATGGAAGCAACAGGGCAGCAAGAATTTGGAGGTGGAAGCCGCAGACATGGCTGAACCTGTTTCCATCAACAACATGTTGCTTAGAGGTTGTTCCATTCGCAACACCGAGTGGGTCTTGGGTATCGTCGTTTTCACAGGAGAAGAGACCAAAATCATGCTCAACTCTGGTATCACCCCTACAAAGCGCGCTCAAATATCGAAGGACTTGAACTGGAACGTCATCTACAATTTCATCATCTTGTTCTTCATGTGTCTTATCTCGGCTCTAGTACAAGGCACTACCTGGGGCAAGGGCGATGAATCGCTCGACTTTTTCGAATTTGGCTCCTATGGTGGTACGCCAGGTCTCAACGGCTTCATCACATTCTGGGCTGCTATTATCCTCTTCCAAAACTTGGTACCCATCTCCCTTTACATTACGTTGGAGATCATCCGCACTGCTCAGGCTTTCTTCATCTACAGCGACGCTTTCATGTACTATGCACCGGTCGATTATCCATGCACCCCAAAGTCGTGGAACATCTCCGATGACCTTGGTCAGATTGAATATATTTTCTCTGATAAGACCGGCACACTAACACAGAACGTGATGGAGTTCAAANAAGTCACGATCAATGGCGTGCCTTACGGAGAAGCATACACCGAAGCTCTGGCTGGAATGCAGAAACGACAAGGAATTGATACCGAAGCCGAAGGAGCAAAAGCCCGTGTACAAATAGCTCGCGGCAAAGTCAAGATGCTCGAGGATCTACGCAAGTTGCACGACAATCCATATCTTCTGGACGAGAACGTTACATTTGTCGCACCCGATTATGTTTCGGATTTGACTGGAGCTTCTGGACCTCAACAGAAAGCAGCCAATGAATATTTCATGCTGGTGCTTGCGCTCTGTCATACTGTGATCACTGAGCGTACCCCTGGTGATCCGCCAAAACTCGAGTTTAAAGCTCAATCACCCGATGAGGCTGCGCTGGTCGCAACGGCCAGGGACTGTGGCTTTACAGTCCTAGGTCGTTCAAACGATGGAATCATCGTCAACGTTCTTGGTGAAGAGCGTGAGTACACTGTTCTCAACATCTTAGAATTCAACTCATCCAGAAAGCGCATGAGTGCCATTGTGCGCATGCCCAACGGAAAGATTGTTCTATTCTGCAAGGGTGCCGACAGTATCATCTACTCGAGATTGAAGAAGGGTGAGCAGCAAGAATTGAGAAAGACCACTGCTGATCATCTTGAGATGTTTGCTCGAGAGGGTCTGCGTACACTATGCATTGCTCAAAGAGAACTCAATGAGGAGGAGTACCAGACTTGGAACAAACAGCACGATATTGCTGCAGCGGCTATTCAAAACCGTGAAGAGAAGCTCGAAGAGGTTTCAGATGCAATCGAACGCGATCTCACCCTTCTCGGAGGAACTGCTATTGAGGACAGGCTCCAAGACGGCGTACCCGACGCAATCCAGCTCCTTGCTCAGGCAGGTATAAAGCTATGGGTTTTGACTGGAGACAAGGTTGAGACGGCCATCAACATCGGATTCTCCTGCAATTTGCTGGGCAACGACATGGACCTTATCGTCTTGAATGTTCAAGATGAGAATCTAGACAGTGCAGAAGCAGAACTCGACAAGAACTTGGCTATCTTTGGCAGAACCGGATCTGACGAGGAACTCAAGGCTGCAAAGAAGAATCACGAACCGCCAGCACCGACCCACGCTGTGGTCGTTGACGGTGAGACTTTGAAACTCATGCTGAATGACAGACTCAGACAGAAGTTCCTGCTTTTGTGCAAGGAATGCAAGTCGGTTCTCTGTTGCCGTGTCAGTCCCAGTCAGAAGGCTGCCGTTGTTGGCATGGTCAAGAACGGGCTCGATGTCATGACTTTGGCCATAGGTGACGGTGCCAACGACGTTGCTATGATCCAGAAGGCTCATGTTGGTGTCGGTATTGCTGGTGAGGAAGGCAGACAAGCAGTCATGTCTTCTGACTATGCGATTGGTCAATTTAGATTCCTTACAAGACTTGTGTTGGTTCATGGACGTTGGTCATATCGCCGACTTGCGGAAACTATTGCAAACTTCTTCTACAAGGTATGCTGTTGCTTCTCGTCATTCCATTGACATCGCTGACATCTTCCANAGAACATCATCTGGACATTCGCTCTCTTCTGGTACCAAATCTTCGCTAACTTCGATTGTTCATACATCTTCGACTACTCTTACATTCTACTTTACAACTTGGCATTCACCTCTCTGCCGGTTATCTTGATGGGAATCTTGGATCAAGATGTCGATGACAAAGTGTCCCTTGCGGTGCCCCAGCTTTATAGGCGTGGCATTGAGAGGAAAGAATGGACACAGATCAAATTCTGGTATGATAAAATGGCTTCGAATCTGAGACTTGAGCTGACCATATGACAGGNNACGTACATGATTGATGGGTTCTACCAGTCACTCATTTGCTTTTTCCTTCCATATCTTCTCTTCCGTCCGGCCAACTTCAACACCGAGTCAGGTCAGAACGTCAACGATTACCAACGCATTGGTGTATACATTGCCAATTCTATTGTCGTGGTGGCCAACGTTTATATTCTGATGAATGCCTACCGCTGGGACTGGTTTTTCACCCTTATTACAACAATCTCTATCCTGCTCATCTGGACCTGGACTGGCATTTACTCCTCATTCACTGTTGGCTTCACGTTCTACAAGGCTGGCGCCGAGGCCTACGGGTCATTGAGCTTCTGGGCGCTGACGATGATGGTGATCATCATTGCTTTGCTGCCTCGCTTTACCGCAAAGTCTTTCCAGAAGATCTTCATGCCCCGTGACATCGATGTTATCCGTGAGCAGGTCAGACAAGGCAAATTTGACTATCTCAAGAATGTGGACCCGCAAAACTCTGAGGGCGTTAGTCCACCTCCTCCAGAGAAAATGTCAGATTCCACCTCAAGTTCGGAGATAAGCAAGCCCTCAGGGGCGCAGAGACTTGCTCACAAGTTGTCTCATAACAGGGTCCCCACCGAAGACGAACGACCAATCTACCNNCCCCCCTCAATAGCAGCGACGGCAACGACTCGCAATGCCAGATCACACAACGGCAGCGATGGTACCGATTACACTGGACATCGATCTTCCATCGACCGGACGTTCCCTGCAGTCGGGCAAGTAACATCTCGTCCGTCCGAAGACTTTGGACATAGCCCGATAGACTTCTACCGACCTCCGGTCGTTGCTGGAGGCTTCGAATCGCCCGCACCACGACCAAGTTACGACCGACCAAGGCCTTCTTTCGACCGGCTGAGGGCCAGCATGGACTTTGAAAGAACCCGGCCTTCTTTTGAGAGCTCGCGAGACTTCACTAGTGCGGCATATCTGTCGCGGGTAGAAAGCAGTCACACGCCTGCCGGTACACCTGCTGCGGTGGACCGGAAAGACATTGGCTATGCCATGTAACAAGGAGCCTGATGTGAGAGTCGTGTGTACAAAAGATTAGGAGCGAAGGCGTTGTGTCTCGGTTGTCTTGATTAATGTCTGTTTCACATGGCGTACCGCTTGGCCATGGTTTTTGATGATTTTAATTTTTGCATAGATTTGATTCAAGACAGTTAAGATTCCCTGCTGTCATTCTTTCAGACAAAGCGCTTGCTTTGGCCTGTTGATAGGTTTTGAATATCATCGAGTTTATCGTTCTGCCTGACACCTGTCGCAAAGTGATTCATGAGTTGCATGTCTTGGCGTCAAGTGTTTTGATGCGCAAACAGCCCACTCAAGACAAGAAGCAACGTGACACCAGAGCATGCCACACTACAAACTACACATTACTTTGGATTTTTCGCGTTTTTCAGCAGCGCAAGAACGCGGTAGATAGTCAGCGGTGTGACCCTCTGCGAACACATCGGTTTCACAAACAGCATCGTCATCATGGCCACCAACGGCGGCGACAGCGGCCCTGGACCGATCAGCGAGATGCTAGGGATGTTGGCCTACGGATTCGCTCAAGTACAGCCACTACTTCCCCTCTATACTCATCTGGTTCTCTCGGCACTGTTCCCTATCATCACGGGTGCTTACTCTTCACTCTCACGACCTTCAACAGCAGCAAAGCCCATCAAGGAATCAAAAATCGAGCATGGAGCAGATGAACAAGACGACCAAGATGAAGACGAGGATAGCATCCAAAAGATGGAGGGATTGAGCCCCAGTGATGCTGTCATCTTCCCTCTTCTCGCTGGATGCACGTTGGGTGGGCTTTACCTACTCATCAAGTACATGGGTGCTTCGCTGCTGAACAAGGTCCTACGTTGGTACTTTTCGGCAATGGCCATATTCAGTGTCGCCAAACTCATGAACGATGGTCTTGGTGTGGCCGAGTCCTTCTGCTTCCCCCACTACTACACTGAAGGAGGCGTTTTGTGGAAAGTTAGCCAGCCCGAAAGAAAGGCGATCCACTCAGCCATCTGCACAAGACCATCTCCCTTACCAGGAGTTCTAGGTCGCATCATTCTTCCTCGACGCGTCCTCGAAGGTTTCTGGACATTGCGCGGTCTTCTTAGGCGCAAGTACCGTCTGCAACTCCATCTGTCGAGCTTGGTCAAATTCAAGGTTACCCTTACCCTACGCACAATCCTTTCGACTGTCCTTGCACTCGCAACCATCTTCTACTCCAACTTTGTGTCCGATGAATGGTGGCTCACCAACCTGCAAGGGTTTGCCTTCTCTTACAGTGCGCTCCAACTCATGTCACCCACTACCTTTGGAACCGGATCCCTCATACTGAGCGCCTTGTTCTTCTACGACATCTATTTCGTCTTTTATACTCCTCTGATGGTTACTGTAGCCACCAAACTCGATGTGCCCATTAAGCTGCTTTTCCCCAGGCCCCTCGAAGATGGACAGGTCGCCGCTGACAGGAAGTTGGCCATGCTCGGTCTGGGAGACATTGTGATTCCCGGTATGATGATCGGACTCGCTCTGAGATTTGATCTGCATATGTACTACCTCAAGAGACAGACGAAGCGCGTCAGGTCTGTCCCTGCCAGCTCCGATGACAAGAAGGAAGAGAGCGCAAGCAAGGTCGAGGAAGACGTTCAAAAGGAAGTCTACCGCCCCGTCACCGGACACTGGGGCAACAAGTTCTGGACCACTTCCTGGATCGGCCGCTCCTTACTCCCCAAGTACGACGCCACCAAGAAACTTACTCGCAACCCCATCCCTACATTCTCGAAGCCATACTTCTATGCTTCGATCGTCGGCTACGTTCTTGGAATGTGCGTGACGCTGGGCATCATGCAAGTCTATAGGCATGCCCAACCTGCCCTTCTGTACCTGGTTCCCGGTGTTTTGGGCAGCTTGTGGTTGACCGCTCTGGTTAGAGGAGAAATCAAGCAGATGTGGGACTTTACAGAAGCCAGCGATGAAGGAGATGAAGATAAGCAGGACAAGAAGAAAGAGAAGACCAAGAAGGACGATGATGAAGATAAGAAAGAATCCACTTCCTGGTGGGGCAAGAGTTTCTTCTCGGCTGAGAAGACGGAGCGCAACGCGAAGAGACTCGAGAAGAAGATTGCAAAGAGCGTTGGTGGTGATGAAAAGAGCGATACCGAAGGCAAGAGCAGTGGCAAGAAGACCGCCAAAGAGGAGAAGGACGCCAACAAGAGCTTCTTCCACTTCTCCTTTACGCCCGCCGTTCCAAAGACCTCATCACTACCCAACGACGCGAAGAAACGCTCGTCTTCTGTCGACTCTGACAGCGCTACTCTAATCGGCGATTCTCAGATGACTGAGGCAAATGGACAAGGTCCTAAATGGAGAGGTGCAGGCCCACAAGAGACCCAAGAGGAGCGGGCTGGCAAAAGAAGACGCATCTGATCGTCTTGTGGGAGAAGCTTGGGAGATATGCCTAGCAGTGTAACACCGATCAGCAGGTAGACACAAAAGTAGTCAGTGAAAATGAAAAATATCATGACAACCTCAACAAGACTTCTCGTTGCATCGAGAAACAACAGACTTGACTAGGAGGGCAGGAAAAACTGGCTTACTCAACGGAGCTAGATCCTATGTCTGGTTGTTTCTTCCTTCTCGCAGTCACAAAACCTCTCGTCGATTTCCAACGAAAATACAACTCATGACTTCTAGCTACTCTACGACATTGGAGTGCGAAGCGTCGAGAAACGTTGACGTTGGTGTATAGTAATATTTTGTCATAGCATAATCTCATAGGTATCATATACGTCGTGAGATAACGCAGCGTATGCGTTAACAAGGCCGCAGGCACATGCATGCAGCTAATTCAGATCCCTAGCCAGCTACTTGCCATTAGCCATGAGACTCAGGAACACGCCCCAACCAACACCAATGACGCCACCGAAAACCGTACGGTGTTCGAAAGGAACAAGGGTGAAGCTGATGATGGAAACAAGAGGCCAGAGCTTCTGACCGGCAAACAGAAGGGGAAAGAAGTCCNNTGCATATGTGTCAGTGGGACAAGCTGATGGTCAGTGAGACGGGACAAGACATACAGTCTGCAGTGCAGAGAAAGCAGTTTTGACAGACTGGCCCTTCAGGAAAGCAATGCCGACGATGAACAAGGCATTGTTGACAGCGGCTCCGAAAGTCTGGTCCAGAGCGAATTTGATGGCAGTGTTTTTGATGCTCAAAGCCTTGGGATTTGGAGAAGCAGGAGGCTGAGCAAAGGTGGCATCAACATTCTTGTCGACAGCTTGGCCATCAGGAGTGCTGAAGGTCTGGGAGCGAGTGGGAGGTTTGATCATGGGTGACTGGTTGATGCCAGCGCGAGCCTCGAGCTCCTTTGCCTTCGCCTTGACTGTGTCGATGCCTTCGCTAGCGCGGCGTCTGGCATTCTTGACAGCGTCACTGTCCGCGAGAGCGGTAGTGGCTGCCGAAGCCTTCTGCAAAACCGGGCTTGCCGTCTCTTCGATGCGTTGCAGGGTTGGGGCGGCGGCATCGAGGGCGCTCCTGACTTGAGGCTGTTGAGCGATGCTTGCTACGGTTCCGGCGTCATCGGGCGAGGTGTAGCCGGGGAAGGTGGACTCCATCCAGGACTGCCAGAGGTAATTGGGCGGGCACGAGAGGAGCGAGAATGCTACGAAGGTGACCAGCGGGCCAGTGTCGAGGCTGTAGCCATGNCTGCACCTCAATGTCAGTCGAGTCCTACAAGGATCATGTCCCAATGCACTTACGCCTTTGCGATGACAAGAGATGAGCTGAGCGAGGATGTTTGAGATGGCGCTCAGGACTGCTGCTTGGATGGTTGCTTTCACGATCGGCTCCATCTTGACGCGCTTGGGATGACGAAATGCGGTTAAATGCTGGCGTGTCTTTGTTACTTAGGCGAGGTACTGCGACAATGCAGGCCGAGGTGATGAATGGTGAGATGCAATAGTCTAACGCTGCGAGGACCAAACACTTCGACCTCACCTTTGGCAAATACGATGGCGTTCGAGCGAATTCTGATGAAAAAGGAAGGTGCTCCTTTCGTCATTCCCCTTTGCGTGGGTGAAGCTGTCCGAGCCACCAACCACCTCCCACTCAAAACTCTGACATCAACACCTTGGTTAACAGCACATCGGTCGTCAACGCCTCGGTCACATTCTCAATTGCTAGTCTTTCACACAGATGCTTGTGAAAACGCACTGTAGATTATCATTCCAGAGACGAGTCCATAGAGAGCCGGTGATCGCACGACTCTCAGTGGACCTTGCTTTGTATCTAACAGTACTTTGTATTTCAACACTACGAAAGTCATACACCTCAGCATTTGGGAGTGCATTACTAGGATACTCTTGAATTTGCTAAGCAAAGTAGCTGGAAGCCGCATCAGTGCATTACCACTGCGACGTGGTCGTCCATATACCTATCACATATGGTTAGCATGCTCTCACATGTCACAAGGTTGGAAGCCAAGACTTACTTGTTGATATCCCCCAGGAAGCAGGCTGCGATGATGGACACGGCTCCGAAAGCAATCGACACGTAGTATACATACTTGTATGCTTCTGCGTATGCCAAGCGTCCGGCAATCACAACCATCTCGTATGCTCCAGGAACACCCTTGATGCCTGGAAGTGTTTCCAGTTCTGTCAGCAGACTCGCGCCTGTGAGTTCGATTGCCGCTTTGATGACGGCTGGGCTCGTGATGTTCAACTTGAAGATCATCGTTCCGCCGATGTAGTGCGTGGCCGAAGGCACGAACTTGTTTATAAAAACATTATAATAAACGGTATAACCGATAGACCCACCGATCACGCGAATCGCTAGAGTCAATGCTGCCACAGTAGCAATAAGGTCGTCTGGACAGATGATTGCTTGACACAATTTTAGCACTCGTCAAAACAAGGCCAACCCACTCATGTCCAACTTACTAGTGATGATTGAGGCAGGTACAACGATGCCGCCAATGCCGAGTCCTGCGACCACAAGGATTCCCCAGAGTTGACCCAGGTTGTCCACACGAGCGACCGACAGGGCTCCACAGCCAGCTGTCATGAGAACCGAAGAAACGATCATCAAGACCTTGTTGTGCCCACGGAATACCGAGAGAAGCCAGAGAACGATGCAAGCGCCTGCCAGGATGGAGAAACCGACCGGGAGTCCTCGAATACCTACTCCTACTGGATCATGACCGTAGACATTGCTGTTTGATGGTTAGCATCGACTCTATATGCATAGAATGAGTGAAATATACACAGCTTGCGTGGGCCAGAACATTAGTAGACTGNNGAAGAAATTGGCGCCCGAGATGAATGTAATTAGCAGCGTAAGAGATAAGATTCGAGGTTCTTGACGGAGACGCTTGGGAAACATCGGGTATTTGGCACCGTAAGCTTCCCAGACGCCAAAGGCGATGAGGAGTATGACTCCTAGGATCAAGGGAGCCAGAACGTGAGCACTGCTCCATGAGTATTGGTAGCCGCCCCATTCNTTCAGTATGTTAGCTTAGTCTAGCAAAAGTTCGAGATCAGACAACTTACGCAAACCAGCCATGAACAGAATCATACCGCTAACGCTGAGAAGGCCGCCAACGTAGTCGACTTGCTTGAGGATCTCTGCTTTTGAGAGGCCCTGAGAGTTGACTCTGGGAGGTGGGAAGTAGAAAACGGCTGTCAGAACGACNTGTTAAAGTGTCAGTCATCATTTCTTGACAGCAGGTGTGCATTGTGTCTCACGTCCAATGAATGCCCAGATGCCGCAGAGTGCACCCACCCAACGCCACGAGGAGTGGGAAGCTATCAGCTGCCCCCAAAGCACACTGGGACAGAAGGGCAGGATACTGAAAATGAGTATCGCCACATACTTGCCCCTCTTTGCGGTAGGAGCAAGCTCACTTGTGGCAGCCAGGGCAGTAAGCTCGTTAATACCAGCACCAATGCCTGCGAAGACCATGCCGCCGATGAAGACATTCATGGTGTGAGCAGTGGAGCAGATGATCATGCCAACCACTATGAAGGCTGCGCCGACAATGGCGACGTATCTTCGACCGAAGATATCGCTAAGCGAGCCGACGAAGGGACAGACTGCCGCCAGGGACAACAGATTTGCTAAGACGAGCCAGATCCAACGATCGGCGCCTCCAATATCTCCATAGATGTATGGAGGGATCNNTAAACATTAGCAAAGCACTATTCATGAGAGCCCTGATTGACTCACTCCTCCGAACAGGTAGACTGGAATTTGAGATCCAGTCCAGAGGAATGCCATGGCGATGAGACTCATCATGCGGTTGAACGACATAGGGGGCTCGGTATAATGGTCNTGGAAAAATCAGCCGTGTCCTGTTTTCCGGGACGAAGGACACATACCCTGATCATCGTTGTCGGTACGAAGACCATCTTTCCCAAGGTAGCCAGCATGGCCGTGCTCAGAATCTCTTGTTTGGATCTGCTCGATGTGTTGAGTGACTCCTTTGTCTCCAGGAAGGGAGTCGGACCCAGTGGAGTCCCTTCCAGCCTCGGTATGGCCAGCCATGATGCTAAGACAGAGAGTATGTACAATTTGGACGGCCCAGAGGATGTAGGCGATGTAGTGTAGGGATCGAAGAGTCGATTTTTGGAGAGAAGTACCTGCCTTCTTATGTTTAGAGTAAACGCCCAAGTCTGGCTTTGCGGCTACTGCGAGGGCACAACACGAGATCAAAATTGAACATGTATGACCAGGAAACATTGACGAGCATGCGGGGAAGTGTGTGCTGATTGGTAGATCAATAGCAATATTGTCAAGTGTGACTGGGGTGGAGCCGTTGCTACCAGTGTCGAAGACTGGAGCCGAGGCTTCGACGAGCCAAGTGAAATATATCGTTCGATAGTAGAAGCTTATTAAATAGAAGATTTCGTGGATCCAGCGCCACCCAATGTCCTCCAAAGCAGCAGATGTTCGCAGATGAAAACAAACCCGGATATCCAGGCCTTTCAAGTCAATTGTTGCAAGTCTTTTCGGAAAGATTTTATCAGACGCAACTATTTAGATATCTGAGGAGACACATCCATCACTCAGCTGTCTAGCTCGATTCGGGAACGCAAAGCGAAACCCATTGATCGAGTAGAGATAGGAGTTTGGACAGCAGAGCGGCAGGTGGACGGCATACTCACAGACTAGGTTTCCCCGCAAACTCAAAACAGAGTTTGTGGGGGACATGGCTGGTGCCTCGGCCCTAATACCAGACACGCCCTACAATACCTACTTTCCTTCTTGTGTGCTACGGACTGTTACAGTAGCACAATACTTTACAGAAATGGACAACATTCGATGTGAGTCCTGACTTTATTGTATCTCTATGGATCCCGTCTCTTGTACAGACCCAAATGTGCATTTCTATAGCTTACAATATCACAATGCATCACTGTGGGAGAAGAATCAATTGTGAGACTGTAACAGCCTATGGCACACGGGGAGGCCGTGTGTAGATAGTATGACTTGAAAATGGCTCGAGAAGCAAGTCTGAATATCTGGAGGTACACACCCGGGCCATTCCGCAATATCTCCATGTAAGTAATTGGTATTCTAAGCACACTGTAAGATATTTCGGAGTAAACCTAAACCCTTGGAAGAATCGATCAGAAATACATCACACTCGCCTTGCCTCTCAGCAAAAGTCGAAGAAAAATAGTTGCCTCGGAGAATCTCGACGACATGCGGTACTCGTTGGCGGTGTGCATTGTGCGGACGTCGAGGACGATAATTCGCTGAATCTAACGACTCCAGACACTTCGAACCTTGGTAGATACAGTACTGTGTCTGCTGATGTGGTCGAACGTTTGTCGGATAATAACGCGTACCAATTCATGTGTGGTTAGAATAAGGTAACGTTAGCATTGACGACTTGCAGGAGGGCTTGGCAAAAATAGCAACTGACGTTTGTTTCGGCATCCAGAGAACGACTCCACTTCACACACGTCCTTCACCTCAATCCAACTTACACACACATCTTTCGAAATGGGTGAAGGTAGGCAGCTCTCAGCATTGCTTCTTATCGCCGATGGCTCCGAGGAAATTGAGTCGATCACCCCCTTGAGTGAGTGATTCTATCTTGATAAGGAGGCTGAGTACAGTGCCTCGGCTGACTTAATTGAAGTGTTTTGGTACGCGCCGGATTTTCAACAGTCACATCTGTGGGTGTCAACCTTAAGAATCCTCTTTACGCCCAGTAAGTGAATTTCCCATTGCCACCCTGTCGATCTACCATCCGGTCCGGTCTGTGTAAATCCAGAAGGCAAAGAGCTCTTGCGAAGGTTGGATCATTGCAGAAGCATCCAGTCCAACGACTGGGGATGGCTCAAGTCGAACCCTCGAGGTCTCGAGAGGCAAATCAATCCGGCTTGGTCTGTTGGGCAATATGAGCAACGACATTCTTAGCTACCATGTCTGTAGAACTTAAGAAGCTGTACACGGGCCTTACGGTATAACTGCTCAGAGTATACCACAGAGACCGTGCTCACCGATGTCCTGCAAGACAGGGCTGTGTTGCCCTGGGTCTTGAGAAATCGCCATTCATTGCTTCATCACCAGAACGGCCTTCTTAGCTTCGGATATCTAATATGTGTTGCAGATGCTCCCGCGGAGTCAAAATCATTCCAGACATCCCCTCACCACATGAGATACCTGATCGTCTAGTCGATGCAGCAGACATCCTGATTCTCCCAGGAGGCGCACCCGGAGCCAAGACTTTCTGTCAGAGCGAGGATGTCTTACGATTGATTCGCGAGTTCCGAAACGAAGGGAAATGGGTTGCGGCAATCTGTGCTGGAACCACTGCACTTGTTGAGAGTGTCAAGTCATCCCGTGCCGAGGGAGAGGCTGCCAAGAAGTGCAAGGTCACGTCGCACCCGTCCGTGAAGCAGGAGATTGTAGACGCTGGCTGGACCTATGCGGACGATAGCGAAAGAGTTGTAGTTGACGGCAAAATCATTACAAGCCGTGGTCCAGGCACTGCCATGTTATTCTCGCTTACCATTGTCGAGAAGTTGGCTGGAAAGGCGAAGAGGGATGAGATTCAAGGACCGATGATCTGCGCTGAGACTCTGTGAGCAAGGCAATGGACCTCTCTGTATAAAAAAAGACTCGCGACCTACCCAAGATCTCCTACGATGGCATATAGTGTCACTATATGCTATAAGAACACACGGCTGCTCGCCAGACAAGGGCGTGGCCAGTGAGATGCCTGAACATAATATCCTCTGCGTGGGTATTGCTCTGTTGATGGAGATGTCATGCATTCCTGTAGCTACAAATATAACAATCTATCACACACGGTGAGGGAGGATAATCTGGAGTCAGCAGTCAGAATGTGGAGGCACAGAGTTCCATCAAGGTTGACTCCTGGATTCGATGAGTCTACGCCCGCTTTCAAGTCGTCCACATGTAGAAAGAATGAACCGTAGAATGAACAGAAACATGGAGTCATTGAATTTTCGAAATGCATTTCAGAGGCCTATCATGAACGCATTGTGGGTGCGCCTCCAGACGTGTGCGGGGGCGGCTTTTTGATAATTTCCTAAGGCATGAGAATTGCGAAAAAGTCGGTATAAGTAACGAAGATGCATTTTCCCATGCCGTGCCTCAGCCTGCGCCTAAACGACAATCAAACCACATCAACCGCAAGGATCCAGCTGTTTAGCGGGACTTGGCGGCGACCTTGACGGGTGCACCCTTGGCGCCCTGCTTGCTGGCGATCTTGCCGGCCTGGCCCTTTGCGGCAGAGGCGGCGTTCTTTGCCTTGTTGGCCTTCTTCTCGGACTCGGACTCAGACTTCTTGGCCTTGCCCTCCTTGATGGCGGCGGCGCGGGCGGCGGCACGGGCCTCGGGGCGCTGCGAACGGCGCTCCTTGATCACATCGAGCGAGGCACCAACGATGGCACGCTGGTTCTTGACGGTGCGGCGAGTGCGCTTCTTGGCGACCTCCNNTGTACAACGAAAGTCCATCAGTCACTGTTCTTGATCTTGTTCTGTGCATGTTTGCGCAATCCGAGCAGCGGCGGCGGTGGTGTGTCCGGTTCATGGCGATCGGTGGGATGCGCGCGGGCTTGCTGGCTGGCGGACAGGGCGGTGGGCGGATGGGCGACTGACCTCTGAGATACCCTTCTTGTGCTGTCTGCGGTAAAGGACGGTCCAGGAGATCTTGCGGGGNTTCTTGCGCTGGAGGAAGAGCGACTCGGACTTGCCGTTCTGGAAACGGAAGATCTTGCTGTCACCACGAACGTAGAGCTTGCCNCTGTTGCACGTAACCCAATCAGCCTCGCGTTCTTGTCCAAGCTCTTCTTTTCCTCTTCATGGTCGTCGTCGTCGGCGGGGAGGGGCAGCAATTCGCACCTTGCCAGGGTAGATCTTCTGGCCGGAGAAACTGTCCTCGTAGACTCTCATTTTGGCGGTTGTGTCGTTGGGTGGGTTCTTGTCGTCTCGTCGTTTAACGCGGCGATGTTGCAAAGCTGCGTTTGAAAATGGCGAGTGCGTTGTGGACTAGCCGAGGATTTTCCACAGCCTTGGCGTCGTGCGCCTTCCGCTTCCGCTCCAACTTCGTCCTTGCACACCCCAGGCTGCGTCCCTCGGTCGTTCCTACCGTGATGCTCTCCATTTACTAATTAACAGTGAATAATCAAGCACACGATCCACTAACATTAGCCTGTCAACAATCCACTGACATCCTTGAGAGTATACGGGGCAAACGATGCATTGACCAATCCGAAATGTGTATACATATATCGATTAACCACCATATCTCATCTTATCATCATGCATCCAACTCCCTTCACTTTCCCCTTGTGTTGAGATATACATCCAGTGCGCTCGATCCATTGCTGGTAGAGCTGACTCTGCTGCGCACACTTCCTCGGGCGACCAACGCCTCGCTTGTCGCTGATTCCTGACATCCGTGTCCAGGTGCGTGCGATGCCTGACAAGGGCAACCGTTGAGCATGCCGCCTGTCTCCAGCACCGCCGAAAGCGCGGCTTCCAACAGCTTGTTTCTGCGCTCAAGTGCGTCCATCCTTGCCTCCATCGTTACAGCACTACCTTCACCTGGCTGCAACTTGAATCTGGTTGTCTTCGCACTCGAGGGTGGCGATGGGAATACTATACTGTGCCCGTTCTCATCAAGTGGTGGTGCAGGCAAGTCTTTAGTTGAGGTCGCTCTTGCTAACCCTGCATCTGTCCTATCGTCTGGCCTCGAGACGCCATCGGTCTTCACGCGTGGAGTGGGAGGCAATCCTTTCTTAGGAGGCGGTGATGGCAGTTCTGGCGTAGTCGACTGTCGACTCTTCTTCGACGGACTGCCTGCTCGCGAAGGTGTCGAGGCCACACTCTTTGGTCCTCGACCACGCTTGCTCGTCTTGATTCGTGGCACCGGACTATTTCTGCCTCTTGCGCTCGGTACCGTGCGTACATGGCTGATTCTAGGCGAAGGCGAGGCAGTGGTAGCGATGATGCGGTAGTTCTCTGAGATATCGCCTATGCTGGTTGTACGCTTGATCGAAAGTGGACTCGTACAATAGCCATCCGGTCTCGAGTCGCGTTCGAGCGAGTGTCGTAAATGCAGACTGCCAAAGTCAAGTGGCCGAGGCCCTTCGGGTCTAGCTCTACGGAGTCGGTGACGTGACGTGTTTTGCTGTGATGCTTTGACCATAGCATCGATAAGCTCAAGCGGCTTTGAAGAACTTGCCTTCGACTGATTTGTGTTTGTGCAAAAGACGTCACTGCTTGTTCCACTGCTGCCTGGTCGAAGGAAGGAAGGTAAGTCATCGTCTCTCTGATCTCGAGCAGCGTATTCCACAGCCGCCTCTTTGGTCACTCGGATTGCTTGCTCTTCGTTCACCGGTTTCTTGTCCTTAATGTACGTATCAGGACTGCTTTCCGCAGTCGACTTGCCTAACATCTCGCCCAAAGATTCAGATGGTATAGACAGTCTCAAAGGGCTGCGGGGAGGTGGCGGTCCAGGGCTGTTTGAAACAGATCTTACACCGTCCTGGGACATATGCGACAGACGAAGACTAGTCACGTCACTAGAGGTTCGTTGAAGCACTGACAAGTTGCCGTTCAGTCGTCTAGGATTTGGTTGCGCGAGAGCCGCCGGTTTGACCGGGTCGGCCATCGGTGAGCTGACTTTATTCTCTGGCAGAGCTGGAGGCAGTATGCTTGGTACTGGCCCAGGATTTATTGGATGACTTCGAAGAGGTGCTGTTCTCCCGCGTATCACTCGAACGTGTCTGTCGGCTCCCGAGGCCACTGTGCGAGCCTTTGTACCAAGAAACAGAGGACGCACTGGGACTGCTTTGCGGTTGAGGACTCGAATGGTTTCCTCGTGTGGTAACGTCTGCGATATACGCTTGATTGGCCAGCCTCTGAGTGCTTCCGGTCCTTCATACATTTGGGTAGTGTTGTCAGAGGTAGGACCCTCGAAGCCCAGAACCCAATCTTGAAGACCGTCCGTACTGAGCTGATCTGTGACCAGGACAGAGACTCTAGATTCGGCAATCTCAGGACTAGCGATATCTTAGTTACTTTCTAATGTGTTGTGTGTGCTAAACATACCTTTTNNTGATGGTGCATCGCTCTTCTCCTTTTGGCTGGCTGTTTCGATCTCGAAATATTTTTTNTGCCTGTAACGTTGATAAGCTCAAGTCACAGCGTCTCCCTCGGTCCTTGACTCACCAGCCTTGGATACCTTTGGAACCACAACATCTGGCAGTCTTTGCCCTGATGGCAACAAAGGTTTCTTGGACGTCTGAGAGGCGTCGTCTGCAGGCTGAGTCTCGAACTCGGGAGCTTCTTTTTCCTCTGAGATGACTTCGTCGAGCCTGNNGACACGATCAGTTTCCGCACTCTTCATGTGTACTCGCTCCACAAACCTCATATGGACAGCCGTCGTTGAATCGGAAGGGCGTCTGCTGCTGGTTTTGAAGATGCGCATGGCGGATGAAATTCGTTTGGATCTGGCTTCCTTCACCGGAGGATCCTTGATAGGTCCAGTGGTCTTGAGGAAGTAAGCCATCTGGTAAGATAGATTCGATGGAGGCAGAACGAGAAGGTTGGTTTGTGTCATCATCTTGTCAACGAAGGGACTCCTGTTGTCCTCGACAGGACCAACCTCAGAGGATGTCGGACGAGTCTCTCTCTGCGACTCTACGTCTGCCCGAGAGCTAACATAGCTGACGTTATCCCCCGTACTGCTCCTCTCGCTCGCAGGTACATCAGGATTTGCGGGTTTGGCTGAGGAAGCTGGCAGCATGACAGGGACCGCCATACCGGTTGGCCCGAACATTGCTGAAGACTGATGTAACTTGCCGACCTTTTGAAACTCGAACGCTCTGGGCGTGTGGTTGGCGAACGGAGGTACAGGTCTGCGTCGTGAAATGGCGGAAAGGTGCATCTAAGATGGAAATGGCTGGGCTGGGAGAAGAGCTCTGGGAGTACACCATACACGCAGGTAACAAAGACCGGGAAAATAGCAACCATACGACAATTGAATTCGAAAGCGAAGGTCTCATGCAGTGGGTCAAGTCGACAAGGTAAATAATAACAATCGCAGTTCACACAAGGAGTCGCGCAAGGGAAAAGCACTAGGTCCTTACAGCAACGATGTGCGACGATCTATGCATGGAGTCGGGGCTCCTTCCAAGAGACAGGTCAATGGTTGCCGCAACCCTGCTACTGAGCGCTATCCGCCTCTGAACTGGCGCGGCGCTTGTCATGCAAGGATTCGCTTTGGGATTGGTCGTGACAGCAATCTCGACACTTCGAGCCTGCCTCAAACATTGTACCAAGAGTTCTGATGTATAGTGTGCAATGCACGTCGTCTTACCAGAGCAATAGCATGTATGTGCTCAAAGATCATTGGAGAAAACAGTAGAGCAAGTATCTAGATTGACGGCGTCTGGCATCCGCGCCGTTGACGCCCTAACAGATGTGGCTGGGCACACTCGTGATGCTCATGATGTTCGGGTTTCACTGGCGTGCATGTGCATGTGAGTTGCCGCTACAATGAACGCAAGGATTGCAGGGACAGGCTCTGGAGTATCCCATGGTTTTACAACAGGAGCAGGCCATCGAATAACAAGGCACACGGCTTGCGATGCCTCGAACAAAGGTCACGGTCAAGTGTCACACGTGGAAGCAAGGGTGGAGCCTGAGGTGGAGCCAATACACAATCTGCTCACTTACCTTTCTCCAAGCCTTGTAAGTCAATCCCACGTGATGCAAAAAAGTACATATCGAAAAGAATAACGCTGCGCCAGCCTTGTCATGCCCAAAAATGCTCCGTGTCGTCAGATCACTCAACCCTTCCTCGGCTTTCTGCTGGGCTGAGGTAGGAAAGGGTCCGCAGGCTTCTTCCTCTTGCGAATGATCTGAGGGGTGGTCGTGGTTGGTAGTAGATAAGTTTTTGGCTTGGCAGCCGGCGGTCCTGATGCAACAGATGCCGAAGCAGAAACAGGTTCACTGTTTACTGTTGGCGTGGAAGCGCCGCTCCGAGCGGAGTCTGCATCAGCCATCTCTACATCCTCGTCGCCCTTTTTNGTGCGCACACTGGCAAGCTTATCCTCCAACTTGACGCGGACACCTTCCATGGCTTGAACGTCGTCTTCCTTTTTGACTTTCTGACCATCGGCATCCTTCCTGGTTCTGGTACCGTTGCCCTGCGCTCTGTTGACAGTGGCTCCGATGTTTACATTCTGCTTAACAACTTCGTTGAGGTCTGAGACAGACGCCTTTGAGTGCTTGGTCAGAGAATGTGTCTTGGCGGGGAAACTCGAAGAGTGTGCTCTGAGCATCCCGTGAAGGTTGCCTGTTATGTAGCTATTGCGAGCCCGAGCATCATCCAAGAGCGTCTTCCAGACCACACCCCTCATCAGACTGTCTGAGTTGCCGAGAATCCATAGACTGGATTTTGCACGAGTTATACCAACGTTCAAGCGACGTACGTCAGCCAGGAATCCAACGCTGCCTGTGGCTGATGCACGAACGCAAGAGAAGATGATGATCTCGCTTTCACGACCCTGGAAAGCGTCTGTGGTATTGAATTCGATGCTTTCCGTAATTTCTGAACCATACCGAGCAGAGAAGCGCTGCTTCAATTCTCTCAGCTGAGACTTGTAAGGCGTGATTATTCCAATCTTGTTCTTGAAATCGTAGTCACGGTAGTCACTGATGAGCCTCTCGTAAAGAAGCATGGCAATCTCGATTTCCGCCAGATTGATAAGAGAGTGTCCTTTGGGTGCGGCTTGGTGTTGACCTTGGACGTCGAAGAACCGGTATGGCGCAAGTAAGTCGCTGGCGTGCCAAGCCTGTTTCCGAAGGCCTGCCATGTTATCGCCATCCAACAGACGTCCTTCATAAAAAGCTGCGCTAGGAAAGGCACTGATGTCGGGGTGCATGCGGTATTGAGTGTCCAGTAAATGCACCGCTTCTGGGTGGTTGTTCTGCATTCTGACGAACAGACTTTGCTCATATTTGTTGGCAGAAGCGGCTTTGGAGAAGACCGTTGGAGGCAATTGTCTGGGATCTCCGACCAGAATGCACTTGGCACATCCGTACTTCAAAGGGATCAGAGCGCTCATCTCAACGCATTGAGCGGCTTCGTCAACCACGACAGTCTCGAACTCGATGTTCAAAGTTTGGAACATGTCATGGCCACTACCACTGAGGGTGGCGCAAATGATGTGAGCATCATCCAAGATAGACTGTTGTACTCTTTTACGATTCAGTTCCGCCGCTCGACCAGCCGAGTTTTCGTTGTCTTTGGCATTATCGATCTGAGTTCCCAACTTGGTCTTGCGGTTTCGAAGAGCATTGAACTGGTCTTGCAGTTGTGAGAGCTCTTTGCCCTTGACCTCTCCGCTATCCAGTTTTGAACGAGTCAATCGAACTTGTTCAGACACGTTCTGATGTTCTTTCATAAGTTGCTGAGTCTGTTCTCTTGCCTGCTTATCATTGTTGGTAGAACCCAAACGTTTATTGACGAGCTCTTCCATCGTCACATCGACGACAGAGCTATTGACGGCATCGCTGCGACCAACACGGACGACGTTCACCTTTCGATGGACACCCTTGAGCGTCTTGATTCCTTCCTTGAATCTCATCACGAGTTCGTCCACAGCCGCGTTACTGGGTGCGCAAACCAGGAGTTTCTTTGAGACAGTCGTGTTAGTCGGGAAAGTACCACCTCCTCTTGGAACCTCGATTTTGCTGCCCAGCTGCTTGTCGGAAAGACTATCGCTGAGCAAGGCGCCCACAATAGCGACAATGGTTTTGGTCTTGCCAGAGCCTGGCGGACCCTGAATCAGAGTGAAGGCATCGTTCTGAACAGCAGACTGAACGGCCTTGGCTTGTGCTTTATTGAGTGTGTAGTTGCTGACGATGGGCGACAACTGCTTGTCAGTGTAATCCAGTAAGGGCGACGGTCTAGCTTTAGTGATTTCGTCGCACAGGTCATAGTACTGCAGACCAAGCAAGGCACCGTATTCGCGTTCCAAGGGTGTGATCGACTGGACCTTAGTACCGTGTATAATTTGGCCAGGCAAAAGATGAGGCATCATGCTGTTGTTGCTTCCCGGCATCACACGATAAGTGACCTCGATGTGTTGTTTCTGGCGGCGCGTGCGGTACACTTGGGCGAAACAATGATCTGCATCGACATCCGCAGTGGGGTTGGTGGACATTGAGAACAGTATGATATCGCTCTCCGAAATTTGTATCTCTTTGTTCTCGGCGTGAGTGACAGAGCTGCTGATTTCGGTGAAAGCGTCGACACTGGACCTGTTTACGATCTTGATCTCGTAAGGCTTGAAAGACCCTTCTTCTCTTGACTTCACAAAGCCCTGCCAAGCTTCGAGAACAAGTAAAGGACGGAATGTCTCCTGGTAATCGGCGACATGGCGGAAAGAGTTAGCAACTTTNTGGAATTGCCAGTCTTTGGAGTTCGGTGGGTAGTCGCCTTCGTAGAAGAAATCCCAGCCCAGGATCGTCTTGTGCAGAGGTGCAAGATCCGGAGCAAGTCGAGCTCGCATATCCTTGGCAGAACGGATACGTCTCTCGATTCTGATAGGTTGGTTACGCTGTTCGCGTTTCAAGCCAATGGCGCCAGCAGCGTCGCTCTTAACGGTGTTAGTTCGTTTCTTGGTGGGCTTGACACCGAAGAGTTCAGCATCCAACTGGTCGTCTTCATCCTCGCTGCTCTCATCTGAGGAAACCATAACACCTTGACCCTTGGTTGAATGGTCTTTGCCTTCGAGACCGATGCCTTGTAAGCCCGAGCCTCCCTCTCTCTTAGCAGCAGCAATAGCTGCAAGATCTCTCTTGCGTTTGGCTTCCTGTTCTTGCTGGCGTTTGAGTCTGAAGTTGTTTGGGTCTTGCTGTGCGATTGGAGTTCTGGTCGGCAGAACAGACTTCTTAGCAAAGTCACCACGTGCTTTGAGCATCTCGGCGGTTGGCGAAGCGCTCGAGATGGCCCTCTTAAGAGCAGACTCGTCAGCGGCAGCTCTCCAAGTTTCCATATCCAACGTTCTCTTGGGCTTGCTTGCTGTCGCCATATCTGTGGTACCTGATCCAGACGTAACCCAGGATGCAAGCGAGCCTTGCCTCTGAGGCTTGGAGATTTCGGTTGCGCCCTGCTCTTGAATTTCACTCCCTACTCCGATATGTGTTTCAAGGGCTCGACGCAACTCGGCCTTTTGAGACATGGTGAGTTTCGTCTTGACGGTGCCATTCAGCACATCGTCAACAAAGATTGTAGAGTCCTCAGGCAGTCGCAGGTCGACCGATTCAAGACGCTTCATTATCTCGCAGGTAATGCTCACAGCCTTGCTGACCAGATACTCGTCTCTTAAGCGTAGCCACTTTGTGACATGGCCCGAGGCTTCTCTAGGCATCTGGAGCAGGCCTTGTTCTACCTCTTGAGAAGTCTTGTGGTCGCCGGAGGCAACATTTGCGTCGCGTAACGCTCCTGCGACAACGCTGTACTGGTTGAAAGCATAGTCTGCAAAGTCCATAGCGTCTCGGCAGAATTCTATCATCATGGCCTTGTCATGCCCAGCAAGACTCCATTGCTCTGTGTATCTGAACATGCACCCTATGACGCTCCATAAAGCTTGCCATGTGTTCTCGGTGGCCTGAACTTCCTCTGCGTTGAGCTTACGGGACCGCAGAATACCATCTTGAGTGCTGCAGAGACAGTCAAGAACGTCTCTTCCCAGTTTGAGGAGAGTTCTACATGGTGAGAACATGTGGCTTCGAGCCACACCACGAAGAGTTGACGCGATGGATTCAAGCGCCACCACGAAGTAGTTTTCCATGAGATATCTCACAGCTTCTCTGCGCGAGTCCTGGGAGCCCATGCTCTTGACAACGGTTGCTGCAGATTGTTGAATGTCAGCATGACCAGAGAATACCGCATAGAAGAGACTCTGAGATGCACCAGGGCTGATCAACAAGCCCTGGAGTTCCTTAGGTTCGAAGTCTTGTAATCTCTCGAAAAGCTCAGTGACATAGGTTGAAGCGCGCTGATATCCGTTGTTCCAGCTCTCAGCATGCTTTGGAGCGCTGGCAGACTCTTTGGGGGCAAGGGGTTCAAGAAGCATAAGACGGCTCGCACCGATCAATATGGCTGATGCGAGAGAGACATCGCCCGGCTTTATACTTCTCACTGCAGCCTTCCAAATGGCCAGTGATGAGACGTTGAGGTCGAACCCAAGAGACTTTTGTTGCAATATCGCGTCGCGTATCGATGCCAGGGAATGGCAATCGAGAGATAGAGCATTGCGAACAACATCGAGGCCAAGCTCAGTCTCACGCGAGTGCGCCGGAGAATCTTTGAAGCTGTGAAGGTTTTCCAAGATCGTCAAGACATGCACACGAACAAGCTCAAGCAAGTCTGCCACAGTGGCACTACCTGCGCTGGTTCGGTTCATGATCTCCATCGTGGTGTTCATCACCTCCAATCCTTTGTGCCAACAAACAGTCTGCGCGTATCGCGAGTACTTGTCCGATTGAAGTCTTGTCATGAGTTGCTGTAGCACAGCACGACATGCGGGAGCCAAGTTTGCAGGCTTGATGGACTGCACAAAAGGATCAACCCATTCCAGGAGGGCTTCGAGCTGTAACGGCTTGTCTTCCTCGGTAGTCATCATCGGCTTGTCGATGGAAGGGCTGTTCAGTATCTGTTCCACGACAGCCTGTGGAGGGACAGCAGCCAGTGCCTCCCAGACGTCCCCTGGTGATTTCTTCAAGAGAGCACTGAAACTGCTGACAATGTTTCCATATCCATCGAATGAAAGTTGAAAATGGTCGAGAGCCAGCTTGTAGATATCCATGTCCAGGGCTCGAAGATGATGTGTGATAAGGCTCTTGTCGAGTTTTTCAATGATAATTCTGGCGCCTTCCCAAAAGATAGGCAAGAATTCGCGATCGATGTTGACAGGAATGACACGGCCCATAGCAGCATTCAGCGTATCGCGGACCGTCCAGTCGAACTCGGTGCCAGTAATGGGGCGCTTGAACTTTGTCCAGCCTCTGAGAGCCCAGGCAGATCTTTCCTTGTTTTGACTGAACAAAAANGAAGTCAGGGCTGGTGTGTATTCAGGCAAGGTGATTTTCTTTCTTGTTTGGACGAGACGGAAGGGTTTGTCGAAGTGTTGTTGGAGGAGAGATTCGTTTTGTAAGAAGGCTGTGCAATGCATTGACTCGAAAAGGGCATACATCTCCTCCTGAGGTAGACTGGCGATGGACCGTTCTTGGGGAGCGAGATCCAGAAGGGTGTGGGTGGCGCTGTCTAGTCCGGCGACAATGCGTTCGGTATTCATCTGATCAAATACTTGCATGAAGGAAGCGACCACGTCGGCGTCATACTGCTTTTCTAGATCATGCTTCAATTCCTGCCTTCCGCGATGGTATTCGCGGACACAGATAGTGCAGCGTTGGAGCTGAAGTTTGAGCAAGCTCTTGAGAGCAGAACCCAGTTGTAGCGCGGCTTCTCCATCAAAAGCAAGGATCTGGCAGGCCTGCAGGACTTTCTTGATCAACTGCCGCGCCTCCTCGACCTTTGCATGTCTGACTGTCTTTTGTGCCTCTGTTTCCTGGGAAGTTGCATTGGAGTTGTCTTCGTCGAAGTATACGGAGGCATCGTCGTCGGATGTGCGCGGGCAGAACCAGTGCTGATTACTGGGAAGAGCTTTGAGTTCCCTGAACAGTCAAGTCAGTAGGCGATCACAGCGTAGGGCAACAGGGTAGCAGGGTGTTTAGCTTACTCGATTTCCGCCACAACGTCGGCCATTGCAAAGTTCACAGGACGTCGTCCTGACTGCGCATTTGACGTTGATGAATCCTTGAGTCGAGGTCCGATCAAGATCTCATGACCACGCGATCGGAAGTTTTGGTGTTGGTTGCGTTTGCGATTCGGCCAAGGGTACCAGCAGTGAAGAGAGCGATGATCAAAGTATTGGTGGTGTCGGCTAAAAGACTGGGTTTTCTGGAAAGTGTTGTTTCAAGAGTTGTGGTGTCGACAAGTGTGTCGTCGAAAGTTGTAGCCGGAGCGTCAACAATCACTTTGGTTGCTCGGGGGTCCTTGCTGCCACGACGGTGATGGAAGAAGAAACACGACGGACGCACGTCTAGACGCGCTCTTCGTGTTTGGCACTAATAGTGTGTCCGCTTTGAGCAGAACTGCATGGCACGGCTTTGGCCTGTTGATGACTCTACTCTTCCACTTTGATCATGGATTGATAGGTGATCGATCGTTTCGATGTAAGGAGAGTGTACATCTGGCTGTCGCATGGAAGCTTCTTGCCGGTCTGGTACGCACGTAGATACGGAAACGGCAGGCTCGAACAGTCGACGCTGCTCTCCTTGGACCTGCTTGCAAATCTTTAAACCTCATGCGTTTTCAGAGTAGCCAACTATAGGAGTTCTGGACTGGGAGAATGGGCGTGGTATTGATGCATGTATATGCACGAAGTAGCTCTGAGCAGAATGCTAGGGAGACACAGGATTATTGTCTGTCTGGCCTAAGCGTGACAGAGCAATGCCCCCGGGGATGTTTGAGACATGTGCAAGTGAAGTTCTTTATTGTGTACACTGTATATACGAACAGACACGCTATGATTTGTGGTGTGGTACGCAGTGTGTACGGAGTTCCGTTTATGGTTTGCGCCTTCAAGTGTTGCAAGGCGGTTTTGCCACCAGCGGCTTTTGGGCACAGGTAGGATGTTCTTTGGTCTCGACAGCTATTTCCGCAGCTTCTGGAATGACAACCCAGTAAGGAACTAGAACCTACAAGTAGATGCGGATAAGTAAGGTACTCTAGCTAGACGATAGGAACAGGTACTTGGACCCTCGAGGGTCTGCACGTTGTGAGTCGATCTCACGATTACCTAGGCTTCGGAGGAATGTGAAAGCTCCGACTGCCGCCAAGAGCGACCCACTCGCCAGGCTCCTTCCTTCGGGAAACAACTAAACTCCTTTCATCACAACCAGTCCCAAACTATCCAGTCCCGCAACTATCAAAGATCCGACAACCATCGCTATGGCAGACCAAATCACTGATCCTCAGGACGGCAACTCTCCCTCTGCCCACGACGACAGCATTGCGCCCGAACAGAGAGGCATCAAGAGACAGCGCACCTCCAACGCTGCGCCCGCCGACGACGATGACGACGACGACGACAAGCCTGGCCGCGAGAGAAGAAAGATCGAAATCAAGTTCATCCAGGACAAGTCGCGTCGTCACATCACCTTCTCCAAGAGAAAGGCCGGCATCATGAAGAAGGTCGGTCGACTCCCAACCCTCACACGCGACGCGACGTGTCGCACCTCTTTAGCCCAACTCGGCCTTTACTAACAAGCTCGACCCAGGNCCTACGAACTGTCTGTCCTCACTGGCACCCAAGTCCTTCTGCTCGTCGTGTCCGAGACTGGTCTCGTCTACACCTTCACCACTCCCAAGCTCCAGCCGCTGGTGACCAAGGCCGAGGGCAAGAACTTGATCCAGGTACGTCCCTGTTCATCACACCCTGTTTGTCCGTATCATCACTGACTCTACCACCAGGCATGTCTTAATGCACCCGAACCTGCCGACTCGAACGGCGTCGACGGTGAATCGACTGTCGAGTCTCCCGAGGACACACACGCCAATGTCCCTGCTCCAGCTGCCGGCATGCAACCACGTGCCGCTGGCATGCCCNCCAACCAATACGCCATGACACCCGACCAGCAGCAGGCCCTGCACTACCAAGCATATCTTCAACAACAGCAGACTGGCGCCTATCCCATGTCCGGTGCACCCATCCCTGGTCGTCACCCCGGACACCAATAGAGGAAACATCGGAGAGACTACAGACAAACCGTCAGCTCTCTTATTGTTGCTCCGACATAACGACACACGCGACGCGGAAACCGAAGAGTGATTTTATTGGTGCCATGGGTTGATGAAACGAAATGCCATGCTCGGAGAGCTGGCTGGGTGAGGCGAACTGCGGCGTAGCATCGGGATGGTTTCTTTTAATTTCTGTTTTATCCCCTTTCCTTTTTCCTTCGCTTCATGCCTTGTCGCAAGGCTCCATCTTAGTCTTTGCAAGGAAAAGGCACCGAAGACGTCTCTTTCCATCTACACGGCTGACCCTTGTTTTTCTTTGCTTTTCATCTACCAAAATCAGAGAAAGTTCGGGTCGCCCTTTCAGTCAGTTTGTGGGTTTTGTATTATAGTCAAAATCAAGACCAGAGACTTCATAGTTACTGCGACTTCATCTCGAGTGTGTCATGCAAGATGCAGGGGTCAACCCTCTTGCACGTACTGGATTCTTGCCAAATATATCATACGAACCCCGAATCTTGTCTCTTCCATTACTTATGACAATCATCTCAGGCCTTCAATTTCTTCAGTCTGTTCGCGATCTGGCCCACGCAAGCTATGTATATTTCACTTATTCTATGCATATAGAGTCGATGCTAACCATCAAACAGCTATGTCTACGGTCATGATCCAGTAGGAGTAGGTATTCGAGGACTCCCGGTCGGTTTCTCCATCCTGGCAGGCGCTTGCATCGTGCTCTGGCTTCTCCCAGTAGTTCTACCCACAAGAGCTGTCTTTCCATCCTCTCTTTGGACGGAGCTTCGTCTGGACATGGTTGTACGTTTCTATAGCTACACAAGTTAGGTATTTCAGCATACGGAGGTCAAGAGAATCAAAAAAACACAGTAACATTGCAGCATACGTCAATTCCTTCGTAAAGAACAGATTAAGATCATCTATGTAGCATGCGGACCATGATCACTTTCTTCTTCCCGCTCCTGGCCTGTCCATCGCGTACGCCACCAGTCGACAAGCTGCTTGGATATGCTTTCGTGTCTGTACGCTGCTATATCAAGTCGTAACGGCTCGGAACGACTTCTGAAATGCGCGTGGTTCGGAGGGTCGGTGATGGACCTTGACAACTTGGGTGGCGCCGGCCGTCGGCTGTCGAGTAATGGAGCAGCCTCTGGATTTGAGCCCAGAGACTCACGGCGAGGCACAGTGCCGTAGTAATGCTCCTCATCTGCCAGCTCGTCCCAGATGTCTTCTACTTCACGAGCGTTACTGCCCCGTCTGCGTTTCTTGCCAATCATGAGAGCAGAGTCCCGTAACGTGTGTCTGCGCATCAACGGTGCGGTCTCTGAAGAGCGTCGGCTGCCCCCTTCGTGTTCGTGATCATCGACGAAACCCATGCCAGGCGCCAAAGCAGAATGGGGAATCTCACCTCCTGCGGGCACGGCAGCGGCGTCTTCTTCGCTGAGACGCCAGCTGAGCGCCAGCACACCTGCCAACAGAACAACGGTGCCCAATGCTATGAGACCAGCATACAGAGGCGACAGTTGATCGGCTTGGCGAAAGTAGATGAGACCGTCGAGAATTGCTATAATGTTGTAGATGCAAAAGACGAAAGGATAGAGGATACTTGTGCTGACCAGCTTCAGACCAAGATGGAGGTAGTATAGCTGGGTGAGGGCGAAGAGGAGAAAGAGTAGTAACAGTAGCCAAGACTGGTATCGGTCGAACTGGTTTTTGTGATCGACAATGGTGCGTACGAGTAGTTCTACAGCGCTTTTGGCCAAGAGCAAGGCATGGGCTGATAGGACGCCGGACACGAGACCGTAAGCCATGCCACGCAGTAGCCTGAAGCGCGGTCTCTGTATTTGCTGGGCAGTCAAGAAGAAGGCAGTGGTAGAGTCGGCAAGCAATATGGCGACAACGAGAAATAGAGTCAGGGTCATCCAGACAACAAAGTTTGGAAAGACGAGCAGCTTCAGGAGTTGGTCGAGCGAATGCGAGGGCTCGGGGAGAGCAGAGAAACGGGATATCAGAACCGCACCAGCGGCGACAAGAAGGGTGCCCAGAGCAGTACGACGGGTGAAGGGTTCATGAAGGAGTAGTGTGGCCATGAGGGCGTTGAAGACGAGACCCGAGGCCTGTAGGGTACTGAGCAAGGGTAGCGGCAGAGTGGTGATCTGGATCGAGGAGCCGACAATGTTGCTGAGGAGGAAGAGCAGCATGCCGAGTTGCCATCGTCGGCGGCGGTATGGAGCACGGCGGGGNAGGTGTTGGTCTTTTTCGTCCTCGAGCATGTGCGACTTGCGCTGCAAGGTGAGGCCGACGGATTGGACGCATGTGGATATGAGGCCGACGACGATTCCCAGCTAGATTGTTGGGTCAGAAGACTAGTGGTAAGAGTGGCAGATGTACGGACGCGACTTACGCCAAGAGTGGCACCAGGCGACAGCGAGGCCATAGTTGCGGGGGAGAGAGGTATCGTTGTTGGAGGGAGAGATGGCGGGTCACGGGATTATCAGGATGGTCGCGGCGACATGTTGGGGCGAGGGAGGTTGCAGCAGGGGAACTCGGTCGAGGGGCCCGGTGTTGTTGTCTGGCGGATAGTGGTAGCGGTGGTAGAATGATGCGACATGGGGCTGTTTGGCTTTGGGCTTGGACGTGATTGCGGAGAGACGGCGCCGGCTTCAACGTCACTTCAAGACGCTCCAGACAGCCAGTTCCCATCGACTCTCTCCCTCAGGCCCTCTACACACCACCCACATAGCCACCGCCGCCATGTCGCAAATCCACGCCATGTCCGACGACCAGGTATTCCTTCCCGTCTAATTGTCGAGCTGCGACGCCCTTCTGATGAGCTCGTCGCCTACAGGTCGCCTCGGAGCTGCGCAAGATGACTGCCTTCATCCGTCAAGAAGCCCTGGAAAAGGCCCGCGAGATCCACCTCAAGGCCGACGAGGAGTTTGCCATTGAAAAGTCTCAGCTCGTGCGCAACGAGACCCACTCCATCGACACCCAGTACGAGAAGAAGTTCAAGCAGGCCGCCATGTCCCAACAAATCACAAAGTCCACCCTGTCCAACAAGACCAGACTGCGCCTTCTGAGCGCCCGCCAGGAGTTGCTCGACGACCTGTTTGAGCAGGCCAACAACAAGCTCGCCGACATCACCACCGACGACGCCAAGTACCAGGACATTCTCAAGAACCTCATCCTCGAGGGTCTCTACGCCTTGAACGAAGCAAAGATTTCCGTCCGCTGCAGGTCAAAGGATGACGATGTTGTTCGTAAGGCTGCCGACGCTGCCCAAGCAGAGTACAAGGAGAAGATGAACGGTCGCGAGACTGAAATCAAGATTGACGACAAGGACAAGCTGCCTGAAGAAACGTGTGTTCTATCACATCCACAAGAATACTGTCCGCTAACCCACTCGCAGANNTCCGGCGGTGTCACCATTGTCAACTCGACCGGCAGAATCGACATCAACAACACCTTCGAGGAGCGTCTTCGTCTGCTCCAATCCGAGGCTCTCCCCAGCGTGCGAGCCACTCTTTTCGGCGAGAACAAGAACAGAAAGTTCAAGGATTGAATGACATCCTCTTGTTTCCCACTAATCTCTGTCCAACGTCCTCTTTTGCATACCTAGGTATCCGGAGCCAGCGCCATCTGTAGATATCGCTTTTCTTTGCTTTCTGTCTTGTACGCAATATACCTCATTACATCTACCCGTGCTGTCTCCTGTTTCTCGTCATCAACACTTGCGCCAACAACCTCAGCTAAACAGCATCGCTGCTGATGTCGATCCCATTCCCCATAGCCGTGTCCTGCTCACGTCTTGCGACAAAGCTTCTAATCATGTCGCTTGTGCCCTCGGCCGCTCCGAATATTCCTTTCTTGGGCTTCGGCCTGGTCCTTGCTGCGAACTCGAGTCTGTACGACAGCTTCTCGATCGCCGTCTTGCACTCGGTTCTTCGCATGTGCGCCGCACCAGAGTCTCGAATGTTGAACGCTATCGACCGTAGTTCTGCCACTAATCCGTCTATGCCCGAGTTGAAGTTGCTTTCTTCCTCCGACACTGGTAATTTGTTGGTCGCCGTGGCTGTGTTGATTGTGTTATCGGTTTTCTTTGCCGCTTCTTCACTGCGGAACTCGAACCTTGAGAATCCAAGTCCAATAGCTACGTTCAGTGTGTTAAACCGAGCTGCCAATTTCTGAAAGTCGGTGTTGTCCCTAATCTTGAACGCTCTGTTCTCTTGAAGGTATAGCGTCAACGTTTTCATGGTCACCAGGTCATCGAGGTCGTCATTGAGATACGCGTTGGACTTGAGGAATGATGCCAAACCTAGACGCCGCTTAAAATTATGCGATGCGCTCGTAGACGAGGGGAGGGACCCGATCAGATGTTGTATCAGGATAGGGTTCGGGATGTGTGCGCGAATGCGCTGTCCAATGTGTTCGACCTTGAAATAGAAATAAGTACGAGCTTGAGGATGAGCTTGTAGCTGCAGTGTAGACATACCGTTGCTATGTGAACAGAAGGTGTGAGANTCGGCTTCGAGCAAGTTTGCAATGCAACTTTGAAGTGCTAGTTGGGTTTCTGCCTTCTGTTCTAGTTGCGGGTCCACAAGTAAGAGCATCAATGGAGTGAGCCAGCTCCTCCTTTCAGCGATAGGCAGTCTTNNTTGTCGTTGGTCAGCCAATGTTGGTACAGAAAATCAATGGTGAGCTTACCTGGTCGCAAGTCTCATCAAGAGCACACACACCCAATTGAGGCTCAGAGGCATGTCCTCTACGTAAGGTCTTTGATGAGCAGGAGGAGGAGGCCTTGATGACATGTTGAAAAACAGATCTGGCTCGAGATCCTCTCTGCCTGCTCGCAGAAGAAACTGTCTACGTAGGTGGTCGGTCGTAAACGAAGTGTTAGAAAACGAGTGCTCTAACGCGCTCACGTAGGCACTAGCTAAGCCGCCCTCGAGGTCTTGGAGTAGTTCGGACAGCATCCACTGAACAAGCTCGTCAGGCAGGGCAGATACGCGAGCCATATCTGCCACGAATCCACTTTTGAATGATTCTTCCCTCATACTTTGGTCCTGGAGCAAGCTTGTCCAATGCTGTGTAGAGAGAGTTGTGTCGGGAAACGGCTTGGACAGGTGTGTTCTAGGGTCGGCATGTCTGAAGAAAGGATACTGAACATTCTTTTCCAGCAGATCGTTGCGTTCAATGGCTCGCACGACACGCTCTCTCGTCTCATCGTCGCCGTCATCTGCCTGCAGATGCGCGGCGAACTCCTCAGCATTCATGTCAGACGTCTGCCTGAGCTCATGTTCTTGACGTGCTGTCAAATCCATTTCTTGTTTATATTCGGCCTCGTACTCTTGGATCTTCTGGATAGATTTGGCATCTCTGTTGTGAGAGGCGACCAGGGAAGCCATGCTGAACTTGTAATTCTTTCGAGAAGGTTGAGCCAACTTGGACTTGCTAATGGACGGCCTGTCGCGACGAGTGGAGCTCCTCAGCTCACGCACAGAATTGGAAGGACGTTGTGGGGTCTCTGAAGACGTAGCAGGTGGGGTCATCTTCAGGCGTTTTCGTCGGATCAATTCGTCGATGTCGTCCAAGGGGTCTGAATCAGCATCAATGCTGTCGGAATCCGAGTTTGTCACAGCCAACATGCCGTCTCGAATGATGCGTTTACTAGAAGATTGCGAGCTGATCGGAAGGCTTGACAGAGACGAAGAAGACACGGAGGGATCCATGGTTGGCTGCTTTTTGAGGACGGTCGGCGGAGGCGAAGGAGGGCTAGGGCTAGACTCTGGCGACGTGAGAGGGCTCAGCTCTCGTGGGATGCGTGAAGTGGGTGCATGGTACACAGGTGGGCTCGAAGGTATTGGCGTAGGAATGGGATCGTCTATTTTTGTCTCCTTGGAAGGCAAGACCTGAATCTTCCGAGGGTTCGAAGAAGCGGACCTGGTGGGTGGCATGGAGAAACGAGACTTTGCACTCTGCTGTTGCTGTTGTTGTTGTTGCTGCACCTTAGTGGCTACGGCAGGCGCGTTTTGGGGCTCCGACGCGCTCCTTCCTTCTCCAGCAATTATGCGCTTGAATTTTGGCTGGGCGAATGGTTTGAAAAAGTCGGTAATGGTACGCTCCGGTTTGGGGGCCATTGGTTAAGAATACTGCGAGTCGGCCGTGCCGGGCTACGATATGATGATCGAATAAGAAAGTCGAGGCTACAGTCGAGAACCGCGTCGCGACCGCCAAATGGAAATGTGACGCGTGCCGAGCCGACACGCGGGCACGGTACCAGTAAAGAACGTCTGTGAGATCGATATAGCGGTCTGTAATGGATATTAGTCGTTGATTATCGCACGCATAGGTCTACACAGCTGTCAAAGAACATGTGGTCTGTACAGAGCTTCAGACAAATGGCTCAACTGTTAAAAGCGATCAAATATCAGTTGAGGTCATGGAGTTGGTCCTCGGCCGGCGTTGGATAAGAAAGCTTGAACGTCTTCTTTCAAGTCTTGGTGTTTCCATGTTACATCAATCAATTCACTGGCGAAGACAAATCAATTTTCTCGTCAACACATCAATAAATCGAACCAAAACAGGTGCATCGGGAACTCACGATTCTATGGACTATGGACGCAACCAATCGCAAGTCTGGCCGTAGAAGACAGCCTAGTAAGAAGTACACTGTCGACGCCTTTGAAGGGCTTGATATAGGCGATGGGATCCCTCTACCAGTTGAGATGCCTGACGACGACGAAGACGATGACTTTCATGTGGATCCCAACGCATCTCCTGAGCCACCGGATGACGACCTTTCCGTTGACGGTGCTGCTGAGGAAGATGAAGAGGAATATCAATCCCGTCACGACCTCGTTTCTGACGAAGAATCTATCGTGGGTGGCTCAGAGGTCGATGCTCCAACTATCACCCGTGGCTTCAAGAAGGTCAAGTTCGACGAAATCGCAAAGATGAAGGGCGACCCTAGGTACAACCCTCGTGGATTGCTCGAACCTGCTGCTCGTGGCTCAAAAGAGCTCCAGAGATTGTTCTTCTTCGGCCCGGCTAAAGACGACCAGATGCCCGCTCTCAAATCTCACTACAGATGGGGCGCCGAACTCACCATTCCAAGTCATGAAGCAAATGCTGGCGGCTTTGGTGGCTTCAAGACGAGTTACTACCATGGAGATGCAGCCGTGAAAGCTGAGTTGGAAGAGGGCTGGCACTGGTATGAGAAGGAAGGCGGCAAGGAAAGTTTCAACTCGTATCAGCAGTCCACTCCTCTGTCTCCTCAGAAGGCTCGAGTCTACATATCGCCCGCTGCACTCCAGACTTGTGAATTACTCATGGGCCCGTACAAACGCCAATCTCTTTTTACTCTCAAACTACATGCAAGTCTTAATCTGAACGAGCCCTGGGTACCACAGATATCTTCCGTCGATACTCCAGCACCAGCTCAAGACGCAAAATCGCAAAGGAACGGATGGATGCTCAACTTGGGCGAGAAGATACAACACCTAGAATGGGCACCGAATCTTCAAGGTTCCAGGCAGTTTCTAGCTGTCACAACTTCGCCCTTGATAGGCTCCGATCCAGAAGAACAGAAATTCAGCGCACCCTATGCACCAGCCTTTGCTCCACGCTCGCCATCAAAATCATCCATACAAATCTGGGAATTCAGCGCCACCCCTGAAGGACGTATCGACACTACATGTGCTCCCGTGCTTCGAAAAGTCATCTGCTCCGAATGGGGAGATGTCAAGACGTTCAAATGGTGCTCCATGCCTCGGACACCCTTGCATGAACAGTCAACGGAACAGCTGAGTCTAGGCCTGCTGGCTGGGATCTGGGCAGATGGTGCTTTGAGGATACTTGACGTCTTCGTCCAAGCAAAAGACGTTAAAGAAACCCAGTACGAGCTGGTCAAATCCGCCGCATTCACTGCTCAGCCCCCTAACACAATATGCACATGCTTGACGTGGCTAAGCTCGACCAGCATTATTGCTGGCTGTGCCAATGGATGTGTCGGTGTTTGGAATCTCCCGTCATCGCTCCAGACTGCATCATCAGAGAACCAGCGCAACTCGAACGCGGAGCCTGTCGTCTTCACTCCAATCTCACCGACCTACATACTCAACGTGACGACATGCTACCCTTCACGACCCAACATCATGATCTCATCCTCCATGTCAGGACATATTCAAATGACGGACCTGATGGAGATGACCTCTAAAGCAACTTTGACACCCGCGGCGACAGTCAGAGCTAGTCGCTCCCGTGTTGGAAGGGCTGTCCTCGTGTGGCATGAGTTTGCCCAAGTCATCCTTACGGTCGATGACAACTTTACACTCATCGCCTTCCCAATTCGACGATTCTTCCGTCAGATCTCATTCACGCGTTACAAGAGCTCGGTGGCGTGTCTTGCTCATAGTCCGGTTCATCCATTCGTGATGGCAGGGTGCGTTGGCGGCGAGGCTATCAGCAACAATCCTCTACGTCGTGCCTATGAGAACAAAGTTCCCATCTGGAATCAGACTTGGTTCACACACGAATGGAGACAACACAGTACCGAAAAGCATACAAAGTCTAGTGGTTCCGACGGTGATGGAATCATGGCAGACGCAGCAGATGAGCGTGAGGATCAAGACACAAGCACAAAGAGCAAAGCAAACACCACGCCGCAAGAGATCAGTCGAGTGCTGGAAGGTTTCAAGTGCAAAGAAATCAAACTCTTCAACACTGAAGACGCATTTACCCATCGCGAGAATGGAGCCGTATACTCGACCGTATACGATCTGAAGACATCAATCAAATCAATGTCATGGAACCCAAATCTGCATGTTGGTGGATGGATTGCTGCAGGCATAGCGAATGGTCTCGTCCGAGTGGAGGATGTCGCATCGTAATGATAATACAAGGTAAACGGCGTACTGGTTTCCTTCATATGTAATACCCCTGTACTCTAGAATTCTCGGTTGCATCCTAATTTGCTACCAAAGAAGCACTTGTCGCTGTGCGCAACTACCACGATGCGATTTGACTGAGGTCAGATCCAGTAAGGTCATCAACGGTTGCAACGATCTGTTGAGATTTTGATGTTGATACTCGGCCAAGATCATTTCGCACCCACGTGACGTTCGATGGAGCTAGCTTGTTTGGGCCTCATCTCTCGAGCGAACGCTGCATAGGCATGTATGTGCTAGATCGTCTCTTGAATCGCTGGGAGCGACTCTGGCTCTTGAACCATCTGGATATCTAGACCTGCCTTACTGGTAAATCGCCTTATAACCTATTGTAGGGGCAACATGTGCTACTTGGAATCTATATTGAGCGAATTCGTCCCAACGCTCCGTTCAGTAGATGATTTTTGGTTTCTTTGGTTGTTCATCTTCGATCTTTCTGATCTTCCTCGAACGGATGTGACGCCTGGAGGGATCTCTGGTCTCCATTTGACAGGTGGCAGTGGCTATCATCCATCTGAAAATCTTTGTTGTAACGACACGCCAATTGGCCTGTGAATCCCTAGTTATATGTACGAGATTGTAGCTTGATTGACTTCGATTCCGGTCTGAATGGCAAGACAGTAAATGCTTTCTGAGGATGAGACAGGCTGCTACCAGGTGCGCGTGGATCAGATCAGCGTACCTTTGATGTAGGGCTGGCCAGTGAAGGTGTCGTAGGGATAGCAGACATATTTGATAACAGACTTGATACATCACGTAAAGGGCATAAACATCCGGCAGGGATGATAAATATGTACCCGAGACTTGGGCGCTACAACCAGTAGGTGTCAGATCTTGGGGTTATTGAGATCAGACGGTGTCAAGAGAAATCGAGGTCAGGAATGTCGAGGGTCGCGGCATGGGAATAACGATACATCCAGTGGGTGTGAAAGTGGTCGATGGCGGGTTCATGTAAGGCCTTGCTATTACACGATCTGTTGCGATATGGGACCGCCAGCGACACTCATGGAACGAGACGGCTGTTTTGGACGAGAGGAGCTCTGGTTTGGTACAACAGTACCCATAGAGAAGCTGTTCAGTAGTCTGAAAGGTCAATGAGGTTGCACTGCTGGTATGGCTACGCTCTCGAGTCGAGATCAACACAGGCATTGTTGTATTATAGCGTAAATACTGCAGTTTTGAGCTTCACACGCACAGGCAGGAGGCTTAAATGCGGGTATCTATCTAGACACAAATGCGTTGTCTGGAGCTCAGTGAGAATTCTCTTCATGAATTTCAGACATGCCTTGAGCTTGTATATCCGGGACTCTTGACATTCTTATGCAGATATGGCATCTTGGTCGGCAGTTCCCTGTCTTGCGGCCATCTTATGGACAACATCATGATAGATTGAGTCGTGTTGGAAATTCATGATGAGGGCCAAATTGGAGCACAAATTACCAACGAGGGCGTCAGAGGTCACAATCAGTAAGACTGTTATGTTAACACATGGCAAAGTAGACCACAGTAATACACGATTGTTTTTGGTGCTAGTGGTGTTTTCATAAAGGGTCGCCTAGGTGGCGTCTCTCTGTGGACATGGCTTCATGCCTCGAGAGCATCGTGCACTTCTATAGCTGCGATATGACAACGTTCAGCGTACGTCAGAAGTGAAGAAGGATTTCAATATTCGTGTTATTATGATTCCAAACTTCAGAGCCAAGTTGCGAGCTTCAAATCAGCATGTTTGAGTGGGTATCAGATGTATCCTTCACATGGGCAAACCCTTGTAGCCCTGTATAAAGCCGCCTGCTAGTTTAATTGAGAGCCAGTCGCGGGAGGAGGCACGGTGCCGTAGCCGCGGCCACCAGTCTGGACGTTGTCGCTGTACACACCAGGCGCTGCGTTGTTGTCGTAGAAGCCCACGTTGGCCTGTTCTTGTTTGTGGAAGTAGACTNNTAAGGTGAAGGTACAATTAGCATGGTCCTTATGTTTGAGCATGGAACAAATAGCAGTCCAGAATCCATCTAATGGGTTCTGGTTCATGCTATCTGTACCTTTGCTTTACGTACCGTATTCGAGGTAGAAGGCGTGAATATGACCGGGGAAGTAACCAAGGACGGTCAGAGCAATATTGATCAGGAGGTCGGCGCCGCAGCCCGCGATCATGAAGACTCCGACGGGNGGCAGGAAGATGGTGATGATGATCAGAAGGATTTGCGAGATCATGTTGGCTGTTCGGTATTTGAGGTCTTCGTGATGGAAGGTGTTCGTGATATTCGTGACAAAAGGCGTTCGCGACAGAAGGTGTTAGGATACAAGAGATAAATAATGGAAGAGTGAATATTCGGTGGGCGCTTGAGCAGGTCGGAGGTCAGCAAACATGCTTGCGTCATCGTCAACAGTGACGGCTGATCGGCGGCTAAACAAACAGGCTTTCTTCCCTCGAGTTCGCGCCATGAAAACAGGAAAACCACAAATCCCAAACTCGCAGAAAAGACTGCTTTGAAGCGCGTGCAGCATCTTCTTTCTGCTGTTCAAGATAGTTATGGTTGAAGCAAAAGGATATTGACGAGAGTGGATTTGAACCCACGCCCTTTCGGACCAGCGTAGTGAAAGAACCTTAAGCTGGCGCCTTAGACCGCTCGGCCATCTCGCCTTTTCTCGAAGCAGAATGATTTCTCGTTGGAGACTGCTTGGATGACATTGTGCTTGCGTTGCTAGAAAATATTCTCTGCATACGGAGTAGGGTAGAGGTTGATCAAAGTGCCTGGTAGATGCGACTAGAGGAATTGATGCGACGTACTAGTTAGTAGGTTGCCACCTTCATAGGGCAGCGAAGTGCGGTGAACGACTGGCTGACAAATTTTACAGAGTCTGTCCATAGGAATATCATGATCGGGTATAGCTATTGAAGTGCTCGTGGTTGGCTGTTGAAGAGCAAAGAAAGATAAGAAGTACAGAGGAAGGAAGAAGCGGCGAAAGTGGCATGAGTTAACGTCTCTAAGCGCGAGAGATAACGTGGTATAGGATCGTTGCGCCAGAGTAAGTCCAGCGTGCTGAGGGCAAAGTGCATGTAGCAGACATGCAAGGCCAGCGCGACTTGAAATATCAGACTTCACGCGTCCAATTCGAGACCAAGAACATGGAACGTAAGGCTATGACACGTCGAAGGACGTACTCGAACAGCCGTCATGTAGCAGATGCTTGCGCATTAGGCAGGATGCATTGCGTATGACATTTGGCCAGTTGCTGATTGTGGCGCATGCGGAGAGACGCTTCAGTAGCAGCACTTGTCGGGCAATGCCGAGTCGGGGCACGTTGGTGTGATGTGCAGAGGGCGAACAGGTGTCCATTATCACTTCATCTTTGTTCGTCGGCAATGGGATTGGCGTGAACGTTGACGCTCTGAATGCGGATAGGATCTTTGGGCCTGTTCTTCTTGTCGACCTGGATGGACTCCATCTTGTCAAGAGTATCCCAGCCTTCAATCACACGACCAAAGACAGTGTTCTTTCCATCAAGGTGAGGGGCCTTGTCAAAGGTGACGAAGAACTGGCTGCCGTTGGTGTTGGGACCCTTGTTGGCCATGCTCAGAATGCCGCGCTGGTTGTGTTTGAGTTGAGATTTGATCTCGTCTTCGAAGGGCTGGCCATAGACGCTGGGGCTGTCCTTGGTCGAAGTGGCAGCAGGAGAGCCGGCTTGGATCATGAAAGACGGAATGAGGCGGTGGAAGGGCGAGTCATTGTAGGCGTCGGATGCGCACAGGGCGAGGAAGTTGTAAGTTGTCTTGGGGCAGGCGCTGCAGAAGAGCTCGAGTTTCAGGTCGCCGTGGGTTGTGTGCAGCGTGACGGCCATGGTTGATGCGGGTGTGTACCTGAACAAAAAGCGTTAATGGTATGCGATGACGATGGCTGCGGGCCGCAGGTGCGCCGGAGACTGGCTCGTGCTGTTGCTTGGTTGTGCTTTCCCGGGTCGCTCTTTCCTCGTTTGATTGCTTGGATGGCATCAGCTCATCAAACCAAGGAAGGTCCGGTGGACTTGTGCGAGTTTCAGCTACATCGTTGCTGCAACTCTGTATTCTTATTTGCAAGACCTCATCTCTGTAGTCGAGTTCTGATTGTGTCTTGATCTCCGTCCCCTTGTCCGCTGCCGTCCCCCGCCCTGTGCCGGCCATTGTTGGTTGACGTCTTCGAGTGCCTGAGACTCTAGTAGAGCCAACCGCTGACAGGCTGCACGAACAAAACAACTATACCACTCGCACCCGACCTCTCTCGACCTCTGCCGACCGCCTTCTCGACCTCCTTCGTCCTCGCGCCCTATATCTCGTCCATCGACTCGGCCCATGACATGCGGTCAACGGCGCCTCTACTGACCAAGACGCTGCGCCCATCATGACCTCTGCCTTCGTGCGCGTCTCTGGTCCGCCGAACAGCAACTTCCTTGTTGGATACCCTGGAATCTCGGCCACTTCACCGCGCATAGAGGGCAAGGTTGAGATACGTCCATTGCTGGGCGTATCCGCTCCCGTCCATGTATCGCTAGTCACCGTCTGCCTACAGCGCCGCGAGAGCATCCACCCTTCGGCCGACACAATCAAAGGCCACCTCGTCACGTCAAATCGGAGGGAAATCACCGACATAGTCGGCAAGGAGATGCTGCTGTATCGCGCGCCCATGGGTCGTGAGAGCGAAGCTATTCTGTCCATGGATCTCCCCTTCGTTATCTTCATCCCATATGGTCGTGGCGGCGAAGAAATGGCGAGGCGTGTACCCCCAGCGAGTTTGCAGTTGGACCGCCGCGCTGCCGAAACCTACTACGAGATTGTCGTCACTGTCCATCATAGCGCAAGCGACCAGAAGAAATACNCCTTTCCTGTACCAATCGCAAGATACGATACTCTGTCCACCTTCGGCATGTACAACCGTCCAGAAAGCGCTGAACGCGTAGTCGACCACCTTGTCACTCTCGCCATATCATTACCTCGCTGGTCTTATGGCCCGCTCGATCCAGTCAGCGTCTACATCAAATTAACACCAAATCCTGACATGCTTAGGAAAGCCATGAAGGCTACAGTCAAAGCAATCACAATGAGCATTGAAGAAGAGGTCATATACAACCATCAAGGAGATGAACCGCAACGCAAAGCCAAGACACTGGCTTCTTCCACCCATCGTGTAGGGATTAAGATGCCCGAAGCTGGCTACTTTACGAATCTGGGCCTGGTCTTTCCCGCCAGAGACTTGCGCAACCAAGAAGGCATCTTGCCTCGCCAGAAGCGAGAATTTCCACTTTACGCTGTCAGCGGCTTTACAACCACCGGTACTCTGTACAAGATTGAGTACTATTTGGTAGTCAAGGTATGTCTTACACTCGTGGTCTCCTTAGACCATCCTCTGACTCTATCTAGGNCTGTCATGTCCGGCGCAAAGGACATAATGATCCGCCAACCCATTGTTGTCTGCCCATGGGATCACGCTGGCTGCAAGGATGAAATGGAAGCCATTGAGCAAGCCGCCAAAGACGCCTATCATATCTCTCCTGACAACCCCATGTTACCCGCTTCTACCATTATCAGAGCCTCCGATGCCAACGGCCTTAAAAGCCTAGGCATGACCATAGTCGGCGGCCACAGGAAACCACTGATTGAATGAGCCTGATCGAATCCTTTAGTACTGTTTGCTTCTTATACCACTTTTTGGGACAAGTCACGACGTCACGACTAGTTCATTTTCTTCTTTTCTCGAGGAGCCGAAGGGACAAAATACTGATTTGGCGCGGAGTTTCTGGGCGTTGGAAGGGTGGAAGTCTGTCAGGCCGGCATGCGTGTGTCGGTTCCTTTTATCACGGACGAAGACCGGCGCTTTCTTTGACAGATCCGAATTGCATTTCTTGGAGTTGTTTTTTCTCTCTTTCTCCATCATTCAAACTCGATGGTGGCACTTTTTGGTCCAGGGCCAGCTTTCCTCCATAGTAGGCAGTTTAATGCATGTTCCTTTCAGGAGAATTTAGCACTTGATCGCACGTCTTTGATCGCTTAGATCTACACAACCACCTTACCGCTGTTTCTTGTTTCTGATCCTTTGAAGAGCATTTTGGTCGATGCATCGTTAACCGAATGCTTGACCCAAACCCTCGGGTCTGGGGGAAAGGTGCGCGCGGCTGTTTCATGAAGTGGAGCGTCGCCTTACGCAACACACCTCCCCACCGGCCAACTCTCAAATCAGGAATGGGAGATTGCGATTCCTACAGAATGAGACATTTCTGGTATACCCCATCCTAAGATGTCCACAGCGATCCACTCGATGTGGTGAAGATTGGGTTACGCAAGTGGGTATGGTCTTGTTTTGGACCTCATCCGATGGGGTCGGATGTTCTGGCTCCTGTCTCCAATTGTGATCGATGAAGAGAGCTTCACCGACAAAATCGACGGCCGAGTTCTTATAGTGTTATGAGACAACCATTATCATGATATAGGGTTGGCAATCTCGATATGATTTCCGACATGCACACGCGACAGATGACATCCTTCGCAGCTTCTAAGTCTTGCAACAACAATCCTTTTTGACAGAAACCAAGCAGTGATAGCGAACCAGTAAAGGGTCTAAGACTCCTGGAGAACCATCTTCTGTTCAGTAGCTTGAAACCACTTGACAGTTTCACGACTCGCTATTCGAAGGAGATTCAGGTAGATTGTCATCCACCTGATTGGCGTGTTTTCGCATGAGGCTCAAGAGGAAAAGTCTCTAGCTATCTTATGCATAGAACGGACGCTTTGTAGATCCCTTCTGGTGGTGTGGTTCGTGCCTTCGCACGTCTGGTCCAACCATGGTTAGGGCCTTCTGTGTTAAGTAGAGCAAGGCATCCCAAATTCTCTTTGATGGGCTTGACAAGGCTGCTACCCTTGCGGCACTCTACACTTGTGGAAATTCTGCCTTTGCTGGGTTGATTGCGTGCCTTGTTTCTTGTTTCTCTTCGATACTGTCTCTTTCATCTTTCATACTCTCTTTTTTCTCGTTTTCCCCACTACTGGCTCCCTTTCGGATTTTTCTTGTTCTCGATCTGGTATCTGGACTTTTGGTTATCGCCATTTCTGCTGGTCATTCCTTGTGGATATTCGAAGGCTGGATTGATATACATGACACGAGAGGATAGCAGGATATACCTATGCTTGGTCAACACCTACGGCTGCTTGCAACTCGATTCTAGATGTCTGGATCCACTCTACCTTNNTTTTCTCCGGTGACGAGCACCGACCATCGAGGCTGGCTCTGGATTACGGTCATCACCTGCACAATCATATGTCCCCTACTATTGCTTGGCCGAGGAATAGTGAGGTATAGAGAATATGGTCTCGATGACCTTGCTGTCGTTCTTTCTTTTGTAAGTTTATGCATCGCTCTCTCTCTATGTATGTAATGATAAAAGCTCATGGAATCGAAAACAGNNGTTTTTGTCATGGCACATTCAGCTCTCTTGATGGGATCGCTGGAACTTGGATTTGGAGTGCTGTTGACATCTGAGGCCCAATCAGGTATCTCCAAAGCTGCANAAGGTGACTAAGAACATTCAGGAGAGCAAATTAGATATACTGACTCTTTTTTTCCTCAGCTGGTCTTTGCAAGCCGAATCCTTCTTTCTCTCATCCTTGGAACTTCTAAGTTGTCTGCTTTGCTACTCATACGTCGCCTCATGCCAACAAATTGCGTACGCGCCTATATCTGCAACACGGGGATTGTGCTTGTGATTGTTTGGGGTGTGATGGCTATACTCACCACAAACACAGACTGCTCGCCTAGTCATACGTTACTAGAAAGTACAGAGAATAGCTGTCAACACTTCGATATCCGAATCAGCATCACTATGGGGTTGAGTTGTGCTACAGAGCTTGGTGTTCTTAGCCTTGCTTTTGCGTTTTTGAAGCACATGCAAGTGGGAGCACCACNNCAGAGGAAATGGGTGGTGGTGGCTTTTATGTTGCGTATGCCGTAAGTTTTTCTCATTTCTACCACAGAGGAAAGAGACATTATACTGATCAACGGGAATAGGAACATCGCACTCAGCATCGCTTATCTCGTCAATTACCTACGTTTCCTCTCCTCCGGCCACTCCAGCATCTCCTTCATCCCCGTCGCAATCCTCCAACAAGTTCTTTGTTGCTACTCCTTTTCGCATCCGTTTCCACCGCTTTTCTTGCCCTTTACCATCCCCACTGCCATCTCTTCATCACCCTACTCCTCAAACAACTCTATGAAAACGCTGAGTCGGAGACGCATGTCTACACCCATGTCCTTCTTCGGTGACAAGATTAGGNGCGACAGGGAAGTGTTTTCTCATCGCGCGAGGGTGTTTGCAGACGTCAAAGGCGTGCAAAGAAGAGAGAGTGAGAGGAAGGTCAGACAGCAGAGACAAAGGGAAAAGGGGCATGTGAAGAGTGTGGCGAGTCAAGAGAGTTTGAAGGGGATTGTTAGGGAGGAGACTTTTGAGGTGCAAGTTGTGTAGTTTGCTGTGTTTTCTTTTTTTCTCTTCTTTTTTTCTTTTCTTTGCTTTTCTTGGTGCTGGAATATTTGGGATTGGTTCTGCTGGAACGGATTTGGGTTGAAATGCTGGAAGCAAGCAGCGAGTTGAGAGTATGGTTTAGGCAACTAGCTGCTTTACAGAAAAGGATTCTTGCCATACCCAGAGGATCTTTGAACCAAAGGACTCTACCATCGCAAAGCTTTGCACATAAGGACGGCATTACTTTCTGCGTAATGACAAAGGCATCGCTGTATCTCTGGGATGTCTTTGTCTCGCATTCTCGACGTGCCTGTAGTCCTCTCTAACGGTAACCTCTCCTGTATCTGTTCAATGCACCAAAGCATGCATGTGTAACTCGATACAAGAGTGTAAGCCATGGTCTAGGTCCTTCCATGAGAGACGTGCATCTGAATCTGTTTTTCTGACCATGATATTCTTGTCGTCTCGAGATGTGGTGCATGGTGATAGATAATGATACACTTTGATAAGTGGAAGAGGACAAGCAGCTGATTCTCACTCCAGGTGTCCTTTGGGGTCCTTTGGTGGAGTTGTGGTTGATTGTTAGTTCATGAGACGCTCTCTCGGGGCTTGAGTGGATGGGATCGTCGCATCCACTAGTGAGAGTCTCATGGGTCGATTTCCATCGGTGTTGGTCGTGTTTTCCAAAGCGGAACAGAGTATATCGCGTAGAGTTCTTCATAACCTCGATCGTCGCCTCCTTCATCTCCCCTGCCTCTCATCCTTGGCTTCATTCTTGACAGCCTCTTCACCCAACACTTTACTAGCAGCCATAAACATGCCACCAGCATAGCCGCCCAAGCCTCGCATTCCCTCTGCCTGGACTGCCGTCATGCGCAACAGATTTTCGAGATCGGCCATGTGTGCTGTGAGTTGTGCGAGCTGAGAGTTCAAATGCGACAGTTGACGCTGCTTGGAGGCCTGGATGGGAAGTGTAGATAGCCGAGTGGTTTGGTTGATGGAGGGGTTGCTGCCGTGGGAGCTGTGGTTGCGCGAGGAGGTGGGGGCCAGGGATTGACGGGAGGTGTAGTTGGACATGTTGAACAGTGTTTTCGATTTGTCTATGGCGGACTCTTGCGGTATTTGTGTTGCGGCAGAAGATGCAAGGAAGGTGCCTCGGTGTAAACAATCGAGATTGCGGAGAAAGCGACCACAGCGGGACAAGCCGCAAATGAATCTCTGCAACCATTGGCTATTGCTATCTTTACACTTCTATCTGACTTGTACTCGCAAGACTTGTGCAAGGGAAGAGTCAGGCCAAGAGCAATGTCGACACCACAATTCGCGACTTTCCGTCGCTTCGTCCTCACGNGGAGTATCGCCGCCGTCACGGCAACAGGAGCCTGGTATGGCGCCGGTCTGAAGATGAAGCAAGACATCAAACAGGTACATTACTTCCTTGCCTCTTCTCACCCTCCCATCCTATGTGTATACTAACCCTTGCACNAGGAAAAACAAAAGGCAGCCGAAGCAACACCCCTCCAACAAATCACCGAACTGGAAACCTACCGCGCCAACCTCATGCAAAAGAAAATCATGCTGGACAAGAAGATTGAAGAGTTGGAGGTTAAGNAAGAGAAAAGAGGAGAGAAGGAGACTAAAAGAGTTGAAAAGGTTGGAGAAGGAAAGGGCTGAGAAGGGCGAGTAAAACATGATGCACAAGTCTCGGAGCAAGAGAAAGGAATCGAGAGCTACCACGCTCCATCTGGCAAGCATGACAAGTCATGCTATGGTCGGACATCCTGACAAGGAGGATTGCCGCCGACAAGTCCTAAACCCGAAACTTCCACTAGAGTCTTCGGACCAGAAACGCCTTCTCGAGTCGTCCTACAGGTTTGGCACCCTGAGACGACCTTGAATCGGGCATCAAGACGATCCCAAGGTCGAGCCAGTCCTGCCCACTTCTTCCAGAGATGAAGGGTCGATGCCTCAGCACCACTCTCGCCGATGCCATCAAATACACAAGCCGCATCGCATTTACTAAGGGAGAATGACCAAGCGGCTGTATAGCTTGAAAAACTTGCGTCCGTTGCAAGAAATGCCCTCGTCTTGCAAGAGTAAATTTCTTGTTGAACCACTGAGCAAGCGACTTTTCCGTAGTTCTGAGTCGATACCTTCAAGAGACTTGCGGATGTTCTATCAGGAAAAGGGGAGTCTGCCCAAGCTGGGTCACTCGCCTGTGTTGCTGGTAGGATTGAACTTGGATGGCATACATGGCATACATGGCCTACGGTGTGAAGAGGAACCTGAGCTGAGAGAGGATGGCTACAATCGATCAGGGCAGGCGAAAACAATGGGGTTTAAGAGCGTTATGAATGGATGACTGTCGTTGAGGTCAATGTGGTGTTTCTTGTCTTTATTACCCTGAGCGGTCCTCAAGCGTAAGACATCTCACACCTCGAACACTTCAACCACCTCTTTCTCAACAGCATCCTTTTACCAACCGTTATTCGCACGTCCGTTGCGACATCATCAGTACGCGTCTTGCGTTCTCAGCATCGTTCAACACGTCCATCTACAACTCGTTTCTGACCAACACCTCGCGCTACAACACTCATCTCTATCATCAATCTATTTATTTAACGCGTGTACAATCCTTTCCTTCCTCTCTTCTTCTCATCACATGTTTTCACACGCATCTTAATCATGTTTTATAGCCACGAGGGTAAGCAATACTTCCCCGACTTCCACGTCCTCGTCTGATCTGACTGCGCACAGTTCTTACCTCGCGCAAGCACGGCGTGGCAACAGTCTGGTAACCACACATCAATCCGCTTCAAGAAGGAGCGTCTCTAACCACTTTCTCCAGGCTTGTTGCAACATTGGGATCGAAATCAACACTCAAGAAAGTTGATCGCAAAGAGATTTGCGCAGTCAACATCCCCAAAGCATGTCAGACAATCGTGTCACCAGAAGCGCCGATGGCACTGAGACTTCAAAGCAATCTGTTGTAAGCATTCATTGTCTTTTCAAGAACCTTGAACATCACTGACAAATAGCCAAGATACGGAGTCACTCGTGTGTATGGCGAACAATGCAACTTCGTCCTCAAGGATGCACAAGTAGAACAGAACAAGATCCGTACACTACTGCGCTCACTAAATACGGCACCAATTGAACTCAACGGCAAGCACAAAGCCAAGTATGTCGTCTCCCTAATTAATGTATCGAGAGAGCTTGACATTAACACCAGACTCTAACAGANNCCTACCCAACTTGTCCTGGAAGACGACCCAAACTTTATACCCGAACTCGCTTGGGGCATTGACTTTGATCTCTTTCACGATGTCCTCGGATTCACCAGTGGTGAAGGCTCGTCTCAGAGATCGAGCCTCTTATCACCACATGCTGCCATCTCTAGTGCTCTCGGCTCTGAACATATGGACCCCAACTTGGATCTCATCATTCCTCCTTCCTCCTCGGCTGGAGGAGGTGGATTTGGTCTTGGGCTTGGAGGCAGAAGTGTGGGTGGCTCTGATCACAACAGAGGCTACAGTCGTTCTCTGTTCGGTGCAAATGAAGAAGGCCTCCTCCCCGACCTGGATCTAGGCCTGGGCCTCGATTTCGACGTCGATGGCAACATGGTCGACAATGCTGCAGTTCCAGGTGACGGAAGAGCAGCTTCGGTACACACACCAGCACCTGTTGTTCGCGATGGTGTCCTGCCAGACTCGAACGCCGATCGAGATGTGGTCACGTATGACGACGACCCTCTTCCGGTATACCAAGACGATGTTTATATGCAAGATGTGGAGCCTTTTGCTCCACGTACAGCCGCTCAACAAGCAGATCCCGACGACCCAGCCGCTTCACAAGGCGAGAAAGCACAAAGCCAAACCTCGTCCACCACGGCATCTGCTCCAGCCGTGCGCACCCGTATCCCCAAACCACTACCACAAGACCAAGAACTCGAGCTCCACAACTCAGACCTCCAAAGCTGGGATCGCGAGTACTTGGACAATCAACTGCGAGCCGCTCAACACAAGCTCCAGAACAAGAGTTTGGTCTTGGCTCGCAAGAATGCAGACTTTTGGGTCTTGCAGAATGGGATTGGTGGGTTGGGTGCTGTATATCAAGGAGCAGAGGAACATATGCCAGAGCCATTGAGGATGTTTAGTGGCAATGCACTCCTCGAAGCACTAACTGGCATCCAACTGACCCTAGCAGGAACAAAGCACCCTAGAGACGTTGACTCCAACCAAGATGACCAGGAAAGACGAGTCCGCTCCCGCAGCGACGATGATGAAGTCGGCAGGGGAGCAGACGCAAACGACGCAGCTGCTTTTGATACCGGTTTCTTCGACGACACCATCGTCAATACCATTGAGCAAGGAAGAGAAGCACCTACACCACTCCAAGACCACCATTCCTCTGCCCACGCTCTACCTTGGAACCATGCTGCTCCTCCCTCCCGTGGGTCCTCTCATACAGCTTTCGTACCTCCTTTCCCTATCTTCGCACCCGGAGCAGGACCCAGTTCCTCCATCGCTGGCAGCGGTGGCTTTGTCGCTGCTTCCTCTCACCGTGGACGTCGCACTGTAACTGCATCTCCCCTTGTTGGCAGAGGCACTGTCCCCACCACTCGCCCCGAAGATCTTAACTTTATGCAAGACGACGACGATAACGCAAACTTCAACGATGCCTTCACCGCCGCAGACGATATGGCACACCCTCATCCCTCCCAACAAACAGATTTCTCCCTCTTCGGCCCCGCTGCTGCTGTCCCTACTCAACTCGCCAATACCTCTCAGTTCCTGAACGCCACTCTTTCCACCGAATCCCTGAACTTTCTCGCCTTCGTCAAGGCCGGGATTGCAGAGCAGCAAGCGAGACAGGAAACTACCATCGAAGCCATCGCATCAGTTCTCGATGTCGAAGACTCTGGTGCTGACGAGGAAGGAGCGACAGTAGCGTTTGAAGAGTTGCTGGTGCCGGAGAGCAATTCGGTTGTTGTGGCTGCACAGGGGTTCTTGCATGTATTGACGTTGGTGACGAGGGGGTTACTGACAGCGGAGCAGGAGGTGCCGTTTGGGGGTATTGAGTTGAGGGTGTCGTAAGTGCTTTGATCTAAGGCGATGATGAGAGATCTGTGATGTGAGAGGATGATGATGAGATAAGTTGCTATTGCTACCGTATGGATACTGAGAAAGATATGTTCTGGAGGAAGAGGTTTGCTATAGTTGCTGCAGATTTGCTGTTGCTGTTGGCGAAAACATTGCCATTGCTGTTTATATAATCTGAAGACTATGTATTTGTACAAAACAACAATTGCTAGTCCACCATTGATTCCGCACATCTTCCCTTATCATCCAACAGAGCAAGCGACCCAAACAAGAGTGATGGAGTCGATGAGGACAAAACGGCCACCTTTCAACGAGAAAGGCACGATCGACTCTCTGCACTACGGAAACAACGACCACGAAGCAAAACCACACATCTAAAAAAAAAAAGACAATCCAAGAAATGCCCAAAGATACGGAAAGATCTATATGCATAGATATACAAAAGCCATCAAACGCCTTCTGAAGTCTGTTATCCTGTCCTCACATTCTCAACGCCAACTTCCAACCCCCAAACCTGAGCCTAAGCAAACAAAGCCTCAGTACTAAACCTTCCCTTCTGCTGAATATTCCTCGAGCTGAAACCCAACTGCACCTCAAACTCTCCCATCGGAAGCACCCAATTCTGAACCCCNACATCCCAGAAACTCAAGTCTTTTCTCGTCAACTCTAGAGACACTTCGACGCGCTTTTCGGGGGTGACGAATAATTTGTCAAATGCACGCAACACACGGACGGGGAAATCAACTTCATTGCCTAGGGAATCGACAATGGGGGTGCTGGGGTAGGAGATGTAGAGTTGGACTACGCAGTCGCCGGCAAGCGATCCAGTGTTTGTGAGGGAAGCTTGGATGACGGCGATGGGAGTGTAAAGGTCTGGGTTGCCGCCTTCGGCACCACCGGCGGGTGAGGGTGGTTGAGTAATTTCGTAGCCCTTGGGGTAAGGGTATTTGCCTTGCTTGATCTCGTCGACGGATGAAATGTAGGGGTAGATGTATTTCTTGAGGGCGATGAAGTTCTCGGGCGAGAGTGCTGTGCGGGCGTCTGGGATGGAGACGTCTACGTGAGGAGGCGTGAGAGATACTGGCCGCTTGGCGGGAAGAGTGGCGTATTCGGTTGCTACGGGATGAATGAAGAGACTGCTGAGGTGGAAGGTTGTGTATGACAGGCCAAAGCCGAATTCGAAGCGTGGCTCGATATCGTGCTTGTCAAAGTAGCGGTAGTCGATGTATAGACCTTCTGAGAAGTTCTGTTGAGGGATCACAGCGTTGGGGTGGTAGAGGATCTTGCTCGTTGGACCATAGTCGTCTTCATGCTTCGCAATCGTGTATGGCAGGCGGCCTGAAGGGTTGACATCACCAAATATAAGGGAAGCCAATGCGGTACCACTCTCTTGTCCTGGCAAGTTTGCATACAGCACAGCCTTTACCCCAGGCAGATCGATCCATTTCTCCAGGATGACAGGACCAACAGAGTGAACAACAACGATCGTGGGACCGCCACACTTGGCTGCGACCTTTTGAACCAGCTCATCACCACCCTTCTGAGCATAAAGATCGTTGCGATCACCCTTGACGTCTTTCCAGGCAACGTAGCCCTCTCCACCATCACTGTTGATAAAGACAAAACACAGGTCCTGATCGGTCGCGCGTGAAGAATGCTTGTCCAAGTCTTGGTAGTTGGAAGGGTAGTCAGAAAGACTGACGCTCTCTACGTCGAACCCGAGATGAATGCCCTCAGCGGGAGAAACAAGGTAAGGGAACTCGACAGTACCAGATCCCCATCCTTGGGCAAGAGTGCCCTCGTTGCAAGCACGGTCTGCACATGCATTAGGGCCCTTGCCATTGTTGAAAGCGTCTTCACCGAAGATAGCGACACGAAGCTTGTCGCCGTTCTTGGTCATTTTCTTGCCATCACGGTTCAAGGGAAGAACATGATCATCATTCTTCAGCAGAACGGTTCCCTCGGCAGCAATCTTGCGAGCAAGTTTACCATGAGCATCCGCGCCTTCGCCTTGAACATTGATAAACTTGTTGACGACTCCCTTGGTGGTATCGTTGCTTCCAGGATGCAGCAAGCCAACCTCGTCGTTGGTCCATGACGAGAAATTGGGACCACCGCCATCCTTCTCTGCAGGCCATTTGGTCTTGTCATCTTGACCGAATTGGTACCAAGCAGCCACAACACGCAACACCATATCGTTGAGGCGCTCCATGGGGACACTACCGTTAAAGACAGCCTTGGTCAGTTCACTGCCCCAGACAGATCGGCCGTCCATCCAGCGGAGACCATCGCCAGGCATGCTCATGTCAAGACCAGCAAGAGCAGAAGCAACACCACTTCTCTGAGCGAGCCAGTCGCTCTGTACGAAGCCTTGAAAGCCCATTTCGTCTTTGAGGATGCCGTTGAGCAGCTTGCTGTTCTGGCAGGCATAACTCTGGTTGACCTGATTGTAGGAACACATGACACTACCGACACCGGCCTTCACACTCTCAGCAAACGGCCAAGCGTAGATCTCGTGCAGAGTTCTGTCGTCAAGGTTGCTGCTGATAGCATTGGGAGTGCCCCACTCCCAGCTTTGGCGGAAGTGCTCCTGCTCGTTGGCAATGTAGTGTTTTGCAGTTGCAATGATGCCCTCCTCTTGAATACCACGGATCATGGAAGCGGCCAGGAGACCTTGCAGAACAGGGTCTGAGCCAAAGCCTTCCCAATTTCTGCCACCAGCAGGCAGACGACCGAAGGGGCCCATGCTTGGGCCAAGCACAATGTGAACACCTTTGCCGCGAGCTTCACGACCGTGGGTGCGACCTTTGAGGTGGATCAAGTCCTTGTTCCAGGTAGACCCAAGAGTGATGCCGGCAGGGAAAGCAGTGATGTTGTCGGCGAATCTCAGACCAAGCGGGCCGTCCTGCAAGCAGAGGGACGGGAAGCCCAATCGCTCAACAGGGCCAGTGTTGCCCACGCACATGCCCATCTCCCAGCCAGTTCCGGTGGTAATGTTGACTTTCTCGACGACAGACATCTGAGAAACCAGAGCAGCAGCCTTCTTGTATGCCTCTTCCCATGCAGCAACTGTACCTCCTCTTGGTGATGGATACCATGGGTCACTCTTGCCGCCCTCAGGCTCAGTCTTGTAAACCCAGATCCCTCCGGCACTCAACAGCAGGACCAGAGCAGCAGTGAAGAGCAGGACCATCATGCAGCACATGCGAGAGGGAATCAACCAGCGACGCCATGTCGAGCGACGGCGTGTAACGAACACTGAATCGTGTGTTCGGCTCGTGTCGTCCTTGTATGGTCGGTCTGCGGCCTTGAGAGGGTCCAGTTCATTGATCGAGGATGAGATGGAGTCGCGCGACGACGTGGTGGACAGGCGGTAGTCTTCGGCATGGTCTAGCGATTGACGGGGTGACGCTCGATGCGTCAACTCGTAGCCTTGCGACATGGCGTGCAAATGCTATGTCATGTGAAGACTATCTTAGGAGGATGTCGAGATGTCTAGACAGATGCGCAGGTAGAGAAGCGTCAGAAGCACCCTTGTACCTGACGAGTTACGCCATCCATCCGTCTGGAGCAGTCCGAGCCGCATCTTGATCTATCGGTTGCCCCACACTGCTTCCAAATTCGGTCTACCATGCAAGCCACCAGAGAAGTCCTCTCGAAAGTCTCCGACACTTTTTCAAGAAGCAAGAGGACTCGGCATTGCGTTCTGAAGGCGAACAACATAACATGTTTCTTTCCAATTCAAGACATGATTTCGATGCTTCATTAATTCGACATGTACACAAAACACCGGTCCTTCACACTCGTGTTACAACTCGCCGTAGCACATCACAAGTCCAGCGCAGCCTGGGCAGGTCCGACCTAATCCATCAATCAGCCTTTCCGCGCAGGGTATCAATTTGAGGCTGCTCAACGTCGTTGCTGACCATCTCGAACGTGCTTTCTCTCCTACAGCTTCGAGGCAGGAGCGGGGCTACCCACAGTCGTGATTTCGTCGTACAGTAGCCTGTGCAATCCGGATTAGCGATCTTGTCCTGCTCTGATACTTGAATATGCATGGGGTGTTACGTACGATGTCAGGAACTCGTCATACTGCTCGCCAGTCACCTGTGTGGCAAAGTACTTCTCTGCAAGCTGGTACTTGTGGCCCTCTGGTGCCTTGGAACCGAGCTCTTCGGCCTGCTCGTGGAGGAGCTTGAGTGCGTATTCCTTGTTGATCGTCTTGCCTTCGTCTGTTGTTGCTTGGTGCTTGCACCATTGCCACAGTTGACTTCTGCTGACCTCTGCTGTGGCTGCGTCCTCCATCAAGAAGTTGATGGGAACGCAACCAACTCCTCGGAGCCAGCCTTCCATGTAGCCCAAGCCAATGTTGAGGTTTTTTCTGATGCCGTCTTCGGTGATCTTTCCAGGTACGTTCATATTCAGGAGGTCATATTGCTTGATGTCGACCTCCAATCTACGCACGTGAAGCTGATTGGGTGTGGGCATGTGCTCGTTGAAGACTTCGGCCGCAATGCTGGCAAGAGCGGGGTGAGCAACCCAGGTACCGTCGTGGCCAGCCTTGACTTCACGAAGCTTGTCGGCACGGACACCAGCCATGGCCTTGTCGTTGGCCTCCTTGTCAGTCTTGATTGGAATCTGAGCGGCCATACCACCCATGGCGTGAACACCTCTACGGTGACATGTCTTGATCAAAAGCTTGACGTAAGCATCCATGAAGGGAGAGGTCATGGTGACAGCCGAACGGTCAGGCAGGACAAAGTTGGGATTCTGGCGGAAACGCTTGATGGTCGAGAAAATGTAGTCCCAACGACCACAGTTCAGACCTGAAGAGTGATCACGGAGCTCGTAGATGATCNNTGACCAGATGTTAGCTAGTTCCAAAGCAAGTCGGTGTGCAGCACTTACCTCGTCCATCTCGAATGCTGCCATGATGGTCTCAATCAAGACGGTACCTCTGATAGTACCACGGGGCATGCCAATGTAGTCCTGAGCAAGGTTGAAGACGTCGTTCCAGAGCCTGGCTTCGAGATGACTCTCCATCTTGGGGAGGTAGAAGTATGGCCCAGCTCCTCTCTTGACGAGTTCTTGGGCGTTGTTGAAGAAGTAGAGACCGAAGTCGAACAAACTACCCGAGATGGGCTCACCATCAACGGTGAAGTGCTTCTCCTCCAAGTGCCAACCACGAGCACGGGCAATGAGTGTTGGTAACTTGCGGTCGGTACGGAGCTTGTAGTCCTTCTCGCCAATCTTGAAATCGACTTGCTTGCGGATAGCATCGTAAAGGTTGAGTTGACCGTTGATCATGTTATCCCAAGTGGGCGCACTAGAATCNTAGAAAGTAGTCGTCAGAAGTCTGGCATCCCTCAAGCTGCTAGCTTACATACCCTCGAAATCGGCCATATATGTCCAGACATCTGAGTTCAATGCGTTGACAACCATCTTCCTGTCGGTAGGACCAGTAATCTCAATTCTGCGGTCGGTGAGACCAGGTGCCGGCGGTGCACCCTTCCATGCATCGCTGTCGCGGATGTGCTTGGTCTCAGGAAGGAAGTCGGGGAGTTTTCCAGCATCGAGCTCGGCCTGACGGGTCATGCGTCTTTGCAACAGTTCCGTGCGAGTCTTGTTGAATGTGCGGTGGAGAAGAGCCAGGAAGACAGTAGCTTCCTTGGAAATGACCTTGCGGTTCTGATCATTAAGAGGTCCGAGGATGTTAACCTCACGGAGGATATGATCTTGGTTTTGTGCCATTGTTTATTTTCTTATCTGGGAGTGTGGATGTGTTGCACAGATGGGACAGGAGGGTTCAGAAGGAAAAAAGGAAGAGATGAGGAGCAGATCTCCTGCGTATATATGTATCTGTCTATTGTATGCCGTCAGAGATAACCTTACCGAGGCTAGTGATCTAAGCTCTTCTACACATCGTTCCCCGGGGAGAACGGCGGGCGAGGGGAGGAGATGCACTTGAATGGTCGAGATTCGGGGAGCTGGTGTGGGGAAGTTCTTTTGCCGTGGTTCACGTCATACTCTTTTCGGCAGACACATCCCTGCTTGCTGGCAGATGCTGAATTGCCTGTCATTCATCGTCTGTACACAGTGTCTCTTTCTCGTACTTTACGTCTAGGAATCAGTTCATCTCTCGGGACCGCGGTCTGGCGTATCATTCTTTTGCTCTTCACATGCCGATGCCGAGGTCAGAGCAACAGTCACAACAAAATGTCAAGCTTGTGCACGAGCCCGACACCGCTCCGTGTTTCTCCATTCCGGTATCCCGGAAGGCGCCGTGCCTGTGATAGGGATTCTTTGGCGCCTTCTTTACATGTAGCCATCGAGTCACACTCAGGTGTTAACATCGAGTAAGACGAACAACACGACTCCATATCAATGCTCAACATGAATCCTTTGAGTTGCCTTTCCCAGAACTATATCTCGGCCACGCGTATTGCATTGTCTTCCCCTCGTGCCAATTTCTTCCGAGTAAACCCTTTCGTCCCACCATAATCTCACGCGTTCAAACACGCGCTGCCGCGACACACATCAGTCTCGACGATTGAGATCACACTCAAGCAGATCGCACAACCCCAACGTCGAAATCACCATGTCCATGAACCGCAACGTGTTGAATCTTGTCTTAAATACTGGGCGTCGTAGGCAAGACTTGATGCTCGAGATGAGTAGGTATGTCAAGTCGATGGGCGACACTGACTGAGAGACAGCTTGATTCACTGTAGGGTCCAAGCATCAACCTCCGTATATCTTACTATGCTCATATTGATGCACAATCTGGATACGTTAGCCGGTGTTCCGGAATCTATGGAGTATCGCAATGGTATGAAACAACTTCCAATCTGGATTTGGCCCAAAATAGGTACAGACCCCACGTTGACAATGTACTTTATTGTGTCGACGCAAAGTCGAGATGGACAGGCCGTCCAAGCGGTTCTCTGCATGACTGCCGTGATCTCAGAATGTTCAAAGCAACCTCCGTCTTGAACGCCGAGACGTTGGCTTCTCTGGGCAAAACTTCGCGTGGAGTGTTTGTCACAGAAATCCACCACGACTCAAAAAGTGGCCCTTTCTTTCTGATTCTTGTTAGACCTCGACGTCATGCGCAAACGGCCTGTGGAGTGACAAGTCGAACGCAGAGTGGAAGACGCGATGTTTGCGACAAAATCTGTACAAATAGTATGCCTTCTCGAATTGCCCTCGATCCTTAACAAGTAGGACCACTGACAACCAAAACTCGTTTACCGACGCCGCGAAGACGAAACTCGCGAATGCAAAACTTTTTCTCATCGGTGCTCATAACGTAAGTATCTTGCAACAGGGCACAACTTCCAGCTTTCCGAACCCTAGTTTTGGACTGTGCCTTGTCATTTCACGCAACGGCCATGCCATGCTGTCCAAACCTACGTCGATCTGATCAGAAGTCTTGCGTTCAACACTCCACTAGCGGTCAAAGGACATTACCTCCGAGACGACCGCCGTATCGTCATAGTCTTGTGTCTCGCTTTTTGTAGTCAACATTTCAGAACCATCAATCCTACTTCACACTACCAATCTCTGCCTCCCTTCAGAACACCATCCATTTCGACCTCTTCCCTCAATTACTCTAACGACATTGAGCCTTGACTGGTTTCAGTGCTCCGCTCCCGCTTCCCATATACACGACACCCTTTTCACCCTACCCTTTTGCTACATTTGACAGAGTCGAAGAACAAAGACTGTCTTCTCAAAGCACCCAGATCCGATCCTAGCTGTGCGTTGCGTGCGTGCCAGGCATTTACAACATCGAGTCATCTGCCCCAGCGACAATTTCGCCGAAAGCAATATCATTCACCACGAGTTGTACACAATACCAAAAGCAGCACTCTCTTGATCGATCGCGAGTTGAGACGACCACGTGTTCGACGACCATCTACCAAAGCGCCTATATCCTCTGCGACGTGATAATCGACATTGGATCTTGTGCTTCAAATTCACAATATTCAATATGGGGACAACAAGATCGACAAAGGCAACACTCTATTGCAAAGCAATGGTTCGTCCAGCGAACTATCCAGCTCCATAGGACCCGATGGTATCGTGGGGCACAGTCATGATTTGAAGAGAAACTATTCGCTTTGGTCAATTTTAGGAGCTGGCTTTTCGCTCACGAATTCTTGGGTTGGTTCTTACCGAGATTTGTTGTCTCCTTAGTGCTAACACAGTACAGNNTTCGGTGTCTCCATTGCTATGGTGACAGGTATCAACTCAGGCGGGCCTGTATTGCTCGTTTACGGCATCATTATTGTCATGTTGGTCAGCATATGCGTTGGCATCAGTCTGAGCGAACTTGCCAGTACACTTCCGAATGCAGGAGGACAGTACTTCTGGGCTGCTCGATTGGCTTCCAGAAAGTACGCCAGATTCTCGAGCTATCTAACTGGTTGGTTTTCCTGGGCCGGAGCTATCTTCTCGTGTGCATCAACTACTATCGGAGTCGCAAGTGGACTAGTCGGCTGCTGGCAGCTCTCTCATCCCGACTACGTTGTCAAGGATTATCACGTCTTCGCGACTTACCTCATCCTCACATGGGTCTGTTTCTTGTTCAACTGCTACGGCAAGATCTTACCCTCGGTCGCCACTACCGGACTTTACTGCTCCCTGATCTCCTTCGTTGTGATTCTGGCCACCGTACCCGCGACAGCACCGAGTCATCAGTCTCCTAAATTCGTGTTCGCGACTTTCATCAACAACACCGGGTGGAGTAACGCTGGAATCGCCTTCATCACCGGCCTGATCAACGCCAACTGGGCATTTGCCTGCCTCGATTGTGCAACTCACCTCGCAGAGGAGGTTCATCAACCTGAACGTATGATACCGATCGCAATTATGGGCACCGTCGCCATCGGATTTGTCACCAGCTGGTGCTTTGTTGTATCCATGCTGTTCAGCATTATCGGTGATTTCCAGGATGTCGCTAACAGTTTAACCGGAGTTCCAATCCTTCAACTTNTTTACAACGCTCTGAACAACACTGCTGGAGCGATCGTCCTCGAGGCCATGATCATCTGCACAGGTCTGGGCTGTGTCATTGCTGGACATACTTGGCAGAGCCGCCTCTGTTTCTCCTTCGCTAGAGATTCTGGAGTGCCTGGCCATAAGTGGCTTCAGAAGATTGACTCCAAGCTGGACGTCNCCCTCAACGCACATTTCACGAGCTGTGTTGTTGTCACTGTTGTTGGATGCATGTACCTGGCATCTACAGCTGCGTTCAACGCCATGTCTAGTGCATGCATTGTTCTGCTCTATATCTCCTACGCCATCCCGGTTATCTGTCTCCTATGCAGAGGCAGGGAGCAATCGCTTACTGGACCCTTCAACTTGGGAATCTTTGGCCTCATCTCCAACTACGTCCTGCTTGCGTGGACAGTATTCACATTGGTGTTGTATTCGTTCCCGACATACATGCCTGCGACTGCCGGAAACATGAACTACGTCTGCGTCGTGTACGCCATTGTATTGTTTATCATCGCCATTGATTGGACTTTCAGAGGCAAGAAGCATTACAGAGGGCAGGAGGAAAGACAGGTTGATGTTGGACACAACGATATCTTTGTGAAACCAGGCCCGTCGAATGCATGATGCATCGGTTTTCTTTCCTTTCTCACGACACGAATCATGTAATCACTTTCAATCAAAACCTTCCGTACGCTAAAGTTTGACACTTACGTCGCCATGAAATTTCACGATGGTTTCTGAATCAGAGTTCTGTCCGTCAAAAGCACTGCAACTAGCCGCTATTTCCGTGAATGATTTCCTCCTATCTCGCCTGATGTAGTTGCCAAATATTCTGCGTTGAGAGGATGTGCATCGCAATGGAGTTTGTCGCACACAATAACTCGTACTCCCGTACACAAGGTTTTTCCGGAAATGTTCTTTTCATCATTCCCGAAGTTTCAAGCCATGAAGTGCGCCAATAGAAGCATTTTCCCCACTCGCTCGGCTTGGTGTTTTTGGCTGCGCCGTTCAAGTCTTGTGCACGCTTGTCAGAAGTTTCCAAGCCGAGCAAGCCTTTTTCCAGCCTCTCCCGCCTGGCTGCAGGATTAGGAAGACTGTAGACATCACTTCAGATGGCCCTTAGGCTGGTTCCTCGAGTCGCATTGTGATGAGATCGGAGGAACAGTGTGCTGTCACAAGGTTTCTCAGTGCTCGAACTGACCGGGTTGAATCGGTCTCGCGACACTGAAAACGTTACCTTGACAAACTTGCGTGGTGCACGGCTTGAAGTGGTCGCAAACACGCATCCGACTTCCGGTTAAAACTCGTCGTCGTCCACTCAGGCGGCAGTAGATAATGAGGCACATCGTCATATCGACAGTCGGACCGAAGACACACCCTTACCGATGCGCACACCATTCCTGAAAGGACCTTGAAGCGGATCTCTGATTCGGACTGTCTCAGCAACCCTACAGGCTTGCTGCATGTTTTGGAGTCTTTCTGGGGGCAGTTCTCCATGGAGATGGGAGATGGAGAGACTGCATGCCTCCACTTTAGCGATGTGTCTGCCCACGGAGAGTGATCGGCTCTGATGCACGAGCATCCCCATGGACGTTCTCCACTTTCTTGGAGCACACATAAAGGTGGAGGGCCTCGCAGTTGGTCGAAAGTTTCCTTTCTTGAAGCATTTCTTTCCTCTCCCTTCTTTATTCATCACCATACGACTCGTGCATCAACATGGGTAAAGGTGTCAAGGGTGCCGCCTCTGGCGAGCAACATGAGAACATTGAGATGTTCGACACTGCTCAACAGGGAAGCTACATGGACCGCCGCGACATGACCAAGGATCAAATGGAGGATGCTGTCCGCTCTGGTAGTGTTCCTCACGTTAACACCAGCGAAGCCGTCGATATCGCAAAGAACGGCGGCTGGGAAGTCGATGCCCTTATGACAGAGATGCAGAATGAAATCAACGCCCAGGGTGGAGAAAACAACGGCCACTTCGATCTCCAGTTCAAGAACCCCAAACACTTTACTTGGCTCATCGTTGCTTTCGCCAGTATGGGAGGCATGTTGTCTGGATTGGATCAGTCGCTCATTTCCGGTGCCAACCTCTTCCTTCCCAAGGATCTTGGTCTCAACGATCGCCAGAACAGTCTGGTCAACTCTTCCATGTCTCTCGGGGCTGTCGGTGGTGCTATTATTCTCTCTCCTGCTAACGAATACCTTGGACGTCGCTGGGCTATCATCTTCTCGTGTGTCCTCTACACCGTCGGCGGTGCTCTTGAAGCTGCTGCCCAGGATTACGCCATGATCATCACTGCTCGTATCATTCTCGGATTTGGTGTTGGTCTTGAAGGTGGTACCGTTCCTGTCTACGTCGCTGAAACTGTCGAGAGAAGACTTCGCGGAAACATGGTCTCTCTCTACCAATTCGCCATCGCCTTTGGCGAAGTCCTTGGTTACGCTGTCGCTGCCATGTTCGTTACAGTAAGTCACTTCCCTGTTCAGCAATCACAAAGAACTTGCTGCTAACCTCTAATCAGGNTCCCTGGCAACTGGAGATACATCCTTGGAAGCTCGCTGGTCTTCTCTACTATTATGGGTATCGGTATGCTTTATATGCCCGAGTCGCCTCGCTTCCTCATGCACAAGGGAAAGCCTGTAGAAGCCTTCAAGGTCTGGAAGCGCATTCGTGGTATCGAGACTCTGGACTCTCGCGAGGAATTCTACGTCATGAAGATGTCCCAGGAACAGGAAGACGAGGAAGTCGCCAATGGTCGTGGAAACGCAAAGTACCCCTGGATGGATCTCTTCACAGAGCCTCGCGCTCGCCGCGCATTTGTTTATGCCAACATTATGATTGCTCTCGGACAGCTGACCGGTAAGCCGAATGGAAAACAGGCAATTGCAAACAATGCTAACTCTGCTTTTCTTANNGGTATTAACGCCATCACATACTTTATGAGTACTCTGATGCAGCGTCTCGGTTTCAACGATCTCCAAGCCAACTACATGTCCCTGGTTGGCGGTGGTTCGCTTCTTATCGGTACCATTCCCGCTGTCCTGTACATGGAGAGATGTGGTCGCCGCTTCTGGGCATGTGCCACTCTTCCCGTCTTCTTCGTCGGTCTGATCATTGCTGGTGTCTCTCAATACGCTGGTGGCCAAAACGCTCAGATGGGTGTCTATCTGACCGGTCTCGTCATCTACGGTACGTGATCCTTGCTCAATCCCTGTCTCCCTTGGATTTGGTCAGTTGGCGAGGTGGGGGCTGGAGAAACCCCCTCCCTCCCAACACTCGCCAATCAACCAAATTCGCACCAAGTAAATTTCAAGCACTAATTTCCACGAANNGAGATCTTTTTCGGAACCTATGCGTGCTTAACCTGGGTCATTCCCGCTGAGTCGTACCCTACTTACTTGAGATCATACGGCATGACGACTTCGTAAGCAACCCTGGCTATTAGATCCGACTGCGTGAAGCCTTGCTAATTGTACTCTTTCTCTAGGGATGGTTGGCTCTTCCTTTCGTCCTTCATTGTCACGTACAACTTCACCGCTATGCAGAAGGCCTTTACAAATATTGGTCTCACTGCTGGATTCTACGGAGGGTAAGTCAAGCCCAAAGTACGACACCATAGTTACTGCTGGCGCTTTGCCTTCTCGTCTAGCAAAGCTGTGGTGTTCTTACCACTCAATTGCAAGCCCGATGCTAATCGCAGTTTTAGCATTGCTTTCTTGGGCTGGTTCTATCAATTGATTTTTATGCCAGAAACCAAGGACAAGACCCTCGAGGAGATCGATCTCATCTTCTCGCAACCCACCAGCAAGCTCGTGGCCCAAAACTGGAAGAACGTCAAGGAAACCACCAACGATCTTCTCCGCTTCAGACTCAAGAAGGTCTTTATCGATGCACACAACGCTCCTGCCGTCGACTTCTCGCAAGGAAAGCACGAGCTTGGTCACCAGGCCTAAGCTTGTTAATGATTTTCACGGGTTGAGGCTGGATTTCCTCGACCTTGTGTGATGGTTGAAAGTTTGTGCTGTTAGATTGAACAAAAGATACTTACTGGCATCGATACGTTGCTAAATATAGAGATAGACGACCATATTAATATGAGCTTACGATTTCAAAAACTTTGAATTTTCCACCACTTTCTCCTGGTCAATATCATCTTCCAGGTGATAAGTTTGAGGTCGATGATGACAAGAAGTTGTGGTGGTCAAGTAGAGCAGAGTTCAGCGCAAACATCAAAGTATATTCGTGTACCGCCACAGAGTTGGAAAGTCGTGAATCCGCCAACTTTCACAGTAGTCCCACCAACGCGACGACTTATAACAAACGTCTTGATACTTGTTCACATTTGTAATGCTCTTTACGTTGTGAATGATGCATGCCCAGATGATCCTCTATAAGCTAAGACGATCGTCCTAAGCCCCTTCCGTACTTGGTCGCGAAGATTCACTATACACTTGGCTCTACAACATCGAGGCATTTGCATGACTTCAAGGAGATCAAAACCAGGGCCTAGCACCACGTTATCCGCTTTGTTGTTGATCCTGTTCCTACAGCCATGGAGCGTCATATCTCATACGGCCGCAAGGCAGAGCACTGGACTGAGTCGACATGCATATAGATGACCATGTTGCTCTCTACCAATCTTGGTTCATTGCCATAACTCAACATCACTTAAGCACAATGATTGCGATTTTTTCACTGTTCGTGCTGGCTTCCTGTCAACAAGCCCTAGCACAATCCTGCTCTGGCTTTATCGTCTTCAACAGATTCCCAGATCCCACCTACACATCAATCCGCGATCATGGCCAAATCATCAGCAAGGACGTCGACTGTCCTCCTGAGCATAACTGCACAGTCCCTTACGGTGGTTATATAACCGGCGGCCGCACGATGAACATCTCGAATCAGAGCTTCGCCGACTCTGTCTTCGATACTATCTCCTCAGTCGTCAACCTCGAATTTACCGAAACAGAAACTTATCCAGTAGCTATGGGTACACAGACAGTCGCGAACGGCACTTCGGCTTATATCCTCTACACACCTTATACCATCTGCACCACTGGACGACTGTCCGACTGCGGCACAAATTACGAACTTAATGGCGAGACTGTCGAGGCATGTACATTTGACCTTGACTCTGATGGCGGTATCACTGGAAAGATAAATGCCCTCATTGTTGCTGGGCAGACTGCTGCGGGATTGACTTGCAATCCTTCCAACACCACACAAGCCAAAGAGGGACAGTACTACGGTACTTGCCCTGATGGTCAAGTTCAGGATGGGAAGGAGCCTACTAGTGCTGCTAGTGCGGTCGGTTGAGTATCTGTTTTGCTTGTAGTGGGTTCTTTGCTTGTGGCCTTTGTTGATTTCTAGTCTGCTGGACGAGTAGTAAAATGATGTTGATGTTGATTTTAATCTAATTTCCCGTTGAAACCTTGGAATACAGCTCGATCCCGATTAGCCTCTCTGTCACGAACAACATACTTCGATGCTCCAGATCAGATTCAAGTGATGATGTTAGCAGATTTGGTTAGTGACGCTGTCCTGATTAGCGACAGGGTCATCCCCGCAACTATGGCTGCACAGCTCGACGACGACATTACACGACCACCAGGGAGGCCATCTATCTTAGAACCTGATAGACTTGCTCTATAGGCTATGAAAGCTATACTCACACATCTTTGGGCTGTGTTGGCAGCCTCCGCGTTACAAAACATCACAATATAATTTCATGCTTGCACTTTCAATAAGAGTCAAACAGCATCATATATGATCAACTGGACATTATCGTCAAGTTGTGGGACTTTGAACTTGAAACATGTGACGATGGCTGAGTTCAGTCTATGATTGAGGTCTTGAGAAGCAACAAGTATTGAGCGTATGCTTGATGGTGCCATATGAACCGATAAGCCAATAGAAAGGTCAGAGGCAGACGCGTAAAAACGATGCGAAATACGGTTGCAGCAATCGTACTCCAATAATCGACACTTAGCTATTAATGATAGAGTATGGAAGAACAAAAGCGCCAGTAGAGGAGCAACATCAAGGCAATTGCTCACAACAAGGGTCAGAAACGGCGCCGAGACGATCATCCATCTACAGCCTTTTGCACGTCTGTCTCTGCCTGACGTCGAATCCCGTCCTCTTTCATCCTCGCCCTCCGCTGTTCAAGAGGTTCCCAAGCCGAGGGGCCCGTGAATTGCACCTGCTGGGGTTTAAAGCTTGCAAACAATGCTTCACGGAATGCTTCTGTCTTCTGCTTGTTGACGCAAAATCTCTCATTGCAGAGTTCGACGAGGACACGCATGTATGCTTCCGTAACCATGGGAATCAGCTTGCCATCAGCGCCCTCGTATCCGATGATGCTGTCAAAAGCAAGACCGGTGGTTCGAATGGCCACGATGGCGGTGGAGGTCCGGAGGTTGTCAGTTGATATGCTTGAGATACCACTTTCTGTGAATCCAGATTGCAATGCTGCTGTATTTAACTTTTGTGCGCTCTCAAGTGAGGAGCATAGTATATGCAAGNNTTCTATTGTTGTCCATTAACCCTGGTATAATGTTTTGTTTCCCACATGATGAGCAGAACCCGAAAAGCAGACAAGCAACAAAGAAGAGATAGAGATGTCACCTACCATGGGTTCGAACTTGCAGCGCACCCATCTCATACCGTTGATAGATGGAGGAACACCCAGATTGGTATGGTCAGATAGCCCCAACATTGGAGCTACAGGTCCCTTCCCTGAAAGTGGCAATGGGTCATGCGATACGAACAGTGCCTGACCACCATCTCCTTCCGCAGCACCAGAGATTCGCGCATTATCGACTAGGTTCGAAGGCGGCGCCGTCAAACTTCTGCCTTCCAGACATACAACGATGCGGCCCGCGCAGCTGTTCGTCGTCGCAAGTGTGTCTATCTCGTTGATCTCATCCACCAGCTTTCGAATACCGACATCTACCATGTCCTCATGGGAGCCGCTCGTGTCCGACGCATTAGGCGCCATGAGTTGTTGCAGAATCGTCGTCTTCTGGACCGCAAATCCCGACGACGGTGCGAGTACTCGAGTAGGTATCCTCATTTGATGTGGTTCCGTGGCGGCAGTGTTCAAAGCTCCTCGTATTTGTTGATCGACTTGGATCGAGTAATTATTTCCTTTTTCTTCTATGTGGATAGAAAACACATCAGACGTGAGGAGTTGCGACGTTTGGATCAAGTTCATGATGTCATTTGGAATGCGATGCTCACGCGATGTTGATGGTTTGTGCTTGTCGCGTGAATACGATCGAGGCGAGGACACACGGACAAAGTACACTGGCCTTCAATCGCACTTTCTCAAATTGTCCAAAGTCTGGTTCGGAGATTCTTTAGCTACAAGCCTGGTGTCTCAACATCTACAAGGAATTAAATATACCGCTGGACCCTCACCCCCACTTGAAGAAATTACTCTTGGGAAGCCAAACAAGCGACCCTTCGGAAGCGCAATATGGCACGAAAGTCAACAGAGACACTTGACAAGAACGAAGCGAAGAATCCAAGTATTGCGGATCGCAAACGAAAGCAGGAACCTGCTCGAGGACCTCGGAGAGCTGCTACCAAAAGCAAGTACTTTGAGCCGGATACCGAGAACGAATCCGAAGGAGAGGAAGCCCCTGAAGACGGTTCATCCAGTGCTGTGTTGGAAACTGAGGACGAATCTGATGTCTCTTCAGATGCATTGTCTGAAGACGAAGAGCGCCTGCCAAAGCGAAGGGCACCCGCATCTTCAAAGCCAACGGAATCTGCTCCGATCTCAAGCAGCAAAGGAAAGGAGCTTTGGCGTCAAGGTGTCAGCACTGGACTTGCTCCTGGAACCCAGATTATCATCAAGAAACCAAAGCCTAGAACTCCAGGCAGCACGCCATACTCCGATGTCACGATCCATCCTAACACCATGTTGTTCCTCAAGGATCTCAAAGCGAACAATGACCGAGAATGGCTCAAGAGTAAGTATTTACCCATACCTTGTTTGTCATGCATCTGCTCCGTGTCGATACCAAGCCTCTTGCAGAGGCATTTACATCTCCACATCGCTATCTCGTTGTGGATATTCACCAGAGAATCGCATGTTCATCTCCCCATAACGACTGCGGCATTCAATATAGTCCCATGCAACCCGACACGAGACTACCTTCTCTCGGCCGGAAGAACTTGTCATCGGCTGATTGTTAGCGATGTTGGTTCTGTTCGCTTTGCAGCTCGAACATTTGTGCAGTAGCTTGCAGCGAGATCAACCAAGGGACGTTGGTTCTCGCCATTACTCCACAACCGACCACCCGCTCGAGCGCTTAGTTACACTGCTCCTCTAGATCGTGTACCCCATTTTCCAAACATGGATGGGCTCACTCTTTCAAGCGGGTTAAAAGCAATTGACTGACTCATTACCATTTCTGCAGTGTATGATGCCGATTATCGCTCGAGCCTGAAAGACTGGAACTCATTCGTGGAATCTTTGACCGAAGAACTGACCAAAATCGACGATACTATCCCAGAGCTGCCACTCAAGGACGTGGTTAGTACTGTTCAGTTCGACTAATCATATACGACTGACACGTGTTGTGATGAACAGGTCTTTCGTATATACAGAGACATACGGTTCAGCAAAGATCCTACCCCTTACAAAGTATGTATTACCAGACAGGAGGAAGCTCTCGGCCGCAACGCAAGCCTACAGGCAGCATCAAAGTGGCTCCCTGTTATCTTCTGCGACGCTAATACTAACGCATTGACCTCATATAGCCATATTTCTCCGCCGCCTGGTTAGTTCATTACGCGTGAGCAGAAGGATCATGGACAAGACACTGACCAAGGGATCACAAACGTTCAGGAGCAGAACGGGCCGCAAAGGACCCTATGCCGCATACTATGTTCAAATTAGTCCAAACGACAGCTTTGTTGGTGAGTGATACGATTTCCGTCTATTTTCTTGTTTTTTGTTCTCCATGTGGCGCTTGTTGGTCTCGCACGGCTGTGGCTTGCTCAATCTACATGATGGGTCCTTCCCGATCCCGGAGCGATATCTCCTGAGCCGCTACCCGCTCCCGACGGGCACGATTACTAGTGGAGTTGGCGAACACGACGACAATCATTAAGGGTCAAGCCGTGCCTGATGAGATGCCGGCTCGATCGTTTAGCCCGGGCTTGATCTCTGGGGTGTCGAAACAACATTTTCCATATGCGAGAGTTTGTCGCTCTCGCCAACCTCTTTCCTGCAGTCACGCCTGGTGAAAAGGTGGACTGTCGAGACTCACAACGACTTGAAGTCGATCTGCTTCTTCTGGCGAGCACTTGCTTGCTGACTCCTCATTGGGTGTGGTATCACTAGAGCAGAAAGTGTGTTGTTGCAGCTAGAAGTGATGAACTCTTGCACGTTGGAGGGGATGTTCGTCCAAGATGATTCCTGGTTGAGTCTCGGGGACGAAATCTTCCAAGGCTCATTGCTCCGAACATCTAGCTGTCCTTGTCCTCAAGACAAACAGTGTTGTTGCGTTACTCTTGTACTTTGCTTCGACACAAGGTAGCGAGGGTTTCGAGGCTGCCACTGTGTTTGCATCGACCATCTCTTTCTTCGCATGTGGGTGCTTTGTCGTGTTGACGCTCAGCGTATCTGGGTATTGGGACGGCGTTTCGGATGCGTGACGATTCGAAGCGATCAAGCGGTATCTGCGTCCGTGGCCAATATCGTCGTCGTCCACCACGCATGCAATCGCTACTGTCCTGGGTTGAACCTGAAACAGAGCTCCGCTGCCTTGATGAGAAGAAAGGCATGTTTTGCGTCGCGGAGTTGATCGCAGACGCATCGAAGAAAGAGTGTTGAGTCCCTTGTCTGGTCGCAAGCTGAGCTCAACTCTTTAGTAGATAGCACGACTTCATTGAAACCGCAGCTGACTCTTGGATCTGTAGGTGGAGGCTACTGGTCTCCAGATGCGAGAGCTCTTGCAGCTCTCCGCACCACCATCGACGAAAACCCACAGCGGCTGAAGAACGTGTTGATGAACGACAAGATGCGAGCCGAGTTCCTTTCAGGCAGTTCGACCAAGGTAGCCGTGAAATCCTTCGTCAAGACGAACGCCGAGACTGCGCTGAAGACTAAGCCAAAGGTAAGCAGCCAACCTCTCTTTGCTCCATTCCGTACCTAGATCGTAACCAGTGGTTACAAGCAAAGGCTATCAAGCCGATGCGCAGGTCTTGCTTGTGTCAGCAGGCAGGTGTTCCATGGAGACGAGCGGTGTCCAGCTGGGATCTCTGTGGCTGGCTAACCTGACGACAAGCCACTTGAAAGTCCGGAAGGAAGCACATTTTATTGCTTGCTTGCATCGTGCATCTCCGAACGGCAACGAGCCACAAAACTTTGACTGCCGAAGACTTGAAGGGGAGCAAAAACAAGCAGAATTGATCGATCACCAAGTCACGATGGACATCGAGCAACGCAAGTCGTCACGGGAGATAGCTTGGGAACCTTCGGCCCATGCTTCCTTCCGGACGGGTAGGGGTTCCTCGCTACTTCCTTCTTTACTCCCGCTCGGGCTGGAGCGTCCCGCGTTGCCTCTTTCTGTGGACACAACATCGAGATGAATAAAGGAGATAATGATTGACCTATGATTCGACTTGAGCGGGAACAACAAAGGTACGTAAATGCTCGCTCTACTCATCTGGTACGGTTAATATCCATTTACTTACCCTTCATTTCTCGCAGACACCTAGCGACATACATGCCGAGATGGCGAGCAAGACTCGTGAAGTGGTTATTCTTTGGTAGACTAGTCGGTGGGAAGCCGCTAGTCAAACCTACCTCGATTTCATGTGTCTCATGGCATGAGCGTCAAAATTAATCAGGATGGTTCATGGCGGGATGGTCACACACAGTGGCATACATATGCGAAACAGAGATTGGAGACTGACCCTTGATGTGCTAGGGATATGACGCTGGTCACCCGGACATCGATCTTCTACGCCTCAGACGCTTTACAGTCGGTACCAAGTTGACTGACGCTGAGGTTCTCGACGCGCAAGTTCTCCGCCGAATCGCGGATCTTTTCTCGGCGTTGCACCCGTTTGTGAGTTGGTTCCTGTTTCCTTACCCTTCCTTGATATTTCTGTTAAGAAAAGCGCGTCGTCTTGAACCATGGTACTCGAGTTGCGCCGTCGCTCGACGATACGGTGAAAGGGGCTGAACAGACCTTTTATGGTTGCGAGTCATCATCCACAAAATCCAACCGTCCGGCTCGCGGTACGGTGCGTGGTCTGTTTCGGGGTTTAGTCGTCTTCGGTGCAAGCCCTCAAAAACCTTCTTTGCCAATGTCCATACTAGCCAACCACGGATAACATCATATCAGGAAAGTTATGGCTGATGAATGTTCATTTCCAGGTCGCCTGTTTGAACCGTATCGTCCTCCCGGACCCCGACGAGGACGAAGACGGTGAGGTTGAGGATGATGAGGACGACGGAGACGCCGAGGGCGAACAGGATGAGGAGTCTGGAACAGAAGCCTCAGATGCCTAGTCAGTGAGGTGCGAAGCTGATGCATGGCAAGGTGTAGAGCAGAATCCAGAGGAGTGCCATTGCAACGGGTGAAAGGCTTCAACACACATGCAAATCGTCTGATTACTTTAGCAGCAGCAGCGATCAACAAATCGTCGACTGCCACAAAATGTATCATTTTTTCAATATTCGCTGCGTGATATTCTGCTTTCATCTACTCGCACTCTGCAGGACTTGTCGTCTGTGACAGGTCGACGTTGAGTTTCAAAAAGAATATGCCAGCGCATCAAGGCCTCGCATAACTTATGATTGGCCTCTCCCCCCTTTGGGGCATGCATATTGCATTGAGCGGCCGCATGAGATTTCAATCACCTGACGACGCACCATTCGCTTTTCGGCCTAGAGCTCCCACGGTACATGCGCGCGCTGGGTCATCATTTGATGTTGGTTTCGGTCTGTGCTACCCATGTCCGGGTGTGGTGGTTCATGATTAGCAGGCAGGGAAGGCCGGCAGAACCTGTAAGAGGTTTGACCACGATTGATGAATAGTGCAGAAGCGCGCATCTGGGCAGGGAATGCTGGCTGCAGGATGTGGGTGTAGCAGTAATGAGCTTGCGCGGCAAAAGCCTGATCAGTGTTACGAATCTTTCGTGTCGCTCTGTGGTTTTTGTCATTGATCGAATCAGGACGATCAAGGTTGAACGGACGGTCCTTGTTCGATCCGCACCGCCTCCCAGCGTACCGTACCTTATGTTTCGGTCGTTCGTTTGCGAGGCTTGCGCGCGGACGGGCAGCAAGCTTCTCGAAACACACGTCCTGAGATCGGCCAGCCGGGAGGCCGCGGACGGGTCAACGTTGCCGACAGATTGCAAGTCTCTGTTAGATCGCGTTGTCTCTGCGGTGTGTTGTTTCATTTTGTAGAGACAAAACATATCGTCCAATGTTTCTCTTTTAGTCGGGGTTTGTCGAACGTCGGATCGGACCGCTGTCGGCAGGAGGGGTAGGCCTGACGAGGGGATGCATACAAGCTGCAAATGACTGCAGCAGAAAACAAGCGAACAATTGAGGGCTTGCAAGCTGACATGCTGGTCGGCTCTCTCTATCAGGAGCCATGTTGCGAAGGGGTAACATTTTTAGAGTTATTCCCAAGCCCATATCGGATCTCGATACAGCGGTGTTGCATCTAACTATCGCAAGACCGCATGACGGCCAATGTAGCTACGTTGGAAGCAAAGTAGGGTGAGTGTTTAACTAAGTTTCCTGATCATGCAGGCCGTGTCTTTATCGCGAAGATGCATCTGCCCGGCCCGCTGCTCCACATGCTGTGCGCTGGATGACAGGTCAGCGACAGCGTGAAAGCAAGGGCACAAACGAAGGAAGATAATGTGATGTGAATTGAGATGCCATGCATTTGCGCTTCGTCCCGGGCCTTCTCTCAGACTGAAACGTTGTACGGACCCCTCTGCATACCGCTTCGTCTCGATGGTTGATAGATCAGAAATCCTTGTTAGGATTCGCTGATGTAATTGAAGGAGTTTCAATAGAAATAGAGAACGTTGGAATCGTCCCTTCCATGATCCATCGACCAAGTCCTACCTTCTCTTCAAGATCTCATGACGTCTTGCTCGTTCAAAGCAAGACAGCATCTAGACGACTCCTTTTCTACGATTCTAATTCGGAAATTTCTACCCAAAGAGGACGAGAACAGCCTAGACAAGGCAAACGCCAAATCATCGGACGGTGGACTGAAGCAACCAAGCGCATCTTCAGTCTCACTCCCTTGATTGTCGTCGTTGAAACGGTGTGATCTTACACATCCTCCTAGCCGTAAGTTGCCCTCGGGGCGCCGCATGAGCCAGCGGAAGGACGGTTTGGACTAAGGTAAGTGTCCCGTACCGCACGTGTCCGTCTAAGACATGGACGACCTTGTCTCTCCGTAATCAGTTGACAAGGCGCAAACTGACTCGATAGAGCAGGGCAAGAGATGAGGTGATGATCTGATGATGCAGTGATCACTTGGGAGCAAACAAATTGCAAAAGTCACCGGTCAAGCGAAACGACAGGCGAACGGAGTGACAGTGACAAGCGACGGGCGCAAGCAGGAGTGACTCGCTGGAGCGGTCAGCAAGGAAGATCGACCCTAAGCGCGTCAAACAGACGCGCGCACACGCCGGAGCCGCTGACGGAGCAGATTTTGGCGAGGCTTGCACTCACAAACGGCGAACGCACTAAGCGCAGATCATTGCATCCTCGAGATCCTCCTTGGTCAGAGAGTTCGTGCTGTCGCGTGGCAAGCCGAGGGTCAAGCCTGCAGAAGCACTCGGACCAGGCGAAGCAAGTTGCTGATTTAGCGCTCCTACAACAGACGGCGACCTTGACGACCAAGTCCACTTTGAGCTAGGGAGCAGCTTAGTAGGATCGATCAAGACGTCCTTCCGTGGCACGTCCAAATCTCGCTTTGCCCTGCCCTGCCGGTAGTATTTGTCTTCTGACCGCTTGCACGCTCAAGTGGAGTCTACCACCAAACAACGTTTCGATCACGGCACGGCTCTCTGCGCACTGAGTGGCAGCGTCCGCAAAGCTAAAGCCTCTTCTCCGACAGCCACGCCGCTGCCTTGACCCGCGCGCGCTGTGATCGACGGGATTGTTTATTGCGTACAAATTTGTTGCGCTAGAGCCGCGCATGCCCTCGTCTTTGTAAGATTGAAGAGTTTAGCGAAGCAGCAGGAGCGGAGCGGCCGCAGGAGCTGTTCGTTCATGCTCAAACCAACACTTTAAGACTCGGTCGCCGGTGCGCAGAGTGGCCACTTTGGAGGAGTGTCGCAAAGACGCTCGGACTCTTGACAGAATATTGGATTCTCAGAAAGCATCCACAAACTCACGGACACACTACCCGTCCGCGTTTCTCGCTAACCAGAGAGCGCCCCGGGCCTATCCATAATCCCGCCTGAGACCAGTCACGATCTCAACCAACCAAACGAAACCGCTTCGACAGCCGGTCGTCTTTTGCACCTGAAATAGCGGCAAGAACCCCACCATCTGTTCCTTGGACATTTCCGTGCCTGTGTGTCGGATTCACATCGTTTCTTTCTACCGCTCCTTCTGCCGCCCCTAGAAGCGCGCTTGAGGTCATTTGGTCCGGTTTCTTGTNNACAAGACAGCCTGTACACCCGCACCCGCGACACTTTCCAGCTGCGACGCACACGACTTGGACTTGCTGCTGCTTCTGCTCTTTGAAAAATACCGTCAGTTTCTGCTGCAGCTGTCACCCGACGCCGCTGTCTTGCCTTGAGTGCCGTTGATCCTGCAGCTCGCCTGCGGCCCGCGCCTCCCTTGTGCAACTACGACGTAGCTGCCACATCCCACATCCCACGCCAGCCGACGTGCATACTCGGCTACTGCTGTTGGACAAATCTCACCAAAGCGCATTAGTCGCTCCCCGCCCGCCTATATTTATTTGACATGTACCCAAATCCCGGACCTCCTGCTGCTTGGACGCCAAATGCCAATGGTCAACCGCCGCAGCAACAACCACAACAACCACACCCTCAGCATCCCCAACATCCTCATCAACACCCTCATCAACAGCAGCAACATCAACAACCTTTGCAACACCAGCAACATCCCCCACCTCCACCTTCCACTTCTGCCCTCCACAGCACCAGCAGCAGTGGGCGCAACCGCCTCCAACACATCCCAACGCCCAGTATCCTCAACAGCGTCATCCCACTCAGGTACGTCGAGTCGCACACGCAAGCAGTCTCGCGTGACACTAACCTTTCTCCTGTTCAGATCCCTCCCATCAGTCAGGCATTGCCTCAAGGAGGACCTCCGAACATGACCACTCTCCAACCTTCTCACCCAGACCACTACCGCTCGCTGCCACCACCTCCAATGTACGGACATGCTCCGCCAGGTCACTACCAGCAGCCTCTGCCCTATCCCCCTCAACCTGCACCTCGCCAAAGAACGGCTATCGCCTGTCGCTACTGCCGGCGTCGTAAGGTATGTTTGTCTCAGTAGAACCTGGCAGTACCCTTCTAACATGGGCTAGNNATTCGCTGCTCTGGATTTGATCAGTCCGAGGATGGTCGTTGCACAAACTGCCAGCGTTTCTCGCAGGAGTGTGTCTTCACACCCGTCTCGGCACAATCGCAGGCCTTCGTCCCGGCGCACACCGTTTGGAGAAACCAGGGTGGACCTCCTCAGCAACTGTACGGAGCATATGGCCAGCCTCTTCCTCCTCAACAGCATGCGAGCCGTGATCCCTATCCTCCACCGCAACACGCCTACCCTCCTCCACAGGGATACCCTCAAGGCCCACCAGTCTACGNNCCATGCCTCCAGGCCACATGCCTCAAGGACCTCCCCCCTGCTCATGTCGCACCTCCGCAACCCAGTGGAACACCAAACCCTGCTCAGGAAGCTGGTCGCAAGCGTCCAAACGAGGAGCCGCACACGCCAACTCTTCCGCCGCCAAACCCTGCCCAGGCCGCTCAGGCTGCCCAAATCCCTCAACAAGGACCTCCACCACCTCACGCTCAGCCTCAGTACACTTACCCTGACCCCAGTGTTTTGACACCTGCAGCTGGCTCTCCTACTTCTTCCAACACTTCGTTCCAATCCGCTCAACCTCATGCTCAGCCATACTTTGCACCTGCTCCCGCACGCAAGCCGTCACCCCAACAAAACAATTACTCGTATGATCAGCCTCGTCCTTCTCACTCTCCCCACACCCACGCCGCGTCTGTCACTCCGGCTGCATACAACCCGGCTGTGACTTCTCATCCTGACACGAAGCCTGTTCCTTCGAACACGGAACGTTCAAGCCCAACCAACGCTACCAGGGGCGTGCGCATCAACGAACTGGTCGGCCCGAGTGGTCAGCCTCAGTCCCAGCCCCAGCAGAATCACACTCCGGCACCGCCACCCCTCCTCCTTCTACCGCTGCTCACTCGCAGCAGCCTCAACAAGCACCGGGTGCTCCTCAAACAGCATCTCAGCAGGCGCAGAACCAGGCCAACTCTGATGGTAGCAGAAGCCAGGCTGATAACACCATGCTTAACAAGCTCAACAACCCGCGCAACATATAGGAATGTCGCACGTCACATCGTCCTGGCTGTACATGTTTCCGTTCTGGAACCATGACTTCCGACTCGTTTGAAGAGACGGTCTCTTGACCAATTAACTACACGAAGGTCATAGCAAAATTTGTTGGATTGCTTTTGCTCAGAATGATAAACGCTTTTTCGTTGTTTCTTTTTCTTCATTTTTGTTCTTCTCTCATGTTGATTCCAGCTTGAGGAAGGGCATACTTTCATGGCTTACGCCACTTTGCTGGAACGGTTGCTAGACTCAAAAGGCATTGTTTCTCTGCTGGCAGGAGTGTTCTGATAGCGTTCAACTCATGCATTGGGTGGTTGATCTTCTGTTACCATTGGACGGCACTGCTTGGTCAGTACCTTGAGATAGTCGATAGCTTTGGCTCTAGAGAAGAGTCAAAAAGATTTGAACGTAGTTGTTTTGCACCAAGATCTCGTTTCTTCTAACTCAGCATCAGGGAGTCTTTGCTCCGTGACCTTCATCATTGCCTTTGTAGTCCTGAAACCTGCCAGAGAAATATCTCGAATGTTTTATCGAGATGTTCACATGCAAAGCCGACGACGGTGACGGTGATGACGACGCCAAGAACAGTCACCGCGCTCGACTTCTCTTTCGACACCTCATGATTTTGTCTTGACAATCGATGAGAAGCCATCAACTTTAGATTCGAGACTGAAAACCATGACCGAAGCATTGGTGAAATGGGCAGTGCCTCAGATTTCACGTCTGTTGCCTTTGGACGAGGACTCGCTGAAGCAGATCATCACATACCACGACACGCTACCTAGAGACGTAGCAGCGGAACAACTTGGCGGCCTATTGGGCGACTCACCGCAAGCTCTGGAGTTCATTGCTTCGTTTAATTCACGTCGTCAAGCGCCACCTTCAGAAGCTCGTCCAGCGCCTACGGTTTCTTCGGCTCAAGATGAAGGTGTACCCAAGAGGCAGCCAAAACAGCCAAAGAAGAAGGCAAACATTCATAGTCTACCGGCACGACAGGTCCAGGATATTGGAGGCGGCTCTGGCGCCTATAGGAAACAGGATGAAGGCGACTACATGGCTGGGTCGTCGAGGAAGAAAACGCAAGCTTCTCTGTCCAACACTCTGGCTTTACAGGAGACACCTGATGCTAAGCAGCTTCCTGTTCGCACTGCCGGAGGTGTATCACGCGGACCTAGAGCACCTCCTTCGGCATCTGGACCCTTGATCTCTGATGTGCTTCCTCCACCGTCGCAATCATCTACTCCTCGTACTGCATCGCCAGCACCAACCAAGACAAAGGTCAACATTACTGGAGGTACCAACATGCATGGAGCCGGAAAGACTCTGTCCGATTTAGATTCTGCCATTCGATCTCTAGAATTGCAAACCAACCCCACCTTAGCTTCAAATCAACAGTCAGCAGCAGATCTTGCAAAGCGAAGATGCAATTGCATGGCCACGCGCCACCCACTACTGACCATCGCACCCAACTGCCTCAACTGTGGGAAAATCGTTTGTGTAAAGGAAGGTCTGGGCCCTTGCACATTCTGCGAAACCCCGCTCCTCTCCTCTTCAGAAATCGCCAGCATGGTCCGCGTACTCAAAGACGAGCGCGGCAAAGAACGTCAAGCAGCCAACAACGCAACCCACAAACGCGCCGAAGTCAGCCAAAAACCTCGTGCCTTTACCGGCCGCGATTTCCTCTCTTCCTCCGCTGCGGCTTCCACTACTGCATCCCCACTTTCCTCTGCTGCTGCCTCTGAAGATGAGGGCGACGCCGCGGTCAGCAAGGCCAAAGAGCACAGAGACAAACTTCTCGCTTTCCAAGCCAATAACGCCAGACGTACGCGTATTCACGACGAAGCTGCGGATTTCGATGTACCTACCTCAGGAACGAACATGTGGGCTTCACCTACAGAGCGTGCTGCAGAATTGAAACGCCAGCAAAAGATCATGCGAGAAATGGAATGGAACGCGCGCCCCGAATACGAAAAACGCCGCATGGTTGCCAGTATCGATGTCATAGGAGGCAAGATTGTCAAGCGCATGGCTGAAGTGGAAAGACCTGCCAGCGATGCAGAAGAGGAGGTTGAAGAGGAAGACACCATGCCAGTGAGACGAGACGATAATGCTGGATCGGGGGCTTTCAGCAATAATCCTCTTTTGGGTGCACTGATTAGACCTACGGCTAGAGCGGACAAGGGAAAAGCCAAGGGGCAAGAGGGCAGTGAAAATAGAAAGAGCACTTGGAGGAGGGTACAGGATGACAACGATGACAATGAGGCATGGATCTTGGACGGAGGTGCTTATGGCGGTAGAGTTGAAGGAAGAAGACTAGGCGAGGAGGAACATGCTCTTGGCTCGTAGATGCCCTCCTAGTCGCATACTCGAGAAGTCTCGACACAAATAACGCTGTTTCCGAGCCTTCTGTTCGGGTCAGGGTCACACACCTCAACAACCTTCTCGGAGAGTGGAGAATGTCGGCCATGTTACTGCATCACATCCTGACTATAACCACATACCGCTCGTACTGCCTGCTCTTTAGGATGAATGGTATACGATAAGGCATGTATCGTAGGGAACTAGAGCTAGTAGATCATATCATTTGCGGTTGAGCAGTCTGCATCGGCTGTTCTGTGCAACACATGTCAGTAACACAAGCAATCAAGAAGCAGAAAACACTCTGTTGATCCGCGGCAACAAGCAGACGTTGACCTTCGCCTTCTCGATTCTCGAGCTCTCAGACGTGATGAAATTGGTATCATCTCAAATCGCTACTACACGGTTGCATCATTGTCGCTTTGTACGCAGGCATTGCTTACATGGCTTGCTTGGCTCGGGATCGTCGCAGGACTGAATCCTTGTGCACCATCCCAAGCTTATACGACTTCTCATCCTCACCAACACTATCCACGTTTTGGCAGTCGTCTCAGAGCAGGAATATACACCATGATTCAACTTTTGCGTGGCGTGACTTTAGGTTGCCAAAAATTTGAGGATATACAACCGAAAAGTCGCGGTGGTGTAGTGGTAACATTCTCGCCTTCCAAGCGTGAGCGGTGGGTTCGATTCCCGCCCGCGACAGGCTTATTTTGCTCTTTGCGCATCCAACGCGCTGCTGCTCGACCCAATCGGAGTTGATTTGAAGGAGTCATCGATATTTGAGGGTGTCAGTATGTTTTTGGAGCCTGGTTGAAGCATCGGGCTGTTGGTGAGTTGAATGAGTTTCACTTGCGACTCGGGCAGTTAATAGGGCAGAGGCAATCTCTCACCACCAAGAGACAATATGGAAAAATAATTCGACAGGCTTTATATCTGTTTCGTCATAACTACTATTGATACAGTTTCGATACAACCAATAACTCCGTAGCCCTCACCGGTCCTTCCTAGAACGTACAGATTGTAGTATGGCTAACCTTTTTACATGCCAGCAAGCATTCTTTTGAGCCCCATGATCTTGCGTGTGAGACTCTCTCCATACCCCAACTCCACAACACCCTTACCTATCTCCCACGCAGTAGGCCTCATGGGATAGTCCAAGCCAGCCGGGATAGCAGTCTTGATAAGCGACGGCCATCGATCAACAATAAGACTCTTGGCATTACACAAACCCCTAAGCCCTTCTTCACCAGCAAAGCGACCGTACCCACTACCTCCCACACCGCCAAAGGGAAGTTGAACGGCATAGTAAGCTGCAAAGTCGTTGATGGCTACCATGCCGCTTTTGACGCTTGCGGCTACATGGGAAAGAGGTGAAGAGGCAGGGCCAAAGACACTGCAGCCCAAGCCGTAGATTGTGGAGTTTGTTATGCTGATGGCGTGGTCGACAGTCTCGGCTCGCATGAGAAGGCAGATAGGTGCGAAACATTCTTCTTGTGCAATACGCATGTCTGAATTTACGTTCGCAAGCAAAGTTGGTGTAAAGTAATGGCCTTGTGGGTGTTCGGGATGAATATGACGTTTTCCGCCGGCCAGTAGTGTGGCACCTTGAGTTACGGCCTCGGCGATCAAAGATTCGAGTTTTCCAAAGTTGGCTGGGCTGACTTGAGCACCGACATCGACTTCGGTGGAAGTCAGGGCGTTGCCGAGACGGAGGGAGCGGATGCGTAGAGGCAGGACAGAGAGAAGGTACTCATAGGCCAGAGGCATAGCGACGACACGTTCGATGCCGATGCAGTTTTGACCGGCAGATTGGAAGACACCACGCATGATGATGCTTTCGATTCTTTGCAACTCAGATTTAGCCATGGCCTTTCCATTAGGAGCATCGAGGATGATGGCTGCATCTTTACCACCTAGCTCTACCACGACTGGAGTCAGAGATTTGGCGGCCGAAGTACAGACATGGTGAGCCACGGGCTTGCTGCCGATAAAGGTCAGATGAGAGATGCCAGGATGGGAGGTGAGGTGCTCTGCTGTAGTGGGCCAACAGGTGACAGCTTGTACCAGCTCAGGGTTGTGTCCACATGCAATCAAGGCATGCTTGACAATGTCTGCGAAGAAGACTGAACACCAAGCTGTTTGTTCAGATCCCTTGACGATGATTGCATTTCCGGTGAACAAGGCCGAAATGATGGGTCCCAAGAGGTTGTGGAATGGGTAGTTCCAACTGACACAGGCAGCTACGACACCCAAAGGCTCGTAGACGACCGAGTTGGACTTGTACATCATGAGCAGATTGGTAGGGCGGGACGAGGGCTGCAGAGCCTTCTCGCCATGATCGATCGTCCACTTGAGTTTCTCGGCTGTCACAAGGATTTCACCAAATAGTGCATCTACCCGTGTCTTACCAGAGTCCAGACATGCTGCTGTGGCAATATCGTCTTGGTGAGTGAGAACATANTCTTTTACTACATTAGTTTTGTAGTGAGAAACAAAAACCGATAGAACTTGCTTCAACAATGTCTTCAGCACCTTTCTGCGTTGCGAGAATGTCGTCAGTGCCCAGGTGCGTTGGGCTTCTTGAGCACGAGCAATGGCTCTGTCGATACCATCGGGNGTAGAAGGGTTGATGACACCGAGGAGTTGTCCTGTTGCTGGACAGTAACATTGAACAGCTGAAGAGCCTGAAATCTGTAGATTTTCGTGTCAGTCACATTGATACAACCCTGCGTATGCTGTTCAGATATAAGAAGCAGTTATCACAGTGTCTCCAAAGCATCGAGAAGAAGCTTCCAGCAGGCCTGGAAAATCATACGACTGTCTCATCGATCTTTCTCGGCAATCTCGAGACATCCCTCTTGCAGAGAGTGTTTGAAGTATCTTTTCCCATTGGGGTGTAGAAAGAATAAACACAAAACAAAGACAAAAGACTCGAGAAACAATTGGAAAAGAGGAAAGAGAAACAAACCTTCAAACTTGGCTCCTGCAAAACCTCTCCCTGCCAGTCAGGTTCCAACTGCTTGGGCAATGGCACTTCAAAGTCCACGGCTTTTTCAGAGTCTCCTTTTATTGTGAACCACAGAACAGCAGTGGCAAACACAACAGCGACCCAGGTCAAGGCGACAGTGCCTTGATTCTCAGACATCCAGTCCAATGCCTCCTCCATTCTCTTTGTTGAATTGTTTCCTCGAGTATTTCGAGCAAGGAAGTTGAGAGAGCTTCCAAGGATGAGGCTGGATTCCCGCGAAAGGAGAAGCCGGCGTCCGTGCGTCAAATTGCATTGTTTCTCGAACCATTTCAAGAAGGCACGATCGATGAGATGTACATAGTGAAGTTCAGATGTAGGAACTCGAGAGAGAGAGTTTCGCACGCTTTGTGGATATCAGAAAATATATAATATACAATTCGCTCCATGATCTACATTTATTTCTTCTCCTTGGGAGCAAGCATGAGCTCGGGACGGACGTTCTTGTCGAAGTCCTCCTCGCTCAGAGCCTTGAGCTCCATAGCACTCTCCTTGAGGGTAAGACCCTTCTTGTGAGCGTTCTTTGCGACCTTGGAGGCCATGTCGTAGCCAATGACGGGGTTGAGGCAGGTGACAAGCATGAGAGACTCGTGGAGAAGAGCGTCAATTCTCTTCTCGTCGGCCTCAAGACCCTCAATCAGGTTCTTCTCGAACGAGCGCATACCGTCGCTCAACAGACGGGAGCTGTGGAGGAGGTTGCGGATCATGACAGGCTTGAAGACGTTGAGCTCGAAGTTACCTTGCGAACCAGCGAAGGTGACAGCGGCCTGGTTACCAAAGACCTGGCAGCAGAGCATGGTCAAAGACTCGCACTGAGTGGGGTTGACCTTGCCGGGCATGATGGATGAACCGGGCTCGTTCTCGGGGAGCTTGAGCTCACCAAGACCACAGCGAGGACCGGAACCAAGGAAACGGATGTCCTGGGCGATCTTGAAGAGGGAGGAGGCCAGGGTGTTCAGCTGACCGTGGGCCTCAACAATGGCGTCGTGGGCGGCAAGGGCCTCGAACTTGTTGGGGGCAGTGACGAACTCGTGGCCGGTGAGCTTGCTGACCTCGGTAGCAATGTCCTCGGCGAAGCCCTTGAAGGTGTTGAGACCAGTACCGACGGCGGTACCACCCTGGGCGAGGTAGCGCAGACGGGGAAGAGCGGACTCGACACGCAGAATGCCGTACTCGAGCTGGGTAACGTAACCAGAGAACTCCTGGCCGAGGGTCAGGGGAGTGGCATCTTGCAAGTGGGTGCGGCCAATCTTGATGATCTTGTCGAAAGCTTGCTGCTTCTTGTACATGGCATCCTTGAGGCTGCGCAGAGCAGGGAGGAGCTCCTCCTCGATCTCGAGAACGGCGGCAATGTGCATGGCAGTGGGGAAGGTGTCGTTGGACGAGGCGGACATGTTGACGTGGTCGTTGGGGTGGACGGGCTTCTTNGAGCCCATCTCGCCGCCGAGAATCTCGATGGCGCGGTTGGAGATGACCTCGTTGGCGTTCATGTTGGACTGAGTACCGGAGCCGGTCTGCCAGACGACCAGGGGGAAGTGGTCATCGAGCTTGCCGGATGCGACCTCGGCGGCGGCCTGCTGGATGGCCTCACCGACCTTTGCGTCTNNGCGCGGAGAGAGAGGCGTCAGTACGAGCTCGTTGGTGGTGTTGAGTGCGGGAGTTGGTCATGGCATACCCAGGCCGAACTTCATGTTGACGGTGGCAGCAGCGCCCTTGAGGATACCAAAGGCGCGAACGACCTGAGGAGGCATGCGGTCATGGGGCTGGTTGATCTTGAAGTTGGACAGGGAGCGCTCGGTCTGAGCACCCCAGTATCTGTCGGCGGCGACGGGGATCTCGCCAAAGGCATCGCTCTCGGCTCTGGTCTGTTGTGCCATCTGGAAGGAGGTGCTGAACTGGCGGAGGGTTGCAAGACGGGGAGTCTGGTTGCGGGCGCGCAGAGCAGCTCCAGCGAAGGAGCTACCCCTCTTCACGGCTGCCGATCCGGTTCTGAACATGATTGATAGGTCGGCTCTCGGGAATGGGCAAGAAAGACACGAAGGAAACACGGTGGAAAGGTCGAACAACTGACAATTGGCTCTCAAGAATATGAACAATTGCGAAACATGGGGCATCTGTTGCCGATCTCTCCGATGCCAGCCGAGGATCGGAGGAGACAATGAAGCTGCCTCGCGAGCTCTTCCCGCTATAACCATCTGCCAATGGCTTCTCTCATGTGGCACAGAGCTCGAGAACATCGGACTGCATTCAGCATGGGCGACTCCAGACTCTAGTCAGTTCCCTGGGTCTCGCAAGTGTTAGAGCAGTGTACTCAATGAGAGCTCCTGGTCGGAACGGCTCTACCGATCCTAAGAGGCGTGTCTTGCATCAGCTATGACCTGGCGCTGCCAGGGCAAGAGAACCCGATATGCTGCAATGTTTCTAGCAATCGGGAAGACATCGCTTGAAGCATCTCTGGAGATATATGTGGACGAGCATCTCGAGAGACGACTGGCCATGGAGACCTGATCAAACGGGGCTTGAAACCTAGATCGTCATGAATTGCGGTAGTTCCTAGATGAATCCCTCGAGTCCTTCACTTGAATATGCAGATGCTTCTTGATGATACGAATGTCTTGTCGGAGGAAGAAAGAGCAGCTTGAAGGTGAATGCATCTAAAACGGGAAAGTGGCTCGTGCTGGACCCAACTTCACCCCTCGTCGGGCGCGTCACCGGGCGCGGCATCTCCACAAGGTCTCTCTTGCGTGGCATACCGACCGCCGGACGACAGCTCCTTGTCTGCTGCTACTACTACTACTCAGAGATGGTACGCTTCCCAGTCCTCCGCAACTGCCCCAGGAAGCCTCATAGTCTGACCAATGTTTAGTCGCAATCACTCCGACCATACCTGCAATGCGTGCGGTCGTCGTTGACGGCCGCCATGTCGCTGTCCAACTTCGCATCCCAAGCATCCGAACGCCATAATGTCCCCGAGATCGAAGCCCAAACCTCGCCCGAAGTCCTCTTGAACNCCTTGACAGTCTCGCGCAACGAGAACGAGCGTGTCTTCATCGAGCCCAGCGTCAACAGCATCCGTGTCAGCATCAGGATCAAGCAGGCCGACGAGATCGAACACATCCTGGTCCACAAGTTCACCCGCTTCTTGACACAGCGTGCCGAATCTTTCTTCATTCTGAGAAGGAAACCCGTCAAGGTCCGTTGGCCATATACCTCAAACAACTCCTCGTACTAACCTCACACGACAATAGNNGGATACGACATCTCCTTCCTCATCACAAACTTCCACACCGAGGAGATGCTCAAGCACAAGCTTGTCGACTTTATCATTCAGTTCATGGAAGAGGTTGACAAGGAGATTTCCGAAATGAAGCTCTTCGTATGCCATTCAACATACCTGGTGCTGCCTGATTTTGACTTACATATTCCAGNNTTGAACGCCAGAGCAAGATTCGTCGCCGAATCCTTCTTGACTCCTGTAAGACCCTACTCAATCTTGTTTGCTAGTTCGTACTCACCCATTCTAGTTNCGATTGATCCAGCTGCACCTCGCTTTGTGCTGCTCCAAGGTCTCTGTATCTGGTCTTGGCGCCGCATTACATAGAAGATTCCCAAAGATACCAATCCGACCCGAAACGATTATGACCACGCCTTTCTCTTGGATGGACCTGAACACCCTATCGCTCAGAAAGGACGACCATTGCTGTCTCATGTCTCATCTGAGACTGCCATTTCTGCGAAAGGCCGGTTTGCTTGGTGTCAGCATGCTTTCATTCAACTCATGTGCACGGCCCTTCTGCTACCAACACCTCCGTAGGCACTTGTATCATGGAACGGTAGTATACCTTCATCTTCCTTTGCATTACCATATCTCTACTCTCCTTTATATTGTGATTCTCTGTTCTTGCTCTGTTCGTGATGTACTCTGCTGGCCTGGAAACACTCATGGATCCAAACTACTTTGTCATCAAAACAAGGTATCTTTCTTATTTATGCGTCATCGATGAAGAGACGAAGGCTGTTCACTTTGGTGGTTGGAAAGATATGGAACTTGCCGAACTGGCAGCGGTATATCAGAATAACCATGTCGTCGTCACTTGCTCGGCGTCTAAACACCACTCAATGTCAACAACATTGGAGGATCGACCACGCGCTCTTCACCAGCGCATCCATACCTCTACTTACATTGAGAAGCTGGTAAAGGCCACTTGGGTCCGTCATCAGCGTCAAAAGTCCGCCTTCATGTTTCCCCTACCTCGCCGCGCCGGCGACCCCGTCGTCGCCGAGACTTCCTGGTCGACCAGGGACCGCCGCATCGGTGGCACGCAGTGCATTGCGTGTGACACCAATCCCAGTCACATCTTGGTTCCTTGCAAACACACTGTCTGCTACGACCACTTCTTACAGCACCCTGAGGACCTTCCTGTCCGCTGCGGACTGTGTCTCAAGGTAAGCACCATCCTCTACCATCTCACCCTCAAGCACTCTATCTGCCTTTGTCTGTTGCGCACTCTTTGCTTCTCCAAGTTGCACGCGTGCTCTCTGCCTCTCCCTGCTGCGCACTTCTTCCCTTCCTGTTGCGCACTTTTCTTCTCCCAACCATGCACCCTTCCCCGTCTCAGTTGCGCACTCTCTTTCTACCTCACTTGCACACCCCTTTTATCCTTCACATACACACTTTGCTTAAACGATGATAGCCTGTCACCACTACACTTGAGATTGAGGAGACCTCCGAGATCGCCTATCCCACCATCGACGATCTGGCCGCCTGGACCCAAGGTCTGAGACTGTCCCCCACCAGCACCGCTAACAACATTTGGGGCAGTCCATTATCGGCTCAATCGTCCTTCCAATCCCTCGACGCAAGCGTTGCGAACATGCATCTTCCTAATGATGCTCAGCGTGCCTCCCCTCCTCCTGCCGGAAACGAGGCCCAACTTGGAGTCACCAACCGTGGAGTGATCAACCACACCCACACCCTGAGTGCCNCACAGCACCTCCTCGCAGGCTCCGTCCGGTCAGGTCCAGGACGCTGAGGCTCAGAACATGNNCAGTCTCAGCCATCGAAGCACACTCGCTTCCCCTCCTTTAACCCTGGCAGACCCGCAGTTGCCAACTTCCCCGAATACGTTGCTGCTGGTTACGGCCAGAACACCCACGAGCAGAAGCAGCCTTCGGGCGATCAGACTCGGCAGCGCCCATCTGGCAATGGACATGCTGAGTCGCTCATCCACGCTCCACAGCCCAGTGTCTTCAAGCCATCGCACGCATTCCGTGAGCTTGCCACCCCAACCTCTGAGACCAGCGACCCTGAGACTGCTCCGGCCCAGCAGCAGTTTGCTGGCGTGCAGCAGCATTTCGATCAGATGCAGCAGAGTTTCGGCTCTGTCCAGCCTTTTGTCAACATGCAGCAGGCTCCGGGTCCTATTCAGCGCCCCAACCCTGCCAACGTGGACCCTCGTTCTAGAGGTCTAATGTCGCCTGTAAGCATGGATCGTCCTTCGCTTGTGCCCACCATGCCTGCTGCTATGATGCGCAACTTGAACCTCAACGCCGGTCCTCGAGGACATGAAGCTGCTCCTTCTATCCGCGGCCCCATGCCTCGTAGCTTCAACAACATGCCCACCAGCTTCACTGGCAGTGGCCACCTCACCAACAGTGTTCAGGTGAATGGTTTCAACATGAACGCCCCTCACCCATATGACCCTCACATGAACGGCTTCCACATGAACGGCTCCAACATGAATGCTCCTTTCATGAACCGTTCTCACATGATGGCCCCTCAGATGGGTCCTCAGATGGATCCTCAGATGGCCCCTCAGATGACCCCTTCTTACATGCAGAACCCTCAAATGCACAACCCTCAGATGGGCCGTCCTTCTATGTCTGCTGGTCAACAGATGAACCGTCATCAGATGTACACCAGCATGCCAGCCAACATCAACCATAGTGTGCCTGCTCATGCTGACCCGTTCGTTGACCATCAACCTCCTATATACGGCAATGGTCCTTTCATGGCTGGCCCCAACAACCACCAGCCCTTTGCCACAGCCCCTCAGTCAGTCCTTCCCGCTCCTATGGGTAACCCTATCAGCAACGCCGGTCCTGCCTACACTTGGGGTCAGGCTCCTCAGCAGACAAATAACACGNGTCAACGTCGCCCATCAGCCTCGCGCCAACCCCATCCAGCAGCCTCAGCAGTCTCAGGCCAACGTTGTCCAGCAACCTCAGACAAACGCTGCTCGCATGGCCGAGGCCNNATCAGATCTGGCACCCTTCATCAGTTGGACAGCAGATCGCCACCTCATGGTCGCGGATATGCCTCTCCTGGTACTGAGAGAGCTGGTAACGAGCTTGTCGTGCAGCAGCCTGTCGTTCGCAGCCAGGCCGTCATGGCTCCTGAGGTGCGCCCTGATCCTGACTGGGTCGATCCCGAGGATCGTGCTCTTCCTAACCTCGATGAGGTGTATGAACATATGCCTTTTGTTGACACTGCCGCCGAGTCACGCCCTAGCACCAACGGTGTCATCAAGATTGGCAACATCCCCTATGGCACCAGCAAGAACGAAGTCATCGCTGCCTTGGGCCGCAGCACCCGCATTGCCTCTCAGCCTAAGGGTACTCCTTACGTGGCCATTCACATCATCATGGAACGTTCGACTGGCAAGACCATGGATGTCTATGTGGAACTGGACACTGCTGAAGAGGCCAAGGCCGCCACTGCCAACTTCCAGCAGCGCTGCATGAATAACCGTCACCCTCGCATCGGTGACCGCCACGTCGAGATTGAGCTGAGCAGCCAGGAGGCTCTCATGAAGGAGTTGTTCCCTCGTGCCAAGTGCGTCAACTGGAACGGCCATGTTCCCGTCGTCTACGCCAGCACCGAGGCTTACAACTCGGGCTTCCAGGGCTTCGTTACCAGTGAGGAGATGGTCATGATCACCAAGCATGCCGAGACTCCTCAGCGCTCGCCCTTTGCTCAGCGCTGTGTCAACCGCACCTATGAGACCATGATTTCCATCATGCACAAGTACCCGTGGCACGCCACCAAGCACATCACTATTCGCGAGCGTACTTCCATCTTCTCTTGTGCTATGGTCCAGCTGCGCGTTCTCATGAACGCCGTCAGTCGCAACACTCACCCTCAATTCCTGCACCGCGGTTTGCTCCAGGAATACCTCACCGCTTGTCTGAGTAACCCCGGCTTCAGCGTCCAGCAGAAGACTTACATGGTCACCTGCGCCCACAATGAAGGCTACGGCACTCTCCTCAGCATGATCCCCTTCACCCCCGTCGACCAGATGACCGGCAGCTGGTGGGTCTTTGAGGCTCTGTCCAAGAACCCCAAGTCTTCGGACTCGCTGCTAGCCTACATCATCGCTCTTCTGTGCTCGGCCACCGACCCCGAGGGCGCTTTTGTCCGCACCGCCAGCACTGACCCTGACTCCTGCCTTGACTACCTCGACGACGACATGGGCAACGAGTCTACTTTCGGTCACTTTGGCGTCAAGTACAAGACCAAGAGACAGAGGGACATGCACTCGCTCAAGGAGGCTGCCGAGGCTGAGTGGCGTGCTTTGTATGAGGCTCTCAGTCGTGTTCTGCCTGCCAACCGTGCCCTCACTTTCGGCGACTTCCACCAGCGTGGTCGTCAACAGAGTGCTGTGGCCGGCGCTGAGCAGGACAACACTGCCTATGAAGGTGGTCAGGTTCTTGCTCTTCCTGGCCTTGAGCAGCGCGAGGATGCTTTGGTCGGTTAAGCCTGCTCTCTTGCTACTTCACTCTTGACGACTTTGGAGACAGTGGTTGTTCCTTTGTTGTCTCTTTGACCTTTGTTGTCCCTTTTTGGGGCTTTTCACTTTTCTGTTTTTTCCTACTTTTTCTGGCAAGTGCCACGACGAACACAACGGCTTGTTGCAAGTATAACTATGAGCAATACAACGCACCCACACTCATTTGAAAGAAGACGGACTTGAAGAAGAGACATGGACGAAGAATGTTCTTTACACGAGAAATACGAAAGGAAAACACAAGGGAAGGAGAGAAAGAAAGTGTGATATGATCACTTTTGGGGGTTTAGTCTAGTCTAGCCAGACAGCTTTTAATTCATGTCTTTCCCGTTCGATTATGCTTCTTTTTGGTTTTGGTGAGTACCTGTGTCTATGGTCGTTCCTACCTTTGATATGTGCCTTCTTTCGATGGATCTACCTCAATCGCTCTTTCCACTTGTTTTACACCGTCTCTTCGATTTCTCTTTCTCGGTCGCTCCTTCCTTGGAGTCGCTCCTCCCCTCGCGTTCTTTTCTCGATCGCTCCTTCCACTAATTCGTTCCTTCCTTCGAGTCGGACCTTCCCTCGTTGTAGTCTCCTCCATCGCTCCTTCCCTCGTTGTGCTCCTTCCTTGAAATTTGTCTTTACTCGATTCGCACTTTCCCCTTGATTCGTGTCTGTGTCAGTCGTCCCTTCCTTTGAGTTGAACTTTCCCTCCTGCTCTTTTCCTCAATCACCCTTTTCTCTACATTCGCACTTTTCCACCCTTGATCTGTGATCTTATTCATATCCACGTCATTTTGGTTCAGTACCTATCTCCTCGAAGTTTCTTTGTCTCTTTGTTTCGTTATCATTGGGTTTTTTGGGGCTGAAGATGCTTGACACAGAGAGGTCGAAATGGGTTTGATCGATACATGTATTCCTTAGGCGACAGATTCTTGTGCTGGAAGGATAGAATGGCCAGGGTAAGGAATTGGTATGTTTATGTGGTGGTGGAAAAGAAGGGAATGATGTCGTACAACCCCCTTTGAATTCTTATCAATAAGATGACTTTTTTTGTCTTTACCTGTATGGAGCCGTTATTCAAAATTGTGTCTACGTACCATGGGGTCGAAGCATATTGTTTAATTTCTTGGTTGTGTGTGTCTTCCCCATCTGTCTTGAGGTATTTGAGGAGCAATTACGAACTGATGCTTGTGTCTTGAAGACCTTGTGCCACCACGACTACATAACAAGAAAAATAGACTCGCATTACAACCCCCATATCCAGCCAAACGACGAATAGAAGCGAAAACTCGGTGGGTATGGATGATGTCTAAGGTTGATGCCAGGGTCGCCCCGCCCCTCAAATTTATCTCCGCGACAAAAACTAAAGAAAACAGCATTCTTTTGTTGCTTGTCTTTGCATATACTCTGGTCACACTCCTAGTGTACATCGTACAAACAAATACTTATTGCTATTGTACAGAGAGGAGATACCAAACAACAGGCAAAAGAGTCCAAAGAGTTTTCAACAAGGAAAAGATGGCAGTGCTAGAAGAGAAAGAAATATATCCAAGATCGAGCGTGTGGTGAGTTTGCATCGCCAAATTCGCCTAACCTTCCCCGAATTTCTCGAACGATGACTGGATCCGTTTGGCAGAAGACTTTGTAGATAGGAAAGAGCGAAGCAGGTTTCAATGACGTATTTTTTATTTTTAAAGGAAAGAACGATCAAAGCAGAGAGTCTAACAAAGGGTAAGAGCGCTCGAGCTCAGAACAACAGTGTTTGAGCAAAGATGGAAGGTATGATTGACGTAAATGAACGGTTGAAGCAAGGAAGGAAGGTATGAGCATTCTTTCCCGTGGACATAGCTTACCTTCATTAATCACGAAAGAACATTTCTACGCCGAGTGATGAATAAACCTCACCTCAACATGCTCTTGTACATCTAGTCGTTCTCCCAATATTCAATTTTTTCGTGAACAGTGTCCGAAAGGCAAACAAGAATCTCGCTTCTCGTAGACAAACTGGCTTCGGTTTTCGATCAAAGGGCAATTGCGATTTTGTCTATGCTACAAAGTAAATTTGCCTTGGTTGTAGCCCATTTCGACCGGCAAAAGATACAGGTGTTGGTGAGCGTATTTGAGGAGGTGTGGCGGATATTTGTGGCGAGAGAGCAAAAAAGGAGGAAGATACAAGGAAGTAGAGAGATAATGTCGATATATCCACCCTAAAGGATGGAAAGATCGCCAAACTTCTCCTTGTATCCGGGCACCATCCAGCGGCCCTTCTTGACGAGCTGCTCGGTGCGCTGGTCGATCTCGGGCTGGGCGGCAGCAACCTCGTCNCTAGATGTGTTTATTAGACAGGGGCTGACTTTTGGAGCTGAAAATGCGGGTATACGCACGACGGTCAAGTCCTCGAATGGTCTGGCGTCCTCAATGTTCTTCAATGTCTTCTGCAGGTCCTTGAGCTCAACGTCGACGTTGGACTTGGTCTGCTCGGCAGCCTTGACGGCCTGGGCCTCGAAAGCCTCAATGGCCTTGATCTGGCGGTTGACGTCGTACTTCTTGGGCTGGAAGGCGCTGAATTGCTTCTCGATGTCGTCGACAACGGCCGAGTTCTTGAGGATACCGCGGTAGTGAGCAAAGTCGATGGTCTGCTGCTGCTCTTGGAGCTGGGCGAGCTTGCGGCGGGCGTCGTCGTTGCGCTTCTTGAAAGCGACAAGGGAGTTGGCAGTCTGGCCCTTGAGGGAGAGCTGCTGGGAGAGCTTGGCCCAGTCGAGCTTGAGGGCTGCGTTGCGCTGAGGAAGGCTGTTAGCTTATGTCGGCGACAGGACGAGGACCGGGTGCGACGGCGCGAGTGGGAAGGCGATGGGGCGATGGAAACAGGGCGACATGACTCACTCCGACGGCCATTGTGACGATGGGTTGGATTGACGGAAGGTAGAGGGGAGAGAGACGACGGTGCAGGCGGGATCCGTTGGCCTTCGCGAACATCGACTGAGGTTGCTGCGATGGAGTCGCTCTTTCCGTTCTTGGCAAAACTGTCCGTGCGCCTTTCTCGATTCCGACTCTCTACGACTCTGATATCGGCATGCAAACGCCTTCAAGCTGTCATAAGATCCAAGTTGCGTATCCCGCTGAAGGTTGTTATCAGTTTTAAGCTGCAATTGGTGTTGAAGATCTCCAGCGGAAGTGAGAAGAAGGATAGAGGGAGGTGGAATGAAAGGAAACGCTTCATAAAGAGAAGATGCGGAAGCGTGCTAACAGCGAGGACCTCCCAAATGGAAACCTGGCAAGTGAATGCACATTGGCATCACAGGTAGCGAGAGATTGGAGACAGGTTGCCGATGAGAGCTTAACACATGACAGCAACAAGACTGAATCACATGAAAGTAGACAGCAAAAGAAGAGTCAGAATACAACGAGGACATTCATTCGTTGTGTGAAACTTTTATATATAAAGTGTTGGAGGGTTTGATCCGAGCTTCAGTCACGTCTTGTGAAGACAGATGACTGCATCTATATGCTCAGGGCCATGATGGAGTTGACAATGTCGTTGTCGTTCTCCTTGAGGGCCTTGACGGCCTTCTTTCTGCTGACCGAAGCCTGGGCCATGACAAGCTCAATGTCCTTGGCCTCGAGACCGGTCTCGTCAACCTCCTCACCGTCGTCCTCCTCTTCCTCCTCCTTCTTGGCCTCAACCTCGGGGGCCTTGCCCTTGTCGGAGTGGTCGTGGGTGTGCTCGGCGGCACCCTCCTGCTGGGAGAGCTGCTGGGCAGCGGCGGCCTGGGCTTGCGAGTTCAGGTCCTCGATCTTGGCCTCACCGAAGATNGCTGCGTCGCATGTCAGTTGAGTGATATTAAGAGAGAAATGTACGGTGGATGCTTACATGTAGGTGTTGGAGTTGGGGGACTTGTAGACGTCGGGCTGGCTGATGACGAAGAGGATNCTGGACGCGGGTTAGCTTCCGTCTACAACTGGCTTCTGTATGTCTGTATAACTTACGTTCTTGGGTCTGCGGAGAGTGACGCGAGTGATGCCCTCAATCTTCTTCAGGCCGAGCTTGGCAATGGCCTTGCGGGCCTTCTTCTCGTTGCGAGAGTGGACGGTGACGGACGAGCCGGCGGGGATACCACCCTCCTCGCCCTCAGAGTCGGAGCTGCTGTCATCAACCTCGACCTGCTGCTCGGGCTTGTCGTCGACGATCTCTTCAACACGGGGGTTCGACATTTTGGCTGGTTATAGGATCTGTGGCCGAATTTGCGCGTTAGTCGACTGTTGCTGCCACGGCACGCGAGAGCTCCTCCTTGGACGTTGGAAAACACATAGTGTCTCTTTCAATCAAATCCAAGAATTGAGAGATGCAAAATTCGCGCATAGCTTCGCCTGAACTCACCGGATTGGACGATTCTGTTATGCAGTTACTGCGTGATGTGGCCTTGGGATGAGGTTGTGGCTCGCCGTGTGCTTGGAATTGCCGAAGCTGCGACGCACGGTGAATTTCTGCCTGTGCCCACTTTGGCTGCTCTCGGTGGAATGCAGCTGCGTCACTGGCCAGCACTTGTCTCCACGCGCTCAGTATCAAGGTGAATTCACTGTTTACATGCACGTTTGGTTGCCATCACAGATTACAAGTCAAGCATGTACAATTCATGAACGTAAAAAGCGTTGTTGCTGAAGATTTTGGTGTTTGAAGCATTTTCCTTGTTTTCCCACAGCGTTTGGAAAAGAAGCTGGATAGACTTTGTCGATGCTAGGACTTTTTACGGCCCTCCGCCAGCCTCCCAGAAGCTGTCATGTACCTTCTGCTGGAGACGCGCGAGGGCAGCATCGAATGTGCAGCAGCGTAGCAGTGTGAAAAAGAAGAATCCCCGCTTTCATTTCTGCAAAAGCCAAAGCCCACTACTCCCATGAACCCATGTATCCGTCCCCTTTTGATATGTAGTCATCCATCTATGCCTTGGCAGACTGGGCACGGGCAGCGGCGAACTGCTTGCGGACCTCGAAACGGGCCTGTNNGTGGTATACTGTCAGTCGGGTCTGCTCGACTGTGTCATGCGATTGTTCTCATCCACGCACCTGCTTTCTCAGGCGCATAACCTTGAAGCGCTCAAAGTCGGTGAGCTGCTTGCGCTTGACGGAGCGCTCGCGGTTCTTGGCCCAGGCGCTGTTGTTCCACTTGCTGTCGACACCAACCTTCTCCCAGAGAGCCTTGAGGGCAGTGTGACCGGCGGCGCGGGGNAGCTTCTCAATGACGATGGGGGTCAAAGAGAGGTCCGAGAGGGAGGCGGAGTGGCGGGGGACGGCAGCCTTGGGGTCGGAGGAAGGACCCTCGACGAGGACCTATTTCATATTCTGTCAGCCTGGCGCTCTTGCTGACTGTCTGTTCGTGATGTGCGCGTCTTGCGACGTGTGTGATGTTGCGTAGAGGATGTTCGGAGGTGTGTTTTGTGCGAATGTGTGTATTTCGATGTCGGTCGGTTCTCAGGGTATCGGTCGGAAGAATTCACGTACGCGCTTGTGGTCGATGATCTCGACAACAGCGGCGAGCTTCTGAGCGTGGATGCCGGTGCTGAAGAGGACGACACGGCCGACCTCGACGAGTCTCCACTGGCTGGCCTTGATGTCTGCGTCACCCATTTTGACTGTTTGTTCTGGCGAGTAGGGTCAGATGAAGAGTTCCGGAGGTTGATGTGTGCGGCAGCGACTGCAATGCTCTTCGGGTCGGACGTACAGTAAAAGGAGGGATGGGTCGGTGATGTCGGGATGCTCGCAGCGATAATCTGGTAGCAGATTTCGACAAAGTGTGTGTGTCGGGCTTGGCAAGCGGCTTGGAGTCGCTTACTAAGCCAATACCTCCATCCCCGGCTTTCGCTGTCTGCTTTTTAGCTCGCGCGCGACTTTGAGATTTTCTCTGCTTTCTTTCTCTCATCACCAACAACATGTGAAGGTATGTCTATCCACGCTTTCTTTCTTCTGCACACCACTCCTAGCACTCTTTCGAAAGATGATATAATTTGCGATTGACGTGTGCGACCGGAGTTACACGCCTGTTTCTCTTAACGGCGCATGCGCTATGAGATTCAATTCTTACATATTCTGACACCCAACATCAACCTCAACCTTGTCAATCAATACATTGCTCGAACCGTTCACTGACTTTAAGCTCAGAACAGACTTGCCTTTGCATTATCAACCACTCAGCAACACATCATTCGACATCCTAATAGGTAGGAACATTCTCTCATCACATCACCACACACCCTTCCCCCGTTCAAAGATTAAAAACTCTAGCACTAGATAGTAATTGAGCTTCGGCGCTGATCGATTTTACACCAAGATCACTGAGAACCTTTACACACATCACCTTCATCACCAGCATCTGTCTTTTGAAACTCTTGCTAACTTTGGGATGATAGTTTAGACATACATCCTTCCATCTTTGGTCGGCTCACACAAGAACACTCCATCCAACATGGACCTCACTCCCATCAGGATCCGTGGTCGTCGCAAGCGAGGTCGCACGTCTGAGAATAAAGACGTGTCCCTTAAGATCCTTGACCGACCATGGAAGACTGCACGCTTCAACCAAGTCAGCTCTCAACCCCTGAAAAAGTAAGTATTGGTGCTTCGATAATAGTTTCTTTCCATCGCCATGAAAGTCTGTCAGTCAGATTTCATGCAGTAAATAACATCTCTTTCTTCAATANGCAAAAAGAAAACAAAACGAGATCCAACTATATCAAAGTTTGAGCAGCTGCCTACTGAGCTCGTCCAAGTGATCTTCCAGTCCTGCCAAAACATAAGCTTGCCTCTGTCGTCGTATATCTTTGCTCGCGACCTGTCATATCGCCACACTTATCTTCGCTTTGCCGTCGACACCCTTGAGCATGATGGTAACAGCGAAGACAAGACTGCAGATGCCGCCGCAGTCTCCCGCATGCTACAATGCAAGTGGATGACCTGGGATCTGTTCAAGGACACCGTACAAGGAATACACAGAAGAAGATCACCGCCATCACGCAACTCATCACCCTCCGATTCAGATACAGACGACAGCGACAATGACGACGAGGAAGAACAACGACCCCCAATCCCAGTCCCCAACTTCTCTCACCCACAGAACCAACCTCGCCTCCCCTATCTCACCCTGTCCCCTGCAGTCCAACTTCCCCAATCCCTCCTCCACGAACCTTGGACAACGCCAAAACTCGACTTTCTCAAATACCTCATCTGGTCAGGCTGCAGCATCGACTGGGCATCCTCCTCTCGCGGCGAAACCGCCACCGCAGGCCTCGCAACAGCAATCTCATCCCACTCTCACACGGCCGTCGCACTCCTCTGCTGTCCCTCCATAAACGTCATCCCCGACACAACAACAATAAAAATCGCGGTCATGGACCACAACTGCAATCCCAGTGTCGTATTCTATCTCATTGCCGCTGCATTGCGTGCTCACATAATTTCTCGAGCGTCAGGGGATGCAGCCCCGGATGTCAATTTCAGAGATCCGAGTTTGTGGCATTGGGTGGAAAGAGTGGAAAAAGCTGGGAATAAANAGGGGAGGTGGTTGAAGGATGTGCTGAGGTTTGCGGGCGATAGGATGAGGGCGAGCAGTTGGGATGAAGAGGCTTTTGAGGAGTTTAGACGTGCTGGGGGCAGAGAGGAGGATGGGGTTGTTAGGGTTGATGTTCCTATTGTTGAGGTGGTGGATGAAGAGAGCGCAGATGCTGCTGGGACGTAGTAAAAATGTAACTCGATCAAGGTATACGGAAACCTGACAGGGCCAGAGGAAATAAGAATGTCTGGCAACTTTGTCGATATCTGTTCCCTCCCACCGCGTTTATTGGCGTTCTACCATCGCCAATGCTCTTGACCTTCAGCGCACATCTGCCATCTATGTGACCTCCTCTTTTCGCTGACATTCTTCCACTTTCCTTGTCGACAAGGACCTTGAACAGAAGGAGGGAGAAAATCATACAGGAAAGTTGTTACAAAGAGATGTTGATACAACAAGAGCCCATTTCAAGCAAGACCGAAGACCAGAATATCTGCACCCCATCGCCCCACATCCAAGCCTCAAGACAGAACTCCTAACACACGAAACTCCCAAAGTCCATCAAACTCTAATAACAACCTTGACACCCAACCCNCTAGCCTCTCTAACACAACACCCCAAACAAGTCTTCCCCGCCCTGCCCACCACAGCATTTTCACCAACCTTGGCACACCAAGCCCTCGCCAACAATTGCAGCTCGCCCGTACCCCTACAATCCAAAACCACAGTCTCGTCTCCCAAATGCACTGTATCCGTAAAGTCATCGGCGAGGATGGAAGCCGCGGGAATGATGGAAATGGCATAAGAGCAATGCAAAGGATGCGTTGGTGGCGGTGGTAGCTCTTTGACAGACAATGCTCCAGTGCCTGACCTTGAGCGAGGTTTTGTGGTAGCGGAAGGTGTGGATGGTCGTGAGATGTTGGGGAAACAGGGGGTGGAGGAGACGAAATGGACGTCGTAGAGGAGTGGCAGTGTTACTTTTAGTGGCCGCGAGTTGCTGCGTTTGGCACTGAATTCCAAAGAGGCGATTGCTGTTGGAATGGGTGCTAGATGAGCTTCTGCATCGTCAGAGAGCGAGTCTGAAGGTGCAGCGGGACTGAGCTCGAAACTGGTGCCCGTGGGAAGTAGACTGAAGCCATGGTAGCGTGCTTCGTTTCCTAGGACTGTGAAGCCATCTACCGGCCATGTAAACTCGACATCGGTGACTGTGGTTTTGTCGCCGGGCACAAATGTAGAGTCGGCGGATAGACTGTTGCTGTCGGAGATACGGGGCGTGGTGGAGCTGGGCAAGTCTTTGACTTCAAGGTTCACCCATCCATCTTGTTGATCTACAGGCGCACTGCTGCAGGATATCCAGCCCATGCAGTCGGTTGCTCCGTTGGCGGCTGCAATGACTCTCCCTACGACACAGCTCTTACTCCAGTAGCTGCGTGTTTTGTAGACAAAACCTTGGTATAGATTAGCCGCGTCGCCCAGTGCAGTCACCGCGGCCGGCGAGTTTTCCAGTAACGTGGAGATGAGCAGATGTGATATGGATTCGCCAGGCAGTACGAAGCCCGTCAGCCAAGATCTCGAGAGCCAACCTCCAAGATCGAAATTGTCGGTTCCATATGCTGAAGCAGGCAGAAGCTGCAGTGATTGTGCTGTACATGCACGACCGACCTGTGGCCTCTTTTGTTGTGCAAAGTAGTTGCTCTGACTGGGCGATTGACTCGGCGTGCCCAGAGGTGCACCGTAGACGCCAAATCTGCCTGCGTCACGCGAGTGCCTCCTAACTCTCTCGGCAAAGCGTTCTTGTATTTCTTCTGTGTGTGGCCATGCAAGGGCTTGAGCAAAGTTTAGCAAGCCATCCACTTGTCTCTTCTCATGTCTTGGGAACATGATTGGTTCTATACGCTGTTCATCCAGATTTTCCCTTGCTGTCACAAAAGTAGCAATTGACATGACGCTGTTGCGGCACGGACTCTCTGTTTCTACTGATGTCCTGGGTGCAATGCGGATGCTGTCAAGGAAGCGTTGTGCGAGAACAATATCCCATCTTAGTTTGCGCGAGAAGCCAGAAGTAGGAAAGCCAGAGAGCTCGACACGGATCAACAGCTCACAGGCTAGAGCGATTTGTAGAAGTAGAAGATCACGTTCACTGGGTGTCGTCGGTGCCTCGACATCGACTGCTGATTCATCATCATAGTCTGTGGATGGCCACAAGATCTGGCCCAGGCGAATTCGATGTTCCACCAAGCTGAAGTCGTACCAGAGTTTAGTCGTCACCAGAACTCTCGCAAGCGCCACTACCTGACCTTCAAGATTGGTGAAGACCGGATCGTCTTCTTCCCTCTCAGGTTCTGTGAGCAGGTTGGAGAACAGTTCCGTGTGGAGCTTATCAGCTGTCTGTCCATCGTGTTTTCGCTCGCGGCACTCGTCACTGGATCTAGAATGTCGACTATCGCCAATTTCCCCAAGTCTGTGGATCATATATCCCAGTTTGAGCGGTCTGAGCTCCAGACTTTCGGGCGAGGTAGCCAGCATTTGCCTTTTGGACCTGAAAGCCTCATCTTCGTCTTCGGCGGAGCGCTTGCTGTCTGCCAGTGGTATCTGCAAGAAGTATTCCAGCCCGATAGTCCCAGGTTCGTTTCCATTCAAGCTGAGCATATTCGGCACCTCCATCATAGGAATTTGATTCTCGGCATCTTCTGCAACCAAGTCGCGAAGTTGTCTGGTCCTCTCTCTTCGTCTCAGAGTAGCAGCATTGAACGTACTGTGACCGACATCGACAAAGTCTTGTGGTTCCCCACTCTCTTCATCCAATTTCCAGCGATAACTGACTCTAGGTCGCAGTGACCTGATAACAAATTCGGGTGCTCCAGCAAAGTAGTTGACGAGATCCTCATGGCTCAATTGCTTTGGGCTCGACCTGGGTGACTTGTGCGACGGTTTCGCAATGTTGCCTACATAGTACTGTCCAACGACCGAGTCTCTCGAAGGACGGGGCAAGTCGGAAGATCGTTTGCTGCCCCATTCCGCAAGGATGTTGGGCTGAGATTCGATAACCACAGATGGGATGTCCAAAGGTTTGCTCTTACGCCGAGTGTGGGTCCGCTCGCTCTGTTAAGCTGATCAGTGAAATCCAAGAACGAGTTGGGTGGGACGCAGTCGCACTGGAGATCCTATCTTGCTAGTGCTTCTTTTCAGCTTGGATGCAAACGCCTTGATTGCCTGTCGTTTTGATGTCCTTTCAGGACTGGAGACCGGCTCTTGCATGATTGCAGCGAAATCCGCCTTGTCTATTCCGTGAATCTCCATATCGTGGGCTAGCCTTGCAGCTTGTACAACGCAAGATACTCTATACCTATCCGGCGATGTGTGCTGCCAGCAGCTCCAAAATGAACAATTCCAGGTGAGAAACAAGAAGAAGTTGAAGGTCTCCGAGAAAAGACAAAGAGACCAAAAAATATCACGGGCTCGCGAAGCACGAGGCGTACCACGCAATATTACACCCAGCTCGCCCACACCATCCCTCAAATGATTTTGTGCCGCCTGGCGGGCATCCACCAGATCATTACCACACGGCGGGGAACAAGGAACCTACATGCATCGACTGACACAGGGCAGGGACAAGCGTAATCACTGCGCAGTACGGTTGTGGCTTGTCTCCAAATAGACAGCATCACTACCCACAGGGCACATCCCTAAACGAATGACAGGACTCGCGCGCACCAGGTTCTCGGTGTACCCGTCGGACCGCTCATCAGCTAAAACGAAGTTGCGTTGCAGCTTCAGTAGAAAACGCGCAACGATGGCGCATTTCCTCGTGCATATTTCTTGAAATCTTGACTCCTTCTGCAAGATGCCTGCGAGCGAAAACCTGCTTTGTTTGAAACGTCGGTACAGGCGGACGAGGAGGTGGGGAGAATGGGCCGTGCTGAGGCAGATGAGGGCAAAGAAGAAACTGTCAAGTCTGCGAGATGCCGCAATAAAACAGACATCTACACCTGTCACAGAGCTGTCAAATTTCCAGACAATTGTTTTCGTATGAGATCTGACTTTAGGCAGGCACGTTCGAGGACTTGCCCACATAAAAATCTTCGGGATGATAATCCACGATCGCCTTTGTTGTGATGCTTCTCCATAGGGCAAGGATCTTGCCGATCGAATGAAACGCAAGATGTTTTGGAACCTCAGCTAGCTACACCCTTCATGAGGGCATACAAAAAGGACTTTTGCAGATAATAGCATGCATGTCTGGGGGTTGCAAGTAAAGTGCTCACTCCTCACAATTACAGCGACGGACGAGAGCGGATGTGTTTTGAGTGCTTTTGCTTATACATGAAATTGAAATTCGAATATGGTAGAGCGGTATACTCTAATGGAGAAACCAAATTCATGTAGCTTGTCTATTCGGTCTTTTCTCCATTTCTGCGCTTGCTGCCGCTTCTCCAAAAGATGAGAAGACAAACAACGAGTGGAATGATTAACCAGATCCTTCCGACGCCATGAGCATGTTGCTGCAGTCAGGCCTTGGAAGGAAGAGGCTTGTCGCCGAGATCTGGGACTCTCTCCTTGATGTAGCGCTCCAGATCGTTGATCTCTTGTGGGGCAGCGGAGTGAGGAAGACCCTTGTACGTCTTGAAATCGACATTCCAGCCCCATTCTTGAAGAGTCTTAGCAGTGGCCTGGCCCCATTCGTAACGAACAACCGGATCGGCGTCTCCGTGGCCCATGAAGATCGGTGTTTGCTGTCTCAGATTAGCAAAAAGAGCGAGATGTCAAATATCGAGTCTGGGTAGGTACCTTGTTCGGGTTTTCGCTGGGGATCATGTCTCTGAGCTTGCCACGGAGCAGCAGGTAGCAACTGAGACCGAAGATACCACCCAGGCGTGTAGGAGCAGTGACACCCGACATAAGACTCATAGCACCACCCTGAGAGAAACCACCGAGGACGATGCGCTCGGAAGGAATGCCCTTCTCAATTTCCTTGGCGATCAAAGAGTGGATGTAATTTTGCGAGCGGGTGATACCAGCCTCATCTTCGTGTTGCTGAATGTCGTCGAAAGACATCTGTCCGGCAGAAATAGTTAGTACTGTATCTCTTGCAAAGTCTTTATGTTGTGAGGAGATTTGGATATCGAGGAGAGAGTGTGCAAACATTTGCTGAGTTGCGAGGCCTTACAATGTCATACCAACTGCAGACGGTTCAAGATCAGTAAGTGCTGGATGGTCGGCCATGAACGTTGATCAAGCTATCTCACCCAGGCATTCTCATTCCCATGTTCTACGCACGTCAGCTGAATGCCACAGAATGTCGATGAATCTTGCACATACCACAGAGATGGGGATCTCAGGTGCATTGGGAAAGATGAAAGAAGTCTCCTCAAACTTGCCCTTCCACATGTCGGCGAGGAACGACCTCCATACGAGTAAGCAATACTGGACGTGACGAGAATGAGTTGTCGTGCTCACCATCCATGGCCACTGATATAGAGTTAATACAACAGGCCTTGGGAATCAATAGCTTTTGGACCTACCTATCACCCAAGCCATGCATGACAATGACCGTAGAGGTATGCCTTCTGGCAGCAGGGAGAACGATTGCAGCCATCTTCGTAACAGCTATCAGTCAAATTAATCTTTGAATGTGTAGTTCAGATGTTGTTGCTTCAAATTCAGATCCCAGCCGGTGACGCAAAGAGAGCTTTACGAACGTCAGACCCTTGCAGTGTTCTGTATCGAGACCTTACCAAGCACGCAAAGCTCGGAAGCCTGCATGCCGAACCCTCTGTAAGCACAGCGGAATTAGTGCCGTATACAGCACAAGGGGGAGATATAAGTTTCCAGAATGATCTTAACCATAAGCACCTCACTAGTCGTATAAGAGCCCCATCACCGACGAGGAACCCGGTTGCCAATGCAATACTCTCGCATTGTTTTACTGACATCTATTATCTGTCTCACTCTGGCTATCGCTTTATTCCCCTTTCCACACCTCTGCTCCGCTGGGCCAGGACAATAACAAGAAACACTTCTGCATCACCTGTCAACAGCATTCCCTCTATCTCCACAGTAAAATCGCAGTCACATCTCACTTCAACATCCACCATGTCTCGCACACCAGTCTACTTTCTCTCCCACGGTGGCCCAAACATCATGGAAGACTTCTCCCACCCAGCCTACACAAAACTCCAAGAAATCGGCAAAGAGATAACTCAAGCTGTCAAACCCAAAGCCGTAGTCGTGTTTTCCGCTCACTGGCAAGCCTCTCCAACGACCATCGAGGTCAATACCGCCGAACTCACAGACCTCATCTATGATTACTACGGTTTCCCGGACCACTACTATAAAGTAAAGTATCCCAATGTTGGCAGCAAAGACATTTCTGCTCGCGTTTTGGACGCATTGAAGACGGCAGGGATACATGCAAAGGGTGTGAGCAGGGGGCTGGATCATGGTGTTNTTGCACCGTTTACTGTGGCTTTTGATCCGAAGAGCAATCCTTTGGGTGTGCCGTTGGTGCAGGTTTCTCTGTTTGACAGTGATGATGCAGATCAGCATTACAGACTTGGAGAGGCGATGCAAGGGCTAAGGGAAGAGGGCATATTGGTAATTGTGAGTGGCATGGCGGTGCACAATTTGAGGGATATGTGGAAGGCTATGCAGCAACCAGCTCCTATGCCTTATAGTGTTAGTTTTGACGCTGCATTGAAGGAAGCCGTGGAGCAAAAGGTATGTTTGACCCCTCAAATCCATCTGAAGAGATCACAAGCTGACAATCAATACAGCNCAGAGAACAGACAGAAGGCAATGGCGGACTTGCTGCGTAGAAGTGATGCCAGGAGGGCACATCCGTCATTCGAACATTTGTTGCCCATCCACATTGGTGCCGGAGCTGCTGGAAGTGATGGCGGAAAGCAGCTCTGGACCCTGCCTCAGGGTAGCATGTCTTGGGCGCAGTTCAGATTTGGAGACGTCGGCGACATTACAGCTTGATATATACAGATAGTAGTCCGTCGGATATAGAAACTCGGTATCAATTTGGATATCCGCAACAATGTGTATGGTACATTTGTATCTGTTAAATGGTGATGGTCGAGATTAATTTCGGTGGGATGAAAATATGGTCGCAAATTGTGTACAGCAGAAAGGAGGATGGTTTGTTTCGAACGGGGGTATCTATTGAGCTTGTTGGACCAGCTCAGCAATCTTGCTCTCAATAGCCTTGTTGTCGAGACCTNNGTGTTCACGATGTCAGTGCTTAACCACGACAAACCAATTCTGAACCAACATACCCTTCAGACTTGCGCTCTTCTCCTTGCCAAAGTCTAGTTGACGAGGTGATCAGTGGTTGTTCCATAGGTAGGTTATGGTGTAGGTATGCTAACCGTATCTTGCCCAGACTCTCGGCTCGACTTCCAGGGCTTCGCGGATCAAGATGGGGGTGTGAGGGTTGGCCTTCTTCATGGCAGGGTACTGCTGGGTGAGGAACGAGNNCTGTTGTCCAGGTGTCAGGATGCTGGTTGCGCATTGAACCGAAGGTCGCAAAAGGATGGCAAGTTACCGGACGGCGGCGCTGTGTTCCGAGGTTTGGCAGTGGTGGAAGCGCAGCTCCTTGAGCGCCTTGGAGAATGATTGTTTGAGCGACATGGTGGTGTGTGTGTATGGGCAATTGATCAATTCGCACCTTCGCGCCAGTTCGAGAGTCGCTGTTGCTGACCTGCGGGCAACGAAACAAACAGGGCAAACACGTCTCTTTCTCGGAAACGGCAGGCGCTGACACAAACTCCGCTCTTGCTCTTGCTCCGCATTGCGGCATCGGGTCCTTGGACATATCGCCGGAAAGCAGCTGCGACTCTCTTCTTTCCCTTTGAGCGCAACTTCCCTCGAACATCTCCACTCAGTCACATACCGCAAAAACAGCAATCATGTCGTTCAGAGCCGGTCTCCGTTTCTTCAATGCTTTCCGCAACCAGGCTGTCCGCACCGGCAAGCCCGTCGCTCAGAGACGCACCTATCAGTCCGCAGCCGAGACCAATGTTGACCCTCCGCCAAACCAGTCTCGTCTCCAACAGCTCTGGTCGTCTCCCGTCGGCCCCAAGACCGTCCACTTCTGGGCCCCTATCATGAAGTGGGGTCTCGTCCTCGCCGGAGCCGCCGACTTTGCTCGTCCCGTCGAATCGCTTTCGCTGTCGCAGAACGGTGCCCTCATGGCTACCGGTTTGATCTGGACCCGCTGGTGCTTTGTCATTAAGCCCAGAAACCTTNTTGTACGTGCAATGAACTCTAAGCCCGAGTCTCGCGGTCAAAAGTGCTGACTGGATCGATGCAGCCTCGCTTCCGTCAACTTCCTCCTCTTCTGCGTCGGCGCAACACAGGTCTCGCGTATTCTCCTCTGGCAACAAGCCCAAAAGGGCGACTCTATCCCCGAAGAACTCAAGAAGGCTGGCAAGCAGGAGGGCAGAGAACTTGAGGCTATCGCCAAGGACCCCAAGGGTGCCATTGAGAACGCCAAGAAGGTTTGAATACCCTCCGCCGACTCTATATAACCCTCCTCTAGCCTCTCGCCTAACTACCACATGATCCACATCTGTTGCGACACAAAACAGATGATATGCCACAAATCTGGCAACACATTACCCCTCACATATTTGGTCCGCTGGACCGAAGCAGCAACAGCAAGATAGATGATAGTCTTGGTCTAATGCGAAATCTCATAAAACTGTATAATCTTGCTGCTTAGGAGAAATTCGTCAAAGTCATACATTTGCTCCATGCAATACTAGCCATGCGCCAACCACTCATGAAAATAACAAACTCCTCTCTACTTTGCGAGATTGGTAGGAGCAGGAGCCGGAGGTCCCTCAGGAGTGACATATGCNCTGTCGAAAATTAGCCATTGCACCAACACGTTCTCTGGACATCGATTGCAACATACCTTGGTCATGCCACCATCAACGACAAAGTCTGTTCCGTTGACAAAGCTGCTCTCATCACTGGCCAAGAAGACAACAGCATGTGCCTGCTCAATAGCCTCACCAAAACGTCCAGTAGGGAAGTGAATCTCACGACGCTGGCGCTTGGCCTTATCGTCACCCAGCCAGTCCTGAAGAAGAGGAGTGTTAAGAGGAGCAGGGCACAGAGCGTTGAATCTGAAGCCTTCACGTGCGTGCACAATGGCAAGTTCACGGGTCATTGCGAGAACAGCTCCCTTGCTAGCTGTGTATGCGAGCTGGGGTGTTGCTGCTCCAACCAGAGCGACCACGGAAGCAGTGTTGATGATGGATCCCTTAGTCTTATTGTGCTTGCGTAGTGCTTGCACTGCATGCTTTGAGCCAAACCAGACACCCTTGACGTTGATGTTGTGAGTAAGGTCCCAGATCTTCTCTGGGGTGTCAATGGCATCTATAATCTTGTAAGCTTTGGGCGATCCGATAAGAACTTTGATTCGACACTCACCTGCGTCGTCGGCGTGCATGATGCCAGCGTTGTTAAACATGACATCAAGACCACCCCAAGGGTCTACCCTCTCGACGGTTGCGGCAACGTCGGCCTCCTTGCTGACATCGCAGATAGTAGTCTCAATCTTGCCGGCAGCGTTGGGAACAATCTCCTTGACCTTGGCAAGAGCCTTCTCGAGAGCAGGTGCTGAGATATCGCACATCAGAACAGATGCACCCTCGCGGGCAAAGAGAATGGAGGTCTCGAGGCCAATGCCACTGCCTGAATGTCAGCGCAAGTTCTCTTGGTGCAACACACGTTGATAGTGTTTGGTTAGTATAATGGTGGCAAGATATGCTCTTTTCTTCTTCAAGTCGAGATGACAAGGAACTGACAATGAGATATAGGAGAACTCACCCNNAGCAGCACCAGTGATGACGGCGTTCTTGCCAGCGAGACGGCCTCTACCTTCAGAGCTCATGATTGCAGATATATCGTATCAAAAGTTATGTGATGGGAAGCTTCAGGAGTTGCTGTATTTTCTAGCTGACTTTAGCATTGACCTTGTGTAACCAAATGAACCAATTGATACCTTGTAAGAGTAGCACAAGCAGCAGACAAACAAAAGAGGCGATTGAAGTCGAATGTATCAAGAAGAAATCTGGAGTTGGACCTGTGTTTCATGCAACTGCCAAGGGATGACTCGCTATCGTTGCGGTCAGTGACTCCGCCGGCCGGGCCGAAGTCGGGTTGTGTTTACGTGATAAGGGAGGTAGGTGCTAAAGTTTGTCACATCCGCTCTTTCTTCAGCGCCAGGTATCGAGATATCATCACTTGGCAGATACGAAACACATAGACCTGATAAGGCATTATGGATTGAGATACTCTGTATGGGTATCTCTTACACACAGAAAGCATCCTGTATACCCATAAATTCGTGCGTGACAAACTTTAGCTTGACATAAAGGTGATCTTTCTGTGGGGTCGATAATGCTGGATGGTATGATGTAACGCATCGACGAGGAAACAGCGTCAGAAGCTCTACTCAGATGTCAAGTGGTCAAATGTAATCCAGAAAGCGTTATGTCAAACATGCAATCTGCCTTGTGGGTTTGATGATGGGAGACACAAAGCCATGCTCTGACACATGCAATCCCGAAGCAAGGCTTTCGTCATCACGCGGTTGGCTTTGCACGTTGTTGATCCACGTCGCACGACCTGGCTAGACTCTTGTAGAAACATGACAAGTTAGCTGTGACCTCTGAGAACCGGAATTTCTTGTCCTAGAACTACACAGGTCGCAACCATGTCTTTCGTCGTCGAGTAAGATCATACCACCCCGTCGTTCGCCTCTAGCCAGTAGAGTCTCGCGCATACCAAGACATTACAAGGGACTGACGACAATATACTTATAGCCAGGTGCGGCGAGTAGATTCGCAGATAGACCGTCTACAGCTTAATGCGCCACCACCAGTCGGACCCATTAACATTACTGGCGACGACCAACACTTCCCGTCAGACCGAGCCGAGCACCTGCAATCACTGGTCAAATCATTCTCCATAACCCCTTCCTCGCGCAACCCTCTACTCTCTGCATCCCAGATCCACCACTACCTCACTCGCGCCCAAATTTCGCTGCCAGACGAAGGAGAGGATCTGTCAGTGCAAAAGCATGATGGTGAATACGAGCAAGAGTTGGCGTGGTTGCTGGTCGCAAAGGCCACTGTCCAGGTTTATGGCTTGATACTGTCGCGTCTGCTGGATGAGACTGTCGCCCTTGCAGACGATGTCTGGTACTGGGACCAGGTGCTGGCCAGTCAACAAGCGACCGCGCTGTACAGCATACAAACCGCTCCTTTGCGTCTTGCCGAGTGGAGCAACTACGTCTGGGCCGATGTTCGCAGGAGAAGTGCCGACTTTAGCATTCGTGGTGCTGGCGCCGAGGCTCAGCAGGGCTTAACAGCTCGGTGGTCCGAGTTCTATGGATTGGTCAAAGAGGTGGTTAGAGAGAAGAGTGTCAAGGAGATGCGCAAACGCGTTGTGAGCCCTGTCGCCAGAGTGCGTGGCTCTGTTCGCCAGAAGCAGAACGAACTCAAGCGATGCAGATTGCGTGGAGCCAACGCGCTGGGGGTCTTGCTGGGAGAGGGCTTGATGAATGAGAACATGCATGGCGAAGGTTTTGCAACGCCAAGTGGTACTCAGGGCCGCGACAAATGGAAGGCCAGTGTGGCACGAAATGTTGCTCTCATGGACGCCGTCCTTGCTAAGGTCAACGAGGAAGAGCTTGCGGTTGATAAATTCGACGCAGCCATTGCAGCAGCCACCGACGACGATCCACTCTACGATGTTGAAGTCTACACTCGGGACAACGGGGAGGCTTCTGGATCAGGAGTACACCCTGCGACCATCGCCAACAGACTGATCAAGATGCTAAATGCCAGGGTCCCCGAATACACACAGCAGTCAAAGGTCATGGTACAGAAACATGGCAAGCCGTCTCGCATTGTCCGATACTGGCTCCCCGTCACTGTAGGAATTCTCTTGTCAAGCACCATCCTCCGTTACCTTGTCAACCGGAAAGCGGAGATCCTTACCTGGATTCAAGAGTTCGGCCACACCATTCGCGACTTTTGGATCAACTGGTGTGTGGAGCCGACTCGCAAGGTCATTCAGACGATCCGCCATGACAAAGACAGCGAGGTGTCGATAATGTCGAAAAGGTCTCTAGAGGGTGACAGGTCCAGCTTGGAACGCATGGTTGTGGACTTTGCAGTGGACAACCCAGGCAATGCGACAGATACTGGTAGCCCGCTCACAGACGTCGAGATTGCAAGCATCAGAGCCAAGGTTCGCGAGGGTGACTTGACACCAGTGCTCAAAGCATACGAGAAGGATCTGTCCAGTCCCTTCATGGGCACCATCCGTGGAAACTTGATCCGTGCATTGTTGATTCAAGTACAAAAGACCAAGGTTGACGTTGAAGTGGCCATGGGCGGCATTGATGCATTGCTCAAGAGTCAAGAACTGGTATTTGGTTTCGTGGGTCTCACTCCCGGCATTCTCGTGACGATTGGAGTTTCACGCTGGCTTTCATCTACACTGACTTCACGACGAGGGGCAGACGCAAGTCGCAAGCAAGGACACATGATGCGACAATTGCGCAACATTGACCGAGTGCTTACCAACTCGACGCCCACAGAATTTGGAGAACTGTACTACAAGGATCACGGACTATTGTTGTGCGAGGTGCATGTTTTGCGTGAGGCGGCGCACAGAGTGATGCCTGCACAGATATTCAGGGACTTTGTCGAGGATGTGGAGGAGTTGGTTGATGTTCGAACAGGAGTCAAGAAGCAGAGGAAGGTGGTCAACAGGATCCGCTGGGCGTACAAGCGATACTTTTAGATATCAGAGATATCAGACACATCAGAGTATAGATAACCACTTGAGAATAGAGATGGCTGAGAGTTGCTCGAGTAGAGGCTGATCAATATGGACGTTTGCAACAGTTTGAGCCGAATGGAGAAGTCGGGGTCGTGTTTCGGGACACTTGGCAGGCGCAGGCTGGTGCTCCAAGGCGGGACCCTCCAGTCTCCAGAACGTCAACGGTAACTTTTGGCATCTGCTGCCTTGACATCACCTTGCTGTCTGTCTGTCTGTCCATACCCTGTACCTCACACCTGCGAACAAGCGAAAGCCGCCGACGTCGTCCCCTTCTCTTTGTTGTCTGACACTCTCGGTCCTGCGACTCCCGACCCTGCAACCACGCCAAACACACACCGCCTTGCACCTACGCTGCTCATCACCCACGACCGTCTTGTACACTCGCTGCCTGCCGATATACGACTGTCGCCCTCGCACCTCTCACTGCCAGCCGCTGCCGCTCTCTCCCACATCCTGCCGTCGCCATGGCAGGCCAAAACCGCAACTATGACTTTCTCGTACGACCCCACCTCTGCCTTGGCCATCCTCTCTCTAACACGTGCACCACAGNNATCAAGCTCCTTCTAATCGGCGACTCGGGTGTTGGCAAGTCATGCTGTCTGTTGCGATTCAGCGAGGACAGCTTCACTCCGTCATTCATCACCACCATCGGCATAGACTTCAAGATCCGCACCATCGAGCTCGACAACAAGCGCGTCAAGCTACAAATCTGGGATACCGCCGGCCAGGAGCGTTTCCGCACCATCACCACCGCCTACTACCGCGGCGCCATGGGTATCCTCCTGGTTTACGACGTGACGGACGAGAAGAGCTTCAATAGTGCGTTGCATTCCACTCTCCCCTTCTTCCCCTTGTTTCTCATACTAATCTGTTCCAACACAGACATCCGCACCTGGTTCTCCAACGTCGAACAACACGCTTCCGAAGGCGTCAACAAAATCCTCATCGGCAACAAGTGCGATTGGGAAGAAAAGCGCGCCGTCAGCACCGCCCAAGGTCAAGCCCTGGCCGACGAGCTTAAGATTCCCTTTATCGAAGTATCCGCAAAGTCAAACATCAATGTAGAAAAGGCCTTCTTCTCGCTCGCCTCGGATATCAAGAAACGCATCATCGATAGCAGTGGCGGTGGTGCCCAAGGAGGTGCCCAGCAGGGTGCTAGTCAGGTTGATGTGGGTCAAGGAGGTGGCGTTGCGGGTGCCATGGGGAAGAATTGCTGTTAAAGAGGTGGACATCTGCTTCAGGCATCTCTTTCTGACGCATGCTGCCTGGCCGGTGTTGTTCTCTGGCTGCTCTCGCGTGGATTTTCCCTTCTACTTTCTCTGCTGTTTTTCTCTTGGGGAAAGGCGTAAACATGGCGTTACTCTCAACAAAGACCTACTATAGGGTGGGCATGTGTTTCTGTTTCTTTCCTGCTTGTCTTTTTCTCTGCCTTGCTTTTCCTGCCCCCATATCATACCAGGCAAAATCGTTTACAGAATTTCTTTCAACGTGGCTGAGCAAGCCTTGACTTACCTTACTTGTCTACCACACAGTGTTTTGCCTTGATCACTCATAACCCAGTATATGGAAATGAGGGCTTTCATGTTCTCTGCTCCAAAGATCAATACAACAATCTTACCGGGTCATATATCGTCAAGTTTGGTAGCCGGCTGGACGTTCTTCGAGCAACAGAATCATCGTTTTCAGAAACATCTGGATCGTTTTGAACGACATTCAGTGACGACTTTGGTGTATCGTATACATGGAACGCTTCTCTAGGATACTGTCAACACTTGTGAAGCAAGCAATCACGACATCGAAGCACACGATCCCGAAGCAATGACCAGATGAAGTGGACTGGACTCTGTTTTCTGCACGAGACTTTGCTGAACTTTTGTCTCCAGGTCTTTGACATTGCTATCGAAAGTATTTGGACAATGGATTATGGTGACCCTGCAATTGCAAATATTTACGAACCTATGGTCAATATGTCTGAGACGGCTTTGTTATATGCTAGCATACATTGCTACCCGTTTTACTTCCTTTTCTTGCAACTCTTGAACCTTCCAGAGCCTTCCAAGAAGGTGTTAGGTCAAGCAAAAGCAAACAAAAGAAGTGAAGGTACGAGACAACTTGATCGGTACGACTATGGATACCGGGGACATAGAATGGTCCTTTGTCAAGGCTACAAGTGCTTTATTTGTTTGTTTGAAGTTCTGAAAAACGAGACACGTTCATCTGTTGCTCTGCGGGTTGTCCGCTTCTTTCGTTTTCCAAAAATACCCAAAGTTTCTAGAAGTGCGACATTGTCTTTCTTTTTACCTAACCCTCTTTCCAGGACCCTCATATATGTTCTCTCACTTCTGGTTTCTCATCCGACTTTCTCAAATCAACTACACACATCACAATCCCCTCAGATCAACTTGACGCTATGTCCAAATCTGACAATCCTACACCAACTAAAGAGAACAAGCAACCACGTCTGGATCTCCAAGACCAGATCCAGCGTGCTGTTATTCTGGCTACACAGCTGTCTCACGCAGCCAGCAAGGAGCACCTGGACTCAACAGAATGGACTGCCAATCAGGTTGCTGCCAACGAGCTCTTGCGTACTTTTGAGAATATGCAGGAGGGGACCGTCAAGTAATTTTTCCTGACAATACATGATGATCTGTCTCTGACATCGTTTGCANGCACTGCCAAGGCTATTGAAGATCTCATTGCTACTCAGATCATGCTCGAGGTCAAAATGAGGATAGACGCTCTCTATAAGAAATCCGTAAGCAGCGCCTATGTTTTGAGCAAAGAGATCGATCAGCATCTCGAACCCGGACAGACCAGCTCTAGAGAACGTATTGCCAGGGTCGCTCTTGAAAAACTGGACGGTGTTGCATCTGTGGACCTCGCTGTCAAAGTTACGGAGGCAATCGAGGCAGCCATCCTAGAGGAGTTCCACAAGGGCATTGACCAGAAAATGCACATGTACATGCTGTGAGAAGTGCTCAGACGAGACCTAGGGAATCGCTAGAAGTAAGAGCGCGACACATCGATGGATGAACGGGGTTTGATCGGAAAGGGGGAAGGAGCAGCTCCTTTATTGACTTCCAGCTAGCCTTTGCAAGAACATTGAGGGAAGCAGCAACGTATGGCCTCCCCGTATGCACAAGACTATTACAAAACGATTGTAGGTATACACAGCACTTTTCGAGCGGTAGTGATGTCCATGGAGCGAACATAACATGAGGATACCTCAATGAACAAGGTCTTGTATAATAGATGACTGTGTCATTTGATAGCTAACAATAGCTCTATGCATCTCCACAAGCAAAAGACAGGGATTTTCTCATGATCGTTCGTTGTTTATTCGGAGACCGCTTACGTCGATGGTGGTAGTAAGGGCGAGAATGGGCGATCCACGAGAATCGAAGTCGACCAACAAGGAAGTAACGAACAAGTCGACAACCAAGGAATGCAACACAAAAGGAGAAATGGAAGAAACTCGATCACTCGAGATCCACGCACTCAAACTTCTCTGTGCACAGCAAACTAACCTACTTCTTTGACCATCACCATATTCCGGGACTTCGATTGTGACACGAAAGGGCAAGCTCAAGGCACCTACACTCAGGTAGTCTTAACATCCTCGAGTTGAAGACAGATAAAACTGAAGATCCAAGCATCACCGGTCTTCTGATCTCAAACTCTCTCTTTCCCAGATTTTTGTTCAGTCCAATGGTCTTTGTAAACCATGGACGCCGTCTGATGGTGATTATAGTGAGTTAGATTGCGGCCATGCGACATCTGTGGGCAGGGCGTCCTTTACATTATCCCAGTCACCAGGCAGCACATTGACACGTCTCTGAGTTTGTTTTCTTGCTTGTGTAGTTGACTGAGTAAGTTAACCACGATCCCTCTTTCATCTCGAGATATATATACTTTGGTGCACCAGTAGATGAATTATCGTCTTCCAATACAGTTCTTCAAGAATCACAAACATGCAACTCAAAACTGGTTCCTTCTCGCGGCAACTGCAGCCCTGGCCACTGCAGCATCAACCAACCCACCAGAAGCAAAAATCACAATCGACCACTTTCCCGCTTGCGAGGCGAGTAACCATGACTTTTGGTCAAATCGTGGTTGACTCAACAAACAGTCAAACAGCAAAACTGCATGCGTCAAACGAGCTGGGCGTACCCGATCGAACACTTGACCTTTACAACACTCTGCAGAGGTGAACAGCGTAAATGGAACTTCAATGTGTGGGTACGGGATCATGTTGAGCCGTGTCTGTTTGATACTTGCTACTGGGATAGAGGCAGTGATGGGGTCAGAGGTGAGGTGGTATTTCGACTGGATACAGATCTCTACTGACTTGGTAGATCTCTGGGCGTGGTATGACAGAACTTGCGGACCTAATCCTTGAGGTGTCTGGGACCTGACCCCTGAGCAGACCGCAAGGTCAATATACTCAAATACTTCTTTGGTTCTCCCGCATGCTGATGACTGTCGAAGATCAACTGTAAAAATGCACGATAGTTATTAGGATTGAGTGATGTCCAAGGAGAGATGCAGTCTTGGAGCTGTCTCCGTGGTCACGTATACAACTGAGCAAGCGACTGTGTATTTCTATAGCATACTCTAGCACCAGTCATTGACATGGGAGAGAGATCGGCTCGGGGCACAAGAGGATGGTGGACCTGATCGTTACTGTCGAAGAGACCCCGTGCTCAAAAGGGATATCACAATAGACAACTTGGTGACAAGGTCAATTTTGCCCACATAGTGAAGGGCCGGGCAACTGTCACAGAACTCCTATTGCCGGATGCCAGGTTGGACTTGCATGATGGTTTTGAGAGTGGCAAAGTTTGGAGAGCGACCGAACCTCCGGGCTCTAATCTGTCCGGTCCCAAGTATATATTCCCAAAGGAAGATAGTGAGATCAGTAATAATGCCGAGGGAATCCAGATAGCATACGATGTGTTGTTGTGGCATTGCTTCATGCATGTGCGGAGTACGTGCCAGTACGGTATTGCATACATGTTTTGATAAACACTAAATGCAAAGTAAACATGGCAGCTGATAGGAAACAGCCAGTCGCCAACGTTGTCGGTTACTGCGCTCATAAAGTTGAGCACAAACGCCAACCACTTGAATACATTTGGATGGTTGTTAGGGTCTAAAGAATCGCAGTCAGTCGAATCGTCTCAAAAACAACCGCTGTGTTAATATACTGAGCCGTTTTCCCTAGTAGACATTCGCCTTCTATGCAGGCATGAATCCGGGTGGGTTAACGTGAGAGACGTGGTCAACAGTGGTGGTAGAACGTGTCGCGAGACCCGGATCATTCACGGGCAAGAAGCCAGGCGAGGCGACGAGAGAAGACCGAGAAGAGATTGCTGGTGTTATGTGATGGTGAGGTGACGGTGATGGTAGGTGATGGTGATGGTAAAGAAGTAGGTTGGTTTGCTACGCGCAGAGAAGTTTGAGTGCATTAGTGAAGCTCGAATGCATCAGTGAAGCTTGTTGTGGTGAACGCGATCTAAGAGGTTACTGCATGGTTTTCACTTTATCTGGTAAAATCGTCCATTAGGAGAGGTCGTATATATACGGTAGATAATTTCGCAGCAACGATCTGGATGGTTTTTTTGAGGAAGAAAAGCGAGTGGTTTCGTAAACTTTTGTAACTACATAGACATCTACGCAGTCGAGTTACCCTTATGGGAGATCAGAAGGGTACCGAAGACATTCGAGTTTGGTACGGCCTTGCCGACCTTGCTCTTAAGGTAACAGGATGAGCCAGAGAGCGAAGCATCAATACAACCAGGTGTCTGCTCGCAAGCAGCAACACAGCTCTTGATGCCGCCATTCACGTAGACCAATTTGAGGTCACCGCCTTGGTGGTCAACACCACATTCGACAAAGTACTGAGAACCAGAGGTAGAGTTGTAAATGGTGTTGTTCCAGCTAGGGCAGGAAACAGTGGTGGTGAGCTGGGCGTGAAGACCAACGGGTTGAGAGATGAGACGAGCGCCGACGGCACCAGGCTTGGAGACTGCGGTTCCGACGGCACCCTTGAGGTAGCAGGTAGTACCAGAGAGCTGGACGTCGATACAACCAGCAGTACCTTCACAGGCCATGATGCAGTTGTTGAGTCTGTCGGTGCCGTTGACGTAGACCTGCGAGAAGACACCACCAGCGTGGTCAGTGCCGCACTCGATCTTGTAGGTGCTTCCAGTTGAGGGGTGTACTCCAAGGTGTTCCAAGATGGGCATGATGGAGTTGCAGTCTTGTTGTAAGCACTGAGACCAAGGGTGTCAAGCAACACACCGAAGTTTGGCAAACCCAAACCTGTAACTGCGTCCCAGCCGACTGTTNGCGTTCCAGGTAGCCCAAGGAATGATCGAAGCGCCAGGAATCTTAGCACCAGTCTGAGCGTTGACACCGTTGCAACCGGTGGCGGCACCCTTAGTGACGTCCAGGAAGCCTGACTTCAAGGAGTAGAATAGGGGNTTGACGAAACCGAGGGCCGGCTGACCGGCCTTGAAGCGAGCATCATTAAGCATACCAATCATAGCGGCCCAAGCGGGAGCTGCAGCAGAGGTTCCAGAATAGAGAGCAAGGACACCCNNTATAGGTGTGTTAGCAAAGAGGAGGTCATAGCTGGTGGAGAAGATATAACCTACGTTGGCGAAAACAGGCCAGTAAGGATTCGAACTATGGGCTGAGAAATCAGGGAATCCACGTCCGCTGAAGTTGGTGTAGGGAGTGTAGTACTCCTGGACACTTTTGCTGACATACGAACCGAGGTAGGTCTCGATGGCAGCTTCCTGGTACCATGCACGGGGNAAGTAGTTGCTGAACCCACCAGTTGATCCATCCCATGCAATTTCTGGATCCAAGCTTTGGGTACCCCCAATTGCTGACACGTAGGGGCATGTACCGGGGAAGGCTGGAGTGAATTGAGGAGTNTTNTTGCCGTCATTTGACTGACAAGGGGCTCCCACTCCTGTATCTCCTGAAGATTCGAGGATAGTGATACCACGAAGACCCATCATACCGATTTGATTGCAGACATATGTGGCATAATTAATAGGGACGGTCTGTTCATCATCTCCGTATGAGTTGGAGATGACCTGAGGAAGAGCCTCGTTAGGCTGAGACAAAAGGTATGCGTAGTAGTCCAAGTAGGGCTCGTTAGAATTGTCGGCCTCAGTAGGCTCATCCAAGTTGGGGATGAAAGGAGGCGAGCCTCCGGTAATGAACTCGGTTACTGGAAGAGGGTGAGCCAGACCAAAGATGTTCTGTGCATCGAGGTTGGCCTCGCCAATACTGGTGTATTCGGGCTCCTGGTGGTTGACGCCACCGTTGATGAGGGTGACGTTGAAACTCTGCTTAGGGATACCGTACTTCTGTTCGTAGAGGAAGAGATCGGCTTCAATGGCCGATTCGTTCAGGAAACTGCCGAAGCCGATGCGGCTGCCACTGGAAGCATCGGGAACATAGGTAATGTTCAAGACTTGCTTCCAGCAATCAGGTCCTAGGTAAGCGGTTCCACGAGCTGAGTGTGAGACGCAAGTAGTAACACGCTTGGCCAGGTCAGATTGCGGCCCCGACACCGATGCACGTCTCTCAATACCAACGTTCTCTGGAAGTCTGAGAGCACTTTGTGCATCGGTACGTCCGAAGAAAGTAGTTGGCGAAACAAAGTCGATGTGGTTCGAGATCTCATCAGGAACACTGTATTGGAGCGTTCTCAACTTCTCAACACCCGTGGACTCGTCCTTGAAGGTTGTGAAGTTTGCTCCGAAGACCTTGTTGGCGTCGCCGATAGTTGTCTTGATAGTGACATGCAGACCACGATCGAGGCTGTTCTCCAGTCCAGATGATTTGGCCCACGAAGTCACGGCATCAACAGAGCCGGTAGATGGTGCAAAGAGAGCGTTGACCTGAGCGGCGGTGTAGTATTTTCCATAGTTGGGACTTGATGGGTCAGAGACCGACTTCAAGAGGCCCTCGAGCTGGTCAATATTCTGTTGCTTGACTGCAAGCTTCAGAGTGATTGACTGGGAAGCATCAGGTGTACCTGAGACAGACCATCCTGCTGGGACTCCTGGAAGTTGGTCACGGAGGGAAGCTGCCAGAACAGTTGGCACGGTCAAAGCCGCAATGGAAAGAAGGGAAGCTGACAACATGTTGATCAGCACAAAGCAAGCACGACTGGATGAAGAGACTAGGAACAATCGAAGGGTCCTACCTGTTTATACACGTCTATGCCCCTCACGGGTAGCTGCTGGGCTCCATTGACTACCCGATAGTACCTGTGCTCTACGAACGCCGCTTCACGAGATAGTGGAGTACATTTAGGAGATTGCAGAACACGATAGTTGCAGATCGCGTCCAGTCTACTGCAAGATCTTGGATAGTGATCATGGGGGCATATGCCAAGAAGAGGGGTGGTGGCACGGGAAATGCTTGGACTTCATGCTTAGGCCTCTAATCACCATGCAAAGTGGTGGAGTATAGATTCAAGGCTTGCATCCAGGGGCTTCTAGAGGAAGATCAGCACATGTTCATCATCTTTCACCTGCCTCATTCAGACGTATAGTCGCGTCGGAAGAGCTTCACGGCCGCATATTCGTATACAAGCTCGTAGCCACAACTTCGGTTAGATAGACCTATAGTAGCAGCTAGGAGATGGAGGGATAAAGTACATAATTTAGAAGAAGAGGCGCGCGGGCACGCGACATATCTCGTAATAAGAGCGATAGCGAAATAGGAAGGTAGAGGGCGGAGGTCGGCTTGAAGGTTCGAATACGAAGCACGACGGGCGGCATCGGCCAAGCGTCGTTAAGCAGCCGTCAGAGAAGCTTGATGCTTTGACAAGTTTCGACCTCTAATTCTTACATGATAGATAGCATGATTGCCTTCGTCAGTGACTGTGAGCATATGGACATGGAGAGTGTGTTGCATGTTGAGTAGAGCTTAGTGTGTAATAACCGTGTCTCTCTCAGCACCTAGCCCCAGCATGCTTGAGAACATGGATAGGAACGGAACCAAGGAACGGCATCTTATCTCTAATAGTGGCGTACATCATGGGATAGTGGTTCATGTGTAGATTGATCGTCAAGACAGACTGATCTGCTTGTATGCAGGTACCGTTCATCGCTGCATACTCTAACATGCTGCTATGCTAATCTGTACTGTAGCCACCTGCCCTTTATGCACATGCAAATGCGATCTTGTTCACCAGCGTCCTCAGAAAATGAGTCGAAAGCAAATGGGTCGAGCTTGTCCCCCAAGCGCGCCCTTGCTACGCTGAACGTACAGATATCATAAAGGCGCCGGGAAACCTGGTCCATGCAGGAAAAGAATGAAAGGAAATCGTAAAGTTCATGATTGGATCACTCGCCCAGTTCAGCCATCTCTCTTTCTTTGGCCAAAAGCGCTTCCCTCATCATCGCCATTTCTTGTTCCAGTCGCGCTCTCTTCTCTTGTCGCGACGATTGACCAGATTGGAACGAGTCTCCAGCGCCCATGACGGCTAGCGGTGCTTTATAGTCTTGAGCCGAACTGATAGACCCTGGACCGGGAGGTGCTGAAGAGAGAGAAGGATCTATGTTTTCGGCTTCGCTTCGTTGACTACGATCGCTATGAGGGTATGCTGGCGAGGGAGGCTGTCGCGCTTGGTCTGAAGCATTGCTAATCGAAAAGGAGCGTTTGCGCGAAGCTGGTGGATTTAAAGGCTGGGCATATTCGGGCTGTTCGGCCGATGTCGGGCGCGACGGCTTGCCGAAATGTGTAAAGTCGACAGCGATGGGCGCGCGGGGAAGGCGAGTGGGCTCGAAAGAAGCAGGTGGAGGAAGGTGGTGAGAGTGCGAATGTTCGGGGTGCTGGTGTTGTGGTTGTTGCTGCTGAGGGTAGAAGGGAGGTACGGATCGCTGCGGTGCGGGCTCTGGAGGGGGTGAGATGGGTTGGGTATTGTTGACGGAGAAGGGAGCAAGGTGCTGGTCGCTGGTAGCGGGCATGACTCTGCGGCGACGCTTGATCTCTGATTTCTTCATGCCTGAAGGGCGGTGCACGCCGTGGAGCTTGTAGTAGAGACCNTGAGAGATTGAATCAGAACTGATCGAGATAAGATAAGATGTTGTCGCAAACATACCGCAAGCATTGCAGATTGTGTGTCCGTTGTCGTCTCGTCTCCACAATGGCGTAATTGTCGTACCACAATTCTGACAGGCCACCGTGACATTGGCCGCCGGCGCTTGGCTTGGCCCCGGACTGTTTCGCGCGTGCGGGTACGGGCTCTGACTGGCGCCGTGTTGACCCTGTGCCCGACTGTCGTTTGCTTGCGCCAGAGCAATCTGCGCCGTCTTGCTGACTCGGTTGTTGTATGCCGGACACCCGTTGCATCCATCGTGACCTCCAGTGCCGTTGCAGCGACCTCCGCCAGGGCATGTGCCGTTCGATGTCGTGTCGGTGACATATGTTGCTCCTCCAAGCTGCTTTGCTGATGCTGACGGCGATGAACTCTTTCTGTTGCCCGAGGCTGTCGTCTGCTGCTCTTGTTGCTGCGGTTGTCCTGCGGGTGATGCTTGAGCTCCGCGTTTAAGGTTGACAGGTCGCATCTGGTTGCGGGCCTTGAGGTATAGTCCGCAGGCGTTGCATATCGTGTCGCCAGCTGGAGAGCGTCGCCATAGTGGTGTTCTCGTTGTACCGCAATTGCTGAAACTTGGTCAGCATACGAAGGTCGGATCATGTATGGATACTAGATACCTGCACACTTGGCCTGCTCCGCCCATGCCTGTGTTGAAGGGCTTCCTCTGTTTGACCCATGTGAGTTCGTGTATGGATGGTAATTGTAGGTTTTGCTGTTGCTGGTTATGCGAGTGTTGTGGAGTGAGCTGTTGCTGTTGCGCCGAGAGACTCGTCTCGCTGCCGCCGTCGTCGGATAACCGCTCGACATCTCCACCGCTTCTGCTTCCGCCGTCTGCTGTTGACGGAGTGGTGCGGCGATCGGCTATAGGAGGACCATGTTGGATGCCTTGTGAGTGTTCGATCAAGCGTTCGGCGAGTTCGAGTTCTTCCTTGGAGCGTTCGTTGGATAAGTGTGGAGCGGCGACAGGGGACGGCGCAAGTGTCGATGCTGGATTGGACATGGTAAGGATGGATTCGATGGTTGTTCTTGTCGTCGGCGGGATGCGCAACACGACCTCCTTCAAGGCGAGTGGTATAGGCGAAAGGGTCACGCCAAGGCGAAGGTGCTTAGGACGCGCGCGCAACTTGCTGCAGCCTGGCTATCTATCGTCGTCCGACAACCTGGGGGAATATGCTCTTTCTTGGCGACGTGATAATCAGCACCAGGTGTACAGGTCGGCAGAATCTTCCGACGACTCGTGTCTCTAGACGGGTGACGGCTGTCGAGTAGTCCCTTCAAGACGAGTAGGATCGCGCGTGTCTGGTTTGCCTGTGCGGCCGAGGGAGCAACAGGAAAGCGAAACTACGAGATCACGGTTGATGACTATGACTTCGCTCTGATTGGCTCGTCCTGCTAGCAGAGCTTCGGTCTTGTAATGCTGATCTGGAAGGCTTCCGACTGGCTCGCTGGCCCCACTTGATTGCTTTGCTTTAGGCAATGGAACCTTCTGCGCGCTTTCGCTTAACTTGGCATTTGCAGGTGACATCTCTGCTCATCTCTCTCATGGTCAAGTTCAGCTCTCGTAACGACACCGAGATGTGCCCGTAGACTGTGGCCATCGTGCATAACGTGCCATCCACCCACTTTCGGCTGTCTACTTACATACAGCCAACACAGCCGATACCACACTGTGCCAGCTTTGGGACCACGACGAATGCAATCTTTGGGCCGGCAAAGCGAGCACTCTGCTTTCCGCGGGGCTCAGGGTCTGTTATCCCCGGCCATACCAAGTACCCTTTGCAAAGAGATCAGCCACGGCACGTTCTCCCGGATTGGGAGAGAGAAAGAGTTTGTTGATTCATCCCGTGTGGGCGCTGGTTGTATCTTATTGTCAATTGACGCGTGGTCATCTATTCCGCAACAAATGTACCCTTTGGTGGAATCGTGACCTTGCCTCTAGCTTCCTTGGTCCGCCATTGAATCGCCTGGAGGAGATGGTAGAGAACCTGCAATGTCGGCATTGGCACACCTAGAGCAGTGCCAACCCTGAGAGGCTCTCCTACAAGATTTTCAAACTCGACAAAGTTGCCCTAGGTCTAGTCAGCCACTGCTCAAGAATTCTGCGAAGACAAGCACACCTTTCTGATATCTCCCAACATGCTGGGAGGAAGATACATGGTCAAACTAGCATCTGGTTAGCAGAGGCATCACGCTGGCTCCGGGTTCACAACCACTCATCAGTCTCGAGTACTTACGGGNTCGGTGTTGATCATAAAGTCGCAGACATCCGGAGGAAGATTGACACCGACTGCTTTCGCCGCGGCTCTGATCTCTTCCATAGCAGGTCTGACCAGTCCATCGATTGCACCATCTGCGAGTCTAATACGACCGGTATCCAGCCCAGTAAGAGCACAGATCGAGTTCAAGCAAGCATTGTATACCAACTTTCGCCATCTCGCAAATTTGACATCCAATTGCAGCTCGCAGTCGGTCTTTCCGCCAGCAGAGTAGATACGGATAAAGTCCCTTGCTGCGGCTTCCTCGTCCTTCGCGGATAGATTGGTGTTATGGAATGGTCCAATCAGTACTCGATCGTTGTCATCGTGCTCAATTACGCCGGGTTCAGTCTCGTGTGATCCGATCATACTCACGCCTGACAGTACAATGTTGTTGGGAAATGCCTCGAAAATCGGCTTCTCGATGTTAAGCCCATTTTGAACGAGAACGATTACTGTACGTCCAGGCTGAACAGCAGGAGCAATGAGTTCGGTCAGAGTAGGTGGACAATCTGGTTGGTTCTTTGTTGTGCAGACGATGTAGTCGAACTGCTTCTCCGAAGCCTTGGGGACGTGATCCACCACTNNGGAGACTTTAGTATTCCATTGACCCTTGGTCGGGGAACATGGAGACTAACCCTCGGTCGGCCGCCATCCTTTCAGTGTGCCATGATCACAAGATGCAATGTCGAAGCCTCTCTCCTTGACGGCCTTGTAGTTTGAACGCAAGACAGCCGTGACTTCTGCGTGACCACCAACCTCGAGGTTTAGTGCTGCAATTGTGCCGACTCCGCCGCTACCAAAAAGAAGAACCTTGGATTTTTCGTTGTGCATTTTGAATTATGAGATAAAATTGTGGAACAGTCTTGCAATTGAAGATGATTGATGTCTGAGGACAACTATCTATATCAAACTTGAGTGACGTCGATGGGAAGGTGAAGTCCGATAGCCCTATCACGGCCAACATGATTCCCCAAAACGAGCAAGTGTTGGCCGAGGAGAGACGAGGATGGAGCTCGGCCAACTGAGAGAAGCCTTTCGCCGATCACGAGGACAGGGAGAATTTGAACTCGCCGGCCTGTCCGAAGACGCCGATCTTACGAGGAGAAAAGCATACTCCAGCCTTGGCCTCCTGCGCAAAGCGGGCGAAGAACGCAGAACTAGATCTATAGAACGTTCTGCCTCCAAATTCTGCTGACATTTGTTTGATAGCAGATCCCATGTGTTCTCCGATCACATCCCTGGCCGTCGGTTTTCGACTTCCAATTTGCCGTTGAGAGTGTTTCCCCCGATGCAACACACCTTTACTCCGAGTAGCAGTCCACCGGTATGAGCAAAATGACAGGGCTTCGGCCTTCGTGGCCTCGCAGATTTTCCTATCTGGTTACTCGGTCTTGCCTTCTCTTTTTCTGTAACCTCTACAGCAGATCATTAAAAAGCAATGAGTCCGCGATCAAACGCGTGTTCTACCTGCCGTTCGCGCAAGGTCAAGTGTGATAGAAACCTACCAAAATGCTCGGCCTGCAGGCGACTAAATCTGGACTGTGTTCAACAAGGCGCTGTCCAAGGACTAATATGGCTTGACCCCGGGGTGCCTAACAAAACGACTTCTCGGAAATGTAGTGCAGAGTCGCCGGAGAGAGAAATGGGTCTTCGTAGGAGACCGCTCTTCTCGGGTAAGTCTCCATGAATACTATACTTGTGTCCTAGCGCTAACCACACCCTAGATCGCGAGCGTATTGCAGAATGTTCCAGGATGACAAGACAGATTCCAGAGCACCAAGTAGAGGGCCTTCTCTTGCAACTGGACACTCAGGCCGAAACCCTGGATTACGACACGCCACTTAACCATGGACCTTTCGGAGTCTTTTCTTTGCACAAGCCGCAATCACCATCACTCTCGCCTTCATCTCCTCCTGTACCCGAGCCTGAAGCTCTGCCGATCATTAATTCGTTACCGGAAGACGACTGGTACGGCATTGACTTTATGAACATCGAGCAACCTTCGCACGACTTCCAACCTGTCATGACGAAAAGCCCTCTTCCTCTGTCATGGGCTACTCAGTCACCCATGCTCAACTTTGGTGATGGAATGGATGAAGCTTTCAACATGAACTTCGGTGGAGTCGAAGACCCTTCCGCTATCACAGATCTGACCAGATTTTTCCCTCTCAGTCCACGCCTGCCCACACCTGTCACTTTGACTTTTTCCCAGGACGTTGCAGGAATGGCACCTGGAGTTATACGCACCTTACTGGATCACTACCAAAATTCGATGATGTCCTGCTTTACACCATTGCATCATGAGAAACCTCCATGGAAGATTCTTCATCTGCCTTGTGCTATTTCTGCATATGGAGAACTAAGCCTTCTTGGAGACTCAAACAACGCCAAGATGACATTGCTTTTTGCAGTTCTGGCCATGAGCGCATTCAATCTAAAGCACCTGCAGACCGATCCAATGGAGGCAGATAATTGGCAATCTATGGCGGAATCGTATCGTGAGAAGGCGAAGGCACGACTAAAGCTCTGCCTTCGTGAGCAGAGCGAGGAGAAGAAGAAGTCAAAGTACAAGGAGGTTTTGATGGCGTTGACCAGCATGGTTACAGTCTGCGTGGTCAGCGGGCAGATGCAAGAAGCAAGATGCTACCTCTTGGATGCCGAGCGATTCATTTATATGCAGAGCTTGAAGAAGCCCAAGCAATCACGAAAAGTCAACATGCTGCACAGTATCTATCTCTACCTACGGATCATTGAGGAAAGCACTTTCACTCCTGTCGAGGATGCTCAACTTTACTTGACCAACCACTCATACGCCCTAACGAACGAAAAGCCAAGCGCGATCTGTCGCTACCCTTCGCTGTGGAGCGACCGTCTGAAGATGGGCTCGGACATGGACTTTCAGGACATGGCAGATCTGGAGACACGATTGGTGAAGTTCCCGGCCGACCAGGACGAACCAACCATGTTCGAGCAAATCTACGGCATTCCCGAATCACTCTTCCGCCTGATCTCGCACGCTACGCACCTGGCCGATGAGGTTCGTCGAAGCCGCTCCACCCACCCCAGCGGCATGTCTGAGAACCTTGCTCAGAGAGCCAAACTCATCGAAAGCAAGATTTGCGAGTGGAAGAACCCGTACAAAATGCTGGCCGAAAAGCAAACCTTGATTGTGTATGGACCAGCAGAGCGATCTGACAAGATCGAGGTGCGAACCGACCTACTCTTCAACTTTCTGGAAGCCATGCACTGCGCCCTGATCATCTATTTCTACCGCCGGGTCAAGGACACAAATGCAACCACTCTGCAACACTATGTCGGCAAAACAATCCACCACCTCTTGGAGCACGAAAAGAAGAAGAACAAGTACGGCGACACATCTGCTTATGTCGCTTGGCCTGGCTTCATTGCAGCTTGCGAGGCGTTGGATCCTGTTCATCGCGAGCAGATCTCGGCATTCATGTACAGAGCTGGCCAACAGTCTGGTGTAGGCAGTCTATTTGTTGCCGCTGATGTGGCTACAAAGGTGTGGGCTGCAAGAGACGATACAGGCTCTCTGGATGTGTCGTGGAGCGACATCCTGGCCACCAGCAAGAACGGCTTGATCGTGACATGAGGCGGGCGGAATGTGTGAAGGAAACTAACGACTGATGATGCTTACGATGTTACGAATCTTGTCAAAAGCTCAGATATATAATTATGAATGTTTCTACCTCTATTTTACCAGACTTTGTTCTCGCCGATAAATGTAAACATTCCTGCATCTACATGTGCTTGAGTCTGGCGTACTGTAGATATGGAGGTGTACGACGTTTCATAGGAAAGAGGGACATCTAAGGGAGCAATGTCTTACGCTGAATCCATATACAGGCTGGCCGCTGTCGATGCTGGCAGTGGTTAGATATTGGAAAAGATCAATGACCAGGGTCATTCAGATGGCACGGAGATATCGGTCTTGATCTGCGGGCTCTGACGGACCATGACGCGTTGTATACCCCACCTCGAGCAGCTCTCGATTCCCCGATGTGGAGTTCGTCGAGCTAGATCATCGATTGGGCAAAGAAAGATGCGTCTGTACGTTACATCTTCCTCTCTGTGCTCCAGACCCATCTCAACTCACTTCTTCTTTCGCTCCACAAGATACATCAACCCCATCAGACACCACTCCACAATGCAGTCTCACGCTTGCTGTACCGTTCCTCCTGTCATTAGCAAGGGCTATGACGCCAAGGGCTCTTACACAACCATTGATGGCATGAAGACCTACGTTACTGGCTCTAGCGATGCAAAGAAGGCACTCCTCGTCATCTACGACATCTTTGGGTTCAAGGACCAGACCATCCAGGGAGCCGATATCCTCGCAACCAGCGACAAGGAGAACCAGTACCAGGTCTTCATGCCCGACTTCTTCGAGGGCAAGCCAGTCGACATTAGCGATTACCCTCCTGACACTGTATGCTTGATCTTAAATATGGCATCGAACGCCAGATGACTGACAACCATGACAGNNAAGGAAAAGGGCGAGCGTCTCGGAAAGTTCTTCGAGACCACCGGTGCACCACCCAAGACCGTCAGCCGCATCCCCAAGGTCATTGACGAGATCAAGAGCCAGAACAAGAACATCACCTCATTCGGCATTGTCGGTTTCTGCTGGGGCGGCAAGATTGTGAACCTGTCTTCGCAGAAGGATACCGTGTTCAAGGCTGCTGCTGCATGCCATCCTGCCATGGTTGACCCCAACGATGCCGCTGGAATCAGCATTCCCATTGCCATGCTGCCTAGCAAAGACGAGGACAAGGAAGCTGTCGAGAAGTGGGAGCAGGGCGTCAAGACCAAGCACCTTGTCAAGTGGTACAACGACCAGGTCCACGGTTTCATGGCCGCTCGGTGAGTTGCTATTCAGTCGTATCGTGAAAGGAGGATATACTGACTGGTTTTACAGTNNGCCGACCTCGAAGACGAGAATGTCAAGAAGAACTACATGGATGCTTACGGCGTCTTGCTCAACTTCTTCCACGAGCACATGTAAGTGCCTCTCTTGTTACTGAAGTGAGATGAACGCTCTGTATTGGTAAGCAAAACACTGGTGATGTTCCAAGCTTGAGAGATGCACTCGTGCTGACCGCTCGTCCACAGGACCTCATCCAATGCTCTCAAGCTATAAACACTGTCGACGAATACAGTAGTCGTAGTAGATGAATCATGAACAGTTTCCCATTATCGTGTCATGAAAGTCGTGGATTAGTTGTATTGCGTCAAATGCCCTCGTCTTCGACTTCCTCCATCTCGACGTGCCTCAGCGCCTTTTCGGCTGCTTGTCCTCCACTCTCTCCTCTACTCATCATGTCAAACTCGGCCTCTTTCTCCATCTCATCGGCAATCTTGCGTGCGTCACTGTACCCAGCCTTCTCAAGCTTGTCCGCTTCTTCGGGCTCAAGCAACCGGCCTCCCTGTCCCTTTTGTCTCGCAATGTTCTGCGCCACTGCAGCAGGCACGAATCGTTTCGACTCTTCCTTGAGGTTGCGCAACACAGGCGCAGAACTATATGTCGTTTGCGCGGGCACGGGAGCAGCAGCGGGTTTGTTCGGCAACTGGTGCGGTTGTGTTCTGCGTGGAATGGGCGGTGGTGTATCCCTCGGCATCGGAATCTTTTTCACATCGTCGTCTGTCTCGTCTTCATCCTCACCCTGTCTTCTTCTCTTTCTGCCTTCATGCCCTTGACCTCCTTCCCTATCCTCTCTCCTCGACTTAAACTCTGGCGCCTTTTCTCCCAACACATCCCTTGCCTTTTTCACCGCGCGCAAATCTTTATCTAATTGGTCGAGGGTGGCTTTGTCTTTGGGGCGCAGTTGCTGGGTTGTGGCTAGAGATTTCAGGTCGTCGATTTGGCGTTGGAGACGTTCGGGGTTGCGGCGGGCGAGCTTTTCGTTTCGCTGGGCTTGGACGGTTGCTTTTGATTTTTTGAGGGCTTGTTTNTTGTCTGCTTTGTGTTGGGCTGCGACGGGGTTGATGTTGCGTTCTTTGGGCATCTTGTTTTTGCTACGAGCTTGCGGTTCTGGTTTGATTGATGGTAGATTGATGTGGTTCCGGTACTGAGGGGGGTTTGTAGAGGTGCGAGAGAGGAGTGGTCTCGTGTGAAGATGAAAGTGTTCAATTGATGGAAGATCTGGAATTCTGACGCAGGCTGGAAGATGGAGCTGTGTTTGCCTTGTTTGAAGCTTTCGTCCCCGATTTCTCACCAGCTTCACAACCTTGAGCCATCAAGGTGCACCTAGCTATGAATGTCATCTGGAGTCTGTAGCTTGACCCATGAGAATCATCCTTCTCCATTGAGTTATCGTCGGGTGTGTGTTCAATCCATGACATGCTTGCACGACTACATGTAGTACTCAACTATCGCAGCACCTTCCTTTCTAGCACCCATGATATATGTCAAATGGATTTGTCACGACTGGGCGGCGAACGGAAAGTGTACCCTTTTCAAGCCCGTACTCCGTGGAAGCCGCAGCTATGAGAGTGCTTGGTATTGCTCTGATCGCTGCTGTGTATTGCGAAGGAAAGCATCCTGGTTTGCAATAATGAGCCGAGGCTTGCACTCGTTCTGAGCATTCGCAAAGTGCTTCGTTGCAAGTGGAGAAGCCATGTCGTATGTGGCACAAAGGTGGTGGAAACAATCATGCTATCGACTTACACAACACTCTGTAAGATACTGTAGTTGGCAAGTCTTTTGAGGTCAAGAGTATGACACCCCACAGAATTGACAGAGGACCGAATACCCCAAAGAGCACACTGCCATGCCGTGATAGACATGTAGATAAGCTGTAAAGAGCCAGGGCAGACTCCGCCTGTTGTCCCGCGGTGGTGGAGAAAGACGGCAGAAATGTCCGAAACCAGAAGGTCTGTCCAGAGAGTCATGCGAACCCCGCTATGGCGTGCGGGCGTGCCAAGCCTGTTGCCCGAGGCGTGCGTCCATAGCCTCTTGATTAAAACGCTCCGTCTCCCCCTGCCACCCGAGCGCTGCCCTTCTTTTGGAGCTCGCAGAAAGCAGAACATGGCCCACCGAAAACAAACCCTCCCCAGAAGAGAACACAAAAGTGTACGTTGATTTGAAAACCCACAACCCGACAAAGCTGCAAAGAGAGAGACAAAATCAATACATCTTCCCTTGTTACTTTCACAAAATCCGAGTTATACATTGTCATGTTATGATAATCAGAATCGGTGTCGACAAACTACTACAACACTCCAAAGCAGCAGCCATGTGTGTGAAAGACACTCCATCTTCATGCTCCGACAGAAACCAAAGCGACACTTCCTGAGCGACAAGAACCCAAAGCCTGAATCATTTACCAAAGCAGTATCTCCTGAGCGACCAATCCAGCCATTTCCAGAGCGACCCTTCCGACACTTCCTAGCGACATCTCCTTAGCGACATCTCCTGAGCGACACTTCCTGGCATCGACACTTTACGAACATTTTGTCCAAGCAGCATTGCAACAGGTCCCTGCAGTGTTGCCTGAGTAAATGAACTGATGCGACATCATCTCGGCACGGTCGTCCGGCTATCTTTCCATAGCGACAATCCACTGCGACACTTACACGACATCTTTGAGCGGCGCCTTCGATGCCCATCCACGCAACACATCACCAGAGCAACACCGATCCAAGCAACATTGTTCAGTCAACACGTCGCAACTCATCGACAACCTTTTGAAAACCCTTGTTATGCACTCTACAACGTTGTTTTCCTGAGAGGCAACATGCAAAAGACCAGCAGACTCTACCAAGCACCCACCCACCATTATCGAACAATATCTGCCAAGCAACATTTTGTGGTTGCGACCTTTCCAAGCGACAATTTTCCTAGGCGGCCATCTTATGCAACTTTCGTCCAAGCAACATCAATCCATGCAACATTATCATCATCATCCAAGCAACACTACGAGATGGTCAGCTCATGCGAAAACTCGGATTTGTTGTTGCAAAGGAACTTACCTTCCCAACCCCAATCTTTCATCACTCCGATCCAATGCAACCTTCCACGCACTGTGAGCAGCGTGCCTGTCGCTCCGTTCACTGCGTCACGAGATCCTCGACATGAGATGGACGCTGAATCCATTTGATCCGGACTTGTTACAGTCATTCGCCGCAGTTTGTTCGCCCAAGCCATAGTGCCCTCGCTTGCACCTGCAATGCTGTTGAACGACGAACCACGTCTGTTCGACGCCGGTCTGTTGTTGCCTACGGATGAATGCAAGTCTGCTGCAGTTGCAGCCATGTTCCGTCTCACGGGCACGACTTTGTTGGGCAAGACTTTGTTCTTGTACTCGTCCCTTCTGCGCCAAACCTCTTCCATGACATCGACGCACTTGTCAATGATGCCGATCCTCATGCGTTGTGACATGGCGACCCAGCGGCTCTTGATCCATTGTCTGTCTTCTTCCACGTCGGCTTCACAGCCAGCCATGAATAGAGGGTAGACGTGGATGATGACACAGCGACTGGCGAGAGGAACGGTAGCCAAAAACACGAGCACTTTCTTCGCCATGTCTGCCGTTGTGAGGCGTTCAGGGATCTCAGGAAGTGCTTGGTGCAGATACAAAAGTGTAGCCCAGCGATATGCCTCTGCTGTTTGCAAAGCATGGCGAACGTCACATGTAGGATCTTCTGGTGGCTCAACAAAAGCTGGTGGTTCCCATGTCTCGAGCATGAGCTTGAGTTCCATGGCTTGGCTGATCATGGGAGGCGAGTTTGACTCGGCGCGATACACACGACGAATCAAGTTCGCTGTACGACCAATCAGCGGGAAAAGAGTGCTTGCACAACCCATCAAAGGGTCAAGGTTGGAGTCGACTGGCAGACCAAAGTCTATACCGAAACCTGCGTGACCCGAAGGGCCGATCTGAGGACTGTCTGGTGTACTGTAAAGGCAATAAAGATTGTCATAGTCATCAGAAGTATCCTCGTCTGCGGTAGTCACGCGGGAGAGGACATCCAGATAGATCCAGGCGTTGGCAAGGAACTTGAGTCTGGCAAGATTCAGACCCGTCAAGGCCGACTGCTTGTGCTGATTCAAAGCGATGTTAATCATGGCGCGGGCACCTTGAATATGGTCATTGCCACTCGACAGGTGCTGGTCCCACGTTTCTGCAAAGGCCAGTGCTAGCGTGGTAGCGATGGCTGTGTCAAGGTTCATGGTACTTTCCTCGATACCTTCAAGCAAGTTTCGCACACTCTCACTCTTGTGTTCATGTCCTGCTACACGTAGAGCGGGAATGTCACGAGAGGAGTGGAAGGCAGTCATCGAGGAGATGGCATGGTACAGCGCTGGTGAAGTCTGAGCCATCGGCCAGATCAATGTACGCCATGGGTTCTCGTTCGGTCCGTCTTTGATCGAAAGGATGCCACAGGTCAATCGATCAAACCGAAGCATCAACATTTCTGGACTGGTCTGCGCGAGTGAAGGCTGCTCATACATGTAAGTAATTCTTTGGGGAAACACCATGGCTGGTGGACTCGACATGGTGGTGTTGTCGTCTTGGAATGTCGGGCAATGAGAAAGCTGCAAGGCCCAGGCGTCATAGTCTGGCACGATTGGGGTAAGTTCCTCAACACCCTTGAAGTCCATCTCCATGTCTTCCATGAGCGGAGGGTCCGTCATGTTCAGGAACTGATCCATGAAGTGCATGTCGAAGTCGAAGACTTCCTTGGTGCCAGGTATCATTGTCATGTCATTCTCTTTTGGGGCACCGTCGACGAGGGGNTTGTCATGAGGTGATCCTTGAGACGATGTTCCTGCATCGTTGGCAGAGTCTGTGGGGGATGCAGCTTGCTCGGCTTGTACTTCAGCAGGTGAAGTTCTTGACGAGTTGGGAGCTGAACGATCCTTCTCGGCAGAAGTCGCACGTGGAACATTCTGCGATGGAGCAGCAGGCACGAACAGCTGCTGTGCGAACGAGGAAGACAGTGGAGCTGGTGCTTCTGATGACGGTGCTCTGGCTGGAGGTGATGTCGGGCTTCGTTTTCCGGAACCGTCAGCTGCACTGCCCAGCACGATCAAAGCTGCNAGGAGACATGTGTTAGTCACAACGATCTGCATAGACGACAGAGAAGGTAAGCTGTAAGATCTCGACACCTTGAGATGTCGAGTCCCTCTGCTCGAATACTTACATCTGTTGTTTTGTTTAGCAATGTTCGTGGCGACGTTAGTCTCTTCGAAGGGCCTCCACTTGAAGTCTTTCTTGTAACCTCCACAGTCCACGTTTCGCTTTTTGCATTGCTCGCAACCGGGTTTCTTCTCATCGCATTTTAGGCGTTTCGCTTTGCAAGTGACACAACCNTGAATGTCAATCTGCTTCAGTACAGGGAAACAAGGAGAGGTAAGAATCATCAGCATCGGTGATGAAGGTGGCAGCCTACCGTTACGACTCTTTGACTGCTTGGGCTTGGCTACAGCGGCACCGTCACGACGAGGTTTGGTTGTTGCTGCAACAGATTTTTTCCTTGTGATGTTTCGCTTCTTGGTGGCAGCCGTCTTGTTTTGCTCGTCGTCGAATACCTGTTGATTGGTATCGAGCCGAGGAACAGGGTCCGGCGAGGCGCGGAGAAAGACAGACGGCGATGGAATGGTGATTGTATCCGCCATGTTCGATGATGTGCTCTCGAAAGCGTCAATTGAAGAAGAGGCAATAGGGCATGCTATGGGAAGGGGTTGATTGTTCTTTTCCTGGACAATGTTCCCTCGAGATACAGCATACATACCCCGCACGGAAAATGCGGAGCCCAAGAGATAAAAAGGCCTAGGACAAGACCTGGCGTTGCATCATCAGCGCCGCCATTGGTCAGTCTGACCACGCTATCTTAATCCTCAGCTGCATGTTATCTAGAACGTTGGCCCATGAAGGAAGATTACGGGCTGATAAACCAATCTCAGAGGTTTTGGAAAGCTCATGCAAGTCCTTATCATCTCTGGGCAGTCACCGACTATCCATGTGAAGAAGTTTGAAGCGCTTTCAACCAGGCATTTGAACATCGTTTGGTTCAGAAACATGCCGACAGTCGCCAGTTGCTCGTACGAGACGCCAAACGCGCTCTCCTGCCTCCATGTGACCATCTGGGCAAAGATAGCGGCGGCGCGTTCATGTGGGGTAGGCTCGGAGATACTAGAACTTTAGTACCGCCGGCTCTGTTTGTTTCCGACTTCGGCAGCTATCCATCTAACTTACATAAAGGATTCGTCGCTACGGCATTTGGCCGATAGCAAAGGAGAGAAGTCCTTAGGATGATCAGGAAGCAAGCCTTGCCATAGCAGCGGCGAAATCAAGTACCTTTTGCGATATTATTGCCAGGGGGGGAGAGAGAGGATAATGGACGAGATGAAAGGGTTGTGACGTCTTGGAGTGGAGATGAACGATGGGCGGGAAACTGAACACACAAAGGAAAAGAACGAGCGGAAACCTCTTCGTATCTGAGAAATCAGTCATGTGCGTGCTGTAGCATACCACTCTCCTGAGGAACAGATCAAAGGTCCACTCCAAGAGCTCTTAGGGCGACGGCTCTCTTACATATGGCGTGTCTTCTTGCAGCATAGGAGTATCTGCCAGGTGAAGAGGTCAATGGAGGTGATGAAATATCATACGTCCAAAGGGGGAAAAGAAAGAGGAAAAAAGATACGGAAGTGGTAGATGGAAAAAGAAGACGAAATAAAAGGAGAAAAAAAGAAAAAGAGGTTGAAAAGTCCTGAGAGAAGAAAAATTGGAAGAAAAATTCGGTAAATTGTCGACGGCGGAATCTGAGACAGCTGTGGTGTTAAGTTCTGTCTGGGCCTGTGTCCAGACAATAGGATCTTACAGAGTGCGTCTTCCATGTGAGTCTCGTCAGCTGTCTCGCCTACAAAACAAACAGATTAGTGGACAGCCAAAAGGTCGCGTGCAAGGCAGATATCTCGCTTGTTGTTGGACGCGAAGTTTAGGGCCTGAATCCCTCAACGCGGGCGAGATTGCATCCTCTTCACAAACCATCACAAGCATTACCAAGCAGCGCTGCTAGTAGCGACTGAAAGAGGGAGGCCTAGGAGCATGTCAGCTTTGACTCCGTGAGCAGACGTCCATCAGGTCGAGACTGAATCCGCAAGCACAAGTCATCTACAAAGTAAGACAATTACACGAGCTGAGTAAATGAAGACATGCGAGCAACTTGAGACACGACGATGCATGGTTGCTTCAATAGAAGGACCGCCTACTTGCTTGAAGTTCTGATCCAAAGTTCGGGTCGTTGCATACAAGCACGCAACAGTTGCACGTTCCGGATGATGGCAAGCGGCAATAGGGCATACCATAGACTGACAATCAATTGCAACGTGCTGGAGTCGGCATCTCACGTGGTGATAGACTCTCGGGGAGGCGAAGCACGTATTGATCGTCACGCTCGAGGTGGGTTCTGTTCGGCGTAGGTTCGCTCCACTAGATAGAAGTGGCTATCTTATGCGACTTTTGGAACTCTTCGTATGGAAGTTCGACCGGCGCAGTGAAGCCGATAGTGTCAACCACGCATGTACACTTCCATAGCCGGCTTCAGGTGCGAGCTGTTCTGAGCTTGCGAAGCACTCAACAGCCTGTCACAACGAATAGACACGAGTAGAAGGTCTTGTCCAAACACCAGGATGTGAATGTTCATTTCTTCCAATGCTTGCGCCAATGGCCGGCAACTAAAACGTGGCACTGGGGATCCCGCTCGGTACCACAGCTATTGGATCGTTCGAACGCCTTTTGCGTGGCTGAATGTCAAGGTTGGTCTTGGACTACGCCTTTCGACCCTCGCAGCTTGATTTGGGAAGCAGCAAGATTGGGCATCATACACGGACCAATGCTTCAGGTGCAAAGGAGTGGTAGCTCTGAGACGAAATTCCTGTTCGAAGAGCGTCGTCGCAAGACTCGACGGTGGATTCTTTAGTCATCCACTTGATCGTATGCACATCTTCTGCTGGATCTGCCAACTCCCCACTAGAGCCGCAAAACAAGCGGTGGGGCTAGTGTGGCGCGCGGTCCTGGAGCTAATCGGGTTCAACGCTGTTTCCTGCAAGCAAGCGCGCGAACCTTTGACACAAGGTTCTGCGTCATCGATGACAACTGAGCGACACTCGTTGGCCACCCATTCGGAAGGTCGTTATGAAACAGCACTACGAGAAGTGATACGCGGCGCAGTTGGTGATGATGGCCAGCGGAGATGACAACGCCAAACTCCATGACACTGACAATCCCTNNTCTCAACCAGGCAAATTCTGCCAAATAACGTGGCGCCGTGAGTGGCCCAACGATCTGTTTAGGCTATGTGAAATGCTCAGCAGAGTGCAAGAAGGAGAGAGATCAGCAATGCATTGCTTACAATACCAAGCCCCCCATCTCGGAGGAGGAGCTCTGAGGAGTNCGAGCAGGCTATGCGCGGAGACGCCTGTCGTTGTGGATATCCATGTCGCTCTCGCAGCGCGCGCGCGCCTGGCAGGAGAAAGTGCCGTGCGTANNCTACGTACAGCGGCCAGGGAGAGATGCAAGACGAAGCCTCGGCAGATTGACCATGTGCTTTCCAGGTCTAGAAGGCGCTCCTTTGATACCACGTACATCAGCGGGTCCGAGCACGATTAGCGCNAGAGCCAGGCATGGATCATGAGTGACATTTCCGCCGTTGAACTGGGCAGAACAGCCACCATCCATGATGCCCAGCCCAATACAAGGATTGGAACCAAAAATGCAACAAGTCAAGGGCATTTGCCACCTTCGCAATGGCCAATCTCGTAACCGACTCTTCTACTGCATCCAGAAGGCGTGGGTCTCTGCCCCAGGAATCGGTAACTCCGTGTCAAGGCCCGAGCCTGCTCTCTCTAGAACCTGTAACCCATCAGTAGCCTTCTTTTCCTCTTGAACTTCCTCTTGTACTCGTTTTCATTGATTCGTTCGTTACTGCTTCCTCACTGATCTGCGAACTGATAATCCCGGACAACAAGCCACCTGCTTCTCACACGGATCCAACCTTGTCACCTTTCCATCATCATATCATCTCGCATCCTACGCGCACACACATAGGTCTCCATCCTTGCATCGGATCTAACACCGCATCTGTGGTCTTGGTGTCACTGCGCATACTTCATCAAGGGACTGGAAATCTTTGAATAGTCGCGTCCATCCAATCGATTCCTTTCTCTTTTCCTGAGTAATGGCCGGCGCTTGTCAAAGCCTTTGATATCGAGCTGTGCAGTCTTCCTCACTTGGGCTCGCCCATTGCCACTACGGGGTCTATCGATCCGCTGGTCCGCTTTCACCAGGTCGCTCGATCTTGTGTCACCTCGAACTTTTTCCAGAAAACACAGACATGCCGGAAATCAACATACAAGACGCCCCCTTCGAGTTCGAATCAAGATCACCTACAGACTCCGCGCCTTCAGCGAGTCACTATCATACACCAACTTTACCGCACTCATCCTCTGCCGGGGTTGCGAAAAGAAGAAAGAACTCGAAGGTCAAAATGAGCCCTATACTCAAACGCGCATCGTCGACTCCTCAATTGAATGGGCTCTCCGTTCAAGAGTCGGGAGGTTTATCGCCCAGCGCTCTTGATAAGAGAAGGAACAAACTGGGTTATCAGCGCATATCGATTGCTTGCTGTGAGTAAATATTGCATCGGTCGTGGTCCAGAGTTGTATATACTGACGATCACTAGNCTCATTGCAGACGCAGAAAGATCCGATGTGTCCTAGCGGAAGGCGACGATATGGGCAGGTGCAACAACTGCATCCGTCTGAAGAAGGAGTGCGTTTTCTACCCTGTCGATTCGGCCGGTGGTCCAGAAAGTCGCGCGCAGACAAAAGGGTCCAAGGACTCTTCCGTCATCTCCAACTCGCCATCAGAGATGCATCCTACAGGCCCAAAGCTCGAGCACGATCATGAGATGAGTCGTTTCCCTCATCTTGCATCAAATGCGCCTCCAGAATACGGCTCAGTCGATCCTAGTACAGGGCTGGGCATTTCTACAGGCAGTAAGACAAGTCGTGGCAAGATTACAAGCTTTGTACTGACCAATTCTCCAGCACCAGTCGCATCCGAGTTCGCATTTGCTCGTCCAGGGTATCCCGCCATCTACGCAGGTGACATGTCAGGGACTGAGCCCCCGACCCCTGTACACTGGAATTCTTCGCAGATGGGCGACTACTCAAACTACTCGACCACGGCCGAACACTCTCCCAACGTATATCCGTCATTCGCATTCCCACAGCAAAGAGACGAATATGCTCTTCAGCAGCCTCCAATGCGTTCCATGTCGTACGGACACATTGAACCCCAGTTACAAAGTTTTGCGCCGGCGGCCACCCCGATCGAATACACCAGACCAGGCTCTTCACATTACAACCTTACACCACTCGACACTGGAGCACCACCGGTTGGCACTATTTCGGAAGCTTCCTTGTCGACACCCGTGACTAGCGAGCCTACCATGCCTCCAATCGGCATGTACCCTCCTCAATGGGGTTTCTACCAACAACACCAGCCTCCCATGGGCTTGGACTATTCATCTAGACACGATTCTCTGCCCACGCAATGGTACCATCCTCAGCAGCTAGGGCCGGCTATGACAGAGCACGACCTACATCATCAGCATCAACATCCCATGTCTCAGACTCCGGGAGGCGCATATGCCAAAAGACCTTAGCGAGATTGCACTTTGCTCTTGCGAGATTCGTTCTCAATAACTTTTCACACGCCCTTACTTTCAACCCTTAACGGATTTTTCTTTCTCTGGCATCACAGTTCTGGCGTTTCCGGCGGTGTACAAAATCAGAGGTGTGCTATGTACTTTATCAGGCGTTTCAAGATGTATCGACAGCACACGACATGGGGGTTGTCTTCGAAGAGAAGAACCGGAGTTATGGTATTCAATGAGATCGTTTAATGGTCAGGAGAAACAACTTATGGTTGGTTGCAATGCACATACAGTATTTCGCCTTTTCTGGATTGGAATCATTACACAAGAGGACATTTTGTTTTCGCTCATAATTTTTGGTCTTCCCTTCCTCTGCTTTTTGGGGGTTCTCACCCTCCTGTGTTGTTGGTTGATGGTTTTACTCCCTTTCGTGACATCTCAAACCTACGCCAGTGCGACCACTTTCCCATTCCGACCCAGATAATGTGGAGCCGTCTCTAAGGTTTGCCATTGGACGCCACAACTGACATGCTAACGATTAAGATCAACATTGGTGCACCAATCCACAACCCTCTTTCCACGGACCACAACCCCTTCTCTGGAGCGTGCCAAACCAGATGGTGTGCTTTTCTGAGGAGATCTTTAGCGCGGGCTGCGAATCAGTTTGAAGGAAGGAAGGAGCCAGTCTAAAAGCAAGGGCAGGATCTTAGTATTATCACATGCAGTATTAATGTTATTATGATCAGTAATCGTCAGAGGTGATTGATGTGCATCATTTCAACTCGACACGTATGCGCAACGAAATGTGCGAGAGCCCACAATTATCAGATCGGGGATATAATTCCTCCGTCAACACTGCATACTAGAGTACCTAACCAGACATGACCTGCTACTCTTTTGAACATGGCATTCCCCGTGGAGGGAGTCCCTTGATCACACGCTCCGCAGATATGGACGATAATGGTCCCAACGCCTGCAGCAGCGATCATGGAATTCGTCAGGAGAGGTGGTGTTGTTGTTCGAGTTGTCGTCCACCATTCGACGATTTAAGCGCAAGGAAGGAGGGGCCAGATGCGCCATTGGCTGGTCTTCGAGACATGACAGTCGTTCCTCCTGCGGTGCTGTTGGCAACAAGAAACACTAACGCTGCACTGCTTCGACCTGGATGTCGTCCGAGCTTGCTGGTTGGCGGACGGATAAAGGACGTCTGGCACGCCGCGTGCGCAACTGAAGATCCGGGTGTAGGTCCATTGCATGCCGACTGCATGACCGTCGCTGAACGTGAGTCGACCCCAATCATGAATTGTTCCTTTCTGGCTCGAGAAACGATATTGTGGAGAAGCCCGGATAAGATCGTGATGCTTAGCGAATGGAGAGGGGAGATTGCGCACTGCAGCCTTGTTCCTCATTCGAGGTCATATAACATAACTTGGAAGGTCCGGGAATTCTATAAAAGAGCCTTGATATAGGCACGCAAAGGAAGGCAACGCTCCTTACGCCAAGTGGAGGAGAAAGGTGGAGAAGTAAAATGGGTTTCGACTTTCAAGAATGTGATAGGGACAAGACTATGAAGCGTTGCAATCCATTCTGAACATCTTCGCCCAATGACATCCAGCCCGGAAAGCCCTCTCCTCCTCTTTCCGATTTTGCCTTTTCACAGCCACTCCTGCCAACGTGATGGGGTAACGCCATGGGCGTTGGGAAAGCAAAGCGTGCGCAACTACGGGGGTTTGTGACACTTTCCTACCCACGCAACAAAAGACGCGAGAGCGAAACCGCAGATCTGCGTCATCGGCGCGCGCGACCGTTGTGTGGAGTGCGCGAGCTCGTCATCTCCGGCTTCCTCTTGACAAAGGTGGGGCCACGACGGTTTTCTTGGCCATTTGCGATTTGCTCCAAGACGGATTCATGACTTGAAACACGACAGACGAGTAACACCGAGCAAGAGTTGGAGCGTGAAAGTATAACAAGTCGGATGCGATGCCACACGCTTGCCAGGTAAGCGCCTGCCGGACGGCTATGTTCGGAGGCGCAACATAAGGCGCGCCTGTGCTTGATATTACTTGCCCTGTGGACGAAATCGGCGATTGCAAACTGGAGAGTGAGAACGACCAAGAGAACAAGCGATAGTGAGCCCCGCAATAGGCTGGAACAACAATATTGTGTCAGGGAGCAATAGCACCAAAAGAAGGGTGCATCATATAGCAGTCGGCCGGCTGCAATGACGGTGGGTAGGTAGTCCAGATGATAAGTGATCAGGTGGTTCGCGATGGCATCGCAATATGGCCAGAGCGGAGCGAGTGGAACAGACCAGACAGAGCTCAAGCCCTCTGTTGTACGCTCACAGCCTCTCCGTTCCACGTCATACCATATAAGTCAAGTACCCTGCATGCTCACCACGTTCATGGACTCACCAATCCCTAGGATATGGGTTGAATGAAGCTCAGATGGAAGATACGCCTGTCATTTGACAAGGACTTAGAACCCCTCTACCAGTGCGACGCTTCTCATGACGCACCCACTGGTTTGCTGTCAAGTCTCCGTTGATGAGGCTTGGCCCTTGTTCCAACCACATGCTATAATTCTATGGAGCTAGCTATCAACAAAGCCAATCAAAAGTTGATCACAAGGGGCATGTAGGACATTTTTCCAAGGCTGAACAGCGAAGGAGATAGCACCACCAGACCCAAATGACGTTGGTGGTCGAGAAAGAGGGGTGTGAGGTGAGAAAGCTCTCTGTCGTTTCACTGTACGTCTACACGAACCCCTCGTCTGGCGATATATAAAGCAGACTCTTGGTAGGTCAATTCAAGAAGAACACCAATCTCATACTCTTCATTCAAAGGTCCAAAACCCAAAACCATACACCAAGAAAATCTACCATCATGTCTGATCAGGGGTATGTTCCTCAAAGGCCTTCACAAGACATGTATTCGGTTCTAACAATGTCTCCATGTACTCAGACGCGAATCCTTCACCGACAAGGTCTCCAAGACCGTCATGCCCGACAGCCAAAAGTCCACCATGGACAAGACCAAGGACAAGGCATCTGGCGGCATGGATAGTGCAGCCGGCTCCATGCAGCCCGACAGCATGAAGTCGGACTCGCAGAAGGCTGGCGACAAGGGCCAGGGCATGTTCGAGCAAACCAAGGATGCTGTCAGCAACACTTTCTCCAGCGACAACAGTAAGTTTGTTCGGTTTGAATCTCTATGTAGGAGAGCGGAGGCATGATGCTGATAGAAAGTGATGCAGGCAAGCAGTGATTGTAATGACGATGATATGGATTGTTCAAGGCGTATACGCCTCATGGATGGTAGCAGATACCCACAATGATATGGCAATGAAGCCGTGGTGCATCCTTGAGGTTGATATCTTACCATGAGCCAAGTGTGTAAGCGAGTGATCATGTTCCGGAAAGATATTGTGCCAAACTGCAAAGAATGAGAGATACCCTTACGAGGTTAGCTAGCCAAACAACTATCACATCACACGATGGGGTTTGCGGTCAGAAATTTCCCCAAACAATGAAACCTTCCTTCTCAAACAGATTTGCTCAATGTTTCCCACTTAGAAAGGCAGATATGTCGGGTGGTTGATGGTAATGTTTGTAGACAGGGTCGCCCTCCCAACCATTTCCAACTAACAGATAGCAGATACACTGTAGAACATAGATCTGTGATCAAAGGCAGCACCAAGTCGATTAGCGAAGGCCACAGCACGAGTGGAGTGATTCAATATGACCAATAGCATAGCCACGACCGGACTCATCACGATTAAGGGTCTATACCATGGGCAAATGGCGGAAGGAGCGCATGAGCCTTGGCAAGGCAGCAACTTCCCTTCCTGCCCTTCCTGAATGGGATCACTCACGAACTTTCGGACACGCCCACTACACAGCCATCATGTCCAGCAAAAATTCGAACGAGGCACATATAAGACAGAAGCGCGCCAGGTCGCAACTCAGCTGTACAGCATGCCGCCAGGGCAAACTGCGATGCAACCGCGCGACGCCATGCGACCAGTGTACGAAACGAAGCAAAGAGTCAGCATGTTCTTATTTACCTCCAGCCACCAAGCCAAGAGGCCCACAAGATGTCAAAGGACGCATCAAGCATCTCGAACAACTCGTAGTTGACTTGATGAATTCGAGATCATCAAATGGCAACAGTACGACGACCAGCAGTGGAAGATCAGATAGCACTGCTACCAGTACCAGAGAATCTCCCGCCACCTCTCAGTCTGAATCTTCGCAGCACAATACTCAAGGCTTGTTCGGAGCAGATACTGCTCACACTGAGATAACTCCACCTTATAGTGGGGATGAACAACAACAGCATGAGGCATCACAACAACTAGAATCGTTTGGACATTTGCGGATCAGTAAAGAGGGCACAAGGTACGTAGCAAAAGAAACTCGAGCCAGTAGTCCCTAGGTGAAGTCCCGCTCAGGGTCTGACCGAAACTTGGCTCTCGATGGATACCCATTGACTGAAAGGCACTTGGTAACACGACAGCTGTGGCGGCGCGCTGCTCTTTACACGAGAGACATGCTAATTGTTGACCTCCAAATTATANGCTATGTTGGATCGTCCCATTGGGCGACAATTCTGGACAGTATCTCTGAATTAAAGCGAGACCTAGAAGATCCGGGAGATGAGGCTTCTGACGAAGAGTACGATGCATGGCGCAACGAAGAACCGCTGAATGTCTACGATGAAGAGTTACCGGGACTTTTGCGCTCCCCTCGTCGAGTCACAAAAGCCGAGTTACTATCGTACATACCACCTAAGACTGAAGCAGATGCACTGGTCTCTCTTTGGTTCAGGTCACCACATCCGTACAAGACAATCATTCACGCACCTCAGTTCCAGAACGAATACCGGCAGTTCTGGCGATCACCGACCAGTGCACCGGTCACATGGCTGGGCGTATTGTATGGAATGTTCGGCATGGCGAGCCTGTTTAAGATACGTGCTCTAAGGAACCCTGACACACCGGACGTCCGGGCTACTCTCAACAAAGCAGACCTTTACCAGGAGTTGGCGGCGTCGGCAGCTGTACTGGGCAACTACATGCGACCGAAGACTTATACGATCGAATGTCTGATACTCCATGCTGGAAGCAACAGGACGAACAACTTCAATGATATCTGGCTTATCATGGGTATTGTCTTCAGGTTGGCTCTTCGCATGGGTTATCATCGGGATCCGAGTCACTACAGTAATGTGTCAGTAATCGCTGGGGAGATGCGACGAAGAGTTTGGCATTTGCTGTACATGTTCGATACCCTTGTATCGTTCCAGCTCGGTCTACCTGCTATGTTCCGTGCAGTGCAGAGTGACACCCAACCCCCGCGCAATCTTTATGATCAGGACTTCTCCATAAACAGCAAGACTTTACCACCCTCACGGCCTGCTGACCAACTTACTCCTTCGGCTTATGGCTCTGCAAAAACCATGCTGTGTCATGTATTTGCTTTGGCAGCAGACATGTCGCATGCAACGATACCACCCTCTTACACTGAAGTTATGGAGCTAGACGCAGAGCTGGAGGCAAAGAGAGCGGCCATTCCGCCGGGACTACGGTTCAAAGACATGGAGCTGTGTCTTACAGAAGATCCGGAGTCATTGATGTATCGCTTCAGTCTTGATCTACTCTATCTCAAGATCAAGACAGTCCTCCATCGTCGATTCATGGTGGCCACTTCGTCCCAAGCTGCAGCAACTTATTCGCGAGTATCTGTTATTGGCTCGGCGATGAAGACCCTTGACCATCACCAGACGATATATCGGGCATCCAGTCCTGGAGGACAACTCGAAAGTGTTTCTTGGTATATGTGCTCCATCGGAACGTACGACTTCTTGTTGGCAAGTATGATCATATGCCTTGAGCTATCACGTCAGCTCAACAAACAACCTGATCCTGAAATCGATGAAATTGCCACACGCGAAGATATGATAGCAGCACTCGAAGCGTCGAAACGAGTTTGGGAGGAAGCGGGCGATGATGACTGTTTCTCCGAGCCTGCATTTGGGACGGGCAGAGCAGGCCAGACCATTGAGAATGCGGCTGTGGCAGAGGTTAGAAAAGCGTGCAAAGCGATGGCACTCATGCTGGATAAGGTCAGAAAGGACCAGGCTAGAGATGTCGTATCTCCAACACTACAAGGAGCAGGTTGGCCACATATGTCGATGCCTGAGGGGCCGACGAAAACGCTTGCTGATCTGCCCATCCACAACGACTGGATAGCAACAGAGCAATGGACTGCTCAGAACGACCTCTCAACCTTAGACAACATGATAGACGTGTCCAATGACATTGACTGGGTAAGTGAGATAAGCCAGACATTCAACAGCATATGCGACTGACGCGTGTGAAACAGGNAAATGTGGGATCAACAACTATCAACTCAACAACAAGCGGTGATGTCACAGCAGCAACCAGATCAATTTAGTTGGACAATGGACGACATGCTAGCTGCTAGTGCGTCTAGCATCCCAGAGCCGGACATGAGCAGTGGAAACCGGCCTTTTTATACCCATCTGCATGTTGACTTACTGTTTCACGATGACATAGAGCAGCATTGCCAGCTATAACAACCCACGAATGCTCTGTAGCAGAATTAAAGTCCAGAAAGAAATATCGATATATCGCCACTCCAATGAATTCTACTCTGTTTCTGATAGTTGTCGTGCGTCTGTGATCACACGTCTGTATGTCGACTTCAAGTAAGCCGAGTTCGCCATGTATGGTAGTTGATGACTTGGAAACTTCTGGCAGTATCGAAAGGCTTCGTTATTTCAGCGCCCAGGGCGACTTTCGATAGCCGAGACTCATCATTCCATTCCATTTCAACACAAAGCAAGAAGACCTCTCGACTTGTTGGTTATCTGTAACCAACAGCTGAAATGCCGTTAAGAACGGCGGCTTCGGAAATGGGCAGCAACACGAACAAGAGTTCTGGCCCGACGTTCGCAACACAGTCGAGATTGAAAAGCCGATGTAGCTTTGAGCCATCCACCGTAGCTATGAGCCAGCTCTTAATAACATCTAGTCCACTTCGGTTCCGTTGCATCTGGATGATAGATAGCCATAGTTGTGTGCGCCCTCACACCATCATTCGTGACATCCATTTTTGAATCCATACAGGGTTGACAGAAACTCATTGGAACAGACCCTTGGGTGGATACTGATGGTACACTTATGCTGAACGATAGTTGGCGGTGTGGGTAGTTTACGATAAAAATGGCAGTCCAAGCACATACGGCCACAGTCAGCTGAAAACTGGGCATCCCGTCCGCTCTGCCATACATAAGCAGTTGAACGGCAGATTAGTACTACGGTGGGTGACCACGTGGGAATCCCTGCTGCTGTATGTTTTGCAATTTGTTTGCTGTCCTTCCTCTTTTTACTCAACATTATCTTGGGACAATAATCCTTGAGCTATAGCAAACTCTTTACTCATCTAAACCACGAGTCGTAGGCAATTGATGCTTCGTCGGGTAGCAAGTCACATATGGCGCACCTCGCTTGTCAGACACCATTCACTACCCTTTCTGGCTGCGAGAGAAAGAAAAAGTACGGGAGAGCGATGGTGTCAAGATACGATTTACAAAGGAAGACTTAAAATCAATCCTTGACGAGATCAAAACAGCAGTCTAGACCACGACTAAAATCACCTACACGAAAAACTCGAGACAATTGTCCAAGTTTTTCAAACCAGGAACCAGAAAACCAGAGAAAACCCTACAGGTGAGCAGATCGAAGCAGCGACTCAACCCTAGATGCGAAGACAGAAGCAGCGACCGAATCGCAAAAGCGGGAAAGATCAAGCGTGGGAACGAGAGGGAAGGATTCATCGAGACATGTTCATGCCATGCATGGTTCTCCAAACAGTTTCATCGACTCTCGGAAAGATGGAAACAAATCGCAAGCACCACGGAATCCTGTAACCGAGCCAACATGCTGAGACAGCAACGCCGATGAGCGTTGAGCAGGAGGAACGTGTGTAACCGAGCTGTCGGGGATCGAACAGGATAACACAAAGATCGACAGGATACCAAAGCCAAGAAGGCACGAACAAGAAGACAGCAAGAAGAAGTGGGACAGATATTCCTTGTATCATCAGACCAGTAAAAAGTTCAGATTTTTAGAGAACTCCAAAACGGGTATATCGACAGAAGAGAAAGACCCAAGACCATCCCAAACCACCTTGCCCAGCACCAGTGGGGTAAGAACACCATTCTAAAAGCGCCACTTTGATTATATACATTACATCACCCTCCAAATCCATGAGTCAATCGTTAGAGACCTTCAATCGGTCTTGGCTCTTTTCCGTCTGAGCTCGCCGGCGGCAGCATTCATCATGCTTTCTCGGAGCATGTCGTTCTCCTCTTCGAGTTGCCTGATGTACTCGGCGGCTGCTGCGAGCACCTCGGCCTTCGAGGGCTTAGGAGGTTGGCCGCTTCTTGCAGGTTGCATGGTGGCGATCTCGGGCACTGAGTTGCGCAAGCGTTCGAAGTTGTCTGATAGATTGGCACGGTATCTTTGCTCAACCTTCTGGTGGTCCAGTCTATTGCCTCTAGGGCGACCGAGCGCTGGTGATGAGGGAGCTTCGATCGATGTGTCTTGTTGTTGGAGATGAGATTGTTGGTTTGATGTAGAGGAGCGAGGTGATGATTGAGAGAAAGCACTGAAACGCTTGGGTTGAGAAGCACTTGTGTTGTGGTAGGCAGCTGTGAGCATCGAGTCGATATCGCAGTAACCAGTCATGGATGTGATGCCAGCATCGATGGAAAGCTTCTTGACGCTCAAGTCGAGGTTCTCATAAGGATTCCAGTGAGCCTCGTAATTCGACGGTGTGCATAGCGAGTCTGCATACTCAAACGGACTGCTGTGGCCACCATTGCTTGAGGACTCTGAGGATGATGAATCTGAGAAGGCGGATATGGGTGTTTGTTGGCTCATGTGGTGTGATGAGACTTGAGGGATGCTGGGGAGTTGCGACTCGAAAGCCTTTTCGAAGAGATCGTGGTCATCGCTGGCGTAACCCGAATCCTTTGGTTGTTGGAGTAGCCATTGGCTGTTGACCATGGCCGATGTGTTGTAGAAGGCTTGTTGAGGGAAGGCACCCATGGTGTTGGGATATACAAAGTTCATGTTGATGTCTGACTTCTGAATGATGAGTTTTTGTTGGTATGGTGATGAATGAAAACCAAGAGGTGAGGATACGAAGATGATGTGAGATATATGTATCCAAGGTCGAAGAAGAGGATTGACCACTTTGAGTAAAGATCTGCAAATGTCAACAATAAGCTTCCCCAGGGCTCTTTCAGGGGCAGAGAACAGGATCTAGCAAACTTTAAGCTCTTTTGGAACAGTGTCAATGTTTAGTCGTTGCGACTGTTCGGTTGCTGGTGCGAACGGTAAGACGTCGGTGGACTTGGATTCGGCCGGGACTTTGAGACATCCAAGGACCTGGACTGAGGCACAACTAGGTGGAGGGTACCTATACACTTGTTTCGGCGGAGCTGATCTTTCGCAGATCATCGCAACAGATGGATTGTATCTTGAGCCCCTGCATCTATGGGGTCCACTGAGAGCTCCAGGGTATTGCGCAAGTCACATCGCGAACACCGTGATTTCAGCAGACGAGGACAAAGCCACTGCGATTCCTTCGACTAAAATGCGCCCAAACCCACCTGGTTGGTACAGATGCGGTCAATGGTTGAAGCCATAAGCAGACGAGGCGCTGTCTTGATCGGGTTTGCCGGTACTAGCTGTGCAAGAGGCTTGGGCTTGCTGTGATTTTGTCACAATATTATCTCTTGCGCAAGCCACAGGCCTAGACTTGCGCTGTCATTTCTCACGACCACGAGGCCTTGCCCGTTCCCACGGACCGGAAGCAGGTTTGGTCGCGACGTTGGAAAGAGTGAGGTGGTTCTTGCCAATCAGGGTGCATCTCGGATGGACAGCCGAAACGTTTTCCTTGCAACTTCGACGCCAAAATTCTTCTCTGACTTTATCGGAAAGCCCGGTGGCTTGCAGTGGACTCTGTTAGGTCGGCAACGCTTGCACGCGAGTTCTCAGCGCAAACGTATCTCAGGGATACCATCGCCGATCTACCACGAAGACTCTGATGTAGAGGGATTTCTCATGCACAATGTGGGTGAAACACACAGGATGAGCAACTTGAGTACTACACCTGCCGAGTTGACGATCTATATCCCGCCGATCTGCAGATACTCTGCGGCCCGCTGCCGCAGATGGTGGCAGATGTCTTGCATCCCAATATCTGGGTCTTCAATATACAGAAAACCAGGACGAAACAAGAGCGAGTACCTGGCGAGTGACCTGCAAGCACGCAAAAAGCACCAAGAGCCCCCTGAAAGAACCTGCGCGTTCCAGGTGGGTCACAGGCGCTCAACCACCACGCCAGCTGAATAGCTGAAGTCTTCTGCAAAGAGGTTTGGCAGCGACGGCGTGCGTCTGGCGTTCGCTTTGAGGTCGAAGCGACTTTTGACCTCGCTGTCGTCGGAGCGGAGACTGATCTGATCGGAGTGTTGTTTACTCCGACTTTGTCGGTAGTCAAAGCCCTATGCCTTGGCAGAAGCACAAACGCACAAGGTCTAGAGCGCTCATACTTTTGCCATGAAGTGAAATTAACCTTTCTAAGAAACGTGGCTACCTCATGACATGCTTTCTTTCCAGAAACCGATTTGGGCTTCTCTCGTAGTGCACTCCGAGATGAACCATGAGATTACTTACCATCCGAGACACTTTCGTAGCCGAGCCTCGTGGCAAGCGACAATGCTTGTGGACTGCGGAAGCGCATCGAGAAACGGCATTATTATCCAATCTAGGATCGTGGCCGACGTCTCAACTTCCCGGCTTCGCCTGCGTGTTATGGTGAACAAGCTTCTGCGATATGACAGAAAATGGTTATTAAGGTCAGATATAGACGGTAATGGAAACGATTTTTGAAGCATCTGTCATCTACCATTACAGTTCTTGCGGCCAGCACGGGAGAATTCTTAATGAGCAAGAGGCTCTGCGATTCAGAATAGACTTGGCCAGACCACTTGTCTGCCTTGATTTCAAGCCAACCACAACGTTGTGTAAGGCTGGGATCGACGTGGAGGAACACAACGGCGCATTGGCGGTGAACATCGAGATCAGAGATGACCATATGATCGAGTCGTAAGATGTGCATTCTCTCCCATTTTTGGAGCGGGAAGACTGTAGAGATGACTAGCGTACAATAATATCGAAGCCCCAATCAATAAATCTTCTACTTGTTCGTCGTACGGATGGCAGCAGCAGCGGCGGGGACATCCTGATCGAGAGGCAGGATATCGGGCACTGGACCGACTGGTGTGATCGAGAAAGGGTTGATTTGCTTGTGTGACTTTGTGTAATGGCACTTGATGTGAGTAAACTCGGTGGTGCTCTTGAAGGCGTCGTCGTTCCAGTACAGGTTACGCATCCATNNCTAGAAGAGATCTGTCAGCATAGGCTTCGCGCACTGGTGGTAGGCCAGAACGTACTTGTGTAGGTTGGGGTAGCCACTGCGGATGTCGCGAATGTTGCACTTGAAGTGCTGAACGTAGACAGCATCGAATCGGATGATGGTTGTATAGAGACGCACATCGAGTTCGGTCAACTTGTCGCCCAAATAGAAGGGACCGCCAGATTTGGCAAGATCCTCCTCTGCACGATCAAGTGACTTGAACAAAGTCTTGACGTTCTTCTCGTAAGCTTCTTGAGTTCTGAGTGGAGTCAGCGAGGGATCAGATCGGTTATTAGCAAGCGTGAACACTTACGTTGCAAAGCCTGACTTGTAAACACCGTTGTTGATATCATTGTAAGTCCACTCGTTTGTCTCCTCGATTTGCTTCTCGAGGTCCGAGGGGAGAAGATCTACGTTCTTGAACTTCTCGGGAAGCAGATCGTCAAAGGTGTGGTACATCATTCTGATGATTTCGCTACTCTCATTGTTGACAATGCGCTTTTGCTTCTTGTCGTAGAGAGTAGGTACAGTGAAGCGGCCTTCATAGTCCTTGTTATTCTCGAAGTAAATGTCACGCAGATGAGTGTAGCCCTCGTGCAGAGGATCGGGTGTGGTGTTGGCGCCAGGAACGTCTTCATCAGGTTTAGCAAATCGCCAACCCTTCTCGAGCATCTCCCAGTGGACAGAAGTGTAAGAGATGATGTCCTCGAGGCCCTTGAGTTTGCGGACGATCAGAGCACGGTGTGCCCAGGGGCATGCATATGATACATAGAGATGGTATCTGCCTTTTTCGGCAGGGNNGAACTCTGCACCAGGCTCGTTCTTGATGAAGTCACGGAAGACGGACTGTTGTCTCTTGAACTCTCCAGACTTGTCCTTGGGATCGACCCAGTTGAGGATATCCTTCTGCTTGTCTTGAGTCTAGTATGTAATCAGTATGTCGCAATTTGCGAGGGAATGAATGTCCAATGAACTGACAGCCATTGTGCGAATGCGTGTGGGTGTCAGATGAGTGTTGATTAGTTGTGAGCGTCTTAGCAAAGAGAACATGCGTTCTTATCAAGAGTGACAAGCGATGAGATGTTATATGTCTCGTCGCCTGATGTTAAGAGAGCTCGAGTGTATCGTGTAGCACTTGTAAGCTGCTGACCTCATCGGAAGCTGCGAGCAAAGTGATGACCGAATAATTTCATTAATCGTCGTTAATCCAGGTTAAGTCAGCATAAGCGCCGCTAATTAATGGCCAATTCCCTCAACGGCACCGGCGCGGTCTCTCCTGCAGCCAGCTTGATCTTCCCGCACTCCCGCATGGCCGCAGGAACCGTCTTCATGGCTGAAAAAAAAACATTCTTGATCAAGAGTCTCAATCAACTCGCTCCGCCAGCAGCGATCAATCTAGAATGAACGGACAGAGCTTCTGCTTGTGCAGGAAGTCGTTCCAAGAGGTGGTAGCTCAGCGATACCGCACTCAACAGAATGAATTGCTTGTTCCAACGGCCTGACTCGGCGGCCACTTGGGTGTAAAAAGTTTTGCACGCGTTATGCAGGTCGAGGGCCACTCTGGCTGGGTGTAAACATCGATGCAGCTGTAGAAGCAACACAACAGTTCATATAATGTTTCTCTGTCGTCTTCGAGCTCCTCCAAGTTGCTCAAGTCCTTGTATTCATAATTGAACATCGTCTTCCCCGTCTTTCTGCAATCTACAGGAGAAACATTGACCATTAGAGTGACGTTTTTGGCGGGCTCGCACGCACCTCAGCGCGGGGACACAGCTTTAGCGCCAAGACCCTGGAGACATTTTTTCATATCCATCTTCCCTTTTTCCTCCCTCCTTGTGTCATCAGTTCAAACTGGCCTCGTCTTGCACAATGGCTGGCCACACTGGAGACAAGCTCATCGCCCTTGAGGCAAGAGAAGGCACGGAATGTGTCCGTCTCGCCGAAGGCAAATCCTTTGGTGCTGAGAAGAGCGTAGCTGGCGAGCTGGTCTTCTCGACTGGCATGGTCGGCTACGAGGAGTCCATCACCGACCCTTCGTACAAAGGCCAGATCCTGGTCCTCACCTACCCCCTGGTCGGCAACTATGGTGTGCCCGACAGAAACGAGATGGACCCCCTGCTCAAGGACCTCCCTGCTCACTTCGAGGCCTCGCAGATCCACGTTGCTGGTCTGATCGTTGCTTCCTACTGCGGCGAAGACTACTCACATTACCTGGCCACCTCTTCATTGGGCAAATGGCTGAAGGAGCAAGGTGTGCCCGCCCTCTGTGGCGTCGACACGCGCGCCCTCACCAAGATCATCCGCGAGAAGGGTAGCATGCTCGGCCGCATGAGACTGCAAAAGTCTGGCTCTGGTGCTGCTGCCCCCATCACCAACGGCATCACTCTCAGCAACGGCGAGACCGCCGAGAAGCCCGAGTTCGAGGAGGTCGAATGGTCCAACCCTAACAACCAGAACTTGGTTGCAGATGGTGAGGCTACCTGACAGGATGGATTGTGAAGCTGTTTCTGACATGGTCTAGTCTCGATCAAGGAACCCAAAGTCTACTCGCCCGAACCGTCAACTGCTCTGAAGCACCCCTCAGGCAGACCCATTCGCATTGTCTGCGTTGACGTCGGTCTCAAGTACAACCAGCTGAGATGCCTCGTCAAGCGTGGTGTCGAGGTCCAGGTCGTCCCTTGGGACTACGACTTCCCTTCATTGGCTGGAAAGGAGTACGATGGTCTCTTCATCTCCAACGGCCCTGGTGATCCGGCATTGATGGAGAAGACTGTCAAGAACATCCAGGCCAACATCCGTGAGGCCAGAGTCCCCATCTTCGGTATCTGTTTGGGACACCAGCTTCTCGCCCGTGCTTCGGGTGCCGAGACTGTCAAGATGAAGTACGGTAACAGAGGCCACAACATTCCTTGCACAAACTTGATTTCAGGCAAGTGCTACATCACATCGCAAAACCACGGTTACGCCGTCGACTCGCGCACTCTGACCCAGGACTGGTCTGAGCTGTTCGTCAACGCCAACGACGGGTCCAACGAGGGTATCAGACACACCAGCCGCCCCTACTTCAGTGTCCAATTCCACCCCGAAAGTGCTCCTGGTCCCCAGGACACCGAGTTCCTCTTCGACGTCTTCCTGGATGCTGTCCAGAAGGTCATTAAGGACTCCAGCATGATGCACCAGCCCATCAAGTTCCCCGGTGGTGACCTTGCTGAGAACCAGAAGGCCAACCCCAGAGTCACCGTCAAGAAGGTCCTGGTTCTTGGCAGTGGTGGTCTCTCCATCGGTCAGGCCGGTGAGTTCGATTACTCGGGTTCGCAAGCCATCAAGGCTCTCAAGGAGGAGGGTATCTACACAATCTTGATCAACCCCAACATCGCCACCATTCAGACTTCCAAGGGTTTGGCCGACAAGGTCTACTTCCTGCCTGTCAACGCCGACTTTGTCCGCAAGGTTATCAAGCAGGAGAAGCCCGACGGTATCTACTGCACCTTCGGTGGTCAAACTGCCCTGTCGGTCGGTATCCAGCTCAAGGATGAGTTCGAAGGTCTTGGTGTCAAGGTTCTCGGTACCCAGATTGACACTGTCATCACCACTGAGGACCGTGAGCTCTTTGCCCGTGCCATGGAATCCATTGGCGAGAAGTGCGCCATGTCCGCCTCTGCCAACAACATGGAGGAGGCCATGGCCGCTGGTAAGCAGATTGGCTTCCCTCTGATCATTCGTGCCGCATATGCTCTTGGTGGTCTGGGCAGTGGTTTCGCCGATAACGAGGACCAACTTCGCGAGCTCTGCAACAAGGCATTCGCTGCCAGTCCTCAAGTCCTCATTGAGCGCAGTATGAAGGGCTGGAAGGAAATCGAGTATGAAGTCGTCCGCGATTGCCAAGACAACTGCATTACTGTCTGTAACATGGAGAACTTCGACCCTCTGGGTATTCACACTGGTGACTCCATCGTCGTTGCTCCTTCGCAGACTCTGTCTGACAAGGACTTCATGATGCTGAGACGCACTGCTGTCAACGTTATCCGTCACCTCGGCGTTGTTGGTGAGTGTAACATTCAGTACGCTCTCAACCCTGACTCCAGAGAGTACTGTATCATTGAAGTCAACGCTCGTCTGTCGCGTTCCTCTGCTCTTGCCTCCAAAGCCACCGGTTACCCTCTGGCTTTCGTCGCTGCCAAGCTTGGTCTCGGTATCCCATTGAACGAGATCAAGAACACCGTCACCAAGGTCACCTGCGCCTGCTTCGAGCCTTCTCTCGACTACGTCGTTGTCAAGATTCCTCGTTGGGATCTGAAGAAGTTCACTCGTGTCTCGACCCTCCTCGGCTCTGCCATGAAGAGTGTTGGTGAAGTCATGAGCATTGGTAGAACATTCGAAGAAGCCATTCAAAAGGCTATCCGTGCTGTCGATGTTAGCAACCTCGGCTTCCAGGAGACTAGCGCCCTCATGTCCATCGATCAAGAGTTGCAGACTCCATCTGACCAGAGAATGTTCGCCATTGCCAACGCCATGCACTCTGGTTACACCGTCGACAAGATCTGGGAATTGACCAAGATCGACAAGTGGTTCCTGAGCAAGCTCAAGGGATTGAGCGAGTTCGGCAAGCTCATGAGCACCAAGAAGGTTGGCGACGTTCCCTCGTCGCTCTTCAGACAGGCCAAGGAGCTCGGTTTCTCAGACAAGCAGCTGAGTATCTTCTGGTCTACCAACGAGCAGACCGTCCGTAAGCACAGACTTGAGTACGACATCATGCCTGTTGTCAAGCAGATCGACACAGTTGCAGGTGAATTTCCTGCATTCACGGCGAGTCCCAGCTTCATCTCCACTCTCATGAAATGGTTGCTAACTTTTGTTCGCAGANACTACCTATACACAACTTATAACGGGATTGAATCTGACATTGACTTCAACGACAACGGCGTGATGGTGCTCGGTTCTGGCGTCTACAGAATTGGATCGTCTGTCGAATTCGATTGGTGCTCTGTCCGCACTGTCCGCACTCTTCGAGAGAACAATTTCAAAACCGTGATGGTCAACGTGAGTTTGTCCACTGCTTCAGACGCTTTTTGTAGTCGTTGTATAGTCCTTCTTGCTAACTCAAGTGACCCAGNNTACAATCCTGAGACCGTAAGCACCGACTACGATGAGGCCGATCGCCTGTACTTCGAGAACATCACCCTCGAGACCGTTCTCGATATCTACCAGCTCGAGAACTCCAGCGGTGTCATTCTCTCCATGGGTGGCCAGACTCCCAACAACATCTCTCTGCCTCTCCACCGCCTCAACGTCAAGATTCTTGGTACCTCACCCGAGATGATTGACTCTGCCGAGAACAGATACAAGTTCTCGCGTATGCTTGACAGAATCGGTGTTGACCAGCCCCAATGGAAGGAGCTGACCAGCATTGACGAGGCTAAGAAGTTCTGTGATGCTGTGTCTTACCCTGTGCTCGTCCGTCCTTCATACGTTCTTTCCGGAGCCGCCATGAACACGGTCTACTCGGAGCACGACCTCGCCAATTACCTCAACCAGGCTGCTGAAGTTTCCAAGGACCACCCCGTTGTCATCACCAAGTACATTGAGGGTGCCAAGGAGATCGAGATGGACGCCGTTGCCCGTAATGGTACCATGATTGGCCACTTTATCTCTGAACACGTCGAGAACGCCGGTGTTCACTCTGGTGACGCTACCCTGATCCAGCCCNCTCAGGACTTGGACGCCGAGACCGTCAGACGTATTGAAGAGGCTACCAAGAAGATTGGTGAGGCCCTCAACATCACCGGTCCTTACAACATTCAGTTCATTGCCAAGGACAACGACATTAAGGTCATTGAGTGCAATGTCAGAGCTTCAAGATCCTTCCCCTTCGTTTCGAAGGTCACTGGTGTCGACTTGATCGAGTTGGCCACCAAGGCTATGACTGGTCTTCCCCTCCAGGAGTACNCCCCTGTCACCATGCCTAAGGATTACATTGGTGTCAAGGTTCCTCAATTCTCGTTCTCGCGTCTTTCTGGAGCCGACCCCGTCACCGGTGTTGAGATGGCTTCCACTGGTGAGGTCGCTTGTTTCGGTCGTACCAAGTACGAGGCTTACATGAAGGCCCTTGTCGCAACCGGCTTCCGCCTCCCCAAGAAGAACATCCTTCTGTCTATCGGTGCTTACAAGGACAAGCAAGAGTTGTTGCCTTCCATTGAGAAGCTCCACAAGCTCGGCTACAGCCTGTATGCTACTGCTGGTACCGCCGACTTCCTTGAGGAGCACGGTGTTCCTTGCAAGTTCTTGGAGGCTCTCCAGGATGACGAGCAGAGAACCGAGTACTCGTTGACTCACGCTCTTGCCAACAACTTGATCGACTTGTACATCAACTTGCCGTCAAGCAACCGCTTCCGTCGTCCTGCCAACTACATGTCTAAGGGTTACCGTACTCGCAGAATGGCTGTTGACTACCAGACTCCTCTGGTGACTAACGTCAAGAACGCCAAGATTCTGATCGAGGCCATTGCTCGTGACTACGACATGGCTATCAGCAGCATCGACTACCAGACCTTTGCTGAGCTTCCCTCGACCTCTCTTGAAGAGCCTGTTGCCAAGCAGACTCCCTCTCTTCAAGAGCTCCTCCACAACTCTCCTTTTAAGGGCAGGGACATCACCTCGGTCAACCAGTTCACAAGAAAGGAGTTGCACCTTCTCATGACTGTCGCTTCGGAGATGCGTTTGGGTGTCGAGCGCGACGGTGTCCTTGATATCCTCAAGAACAAGCTTCTCTGCTTGATGTTCTACGAACCTTCTACTCGCACTTCGTCTTCCTTCGATGCTGCCATGAAGCGTCTTGGTGGCCAGTGCATCATGATCAACGAGTCCCACTCGAGCACCAAGAAGGGCGAGACTCTGTCGGACACCATCCGCACTCTTGACCAATACGGTGACGCTATCGTCCTCCGCCACCCCGAGGATGACAGTGCCGACGTGGCTGCTGAAGCTGCTGACCACCCTATCATCAACGCTGGTAACGGCTCGCGCGAGCACCCTACTCAGGCCTTCTTGGATCTCTTCACCATTCGTGAGGAGCTTGGTACCGCCAACGGTCTTACCATCACCTTCGTCGGTGATCTCAAGTACGGCCGCACCGTGCACTCTCTTTGCGAGGTGCTCAAACACTACAACTGCACAATCAACCTCATAGCACCCAAGCAGATCGGCCTCCCCGAGAAGGTCCGCAGCGCTCTCCAGGGCCGCGGTCAACTCGGCACCGAGTCTCACGAGCTGACCCCTGAGATCGTTGCCCAATCCGACGTCATCTACTGTACCCGTGTGCAGAAGGAGCGCTTCGAGGACTTGTCTCTGTACGAGCAGGTCAAGGATGGTCTTGTCGTCAGCGCCGCTACCCTCAAGCACGCAAAGAAGAACATGATTGTCATGCACCCTCTTCCTCGCAACTTAGAGCTCAGCCCCGAGGTTGACAACGACCCCAGGGCTGCTTACTTCAGACAGGTAAGTTCTGCACCTTTTGGTTTTCCGACTTGTTTACTGACAATTGTTANNCAGATGAAGTATGGCATGTTCGTCCGCATGGCTCTTTTGGCCTTGGTCATGGCATCATAAAAACCAGGAACGCGTTTCGGAACCAAAGATTTCAAAAATTGGGAATAGGCGTTTTCTTGTTAGACTATATCGGAAGCGATTCGAGGTGGATTTTTCTCTTTTTGTGCTTTCCTGTATACAATCATACTATACCTCACCCTTTGAATCGGGGCTCGACATGCATTCGCGTTCAGTATATCACTCTGTTCGCCACGTCGTTCCCGTTTAATCACGTATTCGAGCCTGGATTGCTCTGCGTGTGTTTTACGTGTTATGCGTTTACGTCGTCTACGTTTTATGTATATATCTTTTATATTTCCTGTATATAGAGAAGTTATTTCAATTTGTTTTTATTGTCCTTTGGTCTTTCTCGTTCTTGGTGCTTTCCTTGCTGTGAGTTTCTGTTATCGTTTCCCTTTGCTTTTGCCAATTAACGTTGTTGTTCGCTTCGTTCGTTGCTTCCTTGTCGATTAGTTACCTTCGCTCAACCTTTTCCTTCATATTCATACTAATATTTGCTTCTTTTGCAGGAGATTGTCAGCGGATCCTGTCTTTGTGATGGAGTTGGATGTCACATTCGTATCGAGGAAGTGACGTTCCAGAAGTCGAGTCGGCGATAACATATCGGAGCTACCATTATATCCGAGTCCATATTACATCTCATGGACCACCCACGTACCGATCCTGTCTTCCAGCACCATTTCAAACAGACTTAGAAACCCTCAGAGATCCAAAGAGCAATCAAAATGGCTACTTCCAAGTACACCGACTTCACTCAAAAAGATTTCGTCTACAAAACTGTCAACAATCACAAAATCTCCACCACTGTCCTTGTTCCGAAAAACATCAAACCAGGGAAACATCCACTGCTCGTCCACTTCCACGGCGGGTTTCTGATATGCGGATCTAAACTCTACGAAGAATGGCATGCAACATGGACAATCCAATTAGCAGCGCAAAAGAACGCCATCCTCGTCACACCAAACTACCGACTCTTGCCCGAAGCAAACGGTAAACAAGTCCTCGACGACATTACAGACTTTTGGTCTTGGACAAAAACCTCACTACCTACAGAAGTGGACAAAATGGCAAAAGGTGTAGACGTGGATCTAAACAACGTACTGGTAGCCGGAGAATCAGCAGGCGGATACCTAGCCATCCAATCAGCACTGCTTTTCCCTGATGCTGGGATCAAAGCAGTGATATCGCAATACGGCATGCTAAACAACAAAATCGCCCACTTTGCGCAAAGAGGGGAAAAGCACATGGCTGGGGCGCCCCAGCAACCAGAGTCTGAAATCGATGATTATTTGAGAGACATGAAGGAAGGAGCGGTGAGGACAGAAACGCATCCGTGGGAGTTGTGGTTGTTTATCTGTGCTACTGTGCAGGCTGGGCGGTATTTGGAGTTCTTGGGCGATGGGGAAGGTGTGCATGCGATTGACAATCTTGAGACGGCCAAGAGTGTCCCTGCATGTTGGGTCATTCATGGCAAGGAGGATTCGCTGGTAAGTCTAGTGAGGGAGAATGGAACGAGACGAGCTCGGTTGCTGACAGATAAAAGGNTGCCTATTGAAGCCTCGAACAACTTTGTTGACAAGCTTAAGCAAACCCATCCTGATACGCCTTTGAGGTACACGATACAACCTGGCGAGCATGGATTCGATGGTGCAGTGACCATGGATGCAGACTGGGTTAAGGAAGGTTGTGCTTGGCTTGACCAATATTGGCCTTGATAACCGAGATTTATTTGCTGAAACGACAGACCTCTAGACACACTCCTAGCCCCTGAGTCGCGACACAGATCTTCGAGACACACTACGAGCCCTACCAAATTGGAAAGAGGTCGTCCAAGGTTCCCAACTTAATGTATGGCGTTAACCTCCCCGTGCCCTGAAGACACCAACTTGCTTTGAGCCTTCTGTCAATACACCCCTCGACCTGGAACCGAAACACACCCTGCTAGAATTTACAACTCAAGGCGCACAGAATGGCATAGAAGTTTTTGTCCATCGAGAAATCAAAGTATGCGTGGTCGATTCAATGGTTGCAAGTTCTTATAGTGGATGCGGAAGCACCACACAATCAAGCCCTCTCCCAGACGGATACTATATGGAATAACAGTAAATCGTTCTCCAAGCCAGATGCCTCGCCGTCCTAATAGCCTCATCTCTCTTCATAGATATCACTTTCTCTTGAGGAATATCGTACATTTTTATAGCTACAGTGTGAGGGGAGCAGGTCATGGAGGCATGTGCAAAGTATGTGATCGTATGCGACATGTTCTGTGTACCGCAAATGCTAGAAACAGAATAGGGTATCTGAGAAAAGAGAGCAAAGAAAAAACGCAAAAGGCTGCATACAGCAGCCACAGACCCAATACCACATGACTTCGTTGTTGTTCTTATAATCACTTTTTTCGCCATTGACTTTGCCGTTGATCTACAACGCCAACCCAGACCCATCTCCTGTCCACCTGTATAGAGCAAGCACCTCCCTGCGGCGTTGCTGCTGTTCGCCAAAGTCTTCGAGACTGCGTCCGCGGACTTGACTCAGAGCACTGCGCATGACCTTTCGGAAGTTTCTCTGTNNGCAAGATGTTAGTTGACGTTCAGAATTGTCGGTGGCGGTGAAACAAACCTGATATTCTGTGTTCAGAGTCACGACACAGACCTCATGAGCTCGGACAATCTGCTCGCATGCTTTGACGACACTCGCACTTGCCTCTCCCTGCAGCTTGTCCGCAATCAACAGTAGCAAGAAGCTACCTTGAAGAAGATAGATGCCGAAGAAGAAAGGCATGAAACTGAGATCTGGGTCATAGTCCAGGATACCACTGATGGCATCGGCAGCCGAGACAGCATGCCCAGTAGCTGAGACGAACGATTGTGAGGAAATCCATAAATCGTTGTCGTCTAGGAGAGATATGGGGTCCCATTTGCCATTCAGAAGAATATGCAACGTGTGCATCAAATGTGTTCCATAAGCCACGATCGTCTTGGTAAGAAGGATGGTCTCGGTGATGCGGTTGCTGCTGGTAGATTGGTTCGATGGGCTAGCGTTGTCGACATGCGTGCCGTCAGGGTTGGTTCCATCGGTCGGAATGAATCGCGCTTCGAACGCTTCCAAGCTGCGACCATATGAATCCAGCTGGAGACTGATCTCATGTGCCATATCGTCCAAATCTGTGCCGTTTCTGAACCGCATACCAAATCGAGGATGGTTGCGAGTATGATTTAGGTCCACGATCTCACCCAAGATGGTCATCAATGGCAAGAAGTAACCAAAGATGCTATGTCCAGTGCATTCCAGCGGCGGACCTCTCCGACGGTAGTATGTCTCGGGCATATTTTCGGTCGTGTAGTATTCGCCCGCCTGGTAAACGGATTCGTCTTCAGGCTGCAACAAGCCTTCGCACTCAGCATCCAAGAGGAAAAGCGGCCTGTTGTAGCAAAGCGCAAGGTGTCTGTCGACAATGTATAGCAGCCACCAGGCTCTCCTCCTCTCTTCTCTTTCTTCTTCGGTCACCGAGCCCGGTTGTGACATGGATGCAGGCATACCGCTGAACCGCCGTGAGTTAAAACCCTGCTGGCCGTTGATGCCCATGTCGTTTTCTGCGTTTCCTTCGGCGATCGCGCTCTCATCCTGTTGCATTGACGGATCCGGGTTGGGTGGAAGTTCTCTGCCCAGTTTGAGCTCTCTAGCCAGAGACCACGCTGCATTCCACCAGCGCAAACTCGCAGCTTTGTATTCGCTTGCTGAAACTACGGTGGCCAGGTTGATGTAGGTCGCAACGTCATCCAGAGCACCTGCAGCACCTGTAGAGCCACCTTCGCTATCGTGCCTTGCAGTATGCAATGCCACACCAAAGCCTCCCAGTGCAACACCATTCACGACGGGATTAGCTGCTTGGGTAGAGCCTTCGGTAGGTGTATGAATCAGGGGTCGCAAGAGACTGACGGTGAGCTCCAAAAGTTTCTGACATACTTTGCCGCGTGCTGACGGAGGGGAGGTCAAGAAAGCAGATTCGCTAGTCTGAGCACCAACCCAAAGCATACTCGCGAGCAGAGCAGGACTGCATGTTCGGGGGTTGTTCTGGCGTAGGAAGGAGTTCTTGCGGAAAATGATGCCCAGAACGTAAGGAGAGGCAGGTTGAATGAACTTGCTGTACGAGCTTGAGAAGTAGATTTCCAGAAGGTCGCAAGCAAGACTGATGGGTATGATGGCTGAGATTCTGGAGAGGATAGGCTTCAGTACTGGGTAGCGCAAGGTCTGGTTGTTGGGTTGTTGAAAATTCGTGTATAGAGCGGCAGAAGGAGAGGGTAGCTGTAACCATCCAGGAGAGCCCGCATGCGGTGAGGTGCCCATCAAGCCGTGAGCAGAGATGGGTGACTCGCCCATGCGGAAGTTTGTGTTGAAATTGTTGTTCTGACTTTGGGGGCTTGGTACAGCATAGGGACTCTCTGGATTGAAAGTCATGCCATTCGGATAGGTGAGCGGAGCTGAGAGGGGAGCAGCGCCGGCTGGCATCATGGAGTGATGGGCTACGGCAGATGGAGGTTGCTGCAGGACACTGCGGTGGTAGTCATCCATGGAACCCGTGTAATTTGTAACGCCGACAGCGGCCCGGTCAGGCATTGCCGAGTGATTTGCGCGAGGAGTGGGCAGGATAGCCGGTTGGTTTTGGCCGTCAACTGAAGCGCGTACGTTGGAATAGCGATCGTTTGGAGCACCCGGGACAGCATCTTTGCTCAGATTTAGCGGTGGTAGATGGTGCTGGGGCTGGGACTGAGGCGGTGGTTGTTGTGCTTGAGCCGGAGGTGGAGGTGGAGGCAGAGGTGGGCCCAAGGTCTGTGGATTTGGCACAGTCATCGAGGCCCTCCTCTGCGGAGGTGGAGGGATGTGGTGGTTGCTGGACCTTCGGCGCTTGAGCGAGTTCTGGGGCATCTCGGTGGCGTTTTCCGGNGGAGCGGATTGCTCATTGCTCGACTTGGGGCTGTCATTACCGCCATTGTCTGATGTGGCCGTCGCGGGATTATGAGATTGAGCGGCAATGTCTTTGCGCGAAGCCTTGCCACGCTTCTTGCGCTCGCGATTGTATTCGCACGTAAGACCGAATTCNTGTATATCATGACGCGTTAGCCCGGGCTTGGTCTCGGCTGGGCGTGGTCGAGTCCGGCTGGTCAACATACCCACACAATGCGCGCAAGGAGTCTTGCCATCGCACTTGGTCCGCAGCTGATTGCATTGGTCGCACGCCCGGCTGATTCTTCGTCGCACCGGGGCCCCATTACTGCTGGCCTTGTTGTTCGCACTCTGGTCCTGGCCGCTCTGGTTCTGGCTAAAGGCATCGTGCTCTTGCGGGGCTGGGTTTAGGTGCGAGTCGTGAAGTTGCTGCAATGCATACTGCGAGCCCTGAGCTAGAGCATCCAATCCAGACATGGGAGCTTGGTCGTGGTGTGTTACCATGTTGGCACTCGACATGCGGCCAAAACCTTGAGGATAATGCATGCCGCCGGCTGACAGCATTTTGTGGAGTCCTGGATGGTCGCGTCCGCCGCCGTTCAGGTCGAGTTGTGTCGAGTCGCTCTCATACAAGACGAGGGGCAAATTAAAGTAGGAAGGAGCGTTTCGAAAGCCTCTCGAACTTTGGAAATGGAAATGCGGGCACAACTTGGGGATCATTTGCGGGATTCATGCACACTCCCCGGGAAACCGCCAAGTTCTTCTCCACACCTCGGCCGCCTTTAACCATGCATGCACCATTTCAGCTGCCCGAACCTTCAATCTGCGACATCCCCTCGAGTTCATCGACCTTCCCGCAGTCCCTGAAGACTCCCAATTACCCAGAGATATACTTTGTGTCAACCCTTTGTTCATCTCCGAATTGTTGATCAGGCCCAAGCAGCTGTCGAGTCCGAGGCTGCCTCCCTGTGTTTAGCGAGCATGTAGGTGGCGTTGGTCCTAGAGCCATGTTAGCGTCCTGTGACCCACTGGGAAGGCGTGATGTCGGCTTGCTCGACGCACGTGATACATTGTCAGCCACCCGCGACTTCCTCTGGAGTCTGCCGGCGCTCTTCGTACTTCGTTTGCCTAACTCGATCATCTCTTCTCGATGATCCCTTCTACATTTCCACAAGGCTACGGCTTCCGCATCTGACACGTCTGTAGCCTGCCTTTCTATCGAAGCTTGTCAGAATTACGGCGAACTGCATCCACGTGCATCATGATTCAACACATTCGAACAAACCCGTCTCGGGCCTATTCCAATTACCTGATCTAATGCCGTTTCGCACGGTCGCTGCATTTTGCTGTGCATCGAGACCGAGCCCCAGAACTCCCCACCTTCACCCCCGGTCGTCCCCGGCACTGTGTTTGTGTTACTCCATCTCTTCACATTCGGTCGCTTCTTCCCTGGCACTATCTCGGTGTCAATGGCTTGCTGACATGCAGTGACCTCATAACTTGTCTATCTCGCCGAAGGATTGCAGACGCTCTTCGTACCGCTACAAAGCATGACAGCAGAAGCCATGCAGTAGAGTAGACGAAATCGATAAGGCTTGCGCCCGTGACCGTATGAGAAACCACGTCCTACCTCGCAACATGGTCCCTATATTCAGCATCAGGTACGGATGGCCACATGTGGCTGCATCTGAAACTGCGCAAACGCTACATTTCAAAGGCCGTGCACCCGAGATGCATTCCGCCGTTCGGAGAGTTCTATCGATTGAACTCCAAGCCACAAAGAGCTGGGCATCTCATCAGCAAACCCGCCTCTTCCACACAATCAACATTAGCCTACTCAAATCAATCTGATAGTGGAACGAGAATGCTTACCACGCACTCAGGCAATGCGCTGATGTCGATTGGCTCCCTGTCTACTGACTGCAATTGGCTTTGCGGTAGTCAGGACCGCAGTCGCAAGGAAGAACCAGTTCCAGAACAGCATTTTGCGAACGTCTGTAGATGTTGGAAGAAACGAAGTTGAAAGAGATGGTGGGAATAATGGCTTGTATATACATCTTGCATCATGCGCACCTCTATGGGATCACTCTTAGAAAATGTAATCAACTCACTCTAATACCAGCACAACTCACGTTGCTATGTTGTGTTTAGGGAAGGAGCGATTGAAGCCAGCCACAAAATCAATGAGAACCTGGACCAGCATCTCATCAACTCAATGCCATCACCAACATCTGAACCTCGGGTCCATCATATTTCTTACAAGCTTGTATGTGCCATAAAACCTTATAATCTCATGTTACCCTCGTTTGTAGTAAGTCAGAGTGGATTTGAGAAGCTACATGAATGCAGAATACTGCTTAGAAAGATAGGTACCTACAGAGAGCTGTAGAGACAACAGGTCTCAGTAGACTCTGCCCTTTCTGATGAGAGTTTTGTGCATACTTTCAGTTGTTCATACGTGATAAAGCTTAGAAGCAGTAGCAAGCCATTTTGAATGGGATTGCAGACCTAGGTATGTCATTGTGGTGTTGTTCGCGCTGCAAGTAGAAGCCTACCTTGTCTTGTAAGCTCGATATATGTGCCAGTACGGAATTGCATACATGTTCTGATAGACGGTGAGAGCGAGGTACAGACGACTACTGTAGGAAAGACCCCTGGTTTTGTAGTTGGCTGGCACTTGTGCACTACTTCTTGTATCTCTCGAACCTCTCTCTCGCCATTTCCTGAATCATCTCTGGTGTCAACACCACATCCGGATCAATCTTTGAACCTCTCCAAGCACCGTGCCAGTCAAACATTACCCTTGTCTCTACATCAACAGCCAATGCTTCTTTTCTCCTTAGCTCATAAAACGACCAATCCCTCTCTTCGAAACTGGTGGCTTGCATCTCAAGTTTTGTTTCTGCAATTGCGGTTCTCATGTACTTGACTTGTTGCTCTGTGCATCCTTTGTTGAGCATGTCGTCGAGTTTAGTTGTCAAGCCTTTGAGCACATCCTCACCCACAGGTTCGAAGTAAGATGGTAGAAACTCTCTTCCACAGCGATCGATTGTCTGTTCCAAGTGCTTGCGTTCGCTAGTCTCAGCAGTGGAGGGTAAGAGGGATAGTTTCTGGATCGCATGGTGATAGTGGAGTTTGCTGAGTTCGCGTGATTGCATTTCAGCAATATGCCCGCATAGCTCTCTCAAAGGCGCTTGGTCGCGGTATCGTTGGTGTATCTTGTTCTCGTATTTCTCTCTCAGTTTGTCGAACTTGTCGCCGTCGAAGGTCTCTGGCCATCCCGTATCGAGGTAGAGTTGTTTATATGCTGCATACCTCTCACCGTCCACTGGTGAACACAGTCCTCCAGGCATCCAAGTAAGATCCTTGAAGTTCGTTACAATATTGCGTAAGTAGGGAATTGCATTGTGTCTAAAGTCGCAGATGTTTCCAAAGCCAGTTTCGGAAATCGTGAAGTTGTGCGTGTTGAGGAACAGGACTGTGCCGTGGTTGCCAATGCTGTTGAGGGTTACGTGCCAGGGCCGAATATAGAGAAGGAGGCGCTCGTTCCTGAGATCTTCTCTGTAGACTCTTCTCCTGGCTTGTGACTCTTCCTCGGCTCTTGCGTCTGCTACTTTCTGTTCCTCCAATGCTGCTTCTGCGAGGAAGGTGTCTTGTTGCAGTAGAACAAGTTCTTCTTCCTGGATAATCTCGTCCTCAAAAGCTTGTTCTTCGTTGGTATCGTCTTCGGAATCCAAGGAGGAAGTATCGCTCGTTTCTTCCTCGTCTACCTGCCAATCTTGATCTTCGAGATCGTCTTCTTCTGGCTCATCAATCATCAACCAGCCCTTCTCTTTCTCCTCCTCTTCCTCCATCTCTCCACTTTCCTCATCAAGATCTTCACACACCAGACTCCACCCCACCGCACTCTGTCCCTCTCGCCCAACATCCAAATGGTACAACGGATCCACGCATTTCCTCCACCAAGCCTCTTCTTTGCCCTCTCCCCTTATGTCTTCATCGAACTCGCCCCCGTGAACAAATTCTCCAGCATCGGAACCAAAGTTCCAGGTCGGGCGTGTTTTGTCGTGATTTGGAAGTAGTTGCAGCAGATCCACTACTTGTTTCTCTAGTCCGAATAAAGCAGCATGTCGTAGAGAGATCGGGGTGCTGGTATGGGGAGCAAAAGACACTGAAGAGGGAGGTAGGTAATGCATCTTGATGAATATTGTATAGAGCTCATTCATTAGAGAAGCTATGATGGCGATTTTAGGGTGGGCTTTGGACGGGTAGATGGTATCGTATACCGAGACGTCTGTCGGTGTGATGAATGGGCGTAGTGATTCGGTCTTTTGAGCCAACTCCTCCCAGGTTGTTGGGTCGCTCATGGTCATGCTTGTGTTTGACTCCTAGCAAAGGGTTGATTGGTGGAAAGAATTGGCCTGTTCAGGGGATAAAACTAGTATTCTGTGCTGGAACTCCTTACACTTATATGTCATGCCAGCTTTGCATGGTGTTTAAAATAGGCTACAATTTCGCAACATCGCGACTGACAGGCAGCAGTGCGTTGACAAACGACGCGTCGGATCAATTTCTTCTTCTGCATGGCAACCCCTGTCCCGTGCCTCAACCCACCCGTCCGTCCTCCCCGTATATAATAGACAGTCACGGTGTAACTATAAGAATGCACAATACTTTCTATAACAGAGCAACATCCACGGAGAGAACGTTACTTTCAGGTATCTCTATGGTGGCACCTCTTTAGAAAGAGGCTGTGTATTTTCATAGCTTATGTTAACACAGTGAGCCAGTGAGAGAGAGGTCGATATTGAAATTGAGGTTGTACCCGTCTTTTGCACACGAGGATGGTGTGCCAAATTGTCATCCAGAATGAATCGTTGAGATAGCGATTTCGGTCTTCTCAGTTGCATACCTGTTCTAGCACATGGGAATGGTGTTTCTATGGAAAGCATTGTTTCTATTACGACTATCACATGCGAGAATCGGGGTTGGCACTTATGACAGATAAAAGCTGTTTGAGGATGATACTTTCGCATGTCTTCCTCTTCTCTACATAGGAACGGGAACTACTTCCTTTTGATGTCCCTCGATCGTCATGGACAGATCCGTAATGGTCTCGCTCCCACACTTCCTCTGTGTCCCCTCAGGCCTGACATGATCTCTCCTCTTCTTGGGTTCATAAGTATCATGGTTATCATGACTCTCGTAATCTCGGCGCGGCGCGGTGTTCTACCTATGGGACTGAGCGTGCCTCTCTCTGCCATGTAGATGGTGGTGACGATCATAGAGAAGTGTCCGTATAGACACTTGCACTACCCTTGCGCACATGCCTATGTTCAATCAAGCTCATAAGGCGAGCTTCGACAAGTCCGGGCGCCTAGAACCAAATCTTGATGAGCTCCTCGCTGACTGCGGATGGTAGCAAGACACCAGACTCGGTGATGATGCCAGAGATGAGGTTAGGGGGNCTGTTGGAAACACGTTAGCCATGATCGTCTGAAACATGCATAGGATAACATACTGTAAAGTCAACAGCATCGGTGTTGGCTACACTGTCCGAGACACCGGCATCGGATTGGGCATCCATGTCAGCAACACCCTCGTCCTTTGCAGAGACGCTTCCACTAGTACTGGCAGCGTCCCCAGTAGTCTTGAACTCGACAATGTTCTGGTCAATACCCAAATCCGTCTGTCCCAGCGGGTATAGTCTGACAAACTTGTGGCTCTCCGAGACAACATAGAAAGGCTTATTGGCGGCCTTGGCCAGCATGGCAATCTGATATGTGCCCAATCTGCTGATGATACCTCCGTTTTCGACAACACCTTCAGCACCAACAAAACATTGCGAGACCTGGTTCAAGCTGTATGCGATGGCGGTTGGAGGAATGGTGGCAACGGGGATACCGAGCTTGCGCAGCTGGGCGATATTGTCACTGCTCTCTGCATCTGACGAGTCGGAAACGACATAAATGACGCGGAAACGAATGCTGCCTTGAGCACCGAAACCCGCACTTGTCTCTGCAGCCGAGCGCAAGAGAGCACCGACGACACGCGAGCCTCCGTTGGTCAAGACGGTGTTGCCGTCGCGAACGAAATGTCTACCAAAACCAGCAATTTTGTCACGAGCCTCCTTTGCGCGCTCAACGAACAAGCGACCGTTTTGTACCAGATGAGTGCGAATAGTGTCAAAGTCGCTGTTACGGCCAGCAGTGGGTTTCTGCAGAGTAGTGATGATGTAGCGTTGAAACAAGTCGGTGCCGGCCGAGAGAGAAATGGGGTTGGGAATGCGAGCCTTCAATTCGGCTGTGAGAGTAGATAGCAGGTCCAGGGTTTCGGAGACGGTGGTCGCAGGAGTGTGAGCGAGAGCAAGGACCAGAGCTTCGATTGCAGCGACGGGCATAGTCAACTCTGGATCGTCGGCCAGCAGACGCTTGTATGTGTCGACGACATCGAAATTCTGCTGCTTGTTGGCGGTAACCATCTTGTCGAGGTAGTAGCTGTCGAGCAGCGAGAGACGGAGGACTGAAGGGCGAGGAGGAGGCAGCGGGTGCGAAGAGGCAACAGGCGTGGGAGGTTGGATTTGTATGTCGACTGGTGGTTTCTGATATTCGGCTTGAACTTGAACTTTGGGCAGTGACTCTTTCTGCAAAGAAGCTTCGACTAGCGAGTCATTAGCCTGCAGGTGCTCGGAGTTGAAGGCCGGTCGGTGTTTCTCGTCCTGTTGCATCATCTTGCTTGTCTTCGTCTTCTTGATCTTGGTAGAGCGAGGTCATGTCAGATCTGAACTTCTTTGACCCATCGCATCGCATCATGTCACCAAGTAGCAGCCCTGGTCTGGCGCAACTGTGATTGTATGCTGGGTCATGCCCTGCTCAGCATTCCGCCAAGGCGGGTGAATGCACATGTTAGCTCCGTCCCTGTTTGGATGCCCCTCAGCAGATTCCATGCGTCTGTCTCTCTATTGCTGTGCCACCCAACCCTCATCCGAAACAATGACTACCCTCGACCCAGCCACCGGCCGTCCCTTGGCCGACTCTGCTATTCAGCGAGTCCTGTTCATCTGCCCACACGTCCATGTCTACCAAATTCCCNCTCTCACCTCCAACAAGGGCTTCTCTGCTGGCTCATGGACCGCTCCTCCGCGCCCGACCGCCCAAATGATTTTCACCGCTCGCCTGCGCATCATCGAGACATCGCTATCAAACCAGATAAAGACTGATATCGTGCTCGAGGATCCCAAGACTGGTGACCTTTTCGCCGCTNGCCCTTACACGTCGCCTGCTGTAGTCGAGCAGGCCAACGACAGCAGCCGTTTCTTTGCCGTCCGCGTTGTCGGCGAAGGTGGCATGAAGGCCACTCTGGGTATGGGCTTCGAAGAGAGACCTGATGCCTTCGATTTCAGCATTACACTATCCGAAGCTAGAAAGCTACTTGGCATGGACCAGAATGTCGCTCCCGGCCAGGCACAACCCCGCNACATGAGCAGAAAGACGGTTGAAGAGCCCAAGAAAGATTTCAGTCTGAAAGTGGGCGAGAGCATCCACGTCGAGATTGGAGGCCGTGGTAGAAGGCAGCAGCAATTGAGTGCGCCATCCAACGACGATGGCAGCGCTCTCTTTTCCATCCGCCCTCCGCCTCCGCCTGCTGCTGGAGACGACTTTGCACTTCCTTCTCTCGCTCCTCCACTGTCAGCTGCTCATGTCAAGGCCGCGTCAAAGAGCCCTTCGCCCGCAAGGCAGCAGCCGCAATATCAGTCCCAGCAGGACCACAACCAGCCTTCAGCCCAAGACCTGGGCTTTGACGATGGCGAGTTTGGCGAATTTCAATGAGTGACATTAATACAGGATGCTTGATATACAGGCTATGCTTTATTTACGTTGCAAAAGATTTCATCATCATGATCGAGCGTTGAGCAGCGCCCACAGAAGTCCGACTACTGCCACACCGGCTGCAGCGCCCTCGAGAGCTATCGTCGTCACGTCAATTCTCTTGACTGTGACTTGACGGTCGGAGAAGAGGTCTTGCAGTCTGGCCTTGTAGAGGACTAGCTTGGCAGCCAGAACTTGCTTCCAGAGCGCGAACCTCTCCTCCCAGCTCTTAGGTTCTGGTCGTTGTGTCGGCTCTTCGACTGCTTTCTCTGCGGTTTCGTTGATCTCTGCAATTGGATCGCCGACTTCAGCGGCCTCTTCGGGCAACAGTTCTCCAGCTGCTAGGGGTGCCTCTCCAGTTGCTACTTCGCTATCGGCCATGGCTTCGGGTTGCACATCAGGCGCTACTTCTGTCGCCGTCTCCGGCATGACTTCTGTAGCAACTGCCTCAACCGTGTTAACGACCTGCTCTTCGAGCTTCTCTAGAGGTTGATCGATGGGCTCTATAACCTTGTCGACTTCAGCCTCGACGGCAGGAGCGAAGGATGGTGCCATTGTCGTCTTCTCGTCCAGAGCAGTCTTGATTTCTCTCACGATTCTTCGTCTTCTCCAGGGTTCGAAGATGATCAAGTTGGCCAGTAACAAGAAGATATTCAGACCCATGAGACCAAATGTCACCCAGGTACTGTTGCGACGGATTGTGTCACTCCAGATTTGCTCTTCGTGGTATTGCTTGCGTTCCTTTTTCTCCAGCTTTCCTCTGGCGTCCTCGAGATCGCGTTCGGCGTTTGCAAGGTGCTCTTTNGCGGCCTGCACAGCCTGTTCGTTCAAGTGTTCGGAGCGGATGAGGGACATGTAGCGTTCGAGATCAGCGGCTGACCATGAGTGTTTGCGTTCGAGAAGGCCGACGACTTCTTTCTGCGAGGCAGCTTGTTGGCTGTAGGATGTTGTGTATGCAACCTTTGCGGCATTGACTTCGGCATGGGCGGCCTTGACTAGTTGTTCTGTCTTGATGTTAGATCACGTAGACCATAGATGGCGTATCCGATTAGAAATACCTTGGTCGATGATGTCGCGACGCAGGCGTTCAATGCCAGAGTAGTCGGTGCCGGTGTAGTTGTTGACTTTGTGACTGACGACTGCAGCCTTTGCTAGCAGCTCATCCATGCGTTCTTGCACCCGCTTTGACAGGTGCCATCTCTGCTCTTGGTGTTTTGAAGGCAGTGCCTCTTCAATGACTGCCTCCTCTTTTGCGACCTTCTCAGCCACTACTTCCGCTTCCATGTTTAGGATCTCTTCTTCGACAGTAGTTTCCTTTGGAGGTTCTTCTAGTGTTTCTGGCGCAGGGGTTGCGAAAGCCGGTCCAGCAGGCTGTTCTTCTACAGTAGTTACAAGCTTCGCCTCCGGCGCTGTTTCGCGTGGAGGCGCGGGCCGGGAAGCTCTTGCGGCATCGAGAATAGCTGCATCAATTCTTTGCTGTAGATGTTCAGGCGGCGGTGGCATGTAGAACCTCTCATCTGTCTTTTGAGGCTCGGCAGCTTTCGTCTTGTCGTCCTTGGCATCAGGATCATTGCGACCTGGTGTAGAGGCAGCTCTCCAAGCCGACGAGCTCCACTTCCTTTTGCTAGTCCATTGGGTTTTAGACGGAGAGCATGGCCTTGTAGAAGAGGGTCGACAAAGCGGTGCGATTGGGCGGACTATGACGGAGCCTGACCTCGCTGAGGCGACAATGTTGCGTAGCAATGCATACGGCCGTGTTGATGTGCTCATTTCCCTTGGATCCTTCTCTTTTCTACCTCATCCTCCCAGAGAAATTTCGACTGTTTCAAGTGGCCTCGTTGGAGCTTGTATGGAGGGGAAACTCTCACGTCTCGGTTGCAGCAGCGGACGCTTTTCGGTGGAGCCGCTGTCCGATGCGGATCGGCGCCGAATCTTGCCCTTCTGTTTACCCTTGACGTATGCGGCAGGTGCGTTGCCTTTCTTGCCATGTGCTTCGATTGCTTGGTTCACCGAACTTTTTGGCCGCTCTCAACGCATCTCAGTCATCCAAATCTTTCCTTTGACGCTGCATATCACTTTTGATCCTCGACTTGAATCTATTGCAATTCTTTTTCTTGATCTAGATATTTTGCCTGTCACAAACTACACATCATGGCTCAATCACTCCCTGCTATGAAGACGAACCCCAAGTTCATCTTTTTTACCGACTTTGATGGAACCATCACCCTCTTTGACAGTGAGTATTTCTCTCTTGCAACTTCGCCTTCTGCTGCATTTTCTATCATTCTCTACATTGTACTGTCCACATCCTTTGGTTCGATCCAGAGAGAAAAACATAAGAAGGCCCCTGCCGATTCTTCCTATATCTACCACTATTTGCACCACTGCTATATTCATGACATTCTTTGCAAGAAGATACACTTGGATTCTTCGATTAGTCGCAAGATGCTAATGGTTTTACAGGCAATGACTTTATGGTAATTAGACCAGCAGACTTGAAAGATCTTTTTCGGATCTGATGATTGTGAAGATCATGAATCTAACCACTCAATTAGACCGACAATGTTGGCTTCGGCTACGAGAAGAGACGTGAGGGTAACATGAACGTCCTGAACGGCACCGAGAGCTTCAGGTATCTATAATCTCAATTCCCGAATTCGACCTTGGACTAAGCCACGACACNNAGAGACTCCTTCAAGCGCATGATGGACAGTGTCAAGATGCCTTACGACGAGTGCATCAAGTACGTCTCAGAAAACGTCAAGCTCGACCCTGGTTTCAACGACTATCTGCAGTGGGCCATCAAGAACAACATCCCCACAGTTGTTCTGTCATCTGGCATGGAGCCCATCATCCGCGCCATCCTCGAGAAGCTTGTTGGCGAGAACGCAAAGTACATCGATGTCATCTGCAACAACATCCAGGCAAGACCTGGCAAGCAGGTTAACGAGGAAGGTGGTTGGGAGCTCGTCTACCACGATGACTCTCACTTTGGTCACGACAAGAGCTTGACCATTCGCCCTTACGCTCAGCTTCCTGCTGACCAGCGTCCTACTCTGTTCTATGCCGGTGACGGTGTATCGGATTTGAGCGCTGCTAAGGAGACTGACCTTCTGTTTGCCAAGTCTGGGCACGGTGAGTCCTGGATCTTGCTGCATTAGATAAGTCTGAGAAGCTAATGGTGAACTTAGNATCTCATTCAATTTTGTGTCAGAGACAACATTCCCTTCACTGTCTTTGAGGACTGGAGCCAGATCAAGGCCAAAGTCCAGCAAGTCGTGTAAGTATCAGACATTCTTCCCCTAAGTGATCATCATCTGACCGCTATATGTTTAGTGNAGGGCAAGGTCTCCGTCCAGGAGGCTGCCAAGCAAGGTGTTGAGGCCTACGAAAAGGGTCAGGCTGGTGTCAAGCCCACCGCTTGAATCAGATGTCGAAAATCTCTAGATACCTTTTAGACTGAGTTGGATTGGTTTAGAAAAGGGCATACAGGAGAAAGGATAGAGGGATAATCAGGAGCTAGATCAGGCGGGACACTGATTCTGATATTCCCAATGTATAGAATACGTCGATGGGAGTTCGAAGCATTCTTACTCTACCGTGTTTAATCAACGTTCAAGTGAACAACGAAGTTTCCTGTATCCAGTTCTGACATCCACCTCGGAATACTTTGTTCTGCTGGGAGAAAAAAGAAAAAATGGCATGCCAAGGCCTTCTTGGCTTTCCCGCGGCGAAGTCATCGCAGATCGAATAATCGACATCTGCGACCAGGAATCCAGCCATACCGCACTCGCACACGTCGCCATAAGCTCACCATGGCACTCAACCTCTTCACCCGCCTGTTCAGGCTACCTGCCGCAGCGCGTCCCAACTTCTCGGCCCTCAGCACCACTCTTCACACACCGATCGCCCCTTCACCACGCGCCTTCAGCACGTCGTCACCATTTTCGGCTACATACAACCAAGTCATGCGCGGCTGCCGTGTCGCTCAAAGAGCACGTAAACCTACCTCGCCGCAACTGAAAGACAGACCTGAGATGAAGGGTGTGTGCGTGCGTGTGGGTATCACCAAGCCCAAGAAGCCCAACTCGGGAGAGCGCAAGGTTGCAAGAGTCAGATTAAGTAACGGCAGAGTCGTTACTGCTTACATCCCTGGTGAAGGTGCGTTATACTCTGCCGGATTCTCAAGAATCAAGAGGACGAAAGAATGAATTGAGCGTGGCAGATGAAGAAGTGGAGACGCAGGATATCATGGCTAACGTGAGCATCCGCAGNGTCACAATGTCCAGCAGCACTCTGTTGTCTTGGTCCGTGGTGGTCGTTCGCAGGATTGTCCTGGTGTCAAATACCATCTTGTCAGAGGTGCTTTGGATCTGGTATGTCTTTTCTTCTACTTTCTTCGTGACAGTCACACTGACTATTTTCAGGGTGGTGTTGGTAACAGAATCACCTCGCGATCGAAGTATGGTACCAAGAAGCCCAAGGCTGCCTAAAAATCCTACAGTTTACGACATTACATCACACGCTTTCAATCTCTACTGTTCCTGGACTGCTTCAGGGATGATCTTCTGACGGTCATGAGGCCTGACTTCTCAAGTGTCTCATCGTTCGTGCTGCAACGAGAGCTTGGCGCCATGGCTCGCTCTCAGCATTCCATTCTACAGCACCCCACCAAACGTCTCTCTTCGACCATTTCCTTGCTGTATTTAACATCCTCTTTTGCTTCTACACTGCCCTGAGTCTGGTCAGGTGCATATGCATGGCGTTCAATGGTGGGTGGTTTCTTGTATATTATTAGGAATGAGGGTTGGAAAAAGCAGAGGCCCTAGTTAAGCACCAAGAAGCCAGCATGTTCTTGTGCGAAGATCAGCCTGCCTCTCGTACGAAAGATACTACTTTGTACAGAAAAGATCAGCTAAAACTTTCTATGCCCAACCAACCGCATCATGATCATCAATCGATGTATCTTTGACCTGCGACGGTTGTTTCAAGAGAGACTCGTCTATTGCACGCAACGTCTCGTGTTTTTCACTGCGCCTTCCCCACTGTACTACATAACTCGACCTTGCATGTCTCTCTGGGTGGTCTTACTCAAGGCATGTGATAGTTACTATCGATACGAGGCAACCGCCCATCAATCGTTCCTTCCTTGCTAGCAAAAACTGCATAGCTTCCAAGAAAACGGTTCTTAGGTGTTTTATTTCTGGATGTGCTCATGCATCTTTGGGGATATAAGAGCTTGACGTTCTCTTGCTGAGTCTTCCACATCCATCCAGCTTTTCAATCCGCAAGCTCGACTTATCACTTACTTTCTGAAGTATCTCTACATCCATCTCAAACATACATTGACATTGGCAATTACAATGCCTCGCCTGCTTATTCCAGTTGCTCTGCTAGCTCTACTTGCTAGGTATGTATCACGAACCACCGATATCATCGTCGACCATGAACTAACAGCATACATAGTACTGTCCATGCTGCAGCTTGTTCGCTCTGTCCCATATCAATCACCTACACGACACCACCCGGCTGCTTGGCCCTAAACTGCCTTCAGCCTACCTGCACCGTGACAACCACAACCACCATCCCAACCTCCTACTGCAGCACAAAGACTCGCACAGCATGTCCCCGTTCCTGCGCTCCTTGCTCTACCGAGACCATTACTGAGCAAGAAGACCCTATTGTGGTTCAACCAACCATAAACCCTTCTGATCCCACAACAACCACTGAGCCAAACACCACTATCAATCCAGGCGGCCCGATCGTTGTTACTCCTACTGATGCGCCTTCGTCAACTGCAACTGGAGAATGTGCTCCGTATACGGTTACGACTACTGCTGCTAACCCGGCATGCACATTCGATACTTCAGACTGCATTAGACCGCTATGTGTGATTGAGACGACGACAACGGTGCCTGCATGTGGTGTTCCTGTCACAGAGACCGAACCTGCAGTGTGTCCTACCGCCTGTCCGGCTGGTTGTGCCACATTTGTCTATACGACCAGTGTCGTGCCCACTTCCTCTGCAGCTTTGGACTGAGATCATCAGATGAGTGGAAGCGTGAGATCGGATGGCATGATTTGGTCTGAACGCGAGTTTGATGGTCACCCTAGTTCTCCACGGCCGCGAGCAAATTGATTAGAACGACAAATAGTATAATGATTACATTTTGGTTCCAGAAAGAGTTCATCAAACAACCCTAAGAAAGACCAGATAGCTGAAATGCATGTCATGTCCCTCACCCTGCTCTACACACCTCCGCGACCTCGACGCGGGGAACCGAGGCATCTTTTTACAAAGCACCCACCTCGGTGGTCATCTTTGCGGGGATACTCGATTGTCGTGAATGACTGCGCGGATCAAGAAGCTTTCTCTTTACAACGATCGTACTGCCATATCCTAGTAAACCACACTCTATCACGCAATGACAGCCGCACCCAAGAAATCACTCGCTCTCTCACCACCGCCGACCCCACAAACCATCGGCGGAGGTTCCTCCTTCCCAGGCGTACCCACCATTGCCGCTCCTCCTAGCTCGCCACGTCTCAAGGACAAAGTCTGCATTATAACCGGTTGCAACAGTGCTCTGGGTATCGGCAGAGCTTCAGCCTACGAGTTTGCTTCCGCGGGAGCAAAAGCATTGATTCTATCCGATTTCGACACTTCCAACTTGGACAATTGGAAACAAGATATCGAGAAACTGTATCCGGGAACACAGGTGGTGGTACAANAAGTGGATGCTGGGAATGAAGAGGATGTCAAGGCAGTGGTCAAGTTGGCCGTGGACAAGTGGGGCAGACTGGATGTCTTCTTTGCGAATGCAGGTATCGGAGGTACCATGGAAAGAGTTTACGAAGTCGGCAAGAAGGAAGGCAAGTCCGAGGAAGAGTTTATGAGAACCATGAAGGTGAATGCATTAAGGTCAGTTCCCTTATCTCTTTCCCTCCTTCCCACCTCAAGACATTTAAATTGACTGTCTCAACCANGTGTCTTCCTAGCGACAAAGCATGCCGCCAATGCAATGCTCCAAAACAAACCTAATCCCAGTGGTTCCATCATCAACACAGCTTCGGTGGCTGGTCTACGCTCCAACGCCGGCCCTACAGATTACTCTGCCTCCAAAGCCGCAGTCATCAGTATAACACAGACATCGGCCTACCAACTCGCTGGCACCAGCATCCGTTGCAATGCCATCTGTCCAGGTATCATCGAGACCGGCATGACCGCACAGATGTACAAAGCAGCAAGGGCAAGAGGTAGTGAAGGCAAGATTGGCCAATTGAATCCTTTGATGAGGGNNGGTGCGGTAGCAGATGAGGTTGCAAGAGTAGCCTTGTTCTTGGCTACCAATGAGAGTAGTTATGTTAACGGACAAGCTTGGGCTGTTGATGGAGGTTTGAGTGCCGGTTTGCCATTCGTACCTGGCAAATTGGCGTAGAATCATTGAAAACCCGCTCAAAAGATATGAGAGTGTAGCACAAAAATTAGTGCTCTTAAACACAAGCAAATGGGGCCTTTGACATGTGGTCAATAGTAGCCCCTCTTCCTGGCCAGCAGATGGTGCTATAGTATGCTATAGAAATACACAATTGTGTATCGAATCAAAAGTGTAACCAGTGAAGCAAGTCTAAGGTGTTATCTCTCCTTGGACAATGTCTCGTTCCAAGAAGTATCGCGCATTTCTACAGCTACAGTGTAACAATGTTTAGCATACGGGAACGGAAAGGCAGGTACAGCAGGGAATTGAAGTTGACCACATGTTTCTCTATGATTTACCACATGCTCTTTGAAAGGGCCCAAGCAAAACTATTGTGTACAAACAATGTCATGTTGATTACTAGATATCAAAAGCTGTAGAAGAACACAACCGAACGCCATGCTAAGAACGAGGAGAAAGATAAAGAATGCCTACCCCTGTATATTGGGGGAAGACGTGCGCCATCCTGTAGGTATACCTGGCAAGTTTCCTCCTCCATGTACAGGCGGGCGGACAAAAGTAGCCGCAACCCTCGTCAACCATTTACCCTTGTGCTTGTCTTCGCCTCAGAGGTGGACGAGATCATACACTGACTTCACCTGGATCCTCCTCAACCAACGCATCGCTCCAGGCCCAGCTGCTCTGTGCATCCAGGCCAGCACCTCCACCGATCCCGGCACCACCATTGGATTGAGTAGCCATGCCCTCGCCTTCGCCTCTCTCAACATACCCACCTTTCTCAGCACTCAACTCTTCGTAGATACGTTGGAAGTACAGTCGCAGTGAACGCAGTCCACGCAGATACCCNCTATCCACACCATCAGGATCGTGGGGCGGACAAGTGGCAGAAGCTTTGGTCTCGATATCCTCGGCCGTCACACAATTGGCAAAGTCGACGATCTTGAGCAAGATTTGGTTCTTTGGACTGGGCGAACCGGCTCCGTTTTCACCTTCATTTTGATGCGATGTAGCTCGGCGGGGCTTGCCCTGTTCGTCAACGTCGCCACGATCGTAGATCATGAGTAGCGAACTTGCATACAGACGGTATCCAGGTAGTTTGCGGACGATGCGCTCGAGTTGAGTGATTTTNTCAAGAACAACAGGGATGTGTTTGAGTGCCCTGCCATGACTGACCCCATCGAAGAAAAAGCGTGTCAGCGCGGCTTGGAACTCGCTACCTGCCTTGAGATCTCGGCCAAAGTACTTGTCTTCGAAGATGTTGGATTGAGTCTTGACGTTCCAGACTTGCATGCCACACACACGGACGCCCAGCTCGCGTGAAGTGGTCATTTTGCACTTACGCCCCTGAGATTTTTGCTTCTTCTCGTTGGCAAAGATGCCATACTGGCGAGTGCCCATTTTGAGATCCAGTACGCACGGATGTACCATGCCAGCTGTGAGATCTTCCAACAGGATGAAGTGTGCGATACGTCCAGGGTCTTCGACGCCCTGATCAGGATTATGTAATGCATCCCCCAAGTCGATCGATTTACCCAGGACAGGAGCACAGGAAACTGGGTTGACGGTGAAGTCAGGAGCGCTTTGGAGAACATCAGGTACAGCGGTGGACTCTCTTGCCTTGGAAGGAGATCCTTCAAGGTCATCCATTGCGAAGACGTCCTCGCCATCACCGCGATATCCGTCGTCCTCGTGATACTCAAGGTCTCCATGAGATGCATCTATGTCGGCCTTCTTCCTACGCAGACCACTTCCAGAGTGACGACGTCTGGGCGTCTTGAAGGCCTGTAGCAGAGGATTGTCTGCTTCTGCATTCTCCATACTTCTGCTTTCGCAGCTCATGGGCTCTTCTTTGCGCGGGCTAATCATGTAATTCTCAAGAGATTGCACGCTATTGTGCGGCGATTTGAGTTCTCGATGATTTTTAATCGCCAGTCTGCGTGTGGCGTCGGCAGGCGACGGAGGTGATTGCATGGCCGAGACGTCGGCACTATTGCGACGTTCTTGTAAGCTCATGGCTTGGGTGTTGCTCACCACATTAACATCTGGTAGTGAAGGCATGGATTCGCGCTGTTGGATTCTTCTGATGTTTCGGCCATGGTGGTTTCTGGTCCGTCGATCGTGGCGATGTATAACAGGAGGCGAGAACACATCACGGAACACCTGCAGCTTCAGATCTTGGTTGACACTGGTTGCGCCCCAGCTGGCCTGCTGACGCAAGGGTGGACGATCGTGGTGGCTATGAGTCGTCTCGGGGNNGGAGAAGGAGGGGCGTCGGTCACTCATCATCTCGCTGATAGAGTGAGGACGAGTTTGTCGACTGGGTTGACTGACATGGGCAGGAATGGCGGTTGCGGGCCTTTGGGGCAAAGTGCGCTTCAAAAAATCTGGCAATATATGCTGATTGTTGATCAGACTGACCTCCGGAACGGCGTTGGATTGCGACTGGGAGTGGCTGACAATACGAGGTGCGTCCTCCTTTTTCTCCTCAGGCATAGTCGAACCCTTTGTGGGAGACTTCAATTCCTGAGGCTGTATGTCGGGAGATTTTGATTTGTCGAGGTTGTCCTTTTTCTTCTTGTTTGGTTTCTTGTAAGTGACGTTGAGGACGCCAATATACCTAGGAAGAAAGTCAAGTAGATCCGGATGGTATTGTTCGACAGTCTCGTAAAATTCGTTTTCTTTACTGTTCAATTGCTTGCAAACAGCCTGGCGAGAGAAACTGTAAACGGTGCTGTGGCCTCCCACTTGATGGTTGTAGGGTTTCAACTCGACAGCACCAAGGGGTGGAGGCTGTATCTGGGTTTCAGAAGGTTGTCGGTGTGGTAAGGGACGCTTTTGCAGAGCGCTCTTGTTAGTGGGAGTTGGAGTAAAGTCTTCATCGTCCTCTTGATCGTGAGAGTAAGCCGAAGATTCGGTGTCATAATCGGACTCTGAGGGTTGAACGGCAGGAATCACATTGGAATGACGGTTGTCAGAGAGTGGAATTTCACCATGCAATACTTGACTCTCGTCTTCTGACAGCAACGCAATCTCAACGTTACTCTGCGGACCATCGACGCCAGCCTCCAGAGAATCCTTTACAGGGGGNTGAACACGGTGCTCAAGCAGAGGCGGCGAGACTACAACCTCTTTTTCCTCATCTTGAGTATAAGAAGTGGACAAGGGCAGTGCAGCAGCAGTACGTGTAGACTTGCCACGATGGGGGATGTACTGAGCAGAAGAAATCTGTTCCTGATCTGACTCTTCATCATCTACTTGCTTTGCTACTTCTTGCTGAAGCAGTCGTGCCTGCCGTGTCAAAAGAGACACGTGAGAGGTTTCTTCGTGTGGGAGTTCCTACGCAAGTTAGCATGAAACGAGGTCTTGCAGGGGGTACTTGTGGCTTGCGCCACCAAAAGAGGCCGATCAAAGCGAACATGTTAGTAGACTGACCTTTTCAAACGACTCGGACACAGGAGTGTAGTCGGACGGGGCTTTGCTGTTGGAGGGACCTAGGATGATGTGGTGGTTGCGAATTTCTTCAAGCAGGCTAGGCGGGATCTGATGTGCAACGCGACCTTCAGCATTGTCCGTGGTCAGCGGCTTCTGCTCAGCCTCTGCTTCAAAGGTGCTTGGTGTGAGTATAGGTGTGCTGGCAGCATCTTGACTTCCGGTGTCGGCTGCTGGCTCTGTGGGTAGATTGTCGTTGACAACAATGGAGGGGGGCGTTTCTNNGGTACACAGTCAGATATAAATCGGGCAGCAGGGGGAAGGCGGCACCAGCGTACCGGCGGTGGTGTGGTCGTGAAGTTCGTTGATAGTGGATGGCACTTGGTGATGCTTCTCCTGCGGCTCCTCAATGTGCTTTTCCTTGTCTTTCTTGTCGCGGCGCTTTTCGTGTTCAGAGTCATGATCCTTGAAGAGACCGAGATAGTGACTGGTCTTCCTGCTGCGGACGTTGAGGCCCTGGTCGATCTTGAGCATTTTGGCATCAATCTTGCGATCAACGTCGTTATCTTCCGAATTGAGGTTCCTGCCCTGCGATTCGGCGATGGATTTTCCAGCCATGCGGCCTTGACCTTGACGCCAGGCTCTGTAAGACGAACGGTGAGCACTAGACTGGAGATCTTCGACGGGTGTGCCTTCGGGTGGATTTGGCTTGTCGGAGCTGGTGGGTGTGACAGGCCGTTCGGTGGTTGGTGGAAGGTTGGGGTCGTAGAGCGAGTGTCGATTGGATTTGGACAAGAGCGGGTAGGGAAGACGATTTAGGTCGGTGTGCGGAAGCGTGTGGAAAGCCATTGACAGGTCCGTCATGGTCGTCCGCATGGGCGAGAGCGACGAAGCCGACATGGCAGCGTCGTGGTCGAGCGAGCTCTGACGGAGATCCAAGCTTTGTTCTGGGTCGTGAATTGGTGTGGGCAGGCCGTCTCGGGCGTGTTGCAGTTGGTCGTTGAGATGGCCAACGTCTTGGATCAGCGGACCTTGTTGCAATTGATGGCGTTGGAGAGCCTGCAAGATCAAGCCAGTCCTCTCTTGGGGTGGATCCTTGCGCGGCTGCTGAGGAGAAGTTACGGGAGTGTCGCCCTGATAGCTCGTGGCAAAGATGCTGTCGCGCTCAGACAGCGGGACAGCGGTCGAGTACAAGGCATGCTGCGACGGAGTGGTATTGCTGCGCGCAAGGACAGGATCGGTCGTTGAGCGCGCCAGATTTGTACGAGTCGTCTGCATGAGGAGGCCCCAGACATTGGTCGGACGGCTGCCGCGTTGCCGTTGATGTCGTTATCGGATTGAAGGGAGCACCTGCGTTACAACTTGCCAGTACTCGTCGGGCAAGGTAGCGTGTGTGCGGGTGTTTGACGGTGATAGGTTGCTTTGCAAAAACGTGGGTTGGCAGTCTGGCTGAGAGCGAAGTCTTCTTGAAGCCTCACGTCAGTCGCCCATCACCATCTACCATTTGCACCATAAATCTCTCCGATCGCGATGACTACGTGTGCACCCCTGACAATCACCACTGCACTTCATCAACACAGCACGCTGAATCTTGATCTTATATCTGGCTTGGACCCTCACGAATGCCCTACTCTCTATTGCAAGCTTGTTTGCTCCGTCGAGAACACACCTATCTGACGCGGCCTCGTCGTTTCTCTGTCCAAATTGGCAGGCCGATGGTCCGACAATTGTGCAAGTACGACGACCAATCGAGTCGCATCTGACGTGTTATTCGTCTTATCACGAGTCGTCTAGCAATCTCCCCTATCTTGCTTGTCAAATGTCCACGACGTGGTCCCTATCGAGGCTGAAACATCAAGAGGCTGGCTGGATTTTGCGCCGGCGCAAATACTGCTGTCGTTCGCTACAAGTCTGTACTCTGCCTTTTAGTTCGTGCAGTGACACACGCTTGATCAACAGATGTGTCGGTGATGAGCGCCGCTGCTGTGCTGTCTCCTTCCCCGGTCATAAGGCTTTGGATCAGCAAAGGTTTCGATAGTCGATCTCCATGACCCTCTAATGTGTTTTGTTAAGAATACTCGGGGTCGGTACCCCACTGGTCTCTTATCGGCGCGGCCCAAGTGCAGGCACAAGGATCCGCGAACCCGGATGTGAAGGTGTTCTGGGTGTTGAGGCGGGAGCGCTAGACTCAGCTGCATGGAAAGAGGAAATGGACAAACAGGCAAACAAGAGCAATGCACTAACTTAAGGTATGTGTGTGTGTGTGTATACTTTGATGTGGGTGAGCACGCCGCTCGTGGATGCATAGATCCGAAAGTTAAATCGCTGCGCAAATGCTCCGCTTTACATGGGAGTCTAACGTGCCGCAGAATAGTGCCCTTGGCGTTGCTCAGGTACCGAGTTTTTGGACTGAATCAATATTTCCAACACCTCTCTGTTCGACCACCGTGCCTCGCTCTGCCCTTGCAGACAGTCAGCTCACTTTGTTGCTTTGTTGTCACGATCAGAGACAATCAGGGTCCGAGTGCATGAATGAGCGAGTGAGTGATCGACAGCAGCGCGTGGAATTGAGTGGCCCTTGCGCTTTCTAGCCGTTGGACAAGAGTGAGCGTTTGAAGTCGGGGACGAGCATCAAAGAACATTGCACTCACTCTCTTTTCTCGTGACCCTCGTACGACCTGAGTCTCACTCGAAACCCACTCCGCCTGGCCGCCAGTGCCACCGGTGCTCCGACTCTCTGGCACCAACAACATGGACTCGATGTCCACCCCGCCTACCTCGCCCATGAGCGGCCACCCACACCGCACATCGATAGCGAATGCTTTGCGCACTCCGAGGAGTTCTAGCCGTCTGAGTCTTGGAGGTCGAGCTGGAAGCAGTCGCGCCTCCGACGAAGACTCCAAGACAGCGGTGAAAGTGGGTGAGTACCTAGCAGTCGACCCCTATCGTCTTTCTCCGCTGACTGCTGTACAGNCCGTTCGAGTCCGCCCACCTCTGAACCCTTCCGATCCGGGCTACGACTTGATCCCGCAGCGATTCCGCGCCTCGACTTGCGACGTCTCTTCTGCCACCAATCTCGCAATCCAATCGACCCAGGGAAAGAAGCTGTTTGTCTTCGATCGCGTCTTCGGCGAGGAAACAACCCAGCAAGGCGTCTGGGAATATGTCAGCGACAGCGTCGACTCTNTTATCCAAGGCTACAATGTTTCCATCCTTGCATATGGCCAATCGGGTGCCGGAAAGTCGTATACTATGGGTACCGCCGACTCTGAAGGCGCCTTTGATCCTGTCCACGCTGGTGAGTCGCATTGCTCGACCCTCACGTATGTCCGAGACTGACTTGGACATANNGGCATTGTCCCTCGCGCCGCTGCTGCTCTTTTCGAAAAACTCAATGTCTCTTCAATCTCATCGGCACCTCTGACCCCAAGCAAGTCGGGCCTACGTTCTCCTGCGCGGTATTCCGTCTCAGCCGTGTCCAGCCTTTCGAATCTGCACCGCCAAACGAACAGTGACAAGTCGTGGGTATTGACAGCCACCTACGCTGAGATCTACAATGAACAACTCCGCGATTTGCTCGTTCCCAGCACTGTGCCTGAAGCCGACCGTCCCCAGGTCTCGATTCGTGAAGACACCAAGGGCCGTATTTTGCTCACTGGTCTGACCCAGAAACCCATCAACTCGGCAGACGATCTTTTGGAGGCTCTGAGCTTTGGGTCCAACATCCGCCAAACCGACTCGACCGCTATCAACGCCAAGTCTTCGCGCTCCCACGCCATTCTCAGCTTGAATCTCACCCTGAAGAAAGGCCCTTCAGTCAACAGACGTGCTTCCGTCCAAGTCGACAGTTCAACCGCCAACGACGCTATCGTGACCACCGAAAGCAAGCTCCACTTTGTCGACCTTGCAGGCAGTGAACGTTTGAAGAACACGGGTGCTCAAGGCGACAGAGCCAAAGAGGGTATATCGATCAATGCCGGTCTCGCTAGCTTGGGGAAGGTCATTTCGCAGCTGTCCACTGCAAAGCATGGTGGCTACATATCCTACCGTGATTCTCGGTTGACTCGCATTCTGCAAGATTCTCTGGGCGGAAACGCTATCACGTACATGGTCGCCTGCGTTAATCCCGCCGAGTTCCATCTAAGCGAAACGCTCAACACTGTCACCTATGCTCAGCGCGCTCGCGCCATTCAAAGCAAGCCTGAAATTCAACAAACGACTGAGGAGGCTGACAAAGCTTCCATTATCGCTCGTTTGCAAGCCGAGGTCGCTTTCCTTCGAGAACAGGTCAACAAGAACAACGAAAAAGGCGAACAGCGCATCCTGGCTGCTGGAGATCACAAAGAGCGTCGCGAGAGCGAGCTGCAGGACCAGCTCATGGACATGCAGGAGAGTTACAATGCCCTCAGCGGACGCCATGCAAAACTCATATCCGAAATCTCCAAAGCCAAGGAAGACAACCACGAGGACACTCCCACTCTCAGAGACGCTGTAGGGGAGTCAGCAATGGAGAGACTCAAGCGCTCTAATTCGTTTGCGGAAGCTGTCGAACAGGTTGTCATGGAGTACGAAAAGACGATCCAATCGCTAGAGGCTTCCTTGTCAAATACCCGCTCGACACTTTCCGCGAGCGAAAGTTCACTCATGGAGCGCGAGGCTAGAATAGCCTACATGGAGTCGCAAGCCCACCAGCTACAAGTAANNGACTGCAGAAGGCTAGCGAGCGTGAAGCCAACAACGATGCCTACTTGCGAGATCTGGAGACCCAGATAGAGGGCGCGACTACGAGCGAAGAGAAGAGCTCCATCCTCATTGCCAGTTTGCGAAAGGAGTTGAGTCGAGTAAAAGATACTGAGAACAATTCTGAGCAGTATATTGCAACAATCGAGGAGAAATTGGCAGAAGCAGAGCAGGNATCGAGAGATCATGCAGCGCGAGCTCGACCGTCTGGAGAATGTTATCGAACGCCAAAGAAGTATCGGCAGACTGGATAATCTTCTCGCAGAGCTTGACAACATTCGCCATAGTGAACAAACTGGACGTCCTCAGCAGCTGAACGGTCACTCAGATGATGACAATGACCGCGATTCGTTCATCAAGGAGTCAGGGACTATTACCAGAACTGTCGCTGCTGACGAGCAAGCTTCAGGGCAGCTTGGAGGTTCAACAATGGCCATGTCTGGAAATGATGGACCTACTGCTCAACAGAGCCAGGATTCTGAGAGAAAAGACGAGCAACATCTGGCCCAGTCCAGGTTCATGGCCGACAAACTCGAAACCATGACGCAAGAACTTTTCGACCTTCGCAGCGAGCACGAGACAACGATCAATGATTACGACAATCTTCAACGCAAGTACGAAACTGCACTGCAAGCACTCGCCAAAATGCATGAAGCACAAGAAGAGGAAACCAATTCCGAATCGAGAAACTTAGACAAGCCAGAGTCTNTTTTAGAGGGCGCGGGGGTGAATGGCATGAAGGGGGATGGACAACCGGCCGCATCCTCGCGTTCCTTGGCAGCGGAGTTGTCATCGGGGTCGTCATTGCGACACTCTTTCACTACAATGAACGAGGAGTCGGGCGAAACAAATGGGGCTCAAGGCAGACCCCTGAGAGATATTGAGGGCGATGATGCAAGCACGATTGTGGATGAGGACGAGCCTCCTCTCCGTACAGATGAACGAGCACTCGCCCACGAGATGGAGATGCTGAGGCAGCTCCACATCCAGCGAGAATCAAGCTTGAAGGAGATCTCGGACAATTACATGAGACTATCTGAAGAGCATAAGAATGCTTTGCGTCAGGTTGAAGATCTCAAGCGTGAAGTACAGCGAGCACAACTGGCAACCAACAGACAATCGTCTCCCTCGCTGGTCAAACCCATCATTCGTCGCAAGCCTAGTCAGGATCTCATGGCCAACACGACTACCAACAACGATCGAGCAATGCGTTCATTCGCATCACTACGCAATATCGCGCTTGACAATTTCGAGTCGAACGTTGATGTCCGCCAGAACTTTGAGATTCATCTCAACACCATCATGGGCGATCTGCATGACCGGACCGAGAAGATGCAAGCACTTGATGCAGAAGTCACGGCCGCTCGGAGGGATCTCGACGCTAAGACTGCAATAATCACGGGCCTAACGCGAGAGAGAGCTAGTGTTTCGGCTGCTAATACCGTTGATTTCACTGTTGTCGGACACATGCGCGATCAACTCACGAGAAGTGAGCAGCAGGTAACCTTCCTCCGCGAGGCTCACGAAAGTCGAGAGAAGGAACTCCAATCTCAGGTCGATGAACTCAGGTCACAACTACAGCAGACTTCCGAGAAACATGTAGTCGCAGGTAGTGAGCGATCTGATAACGACAGCGACGATCTTGTTGCTCATCTGCAGAAGCAATTGTCCAGCTGGGAGTCACGACATGCTCACACGACAGATGCAATGAAGGAGTCTGAGACCAAGCTGCTTGCTACTATCACAACTCTTGAAGGCTCTCTTTCTGAGGCACACAAGTCGGCCGCTAGTCGCGACGCGGAATACGATGCAGCGATTGCGAAGCTTGATCAGGAACGGACCCAACACCAAGAGCTTGTCGATTCTCTACAGAAGCAGATCAGTGACTACCAAGCCGCTAGCCATGAACACAGTCAAAAGCTTTCGCTGCTTGAGCAGTCCTACGCAAGCATTAGGCAACAAGTCGATGAAGACAGCAAGGGTAGAGAGCTTACAAAGAAGGAGCTACAGACTCATCGCAATCTGGTGTCTAATTTAGAAAGCCAAATTGAAGCTCACAAGTCTGCGATTGGAATACATGAGCAGAATCTGGAGGCTCTCAAGGCGTCGCATACAGAAGAGCTCGATAATGTCAGGACTGCTAGGGCAACGGCTGAGAACGACTTCGCCGAGAAACATGCAGCTTTGGAGGCACAGCACCAATCTGTCCAGCAAGACCTCCAGCGATCTCAAGTTGACCTGGAAGAGCTGCTTGCTGAAGCATCGGCCATTCTGGGCCACGAAACCGACGTTGGACGATTCCACTCTCATCTGACCGACTTTGTTGGACAGAACAGGGATCTCAGCGCTGGCAAAGCCAGTGAGCAAGACGTGGAGATGCCTTCAACCAAGGTTGATGATCTTGAGGCTGAGATTGCGCAACTGAAGAAAAGCAACCAGGACATCACGTTCAACATGGAGCGTGCGGTAGAGAACGAACGTAAGAGTGCTGCTTTGGTGCAAGAATTGGAGGATCAGCTCAACTCAACATATGATTTGCATCAAGACACTAGCAACAGGCTATCTGCCATACAGAGCGAGCGGCACACACAACTCGAAGAAGCGACAAGTGCGAAGAACGAGATGAAGAAAGAACTCGAGGATGCTAGACTGAAGGTCTCCTTACTCGAGTCTCAGCTCGCCGAGCTGCAGCGCCGATCGATGGCTTCTACCTCGCGTGACTCGATGAATTATGCTCGCGAATCACTGTCGCCAGAAGCCGCAGCCTTTGCACTTGCTCGTACGAGTTCGCAGAACTCGTTGATGACTCGTCCAAAGTCCAACGCCACAAACGCGACTTCGGGCCTTCCTTCCCCGCCGCCTGCAATTCCCCTGCCGCCTATCCCCACTCCTGGGCTCAACGGGTTGACCCCCTTCTTGAGTCAGAGTAGCAGCGTACCCATGGGCTTGGGCATCGATGCTCGCACTTCGAGCCCTGCGCCTACAACGACCTTCACGGCATCATCTCCTCCCGGGACACCATACCACAGCTCTTTCCCACAACCACCATCAACGGCACCTTCGACTGTACAGCCAGATCCCGGCTATGCACAAGTGATTGAGGAGCAGGAGTCTCGCATTCGTACCATCGAGAAGCACTTGTTTGCTGAGAAGCAGCTCACAGCTACGCTCGAAGAAGCTCTTGTCGATCTTGAGACATCGCAGAACAAGACACGACAAGATCTCGAGTCGTGGAGGAAGAAGTGCTCAAACTTGGAGGATGAACTCGTGGGTCTACGCAAGGAGCGCACGAATTCACGGGCAAGCATGCAGCAAGTAGAGGAAGAGAGGGAGATGAGACATCGTGCGGAGCGCGCGAGACAGGCGCTCGAAGAACGTATGCGAGAGCTGAATGCTGGACAGAAGAAGAAGAAAGGAGTGTTGAATTGTTTCTAAGCTGTTCAGGGATGACGGGCGGATGCTGCTGTCCTTTTGAGCGGTCCTGTTTTTCTGTTTCATTGGCACTATACCCGGCGGGGCTTTCCTGCTACCACGCTATGCCAAAGAATCTACATGTTTCTACTCTGTTTTGTGTCAGTCTATGTTTGTAAAACTGTAGCGTGTATTCAAAGGCTAGGAAACACATACAATTGTATCACTTTCCGCTTTATCAGCACTTACAACCTCTCTTATAAACACCATCAAAGTCAAAAGACACAAAAATCGAGACAGCCTCGATGATAGTTGCATGGCCCTTGTTTTGATTCTCAACGTCATCATCGAGCTCGTTGTTGCATAATGGACATTTGCGTAGTAAAGATCGGAGAGCGCACAAGCCATCTTGCGCGGATGTTGCCTATCAGACAGGTGTATTGCCATGCCACTGCAACCAGGGCAAGGAATCCGAAAATAGTCCAGATGATATTTGCGTGACCCTTGTTTTAATCATAAACGCTATTATCGAGCTCGTCGTTGTTCTTGTCACGGTTCAAGTGCTAGAGCTGCTAATAAAAAATACATAGAGCTTTCAAACAAAAGCAAAGGCCAAGTATGAATTAGATTCTACTATGCAGCTTTATGCTTTTCCAGCCAGGTCTACAAGGTTCTGTAGAAGGCATTTGTACTTTTCGGTCTATGTCTTGGCTAACCACACGGGTGAACCCGATGGAGTTCGATGGCAAAGCTCCCACAAGAGCGTAGAGCGAGGTATACACTATAGAGAGGCACACTTCTCTCTTGAAGCAGAAGAGTGGCCAAAGAGAGCGGCCAGAATGTTGACTTTCAGTGGATGCTGCCTTGTTTCTCAATAGCACTGTGCATTTCTATACACGCGTGGAGAGGAGAGAGCTTCAAATGGCGGGGCATGATTGCATGTGACGTCTGGACTTGGCATGCAGCCAACTCAGACAGCAGACAAACAAACTCTCGCCTCTACCTGTACATCCCGTCCGCCTATCGCTCCATCCCCTCTCATCATCGATCTCCGCCTATCGACTGTCCTTTCTATTACGCGCACTTCCTCACCCGAACGCTAGTTCCGCCTCCAAGATTTCTTCGTCCACAGTCAAACTGGGTAAAGGCGCTTGTCCGGCGAGGCCGAGGCCAGTCCGTCCAAGAAAGCTATGACTGTGAGCGACAATGACTATATAGCTGCTATGCGAGAGTCTTCATGCTGACACTGATACAGGACACCAAGATGGATGTCGACAGCCCTGCCGCTGCAGTCGAGCAGCTGAAGGAGGCAAACGGAGAAATCGACGAATCATTATACAGCAGACAGCTCTACGTCCTGGGCCATGAGGCCATGAAGCGCATGGGCTCGTCCAACATCCTAGTTGTCGGCCTGCGCGGTCTCGGTGTTGAGATTGCAAAGAACATTGCCCTCGCAGGTGTCAAGAGCTTGACCCTCTACGACCCCAAGTCTGCTCAGATCCAAGACCTGTCGTCACAGTTCTTCCTCCACCCCGAAGATGTCGGCAAGCCGCGCGCCCAAGTCACCGTTCCTCGCGTGTCCGAACTCAACCCCTACACTCCTGTCAACCTTCTCAAGTCGACCTCTATAACCGACGACCTCAGTCAGCTCAAGGACTTCCAGTGCATTGTCCTCACCGATACCCCTCTGAAGGACCAGCTTCTCATCTCAGACTACTGCCACAAGAACGGCATCTACCTCGTCATTGCCGACACCTTCGGTTTGTTCGGTACCATCTTCACCGACTTTGGCAAGAACTTCACAATTGGCGACTACAACGGCGAGAACCCCGTCAGCGGCATCATTGCAGACATCGACTCGGACGGCATCGTCTCGGCTCTGGACGAAACAAGACACGGTCTGGAGGATGGCGACTTTGTCACCTTCACCGAGGTCGAGGGCATGGACGCCCTCAACGACTCTGCCCCTCGCAAGATTACTGTCAAGGGCCCCTACACCTTCTCTATCGGAGATGTCTCTGGCCTTGGTGACTACAAGCGAGGAGGTCTTTACACTCAGGTCAAGATGCCCAAGTTCCTCGATTTCGAGCCTCTTAGCCAACAGCTGAAGAAGCCTGAGTTGATGATGTCCGATTTTGCCAAGTTCGACCGTCCCGCCCAACTCCACATCGGTTTCCAGGCTCTTCACGCTTTCAACGACAAGCACGGCCACTCACCTAAGCCCCACAATGAACAGGATGCTGCCGAGCTTCTCAAGCTCGCACAAGAGATGGCAGGTTCAGGCGACGAGAAAGTTGAGCTAGATGAGAAGGTCATTCGCGAATTGTCATACCAGGCTCAGGGCGACCTCAGTCCTATGGCTGCCTTCTTCGGTGGTCTCGCTGCTCAAGAAGTTCTCAAATCTGTTTCTGGAAAGTTCCACCCCATCGTCCAGTGGCTCTACTTTGATGCACTGGAGGCTGTTCCCACCTCTGTCAAGCGTTCCGAAGAGCTCTGCAAGCCTACTGGTACTCGTTATGATGGTCAGATCGCCGTCTTCGGTAAGGAATTCCAAGAAAAGCTTGCCAACAACCAACAATTCCTGGTCGGTGCTGGAGCCATTGGCTGTGAGATGCTGAAGAACTGGGCTATGATCGGTCTTGCAACTGGTCCCAAGGGCAAGATTACCGTTACCGATATGGATCAGATTGAACGCAGCAACTTGAACAGACAATTCCTCTTCAGATCAAAGGATGTTGGTCAACTCAAGAGTGAGTCTGCTACCAGAGCTGTTCAGGCCATGAACCCCGACCTCCAGGGCAAGATCGAGTCCATGAAGGACCGTGTTGGTCAGGATACTGAGCACTTGTTCAATGAGGACTTCTGGAACGGTCTCGATGGTGTGACCAACGCCCTTGACAATGTCGATGCTCGTACCTATGTTGACCGTAGATGCGTCTTCTTCCAAAAGCCTCTCTTGGACAGCGGCACTCTTGGTACCAAAGGCAACACTCAGGTCGTCCTCCCTAGAATCACCGAATCCTACTCCAGCTCGCAAGATCCTCCTGAGCAATCTTNNTTCCCTATGTGTACTCTGCGCAGTTTCCCCAACCGCATCGAGCACACTATTGCTTGGGCCAAGGATCTGTTTCACACATACTTCGCTGGCCCCGCCGAGATTGTCAACGCATACATTACTCAGCCTGATTACCTCGGTGCTGCACTAAAGCAGTCTGGCAACGAAAAGCAGACTCTCGAGACTTTGAAGGAGTTCTTGGTCACCGACAAGCCTGAAACTTATGAGGACTGTGTTAAGTGGGCCAGATCCCAATTCGAGAAGCAGTACAACAATGCTATTCAGCAGCTTTTGTACAACTTCCCCAAGGACGCAAAGACATCAAGTGGTCAGCCTTTCTGGTCGGGTCCCAAGCGTGCCCCTGATCCGCTGAAGTATGACCCCAACAACGATACCCACTTCACCTTCATCCTTTCCGCTGCCAACCTTCATGCCTTCAACTATGGTATCTCCCAGAAGGGAGTCAAGGACAAGGCTGAGATTGATCAGCTCGTTGATGACATGATCATCGAGGACTTTAAGCCTGACCCCGGTGTCAAGATCCAGGCCAGTGAGAACGAGCCCGACCCCAACGGTCCTTCGGCATCAATGGATGACAACGACGAGCTCGACAAGATTGCCAAGTCGTTGCCTTCGCCGAAACCCCTGGGTGGATTCAAGTTGACTCCTGTTGAGTTTGAGAAGGATGATGACTCGAACTTCCATATTGACTTCATCACGGCTGCCAGCAACTTGCGTGCTGAGAACTACAAGATCGTGAACGCCGATCGCCACAAGACCAAGTTCATTGCAGGCAAGATTATTCCTGCCATCGCAACCACTACCGCCTTGGTGACTGGTCTCGTGGTCCTTGAGCTTTTCAAGATCATCGACGGCAAGGACGATATTGAGCAGTACAAGAACGGCTTCATCAATTTGGCTTTGCCATTCTTCGGCTTCTCGGAGCCCATCGCCTCGCCCAAGGGCAAATACCAAGGCAAGAACGGTGAGGTTGTTATTGACAAGCTCTGGGATCGCTTCGACACCGACGATGTTACTTTGGAACAGTTCTTGAAGAACTTTGCCGATAAGGGCTTGGAGATTACCATGATTAGTTCTGGAGTCAGCTTGCTGTACGCTAGCTTCTACCCTGCTGCCAAGAACAAGGACAGGCTACCTCTCAAGTAAGTCTACTATCCACTGTCATATCGCTGTCTTTATCACTAACACGTTGTTACCAGGCTGAGCGAACTTGTTGAGACCATCAGCAAGAAGCCCATTCCCGAGCACCAGAAGAATGTCATCTTCGAGATTACTGCAGAGGACACTACGGAGGAAGACGTGGAAATCCCCTACGTCAGATTAGTGCTTAAGAAGTAGTACTCTCAAGCTGAGGGAGCCAAAAGGGTGAAGCTTTTGTAGAAATGGTATAGAGTTCGGTGAGGACCAAAATCTTGTCACGCCAACATAGGCCTGGCAGACATAGCAACGACGACTTACGTCTCAATGACAGACACATTAAATGACCTACATGCAACCGTGTTGACTACATTCGGAAACAGAGCTTGCTCCAACTAATAATCATAGATTCCACCAGTCGGGAGAAGCCCAGCCAAGTTTCGGCTCCAATTCAGCCGAGCCTTCCTCCATCTTTCTTCCATCTTACCCCATCTTACCCCGTCTTTCGCCTTAGCCACTGAAGATCACACATCACCAAGTACAGCCTTGCCGTGTGCTAAAGTATATAACGCGTTGGTTTGAAAATGCGCAGTGCTATCAAGAAATAGAGAATCGTCCACTGTGAGCCAACATCTGATCGGCTCTCTTTGCCTACCCTTCTGCTCCTGAAGATAATCAACACACTTTTTCTATGCCATTGTAAGAGGATGGGAGTCACAGATCTTATCACACAGGGCAGGGTATAACTTGAAAAGAGGGGCTGCTACAGTAGTTCGCCCGAAGACCGAACACCTGCAAGTATATCTGGCAATGCTCCATCCCGAGCCCCAACCTCAGCGACCCTTTCTTTGAGACTGACCGGATACAATGGGTCTACGATTAAAGGCATACCTCGGTATTCTGGTGCTCTTGGTTGCGTTTTGCACTTGTGCACCCACTTTGGAGGCCGAGCTAGACTACGGGACTTTCCAAGGATCATATTCGGCAAGATATAACTTGAGTTACTGGCAGAAGATACCTTTCGCCGCTCCTCCTGTTGGACAAAATCGTTTCAGAGGACCACAGCCACCTATTCCTATCACTAATGGCACATACAACTCGACACAACCCTTTGACATGTGCCCTCAGCGGATTGTCAATGGATCCGAAGACTGCTTGTATCTTGGACTATACTCGAGACCCTGGACCAAGGGACAGCCGCTTCGTCCTGTGGTTGTGGTCTTCTATGGTGGAGGCTTTATCCAAGGCAGTGCTTACTTCTCTATTCCACCATCAGGTACGTAGTATGAGAGATGAGAATGACCAAGCCTACGTAAACTGTATGGTCTGAGGCCAAGAGGGGATGGTCCATGTAGTATGTGCTAACTTCTCTCGANNGGCTATCCGGTGCTCAACGTTTCGGATTCCAACGATTTCATCTTTGTCTACACTAACTATAGAGTCAATGCTTTCGGTCTCCTCCCAGGTAAAGAGATCGCCGCAGATCCACTCTCTGACCTTAACCCAGGACTCCTAGACCAGCACGCTGCCCTGAAATGGACCAATAAATACATCTCAAGCTTTGGAGGAGACCCCAAGAACGTGTCAATTTGGGGACAATCAGCTGGAGGTGGCAGCGTGGTAGCTCAGGTCATAGCACAGGGTGGAAGAACCAGCCCATCCTTGTTTTCTAAGGCTTTAGCCTCCTCTCCATTCTGGCCAAAGACATACAAATACAATGCGCCCCAAGCCCAGGCACTCTACGACTCTCTTGCTAACCTTACTGGTTGCTCTGGGCCGGATTCACTGCAGTGTCTGAAAACGGTAGACGTGCAGACTATTCGCAATGCTTCATTAACCATCTCCGGATCTCATACCTACAACACCTCATCTTATGCGTGGTCACCTGTTATCGACGGTACATTCCTGACTCAACCACTCTCTGCCGCCACGGCAAATGGCCAAGTCAACATTGATTATGGATTTGGCATGTACAATCTGCATGAAGGCGAGAACTTTATCCCTCCAGGCTTCCAGCACGCAGTGAGCTCTGGCTCGCCACCGTTCAATTCATCAGTCACGTCTCTTGCTGCATGGTTAAAGGGGTATCTACCAGGTCTGTCGGATCGCGATAGATCAAGAGCACTGTCCTTGTATCCAGCACAGGGATCGGCAGAAGGACTGCCTAGCTACAACACTACCTATGTTCGGGCAGGTCTTATTTTCCGAGACACTGTTCTGGCTTGTCCTGCATATTGGATGGCGGGCGCTGCTCGTAAGAAATCATACCTCGGCGAATACACCATTTCGCCTGCTAAGCATGCAAGCGACACTATCTATGTAAGTTAACACCTGTCCGTCTGAAGACAGTTGCTGATAAAGTACGCAGNNTGGAACCAAGTCAACTCGATCCAACAGACTGATGCTTTTACATACCAAGGTTATGCTGGAGCATTCGCTTCGTTCTTCGAGACAGGCGATCCTAATGCTCACAAACTGACCAACGAGACTGTAGCTGGTGTGCCAGAGTTGCAGACAGAAACGCAGTTTTTGGTCTCCGAGGATGGGTTTTCTCAAGTGTCTATTGCGCAACTAAGCCAGCGATGCGATTATTGGAGAAGTGTGGCCCACAAGATTCCTATATGAGTATTTGAGTCTTATGTCTCGCTGTGTTGGAGACTGTTAGATTGTAGCTATCAGACTACACATTTGCCGTCACGAGAAGGTGACAGTATTACTCATACTTCTATGTCGTGTCTTGGAGGATAGAACCAGATCAAATGCCTACTTTCAGGTCTCCAGCAACATGACTCCAGAGGTCTTCAATGAACGCGTTCTGACCCTCGCCTTTTCTCACTGCCAGATATCGTCTTTCGTCGACTCTCGGTTGCCAGTTACCCTTGTTTGCATCAACAACTTGACCGCCAGCTTCTTCTAAAATCACCCAACCAGCACATACATCCCAAGCCCAGCAACCTGCTTCCCAGTAGGCATCTAGATGACCAGCAGCGACGCCACACAGGTTCAGAGCAGCCGAGCCAAACGAGCGGATGCCATGCACCATAGCACCGCCCTCTTCTGGACTGGCGCAGAGGTTGCGGAAAGTCTTTACTTTGATGTCGTAGTCGTGGCCGGCTCGATCGCTTCCCCATTCCACAGCTACGAGAGCTTTGTCAAGAGCAAGTGCCTCTGGCTCTTTCAGGGGCAGCTGTACATGATCATGGAAGGGATCAGACAGGAAAGAGCCTTTCCCTTTGACGGCAGAAAACAGGGTCTGGGTGAAAGGATTGTACACGACACCAACAACGGGCTTTCGGTCAATGGCGAGTCCCAGGGAGATGCTGACATATGGATACGTATGCACTAAATTGGTGGTTCCATCAACGGGATCGCATATCAGAGTTGGACGATCCGTCAGAATGTCGCCAGGTTTGTACGTTTCCTCTCCCATGAANCCTGAAAAGAAAAATGTAAGAGACTACTCGTATGCATTGAGTCAAGACATGATTGGTGAAGCGCACTCAAAACTGGGATATCTTTCGTGAATCAGGCTGGTGATGAGACGTTCAGTGGCCTGATCAGTCTCTGTGACCAGATCAACTGAATTCTTCTTCTCACCCGCCGCTGTCGTCGATGGACGCGCAGCAGTGATGACTTTGCCTGCTTGCTTCGCGACGTCGACCAAGTAGTCGTGCACCTCCTGGAGGTTGATGTCTGACATGATAGTAGCTGTAACAAATCAAGAGGAACACAATCAAGAGGAAACACTCAGGAAGAACAGCTGGAGAAGAGGTCGCAGACTTGCATAAACATGACGAAGAGGTTGAGCAAGAGCAAGGGTCCAAGTGGGTATATCGGGGTTAAAGAGGCAGGCGCGCACGGACGTCTCTCCGTCTCCAGAACGCGACGACCAAACACGTCCGACTCGGGCAGCTTCCCAAACTTGAAAACACCCGCCGACCGCATCAATGGCGCCTTTCAAAGATGAGCAGATTCTGGTAAGTGCCGTCTGCACCCGTCCAATTCCGATCCGCCTACTCACTCTCGTGCGCCCGCCAGNNATCATCGCGCCCGGCTCGCGAACAACTCTTGCGCAGCTCGGCCTGCCCGAATCGCTGACCCCGGCGCGTTTCCGAGTGCGCTCATGCATGTTTCCCGCCGAAAAGCCCGGCGAGTTTGAGCCCAACAAGGTCCGCCGGAAAGACGCCGCTCCTGCCGATGGCGATAGTGATCCCGAGTACGAAGAGGATGTCCTGTCCGAGCAAGGCGCCGTCTGGCCCATTCAACAAGGCCGAATTGTCGACTGGGATTGCTTCTTCGCATTGATCGACAATGTCTATCGCAACATCAACCCGCCTTTCCACACCGCCATCCTTCTCATTGCCCAGCCGATATGGACTCCCAAGGAACACGAAAAGATTGCTCAATTCATCTTTGAAAAACTGAAGCCTCCCGCCTTTGGCTTGATGGACGCTGCTTCAGCCACACTGTACGCCTATGGTGTACCCACCGCTACCATTGTCGACGTAGGTTACGACAAGGCCGACGTTACTGCCATCTACGACTACCTGATCCACGATACAGGTCGCGCCTTGAGCGTGCCTGATTGCGGTGGAGAAGCCCTGACTGAGCGTCTCTTCCAACTCCTTTCTTCGAGAGGCTTCTCCAAAGAGGTCTGCGAGCAGTTGAAGAATAGCCCAATCTGCGAGATTCTCGATGGCGACCTACCTACCGAAAATGCTGCAGCTCCCTCAGATCAGCCCTCTAACCCTGCCGCGGCTGCCAGTACTGGTGCAGAAGGCTCGGGTCCTGACCAGCGAACGACTACTGCCGCTCTTGGTGAGACCCCTCTAGGTCCAGGTCCCGGAACTCAGGTTGGCAGCGAACAAANNAAAGACGGCGAAGACAACGAGGGTGTGCTTGACATCGCCAGCATCGTCACAGGCGGAAACATGAGTGAATTCCTGGAACGTAAAGAGAAGGAGAAGGCTGAAAGGCTGGCCGCAAAGAAGAAAGGCGCAGAAGCTGGCCCGGCTGGCGCAAAGCCTGCTAGGCTTCCCAACTCGAAGAGAGTCAAGAACACCTTCATCTATGAGGATCACAATTTGCGTGATGCCATGAAGCAACAAAACTACAGCGACAAGCAAATCGCAGACATGCAAGCTGCTGTCGACGTTGGTCCTGCAAAGAAGAACGACGCTGAGGCGGGTGACGCAGATCGTCCCGCGACTGACGGTACCCAGGATGAGCAACGTTCACACGGTGGAGCAATCCGCCGAGAAGCCGAGGTCGGTATCGAACGATTCCAGGCTGCTAGCGGCGGTGTTCTCGATAGATTGGCCGATGTCATCTATCGCACTGTTTCCTCTGTGGAGGAGGTAGGCAAGAGAAGTGAGCTGTGGGATTCTCTGATCATTGTTGGTAATGGATCAAAGGTCCGCGGTTTCAAGGAAGCTCTCCTGGGCACACTGCAAACCAAGTACCTGATCTCACCATCTTCGGCCACTATCTTCACATCAGAACTCCCTTCAAACCTTTCGACGCCAATGGCAACTGGTGCCAACACACCTGCACCATCAATACCCCCACACTTGAGTTCTGGTGTCAATCCTCTCTTGTATGCTGCAACTACGGCACAAAATCCTCAGCTGAACCACATGAACGGTGGGATGCCAGGTGCACACATGCCTCATAGCTTGCACACCTCACATGCGCAATCACCTACAAGCGTAAGACTCGCCAAGATGCCAGAGTACTTCCCCGAGTGGAAGGACGCGGGTTACGAGGAAGCAGTATTCCTCGGGGCCCAGGTCGCTGCAAAGGTGCTGTTCATGGTAGATCAAGGATTGAGCAAGGGATACATGACGAGGACAGATTACAACGAACAGGGACCTCAAGGAATACACGATTGCAGCATGTAACAAGACTTGGAAAGGGGTGCATTGGATGGAGGGCAAGGTGTCAGTGGGTCAAACAAGTCTAACAAGTTGCTCGGTCCAGAATTGATGAGACCGAGACATCTCTCGCGTCCTCGGAGTATGGCCCAGCTATCAAAATAGACACTTTGATCATCGTAAACAAATGTGTCGACACGAAATCATGATCGATCTAGGCTTGTGCATTTCATCTAGCATGCACCAAGCAGTCAAAGATATTGACCAACCGTGAGGGTCTATTTGTCCTCTAATTTCGTTGACGAGCTTCTATATCTCTCCGAGAGATGAGATCGAAGGCAGCGAAGAAGCGTATTCGGCGGTGCCGAGTACCTCATACGGACTTCCGCTGTCGTCGGCAATGTTATAAGCGTAGAGGTCTCAATCGACCGGGTGTCCAAAAGCCGATGCGTTGAATAGTAATAATTCCCCTGGATTATATCAAGTCGCACTTATTACGCCGAGAAGCATTACCCCACTGCCCAATTCATGTCCTGTAGGATTTGTCTGGGGAATGACTCGGGTTGTTTCATGGGCCATGGTTCATTCAACGAAGCCAAGTGGTGTGCGCAATAACGTTACCAGCTGAACGGACGCATTCCAAGCTGTGGTGGTTATGGGCATCTGGCGGGAAGAAGGGCGTATCCGTCGGCCGGCGGCCGGCGTGTTGGGCTTTGTGGCTCTGTTCAAGACGGTGGGACTATTATTTCCACGATCTGCAGGTGGATCGTGCACAGGTTTTAACCATGCTGTAGGCTGCGGCGGGAAGCCACAGGGGGGACGGACCCGAGACGAGCTTTTGAATAGCGACTAACCATTCATCGCTTTGGTGTGTTCAAGTTTGCGGTTTTTCCTTTCTATTCCTCCTTCTCTCTTCTCTTCCCTCTTTTCTCGCCTCTCTGCCGAGGTTGTCATAGCAGTTTAGCCGACAAGATTCCTCAGTACATCGCATCCCGCTGGCAGGTGCGCATCCACTCTCTTGCTCGTCATCCGGACACAGGCAGGAGACTCGGAGTACCTCGAGTCCGTACTCGGACGCGTAACCTAAAGCAACTTGGTCGCTTTGTGAAGGTTTTGCGTTTGCCGCCATCGAACCTTTGACCTTCGCATCGATCTATTGTGAGACGAATCCGAGCTAGAGAGGAACTACCGTCTTGCACCATCTGAACCCCACGCCCACCCTCTTGACTTCGACCATTGTTCTAGAACAGACATCGGCTCGCCGAGGAACCGTCGAAAAACGTTTTGACGTTGCCATCTTCTCAGCCCTTGGTCTCTCATCACCTCAGACCTCCCTGCACAGGTCCCTTTGCGTTTCACCGCGTGCATTGTCGCAACGCCCGACACCTTCAATTCCGACGCCGCTTCCCATTGCTGCATCAAAGAGACGGACAGAGATCAGGAGTCACGACCCATCCTGGACCGACGCATATACCATTCCCTTTACGCTGAGCCAATTGCGACTGGCCACACGAGTTGCGCGCGACAAGCCAACAGCTCCCTGCTGCCGCGCATCTTGACATGACGACTGTTGAGCAGCCGGCTCGCCATATCCACTTCAGCTCCAATTACTCGACTCAGTCCTCAGCCAGGCCAATCCCCGTCCTCACAACCAGTGCTCCCGATTCTGACGCTTCTCCTGACCCAATGGATACAAGTTCCGACAACGCGGCTCGGGATTCTCAGAATACCAGTCCCAGAGGCGACAGACAGAACATGCAGTCTGGAAACTCGATCGATCAAGACAGTCAGTCCAATCTGCGAAATGGAGCCATTGGTCAACACGCAGTGGGTGCTGCAGCAGCGGCACAGCAGCCCAAGGCCATCAGTGCAGCCTTCATCCACAAATTATACAGGTAGTGCTCAGTCCTGTCCCTATAGGCCCATCGTGACTAACCTACGTACAGCATGCTCGAAGACCAGAGTATACAACATCTGATCTCGTGGTCCAGCACCAACGAAAGCTTCGTCATGTCACCCTCAACTGAATTTTCCAAAGTCCTAGCGTAAGCGACATTCTCGTGGATGATCAAGCTTGACGACAAGTTAACTGTCGACTAGANNTCATACTTCAAGCACACAAACATTTCATCTTTCGTCCGTCAATTGAACATGTACGGCTTTCACANNAAGGTAATAACTCCGGCTTGGATCAGCCAGCACAAGCTAATGCCGATACCAATAGTCAGCGACGTTTTTCATACAGGATCTCCTGATTCACCTTTATGGGAGTTTAAACATGGCGCCAACAATTTTAGAAGAGGCGACCTGAATGGACTGAGAGACATCAAACGTCGTGCTTCCAGGCACACTCTGATACATCGCGATTCCTTCTCGAACGCGACACCCAAAATGACGCTCCAGCCACCGCCTCCGCCTCCCCCAGGCGCACCACCCATGGAGGCACCAATGTCGGATCCCGTCGAGGCTCGACTTAGCATGCTAGAGTTCAATCTTCAGGACGTATACGCAAGGTTGGCAAGATCGGAAGATGCATACGCCAATCTCAGCGCCAAATGCCAGATGTTGTCCGAGGGTTTGGCAAGATGTCACTACGTGAGTTTCGTGCAAGCGGTATCTGTATCAATCACTGACCTGAAGCTAGNNTGGAGCGGAGAGCTGTCCTCTCAACTACTTGGAATGGCACCTGATCCAGAAACTCCCATTCACAGAGATGTATCGGCATTGCGCGCCGAGATCAACAGAAATGCGGACATCCTGAGATCACACGAAGTGCCGCACGAAAACTTGCAGCCAACTCGCCCTCCGTACATGACTGCACCTTCGTACGACCATGGTGGTCCTGTATCGCCCCGCCAGCAAGCCATGGATGCTTCACGCAGACCTTCTTTGCAACCGACTTCTCGCGCTTCTTCCTTTAGGACACCCATGCCTCCGCACATGACAGCATCGCCCCATAGATTTGGTTCCCTCAGTGGTCCGTCTGGTCCACCATCGCCTTCGTCCAGACAGCCTGCACCGCCACCTCCGCCGCCGCCAACTTACACAACGCTTCCACCTCCGCCAGCACCGGCGCCTCCAGCCCAGGCAGCCTTGCAACATCGCCCGGCATCACCTCCCATGAACCTCTCCCGGCGTCATACTTCTGCCGACATTAGACTACGAGGATGGAACGGTCCACCTCATGCGATTCCTCCACCACCACCACCCCCACATGGAGGTTCACCTTTTACCACAGGAGGGCAAAATTCTGTACAATGGCCTACATCTCCCTTCCGCCAAGGCAACAACGAAGGACAGCAAATCAGAGATACGCTGGCGCAGTACGAGCTGCCACGCGCGACATCCAGACTCGGCTCTCGGCAGACGACACCACCCGATTCGGGACCTCCGTCGTATGCCAACAACAGTAGCGAGGCAGGGTGGCAGCTTCCTGGGCCGAAATTCTCCTTCAAAGGCGTTGAGGCTTCGGCACCAGGAACTCGACGAAGCAGCATGGCTAGCAATGTGCACTCTCTGCTCAATCCTACAGCAGAGTCGAATCATGAGCGGGATGCAGAAGACGGACCAGAAGACAGGAAGCGCAAGAGACTAGGATAGAGTCCTGACTTGGAGCAATCCACCAGTTCATGCATAGCGTGCTAGAACAATTTTGGTATAGAAATTGAACATGTCCCATCCAATGTATACGAATCAAAGTGGCCCTGAACGAGCAAGGCATGTGTAGGAAAATAGGACCGAGTCAGTTTGCGGTTTGCGTTCGGGACCGGCCGCCGAGTCCCTGAAGTTTGCGGGTCTGGCCTCGGCGAGCAGCAGTCGACTTGAGGCGCGGAAAAATAAAAATTATTGTTGGAGCAACCGACGACGCATCCTCGTACCCTTGTTGGTGATCGCATATTCCTACTTTTCCTTGCATCCTAATCGCAACACGCGCAGTCCACGGCCAAGATGGTGCAAAAAGTCTATGTCACGTACAACGATGTATGAAGAGCTTCGAGTCACGCCGAGGGAGCTGGACAGCATCACTGACAGGCAGCGCAGGTACACAAGCTCTGCCAGAACTCGGCTGAGCGCATCCTGAACGACTGCAAGCCCAACCTCATCATCGCCATTGGCGGCGGCGGCTACGTGCCTGCCCGTATCCTGCGTTCGTTCCTCAAGAAGCCCGGTAGCCCCAACATCCCCATCCAGGCCATCGGACTCTCCCTCTACGAGACACTAGGCACCGAGACCCCCGAGGAGGTCCCCGGCACAAAGGTCACCCGCACACAATGGCTGGATTTGTCCTCGCTCGAGATGGCCAACCTGATTGGCAAGAACATTCTTATTGTTGATGAGGTGGATGACACACGCACAACACTCGAGTATGCCGTGCGCGAGCTGCAANAGGACGTTGATATTGCTACTGAGAAGCTTGGCCGTACTGCCGAGAAGACGACTTTTTCCATCTTTGTCTTGCACAACAAGGATAAGACTAAGAGGNGTACTCTTCCCGAGGAGATGGTCAAGACTGACCACTATGTTGCTGCCGTCACCCTTCCCGACTACTGGATCTGCTATCCTTGGGAAGCTCAGTACGTCTCTTGCTTTTGCTTTTGCTTTGATCGCATAGCTGACCACTCTTGACAGGNNGACATTGATGAGCACGACCGCAACGCTGCCGAGCAGGCCAAGCAACAATAGATCTTCTTTACGAACAAAATCCGGCGGATGGGGAGGGAAAACAATAACCATGGCGTTTTAAGGTAGAGAGAGAGCCTGTTCAAGTTTCATGAAATTCAAGAAAAAAATCTACAATCTTCGAATCTTCAAGGAGTATCATCGTCTACATCATGTCATCTTGCTGGTATGGTGACCCTGACTCGATTTTTCTGAGTCTTGACCAAACATTGGATCAGGCCCTTATAGCGCGTGAAACAGTCACTACTTGCGCCTTTTTGAGTTGGTGATGGAGAATTCTTCTTTTTACAGGTATTGGCGTATATGGTTGTACCGCAACACGCTTAACTGTTTTCTCGGGTGCTCTATGCGTGTTCTTACGTCGCAAAGAGTAGAGAGGAAAAGCATATCCAACCATATCTCATTCAGTTCGAGCGTCTAGTCAATAAGATAACAAGGACATTACTGTATCTTTAGCTCATGGTCATTCCTAAGTCCTCTCAGTCCTCTGAGCAATGACATTGAATGAAACGGATTCATGAACACTCGGGTTAGGGTTCAGTAACGAGTCTCCGCCAAACGTTGACGTCGGAGCGTTTTCGGAAACATCTTTCGGTGACATCTGCATTCGTTTGACTATATAAACAGGTGCATTTCCCATTGAATTCACTTCGATACCACCTATACAGGATCACGGAGCAATAACTTTTTCATACAACAATCATGAGTCACGAGCACAACGAATTCACGGCTCACAACCGTGATACTTGGGAGTGAGTTGGCTGATTTCCTTGCATTCAACAGCCTTCACGATGAACCTCTGGTCTTGCACAATCCCTGTCTTTGTCTTCATGTTGGCTCTGAATACACCTCTGACTGGATCCCTGTTAACCATTCTATCATAGCTCGAAAGCAAAAGACTACGATGCAAAGCCCTGGCAGAAGAAGATAGCAGCTCAAGTCGCTTCTGCATTGACGTCTCACGCCGACTGGTTAGGAGCGAACCGGACCTCTCCCTCAAACAACGAATGCAAACTCCTAGACTATGCATGTGGAACCGGAAATGTAACTCGAGTAAGCATCTCCCCTTCTCTTCGCCCAAAACATCAAATGCAAGGCTCTGATACGAAATGTAACAGGNCATTGTCCAACCACATAACCCACGCAACAGGTCTAGACATTTCCNCCCAAATGCTAGACCAATACACCACTCTCCTCTCCTCATCCCACCCATCCCTGCATCTCACCACCGCAATCGCAGATTTCTGCTCTGAGACCACTAACGCCACAATCTTCAACTCCTTCGATATCGCAGGCGTAGCCCTAGGATTTCACCACTTTAGCAACCCTACTTTGTGTATCTCCAACCTTTTCTCTGTGCTCAAACCAGGAGGAGTATTGTTTATCGTTGACTGGCTTCCGAAGCAAGTTTCTGCTGACGAGCATATTGGACATCAACATGCGCATCCCTCCAACCATGCCTCCAATCATCCCGAAGCTGAAGCAGAAACAGAAGAGTGGAAANAGATGCAGAAGACCATCAAGACTAATGGGTTTACAGAAAGTGATATGAGGGGCTTTNTTGAGGAGGCAGGGTTTACAGAGTTTGGGTTTGTGGTTTTGGAGGAAGGGTTTGTTTTGCAGATGAATGGGAAAGAAGTCAAAAAGACTGGGTTCATTGCTAAGGGCAGGAAGGCGTAGAGGTTGATAGGAGGTGTAGAAAGAGCTTTGGAAAGAGCTTTGGGGTTGAATGCTGCCGCTTTCTGTTAATTGATGCTCTTTCAAAGTTTGTTGATCGATCTCAGAATGGTGCTCTTGCCGATCTAGCGACTGAGCGGCTTCCGATCTTACTATCTACCTTTATAAATTTGCATGCCAACATCAGTTTCCAACATAAGCAGCGGTGGTCTAGTGGTCAAGACGCCACACCAATGTTTCTTGCAAACACAAGGCGGGAAGGGATGGCAGGGTGCTTCGCCCTACTATCCTAGACATGTGGAAACCGTGGGTTCGAATCCCTGTCGCTGCGTACACCTTTTTGCACTCGAGCCAGAAACATCTACACATTCAAGATTGAGAAATGAAGTTGTGGTTTGAAGAATGTCCAATGATTTGGAACTTTTGATCAGATTGTAATACCATCTATCCCCCTTTCCGCATGCTTTTGTGTGAAATCGAAAAGTCTATGGAGGAAAAACCAATTATTGACCTTAAGCCAAAGACTTGAGGTCGGTCATGCCGAGGCGAGACGCCTCCTCGGAGAACAGAGTCTTGATCTCCTTTGCGTCGGTCTTGCCATCGAGCTTGCTCTTAAAGACGGCAAGGTCGTCGACCTCGAGCTTGGCAATCATGGCATCGACATCGTTGAGGGCCTGGTCGATCTGTGCAGGGCTGGCCTCGCCGTCGGCAAAGTAGTTGCCATCCTTGACGGCACCACGAACAACACGCTTGTTCTTCTTTGCGGCGTTCTTGGCTGCCTCCTTTGCCTTCTTTGTGTCGGCCTTGGCTGCCTTGTCGGACTCCTCCTTCTCCTTTGCGAGACGGGCTTCCTCTTCCTTGGCCTTTGCTGCCTCTTCGGCGAGTCTGGTGGCTTCGGCCTCTCTTTCGAGTCTCTTCTTGTTCTTCTGGGCGTGCTCCTCCTTCTTGAACTTCTTGATGCGCTCGTCGAGACCGAGGCACTCGTCGACCATCTGGCGCAGACGCTGGTTGTCCTCGGCCTTTCTCTTCTTGCGGGCGTTGTTGTTCTTGCGCTCGACGTGGCGCTTCTGGTCACGGTTCTCGTTGTCGTCGGGGACATCCTCGTCGAGGTACTCGAAAGTTCTCCATGAGTCAAAGTTGTACCAGAAGTTGTAGAAGTTCTCGACGTGCTCGCGGGTGCTGTTCTCGTCACCGAGCTTGGGGACGGGCTGAGTCTTGCTGAAGCGGCCCTCGGCTTTGAAGACGTTGCTCCAGAGCTTGTAGAAGTTGCCCTTTTGAGTCTGCTTCTTGGTTGGGGGCTCGACCTCGGCGGCCTCATCGACCGAGTCGAATTGACGGCGCTTGACGGGGTCGCTGAGGATCTCGTGGGCTCTCTGGATGCACTTGAAGAAGTTGTCGTCCTCGTTACCACCGGCAGCGGCTCTCTTGTCGGGGTGGTGCTTGAGGACCTTTCTGCGGTGGGCCTTCTTGATTTGCTCCTCGGTGGCCTTCCAGCGGTACTTTGTTATGCCGAGAACGGCGTAGTGGTCCTGGCTCNNTGTGTGGTTGTTAGATGCGGAGGTTGTAGAATTGGAGTCGATGGCACACACCTTCCAGTCCTTGGCCTCGCGGGCAAGCATGGCAGGGTCCTCGGGCTCACTGATGTAACCAGCATCCTCGTCCTCGACCTGCTTGACGTTCTCCTGGGCACGGATACGGTCATCCTCGGAGAAGGTACGCTTGTGGCGAGTNCTAGACGAAGAGTCAGTCTGAGTTCAAGATGAGTGTATGGGTCGCAATCGTACTCTGCGGGCGTGGGCCAGGAAGTAAGGGCCGACGGGCTCGACGTTGCGACGAGCGGCAGCAGAGAGCTTGCCGACAGCCTTGAAGTCCTTGTCGGCGGACCAGCCGGCAGGAAGGGTAGGCAGAGCCTTGTTGATCTGAGATACAGACATATTGATGTTGATATGGAGTAGATACAGAGGGAGAGGAAGAGGCTCGCTGCTCAAAATCTGCCCGACAGAGTCTCGAATTTTTGGTCCGGGGAATCGAGCTTGGCGCGCGCATTCGCCTTGTCTGCCATCATAGCCACAATTATTTACTCGTGAGACGGACAAACAATTCCTAGGCATCCACACAACCAACAAACACAATATGTCGGCACAACTCATAACCCACAACAAGACAGTCGTTCTGTCAACATACCGCAACCTCTTGCGCGCAACCCGCATCGCTTTCCAAGGTACCCACCCATCGCCCTCAACTCCAGCAGCAAGACCAAGTCGCTGACCCATCATCATCCTCTTAGGCGACCACGACACACTTCACAACTCTCGCAAATTCGCACGAGACTCATTCGACCAGAACCGTGGCGTCAAGGCTGGTAGCATTGAAGCCGAAAAGGCCGTCGAGCATGCACAAGGAGTGGCTCAGATCTTGAGGGAAAATGTAGTACAAGGCGCAACCGACAAGGAAGAATCTGGAGCTTACAGTGAGTCCAGGCTGCTCCCACCTTTGACGACTAGATCTGACCACTGACACGATACCACGAACTAGNAATTGCGAATTCACGACCACACCGAAAAGGGCGACAACGAGTCTGTCAAGCAGTTCAAAGGAACCACAAAGTCTTTTGCAGAGGTCAAGCGCTGCTCTCTGATTTGATATGTAAAATATATGATACCCCTGTCTGTTTAATCCTAGTCAGACCACTTCCTCAAGAAGACACAAAGCTTCAAAACGCCATGCTTCCCTGCCAAACGCCGTATCTTCGTATATCTGTTGCAATCAAGAAGTGGCCTACTCGCCTGCCAAACTTGCGTATTGGACATCCTCTGATCCAGGCGGAGGCGCGACCAGATCAAAGTTGTCTGTACTGCCAGATGGTCCAGCTGCCGAGGATGAGGGACCGACAGCAATGGCCGGCCTTGTAGCTGAAGCTGCCTTGACTGCTGCGTTCGTCTCGCGTCCAGCTCTTGCGTTCGCCATGCGAGCCTCCCTGTCCATATTGTCCAATGTCTTGGGCTTGCCCCACTGCACTCTGAGTGGCACGCCCTTCACAACAGCTCTTCCTTGACATGAAGCAGCCGCTGCCTCGGCCGTATCTCTGGTCATGTAGTTGACAAACGCGCAGTGTGATCGATGCGAACAAACGAGGGATCGAAGTGCTCCGAACTGTGAGAAGAAGACGCGAATGTCGTGCTCGGGAAGGTCATCCTCAACGCCAGTAACGAAAAGCGACATGACATTCTTGTCGGCCGGAGGGTGAATGTCTTGTGGTTGTGGTGGCAGGGTTGCTGTGTTGGGGAAAGGGCGTGCTCTGGATGCACCCTTGACGGGACGTGACGGAGGTCCATATCCTGCTGGCCTCGAGTCTTTTGTGCGAATTGGTCCAGGTCTGGCACCTTCTGAAGGAGGCTCCTCGAGCATCTTTTGTCCCGACGCAGCGCCCTCCTCTTCTAATCTTCTCTGCTTCTTGTAGTGGGGCTCGCTCTGGGCGAGTCTGCGCAGCAGATCCCTAGCCTTTTCGTCCGTCTTTTCATATGCCTCGATAGCTCCTCTACCCTCTTCAATCTCTTTTTCATGATTTTGCGCATAGTACTCTCTGTTGATTTCGCTGTTGGGTCCAGGTGTGATCATCTTCAAGGCGGCGTCGCGCACAACGATGGGAAGTCCAAAGCTCAGATCGAGCATACAGCACTGACAGCAATTCTTCAGTCGAGCGCATGTAAGGCAGAGGTTTGTTCGCTTTTGGCGGGCTGTGCGGTCGGTCTTCCAGCGAAATACCGTGAATGGGCGAGTGCAGATTTTGCTANNTTCCTCGTTAGTAAGAGCTCGAGATCAACGAACAAGGATGGGGGCTCACCATTCAGCGCCGTAATCTTCTTTCAAGACCTGGACATAAGGATTGTCACCAAGGCACTTCTCACAAGCCGAGGGCATGTCGGTCGACTCCCATCCTGAGCGGTTCAAATCCTGCTTGGGAGGCATGGTGATCGCTGGTTTGAGACGATGAAAGTGGTATGGTTAGAATCGCGCGAGTTATTGGATGGGTTCGATGGATCGTGGAGGTGGCACGACGGGTGGAGAGTTCAGAGTCGACAAAAAATGATGGTTGCTGTATAAGCAGAAGCTGTCTCGAACGCCTGTCGCAGATGCAACGAAAGTGACGACGTTCTTACCGAAGTTCAACCTACTCATTCGAAACAGGCACCTCCGTCTTCTCTCCGCAGATGATGAGCCGGATCCCACGGATTCCGTATGCATGTGAGAGCAGCGGCGGAAATTTGGGTGAGGACTCTGAGATGCGCTAGGGACAAGCCAATTGGAGATAATGAAATTGCGCGCCCCCAGAGGCAGGAACCCCCGCCGCGTCTCGTCTCGTACGATGTTTATGGAAAGGGCCACCCCTTTATAATTATTTTAGTGCTGCTGCCATTTCTTTGCCTCAATTCCGTGCAGTCCGCTTTCCCTTCCACTTCTCCATCAACTCTTCTCTTCGCGTTCAACCGCATCTTCAACCGTACCTTTTGTAGTGTCTTTTTCTTCTTCTACAACTTCCCCTTTTTCGACACTGCGACAATGGCTCCTCACTCGCTTGAACAAGAAGACCACTCGCGCGATGCTGCCTTCAACAAGGTCATGCACGGCACTTCCGCCCAGAAGAGAGGTGGTTTCGCCGCCATGTTGAGCAAGGGTGCAGATGGTCAGAAGGCCGCTGTCGACGAGTACTTCAAGCACTGGGACAACAAGGACGCAAAGGACGAGACTCCTGAGATCAGAGAGGTGAGTCGGACTGGATAATCATCCTTTGCAATTAGCCCTGTACTGACCCTCTGAGCAGNNGCCAGAAGAGCCGAATACGCTACCCTGACCCGTCACTACTACAACCTGGCCACCGACCTTTACGAGTACGGTTGGGGTCAATCCTTCCACTTCTGCCGTTTCGCCTACGGAGAGCCTTTCAAACAAGCTGTTGCCCGTCACGAGCACTACCTCGCTCACGTCATGCACCTCAAGGACAACATGAAGGTCTTGGATGTTGGATGTGGTGTTGGTGGTCCTGCTAGAGAGATTGTCAAGTTTTCTGGCGCAAACGTTACTGGTCTCAACAACAACGACTACCAGATCGAGAGAGCCACTCACTACGCCGCAAAGGAGGGTCTTTCGCACAAGCTCGACTTTGTCAAGGGTGACTTCATGGTACGCAACCCCTGAGATTTCAGCTTCAATCTCCAAAACTAACAAAATCCCAGCNAAATGGCTTTCCCAGAGAACACCTTCGACGCCGTTTACGCCATCGAGGCCACCGTTCACGCTCCTTCGCTCGAGGGCATCTACTCCCAAATCTTCCGCGTCCTGAAGCCCGGTGGTGTCTTTGGTGTTTACGAATGGCTCATGACTGATGCTTACGACAACGACAACCCTCATCATCGCGAGATCCGTCTCGGTATTGAGGTCGGTGATGGTATCTCCAACATGGAGAAGATTGAGGTCGCCCTTGCCGCCATGAAGGCTGCTGGATTCGAGCTCGAGATGAACGAGGACCTTGCAGACCGCGACGACCCTTACCCCTGGTACTACCCCATTGCCGGCCAGCTCAAGTACGCCAGCAGCATCTGGGATCTGCCCACTCTTGCCCGTATGACCAAGGTCGGTCGCTGGACTGCACACAACTTTGTCGGCGCTCTCGAGAGATTCGGTCTTGCCCCTAGGGGTACCCAGAAGACCGCCGACTCTTTGGCCACTGCTGCTGATGCTCTTGTCGCTGGTGGCAGAGAGAAGCTCTTCACTCCCATGTACCTCATGGTTGGCCGCAAGCCCATGAACGCATAGACCATGAACTTTCTTGTTGCTTTTCCTTTTTTGCACAATCTTCTTCTTTTTTTCTTTTGAATACCACTTACTAGAGAGCCCTACATGTTTTTATTAATCGGCTTGGAAGGGAATACTTTGCATGGCGATTAGGGACACCGTATGACAACAGAGAGGAAAACTGTTGCGGATACATTCTGTCTTGATTACTAGAGATGTAAAATGTACAATTACGTTGAATGATCACTTTACTGTTCATCGCTTGAATGAGCTAGTGCATGTTGATGTTCTTGAGAGCTGCTAGATTGTTACTGACTCAGTCGCGATGGAAGAATTGGCTTTCCTAATACAAGCAACGTCTTGAGTATTTCGTGGCCTCGCAGCTCTCAGGAAGGCAAAAGTCCCAAGAAGAGACCCGGAAGACTGCCACACTATCGCGGGTACTGTGACACAAGGCCTCATGAGAAGGAACAATACACGCAGTGAACACACGGGCAACAGCGATATGAAAGACCAAGTCATGAAGAGAATTCATTATCATTGATAGACTATATAGACACGGCGGCCGCAATGTTGAATACGACCACACCTCTCCCCCATCAAAGAACAGTAAACACCTACTTGAATCGAAAGTCAGCAAGGGACCTTCAAAAATACACTGCATGCTAATCTCAAGATGTTGTGTTTGTAACGCAGAAACTCAGAAAGCCGTCTTTACTCAAGCCCTTCCCACCGGCACCAAAATCATCCACTCATAACGAGTGGACTTTTCCAGCACACGGAAGCCCCATTATACCTTTTTCCATCCCACCGAGGTAGGACTACTAGAAAGGTTTGTAATTGTAACTCCACAACCCGTCATTCCTGGACTTAAAACACAGGTAGGGTATCAGGGAGGGGGCTCGGCGGGTATAGGTAAACTTCATTGAATGGATTGACTAGGTGTCATCATTGCGTTGTGGGAATAGGAAAGGGTGGAAGGGTGTGGTGGGAGGAGGAGGGAATGAATGCCTTACCCTTTTGATGTTGCATAGTTGGGAAGGTGCTTTCATGTGAGTTGTATCTGTCTTGATGCTTGTTAGCAAAGTTGATCAAACAAGATCGAATTGAAGGGCGGTGAAGAAATGCCAAAGGTGAGTGTGGATCAGACAGGTAAGCTTGGTGTATGAGTATCCGCATAATTTTCTTGGTAGCAGAACTGAATAATAATACAATCATCCTGAAAACACCTTTGGCAAAGGATGGGGTTATGGTGAAGTGTTGAAGGAGTAATAGCTTACCATTGCAGAATGAAAGAGTTCTTCCACCACGTGCGCACGACTTTTATGCGACGAGCGAAAGAACTCTTTGTGTCCAAAGACAGATCAAGATGCAAGGAAGAAGAAACTAAAAGACTTTGCGCAGGTCAGCACAGGTTCAACTTTCGAGGTTAAGTGATATGTCGAAAAGTGATTTAGGATGTGGTTCAGATGGTAGTGCATGTTAGTTTATGGCTCAGGAAACCCCGAGGGTTGATCGCCAACTAGTGTGTTGGGTTTTCTTCCTAACCAGTGTGATGTGGAAGAGCAAGACTTACGGAAAGAAGAAACAAAGAGCATGACAAGCCGCCAGCGGTCTCGCATGTTGTCGACAAGTGAGTGCGCGCAAGGGAGGCAGAAGTGTGTGAAGGGAAAGGAAGAAAGTCGGGTCGCGCGTTTGAAGGTTGTAGCAGAAAATTCGAGCTTGGACCATCAGCGTGGACGTCACGCATCTTGCCGAAGTTGGAGCAGAAGCAGATCAAGAAATCGAAAGAGGGACATTCTAATCCATACCACTAATCCTTTCATACCATGGCCGATCGTCGTCGTACCAATGCGCCTGCAGGCAGCACATCTGCGCCCATCTTTGTTTCCTCCACAGAATCCACATCATCGCAACGACCAACTCGCCAAAGATCCTCTTCTACGCCTCGTAAAATCTTCCTACAGACAGGCCTTGTGCCATCTGCTTCTGGATCAGCCTATTTCGAACTTCATCCTTCCACCGATGCCGCAAGGACAACTCTCGTAGCTCAAAGCGGCACTCTCAAACTTACTTGCACTGTTCACGGTCCGCGACCACTTCCTCGCACCGCCGCTTTCAGCCCGAATCTACTTCTCAGCACACACGTCAAGTTCGCACCGTTTGCAAGTCGCCAAAGAAGAGGTTATCTTCGCGATACTGCAGAGAGAGACCTTGGACTGCATCTTGAAACAGCACTACGAGGTGTGGTGATTGGCGAGCGCTGGCCCAAATCTGCCGCCGAAGTCGTCATTACAGTTCTGGAGAGTGAAGAGGATGACTGGTGGCGTGATGATGATGCCAGCAAGAAGAACATTGGAGGTGTAGGCTTGATGAATGTGCTGGCTGGTTGTGTCACTGCTGCAAGTGCTGCTCTCGTGGATGCCGGAATTGACTGCGTGGATCTTATTTCTGGTGGTGTCGCAGCAGTCACTGGCGAAGGAAATGGAGAACTGGTACTGGATCCTTGCCCGAGCGAACACAATGATCTGCGTGCGGCAGCTGTAGTCGCGCATCTTCAGTCAAGAGACGAACTCACAGAATTGTGGGTCAAGGGCGATGCTGGAGAAGGTTTCGAGACACTCGTCGATCGTGCTGTGGATGCAGCAGGTTTATCGAGAAGTGTGCTCGCCGAGGCTGTCAGAGAGGCTGCCGAGGTCAAGACTAGTCCACAGGATATGGATACTGGCAAGCAGGAGGTGGTCAAGGCTACCGATGTCGACATGACAGGATGAGTTGATCAAGTCACTCAGACGCAAATATCAAAAGATACGCAGAGCCTGAAGACGTCGAGGTTTGTTGCCCAGCAGGTTCGAGGGTACGCCTATGCCTACACATTCGACCGCAAAGGTCGCTTAAACAGGAGTGACAAGGGACAGCCGGATACGATCCAAGGACTTCTGTCACGCTTTGAGACGAACAGTCTTCGACCCAATCCGATGAGCCACGGCCAAGAATGTACAAAATCGACTTAACAGAAAGAGTCGAGCTTAGAGGTACTGCACATACGTCAAACCATCAGTCAGATGCAGAGAGAGAGTAACGACAATAATGTTGTAGCAAACGCCAATCATATACCATACAAAAATCATCGAACGAGTCTATCAGAATATCACACGCTAACCATCAACCCCGACCATTCCCACATATCCTGTACATTGCTTGATCCCAAGCAGCATCACTCTGCTGCGACTAGGCCATGCGTCCTCTCGGTAACCTAGGAGGTGCCGGGCTAGCACTGAGCTTGATCGAAGGAGTTCCCCTCGGCATATATATGGCACTCGAAGGTCTTGCAATCGGTGTCAACTCACTGTCCTGCGTAGGCACCGTCTCCACCACCGGCAAATCCTTTGGCGGATCTACATAATAACTCTTCCTCAACATGAACACCTCATTCTTGAACAACCAACTCGCCCCCAAGAACAAGTCCGTCTTCTCATTAGACGCAGGACTAGTAAATCCATCCCCAATCTCCAAAACCTCAAACTCGACTTTTTCATGCTGTTTTCTAAACTTTCCCGCCGCAAAGTTCAGGGAGAGGATGTAGTTTATGCTAACTTCTCTGTCCTCGAAACTGCATACTTTNTTGATCAAGCCGACGCCTAGATGATCGCGAGGAGGGGATTCGAGGTTTTTNGCGGCTTCGTAGTCGTCGATCTTTTGGAGACTGTATTCGAGCTTGAGTTTGCGGACTAGGGCCATGGTTATGAAGTTTGCGCATGCGCCAGTGTCGCATTTGGCCCAGACGACTACTTCTTGGTTGTCCCCGTTGCGGACGATTAGAGGGATGTGGGTGTGGTCACCGCCTTCCNNTGGGGTTGTGTTAGTCCTGAACTTGGGTTAGATGTTGGGATGTGTTACCAATGCTGAGACAATGTCGTTGGCTATTTGTAAAGGCTTCTTGTGCCATTTGTCGACGATGCTTCTGATTACGTCTACTTGTTCTGCTGGGATGCCGGATGAGGATTCACTATCAGATAGTGCTGGTGAGTCGTCGACGGAGAGGGCGGGTGTCAATTGTTGAGGAGGATCCATGTTTGTGTGATTGTTCAAGTCTTCTTTCGGAATTTGGTGTGAAAGCCGGGTAAAAATTGGATATTGTGTAGATAATGGTCCTCTTCCTTCGTGCTTTGGATATAAGAGTTGTACGAAAGTCGAATGAAATTCAAAGGTTGGGAGACCTTCCATATACATACTAAAGCTGTTATAAGTATACATACCTACTTTACGCAATCCTCCAAGCCACCAGGCACTGCCGTCAATATTGTGCTAAGGCAGCCCATGGCGGAGCTCAACTACGATAGCCCTCGATTGCGATGGCAACTTTTGGTGATTTCGTCCATTGATGCGGAATGCAATATATTTTGCTCCACGAGGAGACGCGGTGGGTCGTGTCTAATCAGCACTAAAGCAAGCCTTTGCCCAGGATGGCACAGCAATTCAACCGCATCTTTGATACTGTCAGTAGAATTTACTGTACCGCACGCTATATTAGGAAAGCGTCATGCAAGTCCTGCCTCCACTGCTCCTTCACCGGTACTTTCTCAACAACCACCACTCAGGCGACGAGGCACTGCTCTTGGCGAGTCGGAGTTCAGCCTTCTCGCCCTGTGGTGGAGAGCACTTTGTTCATGCATGTCACGTCCAATCACTGACATTACAAGGTGGGGCGGCAATCCATGCAGATAGGCTGTGTTTAGAGGTAGGATGGCTTGTGTGACACTTTTCCTTTCTCCTCTCTCTATTCTCATACTCTCGGAACATTTTCTCTCCTCTCTTGTTGCCTTAACAAGGCAGTCAGCAATACTCCGCCACCAACAATGGCCGGCGAGAGGTATGAGCTTCCGGTCATCGAACCCACAGACAAACCGAGAATCTCAACAAACGTCCGAGCTGTTGGCAAAGACTCGAGAACCAACTCTGCCGCAAGCTCTTCTGTCCACTTTTCGCCGATATCATACAATACATGCAACACCGAGTCAACATTCGTATCGCCAGGCTTGTTGCGACAGAACTCTGTCCGCGAACGACCTGCTCTACAAGGATATCCCAAGCTAGCACGATTCATTGGCGAGAGACCTGGTTTTGCCATCTTTCGACGTTTCTCCGAACTCAATGCGAGGAATTTGCTGTATCTGCAGGCGGAGTTGCTCGATATTGAGGAAGAGTTATATGAGACTGAGATAGATGATCAGAGAGATCAGGATTTGAGGCAACTGCAGTTCAGCATGCGTGGTACGACTCTTTGCTGCATGCTCTTCAAAACTGCTGTTAACACCCAAAAGNGTATCCACAACGGAAGAATTGCTCCAGAGGGCTCCAGAGCTCGTTCGCGGTATAAACTTTATGAGGAGCAGCGAAAGCTCTTGAAGGAATACAGTGAGTGATCTTTTCCTGATACTCAATATCCCAACACAGTTACCAGAAGTCTACGCGCTCTGTACTCACGTCATCACTGACACAATCGCTGAAAGATGGGGNTCCTGATTCAACAACATAAACTGTATAGCCTGCCACGACCAACCAATGGCGAAGTCCGAGGCCTTCGAGAATTCATTTGCGACAGCGAACAACATGGCCACAATAGCGAGCAAGAATGGTTACACCATCCCGAGAATACCATCTGGAGTCTGAGTGTTGATGAAAAAGCAAAATACGAAACAGACCAACAACGAGCAAGAGCACACGAAAGAGCAAAGGCCACACAAACGGATCTCGTCAGTCTATCAGGGCATGTCGCTCCCGACTCGTTCACCAACTTGTTGAGAAGCAAAGTTGTACAACGCTTCCATGTATTTTTCGGACATCGACTACTACAAGAAGATGCGGAATTTGGTGGTCACGTAAGTCACTCGCTACATGAACTTTTAAGAACCAGTCTGACATCCTTCGCAGNNATGTACCGCGGCGAAATACTAGAANAAATGGCCTTCTATATCAGCATCTTGTTCGCATCGTTACTCCCAACCGCCAGTATCATCGCCCTCTACTATATCCCTGTCTTGATCTGGAGATTAATCTTCATCGGACTCTGGAGTGCAACATTCAGTATCTGCCTGGCATTCTTTACCCCAGCAAATCGGATTGAGATCTTTATGGCGAGTGTTGCTCTGGCTTCAGTGCAAGGTTGGTCGTGTATCTATTTTCCACACAAGAAGCCTGCTAACTGTACTTTCAGTCGTGTTTGTTGGTACGAATTCCAACCAAAATCCAGGACTACCTGCTACTTGATGTTGATGTTTTGATATATGACTTTGCAGGCACGAACAACTAACGATATGATATGATTTGAGGATGATGTATGGTGATCACGTGGATATTATGATGGATGAACATGTAAGCAATGATGGAATGAAGCTTGTCGATAGAAATGAAAGACATGATAACGATCAAGTACGCGTTCTGTTCAGTCATCAAGTATCGACGTTGAAGATACATGTGTTGAGATGGAGAAGTGACGATGAAGCAATAACGGCCCAAAAAGGAAAGCGCGAACAAAGGGTCGCGTGCATCGGCGCGTCGCACTCGAGACGAACCTTGATTCTTTCACCTCGCATACCAGCAAACACCCAAACAACCATGGATCACAGCCTTTCTGATCCCAGTGACTGGCTCGGCACATCACTCCCACCTTTTGCAGCTCTCGAAACCTCACTACGATGTCAAGTGTGCAAGGACTTCTTCACTACGCCCATGGTCACGACTTGCTCGCACACTTTCTGCAGCATATGCATTCGCCGCTGTCTTTCTGTTGACGGCAAATGTCCTGCATGTCGCGCCAACGATCAAGCCAGTAAATTGCGCAGGAATTGGGCGTTGGAGGAAGTCGTGGGCGCATTCAAGACGGCTAGACCAGTCGCGCTGGAAATTGCGACAAAAGACAAGAAGGAGAAGGAAGATGCTCCGACAAGACCAAACAAGAGAAGAAGGACAGAGAGACACAGTGGTGGGAGCGATCTTACAGTACGCACCACACGAAGTCAGAGCAAGAGGACACAACAAGTCGACCACCAACCCGCCACCTTGGATGGACATGAAGACGATGGAAGCGATGCTGAATACACTGAGAACGGCGGCACCCAGCCAGAAAGACAACAAACACCAGACGACGGTCTAGTCGCATGTCCAATCTGTCAAACACGCATGAAAGAAGAAGTCGTCTTCAACCACATTGGAACACCAGCCTGCACATCCCCATCCCAGAAACAAAGACAACAACCCCCACGTTCCACTGCACCAACGCCACAACCGTCAGCAACCCCCAAACCAATTCCCGACCGCCTCACCGAATTGAACTACTCTCTCCTCAACGACAAAGCCCTCCGCAAGAAACTCTTCGAACTCGGTATACCCTCCACAGGCTCAAAAGCACTACTCTCACGCCGTCACACCGAGTGGGTAAATCTCTGGAACGCAAATGTCGATGCTGGAGCTCCACGCACAAAACGAGAATTACTAGACGAACTGAGAAAGTGGGATCGCTCCATCGGTCGCGAGCCAGATCAATTCGGTACAAGCAATCAAGTGATGAAAAAGGACTTTGACGCAAAAGCTTGGAGTACTGGCAATAAAGACGACTTTACCCGCTTGATCGAGCAAGCAAGACAAGGAAGAACTAAACCCCAAGCACCCCAAAAGCAAGAACCAAACACCGAACCTAAAGATCAAGCACCTTCCGAGGAGAATCAAGACGCCATGCAACTCGACAACCCTGCCCCATCCCAAGTCGAGCCAGAAAAGGATTTACCAATCGGTTACCACGATGCAACGCACCCACAAGAAAACTTTCCAGATGCAGATCATCCACCACCTTCAGGACAGCGAGTAGAACCTCCCNCACCACTCTTGAAAGAAACGTCTTTGCCCGAAAAGCTAGGCACAAATGCGCAGACGATCAATATGTTTGAAGTGTCTAGTCATCCGGTTGCTGACGTGGAGACTGCGCAAGAGAATGATGGGCATTGAAGGGGTTGATGTTCTCTTTCTGCTCTCTGAATGTCGACTATGGATGTAAATGGAGCAAGATGGATTTGCTGTGTATGAAGCTTTTGGGACAGTCGAATGTGACTACGGCAGATGATGGCTCGGTTCTTGCTGGTGCTGGAAGATAACGAGGTATAATGATGGAAGCGTACCCAAAGACTACACAAACTCTCGCTACTTTATTGATCTTGAACCGTGCCATGTCCGCAACTTCTGATTGACTGCAAGAAATACTCGCGGGAAAAGATCAAGACGAGGATTTGGTTTGATCAAGGCCTGTCTCAGAACAAGATGGCAAGACACAAATCCAGAGTTGCAACTGGACATCTACGACAAGTTTCAACCGGAGCTTGACAAAGACGTGATGACGGAACGAGATCAAGTATGCATAGCAGAGAATCAAAGTTTGCAAGACTGAATCAAGCAATGCCATTAAGCGCCGTCGCTGTGTCCATGTGAGCTTCGTAATCATTAATCTGTAGCAACAGAAAGGGATGCCAACAATGCTATAGAAGCAAGAAAGAAAAGAGATGAACAAAAGCAACCGCGATAAAGTACAAGCAACAAACCCCATTTACCTCAGCAATGTATGTACTCGCCGTTCAAAGCTCAATCATGAAGCCAGGGTTGGATCATGAGCTTGGATGTACGTTTCAAAAGCAATGCACGTAGAAAGTTTGTTCTGGCTAAAGTGCCCAGTCAGCCAGTGATTCGCACTGATGAGTGATGACCAAGGCACCTGAAGGCAAGTCAATTTTACTGTCTTTGGATGAGACAGCTGGAGTGACTTTGTCATGGAACAGCTCGTCAAAATTGTCGGGAAACTCTGACTGTTTGCCCAAATCGGTCAAATCAATGAACCCGCCTGGCAAGTCGCCGAACGCATTCTAAGCGTCTGGCTTGTCACTCAGTGCCTCTGCTTGATGGTTAGCAGATGTGGAAGAAACGATCTCATAATTCGAGTACTTACGTGTCTGGTGTGGAGGAGAATCAAGTCTGAGACGTTTGTGAGCAGGATACTCACTGGCGCGCACATATTGAGGATCTTGAGGATGAGGTTGGTGGTGTTGGTCATGGTGTGTAGGAGGCGGAGAAGGTGGACGGTTCATGCTACCTGCTTGAGCAGCAGCAGCCTGGAGCTGACTTATAGCTGCAGCAGGAAGAGAGTCGCTGGCAGTGTCTTGNTGGTGCAGAATGAGCATGAATTGCAGGGTCGTGTTGGTGATGCTGCTGGTCGTGGGAGGGTTGAGGATAGACGTTGGACGGNNTGCGGGATGGCTCTGTGGAGGGGAAGGATCGGGGTAGCGATGTTGTTCATGATGGTCATGTTGATCATGGTGAATGGGTTGCTGAACGGGCGCAGGATGATAGACGGAGTCTTGATCCTGGTGCATGGGCTGGTTGTCGGGTGCCGAGAGCGAAGCAGATCGCATAGGACCCTGTTCAGGTGTGGGTGGGAAGCTGATGTTCTTTTCCGTCATTCTGCCCTGCAGAAGAGTGATGTAGTCTCTCAGAGCTACATTCTCATGCTGGAGGGTCTTGAAGTTCTCCTCCATGACCAGGTATTGCTTCAAGTCATCCTCTAGCTTGTTGATGTGTTGCTCCTTGCGCATGCGGAAGGCACGTTGGGCGGCACGATTCTGAGCAGCACGTTTTGTGTTGGAGAGCTCGCGCTGGGCTCTTCCCTTNTTGCCGGCAGCAGCTCCTTGAGTGTTGGCATCCGTGGGGTCGGTGTGGGGGAGGCTCAGGTCGGGACTCTCGTGCGTCATGCCATACGGTTGGATGGCCATGGCCGGGTTGTGATGGTGGTGAAGTGGTTGTTGGTGAGGCTGGTGCGCGTTGTAGGAATTGGTAGGTTGCGCATGCTGATGAGGCTGCTGTGGTTGAGGAGGGGCATGGTTGTTTTGAGCTGCAATGAGTTGGTCGCGCAGACCTAGAGTTGACGGTCAGTTCCTGTTCGAGAGGCACAAGAAGAGAGCGCGGCTTACTCATCTCAAAGGCCTGCGAGTCCTGCATGCTCTGTCAGCAACGAGTCGTCGAGTCTGGGTTGGCCAGCACTCACAGCAGCCGAAGACATGGTCGTTGTCGTGGGCGCAATGCCGGCGTCGCAGTATGAACAACTGTTGCGCCCGTCAGTGATGCCCTCCCGGTAGAAGCCATGTCGGCGGTGATATATGGCGACAAGTTGGTTGCCAAACTCACCTCGTTCTTGGTTGTCGGGTTGGCTTAACTGGCCGTGATCACTAAGCAAGACTTATGTAAGACGCCGCCAGTCAATTCCCCCAAGAGGTGCTGTTCTACCCCGCTTTTTGACTGCACCGGCATCTATTTTGTGCACCTGCCTTGGCTGACTGCCTCGCTCTTTCACAACTCTTGCAATCACCTCAACAAGATATCATCCAAAGGTCATACCTTCCCTCAGCTTGTCTTGATCTCTTGTCGGGTTTCGGCTTCCAGCTTTCCTCAGCTCTGCAGTGGGCAGTCATATAAGAGTATCTGACATTGTGCAGATAACCTTCCTTTGACCGCCAGAGATCTTACTCGCTGTGAAACTGCATGTGCGTGACCCATCAAGTCGAGCTTAGAAATATCATCTGGTACAACTGAATCTCTGACCGCCCATATGATCTTATAGGGCTTCTTGCAACAGTGAGTCCCAGTAATTCTCAAGATTGCTCACCCAAGTACTCTAGATCCACCATGGATGAACTGTCAGATTCCTTCTTCGAGAAAACTCGTCTGGTGTCCCATGCTGGTTGCTTGTCAATCGCCATACTACCCAATAGACGTTGCACTCGAGCCTTTTCAATACTATCTTCGAATTTGATATCATGAAATCCGAGCCGAGCCGAGAAGAATGGTGGCTTTTAACAGGCACTGCTATCTTTTCTCAAAGTATTGTGCATCTTCATAGGTATCATCTCTTTAAATTCAAGTTGAGAATGCAGAGGGAGGATTTCGATGGTTTCAGAAGCGCAAGGGAAAGACAGACAGATGAAGCATGTTTCACTCTCTTTCTAGGTTCGAGATGTCCCTTGCTGTCTGTCAACCCCGAACTTAGCTGTAACCCGTCGATGGTGGCTGTAGATCCCCGCTAGGGTAGACACACCATGCTTTGTCAACACCACTGCATAGCTTCCTAATCGATGAGTGAATGTACACATTTGGGGAGATGAATATGGAGAAGGTGAAAAACATCCTTGTTCTTTATCTAGGTCATTGCTGAGGGCATCAGGGACGTTATGATCAAGGCAGGTCGTCGGAAGATAAGGAGATAGGGGCGCGTCTTTACCGGCGTCCGAACTCCGACTCCCAGGCACGTCACCAGCCACGCGCAAGCACGACTTGACTACACTTCCTCACTCAACGGCTGACGCGGATTTGATCGATTTCTTCTGGCAGTTCTTGAACGAACTTCTCTTATCAACTCACACCTACAATGAGGAATACCGCTCGACCTTCCTTGGAATCCTGATAACAACAACAACCTCTTCACTCTGGAAATTTCACGCCGAACAAACCTCGGAACATGCTTCCATCACTGGATGATTGCAATGAGTGCAAGCCTGCCTACCTCCAGCGCAGACTTGACTCTTTCCCACCTTCCACGATAGCTCTATCATCTGCACCTTTTGCTTTGACATTCCTCTTTGTCGCTGTCGCTGTATGGCAAAAAGTTGTACCACACCTTTCGTCATCGAACTCGCAAAAGGACCAGAACATACCATTTTTCAACCGAGAAACTCAACGGACAAACAACCATGGACTCAATTCATTGCGCACCATCACTTTCAAGCGTGTGGCTGCAATCACCTTCTCTACAACTGTGGCTTTATCGGCTGTCCTTGTAGAACTGATCTTGTGCGAAATCTCCGATTTACTAAATCCAGCAGCTAGAGGACTGGCTTTGCGCATCACTTTGTTCTCACTTCTGATTCTGATAATCATTGTTATACCGAGTCTGGAAGTCCACACTTTGGTTTCTGGATCACGTCCTCGCTCCGAGTATGCTACTCACAACACACGCAAGTCCCGTCCGACCATTCGATACACACTCGAGGCTTTGCTGCTGGGTATATGGTTCCTTGCCTTCTGGTACATGCCGCATACATCACTTCTCCCAGCCTCTCTGCACTCGCAAGCAGGGCATCCGAGCGAGCACAAGGACTTTGACTTTGTCGAGGCATGTCTTGAGCGAGTTGGCATCATAGGCATCTCTCTCATGGCTTCTCTTGCTGGATTTGCTGCGGTGTCATCAATCTGGCAGACTTTCGGCGTACGGCACCGAGTTGTTCGCGATAGCGATATTGCACGTAAGGAAAGCGGACTGGCTGCAACCAGAGACATGTTGGCAGTCAAGCAAAGTCGTCTACGTGCATTGCAACGCAAAATGTCTGAAGCACCGCAGGACAAAGGTGGCATTGTGACCAGAATGATTGGCTCGATCAAAGGAAACTCCGACACAAACGAGCAGCGTAGCTTGGAGATGGAGATTTCAGGTCTGGAAACAATGACCATGACTCTTGCCTCGTCCCTGGCAACTCTCAAGTCTCGTCATGCGACCCAGCAACGATCGCAGAACAGTCTTGGAAGGCTGTTGAATATACTCAATTTCGGCTTCGCACTGTACTGTCTCTACCGCATTGCAGCGACTTCGGTCTCTTCACTGCGCAGGTGGTGGCAGCCTAACACAACTTTCGCGACATCCGATCCCATCAACAATGTCCTCGCTCTGCTCACTACACATTATGATCCTACACTGGATCGCGAGGCTTGGTCTCGCCAAATCTCCTTTGTGCTATCCGGTGTCATGCTATTGCTGTCTTTCAACGCTGTCCTCCAGACTTTCCGGTTGTTCACCCGCTTCTTTCCCAGCCTGGCTGCTCGTGCGCAGTCTGCTCTTCCGCTTGTGGTTTCACAGGTCGTCGGCGCATATGTCATTTCTTCCGCATTACTGTTGAGGAGCAACCTGCCCAGTGAGGTGAGTAGCGTCATCAGCGAAGCCCTGGGTGCACCGCTGGAAGGTCGTTTTGTGGAAGCTTGGTTCGAGAGCTGGTTCTTGATCGCTGTGGTGGTGACGAGTATTGGTATCTTTATTAGTCGTAAGGTGGGCTCATCTAATGATTGGGAAGATTGGGAAGAGAGTCAAGATATGGAGATGGGCAAGATGCATTAAAGGTTGGGATTATGGATTGTTATTTTGCTTGTGGTATCAGGTAGATTGGCGCAGTGTGTTCAATGGGAGTTCAAAGGCGTTATCAGGAGGTGGTGGTCTGATCAACACGATACCCGCGCGGCACTCCGAGCATCGACAGGAAGGATGGATCTTGTGTAGTATAATAGAGACGGTATCAATACCTATATCGAAGAGCGATGTTGATGTGCCGGCTTGGTGAGGGGTGTTCTATTCGATTGCAGAGCAGCATCGCTCCCTGTCGCCCTGATCTATATCTCTTCGCCTGCATCTCTATACAACTGCTAGTCCTCTCGACTGTCATGGCTAGGACATTAGGATGTGTACAGATTGTCCCGCCCAGAGCAGTCAGACAGTGCTGGGTTCTGTGTATACATTCCAACTCTTTCAATTCAGGCCGCACTACGCCGCAACTCGTACTTCTCAACTTTTCAAGTTTGTATCGACTGAAGCTATACCGTGACTGCGTAGGGTGCAGATGCTGTCGCTGTGAGATGGACTCGAGGCACGAGATCTTGTGGTGAGCGAGGCGTTCAAGTCGGTCGGCGGCATAGAATCGGACGAGACGGACGCGACCGAAATTGTCGGATGACCCTCCATATCAATGGACATCATACATTACAGTCGCATATCTCACGAGATGATGATAGGACATTGTAGTAACGAGTAACAAAGCGATTATTATCCTAAGAAAGAAAAAAAAAGAAAAAAAGAAAAAACGCCAACTACCAATCCGAAAAACCTGGTCCGAGCGCCCCTTCCTTCTCCATCTCATCTCCCAGACTTCAAAAGTATCCATCACCATCCAACCTTGCACAGCATCATTGATAGTTTCTAAATTCTGCAGTTACCTCGAATATCTTGTCGATGGTTGTTCTTCTTGCGATACCTCTGACCAGCAACCTCATCTACGAGAAGGATCGAACAAGTTGCCGAGGTTTCCGGACGACTTCCTTTCCTTCTTCCTCTTGCTTCGCTTGTCACTACCGGCAGTCGATCCTTCTTGAGAACCTTCTCCAAGCGTAGATCCTGTTATCGACTCTGGACGGTTCCTGCCTCTGTGTGTGAGGGTTCTTCCGAGAGTGCTGTTCTTGAGGGTGTCGCGAAAGCTATCTTGAGCGCTGATGATGTTGTCCTTCCAACCACCCACGAGTGAAGAGCGAAGAGCCTCTGCAGCCGTCTTACCCTCCTGCTGACTGGGGCCGGCATTCTGCGACATGTCCAACAAGGGTGTACTGGTTGAACGTACAAAGCCTGACTGTGCTGTGCTGAGCAAAGGTTGGCTTGAAGAACGTGCCGCCTGAGCCTGAACGTTGACACTGGCGCCTTGTGCCGGAGCTGGAGTGGTACGGTCAAAGTAGTTGAAATCTGGACGAGAGCGTTTGGACCTGATTGAGGCTGGAGGGATGGCTTTCTTGGGCGATGGAGGCATTCCCTTCTTGGGTGAGGAAGATCTGGATCTGAGAGCGTGTCCAGGTGGGATCTTGTTCAACTCGTCTTGAACGATGGTGTTTCTTTCCTTGCCACCCTTTGACTGAGGGTGCTCTCCAGGCGGAGGACGGTTTAGAACTTCAGCCATGTTCACCATCTTGCGGCCGTCGAAAGCGGTGTCCTCATCGGAGCTCTTCTTGTCAGGCACACCTCTGGCATCCCTGGGGATCCTCTTGATCTTTTCTGGTTCGGAAGAAGATTGCTGGGCGACACCGATGTTCTTCGAACCAGTCTGACCAGTCTTGGGCTTCTTCTCCTTGGCCAACTTCTTCTTGTCGGGTTGTTGAGGAAGGTGAATGCTTGAGGCGGCGCGGATTGATTCAGCATCACTGAGGATGGTGTCTTCCCTTCTTCTGGCCTGTCCAGGAGTGGGGCTGGATGTATCGCGCTTCTCGGAGCCGATGGGAGCAAGAGGTGGGAGGGGATTAACCAACAGGAACTGGGCCGCCGTCATGCGCTCGCCAGGGGTAGGCTCGGCTGTCTTGCGCTTCCCGGTGGTAGGCTCGGCAGGGGTCGCTGGACGTCAGTTTCCATCACCTCGTTGATATTCTTGAGCTCGACCTTTCGCTTTTGCAGTCTGGCAGGCGAAAACTTGACAAGACTGGCGGATGTGGAGCCCTCTCTTTGCTGCTTGACTGGACGGAATTTGAGAGGAGGCTGCTTCTTTGGGGAGATTGTCCGTAATTTCCCAGCAACGAGAGGAAGGCGGGACTTTGCCTCTGGCCTTGTCTGTGTCACTGAATACAAAAGATTGTTCGGTGGAGATGGACTTGTTGGATTTGGAAAAGAAAAGTGTTCTGGAAGTGGGCGATTTTCAAGCCAGGTGCGATCGAAGTGAGACTATCATCGACTTCCCTTCCCACTCGATGAGTGCAGTCTCGCTGCCAATGTCGGACTCGGAGTTGCTGGATGGCTGTGACTTCAAGTCTTCGAGTTTCTCATCTCCATCCTGAGAACCCTCTTCATTCTGGCCAGACATTTCTTGATCTTCGCCAGATACATCACCCTCTGCATCCTCGTCTTGCATCTCTTCGTCTTCTTCTTCAGCTTCGACTGTGTACACTTCCACTCCGTCGAGTTTGTCCCAGTCCTCTGGGCGGTCTGCAATCAGGTCTGTATTCAGTTTGTCGAGCATGCAGCGCAACTTCTCCATGATCTTGTCACCACTCTCATTGGAGGTCTCAGCAGTCTCAGTCATACGCATCCAGCGCCAAATATGATCAGCGTAATCATACAACATCTGTTGACATGTCAGAATAGCATTGCTCGCACGATGCGTTACCACACTTACTTTTGCCTCATACCAGTCACCCACGGACTGGGCAAGGAGTATGAGGCATCAAATGCGATGGTAGCGTGGCAAGCCTGGGCAATCGAGGAGTGCGCGTGCCTCATTCACGGCCAGTAAAAAACTGCTCATCGTTGAAAAGATCCACGACTTTGTTGAGGCGTGCAGACCACGCTTTGACATCTGTTTCTGCTGCTGCCATAGCTGTATTTTCGAAACGACCAGATAAAAGCGTGGGGAGAAATCCTGTGAGAACAAAGTTATTGAAGGTTGAAAAGTCATATGGATGCCAGACGCAAACAAAAATAGCCTTGTGCCGATACGCTCACTTCAACTTTCACTTCTACCTTCACTGTTGCAAAGCGACTTTCGACTCATTCTCGTATGATTTTTCTCCTTTTTCAATCCAGATTTGCAAACCATGAACTTCCGACTTGGATTTTAGTCGCGTTTCCACCTCTTGCATTCTTGCCTTGTCAGTATCCTTGACGGATATTATGAATCTTGGACAATGCGTAGTATACCATGGTTATGGAAAGTCTGCACTAACTGTCGGAGATGGCTCGTCTTCTTGGGTATCCTCATCCGAGGCAGTATGCATGTACCCGTGTCTCGTGTTTCGTAAATGTTTGCTGTTTGTCTCAAATATTCAGCCAGCAACACACCCTCAAAGAGCTCCGGCAACACGCGTCTAGTCTCTGGCACCTGCAACACTGTCAACACCTCCTGTAGAGATATCCCTTTGATTCCAGCAACACGCGAAGTCGAAACATCAAGGAGTGAAAAAAGGTGGGATGAGGCGATCACAAAATCATGTAGCATGTCCATAGATCACGCTAAAGAGTTCAAACAGCCTTGCACACTTTCTTGGTCAAACATCTCAGATTATTTTTTTGTTTTGATTATTCGCAACCTTGCTGATATTGCACTGTTTGTTTGAGTTCTAGCAATCTTGAGGCATTGTCTCACGGGTGTCCTCTCGCTCGTCCATCACAACCCTTTCACTCGTTCTTGCTGTATAGGTATGGTCTATAAACAATACACAAACCATACTGGGTCTTGTCTTGACTAGGAGTTATTTTCTATAATATGAGCAAAAACGGAATAAGAAATGAGGCTTCTTGTTTTGTGCGGTCTCCCTAAATGCTGTGGTAGGCGATATATACCTATAGAAACTCACAGTATCTTCGAGAAACAGGGTAACTGCCACTGAGAGCCCTTCGACGTGTTTGACATTCTCCATATCATTTCTACAGACTTCCGGAAGTCTTCGAACCAATCTCTCGTAGGTTGTCCTTCGTTCTACACGACACAGAAAGATATTCTGATGCTGACGACAGGCAAGACTAGAGAAAACCGATGTGTTTCACAGAGTATTACGCCTTACGGATAGAAAAAGGTATTTCGAGTACTGTTCGTTTGAAGTCCGGATGCAAAAGCAATGACATTACTGAAGCGAACAAGCATGACCTTGGAGTTTGCTTGCGATACAAACTACAAGGAGCATATGCTGCTACTCTCCAAAGAAAGACAAGGCAGAGTTCGATGTTGGTAATGTTCAAACGTTGATTTGATGATGAGATACAAAACATAGCTAGAGATATCTAACTATCAAACTCCCTCCCAGAAAAGGGGATACAAGAATAATAATGATTAAAAGCCAGATATAAAGGAAAGTCATTAGTCCGCATGTTGTAATGCGTCAGTAGTTAGTAGTATTACATTGATCTGGTAGACCAAGATGTATGCGCGTGAGATGAGATACGAAAAGGGGTGGCTCAAGAGGCCGAGTTGCTAAGCTCAAGATGCTTAAACAAATACAGTAGTCCACGTAACCTGGCCAGTGGCCTGAGGGCAGTACGAGGAGTACAAGGTGACAGTGGGGTATGCAGCTCCAGGGCTTCCAGCACCACCAGCGACGGCGCCGGCGGTCGACTCGCTCTGCCCAATGACATTGCCGTTCTGGTCAACGGTAACGGTTTGGGTGACGACCTGAGTCTGAGCAGCGTTACCGCCAACGGTCACGGTCACTGTGGCCTGAGAACCATAGTTCTGAGGAACCGAGATGGTTGAGACGCTGTTCACGAACGTGATGGTCGAGGTGGGGATAGCAGTAGTGACGACAGCGCCGCTGGGGAGACCAGTTGCTCCACCGTTGTTACCAGCGTTGGCATAGACCGTCGATGTGACGACGGCATACACAGTCGCAGTTGAAGTGGCGCCCTGGACGTATTGAGTCGTGGTGGCTCCGTCAAGGGTAACAGTGACGACCTGGGTCTGACCGCCAATGGTGGCTGTTGCGGTGGTAGTAACGACACCAGCTCCGTTGCCGTTGCCGGAGTTGTCCTGAACGCGAACAGCCGAGTCGAAGCCGTCAAGGGGAGTGGCGTAAGAGACATCGCTGTAGAAGCTGCATCCGTTGGCCTCACTGAATGTAGTACCAACGCAAGTTTCTGACAAAGAGCAGAGGTCAACGCAGTTCGACAAGGTCTGGGGCAGGCCATTCTCGATAGCCTGGCGCTTGGCAAGAATTTCCGCTCTCAGATCGAAGGTCGTTCCGATCAAGAACTCCGAGCAAGAGATGGCGAAGGTAATCTCGAGGTTGGACACTAACACACCGCCGTTCAAGCGAGGGCAGATGAAGCTCTCGGCAGTTACGTTGGAAGCGGGCGAAGTTGTGTTGCCTCCGGAGGTTCCGTTAGAAGCTCCTCCGTTGTTGGCACCGGCACGACTGATAACAGTAGCAAAGTCTGAGCCAGTGTCGACGGCTCTCGATGCAGTGTCGATTGAGGAGTAGAAGGTGCAGGTACCGGAGGCTTCCTCAAATTGAGTGCCGGCACAAGATGCATTGTCGGCGCAAGTGCTAAAGATACTATTAGCGTAATCTTCTCACCAGCTTTAGATCACAGTGACTTACACGAGACAATCGTCCAAAGAATTACCTGCGCGCTTGGCGAGGATGATGGTAAAATCAATGGAAATACCGGAGTAGCTGGCAAAAGTTAGCGGATGATATGAAGACGGGAAAAGCTCTTTAAACTCACTTNNGATATCGATCTCGAGCAAGAAAACGACGCCGTCAATGGTGATGATAGTGGAAGGGGAAGAAGGAACAGCAGTAGAGACAGCGCCAGAGGAAGTGCTGGAGGCAGAACCAGTAGAACGAGTGGAGGTCGAGTTGCCAGCACCGCCAGTAACGCCAGCAGAACGAGAGGCACTTCCAGTAGCACTGGCAGTCGAGTTGCCGCTCATACCAGGGGTACGGGTGGCACTGGAGCCAGCACCGTTCGAGGTGGCGGACTGGGTACCGTTAAAGACACTGGAGGTGGTGGTGTCGGTCGTTCTCTTCTGGACGAGAGCGAAGTCCGTTCCTGGAGTGTCTGCCTGGGATGCGAGGTCGATGCTGGAGTAGTAGATGCAGTTGCCAGTGTCAGAGACGTAGGCAGTACCCTTGCATTCGACATCAGCAGAGCAGACGCTCAAGCAAGATTGGATGCTGGAGTCAGCCTGTCTCTTTCTGGCGAGGTTGAGGACAGTTCCTTGGTAGCTATATCGATGTTAGGGGTCGAATTTTGATAGAGTGCCATTGAACTAACGAGGTATCGGTCTGAATTTCGTATGTCACGCCTCCGACTGTGACCATAGAGCCATCAGTGTACTGAGGGCTGGCCGAGGAGGAAGTAGCAGAAGCGATAGAGCTGCTGTTGGTGTAGCTGGTGTAGCTGGAGCTCTGAGCGCTGACAGCGCCGAGCAGGGCCATCAACGAGACGGCGTATTTGGCGGCCATTGTTGTTAGAACGAGAGAGTAAGAACACTAAAGCGAGTGATGTTCTGGTCGCTGGTCGTCTTGGTTGTTGACTTGAGTGGATGAGAAGAAGAATTGAGTCTGATCATGACCACTCTTTATATCTATCCCATCTCTCAACAACAACATATCAGGGACGTCATTCNNAAGGAAATATTTCCCGTGTCTCATCCTAGGAGTTGAACAGCCGCTGGCGACCAAGACTGCAGTTCATTTCGCAAGAGCTCCTATGGTACGCAGGAGCTGCAGTCCCAAGGAGTGGCAATTTTATCGACCGTTGTTCGCTTGCTGGAGTGGGAGGGAGGCGAACGCGACCGTATAGCAAGGCAAAGCAGCAAGATCGACCCAACGAATAGAGTCCTCTGTTAGACTAGTGAAACGTGCGGTGTGGATGGGTATAGAATATGGAGAATATGGTATGATCATCACGAAGAATTGGAAAGCATGTCTTACTGCCATGCGGCTCAGATGTCAAAAAGCAAAGAGGCAATGAATTACCGGCTTTGTTGTGGGGTGTAGTGATTCTGGCCTGACTGCGATAGGTTGAACGTGGAGTTCGTGGGGTTTCCTATCAAAAGAACAACGGCTGTTAGTCCACCCCAATGGCAACGTCTTTTCTGTAACAGACGAAGGATGGCAGGGTGGAAAGCCCTCTCATGACGCATGGGATGTGATATATTGTATGGGAATATGTTTTTTCGAGCTTTTCTTTGACTAGAAGATCAAGAGCGGATTGATCGACTGTAGATTCGATAATAATCAGCATGTTGACGCTGAATGAATTCGAGGAAGCTGCAGTGTTCTGTTCCTGCATCAAAATTCAGGGACATCCGTACGTGCTTGGCGTGCATGCATCAGCTCAAGGACCAACATGCAGGAGGAAGGATCGTCGCAAGTCGCGCTATTGGACAACTCGATGCTCCTTCGTTTGTCCCCCGTTACAACTACCACACGGTGATATTCTGAATCACCTTTTGAGATTGCGTATGCATGCACATAGCCATTCCGCATCCTTGGGAGTTCTGATCCAATTCGACATCCACCAATCGCGGGCATTTCGCGACCATCCACGTCTCCACAGATTTCCGATCAGATCGCATTGCCGAGCATGTCAGTCAACACAGATCAACGGGGCAGGTAAACATGGAGGAGTGAGGGTACACCAGACACTGATTTGGGAAGAGATGAGGCGATCCTTCACCAATTGACAAGAGTGATGGCGGAGGAAAAGACCGCCTTCACCCAACGCGTCTCGGTATTAAACCAACTTCACAACGAATTGATCGAGATGTGCGACCCGAAGTGGTACATTCTATGATGTGGTGGCTCAATCTTGCGGACGCTCCAGAAAACTCGGGTCATTGTTGACCTTGCTCTCAAATTTAGACCACCAGGCTTCAAAAGCCTTGAGCGGTACAGTGTCGCTACCAAATGACGCAAGGAAATTGAAAGCGTTGGCGATAATGCGCTGGGCGAGGATTTTTGTAGTGACTGGCGAAGCGGTGGCTGACTGATGCGATGGCACCATCTGTGTCGACGAGTTTGTCTTTTGCTCTGCCAGCAAGGCCTTGACCTGTGCAGCTGGTTGTATCTCTATGCCGACGACGATGGCAGGTCCTCCTACTTCTACGCCTTCCGGAATCTCATCCAACATGAGTTGATCGTCCCCGGCGCCCGGCGCGACAGTGTTTCCCGTATTGATCTTGAACATGGTCGAAGGCCTCAACGATGACAATGCGCCTACCAGCTTGAACTCGGTCGATGGCGGTATTTGGATAAAGATGGCGGCAGCAGCATCGAGGGGCAGCTCGTTGCCCGGCAAAGAAAAGACGGCGATATGGTTGAAGGCTGGTCGCGAAGGGACCTGAAAGGCGTATTGCGTCGGAGAGATGGCCTGTGGTTGCGCGTCTATCGGACGACCAGAGATGAGGAGGCCAAACATGGCGGCGTGCTGTCAATCGAGACTTAACTTGTGATATGACTTGACTTGACTTGACTTGTACGACCTTGTTGTCGACGGACCCTCGTAAATTTATCGTTGGCCTGAGGATTCCAACTGTGGGGCCAGCTCTGAGCTCTCGTGTGACTGGCAACTTCTCGAATCCACCGTGACCGAGCCTCGGCCTCTTTGGTATGCGACGCTGGCTGTCTACACAATCATCATTCCACCAACCATCATGGACATGTTTTCGTTAGACAAAGTGCGCGACATGTTACCCTCGTTGCCTCCCTTGTTGTCTCCTTCCATCGACAAGTTTGACAAGTCGTCAGATGCGATGGCTACACAACCCACAGAAGCAGAGACCAGCCATCACAATCAGCTTGACAGTCACGAACCCATCAGTTCTTTGGATCCACAACCCATCGACGAGTCAAAACCCAAATCAAACCTCGACCTTGTCAACGAGTGCGACAGCTTCCCCTACTTCCAAGCTACCCCTCAGCTCTATCTCAACCACATCTCAACATACTACCACCTACGCGTCGCTGCATACCCAGATACCACTCTCGGATATGTTCTACCTTCTGTCGCTGAAGTTTTGCGCGGCCTTGATGAATGGGAGTTGGACGACGACGAGCGAACTCTCACTCTAAAAGCTGGTGACGACGAAACAACCCGCAGCGCAATTCTTGCCAGAACCACAGCAGCCATGCGCGAAATTGGCCACTTTTCTATCCTCAAAGGCTGGCGCAATGAGCTTTACCCGGTATATGGTCCTGCGCCCGCCAGAGAATTACTTTTCAGTGTCGAACGTGCAGCCAGTGCCCTTTTCGGTATCGTCACCTACGGCATTCACATGACTGCTTACACAAAGTCTGCTTCTGGCGAATTGAAGATCTGGACACCACGTCGCTCCAAAACCAAGTCTACGTATCCCGGTATGCTCGACAACACAGTCGCAGGTGGCATGGCTACTGGTGAGAATCCTCAAATCTGCTGTGTGCGTGAAGCCAGCGAGGAGGCTTCGCTACCGGAAGACCTCGTACGCGAAAAGGCACATTCTACAGGCACTGTCACATACTTCCACATCAGAGATTCTCGTGCCGGAGGCGAGACTCGACTGCTACAACCAGAGTGTCAATACATCTTCGACCTCGAATTGCCCGAGGATGTCAAGCCGAAGCCTTCGGATGATGAAGTCGAGGAGTTCTACTTGATGGGCGTGGATGAGTTGAAGGAGAAGCTCAAGGCCGGGGAGTTCAAGCCGAACTGCGCTGTTGTGCTGCTTGATTTCTTCATCCGCCATGGTGTCTTGAACGCTCAAAATGAGCCCGACTTCATCGAAATCGTGAGCAGGCTGCATCGCAAGCTGGACTTTCCTACAGCATGAAACAATAAACAAGTAACATAGTTCTATACCAGAAGGCTGGTCCTAATGGTCAAACTCAATCCTGTTGCACGTCATTCGAGCCGGTGTATGTCTATCTGAAATGCTTGTGCAACTGACGAAATGATTGATCTTAGTCGATCAAAACTGTCAATGTGATTTCGAGCCACACTGCCACGAATTCATGGTCACATCGGACTTATCTAGTACTTGTATCATGACAGATAGTACTAGGGAAGAACCTTTTGCATGAAATAAACAACAGATGCTGGTTTCGAAATCGCAAGATATTACTGACAGGGTCATACCACAATCAAGGATGCCCATGCCAAGACCTTTCTCTCGGTTCAGCACGGAAGGCACGTCATCGATGTGGGGTTAAAGTTGACATCTTGAGTTTCGAGGCAGGCTACGAGCAGAAAGTTTCTACCACTCCGTACTAATAGTAGTAGAGCCGCTCAGGTAGGTTTCTAGCATCCTGCATTCTTCTGACAACCCATATCACATCGCCATCATGGACTTTCCCCAANACACATCAGAAACAAACGAGTACGCAGCTCTCAAAGCCTTCCTCAACGATGAATCCTCAGTCGAAGAGACGGTCAACAACTTCATTTCCAACTCCGACTCGTCATCCGCAGAAGACAAACTCCTACGTTCATGGGACGCGCTAGGTCTTACCGCCTCAGAAACACCATCCGGTTCGTCCAAACAGGAGAAACTCGTCTCTTTCCTTACCGCTATTCGCGACTGTGACACCAAGGTCGGCGAAGTAGAGGGCAAATCAGTCTCTTGGTCATCACTCCCACTCTTCGGTCGCCAGATCCGCGAACACTGGAATTATGACGAGAGGGCTGCACAAGATGATGACAAAGTTGCTCAGATGTGGGCGAATGCGAATGCCTTTGCTGCACGCGTTACAGCCACTGCATCTGCATTTGACAGCTCGGACNCCCTCGACTTTTCGATATACGCAATTTGGGCATTGAGAGCGGCGTTGGAAGACAAAGACGATGTGCCTGATGCCACGGTACGGGCAGCTGCAATGTGGATATTGTATGCTGGAGAGGTGTTGCGGAAACAGAGTAAAGACAAGAGAAGCTATGAGGGCAAGGTCGCACAGGCAGGAAACAAATACCCAAACAAAGAGTGGAATGGGTTTGAGATGGACAGATGGAGGAGTTGGAACAATCGCTTTGCGAACATTAGTGAGGTCTCGCCGTATCCTGAGATCAAGGACATTACGAAAAAGACAAAGAGACACATGGGTGATTTGGCGAACTGCTGATTTTGATCGAGAAGGATAGACATTACAACTGCTACTAGAACGCCTCTTTTCCGCAATAATACCGTACATCCCAGTAATTTATCATACATATCGTTCAAGATCCTGCCTCCCTACTTCTTCATCAAATTTGTCACGCCTTGGATGAGCATGCTAATTGGACCACCATGAGCTCTTCGCATCTGCTTCTCCTCAGAACGGTGTTCAGCGCGTAGCTCACGCTTCTCCTGGCGGAACTCGCGCTTCTCATTGCGGTACTCGCGCTTCTCCATACGGTTCTCCTGGCGATGCTCGCGCTTCAGTTGCTTTCGTTCGCGCTTTGCTGCATGCTTTGCTGCACATCTGGATTGATATTGCGGTCTGACGGTGTGCATTGTGGTGTTGTGCGATGGAGAGTCGAGATCGGTATTGCTGATTGTGTACTCGTTATTGCGATACTCTGTCGCATGGAAATCTTTGCTTGGGCTGATGTTCTGGGATTCTTTCTCGATTTGCTCATAGGCAGGAGGAGGTCCAATGGGTTCGTTGTGAATAACAGTGGAGGTTGATATGGGTTGATCATGGGCTAGCTTGGCCATGGACGAGACTTGTCTGTTGGCGCGACGTTTGCAGCACATCGTGTTGGATGGGTAAAAATCTTTGGTATAGAAATGATAGCTTGAGATGTTGTTTGGTTTGATGTTGTGGACTGAAGGAATAGATTCAGATGTTGTTTGTCTGGTTATGAAGCTTGGTGAGAGAATATAAGCTGCAAAACTATCGAGCGACACTACAGTATTTATCTTTCTGATGTCGTCTGACATGTGTATAGCTGTGGCTATGTCAGGACGTACCTCTTCGCAGCCTCGTCCGCTTTAGGCAAGGTCACTAGAATACGGAGGGATTCGACGCCGAGCCATAGCCACGCTGCGAGCGATCATTGTCCATTTTGGTCCTGACGAAAGACTTGCGGGCGTAAGACCAGGCAGCGGAGGAATACAAATGAGAAGACTACCCCGAGACTGTCATCGGCCGTAATGCTGGACGAGTGGTGTTTGTCCGCTGTTCAGCGTCTCCGATACCTAACAACTTCGAACCCAGCAGCCATGACGAACATCCCGCGCATCAAGGGAAACCGTGAAGGAGCTTCGCTTTGAATCTCGCAGCGCTCGTCTTGATGAGAATCGAGAATTCTTGAAGGAAAGTGATCGTAGACAGTTGCGACTTCCTGTCCACGCGTCAGGAGCAGCTGTTTGCCGTGTTTGCAGAACGTAGCCAGCCACCTCTCCAATGACCCTCCTCTTCGCAATAGAGAATCCTTGCCGTGTCAACACACAATGCTCGTCATGGCCTAGCGTATTCACTGTATCTGAGTGTCCTCTCCGAAACAGCATCTCCGTCATGTAGGACCAGGGTTCAACACCACATGATCCATCTGAAACGCCAAGCTTAGAGCACTATACCTCTACTAGCCGCTCCATCAAGCCTCCATTGCCGCTAATTATCTTGTAAAGCATCTTGCCATGTCAGAACGAAAGCAATAGTGTGTTTTGCTGGATTTCTTGAGGTCAAGTCGACCTTGCTGTCGTGCTAACATCATTCGGGGAAGAAAATTTGGAAGAGAATTGCCAACTTTAGCTGTTGAAACTTGACGTACGACCCAATCGAGGGGCATGCAACACTAATGCGTTACAGCTTTGCTGCAAAAGACAATGAGTAGTTGAATCCTCGGACAAAGTCCAGCCAAGTACATAACCACGAGGTCTGCAAGATTTGGCGTGGCAGATCATCCAACTCACTTTCTCAGTTCGCCGTTACTTTCTTTAAGCAGCCATGCGGTATTGTATCGCTGCGTTGTCACTCGTTTCCCCAGCGCTGGCGCTGCCAACACTATCTTTGCTGAACGGTGGGTTGTTTGGTGGACATCATCTGCTTGGTGATATCTTCTCGCATGGCCACAGCCAGAACGGTGGCCCTGATTCTCACGCTGGAGCACCAGCATACAATGATGGCCCTGGTCCTTATGGCAGTGACCCTAGTCCAACTAATGGCGATGCATCCAACTACGATAGCGGATCCGCCTATGCCAGCCAAGGATCATACGGCGGTGCCGCTCCTCAAGGAAGTGGTACATCTTCTTCTGCAGTCGATGCAGTTTCTGCTAGCACAGGAACACCCAACAATGTCAATTTTCCCTCTTATGGATACGGAGCCGCATCTTCGAGTGTCGCATACACCACTACAGCTTCAAGCATCTCAGCGACAATCAGCACTCCTGCAGCTTTGTCGAGCGAGGCTTCCTCGTCTGGTAGCGAGCAAACTTGCGAAAGTCCCGATGTCATCGGCTGCGAAACAGTATCCGACTCTTCTGCATCTGAAGTTGCGGCAGAAAGTGTCGGTGTCTACGACTTCATCATTGTCGGTGGAGGTACCGCTGGTCTGGTGATCGCAAATCGACTGTCAGAACTTTCAGACACATCTGTCGCAGTCATTGAAGCTGGTGATCTGGTATTCGACAACAAAAACGTGACTACCGTGGACGGTTATGGCTTGTCTTTTGGAACACCAATTGATTGGCAATACGAAAGCACACCCCAAGCCTATGCTGGAAACAAGAGCCAGACATTGCGAGCTGGCAAAGCTCTTGGTGGAACAAGCACGATCAATGGTGAGTCTATCAATACGTATAGCTGAAGATGCTTTCTTACGAGTCTTTAGGAATGGCATATTTGAGAGCTCAAGCAGCTCAGATAGACGCTTGGGAGCATCTCGGAAACGACGGATGGAACTGGGAGAGTCTGTTGCCACACTACAAGCAAAGCGAGCATTTCCAGATCCCTACCGAAGAGCAGTGTGCAGCTGGTGCTACCTATGACATCGCAGTGCATGGAATGACAGGCCCACTCAAGACTGGATGGGATGATAACATCCTCGGCGCAAACGTAACCTCGCTAATCAACGCCACATATACTTCTCTCGGACTGCCATACATAGAGGAAGTCAATGGTGGCAACATGCGTGGCTTCATTCGCTACCCGGCGACCGTCGACCGCGAGCTCAATATCCGTGAAGACGCTGCCCGTGCTTACTACTTGCCCATCGAGAACAGAACCAATCTGGATCTTTACACAAACTCTGTCGTGCAGCGTATGACCTGGGACAAGGAATCATCAGACTCAAAGCCTCGCGCTAATGGAGTACAATTCACTGATGCATCTGGCAACCAAAAGACTGTCAGTGCTAAGAAAGAGGTCATCCTTTCTGCTGGCGCGTTGAGATCACCACTCATCCTGGAACTGTCAGGCATTGGAAACTCTGCGTAAGCACTCTCGTCTGATCAATAAGACTCGCGACTGACCAATAGCAGTATCCTGGAACAACATGGTATCGATGTAAAGGTTGACCTACCTTTTGTGGGAGAGAATCTCCAGGACCAGACCACCGGCGCTGGTGCATACAGCTCCAACACCAGCTTCAAAGGCACCGCTGATTATGTCGGTTACTTCAGCGTTGCAGACATCTTCGGCAACGACACTGACGACCTCAATCGTACAGTCCGGGACTCGCTACTCCGATATGCCACAACCGTAGTGGAAAACTCCAACGGCGTCCTCGACCAGAAAGTCATGGAGAAGCTATTCTTGATCCACTACGACCTCATATTCACCCAACAAATCCCAATCTCGGAAATCTTGGTTACGCCTGGAGACAACAGAATGGACTTTTCGTACTGGACTTTGCTACCTTTCTCTCGGGGTAACATCCACATCCAGTCTAATGATTCCACTGTTCCTGCTGCTATCAACCCGAATTACTTCCAACTGGACTATGACTTGAAGCAGCAAATTGGTACTGCCAAGGCAGTGAGAAAACTGGCCGGTTCTGACGCTTTATGTGATGTCGTTACAGGAGAGCTGATGCCCGGTCTCGAAAGCGTGTCCCTCGATGCTTCAGATGAAGTATGGGCCAAAGCCACAAAAGAAGGCTGTAAGTATCTATACTTTTGCAGCACAGCAACAAAAACACAAATGCTGACCATCTCTACCAGACCGCTCAAACTACCACTACATCTCCACAGCCGCCATGATGGCTCAAGACCTCGGCGGTGTCGTCGATACCAATCTCTTGGTCTATGGCGTTGACAATGTGCGCGTTGTCGATGCTTCCGTCATTCCTTTCCAGGTCTGCGGTCATCTTACTGCTACCATTTATGCGATTGCAGAGAGAGCTGCTGAGGCCATCAAGAATCGCTACCACTAATCTTGTCAAAGTTGCCCACCACACAGTCTCTTGTTTGTTTTCCCCTTCGAGTCGCTCTTTCCATAGCTGTAGTCAAAATATGATTTCTCACTGTTATTCGATGACGTGTAGCGGAAAAGCGTGATGAGCTTGTTACAAAGTGTTTCTGGTCGTGGTCGACAGGAGAGGTCGTGGTTTGTATACTGCCTAATCTGGATTCGGTAGTGGCTTCCATTTACTGCGACTCTGGAATATGTTGGATGCATGGTGAGCATTATGCAACGGCCGCGAATCACCTCTTCCTCCCATCCAACCGGTCTCTTGCACAAGGATGTGCCGTCATGGTATACGGTTATGTTTGAAACAGACCATCGTCTCAAGAAAAGCCAACCCATTACCGGACCCGCTCGTCAGACCCAGCAATAGAGGTTTTTGCACCTGAATGCAGTGAATCCAGTGGATCCCGATATGAGGTTCGTCGTAAGCAGTTTTCAGCTTGGAACACGATACCATGGCGGAGGACATGTAAATGGTTGCTCTGCGAGTGACTATCGGCCAGTTCTTCGATTGTCGACGTTGTAAGCAGTATCCCCTACTCCAGTGATCCTCAAACACATCTGTAGTCGAATCAGATGGTCCATTTGAAGACCTAGAAAATACGCGAGCTAGTGTGTGCTCGAACTCTATCTGGTGTTCGCTGGTATTGGAATGTAACAGCAACGCAGGGTAAATGTTGAGGACGATATTGGGGCAGATGTTAGGATGCCGGATCCACGCGTCTGATCGCCTTGACAGCCAGTTAGATGTGGCGCCCGATGACGATGTTCGAATCTTTTGGTCGTGCACGGTCGTCGGCGTATCTTCAAGCGAATGGCTCTTCATTGCGTCTATATGCGGCAACATGAAACCTCGAAAGATTGTTCTGCTCGAATATCGTTGGTTTGTTCGGCGTCATTCGATCCCACAGCATTCTCGCAGCAACATCAAGGCCGTCCAGCGGATACAGATATTGTCGTAAAGTCATGTCGGCGAATGACCAGTCAGTGATGGAAAGACTCGAGACCAGCTTCTCCAATCCATCCAGCAGCACGGGAGGTGGCATCCGCATTGTACTGCATATCGAGAACAGTGCCCATACGCCAACCTCGGCGTAGATAGTGTTGATCAAAACTTCAGGAACCAGAGAGCTGCTCATCTCCCAATACTGTCCGGAGTTGTCGTCCCGACGGTGAGAGATAAGTGACAACAGAGCAAGCTTAATATGTATTTCAGCTTGAACTGATATCGTGTCGTCAATGGAAGTTTGAACTGGAGAAAAGTTGCTCGTTACGTTGTCCAGAAAGTTGTACTCGAGTAGACGCGATTGAACGTCAAGCAGAGCATATTTTCGATGCCGGGTTCTCTTCATGATGAGGTTGATCTCCGAGATGAATCCCAAGGTTGAAGGTGCAATTGCGCAGACTCGGTGGAGTTTAACAAAGGACGCGAAGCCCACCGGCAATCCAAGGCTGCGCATATCGCCCATCAAGGGCTTGTTCAATCCCTGTGGCACATACACGGGTTCCATCCCAGAATACCATAGCTGGTCGTAGGTAACGAAGCCGACCAAGCGACGGACAATGGGNGGAAAGGTGGCGTCATGGAAACCTCCACGCAGGTTCACCATCGTCTTCAGTCCTGTCATGTGTGCTATTGCCGAGAGCTCATCACCGAACTGGAGCTCCCAGGCACAAAGCAAGCACACTGTTGCGATCAGCTGATCACTTGTGTTCATGCCCCCGGTTGAGTCCAATGCAGTCTGGAGGCTACGCATTGCTTCTAGGCGAAACCATGCAGTGATTTCTGGAGTTCGCTCTCGCGAGAAGGAGGGATGAGATGATGTAATAAGGAGGTTTGTGTAGAAGAGGGCTCTGTGTGACACTATTTCAGGCCAGAGTTCTTTGCGAAGAATTGGTCGATCTGACATGTAGATTGGATCTTGGTCAGTGGGGGCGAAATACGTCAAGTCTGCAAGATTGTTAGTAAAAGCTCGCACGACCAAGAAGCACGAGAACTACATNGTATCGACCAACTGTGGAATCTTCGCATGCCAGGCGTCGACATACGGAAATGTCAGAGAGGAGTCGTATTGGAAGTTCCATTGGGCGAGTTGCGGTGAGACGACGTAATCCGATTGCGTTGGACTGGCGGAGCTGGAACTCGTAGAGGCGTGTGTTGAGGAGATAGAAATTGAAGAGATGGAAACTGAAGAGCTGTGGAATGCTTCTGAATTGTCTTTGGTCGCTTTGGCTCTGCTTTTCCTACGTACTCTCGCAGGCTTTTGGTCCTCGGGAGAAATTGAATCACTGGCTTTAGCAGCGATAGTATTCTTTCGACAGATGGCACTGCTTAGCGCAGCCTGTGATCGAATGGCCCGTCGAAGAGCACCCTTTTGAGTGTCAGAGGGGAGTGTAATGTTGATGAACATCTTGCATTGTTCAGACCAGCCTCGAAAGGAAGTCGTGAGGGACCTTTGGAGCTATTTCCTAAGCTGCGCGCTGTGGCAGGGGATTCATAATAAAGAAGTTCCTCTGCAGAGGCAATGACCGCACTGCTAACCAGAAGACGAACATATTCGAGAATCGCAAACCACTCAGCTATGCTCGCATCTGCAGCAACGTTAGATGAGTGGGGGCCACTAATCCTTGCTAACTAGTAACCTTAGCCGGTCTACTGGAGGCATGTGCTTGGTATGTGCATCTCCCATCTTCGACCACTTTGACGATCTGATAATTACCTAGTTAGGGCATGCACAAGAGGCTACAATAGACTCTGAATCCTTCAGATTCTGAGTTCAAGATACTCCGCGGTTCATGCTTACGCATTGCCAGCGCAGGATGTCAAATAACACGCTCATCAAAGAGGACGGAACAACAGATAGGTCGATAGAATTGCGTGACAGGTAGTCCAGAAACACATGCTTGATAGGTGGAGCCTTGCTCGAGTAAGAGAACCACAATAGGGTAGACGACTGGCTTGTGTTGATGAGGAGGTCCTTCCTCAAAAGAATCTGAGGCCTGTGCGGAAGTGCTGCTTGAACCTATTTGGGAAAGGTGTCTGCCCGATTCGAGCGCGATTTGAGTTGCCCACGTCACCTCGAGCCTCTTGGAACCCTTTTCTTTTCTTCCACCACTTGCACTCGGTCCTCGCCGAATTGCCAAAGAGTATCATGCAACCACGTTTGTTCTGCTAAGCTCGTCCGGTTATAGCTCCGGGAGAGGCGAGATACTGTTCCGCCTCGATCTCATTGGCCTGTCGCACCGAATCACAGAAATTTGCTGTTCGGACTCGAAACCGCCGTCAACAGGTTCACGTTCACGCTCACGTCAACCACACCCAACCTTCTCATGCTTCTTACGGCTCCACCAGGCACAATCGATTTTACATGAGTAGCTGTAGCTGTTACTAGTCATTTGCCGGCAATTCATAACACCCGGGTGCTCCAGCTTATGCGGTAGTATTGCCAAGGAGAATTTCAAATTGAGAATCGTTCTAGATACATCTTCGGAGGCGTGTTGTATCATGTTCTCAACCTCACGCACCTCGAGTACCTTGCAGCTTGCAAAGACGTTGAGAAGTTGAAAGTCCTTAACCACATGTTGGGGAGTTGCCTTAGGCCACGAACATGTACTTGTTAGTTTGTACCTATCCGTCCCCGTTTGCTGTGTCAGCATGGATGTGGAGCTCAAAAGGTTAGAGTCTAGCGGACGAACCGCATACATCATCCCAATCCAGAACTCCTTCCTGTACCTGGCGTCCAAAAACGTGTGCTCGACCAACTACAGACGTCCAACAACACGGACGATTGAAGCACCTTTTGGTTGTGGATCGGAGAACAACCGAGCCTTGAAACCTACCATCTCACTCTCTTATCACGGGAAATTGCAAACCCCGGTTCGCTCAGTTCAGTGGGCTGGGTAATCGGCAAAAAAGCCACCACGGAGAGAATCTTCGGGGTATATCTGCATACGTTGGATAGTGCATGCTTGCACACTGCTACTGTTGAATCGGTGGGATCTCCGATCTGCCGTGTCTTTATGCAAACGTGCTGCGATATACCACGTGTGCATCTGCATATCCAAAACACTCGCATGATCGCAACGAACTGAAGGCGAATCAAGGTCGAAAGTATGAAAGCTATGAATCTTCCAGTGCAGCCAGAGATAGCGTTCGTCGGAGGCGATCACCCCATGCACACTTTAACCAATACACAAACTGTCAGCTATCAGCTCTTCACCAATCGGACTCTGCCGACGGACATTATTCCTGGCACTACAGAATGAGTCCCTTCTGTGGAAACTCTACGCCCACATGTGGGCAAAAGGCGAGCGCCGAAGGAGGCGATATGTCTAGACAGAGACCCAAGGAACACTGAATATGTTCAAGAAGCCAACGCATACTTTGGAAGTTGCATGAATTGCAGACTACTAATCTCGAACTGAGCCGTGGGTATGCACGCTTTTGAAAGAGCTGAAACCACATCGAGGATGCACAGCCGAGACTCGCTCATCAAGATGTACTGTGCCTGATTATCCCGGATCTACTGTGCATACCCCAGTAACGATAGACAACAAGGCACGCTTGCAGCACATTATACAGACAGCCAACGGAGCAAGGCCTAGAGTATTCATACAGCAAGGCTTGTTTGCATATAATCAGCAGCAACAAGTGGAAATGCTTGAATACCGCGCTAGTTACACAAACCAATCTCAGCCGATCTCGATGGGACATCTAGACCGCTGTTAGAGTTCCTCCGGAATCGTCAAGAACTGAACATTCCGGTCTGTACCCAGCTGACTCATATTCCAGCTAGGAGTGTCTCTTTTGCGCGCTACTGGCCCGACGTATTCTTCCCTCCTGAAGTAATAAGTTACCGTCATTAGCACCAACAGGCCTACAAAGAGCGCAACTGCTACATTGAAATTTATCGACGTGATTGGTAGACTGGGTGGGGTGAACGACCAGATGAAGCAGTTGATCGAAAACAACTAGAGGAGGCCAAATTAGCTTACTGCTTGAAGGAAGACACATACTCCAAGCTATGAACGGGCTTGCAGTCTTGCCTCATCCATTCCACGGTGTTGGAAGAGACATGTGTCGCGATAGCAACATGGCCTGGCAAACAACAGGTAAAGTGAAGCAAGCCAAGCTGCAAGACTGATCTTGGTGAACTTACAATANGCGAGCACGTTGTTGATTGGACCCCAGATGGGTCCGAGGCTCCAGCGCGCTTTTGGCAGTTTCTCTGGCGACTTGATACGACGATACAATACGCTCGAAATGGCCAAAATGTACGACACGGCTTGTGCGGCTTGCGCAAGTGCCACNCTGCGCTGTCAGCTTTTACTCAGAAGCATCCATAGAGAAGCACTTACGATGCCGAAGAAAGCAGTGGTGGATCCAAGATTTATCAGCGACAGTAACACACCAATAGCTGCCGTCAAGAACACAGCGTTGATAGGGGTCAGCCGTTTTTCGTGAACNCTAAAGGCTTTCGTCAGTGGACTTCCGCTATGTTTGTTGGTAAGGTCTACCTTGCTTATCCACTGAGAGAATGGAAGGCCTTGATCTCTTGCGAAGACGTATGTGATTCTTGCAGTAGCGGCTGCAAAGCCAACATTGCTTGCTCCCACAAGAGCAACGAATGTCAAAAGAATGCATACGATGACTCCATTTGGAACAGACAGTTGCAGGACATAAAGAAGAGAATATCCCGTCGGGTGATTGACAGCATCGTTGATGCTCGGGACGCAGATTGCGAACACTGCTACAGCCTGAAGGAGATTAGTCAGGGAAAAAGGAGTACGCTTCGGTCAAAAACTTACGATGAGACCCGTGATTCCGCTTAACCATGCGCAGCGCATCTTAGGCACGACATTAGCTGGATCGACGGATGTACGCTTCGATCAAAAACTCACGGTGGCTTGAGGCACGACGATCGCGGCATCTTGTGCCTCTTCGGAAAGACGAATGGGAGCGTCGACATCTTGTAAGGTTAGTCTCTTGAATCCTAAGAATGCCAGCATACTCACANNGAAACAGGCAAAGTTTGTATTTATCTGGCCAGCAAGTGCTGCCAGAGCCGCGGAAGACCATTCAGTGTTTTCAATCTGCAGGAACGCCCTCTTTGCTGGAATGTGCGGCGACAGTACTCCCAGGATCACTTCAAACCTGATCAGNCATTGACCGGACAAGCGCGTGCAGATACATCACTTACCAACCATCGCAATCAGCGCAAGAATGTGCACTGACATCATCACATTCTGCAATGTTGCTATCGCACGGCCACCGTATATGTTGGTCAAAATGACAACAGCAAGAGAGGGAAGGAGAAACACGATCGTCTGCCACATCAGCCAACCATTGGCAGGACGATAGATGGTTATCATTGACTGGACTAGTGAGCCTGTCAGGAAGATTCCTGAGGCGTTTCCACATTGCCAACCAACAATACTCATCCTTTAATCTGGTCAGCATTGATCGAATGAGTGGTCCAAGCATTCAACTTACCAGCCTGTGATATACGACAAGAACTGCTGGCATCGTTTACTGGCAAATTCCGAGACCCAGAAATACTGGCCCGCAGAACTCGGCGACCTGGCTCAGATGTTAGTCTTGTCTAATCAGCACTCTTCGTTCACTCACATCGAAGACATCTCGGCTAAAGATGCTGTGATGAACATAGAGCCAGCGAAAGATACTACATCTAATTTCTCAGTCAGCATTACGTTTCCTGGACCAGAAGGGACACGAACANNAGACCAAAAAAGTAAACCGCATCCACCAGCTTCAAGTGTTTGGTTGTTGTTNGCTAAAACATATTAGTGTCCTGCCTCACCATATCATTCAACCACCTACAGTAGAATGAACTCCCAAGTACATTGCNNGCTCTAGGTAACATTGTCAGCTTTACACACTGCAGCGCATAATCAACACACTTACAGGCACCCAAAAGATATCAGCGAGAATTGTCGGAACACTCTNCTGATCAAACAAATCAGCTCCATGCCTTTGGGTCTGACAAGAATAAGACTGACTCTCATCTCCTGGTTTCTCCCCATTCTCAACATATCTCTGAGATCTTCTGGCGATCCCAGCTCGTCTTCGTCCACGGGCATTGGCTGCACGCGCATATCTTCTGTATCTTGAGCCCAATCTGGTCGATAGGAGGGACTCTTAAGTGCTGGTGACATTGGTGTGCGAGCAGATGATATGCTGTTCAATCTGGGCTTCAGGAAGCTGGGGGCAAGTCTGGAATTATCATCCAGTTTCGCGTTTGCATTGCGCTCATTGAAAAAGCTGTCTCCGCGTGTGACGATCGGTCTGAGAAGGCTACCTTTCCTTCCCTCTGCGACCTCAACACTGGAGGCCTTCTGGATGGAGTCTTCGTGCATTATGTCGGTGGCCCAGGACGCTGGAGTTCCAGAAAGGCAAAATACTCTGGTCGCAAAACTCAAGAGTTGTCCGCTGAACTAGTAACGTCCAAGGTCGAGCTTGTCACTTGGCTGGGAGCTCTGTTTTGTGCGGACAGAGCTCTTGCTAGCCCACCAGCTTTCTCCTCAGCACGGATGCTGTATATTGGACGCCGGTTCAAGCTGACAACCCCCTGCACCCAGGCCCTGAAGGCACCGTCTTACAAGATCCCTGTCAGGGTGTCAGTTGCCATTGCATTGACCTAGTCCTCTTCCTGTCAAGGCTGACAACGTTTGCATCGAATGTGGCTTCCACCGTTGGTTTTGCGGAGAAGTTAGGCACCAGCTACATCACAACGGTTCACCACACCCGAGCTTTACCGCGCTGTCGAGACCATGTTTGTTCGAAGGGCGGTGATGGTTTAACTGAAATTGTCGTCGAATAGAAGGTACGGATGCGGGGTCCCGGCTACACCGAGTCAGAAGTTTAGCTCTCAGAGGCTGGAAAGAGACATAAGTCACCTTTAAGGAAGCCACGACCAACGGTCTTGCACGACCAAATTCTAGAAAGATGACCTGAGCTCCCTAATGTCTCATGTTGACATGCATCATCATCGTCGCCATCAACCTCTTCCTTCGATGCCCATCTGTCGGATACCCTCACAGTCGGTATGGGTAACGACACTGCCCTCTCGACGGATAACCTTCCTTCGGACGTCTACTACTTCTCCCAACTGACCCCTATAAACCATGGTGGCGTCGTCTGGGTGGTTTGCATCATCAGCCTAACATATGCGCTTCTCTGCAGCGGCGTGCGCTTCGTCCTTCGCCGTGGTATGTATGGCTTTGATGATGCTGCCTTGCTGGTATCTACTTTGGCGTGTATAGTCCAGCACACCTTTGTCATCATCGCACTTGGGAATGGCTTGGGCCATTCGTCGAATGTTATCGAGCCGAAACACGCAGAAACACTAACCAATGTAAGGATGCTGGTGTGATAAACAAAGGACTTGTATCTAACAAAATCTTNNCAGAGCAGTTACACACGACTTGTTGTATTCTTTGTCGTTCATTATATGGCAAAGGTTTCCTTGACGCTCTTCACTCGCCGCCTGTTTCATGGTCAAGAACGATTCAACCAGATCATATGCGACATCTTGCTTGTCATGAACCTCATCTTCGGAGTCGCTAGCATTCTACTTCTGTCCGTTGATTGCCAGTCTGGGTGGTATTTTAAGACCGCGAATCTCTGCCCCAAGCTGGTAACATATCCTTACGCTTTGATAGATTCGAAAACTTCAAGCTAACCTTGCTACAGCGCGCAANGATGGATCTCGATCAAGACATTTGACGTTGTGTCTGAGCTAGCTCTCGTCCTTGTTCCGATCATTCTTATCTGTAGGATTCTGCTGAACACAAAGCACAAAGCAATAATTATCAGTACATTCGCAGCCAGGCTTCCCGTCATCGCATTCACCATTCTTCACTTCTATTACCTCAGAAGTACGATGGTCGATGGTCGTGACCGTGGCATTGCAGTCGTTCAACCAGTTGTCTGGCTTCAGGTAACTCTTTTGTGGAGTATGGTTACAGCGTCACTTCCCTCTTTCAGACCGCTCGTTTCACCTTTCAACACTGTCATAGAAGACTCATCCGATCGCTCCGAAGCGGTGTGCACCGGTGCTGTACTCTTCATGGGATCCGACAAGGAAAAGACAGGAAAGCCTCCTGCGACACTGCCCATCTCTGGCGCATCTAGACTGTCTCAACTTGAGCCAGTGGCAAGCGTCGCAAGCCAGCGGACGCAGTTCAAAGGCTACAACGAAACCATTGTCCAAGGACCAAGGAAGAAGCTTTTCAGACTGTCAAAAAAGGAAGACGACATTGAACTAGGCACCATCCAGCACATCACAGACTTTGAGGTCACATATGAACAGGCTACAAACCCCAGCAGATGGAGTAAAATCTGGAGAGAGTCGGGTTCGACACTGGTCGAGGACGGACCGGTCTCGGTGGGGACGGTGACAAGGATTGAGGAAACGTGAGCGAGGCCTCTACGCACACTACATTTAAGCATGAAATACCAACAATATCCCAGGCCTCCCTCTCGGAGAAGAAGCACGTATACCTTTGTCGACGAGAGCGACTTGACCATTGAAGTTCACAAAGCTTCCAACGACAACTCGTCAACGTGAGCGACAAACGTTCCAAACGGAATTTATATCCAGCCTACGAGATCCAAATCTAATCGACTCTCCGTATGAGGGTCGCTTCTACTGGTCTTCTTGCACCCGCTGCTCGCACAATATCGGCAGTTCTTCCAGACCTCCGCGCGGAGAAAGGCTTCGAGTGTCATTCAATACAAACAAGGGCATTTTTTGAAGGTAACAAGTTTCCTTCAAGCTTACAGGATTGAACGAACCCCAGATCTCCAGGCAAGGCCTGTTCGTGGTCTTAGAGCGCGCTACAAAACTCGGTCTCGCAGGTATCTAACGCTTTTCTCGTTCAGGCACTGGTCCGCTCGCACTATCGAGAGCTCTTTCACCATATTCTAGTGTGAAGAACAAATGTCAGCAAATCGTCACAACGGCAGAACGGGATTTTAGGAGGCTTTGTTTGGGCGTGGATGTTCTCCATGTTATGAATAATCTGATCTGGCCGACGGCAGACTCAAATCTCGCCGTCGGCCACTACACAAATCTAGACCAGGCTGGAGCAATAGAAGGGTTCAGGGGGTTGCTTGATGCAAATTGCATCTACGACTTGATGGATAATGAATATGTACAAGATACCACTGTTTTCTGTAGCTCGACGAGTTGAAAATTCGCTATACAAATTGCGCATACCAATGCTAAGCTAAACCATGCAGAACAACAATCAAGCGCAAAAGAGACAGACCTAGACAAGCTCATACCTAACTCTGTGTAATCGCTTTACCCTTGTTGGCCCCATCCTTGGCCAGAATAGCCTTGAGAACCTCGACACCAACAGCCATCACATTCGGATCCCTGCACTCACGCAGCGAAGCCTTGATCTCTTCCACCCCATCATTCTGCAAAACCTTCTCCAGTCCCTTTGCACCGATATCGCCGGGAGCAGACACGATATTCAGTACACACACCAAACCCCTATGTTTGACATCATCAGCATCGTCAGCACACATATCCAGCAAAATAGCCACGCCACGCTCATGTTCAAGCACTGCCTTTGCAGCTGCATCCCATTCGGTCAGCATTGCCAACGCACCGCCTGCAGCGCGTCTGGTGGCATCGTCTTCTGCATCCGCGAGTGCCAAAAGGATGTGTAAGCGTTGTTTGGCAGCCGCACTGCCATCGGCGTATTTGGCGACACCGGCGGGNGAAGCCATGAGATTGCAGACGAGCTCTACGGCAGCGCGTTGCACGAGTTTGTTGGAGGAGAGGAGGAGGTCTTGGGTCGGGTCCCAGGCGTTGCGGAGGAGGGCGTCTTTGACGGTATCGTCTTCGAGGGAGGCGAGATTGGTGAGGGCGAGTAGAGACTCAAAGACAGGCAGCAGATCGCGGGTTTCGGATGTGGTGTCGGGGGTGAGGAGCAGGGTTAGGGGGCGTAAGGCGGAGATGGCGGGCATGGCTCTGCTAAAGACGTGGTGGGGGTCTACGGAGATGAGGATGCGGGCGAGTGCGTGAGCAGCCAGGTGGATGGCTGCAGTTGCAGAGTCGGAAGATGAGGCAGGGCCTGTGGGTGTTTGGAGACGGTCGATGGTTTGGAGGAGGAGCTTTACGGCGCCTTGTTGGGCGAGTTTGCCGCGATGTTTTTGCTCGCGTGCGAGGGCGTGGAGGACTTTTGCTGCTATACCGAGGATTGTCACTGTGTAGTGGCTTCTAGCCGCTGCTACGAGGACGGGCACGAGGTCTGCGTCTAGCACTGTCTTGCAGCGTGCTGTTACATGCTTCTCGTCATCCAAGGGATCTTGTTCTTCTTGTTTCTTGGCTTCAGCGTAGTTCTTGAGCTGGGACATCTTTTGCTGCTCTTCGCTCTGGGCTGGTCGGTATGAGACCAGGTTCGAGAAGATGGTCAAGGTGCCAAAGGTGCAAGGGTCTGCCGTCGTAGTCGATTTGAGACGTTCGATCAGTTTCTTGAGTAGGGCAGAGTTGGACACGATGTCCGCTTTGATCTTGGGCTGGAGCGATGTGTATGCAAGACCTTCTATCGAGCTCTGTTGCTCGGCAGGACTGCTGGCGTTGAGTGTGAGGTTTACTAGAAGAGTTGAAAGGTCGTCTGCGTGTGACACCGAAGACTCCTCAGATTCGGGCTTTGGCCTGTCTGATTGTCGGTACTGATACACGTTTGAGATGTAGTGTAAGGGTGCTTACGGAATCTTTGCCAGTACCAACGCAGCCATACTCGCCGCCTCTGCCTCTGTACTCGTATGTGCCACATCATCGAGCCAGTTGTAGGCAATCTTGGAGATACTCTCTCTGCATGCCTTGTCTACACAGGCTGCACTCATCAACTCCATGGCTGCCTGTTCGAGGCGGTGTGACTTTCTGCAGTATATGTTGGTGGTAGCTCTCTTCACAACTCTCCGAACCACTCACCTCTGTCCCATCGAGTTTCTCTCCAGCACAGGTACCAAGCCTTCCAAGAACCCAGGAGTGAGGAACAATTTAGCCACAGTCTGCGGCACCAGAGGAAACACCGAAGCCGCTGCGGAAAAGGCCACAATCAACTCGTCATTATGTCCTTTGGCGACACCATTGGTGATGTAATCCATAAATATGGCTTCACCCTCCTCGCAAGTTTCTTCCAGTAGTTTTGCAACAGCCAGTGTTGCCTGTGCTCTGATTTTGGCGTCGAGACGGATATCCAGCTGCGCGAGGACAATCTCAAAGGCATCGCGGTCGATGAGGCCTGCCATGTCATGCGCATTGCTAGTGAGCAGTCTGGCAATTAAGGTCATGCTCCACTCGCCATGCTCCAGAGCTGGATCTAGGAGTTTGCCTAGGGCAAGTAGGAAAGCGTCTCGTTTGGCTTGTGTCTGTATGTCTGCGTTGGGCCATGCTCCTGCATCCAAGAGAACGGGTAGTATACTGTTGAAACTATATTCACCACGTCTCCAGAGTAGACGGAAGTATCGGGTTGCTTCTGTGCCGACTTGGATCCTGCTGGCAAGCTGTTTGCGTGCTGCGGCAGAGTTGACGACGAAAGCACCAGTCAACTGATCTCTGATGTCTGTAGGCTTTCCATCATGGTCGAAGAGCAAATGAGCGACATCAGTAACCTGATCGGTGGGTACAGCAGCATGTTGCTTCAACAATTTGACAGCTTCTTGGCCATCTTTCTCGTCTCCATTCTCCACATAGCTTTTGACCAAAGACAGAATCTGACTTCCATTTGAATCTGCATTTGACAGAGATTGAACCAGGGCTTGAACGTTTTGGTTCGTAGGTGCCAGAGATGCTGCTTCCTTGGCTAGTTGGGTTGCTTTCTGAAGTTGGCGTTGTTCGAAGCATGCTCTGGCCTGNGTCACCAGCTCCTCCGCCCGTTGGGTTGTCGTCGAGTCTGCCATTACAGCATTTCAGTCCGGATGTGTTTCTCTCTCGCGATGAATTGTCTGTTGTTTCAGTCACTTTGTCGTGTTTTCAAGGAGTTCTCGTCTTACATTTAAGCCGAAGCTCGGACACCGCAAACAGGGCTCTTGGCTGATGCCTTTGCGAGTCGTCACCAGACAGTGTAACAAGCACGAGAGAATGACGCCGGAAACCACGATGGACCGATTATAAAGCAACAAGGGCCGATTGAGAGATGATTCAAGACGTGTAAATAGTAAGAGTGATTAATTACGAAAATGCTACCTCCGATATGCAGGGCTTCAAACGACATTGCAAATCAAACCACAATGCCCCGCCTATACCAGCCGCCAGGACCCCGCCATGCAAAGAGCCATAACACGCATGCCACCCAAACACTCGCTGCCATAGCCCAGAATGTAGGGGCGTAGCAGGCGCGACCGAAACATAACTCGCTGCTTGCCTCTACGTTGTCTTCGGCTGCATATTGATAGACAGCGCTGTACAACAAGCCCCATAGTGTCGCACCCAAAGCGGGCACAGTAGCAACACAAGCCCAGTTCGTACCGAAGTTCTCGACACCCCAAACGACCGAAACAATGATAGGGGTCAGACTGAACACAGCACCGTATCCCGCACCAACTGCAGCGCTGACCCACCAGAAACGTTCACCATGGTCTTGGACAATGCCTGAAGCAAGAACGGCCTGGCCAACAGACATGAGGAGAGAGAAGACAAGAAGGAAGGTTATACGCGAGATCTCGAGACGTTTCTGAGGCTCTGCTGCGTCTGCACCGGGTAATGTGGCCATGGACGACATGAGCGAGTTGGGGCCCCTACGGTGCTGGTGTGGTACCGATGTAGGTGCAAACAAATCGGACAAGGTGCCTGTCAGAATACGTGCAATAGTAGAGGTGATGGCAACGATAGAGACATGAGTAGCGGCGCTTGTGGGGATCTCGCCGTCAGGCATACTGGGTGGATACAGAGTGCCAATGACAGTTCCGAGGTTGTTGATGAAAGCCTCGCCAGGTCCAGTAACAAGGAAAAAGCCGCCAGCCAGTAGCCACATGGTTTTGTCAGACAGGAAGCGGCTAGTCTCCTCGTTGAGCAGCCACGTCTTTTTGCGGGCTTCCTCTTCCTTGCGTTGGCGCTCTTCTTCGTCGTCTTCCTCCTGCACGGCACCATAAGCTTCGTGCTGGTCGTGATGATGACCCCTTCTAAAGAAAGCGCTGTCCTCTAACAGACCACTTTGTTCCAGCTCTTCGATTGCTTCGTCAATCATCTCGTCCTCATCAATGATCCTCAGGAGGAAGAAACCGACGAAACCAGCCGCAAACAAGGTACAGCCGAGGAAGATGAAGAAGCGAAAGACATCAATATCTCCGTGGGTGCCGTCGGGCTTCTTCTCGTATAGCAGGCGACTTCCCACTTGGCTCTCCCACATGCCGCTCAAACCAAAGGCGGCAATAGGGAGAGCCAGTGCAAGGCCCTTGTGTTTTCCTCTTCCAAAGTTCTTCGCGCAAGTGGTGACGGCGCTGAGATACATGCAGCTGGTAGCCATGCCGACCCAAACAAACGAGAAGACCATGACAGCGAAAGGCCAGTCGGGATTGCGGTAGGTGAAGGCTGCCAGTACATAACCGAAGCCAGCAAAGCAGCCTGACAGGATTGAAGGGATTCCGGGACCGTAGCGATCGCAGAGGAAGCCGAAGATTGGCACGGGCAGGTACATGCCTAGTTCGGCGGTGATGGAGATGGTATTGACGCGTAGTTGTGTGTAATGCAGACGTTTCTGGAAGAGCGGAGCGTATACAGAGAAGCAGGTGATGGATCCGGCGACCAGACTNACAAGAGTATGTCAGCTATGGTCTGCTCAGAGTAGAGGAGAAACGAACCAGTTCACAATGGCCCAGCCAAATGTGAGATAACGCGAGAGCTGACGCTGCATCTTTTGCCTGTCACGGCTCTGGATACCCTCGGCCACCTGCTCGAAAAAGCTACCGGCATAGCTGTGTTCGGCACTGGGTCTGCCTGACGATTCCCCTTCGTCGTCGGCGCGTAATAGCGGTCGTCCCGGGTGGTAGTCCAGTTTGTCTATGACAGTCCCCCTACCAGCGTTGGCGTTTCCACTTCCTTGGCCAGCCATGTCGTGTTTGTACTTCCTCTGTTCCCAGAGAGCAGTCGGTGTAGCGGTCAGAGAGGAGATGCCATGGCGAATGACTGTCTACGAAGCCCGGTGACTTTGCTGACTCGTGTGCTCTTCCGAGGCCCAAGCCACTAATTCCGTCATTCCGCAAAACGCTTCGTCATGTGCAGCCGCATCTCAAACGCTCAAGTACACAAGATGTATTTAGCACCCTGATCATATTATCTTCGTCCTTGTATCGCAACTCAAAAATAATCGAGCACACTACATACATTGCAATGGCGAGAGGCCGATGACAAAGCAGTCGACATTGAACTTGACAGGGTCATCATGTCACAGTCACACAAAGATAAGGTGGGAAGTAATACTGGTAAAAATCGCTTCATTTATGCTGTGAATCTTCTAAGATTGGCCTATAACCAATCCCATGTCTATCGTACATGCCAACTCGCTTTTCTTCGTAAACCCGCGAGCTCGGGGGTATATTATATCTCAGAGCTTGGGCTCGCGGCGTCCACATTGCGGCAGTGCGCCAATGGGAACGAGGTTCGTAAATGGACGGAGGTATGACTTTGCTTCTTCTCTTTCTGAATCCATTGACAGGTAATGCCGGCCAGCAGCTCACCCGTCAAGACACATCGAGAGTCGCTCAGTCAATGTACTTGGGGAGGGTGGCCATGACACCGTCCTTGGCGATGAGCTCCATGGCGGTGGTGACCTCCTTGATGAATCTCTCGTCGTTACGCAAATCGTCACCGAAGAGGGACTTGATGCTCAGGAGCTCGTGGGGCTTGGTGCCACCAGCCTTGGCCTTGGCCTGAAGCTCCTTGACCATGGGGTCGTCGACCTCGAACTTGTTGCCAGCGTCATCGACACCGTTGATGTAGCGGAACCAGGCAGCGGCGACGAAAGAAAGACGGCGGAAGTTGTGCTCACCCCAGATCTGCTCAGCGATTGAGGGCATGATGAACTGAGGGATCTTGCCAGAGGCACCCAGACAGATACGGGGAAGCTGGTCCATGATGGTAGGGTTGGAGAAACGCTCCATGAGAGTGTTGCAGTACTGGTCAATGTCGACACCGGGGATGGCGGGCAGAAGAGGCTTGACTTCCTTGTGCATCATCTGCTCGACGAACTTGCGGTAGACGGGGTGGTTGATGACTTCGTGGATGTACTTGAAGCCAGCGAGCTGACCGGGGTAACCGAGGGCAGAGTGAGAACCGTTGAGAAGGCGCAGCTTGTGCATTTCGAATTGTTCGACGTCGTGGACATCCTTGACGACCTGAACACCGACCTTCTCGAAGGGAGGGCGGCCATCACAGAACTTGTCCTCAACAACCCATTGCATGAAGGGCTCAGTAACAACAGGCCAGTCATCCTCAATACCAAAGTCTTCAGCGAGTGCAGTGATGTCGGTCTTTTCGGTGCGGGGAGTGATACGGTCGACCATCGAGTTGGGGAAGGCACCCTTCTCGGAGATCCAGTTGGCGATTTCGGGGTTGGCGAGTTTGGCGAAAGAGACGAGCATGTGACGAGTGATGGAACCGTTCTTCTGCATGTTGTCGCAGGAGAGGACAGTGAAGGGGTTGAGGCCAAGCTGGTGGCGTCTCTTCATACCGGCGTAGAGGAAACCGAAGGTGGTCTTGGGCGAGTGCTCGTTCTTGAGATCGTGCTGGATGTCGGGGTGCTCGGACTGGAGCTCGTGGGTGTTCTCGTTGTAGTAATAGCCGGACTCGGTAATGGTCATGGATACGATCTTGGTGTCGGGGTGTGCCATCTTGTCAATGACAGCCTGGCGGTTGTCGGGCGCAAAGAGGAACGAGGTGATGGCACCATTGACGTTGGCGGAGCTGCCGTCGGCACCGCGCTCAATGACAGTGTAGAGGTGGTCCTGCTTCTTCAGGATGTCACGCATGGATGCGTCAAAGGGCTGGAGACCAACACCGGCAATGGCATAGTCGCGCACGCCATGCTTCTCCATCAGGTTGTGGAGATAGACGGCCAAATGAGCTCTGTGGAAACCACCAACTCCAATGTGGACGACACCCTCCTTGACCGAAGAACGGTCATAGGTGGGCACTCTCACAGTTGCGCGACCCGACTGGGACGCGATCTGCGACAGGTTCTTGCTGAGTAGCTTGAGGGATTGTGATGTAGAGTGAGGCATGATGTCTCGCTGTACAGAAAAATAGGTGGGAAGAGACGAGATGCAAGAGAGAAAGCTGGTTATGTACAGCTAGACGGAAGATGTTCGGACTGGAAGAGCTTTTCGCTGAGCTCTTCCTTCACTTTGTTTTTGAGCAAGGGTCTGTTGAGTGAATGTAGCCACCCAGTGACGATTGTCAACAAGACTGGGATGACGCTGTCGGGTGGAGCTCCAAAAGGTCAACCCGACACACCCCTGGCCCAGCCACCGGGCCCCTGACCGAGCATTCCGAGACACTGCATGCGTCCGTTATCACCGCCATAAATATATATCAGGATTCAGGAGCAAAACAAGGAGTAAGCCAGCAGGGTTCTTAAATCTTCACTGATTGATCCCGAACTGCCGCGAGATTGCTCGTGTATGCAAAGGAACATCCACGAACTCCGATTCTCAGTCGACTGCGCCAATACGTACAAGGGTTGTGTCTGATGGATTTATCTATCTGGATGTGGGTTCTGCAGATCCTAGGAAACATTTCTTTCTGGACGCGGCTGCAGATCCAAGAGGCTTTCGGATCACACTCCATGCATGCATTTGCATGACACCACCGTCCGGCGCCAATGCGGACACAGATCAGTCATGGAGAATGCTGTTAGCGAGTGAAGGGTCCATCGGCCGAAAATTCAAGCCCACAGAAAGGTGAGAGAAAAAGAACGAGAATCACCAGAATCGTGAACAGGAAATCAGGGTGTAGATGACGTATCGCGAATTCTCCACATTTTATACCTATCCATAAAGAGCACGTTGACAACGTGTTTGGTACCCTGTAAGTCGCTGTGAATCATCAACACACTTGCTGCCTGGAGAATCTCGTATGTTATATCTCATTCTTTTTCTTCTTGCAAACTCGTCAGCGCACCATGTCAGAACGCAAAGTGATTTCCAAATACTATCCACCAGACTTTGATCCGAACAAAATCACACGATGGAGAAAGACTCAAGTAAAGCTCCCGACCATTACCCTTATGAGTCCCTTCTCTATGCGGTGCAATAGCTGCGGCGAGTTCATCTACAAAGGTCGCAAGTTCAACGCGCGTAAGGAACCAGCCGTGGAGCAATACCTCAATATACCCATCGACCGCTTCTACATTCGTTGTACGGCCTGCTCTTCTGAGATTACATTCAAGACAGATCCCAAGAATACGGACTACAAATGCGAGAACGGCGCGACGCGCAATTTCGAACCGTGGCGCGCAACCAAGCTTGCAGAAGAGACGGAGGAGGAGGGATCCAATCGATTTGAAAGAGCACATGGAGAGAAGGATCTTATGGTCAGCCTCGAGACCAAGACACTGGACGCGAAGACCGAGATGGCTGTAGCTGATGCTCTGGATGAAATCAGGATGCGAAACGCACGACGCGAGATCAAAGTTAGGGCACTTGAGAATCAGCCTGACTTGAGACATGCAGACGCTCAGCTACCACCCGAAGATAATCAAGCGACAAAGAAGGCTCTTTGCAACGATGCAGGCGAACGTGTCCGAAGAGTGTCGGACGAAGAAGCTGGTGTCGAGGATGTCAACTCTATACCGACATTCCAAAGTTTCAAACGACAGAAGAAGAATCACGGTGCCGCACTTGGTATCAAACGCAAGTAAGTAATCCCTGGACTAGCCCCGTATGTTAAACCCTCGATCAAGTCTGTGGTAGACTAGCTTTCCCTTGGAGACATTGAGCAGGCATCTTGAATATCGACTTTGACCCACATATCTACGCGCTTCAGAATCTGCTGACGGAAAACTCCTAGGATCAAGGTCCGTCAACACCAGTCGCCGAGGTCTGAACAAGTTGATTGAGATGGTCAGACGAGCTCCTAATGAGGATTGTATCAAGACTCAGGTCCACTAAGAGTTGGGAAAAAGCACCTCTTAGAGTGCTAGCCCCTGTTTCAACCAAGGAGACGAGCTTTGGGCCTTTCGTTTCTATATCAAACATCTGCACAAGACCGATGGAATGAGTCTTGAATTGGTACAACTCTACCTCACCACCGTGTTGTATTTTTACCGATAGGCCTAAGCCTAACAGGCGTGTGTCACGTACTTGAGAACAGGCGCGGTCAGGGTGACAGGCATAAATTAAGGTGTTCATCAGGGTACATATGACGCGTGTAGGGCTGAGCGGCTGCTCCGCTCCAGCCTCCTTTGAGTGGCAAAGCAGGGTCTTGTGGTTCTTTATTATCGACATTCTCCACTTTCACCTACGATCTTTCGCACCCTACCTGTTTTCTCATCATCGGCGGTTCAGAAACAGCATGTCAGAAATCGAGAAGCAACCTCTCATCGAGGATCAGCCCAAGCTCACCCTCCAGGATCTCCGTGAAAGATGGACAGAAGCTCGTGCGAACCTCCAAGCTGCTGCCCAAGACCTCCTCACAGCAAGACGCGACTATGAGCGTGCATGGTCCCGCACAACCCGCGGTCGTATCACCATCGCCGCCTTCTGCATTTTCATCATCACCATCTTCCTCCTGCCACTCGGCGGTCTTGTGCTTTTGGGTTTGATGGACGACGAGCCTGAAGCATACGAGTACCTGCCTAGAAGAGTTCCCTTGGAGGCACACATCATGAGCAAGTGTCCTGATGCTCGTGACTGCCTTCACGATCTCGTGCTTCCGGCCATGGTCAATGTCAGCAATCTTGTTGACTTCAAGCTGTCTTATATCGGAAAGTAAGCTTGAATATCAAATGTGGAACATACCCTACAGTGGCTGACAATACAACAGGNNACTATCGAGGATGACGACGGTGTCATCTGCATGCATGGCCCTTCTGAATGCTTGGGCAACTCGATCGAACTCTGCGCAGCTCATCTCTATCCCAACCCCAGAATTCACCTCGGCTTCACCATGTGCATGTCGCGCAACTACTCCGAGATTCCTTCTGAAGACCTTGCCAAGGACTGCGCTTTGGAGCATGGCATCGACTTCGAGAAGTTGAACCACTGCCTGAGTGTCGACGATGGAGCATACTCTAGAGATCTTCTCAAGAAGTCCGTTCAGAGAAGTGCTGAGAAGGGCATCACCAAGAGCTGTACTATCAGAGTTGACGACAAGAACTGGTGCATCCGCGATGGTGGTAGATGGACGGACTGCGAGAACGGCCACGAAGTCAAGGATCTCATCGAGGAGATCTACGACCTGAGATGGAAGCACAGCAGTGCTTACGAGGCGAAGATTGGTTCTAACTGATCTTGATTCTCCTTCTCCTTCTCCTGTATTATAATCATCTGCTCTCGGATGGATTGGCTTTTCTATTCTCAATAGTCCCTGAAATATCTTTATCTTTTTGATCTGATAATCTAAAGTGGCGTTTCTGTACCCCGCAAAATCTCTCGATCGTGGGCCGACTTTTTCGGGCTGGAACAATCGTGACAAAACCATCAAAACTTCTTCTCCTACACAACAACCTTGACGGTTTATACTGCAATCCTACTACACACAACATGGCACCCTCAGCAATTTCTCCCGAAGAGACTACTCAAATCCCCAGCGGTGACTCGACCGTCTTGGCCCTTCGCAAGACATTGACCTCCGAGAACGAAGCGCTGGCCGCTCGCTTCCGTGCCCTCTTTTCGCTCAAGTACCTCGCATGCCAGGAGCCTCGCACCGAGAACACCATTCCCGCTATCGATGCCATTGCTGCTGGATTCGCTTCTCCCTCTGCCCTCCTCAAGCACGAGCTCGCCTACTGCCTGGGTCAGTCTCGTCACGATGCCGCAGTCCCATACCTTCAAAATGTGCTCAGCGATCGCGAGGAAGACGCCATGTGCCGACACGAAGCCGCCGAGGCTATCGGTGCTCTGGGCGACAAAGGTAGCTTGAAGCTCCTTATCGAGAGAAGAGATGACGAGAACGAGGAGACTGTTGTCAAGGAGACTTGCGACATTGCCGTTGGTCGCATCGAGTGGGAGCACTCTGACGCTGGAAAGTTGGAGAAGCTGAAGCAAAGGTGCGGCCCTTGTGAAAACCACGTACAGCAACGACCCGGACTAACATCGACACNNAGCGATTTTACCTCGATTGACCCTGCCCCTCCTCTTGCTATCGCTGCAAAGCAACCCTCGATCGAAGAGCTCGAGCAGACCCTCCTCGACGCAAAGCTTTCCCTGTTCGATCGTTACCGCGCCATGTTTGCCTTGCGCGACCTCTGCTCTCCTCCAGACCTTCCCACCGCCGTTCCCGCCATCAACGCCCTTGCTCGTGGTTTCACCGACTCTTCTGCTCTATTCCGTCACGAGATCGCCTTCGTCTTCGGCCAGCTCTCACACCCTGCTTCCATTCCTGCTTTGACTGGAGCACTCAGCGACCTCAAGGAGAGCAGTATGGTCCGTCACGAAGCCGCCGAGGCTCTCGGTAGTTTGGGCGACGAGGAGGGTGTAGAAGAGACTCTCAAGAAGTTCTTGAACGATGCCGATCAGGTCGTTAGAGACAGCATCATTGTTGCATTGGACATGGCTGAATTCGAGAAGAATGGCGAGACCGAATACGCGACGATTCCTGTTGCTGCATAAAACTGAAGCGTTATGATCCTAGGCGTTAAGATAAAAAGGCAATACGGATGGAGTTTTTGGACCTGTTAAGCAAGACGAATGAAATGTTCATATTCAACCTTGATGATTGAAACAGCACCAGATGATGTGACTTTCTTTACATGTATGTTTCTTGCATTGCGCACAGAAAGTACAGCGAACGTAAAGGTCGAACCTAGTCTCAATAAGAGCATCTCAAATGCGCTCAAAGTAAAGACAGACTTGTCACTTGTGCGGAGAGCGTTTGACGAACGTGAAATCCGTGCTCAATTTGGGCCCAAAGAGGCAGGCGGTGACGGCGCACGCGGCAGGTACCTGCCTAAACAACTCTCTTTACAAGAATCCATCACTCTTGGGTGGCACCTGCCTAACTTACCATTGTTCCGCTGTGTGTCGGCATTGTCGAATCTCATCTTGGCCTATTCGACTCTGGCGACCAGACATCTGCGATCAGTCCACTTCCATCGCCGACTCCTCCAGGCTTTGGAATCTCGCTTGCAAAAGCAGTCATGTTAATTAAACAACACTCTTGAACTCGTAGTTCCGGTTCGCAATGTCGCAATCTAATGGCACCAATCACCCGAACGGAACACGCAAGATCGTGCGTGTTCCTACCGTCGGCGAGGCTCTACCATTCTCGCCATTCGCATCTATTTTCCCCTTCACTCTTGGTATTGTACCGCTTGAATCATTCGCCTTGCACAATAGCTGATTGTCCTATACAGACGCCATTCCGCCTCCTCTCGCTTTTCCTTCCGCTCCCGCACAAGTCTTCTCCTCTGAAGAACAAAAGCTTTCAGCTCATGGAATGCTAGAGCGACTCGATGCCCAAGCCAATAATGCTGAAAGAGCCTCGGAACAATTGAACAAGACACTCGAATCTGTCCAACACCTTCTCAATCCGGATAAGCTCACACAGTACCGTTTCAACAGACCTGCCAGGTTTGCGCAGTCCAAGCCTCGTCCAGGCCAAACCACGTCGACCCCATCGAAGCACCAGCTCGGCCCGTTCGCAAAGATGGTCTTGGACAGGACCATTCCATCCCATTACGCTACCACCAAATCCAATCTTCCCACGCTGACCCCCAACCCGATCGCTAAACCGCCGAAGCCGTCTGCTCATAGTGTCACACCAGTAGCGACCACTCCTGCTCAGCTTCAGCAACACCAGTATGGCCACCAGTCAGCGACTCCCACGCCGCACTTTTCTGCAACACAGTCTACGTCTTCTGCTTCCAAGTTCTATCCACAAGTCGTCGTTCCGATCCCTACCTCGTCAGCTTCCATGTCTCACCGAGCCAGCTCTTCACAGACAAACGGCGTTCCTCCAACGCCATCGCAAGGCTCTCAACCCAACTCACAGAGATCGAACATCGCCGTCGTGATCCCCAAGACTCTTACCGAAGTACAACGTGCCCAATATATTCACGTTCCCGGAACAGTGTCCAGCAGTGCCCCGAAATTATCTCAGACGCCTAAAACGGATACTCAAAGACGTGCGGACCATGAGGCAGATCAACGTCTGACTTCAGTAAGCGTTGCTCAGCAAGAAAAGGCGAATGCCGCAGTGGCCAAACTTCAGAAACTGATCGCTGAGATCTTTGAAGCCGAGGATCAGATGCAGGCTGACACATCTGGTATGGTGTCGTCAAACGCTGCTCACTACTTCAACACCCATGATGCAGTTGAGGGCGTGCCAGTCCTGCAAGCAGCCATCCAAACACAGCTAGACACCACGTTGTACAAGGTCGTCGCTAACGCTCGCCTTTCCAGCATCGACATCGAAGACCTAGCCCGTATACAGCGCTTTTGTGATCACGCTGTGACTGCCGCAGGTACTGCCAACTACCGTATCGACGATGATACTCCACATGAGACCGATGACTGGCTCCATCGCATTGGTGTTGGCGAGCAGGGTCTTACTGCTTGCAAGACATTGCTGCGCATCATGACTGCTGGTCGAGAAGAGAAACAATTGTATTCTGAGGAAACGCTCACCACTCTTCTGAACAGTCTTACTCATATGGTTGAGACTTGCATCATCCCCATAGTGGAGATGAGAAGCAATGGAGAGATGGGTGATGCGTTCAAATTTGCCTCCTCGCAAAGCAAGCCTCTCAATCAGGTTTTGACGGCCTGCGTTCGAGTCATCAAACTGCTAGGCGATCTGATTGCCAAAACTGATGTCGATGAGCGTGTTATTGTTTCCGCTGAATTTATCTGCAAGACTTTGGTCTTTGTGGAGAATGCGACATCTGAGAAAGACTCTGCTCTGGGTATCCAGAGGTTCGAGACCGCTCGTAGAGCTGCCATGGACGTGCTTGCGAAAATCTTCGCTCGTTACCCAGAGCAGAGACAGTCAATCTTCGACGAGATCTTGACTTCTCTCGAGAAACTTCCTGTTGGCCGACAAAGCGCTCGCCAGTTCAAAATGGTCGATGCAAAGCCAATACAATTGGTGTCCGCTTTACTCATGCGTTTGGTCCAGACTAGTGCAACGCGTATGGAGGTCAAAGCAAATCCTGTTCATGAAGAAGACGATACTGAAAAGGACGAGGAGGATCCCGAGTCCTCTGATGAAGATGCCGATGAGGACTCGGACTTCGACGGTGGGACAGAAAGGAAACGTTCCAAGCCAAAGCCCAAGGCAAAGAAGCGTACAAGCGAGGGACCGGAAGATCTAGCATCTATCACGAACCCTCTGTACGAAGCTGCATACAGAGATGCTCACTATGTTGTCAATTACATGGTTCAGCGTGCCTTGACTTCGACAAAATCAGGAGATCAGCCGTACCGAAACCTCCTGGACATCTTCACAGAAGACTTCCTGAACGTCTTGGGCAACACCGACTGGCCTGCCGCCGAGATGTTCCTTCGCGTACTTCTAGCCAAGATGTTTGAGCTTTCTGAAAACCATAAAGGCTCGGCTCCCTCGAAAGCGATGGCGCTTGAACTGATGGGCGGCATGGCTACTCGAATTACAGAACTACGTCTGCAAGCCCAATCAGCAGCTCGTCACCCAAATGTGGATCGCTCGGAAGTCACAGCCAAGCTGTTGCAGCTTCACGAGAATATCGTGGCCGAGCAAATCGAAGAAGACGAATTCTTGTCGTTTGATGGCCCATACAGAATCATACTCGAGTACCTCCAGGCTAGAGGCACGGATGATACAGAGTTGTTGACCGCCCGCGGCTATCATACTGTCCAATGGGCAAAGCAAATTCTCCAGCTCAGCGAGGGCAACGTAAAGTCGACGAAACTTGAAGAACGCTTGGCATTCATGATCAAGGACTCTGCATGGCTCGAGACTGAATACGACTTCAAGCAAGTTACCACCGAAGATGGAAGATTTGCAGCCGTCTTGGTTACCATGAACCTGCCCTTCTGCCGAGCTTTTAACAAGATCTTTAGCAAACTTCTTGGCACCATGGCTGGCGATCAGGCTTCCCTGAGAAGCAAGAGTCTGAAGAGTATCGAACAACTTCTTGAGATGGACCCCACAATCCTTGATCAGGGAACCTTCTTCATCAACAGCATCATCAGATGTCTTGCCGACAACTCGACTCAGGTTCGTGACTCTGCCCTTGGTCTCATCGCCAAATGTCTTTCTTTGCGTCCAAAGCTGGATACGATGCTCTACGAGCGCGTCATCATGAGAGCTCAGGATGCCAACCTACATGTCAGGAAACGTGCGATGAAGATGTTGAAAGATATGTACCTGCGCAACGACGCCTTGAACGTGAAGGCGCTGATCGCAGATACTCTGATCAATCGTGTCACTGATAATGATGAGAGCATTGTGGAGCTCGCTCGCCACACCTTTGAGGAAATCTGGATGACACCTTTCCACGCCATCTCTGGTTCAGACACTGATGCCGTCAAGAAGAAGCTCCGTTTACGAGAGCAAACCAGTCTGGTGATCAACATTGTCAAACGCAAGACCGAAACCACAGAAGCAGTCCTGCCTGAGCTCTTGCAGCAGATCTTGTCAGAGAAGTCCAAGGCAGCAAAGGCTAATGTTGTTGTTTGCAAAGAGATGGTTAAGCTCATGTTTGACGCTATCATCGATCCAGACGAGCTTCCCGAGAGTCCTCCACAGCAACACGTATTGCAGACACTCACTATCTTTTCTGCAGCCAACGCTAAGCTATTCACTGCTGACCAGCTTCAGACTCTGCAGCCTTACGTCAAGAATCTCAGTTCAGACGACAATCTGCTAGTATACCGGTCGGCAATTGTCATTCTCCGCCACGCCCTACCTCACATGAAGAATTTGAATCGAGAATTTCTCGTCAACATACAACAAGCTCTACTTGGCAGCTTTACCAGACTCCCATCAGCCGAGCTCAAGGAAGTCGCCACATGTCTCTGGACCCTTGACGGGGAACTGCACAACACCGAAAGGCTTGTCAAAGTCACGCTCTCACTTTATGATCAGATCAAGCGAGGCTTGCCTGTCGATATGAACAGCAATCAAGCTGTAGCACAGAAGACCAGAAGACTCATCACTATTGCTGGCCATTTTGGCAAAGTCTTCAATCTTGACTCTCACCTCAGCGCGTTCAAGGAGAAGTTTCCAGACTACAAGGGCGAACATGTGGCGTTCCTGGCCATGAATCTGATCTGTCCCTTCACAAGCCCCAATCAGCCTATGGTTCTTCGTCAAGCAGCACTCGACAGTGTCTGCATGTTATGTCAAGCATGGCCTGGCCAGTTAATGCGTGTTGATGTTTGCAATGCATTCAAGCTGGCTCTTGAGTCGGACGATCAACAACTTCCGATGACCTTGATTGTTGGCCTGAAAGACTTCTACTGTGCTGGTGATAAGCCTGGCGAGTCAAGCTTGGTCCAGGTTGGCACTGGTGTGGAGGCTGGCACTGAGAGACTAGGAAACACCTATATGGCTACCGATCGCGACGGCGCAGCCACTTCTATCGCACAACAGTTCCTGGGTAGAATCCGTGACGTTGCTCTTACTTCAGCTGATGCTCTTGCATTCAACGCAGTCCAAGTGGTTGCTAGTATCGGCCGCCAAGGACTTGTTCACCCCAAAGAGACAGGTCCATGCTTCATCGCCCTCGAAACCTGTCCAGATACCAAGATAGCCACATTTGCTTTCCAGGAGCATATGGGACTCTACAGCAAGCATGAAGCAATGTTCGAAAAGGAGCATATCGGCGCTGTTCACCAAGCTTTCACCTATCAGCAAAATGTGGCCAAAAGCAACCAAGGATACACTGGAACCCCGCCGACCTCANAAATGCACCACTTCTGGGAAGTACTCAAGACTGGAAAAGCCAAAATTCGCATTAAGTTCTTGAGTACAATCTGTGGCAAAGCAGGTGTAGGCTTTGACGTTTCGAAGGTTGACATGTCAGATCCTCTTCCTTCTCATGTCGCATTCACTCGATTTGTCTGTGAGAATCTGGCATTCTTCGACTATTCCAAGTTCGATGAGCTCCAACATCTGATCGATTGCGTCGAGAAGGTCATGGCCAATACCGGTACTCCCGTTGCTCACTCGGTTGATGTTGACATTCTTCGAATGCTCATTGAGCAGGATGCTCCAATGGCTGACAGCGAGAACGGTGTTGTCAATGGTGTCACTTCCTCTCAAAACAAGCCGGTCGATCCAGCTCGCTCACGTGAATTGACTGTGTATGTCCAGATTCTCCTCTTGCTTTGGGAAACTCGTACATACCTCCGTCGACTGTGGAATGTTAGCAAGCACCAGACTGCCACAAAGGCCAAAGCGAGCAAAGAAACCGTCCGTGCACTGCAACGCATACCTAACTCAATGAACTTGACTGAGAAGTATCTTGCACGCAACCAAGAAATCATAAGAGCTCTTGAGACGCTTGAAAGCCAACTTAGCCTTTGCACCTCGTTCTCAGAGGTCATGGCCGTCGACAGCGAACTTAGGGTCGACAAAGAGGATGCAGAAGGTGACATGGATATCTCAATGACGATGAATGAGGATGGCTACGAGACACCAAGTGAGAGAGGCGGCAGCGCGACACCTGGCAGTGGACAGAAGCGTGGGCGCAAGAGGAAGAGCATTGATTCATCTCAGAACACTCCAAGAAAGAAGGGGCGACCAAGAAAGAGTTCGAGTGTGCAGGGTCGCTCTGTCTCCTTTGCTTGATGATGGATCGAACTCTGCTTTTGCTTTGACGAGCAGGTGTTGCACTGCTCTGCAGTACATGGCTATGATGTGATGGGCTCGAAAAGCGTATGCTATGGTCGCTCAAGTGTGCTTGCGTTCTCAGGTAGTGCGTGCGAACAGTATCTTGAAGAGAAGGGAGAAGACCGACAATAATGCATATTTTTCAAATCTCATGATTACCATGCAAGCTTCCGGTCAATGTAAGAAGACCATGCATCTTTGACCAACAACGTGGCTGCTTGGATGTTTTGACATCGCTTATAGTGTGGTTTATGCACTACTAGATGCATGAGATGACGAGTGTTGGAGCGTTTGCGTTCTATCGGATGTTTTTTTGTGACCAAAGTGTTCTTTGTGTCGTGTGTTTTGATAAACACGATGTCATCCTAATCAGGCGATTACAAGAAGTAAACACGTAAGATGTAGTTCTTGACTGCATGCTGATTCAAGTAGGGGCTGTCGGTTGCTGCTTCCTCTTGTCGTTGCTTCGGTGTACCTAGCTATGTTGTTCAAGCAAAAGAAACCCCATCTGCACGTTAAAACTTCCCAAAGAAACCTCATCAGCGCATTCAAGTCTTCAACAGCAAGGCCAATAGCATACTCAAGCCTCAAATCTGGCTCTCAACTCCTCGTGAAAACCATCAAGCTTGTTTCTGAGAAATTGGTAGTGACCTTCCATCACAACAATAAGAGCCTTCTTAATCTCGCTCTTGACCTGGTTACCGACGTCTCTAATGGCTACTTTTGAGAGTTCCTCAACAGCGAGCTCGACCCAGGCACTGAAACTGGCTTTACCTTCCAGCCCTTTGGATCCGTGATTGATGTCCATGGCTAGGGCTTCCCACATGGTGTTGGCGAGCTTGTTGGGGTCTTCGCCGGGACCTTGGTGCTTGATGTTGGGGTTGTTGAGGAGTCTGGTTGCTTCCTTGGTGACCATGTCTCTGAGGCGCTCTTGGAACTCTTCCCAGTGGGATTTTCTTTGAGAGAATCTGTTAGTGGTGTTGAGTGAGGGAGTTAAGTCTACTTACGGAGTATTCTCTGGAGATTGAGGGGCATCTGAGACAATAGGAGAGGTGTCTTGAGCTAAAGCGACGTTGTGTTCAGTAGTCTGCAGAGCAGTGATTTCGGTCTCGGTGGGCTCAGTGAGAGGGGACTCGGCGGGTTGAGGTACAACGGCCTTGGTGGTGATAGTCTGCTTGACAGTCGATGAAACCGAATCAGCACGTGAAGTAGAAGCGTTTGTAGTGCTGGTTCTGGAAGCTCCTCTCTTGGGGCGACCAGGCACCGGAGTGGTGGGGGCAGAAGAGGCGGGTTTGACCACACTGGCTGCTGTGTATGGTAACTGCAAGGTAGGAGATGGCTCGTTGGAAGCGACCAGGCGCGAGCTCTGGCGGCGTTTCTTAGCAGGGGGCTCATCCATGTTCTCGTCTTGTTCTTCGGATTGAGCTTCGATGGAGACTTCAGGGTGAACTCTCTTCAACCAGTTCTGCTGATCCAACCAGACCCGATTGAACTCTTCGCGGAACCGACGACCGTGCTCAAAGACAGCGCTTGGAAGATGACCTGCGTTGAAGCGATCGCAGTTGTCAAACATGAGCTCAAAGTCGGCTTTGAAGGAAGCTGCAGAGTCATAGACGTTCTTTCCCATCTTGAAAGCAATAGTCGACAGATCCATCGGCTGTCTGATAACGTTCAGATAGGTAGGAACCGCGACGATATCAACAGGCTCTTTGAAGGTAGCGACATACTTGCGGTGCTTGAAGCGCTTGAACTCCTCAAGAACATGCTCGCAGAACAAAAAGTCTGCGTGCTCCATCTTGGTAGTATTTTGATGAGGAGCCATGATAATAACTTTTTGGTCTTTGATGAGTTCAGGGTAAAGCGTGTTGTGTTTGTTTTTGCAAAAGTGGATGACAAGGATCGTGTTGCCACAAGAATGAGCTGTAGGACAAAGGTTGACTTCGCGCTCAAGCGGAACACGTGATTATATGACTACCACCTCAACTCTTGTGTCCCTATCTACCTTCTCCTCGAGCATGAATGCTAGAAAGACTGCTATAGGAATGCAAGATCTGAACCGGTTTCTGTAAAAGTTCCACTGAGAGTCCTGTCATGCAAAGATCTCTCCGAACATGTCCTGGGTACAGGACTACGCTCTGCATTTTTACTGGTATGATAAACCTTATGCTGAGACATGAGAGAGTCATCATTACACATATATACGTAACAAAGGTCTCCTTCATCGTGACTGCTTCAATATGATACTATCAAAATGCAGCATGTAAAGCGGTTTCTACACATGTCACACTGAAGCGCATACTTTCCTCGACTCTCTCTGGACATATACCGTTCACGAATTCATGCTTTGCCTTTCTACTGACACGAAACTGCTAGTGCTCAGAGCCGGGAGAGCTTTCTTGATACTTGCTGTGCCTATCCTATTGAACACATCTCATCTACTCCCGATGGAAGTGTTGCCGAGTCGATATCTTATAAAAGGGCAAGAAGGTATCAGAAACAGGCATGTTTCCAGAGAGATTGAAGCTCTCAGGGAATCTCTCTGGACTTCATACATTTCGGTGATAAGTTCTTGCATTTTCATAGCTGCAAAATGCAATGTAATCTATGCGGAGATGTCTTCACTCGAGACCGGGTCGACGACCGAGTGAAGTGATCAGACGGTAAAATTATTAGCGCGATCCCGAGATCAGAAACGGATGGCACGCACGAGAGTTTTCATTTTCAAGATCGATGGAAAGAGAGAAGGCTTTGACGTTGCCGACCTGATGCGTTTCGTCTCGTGGACCGGTGTATTTCGTAAGGAGAAGACAGAAAATTTGATTCGAATCTCGTTTCTTCGTGATATTCCATTCTGGAAGCCAGTTCTATGCGTCTTCTCAAGCCTATCTAGTACCACTTGATGATCCCGTTCTTTGATGCCTCCTGTATCCTGCTAGGGAACCCCGTTCGCTCATACGCTCGTTCATCCATCGTCTGTGTCAGTCCTCCTCTCTGATCATGCTCATGATAGCCTTAGCACTGCGAGCAAAGATTGCAGCCTGGTTGCCCGTCTCCTCACTGATTGTTTCCAGCAGGGCTTTCTTGACTGCAGAGCTGATGCCATCGTTCTTGATATCTGCCATTGACATGACTTCGACTCTCTTCATTGCCTTTTCCATCCACAGATCTTTGGTGACCTTGCTTTGACCAGGAGCAGTGAACAGATACTGGCCATAGACACGAGCTTGATCAGGAAGATCACTATCACCAGAGAAGTCCAGAGCATCGGCTTGCTTTCTGATTTCTCCAATAACGAGGTTCTTGGTGTAGTCATTGAAGAAGTCTTGGTGGCTGCGAGTAGAATCAGTAAACATTGAAATCGAGAGATTTGTGGATCGATATGATTTACCTCTTGCCAATGCTAGCTGATGATGCATCAGATTCTGGAGAAACGCGCTGNNTTTCTTGGTGGCTGGCTCCCTGTCGGCGGGGCGTGAAAGAAGATCCTTGTAGATCTGATCTTGAGAGGGCTTCTTCACTACAGCGCGCGCGTCCATTGGAGTGGCATCCTTGTTCTTGTTGAGGTTGATCTTGCCGCGCTTGAGAATAATGCGAGGCTTGTTTGCAGGCTCAGGTGTAGACTCCTCATAAGTGGAGTCGCTGTGAACTTGTGTGGCCTTGGTCTTGCTTTGCTTGGGTGGCATATTGGAGGCTGATGGAGTGGTGGAGATTAGAGTGGAGAACAGGAAGATGACACGCTGATTGCTTACAAGGTTTGGTGGTGGCTGCGCTGGCTGGGGGAAGGGTGTCCATGCCGAAGGAAAAGAAGAGGCGGATCAGCCATGAGGTAGCAGGTTTTCAAGTGAAGTGAATGAGCGAGAACGCTCGGCTTGAGGCGAACCGAATGCACAACTCCTCGCGAATTCCGACAGGCTCTCTTCGAAAGCGTCGAGAGAGACGTCGAGAGCATCGTCGAGGCCTCGGAAACACTTCAAAGAGCACATTCAGGGGTATCTTCACTCAGTTCGAAGTGAGCTGGGAGTACAATGTCTCGTGCAAGCCAACAGATGTATGTCCAGGATCACATTGAAAGCGTCGGGAGCACCGTCGAGGCCTCAGAAGCACTTCCAAAGGCACATTCAGGGGTGTCTTCGTGGAGCATTTTGGTCCTCATCTCACACTATAGGACGTCCTTTCAGACAGTCATGAAAACTCAGAAGTATTTATGGCTCTATGGCTTTGGCCTAAGAGAGCGTGAAACAAACAGGTTCTCTTTGGACAACCTTTCAAGCTTTGATCAGACCGTGTATTTTAATAGTATACTCAGAGCTCATCAACCTGTGAGAGATTGTCAAAGCCGGGCTTTCGTGAGACCTGCATTAGCATCCCTTCCCTTTTGCAGAGGTAAGCCCTGGGTGTAGCTATAAAAATGCACAGTTGTCTCTGAATCAGGAATATGTCCAGGGAGAGACAAACATCTCATGGCTCTCATTGGATTTTAACATACTTCTCGATTGTATTGTGCATTTTGATGGCTCAGACATCACTTGACAGCTTTGTTGAGAGAACGGATCAAAGGAGAGGAGATATGTGTACCACCTCTGGATGGCTCTCACTGATGTATCACAAAGAGGTAATATGTGATAAGAAGCAGGAACATATGCAGGAAGGAAAGCTTGTCCAATGAACCCATTACTACTTGCTCACAATGAAAATCCGATCCGTCATCGCATGCCTGATATGGTGTCTCGCCCTCATTCTATATCATTGACAGGACAGTGGGAAAGGCGTGCAGGGACGATTTACAGTATCGCCAACAAACATGTGGATACACAAAGATTGCAATCATGATTTTGATCGCTTAGTACACATGTTTCTCCAGAGTGCGCACTCTTTATACGTGATTTTGGACTTTGATGAATCCATTGTGTTTCCATCAGCTGGTAACCACTCTCATTGTTTCAGGCTACCAAAAGAAAAGAAACTGCAAAACTCGATGCTCTTGACCTTACACCCCTGCTCATTGCTCTAACTGTCTCAAGAATTCGGCCTTCTCAGCGGCCTTCTCAGCGGCCTTCTCAGCAGCCTCCTCCTGCTCCACAAGAGCCATCCGCTCCATGCTAGTGTCCTTCCAAGCCTGGACAACCTCGTTCTTGATGGCAGCCACAGAGCCTGACCATCCTTCGGGAGTGATCTTGGAGCGACACTTGAGTCTCCACATCTCCGTGGATGTCTGGTGGCGCTCAGGTCCCCAGATCTTACCCCAGAAGGCCAGGGTACTGGCTGCCATCTCGGCCTCCTTCTCGGCGACAACGACCCTGAACTGCTCGGCCATGATGAGGTGCAGAGCACCCATGACCGTGCCAACTGCGTTCTCGATGGGGCAAGGGGGAGCAATGGTAGAGACAGTGGGCCTAGGGGTGGCCATGCCCTGGGGCTCGCCGAGGGAGGGGCTGGGAGAGGGTCCCGAAGATCTGTGTACGTTCAACTATTAGTATAAAAGGCACAGTTCTTTGCTATGTTTGATAGTATCCATTGAAAGCAGTAGAGAAGGGACGAAGACATACCTCTCAGGCTCAGCATTGCTGGCCGATGCTCCCGACGAGGAAGGACTGTGATATTGTCAGCATCAAAATGCACAGTTGAACAGTATCCCATAAGTGTGTCCACTGAAAGTCTGATATACAGATCTAAGAACATACCTTTCGGTGCCAGATGTACTGGCGCTAGGAGCAGCAGGGGCAGGAGTAGGAGCAGGAGCAGTAGCAGCAGCAGCAGCCTGTCTGGCCAAGTTGGCTAACTTACGGCGCTCAGTGGTAATCCACTTGCGCATCTCGGCCCACTCCCAGTCGAAATCCTTAACGAAGCGATCTGCGTACTTCTTAACGAAGTCGGAGTTGTCGCTGTTATAGTCGCGGCAGTTCTTAATCATCTGGTAGAAGTCTGCCTTGAAAGTTTGGGCATCGGCGTAAAGCCCGGTGTTGAGCTTATTGGACATGGTGGCGAGATCCATAGGATTCTCAGTAAGAGCGTAATAGCCAGGAGTATCGTCTTCAACTTCGTCGACGGGTTGGAGGAAGATCTCGAGGTACGGAGCCTTGCTCTTCTCCCAAAAGTCGTTGAACTTGTCGAGAAGATGGCGGCAGAAGTCGAGTTCGGTGGCCATTTTCGAGGTTGTAGGAGCAGTAGTGGTGATATGGAGCCTGTAGATCAGACAGTGTAAGCTAATATCGAAACATATTGCCACTAGACGGTGTAATGACAATGCGCAACGTGTACAGAGAATGGAATATGCAACTTACAAGGGTGGTGGTTCAGCCACTTGAGAGAGCGCAGGCTTTGAGTTATATAACGAGTCGAGGGAAATGGTAGAGCTATTCTCTTGAGGTGTCAGTGGTGCTATCAGCTACTAAACAGCAGCGACGTACGCCTGCAACAGTATACAGCGACGACTAGATGGTCTTACTAAAGCGAGAAGAGAGCGATGTCTATGCTGGCAATGCGTTGAAGGTTCTGAGAGACTCAATGGACACTGATCAAGTCCAAATAGACGCGCTGCTATCTTATCAAGTCTCACAACACCAACGGACGCACCCAAAATGCCACCACAGGCCAAGCATAATGCCCCGGATTCTTACAACACGATCTTAGGTCTGTTTGGTGCCCCTCAAGTATCTATATTGCACTTTCACAGTACTCGATAATCCAGAGCGTCTCACGTGATCGCTAAAGTTTGATTTTGGGATCAGACCCAAGGATATCCCTTGCTTCCCGGGCGTATACCGCCGTCAGGTGACCTTTGGGATTTGAACATCGTTTGCTTTGCTCTCATGTTGGTCTTCGACGACACAAGACTCTATAAGCTCTGGTCTACTCTGATACTTATCATGCTGCTTGAATTGTGGCAGCTATACAAGAACCCTTATGCGTCAACGCAGCTGCACTTCGGCTGATAATGTGGGTTTCATTATCCACTTGCGTCGGTTCAGTATCTGATTTGAACTGCTGTCAGACCTCTTTGATCGGAAGGAGCAATCATCGTGAATAAGCCCGAGACGTGACTTCTCTGGTTACAGAGAATTACTTGTCTTGTGGTCAAAGGTATCTAACATGTGTTCCTCATGCGTTACTTCCTTGCACTAACTAAGCGTATTGTCTAACCTAGATCTTTGGAAGGAGCAATTATCGTTGTTGAGCCCGAGACACGACTTCCGGTTGCTTTGAGCAGAAGCTACTCCCTTCGCAGTCGGCAGCGTTTACTTCTTCTTTCTCATGCGTCACTTCCTAACAATCAATTTAAAACGCAACTGTACACCGGTGTTCGGAAAGAGCATTCATCGACAGCAACCCAAAATGCGACTTCCCTCATACCAAGCCCAAGTCACTCGCTTCGTGGTCGCCATCATTCATCCCATTGCCTCCATGCGTCGCTTCCTAAGATCAAATCAACACACCACAAACATCAGTACTTGGAAGCAGCAATCCTCACCGATGACCCGAGACATTCTTGTCGGGTATAGTGAGGAGAACTTTCTTTCGGATGTTTGTTCCATAGTCATTGTCATCGAATGACAATGCACAATGCTGTTTGCTACATCTGCTTGTTCCGCTGAGAGTCTGGGATTGCAAATCCCTCGTTGGTCATGCTTCACACTTCAAATCGCACCATGCCTTTCCATGGCTAGAAGATACCCTATCGAAGAGGTCGGGAGCTTTGTCGATGGTTTCAATATGATGCAACTGAATATCATGAATTGCTATCTAATAGCTCAGAACCCATCTACTCATCTAAAGATGTACACAGCACCAGAGCGATCGGCAGAAATAATCATGCCGAAAGGATACTCCAACAAAGCTACAGCTGTAACGGTATCCTTGTGTCCTTTGAGCAACTGATTCGCCGACTTGCGAATGACCTCATATCTAGCAACCTTACTCTCTTTCTTCTTCTTTGATGTGCCACCTCGCTCACTGTCTGCATCATTTGACGCGGGTGAGGTGGTCCCTGTGCGATTGGGAGCTGGGCTAGACGAGCTTTTCTCCTTCTCAGAGATACTATCGCTAAGACCTTGCTCTGTGTAGACAGATACGTCGTTGCCAAATTTGGAGGCTGTGTAAGTGGGTCTGTCGTCCTTGTCGTTTACGATCATGGAGGAGGTAATGCGATCGGTGTCCCAGAAGCGAATCTTCCAGTCCGGTCCCGTGGTGACAAGAAATGGGTGTCTAGGTTCTGAACTGTCGGGTGAGATGTGCATTGACATGGTAAACGCCTTGATAGCGCCTGCACTACCGCCCGAGCCTCTACCTGATCTGTCCTTACCATTATCAGAAGAGCGGGCGCTGAGGTGCGGGTCTGTTGCAAGAGATCCAAGAATACGGGATGGCATGGCGCCAGACTTGTCTTCGTCGACATTGAGAAGCTCAAAGTCTCTTGCTTTCAATACATCGCTACCATCGGTCTGATCAACGTGGTACACTTCGATACAGACAAGCTTTTCCAGGTCCCACACGGATACGTGACTTGGAGACGTCAAACCAGCAACGCAAATCTTAACTCGCTTGCTGTCCTTCCTGCTTGGATGGAGTGTAAGGCGTGTGATGGGCGATGGGCGTGGTACGGTCCAAGCACGAAGTCGGAGACGGAAACGAAGATCCCAGATGTCGAGCACACCATGAGAAGTGCCCACCAGAAGCCACTGCCATCGTCTGGAGATGCAGAACGTGGTGGGTGTGCCATGCTGTATTGGATTGATGAGCTCATACATCACTTCCATCGAGTAAATGTCGATGAACAAGATGCGGCAGAGGTTGGTGACTATCACACAGACTGATCTACCGTCCGTCTTTCCGTGTTCAACGCCAATGGCATACTCCTTNTGCCCGGGCTTGGTAGGTATCACCCAGCTGCGCAGCACTTGGAGCTTTCCATAACGCAGAGACCCGTTAGCTTCAGCCACATCTACCCTGACAATATCGACAGTTCCATCAGAAGCAGTCGATATGAAGCTGTGTGTAGATTCTACAAAGCAGATGCTGGTAATTCGGGCTCCAGAAGTATGTCTGTGGGCTTGACGCGACCTATACGCCATGTTACGTTCGAAGCGGCTAGTGTCCCAAACTCTTACTGAGCCATCATCTGATCCAGTCAGGAAGAATACCTGGTCTGGAGAGACAGCGATGCAATTGACTTGTGCTTCATGTTCTTCTAGAACAGCAGTCAACTGTCCTTCAGGTTTCCAATAACCTTGCGCTTGCTGGTTAGGGGCATTCTTGGTAGCCATGCGAGCGCGAGGGCGTGTCGGAACCTTGGGGCCAAACTCGCGATCACTGCCGGGATTGGCCCCAGTGTAGACTGAGTCTAGTAATCTCAAGACAGTTGGATCGCCACCATGGTAAGAGTGTGTTGCGGAAATCTTAGGTCGTGCTGGACGGGCAGTAGGGGTAGCTTGACCCGAAGGTGGTGGTACGATCGAGGTTTGGTTCGCAGGCACGTCGAGCTTGCCAACAGCAGTGGTCGAGTCTGTGCCCGTTTCTGCATATGCCTTTGTCTGTTCTGTGCGTTTCATGAGGTTCATTGCGCTTGACTTTGAACGAAGCGCATGATTATGTCCGCTTCTAACAGACATAGTGGACGCTGGAGATGTCGACAGATATGTAGGAGCGTCGATGCTGGCCATCTGCTTACGATGGTTAGATGCCTTGCCGTTCGTGGGCATGGCTTGAGCTCGAGAACTATCTGGCGTCTCAGCTGTGTTCGGTGTTTGCTGGGCGGTAGATGGATATGGTTTGCCCCTTGCTGGATTGAACAGGTTCTTAGCATCCTGGTCTGCAGGCGTCGCAGCATCGCGTAGAGCTTCCTCGAGCGATGTTTTTACACTCGGCTGCATGGTATCGATCTGAGGGCGGTATGATTGGTAGGAGACAGTGTCTGGTTCGAAGAAGACATTCTGTAGTGGTACTTGTATAGCACTCAGGGAGACGATCTGGTTGAGCTGAGAGTCATTCTGCTTGGTGATTCCTTTGTCGGAACGCATGGTCGTTCGCCAGATATAGTCTTTGAGCGCGAGAAGTTTGGGTTCGTCTTCAGTGCGCATACCAGCAACTCGAAGCTTTGAGAGCCACTGTTCATCGTCGTCATTCTTCATTGCTTTGCTCAACACACGAGAAACGCCATCATGATAGAAGTCGGTCAAAGCTTTATTGCTGCCTGCTTCGAACGAGAAGTTCTTGCCTTGTTGTGCGTGTTTCCAGAAAACGCTCTTGTCGGCCTTTTCTGCCCAGGTCTTTGCTAAATCATACGCCGGTCGAGGGAATGGTTTCTGTAGAGCATCCAGAAGTTCAAACTCAGAAAGACCGGCTGATGGCATCTTCAACACGGGCTCTATCAGTGGCATGATCATACCCCAGACATCTGCATCAGAAACATGGGTTGACGATGCTTCGATGAATTGTACAGCTGCTTCACGAATCCATACATTTGGATGTAGTGTGAAGCGTGATACAATAAGTACCAGCTCGACAGCTGTCCATCGCTGGAACAGTCCAAGATGTGCCATGCTTGACAGGGATCTTATCACCTGCTCAGTGACCGTCTCTTCTGAATCAGTCAGCGCCTGGACCATCAGTGGAAGTATAAAATCTTCCAAACTTGGCCCGCCAATGAAGGCAGCGACACCAACTATAGTCTCAAAGAAAGCACATTTCAGCGTCCAATCCTCCTCATTGAGGTATGTGTTCAAATGAGTGAGGATCAAATCGCTTGCGATGTTCTCACCAAAGAACACACAAAGGCTGGTGACAGATCCTAGGAAGGCCCTCTTTACCGAGGGGTCATCGTCCTGCAAGAAAAGTTTGGTCTGCGCTTCAAAGTGCTGGATGAGATCTTCGCGTGTGGTGTCGTAGGTGTTCTGGTAAGCAGCGTACGAAGTAATGTCGTCTTCTGCTTCCGGATCTGTCGAGGGCAGAGATCCATCAGCACGTAATGCTTGCATCATATCCAAGAACCTAGCAGCTGTTGTGGCTAGACTCGCAAGACACGTTGCATACGTTGCTCTAAGTGGTCCTGACTTGCGGAACATAGGACTTGCAACGAACTTCTGGAGCCGAGGCAGCAGATAGTTTGGGAATATGAAGACGTTCATGGGTGACAGCACACTGACGATGGCCAAAAGCTGGGTGATGGTCCTCAGAGCAGCCATGCGAACATTCTCCGACTCATCCTCTAGCAGAGCAATAGCAAAAGGCAGCACCCGGTCGAGCTTTGCTTCATCCGTTAGCCTTTCCCCCAAAGCTAGAAGCAGTTCACAGCCTCTGATCTTAGAGCTGGCGCGAGCAGTTGTTCTCAAAGCCGAGATCACGACGTTGAGAAAGAGGAGAGCGCCATTATCTTGAACAGTTCCAGCACGATCTGCCGCATCGTGTCTGTTGTTTGGTAAATCCACTTGGAGTGGAAACAGATCCAGACCTGAGGTGATGGGCGCACGAGTTGATTTCTCGATTTTATCCACGTCGGAAAACCCTAGGAAGTATGAGATCTTGTCGAAGTCGGCATTGATACGCTCTATACGGTCATCAGATCCTCCTGAATTCTTTGCTCCAACTATTACTGGTTTCCTACCCGAGGTTGGGTCTGTGATGAGATGCATGTATTGATGCAAGAACGTGTAGAAGTAGTCTGGGAAGCACTTGCCACGCCAGAACTGTAGATAGTCCTCAGCGCTGTAGCGTTTCGCCGGATCGAGTTGAATCATGTGAGCAACCATCTCTCGGATGTTCTCATCCTTGATGTTGTTCAGAGTAGTGTGTGTCGGATCGTAGTCTCCTCTGCGATATTTGAACAGCTGACTGAGCGTGAAGGTGGGCTTCTCGGTGAAGAGCTCGGCGATGACACAACCTACGCTGAAGATATCCATCGGCCAGGTAACTTCATGCCATGTCTCTCTAGCCTTTCTCTCGTATTGGTCATCCTGCGGATTTGGCTCATGTTCTCTGAGTTCCTCGTCGTCTACAAATCGCTCAGGTGCAACGTAACAGATGCGACGGCCTGTAGTATCAAAGAAGATGGAGAATGTTGCTGGGTTGTTCTCGGGTAATCGACCAGGCTTGAACGCAGTGGAGAAGTCGGTCAGGTACAGCCAATTCCAGGTTGTCACAAGCATGTTCTCGGTCTTGATGTCTCCATGGCAGATATTCTTCGCATGGCTCTCNCTGACTGCACACAANAGCTGGTATGCGATCCACTTCCTCTCAATATCCTCGAGCGACGGGTTAGTGCTAATCCTGTCGTAGAGAGAGCTGTGAATATATTGGCGGACGAGGTAACCATTTGTTGCAGTCTCGATAATCCGATGGTATGGTAAAATGTTCGGAACATCTGAGAGTTCTCTCCTCTGGACAAATAGCTTCCGCGAATAGTCTTCGAGTTTCAAGTTGGGATATGGTTTGATGAAGACCTTGGCGATCACGAGTCCATCTTTGTGTCTAGCGCGAATTGTTTTCATGAACCGCACAGCACCCAGACTTCTCTCGGTCTCGAGGTCAGCGAGTTCAGGGACATCAATACCAGCCGAGCCGGCAGAGACGTTGATTGAATAACCTTGACCCATGGTGATGTCTGCCTACGCGCATGTTTCGCGTTCTCAAGTCCTTGTTGTATCAGAAGTCATAAGCATGCGGAACACGGTTCTAATTCGATGGCCGAAGTATGGAAGAAGTCATCAGGTGATGTTTGAAATTATCATCAAGAAATTGTGTGATTGCTAAGTCTAGCATCAATCTAGGTGGTTGGGTAGTCACATGGAGTTGGAAGGCACGAAACAAACAAGACAAACATCCCACCATCGAGCCAAGCGTTTCATTCGCGAGCCTTTCAGGCACAACAGCGAGAACTCGCGAAATGTGTGTGATCGACAAAATATTTTGAAAAACCAATGCAACTTGCTTGCCATGTATTTATGAAAATATCTCGAAGACCTGTCGTTTGTGAAGCATTGTTGTCGTTTGTGAGCTTGAGGTGAACACATGCCAGTCACAGTACTTGTGAATCAATGCGCAAGGAAGATGAAGTGTTTTGAGGTATTATTTCGTTGATTCATGACGATCAGGTATTTCTACGCCGATTCGTATATATGCATTAAGCATTGCAATTCATCTCATTTCAAATGAGGTTGCTTTGGGTCGAAATGGTTTTTTTGTAAACAAGAAAGGGAATCATCGCTGGTATCTTGAAAAGTGCTGCTCAAAGAGAAGAGGAAGCATTTACTGGGGACCGAACGAGCCCTTGCCCTTGAGGGCGGCAGCGTCCTCCTCAGCGAGCTCCTGGTCGATCTTGGCGCCCTTGCTGGGCTCGTTGCCGTGCGATTTGGCNCTGTATGATGTGTTAGTATATTGTAATATGGTGAAGACGTTGTCTTATGTGGGTCAACGTACGGGAAGGGTGGCGTCCTTCTTGAGCTGCTGGGTCTGGAGGGACTCCTGCTCGTCCTCGTTCTCGCGCTTCTCCTCACGGGCAAGCTTGTTGGCGATGGTGCGCTCGTCNCTCTGGTAGGTGGTTAGTGGGTGGTCAAGCTACATCGGCAGGTGGTCCTTCTTACTGGAGTCGTTGGCCTGATGAGAGTGCTCCTTGCCCTCGTGGAAGCGGGCCTCCTGCTTCTGCTCGGCAATCTCAGAATCCTTGTAGGTTCTCTGGTCACCAGCCTCGTAGACACCAGAGTTACCGACGTTGCCAGTTCCAGACATTGTGATTGATTTTAAGTGGTTGGGGGATTTGTGGGGTGGGTTTGGAGGTGAATTGATGGAGTTGTGAGTTGTGGAAGATGTGATGATGGAGGGAAAAGAAACGTAAAGGGTGTGTTTGCAGAGGTTAAATGTGTCTTCTGAGCTCCTGCCTGACAATGACGTCGCTCTTGCTTGACATCATCAGAATCTTCTCCAAGAGTGGCAGCTGTGGGGTTGCGAGAGCTTTGGGCAGCTCCAAAATCCACTTGCTTGACACACACGCGATCGAAACTCGGAAGACCGTCTGTTTGTTGAGCAGCACTCCGTCATGGGAGGCTTGCGAATTGAGATATTTTTCCATGCCTTGCTACATCTTATGACGAGACACTCGAGTGTCTTTGGGGATATCCATCTAAACGCCGCCAGCTTTTCTCATGCATGCATTTCAGTTCCAGTAAATCATCAGTAAAAACGCCAAACAAGCCCAATCCCCCGCCCGATTGCACAGAAATTCTAGTTGTATCGTGCGCTTCGCTTTTCCCCCGATTGCTTCCAAGTTCGGCCCTACTCCATCTCGATCGTGCCTGGTGGCTTGCTGGTCACTATTTGGCCGTTAGCAAATTCATGTCCAGAAACTTCTGATGTTGTTGGTTGTTATGGTGACTTACCCTCGTAAAGCACGCGACACACACCGTCGACCTCGTTGACGATGCGAGTGCTGACCTTGCTCAAGAACTTGGTGGGGAAGTCGAAAACGTCGGCAGTCATGAAGTCGGTGGTCTCGACAGCTCTCAAAGCAATAACTTGAGCGTGGACTCTCTTGTCACCCATGACACCGACAGCCTTGACAGGCAGAAGAGCGGCGTAGGCCTGACTGATCTGCTTGTAGTAGCCAGCCTTCTTGATCTCCTCAATGAAGATGTAGTCGGCCTGCTGGGCAATGCGGACCTGGTCACGAGTGACCTCTCCAATAATACGGATAGCAAGACCCGGACCAGGGAAGGGGTGTCTCCATACAAGGTCCTCCGGAATGCCGAGTTGGGTACCAAGAGCGCGAACCTCGTCCTTGAAGAGCTCTCTCAAAGGCTCAATGAGCTTCAAGTGCATGCCCTCGAGCAAACCACCAACGTTGTGGTGAGTCTTGATAGTAGCGCTAGGACCCTTGAACGAGATACTCTCGATAACGTCTGGGTAGAGAGTACCCTGGAGGAGCCACTCAATCTCACCCTCGTTAGCCGAGCCGTGAGCAGCAGCAGCAATCTCCTTTGCCTTCTCCTGGAAGATCTCGATGAAAGTGTTTCCAATAATCTTGCGCTTCTTCTCGGGGTCGTCCTTGACGCCTGCGAGCAGGTCGAGGAAGCGGTCGCTAGCGTCGATGACGGTAAGGTTGATACCGAGTCCAGCAGTTAGAGTCTCCTTGACCTGCTTGGCCTCGTTGAGACGCAAGACACCGTTGTCGACCATGATGGCGTGGAATCTGTCACCAATGGCCTCGTGCATGAGCTTAGCGGCAACAGTAGAGTCAACACCACCACTGACGGCACCGATGACTTGTCCCTTAGGGCCAACGAGGGCTCTAATTCTGTCAATCTCCTTGCCGACGAAGGCGTCCATGGTCCAATCTTGCTTAGCACCACAAATGTTGGCAGCGAAGTTCTTGATGAGCGGCGTGCCCTTCTTGGTATGGGTGACCTCGGGGTGGAATTGAATACCGAACCACTCCTTGTCCTCGTGGGCGATACCGGCGAAAGGTGCGTTTTCGGAAGCGGCGACAGTGACGAAGCCTGCAGGGCGCTGGGATAGCTTGTCACCGTGGGACATCCAGACGTCCATGTCGTCCTCGAGACCAGCGAAGAGAGCATCGACGTGAGCGGTCTTGCCAGAATGCTTCTGAACGTTCAGAATGGCGTGGCCGTACTCGCGCTTCTCGCCAGCAACGACGTTCTTCTGGTCGCTGTGCCATGCGATCTCTTGAAGACCATAGCAGATACCGAGAATTGGGACACCCATCTCGAAGACGGCGGGGTCGACGTGGGGCGCGTCATCCCAGTAGACAGAGTAAGGACCACCAGAGAGAATGATACCCTTGGGCTTGAATGAGAGCTCGGAGATCTTCTGGGTGCAGGGAAGCATCTCAGAGTAGATGTTCAGCTCGCGCAGACGGCGGGTGATCAAGTGGGTGTATTGCGATCCGAAGTCGAGCACCAAGATGGTGTCGAAGATGGTGTGGGGCGGAGGTGGGACATTGGTGCTTGAGTCGGCCATTGTGAAGAATGTGTGTCCTGGATGCGACGGGCGGCGCTACAAGACAAGAGAAGGGAGGTGGTAAGTGGGATGACTGATATTGAGATCAATAATTTTTCTCCTCTTGACAAACTCAAGGTCAGGGTCCGACCTCTGAGATGGCCTGAGACGCTTTACCCGATTGGGTATGGTATGCTCTTGGCTTTTGTTATCTAGCCCTTATCACCATCCTCGGCTCGATGAACCAATATAGAACATTTTCTTGCGCTTGAACATTGAGATGTATTCACAGCTGTGCTACGCAGATGTTACAGTCTGGATCTGCTGTCTCGTGGCAGTCACATCTCCTTCTTCAACCAATCAACAACAGTCTTGCCAAACTTCTCAGCATTGGCATGCAGGCCCCAGTGACCACCTTCCAACGTGACGTTTGTGAGCTTGGGCAAAAGACCATTTTTTACCGCCATGCCAATTGACTCGGCACGACACACCTTGTCATTGTCGAAGCCAACATAAAGCGAAGGCACGTCAACAGTGATGGCCTTGGCTTTCTTGGCTTGAAAGTCTTGGTGACCGCCGACCATAGCCTTGTACCAGCATGTTGGCGCAGCAAATCCATCACGCTTGAAGCGAGTGATGTATGCATTCTTCATCTCTTCGGTAGCATAAGGTTCGGTTTGTTGCTTCTTGTCTTCAAGCAAGAAATCCTTGACACCGTCGTACTTGCAGACTGTGTCTAGCCAACTCTCCGGTGGGCCGTGGAGCATAGTGAAACTACTCTCGAGGTGCTCATCAAGAAGCTTGTAGCCGTCCTCGCTGGAAAACAGGTACCAGTAAGGAAGAGTGGCATAACCGAAGATCTTCTTGGTCATCTCGTTGGCTGCATCGAGGTTGAAGGGCTGATCTCCAGGCGCGGTGTAGGCAACATTAACCATGACGAGTCCCAGAACACGATCAGGATAGTAGTTGTAGAATCTTTGAGCGAGAGCACAGCCCCAATCGTGGCCCAGAGAGACGACCTTTTGCAACTTCTCGTTGTCAAGAATCTCTGTGAGGTCCTTTGTCATGTGTTCGAAAGCGTACATGGCAGGATCCAGGGGCTTGGAGGTGCCAGCATATCCCAGACAGTCAACGGCGACTACACCGAAGCCAGCAGGGATGAGGTGGGTTGTTGCTAGGTCTGCCCACTCGGCAGCCTCGTCAGGAAAGCCATGGATACACAGTACAGTGGGCTTCTCTGGCTGGGCTGGTGGATGGTGATAGTATGTGTATGTCAAGGAGCGTGAGACATTCAGGGTCTTCTTGGTCAGGGAGTCCATGCTGTGTAATTCTGTGGTTATAGATGTGATGTGTAGCTAGGGTGAAGAGGAACAAGACATGGGCAGATGATGTTTATAAGGCAACAGGTTCAATCGCCAAGTCAATTCGCTTGTAGTTACAAGAACAGAACAGTCTGACCTTCAGTCTGCGCCGGCAGTCGGCTAATGTTTCTACAAGCATGTCCTTCTGCCAATGTCCGTGTTGAAAAGACGAACCTTCTGACACCTTCGGGCAACTTGCCGAATAAGGAGGATAAGGCACGTGATTGTGGGGTGCTTGGGCCTCCAGCGTGGTATCCTCGAATCCGAAACACTTTCGACACAGATCAATATAACCGAAGTACTAGCCGTCCTGTACGAATCAGGTTTCAGCATGTCTGCAAGTCTACTTGAAAGCATCAACCTCGATGCAGTGTCGGTGGACAACCAGAACCATGCGAACGACAGAGACATTATCAATAGTGGCCAACCTCACTCTAAGCAACATGATAATATCAGTAACGATGGACAATTCATGAACGGCGAGAAGTTCACCGAGCCCTCCATCAAGCGGATACACGAGATTTATCACATAGCATACCTCCTTAGACAAAGACTGGTCCCGGACTTGATACCCAGTATCTTGAATGAGGCTGGTATATTCTTTAGCACTACAACCAGGGTGAAATTCAACCCAGCCATCATGGTATCTCAGGAAAACGCTCCAAGAGGTATCCTCACCAGTAAACACATCCATGCCAGAGCCCGAGTACGGCAACCTGTTCGGAAAATCGTGTTCCAGATCACTGCTCACGATCAAGGTTCGGCACGCGAGCTGAGTGAATTGGATCATGGGCCTTGGACATGGTTTACAGCACGGTCTATCACAAAAGCTCAGGACTCTTCCGATCAAGCCACGATGATACGATGCTGTAGAGAAGTCTGCCGTAACCCAATGGCGGATGATGAATGGCATACACTTCAAGTAACGTGGCGAGCAGACTCCGAGGACCTCTCTGAAGCTCGGTGGGTATCGAGCCTGTTGGTCGGAGACCAGATTGTGGTTGATGCATGGTCTGCCAACGCAGGCTGGATGAATCATATACAGCAAGCAAGCATCACAGTGCACACCGTGGCGATCTCATGAGTCGGAAGCGATGTCGTCTTCATTGACTGCATTTGACACAGTCGAGCAACAGAGTCGTGGTTCTTGCGTCGCAGCTTTGGACATTACGTATATTGGAATTGGGCACCCTGTCCGTTCTGCCACACCCGCACACAAGTACATATTTACGCATATACACACATATATAAGCAATCAAAGGTCTATCTGCGACACCTCGATTCACCAAGATGCCTCGCTTACTATGCACGTCGTCTCATCCACTACAGTTAGAGCTCTCACGAGGACAATAGAGTGATACCGAGAAGAGCTCGGATTGATGAAGCTTATGTAAGCCTGGACCCCGAAACTTCACCTCCGACCCTGCCACATCCTTCAGACACAACTGACAACAAAATCCACAGTGTCGCTTGCACCTCCTGAGATTGCGAGACCATGATGAATACACACACGCTGCTTGCAGTTGGAAGCCAACCGTCAGCTGCGAGACGTTTCGCGGCCAGGGTCAGCGTTGTGCCAGGTTCCAACCACCTAACACACATCTCCTGATGTAAGCAAACACAAGGCGTTGACGCGCAGAACAGATGCGTGCCTGGGGAGTCTGGGCATACTATCCTCGACATGGTTGTCGCGTTGTCCGGCTGGATCTCCAACTTGTGCTACTAAAAGTATTCGACCACCACCGCCAGATCGAAGTAACACGTTGGTGCCTCTAACATCCGATAAGATAAACATCCATGACGACCGTAGTCAGAGAAGGCCTTGGACTTCTTTTCTACCTCAGGATTGTTAAATTCGGTTGCAGTGATGGCTCTACCAAGCCACGACAACAGCAAGACCTCGCACTCTCACCAACATAGCTATGTTTGGCAGTGCGATCAAACTTAGAAACCTTTATATCGTTGTAAGTCTAGAGATGCTGACAGTAGGTAGTGAAATGGGGTATAAGAAGGCAGATACAACCTGCATCCAATTCTTCTCTCACCAACCAGCATCAACAATCACGACAGCGAGACCAACTATTCATTTGACCTCTTTGAGCTTCCCTACCAACCACTTTTGTCTAGATTTTGCTTTCTGGCAAGATGTACTTCGGAAACTTGCTCTGCAGTGCCCTACTCTTGGGCTACGCAGCCGCCTCGCTCGTTCCCCTCGATCGCCGCGAAATTGGTCAAGACCGAGCCTTGACCTATCTCGATCCCATGTCATCATTTTCCCATCCGCATGCTCAGCGTAGTGCAAGAGTCGTGAAGCGAGCTTCCGATGAATACGACCTCAGCATGAGCGATACATGGTATTGGGGTGCGAATGGCGACGTTATGCCCATGGCCAAGGCCGTCTGCAGTTTTGAGCGAGATGGCCAGCAGCCATGGGACGGACGCATTGTCGCCATGGAAAAGGTTATGCACAATATCCCGTCCGTTTCCTGCTCCAACAACTCTGTCACTGTACAGTGGTCCAACGAGGACTCTTTCAACAAGGCAAACGCCAGCTGGAATTGGGTCAATCAGAACGACACACGCTATCTTGCAATGGTCGTCTTGTCGCCCAACTGCTCTGACGGCAAGCGTCAAACGTACAAAGCGTCATGCTTCAATGCCAGCAGTGGAAATCTCTCAATGGTTGCCGATGCAGAGCCCGTAGATCTATGGGATGCCATCCCTTTTGTCGATATTCAGATCTCGACAACAGGCATCAGTGTAGGAAATGCAACGGACACGACAATGCGGCTGGCCAAGCGTTTTGATACCATGATTCCTGTTGCCAAAGACTTCAGTGGTACAAACATTGTCAGCCAGAACATCAGCGACGGCCTCGAGGTGGCATTAACGTGCGGCAATTGCAAAACCACTGGTAACCTTGATATTGATGTCAACATCGGCTTCGACGCGAGCAAAATATTGACCAGCACTCTTGGCTTCACTGGAACCGCAAAGATCACGGCTAACCAAGTCTCGGCCACTATTGGGCTTGACCTTGTTGTAAGTGCTGAGCTCACTGCCGAATTTGACAAGTCTGTCACATTCCTCAACGTCCCACTCATCGAGAACCCGATTTCTGCTGCGGGCGTGAACATCGGCCCCGTGCTGATGGTCAACCTCGATGCCAAAATCGACTCCATCACTGCTTCTGTGGACCTTTCACTGGGCTCAGTCACTCTGAGCATTCCGGATGGTGCTAGCGCCACTCTTGATCTCTCGGGGGACGACAACAGCAACTCTGGTTTCTCTGTAACCTTTAGTACCGAAGGTCCAAGTGTCAATGCCGACATCTCGGCCTCTGCCTCGTTTGGTCCCAACATCATTCTCGGACTCGAGCTTAGTGCAGGCGGCAAGGGAGCAGGCGCAGGTCTTGCCCTAGCAGCACCCCAACTCGCGCTCACAGCCTCTGCTGGCACCGACTCGAGCTGCCCAAGTGTCGAATTCGAAGCCGATCTCACCGCCCAGCTCAATGGTTTCGCTGGTGTTGGAAGTGTTGCCGACGTGGCGGCAACAAACACCATCAGTATCCTCGCGACATCGACTCAGATCTTCAGTACTTGCCTGACGGCCCCGGGTGATACTACTGCTGCTGCCACGACCACGGCAGCCGCACCTACGATGACTGCTTTCGGCGGCACGGTTGGAACTACGCTGAGTGACGGCGGATGCCAGCAGGCGCTCAACAACCCAGGTGCGGTGGCGCCGTCGACATGTGCCGCGAATGGAGGCGACTCCGATTTCGTCATGACCATTGAGGGCTTTCCTGAAAGCTGCTGTCCAAGTGGCACGCTATCAACTGACGGCACGCTCGATGGCACGACGAGTATCTGTTGCTCGTAAGTGTCCAGGAGCTTGTTCCTCCAAGCCTACGCTTTTCTGGTCCTCGAATCAAAATCTGGCGGTCAAAAATGCTGGAATGTGATCGAATCCCCAATCGAACCGTCTCTACTGGTTTCAGATCCCACCGCTGCGATGTTTGGTTGTTGACACTCTTTATTCAGTGTGCCGTCTTTTTGGCCATGCCTGCTGTTGTATGTGCTTTTGATCCTTGACTCTGCTTATAATCTCTCTGTCTCTACATGCTCGTCATTAGGATATCTAAAATAGAACATGATCGGCTTGGCTACCTACGTACTCGTATATATGTGCCTGTCGGCTTCTTTGATTCCAATACACGATAGGTACTTACAGATATAGTATCCAATTAGTGTAGAGTAACCTTTTCCTCTTCCTCTGAGTAGTGGCCGAATTGGGAGGAGCCTTTGAGGCTGGAGCTTGACCATCACATGCGATTTGCGGGATCTTGGCGCGCATCGAAAAGTTGATGCACCTTGATCTACAACTTTTTGTCACGACATCACAACTCAACACAGCAAACCTCACACAATGCCCAAGAGAAAGACGACAGCAGAAGACGCACCGGTCAAGGACCACAAGATGCGCGACNGACGACGAGTCGAGCAGCGATGTACGCCAGACGCTTGACCAAAGCCACGAGCAGACAACTAACGAAGCCACCACCAGGACGAAGACATGATCGATGTCGACTTTGAATGGTTCGACCCACAACCCGCCGTCGACTTCCACGGCCTCAAGACGCTGCTGCGCCAACTCCTCGACGTCGACAACGAACTCTTCAACCTCTCTGCCCTCGCCGACCTCATCCTCTCACAACCCATGCTCGGCAGCACCGTCAAAGTCGACGGCAACGAAAGCGACCCTTACGCCTTTCTCACAGTCTTAAATCTCGCCCAACACAAACAAAACCCCGTCGTTGCCGACTTGACCGCCTATCTCTCCCGCAAAGCCTCTTCTATCCCCTCGTTATCTGCTTTACCTGCTCTGCTTGCCGCAGACTCAAAAGCAGAGGTTGGACTTATCCTCACCGAGCGCTTCATCAACATGCCCTCCGAGATCGTCACGCCCATGTACACAATGCTGCAAGAAGAAATCCAATGGGCAATCGACGAAAAGGAACCCTACAACTTCTCCCACTATCTCGTTCTCTCANAAACCTACACCGAAGTCGAGTCCAAGCTAGATGCGCAAGAGTCTCGTCCCACGAAANAGGGAAAACAGCAAAAGGCGGATGCAATGACGTTTTACTTCCATCCTGAGGATGAAGCACTGCAAAGATTTGGTGTAGGTCATGGTAACTTTGACCATGACAAGGTGGGTGAAGAGGGGGCTAGTGATGCAAAGAGAGCATTCCAAGAGGCGGGTATTAGACCGCAGGGACATTTGATTCTGATTGAGGCGAATAAGTTTAATGATGCTATCAAGGGTGTTGGCGAGTACCTTTCGGGCAACTAAAAGATATACACGAATTCAAGCAACCACGACACTCTTCGAGAACTTGTACATATCCTTGCCCACAAGATGGCTCTCAGTGTTTCCTTACATGCGGTTCTGGCGTCAAATCTCAGACAACAAATCTTGGTCTACCGACGCAAGCACATTGCACATCTAGCTACCTAGAACATGATTCTTTCAAAACCACATCCTCAAACATCGCGGCTAGAATTGCTCCTATACGATCATTGAATCGCTATACTGTTTTCATCTTTCTTCACACGTCCCTGTCAACGCACGTGAATCACTACTTCTCACATCCAATTTCCAAATCTCAAACTCTCAAATCACATTTTTGACCACTAACAACGAACTACTTGAGAGATGCATTCACAGACATCACAAGCCATAGGATCCATCCCCAAGACCACGTCTATAGATTTATACATGCGTAAATACCTCAAGGTCGCGAGAAAACAGTCATTGTTGCTTTAGAGCACTGGTACGAGGTATCACCCTGTCCTCACTTGATTGCCTTTTCTTTTCTATTTTTTATTTCTTCTTTTGCCTTTCCCCCTTTTCCTTTTCCTTTTTTCCTTTTTTCCCTCCTCCCTATGTGCTAAATTCTGTGACTCCACCCCTGTCCCATGGAAGGCGTAGAGCAAAGTGTACACTATAAAAAGGCACAACTCTTTCCCGAAGCAGAGGAGTGACCAAAGAGAGCCGCTGAGACGTTGGCTCTCTGTGGACACTGCCTTGTTTCTTGATAGCACTGTGCATTTCTGTAGCTATACGCGTTACATACTTTGAGCACACGGAGAGGTATCACAAGGAAAGGGCTACCGAAATGACAAGTTTGAGATTTCTTTGACATTTTTACTTTTGTTATCTTTTATGCTTGTTTCTCTTGAATTTGTGCAAAAATGCTCGCAATAACGCCTGGGCTGTGCTCATTAGATGGCCTCTTCAATCATTGTATGCTTTCATGACCCCGGTGATATCATTCTCATGATTAAGGTCCTGATGCAAAAGAAGCACGCAGAGGAGGCGACCGTATTTCCCCAAATACAGTCTGGACCTCTTATGCTTCTCCTTCACTCAGCACTCTTGTATGCATTTTAACCCAGCAACTCGACGTCCAAACCAATGGCTCTCATGAAAAGGTTGACCTCGCCCAGTTTCCTGGCAGCCATGTCTTGAGGCAGTTGCTTGCTAATCTCGACAGTAGCCATGACTCTGTCCTTGACACCAAGGACCAGACGCTGTTGTTGTTCGGGACTAGCACTGACACCCATAGTAGCCAAGAACTGCCAAATCTCAAAGTCGTTGCTGGTGTTGACATTCTCGGTGGTGAAGATATATGGGAGTACAGGCTCGGCAAGGTCAAAGAGACGGTTGTAGAGCTGAGTCCACTGTGACCAATCCTCGTCCGAGACCTGGGCGCTCGATTGTTGCTTGACAAGGAAGGCGCGTGATACCAGCATCGTGAGCATGGCAACACCGATCTTGGTGCGAACAATGGCTTGTACGTTGACACGGTCGAGAACGAGACCGACGAGGCCGGAGATGATGTTGAGAGGAGCGTCACCAATGTAGGCGAGCAGGGTGGGAATGACAGCTTGACTGAACAGCTCGACCTCGTCGCGAACAGCACGAGGTAGTTGAGGCTCGTCAGGGTGAGGGTAGGCCAGGCGGATAACGTCAAGGATGTCGAGGTGGATGATGAGGATGGTCAGAATGGTCAGACGCTGTTGATCGTCAATGTGGCGGAAGACACGCGGAATTGCCTTCTTTCCCTTGGCGTGTGACAAGATGGCGATGAAGGGATGAGGACTCGAGGGATTTTGCTGGATGGGTTCCATGACTCGTAGGTTGAACCACAGCTTTTGGTTGAGCTCATGAGCTCTCTGTCTCCAATCAATATGGCGCTGAATAGCATCCGGGTGGCTCTCCTCGTTCGGTGGCGGAGGCAGGTGGCGCTCGTGATCCTCCATCTGCATCAAGGTCTCGTAGACGTTCTCGATGTTGCGAAGGGTGGACTTGCGGTCCGCAACGCTGAGCTTGGCGACTCTTTGGGTGTGTGATTTGCTCTCACTGTCGGGACGCTTGAAGCTCAACAGGGGACGGGGNGTCTTGGAGTTGCTGAAAGCAATCTTACCCAGACTGCCCTCAACAATCAGCTGTCTGTTCTTCGGCCTAGCTTTGGCAGCCTCGACAGCACGCTGAACCTGCTGCTCCATTCTCTGCATGTGGTTGTCACCGCCGCGAGGATGTCTGCGACCTGCTCCGTAGCGACCGCCGGTCTGGAAGAGATATGTCTGAGCAAATTGGTTCAGGGGCTGACCAGGATGTTGTCTAGGAGCACCACGGATCTGAGCATAGACCTGGTAGTAGAAGTCCTCGGCGAGCTGAGCGTCCGAAGATTGCTCATCGACGCCACCAGTGGCAGTCAGGAGCTGTTGCAGCTGAATGCGGGTGATGAAGTTCTTGTCCTGAGGAGTCATAAGACCGTTGTCCTTGGAAAGCAAGAAGATCTTGTGGTTGCGCTTGGCACGTTTGGCCTCTTCCGCAAGGAAATGGGCGCGCTGTTCGTCGGACAATTGCATCATCTGGTTGGCCTGAGTAATGGGAGGACCCGAGTATGAGGCACGATGGCCATGGCCTGACTCGCCGGGCGGGGGACCGGAAGGAGGGCCAGTGGGAGGCATCTGCTGTTGGAGTTGCTGAGCGATCAAACCAGGGTTCTGCATGCCCGGAGGAGGCTGGACAGGCATGTGTTGAGGCTGGGGGAAGGGAGAAGCCATCTGAGGCTCTCTCGAAGGCTGTCGCGGAGTGTGCTGTTGCATCTGCTGGACACCAGGGAAGCTGCTTCCTGGAGCTTGGAAAGGCTCCTGGACAGGAGTGTGGTGCTGAGGCATGTTCATAGCGCCAGACAGAGGTCGTGGCTGTTGGCGCATCGAAGCCTCGACCTCCTCGAGGCTCATCATCTTTCTGCTAGAAGGAGTCGAGGGCTTGAATTGAGGCTCTTGTTGTTGGGTAGGCTTCTTGGAAGGCAGACCCCAGATGCTGGCATTGGCTTCGAGCTGGGGGATGTACTCGGGCTTGGAGTAGTTTTCGTAGCCGGAGCGAGAGGGCTTGGGCTGCTGTTGGTGGTGTTGGAAGCGCTGCTGAGCCGGAGGAGGCTGGCGAGCATAGTGCAGAGCCTGTTCTTCTTCAAGAGTACCGGCGACCTTGTTGGTGGTGCCGAAGAAGTCAAAATCCTTGCCCACGCGGCCACCATCTCCAAAGGTATCGTCGTTGAAGGCATCGCCGGCCTCGTCGAGCTTGTCGGCCAAGGCATCGTAGGTGTCGTCGAAGTTGAGGNNCTGGGGCGGTTCAGTCAAGAGGGCAAAGGATATTTGGAGAGGTTGGACTCACACATCGCCCTGGTCTGCGGCATTCTCGCGATTGGCAAAGGCAAAGGCATCCTGCTGACCGGCGAAGAAGCCGCGGCCAGCGTCTCTGTCCTGCTTGTCCCGAGGGAGGTTGGTGTCGAAGCCAAAGAAGGACATTGTGAGCAGCGAAGGGGAGAGGAAGGAGGAGTTAGGAAGCAGTCGACCGAAGACTGCGCGGGTCTGGTCTAGGGTGAGGGTAGGTAGGCGCGGGGTATGCGCTCGTGAGAGGAAGAATGCGGCGGCGGTGTCGAGCAGCGGCAGCAATGATGATGCGGCGGCCGGCGAGCTTGACTCTCTCACTTAGAGACGGTGATGACATTCCGGAGAATACCCGTGCACCAAATACATGCCAAGACTTGCATTGACCTGCATCCAACATGAAGCAGTTTGGAAACCGTGCATTCACGACGAGCAGGTCCCCTTGAAGTCACGATAACTTCAGCTGCACGCTATAACAGGTACTCACGCCTAGCCCGCCCAGGATCAATACGAGCCCTCTCGGAAGACGCCTCTTTGTTGAGCCGTTGTTCTCTTGCTGCGTGTACGCAGGGAGAAGTAGTGGGTGGATAATGCAACGCTTAGAACCAGTGAACGCGCGGTGCTGCGGTGACCCCTTTTCTCCCCTACACAAGAGATAGATAGCATCTAGAAGCACAATACAAATTAACACTCGTCTCCCATCTGAGCTGCGGCGATCGCTTCCTTCTTCCTCTGTCTTGCCCTTTGGCTTGCTTCTTGCCGTTCATTATACGGGACGTTAAGACTGTCTTACTCCCAACTCACTCCTTTCAACTACTTTTGGCTTTTGTCCTCGTACCCTTCTCCACAAATAGTGCGACTTGCTACTATTCTGGCCCTCGTGGCATTTTACGACAACTCTTCCTCCTCCCGTCGCTTCCCAACTGTCCTGACCTAACCTCAACACCATCGCAACAATGGCGGCCAGGTATCTGCGATACATCGTCTTTGCCATCGTCGCTCTCGTCGTCCTCTTCTTCATCTCCAGCTCCTCATCAGTCCCCGGACGCGAATATGCCCAGAGTGCCACAGACCTGCTCAAGGACTCGAGCTCAAGATGGCGTGGCTCGCAAGAAGCTCACGGCGATGTCAAGGAATCTCACCCTGACCAGGGTACTACTCCCAACACGCACGCTGGTCTCCCTCCCGCAACAAACCCCGGTCCTCGCATGAACGCTACCTTTGTTACTCTTGCCCGCAACTCGGACGTTTGGGAAATTGCTCGTTCCATCCGTCAGGTCGAGGACCGCTTCAACAAGAAGTTCAACTACGACTGGGTCTTCCTGAACGACCAGCCTTTCGACGACCAGTTCAAGAAGGTCACCTCGGCCCTTACTTCCGGAAACACAAAGTATGGCGAGATCCCCAAGGAGCACTGGTCTTTCCCCGAGTGGATTGACCAGGACAAGGCTGCCAAGGTGCGCGCCGACATGGCCGCCAAAAAAATCATCTATGGAGATTCGATCAGTTACAGACACATGTGTCGCTACGAGTCGGGCTTCTTCTTCCGCCACCCTCTGATGCTCGATTACGAGTGGTACTGGCGCGTTGAGCCCAGCATCGAGCTCTTCTGCGACATTGACTACGACACCTTCAAGTTCATGGCCGACAACAAGAAGAAGTACAGTTTCACCCTCTCCCTGTACGAATACGTCGAGACCATCCCTACTCTTTGGGAGAGCACCAAGAAATGGATGAAGAACCATCCCGAGCACATTGTCGAGGGCAACTCTATGGGCTTTCTCTCCGATGACGGCGGTGACACCTACAACCACTGCCACTTCGTGAGTAACCACGCAAGCAGCCACCTGAAGAAAGCATACTAATTTATATCTAGTNGGTCCAACTTCGAAATCGGAAACCTCGACTGGCTCCGTAGCCCCGCTTATCTCGATTACTTTGACGCCCTCGACAAGGACGGCGGTTTCTTCTACGAGCGCTGGGGAGATGCTCCCGTCCACTCCATCGCAGCCGGCCTGACGCTCAAGAAAGAGGAAATCCACTTCTTCAACGACATTGCCTACTACCACGTTCCCTTCACCCATTGCCCCACTGGCGAGCAATACAGAATGGACCACAAGTGCCACTGCAACCCCAAGGACAACTTTGACTGGAACGGCTACTCATGTGAGTACCTCCCAAAAACCCGCTGACATTGCAAGAGCAAAAGCTGACATGTAACCTACAGGTNNACCGCCCGCTACTACGAGCTCAACGAGATGGACAAGCCCGAAGGCTGGGAGCAAGACGGCAACTGACTCTCCAAGAAACGTTTCGCTTGGCCCATCATCTTTCTCATTGTCGCTTCCGTCCTCGTCGCCTGCTTCATCCTTCTCCTTTCTGTTCGCCCCGTCCTGAACTTGGTGCATTCGATGCGCAATAAACGCAGTCGCTACGAGCCGCTTGGCCCTCACATGTCAATGTCGGAACGAAGAGCCATGACTAGAAACATTTATTAGAAAAAGGATACTAGTTTTCTTTACTTTATTTCTTCTACCTTTGGGTTTCGCGGACATGGCATACAAACGGAGGTGTAGGAGTAACTAAAACGGTGGACAAACATGGCGTTCTTTTTCGGGAGGGGAGAGGCTCGAATAAGAGTACAGTGGTCATTGATCTGCAGCAGATATTTCGACAATACACAACTCCAGAAGAAAACAAAAAAAATCATGAAATTGCAATTTTGAAAAGTCGAACTGTTTTCTTCCCGTGTGTTTGAGTCGTACCTTGTAGCAATTAAGTTGCACAGTAGTATTGAGAAATAGGACAGCAACAAATATCGAGTAAGAAGTGATACCTGCGCACGTCTTTGGCTATGTCTCTGCTGCCGAAACAATTGTGCGTTTTTGTTAGGAGTAGAGCAAACTTTGCTTGATGCCGTTGTGGAAGAGAAAGGGGTTTGACACGGCCTCCTGTACATTGCCTGCTTCCACTGCAACATAAGGGCACTTTTGGACTGTAGTACGACACAGTGGCTTCCAACATCCAAGGCATAGCCATAGAAAGCTAATGAAACTTTGTCTCTCACTGGGTGCTGCTCTGCTTCTCAAGACCATTGTGCATGCATGTCTATAGCTATACGCTTTATATGCTTCCAGTATATTCGGGAGGGGAGAGGTTGTTGATTAAGGATTCATTCATGTTAACTGTTTTGCTCATGACTACTGTTGATTGTTGATGTATATTACCGAGCAACTGCTGTGGCCATCATGTCCTGTCTTGAGCAAGTTCCCTCGTGATTGCATCCCCAATTTGCCTTTTTCCTCAATGGATTTTTGGTTTCTGTAGTCGTCGCCCTGCTTGCTGCTTGCTGCCTGTTGCCTCGTCATATCATCTGCTTATCCCTATGTGAGGGTTTCTTTTCCCCTAGTTAGCAGCTTCGCATCTTCTCATTCTCTCTCCTGCCACTGGCTGCCCTCACTTCTTGTCTACGATTTGGATATGCAGACCTCCCTTGAAAGTCAGCGTCTCAATCAGCGCCTTGGTCTGACTCCATGGCACCCTGAAAGAGCCCGAGTTGATCTTGCACATCCAGATCCCCGTTGGCTGCTTCTCGAGATCCTCCAGTTGCTCGAGCATATCCTGTAGTGCCGAGTCCGTGCTGTCCATGATGTCGTCTTTGCTGTCTTTGCCTCTGCTGTATTTGCGAGAAGTAAACAGACAGCCGATCCAGTGTTTGGCGCCTTTGGGCTGGGGAGGAATGAGTAGGCAGGTGCTGAGTAAGGAGTTTGGCGTTTTAGATTTGCAGTGGGCGGTGTAGATAGCAAAGTGGTCTGGGTAGGTTTTCTTGAAGGCGGCCGCGATGCCGGCGCCCCAGCTCCCGGCGCAGTTGCAGGCGTGGACGAGGAGGGTGTTTGCTGGGGCGGCGAAGAGATCGCCTTTGCGTTCTGTGAGGGTGATGTTGGGGGCTTCGTCGTCGGAGGAGTCTTCGTCGTCATCGTTCTCGGAGTCGGCATCCTTGGGGGTCTTGAAAGTTTGCTTCTTGGTAAGAGAGGGGACTGTGGCTTTGCTGGGTTGCTTCTGGGTAGCCTTTGACTTTGACTTTGTAGATTTGGGGGTCACGTCGATGATATCGTCTTCGGAGTCGTCGTCCTCATTGTGTTGAGCGGATGACTTGGCACTTTGCCTTTTGCTAGATGAGGAAGCAGATGCCTGGCCTTTGGATCTCTTGGGCTTGCTTGTCAGAACGATATCGTCGTCATCATCACTGTCGTGGGCCCTCCTGCGGGTTGGCTTCTTGCTAGGGGGTTGTTTCTTGGTGGTCGAAGAAGTTACCTTGATGGGCTTCTTGGTGTTAGTTTGCTCGTCATCACTGTCCTCCTGATCACCTTCGTCTTCTTCATCTTTTCTCACTCTCCTCCTCATCGTCGTCGTCGATATTAATAGGCTCTTCAGTGACTTGCTTCTTTGTGGTGGCAGTCTTGGGCTTGATGGTTTCACTGGCAGGAGGTTTAGGCTTGGTAGATTCACTGATCAGACCATCAATGCCTTCCTCATCACTTTCGGTGCATCTCTTGAGGGTTCGTCTCTTGGTCTGTGTTTTGGTAGCTTCAGAGGTTGAGCTCTTTGGCTTGGCAGATTGTGACATTGTAGGCAGATTGTCAGTGGGCAGAGGGACTTTGTGTGTAAATCCTTGAGACACGTCGGCGTCAGGCAAATCCATTTCCTTGGCCATCTTGTGTGGAGAAGAGATTGTTGAAGAGGAGAGGAGGAAACAGAGCAAATGGACGAATAAATACCCATAAGATCGAGCGATAGCGAGAGTGAGAGTGAGACGGACCGCGGGTCATGTGATTGGCTGGGGCTGCTGACCAAAGCCTTGGCATTCGAAGTACGGGCCTGGCAAGTTGTTGGACGCAACGAATTCGACGACGACGACGTCTGATCTCCTCAGTGCAGCAACATCCCCCGTCTCTCCTCACATCCCACAATGTCTCTCCTCTCCGTCTCGACGGCAGCCTCGCTGGCTCGCCAATGCGCCCGCCCTTCCGCCGTCCGCTCCTCTGTCGCCGCCCTTCAGGTCCGCAATGCCGGTTCCAGCGCCACCACTGCTGAGAGCTACACCAGCCCTTTCCGCGGCACCAGCAACCACCGCGACACTACCCACATCCCCGACTTCAAGAAGTACCGCAACACTGGTGGCGAGACCCAGAACAAGGTCTTCCAGTACTTCATGGTCGGAACCTTTGGTGCTGTGACCGCTCTCGGCGCAAAGGCCACCGTTCAGGGTATGCACAGGACTTCATCATACACCCGCTATGCCTCTAACATGCGCTGCANNGACTTCCTCGTCAACATGTCGGCTTCCGCAGATGTCTTGGCCCAGGCCAAGGTTGAGATCGACCTCGCCGCCATCCCCGAGGGCAAGAACGTCATCATCAAGTGGAGAGGAAAGCCCGTCTTCGTCAGACACCGCACCGCCGACGAGATCAAGGAGGCCGAGGACGCCAAGTGGGAGGCTCTCCGTGACCCCCAGCCCGACTCTGACAGAGTCAAGAAGCCTGAGTGGCTCGTCATGCTGGGTACGTTTGCCCACCCTCTCGATTGACGCGACGATTCATACTAACATCATCCTNTAGGCGTCTGCACTCACTTGGGTTGTGTGCCCATTGGTGAGGCCGGTGACTTCGGCGGCTGGTTCTGCCCCTGCCACGGTTCACATTACGACATTTCCGGCCGTATTCGCAAGGGTCCCGCCCCCTTGAACCTCGAGGTTCCCGAGTACGACTTCNCCGAGGAGAACTCCCTGATTATTGGTTAGAGAGTTATTACCTCCAACCATTCGACTTTATAATGCTGGGTAAAAAGGAAACCATAGACGAGAGAGCAACCACACAAAACGCAAAAACGACTTTCAAAACACGCTTTCCAGGTCGCGAATGTTTCACGAGCGATAGAGAAAACTTCTGTTGTGTTGTGTGGAGGCTGTCCTCTCACCAATTGCCCATCTTTCACCCTCCTACACCTCTCCCTACCCCGCAACACCACCCTTTTTCTCTTTATTCTCATGTCTTTTGTTATTGTACATGTATTCCAGCCGCATTTGACTTTAGAGCACTGTGTACAAAAGTCGCTTGCCATTTTTATTTTCTACGCCCTCTTAGCCTTGTCAAACGTGCAACATGACAATCTGACCTCTGTGAGCATGACAAAGAACGCAGAGCGAGTCTTGATAATGAGGAAAGTAGGCTAAGTAGAAAATTCAAGAAGACAGTCTAGACTGGTGGTAGTCTCAATCCATATTTGAGTCACAACATCTCCGAGTTCGCTGAACTCATATCACATGGAGCATTTGCATGAGCGGAGCCACCTCCTTGCCGTGCGTAACTTAGAAATTCTCTACCCGAATGCGGTGTATCTCTTCTCGATGATTGTTGCTATTAGGGATGTTTCCATCAAGGTACAGCGAGTGTACTTCTATAGTGTAATTAGATGTTTTGCCTTCCACCAGCCTTTCTTGAGCATGCAGAAGCCTACCGATCCCTATTGCATGGACCTGGCAGTGAGAGCTGCCGGTTCACAGGCTCAGATTGGTCATGCTGGCGATTCGTGACCTGCAAGCATTTAATGCCTAACCCTCGACACTGATAAAAGAGCGTATTCGGACTCTACTGAGCAGTCGCTCTTGTACTGGGCGGACGCTGCCATGCGATGACATAGTTGCCAAATTTTCGAGCCAATGCTTGCGACATCCATGGGACGCTGTTGTGAATGAGTTCTCCAGTGAAGAGAGATTCGTCCCGCACAGGCCTTGGTTTAGGCATTTCAGGAAATGGTGGCGGAGTTGCTGGAGACAGAATCACGGCTTGACGACTCCGAACCTACTCTTTCAAGTGTCGGCGGAAGATCTCGACATCAGTATCCAGTTCGCGTCGCTGTGGCCAGTTCTCGAGATTCATCACCACATCCGGATCTTGCTCCGGGGATGGAACCTTTCGGTAGAAAGTGTCAAGCGTGATGATTTCGTACAAAGTCAAGATGACGCTTTTAACATCGTTGAGGCTCTCGTCGTGCCAGGGCAGTCCCATGGCGGTCGCATACTCAAAGTCGAACATTCTGAGCTGACTACCCTCTGGTGCTTGCTCCAGGCAGATGAGATTCTTAGGTGCTATGTCTTGGTTGACGATTCGAAGCTCCAGATTGATGTAGTCGACAAGCGAAGTCAATTGATGTAACCAGTCGAGACGAAACACCTGATTATGGTCTTGATCAAGTGAGGGTGCAGGAAGGTATGGGACTGTGAAGCCCAGAATGTGCNNCGTATCAGCAACCACAATGCGACCAAGGGGGATGATGTTGGGATGTGTAGGCAAGCTGTGCAGCATGACAATCTCTCTCCAACTGCGCTCTCTGTATTGCACGATTGGCGTGTTCTTGAAGACCGCCTCCTTTGTTGTGCCATCATCGTCTTCGTAACTTACAAGGTCCACCCCAGGCATGAGCCGATCGAGCTCAGTCAGCTTGGCCATCGTAATCATACGACAATTCTGAAGACTCGGAGCATCGAGAAGACTTGGATAGAAAATCGCGATCTGACGATCGTCATCAGGGTCCGAGGATGCTGAGACAAGGTTGCCTGAGGCACCAACCGTGAGGGTATGTACAGCAGGGTCGAGTTCATCCATATAGCGTTTCAGGACCTCAATTGCATCGCACCCATCTCGTTCTTCGTCTGCCATCCTAAGAAAACTTGACGGACCACTGATTGAGTAATAGCGTCGCTGGTCAAAANNACCCATAACATTGAATTCGTTGTTGATGCGATTGGTTGCGCCTCCACCCGCCCAGAATCTGTATTCAGGATCAATCATGGAGACGTGTGTTGGACAGGTCTTGCGAGTCAGAACGGTGGGTTGTATGTATGAGTTTAGTTCTGAGTCGCGAATGGTATTCACCTCAATCTAGCACAGGACGAAGGACAAGAAGGGCAAGAAACTCTTATAGCAATTTTAGGCTAAACTTCCTCCAGTACCAAGGCCCCTCGAACGTCGCTTCCTTGCTATACACTCGAAGTCCTTCTCGGATACACCTCTAGCGATGATTTGACATTCACATCACTTCCAATGACCATGAGATGGAAAATCATCCACAGCATGACGGGCAGATCTCATATTCTCCGCATTCTCCGCACTTGATCCTCCCCCTGGTGACATCGCTTGCATGCTCTTGTCGATCATACTCGGTGCAGTGTTTCATATTACCCGAACGTGCACCTTTTCTTCAACATTGACCTAAGCACGCCGGCCCAGATGCTGTAGCTAGGCAATGTTCCATCAATAGGACACACTCGGATCTTGCTTGGCTGCCCTTGGCTGTCGGTGTTGCTAAACTCGATCTAGCAAAGTTTGGTAGTATGTTTGGAGAACACTCGGCATTCATTAATACGAGAAGCCCGAAGTACATGGTGACACAGCAGGTAAGGTCTGGTATATATTAGATGTGAGGCAGAACATGCGTTGCTATTCTTCTGAAGACTTGTACAGTTTCCTCGATCAACAGACAGAAGAACCTTCTCCTTTGCTAGACACAACAACTTTTCTTCGACATGTGGAAAGCAATTATCCCCTTGGCTCTTGCCTTTGTAGGCCAGGTTGCTGGTCAGACAGTCTATCTGGCTGGAGATTCTACTACAGCTCCAGGAGGTGGTGGCGAAGGCACAGAAGGTAAGAGGACTCCCTCGCGAGCCATCAATCACGATATCCAAGAATCTTGCATGAGCATCAATACTGATTCTTTCTCTCCACCAGGCTGGGGTCAATACCTGCACTACTCTTTAAAGATCCCCGTCGTCAACAAGGCCTTTGCTGGCCGATCTGCCCGCAGCTTCACTCGTGAAGGCCGTTTCGACGAGATCGGAAAGCTCATCAAGAAAGGAGATTTCGTAGTCATTGAGTTTGGCCACAACGACGGTACCAGCAACCCCGACAACGGACGTTCCGACTGTCCCGGCAGCGGCACCGAGACCTGCCAGTACACCTACAAGTAAGCAGATGCCTCTATCAAACCTCCTCTTGCACACAAAGAAACCGAATTCTAATCATGCTGTTTCCATCTANGTGGTGTCACAGAGACCGTCCACACATTCCCCTACTACCTCGAGCAAGCAGCAAAATCCTACGTCGCAAAGGGTGCCCACGTGCTCATCTCCTCCCAAACCCCCAACAACCCAGACGAATCCGGCGTCTTTGTTTCCGCGCCCTCTCGCTTCGTCGACCTCGCAAAGACGGCAGCTGCAAATGCAAAGGTTGATTACGTGGATCATAGCGCGTATGCATTGGCTGCATACAAGCCTTTGCCTGTGCAGACGGTGGATAGCTATTTCCCAAACGATCATACGCATACGGCGCCCAAGGGAGCGGATCTGGTTGCGCAGGCTTTTGTGAGGGGATTGGTTTGTGGAGGGAGTTTGTTGAGCAATTATGTCAAGAATGCTACTAGTGCGATTGAAGGGGCTTGCTTGAAGTAGAGGATGATTTCTGAGAAGAGTGGCTGTGGTATATGCATATAGCTACCGATGCTCAAGAACAGAAGAAACCTGAACAACAGACGACTCCGACAGTAATGAATTCTATCAAAATCTTCCGAGTGCAAGGATGTGATAAAGTACTCTGTGCACGACGCGGAGTTAAAGGCCAGTGCGTTCTGTCGTGTGGTCGAGCACGCTCCAGAGTGCCGTGGAATTCGGTGGTCTGAATGTGCAAGCAATGATGTTTTGTTGCTACACCGGAGAAAGGTATAATGCCTGGAAAAGAGAAATTTGTACACGGTCAAGCGTATCCGCAACGTCCTGACTTCGACTAAAAGATCTTGCTCAAAACCCTCTGAACATCTTCCGTCTGTTCCGACCTTGTCGAGTCCTTGATTCTCTTGCTCTTGACTTCGTTTTGCTTGAAGTCTCTCTTCAGCTCTCTGACTCCAGCAGCGGGTTTGCTTGCAGCAGCAGAGGAAGAAACACCAGCCCTGTCCGCCTGGGCAGCCTTCTTTGCCCGCATGCCTTCCAACATCTTACTCCTCTCCACATCCTCGACGAAACTCTTGTTTTCCCTCCTCGTCCTCGCAACCTCTGCTCTTAATCTCGCCGCCCTTTCAGCATTCTCGTTCGCAATCTGCTCGGTCAAATGACTCCACTTGAACCCAGTCAAATACTTCATATTCCACATGTCATCATGGTAAAAGTTTCCTTTNTTNCCACCGATGATGTTGCCGTTTAGCGTTTCCGCAGCAGCCTTTGCGTCTTTTTTGTTCAAGAATTCGACCCAGCCGTCCGTAAAGGATTTTTTCTTGTTGCCGCCGTTGCGGACGCGCTGTTTTTGGGCAATGGGGTCTTCGGGGGTCAGGAAGACGCGACCGATGTCGCCGTAGGGAGAGAGGTAGTGTTTGAGGGTTGCGGGTTTCATAAAGGGCGGGATGCGAGAAATGTAGATGACGCCGGTTTTCTTAGCTGCCTTTTGGGCTTTGAGGAGTTGTTTTTGGGTGAGGGGTTTTACTGTTTTTTCTCTTGGTGCGTCTGTTGTGTCTTCGAGGTTGTCGTCTTCATCGTCGTCTTCGGGGACAAAGTCGTCGGCGTCTTCATCGGATAGCTCGAAGCGTCCCTTTGAGGCTGCAGGTACGGATTTTGTGGCGATGGCACTTGTCTTGTCCAGAGCTTCCTCGCCTTCGTCGTCAAAGTCTTGCGAGTCGTCGTCCGAGTCTTGCTCGACTCTTCGGCGCTTGATTGATCGCGCGCCACGGCTCTCTTCTTGCTCCTCTGAGTTGTAGCCTGCATCTTCCTCCTCGTCGCTGATACCGTGATCCAGGAATTCGTTGCGCTTGCGGCTAGTCATGTTTGCGATATGAGTACTGTGAGTAGACGGTTGTTCTGCAAAAGGCAAGAGCGATGATGTGAGTTGCTTCACGCTTGGAAAATTCCCGAGCTTATCGATAAGTAGATTCATCCTCCTTTGTGCACAGTAATGCACAGCTATGCACGGCAAAGTACCACCTCCCCATGTGCTGAAGTTTTCGCTCCATCCTTCTCCTACGAAAGCGTAAAGCGAGGTGTGCACTATAAAAAGGCACAAATGTCTTCCGGAGCAGAGGAGGGGCCAAAGAGAGCTACTAATATTCGGCTCTCGGTGGACACTGCCTGTTTCCTGATATAATCGTGCAATTCTATAGTTATATGCGCTATAAACTTTAGCACTCTGGGAGGCAACCAAACCCATCTGTTTGATGTCTTTCCATAGGGTTTGATTTTCCTCCTCAACGATCCTAAGGAAAGGGCAGAAAAAAGGTACTAACTGATGAACTCGAAAATGCATTCCAACGTGAACGAAGATGAAACCCACCAGACCCAAACCAAAAAGCAGCAACCAAGATCTAATTTTGCCTTCACCATCAACAACAGCAAAACCACTTCAGAAACCTCATCCACCATACAGTCCTCTTCCTAGGATTGCCACCGCATCCTTCTTCACTACATACGCATGGCTCAAACTCACCCTCAGTGAGATCCACGTATTGTGCACCCCACAAGCGACCACACACATGACGACTTCCCCATCTCGAACACTTGCATACTGATTTGTCGGGAGCAGGGCCGCCAAAGACGAATGCCCCGGTGATGGGCCATGCGCACAGAGTGCATGGTTGAGTGCATAGACCAGGATCTGAGTCTTTGTGAGAACTTGGGTCACCACAGCAGCAATGGTAGACCCAAGTCACTCCTGGTTTGCCGTAGCAGCAGTGGGCGGCCGAGTAGCGAGTTTTTTGCTGTTTCTTGTGTACATCATTGCCAGGTGGATGACTTTTTGTAGGCAGATCGGTAGAGTCTTGTGCAGATGTGTTGGCTGCATCGGTCGTTCTCCAAGACTCATCTGCGGTGCCGGACTCCAGACCATGATCATCCCAACTGCTTTCCGTTGGCACACTATCATCTCCAGTATTTCCCCTCTGTCTACGAGGACGAAGAGGCCGAGGTTCATGATCGGTGTCCTTGCTGTCTGTATACGAGTCATCGCTCGATCCAGGTATATGATGCAGAGTCCTAGCAGCACAGCCCGGACAATGTATTTGATTGTACTCCCAGATGCGATTGCAGATATTGCAATGCATGATAGACTTGTTGCGGCGAAGGCGAGTTGGATCCCATATTGTCTCTTCAGCATGTACAGTCGGACCTGTAATCTCTTGCTCTGACTCTTGGCTAGGCGTATCAAACTCAGGGTCGAAGTAACCGCGATGTTGGTCTCGGAAGGCGTTGATGGAGAAGGGCACCGTGCCTGGTGGAATATCGTGGATGATGGTCGTCTGAGCGCTATTCGAAGATCGTGGGCTTTGGTGTGCAGTGTATGTAGGTCGTTTGATTGACTGCGCATCCATGTCGGCTGGTGCACTGTGTCTGCGGCCGGAGCCGTAGGCTTTGATGAGCGGTTCTGTGTCTTCTGCACTGCGACTCCTGTATCGGCCAAAGCTAACGATTCTGAGGATATGGCGACGTATCGAGCCTGGTGGGTTGGAAGAAGGCATGTTTGGGTCTGTCGGTTCAGGAAGGATGGCTGAGAAGTGCAGGTAAGCGACTATATCTCCTAGGCCTCCGATCGTGTTACTCAGGGAGCGGAGGTGACTGTAGATCGTGTTGACTGACTCATTGGGATATGGATCAGCCATGACTGCCTAGATAGATAGGTTGTGGAGGGTGTGCTTGTGAGAGGTGTTGGCAGATGATGTCTCGATCAGACACTCTTGGGTCTGCTGAGACCGAGACATTCAAGGATGCAGCGTATAGCAGGTGGAAGCCGAAGTGGTGAAAAAGGCTTGTTGAACCAGAACAGATCTTAGTAGCAAACAGCAGTCGAACCAAACAATCCCTTTCAGGAAAGATGTCTTGGGAACGGAATTAGTATTTTGTCATTATGTTCATACTGCGATAGCTTTGGACAAAGCTTCCATTGACGAATTTCGCTCGTTGTGCATCACGCATAAGGTCATACAGTCCACCAAATCCTTAGCTGTNACGAACATTAGTATATGAAGCTGAACATATGCAGTGGTTCGAAGCTCACCAGTCATCCTCTTTACAGAGTCATCTCCTTCGTCTCTGCCATTCATACGAGTGTACATCAAGACAGTTTCGTTTCGCTCCTTGCGACACTTCTCGTACAGTCGCAAACGTTCAGGAACCTGTTGCTTGGTAGTGCCTAACGGAAGAAGGACAGCGACCGAAACTGCGTCTTCGATAGCCATTGCACCGCCCTGTCCCATGTCTTGAAATTGTCAGCTTTGCATATATGCATGCACTATAGATTGCAATGTCTTACAAGGTTGGAAAGGATGAGCAGCATCGCCAATGATAGCAGAAGAACCTTCGCACCACTTGGGCAGAGTCTTCATGTCATACATGTCCCAGATCTTGAGACTATCTCCAGAATTCTCCATTGCTGCCTGGACTGCGGGACAAAAGTCTTTGAAGGCGCGAAGCATGAGGTCTCTGTTTCCAGATGTGTTATATTCTGTTGAGAGTCAGCATAACCTCTGAGCTCTCGAAGGCGGCCATGTCTCACCATCTATGCTTGTGTTTTCGGGATCCTGAAACTCTGAAGATGGCGCAAAAGCACACATATTCATGATTTTGTCGTCACCGCAAGGATATGCTACCAATCGACGATCAGAAGCCGACCATTCGACAAAAGCTCCCGCTGTCTCGATAGATACGCGGTCGGTTCTGGGGTCGGCCAGTAATGTCTCCTTTGATACCAACCAGCGCATGCAAGACTTGCCAACAGCATATGGTTGGATCTCACCAACAATTTGCTTTCGCGTAAANGAGTGAAGACCATCTGCTCCGAGAAGCAGATCGCCATTGAAGATCCGACCATCCTCGAGGGTCACACTGGCATTGAAAAGATCAATGTCCGTGACTTTGCAGGCAAGATGAAGTTGAACAGGAACACCAGCCCTTGATGTTGATGTAGCTTCGGACTTGAGCTTGTTGTGAAGATCAACGCGGTGCACAAGATACCATTCNCTTCTGGCGTCAGTATCTTGAGGTTGCACTTTTAGAACACAACTCACAGTCTGCCAGTGACTCCTATCTTCCGGGCCAAACTCTTTTGTGTGCAGTAAGTTACCACTTGAATCAAATCGACGCATCTGTGACTATCAGTACCGTGAGTGCCTGTCATCATCGCATGCTCGTACTTGTCTCAACAGTGTTCCTCCCACTTCGCTGGGACGAATGTCCATCCATTCCAGAAGCGCTGTGGCATTCGGTGCCATGTGCATGGCAGCACCAGTCTCGACTGCAAATCGTGATCTCTCAAGCACCNNTGTAATTGAATTAGCGATAGCTCTGCCTACCAGAACCTCCTCACCCACTGTGACCTCATGTCCCTGTTTCCTCAAAGCGAGTGCAGCAGTCAACCCAGCGATCCCAGCTCCAATAATCGTAACCTTGAGGGGTCGTTGCTCCATATCAACCGCCATATCGTTTGCTCAATCGTTATCTGTTCGTAGACGGTAGAAACTCATGGTCGTCGGACGGTCTCTCATTTTATAACAAAGCCAAAGAGTCGGATGTACCACAACGGACTTCGGGTTTGGGGTGCAACCGAAACGCGCGAAATCGTGCAAGGTGAGAACGATCGACACGGTCATCTATTCATGGATTTGGGGTTCGGGAAGAAGCCACACCCGCGCTTCCGATGGAGACGCCAAATACCACCTTACTCAACGACACCCTGGTTATGCTACAAGATGTGTGCGTTTGCTCTAAGGGTGAGGCTTTACAACTTACTGTCTGTCTCATGTTATGCAGATATGCCTCATCGTCACTTGTGGCCCCGAAAACAACAATGATTCAAATTCTCAGTGTAAGCTTTCTCCGACCCGCTTATCCTTATGGTGATCTTGTGCTTCCTGAAGATGGTTGAATTTGTTGGCAAGAAGGAGCTTTGAAGAACAGGGAGCGTGCAACAAAAATACTCTCACCATGAAGGGAGAAATGATATTATGATTAAAATAACGTAGGTTTACAAAGACTCAGGCTATCCTGCATCCAAGTACAAGGATAGCGCATCTCTAACAACCATATCTGTCGGTTACGTCTAAAGTATCGAAACCAGGATAGTGTATCGTAAGAAGTAATGGCCGCGACTCTTGACTGCAAGGCGAAATTTATTCTGTCTAGGTCGATGTTACGTCTTGCCAAGGGTCGAGCATGCGATATCTGTGAAATAGTGTCATGAGCGCTCGTCCGACAGTGGACTCAGGAATAAGTTTGTCGCGAAGGCGGAGGTGGTGGGCGCAACATGGGTTGCGAAGCAGCAGGCCTTAACGGAGGCGGACCAGCATGGAGCCCAGCGACACTAGCAGTACGACTCCCTGGCGCAGTAGAAGGGATAGGTGATACACCGAGACGGGAGCGAGCCTTCTTGGTCTTGTTCGTCCTCCCACGAGAAGCAAACATGTCTTCAGGGATGTCGTTCCAGTTGTCTTGTGTGTTGTCGCTAGCCGTAGCGATCTTGGGAAGGCCATTTGGTGACGTTGGCGCATTCGATGGTGATGGTGATGGTGATGCTGGCGGCCTGCTCTTGTCGTCTCTGATGATCTGGGCAGCGCCTTTGTTGACTAGTAGGGCGACATCTTCGGATCTCAGTTCGAGGGGNTTATACTGGTCGAGTGCCTGCGATGCGCCTTCGATGCCGTGGTTTCGCTGAACGTGTGCAATGGTCTGAACATCGTAGACCATGAATCGACCACTGGTGAGGGTGATGGGAAACGGCTCGGAGACGGTGGTGGCCATATTGATATGATACCGAGACTGTCGTCAAGGCCTATGCAAGCAATGTCAGTGGAAGAGATCAAGGCGAGGAACACGTGGTATGAGATGGAAGCGGAGTCACGTCATGGACATGGTGTCCTCAAGTGCATAGGTAGCATTGATCTTCAATGATGGGCCTGGGGAGCATCTCAAAGATGGTATCTTGGTCATTGTAGAGATAGCATACCTTTGAGAAGAGAATAGTTGGTGAGAGTGTTTGTTCAACCCATGATGATGCTTTCCCTGGACGAAGAACAAAGCCAAAGCGTATGAGGATGACGCCGTTTCAACCAGCAAGGACACCAGTTTGATTGGTTTGTTCGGACAAGGGCGGACATGGCTACCCTCGTCGAGTTGATCGATAGAGCTGAACAACTGCCAGCAATCGGTCCCTAGCTTCTCATTCTGAGGTTGCAGTGTCTCCTCCAGATCGCCATGAATGTTCTGGTGTTGTTGTTCTTCGTTTTCTTTCTGCCCCTCGTCGCGCTTCTAGGTAGGCTATCCATGCCTCAACTTTGATCAACCTTCCCTAACATCTAACAGNTCTGGTTTGCTCTTTCAAGCTGCCTCGGTGACAATGTTCGAGCTCGAATAGCTGGAACCACCATCAACCCTCGGCACGGTGCTTATGGCAGGACCTACGCCCGTAACATCCCCTACCCTGGAGCCGCGGGATCAGAGGCTATTGAGATGGAGGACATGATGCAGCACGACAAGTGGGAACTCAACGACTCGGACGATGAGACTTGAACGCATTTCTTATACACTCTAAAACTCTATGTCGACCTTTGTGGCCTTGCCTATTGCACCTCCTTCAGCATTGCCTTGCTGGGCCTCGGTATCTCCTTCTGCTGGCGGCAGACTGAAAGGCTTAATGACGAAACGTCGTCTGCTGACGGTGAATGCCAAATCATCGCCCACACCAGCGACCGCACCTCCTCCACCACGCTCAGTCGTTACTGGCAGCTTGTGCAGTTTCAGCATACCTTGAGGTTGCTCGTCAGTTGCTCTTGCGCCACCACTCTCGGCCAAGCTGTTTGCAGCGTCCATGAGATGTGGGAAAGGGGTGAGCTCGAGCACACCGTCTGAAAGAGTCTCGGCCCAGCGGACCAGGGCGCTCGAGCGATGATATAGCTCTAGCGGAAGTGTGATCATGGCAGTCAGGCGGCCGGGATATTGTCGAAGCAGGGAACGAAGGGAATGCATAAACTGAAGCAAATTTTCTGGTGCACTGGCCGAGGGTGGATACAGCGCGGGCGATAGAAGAGAAGGTATCACTAGGCGATGTATCGTGTGAGGCCTAGAGGAATCCAATCGCTGGGCAACGTTCTGCAGAATGGCAAGCAAGGGTGATTGAGGGGAGATGGCGATGTGATTGACGTCGGCTTCGGCTGGTACAGAAAGACGCTTTGCAAGGTCAAAGGTGTGGCAGAAGGCCAGCGATTGTTGTTCGTCTTGCTGCTCGGACGTCTGGACAGGGGCAGGACCACGTTGGGGACGACTGCGAAGCAGTCAGATAACTTTGTCGTACAGTGTCTATGTATGCTTCTTCACCNNTCTACTGCCTCGATCGGCGTCTACTTGGCCCAGTCTCTCATATCTCCAAGCGATCTTCATCTTCTTCTCATCGCTCTTTGCTTGCTTTTGGGCTTCTGCAGCTTCGGCATCTCCTACCAAGCCTGGCAGATCCTTAATCCATTGTTCGCCAGCACCCACGAGATGGACAGTGTGGCTCTGGATGATGCCTTCGGCAGCATAGTATCGCAACAGAGCACCGGCAAAGTCTGTAGTTCCACTCTCTTCGACAAACAGCGATGAGCCTAGCGCCAGTCCTGCATGACCACCTAATAGACTGTCCAGTGAGTAGGCTCCTGTCGATGTTGTGGGCTGTCCAGTCAAAGGCGATGGTCGAATGCCAGAAGCTGTGGGTGCTGGTGCGGCATTTGACTCGACTGGAGCATCTGCTGAAGATGATGCGATCGGGGATCTCTGGACACCGATGTTGCGCTTACGAAACGACATGTTGCTAGTGACTTTGAATTGGTATTGGTGTGCTTTGAAGCTGAATGCGAAAGCGAGCGACCTGAGATTTTGCGCCGGGCCGAGGCCAGGAGCTTATCTCTTATCTTCGGCTCCCTTTCTCCGGACGGTCACGTGAAGGTATGCAGGCACCTCGACGGTCATTAAGGGTCTTCCTTAACGACAACTGCTTCCCTTGACTGCTTCAACATCATGTCTTGACACACAATTGATCCTCTTCGGATTCCAATTTACGCCACAGAACAATGTCGGTTTGCCACTCTGCAGGCCTCGCAACTGGCCACGACCGGTGAAGGCTCTTATATCCGTATGATGGTAGTGGCTGCGTCGCCTTCCACTTTGGGAACGACTTCATTAAGCTTTCAGTCAAGCCTACCGACAAGACCTCTCTGCTGGGCCGCCACGCTGTCAGTCTGCAGACTCTTGTTTCGATCGCTGAGTCGCTGACGCGGTGGAGGCGACCCATATTATGGTTCATGGCTGGCGGATGTGCAAGCCTCGGCGTCGCTAAGCTTAATCAACATGCCAGGTGTGCGTGACATCCCCGCGATATCTGTTGAACCTAGGAACCCATCCGCGCATGGTAGTCTTGTTATAGTTAGGAGCGTTGTTAAGATTTTCCTGTTCTCCGGCCAATCATACATTCGCAGTTGTCAATCAGAACCTACGTTCCTCTCAGTCGCCAACATGCCGAGGTGATCATCCATGATCAACACCTTTTCGTCGTCCTTCTCCGCTTCCGCATGGGAGGCCTAGCTGGGACCGTTACACTCCATGGTTGGTTACCACAGTCTCCTACACCATGTACCCCTTGTTTCGGCCGCAAGTTATGACTGCTGTCTTTGACTTTGGCAAGATGCCTCGGTGCTTGCCCCTCGAGTAGATATATAAAGGTCTGGGAAACACCTTTGAAGGATGCTACTATCAAAATATCTGTTTCATACATCACCATGAAGACACTACACATCACATCAACTCTTGCCCTTGCTTACGCAGGCTTGACTGCTGCCTACCCCAACATTCTTGCCGAGCTCGAAGCACAAAAGAGAGAATCGACTGGCTTGAAGAAGAGGATTACCGGTATCTTCGATGCCGCCTCTCAGAAGGTCGATGTCTCTGGTGCTCACGCTNTTACTCCTCCCAGTAGTGGAGACCAGCGCGGTCCTTGCCCAGGACTGAACGCCCTTGCCAACCACAACTACCTCCCCCACAATGGTGTTGGCACCATTGACCAGTTTATCGAGTCCACTACCAAAGTTTTTGGTATGGGTGTTGACTTGGCGACCATTCTTGCCGTCTATGGAGCTGCTGTCGATGGCAACCTCGTGTCTTGGAGCATTGGTGGTCCCACACCAAACGTGCCCTCCATCAACCTTCTTGGACAGCCTCAAGGCATCAGTGGCTCTCACAACAAGTATGAGGGCGACGCATCACCCACCAGAGGTGATCTGTACCTTGATGGTCAAGACTACCTCTTGGTGATGAAGAACTTCCAGGCTCTTTACGATGCAGGCAAGGCCGACGACAACTACGACCTCCAGCTTTTGACCGACAGAAGAGCTGCTCGCTTCCAGGAGAACATCGAGCAGAACCCTTACTTCTTCAACGCCCCCTTCGCCGGTGTGGTTGCTCAACCTGCAGCGTGGAGCTTCATCTACCGTTTCATGGGTAACAAGTCTGCCGAGTACCCCGAGGGCAAGCTCAATGGTGACGTCCTCAAGTCCTTCTACGCCATCACTGGTGACGATGGAAACTTCAAGTACACTCCCGGTTGGGAGCGTATCCCCGACAACTGGTACACCCGCAACCAGCTTGACCCTTACGATGTCACATTCCTGACCCTCGATACCGATGCTCAACTCCTCCAGCACCTCGAGTTCGGCAGCGTTGGTGGCAATACCGGTACACCCAACAGCTTCGTCGGCGTCGACCCTGAGCAATTGACCAACGGTGTCTTCAACGCACAAACCTTGACTCAAGGCAACAACCTCATGTGCTACGGTCTGCAGCTTGCCGTCCAGGAACTCCCTGACCTCCTCTCTGGCCTCGTTACCAACCTTGCTGCTGCCGTCAACCAAGTCAGCTCTGCCTTTGGCAATGCTACTGAGAAGCTTGGATGCCCTGAGCTTACCAAGATCAACAATGATCAATTCAGCAAGTACCCCGGCTACACCAAGCTGAAGTCCAATGGACAGTACTGAGTGTAGTTTGGAAAGCACGCATGGATGTATTACGACTGTATGAATTTTAGTGTAGTTGAGAATATCAAAATTACTTTCTCCCACTTCAACCTGATTTACCTTAGTTCGATGTCTGTTCAAGTGTTTACGCGCACATGTGATGCTGTGAGTAGACGACTTTCGTGAGAAGATTTGACACGAGACGAAAAGGTACAAGCAAAAGAAACACATGTATCCTTCCTTCCTTTCTAGATGACCATGATCACATTTTGATGTCAGGCATCTGCGAGGAAGTCATTTTCGCCACGAGCGACCAACATTCTCACGTTCTCCAGAACACCTGCACAATTCTCTCATGGACTCGATATACCCTTACTACAAAAGCTAAGATCCTTTCTCTCTCAAACAAACTTCACACCAAAACTCACATCCAAACATTCTCATTCCTTTCACTTGGACCCAAGAGCCAAATCAAAAGACTTGACCGTGACACTACCCCCAAANTTGTTCTCCGCAAAGTTAAAGATACCAAACCTATACCCGATAAAAAAANNGTAGTAGGTCGTGTTCATGGTGTACGGTGTGCCCAGCGTTTTGTACCTCTTTCCATCTGTGCTCCACGAAAACGTGCCTTGGTGCGAGCCAGCAGGTTTAATATCAGCATGAAGTCGTAAATACACGTTTTTCGTGCCCGAGGGAAGGGAAACAGAGGTTTCGGTGCGGCCGGTGGAGAGAGTGTTCCAACCTGCTCCCATGGTGAGGTCGCGTTGCAGGATAACAGCATTATTGCGAATGGCAATGTAAGCCGAGTTATCGCGGAACAGAGCCAAACCAGCCTGATCCCCAGCGGCCATCTTAGAGATATCCAAAGCGATGGTGGCAGTACTGCCAGGACCCAAAATCCTATGCGTCAAAGTGTTTCTAGCATGATAGAGATCCTTAGTCACTGAAGACGTTTTGAGCACTAGACCGCCCCCAGAAGCAAACGAAAAGGAGGAAATATCTGGGTTGTGGTTCCATTCCCATTGTGGGCCTAGCTTTGTGAAGCTATCGGTGCCGGTGGTGGATTTGACGGGTACGGGAGTTACTGGATAGGGGTTTGCGATTGCGAAGCCATTTGCTTGCTTCAAGGACGGCCAGCCTTGAGAATCAAACACAAAAGGTGCCAAGGCAGGACTGCGGCCGCCGGGGTAGGCATCGATAAAACCGAGATAGTACCAATCGCCATTAGGGGTATCAACCACACTGCCTTGATGCGGGTTTCCGCTGCCTTGAATACCACTGGCAGGTGCTTTGGTGAAAATCCTGAATTCGTAGGGACCTAGAGGGCCAGAGTTTGATTTGAGGACGTATTCATTGGAGGCAGGTTGAGTGACGAAGATGTAGTACTTGTTGTTGATCTTCTTCATGTGGGACCCTTCGATTGTGATGGATGAGCTATAGACCTGGGTGGTCGACTTTTGGGTAAAGTCATTGTTCAGCTGTGCAACGCTGATTCTGGTGTTGCCATANCTATGATGTGAAAAAGGATCAGTTGCTGGCCCAAGATTCCAGGGCCATTGAAAGAGACTTACAGCAACATAGATGTTCTGGCCATCAAACAACATGCCACAGTCATAGTAACAAGTCCCAATCTCACCAACCTTGCTCCAGTCTCCAGCAGGATCCTTGGACTTGTAGATATGAGTGGTCTTAAAATCCACACACCCAATCCAGTAAAACGTATCGTCATATTCGCGGTACTGCATGGACGAAGCCCAGATACCACGAACGTAAGCTTGCTTGTCATCAGCCAAGTCATACGCGGTGTCGTGGAAGTCAAGTCTGGGGACCGAGTGTCCGATAAACTCCCAATTGACAAGGTCTCCAGATCTGAGGATGGGGGCTCCAGGCGAAAAGGACATGGTTGAGGCAGAGTAGTAGTACTGGTTACCCTTGCGGAAGACATCAATATCTGCGAGATCATACCAAAGCACGGGGTTGGTGTAAGTCTGCTGAGCCAGCGTGCTGCCAACTGCAGACAAGGCTGCAAGAACAGATGAGAACTTCATGGTCAACCAATCGAGAAAGACTGATCACTACCATTCGTCACAGACTCCAGATGAGAGTGGATGAAGCTACCCTCTTATACCTGCTCACGCAGCAGGGCAATGTCGTGATTGTAAAACTTAGCGTCACATCGCTTACAAGGACTCGAGAGGGGGTTGCGGCATCCTCAAAATACCTGTCCTGTAGATGTAACTATCCATCGGGTGCGGATAAAGTCGTAGCAAAAGTATGTACATTCTGCCATTGCTGATCACGTACACGAGGGGATCGGCCTTGAATAGTAATCTGTGTCGCCTACCTTTACCAGTCTAGACTTTGTCGAGAAACGCCTTGCAAGAGAATGGTGGTCTACGATTGATGGATTATATCGAAAGCTCAAAGGCGCGAAACAGGCCTGAAACAGAATATACTAGTCATGGCTGCATGGTGCTGTTCATGGAAGAGGAGGTACGAGGTCAAAGATGCGACTTGCCCGTGCTCGCCCGAGCATTCAACAACGAGTGATGCCATCTTCACTTCACAACTGTCAACACTCACTTGATGAGTTGTGATGTATGCTTTTGTACAGTCTACAGATATCGTACATACTGACAGATTTTTATGATGAAGGCGGTGATGACGGAGATGCTCCCTCTAATTCAAGCTCACTTTTCTGTTCCCCTGTATCCTCAGATTCCTGATTTTCTTGTGCCTCCTTGCTCTTCTTAGAGGGTCTCCTCGTTCGCTTTTCAGTCGGTGTCTTGGTAATTGGTAAACCCCAAATCTCATTCCAACAATCCGGATGGAGCTCCAGAGGTCCCGGTAATTCACCAACTCTGGCTGGTTTGCCTTCGCTAGGCTCTGGTAGACAAATCCATTGCCTGATGCATCCTGGAATATCTTCCGTGCTGTGACTGATAGTCAACAATGCTTGTTGATCTTGGATACCACCAAAGTTGACCATGTCATTATCCATTTGCAAGCTTTTAGTGTGTGCTTTTCTACCAGTCTTGCAGTCTAGCTTCTCACCGTGGACAAGGAACAACAAGCACTTTTCGCGGGCAATCTGGTCCATACCACTGAGGGCTTCATCCAAGATGATCAGGTCAGGATCAGATACCAACGCGCGAAGGAATAGCAGTAAGCGTTGTGAGCTGAATGGCAAATCTCTAAAGGTCATGGTATCTGCCCAATCTATATCGGAGGTGTCGATCTGAAGACGCTCCAGGCTACGTTTCAAGTCGGTATATGGGCGCTTCGGATTTGTTTGAAGAGTTTGAAGCCCACTGGTCCTGATGGGCGCTAGTTCCGGAGCAAACCAACGTAGGAAGGCCTCGACCCGGATGTCGTTCTGGCGCGTCAGTCGGGGTTTTGACAATGGTGTATCGGCCCAAGCACTCTCCAGAACACGACGAATTGATAAATGTTTGGGGAAATATGTGTGAACCTCAGGAGAGCTGTGTCCTATGCGCGCTTGGAGCTCAAAGATACTGATTCCGAGCTCGCCTGGCGAAGGAATACGAGAGCGACCAAAAAGCTTGATGGGGAGGCCATAGGTTTGGGGATGATCTGATGTGATCAATGACAAGAGAGTGGTTTTGCCTGAGCCGTTTGGTCCAAAGACGCCCCAACGCTCACCACGACGGACATTCCACCACAAACCCTCTTTGTCGGCCCCCTCAATAGATTCGGACCAGTTGCCCAGAACTGTGCGTTTGGTCGATTCGTTGTCCACTCCGTAAGAGACTTTGACGCCTTGCATCTCCACTAATGGTTCTCCAGGCGTGAGTGGGGCATGAGTGTCAGGAATGGCGTCGCGACTCAGCAAGCCCTTCCCAGCCTTCCTCGCCCGAGCAGGTTTGTCAGAAATTAGAGTTATGGTTTGTCGCAGAGCCTGGTAAAAGTCTTGATCACCGCGCACCTTGTGCATCGACTTATAGACACTACTCCTAGAGCCCTTGAAGCGGACTTGGGTGTTTGTAGAGGGGTCGATGACGAGTACATGGGTGATCCAAGAAGGCATGTCATCTCCTACGCGTAGAGATAGGATGATGTTTGGGTTGCTCTGCTCGGCCATTTGCTGGAGGAAGGCTGATATATGAAGCGTGGTCATAGGGTCCAGACCCATGAATGGCCCGTCCAGCAAGAGAAGTTCTGGTTTCGCAAGCAGAGCCTTTGCGATTCGGGCTCTGCGCGTCTGACCATTGCTGAGGTTGCTCACGGGAAGGTGTAGCAGAGAGTCCAGATCGAGGTTTGCAACGACGCTTGCTAGCAACTGGGTGTCGATGTACTCGGTGGGCTTTTCGAGAGCATTCAGCTCGGTGTTTCCCTCGAGGTAATCAAGCAGAGACCAGTCATCGACTTCGCGATGAGCTTCATAGCGCTGACTCAGATACTGGCCCTTTACGGCAGTACCACCCAAGCCGCTCCTCTCGGCGTCAAAGCCAATGTAGCCAATAGCGCGTTGATGGGGAGTATTGTTCTGTAGCAGGTAGGGGTACGAGCGGGCGTCGGGTGGAGTGCAGAGGTATCTGCCACTCAAGACTTGCAGAAAGTCGGTGCGTGTAGCCGAGGTCGTGCTGAGGATGGCCCAGTGCTCGCCCTGGGTGGGTAGGCTGAAGTTCACGTCGCTGAACACAGGCGACGCATTGTTCTGGTCCAGGAAATCCTTGTATATTGTGGCATTTTGCAGTTGAATCAGAGGTGCAGCAGGGCCAGGAGTCGAAAGGTGGGACAGTCTGGACAGGCGAATAGGAGGCTGCGTGTAGACAAATGGTCGTCGGCGCAGTTGCGCTCTGAACATGGTGAAGTCAGATTAAGTCGAGTCTGCATGTTGCGCCTCAGAGTCCCAAGGAAATCTTCGCCAAGCCATCGGACAGTCTGCCCTCGCGTGCACCTTCCTGTTTCCATCAGAACTTCCTGCTTCCTGCCATCTCCGCACCGACTCGGCTCTCGGCCTTCCTACAACCTCCATATCACTTTACAAGCCCTTCGACTTCGAACCCTTTGACTCTTCCTATATACCTTGCGCTTGACCTCACTTTGCCCGTCTCTCCACCGTGTCCCATTCGTGAAGCATGTTCCCAACCCTCCAACCATCCAGGCCAAAGGCAAGTCATCCGTTCCTCCTCTTATATGCAATCAAGTGCTCAGCCTAACTTCTCATAGNNTACCCACCATCGCAAACTCCACCGCGGCCAAACTTCCAGCAGACCCGCCCTGTATCGCATGATACATCAAAGCCTGCCAGTCAGATAGAAGCCATGCCTCCAAACATGTCTCCTCCCGTTCAATCAGCCACGTACAATCCTGCCACTTGCCATCCAGTCTTCTTTTCATCATCTTTCCACAAACCACCTTTTTCTATGCCGCTCGTACCATCCTCTGGTTTCCACCCTTCGGCTACTGGCTACATCTTCAACTCAAACAAGCCAACTCCTCTAACCAAACTTTGATGATATCTCACCACTTGAAGTGGTACAGACTTCCACAGTCTAGTGGTGCGCAGGGCCTATGGCTTGTCTCTTCTTCTTACACAGTCGACCCACCACTCAGCATTCGACATGTTATGAACCACATGTTGCCAAGGACTACACAATAGTTTCGTACAGGGAGCACGTCCCTCCATGTTGGAGTCGAGAATGCGCGGTCTGAGGGAACGAGTAGAAGCAGTCCACAGCTTACTTGGAGTAAAGCGTTCAGAGAAGCAACTTGGATATCTTGAGTTTCTCGGTCTGCTTAAGCGGCAGTCCGCGAGAAAGCCGAACATCTACATTCGCACGAGCCCAGAAGGAGATCGGAGAAATCAGTCGTGCTCTAAATGTTGTCTTGAAGAGGACAGGGGTCGACAATATTGTGTGATCATTGGTATGGCAAAGCAGGTCAATACGGTCAATTTGTTCTACCATCACAAGTCCCGCATTGCAGACAAGACCAGAGATGCAAGGCTTCGGAAGAAGCACCAAAGATCTGAGACACTCGTTCCGAATCGTGGAGAAACGCTTAAACATCTCCACTGACGATGCGTCAACGTCATCACGGTGTCAGCACGGACAGAAACTGCCTAAATCGTGTTTAACCCGGCAGAGGAATGTCAATAAATATTGAGCCTCCTGCCAGTCGTGCAAACAACATAAGACGTGAAGGTTCCCCAATACGAGATCATGTCATCAAAGGAAAACTCGCCCGAGCGGCCGAACGACAACGCACAGCAGAATGGCGACTCGGAGAAGGGCAAGGATGGGGACGAGAAGCCGAAGCCTGTCGGTTTGTTCTCTCCAGAACTCAAGCATGTGAGGCGAGAGATTGCCTGGAAATGGTTGTTGACCACAGTCATTCTCATGATAGCGATCATGGGTGTTTTGTCTCTCTNNGTGAGTGGTACGAGACGAGTGCTGCAAGATATGAATACTGACATCTATCCAGACTGGGCAGCATTATACCATGTGGAGCAGAATCTGTCCTCGTTAGTCGTGTATGTCGTGGACTTCGATGGTCAGGGGCCCAACAGCGTGCCTGGACAGGAACCGTTGGTCGGACCTCTTATTCAAGGCCTCGCACGTACGCAAGTAGCATCTGGCACACCAACTCTTGGATGGGGTCCTCTATTTGGATCTGATTTCGACTACGATCCTATTGCTGTACGACAAGCTGTTTACGACTGGAAGGCTTGGGCTGCCATCATCATCATGCCCAATGCAACTTCCCAGCTTTACAGCGCTGTTCAGAACGGAAACACGAGTTACGATCCCATGGGAGCATGTCAACTAATCTACCAGTCCGCCAGAGACGACACCAATTGGTTCGATTTCATGTATCCGATCATCTCACAGTTCCAGACTCAGGCTACCTCGATGGTTGGTCAGCAATGGGCCAAAATGGTTCTGCAAAACGCCACGACTGATCAAACGCTCTTGCGCAACTTGGCCAACGTACCTCAAGCCATTTCTCCAGCAATTGGCTTTTCGGAATACGATCTCAGGCCTTTCTATCCTTATACCTCCATTCCGGCTACCACCATCGGACTCATCTATCTGATCATCTTGAGTTTCTTCTCATTCGCATTCTATCTACCCATCTGGTTCAGATTCTTGAATCCTCAGGGACATCCACCGCTTAGATTTGTCGAATTCATTGCGGTTCGTTGGGGTGGAACTGTGCTTGCCTATCTCTTTCTGTCTCTGGCATACTCTTTTGTCTCTCTGGCTTTCCAGATCAACTTTGCTGGTGGCAATCCCATTACTTCGGAGACTCAAGTCACGGATATTGCTTATGGCAATCCTGACGCTTATGGCCATGGCACCTTCCCTGTGTATTGGATGTTGAACTTTGTCGCCATGTGCGCTTTGGGTCTTGCTTGTGAGAATGTCGCTATGGTCGTCGGTCAGCCATGGACAGGCCTTTGGCTCATCTTTGTAAGTGCCCCTTCTTGTTCTTTCGTGTTTTATCAACTGTGCTAATGCCAAGCAGNNTGGGTCATCACTAACGTATCCACCGGCTTCTACGACATCGATATCGAACCTGCATTTTTCCGCTGGGGCTACGCATGGCCATTACACAATGTTGTTGAAGCCAGCAGACAGATTCTTTTCGGTCTGCATTCGCGCATTGGACTTGATTTTGGCGTGCTGTTTGCTTGGGCAGCTGTCAATAGTGCTATTGTGAGTTTTCTTCTGACGTTCTCTTGCATACTTGGGACTTTTACTAATTGGTCTTGTTTTTAGTTCCCATTTACTTGTTGGTTCCTGATGTACAAGCGTAAGCATGAGATTCATGAGTATTGGGCTTGATAGACGCATCGATCATCTGGGTGTAGAGAGTCTCTCTTCCTTCTCTTATGCAATACGAACTTTTACCTCTTGGGCGAGAAAGTTCTCAACAATATACACATTTTATAATGGCATTGGGCCTTTTCAGGCAGTAATTAGTACATCTCCATCTTAGCTGTATGTTGACACCTACCAAACATCTGGATCGAAAGTCTATCAAATGTTCACACAGCCCAACCCGTTGCCAACCCACGCCGTGAGAGTTTTCGTGTCACCGAGCTGAAGTGCACAGTCTGGGCAAAAAGGAGTATAGGAGTTTTGAACACAGTTGCAAAGGTCTTTGTGCCGTTCCTCGAATGCATGATACTCCAAAAACAAAAACCGCCCTTTTATATCGTCGGTAGCAGCTCATGTGAGTATTAGGTCGAGTGCCCCAGACAGTTCTGATACCGAAAAGATTGCAAAATGTATCTCTGTCCCGATACCCTTGGTAGCGGCGATACTGTGCTAAAGTACGAAAAACAATGGTAGCCCGGTACCTCAGTAGCAGAGTGCTGAAGGTAATCTGTGTTGTTCGAAAAAGAGCTATACAGAATATATAGCACAGCTAAGATATGCGGAGAAAAAAGCTGTAGAAGAGGGGGTATCATACAACCGCATCAACGAGGAAACCCTCATCTCGAAATTATTCTTGTTCCCTCCTTGAGTCCTATACCGTGCTTCCCATTCGCCCAAGCCACGAGAGAAAGCAAATCAATATCGTCCCAGCCATCAAAAACACCATCGCAATGCATCAAAAACATGTTGAAGAATAACACACTCACTTCTTGAGAATTTTGAGCAGCGAAGGAATCCGCTGTGTCTTACTCAGTCCCACCCGATACGTCGATTGTTGCCAGCTGGGTTTGGCCGACGACTTTGCATCCTTCTTTGTGGTAGTGACTTTGGGCGTTGCGACTGCAGCCGGGATGGGCACTTCAACAGGAGCAAGTTTTGGTGTTTCTGCTGCAGGAACAGGAGGAGATGGTTTGGGTGTGACAGCAGCAGGTTTCGGAGTCGCTGCTTTGGATTTGGCGTTCGCTTTCGACTTAGGTTCAGGCTTTGCTTTTGCTTTGGCCTTGGATTTTGGGTTTGGGGATTCTTCTTCTGAGTCTTCCTCTGCTTCAGAGATGTGATCGGCTTCTGATTCATCATCCTCGTCTACTGGTGGCGTCTCATGGGCTTCTTCCTCGTGGTCTGAAGGTGGATCTGGTACGACAACGGCCTTCGCTGCTTTTCCCTTCGCTTTCGGTTTGGCCTTGGCTTTTGCCTTGCTCTTCGATTTTGGCTTGATGACCTCTTCTGCGTATTCGTCATAGACTTCGTGCTCAGAATCATCGTCTTCCTTGTAAAATGGCTCCGGCGTCTTCGATTTGGCTTTCGACTTAGCCCTAGCTTTGGTCCTGGCATTGGTTCTGGGCTTTACAATATCATCCTCAGACTCCTCATCGGCTTTGGATTCGGGTTCGGCCTTCATTTTNTCGGTGATCGCTTCTTGAGATGGCGCAGACGTGTCTTCCTGTGGCGGCCGTTTCTGCAGTGATTCTGGAGTCACTTCTCTCGATTTGTGCTGTCTAAGCTCTGCAAGTACCTTAGCTGCCAAAGCTGGATCGGGTCTTGCCTCTATGAGGACCTGGACCTCAGTCTTGGTAGTTGATGCGGGTGTTTTGGTTGTTGTGGTCAAAGCAACATTCTCATGAGCCAGCTCGTCTTCCTCGTCTTCAACGACAGTCTTTTTCGGGCGTCCTCGTTTAGCAGGCTGTTTCGTATTTGCGGTCTTCTTCATCGACTTTGACGATTTGGCTGACGAGGATGGAGCCTGAATCGACTCGGGTACAGTGGATGCCAGATGCGGCGAGTCCTTCTGACGAGAGGCTTCGGGAGTTGGCGACAATCGTTCGAACTCAGGAGCCTGATCGATGGAATGTTCTGGGAAGATTGGCGCAGAGGTAACACGGTCGGCAGTGTCTGTGATGGATCGTTTGGGTCTTGACTTCTTGGCAGCTTTCTCGACGGTCAGGTTGTAGTCAATATAACTTGTGTCGACCTGTGCAGACCTCGAGCGGCTGGGTCTCGGGATGTACATCTCCTTGGGAAGACCAATGGCATCGTCGGAATTGATTCTATCACTACTTGCAACAGCAGTGCCTGACCATGGAGTAAGACTATTTATCTGATCGGAAGAAGAATGCTGGTTCTGAGAGGAGTTGCGCTGTCGAGGCTTAGGGGTGCTCTTCTCGTCGAGCACGTCATAACCAGCTGCAGATGGCAGGGTAGGGCCGGGGATGGTGTCGTTAGTGCCATCGAAAGGGAGAATGGGAGGCGGATTGGCGAAGTCGGCAGGAAGATATTGAGACTCGGGCTTTGTAACAATCTTAATGCGCTTGAGCTTTCCAGACGAACGAGGTTCGGGATTTGTGTCGACCAAGGGGCGCTTCTTGTTTGTACTCGAGGGCGAGGTGTCGACTGAGGTAGCGGCAAGGTCAGAGAAGTTGACGACAGGGGCATCTTCTTGGGTAGGGGCCATCAGAGCGACTTGGGCTCGTCGCAGCAGCTCTTCGGTGCTCGCAGTAGACTGATCTACATCGACCATGCACATGTCACCCAGCGCGTCTTCCCCGCTTCGACTTGTCGCCACCGGGGGAGGAGACNNATTTACAGCAACGAGATCATCTTCATCTTCCGAGTCGAGGATCTCGCTGAAACGAGGCGGCATGATGCAATTGACATTGAGCTAGATTGTTAGTGCTCACAGCCCAAGCTGAGGCCTAGAATCGGCAAGAGGGAGACGCGCCTGGAAGGAAGTTGCGACCCCGCGATATCACATGATTCAATCTAAATTGTGCCAAGACTGGAGATGACGGAGGCCTCGCCGACGCACTGCATCGTCTCGAACAGCTGCGATCGAGGACATGGCTTGACAAGATGGCCTTGACATCGGTACGTGCTATTGAGCCTCTCGAAATGCACCAATCTAACAGATCCAGTGGAAAGCATTTCGATTCTTCGATGTTACTCCTATCAAGCTCGCCGACGCCGATACATCCATTCTAGAGGTATCCCGGCCGCCAACCGCCCAATTGCAGAACAGACGTTGACCAGTGTTAGNNCAAGGCAATGTCAGCTGTATCACTGCCAGCCCCGACCACGTCTATGTCGGCTCTCCGGACGGCACTTTACGCGTCCTGAACCAAGCATTCAAGACGACCCAATCATGGAAGGCTCATGAGACTGGCGCATTAACCAACATTCGCCAAATCCCTCACTCATCGCTACTCGTTACCCTCGCCGAAGACCTACCTCACGAGCCTGTCCTGAAAGTCTGGGCATTGGACCGCCCCGATAAGAAGTCTGGCATACCACGCTGTCTCACCACCGTCTCGGTCACGAATGGCAGGAAGCCTTTCCCAGTATCCGCCTTTGCTGTGCTGCGCGATCTGTCTCAAGTTGCTGTCGGCTTTGCAAATGGTGCTGTGACGGTCATAAGAGGTGACTTCATCCATGACAGGGGAACAAAACAACGTACCGTACTCGAGACCGACGAGCCCATCACTGGCCTGGAGTTCAGGGAAGCCAATGTCACCACTCTTTTCATCTCCACCACGAGCAGGATATCAACCCTCATAATTTCTGGTAAAGGTCAGGGCCAGCCCGCTCGTACTCTGGACGAACATGGTTGCGCCGTTGGCTGTCTGACGAAAGACTTGCATTCCAACGACATAATTGTTGCGCGCGACGATGCCGTCTATGCTTACAACCCTCGCGGCAGGGTTGCATCGTATGCCTATGAAGGTCCAAAGAAGCTCACGGCCATGTACAAAGACTATGTATTGCTGGTCTCGCCGCCAAAATCTATGAACAACGCTCCCACAAGATCCTTTGGTGGTGGCCAGGCAGATGATCTGTTCAGTACCTCCAACTTCACCATGCTCAATCCCGATCTCAAACTCATCGCACATACCGAGGCTTTGCCTAGTCAAGTCAATGCTCTGTTCTCTGCTTGGGGTCAGGTTTATGTGATTACACTTGATGGCAAAGTACTACGATACACCGAAAAGACCTTCCAACAAAAGCTTGAAATTTTGTACCAGCGTGAGTTCTTCGTGCTAGCCATCAATCTGGCACAGAAGGAAAAGGTGGATGCTGTCCAGCAGAATCTGATCTTCCGCAAATACGGCGACTACCTCTACCGGAAAGGCGACTTTGACACCGCCATGCAGCAGTACCTTCGTGCTATCGACAACACCGAACCATCACAGATCATTCGCAAGTTTCTCGATAACCAAAGGATACGCAATCTCATCGAGTATCTGGAAGAATTGCACGAACATCATAAGGCTTCTTCCGACCACACTACACTGCTATTGAACTGCTATGCAAAGTTGAAAGATGTTGAGAAGCTCGAAGACTTTATCAAGTCACCTGGAGATCTGAAGTTTGACCTTGACACTGCCATTACAATGTGTCGTCAAGGAGGCTATTCAGACCAGGCAGCGTTCCTTGCGAGAAAACACAACGAGCATGGCTTGGTTGTTGATATCCTGATCGAGGACCTGAAGAGATATGCCGAAGCTTTAGCTTATATCTGGCGTCTGGAACCCGAGCAGGCTTACGATAGTCTTACCAAGTATGGCACTGTACTTCTTGAGCACTCTCCAGAGGACACGAAACAACTCTTCATCGACTACTTTACAGGAAACTTCCGTCCCAAAAAGGATGCTGTGGTGGAACAGGAGATCACTCCGGAACAACAACAATCTGGAGGTATTGGCAAGATGGCGACCTCTGCTGTGCAAAACCTGGCTGCCCTGATACCATTACCCTACATGAGCGCAGAGGTACCACGAACGCCGGGAGGTACTAAGACTACACAGCAAGTGATCGAGACTACTGTCGAGGATGAGTATGTTGAGTACAAGGTACCCAAGCCAAGGGCAGCATTCTCTTCCTTTGTCGACCATCCTGATGAGTTCATCTCGTTCCTCGAGGCCTGCATTGCTAGCTCTGGGTTGAAAGATGAAGACAAGACAGATCTCTATACAACACTGTTTGAGATGTATCTCCAGATCGCCAGCAAAAAGACTGGCGATGACAAGACAGAATGGGAGGGCAAAGCCAGACAGTTGGTTGAAGAACAGAACGTAAGTTCATAACAACACGAATACAACGACGGCACTATCTAGAATGAAGAATACTAACTCTGTCCACAGACACGCATGGGCACTTCCAACATCCTCTTGCTCTCACATTTGTCAAACTTCCGAGATGGCACCACCCTAGTCAGAGAACAGCGCGGCCTCTACTTCGACATCTTCCGCTCCTATACAGCTGCAAACGACACCGCCGGCGCCATAAAAGCCCTCCGCAAATATGGGCCCGAAGAACCACAACTCTACCCAGCCGCCCTAGCCTACTTCACCTCGACCTCCTCCATCCTCGCCGAAGCCTCCTCCGAACTCGACGCCGTGCTCAAAAAGATCGACGACGACGGCCTCATGGCACCCCTCCAAGTCATCCAAACCCTGTCTCAGAGCAAAGTCGCCACCATGGGCCTGGTAAAAACCTACCTCTCCCGCACCATCGAACGCGAACGCGCGGAAATCGCCAGTAACCGTAAACTCATTTCTTCTTATCGCACAGACACGGCAGCCAAAGCGAATGAATTGGAGACTTTAGCGACGAAACCAGTTTCTTTTGCTGCGACGCGGTGTGCAGCTTGTGGTGCACCTTTGGATCTGCCCACTGTGCACTTTTTGTGCAAACACAGTTTCCATGAAAGATGTTTGTATGTGGGTGCTGGGGATGAAGAGTCTGATGTCGAGTGTCCCAAGTGTGCGAATGATAATGCGACGGTTAAAGCTATTAAGCGGGCGCAGGATGAGAGTGCTGATAGGCATGAGTTGTTCATGGATGCGTTGGGCAGGAGCAGGGATAAGTTTGCCACTGTCAGTGAGTGGTTTGGCAGAGGTGTTATGGGGAGGGAGCTGCTGGTGTGGAGTAGATATTGGAGGTTGATATCCTAGATCAAGCATGCTGTGTCCCACTGTCCATTTTGTTGATTTTGGAGTTGTCGTCTGTGAGTGAAGGTGTTGTCATGAGTATTGCTGAACGGTCAAGATGCATTTTGACGCACTAGATGTGGAAGAATGGGCTCTCAGCAGGGCAAGTCCTGATAGTCACTCTCAAAGCATGTTTCTCAATTGGCGCTAGACGCCTTGAGCTTTGCCAAAGAACACGACTTCATGCATTCAACTCTTCGCCTTTCTGTTTCTAGTACCTAGGCCCACCACGACCTCTCCCTCTTCCACGCCCACCACCACCTCTACCACCACGACCATTGCCTCTACCTCTCCCTCCTCCCCTACCTCCCCCACGCCCACCCCTAAACCCACCATCCCGTCTCTGCTCCTCGGGTCTCGGACCCACCCTCATCCTCTCCTCTCTCTCCTCTTCCGAGATATCAAAAGGATTAGCAATCCCCAACAAATCACAGAATCTGCTAGTTTGCTTATTTGTATACTCCTTTGGAGCGCCTTGAACATGGATACCTGCCGCAGCATCAAATACTGGCGCTGTAATCTCAAAGTTTTGGGGGATAGTCATGTCCTTGACGTTTTCGTTGATCCAGGTTTCAGAGGCGGAGATTAGGGGTAAGTAGTGTGATTCGCCGAGATCGGGNGGTGCGCGTGTGTTGAGGTCGCCCCCAACGGTGAGTTCAGAGGCAAAGATACGGGTGATGGCTAGCCACTCTTTGTCATACTCTAGTTGTAGAGGTCGTTCGAATGAGGCATTGGGGTCTGAGATTGCCGGCATGGAGAGCACTTGCAGGAAATCACGGTTTGGAAGGCACTTGTCCAAAGCCAAGAAATTAGTTTTTGTGTTTGTGATGCCGGGAGGGTGTGAGATTGGATGGTTTGTTGTCTCAGGTCGAGGCGGTGGTTTGGCGAAGGAGGCAGGGAGTTGGGCGCGGAGATCTTCTGGTACTGTGGATATGTCTGTGGTGTTGTTTTCAGAAGCTGAAGGTGTGATTGGTACTCTTGCACCATCTAATCCTTGACCTGGAGCTACTGGCGCGGTGTGTGGTTCGGCATCATCTTCGAGCTCGAGATCGATCTCCTCTGCGTTGACAGGCAGGACTGCGTTGGTATTGGTAGATTTTGGTGCTGGTTCGTCATCGTCCATGTCGAGGTCAATCTCATCCGTGTTCTTCGTCGGTTGCACTTGAGCAGGCGTCTCTTCGTCATCCATATCCAGGTCAATCTCGTCAGAGTTCCTTTTGGGAACTTCTTCCATAACAGCTCCATTGCTGGCGTTAGCAGAAGCTGATGTACCAGACGCTTCTCCAGACTTTTCGTGGTCGACCACTGCGGCATACTTGCAATGCAGATGAGCACTGAACCAATACGGCGGTCTCAGTCTGTCCATCACATAAGTCGCAGCCACACTGCCCAGCTGACCATTCCTAGCATCTTCTTCCAGATGCGCCTTTTGCCTAAACAACTTTTTCCAATCACCCTTCCACTCCACTCCCCTAGGCCAATCGTGAGAGATTCCGACGTCAATCTGGGTACGAACCTGCAGCAATTTTCTCACATCAAGTTCTCTGACGTGATAGATACTCTTCACGTCGCCTTCGTTGTAAGGCAGCCTTTCATGATGTTGTTTCTTGTAGTCAAAGCCTTTCCAGATGCCGCTCATACCTGCTATCCTCAAAGGCCCGAGTTTCAGCACGTTTGCCGCGCCCATGTAATAGATGTTGGGTGCCACCCAACCACCGTAGTAAAGCTCGAAGAGGTAGTTGGCGGCTTCATGGTTTCCGCCGACAAAGATGGTTAGGTAAGGTGCTTTGCGGGTTCCAGAGTAGTATTCGTGAAAGTCGTGCATGTCGCGGTATTTGGCTGGCATGGAGACACATTGCAAATCATGTGCATTTCGTACCGANCTATTGTTTTCGAGACTTAGTATTGTTATTGTTTTTGGGTACGATTTCAATTCGCGTACCTGGAAGTCTCCTCCGATGATGAGGAGATCTATTCCTGGCCAGCTTTTCACGGCGCATGCTCGTTCGATTGAAGCATAGATTGCATGAAGTGTGCCGTGACCCTGTTGTTTGTCAGTTGATGTGCCACAATTTGGTCGAGGTGGAGTGTCGAAACATACGCATCCTTCGACAGCGATCCTGACGCCCTGCTCTTCGGACAATTGTGGCTCCATATTCTGTCCACTAATCTCCGGCCTGCAATCTGATTTTGAAGCTGAAGGTCGAAGGAATGAAAGAATAGAAGCAAGGTTAATTCGATCTTCTGATGGAAAGTGATGTCTTGGCGACGCAAGTTCGCACTTCCTTGATCAGACATTGATGTTGTTGCCTCCTGACTGCATACCCTCATAATTCAATTACTACTGCAAAGACTCGAACAACCACTTCACTACTCAACACACTTTCGCGGCAGGTTCCACCGAAAGTTGTGTCAAGAAACCTTCTGCAGCCAACCAAATGTCGAGCTTCTCATCACACAACGATCTCCTCCAATGCGTGGGTAACAACAATTTCTTCCACCACTACAAACAAAAGATAAATTCAGAAAATGTATCCACTTCACCTTTTCCCCCTCTCCCTACCTCCTCTCTTTTTCTCTCCTCCACTTACCTCCTGCCTCCCCCTCCCTTCCTCCACCTCATCCATCCTAACTCCTCTTCGCAAAGCNTCTTTGTCAACCTCCGCAACGCAGCAGCAAGCTGGGGCACCCAAAGCAAGCAATACAAAGAAGTGCACAAAATGGTCTATGACCACCTCGCAGAAATGCAAGCCCAAGGCCAAAAAACAGATTTGAGTGGGGTGAAACGACAGCAAGTGGAGGAAGCAGATGATCTAGCTGCTGCATTCCAGAAACTGGACTTGGAGTTGAAGGATTGTGAGGTTGGGAAGATGGAAGAGTGATGTGGGAAAGGGTTGTAGATATGGTGGGAAGAGCACAAGGGATTAGCATTGCGAATGGAGTTTTGGAGAAGTGTGATGAGATGACAAGTTTTTATTCATTGTCGTTGGTTCTTCCAAATAGCTAATAAAGTAATGAAGACGCGTAATGTGGTATCTGGTTAAATGCGTTTCTCTCAATGCCTCTCTCTTTCCGTTCAGATGTCCATCTTATCCTCGACATCATCAACATGTTCCAACTTTCTCTTTCTGCCACCATCTAGTCATTCAGTAGTGGTAGCCTCTGCCTTCTCCTCAGTCTGCGTGTATCCATAATCCTCAGTGTTGATGTCCTTCAAGCCCAAGTCTTCCTCTTCCTCCTCGGTACGCTCGTACTCCTCGACATGGATCTGCGGGTCGGGTGCAGGAGCAGTGTAACTCTGAACATACGATGAAGCGAGGGGGTCCTCGATGACCACAGTAAAAGGTCTCTTGCCCTCGATGGCTTCTCCAAGGGTAGCGAAGAATTCCTCCCAAGTGCGCTTCTTGTCGCTTTGCATGCTATCGGCAGCGGCGCGGATTTCCTCCTCGTCGTCGCCGTTTTCGAGACCAAAGGCTTGAGCGCGGAGGTCCTTACGGAAATTTGTGAGAAGGCCTTCGACGGTGGTGAAGCGACCGCCTTGGGTGCCAGGTTCGACGCGGAGGCCCAACTCCGGGCAGTGAAGAGCAGCACTCTCAGACTTTAGCACATCGCGAGCAAGATCTTCGGGAGTGTTGACTAGGAGTGTGATTCTAGAGCCCTTCTCAGGAACTTCACCACCAGTCTTGACTTCGTTGCTGCGGTAGCCGCAGTGCTCACAGACGGTGCTCATGAGGACGACTTGCTTGAAGAAGGGGATATTGACCATCTTCATGTTGGTTGTGCAGTGGCGTGTGCATCCAGGACAGCTGGCAGGGAAGGAGTAGACTTCGTTTTCGCGGATGTCCTCATCATCGACATTGTTGGTTGTGACAGTTCTTGGTGCTTCGTTGCCGCCGCCAACGAGGCCGTCAGCAGCGCGGTACTCGGGTCTGATCTCTGTTGCGGGAGCGTCTTGACCGTCGACAGGGCCCTCTTCGCCGAGACCAAGAGCGGCGTTTTGCTCGGGACTTCTATCGAACTCGGTGCGAGTGTACTTGTGGCGGGCGTCGGTGGGCGAGGGCTGGATGAATGAGTTTCCGGACGGGTCTACGGCGGAGACGGTGAAGGGGTATCTTTTGCCCTCGAGCATGTCACCCAGAGCTTGAATGACCTCGGCGACCTTTGCACCAGCCTCGGGCATCTGCTGCATTCTGGCTTCCTGGTTTTGCGAGAGATCCTCCTTGACACCGGCAAGGATACCCTCAATGTTCGTCATCTGACCTCTTCCTTGGGGGATCTCGAGATCAATATCCTCGATTCTGAATGCGCAACCATCGCCCTTGACGACAGATCTCTGGAAGTCGTCGGCGTTTTCAACCTTGAAAACGTATTTTGAACCGCGCTCCTGGATTTGGCCGGCGGAGGAGATCTCGGTGTTCTTGAAGCTGCAGTGGGGGCAGTAGAAGGACGAGAGGACGATTTCGCGGAAGTAAGGAATACGTGTGAGAAGAAGGCGGGTCATGCCCTGAAGANNAAGTCAGTGATGCGCAAAGAGGAAGTGAGTGCTGGTTGAGCTCACGTCGGCGTGGCAGTTCATGCACAAACTCTCAATCTCATCGACGACTCTCTGGTCGTCGCCGTCTTCAGTGTTAGCCTTCATGCCCTCGACCTGGCGACCCATGTCCTCGAATAGGTCCTTGGCTACCGAAGTGGGCTTGTTGTTTGCCGCCATTTTTGCGAAAGTGTGTCTTGTTGAGCTGGTCTTGTCGCAGGGTGACTCTTGTCGATGTGGAGTAGTGGGAATCGAGTGGGTGTTTAGACAGAGTAGTAAGTTGTGACTAGCAACGAAAAAGTTTGAGATGTTGTTTGTGAAGGGGTGATTGATTAGCAATGCGATTGGGCGTCTGCGGTGCTTGGGAGAAGGTTCTCGACCGGCGCGGGGCAACAGTAAAATTTCCAGCTTATCGATAGCAGATCCACGTCAGATCTTAGATTAGATGACATGTTTTGCTGATCGAAGAAGATATATCGAATGGCAAACCAGCAAGGGTATGTTGTACAGAGAGTCTGTTTGGTGGCTGTGCTGCTTCAAGTCGTCTTCATAAAGTCCATAAAGTCAAACCCTTTGGGTGTGGTAGATGGAGCCTTTGATTTTGCCAGCATAGCTTGCAAACCTCCGAGTTTCTGCTTGCGATTTCGCTTCTTGTCTGTAGCGCCACGAGCTTGTTCCGAGGACGAAGTAACTGCAGTAGAAGGAACAGGACTTGGTATACTTGTTGTTGCTGTGGCCGGCTTGGTCATGGTCTGCACTGGAGGAGGAGCAAGATTCGGCTTGCTTTCTGGCAATGACTTTTTCGATTTGCTGCGTCTGGCTGGTGGTTGTGTATCCGACTTGATTGTGTTGACACTGTTGCAAAGGGTACACTTGTAGTCGACGTATGTAGATTGAGCTATGGCGGACTTCTTTGCGACCCTCGACTTGGTCTTGTTCTTCTTGGACGAGGATTCAGGAAGTCGTCGTTTAGATATGGTACAAGACCAGCCAGGTACCAGAGCATTTCCACATGCGCGACAGTTGTCCGGGACGGTGTTCGAATGCGATGATGATGGTGATTTCGTTTGTTGAAGCTGTGAAGCCAGGAAAGCCGACGCATGCGGTGATGTCGAAAGCAGCAGATTTGATGCAGCCTGCAGGTGTTTTTGAGCAGCCGTGATGCTGTCTATGTTCTTCCTTGACTGGTTCATGTTGCAAGTTGTATCTTTGGTGGTTGCGACAAGAAATGAAGAAAGGTGCGGTGGATTCGCAGTGACGGAATTGATCGAAGGAGCTCGCATGTGAAATGATCCTCTAGTCAACTAACTCTACACCTTCTACCTTCCTCGACCAACACATGGTCGCATGACCCTTCGACATGAATGCCGTCGATGCGTCGTCGCATGAAGAGATCGCCGACAGCGCTGAGGCTCCCGCTCTGCTGACCATCATCCTCGACACCAATCCACACGCCTGGGGCCTACTATCGTCAACCCTCCCGCTATCCACCTTGGTCGCGAACCTCCTGGTCTTCATCAACGCTCACCTGGCCATCAACAACTCCAACCAAGTCGCCGTAGTTGCCTCGCATTCAGACAGCGCCCGCTTCCTATACCCAACTACCCATGACGACCTCAAAGTGCCTCACGGCCACGCCTCAGACATCCAGAATGACGCCAACAAGTACCGTCCCTTCGCGCAGTTGGAAAAGGCCCTGACTACCAATCTACGCGCTCTGCTCCAAACAACCACCTCCGAACACCTCAAACAATCTACGTCAACAATGCTGTCTGGCGCCCTGACCCTTGCCCTCACCTACATGGCCAAAGCCACCTTGAACGACCCAGCAAGAGCAGGAGACGGTGCTTACGATCAGACAAACACTGCCGGTACCTTTACAACCTCCACCGCAGACGGCACATCACAGCCCAGCCACACAGGCCTCCAGAGCCGCATCTTGATCCTCAGTGTCAGCGGCGATATTGCAGACCAATACATTCCCATCATGAACACCATATTTGCTTGCCAACGCCTCGCCATACCCATCGACATTTTGACCCTTTCTGCCCACTCAAATGCAGAGTTCTTGCAACAGGCTGCCGATGCGACAGGAGGTGTCTACATGGCTCTAGGTGATCGCGTGGCTGGTCTACTGCAAGTCCTCATGATGGGATACCTCCCAGACGCAACAGCACGACGGAACCTCGTCAAAGCTGGCGAAAGCGAAGGCGTAGATTTCCGCGCTGCTTGCTTTTGCCATCGCAACATTGTTGATCTGGGATATGTGTGCAGTATCTGCTTGTCCAGTATGTTGTCTTTCCCACCTCAGAAGTATTAAATTGGCTAACACATGTGACTTGTAGTCTTTTGCCAACCGCCTCCTGATAACAATTGCCTTACCTGTGGTACAGCATTGTCATTATCAGGCCATGCTGCTAAACCAGTGGTTATCCCTCGTAAAAAGAAGAAGAAGAGAAAGTTTGATGGAACCACGCCTGCAGACTCACCGACTCCCGGTCCTGATACACCGAGATGATTTCTCAAAGGCATGACATGCCGAGATACGAATTCACAAACACGGACAAGCTACAAAGAGCCCATGAAGAGACAAGCATTCTCCATTATTATGAGCACGGCACGATTGAGCTCTCAGGGGCAGAAGATGGAGATATTGAGCAATGCAATTATGATTGGAAAACGCAGGAGGCCTTTACAAGCGAAGAGCCGGTCCTTGCTTATACATAGCCAGGCAGTGAAGCAAGAGAAGCCTTGCGAGAGAAAGCAGGGTGGAGGCCGGCAAAGATTTTGCTCTATGATTCGCAATTGCATTTCAATCCTCCATAGCTTTTGCATCTTCTGCTTGAAACGAGAATAACGCCATAAACTCCACGCTATGCCCTTTCTTTCTCGAAATCGAGAGATGTCCATCTTCCTTTGCCTTTCCATGTCTCTTTATGCTCCTTTTTGTGATTTTTGCCCGTGATAGTCCCCAGACGCTTTCTCTATGCTCTTTCCCTGGTGATGGTTGTTCGGCTCGATTGCTTTGCGGTGCGAGTGTTGGGAGCATCAAAGCAAAGGTGTGAGTGTCGAAAGAAGGAGCGGAGGACTTCGCATGTCGATGTGTGTTTGCGTCAGAGTCGCAAGTGTCGTAGAATGAGAGTTGCTACGCTCATTTCTTGATCAAGAGGTAGATGTAGTCGATGCGCAGAGGAGTGAGCTTCTTGTAGGGACCCTCGAGGTAAAGCAGCAGTCCGCCAAAGGAAACATAGACCTTACTGTAATAGTCGTCAGCATGAATATCCTCAGTCGCTTCAATCCTCTTTCCACTTGCAAAATCCCCCATCTTCACTCTTCTTCGCCTCGATGGATTGGTAGAAGGGTATAAAACTCACATATTCTCCCCCTCCCCNTCCTCAAACCTATACACCTTGCCCCAACAAACATAATCAAACATATCCGCCAGCGAATTCTCCTCTGCGCCCTTTTCCCTCCATCCCTTGCTTACATCCTCTTTGGTGCCGTCCAAGTTGAGTGTTGAGGCAAGCACAACCTGCAAAGTCTCGCCAACGGCTACAGGATAGATTTCGTGGTTGATGTCGAGACTCAAGATGGTCGAGGAATCGGTGGATGTGCCCGTGACGCGGGAGACGCGGTCGTATTTTTGGTTGTTGAGGGAGGTGAGGGTGAAGGTGTCGTCGAAGAGGGTGGCGTCGGCCATGGTTGCGGTGAGTGATGGCGAGGTTTTGGTGTTGTGAAGGTGTGTGTTTAGCAATGCGCGTGAGTCGCAAATCTTTGGACGGAGCTCGACAGATGCGAGAGTCGCGCAGATGCAAATCTGAAGGGCGGAGAAAGCCGACTCTTCCATTCGACGCCAAGAGCTCCTTGACCTTCTCTATCACCTCTCACTCTTGCTCTACTCACTTTTAAACAGTTTGCAACAGGTTCATATGTCTTGGAACGCTCGTGCATAGCGTCTGAGAAGTCACCACTGCTTCTCATGTGAACCACTCCTCTACGAACTCCATCACCGGGTGAATAACAATAATGAACAGCTTCTCAGACTCTTGACATTATGCATTGTGATGGTATAGAATATTACACTACGGGTATTAGGAATTGTAGGATGAGCAATTTGCTTTCGATCAAGCCGAATCGATTGTCGCTGAGCAATTCAGTCCTCCATTCAGCTCACGCAAATCAACCATTTTTTCTGCTGGTTTTGAACCTGATTGCGCGACCGCCCTGTGCGATCGCTCCATTGCCTGTACTGCGAGACATAGTGCAGGTAGGTTTAGTTTCTGCTCCATGGAATGATGCCAATGCGAAAGAATCTGTGTTGTGAGCAAAGTGTAAGTATATTCCCTCGCGCGTCCTCTTCACAGCTAAGATGCCAATAGCGCCGGCCGAGTGACTGTTTTTGACACTCGGATGTCCTNNACGAGAACGTCAGTACCTAGTTAAAACACGATGCTTGCTTGCCTCACCTATAAAGTCGCGTTCGATGAACGATTTGATCGCGTCAGCATCATCCGTCTCGACAATACCGGTTGGAGTCTTCTTCACGCTGTAGAAGAGACGTTCGGCTGTCACTGTCGAAGCCATGGTGGTAGCCATGTGTTCGCCTGTTCCACTCGTGACCGCAGCGACTGTGTTCCGATCCTTGTCGTCTGGGTCAACCGGTATGACAGCCGACCCGATACCGACCAGAGCAGCGGGCCCGATACGGCCACGATGCTTCATACCAATGCCTCCTGATGACGCACCGCAAGCAATGTTTCCATAGCTGTCGATAGCGATAGCACCCACTGTGTCCGTGATATGATCTTCTTCGTCTGTACGCGCGGGTATAAATGGAAGTGGAATCGAATCTGAGAACTCAAGTGACGTTGACTCTGCGACCTGATCGTTTGGCGTGTCAAGCAACTCGATGTCAATGTCTTCCAATGCGGGTAAGCCTGTGGAAGTTGGCGCGAGTTCGGGGCTTGGTGTGATTGATGGTAACTGCAGGGATTCTGATGACATGGAACCAGACTCTTGTCCCGAGTCACCCGAAGAACCATCATGACGATCACTATAACGTGAGCTGTATAGCCCAGAGAAGTTCTCTGAATCGTCCACGTTCATTGTATCGGTAGACGAGAAGTTTTCCGCAAAATAGTTACCAGAGTAGTGACCATCGTTGACTCTGCGACCGTTGGTGGCCAGAGGAGAGTTACTGTAGACTGGACGAGGCCCTGGTGGACCGAAAGGATCGCTATAAACCATCAGCGGCTCCGCCGGATACCTAGTCGGGACTCTGGTAGGAGTAGGCGCTTGCGGTCCATTGGTCGGGGTTTTGAAGATGTGACCGGGCAGGGTGAGCGAATCGGACGATGGTAGTGGTGTAATAGGCTGTGCCTCATTCCAGACTCCAGCCTCAAGAGCACGTGTATGTGCCCGGCGCATCTGTTCTCGCACACGATCTTCCGAGTCGAAGCCCATCAAGTGCTTAGATGGTACTGCGGTAAGCGAACTGGAAGCCTGTGGCGCAGAGTTCCTTCTGTTCTTCTCTACAATATCAAGGTCGTTCTTCCACTTCAGCCAACGTTCCTTCGCAGCAGGAGAAACCAATGCGTCATATGGTAGGATGGGCATGTCCACGCTCGCAGCGAACTCGATGGCGCCCTGACCAACAAGCAGATTTGGTGGTACACGACGCAGAGTGAGCAACTGCGTGCTGCGGTCTAATAGTGTGCGAGCCAACGAGATAGGATTTTTANNTCTCTGTGTCATGTCAGCTCAGTGAGAGAAAGTATCGATATGATAGGACAAACGTGAGACGGCTCCCACAGCGCCGCTACGACCAAAATGATCGACAATGGTAGCATCACACTCGACACATCCATCAATGGCCAGATTGCTTCCATAGCCAGCATTGGTGATTTCACGATCTTCCAAAACCTTCACGGCGATCTCGATAGCGTCAAGAGCAGTTCCACCAGTACGTAGAACTACCATGGCGGCTTTCGCAGCNACTACTCATGTTAGTCAGAGTGTAAGAACCGGGACTGGTTTGACGTACTCGTTGCACGCCTGGAGGTGGATCCTCTCGTTCTGCAAGCTGTGGTAACCAGCACCGGCATGGACAAATATGCATGGTTGATCGGCACCATTCTTCTGAATTTTGCGAGATCTTGGATGGAGCATGTCGTAAGTGAGTTGACGGGGTGGGAATGGTGATATCAAAGATGTCGTTTGGGTCTTCGAATGAAACAGCGTGAAAGGGTAGTGTGGTCGAGCGGTCTTTTTGCTCCGTGGAATTAAGGTGAGAACAGACCGGAGAAGATACGCTAGGGTGGTAGGTTGAGCGGACAGAAAGAAGGATAAAGCGAGTGATGATAGCCAGAAGAGACGACGAGCCTTACAACTGGCTGCCTCAGAAATGACTGAGAGCGATGTAAAAACCCGACAGTGAGTTGAGTGGGTGAGAAAAGGAAGGCAAGGAATGATGGGCTTCAAAGAAGAATTGGCAAGATGTTTGTTGGCCTACAGCTTGGGAGAGGGTTGCTCTTTCCATTTTTGCTAGGGCTGCTGTGCGGACGCAGATAGCCAGTTGAATCGGACTGGTTGCTATGGCGTCAGGTTATGATCATAACGAAAACTGACTTCTCCCATAAAGACTGCAGGCGGACAGTAGTAAGATTGAGCACGATGGACGTACGCTTGACATGGAGTAGATAGTCATGCAACGACATACGTTGGTTTGAACTGCCAGGCGGTCAATCACAAATGCACGGACTGTAGCGGGAGGCAGTGGCCGAGCTCTCCGTGACGACAACGCTCTTGGAGCCAACGCGACACCGAGAGGTTGGCTGTATTCTTGATCTGTTCTGCGTGCTCGGTCGACATCTCGTCTTGTTCTTGACCATTGGCCTCTGGTCTTCCCTCTTCTACCTCTCACACACCCGCCAACACACCGTTCATCATGGCCAACCAAACTCCGGCCGTTGTCATGGACAAGTACGTGCCTCCCCTGCTCTCGTTGCGCGCATAGGCAACCGTACTGACACCAAGCAGCGGTACAGGTTACACAAAGCTCGGTTGGTCACCATAGGTTCTCGCTCGTCCCGTTCGTAATACTAAGTCCGCAGGTTTCGCCGGCAATGATTCTCCGTCCTTCGTCTTCCCTACCGCCATTGCTACCAAGGGTCCCACCGACAGCTCTGCCGGCCGTTCGGGTAGACCTGGTGGTGGTAACAACTCTTCGATGCTTTCGGGAAAGAGAGGCACAGAGGATCTCGACTACTTCATCGGCGACGAGGCGCTGGCCGCTTCAAGTGGTCCTGGTTACGGTCTTCACTACCCCATCCGTCATGGTCAGATTGAGAACTGGGTGCGCAGTAACATAGAAACACTATTCTCCGGACCAAATGCTGATATGCGCAGGNACCAAATGGAACGCTTCTGGTCCAACTCGATATTCAAGTACCTCCGTGTCGAGCCCGAGGACCACCACTTCCTCCTTACCGAACCTCCCCTCAACCCTCCCGAGAACCGTGAGGCCACCGCCGAAATCATGTTCGAATCCTTCAACGTCGCTGGTCTCTACATCGCTGTCCAAGCCGTGCTGGCTCTCGCCGCTTCTTGGACCTCATCAAAGGTCCAGGACCGTTCCTTGACTGGTACCGTTATCGACTCCGGAGAGGGTGTTACCCACGTTATTCCTGTCGCCGAGGGTTATGTCATTGGTTCTTCGATTAAGAGTGTTCCTATTGCTGGTCGCGACATCACCTACTTTGTCCAGAGCCTTCTCCGTGACAGAGGCGAGCCGGACAGCTCTCTCAAGACGGCTGAAAAGATCAAGGAGGAGTTCTGTTATGTCTGTCCCGACATTGTCAAGGAATTTGCTCGCTACGACCGCGAGCCAGAACGATTCGGCAAGCACACAATCAACCACCCGAATGGTCGCAATGCTGTTGTGGATGTCGGCTACGAGCGTTTCCTTGCTCCTGAAATCTTCTTCAACCCCGAGATCTACTCCTCCGACTTCCTGACGCCTCTGCCCAACATTGTCGATACCGTCATTCAACAATCGCCAATCGATGTTAGAAGAGGTCTTTACAAGAACATTGTGCTGTCTGGTGGTTCCACTCTCTACGAGAACTTCGGTCGTAGACTCCAGCGTGATATCAGACACCTAGTCGATGCTCGTATCCAGGCTAGCGAGGCTCGCAGCGGTGGTGCCAAGTCGGGCGGTCTCGATGTCCAAGTCATCACCCACAAGCGACAACGTCACGGTCCTTGGTTCGGTGGTAGTTTGTTGGGTCAGACTCCCGAGTTTAGAAGCTACTGTCACACAAAGGCAGAGTACGACGGTTCGTTATCATCTCTTTGCTTGCAATTGTCCGATACTGATCCAAATCGCANNGAATATGGTCCTTCAATAGTGAGAAGGTTCGCTCTTCTGGGTGGCCCAGGAAGCACCTAGATGGCACATGTAGATCATACGCTTTGTTCACTCTGAATCAACAAAAATATTTCCACTTCATCGTAACTTGCAGAAGCGCATGGCCTTCGAGCTTTGCTCTCGTCTCCTGGTTGTCGATGGATGAGGAGTGCTTCAAGAAGGCAAATGATGATAGACAGATCGCCTGCGAAAATCGATATTATGCACATAAAGAGGGTTGCCTACTGCAATGCATGTGCTACCACTATTCAAAAATGGTCTCGGCGTGCATTCTCGCAGGCGATTTGAGCTCGAGGTCGGTTGCACCATGCATTCTCAAAATAGACAGGGCCGTGGAGAAACATGGGGTCCATTCTGCCGAGGCCGACCTCGCGCAGTGACCTCCAAGACGTCCAATCACGACTTGATCTTGGAGCAATCTTTACACAATTCGTCTCCTCTTCCTCTTCATCACGTCCCAGAGTATCGTTTCCAAAGCAAGCCACATGCATATCTCAAACGAACCACCCGATGATTCGCTTTCTATGAGACTATGGCACAGGGCTCCGAGCTGTCGTCCCGCTTGCTTTGACCGCCAAGGGCGAGTACGAAACAGACTATGGCTTTATCTCATGCGGTTCCAGTGTTTCGATCCTGTCACGATAGATGGTGCATGGGACTTTCCATATCCACTTTGCTGCTTCTGGGCGACAGAATCGGTTTCGACCTCTCTTGTTGTCCACATCTGGGAAGAAACAATGTTCACAAGCACGCCCAGGCTGCAAGCAAGGGGAGTCAGTGCAGTAGCAGAAGAAATTCGCAGTTGCTTGTCTCGTAAGTCGTGAATATATAACATGCCGAGTAGCACACTCGACGATTCTCCGAAGTTATGAGATAGGCAGGTTCCTTTTTTTCTCGCCAGCATTCCGTCGTGCCGCGTCACTCGTTCTATCCCTGTCTTTTGACTCTACATTCGCTTTGAGTCTTCTGCTTGTACTCTACCTGAAAATTGTCCTCCGACTGTCTTTGTCGTATTGAGATCGTCTCGCAATGCATTTCAACAGCTTGACTTTGGCCTCCTTGGCCCTGGTTCCTTCTCTTATCGAAGCTCACGGTGATATCCCAGGAGCTCCAAGAGTGTTTGGTAGAAGACCCGCTGTCTCCAGAGGCTCACGTACCGGAGCAAGCAGCTACCAACCGGTTGTTCCTGACATCCACGACAAGCGCCAATCTTCTTCCAACACCGAGGGACAATGTGGACAGGGTTTTGGTTCTTGTGCTGATGGTTATTGTTGTTCTGAAGCTGGTTAGTATCATTGAGGAGAAAGCTCAGCCATATAGTATTGACATCCATCAGGCTGGTGTGGCAAAGGCACTGATTACTGTTCTGCGCCTGGATGTCAGTTCAACTACGCTTCTGGGTGCGACGACAACAAGATCCCATCTGGCAGTAGCACTTCTACTGTTGCGAGACCCAAGCTCGGCAGTGTCTTGTATGGTGGAGCCGGAATCTATGATTGCACAGTGGCTGGAACCATCGCCATCACTTACGATGACGGCCCCTACATTTACACCGAGCATGTCCTGGATGTGTTGAAGCAGTACAATGCCAAAGCCACCTTCTTCATCACTGGCAACAACAACGGCAAAGGAGAAATCGACAATGCCGCCCTCCCTTGGGCTGCGACAATCAAGAGAGCATACAACGAAGGACACCAGATTGCATCCCATACTTGGTCGCATCCCCATTTGTCTAACCTTACCAGCGCCCAGAGAAAGCAGAATATGTACAGCAATGAGATGGCATTGCGCAACATTCTGGGCTTCTTCCCTACTTACATGAGACCTCCTTACTCCGACTGCGATGCGGAGTCTGGATGCCAGCAGGATATGGCTGATCTCGGCTACCATGTAACCTACTTTGATGTCGATACTGGTACGAATTCAACAACCCTGAATTGAGGCTCAGTGGCTGACATGCGATAGNATGACTACGACAACGATTCTCCCGCACTCATCCAGAACGCAAAGAACAACTTTGATGCTGGAATTGCTGGAGGCAACCCGGCTACCGACGATTACCTCGTCATAGGACACGACATCCACAACCAGACTGCGAATGTTCTGACTGCCTACATGCTTGAGAGAATTCTGGCTCTTGGTTACAAACCTGTTACTGTTGGCGAGTGTCTTGGTGACCCGAAGGAAAACTGGTACCGCAGCTCGTCTGGGAATGTCTTCACTTCCTCCACTTCGGCGATGACTTCGGCTACCAAGACTTCTGCGACGATTGCTCCTACTGCCACATCGAATGACNGGACAGTGCGGTGGTGGCTCAGGATTCATGTGTACTGGCTCCGAGTTTGGAGACTGCTGTTCTCAGGTGCGTCGATCATGAATGCTTACTGTCGAGAACTACGCTGACAGATTCGTTCCTAGGCTGGCTGGTGTGGCTCCGGAACTCTTTATTGTGGCGAAGGCTGTCAAGCTGGCTTCGGCCAATGCGGCATCAATGTCCCTCAGAGCAGCAGCACAAGCTCAACCGCTGCACCAGCTCAGCCAACAACGGTGTCGACCGACGCGACTTGTGGAGGGTCGAGCGGTATGACCTGTCAAGGCTCGGTCTTTGGTAATTGCTGCTCACCAGCTGGATGGTGCGGCAGTACCGCTGCCTACTGCGGTGATGGCTGTCAATCGGGCTTCGGCTCTTGTGGTGACGCTGGTGCAGCAGCAAAAACCCCAGTCCAAGCAACAACCAGCGATGCTGGAAAGTCAACACTCGCCACTTCTGCCACCAGTAAGGCAGCTACTACCACAAGTGCTCGGGCAACCCAGACAACGACTGCTGCCAAAGCAACAGCCACCAGCGGGTCGAGAAATCAGGTAAGTGATTTGAGAGTAGTGCACCGAAAACCGTATACTGACCAAACTGCTAGTCATGGTTCAACAACTTGTTCGGCAAATTGAGATCTCACTAGACTTAACCACGACTGAGGATTATCATGTCTTTTTGTCAAGCTGTTGGAGTAATAATGTTGCGATGATGATGTTGGAGATCGAATCACAGTCGACCTTTAGGATGCCTTTTAAACTATACACGAGTTGAGATAGATGATGCCAAAGTATTTGTTAATGAGCACAAGTTGCATGTCCAGAGGGATTGTGCCTGTAGACGAACAAAACTCGGTAACTATAACTATTAATCGCGGAACGCGCTCCGTACACCAGGGTTTCTCTTCATTCTGCAGCCTTCATCATACCGAGATAGCTGCGATAGTGAAACCGAAGCACCCTTGTTGCTTTTTCTAAAATGGTTCGGAAGTCGCGGAGGTTGACGCTGACCCCTTGAAGATTGCATCGATGGTCGCATGGCCAGTTAGTAGATGACACGGCATGTCGAGAGGTACCATACGCGCTGGCACAGAAAGCCTCGTTCATGCAATTTGAGAGATGGACAAGTTACGGGTGTACAGATCGGAAGACGGATGTACTCTTTGAGCTGGACACGACCGATGATCCGCGGGGACCCTGACGGACGCGCCCTTTGCAGCCCCTGCGAGTCGCGACGGACAAACTCATCATCATCCTTTTTCCTGCCAAGCGTAGGTTTCAATCGCGACCAATTAGATAAAAAGTATCTACACGTTCACACCTCTCACCTTTGACTTGACCCTTCACTTTCCGTCTTGTGTGAACGCCAGGCACTCGGCGGCACCCCAATCACTGATCCTAGCTTGCCGTTGCTACTTGAACGAATGGCCTCCGTTGCTACCCCTGCTTGCATCTATACTAAACCAACCGTTCGTTTGCGCGGCTATCAGTAAACAGCTCCTACCTAGTCCCTCTGAGAGCTTTTCCTCCTTTTCATCTCTATCTCCCTACGTTTCCACCCTAGTGGCGGGTGTCCATCACCAGCATTTACCACGCATTGGATACGGACAAGATGAAGTTTGGACAGAACCTCCCTCGCAATCAGGTGCCCGAGTGGGCATCTGCATACATCAACTACAAAGGCCTCAAGAAGTTGATCAAAGCAGCTGTGCAGCACAGCGCCGAAGCTGGCGGCGAAGTCGATCTTGCAGGTGAGTGATGGTAGCAAGCACCTTGGAAACATGGCTGACAGATCCCTCCAGAGTTCTTCTTCGCCCTGGACCGCAATCTCGAAGATGTCGATAGCTTCTACAACAGAAAACACGCCGAATTCTCACGTCGACTCAGACTCCTCTACGATCGCTATGGACAAGCTACTCAGCCACAAGAAAGCATGGACAAGGAAGAGATGGAAGACCTTATGGGCGCGTTGCTAGAGCTCAGAGGACAATACCGCAACCTCATCTGGTTTGGCGAAGTCAATCGCAGAGGCTTCGTCAAGATCACCAAGAAGCTTGACAAGAAGATTGAGGCCTCTCAGTCGCAAAATACATACCTGGCTTCGAAAGTCGACCCCAAGGCTTTTGCGAACAATCGCAGAACCGAGGCAGACATGCGTGCCATCAACGACTGGCTGTCGGGCTTGGGCGATGTCAAGGTCTTTGATGACACTGCTTCAATCGCCTCAACCGGCTCGCTGCACCGCGTTTCATCCAAGAATGCCATGCGAGTGTCTACAGCTGTGCTGGACACTCTAGAGCAAAACGTCCGCCAAGATGATCTTCCCAAGCTTCAAGAGACCATCTCGACTTCTTTGAAGGATCTGTCCCCTTCCATTGTTCAGAAGTTGATGCTCAACCTTCTGCAGCGTGCTATTTCCGCAAAGTCTCAAGATTGCATCAAGTACTTGCTATCACAAATCTCTTCTCTCACCGAGGATGATGACATGAACAAGCGAAACGTCATTCATCGCTTGGTAATTGCGACTGGCCGCGCAAGAGCTCTGGAAGAGAATGGCCCGGCTGCAGTTCCAATTGGTGCGGAAACAAACTCCTTTATCAACGCAGCAGAACTTCCGGTCCGTGTTCCCTCTTCGTTCAAGGTCCAGGAGAAGGACGTCGCCCAAACACTTGGCCAAGAAGATCCTGCTATTAAGATTCTAACCTATGTCCTCTCGAACCTCTCCGCTGAGCAGAGAGCGGTACTGAAGGAAAGAGATACATACGGTCGTCTACCTCTTCACTATGCCGCACAGTATGGTCTGGTAGCTGCGTCGCAAACTATCATCAAGTACATGCAAGCTTGGAACCAGTTCGATGTCACTAAGGGTATTGATTCTGACATCTGGCAAGACGCAGAAGGATACGCGCCTCTGCATCTAAGTGTCATCGGTGGTCACTACAGGACCACAAAGGCCTTGCTTATGGCTGAAGATTGGCATGGCGAGGCCGAGGACAGTCACGCTGCCAGACGCAACGTTGAGAAGTCAGGCGCTGCACTGGCTTTGGCGACAAAGAACAATTTCTACATGATCGTCAAATTGCTGGTTGATGCTGGCATCAGTATCAACTACCAAGACGACCAGGGCGAAACTTCGTTGCATATTGCTGCTCGCTTCGGCTTCGTGGAGTGCACCAAATCTCTACTCGAAGGCTCCGAAACACAAAAGGCTAACCTCGAGATCACTGAGAAGACATATGGTTGGACGCCACTCTTCATAGCATGTGTTGATGGTCACTTGCCAATTGTTGAACTGCTCATTGAGGCTGGTGCTGAGACAGGCAAGGCCGATCTGTCGGGTTGGTTGCCCATTGAGCATGCTGCTCTTCGAGGTCATCTCGACGTTGCAAACAAGCTGGCTGATCTTAGCCCAACTCCTGACAATCTCGACGCACCCTCTCCACTGCTCAGACCAAGCAATGCTCCGGGTACATCGCCGAAGAACATTTCGTCCATTGGCGACCGACGATCCAACGTTCCTCAAGGCCGTGATGCCCCTCGCATTCCGGAAACTGTCAAGACTTTTGGACACAGATATCTTACAGATGAGTCCTTGGTGCTCGTTAGTCTCGGCTCTATGGACAATCGTAAGAACGTCCCAGCAGTCACTCTCGACAATATCCCTCTGGCAGATGCGCATGCCACCCAGCTAGACACTGCTCTTTCGCTGGTTGTGGCTGCGTCGGGTGCAAGTGGAGAACCAACAATTGTGGATCTGCCTGTTCAAGAGAACATCAGCACTTCACCCATCTCATTCAAGACTCGGGATCCGACCAAAGTCAGACTGCTCTTTGACATTGTTCCCACATACTCTGGCTCGAAGGACAAGATTGTGGGGCGTGGTGTGGCTTTGCTTTCTAGTATCAAGCCCAGCATTGGCTCAAAGCGCATGCTACTCCAAGGTGACTTGAGTGTACCGATTGTTGCTGCAGAGACATTGGATGTCATTGGCTCTGTTAACTTCAACTTCCTCATCATCACACCATTCCAACACCCGAATATGCACATTGCTGAGAACCAGACTTATTGGAAGAGTACATCGACACAAGTCATCGGTCACCGTGGTTTGGGTAAAAACATGGCATCGATGAAGTCTTTGCAGCTGGGAGAGAACACTCTTCAATCTTTCATTGCGGCCGCCAACTTGGGTGCATCTTACGTCGAGTTTGATGTTCAACTCACCAAAGACCATGTGCCTGTCATCTACCATGACTTCTTGGTCAGCGAGACAGGCATCGATGCACCTGTGCACACGTTGACCCTGGAGCAATTCATGCATGCAAGCGAAGGTCAAACGCCAAGAAGCTCACGTCCACCCTCACCCAAGAGAAGTCACCTAGATGGCGTGTTTGAGCAGTCACGCAAGCAACGCTCCTACTCACTTGGCGGTGCTCAAGACGAACGCGCCCCTGACATGTCGGAGCGCATGAAGCACACGCGCGACTTCAAAGAGAAGGGTTTCAAGGGCAACAGCCGTGGCAACTTCATCCAAGCACCCTTCACCACTCTGGAAGAAATGTTCAAGACGTTGCCATCCTCGATCGGCTTCAACATTGAAATGAGTAAGTTTTGCTTTTCTAGCTTACAGTCTGCCACTATTACAGCACCACTAACTCACACCTCACAGNAATACCCCATGCTCTTCGAATCAGAAGAACACGACATGGACACGTACGCCGTGGAGCTAAACTCATTCGTCGACACCGTCCTCACCAAAGTCTACGATTTGGGTACAGGCAGAAACATGCTCTTCTCCTCCTTCAACCCAGACATTTGTCTCTTGCTTTCCTTCAAACAACCTTCCATCCCCATCCTCTTTCTCTCTGACGCCGGCACCTCCCCTGTCGGCGATATACGCGCTTCCTCGCTCCAAGAAGCCATCCGCTTTTCCTCGCGCTGGAACCTGCTGGGTGTGGTTAGTGCTGCCGAGCCGCTGGTCACTTGCCCGCGCTTGATTAGAGTCGTCAAGGAAAGCGGGCTGGTGTGTGTGAGTTATGGCACACTGAACAATCAGCCTGAGATGGTGGCGAGACAGGCCAAAGAAGGANTTGATGCCGTGATTGTGGATTCGGTGTTGGCGATCAGGAAGGAGTTGACGGCTGCGCAGCAGAAGNGAGGGGGTAAATTTGAGCAAGGACCCATCATTGAGGTTCCACAGATTGTTTCTACTGCCAATGGTAACGGAGTGCAAGCTAACGGACATGCTTGAGCGAACGATGAAGGGTTGTATGATAGAAGGAGGTAGAGTTGCGGTAGTTCTTGCATGGCGGCGAGTTGTATATTAGCATACAGGGCAGCGTTTAAGATACAATGCATAGTGAGTTCTGCATCAAGCTTTTTGTCGTCATTATGCTCTGTCCTCCCCTCCTCTATCTTGTGTTTTCGTTTTCTTCATGTGGTTTGATCAAGTAGATCTAGCCAGGGTGATTCTCTCCACGAGCATTTCCAAGGTCGTCGACGACCAAGGAGTACCACCTGAAAGTCTTTACCTTTCCGCAGCTTGTCACAAAGAACTTGTCTACCACTTCTCACGCTTTGAGAGAAATTGTGTACCGAGATCTAATCTTCGTCCCTTGGAAGATGCGAGTAATCATTTGGTTGGATCTATCTTATTAATCAGACGCTCGAACTGACTGCGTACAAAGTTATGATTCTCGAATGTCCTTAGATTTATATGCTTTGAACAACATGACAGGGTTGCTCCCCAAGCAAAATCTACCTGAAAGATTCCCCAGCAAAACATCCGGCGCATTGCGAACACAAGCTCTGGTGCAGGTGATTTGTTCCACAGTAAAAATGAACGACTAACTTGAAGTTTGAAAGAAATAGATTTCATGTTGGATATATCGCAAAACAACGCGAACATGAATATGGCAGAAAATTCGCCAGTCAAATGTCAAAAACCCAAGACGCCTTCTGTGAATCCCCGCATGGTATATACACAGTATGCCCTCCACTCTCAACTCTCAGCGAATGTTAAATCGTAAAAGTATTCCATCGCCGTCATATACAATTTCCAACTTTTTTTCCATGTGTCAAGGTGTTTTACAGGTTGGCAGGGGGNTTGTTGGGGTTGATGGGCTTCTTGGCTCCGCCCATTGAGCGCTCGAAGGAAGAAGATGGAGGAGCAGAGTTGGGGTTGGGGTGATGCTTCTTGAGGGCCAAGGTAACGTTGTACTCAAGGTCGAGCTGAGCCTTGGGGTCGTCCTTTCTGGGCTTGAAATCGACAACGAGGTCATCCTTGACGGCAAAGACGGAGTCGATGTCGAGGTGAGGGTCGTCGCTGGGGTAGATCTGGTTGATGACGGTGGCGTACTCGGGGTGGGTGATCATCAAGTGGATGTGAGCAGGACGCATGGGAGAGCGGTCCATGAGCCTGAGGAGGACACCAGCGGGGCCATCGGTGGGAAGAGAGTAGGGAGTGGGGTGGTAGCAGTACCAGTCGAACTTGCCATCCTTGTCGGACTTGAACTTGCCACGGAGGTTGTTCTCGGTCTGCTCGGGGTCCTGGAAGTCGTACTGGCCGTTGGAAGAAGCTTGCCAGATGTCGAGGACAGCACCCTCAATGGGGGCACCGGTCTCCATGTCCTTGAGGACACCGTGCATGTATGTGACTCTGCCACCCTCCTTGTGATCTTGAATGATGCTGTCGCCGAGCTCACGGAAAGGAGCGTTGGGCGACCAGAAGGGGCCGAGGATGACGTTGGAGGTGGGAGACATGCCCTGTTCGGTGACAATACGGTTGGCAATCTCATCGACGAGGCTGTACTATTAGTTAGCCATGTTTGTGCGTTGTGCGGCCATTAAAACTCACGATTCGAGACCAATGACATCGCAGATGCGGTGACCCTCGTTGCGGATGGGAGTGCTAATTTGACCAATCGAGTTGATGAAGTCAACACCCATCATCCACTCAGCGGGGGTGAGCTCGACCTCACGGGTGAAGTCGTGAATGTGCTTGATCAGAGAGCCCAGGATGACACGAGCACGCTCGGGTGTGTTGGGTCCCATGGCATTGACGACATAGGGAGTGAAGTTGGGGTCAAATCTTGCGTTGGTCGACATTGTGGCGGTTGTGTGTATGAGGTTGCGAGGAGTGCAAGGACAGAGATGTGACTTTCTGAGGAGGTACGGAGTACGAAAGTGCTGTAAGGGCAACTTTCTAAGAGGCTTCGAGAGGAAAATGGTGGATGGAGTGATGAAGATTGAGATACAAGAGAAGATACGGGAACCCCAGGGAGCTCGGTCTATATACTACTTTACTGTAGCTCATGGACCCGTGAACAAAGTCGACGGCAGATTGATTCGGCTGCTCGTCCATGCCACTTCGGCCCTCCAAAACGGCATTCAAAAATGCGGTCCGAGGGGCATCTCCGCCGCAACCCCAGACCGACCTAACCCAAAGCGGTCTAGACCACACAGCATGCCCCGCTGTCATGCGCTGAGCAAGAGCCGTTCGGTCTTGCCGCGAAAGGGTTTACGCAATTCTGCTGCGAAACACATTTCTTGCACTTTGAACCTCACATAGACTTTTGAGGACGGAGCTCGAGATCGGATCCGAAAGGCAGCCGGGTTGTCTGATCGGCTTTCTTATGCCTCTACACAGTCGTCTCGTGTTTGAACGCAGAAGGCCCTACGAGACCAAGCCTTCTACCCTTTGGTGGATGCTAACAAGACTACTCTAGGGTAACAGAACTTTGTGTTGCTCGTCGTGGTCTGGTGGCGCTCGAGCAAACCTCGGTCTCTCTTGAGAGTGGAGAAGTCGTGGTAATCAAGATGCTAGTTGTAGGAGAATTGAGCTTTTATAGGTTTGCAGAAACGTCCCTAGTTTAAGAATCAACAGGATTGTAGGGGTTTCAGTGTCCCTTACATGACTTTACGAAACACAATTAGATCTGCTGACCTGCCATCAGCCATACCTGCCTCAAGAGCTGGGAACGGATATTCAGGAAAGCGCGGCAGAGAAAGGCTAACATTGTAACACCCTAACGAAGGTGTGTTACACCAATCGTGCCTTCTGCGCCCTGCTCTCCCCACAGGGCGGTTATCGAATATGCAAAGCCAGCACTGCAGCCGCCACACACGTCCAAGATCCGTACTTGCTGCAGAGTGCGAATATCGGATCTCGTTGGGTGTGTGCGCATGACAGTATCTCCCACGTCCACCTCTAGATACGAAACATACACAGCGCATGGTGTGTTGCGTCGACACGAAAGGTGGCATCTCTGCATCGTATTTGTCTTTGCAGCAAGCTTTTTTTGGAGTCTTTCAATCTACTTCAGGTTTGATGTCGAGCAAGCGAAGTTAGAAACAGGCAGGAAACAAAGATTTTGTTTGCTAGAATAGCAAGCGACAAGCGAAGCAAGTCAAACATACGCAGCTCTTTACTTTGTACAAATATGTCCGCACATATATACTCAACATCCAAGATCTTGGAGGAAAGGTGAGGCAAAAACAGCAACAACATAACCAATCGCCTTCGGTGCCAACGACAAGCCCAATTCAGCTGCAAACCAAACAGCTCATCATCCACCTTAGCATCCGAGTCCAAAGATACCACCAGTGATCATATCCATACTCGACAAGCACGCCTGCAAACCAACACCATGAGTCTCACCCACTACAGCTCAGCAGACGACGACGAAGACTACACTTCCAGCGACACCGACCACCTCTTCATGAAAGAGTCTCCCCGCCGCCGCAGCAGCGGCACAGCAAGTCCCTCTCGCAGCAACGGGAATAGCGACAACCAACCTATTCCACCACCAAGAACACGGACGCTGAGCCGCTCAACACCCATCTGTGTATGTCGCAACCCCTCTGCTGTCGCTTCCGCCGCATCCTCTGCTGCAGCTTTCAGCCCCGTGGAGCCAGCCATCTGGAATGAACTGAGACGTCTCTTCCACGCTGGCGATCCACGCAAGCAATTCGATATCTTGCGGAGAAGCACACCGGTGACGGATGAGCAAGGAAACGGGTTTGTGCTTGTGGAGGCGAGGGTGCAAGCGAAAGACGGAAGCATGGTTGCCAAAGGCGAGCCGTGTACGGATAACGTGCTTTCGCTACGAAGTCTGCGCAATGCTTTGATTGAGACAAAGGGCGAGAAGCATTTACCTATTGAGTGTGGTGAGGAGATTATTGCGGACAGGATTGGAGAATTTGAGAAGGTGTGTTCAGCTTGTGGTCTGCCTCGCTACTGATGGGGCAAATCGTGAAGGGGCAATACTGAGGAAATTTCGAGAGTTGAAGAGAGGAAACTTTGAGAGTAGGTCTGGCGAGATGGCTACAACACAGGGCTGTAGATGTGAGCCAAACGAAATACATGTCACCATAATCCATTGCTCAACAACAAGTGCCTGACTCACCGACGAGAAAAACCAAAACGGCATCAACACAACTAGCAAAACAGATCCCCCTACTAAAACTCAGTCGCAGAGAGCCCGTTCGCAGGAAGAAAGCCACCAGTAAATCTGGTTTCATTTCGGGTGTCGAGGGGTGGGAGCGTCACAGCTCTGATAATTGTCCTGCGGCGATGGCGAGAATCGAACCGAGGACCTTGAGAAACCAGCGGGGTCGCCAACATTGTGTTCGCGCAAGACCGCTGGGCCAACCACCGCCTGGCGGTAAAGCGATGGTGGCGATGTGATTGAGGCAGCGGTTTTGGTATATAAGGCGTGTAAGTGAACGCGCGGTTGGCATGCTGAAAAGTTGATCTTTGGTGTGTTTGTTTTCACTGGGCATTAGACGCAGCCCAAGAGGCAATCACGATCGACTTGCTAGCGAAAGCTGTAGGAAGGTACCATTCTCTGAGCTCATAGCTTTGGCGAAGATCGAATCTCCCTTCTCTTGGCCTTCCACTGTGCACCCTCTTTGGCAGGCACAGCCACTGTAGACGGTTCGACATCCTTCCACAAGCCAGCACCAACCAACTCCACCAAACCAAAGATTCTTCTCACAACCGTGTTGCCATCACGTCTGTTCTTTCCTTCTCGCCTTGCCTTACTTATGCTCTCACAAAACTCCCAAAGCTTTCCTTGTGCCTTGATCTGTCCATCCTCTGTCCTCTCAGGCAACCACTCAGTAGTAAGATGAACAGCAGCGGGGATCTTTCCGTCCTTGGATGGCGATGTGATGGAGATGATCCCACTTTCGGCGAACCTTGTATACGCATTCCGCAGCGTTTCACGATTCACTGCTTCGAGGTACGAGATGTCTCCCTGGGCATACAAGGTCTTGCCTAGTCTTTGTGCTTGAGTAACGACAGCGTTCAACGGTAGCGAGGTTTGTTGTGAAACATTGGGCAAAGGAGCTGTAAGCATCAAGAGACTTATGGCACCCAACCAGCTGGCCTCGATGAATGGCCAGATCAGGAAGCAGTAAAAGTCGTAGTTCTCACGGCCTGAGAGGCGCTCTGACTCGTCGAGTGAGATCGATTCGATTGTGTTGCCGTCATTTTCGGACCGGCTGACTGAAATGATATTGTCTGATTCGAGCCCGGTCAATGTGTTGGTGAGATTCTCTGCCAAAGGTGTCGTTGGGAAGATGAATTCGCCACGGAAGAGCNNTTGCAACATTAGTATGAGAACGGCCAGGGAGAGGGAACAACCTACTTGCGAGAGGAAGAAGACGTAATCATACAGGTCATTGTATGAAATACTCTGATTCTCTGGACCGCCGCCCATTTTGACTCTTGTGTATAGTGCAGCACTGACCAGTGCTTCCGACACGAACAAATGAATGGTCATGTTGCGGTAGAAGCTGAGTTGGAATCGATCTGCAGCATAGTAAGTCTTCTCGGGCAGATTTTTGTATTCTCCAACCAGGTTTTGCCCAAGCACTTCAAGAGCACGCTCTACAACGACGGTGGTTGGAAGCCCGGAAAAGTGAGCGATACGTCCACCTTGCTTCTTTACTCTTTCCGTAAGCCAGTCAACTCGACGCACGAGTTCTGATTTGCCGGCACCGCGTCCACGAAGGGTGAGAAGGACGGTTCCGACCAGAGCGGTAGGCATGACTACAGAGACGGCATTGATGTCAGAGAGCACCTTGTAGCCAAGGGTAGTTAGAAGACGACGTTTGAGAGCAACATCCTCAGGAGATTTGATGTGAGGTGGCAAAGTCGTGAGTCGAAGTTTCTGCTCGTTGATGAAATCACGAAGACTCCAAGGCTCGTGGAAACGAACATCGACACGGCCAAGCTTGAGAGACAGGACAGATGAGGACGATAAGAAGTTTCCTAGAGATTCTTTCGGTTTTGGTTGGCCCAAGAGTTCTGAGATGTAGGANGCTGAACAAGATCAGTGTTCAATCCGCATCACCTTTGCCAACACGACTTACTCGACTTCGATGACTTTGTCGTACTGTGTGCTCACGGGGCAAATCACGGCGTCTTCGACTTGACCAGACAGCACACTTTCGAGCAGGAAACTCAAGATTCCAAACTTTGGCTGCAAGAGCTTTCCTGTGCGTGAACGACCGCCCTCTNNGGAGATGTATAAGTGGTGTACAGCGGAGGTGGGTAGATGATACATACCAACAAAGCACTCGAAGTTGTGACCTTCTTGTAACAAGGTGTCTAAATATGCTTGAACGAGAGTTGTGTACAATGCATCGTCACCGAAACTACGACGGATCCACATGGCACCTNNCGGAAGAGTCAGTGAAGAACAACCCGACGAAGAATCGAACGTACCAGCATGTTGTAAGAAGGGACCAACCACGGGGAAGTTGAGATTGTCGCCAGCCACCACGATGGGCAGGGCGAGACCGAGGCGATAGCAGATGAGCTGTAATGAGACATAGTCGACGTGTGAGCGATGACATGGTAGAAAGATGATGGATTGTTTCTTCTTCTCTGCTTCTTGAGCAACCTTTCGAAGGCGCAGGACCTCATCGCTAGAGACGTGGATACCCTGGTGATAGGCTCTCGTGAGAAGCTGTGTTGCAAAGTAGTATGCACCACGAATAAATCTTCTACTGTCCATCTTGCAGATCATCTGGTCCGTCCAAGAATCTGCGACCTGGACTAACTGAGCCTCCATCTCTTTACGTCTCTCGTCGGCCTTGTGGCTCGGAAGAGTTCCTTCGGCAATCTCAACATCAAGTCTTTTGTGAGCTAGTTCAGAGATTCTAGATTGCAATCGTGGATTCTTCAAGACCAAGGCTTTGATGTGGTCGCTGAAGCCATTGTAGAATATGTTTCGACCAATGAAGTCATCGTATGAGCGCCAACCAGTGCCAGAGAGATGTAAGCTGACTTCTCGCAGAAAATCCAAAGGGGCTGAACGGAATCGAGCGAATGAAGTCAGGAGAGGCGTCTCCTGGTCCTGAATGACGCCAGGAGGATGTAGTGTTAGGCGATCACCCACGATGGATAAATCGGGAGCGTTGTTGTCACTCATGTCGGTCAATAATCCATCATATTGATATGAGACAAGTCGGTATGAAGCATTTAGTTGAAAGTGGAATGAAGGACGAAGGAGCAATGGAGCATCATGGACGGGCCTCGGCTCAGGTCTACCCCGGACTATGATGCCAAGAAAGGAAAAGCATTGGCGGGGTCGATCAAATGCCGACAAGCTTCAGGGTACGCGTTTGGACGAGTTGTCTGTCTTTCGATCAGCAATGGCACAAAAGAAGAGCATCGTTTTCTTCCACCCAGACCTGGGCATTGGTGGTGCCGAGAGACTGGTGATCGATGCTGCCGTTGGTCTCCAAGCGCGTGGGCACAAGGTCACCATCTTCACGTCGCATTGCGATCCGGGGCATTGCTTCGAGGAGGCTCGTGATGGTAAGTCGTCGTCTATACACCTGTTCATGTTTGCTGAGAAATCAGGCTAAACGAGCAAAGGAACTCTCGACGTGCGAGTGCGCGGGAACTCGCTAGTCCCATCGACCATCTTCGGCCGCTTCGCCATTCTCTGTGCCATCCTGAGACAGCTGCACCTCGTGTGCATCGTTGCCCTGTGGAACTACGAACTCGACCATCTCAGACCAACCCACTTCTTTATCGACCAACTGAGTGCTGCAGTACCTCTCCTTCGCTTCCTGTATACCGACGTCGGCATCCTCTTCTACTGCCACTTCCCGGACCAATTGCTCGCTCAGAAAGGCGAAGGCGCTATAGCCGTCTTGAAGAAGGGATACAGAGTGCCATTCAACGCCATTGAGGGCTGGAGTACTGCTTCTAGTCATGGTATTGTCGTCAACAGCAAATTTACTGGTGGCGTCGTGAAGCGTGTCTTCCCTCGTCTATCGAACAGAGAGTTGAAGGTCGTCTATCCTTGTGTCGACACTTCGACTGCCAGCCAGTTGCAGCGTAAGCCCATGTGGTCCGGCAGAAAGCTCACCTTGAGCATCAACCGCTTTGAAAAGAAGAAGGATGTCGCTCTTGCTGTCAAGGCCTTTGCGAGTCTCGATGCTTCAATTCGCAAGTCTGCTCTGCTAGTCATTGCAGGTGGTTACGATCCTCGCGTCCCTGAGAATGTCAGCACACACAACGAACTTCAACAACTGGCCGACTCTTTCAAGCTGTCGCATGAAACTCACAAGTCGCTTCCTGATCCTTCCGTTGTCTCTAACAACACATCGGTCCTCTTCCTCCTTTCTGTGCCGGACTCCTTGAAGCAATCCCTTCTCGCGTCCGCTGATCTACTGGTTTACACTCCTCAGAACGAACACTTTGGTATTGTGCCTCTCGAAGCTATGCTCGCCCGAGTACCCGTGCTGGCTGCCAACGAAGGAGGCCCTCTTGAAACCGTTGTCGAAGGAGAGACTGGCTGGCTCCGTGACATTCGCAAACCTGACGAATGGACTGCCGTCATGTCGCGTGTTCTCTCANACCCCAATCCTGCTGAGCTGCGCAGTATGGGCGAAAGTGGCCGTAAGCGCGTCCAGGCCGAGTTTTCGAAGGAGCAAATGGCTCTCCGTCTCGATCAATCTTTGGATCAGATAACAAATCCACCAAAGACGCCCTCAACTATACCCGACTGGCTGTGGATGACCATTGTCGTTTCTCTGGTAGCTATCTTGCTGTCTCTGCTTGCTACATGGCTATTGTTCTTGGGACTTGACATGGCCAAAAATAAGGAGGAAGCATTACGGCAGTACAACGCTGGTAAGACCGTCACTGAACAGGTTATTGCTGTCACGACAGAGATTGTGAGGAAAGAGTTGTGAACAGCGTTTGGGTGTAGCAAAAAAGCATTTTCGACACTTTTGGAATGATCTTGCGTGGCGCTATCCATTAATGTTTTTCATGTCTCCATTCTGCGATACCTTCGTGCTTACCATTTGGTCTTTGTTCAGGTAGCCAGACCAGTTTTAATTGAGGCCCGATTACTGCATTTCGATGCATTAGCTCTCCCATTAGCACACGGTCTCATCCATAACCCCTCTGGGAGAGCTCTCGCTATGAGGAAAGGTTGTTCTTGAAGCCCGCTATCTCGCCACCAAGCCACGCTCTCTAGTACACCTTTCGTGCAGCGACACGTCTCTCGACGTCAAATGAAGGTCGGAATTTGTCTTTTTTGATCTCTGGCTTGCAGAGATTACTTTCCTTGCTATAGTGCAGTTCACACTAGCTCGGCTTTGTCAGTTCATGCAACAGAGGGCGACAATCCGTGGGAGAGATTCGAAGGAGGCCAAGTGCTTCCTCCGTTTCCACCTACATACGGAAGTTGACGGGCTCTCATAGGGTTGTGACTGGCAGAATGCCAGTCCGTATGCCCTCAGTTCCGTCGGTGTAAAAGATATATGACTTTCCTTTCCAAAGTTTTCTGGACAGTGATGCAGCGGCCCCCAAAAGATTTCGAGCTGAGAGAAGGCTTTAAAGGCTCGGACACAGTGACATTCCATCTTCTCAGCACGGCCTTTCGCTCTTGGAAGAAGCGGGGTCTTGCGTTTATATTCCTGACGAGCCGCTTGCATGGCCTCAAGTGCATCTATGTGCTCGAGGTGCTTGTAACCAACAGGCATTACGCGCTCAGAATTCAATAGGCGGAAGCACTGCGAACAATCGTATGTGGGAGCATGTGACGGCTCCGTATCCTTCCTCTCCCACCAGAGTTTCAATCCCTCATGCTCATAGTGACCATAGGAGGAACAAGCCTTTTGAACCTTTCCTCAAACAAGACAGGGGTGTGTGTTCTCCATGTAAGGTGTTGCCGCGCCCAATCATTCCGGAAGTACAGCGGCTCGGCACGGACAACCTTGTTACCACACAACAACTCAACACCTCTCCTCATTTTACTTCGACAACACATGACGGATTTGATGCCAGAATAACTTGGCTCCTCGAATTACACCAAGAAAGTCGCATGGTTTATCAGGCCACAAGATGTGATTGACTCGGTGTTCTCGGACTCCATCTCGGAAATCCGAGCCGGAGAGGAGCAACTCATGTCCGGCCGGGAAGCAGGATCGATGACCACACTGCTTGCATGGCTGCATACAGATGAACTGCATTGGTATATATAAGAGCACCGCAGTAGGTTTCTTAGTCTTGAATAACAGTAGTTCGTGCCATCATCATCTCGCTACCACACTTTTGCCCGACTTGCACAGCAGGAAGCACATGAGCGTCACACTACACCGATCCATCCATCAACGAACGCCCCTTCCTCAGATTTTCAGATACTCAAAAAGTTTCGTTGTTTTCAGAAACATCAGGTCGTCAGAACTTCTATTTTCGAACTCATACTCAACAATGTCTCTTCCAAGCCCCGTACCCATTGCTCTTTGTGGCAAGAGCCAGACAATGGCCACAAACTTCAGCTCCAGCATGGAGAAGGAAGGCTACCAAGGTTTGTCTACTCCGTACCTCGTTTCAAAGTTCTCATCCAGAGATGAACAATATTGCGTAAAAATCGTTGTTCTCACACGCAATTCACAGNTGGTCCACACCTGCCACGACGCCGACTCTGCAAAATCAACACTTCCCTCTCTGCTCACCTCCTCTACCGGTCCCGTTGCTGTTGTCATTGGAAAGGGCTTTTACGAGTCTGAAATGCAGGAAATCATCCAGCACTGCAAGAGTGAAGCAGGTTCTGCAAAGACTGTCTGGTTACTCCCTGACGACGACAAGTTTACTGCTTATATGAAGATGAAGGCTGTGGCTTCGGCGGGTACCATGTTGCCGGGCATGATTGCTGAGAGAGCTTCTGCTGCGTTGAAGGAGAATGGTGTTGTGGGTGGTGGTAGTCTTGAGGGTGTCAAGAGCGGTGTTCATGGATTTTAAGAGCTTCCGGATCTGGACGGTCGGACGTTGATTAGCTATCAAAATGCAGAAATTTGTTCGAGTCATGAGGTTGTCCAATGAGAGTAATCTGCTCGTGAACTCTCAGCGGATAAGTATTGATATTGAGATTAAGCTGTGCATTTTGATAGCATACTTTTGAAGAGATTCTGTGGCCTGAGAGCCTTTACGTTTAGGCGGGTGAGAAGACATGAGCAGGACGTCGGGATAGGGGCTAGACATCTCCCACAATCACTTCGTTCTGGAGTCGTATGTTTGCATTGCAGCAAAGGGTATTCCTGTCAAGTAGTTCTTCATGAGATCCACGTCCACCAGGAAATGGTCACAGACGCGGTTCGCTCGTTTGCGTGTCTGGAGGTCCCCGTGGTCTCGTCAAGAAGCACACCAGAAATCAGATAGTAGTCCGAGGTTGTATGATGCCGAACCTGACTTGCGACGTGATGTACGACGCGTCAGGTCTTTTGTGAGGTCTTATTTTCCAACAAAGAGTCTTTTTATAAAGGGTCTAGAGAGGTAAGATTCAGCTCTGATATCAATGTTTGAGATAGGAAACAAGGATAGCTGTTTAGATGAAAGAACACAAACTGGAAGCAACTCGGTGTTGGTGACTATGTTCCAGGTAAAAAATGTTTGTCTAGTAGATATGTTGGTATGATCGAGGTGAGACAACATATATGTGCAACCATATTCGCTGTCACGGATGGGCTCGAGGAGTTGGTTATTAGTCTTGTTCGTTAGATGTCAGGACTCCACCTTCCAAGCCGGTCCTCGATATCGTCCATTCTCGGTCTAGTTCTCAAACGAGAAGGGCACAACCCATTTCCAATGCTCGGCATGAGGGTGGCTTGGTTTTCGATGATAAATCTCTGCACAGTCGACCGCTCCTTTCAATCTTTCAAGCAACAGACCGCATCGCTCCAACCTTCAAGATGTCTGGACAATGGACAATGGTTCCTACGAACCAGCTCAGAATAGGTATCTCCACTGTCAGGATGCCACAGTAGCCAACACTAACATCTTGGAAGTCGACAGCACAGTCATCCAAAACAACACACACATGCAGGGCACTGATCCACAGTGGTGCCTCTGGATCCTGAAGCAGCTCTCTATGCTCAGACGTTGGTACATGGTTGAGCCTTTCTTCAATCTCGGCGGCCACAATGTGATCGACATCCAGGTCATCAACCGAAAGCTCCACAATGGCGATTATGCCAGCGCGACGGGCTTTGAGTCAGACCTTTTGGGCATGCCCGCCAAATATCCAGACGGTCATATCCACCAGCAGGCCAATGATCTCATGCTCAAATTGCCCCAAATCTTTTGTCAAAGAAATCGCTGGNAAGGTCAGCAGAGAAAGAGATTACAACAACAGCGACAGCAGCCACCTACTGTTCCTTCCGCCTCTACTTCTGGCCCTTCTGTTGTGACTGGCACTCCTGCTTCTGCTCAAGTTGCTGCACCCACCACGGCTTCTACCTCGAGTGCCGTCGCCTCCGAACCTATCGCCATCTCTGATGACGCTGCCATCGCCTCTCCTCTTGTTGCTACTACTCTTGATCCCCGTGCTGCCACTCTGCAGCCTTCTGATCGCTTCAGTCGACCACTGTCAGTCCGCCCAAATTCTCGCAAGCCCGATGGCCGCTCGGAGACAAAGTTAAGCGAAGTCCTGACAAGCAACACCGGAGCCCCTGAACACTCCTTTGGCGAGGCCCCTGAGAACACTGTCCTCGAAAGCAGTGAGATGCCTGACCTGAACTCTGAACTACTTCAGGCACGTCGTGAAAAGAGAAAAGCCTCTAACGGCGAGGATCTTGGTACAAGTTCCAAGAGAGCTCGCCAGGAGACTNCCCAAGTACAAGTATCGGTATGTGTTCACGTTCACATTGTCGCAAAACTGAGTGTCCTGACGAACAGCAGTGACCTTCGTGTCGAGATAGCCGGAGTATTTGACAGAGAGATGAGCCTTATCTACGAGTCCTTTTCCAGTATGGAACTTGATGAGGACGCACAGCGCTATGTCAGTAACATCTCTCAAATGGATGACCGCGCCATGGATAAGGCCAAAGAGGCAGATTTGAACGAGATCAAGGAAGACTACATCGAAAAGATTGAAAGTCATCTCGTGGATACCGTCCAGGATCTTGTTCACACGATGCTGGCTGGAAAGGGTCAGTCAATTCAGCCCAGAGTATCACTGTCCAGCAAGAAAGAGGACGAGGAGGACGACAATGACTTTGAGACACCCTCACAAGCCAGAGTCAAGAGAGAACAGAGATAAGACAAGGTGAGTCGTCGATATGCATATTTCACATCGTGCTGCGAGCAGGAACTGGCTTGACGAATAGTACGATTCTGAGCCAGCAGATGCGGAGACGACCGAGCGTCTTCAAGAGAGTAGATGGCAGGTTTGATCGAGCGCAACAAGGAGGCAACCTGCGGTTTCCACGATGTGTTTGCCTTTAATGAGCTATCGTGTCCTCTTTGTTACACATCGAACTGCACGGATTGAAGTTGGAAGGTGGATTTGATGCGAAGGAAGGCTTTGAGTTATCGAGCGCCAGGTTCGATCAAGCGCAATACCGAGGCGGCATGGCAACTGCTACATTGCAGTCATCTTGTAGGAGCGTTCAACTATGCTTTGTTATACATCGAGATGCACGAAGGAAAGTCAGAAGGGGATGGTTGAAAGAAAGAGCAAGCGCGATCGTCAGGAGATGTCATCCACCTGTTTCTGGGGAAATCGAGCCACCAGGATCGTCATAGCAAACAGCAAACATCCAATTCCACTTTCCATCTTTCCTCCCACTACAAGCTCTCAAACCACTCGTGAAGCATCAAATAATACATGCGGCGCTACTGTAATCTCGTCGCAAGCTCAATCCGACGAACATCCCTCACATCCGCACCTCGCATGGCCCTCTACAACAGCCCCAGCACCAGCAACGCAATGTCAAGCTCCACACCCAACAAACGCATCTTCGCCCCGGGTGGCACCAACGACTCCCAGCAAGCCCAGCAATACACAAAGGGCAGCCTCGACGCCTCTCAACTCGACCCTAACCCTTTGACCCAATTCGATGTCTGGTTCACCCACGCCAATACTGAAAAAGTACACCAGCCTGAAACAGTGACGCTGAGCACCGCCGAACTGCCCTCCGGAAGAGTCAGCGCACGGATGGTGTACTTGAAAGAGTTGGATGAGAGGGGTTGGGTGGTGTACAGTAATTGGGGTACCAGCAGAAAGGCAGCAGATGTCAAGAGCAATCCTCATGCCAGCTTGACTTTTTGGTGGCATGAGCTGGAGAGATCGGTTAGAGTGGAAGGAAAAGTGGAGAGAATGACTAGTGAAGAGAGTCAGGTTTACTACGACACACGCATAAGAGGCAGCAGGTTGGGTGCTTGGGCCAGTCAGCAGAGCAGCGTCTTGAGCAGTCGCGAAGAGCTAGAAANNAAGCAGGTCGAGGATGTGGAAAAACGATTCGATGGTCAAGACAAGATCCCCGTGCCCGAGTTTTGGGGTGGTATCAGGATTGTGCCTGAGATGGTCGAGTTTTGGCAAGGACGACCCAGTCGCTTGCATGACCGCTTCAGGTACACGAGAGATGAAAACAGCGAGTCTGGATGGAAGGTCGACAGATTGAGTCCTTAGGTCAAGACGCAGACTATCTGTGTCTACAACGAAAACCTTGACACCATGTCTACAACATTGCTCGTCTATTTTACTTTGGCTAATGGAAGGTGGCAAGATTAATTATATGTCATTCTATTATGGTAAACCGGATAGGTAAGGTCTACGTATCTAGCTCTATCTTACCTCTAAGTAACACAATGTACTACGTATGATTTTGTGCAATCAACACGAGCAGGAGCAAAACAATATGTAGCTCCTTCCTTCTCAAACATTATCCTTCTCCTTCATCGTCTCCACCATATCGGCAGAATCCCTGACCTTGCCACCACGCAACCCAGTCTCCGGATCCGTGACAGAGTTACCACGACTAGCAGACACAAACGTCGGATTCCCAGCCTGGAACTCTGCAAAATGCTTCTCTGCATCCCAAGCAAAAGGCGTCGAAGCCGAGAACAGAATATTAACCTCTTCCAAAGTTCTCTGATTGGTTTCGGGTAAGAATGCCCATACCAAAGGTATCGAGATGACATTAGAGGCGGCGAAGATGTAAAATGTGTTTTCGCCGATGCTGTTGAACATGACTGGGCAGAGGAGGGTGAGCCAGCCGTTGCCGATGGACCAGCCAACTACTCCCCAGGCATTTCCTTTGGCTCGGACTTCCAAGGGGAAGATTTCGGCGGGGATTAGCCAGGGTACTGTGAGCCATGTTGCACCAAAGACGGCCGTGTAGATGAAGGTGAAACTGGCTGCTGCGGCTCCGTATCGGGCTGCCAGTGCTGTGTTTCCACTGTCGGTAGCGTTGATGCCGCCGCGAGACATGCCGCCAATCAAGAACATGGAAATGGCTTGAGCCACAGCACCCCAGTAAAGTGTCCATCTTCTGCCGATCCTGTCGAGAGTGAACACGCAAACCAAGGTGGCAAGCATATACGTCGTATCATTAAGTCCAGACAACCACCCACTCTTCTGCGCATCAAACCCAGCAATGCCAAAGATAGTAGGCGCATAAACAGTAATACCAGCAATACCACACCATTCCTGGAGAATCTGTAGCCAGATAACAATCTGAACTCTACGGCCAGTGTGCAAGCTTCCAGAACTTCCGTGCCCAAAGTCGAGTAGCATTCTCCAGTACGTATTTTGCTTTGAGGTGCTTCTTTCCAGTTGGACGATGTTGATGATGTCTTGAAACTCGGCTTCGGCTCTGATTTTGTCTTCGCCTTCGTCGCCGCGGAGGCGGGCGAGGATGTGTCTTGCTTCCTTGTCGCGGCCGACTTTGCAGAGCCATCGAGGAGACTCGGGGAAGAACCAGATGACACCGAAGAGCATAAGCAGAGGGATAATTTGGAACNNTGTTGAGATCAGAGTCAGTAAGATACTCCCAAGAGCAGTATGACCAATACTCACAGCGATAGGGAAGCGCCACTGGAAAGCACCACGGCCTCCATCAATAAACGACAATCCAAATTCCAACCAATAAGCAACAGCAACACCAAAAATATTAAGCGTAAACTCAATAGCGATGAACTGGCCACGAGAAGTGTGTTCAGCAGTCTCAGTAGCCCAAACCGGAACAATCGAGTTCAAAACACCAGTACCTATACCATTAACCGTCCTCGCACAAATCATCCAAACATGATTCTGAGCAGAGCATTGAAGAGCAGCTCCAAAGATAGCCCACAAGCTGCCGAGTGCAATTGTGCGGATACGGCCAGTCTTATCTCCAACCCAGCCACCGAGGAAAGCTCCAAATAGTGTTCCGAGATAGTAGACCGCGACGATGCCGCCTTGAAGCAGAGAATCGTCTACGATGACTCTACCAGTGGCGGAGTCGACATGGCCGAAACCCATGAGTTGCGCGTAGTCTGCTGAGGTGTTGACACCACCCATCATACCTTGGTCATAACCTNNATGTCGTGTCAGTATTGATATCGTAGGACAAAAGGAAAGCCGCTTACCAAAGAAGAAGATGGATAGTGCAGCAGCTCCAGCAATGGCATTTAACAAGCTCTTCTTGTATAGCACATTCGCGATACGGAATCCTTTCATTTGATCCATGGTGATTGTAGTATAAAGACCCTCGCCTCAAACAATGCTTGTTGTTGTATCCAGAGAGTAGAATGCTAAAAGATGATCCAGTGCAGGTATGTAGATCCGGTGCTGAGTAAATTTCGTCACCTTTGACTTCGAGCTGGCACCTCCTTCTAGCAATGTTAGGCACAAAAAGTAGGACAAAACACCCTTCGGAAGAAGACGAGCAAGAGACACACCCGATATATGAATCACACAATCTTGCTCATCCATCCTCCAAGCAAGACACCGGGTAATAAGCATCCCACAAGAGTCAAGGGGCCACACACATCATCACGAAACCTCCAGCGGTTCCTCCCAAACCAGTATTCCGGAGCGCAAGCCTCCACACTCACTCCTCCATCTCCCCAACTGGAGAAAAACAGTGGATACCAAAAAAGCGACGATCTCTGGCCCGTGAGGTGCCGAGGCAGTATCTTGGCATGGGAATCGCTTGCGCTCTCTTCAAGCCTCTTTGACTTTTGACATCTTTTACGGAAGGCGTTTCGGTAGGCGTTTCGGTAGGCGTTTTTGGGCTTGATGTTTGTGTTCGGGATGACGGTGCCGTGGCTTGCGGTCCGATTGTTGCGTTCTTTGTTATATACGGATTGAAGGTCCTTAAACCCACGATTAGGTACACCTTTTAATCGCCAATTGATGCCTCTGGAGAAGAGATTTCACGTGGCAGCTTTGACTGAATGCAGGTGTCTAGTCAAGGGCCCCGAAAAGTTGCTGAAGCCACAGTCGCACAAGTCATCAAACCATGCATGCAAGCCTCAACGTAGGATCGACAGGCCAAAGGCACGCGACTTCTTCCGACGTTGCATATCAATTCTCAAAAATTGAGGTGTCATCCCGGATAAAATGGCAAAATAGAAAAACGATCCTCAAGAAGACCACACTGAAGGACGTTGATTGTGTGAGAATACTCAAGATATCTACATGCAATCTCTAAAACTCCCTCCGTAAAATGCTGGCTCCGAAATATGCTCTGCTAACAAACAAGAAGTAAAAAGACTGTGGTATCATAGCAACATAAACACGCTTTGATAAACTCAACATCTCTCAAATACACGGTACAGTCCTTTCAGGTCTGCTACCTCGACGGCTGCTTTTCTCAGACTCTTTGTTGCGACAAGTCTTGTTCTGAAGGCAGGGAACATAACATTTTCGATCGATCTTTCGAGCTGGGTGCGGCGTTTGATGGCCTCTTCTTGTGCACTCTGAGATGCCTCTGGAGTCATAGACGCCACGGGGAGAGCTTCAGGCGAATAGAAGGATGCCAGCTCGCGCAANAAGCTGTCAAAACAATCCTTTTCTTCATCCCAATTGACGTGAGGGCCGAGCCGGAGTAGGAAAGTCGGAAGCTTGGCCAGGCAAGGCATATATCCCTTGAGCATGAGAGGAATACTGAGCAGCTCACCATCCTCGGATATATCAAGAGCGAAGTACTCGTTGAGCATACCTCTGCTCTGCACCAGCTGGTCCAAAGTTACTTGCACAACCTCGTTCCAATCCAGCTCCTGATCATCAATAGGTGTTCTGGAGCGCTCATACTCCGCTCCTATGCGTAAGAGATCTGCGACACTTAGTGGCTCCTTGAACTTGATAGTACCAAAGTTGCTGAAGTCTGACAGGCCAATCTGATAGAAGAACTCCGCACTGATCATTCCGTAATCAACCAAGAAGAGTTTTACTCCTGATTGAATTGCCGCAATTCTTTTGGAAGTGTCTACAATGCCCACAAAGGTAAGGTTCCTGATCATGTCGTCCATAGTCTTGTGAATATCTTCCCGCACTGCAGCACGAAGATCCTTGATCGAGGTAAGCCGAATTGTCGTTTGCTCTTTCTCAACGAATTCGTACTCCGGTTCCTCGGCGTGGCCCTCTTGGCCTTCCGCTCTACTTCCCTTGCTCGGCGAGGAAGACAAGGTAGGAGGAAGCATGGAGGTGATCTTGCGAACACGGGAATCGACTCTGACGAGGTTGTTCTCGTAAGGCTTTAGTACCGTTCTCGGTGTCGTAGATTTGGTGGAGCCTGTACTGTCCTGATGTTGGAGTAGCGGAGTAGTGAATGATAGCTCAGGCTGGGTTGAAGCCGAAGGTGTCATCGGAGTTGTCGTCTTCTTTGGTCCTAACAAGGATTGTGTCATGAACGTACGGCTCGTGTCAACAGAGCCCAATCTAGTAAGAACCTCATCGCGAATGATTTCGATGATTTCTTCCTCGTTCAANAACCCAACCTCACGCTTTGTTGGGTGCACATTGACATCGACTCTGGCGGGGTCAATATCGAGGCTCAAGTAGACGAACGGCTTTCCTCCTTTTGGCAAGAAAGGTGCATAAGCCTGTTCAATGGCTTTGCGGATTGCTGTTGATTCGACCGAGCGATGGTTGATGAACAACAAGAAGGTAGACTTCTTCGCCGAATAGTTGGCGCTGCTGATCAGACCTTCTGACTTGAATCCCCAGCGATCATTGGCGACCTCGAAGGATATCAGATCGTTTGCTACAGCGCTGTTGAACACAGTTCGGATGCGATCGACCATACTAAGGTGACTTTGCACGTTGAGACTTGTTCCAGCCTCGCCATGTTTNTTGCACGAGAAAGCCACACCTTTGCAATGGACGGAATACTTGCCAATGATGTCTAGGATCTTGGCGTACTCTTCACTGCTGGACCGAAAGGCTCGTCTGCGAGTAGGTACGTTGTAGAACAAATCCTCGACNCTTGAAAGAGTTAGCATGTTTGAGATAGCAACACAGAGAAATCGATTTACAGTGATCTGAGTACCTTGCTTGCCCGCACAAGGTTTAGGGTCTGTAGACTGTCCAGGTTTTGGTGGGGTGAGGTTTTCGTTCGTGTAGTAAGCCTTCCATGCGCAACTTGACTCTCGTGTCTTCGTGGTAACAGTAAGATGTGCGATATGACTGATACTGGCAAGAGCCTCGCCACGGAAGCCATATGTACCGATCGAGGTGAGATCTTCGAATTCCTTGATCTTGGAGGTGGTATGTCGTTGACACAGCAAAGGCAAGTCGGCTTTNCTGTCTCACAGTCAGAGATGAACAAGATCGTCAAGACTGTACATCGTTGTCCTTACGTTGATACCATGACCGTTGTCGCTGATCTGTAGCAGCTTCAATCCTCCATCCTTGACCAAAATTTCCAGCTGGGTCGCTCCGGCATCAACAGCATTTTCGATGAGTTCTTTCAAGGCGTTCCAGGGCGAGACGATGATTTCTCCAGCAGCAATCTTGTTGACAACATCCTGATGGAGAGCACGAATGGGTGGCGGCGGTCTGTTGAAGGCTTCGTCTGCAGTTCTTTTCAAGCCGCGCGATGGCGATGGACTGCGACCACTCATCACCACATCTTCGGTATCTGTCATTGTCTAGATATAGTGTCAAATATATCGTTGTCCCAAGCCTACGGAGAATAGAGTAAAAAGCACGACGGAGGACGCGTTTGCTTGCGTCACGATTGTCACGAAAACGCCGCGTGCACGGGGTCATGATTGCCTGATTAGGCCACCTAGTCAAGTGCATCTGCTCTTCATCCCTTTTTTGTGCTCTTCCAAAGATTATAGTGGGCGCTCGGTGACACAAAAATGATAGTTTTTACTCATGCACCAAAATCGGACTCGACGTCATGCTCTGTGCTCTAATTCTAGGTCGCCGTCTCTTGTCGCTGCTCGACCCTCTGCTGTTGTATTGCTCGTCGGCGTGATACATACATCAGAGTTGGAGGGTAGTCGGACATGACGACTTTGTCGCTTCAAGAACGACAACCGGCTGTTTATCCAACCAGCGGTCTTCCTAATGACCTCCCACAATCGATCCTGTGCTTCTCTTAGAGCAGAATCATCTCTGGGATTCTCGTGTGCTTCAGCCTGGAATTGATATTTCAAGCAATCTTTGACGGTAATAAGACCAGTAAGTCTACCACGGTACTCGACGAGAATGACTCGCGGTCCGAGTTTCTTGAACAGCTCCATAACCGTCTCCAGAGGAAGACGAGGATGAACTGTGATGGGGGTTGCATCAATGAACTTGCTCAAGTCCACACTCGACTGGTTTGATGTCGCGCTTAGATAGTCAAAATGAACTGCTGGATTCGGTGTCGATGGCGTAATCGGTACATGCCCTGCGACCGGTGTAAAGAAACATTTCGTGCGTGGTGTTGCCATTTGGTCACGTCTGGCTCGGTCGAGGGCATAGCGGAGCTCAGTACGGCCGACATATCCGACCAGCATCATTGAGGTTGCATCTTCGACGATCGGATAGCCAGAATAATGCGTGTCGTCTAGGAGTTTTTCGAGATCCCGAACTTCCAGTCCAGACACGGGTAATGCTCTTAGTTCGCTGATCATGGCTGTGGAAACAGGTACGCCAAAAGCGTGGTCCTCTTTGTTATCCAGGAATGGCATACCGTTGAACCAAATCATACGGTCTGCGATACCGCCTTTTCCAAAGCGGTCGCTAACTGCTTTCGTCACACCAACAACAATNCTAGACAAGGAGTCAGCATGATAGCATCGCATATATGATTGTCTGTGACATACCATGGTTGGTAGGATGTAAGTAAGTGCTCCGGTTAATTCGAACATGATGACGACAACAGACACGGTGATGTGCATGATGCCGGACAATGCAGCCGCAGCTCCCAAAAANGCATACGTGCCCGGCGTGATACAAGGCATATCGGGCTGACAAGCTGAGAAGAACGCAGAGTTGGGGAATGCTTGTTGGATCGCTTGGACCAAGATACCCACCATGCGACCGAAGGATGCACCAATAGCCATGGAAGGTACGAAGATACCAGCAGGTACCTTGCATCCGTAGGATATGATGACGAGGAAAGTGCGCAGAACTGTGGCTATGAGAAGAGAGAGGACTGATGTCCAGCGATTTTGACGACTATTTGTGGTCAGAGGATTCATAGTGCATTACAGAACTCTGGAGACTTACTCGCACAAGCCATCATAGTCATGACCTCCTTCACATTCGAGAAAGAGAATTTCCATACTCTCTGTCATGTCGATTCGCAAGAATTTGTTCGGGTAGCACAGAATGGCTGTTGCTGTAGCGAGTATGGTTGCTTCGAGGATAGGATATTGACCGAGGTAACGCTTTCGGAAGGCTTGCATTCGAAGGTTCCATTTGATGACAAAGGCACCATATAGACCACCGAATATGCCAAGGATGATGTAGAAGAAAATTTCGAAGAAATGCCACTGTCGATCGTAGCTCACGGTGAACATGACGAGCTGTCCTGTACGGAAGGGATTCATGGCCTGAGACGGTGAGCCTTGACACTATTGATGAAAGAAAGAAAAACTCACGGATAATACTGCTGTTGCTACTAGAGCACAAAAGTAACTCCTCCATAACGTCTTGAGAGGAAAGTAGTTTGACATTTCCNNTGGTCAGTTGGTCAGCTTCAAGGCAATCTAGTGTAGAAAGTGCGATCGATTTACCTCGAGAGAAAACAAAACACCTCCAATAGGGCTTCCGAAAGCCACGGCTACACCAGCAGCAGCGCATGCACTGAGGATTTCTCGAGTCTTTGCAGCATTTCGGCGATACTTGTCGAAGAAGCGAGAGATGACATTACCTGTGCACACGGCGTAGTGGACACTGGGCCCCTCCTTTCCAACCGACAAACCAGAAGCGATAGCAAGAGGAAGGCCGATGGACTTGATGAGTAGTGTCCAGAAGCCGAGAAAGCCTTTCATGACGAAGCCTGCAATGATGCATTTGATCTCGGAAATTCCAGAGCCGGCAGCGTAAGGAGCATAAGACTTTACAAGTCGGGCTGAGGTGAAGGCAAAGATGGTCNNTTTGTACACGATCAGATTATGGCAGAGAATTGAGCGAGGAACAGAGCTTACGGAGAAGAGGATGTATATTAGATAGCGGAAGATGACATGAGAACTCCAAGGCCGCCATTCTGCGCAGCCTTCGNNAGGCGTCAGTACAGTAGTGGTTGCAGGGATTAAGAGATACCAACCTTCCTCGGCACCCCAGCAGCAGAAGCTCTCGTTCAAGTAAAANGCAGTTGTACAATGACCCAGCTTGATATCGGACAGCCATTCGGTGATTATGTTCAAAAAGGCAGCATTCAGACCAATGGCAGTGCCAATCAGCGTGACGACAAGCCATGCCTGACCAGCATCATATGCCTCCCATAGCCTCCTTCTCCAATCCAGATGACCCAATTTAGCTCGCTCTTGTCGCTTGGCCTTGCGGCGTTGCTGTTCCCTAGCAGCATCTCTGACCCAGTCTATGGTTGTAAAATCTTCATAGCGCTTGATCTCATCAATCTCGTCTGCGACGACCTGGTCTTCGGGATTGACGTTCGTCGTGTCTCCTTGTTCAGCTNNTGCGAGAGAGAGAGCCGAGACTCTGCGATGGAAGGAGCGTGAGCCAGCCGATGGGGCCAGAGACGGGCGGCGAGAGGGCGGAAGGGGATTCATTGCATTGCTATCGGACCTTCATGCAGCCATGTAATTTGCGATGGCATGCGACGGTCGTGTCGCGCCGGGTCGAACAACAAAGAGAGCAGCTCCCGAGGCCACACCTCAACCACTTTCGGAAGGAGCCGTCAAAGCGCGACTTCCAAACTTGAAACGCGTCACGCTTCGTCTCTACAGTCCATCAACGCCAGACATACAGTGGAGAATACACCAGCAACATCACAACCAAGACAGAATCACCATCAAAATGCCCTACAACAACACCCCCATCACGCCCTCGACCGAGATCACCGGCACCGTATCCCTTCCGCGTGAGTCCAGGATAATATCCCCACATCTGTCGCAACTTCTGACATGATGGACAGTCGCCAGAGTCAAGAAGATCATCCATGCCGACGACGACATTGCCAACTGCTCAAACAACGCTGCCTTTGCCATCACCGCTGCGACAGAGCTCTTCCTACAGTACCTGGTAGAACAGACGCAGAATGTTGTCAAGGCCGAGAAGAAGCCCAGGAGGAACATCCAGTACAAAGACGTTGGTACGCGTCTGCCCTCTTACCACTCATACATCAGCAGTCATCGCTGACTTCCCTCCCAGNCCAGTGCAGTCGCCCGTGTAGACAACCTCGAATTCCTCGCCGACGTCGTGCCCAAGACTGTTAGCTACAAAGAGCACAAGGCCAAGAAGCAGAGAGAAGAGAAGGAAGCTGGACAGACGACTCTTCCCATTGTCGCTACTGCTACCACCGCCACGGCCACTCTCCCTACTGCTGTTATCCCCGCTCAGACCGACCCCGTCCCTGCTCCTGTCCAGGCTCAGCTTCTGGATCCCATGGACGAAACCTCTTGAAAGACCACCGCCGAACAACTTCACTCCATATCGTATCATCTCTGATGGCTGACAATCACGTACGCGCTGCTTGTTAGTTGCTGTGCTTCCAACTTGGCACGCATCGTCAGCATCCATCGCCACGTACATAATCGCGGACATCGCTTGTCCTCCAGCGTGAAAGATAATCACACGGCAAGCTGCTTTCACGCGTCGCTCATGCTGAGAAGGATCCCGGGCCTGCCATCACGCCTGTGTTGTCATGAGCTTTATCTAATCCTTCACGGACTATTTCTCCGTGCGCTGGCTGCGTCATGGGAGAACACAATAGCAGTCCGCTGCGTTTGCGGAAAGCAAACAAAGCCTCAGACCTGTGTCCGGCACATGCTAGAATCCATATCATGAAAGTATGCAAACTCAAATCACTTTTCGGTCACGTTCCACAGCCCAGCCTCGTGTTTGCTGACCCTCTATCAGCGTATAACTATCGCTGGCCCCAACTCACATGAACCCGACTCAATTCACATGCTTCCTCATTCACCTCTTCGCTGGCCTATACCGTGGAAGCATGTGCGTTTCGGTGTATATAACGATGCCCTTTGGCGACATGGATTCCTTCCCTCTACCAACCACAACAATTGCCTACTCAAGCATCAAAGCACTTCGATATATATCCACTTGAACCATCTTCAGCTCTATCCTATACGACACAACTTCACACAATGCAGAAGTCCCACGCTGCTTCCAGTTCCTCTAGCGGCAATGGCAAGCAGGCCATGTCCCCGGAAAGTCACCTGGCANAGTCACCCAGCAAGTTGCCCTTGAAACCTATCTATCGCCAACTTCCACCTATCCCGCTCTGCAAGTGCCGTGATCGTGTGGAAGAGTCGACTNTTTCACAGGGCGAGAGACTCGAGTGGCCTCTTCTTCGCGAAAAGATCCTGCGTGTCTTCNCTCGTTCCTCCAACCCCATCATTCCTTGCGAATGGGGTCAAAAACTTGTCAGAGAAGGTGCCGACGGTCGTACTTGGGAGCTTCACTACCTGGAACTCAAGGAGTGTATCACCGCACCCTCCTACATGCCTGTTGCACCTCATGCTTTACCACAAGTGCTGTTGCGTGGAGAAAGCGCAACCAGGATGTCGGATGCATTGGAGAGCGTGATGAACATCTTGGATCAGATGCCCTATGACTGGAGATATGATACCGACACCAAGCTTCCCATTCATGCTGAGGAGTTTCCTGCATTTGAGATCGACTGCTCTATGTGTGGGCTTCCTCGCAAAGACCCGAGATACTTGCCACCCAAGCCTCAGACCAGCCACAAGCTCAACCTCAAGCGCTGAATGGGAGACTGCACGCTGCAAGGAAGTGGAAAGACCTGTATAGCTCGTCTCAGGAAGGGATGATGGTGAATAATATGATGAAATCATGATCTGGACGAATTGGATGAAGTACGAGACACACGACGAAACGAGACACGACACAATATGATACGACACAATATGATACGACAACACAGGCTGAAACTTGAGTGGCGAAAAGCATGGCATGGATCAACTTTTGAGGGACAATGACGGACAAACGATGGAAATGACACTTTGATTAGAATCAGAAGCACAAATGAGAATGCCCTTCATACCCAAAATGCGAGGTTGATTTATATAGTCAATTTGAAACGCAGCTACTGACAAATACACTATTGCACCATATCCTCATCTATCCCTCTTACTTCTTCTCGACTGATTACTCCTTGATAATTTGGTTCTCGGACTTCTCTTTTGCTGTGTCCCTGTTTCTGGCTCCTCGGTGTCAATTCAATCATCCTCTCATTGAGCAATATTCGTTTCCCTTTGTAGACTATAAGCAACATTCCTATACTACATCTCTTCTTCTCGTTTTGAGAGAGAGTCATGTTTTCCGTAAATTTCGTGAGATCAAGATATCCTGAATGTCATGAGGCTTCTTTCTCTTTTTCTGTCGACCTTTAGGACGATCCGCAGTCATGTTTGAACCCTGTTCTAATTGTCTGTGTATATAACCAGTCGTTGATCGATGATCGGACTGATTCATGGAAGAGCTTGGGCGTGTCAAGTCTCGTGGGTTCGTTGTTGGATGGCCGTATGCTTGCTTAATCATCCATGCCATTGATGATACTCTCTAGCTTTTCGAATTCTTGATATACATCGGGGTTAGAGGGTACATTTGTATGAAACCCAATCAGAGAAGAAGAAGAGAATAGTCGTAGTATCATAGCGAATGAGCGAAAGTAATCAAAACGAACAAGCCCATCAGACGCCTTCCAAACGCCTCTCAAACACCGTATCCAACCTCCTTATATATTCCCTTTCCTGTCCCAACCTCATCCATCCTAACCCCATCTCCTCCCAGAACCGGAACCACAAACTCCAAACAGATCCTCAAACCCCTGTCTTCCCCGCGTCTAATCACTCATATATTCCGTATCCCCCTCCGAATCCTCATCTCCCAAACTCGCATCATCAGGTGCACCTTCCTCAGTATCTTTATCCTCGATATAATCGCTAACTTTCCAGAACGCAGTGGGGCCCGCAGGTCCATGTCGATCAAAGTCCTTGTCGAACCAGTTGCCGAGGACGCCGCGGCCGGAGCGGATGCCGCCGACTTGGATGCCTTCGCTGCGCCAGCGTTCTTCGCTGGAAGGGGGTGGTTAGTGTGGGTTACAGAGGTGGTGATGGGAGAGTGGAGGTGATAGGGGAGAGGAGTGGATTGGTGAGGGAAATGGATTGATGAGAGGCTGCTGGGATCCTTGGTTTCACTGTCGGCAATCGCATATAAAGATCTGTCGAGGTCGAGGGAGCATGACTCAACCCGGAAACTCTTCTTTTGTCGTTGTCCATTGATCGAAATGGTAAGAGTCAATCTCTTGGCAGAGGCAAAAAGCTACACCAAGGATACGTGAAGTCCATTTCTCCCACCTCAAAAGTTGACTCGTATACCATCTCTTGCCCAGACGATGCAAAGAAGAGCATTCCGGTGCGGGGAATCGAACCCCGACCTCCTCGGATCCTTGTATGCAGATAGCAAGACAGTGAAAGCGAGAAATCCTAGCCGTTAGACCACACCGGATAGGCATAAAGTGGTGTAGCAAATTTGCTGAATAACAATCTGCGACAAACAACGAACGTACCTGTGGAATATAGAAAATGTAGTCCAGCGTATCTCGCCTTCGGGTGTTTGACGAACCACACCTGTAAACAATTGTTAAAGATGAGGCTGGTACGGCATGACTTCGGACTCACCTCTGATTTGTGAATTGGCGTTTGCATCCCAACTTGCATGTAAACTCCAACTTGTACCCGTAAAGGAAACCACGGGGTAATCTTGACCGTCCTCTGGGCCTGGTGGTTCTATTGCGGAGACTCGAAGTTTGAGGCGGATGATTCTGATTGCTTCGCGGGTGTTGATGGGGTCTCGTGGTTGATCGGCGGGTACACTGTGTAAGAAGTTGAAGGCGAACAAGTCGTGGTAATCTAGGAAACAGACCACACGCATCCATTCTCCAGTAATGCCGTAAGGGTCGAGGTTTTCCAGATCTCCGGGTGGACTCAATTCTCGAACGAGGGCTGTTGGATGAGCGGATATGTATGAGTGGGGAGAGGCTCCATTGAATGGCTTCTCCCACACGGGTTCGAAAACGTGTGGTGCTCGTCGATTGAAGAGACGCATGTTGTAGCCCAAGACGACCATTATAGATTCGACTTTCTCCCAATCAACGTCCTGGCTTCCATCGCTCTTGAACGGGCCCCACAGACTCTCTTCTGTGTATCGTCGGAGATCATAGACTACAGCGCGAGCATAGTTGTTTGTCGGGGTCTGAACGCTTTCTTCGGCCGAATCTGGGTGCCAAAGGACTGAATATGATGGTGATGGTGAGTTGTCGTCGCTATCGTCCTGGACAAGCATTGGCGGTATCTGACAATCGATTGGAACACCGTACAGGCAGTGAAGTTTGGCGGCGAGCTGGCGTAACTCTGGTGTGTCTGCTGGTTGCTGTGTCAAATTTCCGGCATGTTCGAAAAGGGATGATGAGGCGAGGAAGGCATCGATATTCTTCTGTGACTTGAAGAGGTCCGCGAGGAATTGCGTGTTCTTGGTGCTGTTCTTGACGGTCAAGAGTGGTGCGATCAAAGGAGCCGCCCATGCGAAAGCTTCACGCTGCTGTACGTCAGCTTCCAGAATGAAGAGCTCATCTTCTCGATCAGGAATACCTTTCTTNTCGAGGTTGTCGCTCTCAAGTAGCTTCTTCAAGGCGACCGAAGTGCGTACTGATGACTCCCAACAGGGCTCAGCTTCCGCCGGATGATCNCTATCTACTACATCAGTGCTGTGCAAAACCACAGCTGTATTGTATCTGCTGACCCATGAACGCAAGTACACACTCTTGCAGAGAATTTTGTTGCCATTCACAAACGAGTTGAAGGCATGACATGTCGCACTTAATGCCGCAAGGTCTTGTCCGTCGACTTCGCCCAAGATGCCCTGGAGAAGCTCGTGCGAAAGGTCCAGAAGACAGGTCATTGTGGGTATGGCGATCGAGATGGCGAGGAGAAGAGGACAAGAAATCAAGACCCGTTACACCGCACCACTGTATCCCTCTTGCACACCCTCGATCTTCCAATAAAGTCGTGACCGCGGCTCGGTCTTCGCTGCAGACCACCCTAATGTTCCCATTGATGCGGGGCTGCCGGAGTTAACGGGCTGATCTGGCGTGGCTTGAACTTTGTCCCTTGGCCCGGTTGAACTTGTTTAATGACATGCGTCCATCCAGGCCGTGCTTGACAAGCTTTCTGCCACCTGCCACTGCATCGACCTTATCATGTTTCATACCATCTGTAACCATACCTTATCGTGGCACTGTGAGCTAAACTGTATGCAACATCGCTCGTATATCTGATGTGACGTTGATTCCAATTGCAACCTTGCTGCAATGATCTTCAGAGGAGACCGTCGTGCGGAGTCGCGATGCAGGGTGAAGGTTTATCGCACCTGTCTCCCAATAAATAGAGCGTGCTCAACATGAAAGGAAGGCTGTATTTTGTCTGTGAGTTTCTTGCAGAGACCATCATCCTCTGGTTGTTTGTTTTGAACCATGTTCTCAAAGTTTTCTCTTGCATTAGCTACAGTGTTGCCCTTAGTGGAGGGCCAGTTCAACAATCCACCTGGTGTCGATATATGGTGCGGAAAGGCTTATCGAGTTACGTACGTCTTCTTCAGTGACCAAATGGTGGTCGAAACAAGTTTGCTTACAGACTTAGGANACGCATCCTTCAATCCAGGAGGCTGGTTTGCAGAACCACCCAAGTCCGATGCACCGCTGGTGAACTTCAAAATCAGACCTCGGATGAATTTGTATCTAGAGGATGACACAACCTCGACATTCATAGTCGACGCACCAGTTTCTTGGTACATCGGCCATGCTCTGCCAAACAGCAACACTTCCATGTTTCCAAGCCATGGCTCAGAGATTACGCTTGAGATCAAAGCTGGGAATACATCGCTCTGCTTGAACAAGACGTCTATCAGTCTCGGATCCTCGGACAATGAGATACCCTTCGATCTGTCATCCTTGTCCGCTGCCACCAATAACATCACTATGATTGGCACTCTTGAAGGGTTCAAGAATGGAACATTCACTGCTACGACTCAAGTCACTAAGCTCCCTCTTCGTTCCGATAATGGCACCGTCACCCGACTCGACAACTTGTATGGAGGTCTTTCAGTTCGAAAAGGACAGGCCAAAGAATGGACATCGATCTTTCCCTACACTTATTACGTTCAATGGAGTCTATATTGGAACGCCAATGTCTCAACTCTAGACGAATTTGCAGCAATGGGCTACAATGTCATTCACATCGTGCCTACCGGTGACCTAGGCGACACCCCATTCCCCTGGGACAAGTTCCAACCCTACCTTGATCGCGCCGACGAACTAGGCTTATATTTCATGTATGATGTCCGCTGGGACTATACCAATCTAACCACCATGATCGACCAAATCCATCATCTACACAACCATCCCTCAATTCTTTTATGGTATACAGCCGACGAACCAGATGGAAAGTCCAACCCCATAAACTCCACACTCATCGCATATAATACCATCAAAGCAATTGATCCCTACCATCCAGTCTCTCTAGCCCTGAACTGTCGAGACTTTTACTACGCCAACTACGCCGCAGGCGCCGAAATCGTCCTCGAAGACGTCTACCCCATCAGCACAAACACCTCCTACTCAATCGTCTATTCCACCNCCTGCAACAGCACTTACGGCTGCTGCGGCTGTGACGACTGCTCAGGAAGCTTTTCCGACATTTCCAGCCGCTTAGATGAATACACACACAAAGACCACATCCTGGGCTGGCAANAAACCCACTGGGCAGCCCCTCAAGCATTTGGAAACGAGACTNTTTGGACCAGATATCCTAGTGCTGCGGAAGAGGTTGTGATGAATTTGCTGAGTGTTAATCATAAGGCTATGGGGATTGTGATGTGGGATTTTCCTACTAGGGCTGATATCCTGAATGTTACCAACAGGCTAGCTGCTGTGTTGACGAAAGAGCCAGTGGCAGGGTTCTTGGTTGGTGCTCCGTTGACGCAAATGTTGGAAGTAGTCGGTGCTGGAAACATTGACGCTGCTGCTTGGGTCAAGGACGATGAAATTTTGGTGTCTATCGTCAATCTCGACTACAACAACACGGACTCCAGCGTCACTGTATCTTTACCGGAATGCGTCAAAGCTGCAGAGGTTTCGAAAAGCTTCTGGGGCGACGCTTCATGGTCTGTCGATGGTAACAAGCTGTCCACAGACTCATACAAGGGCTTAGAAGTATCTCTATTGCTGCTCACGCGTGAGTAAGGCAACCCTTCCATAGAGATTGCTGACGCTGCAAGAGGAATAGGCGGCAAGAAGATATCACTGGCAAACATGTAGAGAACGTATACACCAGCCGCATGAAGCAGAACAAATTCCTTCACACTCAAGTTTCGAAAGTCGAAAGCTACCAGATTAATGGTTTTATTCCTGCTGAGCATCTTATTTACCTTGATCTCAGCACATACCCACTACTCAGCAAAACATACCCTCCAACCTCTTATCCACCTCAACCAACTTCCTCACTTCTCCATCAAGTTCATCATTATTCTCCTGCAAAGCATCCCTAAGCATCTGTACCACAACCCTACACTCCTCTTTAATCTTCTCAAATTCATCTCCAGTAACATTTTCCTCTTGCATTCTGATCCACGGCACAGCCACGCATTTCAGCACTTCTGTCTTGTGGACATGCATTCTGGGCCATGTGTTTAGAACAACAGCTTGCAATGCTTGAACAGACGAAAGTAATAGAGGAGGTGATGCAGTAACGAAGGGATGGGTAAGGATAGAAGAAAGCATAGGTAAAATGAAAGCGAGGTGCTTGACAGAGTCCAATCCCAGAGAAGTAAGGATCAAAGCAAGGTTTGTAGTCGTGACAGTGGTGATTTTGGCGTGTTCGGGGCAGTAGGTAAAGGTCATCAAGACGCCTTTGCGAATCAGGCTATCTAGTAGCTTTGTGCGGGGAGATTGTTTTTGAGGATTTGAAGTAGTTGAAGGATGATCCAGGACATTGGAGAGTGATATCAAGGCGGGGTAGGCGACAGCAAGTAGTCGGGCACTTTCCTCTTCGGGAGTCAAGGTAGGTAGGTAGCCTAGACACGGCATTAGGGCTTCTTCAAACACATCGCCCAGCCCAGTGCGCTTCAAGAGTATAGGTGGTGTTTTGTCCAGCAATAGCTTGAGCAATGTGCAGCCTTGAGCTTTGTATTCCGTGTCAACGTCGTCCAGCATGCTGAGCAATGGTGGCACTATCGCGTGCCAATTCTTCTCCACCAAACCAGCGTCTGCAGCAATAATGACCCAGCGAAGCAAGTCTAGCGCATAACTGTCTCTCCCCTTCCATGTCTTTTCATCCTGGCTTCGCTCAAANCTTTTTGGTAGGACGGTGGTCTGCGCCTTACGCCCTTGACTTGTTACCTGCTGCGTTTGTGTCTTTGTAAACAGCGGGCGGATGGTAAGCTGGAGAAAATATGTCATGAGATCTGATGTGAGCTCACCAGGAGTTGGAGATTGGTCTTTTGCGATGCGGACTTCTTCGATGGCTTCGGCTGTATCCTTCTTGCCGGGGTTACGAAGTTGCCAGCGCATGACTACATCAAGGGCGTCTTTCATCCATGGACCAGTGGGCACACCGAGGGCTTTTGTCAAGGCTTTACCGTCAAGAATGGGCTTTAGAGCGTATGCATCGAGAAGGTCCAGTTCTCGGACGTACTCGAGGAAGTTTGAGAATGCAGAAAGGTGGGCTATGATTGTCAGTCTTNNGAGGTGCGGGTACGTGCAAATATGAAACTCACATTTAGCTGCTGAAGGCTCATCGGCGACGTTGACCAGTAGTGCAAAGGCTGTTTGTGATCTCCATGTAGAGCCCCAGCGGCGGATTGCCATTCCCAAGTCTTCACGTGCTGGACGTTTGCGACTGTTTGAGTCGTTGACCATCATGGAGATTTCAGAGTGGTTCTTGATAGAGTTGGTGATGACATTGCAGACGTTATTGGTAGCCTTGATGCCTTCGCGTGCGACGGATGTAGCAACAGGAGGTGGTGGCTTCTTGCCTTCGACAGCTGGAGGTGAAGGAGCATCTCTGTAGGGTACGACTGCGGACAACAACCAGATGAGATATCTCTCTTCCGCATCGCGAACAAAAATATCGCTGGTTTTAGAAGTCATGATCTCTTGAACAAAGTTGATGACAGTAGTCCAGTTGTCTGTATCTGGTTCGAAGACCTTGCCTTGGTCTTGAGCAGGGTCGGAGAAGATAGTAGAGTATAGATTGAGTTGGTCGATTAGGTTCAGAGCCATGAGAGGATCAGGACCTCTGAGCATCTTTTCAAGCTCGACACCGACTCTTTCGCGGCTGATCTTTGCTTGAAGGGCGCTCTTGATCTCGGCATCACCCATCCACTTGCAAGCTTCAGCTTCAATTGTGTAGTTCAATCTGCTAGCGAACCTGATCAATCTCAAGACTCGCAGAGGGTCGTCCTTGAAGGTCTGATAAGGCTCGAGAGGGGTGCGGATGATCTTGTTGGCCATGTCATTGTGACCTTTGCCGGTGAAGTCCTCAATTTCACGAGTATTGATGTTGTAGAACATGGCGTTGACAGTTGCATCACGTCTGAGAGCATCTTCTTCTGGAGTGCCAAACTCCATCTGAGGATTTCTGCTGTCGTCGGTATATGTCTCCTTGCGAAGGTTGACCAGATCGATGTCAAGGCCCAGGATCTTTGTTGTGACAGTTTCCAGATGCTTTGACTTTTCCGGGTTTGCTTCGATCTTGTGCAGGCCACCAACAATCTTGCTCTTTCCAGATTCGGCCTTCTTGGATTGAGACTCGTTGCTGGCCACACCTTCCAGACCATACTTTTCTGGGTTGCCGGGAATCTCCAGATACTCCTTCAATCTCAGACCAAATTGGAAACCAGTCATCTTGTTGATAGCAACATCAATGTCATGGCTTTCAACACCGAGGAGCTTGTCACGAACCCAACCACCAGTCCATCTTAGGACAAGGGGTTGTTTTGCGAGCTCATCAGGGAGCGGCACCTGACTTTCAGAAGCATGTCCAGGAGAGTTGTCAATGTATTTGGCAACGTCAATAAGTAGGGTGCGCAAGTTCTCCTCAACTTCGGTAAGCTCCAGGATGCGAGAGTTTGTAGACATTTTGGTAGTGGTGGTAGTAAAAGTCGGGTCAGAAGATAACTTTCTCCTCTTGATGGAATCTCGTGACGGCTCAGGCGACGGTCTGGTGTGAATCAAAGCAGGAGACATGCACTTAGTCGAGAGACATCGGAGTGATGATGGTCGGGGTAGAGAAGTTGGCCTTGAACGGGCAAGTTGAGTGCGGAAGATATTGGAGACCAAGGTGCGTGAATGGATTACAGACATGCAGCAGGAATAAAGCGGATTATGTTTCAAGCAGTCTTTTGGCGCATTTCAGACATGTGTTGTTGTTGATTGATGAGTGTCGGTCACATGAAAGATGATGGGACTCATTTTTCGAAAGCTCGGCAAAGCTTCCGCAAACAGAAAGCGCAAGTGTGAGCGCATCGAAACATGACCTTGAATGATAACATCAGCGTGATACATAAATTGATTATTTATTGAGCGTCCTTCTATGCACTCCTGGAGTTTGAGTATAACAGGCAGCGACACATGACGTCCACGCCTAGCGACGCGGGTCTTCAGTCACCGCTGCAGAGTGACTCCGAATCGTCGACCAGCATAGCCCAGTCGGCCACCCATCGAGCACTACCCAGACTATCCTTACCGTATCGCCGCTCGAATGCTTCGGTCGCCAGCTTGTTTGCGTCTACATCCTCCGCTCAACATTCTCCCACGGCCTCAGGCACCTCAACACCACCCGCCGGCGTCGTCAATGCCTCCGTCTTCTCTCCACCTGCCTCGAGACTGGCCAATGCCCTGAACTCGCCCACCACTGCCGCCCAACCCGATGAGGCTCGTCAGCTAGTCCTGCGCGCCTTTGCTCCTCGTGTTTCTGTCCTGGCCTCGGATGATTGTCAAGAGTTGTTGCGCCACAAGGGTATAAACGGAGGTCTCCTGGAATTGCTGCGCCCGTTCGGAGAAAAAGTAGGCGGAAGAGTTGTTGTCAGGGATAGCACTGGCGCCAGTAGACCATGGGACGATTTTGGAATCAGATTTACTGGCGTTTCCGATGGCCTTGAACCTCCGAGACTGGATGCGAACCCATCTGATCTGCCCGAATACCGACCTGCGCGCTTACGTACAGGAGGCGATGTCGAACAGATTGATGAGCTCGTCGCCCGCCATCTCCATTATGCTCAGGACCAACCGTCTACCGGCGACTATTTCTCAGGCCTTGAAACAAAACCACATCCGTCACAACTCACCCCGTTCTATACCCTATACCTTCGAAGGCTTCTCTCCGGAATACCAGTAACGCCACATGAGACATTTTCCCACCCCGTCGCCCTTGTAATAGCAATCAGCTCTCGTAATCCCGCCCCTATTGACGAACTCCGAACTCTATATACCAGCTCCAACACAGGCCAGCATAAACCACCACCGTGGGTTAACAACGAGTTTCTACGATATTATGTCCTCATTCATGACGAAGACCACGACGACATTACAAAATCCACCGCTCTATATGAACAGATGAAGCGTCATTTCGGTCTGCATTGCCATTTGCTGCGTTTACGGAGTAATGAGTGTCTTCCCTCGGACGATGACAGCATGAGGTTACCCACTTGCGAGTGGTTGTCTGCTGGAGAAGAGTTGAGCGAGATAGTCAACAGAGGTAAGTTCTGCAATTTTGATAGTCTTGTTTGTATTGTCTGACATTTATACANNGAAAGCTCTGAAGTTGATGACGACCCAACGCCATACATATTCGAATCTGATGCTGCTGCGATTCGAGCATTTGTTCGCGAAATGGTGACCCAGTCAGTGGTGCCAGGTATGGAGCGCTTATCAGCCTTGTGGAATAATGAGGTTGCATCACGGCGAAGGGGTATCGCAGGAAAGCTTGGACAAGTATCCAAACGCTTCACCTTTGGTTTCTCATCACGAGGTTCATCTGGAGGTATTGGCGGTTCCAACAGTAACTACGACGCCCTCCAAGGCTTCTACAAACCCGACACACCAGAAGCAGTATTACGAAAACTCGCCGATTATGCCTTCATGCTCCGGGACTTCAAACTCGCCCAAAGCACCTACGACCTCCTCTGCACAGACTACAAAAACGACAAGGCATGGAAACACTACGCCGGCGCCAATGAAATGGCCGCTCTCACAGCTCTCCTCTCTGCACCCGTCGTACCCTCCCGCCTCCGCGTCGACTCCCTAGACCAATTACTGGAAACAGCATACTATTCCTACCTCACCCGCTGCTCAGCGCCCTACTCTGCTCTACGCACCTTAATAATCGGCACAGAGTTGTTGCGTCTACGCGGCGGCTCAGCTCTCGACGACTCTGCCCGCTGGGCAACCCGTATCCTCGAAGACAGGCTGGTGGGAGCCACAGGCCACGCACTCCTCCTCGAACGCATCGCCTCCTGCTATTCCTCTCGCCGCGGCCACGGCATCCTAAATTCTGGCTCGCGACAACGAAAAGCCGCTTTCTACCATATCCTCGCCGCTGAAGCTTGGCTTAAACTCGATAACCCGCGGCAAAGCGAAGGCAATCTGGGTTCTGCTACTGAAATCTATACGTTGCGATTACCGCCGTCAAATAACGAAGGCTGCTCATTCGAGCATCTAGAAACTNTTTTGTTGCAACTCAAGCAACAAGTTGTGGAAAGTAGACCGGTGAACAGGGACACCGCAGAAGACGAGAAACAAGACCAAGCAGAGGATGTGCAAGCGATTCAAGAGCAACCTGCAAGTGGCCAACGAAGCCATGCCAGAAGTCTTAGTTCTGTTGCTCCTTCTACTGCTGTCTCAAATCTTGATCCGCTGGGCGTGGCAGTGTTGTTGCCGCATAGTCCTACACTTGAGGAGAGGCCAGATCCTGCTAACGATGGGTTTGAGTAGATGAATGTCAATCTGCTGTTTCACTTTGCGTATTCCTTGTTTCTGTTTTTGTTTTCGAGGTGTGTGGTACTCGTATTTTCTTGCATGGGAAAGCGTTGCTGGTGTAGCATCTTCAATGGGCGTCCTTTTTTATGTTGGTGGCTACGAAAGTGTGTCATGTATTGAAGTTGCTTAGTCTTGTGATATGCCTGTTGCATCCTGCGTTGATGTTGGTGATCGGTTGAGCTTGCTTGATAGCAATGTAAGTAGACTGAATACAACTACCACGGATATCTTGACTGTAATGCTCTATGATAGTCTGCGCTCTCGAAGATCCTGTTGACTGCAAAGGTAACAGTAAAGAAGGGAGAAGAATTGAATATCCACAGCACCTGATATCAAGAATGCTATCACTCTCGCACCTAAACCTTGCATACTCACAACCAACACAATCAAGGAATGGGATATCTCGACTTCTTGCCTCTGGTCGATGCCTTCGGTTCATCACCTCCTCCCCCNAGTTGATCCAGCAAATCCAGCACTCCGCCTCCGCCCCTGACCTCGCATTTTCTTTCTTCTCTTTGGTCTGCCTCTCCCTCTCCTTTTCTTCTTCCTCGGCTTTGAGTGCTCGCTCTCTCNGCTTCCATCAATGCTCGTTCCTGCGCCTCGTAGTATGCGGAATGGGGTGCCGCGGCACTGTTATCGCGCTCGTCATCCGAGTCGTCGAATTCCGATGTTTCGGCACCAGAGTCGGGGACTGCGCGAAGTTGAGGCGATTGCATCAGGCCGCGCGATGGAGAACGCAGAGTCTCGGGACTTTCGCTGCGGTTGCTGCCGAAACTACCGCTGCGACCACTGCGTCCACTGCGGCGACTAATGTCTGAGCGAGCGGAGGTCACGCGACTAAGGGGCTCTCCGTCTGCTGCGATCTGATCTGGTCGGTAGCCTATGGCTTCGGCAACCATACGGGCTTCTTCTTCGGCATCGCGTGTTTCCAATTCGGGGAGAGCACCGAGGCCGTCGCCGGGCATGATGCTCAGGCGATGTAGAGGATCCAAGGTATATCCTGCACCGTTGGCGGCAGTGTTGTCGCTCTTGTCGAGAATGTCGCGGTAGCCACGGCGAGTAGGATCTTCAAGTCTTTGTCGCTTCTTCTTGTCGCGCTTGGATGAGGGACGTACGACGATGACGGGGACGGGTGAATGTTGGAGACAGTACTTGGACACGGAACCTGGCAGCAGGCCTTGGAAGCCTCCAAGAGATCGACCTCTTGTACCGACAACTAGTATGGCGGGCTCGTAAATTCTTATNCTGCGATGTTGGTCAGTTTGTGTATGTGGGCAAACAACATAACTCTGGAATCAGCATACCATGCGCTGGATCGTGTCCTGGACTTTGCCGATAGAAAACTCCAGGATGATATTGATGGCCTTGTCTTCGGTGTTCTTCTCTTCGATGCGTTCGAGCATGCGGTTTGCCTCCTTCCGGTAGCTGCGCTCTCTGCCTCCTCTGTCGCTTCCACCACCAGACCACTTGGCTGCTTCTTTGCTGTCCTTTTCAACCACTCTCAAACAAACGACTTCATCGCCGTCATCGACGAGTTCGTCAACCAGCCATTCCAGAGCAGTATCGGAGTAGTCGTTCGTATCTGTGCCACACAGGAAGGTACGCGAGCGCTTGGTGTATTCATACTCGCGATGCTTGCGACTCAGCGTCAGGGAGAAGTCAGAAGCGTCGCGGTTGTCGAATGTGTCAAAGGAGACACGCGGTTTGAACTGNACTGGAAGGTGTGTTAGCAAGGGCCATGTAGAGGACACTGTGGGCAGTAGTTGGGCTCACGTAGGTGGAGGAGGACTGCTAAGTCGCCTATTGAGCGAGGATTCCTTGACGGGTAGTGGCTTACGACTGCGGCTGCGGCTGGCTTCAGTGGTGGCTCCTCCAGCGACTCTGACATTCGGCATGAACTGTACAGAAGTCTTTCGAGCGGGGTTGTTGTCGTCAGAGCTGTGGAAGCGAATGGGCAAGGGGCGGGGCTGCTTGTCGGCCGCGTTGTAAGTGCTCCCACCAAAGGCCAAAGACTGCGAAGGAATATCTGACGTCGCTCCTTCAGGGTTATTGAGTGTAGGTGCCGCCCTGGGCGATTGCATCGGTGACTGGTCCATGACAGGCAAGCTTCGCTTCGGGTGTGCGAGCAAAGAGTGGGAGTTGCGGTCGGCAGGCACGGTATGAATTAATGAGATTGTCGATACGACTAAGGAATAGCAGTGAAGGTGATGGCCTGCTCTGGTACAGTGATATGTGAATGAGTCTGCGCCCTACAGTACTCGCATGCGTTATGGGCGAAAGGATTGGATGCGCTATGGGAAAGTCGGTCGGCGACTACCTAATCCAATGATGCGGTGATGCGGCCAAGCCTTTGCCCTTGTCAATGCCACGTCCAACGGTATCCAAGGCGCATGCTCTCAGAGCTGAATGGCTGCCTACACTGCAATCACCTTTGCCATACGCTCTTTCAAGTACACAGACGATTGTGTTGAGCATGCACGTGTTTGTCCTCTTGATCTCGTTCCTCTGCCCTTGTCACCGTTATGTGATTGACACGACAAAATGTGGGGAGAGCTGGAACGTGCTGTTGCTGTCAGCCATTTGATTTCACATGCGTCGGCTTGTCTCGTTCCGAATCTCTCTCACCAGCAAGAACCACTCCTATAAGAAATCCCCCCAACACATTCACTATCACCAGTGTTGTGCAGAGAAAGAAACCGACAGAATGAGAGCTTTCAATAGACTATTAACAGAATTGTCATCAGGCAAAACACATATCTCTGTCACCTGATGACCCTCCAGCCACGGCCCTAGATACGGAAATCTATCTCGGTAAGTACATCTGGCACCTAAGCCGAGGATGTAAGTACTGTGTCTGCGTATTGTCGGGCTTTGCAGCATAGCACATCCATGAACGTCATTTGCGGCGACGGCATCATCAAAGCAATCGAGAGTGGTACAAAGAACGATTGTCGGTTTGCAGAGAGTATCAACCGCTCGCAACGAAGCTGGAGTGTCGAAAATAGGGTGTCAACTACCTCGTTCCGGAGGTGTTGGCGATGGTGTGTTGGAACGAGGAAGCCAGCCTCTTCCATGTGCTGAGGTCTTTCGCATGTGGCTGTAATGATACACGGTTGTCTTCTGGAGGTACGTGACTCTAGAGAGCTGGCGAGGTCGAGCGTCTCTTTGGACGCATCCCTGATGCTGAAGACAGCTGTGCAGTTTTATAGCTTACCAATGTTCCTCCATACCACTGTGTGAGAGAGCGATAGGGTGGTCTCTTGGTCCTGCGTATGTCATCCATTTGCTGAAAGTTGAGTTGAGGTGCATAGGGCGGAGTCGCTTTGGGCATGTGCTTCTTTCTGTAACTGTTGCTTTAGGGTGGTAGTGGTTGCCGCATTGGGTAGTCTTCTTTCTGGTCAAAAAGTACGAAGAGAACATGGAAACATACCAAAGGGAAGCTGAAGAGGGGAATCGTGCTTCAAAGAACCTGGACCTGATGAGTTATGTTGTTCTTTCAGACCCAGTGTATGGTGTTGAAGGCCATCGCAAAGCAGCGAGTGCTTCTACACTGTCTCAATATAGCGCTTGAACTCCCTAATCACGCTTGTAATTAGTATCGTGTCCTTCCAGCCAAAAGGTAGGATGACTTACCAATCCGTGACTGCCTCATCCCATAGTCTGAGTTCGTGTTCGCGAGTTCCGGCGAAATGATCGACAAAATCGTCGCCGAAGACTTCTCTCGCAATGCTGTCCTTGCTCTTGAATTTCTCGGTTGCCTCTCTCAAGCTCTTGGCTAGTCTGACACCCTTATCCGATGCACCGCCAACATCTTCACCCTTGCCTAACGGCGGAATCGGAATCTCAAGCTTCTTCTCTACACCTCTCCACCCCAATGCAAGAATGGTCGCCAGCACGAGGTATGGATTTGTGTCTGCGCCAGGCACACGGACTTCGAAGCGAGTAGATTTTGGTGAAGCGGTAGGTGGTGCAATAAGACGGATACTCGCAGCACGGTGTTCCAAGCCCCAGCTTACAGTAACAGGTGCCCAGAAATTCTCAACAAGACGCTTGTAGCTGTTGATCGTAGGGGCAAAGATCGGCATGACATCGGGAAGACCCTCGATCAGACCGGCAAGGAAATGGCGGCCTAGGTCGGAGAGGTGCTTGATGTCCTCATAAGGAGCGTTGGGATCGGGTTCGCTGCGTGCAAAGAGATTTTGATTTGTGTCTGGGTTGCACAGAGAAACATGCATGTGGCCACTGTTTCCTGGCAGATTCTCGCGAGGTTTGGCCATGAAGCAAGGTGTGATGCCGAATTTGCTAGCGATTGACTTGACGGTAAGCNNCTGCGAATGTGTTAGCTAGGCTTCAGGTTGAGGAATCTTGATCTTGTACTTGAACAAAGCTGCTCGGTCTGCCATGCCTCTGATCTCGCCAAACTCGAGAGCAGCCTCAAAGACACCGGGACCACTCTCGGTATGCCATCCTTCAATGTTGCATCTGAACTTCTCACAAGCATCGTAAACGCCGTAGTAGTAGTCTTGGTTGTGCACCGGTCTTGTCACACTGTATCCGAACATGCCTTCGGTCAGAGATGGTAGAGCGGAGGGAGGGTTCTCCTTGAGGAACTTGGCTGTGCTGGACGAGTTGCGCTCGGAAGCGGTGGGATCAGAGGGNGATCTGAATTGGTAAAACTCGTACTCGGCTNNGTACACATGTCATAGTCAGCCTCATGTTCTCATGATAGGTTCGGTAGACGCACCTCCTGCCATGGCACTCATGCCCTTGGCCTGGATTTTGTCGACGGCTCTCCCCAAGACACTTCTTGGACAAGCAGACACGGATTGTCCCTCAGGCTCGTAAAAGCTGACCAGGAAGAAAGGCACATTGTTCTCCCAAGGTATCCTTCTGTAACTGGCCAGGTCAATCTGGGCGGTGAGGTCTCTGTATCCATTCTCCTTGTTCGAGATCTTGAGTTCCTTGAAGTATGTCTGGTCGTGCATATCCCAGCCAAAGATGACAGAGCAGAAGCCGAATCCAGACGACGCGATGGAGAGGAACTTCTTCTTGGAGACCAGCTTGCCTCTCAGGATACCGTCAATGTCGCATCCTGCCAGCTTGACGCTCGTGTCATTCTTCAGCAACTCTGGCAGATCCTCAAGCTTGAGAGCCGTGGGGTCGTCGGTGATGGCCATGTCGGAGTCTGCTATCCTCTGTTCGTGACGTCGAGGAGTTGAGGGATTGAAAAGGAGGTGATGATTGTATGTGTGGATACCTATCACACGCGTAAAGTTGGTTGCATACGCAACATTAAGCTGCCCCGAAGATAAGCGATTGCGGGGCGCAGCTGCACCGCTGATCAACTCATCTCGTGTCTCGTGAGTTGTCAGGGTTGCCTCTCCCCGCCCCATCGATTGGCTATCTCAAATATCTCACGTGCCATGCTACCAATCCTGGAGACATCTGCTTCTTTGTACGAATGCGATAACAAATGGGTTCTCCTTAGGTGTGATACGGTTCATTCAGCACAGATATCGATTACATCATACCATCCTTTGTCGACCCCACACAGAGCGCCTACCTTCGTGTCCTCCAGAACTAAAGTTCGTCTCGCACAGGTTCAAGGCATGAGTCTGAGTGCAAGAAGTGGAATTGAGGAGCATGTCGGACTACACTCTTCCGCTGTGCACATAGGAAATACCTTATGAAGCACTGAAGCCTGAGCACTCGCCATCTAATTGAAGCTCGTGGTCGTAAGCTAGAGATAGCCACGATCGACCGTCTTCCATCACATAATCAACAATCCACATCTCGAACGTGCTTGATATAAAGATTGAAAACGTAGGATGTTTTGTATTGCATGCAGTTCCATGCATCTAATAGTTTGTAGGAAGATAGGCAAACCAACAACGCTGGACTGAAAAAGATCTTTGCTCGCGTGCATCTTCCCCTCTTGTCTGGTAACAACAACTCCATCCCAATGCAGAAGATACGAAAAAAGGGCCATTACAAGGAGATCCGGTAAGCATCAAAGGCTGGCATGATGCTCGGCCATCAGCGTGCCGTGTCCGAAAGAACGCAACTGAATGCGTATTGAAGTATAAAGTGGGACATGCGAGGCATTTACTGGGCCTTTCTGGCCTTTGCGAGCTTCTTCTCTCTTCTTCTCTTGGAAGCCTCGGGGCCGGCCTCGGTGTCCAGAACATAGTCCCACCAGCGGAAAGAGCTCGAGTAGTTGCCAATGAACTTTTCGTGGTGAACGTCGTGGTGCTCGGCGCCAGCCCAGAAGGGAAGGAAATGGTGGAGCGACCAGGGGAACTCGTAGCCAGAGTGTGCGTCGATGGCTTGGAAGAGGCGGAGGACGATCCAGATGTACATGGTCAGGATGTGGAGGTCCTTGGTGATGGCGCACCACACGATGGGAATACCGACGGTGCCGAAACCCAAGCTCATGACTTCAATGGGCGATGCGTACTCGGCAGCGAGACCGAAGGGNGCCGAGTATTGGTGGTGAATCTTGTGGACGGCCTTGTAGAGGGGACCCCAGTGGAAGGCGCGGTGCATCCAGTAGTGCCACGCATCCTCAAAGACGAAGAAGACTGCGATCTGGTAGGCCATCTTGTAGACAGGAGGGAATGGAACGCCGGTGCCGAGGCCGAAGTACTGAGCCATGGGGTGGAAGAGNCCTGGACCAGCCATTGTTAGCATTGCGATCTCAATTGATAGTGCACATGTGTTTTCTTACCAGATCTGAGGAAGCTCGACAGTGAAGTGGCTCAACAGAACGAGCTTGGCGCATTGCCACTGTTCAGCGGCAGTAGGGATTTTTGCTGAAGACCATGTCAGTATGCTTGTCGGAAGCCTAGACGAAGCAGGTGGTCGACATACGTTCTGAATCTTGTACTTGTTGAAATAGGGAATGCAGTCGATAATGATCCAAGGAAGAGAGCGGCCAAAGTAGACGAGTTCGTGCATCAAGAAAGACATGATACCAGTGGCGAGCACATCGTTGCCAATGTAGGCATACCACGCCATCCACAGCTTCTCGAAGTAGTTGAGGTGTACATTGTATTCAGAGACCTTGTCGAATTGGTTCCAGTACGTGTCCGAGGTGTGAGGGAGCGCGTGCTCAAGGATAGCTGTCGCGTTGCTGTCGACGGGTCAGAAGTGGTGTTCCTGAAGATTAACAAAGGGGCGGCGTGGCTCACAGGTACGACATGATGCAAGCCTCTCTTGATCCTTCAATTGAAAGGATCGTATCGCTGCTAAAGAGAGAGAGAACCCGTAGGCGAGGTGTGTATGTGTGTTCAACGAAGGACACGGAAAGTGATGAGCTACCCTTTTTCTAAACAACCACCACGCCGCACACGTCGGACCAACGTTAAATTTCCAGTGAGGACCAAAATCATACGATTTGCCCACAAAATGGTTCCACCGACCCTGAATTCGCGGAGGCTAGAAGCTGCCGACCGCCCTTTGGGGACTTGATCGAGCCACGACCTGACATTTCATTGGTCAGCGTCGGTCAAATCTCATGCTAATTTTGCCAAGCATTGAGATCATCAAAGGCCAACCCGGAGAACTCCCTTTCCTTTTGCCCCCTTCCAAAGCCACAAATTCGTGGCATCCATCCTCGGTACAGACACCAAATTCTGGTCTGATGGCGGCGATTGCGTGTCATCACCAGATTTGTTGAACACTGAACTTGACTTCTACTATACAGATCCCGTAAACGCCACTTTCTTGAATCCTACTTGTACATCTGCTGTTCAAATCCCGGTTCGCCGTAAGCTTGCGGCATGGATGGCCTCATTTCTCGTACCATGTTTGAGATGATATTGCATGCTCGTATGTTGTTGTTGTTTTGATGTTCCGATGTTTGTCTCTCCCCTCCCCGTGTGCAAAAGACAGTCACACCCTACAATAATTGGCCCCTCTCCCTCACCGACTCACTATGCCATCATAAGGTATAGAAACGCACAATTGAATTTTAAAATAGGGGTGCCACCATGGAGATGCCTGAACACAACCTTCTCTCCGTGGACATCGCTCTGCTATACAAGAGATTGTGCGTTTCTACAACTACACTGTGGCTGTCTGTCGCACATGGGGAGGCCAGATATCTCACTTGTCGTCGCCATTCTGAGACGATACATTCACGTTGTATCCAGTTGCTCAGACAGTTGACTCTTTCTTCTTTGTCCTTTAAAGACCTTTGATCAATATTCGCAGCGCTGAATGCTTGAGCGTGGAGCTGTCTGATCCAGTATTTGCAGCACCACGAAAACGCTACAAAGGCGACAAGCCGGTGATAAGCTCCACGAAGACAAGTCGACTGAACATGAAAGAAGAACCGAACCTCGTTTTCTTGAAGTCTGCATAAAGTATTGACATCCGATCAATGCAAGAGAGAGAAGAAACAAAAAAAGTATTAAGAAAAACCGGGCCACGAAGATATCTCATTCTTCTCAAACATCAGAAAGAAGCGCCTGTTGTTATTTACTGTACTTTCCTAGCCTTTTCCTGTTCTAAAAAGGGCTTTGTTTCTCACACTCTTTTATCCTCCTTCTTTCTTCTTGGGCTTCTTGTTTCCTGAAGCAGCAACAGCTGTCTGCTGTGATTCCTCATCTCTCGGCGACGGCGTTTCTCGTAAATGTAAGAAGAACAATCTGCTGCGGTGGACGGTCATGTAGGTGACTAGTGCCATGCGTATGGCCCAGTCTTTGATGTGTGTCCAAGTACAGCCAGGGTGCTTGCAGCTGCACTACCGTTGCTTCTTGATCTCTGTGGCCCATCCATCAATGCCCTCGCCCTTGGTGCCGGGCTCAATCTCCAGCTTGACGCCGTCCATACCCTTTGTGCCGTCTAGGAAGCCGTGGCCAGCCATGCCTCCAGCGTTGGCGCGGTCTGCGGGGAGAAGCTCGAGCATGGGTAACAGGAATTCGGCAATGCGCTTGCTCTCCTCGATGCTGAAATGGTATTTCTCCCTCAAAACATCAGGCAAGGCCCAGTGACGTAGACGGTGGATGTTGCGCAACTCTCCCTTGCGGTTGAATATTTCCTGTGACCACTTTCCACCTACGCACAACGACTTGGGGAAGGTGCCGAGCAATTCGATGACCTGAGCGATGTGATCGTCGTCCTTGCCGTACTTTGTGCCAGACTGAGGGTCGAAGAGATAGTCGCCAGTAATGAGTTCGAAAACCNNTGAGAGAAAGTTGTTAGCTCAATTGCGGTCAGTTTCGGCAGATGTTATATTCACCATGCAAGCCATGCTCCAAACATCTGTGCTAGCACCCCACTTTGCACCAAGAATGACCTCTGGTGATCTGTACTGTCGTGTCTGAATGTCGTTTGTAAAATGATGCCCAACCCAACATGCGTTACCCAAATCGGCGATTTTGACCGAGATTGTGTCGAATGATACCTCTTCTGCTACCTTGGTTGACGAAGTCGAAGACGAGAGGTCGATACCAGAGACGTTGTTGGCGAGGATGTCNACTGCGATTGTGGTTAGTTGGAGATGCATGACGAACAAGTGGACGATGGAAACATACGCAGTCTTTTCGCGTTCCTTTTGTGCCGCTTCGTCTGAAATTCCGAGAGATTCCTTCATGGACTTTGTGGGAGAAGTTGCGCCTGCAGCACCACTCATTTCAACATCTTGACTCGGACTGGGGCTTGGGCCCGTGATCGGAACAGGTTTACCTTGCTCTGCCATGAGCTTGTTGAGGCTCGACAGGTCGGTCTGACTAAAACTGGCGTTGAGAGGGCTGGGTAGAGGTTGACTGCCGGTGATAAGAGTTCTTCTCCTCCTTCTGCCGTTACGGTGTTCGTCCTTTGCCTTGTTGGGATCTTCCTGAACATATGTCTTAACAATCTGCTCGACGTCGCCAATTTCGATCAGAACGTTCTCGGGCTTGAGATCGGTATGAATGATGCCACATTCGCGGTGGAGGTAGTCGAGGCCCAGTAAGACCTGCTTGGTAATTTGTTTGACGAGGGGCATGGGGATGCCTCTGTGGTTCCAGCGCTTGATCAGGCCCAGAAGGTTCTCACCCAGAACCTCAAAGACCATACAGACGTGCATGCCGTGGGGACCCTTGTGGTTGAACGAGTCGAGCAAGCTGACTACATGTTTCCTGCCGGGGTGATCTATGTTGGCCTGGACGACCTTGTTAAGCAGTTTGATTTCGTCCAGAGCAGTTTCGGTGTAGTGGGCGGCAGAGCGCACGACCTTGAGAGCGACATGCTTGCCCGTGTCGTTGTCGCGCGAGAGCCAGACGGTCGAGAAGTGGCCCCAGCCTAGCTTGCGCACGACGGTGTATTTGCCATTGTTGTATTCTTCGCCGACCTGGACGGGGTGGTAGCCGCCCTTGCAGTAGTCCTCCGAGTCCTCCTCGTCGGCTGTGTTCTCGGTTTGCTCGTCGCCGGACAGCGAGGATGAATCTGAGCCCGTCGGACTCACGTCACGGGTGCTGGTTGTGGATTTTTGGTAGCTCATGGGCGAAGCGGTGGCTGAGGCGCTGNNTTGGCAGTGGGTTAGAGGTGGACAGGGTGGTGGAGCTGGTGAATTGACTTACGCCTCTTGTTCGGTGGTGACGATGGGTTTCAGTTCCTGCTTTCTGCGCTTCTTGCCGTTGGTGCCGTTGGCAGCGTTGGTTGCGGAGTGGGCGACCTGCTTTGCTTTCTGGATTGCGGCCTTCTTGATGTCGGATCCATTCATTTTCGCACGTCTAGACAATGACGCACTGCAGCTTGCTGGCTCTGACGGACTATCAGTGGCCGGCGGTACAAAGAAGAAGAAGAAGAATGAAGAGTCGGAGCCCGGGGCGTGTTTGTGGTGGAGTATACTCGCTTGCGTCGTGGTCGAATGCGCAGGCGGCGGGAGGTGGCCGAGTAATACGAAGGATGAATTTGCGACGAGCGAGGAAGAGCTTGTCGTCGATATGCTGGCGCAACTCGCGGCGTCAAAGACAGCGGCGCGGGTCGGGCAGTGACGCTGTACACTGGCAAGACGATCTCTCAGTGGTCAAAGCGGTGCCCTGCCAACAACCAACTTGATTCTGTTTTCTGAGTATGATCCACCACCTGGTTTGCTGCTTGTCCATGCGCGACTTTGCTCGCGCCTGGTTCAGGATTATCAATAGCTTTTATGCCGACAACTACTCGTGGCTGGGCTGTGTCTGCACAAGCCCGCTGTTTTACTGAATCTCATATCACATCGTCCTTGACGAAAAGCAATCATACTGACCACGAAACAGTACACATTTGCTCATGACCACGCTACCTCTAGACGCATCCCTCTTTCCCCGAAAGCCATTTTCTTTTCTTGTGAAGCGTGAACGGCCATTTATTGGTGATCGATATCGATAGACTATCGTGTACTCTTGGCCTGTGCTCAGTCTCTTCTTGCGAATGGTGGGGAGGAGGTTGGTCGTTCCCACCGCTGTATACCTCTGTCGCGGAGTATTGGCCATGCAAGTCACACTGGACCTTGTCGGACGGCCAATCCTTTTGAAACATGTCACTGTGTCTGTCTGCACTCTCACATAAAACAAGTCCTGTGCCATGTGGTCTATGGGGCCTATGACATATGCACCCACTAGTGCGCAATTCAACCGCTGACGCCCGGTTCTATTGTTCGAAACACCTGACAGACGCCGTCTGCATACGACATGTGCTTAAATCTACCGCATCACATTCTCACATCTGGCCTCGCTGTGGAAACTCATAGCAGTACAGCAGGCTGTAGAAATGTATAGTTTGTTTGACGTCTGAGGTGTAACCAATGAGAGCTACAAATAAATACCGCCTCTCGCTGGAGGGATGCCCTCCATCTTAATGGCGTGTTTTGATAGCTACACATGTCGCACATATGCACATGTGGACGGACTGTGTCACTCATAATTGACGCTCTGGCTCTCCAAGCTATTCATATCGTTGAAGACACTGAATGTTCATAGGCAGCAGCCAAGTTCGCAACGGTCGACTCTGTTAAGAGCAGGGTCATCCCAGAAGCATCCAAGTCTGTACATAAAACGCAAACAGCGGTCGACAGATGGTCTCAATTGTCCTGGTCGGTCTCAATATACAATCAATAAAGACTACTCTGTGTCTTGTGGTGTTTTTGAATGGATAGGGCTATATGCTGGTAATTTGATCTTGAAGATAACTTTCCTGTTCATTGTCTTTGATACCAGCAATGGAATTCACTGGAAGTTGCTTGTCAACAGTTGAATCAGCACAACACTGTCAAAGACAATTTGCTAGAGGCTGGTGTATTCTCTTGACGTCTCTGAAGCTCACAAGCATCCAAAGATAGGCGAGAAACACAGCGATAAATAGTGAAAGTTTGCTGTCGTGTGTTGGTGGTGTCTCTCCGCACGAGAGAGATGCAGCCTCGGAGCGGAGATAAGGACATAGTGACGGCGTCATGGCGAATGTCGCAGAAGCTCTCGAGCTCTCTCACACTTGAACACAACACTTGTGTTTGCAGATATTCAATTCATCAGCATGGCGTATCTGGCATCTATCCACCGGCCCAGCAGCGTCCGGCACGCGCTGAAGCTGAACTTCCTCAGCCCCGACGACGATACTCTTGTAGTGGCGTAGGTTATGTCTTGTTGCAGCAAGCTTCGTTGTATGCGCTGACACCAGATAGCANAGGCCAACCGCCTCGAGTTCTACGCCCAGCAACAAGACGGCCTCGTACTACAGCACTCAAAGGCCATCTACGGCAAGATCATCATGCTGCAGACCATCCGCCCCCAATCCTCCCAGACCGATCACCTATTTGTCGGAACCGATCGATACATGTACTTTACTCTTTCATGGGACCCCACTACCAAGCAATTACGAACCGAGAAGAGTTTCAAAGATTTGTCGGATAGAGCAGCAAGAGAAGCACAACTTGGAGAACGATGCAACATCGATCCCACACGGAGGTACATGACAATCGAGATCTACGAAGGAATTGTTTCCGTCGTCCCCATCGCACACGAAACAAAGCGCAAGTCAATCTCCCAGGCCCAGCTAGGAGATATTGGCGAACCAGCCTCTGTCAGGATACCCGAGCTTAATGTACGATCATCGACATTCTTGCACAGGAGGAGTGAGAAGGCGAAGCCACAACTAGCTTTGCTCTATGAGGATTCTATGGGAAAAGTCCGCCTGAAAGTCCGCGATCTCGACTACTCTCCAGCGTTAAAGTCCAACGAGCCGGGATCAGCAGAACTCGAAAATGAGCAAGACGCAGACGAAGAGCTCGATCTGGGTGCCAGCCATCTTATACCTCTGCCTCACCCAGCTTATGGCGTACTTGTCCTGGGAGAGACGACTATTTCATATTGCGAAGAATTCGACGGCAGAATGCGCAAAACTGCAAAGAGTGAACCTCTCAAAGAGGCCACCATCTTTGTCGCCTGGACGCAGATTGACGATCAGCGCTTCGTCCTCGCAGACGAGTATGGTAAGCTATACTTGCTGATGGTGACGTTGAACAGCAAACATGATCTCGAGGGCTGGAAGTTGGACGTGATTGGTGAGACTTCACGAGCATCCACCCTCGTTTACTTGGATGCAGGCCGCATCTTCGTGGGCTCGCATCAAGGCAACTCTCAACTCATCCAAATCACTCCTGGCTCTATCGAGATTCTACAGACTTTCCCCAATATCGCGCCCATCCTCGATTTTACCGTCATGGACATGGGCAACCGCTCTTCTGAGGCTCAGGTCAACGAGTACTCTTCCGGACAGGCTCGTATCGTCACTGGCAGTGGTGCCTTCAAAGATGGTAGTCTCCGCAGCGTCCGAAGTGGTGTTGGTTTGGAAGATCTTGGTTCTATTGGTGAGATGGAAAACATCACCGAAGTCTTTAGCCTGAAGTCAAACCCTGCACTCGAATTTGTAGACATACTGGTTGTGTCTTTTATCGCACATACACGAGTGTTTAACTTCTCGGCTGATGGTGATGTCGAGGAAGTCGACAACTTCAATGGCATGGATCTGTCACAAAGTACTCTGTTCGCTACCAATCTTTCCAAGGGTAGGATCCTGCAGATCACCGCTTCTGCCGTCCATGTTGTTGACCCCGAGAGCGGCATGAGTCTGGACAGCTGGTCGCCCGAGGGTGGCTCTTCCATCGCTGCAGCTTCGACAGCAGACAACAATATCCTGGTTTCTGTTAGCGGAGTCGGTCTTCACATGCTCGACGTATCTGGCGACAACATCAAGGTAACGGCATCGAGAAAGTTTGACAGCGGTTCACAAGTCGCATGTATATCGTTGTCACCCACGTTGCGCAACACCTGTGTCGTTGGCTTCTGGCAAGACGCAAGTATATCGTTGCTCGACACTTCTTCTTTGAGAACCATTCATTCGGAGACGGTTGATGAAGAGAGCACAGCAGTTCCTCGTTCATTGCTCATCGCTCCAATTCTGGAAGGCTCGTTACCGACCCTATTTATCGGCATGGCGGATGGCAATGTCGTAACTTATTCGATCGATCCTAGCACCAACACTCTTTCATCAAAGAAGAGCATAATTCTCGGCACACAACAGGCTAGCTTCAAAGCTTTGCCCAAGGGCGACGGGCTGAACACTGTGTTTGCAATCTGCGAGCACCCAAGTCTGATATATGGATCAGAGGGTCGCATTGTATATTCTGCCATCACAGCCGAAGATGCTACATGTGTATCACCTTTCGATACCGAAGCTTTCCCTAACGCTATTGCGATCGCCACAGCTACCGAACTCAAACTTGCTATCGTGGATGAGGAGAGAACGACTCATGTACAGACTCTACCAGTCAATGAGACGGTCCGAAGGATTGCATACTCAGCCGACTTACGTGCCTTTGGTTTAGGGACAATCAAGCGCACCATCAAGGACAGCTATGAACACATTGAGAGTCATTTCAAGCTCGTGGATGAGGTTGCATTCCAAGAGTTGCACACTTTTGCTTTGAACCAAGAGGAGCTAGTCGAGAGTTGTATTCGTGCCAAACTGGATGACGGCTCGGGTGATCTTGTCGAGCGATTCGTCGTAGGCACAAGCTATATCGAAGAAGACACGGGAGACACACCCAAGGGTCGCATCTTGGTGTTTGAGGTCACGGACGACAGGCACCTCAAGCTTGTGGCCGAGCATGCAGTCAAGGGAGCATGTAGGTGTCTAGCAATGTGCGAGGGTCGCATTGTGGCTGCTCTCGTCAAGACGGTAAGTTTTCAAGGAGTTACACTTATAGACCATCTACTTACAAATCACAGGNTCGTGATGTACAACTTCAAGTACGAGACGGCGAGTCGACCATACCTCGACAAGGTCGCCAGCTATCGAACATCCACAGCACCAATCGACATCTCGGTGACAGGAGACAAGATCGCTATCGCAGACTTGATGAAGAGCATCTCCGTCGTGCAACACAAGAAAGGCACAAACGGTCAAGACGATACCCTCAGCGAGGTCGCCCGCCACTACGACACCACATGGGGCACAGCTGTCGCCAACATCTCACCCAACACCTACCTCGAAAGCGACGCCGAAGGCAACCTTCTCGTCCTCAACCAAGATACAAACGGCTTCTCAGACGAAGACAAGCGCCGCCTACGCGTCCTCTCCGACATGCAGCTCGGCGAAATGGTCAACCGTATCCGCCGCATCGATGTGCAACCAACCCCCAACGCCATCGTCATCCCCTCAGCCTTCCTCGCCACCGTCGAAGGTGCCATCTACCTTTTCGCCACCATCGCTCCTCAACACCAAGATACACTTATGCGTCTGCAAGAAAACATGGCTGAAAAGGTCAGCAGTCCTGGTAATGTGCCATTCAATCGTTACCGCGCGTACAAGACTTCTGTGCGCGAGAGCGAGGAGCCGAATCGCTTTGTTGATGGCGAGTTAATTGAGAGGTTCTTGGATTGCGATGAGCAGTTGCAGGAAGACATTGTTCAGGGCTTGAGCGTTGATGCTGAAGAGGTCAGGGGTATTGTTGAGGCATTGAGGAGGTTGCACTAGATAGTCTTGCATGCCAACTCTGCACAGGAAAATGCAGGAAAGAGATCGGGTGCTCTTCTCTACGCAAACGGCATTCGATATCTGAGGAAATCACGAATTTCATTTATAACTGTATCTGTTGATCTCTCTTGGTGTGCCAAAGGTTTTGGATCCCACACAAGTATACAGCGATGTGTCAAGGGTAGAAAGGTAAGACATGGAACTAATCTCAAAAACAACAGCTTACTATGTGTACGGATTGAACTGAGCGTGTGGTGTTGACTCGAGGTTAATGGGTGTGCTTTGGGAGACTTCGCAAGCCTCGGCTCGGCGGAAGAGACTTTCTAACTTTCTCAAACCTTTGCGCGGCCTCAGTCTGTTCACCGAAAGCCCAACATTTCTATGCACGCGTTAGAGCAACTACCGACATGGAGTTCTGGAGAAACTTGCCTACTGGTGCCTGCTTTCGGTTCTTGTCTTCGATGCTCTGCTGGAGTTCTTCAATGATTGTTGTCAAGTCTTCAGGCGAGGCCGTTGAGTCTGGCACCAAAGGCACGACTTGACCTTCCGCACGCTCGATTATCAGGTATTTGAAGCCTTCTATTCGAGACTCGAACTTGCCCGTGATGTAGGTTCGTATGGCGAACGGCGTTTTGTCATGACCGACCACTACTGCGGCGTGAATTGGTCGCTCGAAGGCCGCTGATGCATCCTTTCGCTGCGCTTCCCATTTCCATGCTAGTTTCGTGTATTCACCATCAACGTCGGGGTGCTTTTGCAACGTAAAGGTCCAGCGATATTGACGTTCTGAATTCGTCTTTCGAAAAACCCCTCCGAGATCACCACCGAAGCCTGCTCCTTCGGCATGTGGACTGAAATCGAATTGGGTCTCGACTGCTTCTTGCCATGGCCGACCATAAACCTGTTCGGGGTGAGCGATCGAGATGTATGGCCCTTCACCAGTCTTTGGTGTTTGTCGAGTAACTTCAGTCTCTGCCTCGACATACCGCAATCGGCAATCCGGAGGCTGGTAGAGGGAAATTTTGAGATATAGCAAGCCTACGTCTTGTGGCGAAGGCGAAAGGTTACTAACTGTTCCCCATTTCGAGCAGCTTCGCAAGAGACTGCAGTCAACTGTGGCCTTGGAAAACCTGGTCGTGCCGAGACTTGTGTCCCGGCCCACATCAATTCTGATAGATGGGAGCGTTCTCCAAGAGATCTTCTTCTGCTTTGCGGACAACGACATTTGATGTGAATTACTTGATGAACCGGGGTTTGGTGATGGAGCTACAAGACGATATGTGTTAATTCGTCGACCTTGAGATTCAAGAAAATCTCAAGTTTGGTGGCGCTCACTACTTAAATCAGGCAACCCCGACGCCATCATCCTGGTGTTGATACTTCAATCGAGAGGCTTAGTAACGGGTCGATGGGAGCTCGTGCCGTTACTTTGAGGCAAGTGCAGCATCTTGGTAAATATTCCAAGGTATACGACTACTTTGATTGGCGGACTGAGTGATGCCCCACTCAGAGGCGTCGCTGATGAGATCAATATAGATTACCTGCATGAGAAGGATTTCCGTCATTATCAGTTGACCGGACGAGACTATTCTGGTCTCCTGAAGTGCACAAAACCTCTAACCCTGATCGAAAACTCCCGGAAAATTCGCAATCGTTCATAACTCATATCGACAATGGAAGGCAACACCAACGGACTGGAATCGGGCACGGGCCCAGATATCGAGCTTATGGATTCGAATCTCCATATTGTTCAGGATGTCGAGGAAGATCTGGAGGAATATACGAAGCTCAGTCGACTCGGTCGGTTTGGAGAGGCCTCCAAACTATTCAGAAAGACTCTACGTCGACACTTGGGCTGCTTTGCTGTGCTAGCAGAGCACTGCAGTTCTTTGATATACCAAGGGGATTTTGGAAGCGCGGAGCAGGTGCTGAGTGCCTCTATCGCGCGACAAGAAGTATCGGTGCCTGCTTCCGAGCGCTTTCGGATAACGGAGATGCACTTTCTTCGTATACTCCTCACATACGTAAAACAGACAAGTCAATACTCAGGTCGCAGTGAGGCCCGAATTGCTGTTTCCCAAGCACGCTGGTACCGAGATAACATCCAAGCTACTAGTCCTCTAGAGCTTGTGGATGTAGAGGTGTGTCTCAACATGAAACCTTAAGATCACCTCAATAACACACTATAGAGGCAAACATTGCTCACTTGTATGCGCATATTCATCATGATCGAGGACGCGGATTTTGCGAGCCTGGAAGACCTGCGACTACCTTGGTCGTCTCGTCCATCGTATCCTGGAGAGACTTTACCACTCTCGGAAGACTACTTGGCTTGGTTCGAAATGCTTGTTCCGGAACACCCTTGGGATGCATGTGTAGTCCTCCTGGCCGTTGACAAGCTCCGACCCGCAAGCTGCTATTCTCAGGACTGGTCAATCATGATTGATGTAGTGGAACGCAACTTTCCTAATACCGAGTCAGTCGATATAAATTTGTTCGCCCGCATGCTGCTACTTGGACGACTCTGCGAGATGACTTTGACCAGACGCTGGTATATACCATGGTCATCTGATGATGACTACCAACTCAAAGGGACTCAGATTGTGGTCACTCATGAGTCGGAGGCACTGGCGAAAATCATCCAGCGCATTCTTCAACAGCACTCTGGTACGAACGACGTCACAGAAACTCGACCGTACAAACATTTGCAGCTACTCATCATTGACCACGAGATCATACGTGAGTATGATCTTGGGTACGCTCGGAAGGCCGTGAGCAATATTCTGCCTCGTCTTAGTGCCATCGAGAGGTTTGCTGCATCATCTGAAGCTTTGGATCACCAACTAGCTCTGGATGTGATATATCACCAGTATATCTTCATGTCGAAGAACGAGTGGCGTAAGACCATGCTGAACAAAGTCGCACGTTTCATATCACGTTTTGGGCCGACTCAGGAAACAGCGAATCTGAAATCGAGCATCTTTGAGAATAGCAACCTGTTTTCGTTCTTTTGCCATCCAAATCGGACCTATGCGATATCTGATATATTCAGACTATCAGAGGCAATCGAAGATCTTAAGAACGAACACCATTTGGAATTTCCAATGGAACTGAGCATATTTGAGACAATCCTACTAAACATTGGGTATCAAGGTAAGCGTTTGCGTCCAGTCATAGAACTCTCGCTGACTCGTCCTGACCGCTTCGATCAACATGTTCCGATAGATCGTCGTCCTCTTCCTCCACCACTTGCTTATTCTTTTGACCCCTATGCACAGGTGAATTGGCCTCCTTCAGCAGTTGAACCGAAACAGTACGATTCCAACAGAGGAAAACCGCCAAGTTCAAATGTTCGAAACCACATCGCTAGTACCGAGACCAATCCTGACGCGATACAATTGCCAGCACGGCCAAACCACTCTTCCAAGCCTGGTACGCATTCTGTCGCCCACAGTCGATTAGAATTCCCTTACGCCAGTGACAAGGGGTTATAGGACACACTGTAAGTTGAAGACAGACTTCAACAACTTGGCATCGGAAGTTGGGTGTCCCGACCATATTGAAGCGAGCTTTGGCAGAGTGTTCTGTCCTTGGTCCACCAATAATACAACTCGAACAATCAATGCAATATTCAAACGGGCATCATTCCTCCACCAATACTAGCTAGTTGCAAACGAACAGCCCTGAAGGCTCCAACATTGCTGCACAAAGCGCTTACTACAACATCAACTCTTGTGATCATCAATCCTTGTTGAAGTCAACGACAATGCGTCTGGTCATACAAAATTAGTACAATTTCCAAGAAATTTAACGTCCAGAAGATTTACCCGGCGACTTGTCCGTTCTTCAACTTCTGTACAGACTCGTTGAATTGAGAGAGGCCAACAACAGTGGGCTCAAGGCGGAGTTTTCCTNNATTATTTTGTTAGTGATTGTCAGGTTCAACAGTTTTTGTTACCATACCTCGGCGAGCAAAGTCCATTGTCTCATCCACATCAGCCATGCCGGCAACGAGCGTGCCCTTGATGGACTGGTTGCGGAAGGCGAGTGTTGAGGGGTTGACTTCCATATTGTACTTTCCAGTGGGAGGCAGACCAATACACATCACTTGAGCACCAGCTCTGTTGCCAAGGAAGCCCTGTGCAATAGGGTAGGACTGGACAGCTGTATCCTCACATCAGTATAAGAAATCAACAACCAAACCACCCTACTTACCAGTCACAAAAACAGCATGAGCGCCACCGCCAGTAACTTGCAAAACCTTGTCGACAGGGTTCTCTACTTCCTTGAAGTCGATGAATTCATCTGCACCGAACTTCAAACATGCTTCTTTCCTTTCGGCTCCGGTATCGATGACGATGGCTCGGAGACCCATGGCAATAGCCAGTTGAACAGCTTGCATACCGACACCACCGCCGCCACCAGGAAAGACAGCCCACTGACCAGGACGAAGACCAGACTCCTTGATGGACGTGTACGCAGTGCTACCGGAGCACATGATAGGCCCAGCAATCTCATCCGGGACGCCGTCAGGGATGAGCGAAGTGTAGCGTTCAGGNGAAACAATGTATTGCTTGTAGGAACCNTGATGATTATCAGTGGAAGTACTTAAGAAGTGTGTCGAAGAGGGAAACTCACCATCAATGTGGAGACCAGTCATCACACAACTTAGACAATAAGTTTCCTTTCCAGACTTGCAGTACTCGCATGTATGGCAGACATCTTGAATGGGCTTGAGTCCTGCTCTTTGGCCAACCTTGAGGTTCTTGACTCTTTCTCCGACTTTGACGATGACGCCTGCGCCTTCATGGCCAGCGCACTTGGTTCCAAATTGAGACCTGAGAAGGATTAGTAACCCTACCCGATTTATGAAAGTAGATCGAGTTTACATTGGTGGCAGGCCCCAGTCTTCCATCATAAAGTGCACATCTGACATACATAGACCCGTGACATTCAGCTTAATCAGAACATCCTCAGGGCCAATTTCAGGTACAGGTACATCTTGAACCTCGACNCTAAGATGTTTTGTGAATATGGCTCATGCACAGCTGATGAAGAACTTTGAATGACATACAGTAAAGTCAGGACCAGAATTGACAACCACACCAGCCTTACAAGTCTTGGGAATGATGGGTGTTGTCTCCTCCATGTCCATAGTCTCAGTAGTCGACATGTTGCAATTGGTTTGAAAAAGTATAATAAAGATGTTGTAGTGTGCTTCAAGGAACGGAGCGTACAAGGCTCTAGTTATATCCAAAGACCCCTCAACGGATGCTCTTGCTTCCGCTCAACCAGCAGTCATTTTGGGATCCATAGGCACAGCTTACTCCTCTTTTTCGCGGTAGTCACACATCGGCCAAGAGGTTGCCCCTCGTTATAGAGAGGATCGACCTTGGGCGGGGTTGACAGGAATTGCGGGGTGGTGTTTGGGTTCGCGGCTCTGTTCCGCAACCCTCTTCCGAGAACCTTGGTTCTTTGCAGGTGTCAGTATACATATAAGAATGTTAGTTGTGCCCTGCGGTCAGTATAGAGCTCGATTGTCGTTGATTGAGGACAGTTTTCGAGTAAGACAAGCCCGATTGGTCATCGTATGAGCGATGATGGTTGCTCGGTTCCTAGAAGTGTGGAAGCGCTGGGCAGTGTCCATCACCACTTGGCCCACGGTTGCCTCGGAGGTAGTGTATTGTGGGCAGCGACCCACAATGTATCGTACTCATCACAATCCAAGGCGAATTGATGATTGCTAGCTGCAGGTAGACTCCTGACGCCATGTAGGACAACTGGTGACAGGCCTGTTCCAGGACGCTTCTCAGCATGCTTATTGATAGAAGAAGGAAAGTTAACAATGAAGCTATACCGCTGTTGCCTTGCTGGCTGCTATCATTCCAGTATCAGCAAGTCCTGTACAAATTCCCCATCTAAACAGGACAAGAGCAGCCTCGAATGTTCGAGACAAAACTTCAATCCAGCTGTACCGCTGACTCGTCTCTGACGAGGGAGAAAGCTCGTACATGGGGAACGGGTTTTGAAATGCTTAGAGGCTGCGCAGTGGAAAGTGGTGTTTGTATGTAGTCGTTGCCAGCGGTTTCTACTTGGCACCTGACTCGGCCGTCTTGGTCGAACCTCGTTCTGGAAAATGCTCAAGAGGAGCTGAAGAACTCGGATATGAGCGAAACATGATTCATCCGGAGTTCAGGATGCATCGAGCGACTCCAGTTGTGGTGTATTCTTCCCGCAGCAAATGGAGTCGAAGGTGTCGCGTGGCCATACTGACAACGAATGCCAAAGCGATATCCCTCCCGATAAATATGCGAACATGCGAACATGTGAGAGAAGCACCCAAACGTACAACCAAATGCCGGACAGCCGTTCGTGGCGGAAAACGGGCACCGGGAAGCAGAAATGTTCTGAGCATGCTCGTTCGATATATTCAACGGCGTGAAGGTCATGCAGGACAGGTACAATTTGCATGGTGTGCGTACGACGGACGATCAGAGTAACGTCGGTCGTTCTGAAATTGCTCAAACAGAATTCCAACTCACCGATTCGAACGTGACCAACTTCTACCTGCCCTGCCTGCTCTGGCCGCTTGTTGATGGTCCGAGGTCAAGCTCTAGCGTTCAGCAGGCAATTGTTGCTCGTGGTTTGCCGTTAAGATCATGGCTGTTCGTTCGTGGGAATGAACCAAATCGCTATCCCCCACAGTCTCACCTCGTGTAAGCCGTTGCTGTCTGATTGCTGAGATGGACTATAATCGCTGTTGGATGCTTGGTGTGTTTTTATAACACAATACTGACGCTCTTGTGGGCGCGTCGAGCAGTTGGTATGCCTATAACCGAGGACAGCAGAAATCCCAAGAGCTGATAGCCTGACTCGGACGGGATAGAAACAACAGCTGACGATGGCTGACAACAGTGAGATTGCGAAATGTCACAACGCAGATGACCGAGGGACTGAAAATTGACAAAGTCAGCTCTCTCCGCTGCAAAAGCCGAAGTCGATGACAGTTTGCACGGACCGTTTTCCTCATCGAGCGGCCAAGCCAAGTATTTCCCCGCATGTTTACCGCCTAGAGTTCAGCCATCAACGCCTCGACTCGAGAAGAGTCTCCTTGTATACACACATTCTCCTTCGATGGCTTGCGAGTTTTCACTTCTGAGAGCCGTGTTATCCCTGGTTCCTGACCGAAGTGGAGCGACTACTCTATTTCAGGTCGACGACGACATGGAACATGAGAAGAATAATTTCCCCCTGTTGAAACTGTTCAACGTGCAACGGCTGAAGCTCTCCTGGCAGAGACAAGAGAGCCATATACAACGGCGTGGCTGGCTGATATAAGACCGTCCGAACCGCCAAATTCAATAAGTCACTATTGGTATACTACTCGAAGCGCTGCTGATCATTTCGTACTTGTTGTGGTCTCGTCCACGTTCGTTCATTATCTATAAACCTTCCACCTCACATTCCTTTGTCTGCTGTTTAGCATTCCAAACGTCGCCCACACCTTGTCACATCATACGACCTTATCGATCAAAGTATATATTACTCCATCCACCCGGCATGTACTCCCACACCATCGACGCTCTTCCTGCCTACAACAACGACATGCCTATTTTCAACCTCGCCATGACCCTGATCTGGNGAGCTGCCGAGCTCCTTCTCTCGCTCGGCTTCATCACTGCATTCTCCTTCATGGTCTGCTATGGCTTCGGTGCTGCCATGGACCCTAGAGAGACCACCTTCGAAGACGACTCCGAATCCGACGTACCTTCAAAAGAGAACACAGCCTCTATCTTGATGTCTGCTATGCTCAGTGGCTTCCACGTCACTTTTGTCTTCTTCGGTCTTCCGCTCTTCGGTCACGCTACCGACTCTTTCGTCATGCGTCTCATCTACTCCACCGCCATCATTGCCGCCTTGACTACCGCAGTCGCTCTCAGCACGATTGTCGTCTACCTCGTCGCCCCCGTCGTATCTTCCTGCTGGAACGGCATTGCCAGAATTTTCAGAAAGACTCCTGCACAGGACCAACAAGACATCGAGGCTCAGCACGAGTCCGAGGCTTTCCTCGACGAGAAGAAGCTTATTTCCGAGATCGAGTGAAAGAGCCTCAAGAGGCTATCAGTTCTTCAAACTTCCACTCTCCTACAAGATTCAAAGGCCACGACGAGATGATTCGTCATCAATGGTCCTATCCGGCATACACCACAGATTCTCGTATCTCGGTAGCCACGGAGGATCGCCCTCAGGGCCGCGCAATTCAGATCTACAAGATGTCGCAGACGACATGCACCATCTGGGTTGTTTTGAGTAATGCTGTTATTGCCGATCACTTTGGCAATACACCGTTAAATCCGTCGAGGAAAACGTTCTTGCATACAAAACGGTTAACCAGGGTCGTACGCATCATACGGCACTTGCGCTGAAACAGCCGCATCATAAAGAGACCCTTGAGGTCCTGGAGCTTCTACTCGGCTTCGGCCCTTGTCAAAGAATAATGTATATAATTTCAACAAACTGTTTATCCCAATACTTTTACCTTTATCGATGCTGTTGATCTGCTCTGAAATCGATTTGAGCTTGAAAAGGTGACTTTGTGTAACCAGTCGTCATTTCTGTGGCCTGTCATCTCCGCAAAAACGGTTGGCGAAGAGGCTGGCTGTAAGCCGTTTAGAAAGAGGTCGTTGCATATTTGGTCGATGTTATAGACTCTCGGGAACGCCCTGCGCCCGTCTCTGAGCTGTCTATTGTCGGCCAGCGTAAAGGTCCGGCGAGTGTGTTCTATCGTGTCCATGCTTCTCATATTGCACCTGCACCTGTCGTGTTTTTCTTATAATTCCATCTTCTACATCATCGGGCGGGAGGATTGAACGCTCACTACCAAAGTCCTGGGCTTCGACCTCGATGACTGTTCGGTGGGTTTTGCTTTGCGATTGGAGGTGGATTGTTTGGGAGCCGTAGGTTGGTCGGCTGCGGTTTGTTGATCGGACGAAAGCCATGCCGAAGAAGCGTCTGAGGAAAGTGTCGAATTGGCTTCGTAGTGGAGGTAGACAGGCTGCGATAATGCAGACGTTGACTTCTGCTGTACTCCAGATGGATAGATCGACTGCATCCCCTGTTGAGCTTGTCAGCATAGTGTTGAGTCTATGTTGTTGGAGAACATACATNGTAGGATCATGCGTGTTGAACATCTTTCCGGCAACTGCAATCTTCACGACCGAGCAGACCGTCGCANNCTATTCAATATTAGTCTCATATTCCACATATGCAGTGGAGAGAACATACATCAACCCGAAGAGCAGAACGATGCGTAACCCCCATTGGACGTTCGCTCCCAGCTTGACTGTCGAAAGGTAGAAAATCGGCACCGATGTATATAGAATGTCGGTCACGATGTTAGAGCCTAGAGAGGGTCAGCTATTATTCTGGTTTATGATACGGAACCAGGCGTTCTCACCAGATTGGACATAGGTGCAAATNCTGAACCCATCGTGTTAGCACACCGAGTCTGCTTGATGTTTTGGGTTGCTACTGACCTTGTTGACAAAAGGATCCCAACATTGACCTGGCTGATTCATGTTCCAGTTCAAAGATACCGGGCTGCAGGATCCGAAAATCGACGTCAAAGCGACAGCTCCATTGCATAGGAGGACCAGTCCCACTGTAATCCACATAGCGATCTTGTAGCCCGGCGCGAAATCCAGGTACAAAAGGAAGGCAGCAATGCTGAGTTTGGCGAAGAGCATCGATATGAGATTTGTCGCTTCGCCAATCCAGATCCATCGCAGACATGTCTCAAGCATCTCGGGTGTGATTGATGGGTCGTATATGTGTCTCCCCAAGCCATATTGTGTCGATAACGAACTACATGATAGCGCTACAAGGTTGCTCACCNNTAAGTCAAGTCAGCATCTGCAAAGTCTCAGGATAGTACGTGAGCATTACCAGTGCCAAAAGATGAGCAGGTCAGCGAGCCTATACAACTTCTTCAAGACTACATTGTTGATGATCCTCCAGAACACAATAGATCCAGCTAAGATGGCGAATATGACTTCTGGAACAACAATCGCACTCCGCCGGCTGTCCATAACCGTCGACAGTATACTTGAACAGCAGAGCTGGTTCAAGAAGGAACCATAGGGTTAGACCAGAGAGGACAGGGAGACTTCGAAATTGAATATGTGCCAACGGATCGGCAGGTTGTCCGAGATGGATAGGCCCTGGAACCACACTTGGCAGAGTATCCAGATAAATTGAANAGATGCAGGCTTGCCCATGGTCTTGTAGCCACAATATCTATNGCATGGTCAAGCAACTGATCGACCCGAGTAATGACCCTTTCCAGACACTCCGATTGCAACCCACAAAAATCTNNCAGATCTCGACTGGCGCCANNGACGCTACCGTGCTACCGCGTTCCTCGCTAAAATACCCTCTAAAGAAGCAAAGACTCCAAGNNCCAGTGTCTTCGATAGCTGTCGGCAATGCCGTCTGCGGCTGTCCACAGGGCCGCAACAGGGCTCAAGCTCTGAAGAAGAAATNNCGTAGCGGGATCAACACATCCGAGCCGTGATAAGAGAAAGGAACGCCATATTATTGCGAGACGTGGGTGCGTTTGCGGTTGATGGGATCATGGGCCGCACTTTAACGAATCTTCGGTAGAAGTCGAGAACACTGTTTGCTTGCCCTCAAGCAACCTTTGGCCCAAGCTCACGCGGAGGTTTCGTCAAACGAACAGAGCTCCCCGGCATTTCAAGAGTACTGTGCTCTGCATCTTCCAGCCGTGCGTTGCATCTACTTGAGGATGCAACATTCCACGTGTCGCGGTGAGGGCATCCGTAGAACGTCCAAGCCTCGGGTGTTGTGAATTTCAGACGCTTGAGGCTGAGGGTGAAAAGAGCTCAAGCTCGGTGGCTCGTTTCAGATGCCACGAGGTCAGCTCTTGGTAACGCTCAGGGCTTTCCCCGCATCAACTTCCTCCCTAAAGAAGAGTATCATGTTGTTTCGTGGCTTTTGCTCGACGTGCCTTCCGTCCTCAAACCCTTGCAGGCGCAGAATTGTCTGAGATGCACCAGAGATTGCCCTGCCCCAACGACCGACTGTCGACATTTGATTGACCGCTGCAAGCCCTGAGCAGTCGCTTCGACATCGAATGCGCCTAAATACGATGCGATCGCCACGGACCTCGACACGCCGATAAGTAGCCAATACGTAGAGCTTCATCTATGGAGAAGCACCTCGTTACCGAAGCCTTTCTTCGCATAGCTAGCATGCACTAGGTAGGTCCGTTCATATCGGGTTGTGGACCTCTGCACCTGCGTGATAGACATAAGTATTCTGGTTTGTCCTACGCCTCTGACAGGGAGGCTCTCTCATCGCCTACACACTCTTTTGAAACATTATGGCGCCCATCTTTTCTTCCATGACTCGCTTGACAGCGGTTATTTCTTCAATTCTTCTCTTGTCCACTGACGTGGTTCTTGGCACTACTACTCGTGAAAAGACACTTACTGGAACTTACGACTACATCATCGTCGGAGGCGGCGTATCAGGCTTGGTCGTTGCAAACAGACTTTCCGAGAAATCTCAGAGTACGTCTTGTCTATGAAAAGGACAGGAACATGACTGACCATGACCAGAAACTGTTCTCGTCCTCGAGTATGGATACAATGACAACTCAACCAAGACCCTTTGGCCTTATTATGGTACGGGTTACAATGATCCTGATATGTTCGAGATCAACTCTGCGCCCCAAGATAATCTCCAGAACCAGACTTTCGTGGCCTATGCTGGCAAAGTCCTCGGAGGTGGTTCTATTGTGAACGGTATGGGCTACGACCGTGGAACACAACCTGATTACGATGCTTGGGGTGAGCTCGGTAATGATGGCTGGAATTGGAGCAACTTGCTCACTTACTTCAAGAAGGTCAGTCAGCTTCGTTCATACTTCAGCTGTACCCTACTGACCGAGCCAACAGNNAGCAGCACCTTCACCCCCAACAAGAAGGAGACCCTCGACAAGTACAACTACACCTACGACCTATCCGCTTACGGAGATGGACCTGTTCAAGTCTCTTTGCCTGAATGGCAATATCCGGAGTTGCCTACCTTCTGGAAAGCCATGGACGAGATGAAGATCAACAAGGTCCAAGAAGGTGCTCTGGGTGAGCCTGGTTACTTCTGGGTGCCTGCCACTACCGACCCCAAGTCTCAGACCAGATCCTCAGCTCGTACTGCTTACTACGATCCCATCGCTTCTCGTTCCAACCTCAAGATCGCCACTGGTGTCCAAGTCCAGGAGATTGTTTTCTCTACCCTGACTGCCAAGGGTGTCAAGCTGCTTGACAGAGATACTGGCAAGACCTACACTGCCTACGCCGACATGGAGCTCATTCTCGCGGCTGGTGCCATCCACACTCCTCAGATCTTGCAACTCAGCGGTGTAGGCCCTGCTAGCGTGCTCAAGGAGGCAGGTGTCAATGTGAAGGTCGACCTTCCTGGTGTTGGCAACAACTTCCAGGATCATCCCACAGCATACATGATCTGGAACTTCCTCAACGACACAACTCCCAACACAAACTCTTTGACTAACAACGCAACCTTCAACGCCACTGCATACGATGAGTATGTCGCCAACAAGACTGGTCCATACACTCAAGCGCATGGCAACGGTGCTGCGTTCCTGCCTCTTACCAAGATTGCTCCCAAATCGTACAAATCAATCGTGGAAAAGCTCGCAGCCCAGAATGCCGCTGACTACCTCCCTGAGATGTACTCTGATTACCCCGAGTTGGTCGCTGGCTACGAAGCGCAACGCAAGGTCCAGGTTGAACAGTTCAGCTCTGATGCAGCCTCGATGTACGAGTTCTCTTTCATCGGTGGTGGTTTCTCTATCACTGCTCTCCAGAAGCCTACCAGTCGCGGTACGGTCTATCTTGACCCTAAGAACCCCTACGGCGAGCCAATTGTCGACTACCACGGCCTCCAGAATCCTGTCGACATGGACATGATACTTGCCAGCATGCGTTACACCCGCCAGATCTACAACACTTCTGCGCTTTCCGTCTTTGAACCTGTTGAAGCTAGCCCTGGTGTCAAGTATCAGACTGATGATGAGCTCAAGTCGCAGATCGTGTCTGGCCTTGTCTACCCTACCCTCGCCCATCCTGCATGCTCGTGCGCTATGACGCCCAGAAACTTGGGCGGTGTTGTCGACTCTGGCCTCCAAGTCTACGGCATCAAGAAGGTCACCATTGTCGACGCTTCCATTATGCCTCTTATTCCTGGTACCCACCTCCAGGCAACTGTTTACGCTGTCGCTGAGAAGGCCGCCGATATCATCAAGGCCAGACATGGTGCTTAGATGAGATAAGAAGAAGGACTCTGGGGTTGCGCCTCTGTACGGCTGTTGAATCGCCATATATTTGCTTCTGACGTTGGCTATTTTGATTAATCTGTTTATGTTATCGAGAAATGTTTTTCCGAGGGCATGATCTTTGTCCTGCACGAATACCCTGACTCGGTCAACTCCTGAATATCGCGACATTAAATGTACGAGTAGCGTATTCGGAGTTATGGAGAGAGAATTGCGAATTGATGAACCAAATCTGTCGGATAGATCAACCCGCGGCATGACGCGAGTAGTGTAGTCTTGGCGTTTTTGTCGAAGGATCTCGTATTCTGATTTCTGGAGACTTCTCGAGCCTCGTCGGATCTAGTGATCTATACCAATCGCTTCCTACAGTCGAGCACATTCCGAATGTGCAACTTGTGTCCCTCACAAACGTATCCTCGTAGCAGGACGGAACAAAGAGAGATGCAAACATGCGGCCGAGCTGGCCTTGGCAATGGCCCAACCACTGATTGACCAAAAAGTTAGGTACAAGCATCATCGGTGCCGACTCATGGGCCCGACAGGGCTCGCGGCTCCTTAAGGCTCGCGTGCCCTTTCTGACAGTCGCGATTAACTTGCGGCTCTTGTACCGATCCTTATCGCCTGACATGAGCCCTACCCTCGACTGAAGCCTGCCACTGGTGCTTGCTTGCATAAGGGCGACCGAACAAATCTCGGACAACGTTTTGGCCGACGAGAGGCCCGGATATGCATTGTGCTGCTTTGCTGCTGGTTCAGCTATTGCTCCTCACATCCCGTACACTAGCAGACGATGTTGGCTTCGACTATGATTCGACAAACCTGGCTGCGTGGGAACACGATTACGGCCACTATCCCTATCGAACATTCGAGTCTTCCGATTTGACACCTCCGGCCGTGGCACACAAGATCGATTTACCAGCATGTCACGATGGGTTGCTGACGTTCCTTACACCCCGGGGCACCGCCGTGAACGAGAGTCGTGGTATGGTCATACTCGACGATCAAGGAGAACTGGTATGGATGCAAAAGACGGAAGGACAACCCTACAACCTTGACGTACAGACGTACCAGGGCGCTCCACACTTGACCTACTGGCTAGGTGATGATACTGTTGGAGGTCATGGCGAAGGTGACTACTACATGCTCAACTCGTCTTACGATCTGGTCGCAAAGATCTCTGCCTTGGACGAACTACACGCCGATTTACACACCCTGAGTATCACACCGAATGATACCGCCATTATCAGTATCTACCAACCATATGAGAAAGAGAAGGGAGGACAATTACAATATATCTGGGATTGCCTGTTTCAGGAGATCGATATAGCGACCAACAGCCTCATCTTTCAGTGGCGTGCTTCGGATCATCACGATACTTCGGAATCATACCATGACCCACGATACAAGGAGGAGGGAGCAAGCAACCAGACGCATTGGGACTGGTACCATCTCAACTCTGTGGAGAAAGACGACTTGGGCAACTACCTTATATCGGCTCGATACACTCATTCTATAAGCTATGTTGATGGTCAGACTGGCGACCTAATCTGGACACTCGGCGGCAAGCGCAACATGTTTACATCTGACGACCACGCATTCGATTTCTCGTCTCAGCATTTCGCTCAGTTTCATTCGATTGATGAGTTTCCAAGTCTGATCGCATCATTCGGTGCTAGCCAAGCAGGCATCACTACACGATTGATCAGTCTTTTTGACAACAGAAATGACGATACTTGGGATTCTGGATTGGCTTCGAGAGGACTGCTTCTCGCCATTTCTTATCCCACTCATCCTGACCCTAATGGCGAGATCAACAAAAACGATTATAGGGCTCGCATCGTCCACGAATATCTCCACCCCAATGAGCTGATCGCCGACAGTCAAGGCAGCTTGCAGGCAGTTCCTGCCGTAGATGACAATCAAGATCCGAATATCCTGGTGGGGTGGGGTGCACGATCAGTATGGTCTTCATACACCGCCTCGAGCAAGCTTCTATGCGATACTCGTTTCGGTACAGAAGCTGCCATTCTCAATGGAAGTGTTCAGAGTTATCACGTAATGAAGTATCCTTGGGTTGGCTTACCGAGCGAGCCTATTTCAACTGTCTACAACTCTGATAGAGACAGCCTTTTCGTCTCCTGGAATGGGGCTACTGAGGTTGTCTCGTACGCACTCCAGCACAATGACAACAGTGGCGACTACTCTGCTGATTGGATCTATATCAGTATTACTCAGAAGGCAGGGTTCGAAACAGAGGTCGTTATTGGCGACTGCGTAACCAGATTTGTGCGTGTCATTGCGCTAGACGCCGCAGACAATGTGCTAGGTATCTCGGAATCCATTGAGCTCCCTTTTACTTCGGTAAGCAGCTTCTCCCTGGTTGCATTGACGCCTTTGCACTAACTGATTTGCATAGNNGGATTCCACTGCGATGAGATCAACAATCTGTACATAACCTCTGATGGCAACACCCTCTCTACAGCATCCGTGGCTTTGATCATGGCCACCATGTCTTTGACCATGTTCTCGATCCTTGTCTTTGAGAGTTGGCGTGTGTACAAAACATGGCAGAAGAAAAGAGAGCATGCATATTACCTTTTAGAGGTCGATCCATATAACTGATTCGGAGGCGGTATTGGCGTTTCTGTTTTTGACTGGATGCAATATACCCCCTGATTTCTGTAGTTTCGTACATAACGTGGAATTGGAGTTACTTTTCTGCTTGTGTTGACGTTGTTTTCAAGTTTGGTGATAGGAACGAGGAGACATGTAAGAAAAGAGCTAGTGAGCACAATATGCAGGAGTACTCTAATCAAACAAGCAGATGTGATTGAACTCGAGAAGAAACGATCACCACACGCGTGAAGACGGTACGGCTAAGCATGCAGGGGAGCAACCTCAGCTCATGAAGAAGAAGCGTTCGAACCTGGATGGAAGGCACGATCGCGTTCGGGAAAGCAAAGGCAGGAACGACAAACATAGAAAGCAGGAAGGAACGAGCATAAAGAGAAGCAACGACTCACATCGAAGGAAAGAGCATGTGAACATATGAGCAAGCAACGACTGGTACTAAAGGAAGGAGCGAGTAATCATATAAGACGTGGTCGTTGAAGCTTGCAAACCAAAGGTTAATGATACAGTAAGTGCAAATGGAAGATCCCAGCTCTTTACAAAAAGACAACAAACTAAGCAGAAGACAGAGAACATCGAGACAAGGAAAAACCCAAAAGGACAAAGAGACAAGGAGAACACCCCAAACATCAAACGACTCAATCATACTTCTACACTTGGTATAAAGATACAATCTGCATCCTCAACGCCACGAGCAAAATACATCAAACACCCTTTCGCCCAGCACCAAAAATCTTCAGATTAGTTCTGTGCGCCGCAAATGCACCGCTTTCCTGCAATGACAAATCTGCCGCAAGCACATTGACGTGTTGCAAACATGATCTGTCGATAAGATGAGCATGAGAAAGTTGTTTTGGGGTCGGATATTACTCACGGGGCCGAGGGCAGAGACATGATGATTGATACAAGGAGAGAGTGAGGTGGTGCATGGTTGGGACACGCGATCGCGGTTGTCCTTGTTGTATCGGTAAGACATCGTTGTCGATGGTAGAGAGGGTCGGTATGTGTTGGAAAATCGAGAAGAACGGGTGACAAAAGCTGAGTAGGTGAATGCGAGGTCTGATAACTTTGCGACGATGGTGGAGTGACTTTCGTGATGGATGTTCTTGATGATAGATCGTGCTGATATATGGATAGATGCACTGCTGAGAGGAATCGAATGGTGATGGGGTATACGGGGTTCAAACCAAACAGTCCTTATATACACATATTCCACCTGTCAATTCCCAGTCAGACCACCAACCACCCGTCAAAACAATATGGATACATCAAAAGATTGTGAGTCTTGTTTCTCTCACCGCAAGATTTCTATTCATTGTGACAAGTCATTCTTGTTCAGAGCCAGAAAAAACACACGGCAACGGACATAAGTGCCGTTTCCAGCAGAGCGGTTGCACATCCATATCGAGTTAGGTGCAGCAACACTCCTGCTCCTCGACCTGTCAACTCCATTTTTTCCACCCCGGTCCGTGGGATTGTTCTTTGCTGCATACAACGCCGCCGAAAATCCGTGGAAGCAAGAAGTAAAAAGTGACAAGTACCTAGAAGTTTGGTGTGTTCGGCATTCTGATCCGGGCTTGAAGAGACGAGTGTCGTGATATTTGGAGTAATGGTATCTGGGTATGGCCAAGTCTGCATTGTCGATGCTTTTGGAGGATTCTTTCTATTGCTCTACATGTTAATATGTCACAAGTTTGTTTGGCTCTTGCAAAGGTGGGGGTTTTTTGTGATGATTCCTGGATGAGTGGGGTTTGTGCATAGAATGCCATCGCATGGGGTTGCAACAAGTGAGCCTGGTAGCTGCTCACCACTTATGTCTCCAAAATCAAGAACGGGACTGATGGTCGCTCTTGCCCTTGATGTTTAGATTCGATTCGGATCGATCTTCACAAAGATCGTGTTCTGTGGCAACGATAACTATTGTGTCGCAACTTCCATTCGTTCTCATTGTCATGCTGTCGCGTGCTGCTCATGCATAGCGGGCCGCAGATGTACAGGACATGCAATGTTTCTCGCAACGCAACCCGGGATGTGATTCGGATTGGGTGCTGGCGTCACGGGAATGACATTCGCGACACGGGTAAAACACAGGCATGGCCTTGAGATTAGAGACGAAAGAATGAGAATAGTATCTTGATGCGATGTAATTCTACCGGGCACTCCTCTTCTAGGCGCTTCGACCTTGATAGCACGCTTTCATATGCTGAGGAAGGAACAAATTCCATCACCAGCTACGAGGCTGATGAGACTGTTCTGTCGAGTCGTTGAGCAAAACAATGAGCGAGCCGGTCCCCGTCTCGAAGATCGGATGCAGACATGATGAACTCCGACCAAAGAATAAAAGACGTACAGTGGCATGTGGTGGGTCCTGAACGAGTGGAGTGTTTGGCATGAAGTGCCATCGTCTGGGAGTTCACAGCTGACTCTGAATACTGATGAAGTTGTCCATGTGGTGTGATTGACTCTAAATGCAGGAAAGATGCCGATAGTCGTTCTTTCCGTCGTTCAATGCGACTGACAGTGACGGGTTTCCTTGAAGGGCTTCTTGCATCGCTCTTGCCCAGATCCCGTTCCCGCTCTGTCGTGTGCTTCTCGCTGTCTGCCAAGCATTTCGACAGCCTAGTACAGGAGATATTTAGTGGCGAATGTCCTCTCATCAAAGCTATTGTCCAAATTAAAAGGACATTCCCATCACCATGGCCTGAACATATATGCGTCTAGGGCTTTGCAACCATGAGCTCGGCCGCGACCGGCTTGATAGAGCACATGCCTAAACCCAGGCTAATGACAATAATGGTCGGATTGTCGTCCGTCACTCGGATTGGGTCGGTGTTGGCTCAACTTGCTTCCCCTGGGAATATCTGCCCCAAACAGAAGGTTTTACATACGGCGATTCCATCTTGTACCAGAAATAATCCGATGCCAGGTATCCGCCAGCAAGATAAACCACAAACTTGGCCTAATACATTGTCAAAAGTTGACCTTGAATATACCTGTGTTGACATACAATCTTGTTCGCCCGAGTGGGTTGCATTGTAGCTCCCCGTAGATTGGAGTCGAAATCTGTAGTTTCGGTAACTGATAGATAAGATGGCCAAAACAAGAGTAGATTCTTGTTTTGAGGATTGGTTGATGTGAGGTATGCCTGTGATCTCTTGCAGTGATTCGCTGTTGGAATGAGATACGCAGTGATTATGTAAGATAACGAGATGCCAAGCTTCCTCAAGGTCGCTTGTTTTTCACCACCCGCAAGTAAAGGAAAAAGAAAAATATCCACGCTCGTCATTGGTGTGACAGACAGGACATGCTGGGTGTCATCAAGCCAAAGCAAAAACAAAACGTACAGCAGCAGGGATTCCCACGTGGTCACCCACCGTAGTACTAATCTGCCGTTCAACTGCTTATGTATGGCAGAGCGGACGGGATGCCCAGTTTTCAGCTGACTGTGGCCGTACGTAAAAGATTCGCTAATTTTGTAAATTCTTTAGTTCCAAGAAAAGTACTGAAGTGATTAATTCCAAACTACGTGCCACCATCTTGGAGTCTATCCCCTCCTGCCCTGTACAAAACAACTCGCCTTATATGATACATCTAGACTCCCGCGCTCTCCTCCGCCGCTAGTAGCTGTCCCCAAGTTCGTGCACAACTGTTGGGTGTTTGCTTCTCTCTTTTGGGGAGAGATGTCCGCTCATTTCGTTGACTGGATTACCCCAGAGTTCGTGCGTGGAGTTGGTCTTTTCTGCTGCACCGTAGCTGTAGAGCGGAATCGCCTTCTCGCCTGCATCGTGAGTATGAGAGCTGCTGCTGTTGGCACCAAGGACTTTGTTCTTGCGCGATCGCACCCACAAGAACACGCCAAGGCATATAAGCAGCACAACTCCTGCAACGCTACCGACCACAGAGCCAACGATGGTGGACGTAGGGGTCTTCGATGCCGGCGAAGATGGCGAAACCGATGGAGCTGACCCTGAGGATTCTGATGGATTGACTGCTGTGTTGTTTGATGTCGTCGACGCGCAAGTCGAGTTGAAAACCTCGCCCTTTTCATTCACTGCCACTAAGTTCTCATCTAAGCTGTCCGTTGCCTGCCACAGAGTAAAGGTTCCGGCGTCTTCGTTGACCATAAGGTAAGCACCGCTGAGGAATTGTCGTCCAAGCTGAACCATGTCGTTGGCATTCAGGGATTGGAGGGGGATGATGTTCACTTCGTTGAGTGTGCTGTCGTAGTTGATGGAGCCATTCGAGAGGATGGTGGCGTCCGGTTGCACGACCTGCGAGTTTGCGATGGATATCGAGGGACCTGACTGAAACGATATACTCATGCCAAAGTCAAGNACTAGATGGTATGGTTAGCTAATATTCTAAGGCTCGGGGTTGTCATCAACTGACTCGTATTCGGACGAATAAGTTTCACCGTAAAAGTTGAGACCAAAAGAGTGTTTTTCAGGAACTTCCGAGATGCCCGCGACGAACTGTAGAGTTTGGTAATAGGGATCGCGTGGGAGTGTCATAAGAACAGGGTAATCCGGCATGATACACGCTCTCAGGAGACTTGAGGCAGAATCAAATAGATCGGCTTTGGTGCCGTTGGGAAAGGTAAGCGAGATATCAGTTATTGACACAACCATTCCAGAGATGCAATGACTGTCATAGATAAGCGGGAACGAGTAATTCTTCCCCGTGACTTTAGTGTTGTCGTAGCCTCCAAAGACGAATACTCCGTCGTTCTGTGTTTCGGGCGCTCCAGAGTTGCCCCAATACATCGACCAGGAACGAGATGCGATGATTCCAGCCTCCTTGAGCATACTCAGAAGAGTAGAGTTTGCTCCAAGGCCCAGAATGTGCTGGGTAAGATAGTCTCCAGCACTGGCACGGCGGATGCCAAAGGCCACCTTGGACGAGATGTTCGTTGTGAAATGGAACATATCAGTAGACCAAGCGTCTGAGGTGGCATTGACGAAAGTGTCAGAAGCATCGAACTCAGACGCGCTCATGCTTGATAGGGCTTCGTAACTTGTTGAACCGCTCGAGTCGAACAGACCACCCCGGTAGGTTGAGCATCCAGCCTGAGTAAGGCTCTTGCCGCATTGTCCTTGGTCGTCATAGACAAGCGTATTGTTCGATAGGCTGNNATGTTTGTCAGCAAGATAACGAGCGAGGTCTTAGTTAACGCACAAAGATGGCACCATAGCCAGAGCTTGTTCAGATGAGCCAACTCCAATCTGAACTCCGCGCATGCGTGTTCCGTTGGTGAGAGCTACGTTCGTGACCGGCATCGAGAATGGCTTTCCACAGTTTTCTGCGCCGACCGTCAAGATCATGAGAAAGAGTAACACAAGGGACGGGACTGCTCTCTGCCAGTAAGGCCATAGCAGCACTGCTGACTGGTTCATGTTGTCTGCTGACCTTTTTGCAGCAAAAATTCGGATGGTGAAGACGCGCAGGCAGGTACTTACATTTTGATCCAGGGCGCGAAGCGCTTAGCTTCAGCCATTCACCCAGCACGATGAGAAGAGTGTGCCAACAAGGGTGGTAATCTGCAAGATCAAATCCTTCGAAGTGCAGAGATAGCAGGTAAAATGCTCCCTCGCGGCTACAGGGATGTCCTGACTGTTCGATGGTGCGACCTTTGGCGCTATTGCTTGTGCATATGCGGCTGAAACAAGTCATGCTCGACAACCGGAATAGAAAGTTGTTCTAGGGAGCGGTCTTCGCTTGCCTTGTAGCATCTGCCTGAGGAGTAGATTCATCATACAAACCGTAGCTCTCTGCACTACATACCAGTGTATCTCTCCTATCGCTTGACCTTACTTGAGGGTCCGTCCGCCGAAAATCCGTGTCGCTCTCACAACGGGAAGCTCGAGGGCAAGGGACAAAAAGAAAAGAAAAGAAACCCTCTATACCAGCCTTCCGGGCAAGGCAGAAACAGTGATGGACCTCGCACCTACTGAGCGTTAATAGGGCCAAGCGGATATGACTCCCTAGATGTGCAAGATAGTAGTCGCATAGGATCTGGGTTGGATCAGCAAGCACCAGTTCGCTAGATAGTCAATGCCGTCAACTGTTGTTGTGAGCGCGCATGGCGTGATATGTACGTCGAGTGATTAACCGACAGTAAGGAACTCGTTAGAGAGAAAGATGTGATAAGGCAGACTTTGTTAGTCTATGCCAGCGCCTATCCTGGTGTCCAGCTTGGAACGACAGCGTGCAGCGGCTGTATGGAGTTGCAGAATCATCATAACCATCCTCTCCTTCTGTTGCGAAATAGCTAGAATTTCCAATTGTCGAATGGGCCAGAAATCCTGGAGATTACAGAATAGTCAACCCGAAATTGGCTTGAATTATGATAACTCCAGCACACAGGAGGTTCTGCGAAAGAGAGTCAAACTGGAATCGAGCGCATCATGCAGCCACAATGAACGATCTAAACAACAACTGATCCCCGCCGGACCGTAGCGTTGGAAGAAGCTATCAATCATTGCAGGATCAACCAATTTCCAGCAGGGGGAGAGCTGCAATGACCAACTCATGAGCCATGGACTTGACTGTCAGAGGAAAATTCTCTGAAGTCTGGATGACTATAGAGTATGGAGGACTATTGTTCGAGCAACCTTTGGTTTTCGAAGTAAGAAGTTGTCGTCGAGATTCCACTGATGGGGCGTAGAAGCATAGTTAGCCGCCGATGTGGGGCGGCACAGGTTCCCTGATTCAGGTTTAATATATCAGCACCAATGAAGATTAAGATTGTCTACTGCACGCCGCAGCAGTGCAGCACGCCTCAAACATGCGAAACTCATGGTGGTTCTCTGAGGCCGAGCTCTTCATGATGAACGGGTTGCCGAACATATTGCCCTTGGGGAGCAACCTGCGTTCCTGCCATATCGTCCAGCGTACCACCAGTATGAGGGCAGCGACTCGANTTTTTCCTGCCATCTTGATTTTAGCAGGCTTTTTCTTGATCAGAACATACCTGTATCGCTTGCCAATCGCGGACGCCTTCCATGGCTCCGACCTCAAGTCGCTCGTTAGTATCGGGGATACTATGTCAACAGAGGCGTCAACACAAGTCGACGAGGCTGTAGAACTGACCCCAGCATCTGCGCCAAACGATGGGCGCTTTCAAGCAACTGCTACTGCGCAAGACGTGGCCCCAGCTACCGAGACTGCAACAACAAGCAGTCCGAGCTCTCCTGATCAGATTGTTGTGATGGGTAAAACCAACAGCGAGGATACATCTTGGGTCGAAAAGCTTCCGACGTCGGTTTTCTCGGCAGCTTGCCTTTCCCGTGACGAGTTGCTGACACGGATCGCAGGTNGGCGCAACGCTGTGTACTCAGTCGACAACGATACTTGGTCTTTACACACTTCAAGGAATAAAGGGCGCGAGGCAAATGTCTATCTGACTTACCTTGTGGAGAATTACCAAAAGCTTCCATCAACCATTGCGTTTGTGCATCCTCATGAAGACGGTTACCCACGAGCATGGCACACAGATGCAGAAGGCTATTCGAATATCAAGAGCTTATCGTCTCTCAGGACCGATTTTGTTCAAAGCAATGGTTATGCTAATCTTCGCTGCATCGCCATACCGGGCTGTCCAGATGAAATCCAACCCTTTCGCGAGTCGCACGACGAGGAAGACCGAAGAGCAGAACACGCAATGGCGGACGCGTGGAAACAAATTTTCGGTAATGACGATGTGCCGAAAGTAATAGGCACTCCTTGCTGTGCCCAATTCGCTGTCTCACGAGACCAAGTCCACAAACGGCCCGTAGAGTTCTATGTCGATGCTCTGAAGTGGCTGCACGAGACACCACTTGATGATGCCACAAGTGGGCGTGTGTTCGAATATATGTGGCATATCATTTTTGGTCAGGAACCAATATAGTAAGTGGTTTTATGAAGTTTTGATGAAACATCAGCTAATCATCTTCTCTAATNNAGCTGTCCTGATTTGAGCCAATGTTATCACGATGTTTATGGAAGAGCTTAGCATATAAGGTCTAGTACGATATATAAGCCCCCAACGGCCATACGGATCAATCCCTTTAGGGAAGTTGATGGCATACATATTACTTGGAGGCCGTAATGAAAGTTCTAGCGCGCTCTGATCCATTACACGCGCAATTCGAGGTTCGAATGTGACATTTTCGTTCTGACGTTGATGGGGTCAAACTCTTGGCCTTGTTCTTGCTGCTGTTTCAATCCATCGAATAATATTACTTGAGTACTGTCGCACGTTGATTTACGGAAATACAAAGCTGTTGTAATGACTACATACCTTCTGTTCTGCACCGCAGATATTTCTANNCCAACATAGGTCACCGTGCAAGCACTCATCGATGGTGGACTCGCTGACGTTTTGGCCAAGACGATTACCAAGCTACTCGAACAGCCCGACACGAATTGCATCGTACTTGCAAAGGATCCATCTCAAGCCGACTTTGACCACTGGCGCACAAACCCACCGATCTTGCCTTTTGAGAATGGTTTTGTAGGTTGGGACGCTGCTCGAATCCAGCGTTATCTCGCAAAGGAGTTGCCAGAGGGCACAATGGATCCCATGACCAACATCACGAACGAGCAATTCGCTATTCTCGATGGGCAAAGCGAGGNNAGGCAGAGACTGTGGTGATCTATCAACTATTGCAAACGAGCCTTACAGAAGAACCCAGTTCTGATCCAGAGGAAGACACTGAAGATGACGAGAGTGAGGAAGAGGTGTGGTGGCATTGGACTGTTAGATTCCAGGATGTAGATGAATTGCTGGGAAGCCTTGAGACAGTGGATGCGTTGCCGACATGTTGCGATCAAAGATTTGTTGGTCAAGATGGAATTTTTATGTCGAGAGAGCCAGAAAAGCGTTCGTTGATGGTGCAAAGTCCATTTGATATTGTCTCTGTCGTCTGATCTTGATAGTGCAGATGCATATCTCTAGCAGCTATGCAAGGTCACCTGAGTTATGCTCCATGACATAGTTCAATAGCTCTACTTGGAGCTTGGACCTCTTCCTACCGAAGATAGGACATCTGCAAGGCTATCTCCAACCACCTCTGCAGAGATGGCAATCGAGAATGTGATGATCGAGACCGATCAAGTTGTGAACTTTGCTGTTTGCTGCACCACAAATATGACAGTCCAGGTACCCAACGTCCTCTAATCTGGAAGCGAATGCGGCATTAATCATCCGGCGTTCAAAAGGNCTATCAACCATTTCCTTGCTCAAGTACAACAAAAAGAGCTCGAAGAGTCATCCGTCAACATCTTGACTCTGGTCCACAGTCTTGAATCACAGCTCTGGGGTCCTACAAAAGAACTTCGAGGAGACGACACGGTTTTGCAAAGCCCATTCACTGGTTGTACATTGCTCCGCATCCATCAACTGCTGCTAGATATGGAGAAAGCTACAGAGTCCAAACTGCATACCGACTGGTTCCTGGTGCTGGATGAAAGATCAGAGCAGAGTTCCAGCGCTGTTATAGTCAATGTCGAAGGTGAAGACGTACGCTCAGCTCGTGTGGCTTATCCTGTGGCATCGAGATATTTGTCGGCAGCTAGTATTGCTCATCCGTCACTCGATGAGATGATTGAGATTGCAGATTGGAAGCATGGTGGGGTGATTCAAGATTGAGTAGAAAGCTGTCAGGTTTGCCTCTGGAGGGAAGACTTGGATTGCCGATCAGGCATCGACGTGATTACTCCCGTTCTGTCAGAGTCGACAATCCCCCGATGATGCTGCCTATAAGAGGGCCGAGCGTCAAGAGAACACCAGTAGCTTTCTGGGCTTCCGAGGGTCGCGAATATCGGGGCGTCACGCTCGCTCCAAAAACGACAAAAGACAAGATGGCGCAAGACGCAGTTCTGAGAGCATGGTACATGAAATCTGGCCTGCGCCAGAGTTTCTTCTCGTCGCTGGTCGCGGTGGTTGTCTGGTATATGGTGTTGCGTATGTCAGTCGCGCCTTGCACGTAGATGTAGACGAGGATGCCGACGGCACCCATGGAGAAGTTAAAGCTGCCCGTGTGGGCTCTCGCAACATTTGAGTTTGCGGCGGCTACATAGAGGAAGGCCATCGGGGATATGGGTTTCAAAGCATCCATTATTGATGATTGTGGTAGATAAGCACTGAGGGTGGAGAAGTCAAGAAAGTTTGTTTGCTGAAACCTGTTATAATCGTTTGTTCTGAACGTCTGTCCTGCCTTGCTTTGTTGGGAATGTAACAGCAAGCAAGCGCGACCAAGACTTTTGGCAGGCTACTGTAGCTAGCTTGAGCTCCCACCGTCGGATAGGAGATGATGCGAACATCCGACAGCGTTCCGTGCCAGCGATGATCTGCTTCATCTATCATCTACAGGTTCTGCTTTGTAATCTTTGTTTTCGTTGACGAAATCTAGATCTTATAAACCGCCCCTATCTAGTAATTAGGACAGACAGTCAAAGAAACGATCTTTGACCATCAACTGCACTTTCATACCTCTTGACTTCTCCGAAAGATCTCTCTCACAAAACAACAAAATTTACATATCAAGATGGCACCCATCGGCGTCGGAATCATTGGGCTTTCAGCCGCAGGATGGTCATGGGGAGTATCTGCACATCTCCCATACCTCAAAGACTCGTCGAAATACAAGATCACTGGAATCTGCAACTCAACGGCCGAGTCCTCGCAGAAAGCAGTCGATGCCCATGCACTCACAGACGCCAAAGCCTATGGCTCAGTCGCAGCCATGGCAGCAAGCTCTGACGTAGATCTTGTCGTCTGTTGTGTTCGAGTTGACCGCCACTACGAAGCCATCAAACCCGCCATTGAAGCTGGGAAAGACTGTTTCGTTGAATGGCCACTGGCTTCAAACTCTGAGCAAGCTACAGAATTGTTGCAGCTTGCTGAGCGCAAGGGTGTCAAGACTATGATTGGCTTGCAGAGTCATATGAGCCCTGCTATCAGCCGCATCAAGGAGATTATCGAGAAGGACAAATCCATCGGTCGTATTGTCAGCTCCAACGTCACCTTTGCTGGCATGCTAGGCGGCAGGGATACTACCGAGGCGATTGAATATCTCAACTGTGCCGAGATTGGTGGTAATATGCTGGTCATTCCTTTTGGCCACTTGTACGATGCTATTAGCTACACTCTCGGCGAACTTCAAGAAGTTTCTTCGACGCTGTCTATTCAGCATCCAGATGTTCCCGTCAAATCCAGCGATGGCTCGCAAGTATTGAGGACAATCAAACGTACTGCTGCCGATCACATCACCATGTCCGGTCTCCTTGCCAACGGAGCACAGTCCTCAGCAGTGGTAACAGGTGGTCAGCCCTTCATGGGTGAGCCAGCCATGCTATGGAGAATCGAAGGCGACAAGGGCGTCATCGAAGTCCGTGGCCAAGAAGCCTTTGCTCTTAGCATGTCGCTAGACGTCAAGATCAAAATGCAACTATTCGAGACTGGCGAGGTTCAGGAAGTCGAGTTTACGGAAGATAAACCTGGTCCTCCTGGTAATGTTGGAAGACTTTATGAGGCTTTTGCTGATGGTCAGTATTATCCTGATTGGAAGTGGGCTGTCAAGCGTCATGCATGGGTGGATGCTCTTTACAAGAGTAATGAGACAGGAAAGCGTGCATCTTACGTTTGATGCTGGAAACTGCAGCGATGGTTCCAAGTCGACAAGAGTACGAGCACGACAACATTGAGTCAAACCCAAAATCAAACATCTTATGTTTCTGGCTTCTTCTATCGAATGCTCTGCTCTTGAAATTCAACACCGCAGCAATCTCCCAGAGTGAACTTCGCGATTAAATCACCAGCCAACATAATCATCCCTGTCGTCATCTCATAAGCATGTCTTCGTAAGTTAGACCATTCAGAGGTTGCCAAAATCACCATCGTAAGTGCTGCCACAGGCAACAATACCAGTGCAGTTGGTACCTTTACGAGCCATGATAAGCTCCTCCCAATAGCTCACACCTTCAGCACGAACAAGATCAGGCAAAGAGACTGAAGTAGTGTTCTGCTGGAAGTAGTAATACTCAGGCTCATCTGGATCGACAGCTACCCAAGGCTCTGCAGGCACNTGCAAGTTCATCAGCGAAGAAGGTCATTTCGAAAATGGAATAAGTTACTTACCGCCAAGATGCATGTTCGGGTCACCGTAGTTGACAAAGCTGACCCACATACGGCACATTTGCTTTGCGAGAGTGACGAGCGATTCACGCGCGGGTCCGCCCAAGGGGTTCGGATTGCCGTTTTGAGGATAGCCAAGACCTTCGGTGTTGTAGAAGACAAAAGCTACTTCTTGGAAGTGGACCGCTCCTGCAGTGTATGGTAGGCCATTGACAAGAGCGTTGAATATGCTGCAAGCAATGTCAGTGAAAGTGTTCAGGGACGCAAGGCCAAGCTGTGGAACTTACTACGTGTATGACTTTGCACCGTGTCTTGCCCACCAGTGGGATGTCAGACGTCTTGCAGCATTCATGCTCATATCTTGGCCAATAGCGGCAGCACGCTTGAACTGGAGTCCGATGGTGGCATTGGGACGACCGTGAAGGGTGCTAGGTACACCAAGATCCGGGATATCAGGGTAGAGGATTGCGATGTCGTGGGCTGTAGCATTGTCGTAACCTGATCTAACGATGTAGTCGAGAACTTGCTGAGTTGTGTTGAGACCTCCTGGTCCAAATCCAACACCCTCAGCCTCATTGACGCCGATAATGTATGGGACCTTGAGAAAGTCGCCCTTGGCAAGAGCTTGCGAGGCAGTCTGCGTAAACCAGTCTCCATCAACAACAGGACCATAGCGAGCTCCTCTCGTGACCGTAGAGTTGATGACAGAGTTGAGCTGATCGGTAGGGACTTTGCGGAGACAATCAAGCACAGAACCAGTGCCGTTGCATCCTGTAGCTCTGCTGATGTTGGCAATGACGGGCTCCCAGTCGGCAACATGGAAGTCTGGTTGAGGCCCAACAGGAGCTCCTGATTCAGCGATGGCTCCATGGAAGAGACTATCATCCCTTCCGTTGTATGCTAGCAGTTGAGCACCGACACTGGTACCCCCTGAAGATTCGCCTTGGATAGTGACACGACCTGGGTCGCCTCCAAAGGCAGCAATGTTCTCCTGCACCCATCTCAGAGCAAGACGCTGGTCTCTGAAGCCATTCATGGTGTTACCCGAGTCCTGAATTTCCTTTCCATAGAGGAAACCCCATGATGACAGTCTGTAGTTGATGCTGACAGCAATGATGGGAATGCCAGCTTCAACAGACTGCTGAACGATGAAAGATTGGTTGTAGCGATGATCTGCACTGCCACCCATCACAAGGCCACCTCCATGAATCCAGACAAGGACCGGAAGCTTCTCGCACGAACCGGCTGGCTTGATGACATTCAAGGTCAGACAGTCTTCACTGACGTAGTTGCCTTGACTCCAAGTATCTCTGCCATAGCCAATACACTCCGGGCTGTATTGAGTAGCATTCTTGGTTCCAGTCCAGGTAGTGTTGAGCGATTGAGGGACGCGGAAACGCAGATCTCCGACAGGAGGTTGACTGTATGGCATGCCGAGGAAGTTATCGGTGCCATAGGCGGCCGCATAATAGCCTGTGTAGGTGCCATTCTTGACGTGTGCGGTAGGTACAGAACCTCCGTTGTTCGGCCAGTGATTGTCAGATCGCTTGGTGACAGCTGCATATGCAGCATTGAAGAGCACGAAGCTGCTCGCGAGAGCTTTGATGTTGACCATTCTTGGATGTCAGAAGATATAGACTCTCGATTAAATCCAGTTTGTGCAACCAGCGACAGCTCCATACTTATAGCTTTCGTTTCTCGACGTATACCTGACCAAGATACAACCCCGCCTTCTATATGATGATCTCGTGGTGCTCATTGTATGGAGCTGCCCCGCTTCTGGAGTGATTTGTGAGGCTTTGCCGTGGATAGGTAGTAGCCAGCAACGGCAGAGACTGACAACCTACATCAAAGTCGATCTTCAAGTAACTGCCGTTCTGCTTCTCTCGAAAGACCTGCGATGTATAGCTGCATGACAAGGAAGGTCCGACTCATGACGGGCATTCGGGGCCGAAACCCCGCCTTCAACCCCGCAAAAAAGATGCACTCCACATACTCTGCAGATCAAGAGATGGCAGGTACCTTGTTGGGGAAGGTTTATATAGAGCTTCTCAGTGTGACGCTGCGAGATCATCAGTGAAGAAGCAGAACATATGCCCGGCTAAATAGTGTCGGCCGTCGTCGGCCGTGCCTGCCATGCGAGACTGAAGATTTCTTGCCAGCACAGCACAACAGGACAACTCCACACCAGGGCGGGGAGGAATGCGAGAAGTGAAAGACTGCGTCTAAGGCGGCTGGTGGTTCATGTGACTGCGGAGCCTACCCAGCCTTCGATGTCACTTCCTTCAGCCATCCCCAAAATCTCCTTCTCCTCGAAATCTTTGGCACCTCTGAACTAGATCTGTATATTTAGATGGGTTCGGATTCGTTTGAGTCTCTGCTTAATTGCCTTGAAGAAGGTTGTATTGGTCTCGGTATGGCGAGGACTAATTCGAGGTTGTCAATATTACTTGCACTGCTTTCATAGGACCATCGGGCACTATGTTGGTCAACAGAGCCCACTGGCCAAGAGCCCTCTACCACGAATCTCCAGGTGTCAAGGATGATTCCAAGAACTCCACCCGAATGCTTATGAACCGTCCATTTGTACTTGGTCATACAGCTACCACATCTGCGTAATTTCGAAGGCTCGTTGCAAGCCTCATTCATTATGAGTCCAGGTATCTCGGGAATTCTCATTCTTAACATCGAGGGCTTGGTGTTGCGTGCCACATCGTCCTGGAAATGCTCGCAGTGGGGAAGGCTATATATTGCTCTTCAAGCTAACAAGTAGTTGGTCTGAACTTGTTCCTCCAGATGGATCGTACACTTCAGAGCGTATAACAAATGCTGACAAGCATGCGTCATTAGCTTCCCTTCCACGATCTTCGGCTCGATGCTGGATCTTGTCCGCCATGTTGCTGGCTGTATTTCGTTCGTGNNTCGTGAAAAGTCTTCCTTCCAATCCGTGCGCAGTGCGATACAGGCCAGGTTCTTGTCCTGATTGGCACCTTGTGTATGGCAATCCATGGCAGCTCTTATACACCACCAAGGCAAGACCTTGTTAGGGATCACCTGTATTCCCGCTCGTGATCGTGGTGTTGTTCTTATGCAAGCTCCATAGTCAAACCACCCGCTCGATGGTTTATCTTTGGCGTGAAAACTGAAGCACTTGCCGCACAACGATTGGTTTGGGAGATCCATCCATATCAGCTTGAAAAGCCCGAGCATTTCTTCANNGACTCCACATCCCATAAGTCGATGTGCCGTCCTGAACAGTGTGGGANNGTTCAAGAGGCCAGAGGTCCAAATCCATCGCAAGCGTTCGATCTGGTATAGGTTGCGACATGTCAACGAGAGGCAAGCGATCTCTCTGAGACGTAGGTGATCTGCTATGTTATAGAACAACTCAACAGGCAGTTTACTCAAGACACCAGTCTGTAATCTTGTTGAGCTGTTTTTGTAGACGACTTGTTTCGTGAGCTGCATGTCCGGTACTTCTTGGAGGTTGGTTAAATTTCCACGTCCTGATGATTCTGGACACGGCATAGTACTGGTAATGGCAGGAGGAAGCGCAAAACGCTGGCGACTCAACTCGATATCCAGATATCTTAAGAGGTAAGGCGTAGCAAGATATCTCGACATCTAAGAGTACTGGAGTTTTATATATGTCGATTCGTCTCTTCGCGAGTGTTGCGTTGTATTGACTCACAAGATGAACAAAAGCTTGAGAACACGATTCATACATTCGGGATCAGAGAATCTCTCTCGTACGCACGCTGTGACATTCAAATATGGTTGTCGAGGCATCGTCAGCAAGTGATTGGCCCCAAGGCTTCCACGATAGTAGCTGAGTTCGGTGTCTGATGGATTGTTTCGTGCGTGTAAACGCAAACTTGCTCGATATGTCTCTTTCATAGTGGCCAGGTGCGTTCAGGATCGGTGATTTTCTAGCTCAGTGGTCTTTCCAGTAATGCCTCCATTCCTTGGCCTGATGCTATGAAGAGAGGGCGCGAAGAAGGGTTCTTCCCTTTTCCAGACCATTGACAATGGATGAACCAAGTTGAGCATGTTCAAGCTCTCTTGCTTCCCTGAGATGAAAACTTGCGGTCTACTACAAGATGACTTGTTTTGGTATGTCTGTATCAGCGTTAGAGCAACTTTACATTACTCGTAGGCCCGTCGGCGGATGTTTCAGAGCCCTTGATGGTAAGACGAAGGACAAAGACTACATGCATGTAAGTAACTGCGCTGAGTGCCTTGTGTCGTTCCGCATCCTTGAACCGGAGCAAGTCATCGCGGAGTGTGGTTCTCCGTCTGATTTCTCGAAAAAAACACAACAACTCCAGCTCCGTGTCGGAATAGGAAGGCATGTCGTCGAAGCGAGCTTCGGCCCTGCTGAAAACACCTGCAAATTCGTCTTGGCGCGTTTCGAACCTTTTTCTCCACCACTTTCCAGCCCTCGCTTCTCAACCGACGCGACACTGGACTACATGTCATCAACTTTCAGATGGAGAGGTCACGCCCATCTTCGATAGCCTATGCAGCCATACGGCCGGACACATGCGACCCCTCGCAATAGTATGCGTTCTTCCACGAGTCACGAAAGAGAGAATTTCGCCTCGGCTTGATTTGCTTGACTGCAGTTCAATTCTTGCATGTCGCTTCATCTTGACTTGGGAATCTCCTCACGACTATCAATGCGAAACACGACTGTCCAGGCAATTAGGGCTTCGCGAAGATGAATTTTATGGTCACGATGGTCTATCATTGCATATACATACAGTAGGTACTGCGAGCTTCTAGACTTTCCCCTCCAACATTACCCTCGCCTGCAGTGTGAGGCGTCAGTATTTATATAAGCTGGTTCCATCCTTACCTTGATTCCTTGCTTGTCTCCATCGCAGGATCTACCCTTCTCTTCCAGTACAAGTCTCAGCCATGAGATACTCTCTTACCTTGGCAGCTTTAGCAGCCGCTGGAGGTGCCTTTGCGCAATCACCAGTCTCAGCGTATGGACAGTGTGGCGGTCAAGGCTATACTGGATCCTCTGTCTGCGTATCTGGCTTTTATTGCAACAAGACCAATGATTGGTACTCGCAGTGTGTTCCAGGCTCAGGATCAAGCGTTCCAACCACTGTCAAGACCTCGATCTCTTCTTCCTCGACCACTGTTGTAACCAAGCCACCCGTCACTACATCCAAGACTATCTCGACATCCAAAGCCGTGACTACGACTGCAGCAGCCAGCGGCTCTTTCTCAACAACCTCTGGCACAAAGTTCGTTATCGACGGCAAGCCAGGCTACTACGCAGGCACGAACTCATACTGGATTGGTTTCCTGACCAACAACGATGACATTGACCTTGTCATGCAACATCTCGCCAGCTCAGGCTTGAAGATCCTCCGCGTCTGGGNNGGGTTCAACGACGTGGCTACAACCCCCACCGACGGAACAGTCTATTTCCAGTCCTTTGCCAACGGACAACCAACCATCAACACCGGTGCCAATGGTCTACAACGCCTCGATTACGTAGTCAAGAGCGCTGAAGCTCATGGCATCAAGTTAATCATCAATTTTGTAAACAACTGGACCGATTATGGTGGCATGGCAGCTTATTTCAAATACGCTGGCATCACGTCAAACACCNAATGGTACAACAGCACCATCGCTCAAACCCAGTATCAAAAGTACATCAAGGCAGTCGTGTCGCGCTACATTTCCAGCCCGGCCATCTTTGCCTGGGAACTTGCCAATGAGCCTCGCTGTACAGGCTGTGATTTGTCTACTCTCAAGACATGGGTCATCAACACTTCCAAGTACATCAAGAGTCTAGATGCCAAACACATGGTCACCACCGGTGAAGAAGGTTTCGGACCCATTGCTGGCGATGACGGCAGTTACCCATATCAACTCTCTGCCGGTGGAAGCAACTTCACTGCAAACTGTGAGGTTTCCACGATTGACTTCTGCACATATCACTTGTATCCCGAGTCTTGGTCTGTAACGCCCACGCTGGAATGGGGCACTCAGTGGATCAATGCTCATGCAAAGGCTTGTTCGGCAGTCGGCAAACCATGCTTGCTAGAGGAGTTTGGTGCAAGCAACAACTGCACGATTGAGAGTAGTTGGCAAGCTACTGCATTGGCGGCTGCTGGTACGGGAGGAGATCTTTTCTGGCAGTATGGTGACACGTTGAGCTTCGGAAAGACGTCTCAGGATGGAAACACTGCTTACTACGGCGATGAGCTTTATACTTGTCTGGTTGACAAACATATCAAGGCTATTGATAGCTTGTAGGTTGTGGTGCCCGCTACGAGAAGCTTGACATGTTCTTGTTGGTCTCTATGGATTTGACACACGACGCAACTCTCTCCGGCAAATAACACAAATCTTTAACAGACATTCTTATTGTTCATTTCTCGTTCAGAAGTTCTCTTTGAAAAGCACAGAGACACATTTTTATAGCTTCTGAATTCTCTATCGAGACCCTAATTTTTTTTCAATTTTTTGTTTTCTTCAAATCCCCTCTTGGGGCCAACATCAGTCATTGACTTCCATACAAAACAGCTATTCGACAAGGTGTAGAACGTCTACAGAAGGTTCAGGTCACGATTCAGGAAGCTCGAGGTCTGTTCTAAGGTTGTCACAGAAACTTGGACGGCAGACTCGGATCAGATAAGATTCGATGTGAATCTTGGAAGTAAAGGCTACGTCACGAGTGACCCGAGCAAGCCGCCCATTTTCGCGTCGACCTTGGACGGTTTGTTTCGCGATCTCAACATATTATTCATTGACTCGTCATCTGTATTCGACGGCCTTTGAATAGGCATGCTCGACTTGTGTTAGACTGTTCCAATTCATCATTCATTGTCCTCCATCACACCCTTTCTACTGGTCCCTTCACGCATCACGCCCAAGATGCAGCCGCTTCGCCAATTGAGCGGTCGGACTGGGATGCAATTGCGCCGCTCCATCACTCAGGCATGTCGCTCGCAACAGTTTACTCGCTCTCTGGTCAATGGTCCAGTGCGTCGTGGACTGTTTCAGCGCATGCCGGCGCCAGCATCCCTTTCAACACCCGCCATCATTCGCCAATTGAACCACGTCCGTCGCCAAAGCACAAACACCGACCCTCCGCCAAAGTCTCCCGCCGCTTCTCCTGTACAAAGATCCCGCCTCCTTCGTTTCCTCTGGCGAGGCTTCACCTTCCTTGGCATCTTCGTTGTCGTCTCTGGTGTCTTTGTTGTCGCCTTCTTCGCCTTTGATGCAACCACATACAAGGAAGAATCCGATACTGTCGATATTACTGTTTCTGAACTCGCCCTGAATCCCAGAAGAGGAGGCCCCAAGAACCTTCCCATCGCTGAACACCTCATCGACGATGACGACTCTCCGGGAAAGAAGGCTCAAAAGCACAAGCCCAAGCTGGTCATTCTCGGTACTGGTTGGGGCAGTGTTGCTCTTCTCAAGCAGCTCAACCCTGATGACTACCATGTCACTGTTGTCTCTCCGTCCAACTACTTCTTGTTCACTCCTATGCTTCCCTCTGCCACTGTCGGTACTCTTGAACTGAGATCGCTTGTCGAGCCTGTTCGTAGAATCATCTCTCGCGTCAAGGGTCATTTCCTCAAGGCTACTGCTGAAGATGTCGAGTGAGTTGATTCAAATCCTTGTTTTCACTCGCGCTAACCAATATCTAGCTTCTCCAACAAACTCGTCGAAGTATCTGCAACCAACCCGGATGGTTCCAAGCAAAACTTCTACCTCCCCTACGATAAGCTCGTCATCGGTGTTGGCTCCATGACCAACCCTCATGGTGTCAAGGGTCTCGAATACTGCAACTTCCTCAAGGATATCACCGATGCTCGTCTGATCCGCAATCAAATCGTTCGCAACCTCGAAGCCGCTTCTCTCCCTTCCACACCTGATGAAGAGAGACGTCGTCTGCTTTCTTTTGTCGTCTGCGGAGGTGGTCCTACTGGTGTCGAATTCGCTGCCGAACTGTTCGACATGCTCAACGAAGATCTGTGCAACTACTATCCTCGCATTCTGAGAAACGAGATTTCAGTCCACGTCATTCAGAGCAGAGGTCACATTCTCAATACCTACGACGAAACCCTTTCCAAATACGCCGAGGCTCGCTTCGCAAAGGACTCTGTTGATATCCTGACCAACTCGCGTGTCAAGGAGGTCCAAAAGGACAAGATTCTCTTCACACAAAAGGATGAGAATGGCAAAACCATTACCAAGGAAATCCCCATGGGCTTCTGCTTGTGGTCGACTGGTGTCGCTCAGACAGAATTCTCAAAGAAGCTGGCCGACAAGCTTGGTGAGAACCAGACCAACCGTCACGCTCTCGAAACCGACACTCATCTCCGTCTTGTTGGTGCCCCGCTCGGCGACGTGTATGCCATTGGCGACTGCTCAACCGTTCAGAACAACGTCTCGGATCATATTGTATCATTCTTGCGTACCGTTGCTTGGGAGAAGGGCAAGGACCCCGAGAAAATGATCATCGGTTATGGTGACTGGAGAGGTGTCGCCAAGCGTGTCAAGCAGCGCTTCCCTCAAGCCACCGAGCACTTGAAGCGTCTGGATAAGCTTTTCGAACAGTACGACAAGGACAAGAGTGGTACCCTGGATTTCAGCGAATTGCAGGAATTGCTCAAGCAGATTGACGGCAAGATGACCTCTCTGCCCGCAACAGCACAGCGTGCCAATCAGCAGGGTATCTACTTGGGTCGCAAGTTCAACAAGCTCGCTCAAGCCGCTCCCGGCATGGAGCTGAACAGACTTGATTATGGTGATATCGATGATGCTGTCTACAAGGCCTTTTCATACACCAACATGGGCAGTCTGGCTTATGTTGGTAATGCTGCCATTTTCGACTTTGGTGGCATGAACTTTGCTGGCGGTCTGGTAGCAGTGTACCTTTGGCGTGCAGTTTACTTCTCACAGAGTGTCAGTCTCCGTACGAGAATTCTCCTTGCCATGGATTGGACCAAGAGAGCGCTATTCGGCAGAGGTAAGCAAAGAATGACATTCTCCAAGCAGATGAACAAGATACTAACATGAAACAGATCTTATGAACTTCTAGAGCAGACACATAGATAGCGTCGGCGCTCATATAATCGATCATACATTTATGCAACTCACTTCCAACACCACTTGTCACTCGTGTCAGTATTCCATGCGGACAAACAGAAGCCCGCTCTCGGTCGGTCGGCAAAGGACGGGGCGAGTGGAGCATGGACGCAGCCGAAGCTCCACCTTCCTGAAGCTCGCCATCGCCGACCAGTATTGCGATAACAGCATACCTTCTTTCTTTCTTTCCNATCTCGTCTTGTCGTTTCACGTCCTCTAGATCTGGTTGTCTCGCATGTCCCTCCGCTGTCTCGCTCAACCTCTACGAACCATCCATTCCTTCCTATCGTCGACACGTCCGTCCCTCGCATACCCCGCATCTGTCAATAACCTCCGCACCATGTCCTCAGCAATCAGCAAGCGCCTCGAAGGCAAGACCATTGTCATTACCGGCGCCTCGTCTGGCATTGGCAAGAGCACTGCTCTGGAGTTTGCTCGCACCGCCCCTAAAAACCTCAAGTTGGTCGTTACCGCACGTCGTCTCGAAGCGCTTGAGCAATTGAAAGAGCAGATCAACAAAGAAGTCGGCGAAGGTGTCAAAGTGCTGCCCGTCAAGCTCGACGTCAGTAACCCAGAACAAGTCCGCGGCTTTGTCGCAAACCTGCCAGAAGAATTCAGGGACATCAATGTCTTGGTGAATAATGCAGGCTTGGTCAAGGGTGTTGCTAAGGCACCCGAAATTGCCGAGCAAGACATGAATGTCATGTTTGCTACCAATGTCACCGGTCTCATCAACATGACCCAAGCCATTTTACCCATCTTCCTTGCTCGCAGCAGCGAAGATCTCCCTGGCACCGGCGACATCATCAACATTGGCAGTATCGCCGGCCGCGAGCCCTATCCCAACGGCAGCATCTACTGCGCCACCAAAGCCGCTGTACGCAGCTTTACCGAGTCCCTTCGCAAAGAGTTGATCTCTACTCGCATCCGTGTTATCGAGATTGATCCTGGTCAAGTCGAGACTGAGTTCTCGGTGGTGAGGTTTTATGGCGATAAGAGCAAGGCTGATAAGGTGTATGAGGGGTGTGAGCCTTTGACACCAGAGGATATTGCAGAGGTGGTGGTGTTTGCGGCGGGGAGGAGGGAGAATGTTGTGCTTGCTGATACCTTGGTGTATCCGAATCATCAGGTGTGTATTACTCTTTTCTTTCTTTCCCTTCTTACCCTCTCCTTGCCCTTCGGTTTTGTTTTGCAATCGCTGATTGTTTTTTTGCACAAAAAGGCTGCTGCTACGGTTATGCACAGAAAGACCTAAGATGGAACATTTCACCACTGCGCAACTTTGGATATATGGTCTGACATGAGAGATGTATAGGCTGGTGCTGGAGGAAGCAATTCGTTCAAACGCTCACCTCCTCAACCCAAGATCTAGAAGTGGATGCGCAAGCTCTAGAGTTCCTTGAGATAGGAGACACCGTGTCACAAACCTCGTATCCATTCCAATCGACAATCGTCATCTGTTCATCTGCTCCTAAGCACAGATTCTCATGAACCGAAGCTACTAAGTATCGACAAACTGGTAGTATTGCTCCTGATATAGCACTCTGTAGCAGAATACATGACCATCCAGACGTTGTCATTCCTGTGTCGCTCCACAAATGTTGCGGAAATTGGTATCAGGATCGATTTCTGTCTACTGAATGAATTCTTTATCAATTCGACCATGGTAATATCACGTGTATGTCCTCCACACACTTTTTGCGTCCGACCTCTACCTCCACTGATGAGTATACTAATAATCCAGAGCTCAATGCCAGCGTCAGAATCGTTGATATATGATAGACAGGGTGACCCCACAAACACGGATTTAGCGGAGACAAGCGAAAAAGCGTCACAGCTTTCACATGTCAATCTTCCACCAGCGCTGACATTTTTCTTTCACTTCGACCATACCTATTTCTTTCTGTCAACAGTTCAAAATAATCATGACAGACGCATCAACACCCCTCACAGCACTCTGCAACATCTGCCACAGCGCACCACCCAAATACACCTGTCCCCGCGACGCCGTCCGCACCTGCAGTCTCGCCTGCTCCCAAAGCCACAAACGCCGCGCCGCCTGCAGCGGCATCCGCGACNCAGCCGCCTACATCCCCAAGTCCTCTCTTCAAACCGCTGGCGGAATCGACCGCGACTACAATTTTCTCAGCGGGGTGGAACGCAACATCTCTCGCGCCGACAAAGAGACTAGTGAACGTGGAGTTTCTCTGGACGGAAAAGGCAAAGCGATTTTCCAGAAACGATGGCATGATAATGGTGCTTTGGGAAAGTATTTGCGGGAGAATGGGGTTGTGGTGCATAAAGCGCCGGTAGGGATGGCGAGGCAAAAGGCCAATCAGACGAGGTTTATTGCGAAGAGCAAGAGGATTGTGTGGAGTGTGGAATGGATTGTTGAGGGTGAAAAGAGGGTCGTTGAGGTGGATGAGAGTAGGAGTATTGAGGAGGCTTGGAAGGAGTTGGTACTTGAGAAGGAGAGGGAGACCAAGAAGAGAAAGAGGACACAGGAAGATGCAGGAGCAAAGCCGCAGAAGCAGAAGGTGCAACCAGACGCCGACGAGTCAAAAACACAAGTTGCGGAAGGTGCGACAACGGAACTGGAGACAGAAGGAGCAACGACGAACGACACTACAATCGCTCCTTCCACCCGCGAAACCACAACACAAGACGCACCTTCACAGCAGGAACAACCATCCGAGACCGCCACATCAACACAACAAACCACCCACTTCTACCTCCACAAACCACACACCTCATCAACAAACACCGTCCTCATCNCCCTCACCTCAACAACAACAACATTAACACACGCCCTCCATAAAAAACACGTCCTCGAATTTCCCACAATATACGCCTTTCCCTCTACCACCGAAGAAACAACAAATCCTCTACCCAAAGGCTTTATAACCCTCGATCAATACAATATCGAAAGATCAGCAGAGGATAAAGAGTTGATTGGATTAATGGAGTCAATACCAGAAGGCCAGAGGAAGATTGCCTTGAGTGGAGGTATCTTTGGTGGTGATGAAGAGAAAGAAGAGACGGTGGATGAGAAACAGATTTTAGAGGTGTTGCAACGGGATGCTGATGCGCTAAAGTAGTGTTTTAGTGGCAGGTCTGCAGTGCATGATACTTCTGCCACAAGGCAAGTATTGATACTGTGAGAGAATCGTGGCTCGGACAACCTCTCTTCCACTGTCATGGTTACTTGTCATGCTGCAAGCTATGGAGATGCATAAATCTAATTGTGATTCGAAACTAGACTTTGATTGATCTCCATTCGATCTGGCGGCTTGAAAAAGCCCTGCCAATTTGACTACATTGACCTAGTAATACTGCAACCTCTGCTTTGTCCACCCAGGTCTGAGATAGCTCGAATCGAAGCCAACATCGAACCCTGAAGAGTGCACTCCAAGCACACTAACACTAACAGACACGCTCGCTTCAACGTTATCCTGAGACCAAATCGACAACCCAATAGTGTTGTTACCATGGTAATCCAAGATACCAGGGAAAACCGGGAACTCAACTTGATTGCCGATATAAGGAACAAACTTGCCAAATTGATATCCATTGACGTATAGCTGGGCTCTCAGCTTCGAGCTCTTGGCTGCGTGGAGATTGAAAGCGAGCGAGATATCATGACCCTTGGGAAGGTTCAGAGGAAGAACGGTGCGGTAAAAGTTGGCGCCTGCAGTGTTGAGACCAGTAGATGGCGAGCTGGAAGTCCACTTGCTGTCGTCGAAGCCGGGAAGATGCCAGCCCAGACGCTCGGCATGTAGACCACCTTCATTGTAGGGTCCACGGACAGGGTCGATGTTTGCGCCACCACCAGCCTTGCCTGCTACCTTCCAAGAAGTGAACTTTGCACCATCGGCAAGGGTGGCATTGAGGATACCGCGAGGGTTGATAGCACCAGTAGTCTGATCTTTGCCCATATGGTCCTGGATGATGAATAAAACGTTCTCTCCACTCTTGACAGCATCACCAAACTTGAGTGTTTGGTTGGTCTGTGAAAGCTTGATATCACCGAAAGTCGAACCCACGAATTTACCGTTTAGCCAAGCTGACCAACCACTACCGGTGCCGCCAATGACATTCAAGAAAACACCACTGCTTGTTCCGTTGAAGCGTCCACGCCAGAGGATGTTGCCACCGTGGAAACCATACTCATCGGCATAGAGGATATGATCTGTTGCAGGTTTATTCCAGTGGGGAGTGGTGGTGTGGTTGGCATCAACCCATCTCGAGTCATCGTAGTCAGCCTCACGCTCAGGAAGACCATCGGCGACCTTCCACTGAGACAGCGCAGGAAGGGAAGCGGTCAGTGAATTTACAGTAACTTCGTCCTCGGAAAGCTCGGCCTTGAGACTGCCATAGCCGGAAGCTTTGACAGAGACGCACTCGCCGTTAAAAGTCACCTTCTTGACACCCGCAGCAAAGACTTCAAGAGGAGTGGTTCCGTTGTAGTCACCGACCAGAGCAAGAGTTTCACCCTCGACAATAGCAGTGCGGACGAGGTATGGTCCAGTGATCAATGCAGTCTTGTCGAGAGGTACATGAGGATCGTTGGTCAACGTAGTGTGCCAGAGCTTGTAGGCGTGTGATCTGTCAACAATAATGGCAGTCACGTCGTTGCCGTATTGGAAGACGCTCATTCCAGAGCCTTGTGCAAAACTCGTGATGACACCGTCTTTGGTCTGGTAGAAGCCAACGCTGGAGCAACCATCGCATTGCTTGACATTTCCGTATTGGGCGCCCTTGAGATAAAACTCGCCGCTTTCCCCAGTTGGGACCCAGAAGACGATGATGGGCTTACCGTTTTGTATGGACACAGCCAAGACCTCGGCAGTAGAGTAGATGATCTTCTGATTTCCAGCATTGTAGTCCGAGACGAGGATCTTGGATTCTCTTCCATTGATGCGGATGTCAGCAGCATGCTGAGGGACCTGGAATTCTCCAAGAGAGGTAGTCATGTTTTGCTTGAAGGAGAGAGAAGTCTGCAGTGTTGTGTTTGCATGTCTGACAACATAGAACTGGGCGTTGTTCTCGACATTATACAGAACCTGAGTGAAGACATTGGTGTTGGTGGTGAGGTTGGTACCGTTGGTGCCTCTCTCAATGAGAGGAAGGTCCTTGGCAGATCTGATAAAGTAGCCCAGCAGTTTTGCCTCAGAATATTTATCACCTATAAGACGATCCTCTTGAATTGGCGCAGAGTAATCGTAACTAGTGCCAACTAATGGGAATGCCAGGGCGCCCCAGTTAGTTCTTCAGAAGGCGTTGGTTAGCAACGATTCCTATAGACTATGTGTGGAACATAACTTACCCNNGCCGTACAACATGTACATGTTATGAGCAGTAACCTTCTGGGCAATGTTATTCCTGTAGAACACATTCACCCAGTCAGGTCCAGTATTGTTTCTGCATCCGCCAGCAGGGCCATCCCAAGGGTTGTAGGAGCCACCCTGGAACTCAGCGAAGAAGGAAGGATCTCCAGGGGCTGTCTCCTGGAAGTGGGTGTGGTAGTCGAGAACAGTGAAATCAGGAGCCGGAGAGTTGGTAGAGCTACACTCTTGAAGGTTGCAACTCCAGCATGAAGGATAGTTGTCAACAGCATATAGCCAAGTATCGCCACCAACCTTGTTGATGTCGTAATCCATAGACCAAGACTTGCTTCCCAGGTTGGGGTTGTTATGCACGGTAGGCATGTTGATGCCAGTGTCGTTCGCAACAGTCTCGAGAATCTCCATGTAGTGGATCGCAGTTTCGTTGGGAGTTCTGCGAGCAGTGTTTGTCCATTGGTAGCCGTACTCATTTTCGACCTGGTAGAAGATGACGTTACCGCCATTCACGATCGAATGCTCAGCGATGATACCATTAACGGTCTCGATATAAGGCTTCCAGGCTTCGGTGTATCTGGTGTCGTTGTTGCGGAGAGAGCCATAAGCACCGGTTGTTACCCAGCCAGGGAAACCTCCGCCAGTACTTTCAGCGTTGATGTAAGGTCCAGGACGGTAGAAAATGTATAGACCCAGTGACTTGCAAGTCTCGAACAGGCTGGTGATATTGTGGGCACCAGACTCGAAGTCGACAACGCCGTCGCGTGGAGCGTGAAATCCCNNTGTATATGATGAGTTGTTGGACTTCTCTACTTCACCACCGTTTCCTACTTACCAGTGAGAATAGAAGGAGACTGCGTTGAACCTGCCTGCGTGTCAGATCTTGCAAAGTTGGTTATTGATAAGTGACTGACCCNNAGCAGCTTTGACCTTGTGCAAAACATCGACCCAGAGCTCAGGGACCGGAATCCTCCAGTAGTGCATCNNTGTGCAACATTAGACCAATGCTGTGCGATCTTGGCCAGGAGTGCGACATACTTCTCCAGACCAGATGAACAAGCGTTCGCCGTTCACTTTGAAACTGTAGTGGTCCCATTCAACCAAGTCAGTGGCGCCATTGCTTCGAAGTGGCCATTGTGTCTCCTGTGCGTGAGAGAGCGCAGCAAGACCCAATGGTAGCGAAAGCGTCAAGCTCTTTAACAATCCTCTCATACTGTCTATTGATCCGAGAGGCTACAGCAAGAGATACTAGACAGTCAGGATGTCAGGGTATGGATGATATTTATGTTACCCTGCCCAATCTATCAGCCAAGCCATGCCAACCATACATGATATGTCCATCTAACTGGATGCAGCATCTTCTTCGTGTGAATAGAGCCTTAGTACGGAAGAATAACACTTTACCCACAGAACTTGCAGGGAATATGAGACGGAAAAATAGGTGCACGGTGGCTGTACGAAGTGGCGGGTACGCGAGCAAGGAAATGAGGGAAATGGTGGATCGGCATGGTATAGACATGAGGTCAATCTACCGAGCACGCCAGGAGTGCGCGAAGTGCGGTTATTGTCTCTGTATATCACGACCAGTGTTGCTGTCTATCCTACACTCAGACAGGGACTTGGTGTCCTTCAACATGCGCGAAGCTTCGAGAGGGCTTCTTCAAAATGATGGGTTTGGGACAAAGAGGGAAAAGAAAAGATCGGACGTGGGTGTGGGGTTTTCTGCCCTCGAAATGTGGAGTGAGGATGGCTCGTGCATGCACATCACCCTGTGCCTGCCCCATCAGGACTTCTTCGATCCTGCCTTCTCGGTTCAGTAGACAAGGGGGAAACATCGTGCCTGTAGAAGTAAGAACGATCAGATTCGAAACATGCAGATCTCTTGGAGTAGATAAAAATATTGACATTACACGTTAAGTGTTCCAGAGAATAATATATAACATTAAAAATGGCAGATCCATCAGAACAAAACTTATAGTCCAGAGTCAATCTGGTTGACCACAGTCGTGTTGCTGTACGCAGACCAATCACGACAAGTTTGCGCCATAACATACGGAATCTCCATCTCGTCGGTGACATAAGGCGTATTGACAAGCAAGTTGATGTTCATGCCTTCACTGATGTGCCAAGCGATGTGGCAGTGGAAAGGCCAAACACCCCAGTTATCAAGCTCGATCTGGATAACGAGGAAGCCGTTGGGTTGGACGAGTTGAGTATCGCGACGTTGAGGGTTTGAGGGGTTGGTGATGGATACGCCGTCCCAGGTTCCGATACCTTCACTGAGGATTTGCATGTTGAAGCCGTGAATGTGCATGGGNGTCTGTGAATCTTGTTTAGCGTGATTTAGTTGTTTGTTGAGGAGAAACAACTTACGAGAAGCAGGGAAGCCGACACTCTGCATGATAATACGGACGGTTTTGTTGGTTCCCAGATCAAAGACACGCGACTCGGTAGGGAAGTCGAGGTTACCAAGCTTGGCTTCGAGGAGAGTGGGATCGTTGTAGTTGGCATTGTAGGTCTCGTTGTTCATGTACCATTTGAAGGCTCCAGTTGCGTTGTAAGCAGCAGACATAGTAAAGTTGAGGACGACATCAGGTTCCTGAACGGCGATAGGGTACTTGGGAACTGTGAGGTTCAGGGGCTGGTTGTTGCAGGAGAGGGGGAAGTAGGTACGAGACACATCAATAGTGTTGGAGGTGGTGGGAGGCTTGCTAGTGTCGGCGTCTTCGTAGTAGATAGCTGCGAGAGCCTCGACACTGTTACCATCGTTCAGACTGCAACCAGTTTGTCCACGAGGAGGTCCGAGTCCAGAAGGTCCCTCAGTCATGCGCATCCAAACTGCATCAGTGCTGTTGCCAGTGGCTTCCACAATGATATCGGTACGCTGACCAACAGAAAGAGTGACCAGATCAGTGTAGTAAGGCTCGACAGGGACAAAGTCGTTGGCGACAACCTTGAGCTGGTAACCATCAATTGAGAAGAAAATGACGGCCTCGGCAGCATGGTTGACCAGACGCAAAAGATGTTTCTTGCCACTTTGGAAGCGGAATTGAGCAACACCTGCATTCTGGGTACATGTGAGGTTGGTGTTTGTGCAGTTATAGTTGTTCTTTCCGTTGATGAGCATGTTGTTCGCCATGGGNGGNAAGATAGGTCCAAATTCGGAAGCGACAAAGACCTGTTCAACCAAGGTGTAGTAATCGGCGTGGAACCAGTCAGTCAACATGACAGGACCTAGATCAACATCATATGCGTCGGCGACAGGTCCGTGAATGATAATGGGACCAGCCAAGCCATTGAGATACTGAGCAGACCAATGAGAGTGCCACCAACTGGTACCATAGAGTTCGGCGCGGAAGCGATAAGTGAAAGTCTTTCCAGGAGCAATCGGGCATTGAGAGATACCAGGAGTTCCATCATACCATGGAGTGCCCTTTTGGAGGAAACCGTGCCAGTGCATGGAAGTACCCTCATTGAGATTGTTTGTAATCTTCACCTCAATCCAGTCACCNCTAGAAACTGTTAGACACGAAAATGTATGTAAGCTGAGGATTTTACTCACCCAGTTGGCCTCGATCAGAGGTCCTGGGAACTGTCCATTGACTACAAGAAGTCCAAGTTCAACACCATCCGGAGCCATGGTCCTGTTGGAGACTTCCCACTCATAGTAACGAGTCATGCCGGTATTGGGAACGTTCTTCTCGTTGTAAGGGTTTGTGTCGTTTTGCTGTCGCAGACCCCAAGGGCAACCTTGAGGAAGAGGTCCATCTGACCATGCTGCAAAGTCGGACTGGTTTAGTGTGCCCCATGTGCTGAGACCTNNGGAGAAATGGTTTTAGTAAGAGCCCTCAGGATGATACAAGAGACACGAACCATTGGTAACATTCTGAGGAAGTGCAGCGCTAGGAGACCAAGGGTGAGATGTAGCCGCTGGCCATGAGGCGGCCTGAACAGGAAACGAGCTCCAATGGTTATACGCTGCTGGAGTTCCTTGAGGGACTGAAGCAGAGGGTTTGCCGAATTGAGGACCCCACGCAGAGACAACAGCGGAACCCCAAAGTGCCGCAGCCGAAAGTTTAGTTACGGCCATCATGTCAAGCTTGAACGGAAAGAAGGGTCAAGCGGATAGGTATATAAGTGCGTAGTAGGACGTATATCGGGTGTATGCAGGATTCTGAAACGAAAGACTGGTAGGGGAATGAAAGATTGGAAGGTCGCACCTTGAGGCACTGGTGACAGAGAAGCTGGGATTGTGTCCCAACTATATAACAGGTCAAGAGAGGCGACCACCTACCAGCATAATGGGTACTTGGTTGCCAGCAGCATCCGCTCGCTAAGGATCCGCTCCTTCACAGTAGCTTCCACCCAGCAAACAAGGCCATAACAAGAAGCTAAAAGTTGGCAAATGACTTTCGAGCCAATCCTGCCAGGGCGGGTCTGTAGTAAGTGGCGGGACTGCTTGCATAAGGCAGTGGACGAGCGAGGGAGAGTTGTTGGGTAAAGCGGTACCGTTTCCATGGCACACACCTCCACTTGTCATGCATGCAGAATCTCTTAGCTGTTCATGCATGTTGAACTTTTAGCTTTGTGATCTCTGGAGAGTTCCACTGCCAGATCGATCACCAAAGGAGTCGAGGCTGGCCTCGACGGCACATCGTACTCGTGGATACTCACTCCAGGTATATGTACAGCTGGGTCAGATATCGAGAATGAGGCTTGCCACGTTCTTGTTGCTGTGTTGTATTTTCGTGATGTCGAAGCATTCAATCAAGGCTCCACAGTCTCAACATTGCCTTGACCCCATCAGGCCTCATTCCTACACTTGCATACCTGCAGAGTCGTACAGCAATAAATCTCCGAGATAACCAGGATGGGTGTGTTGTGCAAGGATAGCCCTTCAACTTGACCCGAGGGTTGGGACCAAAGGACGGGACGTTGCTTTTATAAGCGTCATAATTGCCGTGCAGTTCAAAGCTTGGCGGGGTCGTTTTCATCACAAGCCACAGCTTCTTCTTTTTGGTGATTTGGTGGAGCTTGTTCTCCCATCTTTTGCGCCATTCTAACGACAGTGGGATAGCTAGTGTTGACCTCACATCTCCAACAACAAGAACCCGCGGCATCGTTCACTATTACTACATAGACACTCGACTTGTTGTTGGCACTCTAATCCATGACGATGCTTTGCTTACACGTCCAAAGTTTAGTACATGCATGCAGCACGCGCTGTCCAGCCGGGCAAGAACATCCCTTGCATGCTAGTTTGCTTACGCGAACCTTGTTCAAGGCAAGGATCATGCCTCTGCCTCGTTGTTTACCACTCCTTCAACACATGATTGAGGATGATTATCAAACAGACAAGTGTTTCAGGCATGGATCTTGTGAGTAAACAATTCTCGCCAAGTGCTGCGTGTAGTCACGAAGCCAAGGTAGAGATGTCTTGAGAGTTCACGCATCAATACTGAGTGAACTCGGGCCTTGGTGAGATGCAAAGCAGACCCTCCATGAATCGCAGAGAGCGAATTGATACGCTCTCGACAGACTTTGATCTCGAGTCTCGACTGTTCTCCCTACCGACTAGATACCTCCTACTAGTCTACTAGTCATTGCTAATGTCGTTCACGAACCTGCATCGGAGAATTTATTCTGATGTCAAGTCGCTCGTACAGCATTCGGACTCCTAACCGCTGGTGTTATGCGTCGGTCAAGCACGTTCGGCAAGCTGCCGGATTGACGCCTCTGCGTACTACAGCGAGTATAAAGCTCGTGAGTATCCTGTCTGATATATCTGTTGCTTCTACGAGTCTCAGTTGCTACACATCTCAGGATGACAGCTGAAGTCCTCCATGGAGATACGAGAAGGTACTTCTGGCACGTACCCATCACCCAGAAAGGCATACCGTCCACATCGATCCACTCCCACGACCATCCAAGCTCCTAGTAAACCCACCAAGCCGCTACTCCCCATGGCATTATTAAATCGAGATGAGGGCATTGATCGCGAGGGACAGAGCACGTGTGATGGAAGTGGCGACAAACAAAAAGCTGGTGGGTTGTGAGGGGAGCCGAAGCGGACTTCTATATCCCACTTCCCCCAACTTCCAAGAAACACAGAACCCACACCCAAGAATATTTCAAGAAGGCCCGCAACACGAAAAAGAAAACAAAGTTAGCTGCTCCTCAGCTTGGATATCTGAAGCAAGACTTTCGACTCATGTCCTCGGAATGGACTGCCGGATTGACCGTGGAGAAAAATGTCTCACTGTGAGGACTTGACAGGTAGCCTGGAAGGATCATCCACACGTGCATTATCTGGAACCCGCAAGCAATCATTTGCTTCTGTTGTGATTCGGCAACTCGGCATCTTGATCTCTACTTGACTCCTCTGGGTAACCCCGATCCAGACTGTTTTTTTGTACAGGAATCGATTTGCCGTCTCGTCTACGGCACTTTATCATTGGTCAATTGGCTCTGATGCGAATCTTGGTTGAGTGCTTGGATAATCACAGCCGTTGAGATTGACCAGGAAGTTGTCTTGCTCTTGTGTTTGGAGGTCGCATCTCATGGTTGCAACATGCAGTCACAAGACGCATCTCTGGCTCAATTGCAAGAATATTATAAGCTTTTGGCTTGGTGAGATCTTTGGACCGGGCGTCGACGGGGTAAGTTTATCATCGAGCCATGTGCTTTATGTTCGAAGCATGGCAACGCCCCTGAGAGCTGTGTCCACACGCCTCTTCGTCAGTGTCGAGAGCGTATTCGATGATGTGTCAGTCCACTGATGGCCTAGATTGATCCTTTTCTCTGGTCTTGCGAACGGCGGACCCAGATACACCTTGTGAGTTTGAAAGACAATCTCATTCGTGTCTTGGATAAACCATTCCCTCGTGATATTCTCGACGCTGTCATCACAAGACTTGATCTTTTGCATTTCATCCATGGGACACAAGCTTCAGATGGAAATGAAAGGTTTGTCAAAAGAGGAAGAAGCTGATCAGAGCAAGTAACCCACCTACGGCTGCACACTCTTTTGCCTCACTCAGCGCCCCTGAAAGAACAAGATCTACAATCTATCAACTTCTAGTAATCTCGTCGATTGAACAACTTAAATAGACAAGACAGGGTTATACTCCATACAAGTAATTTTGTTATCGACAACGATGTCATGGTAGCATCTTCAATATTCCTCCCGTGTAAAAGCTTCATTATACATCTAACATGATCAGGTAGATTTTAAATTATATATCAAGTCAGGTGAGAGGATTTTTAAAGTTAATGTGTTTAGATACGTGTTTCTGCATTCTACACACATTGATACAGATATATATGACAACAATCAATCTAGACCTCACATTATACATCACATCTTTCCTACTCTGACATCCACGTAGTCTTGCAGATCTCAGTGCTCATGGAGAATAAGCAAGGAAGCAAGATAGCACAACAAAATCAGAAAGACATAAAGATAGTACTACGACCAGATTTCAATAGAGAGCAAACGACCAAGCAAAAGAGGCTGGCACAATCAACCAACAAGAAGAAGAATCGTCACACCGAAAAGAGAAAGGCACAATGGATTCAGAAAAAAGAAAGACAGGGACAACACACTTGGGGGAGGAGCGACCAAGGTACACGAGGAAGGAGCGATTGAGCAGGAAGCCGAGGAAGGAATGACTGAGTAAAGTAAGAAGGCACGATAGTTTTGAGTGGAAGGAGCAATCAACTACACAAGGAAAGAGCGACCGAGTATATGAGGAAAGAACGACTAAGCAGGAGGAAGGAGCGGTCAAGTCAGTAAGGAACCATATAATCGACAAGGACGGAACGATCGAGTCGAATTAGAAGCAACGAAGAGAGCACGACGAAGAGAACATGACAAAGAAATAAGGTCAAATCAGGAGAGCATCTTGGAAATTCATCATGCATGTCATTCCGCGTTGTCTAGAAAGTCTGAACACAGAAAAGGCTGAAATCGCTGTAGCCTGTAAAGACCCCCATCCCGCTATAAAGAAACGAGCAACCTCCCATGATAATCAACAGAAAGTGTGCAATCCCCATCTATGACTGTGTCGTGTCGTGTAATCCGTCGCTTTTGATCAAAGTCCTTTCGTGCAAGAGTGGAGGTGGAGAAACGAAGATGACCCTTAAGCCAAAGCCTTCTCTTGCTCCTCAATCGACTGCTTTGAAGGCAGCTCGACAGCCTTGTACAACAAGATCAAGGCAGAATGGCTCTCACCACCACCAGACAGCGTCTCGACCTTTTCGGCCTCGACTTCGCTGACCTTGTCGTCGTTGAACCACCACCACTTGCCGTCCTCCTCGCCAACAGTGCCGTCAGCATTTTTACGACCAGTCTTCTTGATGTATGAAGTGTAGTGACCGCTGTCGGCGCTAGAGCCCTGGTGAGTAATGACGCCGCGGAGTTCAAAGAGTCCAGTCTGGTTGGCGGCTTCGTCGGCGGCAAGTTCAGGAGAGACTTGGGCGAGGAGATCCTTTCTCATGGCGAGAATCTTCTCAGCGCGTTCTCTCTCAATCTCAGCATCGGTCTTGTAGGTCTCGGTGCCACCCATCTCAGTGTCGCCGCCGGATGCGCTCATACCAACAGCCTTTTGCTTGGCAAGCTGAGCTTCGGTGTCGGAGCCAGTTGCCTTGGTCTCACGCTCCTTTTCCTTGCGCTTCTCCAAAGGCTCAGAAGCGTTGCCAGCCAGGTCATCGCGTTCCTTTTGCATTCTCTTCTGTCTCTTCTTGGCACGCTCGACATCCTCCTGCTCCTTGCGAACCTCGCGAATGCGGTCACGGATGGGGATGAGTTGCTTCTTGAGCTCTTCGGTGCAGAACTCAACAGCGTCGAGCTCCATGGGGAAAGTGACCTTGCGCATAATCTTTGCCTTCTTCTGGGTATCCTTGCGCCAGAAAAAGCGGACGAAGTGTACGGGCATGTACTTGGGCAGGCGAGAGATGCGGGAAGATTTGGTGTATACAGCCTCACGACCAAGTGACTCTGAACGCTTCTCAATTTTCTCGTTGAGAGCGATCATAACGCCCTCGCGGAGATGATTGGTGTCGCCGCGAATGTTGCAGTCGAGCTTGAAGAAGACGTCACTACCCTTGACAGGCTCCTCGGTGGCTTCCGACTCGTCACAGGTCATAACTGATTCGGTGGTGCCGGCCATGAACTTGTCAACCCAGTTGTTGCCACGGACGTTACCCGAGGCTGATGATGAGGACTGTTCTTGCTGGAGCTTCTGGCGAAGCATCTGGATGATGGAAGACCAAGCCTCTTCGGCGTCTTGTTGTGCGTAACCGTGGCCATCTTTTGCCTTTTGGTTGAACTGAGGGTAGCTCTGGCGGAGAGCGTTGAGGAAGACGAGAGGAGGGAAGCCTTGCTGGGTTTCGCCCATCTGTTTGTACAAGTCGCGAAGGGATCCAGTGAGGTCGGTGGACGAACCAAGGCCACCCAGACCAAACTCGCTGAGGTTGCCGAGGCTGGACGAAGGACCGGCGCTGCCGCTATAGATAGTGTCAGATGTATGTAGAGAGTTTGGATTGTAGAAGTGGGCATACATGTCCTTGTAGGTGTCGAGGGCGTCTCCGAGCTCGGGAATGCTCTTGAGGGTCTGGAGGGCGGAGTTGAGGTAGCAAGTGTTGCCGAGGTTCTGAAGACCGGCGGGAGTAGCACCAGATACTTGAGCGGCCTCAGCTTCAGTCATATCCTCAAGGAAACGGATCTTCTCGGTGGGGCGGTCGACCTGGGAAGCGGCGTCGCCAGAGGGAGTGCCCATCATCATGAACTGCTGACCGGGCTTGGCCTTGAGAGATGAGAGGGCAGTGTCGTCCTTGAGCTGGCCTCCNTTGATGAGGATCTTCTGGCGTTCGGGCTCGACATTGGTGAGGGAGTAGAGCTGGTACTTGAAGGTCTCGCCGGTTGCTTCGGGGTCGAGATCGACTTCGTACTTCTTGCCCTGGTGCTTGACGACAACGGGAATGGAAGCCATGGTGAATGTGCGCACACGGAGACAGTAAGATGGCGGGCCGAAGGTGTTGTAGAGAGAACTGTGCACTCCAAGCAGATGCGCAGAGGCGAAAGCACCAAGCAACAACATCGTCACTGCCCGCGTCGGCGTGTCGGTGTCGGCAAACTCCGGTCCGCGATTTGCATGTGAGCTCTTGTTGTCAACTCCAAACAACAACCAGGAATTTATACAGCAGGATATCGACTTTTTGATACAAGTCTCGGCGCTGTCTCAAATCTCTCGGCGACAAGACGCTCGACACACGCACACGATCAATATACCCAATACTGCGACAACACGATGCAGCAGACTTCAGCCGACGACAGCTTCGCTCATCTTAGCCGACTGTCGCAAAAGGCAGGAGTGCAAGCAACTCTGATTCTCTCTCGCGAGACCGGTGCTATTGTTCGCTCTTCTGGACTGGTATCGCGTGACGAATCCTCGAATGCAGAGAGCACACTGCCAGCATCCAATGGCTTGACCGATGATCGAACTGATGGCGCCATGCCCAACGCTGAGCACGTCGCTGAAGTTGTTTGGAAGTTCGCAAAGGCCGCCGGCGACATGTTGGAAGAACTCTCAAACTTGCCCGACGACGACGTGAGATTGCTCAGGTTGCGTTCAAAGAATAAGGAATATGTTATCTTCCCAGGTTCGAACACATCTCTCCATGTTGGACCTACTTCTGACAAAGACACAGATGCCAAGTTCATTGCCGTCGCCATCCACAACACTCCACCAGCATGAAGGTCCCAGCTCACCACCAGCAATTGCCAAAAATCGAACAATATCACGCCATCCACTCATCAAGACATGATACGAGTCCACAAAATCAGGCCTTGACAACAGGCTGCAGCCAGCTCTGAGCCCTGCGAAACATTCATCTACCAGTGAGCTTCGGAAATGTCCACCGAGTTCACGTCAACACCCTCCTTGAACCAGCGCTCGGCCTCGCTGATCTCGATATTGTTACCGCTCATCTGTCGCTTGCGCATCTTGCCATCCTCGGCAAATGTCCAATCTTCGAGTCCATAACATCTCATCCAATTGCCTGTCTCGACGTGCTTGAACTCATACCAGAACTGCACAGCGATCTTGTCGTCGCCAAAAGCGAATAGTTCCTTGCGAAGACGATACTCCTTCTCTATCGCCCATTTGCGGGTCAGGAAGTCGATGATGGCTTCGGTTCCGCTGAAGAAGTGGTCTCTGTTGCGCCAGATGCAGTCTGGGGTGTACGCCTAGGGGGTGTGGTTAGTACGAGGACACTAGAACACGGCTTCTAAGAAATATCGAGATTATCAGGAGAATGGAAAACAGAGAGATAGAATATGAGGTCTGTGAGGCTCAAATGGGAACTTCCACAAGTTTACCTTTGCAACGTCTTCAGGCTTTCTACGGGATTTGATCAGCTTTTCTAAACACCGAACTACAACAGAAGATGTGTCCTACTGGGCGTTCCACAAATCTTGAGCTTTCTTTACTTTCTCCTGGGCAGTCTGCTGAGTGAATGGTGGCTTAGACATGTTGCTCTTGCTTAATACTCGAGGTCAGACCAGAGGTGTTTGCTGTGACGTGGTTATGTTGTTTCATCAAGGTGGACTCGGAAGCAGAGACAAGCTGCCCGAAATCGGTCCGCTCGCGACTCGGTCAACCACGTTTTTCGGCAACTTCCACAAAGACGGTGACTGCTGTGGAGCTCTTCTCCGGTGAGGCTCACACGGTCCATCTTGGTGGAAAGTGCCAGAGACTGGTGGACTCATGGGCTCAGAGCTCTGGCCGTACGCGGACAAGTCATGGTCTGATTTCAAATCTAGATGCCGATGTTGATGTAGCTGTCTGACATAAAAGTTCCCAAGGTGCTTCACTTCTTACTCTTCTACTTTGTTATCGTATCAATCAATCCAACATATTTGGTGTCCAACCTTTCCCTTAAAACTCTCACATATCTAATCACATCAATCACAATGGTTCTCAAGGCTGGTGACAAGTTCCCCGAGGGTGTCAAGTTTGGGTGTGTCGTCCGAGGATGTTTATGTGTATGGCGAAGCTAACAGAAGATTGCTAGATGGGCTCCTATCCTTGACGAGGATCCGACTGTTTGCGGTATCCCTCAGCTGTACGATGCCAACAAGGAGTGGGCTGGGAAGAAGGTCGTTATTGTCGCCGTCCCTGGAGCTTTCACCCCCAGCTGCTCCGCCTACCACCTCCCTCCCTACGTCCAAAAGTTCCAGGAGCTCAAGTCCAAGGGCGTCGACATTGTCGCCTTTATCGCCAACAACGACGAGTTTGTGCTCAACGGATGGGGCAAGGTCAACCAGGTCCCCAAGGGCGATGACTTCGTATGTTGCAATTCAGGGAGAGCAGTGGAAGATCAGAACGAATGGCTAATCAAACACAACAGCNTCATGCTCTCTGACAGCAAGACCTTCTTCTCTGAGAACTACGGCTGGCAGGCTGGCCCCAACAAGGGTGACCGCACTGGTCGCTGGGCCATGATTGTCGAGAAGGATGGCAGCATTAGCTACGCCGAGAACGAGAAGCACCTTCAGGATGTTGAGGTAAAGATCCGTGGATGCTCGCAACGAGATGACCTTGTTACTAACACGAGCACAACAGGTTTCCTCTGTCGAGGCCGTCCTCAAGCAGCTTTAGATGCGCCCGCGATAGGGACATCTATTCGCAGACATCATGGTATATGGCGTTGGAATAGACCATAAAGGTTTAGAGAACCGTACACATAGATGATAGAAATGCCGCAATGAACAAATAATATTCAAGACAGGATGTTGCATCACAAACGACCCGCTTCCTTCCAGTTGGAAATATGGAGCAGGAGATACAGGACGGACTTTTTCTCACGCGAACCCATCGGGACCGACAATGAAGCGGTCAACCTGCCTAAAAGCCTTTTCCTGAAGATATCAAAGACTCGCAGCGGGCGCGGTTGTGAGAAGAAGAAAACCAGAAACTTCGTGCCCGCAAAAGAAACAGAGTCGTGGATCAAGATTCGCTTAGTCAGAAAGCTGCGAAATTCCCGTCGCAGAGCACACCCCTCCTCTCTGCGAACTACAAAACCCGCACAACTACTACCATCATGGACTCTCTCGACGGATCCAGTTACGATGTCTTGATTTCTGGAACAGGCATCCAGCAGTCTTTGCTTGCTCTGTATGTCTCTTCATGCCTCAAAGGTCAAGAACTTGTCTGACTGACGCAGCTTCTCTGCCTAAAGTGCTCTCTCGCGCTCTGGCAAGAAGGTCTTGCATGTCGACAAGGACGACACCTATGGCGGTCCTGAAGCTGCCCTGAGTCTTCAGGAAGCCGAGCAGTGGGTTGAAAAACTCGGTTCTGGTACGTCACCACTTTCAAGCGCGACTCGATCTGGATTTATACTGACCTCTGCACAGCAAAGCAACCACGATTCAGCAATGCTTCGATCACCAAGTCGGATGAAGGAGAGCAGAAACTCTCCCCTTCCAGAGCATACAACCTGTCGCTTGCGCCGACTCTGGTCTACACTCGCTCCGGTCTGCTACCAATCCTCGTCTCGTCCAAGACCAATGACCAGCTCGAGTTCATGGCTGTGGGTGGATGGTTCGTCTTCGAAAAGCAGGAAGGCGGCGCGCGAGTGGTTCGTGTACCGAATGGACGTGAGGACATCTTCGCCGACCCTTCTCTCACATTGAAGATGAAGGGGCAGTTAATGAAGTTCCTCCGCTTCGTGGCCGCGTTTGAGGAAAAGCCTGAAACATGGCAGCCTCATCGCGACACTCCATTTGCCGACTTCTTGTCTGAGCAGTTCGGTCTGCCTGCTGTCGACACGCTCATGGCTCTGTGCCTCAGTCTTGAGGTCCCTGAAAAGACGACTACCGATTTCGCTCTACCACGCATCGCTCGTCACCTTCGTTCGATTGGTGTTTTCGGTCCTGGATTTGGTGCTGTCATTCCCAAGTGGGGCGGACTCTCGGAAGTTGTTCAAGTCGCCTGCCGAGCTTGTGCTGTTGGTGGTGGCATCTATGTTCTTGGTCAAGGCATTTCTTCCATCGAGCCTGCTCAACCCGACGAGGATGATGTCGAAGAAATCCCAAGAGAGCCCGAGAAGCCCGACGTTTCGCAAGACATTCACAATATGATCACCGAAGGCGAAGGCTTCGTTGATACGAACCCAGACAATCTCGACGAACTCGAGTCTGGTATCAAGGAACAGTCCTTGGACGATCTTCTTGCTGCAGCTGGATACAGTATTGCCGGTGTCGAGGTAGAAAAGCCCACACCCGCTGCTGAGAAGCCTATTGAAAAACAGAGCGCTGCCGTGTCTTTTGAGAAGAAGTCACTGCACACTGTCCAGCTCAGCAATGGAGAGAAAGTGTCTGCACAGTACATCGTCGGCTGCTCAGATGATTTACCTGGATCCCTACCTGCCACTATCGTTGGCACCAAGGTTCAAGGAGCTCAACCCGATGCTGTTTCTCGCAGTATCACAATCATCTCATCACCTCTGCAACATCTGTTTGTTACTGTTGCTGAAGGTGGTGTCTCGCCTGCTGGTGCTGTTGTGGTCTTCCCTGCTGGTTCTTTTTCGATCGCCGCCCACCCACCTGTACAGATCATGGTTCACTCCAGTGATACTGGCGAATGCCCTCAAGGACAATGTAAGTCTTGACCCTCTACCTTCACCCTCTACTCTGGAAGACCATTTGCATGATGAATGATTTTACGAATACTTATCTACATTGTCTGAACAATAATGTCGATCAACACATCTCTGACAACCTGATCGCTTTGGTCTTCCAACCATTCAATACACAATCACTCGTTACAACCGTTGCCCAAGCAATTGCTAATCGAGATTGAACAGGTANTCGCATATGCAAGCACAGCACTTACCGGCCAANAAGGTCAAGAGCTTCTCGCTGAGGCTATCAAGTCGCTTCTTGCAGCTCAAGAGAGCGATGCTCGAGCTCTGTGGTCACTCAGCTATGAGCAACACGCTGAGGCTGTAGCTCCATCAAGCCAGACCTCTTCCAGCATTCTCAAGATCCAAGACCCACCATTAGACTTTGTCTTTGATGATGCGATTATCGAGAATGTGCAGGCGGCATGGCAGATGATCTTGCCCGAGGCCGATGACTTTATGGTCTTTGGCGAGAGATGCGCTGATGCTGAAGAGGAGGTAGAGGATGACGAGTAATCAGGACACGCTATAGACTTGTTACATCACACGAATGACATGATTCCTAAACAACACTTCTCTCGCACAGTGTCGTACCTCGCTCATCGCGACTGGGATTGCCCTTGGCTCGTGGTGACAATTTGTGATTGTATAGCTACCCCACATGACGTATGTGTTTCGTTCCTGCATCACCGTTCAAAGTTGACTCCGGCCCTGCCGCATTGCACCTGCTTATAACTTGACATCTTTCCTCCTACTGCTTTGCTAAGACAGAATCAATCTACCCATCGACTCGAACAAACCAACTCATCTTCAACTTCCCATATACCATTCTATACATCATGTCCTCCGACAGTCTGGCCCTCTTCCGCAAGAGCATGGGCAACGAGCTCGGCGCCCTCGCAGAACAACACTACCAACACGAGTGCGTGTGCTCTCAACTTTCACCGTCGTTAAGTTCATCCACTGACTGCATTCACAGCCTCCAATCCTCGGACCGCGCAGCCCTCCAATCCGCAGCCTCCCGCGTCAGCACACACACGACCATCGGCTCCATCGTCGGCTTCTCCCTCGGCCTCTACCTCTCCTTCCGCCTACGCGCCAACCGCACCGCCATGTTCAACGCCTTCCGCACCTCCGAGAAACCCGTCGCTGTGCAATTTGCCGGTGGCCGCACAGAGCCCTTGCCAGACCTTACACCCATGCTCAAGCCATCTACTTTTGGCGACATTGCTACCTACACACTCTTTGGACTAGGAGGACTGTTTGTGGGTGGAGAGACTGGGTTGTTGACGGGTGGCTTGTCAGCACAAAGTGCGATTAAGAAGGATCCGGAGGCCAAGGCGAGGATTGAGACTGCGTTTAGAAAGTTTAGGGCTGAGACGCTGAGGTTGGAGGCGGATCAGTTGGAGAAGGGTGAAAAGACTTTGGGTATTTAGGAGATTCTGAAGAAGGATTTGCTATAATGAGACTGCGATTGATATGAAATGATGCAAATAGCAGGCTTTGGTTATCACTTCAGCTGCTTTTAGACAGGGCATTCAAGGGTGACTACGCAGTATCTGGGCACTGACCTGGACAGCATTTGATGCATCGGCACAGGTAAGTTCAATTCTTTGCTCTTTGCTCTTTGCTCACGAGGATCACTTTGTGAAACAGGAAAGTTCTTTCCTCCGTTTGATCCAAACCATCAACACATTTTCTCTTTCACATTTTGTTCTGCCATCGATATGTTGTTGGCTTGATGCTTTCTTCACAGTTCTGGACATTTCTTGAGTCTGATTTCTTCGTGTAAACATCTGAGTGTCCTTTGAGTAATCACAGTCTTGCAGAAGCCGATGGAAACGGACGAAGAGGTATATGAAGGATGTCTTCTGCTCATATTTGGCTCATCATGTCTTCATATGCACTCTAGGTATCCTGGCTATATCATCGACTCTTCAAAATCTCCACTTTCTTCAGAAATTCTCTCGTCACACATTGGTCCGCGAGTGAGCTTCCCTGAACGTTATCAGATGCACTCAAATCGACTTGTACAAGAGTCGGAGAGCTGGCTTAGTAGATCCTCTCTTCCCTGTCCAGTACTATCTCACCGCTCTGAGTCACCTCGTACCTCCCTAGGCCCCTCAACGTATGTCTCGTCAGCTCCATCCCATAAAGCAGCAGACTACTTTCATCGACAACACATCCCAACAACAAAGCAAACTTCCTCAGCTTCATCCGCAAACATGGTTTGATAGCAGGATTGCGTTACCCATATATGGATGCCTAAACTTCCTCACAACACTGTCCACTACCGCAATCAACATCACTTACCCTGGCGACGAGTACCAGCATCTTACTGATACTCATGACATCTTCAGGTTCTGAAACACATGCCACGGTACTCAGACCGCTGAGATCTGCAGCATGACATGGCTGTCATGCGAACCGCTTCTTGGTTTATATATACTTACAGCTCTTCATGACCCGACAGAGGTTGCGAATGACCTGTCTGCCATAGTGCCACTGGCACTATACCGAATGGTGCCATACTTGCCATTCATCGTTTCCATCACGGTAGTGCAAGACAAGACAAAGCTGGATGGGATCAGCACTCGAACTTCGTCACATCTGCGAACTTGAGGCTTTTTCTTCTAGGACTTGTTATTATCAGCAACAGCAGTAACATCAGCATCATGCCACCGGATCCAAGACGTATCTAACACCTAATCCATTGGCTCTGGACTTGAGATTATTTCCAAGGGATCAAGAGATGATTCAGTCTGAAAACAAGCTCATGGTCTGCGATTCGAATATGATGTATAACACCAGGATAGGCCACACTCAGATGGCTGTCCACCCTGACACATCACGACCATTGATGGATCTTTATCTTCCATCATTCATCACGACCTCTATAAACGTCTCTATTACCACGCCATCCTGCTAAGATTGGGGAAATCAAGGATTAGCCACAAATATGATATGACTCCACGATTGAGTGGTTGTGCGATGGACCAACGACAACAAGTTGGAGGAGGAGGATGCACACGTGAAGCTCTCGGCTTGTATCGTCTGACCTCGGAAAAGCTGTCTATCTTGGAGTGGACATTCAATCACATCAACTCTTGGAAGATACATGACTCGACAAGGGTCGAACAGAATGAAGAATGTCCTACTGTATAAGATGATGAGGAAGGAGTCATCCATTTGCCCCAGTGATGGTCGTATCAATGCACAAACTTGTCCAAGCTCTTCACAGCAGCTCATGTACCCAACACAAAACATCGGTCCCTCGGTCCGCTCGAATGACAGATCGAGTCCCCTACGCTCATCTTCAACGTACATATGCTTTCCCAGTCAAAAAACCAGTTGAATCCGATTTGATGAGAATTATCCAGGCTAGATTTGCTGAATGTGGTCACACTTGACAACATTTAACCGCCATGGACTTTTAGCCGCCTCCTGCACCCTACCCCCCACCTCCGCATTGCAACCATAAATATGTGCCTCGGTCGCGATTATTATATTGAATCCTCACTTCATTCCTCAAACTATCACAAGATCCACTCATCATGCCTGTCTATGTGCTCACAGGTGCCAACAGAGGCCTTGGTCTCGAATTCGTTCGTCAACTCTCGGCAGACAGCTCCAACACAGTGATTGGAGCAGTACGCTCAATGTCAAACGACCTGACCGACTTGAAATCACTCAACAAGAATAACAATATACACATCCTGGAATGTGACACTGGAGACGCGTCCAGCATCACCTCCTTCGTCGAATCATGCAGCAAGACTCTTGAAGGCAAGAAAATCGACTACCTCCTCAACAACAGCGGCATCAACGCCGTCCCGGAGCAAAACTCACTGTCCATAACCGAAAGCGATATCAATGACCACATCAAAATCAACGTCCTTGGACCTGCAAAGACAACCGAAAGCTTCTACAACGCCGACCTGCTGTCGTCAGATGTGAGAATCTTAAACATGACATCAGGACTCGGCAGTATGAAAGTCAGCTTGGGCATCAAGCCGAGAAAGTGCACAACATACAGCATCAGCAAGGCTGCTTTGAATATGCTCACTGTACACCAAGGCGAGGAGTTGCGAGAGAAGCTTCCTGGTGCGGTTGTCATCTCTATGGATCCGGGCTGGGTTAAGACCCGCATGGGTGGGGAAGGTGCTATGATCGAGGCGCATGAGAGTATTGGCGGCATGCTCAAGGTGTTGCATGGGCTTAAGAAGGATGATACTGCTTCGTTCTGGACATACACTGGAGAGCAGGTGCCGTGGTAAATCGAGCTATTACGCATAGCAGGTATCCAGCGCCGAGATGACATGCACTTTGTAGCCATCAATGCTGCCGACAAATTCTGATGAGATAATGTTGGAAAAAGAGATGTCCACATATCGCTATCAGGGTGTGACCATGGAGAGCTATCCAATGCAGTGTCGAGTGAAAGCAAGACACTTTTCTCTAGTCATATCGACATAGCTTGATGATATTCTTAAGACAAAATTCGCGAATTCTTATTCATACATACGAAGCAGACCACAAACAGGTCAAAGCAACCCAGCCTGGCAGATGTGAACCAGGAAATCTTCGAACTCGACTTTTGCTTTCATTGTCACCATGAAACCTGTTGCTCGCACCGGCTTCATGCTAGTAGCTGATACGATCCCGATACCAGGTCCAACACGATGTCTTGCTACGTAGTCAGATTTCAGGTTGTCTCGATTCTGCACAGCGAAGAGGAAGCACAATGGCAGCCAACTCGATCCCGTCAGATTGTGAACGAGCAGGACCCTGATTGCATCAAACGACATGCTGCATGTCAGGATAGCGATGGCAACTCAGCCTGGCAATGAATCATATTCACTAGCTGCCAGAGACTCCATGGCAAAGAGTGCCGAAGCAGAGAAGAAAGGAACGATGAGATGATGAGGAAGGGAAGAACACTCATACTGGACTTGAGAGTGCTCGATTTCTTGTCAGAAGCTTGATCTTTCGGATAAACCTATGTGAAGTCGCTCAGCATCATGCAACTCCCTCTGCTTCTCCCGCCCCAATCATGCGTAGTGCTGCATTCGTTCGCCGTACCACCAGTGCTCAAGAGCAGAATAATGCATCTCGCTCAGATCGTGAAGTTGGGGGATTATTGCACCGATCACCAAAGAAGATGGAGAAGGAGATAAGGAGATGGAGGAGGACGATACGGTTGCTGTACCTGCTGGAGAAGAGGAAGGAGGCGGTGAATCCATCGAGCCCGACCTGCCTGGTCTACGGAGCTAGGACTGTGTTCCTATGTATATACCCCATCTCTGGTTTCGTGGAGCGGTGTGTTGACAATTCTTCAAAGCAGTCGCTGTGTCCTAGACATCTCACTAGCATCCTCGTCGAAAGGACTCAATGTCGACAAGACGTGTGTACCAATACCAGCAATCATGGCTTTTCCCAGGATGACTTATCGCGAAGAGGAGGACGATTTGAACAGAAGAACTGGCCCGCTACGAACAATTCAAGAACCCCCTCATGACCACCAAACACATCGTGAGTGATAACAGCCATTCATCGGCGACCAACAAGCCGTTAAGGACTTCATATATATGCTGGAAAGGTCGGCCTGCCGCTGTCGCTGGCGCAGCAGAACATTTATGGCCAAAGAAGTTCCATTCCTTCTTCGGCTATTGTATCAGAACCGGCGTCTCCAATGTCATGACAGACCGCTTCGACCTCGACCTTTGTGGACAAAAATGCTGGTCGAATACCGTGAAAGATGTATTCACCCACATCAAGCAATTCCAGATCGAACACCACCACAGCATCACCAGTCTCTTGAACTACCATACTGAGATGGGTCGTAAGATTAGAGATCTGTATCAACAGATTGCTGTCTATAGCATATCGCGTCCCTTCCCGCAACGCATCCATCTGCAAGACCATATTTTCCAGCAGTGTTGCAATTCTCCCGATCCCATACCATTCCAACCCAAGTCCTTATCCAAACGTATCTACCACCTCGACCACCCAAGCCGAAGGCTTGGCCAAGAACGGTGCCGACGACAACGAGTTCTCCAAGGCCACCACTGAACAAACTGCAGGAACTACCCAGTGCAATGGAACAATGCTCATCAACAAGCCCATCGCCATCGAAGATGAAACCTCGAGTTGGAGCGTGGGAGACATTGTCAATCAAGTCTCACGGCTGCAGATATCATCCTTGTATACTTAACCTAGTGATCCGCCATTCTCACAACGACAAGAATGAATCGACTGTGACTACTCAAACAGAGTTCCTTGCCAACAAGACGGTCCTGACAAGATCTCTAACATATTCCCCACTCTCGTTCTGCTCTATGCTCGCACCAAGCAGGTCAAGATTTTTCTCAGCAGGGTCTGTCCCTGACTTAGCTGATGATCTTGTAAATTGCGTACTCTGAAATTTATCTCTGTGTTAGATGTGTAAAGCGACAATCCTCTCATCTCAACTCCAGCTCTTATATATGACACCGTTGCACCAACTTCGATGTGGTAATCGTAATATACTCAGCAGGAAGACTGAGTATGCCAGCGAGAAGATATTCTAAGGGAGTAAAAGAGACAGAAGGACACCTGGCACTACAGCGATACTCGCCTCAGATTTTTATTCTCCGAGTCGCATTGGATGAAGGGCAAGTCATCCAAAATCCCACTCAACACGCGCTCAATATGGACTGGATAATGACTGTCTTTCTCTGATCAAGTGTTGCCGGTCGCGCTGTCGTCGACGATGACAACATGGCTGAAGGCAGTCATGATACACATACCCTCGTAGTCAGCAACAATGCCTACGATCATGATCTTGACAACCTCAGTCGTGATCCAGATGTTGGACCCTACACCCCGGATAATGGCTACCTTCCAGAGTAAGCGCTTCGCACTCTAGCCATTACTCAAACCTTCAAGAAACAGACTGGATATGTGCGACATCTTACAGCTTCTACTCCACGATAAGAACAAGAATGTAATCTACATCTACATCGGCAGCGGAACATGGGTTAATGAGCCTCTTCCCAGGAGCCATTAAGTACGACAAAGACAAAGGCCGCCGGTTGCGATATGCAACACCACGCACACCTCACCCCTTTGAGTCTATTACGATAGCCTTACAACATATTTCATTAATCTCAAGGGCCCCAGGAAGTAGGGCGCGGCAACGCTGGCGGAGAGCAGAATTGTATGGCAGCTGAAGCCGAACTCAATACAGGCCGTCTTGTATGCATTCGTCTGTATATATAAGCACTGAAATCGGGTTCAGAGCCAGATCCTTCAGGAGAACTTGAATGACATTTTAGTGGACGGCTCTCACAAATCATGTCCAGTGCAAGGCAGATACACGACACAGAGGCTGTCCCTCAAACAATTGAATGATCCGCATCCCTAATGTCTTCTCTCCATGTTCGAGGATGATGCTTGAACCTGGCACTCCGGGCCGTCGAATGTACGCTCCGGTCCCATCGCCGGGCACGCGCGTTGCTTCTGTACACAGATTCCTCCGACTCAACGGCCTGAATCAAGTTCTTCCAGTTCTCTCACCGCTTGGATGCCAGAGGTGTGTGTATGGCGCATTTTGACAAGCTGCTCAACTTTCCCAATGCCACACAAGGAGGCATTAGGGTCAAAGCACGCACCTCGAGCACTGTCAGATTCGTGACAGCATGTTCTTCTCTATATCATGAACGACGAGACGCACAGTGTCTCATTGATAAGGTCGACAAATTCGCCAGTCTGGTGAGCACATCAGAATGCTGGAAGAGGTTCTAGAGCGGCATGGAAGACGTCGTGCTCGGTGTCTCTAGTTCGTGTGTTTTTATCTCGCCGAGGCCTCACTTCGAAATATGATACATAGATTTCACGCCATTGGTACGATCCTGCCAACAGCCAACACCCTCCTAAGGTTCCAGACCTCCATGGTACCATGTTCGCCATCACTACAGCCGCGGAAGCCGCCGATTGTCCCCTGCAATGCCTATTCGCATGCGTACACACCAGATCTTCAGGGGACATAGGGTCGCTTTTTTTCTGAACGACAGAGCGATGGTGTTCTATGTGGAAAGCTCGACTTGGACAATGCCACCTCTTGGAACTGAAGAAAATTTGGGATGCTGACGATGAGCAGGCCAAACACGATGTAGACGAAAACAGTGACACCCTAATTGATGACGGCGACGAGTCAAAAGGCATCTGGCAGAGGCGATCTAGTTGCAGGATGGAAGACAAGGCCTGCTGCTCTGGACTCACAGACACCGTCATGTCGCTGATCGCATCACACATTGACCCGGAGGAGCTGCAGGCTCCTGATTGCAGCATCATAACTCACAATGGCTTCACATCAAAACGATATGTTGACAAACGGGTGCTAGATGGAGGAAAGTCGAGAGGATGTTAGCATATGTGGTTGATGCGAGACGCAGTCGATAGGAGTCGACAGGTAGAGGTGATGTAGCTGAAACAAATAGCAACTACTTTGCATGCACTTCGCCCCGCTCCAGTGTTTTAGGCGTTGTAGTCGAAAAACACTTGTACCTCTTGAGAGAATCCTGATCATCTCGATAATTCATTCTCTGTCCTTGTGAATGTGGAAAGAATCGGCGATAGAATCGTGGTGATTGTTATAATCTTGTGGCTGACGAGGACACTTAAATGAACCTCGGCCGAGTTATGATAGAGCACATCGAAGTGTCCGAGAAGGAGCGAATCCTTTCATGTTCTGTCACGCATGGGGAAGGGGCTGTTGAGTCTCCTGCGCATTGCTAGAGAACTTGGGATCTGCATTGAAGAAAGAACGACATTAAGCATCAGCGTTAAATTCAAGCCTCGATGTTTGCCTCGGCAATGTCAGTAAGTTTAACCGATATGCGCACCTGGGGCGATGACTTCCCCTTTTGTGATATTCATAACTTCTCCCTCGTTATACAATATGCAGAACTGCGCCTACTTTTGTCACTGACTACAGGATGTCTCTGCCAAAGTAAGCTCGCACTCTGCGTGAGTCTCTGCAAGTATTTGGCTGACACAGAACGGATTGGGGGTGACACCTCCGACAGCAAGACTTGGTCGTCCAGACCACTGAGCCGCCAACCATCCAGATAACCATCTAATATGGGCTTTTGCAACGTTTATACAGCTTTCTAATCTGGCCAGTCAATATCTGTTCCCATCACCTGTAGCGAATAGATCTGAGTCATGGAATAATCTTAACACCTTTCAGCTGAGCGCTAACCATCAGCCTCACAAAAGCCTACACGCTAAGCCCCTATAACGCTCCAGCCGCTAAGCCGTTACAATACCTCTATATCCCGAACGAATTTCTAAGGATCGACCAATATTCGTTTCAGATCCCTAGCAGGGTCTAATGCCACAATCATAGTTATACTTTTGGTTCGCCAGAGTTCTGACCATCTCTCCTCGACTCGAATTTCTCGATACAAGCGACAGCATGTCTCAAGGCCAGACAAATCCCAGATGGACCCTCGATCAAGCTCGTCGAGATGTTGAGGCTCTTGGATCTCGGGCAAGAGGCAGCATCTCCGTTCCAACACCTTCTTCAGCCTCCCATACTGCAAAGCAAGTCCTGGTCTTGCTCATTCCAAGTCCGATTCAGAATATCCTCTATCCACCAACCGAACCAACATCTGCTGTCTCACCGAGACCGACAGCATGGTTAGATGGCATGCGCGGTATCGCAGCATTGTTGGTCTTCTTCTACCATCTCTCATATTCAACACATGATGTCTATACTGGCTGGAGTGAGGGCTATCATGACTATCTACGCCTACCGTTCATCAAGGCCTTATACAGCGGCCCCGCGATGGTCTCCCTCTTCTTTGTTCTGTCGGGATACGCTCTTTCATACAAGCCGGTCAAACAGATGCGCAGCGGAGAGTATGACGTACTGTTTTCTGGCTTAGCCTCATCTGTGTTCCGCAGAGTGGTCCGATTGTATCTACCTTGCGTCGCCTCGACACTCGTCATTGTAGTGCTCATACGTCTTGGATTCTACAGCCGTACCTACGAGCTCGCTACCGATGCTGATCGCTTGCAGGGTACGCGTGAGCATCATGCCTGGCGTTATGACACCACAACTGAGCAACTCTGGATCTGGATCAGAAGTTTTTCGGGTTTCATGAACCCATTCAAGGAAACTGGACTTGGAAAGGGCATTTACATGGATGGCCATCTATGGACGATCCCTGTCGAATACGTATGTTCATAAACACAGCGTCGGTCCTTTCCCAACTCCCTTGACTAATCTTTTCTTGCAGNNAAAGCGTCTATTATCTTATATGTGACTCAACTTGGACTTTCTCGCCTACGACCCATTCTCCGCATGCTGAGTCTGGTCTGCTTGCTTGCATGGACTCACAGTGTAGATTACTGGACGATGACACTGTTCTATGCTGGCTTCCTCATGGCTGAGCTGGATATTCGGCGGAGTGCTGCAAAGGCATCGTATAAGAGCGACTCAAGTAACACGTCAAAGTGCTTCTGGTCCATCATCTACATTATTATCTTCATGGCTGGAGTTTTCCTATGCGGCCAGCCTGAAAGAAACGTCGAAAACACTTACCTGTGGTCTACGATTATCCCTCTAGTACCCAATTACATCATCGACAGATGGAGATACTGGACATCCTGGGGAGCTCTTTTAATTGTTTACTCAACATCGAACGACGAACTACTTCAATGTCTGTTCACAAACCGTGTATCGCAGTATCTGGGCAAGATTTCTTTCTCTTTGTATCTGGTACACGGGTTTATCATCCATACCATGGGCTATAGCTTGCTAGAGATCTCTTGGAGTCTCATCGGCGAGGAGAAGAAGGAGACCTGTTTTATCTTCATGGCCACTTGTGTCATTGTGACAACAGTTTGGTGGGCTGATGTGTTCATGCGGTTGGTAGATATACCGTCCGTCAAGTTTGCAAAGTGGCTGGAAGGAAAATGTGCTGCTAAGAAACCGATGGAAATCAAGGAGGAGCCTGCGTGGCGAGATGCAAGCACTCTTGTGTAGTCACATATAGCCGTACCAAGTTGCACACGAATTTCCAGTTTTACGAACTTCAGAATCTCTTATCCCAGTGTCTCAACATCGTCCTCGTTCAAATACCTATTTTTATGTGATGCAGACAAGGAAAAGAAGTGGCTGGCGGCCGAGGAATGTCATAGATGCCATCTCTCCTTGTTAGGAGGTCTAGAGCCATTCACACAGAGACATGTACTTGTGTGGAAGAGAGCTAAGACCACGAAGACCGTTAGTCTGGTCATGTATAAGTCTTCTTGCAATGTCTCAAGATACGATTGTAAGATTGTATAGCTACACCTCATTCGAACATAAGACCGAAAGAGCTCTAACTGCATCTCTTCAGCTCCATCTTGCAAGAAGTATGACCTGTCACAACACCCATGGTATTCTTGGGCATCGTGCAATAAGACATCTTCAACTCCTCTCTACTCTCCTCTGTTCCGATATCCAGTCGAGTGAGTATTTCCATCAATGCCACGTACAAGATGTCAATGTTGCCATCTTCAATCTTGACTGCTATGCCCAAGCCACCTGTAGCTCCTAGACGTCTCGTAGCCTCGCAGTCTCGGATTCCAATGCCGTAGCAGCCTTCTGCACCGAGTTTGCCGACTAGGGCGCCGGAGAATAATCGCATGAGATCAGTGCAGAAACGAGAGTCGCCGGCAATCATTTCTGGGTGCATTGCCATTGCGTGATAGATGCGTGCCTGATCCCGCATGAATGTCTCGGAGGCAGAAGCGGTGAAAGACTCTTCATTCTGATCTGCGGCATAGGCTAGTTTCGCAAACATCAAGGCCAGATTTCGGAGAGGCAATGCCGGCGAAGGTGCATTGCAGCCATCGATGACCCACCGAATCTCTTGGGGCTTCAGGTTGGCGAGTTCTTCGTGGACTTGCTTGATCTTCAATTGAACAGAATGTGAAGGGTCGTGGTAGTTTTCGGTTCCAACACCAAGGGTTTGTGCAGCAGCGAGCATGCCTACATGTTTGGCAGAACAATTGCTGTAGATTGCCGTGGGCGTGAAATCTGCTTTTAACCATTTGGTGTTGATGACTGTCGAGAGAGCAGGATGACCACCACAATTCATATCTTGCTCCGTCACATTTGCCTTCTTCAGCATAGCAGTAACGCGAGTGATGTGTTTGTCTTCGCAGTTATGAGAGCCAGATATCAGTGCCACATCGGCCTCGTCGAAGCCAAACTTCTCAGCCGCTCCGGTCTCCAGAATTGCGAGTGCTTGGAAAGGCTTTGCGGCTAACCGCGCGAGTGTTAGGCGAGATGGATCGCCAAGGGAATACAGGAGGTTGTTTTCGCTGTCGACGATGGCGGCGTGAACTATGTGACTGTTCTCAAGGACATCGCCACGCCAGTTCAGAACAAGGTCGTGAGCATCCATGTTGTTTGACGACGAACAATGATTGAGACGTGCTTGATGGGTTGACCGTTACCAAGATCGAAATCGCGAATTCAAAGAATGTAAGGAAAGATGACACGCCCTTCTTTTGATATCCTTGCGATGTCGTCGTTCGATTGACCACGTTGTGTTCTGACCTGCTCAAAGAGGAAAGGTCGATCCCGAGCTTGAGAGCTGAAGCACGCCCATTGCGAGCTGTCAAGCAGGAAGCGTGTCGGGGGCGAGACAGACATTTTGGTCAGAGAAGAGCTTTTCGCGATTCCTCAAATATGTTCTACATGTGAAGAAGAAAGATGCAATGAAACAGGTCGTGTTATGGCAAGTCATGCAGAAAGAACGACCGGCCAAAAGTCTTGGTCAGCTTCGCTTCGCGGTGGACAAAGGCCTGAGCGTGCCTTCTTGCTTCACTTGCTCTGGGCCGCGCAACCATCCATCTCTCAAGAACAACACATATCTCTTTCATTGTATCACCATGTCAAAAATCGAGCTCAATATATCAGAGAGGTCCCGACGAGGCTAAGTCACAGCTTGAGATCTGCCTCAATATCCGATGACATCCTTCAGTGAAGCTTCAAATAGTGATGGCTCGCGACACCTTCATAGTCGGCAGAGCAACCAAAAACCAAGTGTCATGTCTACAGACGGCCGGTGATCAGATCCATTAAAGATCAGTATCAAAACGGTAGATTGTTCATACATAAATTCGAGTTGTCTCCTTCATATCCTCCCCACTGATTGAGTCGTTCACCTCTTAACTTGTTCCCCTCTTCCAACTCGTCCCTCTACTCCACATGCTATTTCAGCTTGCTTTACTTCTTAATTTTCTTTGCTTTGATCATCACTAGGACACCATGTCCGCTCCCGAGACCCTCAAGCGGTCCGCCGAAGAGGCAGCAACACCTTTCGAAGGTCACACCAAGCCACGCAAGAAGAAACGCTGCCGCAAACCTACATGCGTTGTGTGTGACACCAAGAAGTATTTCAACCAGTTCCCAAGCCAAGCAAAGGTCTCTTCACACGATCACGGCGCGAATGTCTGTCGTCCCTGCTACACCAGCCATCTGGAAGTTGAGATCGACTCAAAGAACTGGGAAGATGTTGCATGCCCAGAATGTCCGGTCAAATTGACCTACCAAGAATTCGAGAACATGGCAGCCCCCGAGGACTTCGCCAAGTGAGTTGTCCGACCTTCGAATACTGTTAGCCTCGCTGACAAAACATGATTTAGGTGCGAGCGAGCATCCATCAGAGCAACTCTCGCGGCAGATCCAGACTTCAAGTTCTGTTTCTCTTCGACCTGCGATTCTGGTCAACTCCATCCGAGTGGCGCGAGTGAGCCCATCTTCTCCTGTCAAGCATGCAGACACAAGCACTGTGTCGTTTGCGAGACGAACTGGCACGAGGACCAGACCTGCAGCGAATATCGAGCCACACTCCATCGTAACACCGAGAACGACGAAAAGTCACAGAAGGAAGTCGACAAGATTTCAAAGCCATGCCCAGAATGTCGTGTCCCTATCCAGAAAAACCAGGGCTGCGACCACATGACTTGTGAGTGTTCTTTGCTCTTCCAGATTTACACATGACGCTGATACACAATCAAGGCTNCGAGATGCCACCATCAATTCTGCTGGATCTGCTCTGCATCGTACGCTAACATCGGAAGAGAGGGCAACCACCGCCACGAGACGAGTTGCACACACTACCGTGCACCCCCATCAGCCGAGGTCCTCGAGGTTCAAAGCCGCAGAGCCGAAGAAGCAAGGCGCAGAACCGAAGAAGCAAAACAAAGACAAAACGAGTTGGCTCGCAGAAACCGTGAGCAGCGGGAAGCACTGCAGCGAGCTCAGAGAGCTGCACTTGCCGCAGGTCCAGCCTCAGCTCCTCCACCACTTGGCAGCTCTGCTCTTTGGAGGACAATTGAACCAGAACCTTAAGCTGTGCCTGCTACTGCCGTCACTTTAGCTTCAGCTCCAAGACTCCCGCGACTGGAACGTCCTAGACGCAGAGACGACGACGATGACGAGACCGCTGCCGCTGCGATGTTTGAGATTCCCAGAGGGGTCGACTCTTCCCAAATCTTCGCTGGTAGAATTGTTAGACCACACCCAAATCCAGCCATGGCCCGGGCTCTATCTCAGGTTCAGGCTGAGATCCAAGCTCAGACTCCAAACTAGACATCGGAGTGAATCGCGCATGGTTGTAGAAGCACATCGTGTGACTACGACTCGAAGCATGTGAAGGAACTTTTCTATTCACGTTCACGAGGTTGATAAGAATATGTAATGAGTACAATGAAAATGTCTCCACTCAGACTTCTCTTGATTGCAGAAAATGGTTCACAAAGTCTTTGTCTTTTCACAACAGGACTTTCGTCAAAAAACCACAAACTTCGAGTCTGCCAGAATATCTCAGGAACCAGCCCAAGAGTATCCAACAACATAAGCTCCCTCATCTCCCCTCATCCATCTCCTCATCTCTCCTCTCACCCTTCTACACCCATTCCTCAACCTCAACCTCGGATCGCAGACTTAACAGTGCTTAACATCAGCATCCTTGTAGATACAAGCATTGGAAGGACCCTCCTTGAGCGTCGAAGGCTCCTCATCATTGTTGTTGGTACCCTTGTACTCCTGGCAGATATGCTTGACAGACGAAGCGCAAGTGTTGGTGATGGTGGCAGTGTCGCCGTAGTTGCTGTTGATGCCGACGAGGTACTTGCCGTTTGTGGCCTTGACGTTGTTGATGGTGACTTTTCTTGCTTTGCTGTTTTGCGACTAGTCAGTACGCGTCTGCAGATTTTGAGGAATAACAGGCAGGGGGAGGGGAAGTAGAGAAGACACATACCCATTTTGCTTGCAGTTACCACAGCTACGGTAAAGTTTTCCAAAGTCCTCGACGGTAAAGCCGTCAATAGTGATGGACCCAACACCATTATGCTGGATAACCTTATCCTCAGCACCGCGGGCACCACCACCAATAACCTTACCATTACCATCGCCCTTGAAGGTCAACGCATCCTCACAAACCGCATCCCACCAAACATTTTGGATGGTGCAGGCGCCAAGACAATGCACACCTTCACTCTGATCCTTGCCAATGATGGCGTTCTTGAGTGTAGCACCGTCTTCGAGCACAAACACCGCGTCAGCGTTTCCGCCTTCGGCTTGGCCGCCGCAGGAAACGCCGCGTCCGTAGGTCTTGTAGCCGCCGTCGAAAGTGGCACTGATGCTCTTGGCGGTCTTGTAGGTAACGGAGCCTTTGCTGGCGGGGATGGGGAAGCTGGAGGAGGCGCGGGTGCGCAGGGGGCCGGAGCGTTCGGCGGCGGCGATGGAGAGGAGGCCGGCGAGGATGAAGGAAGCGTTAAAGTGCATGGTTGCTGTTGCTTGGAAGGGAAGAGGAAGAAGTTTGAATGAGTGACTTTCGAAGGGAAAGAATGTGGTTTGCTTGTCTTGTTTCTGGAGCACGGCTCTGAAGGAAAGGGAAATGTAGAAAAGCGAAAGAACTGGTGATATATATACTTGCTTGATGTACGGTGTTGGAAGTGTGCTGCCCGCAAAGCGCATCGAGACCTGCTGTTCCGATATTGCACTGTATAATTGAAACAACGACATACTTCCAATGTTTTGGCACGCTCGATCTCGTCTATGGATCTCAAGCTGGAGTGACCATGTGGTGTAAAAGCCCCAGGGACAACGCTTTGGCAGAAGCATATTACACATAAGGCAAGTAGGGTGTCGATGCCCGCGAGTCAGGCTGATTTGAGCACCTCGGTAGCGAGCAGCCTTGAAAGGTGATTGCTCATTGATCCCAGAGATGCAGAAGAATACGAGGACCCGGCATCGCGATGCGCAAGGGCATAGTCACAAGGTTGTTTGATGCGGTCTCAACCCAATCACTCTATCGTTGCCCAGACTCACTCTGGAGCCGAGACCGAGAGGAAAGTGAAGTCCATCGTGCTGCGAAGTTCGTACAACAGTATCACAACTTCGCAGTAAACACGCAGCAGATATCGTTTTCCTCTGATATCTGTTTCCATAACCGTCGTGCTATGCCTGAATAGATCCTTTCACATGCTGATCTTTGTTCGAACAACCACTCAACGACATTGATGTATGTCGAACCATGAAGTTGTTGATCATTAAGGTGGAGTCGACACAGCCTCAGTCTCTGAAACGTGCCAAGGCACATGCGCCAAGCCGAACGAATATGCGGATAGTCTGGATGTGACAGGCATGCAGAAAGTAGGTGTGGCTGCAGCCTGCCTGGTATTTCTTGTTAGGGTTCGTGAATGTCGTGGCAACTCCAAGGCGGGCGGGCGGGCGTTATTGCGAGGCGGCTTGGGAGCTGAAACGTTCACAGCATGAGTCCCACCATTGCTGCCAGTCGATGACTTTGTTTTCAAGCCGAGCCTCTTCCGCTGCGAAGACCAGAGCATGGCTTCTAATGACTTCTTCCAAGGTACATCCAAGGTGTTGAATCTGAGCTTGCTCAATCGACAACTCCTTGGACTTTACAGCATTGACGGCCTTGAGAAACTGAGTTGCCAGTCCGTAGTCACCACCACCATGACCTCCACCAGGTCTATGCGGACGATGGTTTGAGAACTGGCTAGTCGAGAAGTCGTAAATCGTGATTAGGGTTCCATCGTAGGAGATCTCTCCCTTCTCGCCATAGATTCGGCCTCGCCGCTCACATTGTTTCTCGGTCTGAGCGATCATGTGGAAGGATGCAGTCTTGGCCATTCTAGCTGGTGTTTCGTTGACCTTAGGGCTAGGCAGGCTGGTGTCCGATGTTCCAATCAAAGGGTCGTCGTTCCAGGAAAGAAGGACAAACTGATCATCGCACACATCATTCTCGGATTCCCAAACGCATCTCCCAAACCACGGACGTTTGTGTATCTCCTCAGGCGGCGTGTCATCATCGTAATCGACTTCAAGTGTTTTGAATAACATGTCCTTTGCCGTATCCTTACCATGGTCGTTGTAGCAGGCTTCGATCTCCGGATTGACAATATTGACTGGCCAGTCAGTGTTACCTTTGGCAAGCTGATTGTCATAGTATATCCTCGGAGCGCTGTAGGTACAAGTCTTTTCGATTGGACATTGCAGGCAGTTCGTGGCAGTGTCTGCACTCGCAGGTTTCCGAGCCTTTTGGAACTGTTTCAGAGAGCCAAACGAAGCCACTGATGACGGGACATGTGGAGGATGATTTGATCCTGGAGCCGGCGAACATAACATCCACAACAAGAAGTCAATATCATGGCATGATTTTGTTAGTAATGACGGGGCTGTTGTGGACTCTTTCCTCCAATTGCCCCTNGGTGCTTAGATCAACAATGGAAACATTTTGTGTGGAGAATATACAACTCACCTGACATAGCTGTGAGTGAAGTGCCAGTTACCGACAGGCTCGGTATGCTCCATAGAAAGCACAGGGCCGATCACTTGCTCTTCGAGGACCAATTTGCGTAGTAGCATATTGTGTGGGCTGTAGCGAAGTACATGTCCAACGCCAAAAATAGCAGATTGACCTCCTTGTTGAGAAGACATGGCTGCTGATATGGCCATACAGTCTTTCAGTGTTGTAGCCAACGGCTTCTCACAGAGCGTGTGAATTGAAAGATGACCTAAAGCTGTGATGACTTCTGCATGCTGTTCGTCAAGTATACAGATGAATATGGCGTCAATAGCAGGAGGGACTTGGCGGCCAGCAGCAGCGTCACTTCGGCGTTTTGTTTCCCATTGCAANAAGTGTTTCCAATCGTTGAACTCTTGTCCTTCTGCAGGCCCCTTGGTCGAGTTCCAGATGTACTTGGACCCTAACAGGTCGCGCTTGAAAGCTATTGGTTCTGCCACAGCAGCTACAATGCCCTGTCCAGATTCTGACACGGCCCGAGCGTAAGCAGTGCCGCGAGAGCCAGCGCCGATGATCAGGACTCGCGGAAGGGCTGAAGATGAAGTTTGAGTATTTGACATGGCCGGGAAAATACAGTATTGACACAAGACCGACTGTTCACACAGATGTTCGGGCTGATTAGGGAGGACATGTCGTTGTTGACCAGCAGTGCCGTTGTTCCGATCATCACAACGTGTTTGATCAGATAAGATGGTGGCTCGAGATGCGGAGATTGTCGGCGTTTTGCTGACATAAACTCTCGCCGCCGCGTTTGCATCATGGCAGCACTTTGGCACCCGCATACCTAAGACTCAACACAATCGAACATGGCGCTTTCAGGAAGAGATTCTCTGCTACGATGCTGTCGTAGCGCATTCAAACAAGCATCCCGAGATGCGCGCATATTCTATCCCCGCCGTCAGCTCTCACTCTCTGCTCGCCCGTCACAATTATCGCCACGATCCGCACCAGTTCCACGTTTTGCGCCATTTGCAAAAGACATTCTTCCATCACAGAACAGCCGAGCCTTCAGCGCATCGAGCCGGCAAGCGGTCAAGGCCATCATCAACCCACGGAAGAATGAGAATGGAGAAGACATGATGATTGACATCTTGCCTCGCGCCGTCAATGTAATTATACGCACTCGTAGTGCCAGCAGTACAGTATACTGATTGGGAATTCATAGCNGTCTGCATGCCATCTCTGTCAAAGAGAACAATCCATCCCTCTGCCTACGTGTCGCAGTAGAGTCAGGCGGCTGCCACGGCTTCCAATACCTCATGTCGACAACATCGCTGGACGACATATCAAAAGAGGAAGACACGGTCTTTGAGTCGGAAGATGGAAAGGGAGCCAGGGTGGTTATAGATGAGCCCAGTCTCGAGCTCCTCAGTGGCAGCAAGATTGACTACACGATGGAGTTGATCGGCAGTCAGTTCAAGGTGACGGGCATTCCGGGAGCCACGAGCAGTTGTGGTTGTGGGTCCAGTTTCGACATCCAGGCATGAGCAAGACAAAATAAATACATGTTTCGGATGGCAGTGCATGCTATCGCGTTGGACAAACCATGGCTTTTGTAGATGTACTGTCAAGTTGACAGCAGCAACTCGATTTCTTGCAACGTTGAACAAGCAAACCCAGTAACAACAGCTCTTGGAGAGCAAGAATAGCAATTTGGCAAGAGCTGGGAAACATGTCGTCCGAGCTTCGAAATTGGAGGATGAGACAGGCCGAAACGGGAATGACGAGATGCAAGCATTGAAAGTCAGCTCTAAAAGCGGATGGTGGTATAGCTGTTGGGGTGCGCGCAGGTGCAAAGGACGATCAAGAATCGTCTAGAATTGAACCACAGTTTTCTGGTTACATTGTGGCGTTCATTGGACGGCGAGAATGGCGATTTTATTCTGTACATGGAAGCTTGGGCGGCTCAGGTCTCAACGCTTCGCAGCGTCACCGCCTTTGGGTCAGACCCCGCTACGTAAAGCTGAGGTAGCGTGGAGCAACCTTAATAAGGGTCAACTCCCAATCTTTCCTTCTTGACAAGCACTCATACACACATTCACATCATGAGCGTCAAGACTGTTTCCCTCAAGCCTTTCCAGGACCAGAAGCCCGGAACGTGAGTTGTTCCCACTCTCTTGAAGCTTACTTCTCAATTGCTCGTACCCAATTGCTGACTGCCCTACCCAGCTNCCGGTCTTCGCAAGAAGGTCAAGGTCTTCCAGAAGGAGCACTACTCAGAGTCCTTCGTCACCAGCATCCTCCTGTCCATCCCCGAGGGTGTCAAGGACTCCACCCTCGTCATTGGTGGTGATGGTCGCTACTGGAACCCCGAGGTCACCCAGACCATTGCAAAGATTGGTGCCGCTTACGGCGTCAAGAAGCTCATCATTGGCCAGGACGGCATTCTCAGCACTCCCGCCGCTTCTCATGTCATCCGCATCCGCAAGGCCACTGGTGGTATCTTGCTGACCGCCTCGCACAACCCTGGTGGTGAGTTGCTGCAACCTTCCAATTCAACAAGACACGTCAGCTAATTGCCTTTTGCAGGTCCCGACGAGGACTTTGGTATCAAGTACAACCTCGCCAACGGTGCCCCCGCTCCCGAGAGCGTCACCAACAAAATCTTCGAGACTTCCAAGACCCTCACCGAGTACAAGATTTCTGACATTCCCGATGTCGACCTCGCCTCCATTGGCTCCAAGACCTACGGCGACCTCGAGGTTGAGATTATCCACTCGACCGAGGACTACGTCAAGATGCTCAAGGACATTTTCGACTTTGACCTGATCAAGGCTTTCCTCAAGGAGCACCCCGACTTCAAGATCCTCTTCGACGGTCTGAGTGGTGTCACCGGCAACTACGGTATCGACGTCTTCGAGAAGGAGCTCGGCCAGAAGGGCTCCACCCAGAACTGCATTCCCAAGCCCGACTTTGGTGGCCACCACCCCGACCCCAACCTCGTCTACGCCGCCAGCTTGGTCGACGCCGTCGAGAAGAACAACATCCACTTCGGTGCTGCTTCTGACGGTGACGGTGACCGCAACATGATCTACGGAAAGGGCGCCTTCGTCTCTCCCGGTGACTCGCTCGCCATCATTGCCCACCACGCCGAGCTCATTCCCTACTTCAAGAAGCAGGGTGTCTACGGTCTGGCCCGTTCCATGCCTACCTCCGGCGCCATCGACCTTGTCGCCAAGAAGAAGGGTCTCGAGTCATACGAGGTCCCCACTGGCTGGAAGTTCTTCTGCGGTCTGTTCGACGCCAACAAGATGAACATCTGTGGTGAGGAGTCTTTCGGTACTGGTTCCAACCACGTCCGTGAAAAGGATGGTCTCTGGGCTGTCGTTGCATGGCTCAACATCATTGCTGGTGTTGGTCAGCAGAAGGGCGAGACACCCAGCATCAAGTCTATTCAGCAAGACTTCTGGAAGATCTACGGCCGCACTTTCTTCACCCGTTACGACTACGAAGGCTGTGAGTCCGAGGGTGCCGAGAAGATGACTGCCCACATGAAGGAGCTCATCACCACCAAGAAGGACGAGTTTGTCGGCTCCACCATCTCGGGACGCAAGGTCATCGAGGCCGACGACTTCAGCTACACCGATCTTGACGGCAGCGTCAGCAAGAACCAGGGTATCTACGTCAAGTTTGACGATGGCAGCAGAATTGTTGTCCGTCTTTCGGGCACTGGCTCCAGCGGTGCCACCATCCGTCTCTACGTCGAGAAGCACGATGCCGACGAGAAGACATACGAGATGGACGCACAAGACTACCTCAAGGACAATGTCAAGCTCGCTACCGACCTACTCAAGTTGCAGGAGTTCATTGGCCGTACCGAGCCCGATGTCAAGACCTAAATGTGTCGCGTGGATTGAGATGTAGCATTTTAATATAACGACTTTTGCATGTACGGAAACAAGAGGGTACATAAGACACGAAAAGAAAAACAGTTCAAATTTTATATCATTGATGAAATGACTTGAGGGTCTTCACAAGATCTAGTGATTCGATGTGCAAGACTGAAGTAGCTGTGACACTTACCAGATAGGTTACTTATTATTTGTCCGTATCTAAGAAGCCAGGTCGCGATTGCCACCATTTCTGTCAGGATCTTGCTTGCCAGAGGTAGCACCGAAACCTTCCGCTTCGAGACTCTGCACCGTTGTCTGAGCCTCTTGCGCGCCGACCTCTCTTGTGATCTCCTTGGGCTTGACCTCCTTATCGCCAATTATCGCGCCTTGAGCATCACCATCCACCTCTTCCATTTCCTTGCCCGTCTTCTCCTCTGGCTCAGCACCATTCTGGAAAAACACTCTCTGGTAATACCTCGCTTCCTCGATACTCTCCAGGATATCTGCTCTAGCCTCGTGTTTCCCAGCCTTTTGGGGCGAGTGTTTGAGCACAGGCAATGGCGCCCATCTTTTTGCTGCCTCTTTTATCGCCGAGACGTCGAGGATACGGTGGTGTAGCCATTTAATCACTGGTGTGTATGGTTGCAGCACCAAGAATGCTCTATCGGCATGTACAGTATTGCCAGCCAACAATGCCTTTTTGCGATCTGGACAGTATTGTTGCACATAGTTTAACAGCTCTTCTGCTGCTTGTTCTGCTGTTGTTGTGGAGGCTAGGCAAGCGGCTGTTAACCCGGTTTTTGCGTGTTGGTTTGTGCACCATTCGCCCATCGCATCTAGTTGATCCTGGGAGTGGTGGATGATTGCTTCGTAGCCGTTGGGATCGAGGAGATTTAGCTGTGCGTCGGTGACGAAACAGCACAGGGACATTATGGTGTCTTTTGTGGTGTCGAGGCCGGTCATTTCGCAGTCGATCCAGACCAAAGGGTGTTTGGAGCGGGACTCGGGCATGGTGGGTGTGGAGGAGAAGTGACGTGGGATGGAGGTATAGATACGAAGAGGCTGGAGGAAGGTCGAGGTGATGCGAAGAGTGAGAGAGCGAAACATACAATTGTGTGCAGAGAACGAGGTCAATTGAAAATATACTAGATGATGACGCGGGTGCTGGAAGTGTTGCTGGGTCGATTGCTGTTTTGGGTTAGATTGATTGATGCGCTGCGGGCGGCTTCGCGTGCGCGACACGACGCGTGCCGGCAACAATCAGTTGCATCCATCTCCTTGTGTCTTGTTTATTGCAACATCCATATACCCAATTCTACACAATCATCTTTCCACAATCATGCCTCCAAGCAGGGCAAATGCACTGGCCGAACTCCGTGCTGCCAGAAAGGCCGGCAAGACAAACTTCTCGTCCTACGAGGTCCAGGACGAAGAACAACTTTACGAAACCGTCGACGAGGACAGCTACAAGAAGATTGTCAGAAAGAGACTCGATCAGGATGACTTTGTCGTCGACGACAACGGCGAAGGATATGCAGACGACGGCCGTGAAGACTGGCAGAACGAACAACGACAAGATTATGATGATGAGAGTGACGATGACCTGCCCACGAGGAGCCAGGCTGGTAACTACCCATCCTCACTCCTTCTGCACACTACAGCATACTGACTCTCACAGNCAAAACGCAAGCGTGAGGAAGACGCGCAGAAAAAGGACAAGATCAACAAGGGCATCAGCAAGTACTTCAACGCAAACCCTACTGTAGCTGCACCAAAGCCCAAGCAGGCTTCGACCGCCGAAGATGCCGCTTTCATGGCCGACCTTCTCGGTGAGGTCAATGCCAACATTCCCTCATACAAGCCTAGATCGACCATGAACCCCGTCAAGTCCGAGACCCGCCGCAAGACCAGAGTCCTGTCACCGCCCGTTCAACAGATGAGCCATGTCCCCACATACGAACCGCGAACCCGCAAACTCGAATCTCCGCCAGCACCAGTCGACGACGACACGTATTTCCCAATGGACGAAGGTCTTTTCCCACCACCTGAAGACAACGACGTGCCAATGAGCGATCCTCTTCCTTCATCCCCTGTCGCAAAGGCTGCGCAACGAAAAGAGTCAAACGTAAAGGTCGAGGAAGACGACGACGAAGACATGCTCGAGGTTGCTCAAGTCACGAATCAGTCTTCTCGAAGCACAGCCGCCATCAACATGCGTGGAAACAGACCAATTCCAAAGATTACAAAGACCGACTACCCAACGCCCGCAAGCTCTTCTCCTTCACGGCAGGTCCCTGAAGCTATCGATACATCGGCGTTGACAAATGTCACCGACAAATTGAATGTCTTGAGCAGTTCTGGTGTAGAGACTGTCACTTTCGGCAAATTGGACCCTCAGCATGCTCAAGAGGAGGATGGCAGTGTGCGCTTCTTCTGGTTCGACTACACTGAGATCAATGGCAGTCTCTGTCTTTTCGGCAAGGTCAAGGACAAGTCTACTGGTCGATTCGTCAGTGCCTTTGTCAAGGTTGACAACGTCATGCGCAAACTCTTCTTCCTTCCCCGCGAATACCGTAGGAAGCAAGGTCGTGAGACAGATGAAGAGGTTGAGATGGGCGATGTTTATCAAGAGGTGGATGGTCTCATGTCCAAGTTCAATGTCAACATGCACAAGATCAAGCCATGTTCGAGGAAATACGCATTCGAGTTGCCAGACATACCGAAAGAGGCCGACTATCTGAAGCTGCTTTATCCATACGACAAGAACCCTTTGCCCATGGACATACAAGGAGAGACCTTCTCGCACGTCTTTGGTACCAACACTGCGCTTTTCGAACAGTTCGTTCTCTGGAAGAATATCATGGGACCTTGTTGGCTCAAAATTGATGCGAGCAGTATCAACTTCAATGCTGTCAAGAACGCTTCCTGGTGCAAGTTGGAGATGCTCGTCGACAAACCTCAAGGCATGTCAACTCTTGGAGATACTGACAACCTTGACGCTCCACCATTAACATTGATGAGCATTGCTCTCAGGACAAAGTTGAACGAGAAAGACAACAAGCAGGAGATCTTACTGGCCAGTGCTCGTATCTACGACAGCATGTCTTTGTCAGACACGACAGCTCCAGAGAAACTTCCTTGCAAGACATTCACAGTCATGCGTCCGAATGGTCCAGATTACCCTGTAGGATTCAAGACAGACGCCGAGAAATACCGAGGTAACATCCAATGCGAGAGGAGCGAGGGTGCACTTCTCAGCAAGTTCCTAGCCTTGCTTGATCGTAACGATCCGGATGTTTTGATCGGCCACAGACTTGACGATGTCGACTACACGCTCTTGCTCAACAGAATGAGAGAGTGCAAAACCCCTGGATGGCACCGCATCGGAAGACTGAAGCGTCATGACTGGCCCAAGAACATTGGCAAAGGTGGTGGCAGTTTCTTTGTCGAGAGACAGCTGGCTGCTGGAAGATTGCTCTGTGACTTGGGCAACGACATGGGCAAGTCTCTGATGACAAAGTGTCAGTCCTGGAGTCTGGATGAGATGTGCGATCTTGTTCTTGGCGGCGAGAACAAGCGTCGTGATATCGACAATGATGTATTGCTCAAAATGGCTACCAACAGAGCCGGTCTGATGCAGTACATCAAGCTCACCGAAGCAGACACATTCTTCATTGCTGCCATTGCTTTGAAAGTCCAGATGCTTCCCNTCACCAAAGTCCTCACGAACTTGGCTGGAAACTCATGGGCTAGAACACTGAGTGGTACCCGTGCTGAACGTAACGAATACATTTTGCTCCACGAGTTCCACAAGAACAAGTACATCTGTCCTGACAAGATTTGGGGCAAAGGTAAAGCCAAGTCTGATGAGGACAACCCTGAAGGAGATGAGGGGGCGGATGCAAAGAAGAAGGACAAGTTCAAGGGTGGTCTGGTCTTTGAGCCCGAAAAGGGTTTGTATGACAAGTTTATCCTGGTCATGGACTTCAACTCGCTGTACCCCAGTATCATCCAGGAGTACAATATTTGCTTTACCACGGTTGAAAGATCGGAAGNNTCGTAAGTTGGGACGAATCATTTCCGGAAATCACAGCTAACAAACGATTAGAACGAAGATGAGGAAAAGGTTCCCGAGGTCCCATCGGATACCAATAACAAGGGTATCCTTCCCCGACTGATTAGAACACTCGTCCACCGCCGTCGTGAAGTCAAGAAGCTCATGAAAGACAAGACCGCCACTTCTGACCAACTCGCAACCTGGGAGATCAAGCAGATGGCTTTGAAGTTGACTGCCAACTCCATGTACGGATGTTTAGGTTACACCAAGTCAAGATTCTACGCTCGTCCTCTTGCCATGCTCACCACCTACAAGGGTCGTGAAATTCTGCAATCGACCAAGGATCTGGCAGAGTCTGCTCATGGTCTGAGAGTCATCTATGGTGACACCGATTCAGTCATGGTCAACACCAACGTCGACAACATCATGGATGCCATGAAGATTGGAAACGACTTCAAGAAGAGCGTCAACGAGCGATACGAACTTCTCGAGATTGACATTGACAACATCTTCCGCCGTCTGCTCCTGCACGCAAAGAAGAAGTATGCTGCAGTCAACATGATCGAAAAGGATGGCAAGTGGATTGATAAACTGGAAGTCAAGGGTCTTGACATGCGCAGAAGAGAGTACTGCGCATTGAGCAAGGATACCTCAACCGAGCTCTTGAACTTCCTGCTATCGGGTGAAGATCCTGAAACTGTCGTCTCCCAGATTCACGATCATCTCAGGGAAGTCGCTTCGCAGATGCGTGCCAACACCATCCCGCTCCGCAAATACACCATCTATACCCAGTTGGGAAAGAATCCCAAGGAGTATCCCAATGGAAACAGCATGCCTTCTGTGCAGGTTGCATTGAAACTGATGGCCAAGGGCAAGCACGTCAAGGCCAAGGATGTCATGTCCTACATCATCTGCAACGACTCCTCTGGCAGCGCGGAAAAAGCAGCAAAGAATGCTTTCCCCGTGGATGAAGTCCTGCGTGCTGAGAACGAACTCATACCTGACATCGATTATTATCTGCATAAGCAAATCTTGCCGCCGGTCGAACGTCTTTGCGCTCCCATTGAAGGCACTAATGTTACTTTGCTTGCTGAATGCTTAGGCCTCGATACCACCAAGTACCGCGTCAGCAGTGCTAGCGGCGGAAACTCCTACAACGCCGAGACTGAAATCCATCCCTTGGAATCGCAGGTCCCGGATGAGATTCGCTTCAAGGACTGTGCTCCACTGGGCCTTATGTGTCTTGCCTGCCGCACACCATTCCAATTCCGCGGTCTGGGTGTTGCCGCGTCTCCAGATGCTGAGACCAGACTTGCAGTTGTGGACACCGATGGCTTGCACTGTCCAGCCGACCCTTGCGGAAACCTAATGTCGCAATTGGCCATGGCTGCCCAACTCGAATCGCAGATCCGCGCACACTGCGCGCAATACTATGCAGCCACACTCGTTTGCGACGAAGCCACTTGTGGTCACCGCACACGCCAGATGAGCGTCTACGGTACACGCTGTCTAGGTCCCCGCGGTCTTGCTTTTGGCTGCACAGGGCGCATGCAACTCGAATACACAGAGAAGCAACTGTATAACCAATTACTGTTTTTGCAGCGATGCTTTGACGTTGAAAAGACTTTGCAGGAACAGGCAAAGAGGAAGACTGAAGAGGCGGAGAGGGTGGGTGTGTTGGCTGAGATGTTAAGAGCGAGGTTTGGGGTGCTGAGGGGTGTTGTAGAGGGGTATCTTGATAGGAGTGGGTGGGGATGGGTCAGTATGGATGGGTTGTTTGGGTTTGCGCTCAAGGCTTTGTCATAGGTTAGAGCAATCTTTAATGAGGATAGGGCGTTGATGTAGGGCTTAGGCATAGTAATGAAGTCGATTCCAAATTTCCTCTTATTGTTGGCAGCATGTGTAGTTGCTCTGTTGTGCTGTGTTTCTTGCCTCTATACCCATTTCCTCACTTTCACCATTGTCTCGTGCTCTGGATCCTTGTTCTTCACTTTGTTTCCAAATCCTCTCGCAATCCCTTCTCCAGTCTTCTTCCTTGAAGTCATTTGGCCATCCATACTCCTCCATTGATATCTTTTTCGTCGTATCGTACTTTTTGCTTAAAATCAGCACTAACCATGACAGAAGCAATATATAAAGCGAGAAATCACCTACCCCTACCCCTTTAGTACAGAAAATGCCTACACCATACACTCGTCTCGGTATCCAAGTCAAATTGCGCAGATGATCTACACATCCCTGTAGAAACTCGCAAGGGGCGTGAATGGGGAAACGTGTATAATGGTCTGAGGGAGAGGAAGTGTTGAAGTCGTGTCTTGCGTCNTTCGTCAGGCCTGCTAGGGAGTTCCCAAGAACAATGCCTGACTACATCTGTTTTTGCTCGTCAGTCATACCACTCTTTTCCTCATGAAAAGGCAGAGAGAAGTCAGANAGGGAAAGCGAACTTTTAGCCGTGTCGAGGACGATGTAATTCCCTTCGTCTCCCATCAATGTCAATGCAATCTCCTCACACCCCAAAAAGTGTTTTCGTTCCAACATTTCTGGATCACGACCCAATACTATATCCTCAGACGTAACAAAACAATTCGCAAATGAGGCAGGCATGAATTCGTGTTCGAGTGCGATGTTTTGGGAGCAAGGGCAGGGTAAACGTCGCATTAGTGATATTACTGCTGGAGAGAGATGTAACTCTGCACAAAGCTTTTCGTCGATGTTTCTGCCGTCTGGAGGTGGGAAATCAATGTCTGAGGGATGCAAGTAAGAGAGGCGGAGGAGGAGAGTGTAGTATTCGGTGATTAGAGCGATGATTGCGGATTCGTTGTAGGGTGTGTGTGGCATTATGGCATAGGTGGACGATAGAGGTACAGAAAATGTTTTCCCTAGGATGGACGAATGAGGTCAACAGAGATATATATCTTGTTGATTCATGCAAAAGGATACTTTTTGTCGTACTTGCCTTTGGGCCTGTTGCTTTAATCTCGGTTACGCGATGGGCTTTCTTATGCACAGGACGCACAATATGCACAAGTTGTGCAAGGAGACTCCTACTGTCACTCGCAAGGTCCCACCTTTTGGCTTTTGTTACGTTTTGTTGACGGGTGAACTTGGTGTTGAGGAAATAGAGTATTGTTTGCGTGGATCGTGAGGTATGAGGAAGGACCTACAACTCACACTTCCCTTTTGTGTTTGCAGCTTGTGTACTTGACAGAGACGATTAGATGCAGCGTTCGAGTGTGATCATGCACACCACATTTCTCGACAATTTTCATGGCGTTCCTTCATGCGCAGTGTCATTATCAGCTAGTGCTCTCCTAGTAAGTATCCTATACTTGATGGTTGTGGTGTTACGATACACCCTACTTCTCAACCTTATTCACATCCTCCACAAACGCAGCACCACCTTCACTACCTCTCTTCTCTTCACTCATCTTTTCAGCACCATGCTCCACATCCCCACTCAAACTGATCCTCACAGGCTGACTCTTGCCAGTAAACTTGTGGATTCCTTCTCTGCCACCCTTGACAAAGAGATAGTCCACCTCTTCGAGTGTCAAATTGGAAGTCTCGGGCNNTGTGTAATATGTCAGTGGTGGTGTTTGGTACAGGAGACATGGATGAAAACATACATAGCAGAAATAGACTAGGGGCACAAAAGCGAGGTTTGTGCACATGAAGATGAGGTAGGCTTTCCATTGCAGGTTGTTAATGAGGGTGGGTGTGATCATGACAACCACAAAGTTCTGGGGCTCATGTTAGCGATGATTGTGATATGGCATCAAAAGGACCGAGNNACTCACCCAGAGCCAGTTTGAGGAGATTCCGATAGCGGTTCCCTTTGCTCTCGCATGAAGAGGTAGAATTTCAGGCACATATACCNNCTGCAACATGTTAGCACTTTGCAACCAAATACGATTGAACAAAGAATCTTACCATGGAATACAGTTTGCCGATGCTCCAAATATAAACATCTGGACGATGATCAGTATCGCTTTTGGTGACAAGTGTTAGCTAGGTAACTTACATATGTAAAAANNGAAAGCAACACTCGCACTCGCAGTCGCGGTATTAAGCTTCTGCGAGTACCCGCGATCCGGTGTGAAACTCAACAGGACTGAAATGAGCATCATAGATATGGCGAGACCGAAAGATCCCCACATCATGGGCNNTGTTGCAAAATTTTAGTTTCGAGTTCAGTGTCGTCAAGCGTACGGATTACTCACTCGTCTTCTGCCCATTCTGTCGAGCAAGAACGTGGGGACCAAGGAACCGAAGAAAAACATTGTTTGCACGAAACCACCTAAGGGGAAGGGATTGGGTCAGCTCCATTCAGCTGTTGAGAGGTTCGATTGGGACAAACCTATGAGGAGCGACAAGTTGTGTGAGAGATGGACGTTATTCTCAAGGGCGGTAGGCACGAAGTANACTGTTTCTACATCAGTAAGGGCGATCAAATTGGATAGAAATATTCAGACTCACACAACTAAATTGATACCTCCGATTTGGTTCATGAATTGCATGCCATAGGCAAGGAGAACACGTTTTCCAGTTTGCACCTCGTCTTGCTTGAAGATCTGGCTCCACCTGTGGGGATGCTCGTTAGTATCTTCCGCTTTGGAGACAGGTATAATGTGATTCTCGTACTTGTATTCGCCATGCTCGCGCTCCAGTGCGAGAGCATCCAGAATATCCTTTTGCTCTTTCGCGATCTTCGGATCATCCGGTGTGCCATCGTACACATCACACAGAACCTGTAAAGCCTCTTCGTTACGACCTTCTTTGTAGAGATATCTGGGTGACTCGGGGACGCCAAGGACCATGATTACAACAATCTGTTTGTGTCAGCGGGTGTGGCCAGATATTGACTCAAGAGTACATACAATCGCGAAGAAAATCTGGCAAGCGATTGGTAGGCGCCATGCGATCGGTCCTCCAGCATAGGCGATACCATAATCGAAGAAGTAGGCAATAACGATACCGACGCCGACGAAGAGAGGCTCAGAGCTGACAACGCGACCACGCTTGTGTGCTTCGACCAATTCACTCTGGTACATGGGAACAGTACTGGTCTCGATACCGGTTCCAATACCCGTGATGTAGCGAGCGACTAGGATTTGAGGAACGCCGTAAGAGGTTGTTTGCAGGATTGCGCCGACAATCNNTAAGCCAATCAATAAGGATACGATATCCCTCTTCGATCTGAAACGTACAATGAAAACCATGGCGATCCACATTGATAGCCGTCGTCCAGCTTTCTCTCCGCCCAAGAAGGCCAATATACATCCACTGAAGGCTCCCNNTATTCTCAGTCAGTTTTGGTAGATACCGTCTAAGGACAAAGATGGCAGTACGAGGTTGTATATCGAAACGATAATGCCTTCAAGTCCACTGCCTGGATGGCCGAATGTCTCTAGCCAATCTGCGTCTCCAACGATGCCGGAAAAGACTCCCTGATCATCTGCTTGTTGTTAGAGTCCAGGAAAGTGAATATCACTAATGGTACACATACAGCCGAACAAGATGAACGCAAGCNNTATGATACGTCAGAACAGGTGTGCTTGTCATCTCTTGAATGTGCTTACTTGACAAGTGATCATGATAGCTATCTGCAGCGGCCTGCCGCGCCCGAACATATTAAAACGAGGCATGATGTGATATGTGTCTGCTACCGCCAGCGACAAGAGGGGAAGAGAAGAAGTGGAATCTGAGTCAAGGCCGCAGATCGCGTGCGGCATTCGACCTACATATAAGAATCATGCTGCCGCACAACTCTCCGACAGATGATATGACGACAGCTCTATTCATTGGCTGTGAGTCTAATGGCATCGGTAAATGTCCAGGAAGTATGGCAATGTATGAATCAGGCAATCGGCTCGCCATCTACGTGCAGATGTAGTACATGAGTACACGATCTGTATCATACCGTGGGATGCGGGGTTAGCGGTTGCGGAGGTGGATGAACCGTGGGGTTGCAACATGGGGGAATACGTGGTGATCAGCAGGAACTCATTCACTGTGGAATAGCGTCCGTTGAGTCTATGATTGGGTGCACGAATGCAGTAATTCCGAGCGCTTAAAGACCGGGAAGTAGAAGTCTCATGAGGGGGAATGATGGTGCACAACGTACTCGGATCACCAGCTGAGGATGATGTTTAACCAGCCACGTGCATGCAACGCGTTCACATTGATCCTTCAGATGGTGAAAGTTCGAGACATTGTTTTTGAGAAGTTGGGCGTGGGTGACGTTGCAGCGGTTCAGTATTGATATTGAGTTTCGAACGCCACCTGCTTCATCGCCAGCGAGGTGTTCGTGATGCCGGATGTCGGCAAGAAGTAACTTCAAGCCTTTCCAAAATTACAGGCAGTCGGGACGAGACGAACATCTAATCAGATCAAGATGCAACGACATGGGAGCTATCCGACAAGCAGTTGATGCACTCTTCTCTGTACACTGGATGCGCGAGGGTGCAGTCAGTTGTGCAGCAGATGACAAGGTCATGTCAGAGTCGAGGAAGCCTCCAAGACCATTGTGGAGAGAGCCGCAGAGCAATGGAGATGGTCCAGAGACAATTGGTGTTGGACGCTGGTCGGATGTCTGTTTAATAAAACATGTGCTGTGTGGTTATATTCACATGAAGGCAGTCGACCCTGCCAAGACAAGATGAAATAGCAGCGAGAGCAGGAGGTCGTTCCGCTCGATGGCTCCTTCCCAGGGCAACCGTAAAGTTTGTCAAAACAAGCGGATGAAGCTTCGATATCTTGAACGTCGAAGCAGATATCCAGTCGAAAGAAGACGTTGGATTTGGAATATGTTCACCAAAAGGAGGGATTTGTTGGAGAAATCGCGATGCAAAATTGGGCGACTGGTCTAGGCCCTCGCGCGTTGGTGCAGTTGAAAGGCTAAAGTGGTAGTTTGTCCGAGAGGTCGCACTGGATGTATGGACGTCTTGTGCTCACACCAAGTTGGGCATGCTGGGCAGCCAAAGGTACTCGTAGTCATGGCGGCCGACAGGAGTTCGAAAAAAAGGGCGCGGCCTGAGGCAATCTCTCCCAATGGCAGTGACGACCAGACGCTGACGACGGCGAACATGCCCATCCGCACCTCCAAAGACGCCGCCCTCGATCAACTCGGTCTCGTGGACTTTCTCCAACACGATACACGCCCGACGTGTATCGTCGACACAACGGCAGGCTACATCGCCTATCGCAATCCCGCCCTCGAACGACTGCTCGCCGGTGCCTGGAACCTACAACACTTTCGCGACTGGGCCACGACCCTAAGCCCACACCCGCAGGCCGCAAGCTTTGGAGGAAGAGTATGGAACTGCATACTACAAGACCACAGATGGCTCATCGCTAGCGCCCAAGATGAGGCGCCTGTCGCTGTCGCCCCGAACGTCACCGTACGTGGCCCACCAATACCGCGCACCACATCGCAGAACAGCAGCAATACAGGCACATCATCGTCCGACTCACGACGCCAGTCCGTCGCATCTTCGTCATGGCGCACCGTGTCGGATGAAGGCGGTCAGCGCTACCTCGACTGGACTCGCGCTCCGTCTTCCTCCATGTCGGCCCACATGCATTTGGTTCGCAACTTTCCCTGGCAGGACACGACCATCGGCAGCATTCAGTCCTGGCCCGATGCCCTCCGACAGGCCGTCCTCTCTGCCATGGCCAACCCGGACCCACGTCTGCTGCTCTGGNGAGACGACCTCATCATGATCTACAATGAGGCCTGCATCTCCATGTTCGGCGAGCGTCATCCCCGTGCCCTGGGTTCCAAAGCCGAAGACACATGGTCAGACATCTGGGGTGACATGTACCACTTGATCAAATACGTTCAGGTCGAAGGAAGGGGCACCCGTCTGAACAAGCTACCCCTCGTCATGGATCGCAATGGATACTCTGAGGATACCTTCTGGTCTTTTAATCTGATTCCAGTCGTCGGTGCTCATGGTTCCACAATCGGCGTCATCGACGAGTTCTCCGAAGTCACGGAACAGGTCGTTAGCGACCGCCGCAGAGATGCCATTGTCAAGACTAACAGGGCCATTGCCAAAGTCAACAGCGTCAAGGAGCTCTGGTTCGAATTCCTCGAGGGTCTCGAGCCTTGCAAGGACGACATTCCCTACGCTCTTCTCCACACAAACCACGTTGCTGCCAACAATTCTTCTATGCCCGACAGTGTCTCGGCCTCTTCTGGCTCAAGTCCACAGCGCTACGCCCTCGAAGGTTCCATTGGCCTCGCTGCAGGTCATCCCGCCGTACCTTTGACATTTGATCTTGCCGACTGCGCCCATGACCAGAACCCTCTTGCTCGTGCCTGCTACAAGGCCTGGAAGACTGAAGATGTTGTTGTCCTGCAGCTCAGAGACGGTAGTCTGCCTCAAGTCCTCAATCAAGGTGTCCCTGGCCGAGCCTCGGGCGACAAGGTGCAAACCGTTTGTGTTATTCCTCTACCAGACATGTCTGGCGGCCAGACGATGGCTTTCTTGACTTTGGCAATGACTCCACGTCGACCATACGATTCAGAGGCCGCCATGTTTGCTTACTATCTGCGCGATATATTGGTCAAATCTGCCTCGGCCATCTGTCTTCCTGATGAACAGCGTCGCGCCCGTCAAAAGTTTGAACAAGTTGAAGCCTCCTTAGCTCAACAACTACGTGTCACTGCACTCGAGACTGAGCGTCTGGAGAGCCGGTTTGCACGAATGGCTCAACTTGCTCCCATAGGAATGTACGCCATTACTCCAGACGCGCGTACCACTTTCCACAACCAAGCCTATCTCGATATCACTGGCATCACCGAGCAGTCCATCGAAGCTCAGACCGACCCCTTGGAGTACCTTCACCTTGACGATCGTGAAAGGGTCATGAACGCCTGGGTTCAGTGTCTCGAAGAGAAACAGTCATTTACCATTGAATACCGTGTAAGCCGGCCGTGGTCCTTTACTGACCCAATCTCGGGAGAAACCTTGCACGGCGATACTTGGGTCTTGGCTACTGCAGCACCAGAAGTCGATGAAGATGGTAATGTCGTCCACATCCAAGGCTGGTTACTTGATGTCAGCGACCGCAAATATCATGAGAAGTCTCGCATTGAGCAAATCGAGATCGAACAGTCAGAAACCAGATTCGCCCGCCTGGCGGCAGATGCACCTTTGGGCATGTATCTTTTGAAGCCTAATGGCGAGCCATTATATCTTAACGAAGCATACTTCAAAATACTTGGCTTCACCAGAGAAGAGTTTGAGGATGCTCAGCGACGCGGATTAGGCTGGGGTGACAGGATCCACGATGACGACCAAGCCAAGGTGGGCGAGGCATGGCTGGCCCTGGCTCAACAGGGCATCCCACTAAACCTGGAATATCGCATCAAGAAAGACTGGAAGTACATGGACGAAGCTAGTGGCCTCGAGATGACGGGTGAGACTTGGCTACAAGGTACAGCCATAGCCGAGATTGGCATTGATGGTTCAGTGGTCGCGATACAAGGTTTCGTCACAGAAATATCAATGAAGAAAGCTTCGGAACGTCTGCTCAGCGAAAGACTGGAAGATGCTCTCGAACACAAGCGTCAAGCCGATCGGTTCATTGACATGACCAGTCATGAGATGCGCAACCCTCTTTCAGCTATTCTACAATCCGCGGACGGTATCCTGACGACACTCGAGAATAACAATCGTTTGGGCATATCAACTGGATCAACAACTCTTAGCGGTGATGTCTTGGAAACTGTGTTGGACTCGGCTCAAACCATCATCCTCTGCGCTCAACATCAAGGTCGTATTGTGGACGACATTCTGACGTTGAGCAAGCTCGACTCGAACCTGCTTGTGGTATCACCAGACACAGTGGACATGCCAGGCTTGATGGAGAAATGCTTCAAGATGCATGAAGCAGAACTCGTCAGAGCCAAGATCAGCATCAGCCTTCGCGTACATGCGGGTTTCCGCAATCTGGCTGTTGGTAAAGTCATGCTTGACTCCAGTCGCTTGTTGCAGGTCATCATCAATCTTCTCACCAACGCCATCAAATTCACACAGTTTGCCAGCCGCAAGCAAATCACAGTACACTTGGACGCTTCCTTGACCCGACCGAGAGAGGGAATGTATGGAGCTCCTTATGTTCCCTTCCGTGTCAACAGACCTGAACACCACTTTACCGCAGAATGGGGAACTGGCGATGAGATCTTCTTGTCGTTGTCAGTCCAAGACAGTGGAAAGGGCATGAATGACGAAGAGCTGAAGTTGCTTTTCAATCGCTTCTCACAGGCCAGTCCCAAGACTTACAAGCAATATGGAGGCAGCGGTCTCGGTCTATTCATCTCCAGAGAGCTTACCGATCTTCAAGATGGTCAGATTGGCGTGCACAGCGAGCCTGACAAAGGCAGTACATTCAGCTTCTATATCAAAGCTAGAAGAGCGGTCGACGATGACGAAACCGTTGGGGAAGGTTTACTGACCACTCCAACACTTAATACACCTGTCACATATACCCGCGATCCTGCTTCTTCCAACACCTTGCAAGCCAGCAACGATGCTCAGACACACGACAAGACACATAATGTCATCCGCAAAATGTCTGCTGTAGCAAGCGACCTTACCGAGGAGAAACTACATCTTCATGTACTTGTGGTAGAGGACAACATCATTAACCAACGGGTAGGTCCTGCCGAACGCCATTGTCATACTTTTACTAACTCATATTTCACAGNNGTCATGTCTCAACAACTCCGCCGATTAGGATGTACAGTACACCTCGCAAATCACGGTCTTGAAGCCCTTGAGTTCCTTCGTAAGACCTCCTTCTGGGCGTCCCACCCCGCATCGACGCAGAAACATGAGGGAGCACCAAGTCCGAAGACAATGCCGCATTCAAACATCATCCCTCTCTCCGTCGTCCTCATGGATCTGGAGATGCCCGTTCTCGGCGGTCTCGAAACGGTCAAAAGAATAAGAAGTCTTCAAAGTGAAGGCAGTATTATCGGGCACGTTCCCGTCATTGCAGTCACAGCGAATGCGAGAAGCGAACAGATTGCCGTTGCCATTGATCATGGTATGGACAGCGTCGTAACAAAACCTTTCAGGATCCCGGAACTGGTGCCCCAGATGGAGGGTCTGGTCAAGAGAGTAGAGCAAGGAAGGACCGGCAGAAAGTCTGTCGTGAAGGATGGAAAGTCTTCTGTTGTATGATTGGATGATGTGTGTTTTGATGTACTGATGGGCGTTTCTTTGCCGGTGTATGGATGTTACTCTGGGGATACCATTTGGGAGGGTTTGGATTTAGCAGGAGTTTCCGATTGTTCCATTGGGATATAAGTTTCATGAGTTTATACAATTATAGAGCTTCTCGTCTGCATCCGTCCAATTCTCAATATGTTAAATAGCCTCTGAGAACCGCCACTATTTTAGTCTTAGCACGCCACAAGTTGCAAAGAAATAATGATCACTACCTGGGTGTTACTTCGTGTCGTAAAGTTTTGAACAACACCAAATAGTTGCAGCAATCATAACACGTATTAGCAAAGCAGTCGATCAAAATCAGATTCAAGGTCACAACACGTCAAGACCATAGAGTTGAGCGACGTTAGTGGCAAGAACACCCAATGTTCCCAATTGAACAGGGTGGTACTGCTGACGAGAATTATGACAGGGCCTCCCCTCGTGTTGGCGAATTGCCATTTTTTTTAGGACCACGAAGAGAACATCCTAAGAAGATACAGAAAGGACAATCTGCTGAACAGATCAACGATTGCTTTCGAGAAAGAGTACCTGGATGGAGGTCCAAAGATCATTGTTCGCTGCTCCTTCGTGTCTGCCTTTCTTGTCGAGCGTCTCGGGTTGTCTTGGCATTTCCCGTCTCTGACATATACTGGATATATCCCGCCGACTCTCCATCTTTTGCGACACTCCGACGATGAGCGCGATATCGTGATCACTTCGCCGCATACCGCCTCGGTCGTCGTTTGCACTCTCTCACTCGTCGGTCCTTCTTCGTCATGCTTGTGGGTGGTCACACCGCGGCAGCGCCCGCATTACCTTCCCTTAATACCATCCAATAGTGACTGGATTAATTTCTGGTCCGTCGGTCTTGCGTCGAGCACTACCACGTCTTTTGGTTTTTATCCAACGTACCTCACAGGTCCAGACGAAATCTGGGACTGGACTGTTGGTGCCTTACTCATTACGACTCCATATCGGAGCTGCCCAGTCATTCACGCAGGCTCACGACGATGGACTCTACTCTTCGACACATCTTGATCATCAGCTCTGGAATTCTCCGACATAGTTCATAGCAGAGCTGCTGGAACATCCATCTGAGCAGTATTGAGAAATTATACGATGGTTCTACGGATGCCCTCCGTGAACGGGAAACCCTTGCGATTCGAATCAGCCCGACACACGTGGACTCCCAAAGAATCACAACGCTTAGATGTGAGCACATCATGCTATATCGATCTTATAAGAAAGCGAGACATTAGCCAAAGGGCGTAAGGAGTCTTTTTCATATCCGATATAGTCCTCGTTGAGCTGTCATTGATTTTGTTTCCTTGTCCATCGCCTTCGAAATGTGTTCCGCAAGCCCCGACCCATCGTCCCACTCGCCGCCTCCCAGATATCAAGACTTGATCGAGAACCTACTCAGAATGTTCACCATCCTCTGGAACATGGTTCTGCAATCCGATACGGCCAGATATTTTGATCAAATGTTATCCGAACAACCCGAGCACTACCTTCAAGGACTCCACAACCTCTACAACCAACGATCGGATGCAAAGATGCTCGAAGCCAACCGCAGCTTTTTGAAGTCGCTAGAGAGTCTACGCGACACGAACCAAAACTATCTGAATAACACACAGCCGGCGTCCGCGAAATCTGTCACTTCACCTTTGCCAGCGCGACCGCCAACGCCTCTGAGACAAAATTCATTTCCAGTGCCGTCTCAACTCACGCGACATGATGAGCAAGAGTACGATCTTGTGAGAGATTATGATGTGGAAAGATGTACGAAGAAGTTTGACAAGTTGGATTTGAATAGCGAATAAGGGGTTGCAGATGCGCTGCGGTCACCAGCGTATTGTTGGCCGTAGTCGGGGCGAAATGTCTTTTCCGTCGCTGCAGGCTGCCATCCACGTGGCAAGGCTTGCAATTCATCGCAGCCAAAGAATCTAACCCATCTGGTTCGTCAAGATCTTCTGTTTCGCAAACCGACTCGACACATGAGAGAGTTCCTCCGGCAGAAATCTTTTCGCTCTTGGTGCTTTGTAGCAAATCAGTATAAAATCGTCCTCTTCTTCCCACATCTTCTTTTTCCTTCGTCTTCATCCCGCCCACCTGTTACCGCTCCACAAACAAACAGCTGCACAAAACCCAGACACAAGCCATTCTTCAAGAACCTCCACTTGAATAAACAACATCATCCATCATGCTTTCAACCACATCATACATTTTCTCCAACGACACCGACGCTACAAACTTCCGTCGTGTAGTCAGGAGACAAGTTGCACACAGAGTCGAACACGCAGTCCCCGGCTCTGGAGCCAGTGCCCAAGAGGTTCAGAGAGCATATCTCGCATACATGCGCTCTCAACAACAAACCCGAGGCCTTGAGACCGATGCCGCAGAACAGCAAGAAGTTACTCCTCCACCAGCATACTCTGAGACCACAAACGATGAGGTTCTGCCACCATACTCTGCAGCAACGGTCAGCGAGCCACACCACCAACATTCGCCAACCGCGCAGTTGGGTTCTTTGCTCTATAGCAATATCTGTTCTCAACCTCGACCACCTAGATACGAAGAAAGCGTTCACCCACCACCATACTACCAACAGCTTGCTTCTACTTCAGCACCTCCACCACACTCATCGCAGCTTCCTCATCAAACCATCAACGCAGTATTCGCCAACTGCACAACACGCACACCANAANAACAACTTCACGATAAAAGCATTCAAGCACTTGTCTTGACGACTGGAAGCGATGTTCCGAGTCCGCCGACCCCATCAACCAAAACAAGGCNNAGGGGGGTTCTGAGGAGGGTGTTTCGGTACAAGGGTATTGGGTCTGTAAGGGGTTTCCATGATTTCTGCTGCTCTTTTTCGCTTTTTGTTAAGCTACAGCAAGGGGTTTTGATGAGGGCAGAGGGGATACTGTGATGAGATAGCACTGTATCAGGATATCGAGATATGAGATCCCTGTCAACGTTTTATGCGTGAGTGTGTGATATTTTGTGTTGATTGGCTTTTGTGTGTGGTTTTGAATGGTGAGTTGAGATCACCGATCTGCATGTGTCGATCAAAAAATCAGTGTTGTGTTTTTGAGTCTGGTGGTAGTGTTGTGGGTGTTTATTGTGCGACGTTTGTCTCGGAAATAGGCACCCTTTCTAAGAGGAAGGTGAGATTCCAGGCAGAGCTTCTTGATTGTTTCGCTCTATGGATGGATGGATGGATCTCTAGGTGGTTATAGTGGAGGGTATATTTCTTTTGCTTTTTCAACTTTTGCTGCGGGGCTATAGTCATTGTTGATGGGTGGAGGCCGAATGGGAGTCACTATTGTCTATCGCAAAGTGCCATCTGCCTGTATAGCAAGTTCCACAAACGTCATGGTCAACGTGCGAAACATGTAACATGTCATTTATCCTACCCGATCCGAATATGGAAAATGCAAACTCGTCAAGAAAATCAGACTATGATGCCTTCAGTTCCAGATCTAAGGTGTTCTTGTAAAGGACAGATGGTAAACTAAGAGTCTATCTGTTCTGTCGATCGTTTGAGAATACTTCTGTTTGCGCAATAAACATTGATGATGTGCTGGCAGCAGCTGGCGGAGAAACTAACACAGTGGCATGTATAAAGTAAGACCGGGTGAGACTATTGCTGTTGCGACTTTTTCTTTCAAATGGCTTTTTTTTTTTGTTAGATCTGTCCTGCGTCGAGGAAGGGCTAGAAATTTAGAAGACCGTTGATTACGAGAGTAGGTGATTACCCAGATATCTTGGGCCAAGCCGCAGTTACCAGGATTAAGTGTAACAACAAATTGTAGTTGCAGTCAGGGTGTTTCAAAAAGAACTGTACATTTCTGTAACTCTAGAAGGTAAAAACACAACGCCAGATCCATGCAAAAACTTCCAAAAGAAAAATCAGAAAAACAAGAAAAAGCAAAAGATCAAGCTCAAGTAACGTCAAGCATCCTCCACAATCCTCACACGCCCCGCCTCGTCTTTGGCAATGTGCTCGCCGAAACCCACACTCCCCAAAAGATCACTAGGCTGTGTATCCCCCACAGCAAATGATACTCTCTCACTCGGCCCCATGCCATCCAGCCACACATATACGGGCATAAACAGTCAAATACCCGTCTTCTTCAAGCCCCAGGCAGCTGCAAATGGCCAACCCAGTACTGTGCTATGTTGCTTGTCAGTATGCTGCGAGAGATGCGAAAAGCTGGCAGGCTAACTCACNGCAAGGAAAGGAACAAAAGTCATTCCAGTGCGCAATGTGCGTCGCACAAGCAATGAATTGTCGTGGGAATGAGGCAACAAAGTAGAAGTGTTGCGGGCAAGNGGATGTTCTTCGCGGATGAGGGTTCTCAATGTGCGGAAGAAGGTGCGGGATTGGGTTGGTCTGAATGCCATTGTTGTATTTTTGAGATTCTTTTCGAAGAGTTGAGTTGATTTGATGGTTGAGTGGTTTTAAGAGTGGAGATTGTTGTATTGGTATACAAAGAGAGGAGATGTGAGATGTTATTGTTGATTGATGATGATAGAAAAAAAGGTTACACAAGAAATAGAAATACCATATACTTATAATGAGTTGTCTACAGGCCATACCTGTCAGAGGCACATGGCATCGGGAACCACAACAGCAGTGCACGCAAAATACCCGGCTTCCTCAGCATATCACCAGATCAGCAGATGACAGGCGATGCATCCTCCCTAACATGCCAAGTGAATTGCCGCAGTTGACAGCTGCAGAAACCTGGGGAGTTCGGGTCGCTGCGGCATGCAAAGTACGGAGTCTTGTTGCGGCATGCGAGAATTAGGGAGAGAATACGGAAGGATCGAAGACGGCGTGACGGGTGAGGTGACAGGACCCTGAAAACTGGCGTTGGACGGCGTGATTTGTGCTCCGTGCGCGGGTTTGTGGTGTGATGTGCCAAGCCGCAATCCGCCGACGACCTTCTTGTTGTCTTCGGCGATAGCATCCGCAACAGCGATCTTCAAGAGCGACTTTTCGCCATACTCCGAAAGGTGAACGTCGCTGAGCAGGGCTTGAGATTTGTAGTGTCTATAGATTCTTGTATGCGTAGATGCATTCAGATCAAGTACTCCCACGCGAAGCCTCCAACAATGGATCCGTCTCAGTCGGCTCCTGCTCCACGCTCTCTGCCTTCTTCTCCTTTTGATAGAACATGATGGCCATGACCAGCAACGCGCCCTGCAAAACGCCAGTCACACAATACACAAACCAAGTACTCCAGCCCTCCCAACCGACCCGTAGCCACAGACTAAAGGCAAACACAAAGGCGCCAGGCACTTGGATAAGCATACTCGCAATGCTTAGCGACAGCACTTGCTTGGCCTTCCAGGTAGTGTAGAGTTGTGGGATGTATTGGATGGACGAGAGGATGGCGGCGAGAATGCCGAGGAAGTTTGCCCAGCTGAGGAGGTGCGAGGGTAGGCGGAAGAGGAAGAGTGTTGAGATGAGGCCGACGAGGAGGAGGGAGATTAGCGATGTTACACCGACGATTACGGCGTCGCGTTTGCGAGGTGTGTCTGGGGANAGATGCTCGGGCGGTGGGTTGGCGAAGGCGTCTCTGGGGAAGAAGACCAGGNNGAAGAGCACCATACTGTATTTCGAGCGTCAGCACATTGAAAGAGATAGAAGCAGCAGAACTCACATGGTCATAAAACAAGCCCACTGCACGCCAATCTGCACAACACCCAACAGCGCAGCACCGCAAGCGGCGCCCGAGATCTCGCGGCAGCAAGCCATGTCATGCTGACTAGTCGGCAAGACCAAGATATTCGCCAGCGCGGCGATAGACGATATGGTGCCTAGCAGAACCCACCAGGGTGAGAGACCAGCAGACGTGCCATGACGGATGATTTTCACATGTTGGGGGATGTACGAGATGAGGATACCGAGCACGAGTTGANNCTGCATCGCAAACAAATGTCAGCACCTTGATGGGCAATGTCGATGCGGAGATAATTACACGGAAAGCGCGAGCACCCAGCCATTTGGCGAGGCGAGATGTTCGCAGTATGGGTCTGCCGTCATGGCGGAGAGGGGCCGCACTGGTGACTACAAAGATGCTGAAGACTTGTGGAGGGAAACGAAGTCGACAGCGATGAGACAAGAGGACGGGTGATGATGGTCATGTGTGTTGCGACAAGAGGTCGTCTGCCGCAAGCAAGATTACGCGACGCGTCAAGGGACCCTGACCTTGGCGGACGTCACGTTTAAACTCTCTGAACACGTCCACCATCGAGTCGTCCACCTTCAACATGCCTGCCAGATACAACAGCGTGCTTGCCAATGCTCGAGTCCTTGTACTCGGCGGCTCTTCAGGCATCGGTTTCTGCGTAGCTGAGCATGCCCTCTCTTTGGGAGCCATCGTCACCATCTCCTCTTCACGCCAATTGAAGCTAGATAATGCCCTCGAAAGATTGAAAGCCTCCGTGCCAGACTCGTCAGCGAACATTGACGGTCAGATCTGCGACTTATCCAATCTCGATTCTACCCGCCCGAACCTCGAGGCACTGTTGAAATCCGTCACATCCACCCAACTTCTAGACCACATTGTTTTCACCGCCGGCGATGGCATCAAGATCAGACCTGTTGCAGACCTCGAAATCGAGACCATCCAACAAATGGGCCACGTACGCTTCTTTGGGCCCATGTTACTCGGCGGCCTCGCCAAAATTTTTATGAATCCTTCCAAAACCTCTTCCATTACTCTGACCAGCGGCACAAACATCACAAAGCCAGGCAAAGGATGGACTGCAGTCGCCGGCTATGGCGCCGGTACTGAAGGCATTGCGAGGGGTCTTGCAGTGGATCTGGCTCCTATCCGTGTCAACTGTGTTAGTCCTGGAGCTGTGCATACCGAAATGTTTGACGATATCCCCAAAGACAGGTTGCCCTCTGTCCTGTCCACTTTTCGCAAGCGAAGCTTGACGGACAGTGTAGGCACGCCAGAAGAGCTGTCGGAAGCCTACATCTACTTGATGAGATGCTCATTTGCTACCGGTTCTTTGATTGAAGTGAATGGCGGATCGTTGTTGGCATGATTTGGACATCTTTTTCTGTGATGTATGTACTGCGTGCAACTTCGAGAATCGTAGGCAGTGCTGTGTTACCAACGCAAGAGGGCTCCGTGCAGCTGACTTGATCAATCAGAGAGCCTGACGCACGTGGTTGCGCCCTTGACTAGTCATACGCAGATTTGAGGCCCTTTGCGACATGGAATCGCAGCTGCTCCATAAAGCGAGCACAGCTTGCTGATATCTCCTTCATATCAAAATCTTCCACGTCTATCCAAGCCAAGATGACTTTCGATATCAGTACCTGGTTCCGTGCGTACCTCGTTGAAGCTCTCATCTACCTTTCGGAAACTTATCTTCTTTTACCATGATTATCCTTATCCTGGTCCACCCCATGTCCCTTGTGGGAGCTGGATATCTTCTGCACCCCTTCTTCGCTCTCCTCGATCATCTACAAGGATACAAGCAAGAGACTCCAGAATTCGTGTCCAAGAGACTCCGACTCGATCCACTCCATTCGCAAGCTGAAGTCGATGTAAGCGCCGTAATCCAGAGCACACTTAAGAAGAGACTCCTTCAAGTAATGTTTGATAAGTCTGCCCGATAGATCGGACTTCAAAGAGAAATTCCTACTGTCGCTTACTCGTAAAGCCAGGGAAAAGTATGGTTCATAGTCCAGGTCAGCATAGATCTAGTATTACACGTTACATTCAACACACTTCGTTTCGTCATCTGCCTGATCTTCTTACCATCATGCTATCCTCCCTTGTAGCCAGAATAGGTACCTCCCAGCTTATTTTGGCTTAGGCAACCACAGCAGCAGCTCAATCCAGCTCCATCCTCTCGCATCACGCCAACGACCTATTCACCCACTCTCAGGACAGCCTAAACGCTTTCGACGTCAGTCTCGAATTTGTAGGCTACAATTCATCCATGTAATCCTAGCTCTCCAGCATCAATTCCTCCACCAGCAAGTCCGACGAACACAAAGCTCAACTCCTACTCGAAACAGCCTATGCCAAATCTTTCCGATATCGATATGCTCAATGACTGTGACGATATCCTCGCTGTCGTCGCTGGCAACATGACCTCCTCTGCACTCACCAAACGCGCAGAGATTACCTATCGCACTGCTTCCACGCATACTGTCGTGTGGTCCGTCTGTTCGGGCGCCATGTCCTGTCTTGCGGGCTACTCGTGCTCCTTCACCATCGACGTGGGTAAAGCCCCTCGCAGCAAATGTCAATCCCAAGGCGGACAATTCCACTATATGAAACCCACCTACCCAAGCACCACCTTCAACGGTAGATCTCTAGACGAAGATCCGACATACACCGTCTTCTCATACCCACTAACAACCCAATCCTGCACCCCGGTATCCCAATTCGCCAAATCCCTCCTCGCCAACGGGAACACAACCTCCAGAGTCTTGCCCGCATCAATCCTCACACGCTCAAATCCTCTAAGCACGACTTTGGGATCATAGGGGCCACCCAGAGACACATATAGTTGTGGTACTTCGTCGCCAGTAACATGGCCGGTGTTGGTGATGTTGACGCGGATATGGTAGAGGATGTCCCAGAGACCTTGGTTGCCGCCATTGGGTCCTGAGGAAGGTGGTTGTGTGAAGGTAGAGCCGTTGAGTGCGTTGGCGGGGATGAATGAATTGTCGCCGTAGTTCGGTGCGCCGTAGGAGGTATTGAGATTGGTACTGTTCAGCCAGGGATACACGAACAAGGGGATCCTAGTGATGTTTTCCGGGAACACGTGGGCAGAAGTATCATTATCGATGAGGCCGTAAGTGGGTGCAGGCCCAGAGGTACCAGTCGTTGGTGCATAGTCAGCGATATCGAGTTTCTCCACCGTGAGATTGGAGTATTCGAATGTGGTGTAACTTAATCCGAAGCCAAATTCATAGACCGGAGTGATGTTGCGATGATCAAATCCGCGGTAGTCAACAAAGACGCCTTCTTGGAAGTTGTATTGCGGGACTTGTTGATTGGGCTTGTAGAGGACATCAGTGCCATATTCTGATCTGTTGCGTCCCATGGTGAAGGGAAGTTTTGCTCCAGGATTGACGCGGCCAAACAAGACATCTGCGATTGCATATCCAGATTGTTCGCCTNNTTGAAGGTGTCAGCTGAAGTACAACTCAAGTGTTCCAGCCTACTCACCAGGAAGTCCTGCCCAGAGGATAGCAGTGATGTTGGGGTTCTGCTTGTACTGGTCAATCTCAACGGTACCGACTGAGTGAATGACGAGAATGGTGTTGTTGCATGTAGCAGACACATTCGCAATGACAGCATCAGCACCTTGCCAAAGTGTCAGATTGTTACGGTCGCCGTAGTTGCCATCGACATTGGCAAACCCTTCTCCCGAGTCTGCGTTGGCAAAGCAAATGCAAACTCCAGCGACATCGTTGACACGGCGAGCCAAAGCGTTGATCTGAGTAAGCGCAGAGTTGTTGGTGATAGACTCGTAAGAACCAAAGCGAGAAACGACTTCATGTTGAATCGCCGCATCAGGACTGATGAGATATGGGGAGCTGGCTTGACCACTGCCCCAACCGACGACAAGTGTTCCAGTATCACAGGCATGGTTTCTGCACCCATTGGGACCATTAGGGTTTGAGCCTGCATCTTCACCAAATACTGCAGTCAGTCTTGCCTTATCTTTCAGGGGCAGCGTGCCGTGTGTGTTCTTGAGGAGCACGGTAGATGCAGCACCGATCTCGCGAATCAATCTTCCATGCTCGCGACGCACATCGACATGTTGGTTGACAAGACCTCTGCCCCAGCTAGAGCCGACGTGAGCATGAACAGCGCCAAAAGTATCAGGTGTCCAAGACTGAAAGTTCGGTGGATAGGCTACCTCGGTGTCTCCACCAACGAGATACCATCCGGCCAGAATGCGAGTCACCATATCGTCAAGACGCCATTGTGGTACTGTACCATTCAATACGGCGATTGTGAGGTTTGGACCGAAGTAGCTCAGGCCGTCGCCGAAACGTATGTCGCCAGCCATGGTCATATCCAGTCCAGCGAGGACAGCAGGTACTCCGCTTGCAGTTGCTTGCCAGTCGCTCATGACATAGCCTTGGAAACCAAGTTCAGATTTGAGCACATGATTGAGCAGGTAGCTGTTTTGACATGCTTGTGAATTGTTGACCAAGTCTGCAGTGGATTAGTGTGATGCGTTTGGTGGTAGGATATGACGATTCTTACTGTAACTGCACATTACCGAAGCTACTCCAGCTTTGACCGCATCAGCGAATGGCCAGACATACGACTCGTGAAGTGTTTGATCATCGATGTTAGAAGACCCAGGCTGAGTAATGTTGAAGCCATAGTCTCGTGACTCAGGAGTTTGACGGAAGTGTTCTTGCTCCTGTGCAACGTAGTGTTTGGCGCATGCCTGAACACCTGTACTTTGGATACCTCGAATAGAGTCGGCAAATAGCTTTCCAGTGAGATAGGGGTCTGGACTGAAGCCTTCCCAAGCGCGGCCGCTGGTGGGAGACNNTGGGCACTCTTTATCAGATCTACGGAAAAGCAATAGCACGGCAAGACTTACCCTTCCCAGTGTTCCAGCAACAGGACCAAGGAGGACAGTGACCCCTTTGTCGCGGTTCTCAAATCCCATAGCTTTGCCTCTTTCGTACGCGAGACGCTTATCCCAAGTCGCACCGACATTGATGCCTGCAGGAAACAGACTGACGAANACTGCATACTCGTCAGGTCTAGTGCATGCGGATTGATCTTGTCTTTGCACTTACTCGGTATATCTTATGCCAACGGGTGAGTCTTGAAGACACTGACCACGAATGCCAAGACGAGGTACGCCACCAGTCTGACCAACACATTGTTCTTGCTGCCAACCAGAGCCNTGGTTCAAGCTGTCAGTCATGTTTCCGAAATTTGGATACACAATCGAGGGTGTACCTGTTGTCAAATTCACCTTCTCTTCCAGAGTCAGTTGCTCGACAATCTCGATTGCTTTTCTATATGCCTCTGCCCATTCACCGGCTCCACTGCCCCAAGGACTGGGATATCTTGGTGGGGAGGTCTGGTTGGTCTGGGCCCCAAGGACGGCATTAGGGTTAGGCGAGATGCCATCAGGATATGTCACATGGGGAAACTAGACAGTGTCAGAAAACGTTCGAGTCTCCGACCGAAGAGCACCATACTGANNAATTTGATTTTCGCTGACCTGTGCCAGCGAGCCGCCGACAGCAAGAGCAAGCGTGAGTGCGGTCAATTGCATGATGAGTACAGTGTCACGAAAAACGAGCATCATTTGATGCGAACATAGTGAGTTATATGTATACTTGAACCTTGCTCGTGTTGATCGATCCTCTCGACATCCAAGAAGTGATTACCCGTCTGGGCGGAGGCTGGGGATGCAGTGTGCAGGGCATATCGCATCATCATACTGCCAGCCAAGAACTATTGCGAGAGGGGTAGCAATCCTGCTCGTTTACACCAACGATATAAAGGTTGTATGATGCAAACATCGCGACTAGGTAGTCGAAATGTTACGTGAGATGTGACTTGGTGCTGACTTGACGACAGCCAGAGAGGAAGTGAAGGAAGGAAGACCAGCCAAACCGGGTAAATCTCAAGGCTGTTCGGGCCGCTGTTCCCTTCCGCATCGGACCCCCGACATGCCGATCTCGCTGGACAATTCCTCCAACCTTGAGCTCTCCTTCAGACTTGAGCTTCTCTTTTCTTCTCTTCAGCCAACTCAGCAATCACCTTGAGCGCGTTCTCCTCTCTTCCTAATGGCACAAATAAGTGATCATGATAGAATCCACTGATCGGATTCACGCCCATTCCAGCAGCAGCAAGTCTTGTCGCGACAACCGCAATAAATCCAACGGCATCCAAACTCGATGTGACATCCAATGTAATCTTGCGGCATGGGAAAGCGTACTCAAGTCCACGATTTTCGGCATACTCGNNAGTGGTAATCACGCTGATGCCTTCAGATTTGGCTTCGCGGAAGAACATCTCGACTTCTGAAAATGGGGGAAGTTTGGACTCGTCTGCAAGCACGGCGAAGACGTAGGTCGAGGGGTGTAGTGTGGCTGTCAACGTAGCCAAGAGCTTGGAGAGCGAAACCTCGCCCGGGTGTATTGTTTGTGCTGACATGTTGTTGAAAAGTGCAATTTGCAAAGAAGAGATCCTTGAAAGTGAAAGGTGACTGCTGGATTGAAAGAGTGATGAGCGGAGTGGGTATCATGGAAGATCTTCGGGGATCGGAAGAAGTCTCCGACAGGGGGTGCTGCGTATTGCGTATTTGCTTGCTATCAACCTTTGGCTGACCACAAAGCACGATATGGCCTAGTCCCTGCTTTTGTGTATCGGTTCGTCAGGACGACCCCATTTCCGAACCCATTCACATTGTGCAAACTCGTTGATAGTCGCACGATTGCTTGGCTCGTAAACCAGCATTGAAGCTATCATGTCGATAAATGCACGTCTTTCCTCGGGTCCAAACACCTCCTCTTTGAATCGCAATCTAGGTTCTGTAACAAAACAGTCATATCGTTTCTCGAGGCTGTCGTCTAGCTTCCAACTCTGAGGCAGATAGGTCGTGACATCCTCGTCGAAATACTTGCTCCGGGCATCCCATCGAGTCCACCAGGGTTCTGGTAGTTTACCCAAGACCATGACATGCTCGGAGATAATGGCATCGCTATCCGCCCATGTATCAAACGGTGCGCTACCTCCCATGATCTCAATCATGGTACAGCCTAAGGTATAGATATCGGAAGGAAAAGATATAGAGCCTTTTCCCTCTGCAAAGAACGGTTCCGGGGTACCNAAACATGGACAAGTGCGAGCATGATCACGGCTGGTAGTCGATGGTTGAAAAGCCTCGCCGAAGTCAGAGAGCATGGCAGGCAAATGTTGAGTTAGAGAGATGTCGGACGTTTCGACGTGCAATCTGGCTGGCCATACGACTTTGGATGGCACGTTTAGAGGAAGAGGTGCTGCTTCCTTTCTAGTGACGCTCTCCGTTATTGGCTGACCTATGCGGTTGTACAGAGCGCCGACCTCCACCTTCCCGATCTCCTCTGAAGGCGCAAGAGTNATGTTTCCTGTATGGATATCTGTCTTGCATGTCAGCGATGGAGAGAAGATCTTCGACTATTGGACATACGAACCACCATGGACTATGCCTTCTGCATGCAGGTCTTGGATAGTAACAAGCAGATCAACAATGAGCCTGCGAGCAATAACTAATGACAGCGGATGGAAATATGATAAATCTGCTGAGGCGTAGATGCTGCACAACGCAAGCTCCAAGACAAGATATTCGTGCTGTCCATTTGGCCCTGACTCTGTGAACTGTTCTATCAGTTGTCTGATGCCAGATCTTCCAACGAAGCGCGACAAGAATTTGGCTTCCGCAGTCCGAGTGGACACGCCGGCCATCAAAGCTTTGATGATGACGAATCTTTTAGTGCGCTTACATGAAGCCAGCCATGTTGTCGATGTTGCTCCGTATCCGAGTTTATGGACAATCTTGTAACGACCATTTTGTAGTACATCGCCAATTTGGACAACCGGTAGACCTCCAGGTCGATAATCAGCCAAATTTTCAGTGCCTTCTTCTGTTTCGTGGTAGATATCTTGTTTGTGGTTTTGCCATGTAGCGGACAGGTTTGAGCTTGCTCTACAACGTATTGCCTGAGCACAAACAGGGATGAAAGATTCGGGGCTAGATGATAGACGTCTCATGTCTTGGAGGTGCCGACGAACAAAGCGAAGCCTGGTGATAGTGTTCATCCTGAAGCTAGAGATAGAATCGGCGGAGTGCCAAAATATTTCGAACCGATCATGAATGATGAGCTCAGAGTCGTAATAAAGAGGTCTCGATCAAGCAGTTCTTCCAGCGTTTCGTAGACAGGTCATAGGTGTTTTTGATGCTGCTGTATATTGGTCAGGGTCTATCAACAGAGTTGACTGGTTGTCCGAGCTTGAGGAGAAGGACGATCTCACAGCGCGTTGGCGTTCCTGGCGGGGTGTCGAGAACGGACGCAGGCATTGATCCAAGTTCAATATATTTCATATTTGAAGCCTCTCTGCGCAGAAAACCCTGTCCTCGGTATTCTTGTCGCGCGAGTGATAAATCAAGTAGAGCGATCGCTAGACGCGCATCCAGAGCACCGCAAGATCGCATGCCAAGTCCTGAGCTTCAGTGCTGCTGTCGCTCACTGACGAGGCTTCACTTGCACCAAATTTGCCAGAAAACATTTTCCTTTGCGCCTAGCATGTTCTGGGACGCTCGGAGAGTGCAAAAGGATAAAAGGATGAGCAGAGTGGGGTTCGAACCCACGCTCTTTCGAACTGGCGATTTAAGATAGATATAGAATTGATTTTCTCCACATGGATCGAATCTTTCCATACAGCCTAAAGCCAGCGCCTTAACCACTCGGCCATCTGCCCGTTTCGTAGTGGAAACTCGCAGTTTTTGTCTCATGTAGTCGACGTCTCCATCGAACGAGGTTTGAGCGCGCAAAGTAGATTCTCCGTCCGGCGATAAAACATCTCCCCTACTCCATCTCTAGCATGAACACTGCGCGGATTCTGGTGACCTCAAATTACAACCTGAGTAATGGTTGTCTGCGGTCATTTTGCGCTATCTGCCAGCGCGATCGGTTGAGTATTTGCTGGGAAATTCGAGTCCATCTCGAGAATGTCACGAAGAGCTTGCGACGTACTGTATGTTCCCGCGGCAGCAGGCCCGAAAGCACTCTCTTCGCTGGTTGAGCATGGTCAAAGGACATCGTCAAAGGCCTCCTGTGGCCGTACGCCCAAGGCCTCGCACTGATTGGAAGTGATTTAAGAGCAAAACCTGCGAAGCCTGGATTTGCGCCCGCGGGCCATGGTGAAGGTCCACCGTTGTCTGACCGTGGTAGTGGTTTTCTGCTTCCAGGAAATCTGCTTCCATACTCGACTCACGTAGATGAATGCCGCTGCAACAAGCTATCACCGACGTCGTCGTGCCTGTAAATCATCAAGTCTGAACAGTCGACCCCAAAAGTAATCAATTGAGCAATGTCCAAAGTTTAATGGTATTCCCGCAGCTATATAATCTAACGGATGTTCTACCTCTTTAAAGGTCCTCAGTAAATCGAAGCAGGATCCACGCTACCGCCGCCCAAAGTCGGTCATATCGTGCACTTCTCTTGAGACCTCCATGGTTCGAAATAAAGCTCGTCCTTAGCCTACATGCTGCCCATCTTCTGAACAGACTCTGGTTTGGAGCTGCCGCCCAGAAATTCTGCAGATCCCCAAAGGGGCTCCCAGCGGCCATTCTCAAGCATCCTGTAGCTGCATTGGTGCCGCCAGTCAAAATCTTGGTCATAGTAACCGAAAAGAATGGCCCGGTCATGACGAGTGATCATGTGGGTGAGATGTTTCCCATCTTTAAGGTCGTGGGTTGTGGCAAACTCAAAGGCCGGGTATTTCTGGTAGTCGAGGAAAGCCCGCAGAGCATTCGGATGCCATTTCCTGAGAATAGTGGCAATTGCTTGGGCAGCAGTGAGGTCTTTCTTGTCGGTTTCTTCATCGTACGCGACCAGGCTTGTGTCCACGTTGGCGACCGGTGAGCCATCGATAGGGAGATCAAGTCGGCGAATGGCTCGGTGCGCAGGAAGGTAAGTGGTTTGGTAGGATATTGAGCAATCCTTNTCAAAGTCTTCCTTGTCGTCGAAGTCACCTCCTTCGTCTTCGTGATCATTGTTGTAGTTGGGAGGTTGTTTGTGGGTAGAGATGCCCTTCAGACGTTGTTGCTGTTCACAGAATTGTTTATGCTGCTTCNNCCAGTGTTGCTTCTGATAATCTTGCGAACAGTACAATGCCTGTTTGCATCCAGCACAACGCTGATGAGGCTTGCCGGCCGGCGCAGTAGATGCACAGTTGGCACAAGCCTTAACTCGTGACTGCTCCATATCCGTTTAGCTGACGATATACGAATACGAAGAGACCTGGGATCCGATCAGATTAGCTGAACACAGTCCCCGAAACGTCTTTTGTGGTAGTCGTACCAAAGTCTTGAGTCTCTCGCAGATTTGTTAAGAAGAGTCCAGACATGGTGATGATGGCCCCAGGCAGATCATATCGTGCCAGCTTGGTAGGCAGCAGGAGATCCTTGGACAACCAAGCGCGTCGAAGAACGCGCTCGTGTCCGAGAATCAACCGTAAATTGAATCTACTCCGCACCTCATCCTACCTCTGCATTTATCCCCGACTCGAATATCACTATCAGCAAAGGTGTCGCAAGAAGATCAAGCTATTCGCAGAGTCTGCCGAATGCCGAGAGACGGCTGCAAAGAATGTTCCCGACGTCGTATCAAGTGCGACAAAGGCGCGCCTGAGTGTGCAAAATGTCTGAAGAAGGGCATCAAGTGTACAGGCGTTGGCCGTCAGATTAGGTTTGTCGAGGGCGCGATCTCGAAGGGAAAGCGCAAAGGACAGACGTTTCCTGCTTTTCCAAACTTTACGACAAGGCTGAATCAGCACTTGAGTAACGCACCTGAAACGATACAACATTCTGAGTTACGAGCAGAAACCCTCGAACAACTCACCGGCGTCGACTTATCAGTAGAGAATGTTGGCAATGTTGAGATTGACAACACGGACGATAATGTCGAGGAGACTGGACTGATCCTCCATCGGCGACAGGATCGTCATTCAACATACACATCAACGGATGACAGTACCACTATCTCATTTCGTCTCGACCCAGGTGCTGATTCGACATTGGAGCTGTTGAAGCCTGGTATACAGATGCTCTTCAGTCACTGTAAGCTGATGCAACTGCTCCTTGATTTCATGCCAGACATTTGACAGCAAACAGTTTCACAAAACATTGCATCAATCATGGTTGTGTTTGATACTGGATCAAACGGCTATCGCAACGTCTTGCTTCCACTGGCCTATCAAGATGACCTCGTCCAGCGCGCAGTATCTGTTGTTGCTGCCTTTCACCTATCATCAAAGCAACCCAATCTTCTCCCTCTCGCAGAGACTGGACGTGCCGAAATCATAAAGAGGCTGCGTGCAGATGCTTTTGCCAAAGAAAGTAACAAAGTCTTTAGCATGTCCACTTGGGCTACAATCATTCTCCTCTTGGTGGGAGAGACTGTCACTGGCTCTCGAGACTTTGTTCATCTGTATCCCATGCTCACCAATCTTCTGAGCCACAATAGACTTCTGGAAGCAGAACCATCGTCCGAGCGAGGTTTCTTGCTTCAGCAGTCCCGAATGTAAGTGTGTAAAGACGGTATCTCGTCATTTTGTCTGATTATGTCTAGGTTCCAACTATTCACTCCGCCTCTTCTCGACCTATCTCAAGGATGCAAGACGTTCGAGAAGGATCTGGACTTCTACTTCGATTTCATCTTTACTCAAACATATTCAGATGTGCCGAACGTTTTGGAGAACACGATGATCTTCCGCCAGTCCATTAAGCAAGCACGCAATATATACATGCGCCAAGCATTAGACAATTACTATCCTGGACAACTCTACGATGACATCGAACAACTACGCCGTTTGGTCCTGCCCATTCATCCGGGCAGCCCTTGTATGCATACACTACCCTGGGTCTATTTCGTCGCCGGAGCTTCCAGCAAAGATCAAGGTCATAGAGACTTCTTCGCAGGCAGACTTGCCCAGGTCTACGAGAAAACGCGGATGAACAGTATCATCGTAGCATTAGAACGTCTCAAACAGATATGGCTACTGCAGCCGAACGGCGAATGGGCTCGAAATCCTAGCTTGGTGGACCCAGTGCTGATCATATGAACCAACACTTGACACTGGCTTATCTGCAACGTGGTTGGCTTGGATTCCCATTGTTCTACGCCTATTCCTGAAGGTGCGCTGCCCTCGTTCTATCAAGATCTCTCTTGACTGCCAATGCAGCACGAGTACCCTCCTCAATGGCACCATCAATAAAACTTCTCCAGCCCACTGCCCAATCTGAGTTGGCAAAATATAGATTGCCCTGAGGAGCTCGGAGATCTGCTAGATGTTCTGTCACAAGACCTGGNGGNGAGAAGAACCAAGCGCCTTTGGCAAACTCATCATCTGCCCAGTTATGGAATACCNNTAGGAATTGTCAGCAACCGTCTTGTGCATTAGCCACAAACCGACTTACCACTCGCTCAATGTCCATGGGAGTTAGTGTTTTAAGGGCTTCCATGGTCTTGTTAATGTCCTTTTCTGGCTGTATGTGATTGTGCGAACCACCGAAGGCGACGATATGGGTGTTGCCACTGGGAGTTGTGCCATCTCCAATGGCATACATCAAGCTGTTGTTGGGATATGTGATGCCACTCCAGGATCGTAGATCCCTATCGCGGACCTCGGCATGGACCTTAACACACTTGTTTACGTGTTCACGGTTCGAGGCGTCGATCTTGCCAGGGATCAACGCCGGGCTGAAAGAAATATCCTTTAAGATGTTCATAGGTATCGCCGAGATCAGCCTGGCGGCCTTGAATGTTCTTCCATCTCTTGCGGTCACTTGGATATCGCTGCCAGTGTCGTTGATTACAGCGACTGGTGTGTTGAAAGCATACGACAATCTCCCTGTCGCACAAGCTTCTTTGAAGAAGTTGATCGCAAAGCTCGACTGGCCACCCTTGAACTTGTACTTGATGAGGTACTCGATGCAATACTCGTACGAGTAATTACAGAGTGCCCACCAGTGAAGGTACTCGTAAAAGCTGGTCTTCTCCGGAGTGCTGCAGCTGCAGAGCAGTACAAATCCTAGTAGAGCGGTGTGTTCATCCGGTGAGAGGTCGTCCTTGATCTGGGCAACGCGGTCGGCGACGGACATTTTATCGTACTTTGCGGCATCCGGATTGTGGCCCTCGCTGTGTGGGAAAGGCATGACTTTTCTTCCGAGTTCGCCGTCGATATTGGCAAACTTCTTTAGAGCAGACTCCATCAGTTTGTCCNNTGTAAGCATTCAGCATCATGTCAAGTCTAGGAACATCCTGGAGACTACCTCGTCTTCGTGGCTCATATTGCGATTCCCGCTAGCGGAGTTGAGCGAGAAGTGGTTCACGCCTCGACTGTAGTCGTGAGAGATCTCTAGCTCGTCACGCATGTCATATCTCGAGATTTCTCTCCATACATGAGGCTGACCCCAACTGACCCAAGTGCCGCCCATTTCGAATGGATAACCTTCGATATTTGTGCTCCAGCTACGACCACCGATTCTGTCACGAGCCTCGAGCAATAACACTTTGAGCCCTNNGCAAATCTCGATCAGCCACCTGGGTGTATAAGTCGGTTCGCATTGCACACCTGACAAAGCAGCATCTCTGGCTGCTGTAAGTCCACAGTAACCCGCTCCGACAACAATCACATCGTAGACTGCCTGCTCGTCTCGGATGTGTGTTGGTGGTTGGATGACACCAATACTAGGTACACCTTGGACGAGTCCTGAAGCTTCCGTCCAATGGTAGCCGTCTCTCGAAGTCATTGCAAACGTCGTTGAGGCAGGGAAAGTCTCTGCCTGCTTACACGCTGGAGCGTAACGATGGGAGCTGCCAAACTATTTATTGTGTAAGCCCATTTCCTACCTTTCCTCCACATTCAGATTCATGATTCCATGACCAATGGTTATGGTCGTTCCCACCTATCACTTCGGGTCTCAGGGTTATCCGCGTGAGCACACGCCCAGGATGCGAAGCTTTTCTCACTTTGTCTTCCCGAATTGGCCTAGTTCTCCTTTTTACTTCCTCATTGGGACTTCTCACTTCCATTGCCTATTTGGGACTGCTCTGTTGTATCGTCCTGAACGTCCAACTACACACAGTCATGGAATCTCTGTAAGATAGGAGATCGCATCTTGGTCACCGATAGGCGACTCGACATAGCTATCATAGCCGTCCTTGTTTTGACTGAAGATAAGAGATACGATCCCGGCCAAAACAGCAAGCCATGGCTCAGGGCGACCGCTCTCGTTTCGTGCGGGGTAAAGTTATTCTGGACTCCATGGTATCAATTCAAGAGTAGTCGTGTATCTGGCGGAACCATTCCCTCTTTCTGAGATACGTCAAGCTTTATCTCTGGCCTTCACAGTGGCCAAACATAAGTATCCCTAAGATCCTCTTCCAGATTATACGAATATCAACCTAGCATCTGTGCTCCATTCATTATGATACCAACCGACGAAAAGCGCATGTCTTCCAGAAGTATGCCTCATCTCTCGCATGATCTTGCTCGGAATTGAACCATAGCTTACAAATCCTACGTAGCTCGAGCCGACTCTACGATAGCCAAGTACACCACACATGATCCCGAAAGGCTCTCTGTATCGGTAGGGGATATTAGCGTGTTAGGTGTACGGCCAACCCGTCGACACTTCAGTATCTTCAACATTATCGCCTTGAGCTTCAACATCTGCAATAGCTGGGTGGCCATAGCCTCTAGTTTGGCTATTGCAGTGTCTGCTGGAGGTACTGCTACATTGATATATGGCATTCCTCTCGCAACACTTGCTTATGCTGCCACTGGGGCATCTCTTGCTGAATTGGCATCCTGTTATCCCACTGCTGGTGGCCAGTAAGTCACTATTGAATCACGTTACCTGCTTAAGCTGAACCTCACCAGGTACCATTTTGCTTCTATACTCGCACCCAAGCGACTGTCTCGTGGACTTTCCTATGCTTGTGGTTCGATTGCCATGTTCTCCTGGATTGCTTTGGGCGCTGCCGCAACTCTCCTTGCCGCGCAAATGCTTCTGGCGCTGGCGGCATTCTATCACTCTGGTTATGTGCCTCAAGCCTGGCATTACTTCCTCGTTTATCAAGCCATCAATGTGGTCTTTCTTCTTTACAACCTCTTTGCCCTTGCCAAGACACCCTGGGCGCACAACGTTGGATGTAAGCTCATAATCTTGCATGCTAACACGAGTTGAGCTGACCATGTATTAGTGCTCCTCACTCTTGCCTCTTTCGTCGTCGTTACCATCACCTGCCTCGTTCGCTCAGAAAAACAGACTGCAAGATACGTCTGGGCTACCATGGAAAGCAACACAGGATATCCTGCCGGGGTCACGTTCCTAACAGGCCTCGCGACTCCCACGTTCATGTTCGCTGGCCTTGACGCATCTCTACACCTAGCAGAAGAATGCACTGAGCCTGAGAAGACGGTTCCGAAAGCTCTCTGCACAACGGTGATCATTGGCTTCGTCACTGCGTTCGTCTTTACGGTTGCCATGTGCTACGGCATCAAAGATCTCGACGCTTTGATTGCGACTACGTAGGTTTTCGTCGAAGATCGTCATGACTTGGCTTGTGGATTGAGCTAATATGGCTCTATAGCANTGCCCATCTACGAACTCTGGCGACAGGCAACCAACAGTGACGCTGCAGCGACCGCCTTCCTAGTCGCTCTTCTCGCCATCGTCCTCTTCGTCATTAATGCCGTCCAACAAACCTCTTCTCACCTCATCTGGGCGTTCGGTCGCGACAATGGCCTCGTGTTTTCGAAACACCTGGCCAAGATGCACATTGTGCTTGAAGTCCCTGTATGGTCACTGCTCGCTAATGCCGCAGTGATATTCATCGCTGGGTGCATCTATCTCGCATCCACTGCAGCCTTCAATGCATTGATCAACACAACCATCATTCTGCAGATGATCTCCTTCGCTATCCCTGCGTTGTTACTCATGTGCAGAAGCAGAAGTGAAAGATTCCTTGCCAAAGATCGATGGTTCCGATTACCTGACTGGCTAGGTTGGATATGTAATACTACTGTTGTCATCTTCGCCATCATCGAACTCGTCTTCTTTGATCTACCGACTTCCCTCCCGACGACTGGATCAAGTATGAGTAAGTGTTTTGACCTTCGTCTCGAGGTAGATGGCGCGATTACTAACGCCGATGACANNGATTACACTTGCGCCGTACTGGCCACGATGGCGCTGTTCAGTGGTATCAATTGGGTTGTGTATGCGAGGAAACACTACAAAGGCCCACGAATCGAGTTGGCAGAGGTTGGGGGTGACTAGTAGCTTTGCGATATCATATTGCTGTCGACTTCCTCTTGTCCAGTATGATCATCCATTCGACCCGATCCATGCATTTCGCTATTTGAAGTGGTTGTGCTCTATACTTGACAGATGGTGCATGTTATGCTCTGGAAAGCGGTTGGGCGCTGTTGTGGAGATGAAAATGTCTGTTACAATTCATCATGTTTTGCGACTTTTGGTGCTTCACTTTCTTCCATCAAGTCATTGATAGCTTGGTACTCGGCATCCTGGGCCACAAAAGTGACTCGAGGGTCCCGGCGGATCAAATTCAGGTCCGCTTGATCTGGCAGATAGATGATAAATTGTGCATATTCAAAGTCCTCGGGATCTTCCCAGCGTCGTCGAATTTGTGAACCCAGGTCCTTGCCAATCGTTTCGAAGTGCTGTTCAATGGTGTATCCTGGTTTGAGATGAACCTCATACTGATGTGGTGGCGTGTAGACTTTCATATGCCAATCGAGGTTTGCAGGCTCTATGGGATGCATCTGCGATGGCGGGAGAAGTGTTTGTATGGCCTGCAGTGGAACTGTAGCAGAGAGGATCGCCAGGAAGATCTTGAGTGCATGCATGGTTGCAGTTTTGTCTTCTGTATGATAGTGTAAATATTGATTGTGCTGAAGGAAGTAGCAAATAGCGAGTGGTTTAGTGTATTCCACTGAGATGCGCGGCTGTTACCGTACACTCCTTTCCTTGCTGGCTCACCATGACAGGCTCGAGCATTGGAAAATAGGTGATGATTGAGTTTTGACGAACGAAGAAGACCACAGGTACGACTTTCTGATGCCTAATTACTCTATGAAAATGACGATACAAAATCACTGTTCGTGATATTTGCCTCTTAGGGGCAGGGTGAGACTCCCAACAAGCATTTTCGGGCACGAAGACGACGTTGCTCGACCACGATACACTGTTTACGCTGGTATAGCTATGTAGCAGGTGATATACACCTTAAATTCTCTGGTGACATGTACTATGCTTCTATTGGTCGCTTCGTTGTCGAGATTTTAGTAAAATGATGTTTCTGGATACTGATTTATGAAAGCCCGAGGATAAATCGCGCTAATCTTATCATTCAATCTGGATGAATGAACCTAATAGGCAGCGACATCCATACGCTCAGTGAAGATACGCAGATTCTCATACGTATAGATCAGCTGGTTCTGCCCCATTTAGCTGATTTGGAAGTGGCATATGAGACGATGTCGACGAGCAAATATGGTTGATGAATCAGAACAGGGTGGCACAAGTATCGATCAAGCTGCACAAATTTGTGAAGATTTGCATTACTGATTACTGCATAAAGACAACAGCTAAAACGAGGATTATCATGTATGATCAAAACATTACAGACGCCTTACAATCTCATTTCCTTGGCAACGATCACAGCATGCTCGTCGTTGCCATTATTGTATCGATTCCACACAATTGCATTAATGTGGTTCTTGACCCGCTTCCTCTCGTCTCTGAACTGGATAGCCAGAGCCAAGTCTTTCTTCACAACGTGAAGTTTCTGCTTCAAGAACGCAAGACCATATCTAGAATCTTCAAGTACTTTCTGACTGTATGACTTGAGATCATTGTGTGTATCCTGCAAGCTGGCAATGCCTCGCTGGGTGAGGTTCTTGATGTCTTCAAAGCCATCGCTTGCATCGCGGACTTGATGGAGGGTTATGCGCAAACGGTGAAGTCGTAAGCTCTCCTCACGTTCCTCTTGAGTGCGTTTTCTGTACCAATAAGCTTCGCCACGGCCCCAGAGTAAAGGGTTCCAGGGGATGGTAGGAAGACTGATAACTGGAAGATGGGGGAAAGGCCCTGCGGCTCTGAGCCAAGGAAGAGGCACAGGGACGTAGATGGGTCCTCTCTTTCTAAAGTCGTGTTGATAGGAGAGATCAATGACCCTGTCGACTTCCCTAAGCAATACTTGGCGCGTTTCGAGGGCACTTATCAACCGTTGGTGCATATTGACCAGATGCCTCTGGCAGGCAGCAGGTGGATCGCTGAGAGCACTGAACGCGCCACTGGCTGAAGCGACAGTCCAGCCCGACCACACCGAATAGCTGCTCCACGACTGAATCCAATTGTAGGAAATCGTCTTGGAGAGTTCGTGGACAGCGATTTCAAGTTTTCTGATCATGCAGATCGAGAATTGGTCAATGTCCTTTTGGAGGTCCCATGCCGTTTCCAATAGACTGTTGAGCTGGCGTTTTGCATAGGTTGTGTGTGCAATGACAGAGCTGTCGTTCTTCTGCAACATCTTGAGTTCGGCTTTAGCGACTGCCAAGGTGTATTTGAGCTCGAGGTCCTTGATCTTGGATAACGTCTCAATGTCATCAGACAAGGTTGACCCTGTTGAAGCCGATTCTGCCGTCATCGAGCCAGTAGTGTAGCCGATACTGCTGGAGCTCGAAGTAAATGGCAAGTAGGCAGAACTAGCAGAAGACAGCTTAGATGTTGCATAGCTGTTTGCTTGGCTCGCCAATGAAGAGACGACGCTATTAGCTATACTTTCGGCACGGCCAATCGTGGAGACGGCGGGAGTATAAGCATACTCGCGTGATTGGGTATGAGTGCTTCTTACGACTCGGCCGTTCTTGGTGGTCGTAACAATTTTGAATATTCTCTCCACAATCTTGGGTCCACTAATCGATGGCGAATGCCTGGGATGCTTGGTTCTGGTACTGCTGAAGGGGTCTGAAAACACACTTCCAATCATCACGAAAGACTTGCGGAGCTTTGGAGCTGGCTTCTTCACGCAATCGGTCCACTCCTCCGCTCCTGGAAGAGCACAGAGAGATCTCTTGAACGTGGCGGTTGCTTTCTCGGACATGCCTTCGAACATGTTTTCGAGCTCGTCTGTGCCTTGGCCGATCGAGCTTTGACACGAGTGCATCAAGTCTTCGACGTTTGCCTTTGCGTCTAGCATCTGGAATTTGTCGTAAATCTTGTCGGTAACACTATGGCAGTGGCTTATAACATTATCGATGGTGAAGTTGAAATTTCCGTTGCAGTTCCACTCAGCAGGGTTTCCAAACCGATTGCATACTTCTTTGTACGCAACCTGAACTGGATTTGCTTTGGGCGGAGAAGACAAACCCAAGAAAATGCCGAGGAATATCAACACTAGCCAGATGAATCCAGATCGCGGTACAAAGCCCTCAAGCGAGTTCCAGGAACTTTCCTTTGATGGGAAGTCAAAAATACTGGCTCGAGTAGAGGAAGGCGTATCGGGTCTTGTCTTTCTCCATGTTGGAGATGATCGTGAGCGCGTGTGTTCTTGCTGATCTTCGTCATCCAGCTGGGTTGAGATTTCGACTCGCTTTGGACGCGACGTAGATCTCTTGCTGAAGGTTGGAGAGGCCATGGTCTTGGCTCGGGAGGAATTGGATCTGCTGATACGATCCTGGACATCTCCCTTTGATGAATGACTAGCAGGAGCACAATAGCTGCTCATATAGTAACCGCCACCATCTGGTTTGATCAAGGACACTGAAGGTATACCTCTCCAATCGGGTGTCATATCATATACTCGGGCCTCGTCCAAACCCACAGTGTCTCTCTGATAACCGCGCAACCAAGATCGTTTGGCAGCTGACTCAGGAGACATGATCTTGCCATTCTTCTTGCCCAGAAATTTGCCCCATGACGGCGACGGAGTGGACGGGATTTTCGGTTCAGGTGTTGATTGATCGTAATCCGGGGCTGAAAACTGAGCCGTGGTTCGGATACGAGATAGAGGTCTTCCAGGCTGCGAGGACTTGCTGGCAGGTCGACCTCGACTTCTGCTGCGTGTTTGTCGGGTAGGCATAGTCAATTTTCGTGGTGTAAAATCTTGTAAGCCAGAACAGAAAATTGGCATCAATACCAACCAGCGCAATTGAACGATTCATCTTCCTTCGGACCACTGTCTTCTACGACTTCCGAAAACAGAAGGTACGACAGAATAGCTGGTTGCGGCTGATTGTCAAAGTCGTTCACGGTTGGTTGAGCCATTTCCGGCCATATTGACACAAAGCATTGTTGTCTGCTGACAACGTCTCGCCATAGGTTACATACAATGACCTTGTGGAACACCATACCATAAAGTTCTCTAATTTGCTAATCTTGGAAGAACGCCTGTTTCGAAGTCCCTGTCAGTCAGTATGACCTACCTTGTAAGGACCATATGGAAGCGCAGTGCCAGCCAGCGCCATACGCATGGCGCGGTTATATGAACGCCTTGCATGAATTCGTGCGCTCTAGAATGTTAGTTGACCCACCCTCGCGTGGATATGCATTCCTCACTCCTCTCACTACGTCGCATTGTTCGGATTGCAAACACCCAGGCAGGATAGTCGGCCCTACGTGCTTGTCGGCCGAGGAGCTCAGGAGCTGAAGTCGAACTCGCCGACAAAACGCGTCACAAACTGGACCCGTAGCTTTCTTCGCCTCGCTTTCTCCGCAAAGGGTCTGCATCATATAACAGAGATAAGAGACGGGAAGTCGGGAGAGGCGTAGAAAGCGTATCTATCGCCCGTGCCTTCCGTGTCCGGAGGTCTCGAACTGGCTGAACGTGGTGAGATGGAGTGGAGTGAAAAAGGAAGAGAGAAGTGGATGCTGACGCATGTTTCCCGGAGCAGTATCCGATGGAAATCGCTGACGTAGCGCATCAGCCTCCTTCAGCACGCGTCAACCGTTTCTGTTTTCAGCCACTGTATTGCCATCCCAGTTGCCATGATTTAGTTTTGCTGCATAAGCTGTGGAGGCTGGAGAAGACAGGCAGACGTCTTGATGGAGGATTTGCAAGCTGACGTTGCCTGAACACGTTTTCGTGTGTGTTGATCCTTCCATAGAAAGATGATTTGCAATCGCGAGGGGCGTTGATCCAGGGTCTGGTTGCGTGCTTGATTGATTTCCAATTCTCCTTCGGCAGGAGTTTATCAGATCTTCGCATGAAACCTGAAAGCATTCAGATAACCAGTTCTATGCGATTTCGAGACGAAATTGCTACCTGTAGTTAGCATGAAAAGTGCGCGTAAACGTTGCGGTGGTTGGCCAGTTTCGCAGCAAGCACGCTGTAAATAGTTGACCTAAGCAAAAACTATATCCACAACAGGTTGTATAGTGTAATGGTTAGCACATCGGATTCTGATTCCGGTGATCCCAGTTCGATCCCGGGTACGACCTCTTCTTTTGCTTGTTTGCAGACCTCGAATAATGGTCTACTCATGGGTATTGTCCTAGACTTTTTGCAGAATTTTTCGCCGTGCGGAGAGCGCCTACAGAAGCCACTTTGTCGCTGTTGAGAGAAACACCGAACGCCAACTCCACAAGACGGACTGCTTGGCTTCTCACGATAGAGATTTTCTAATACTGAAGTGGAGTAAGTGCAATGCGCTTGTATTTCCGATAGTGTTAGTTGGACGAAATTAAATTCCTATTCGTGCAGCTTTTTTACTCCGCTCGATGCACAGCATGTGTTTGATTGAGATAGAGGTGCACCAGCATCGTAGAGAGAAGAATTGACGTCGTCACCCACGGGAATGTAGATGAGTAGGTGGATGCGAAGCGAAAGTGTTGTCGATCATTAGGGACTCCCGTTGAACAGTGCGTCATGCAGGAAGGAGAAAAATGGAGGAGAAAAATATATTAAACATTTATATTGTACATGAGAAGGTATTTGCGCTTCAAAGACCCGGCAAATGACATTGTAGCCTGAGTGAATTGTAGCAAAATGTAGAGAAGAGGATGAACGGCTGATACTCCAACTCGCATACACAAGCAATGTCGAGCGTTAATGGAGAAAACAGCAAACAGCTTTTTTCGGCGGGAACAACCGTCGAAGAAGTTGAAGAAAAGAGTGAAAAAAGATCCACTGCAGAAGGCCTTTCGGACAAATGCGAAAGAAGACTTTCTGTTTCCGGTCGACCACAAAAGAATTGGACTTGAATCGTTAGGCGCTGTATGGACACATGTCGCGGCCTTGACTCAGTTCAGTCGGGGTGGCGGCGGACAAGCCGGTATGGGAGAAACCGTCTAGTTGCTAGACCCTGACTCATAGTCCGGGGGCCCACCTGATTCTATTTTACCAGTCGGAAAATTGAAGGTAAGTCTCAATGGTTGCTCTGCTGATCTGGATGATCATAACATGGCGGTATCGAGCCTGCTTGTCGTTGAGAGAGCCTATAGGCTTTCTGTTGTGTGATGGTAGGATATGTTGATCCAGGTCCTCGATGTAGGCGAAAGGTGTGCGATTGAGCGACGAAGGAGTGTGTTGTTATGTCTTGAATCCTCAAACGGCGTTCAAGGAGCGTTTCTTCTTCTAGTGGAGAAAGCTCTCATCAATCCTGAGATAGGTGAGGTAGGTGTGGTAGGAGGACTGTGGGTTGAAGAGGCGAACTTGACAGACTCAATCGAGCCCTTGGAACTGCTGCTCGATGAAGGAGATCTTTGACGGTGCTCGAGGCAGTCTTCAAGTGTGACATTGGCTGAAGGAAGAGATGGTGGCGCGCAGTCGTCAAGCAACTCGGTAAACTTTGAAGTAACCATGTTTGTTGTGAGGTGAATGATGTTGATTGATGGGTGGCTTGAGAATCGAAGGTAATGTTCTGGCGGTATAAGAGGGGTGAGATGGTATGGAGTATGCAAAGGAGAATCAGAGCAAGAAGAAGAGGGATCAACAAGNTCATTTGTACCATTCCACCTGTACCACGAGCCACGCTACAGGGTCCAGCCATCCCTGCAGGCACAACGGCCATGGTGGACCATTGGAAAGCCTAAAGTTCGGCTCACATTACCCTTAGCACCAAAACTCGGNGCCCACACACACAGGTCGCTTCGCGGAGAGGCGCANAGCAGATCTACGAAATGATGTCGTGGTTGATCAACAGGGNNCACTCGTCTGCTGGGAGGTTTACGTACCCAGGCACCGCAGGCGTGTCGTCTCATTTCCTTCCAATACAAGCCTGTGTTTCGAAATATGCGTCATGCAAAGATTGTGCGTGGCCGAAAGCCGCCATGCGGGCGTTGGCAAAGAACATCAGCCACGTTGGACACGCAAAAGACACGAGATGCCAGATTCTTTCTGTTACGAGCGGTCGTGCAGTCGGCTACCGAGTCTACCACTTCAAGCAAATCTTCTTGCTGATCATCCAATAGACACTCACCTACTTTTTACAGTTCGAGGTTCAGCTAGAAAAGTACTCTACTTTCTGCATATGCATCGCAGAAAACAAAGCATTCACAAGGCGGGGAGAGAGTTCCCCTGTTCCATTGCATCAGACAGCCGCCATTTCCATGCCGCTTTCGCCAAAGACGTGTCTTCCTTTCCTCTACAGAACTCTGCTTGGTCATGCGCCGTGTACACCGTACACGTACAGGGTGAGTAATAGGGGAGACATAACGGCATTGAGACCCGAACGTGTTCATATTCGCCACTCCGGGCGCAAGGCGGTTTACCTTTGCCACAACGGAGAAACAATAGTTGGATGTTTCCGACCTCCGAACGTGAGGCGAGTCTCTTGAGGCAGCGACTTTGCGACAAATACTCGAAAACGTGTACAGTACGAGTATCACCCACCAGAGTTGGAGGCTACCTCCTTGCCCTCGTCCCGTCCGGAACCGACTGTCTATCAATATTGATGCCACGGGAAGTTCTCAACCTCAATATTAGGCGATAGGCCTAGAATGCTTTCACGAGTCTGTTGCTTCGAGGAGCCGGAAGTATCGTGGTCAAGAGTCTTGACTGTTGACAACCGTGCTATTTCGAGATAAGAATCTACTGATCAACCGTTGCTAACGGTGGCCTCGGTTGTTCACATGGGACGCGCGCCTGCAGACAAGTCACCTGTCAGCCTTGCACAATTATAAATTCAATATCACAGTCGCAGGCAGGCACTGAAACAGGATCTTGGTGTGTAGGTTCGTGGACAGCTCTGACTCACGATGATCGATGGGATTCAACCTGGACAACCGAACTCAAAACAAACAGAAGATCCAAGCGTGCTTCAACACATGACCAAGACGTTGCGCGATCAACTGATTCGCAACCAAAGTATCAATGCTCCTTTTTCTTCCCTCCTTCCAATCCGGAGAAAATGCTCAAACAGCAATCCGGAGAATAGGAACTTGTCAACTCCTTCTAGAAAGCGCATCATCCAATTTCCGCAACGCCGTCTTGTGGTCTAGGAGAATGGAAGGCCTGTTCCGAGGTCCGAGCGAGCCTCTGCAGGCGGCAGCAACTGGCGTCAAGAACACCCAGACGACCACTCGAACTTGACTTCGTTGTTGATTCTGTGGTGCGAGCTTCGTGACAACATCACGCCAAACCATTCTGACATGTCTCTCGAGACTGGTACACTTGAGTGGGGTGTGTGCGTGATGGCAGAATCTCATTTCTTTTCGAGTCAACTGGTCATCAGGAAGTCTGTAGTTGGGGTACGTATCTTGGCGCGTCTACTTCGTCCTTCGGTTCGGCTTCTCGGTCTTCGAGTTTATTGTCACTTACGACTCACATGTCAACCTCCTGAAGATCGAGCTGGATTTCAATTGCACCACCTGTGTGTTGCTACAGCATAATTGATCAATAAACAAAGCCTTCCCCAGTGCCGACACGCATTCAGCCGGAACGTCGCACCTCACCGACATTCTAACATTCCCCTCACAGACCATGAACGCCGCATTCGGAAACACGACATGCTACTCTACCACTAGGAGCTCTGTGCCTAATACTAGTTTTCAGCAGGTGCAGTAGCGACTCTGTAGTTCAGATCTAGTTGTTCTGGCTCCCCACAAACGTACAGCAGCCTAGATCGGCTACTCCATTGACAATCGTACAAGGCCAACAGCCGAAGTATCAACACAGACTGTCGCATGACTCTGTTTCAAACCGGGGCACAGTATCAGCTGGGACCTCATCGAAGATTCGAAAAGTTCCTCGACGACGATCGAGTCCGATGATCAAACAAACTTCATGGTTCGACACAAAGAATCCATCGAACATGCTCCTATCATTCATTGCTCCTAGGCTAAACTGGCGACTAGCCAAAACATGATGGGTTTCCACGTGGTCAGGTCGAAGGTTCCCAAAACACACGTTGTTGAACTGGACCTGGCGGTCTCCTCGGCACGTCTGTCCAACAACACCTCTGCAACTCCTCAACCTCGTACTCTGCATCCTCATCTTCATCTTCCACCACACCTTGTGGTGCAGTATCTGCTGTTGAACTCACCAACTTTTGTTGCTGCTGCAGGGTGGTGTTCGCAGACTTCGGTTCGTTACTGGCAGTGACTAGCGATGATGTCGAGACCACAGCGCCAGCGTTCACTGTCCTCAGAGTCTCGAATTTGACGGGTGTGCTCCCTTCAAACCGTGCCTGATGTTGTGGCAGAGTCCTCTGTATTCTTGTCTGAGAATGTCCTTCCTGTACCCTTCGCATGGCTTCCTGAACGGCTCGCTGTCCCACTTTCGGTTGACCATCGCCTCTGCTCCAAAACTTTCCAACAAGCGTTTCTGCAGCTGGAACTTTACATGGATTGCCGACTTCGATGCCAGTCATGTAGGTGTAGTTGCCACATGTCGGTGAGCAGCCTTGTTGACAATAGGGATCTGTGCCACCGCAATGACCCATCCACGCATTGATGTCTCGAAGATCTGGCATGACTGGGACAATCTGTTCGCTAGAGCAGTTTTTTCTGGACCTGCTGCACGGCGAGAATGCAAAGATAACATGGGTTTGCTGCAGTTGTCCTTTACTAGAACAAGTCGATGATCTGGAACGTGTGCGACTGTGGTGTAAGTCAGGTTACATCGGGGTGGGACAGGCGTTCGCATGGCAAACAAGGTTTACTGCTGTTCAACAGGCTCCGGACGCTTTAGTGTTCGGGGTGAGTGACACGCTTACTGTGGTACAGAGACGCCTTGGGATTTGGATACAAGGTGCGTAGTGGAGCGTCATGGCCGTCGCTGTTGCTCTACCCAAAGGCGTTCCCATGAACAGAACACGCGTTGGTTTGTTACCACTATGTTCCGCTCATGATGCACTTTTCTCCAAATTTTGAGCCTCGTCTGCTTTGTTCTAAGCTTGTTACATTGGCTGTGGCGAAGCCTTGCCGTCCACTCTCTGTCTGCTGGTAGAGATGGCCAAACGTATTGCTCAATCATAAAATCAGTCATGCCGTCAATCTCGACCACAAAGATGATGGCTGTCTTGATAAATGTTCAGTCTTTTTCTCACTCAACTCTATACTCATGTGTTACTACATTGTTCAGTTACATCTTGACCACCGTATCCATGGCATATAAACTAAGATGATGGCGACTTAATTACCACTATGCAAGACATGACAGCCGCCAACTCGTGATACGGCTTAAAAAACATCGTTATACCTTTCGTGCATAACGATGCTAAGAATGTCAATCAACTTTTTTTTTGAGCTATATATCTCAAGCCCAGCACTGGCAGCGCAGCATCTAAAGACCAATCCTCCTATACTATGTTTGGTGTGAGTGTAAAGTGGTGCCTAGCTTCTGTCGAATAGGATGGCGGTTAAGCGGTCGGCACAAACCTTTCGCCGATGCTCGCGTCACCTCCCCCTCAACATCCCTGCCTTCTTGTCATAATTCCGCTCCAATCTTACAATATCCGAATATAGCTCCTATATCCGTCGTATCAAGGGGATGTATCCTCACGAATATTTGTCGATAAGCCGCTTGTTGTTGGCCTACCTCGTGTCTGCTTAGCTGGACGATACAGATTGTTCGTGATGTCATCCTTTGCTCGAAAGATCAAGCTCATCAAGAGCACCGGGGTATAAAAGCCCTTGGGACGTTCAGTCAGAAGGCGGTTCCTTCCAGACAGAGTTTTCCAATCTTTGTGTGCTTCGCACTTACTAACCATCTCTTATCACATCCATTCGTCGTATATCCGCATCATTCCTACATCAAATTCAGCTCGACACCCTCACCTACAGATATGGTACCCNCGTTGATCTCGCTGGAAGAGCACTATCTCTCTCAAAACGTCCGCAAGCATCTCGCCGATACAGGTCGTCAAGATCCATATGCCCAATTTCCACCTCACTTGATAAACAAGCTCACCTCTCTCGGTCCGGATCGTCTGGAAGCTCTCGACTCCGGAAAGGTGTCCTTACAAATTCTCTCGCACAGCCCACTAAATGCTTCTCCTCAAGAATGCCGTACGACAAACGATAATCTAGCATCCGAGATCAAGGACCAGTCCCGATATGCAGCTTTCGCCCTCTTGCCTATGGCTTCACCCTCAGACGCAGCTAAAGAGCTCGAACGATGCGTGAAAGAACACAAGTTTCTTGGTGCACTCATCAACAACCACTGTGATGGGATATTCTACGATGGCGAATCGTATCGTCCTGTTTTTGCCAAAGCCGAGGAATTGAATGTGCCCATCTATATTCATCCAACTTTCGCAGCCGATGAATGGATGCCTCACTACCGCGGAAACTTTGGCGAGAGAGCTGCACAGATGATGAGCATAGCAGCCTGGGGCTGGCACTCGGAAACTGGCCTCCACGTGCTCCGTCTCTGGGCCTCTGGACTCTTTGACGAATATCCGAAACTGAAAATCATCATCGGACACATGGGAGAGATGCTTCCCTATCAACTTGACCGTATCATCTCTACTTCCTCTGCATGGGCACCAGACAACAAGCGCGGTCTCGAGCAAGTCTGGAAAGAGAACTTCTGGATCACAACCTCTGGCATGTTCAGTCTAGCTCCGTTAAGCTGTCTCTTGAGGATGTGCGCCAAAGATAGAATTCTGTATTCTATAGATTATCCATTCAGTGGCAATGAGAAGGGCTTGAAGTTTGTTGAAGAGATTGAAGGGAGTGGAATGGTGAGCAAAGAGGAGTTGGAGATGATTTGCTACAAAAATGCTGAAAAGCTGCTCGGAGTAAAGGCGGAAAGCGCTGTCGGTAGCAATTAGTGAGTGGAGTCTCCTTCCTATGTGCTTGAATTTGTGACAAATAGTTCTTTTCTCAAGAGTTGTAACAAGTAGCTCTCCTCTCAATCACCTCGCAGAGCAAAAATCAAACAAACAGAGTTATCCTCAGAGGCTGTTAAGTTGATCCTCAAGCTATGAGACAGATGCAATGCTCATAAGCTATCGGCCATCGAGCACATTCTCTGTGATACACGGTGGAAAAGGGCACCTTTGCTTCGGCATTCTCAGTGAAGAGTTTGTCTTTTCTCAAGGTACTGTGAAATTCTTCAGTTACACGCATCGCAACTCTAGCACATGGGGATGCCGTGGAGAAAGAAGAGTTGTTTCTCACTTCTTGTCCGTCACTCTTCATCTGTTACCTTTCGACTTCCATGTTGAGACACGTATTTTCACTTGTGTTCACTTTTTACATCCTCACTTCCCTGTCTCGTTGACAACTCTTTCCGTACATCTTCCACTAACTTCAAGACATCTCACGTTCCCACTATCACAGAAGGGGAAAGAAGGGCAATCATCCCGCATTGTTCATCATAACACGCACCTATCGCCGACGCAGCACTTCGGGCTACTCGACAACACTGTCACATCGCTGCCACGCGCATTCCACTCTACGCCGAGCCGACTGCTAGTCGCAGAGTTGAATAGTCACTGTTCGCGATCAGCAAAAGTACAGGAATCGCTCTCCGTCAGCCAGCTCATCCAGCAGTCGAATATGCTCCGTCCTCCTCCAACTCTCGTCACCCACAAACAACTTTCACGTTTTATTACCATCATCAGCCCACCATGACCACCCTCCTCAAAGGAATCCTAAGACCTTACTGGTCTCCCTCCGCACCTGCGCCTCAAGAACCCAAAGCCCCTACTACTCCCCCCTGTGTGCTACAAGACACCAATATTCCTCGGTATCTCTCCTTCTCCATCCCCTGTCCCCTCCCCCTCTCCCCTCCCCTTTACCTTGCTGCTCCAACTAACACACCACAGAAAACTACCACTACCTCCACCCCACCCAAACAGCCCTCATAACATCCAGCTACGAATACCGCCATGGCGCCCACGTCGTCCAATCCCCCTCTGACGGCGGCAAAGATTGATGAGCAGTAAATCACATGAGTACTGAAAAGGCACTAAGACAATTGCTGGAGGTTACTGAAGAGAAAGTGTATAAAAAGTTACATGGGTATGGGGGTTGAAGGTGCATGGAGGGCAGAAGTGAGGTTGGGTGCAGGCAGAGGGGGAGGTTCGCGGGGGTATAGCATGTGAAGGGATGGATATGCGGAAACAGAAGGGGAGGGAGATGAACAGGGAAACAAAGTGCGGATGCTAGAGAGAGCGAGCAAGAGACGTCTAGAGAGTCAATTCACATCAGTCACAGACAGCAACTCACATACCAAAACCTGCTCACTTGTGGTCTACGATGATATATTTCCTTGGATGTTACACTGCATGAGATCGTGTTATGCAATAGCAAAACATCATAGTCTTTAGCGCACGTGGAAAGGCGTGATAGGAGGGTGGAGGGTTGCAAAAGGGGTAGAACGCAAGATCAGACAAAGAGAAACAGGATTATATGCCTTCCATCCCACATTACCAAACACTGCTATAGTGTACCAAACATGCACAACGACTAATCAAATCCACGAACGACCACAAAGATGGCCTCTACAAAAGGGGTTGTGTTCTTCAAGCACGACAAGGCGTCAGAAAGGGTATGATGGTGGTACTTTGAGGGTCTGCGAGGGAAAATGCCAAATGCACGCAATATCCAAGATCCGATGCAACAAACATGGTCTAGCGTCTCCCTCTTGCATTACAACGACGAAATGGCACTAGCCCACCTCTGCTCATCCTTCCTAAACGACTTGTCAGCATATGGATACTCGTGCGAAATAGAAAGGTGGTTAGACTTACTTGTCAAAGTGCAACAACATACCCAGCACAGGCACCAACTGCAACTGGTGCTTCCTATCCTTCTGCTCCAAAAACTGCAACAGCACGTTTTTAAGATACACGTAATCGATAGCTTGCTCTTTGGCATCGGGCCCGCCGGTGGTAGCCACACTGCCATTGCGACTTCCCATCGGGCTTCCAATGCGCGAGCTCTCCAGCGATGACCGCGCAGACGGCTTGTCGGATCTGGTTTTGAGCGTCTTGATCTCGTCGGCCAGTGCCTTTGACGACTTTTGCAGTGTGGCGAGACGGGTTTCGGTGTCGGCGAGAGACTTGCGGAGGTCTGCTTTTTCCTTTTCGAGGGCGCTGGAGGAGCGTTCGTGGTCGTCGAGGGCATCGCGGAGTTGTGTCATTGCACTCCTGACTTCTGTCAGTTCCTCCGTGGCGGCTGCAGACTTGTTCTCGAGTTCGGTCTTTTGTTTGCGCCATTGCGATTCCCTTTTTCGAAGTCTTCCTTTTCGTCGTTGATGGAGGAGAGGGAGGTTTCGGCGTCTCGAGTTTGTGCTTGAGGTCTTCAAGTTCGCGGGCACGACGGCGGCCAACGGTGACGGCTTCCTCTTCCGCACGATCGCGTTCTTCGATTGCCACGTCCATGCGTTCGCGCATCTCCTTGACGCGCGATTCGGCGCGGCCTTCGACGTCGGCGAGCAGACGGCGCATGGTTTCTGCTTCTCGGCTGCGCTCGCTGAGAAGACGGTGGGCGTCTGCAAGCTCTTCCTCGAGACTCTCGCATCGTCCCTTGACTTCCTTCATTTGTGTAGCCAGTTCGCGAGTTTGATCCTGCATGCTGTCCATGAGTGATTGAGCTGATGCCTGTTGTGCAGCCTTGAGTTGAAGCTCCTCCTTCAATCGGGATGACTCTTGGGTCAATGCCGTGACTTGCTTTTCGAGGCTCTGCAACTTTTCGCGCTGTTTCGAAGACTCATCTTGAGCTTTGGACAGGTCTTTTTGAAGCTTATCCCTCGATTCAGTGGCTTCTTTTGCAACTTCTCCGCTCGTTGAAGGTCTTTTTGCGATTTGTTGCTTTGTTCCTCGAGCGTTGCTGTGCGTTCTGCATTCTGCTTGACTTTGTCGTTCAGTGACTTAATCTCAGCATCCTTGTCCTTTTGATTGAGTCTTGTAGGTAGAGATTTCAGACTGCAAATCCTTCTCTTTAGCTTCCAGCCGACGAAGAGTGCCGTTGGCTGTGCTCAGATCATCCTTGGTCTTCTTGACCTCAGCAGCTTCTTGACGAAGACTTGTTAGCTCAGGCTGGATTTTGTTGAGGTGCTCCCTCAGTGCTGTCAGATCCTTGTATCTCGTCTGAGCCAATTCGTTAGCGGCAGACAAATCAGTCTGCAGAGACGAAGTCTTCGATTTGAGTTCGTCAAAGTCAGCAGTCAGTGTCTTGTGCTTTTCGCTCGACTCTCCATTACTAGACTTTAGTGACTCGGTCTCTTTCTCAAGCTTTTTGTTGGCGACTTCGAGAGTGTCTTTCTCCTTCTGGATGTTGGCAAGCTTGTCCTCGAGCTCCTTGCTCGAAGTACCAGAAGATTGCTTGAGCTCGTCCAATTCCTTGTGCACCTTTGCATGCTCCTCTGTCTTTGACTTGATCTCAGACTGAAGGTCGTCGCATTGCTTCTGCAGAGACTTGCACCTGTCTCCAAGCTGCTTCATCTCTTCGGCACGTTCGCCTGACTCGGAATCCTTCTGTGTCTTCAGACTCTTGATCTGATCTCTTGCACCACACAAGTCATTGCCAATATCCTTGAGCTGCTCTCTAAGGTCATCAATCTCCTCCTTAAGATCATCTTCGCCCTTGAGCTTAGCGTCAAGTCTGTCAATGGCAGCTTCTTTCTTCTCGATCTGAGAAGTGAGGTCCTTGATTTCGGCATCCTTTTGTTCAATGACAGTATGTAGCTCTTGAATCTTGTGGTCATTGTCATCGGAAGGAGCAGCTCTCGGAGCCAACAGGCTGAGAGAGTTGGTAATGTGTGCTCTTGCGGCAGCCAACTGTTCAGATGATAGAACCGAATCTTGCGGAACGATTGAAGTTTGCTCCTCGGGCTTGGGAGAAGGCACAGACGAAGGCGGAGCACTCTTTGGCGCCTCTGCAGCGGGTGTATTTGCAGCAGCACCGCCCTTCTTCTTTTTCTTGTTCTTGTTCTTCTTCTTGGCCGCTCCACCGTCTCCGCTCTGTGTGGGAGCTGCCGTCTCAGGTGTAGCAGCAGAAGCAGAAGCAGGTTCGGGCTCGGCAGTTGCAGGCTCCTCTGGCTCAGAAGCCTTGCAGTGGCCACAAGCCAGAATCATCTGATAAGCATCATCGCGTTCCTTCTCGGCAGTCTTCAATTGGCCTCGTAGCTCTGTCAATGGTGTGTCCTGAGTAGAAACTACAGCAGCTGCCTCAGTAGCGGCCTTCAAGCCAGCCTCGCTCTTCCTCATATCATCACGCATGCCATCCATGTCCTTCTGCAATGCCTTCTTACCCGATTCGGCTTCGTTGAGTTGTGACTTGAGTGTCTTGACCAGGTTGTCCAAGGTTTCCAAACGTTTCTTGTCAGCATCGCTCGCCTTCTTGTTGGTGCTATCTTGGTTGGCTCTGTCCTTGTTCTCTTTCTCGAGTGTGGTAAGAGCATCCTGAGCAGAAGCGGCCTTTGTCTTGAATTCCTCGATCTGAATGTTGGCACTGTCTACATCCGATGTCGCTTTATTGAGCTTGTCGCTGAGCGACTTGATGCGCGCTTCCAGTGGTTCCTTTTCAGATGCTGAGATGTGGTCGATTTGATTCAGCTGTGTCTTGATCTTCTCGATCGTATTCTCAGAATCCTTGAACTTCTTTTCTAGATCAGACTTCTGTTTCTCCAGCTCCGAAACCTTTTGCTCAAACTCGGACTTTTGCTTTCCCAGATCAGCCTTTTGCTTCTCCAAGTCGGCGACCTTCTTCTCCGAGTCGGACTTCGATTGGTCTTGAGATTCCTTTGCGTGAGATTGATCCTTAGTTGCCTTCTCGAGTTCCTCACGGGCATTCTTGTCAGAGTCTTGAGCGGTCTTCAAGTCGTTCTCCAATGAGGTGATCTTCTCGTTCAATTCTTCGACTTGGCGGGTCTTTTGGTCCAGCTCTTCCTGCAGGCGAGGAGCCTCTTCCTCATAAGAAAAGAAATCCTCGCTCTTTCTTGTAGACTTTGCATCCTTATCGTCGACTGAGAGGGTAGTCGCACCCAAAGGATCCGTCTCTGTGGCAGGCTTGTTCTTTTCATCCCTCTCTTTCCTCAAACCGGCAGCCTCATCATGCGCATCTTTAGCCCTCTTCTCGGCGTCGTCCAGTCTGCGCTTGATGTCGTCCTTCTCTCCAGTGACCTTTTTGTACTCCTCCATGACCATGTCGCCTTTGAGGTTGAGTTGCATCAGATATTCGACCAGAGCAGAGGGATCGGCAATGGAAGTCAGAGGGTGTTTTCGCGGAGAGCGGCCTCGAAAGGCTCGATCGCAGTGACCCTTGCATGAGCGATGCGGTAGGAACGGAGGAGCTCGGTGTAGCGAGACTCTAGCTTTTCGAGTTTGCGCAACTTGGTCCGGACATCCTGAGGCAGGTCTTCGGGCTGCTTTCCTCCATCTTGTTGTTTCTCAGAGATAGGGGCTTCGGATTGGGCGGGCTCTTTCTCGTTGGTTGAGGCGGCTGGTTGATCGGAGGAGGAAGTCGAGGCTTCAGTCACAGCGGGATTAGGAGTGGCGGTGCGTGTAGGGGTGTCATCGTCGTCAATGACAAACTCGCTCGGGTCAGGACCTTTTTGGGGGATGCCACGATTCGAGTCGGCGCGGGATCGGTTGGCTGGGCGGTTTGGCGACTCTGTTCTCGACACGCCTCTTCTAGCGGCGGACGAAGGAGTTCGCTTTACGGGGGACGATGTGCCGGGTTGGCCTCTTTGGCGAGCCTGTTCCTCTGCGATCTTGGAGTCCAAGAAGGAGTCCAAGTTGCCTTTGAGGCGCTGGGTATGAAAGTCAGGAGAATGATGAGGTAGTCATTTGGCGAGGGGCTCACTTGAAACATGATGGTGTGTCTACGATATGACTGGGCGCATAGCTAGAGGAATGACAGCGAGGAATAATATTAACACGTTGATGGGCCGGACATCGGAAGCTCGGCCTTGTCAGGGCAACCCTTGTTCGGCTTTGTGATGGGCGGAGGCTCTTGTGGAAGGTTCGACGCGCGTGGAGCGAAACGTCATCGGCACTTCTTCGACACGTTCGTTCTTCTTCGTTCTGCAGGTGCCTCTTCCACTAACACGCATGCATCTCTCTTAGCAGACATGGTTTCTTTCTGGCCCTTCAAGGTGCGCTACGTCTTGTCCACTGGTTTCCCTCTGCACTCTACTGACACGCTACCACCAGNNGGTCACGACTCTACCTCGGCAGCGTCATTCGAAAAGCTGCTGTCTTCCCTCTCGTCCAAAATCAATAAAGAGAGCGCTCGCAATGATCGCCTACACCAGAGACAGCGTCGTTACAAAGTACTATGGACCTTGTACACAACCTTCGCCTACCTTCTCGCCGCGACTATCCTTATCCTAGTCACTGGCCTGTCAAACTGTACCGCTGTAGAGTACACCGGTCTGGCCGCATCGCCTGTCCTCATCTACGGTGTAAGAACTGGCCTTGACGCATACTTCAACTACCGCCTCGCCTCGTCTCAGTCTTACCTCAATGCCTTGAATAAACAACGCGACGATGCAATCTCAAAGCTCAAGGAAGCCACAAAGTACAACTCCACCCAGCAATTGCTGGACAAGTACGGCGGAACTCCCACGAAGTCGCCCCAGCAAAAGATAAGACAGCAACAAGAGACTCCCACAAAGAAGCAGCAACCCGCGTCTGTCAAGAGAACCGGTCTACCTCCTCCACCCACCGCAAACATCCCAGGCCGCCAACTGCCTCCATCCTTCCAACCCATGACCCCTCNNCCCAACAGCCCTCTCAGTTCCAATCCCTCCCGCCGCAATCCCAAANCCTCTCGCCCTGAACCACAAGCCGAGTTCGCACCAAACGCCTTCACAGCACCCACCCCACGCGACACAAACCCCTACGCCTCCTCTGGGCCTCGCTGGTACGACAGAATCCTCGACATTGTCCTCGGCGACGACGAAACCCTGCCCAAAAATCGCATTGTGCTGCTATGCCGCAAATGCCGCTTGGTAAACGGTCAAGCCCCTCCTGGAACACGGTCTTTGGAAGACTTGGGTACATGGAGATGTAAGGAATGCCATGCTCTCAATGGCCAAGAGTCGGAAGCCAAAGCAATGATTAGGGAGATTGCTGGCGGGTCTACTGTCAAAGATGGAGGCAAGGAGATGCAGGAAGTCCAAGGAGCGGAGAAGGTGGTTGAAGACAATGATGATGAGCAAGAACAGCTTGAAGAAGACGAGGATGAAGTCATTTCTGCACCTGCCACGTCTACTAGAAGTAAAGTCAGGCAGCGCAAGAAGTAAATCTTAGTCAAAACATAAAAATAGCATAGTCAAGCAAAAACAACAAAAAGCGAATTCACAACCATGCACAAATTCTCATCCTACAAACAAGCACAACAGATCATCACAAAAAACAGAGCACCAACGCAGCGCACTCGTCGATGAGGTGGTGGTGCAAAAACAAAAGGGTTGGACGACTAGGGGATCGAACCCTAGACCTTCAGCATGCAAAGCAGACGCGCTACCACTGCGCCAGACGCCCAATTCATGGTTAGATTTCTATCTTTTTACAATATATAGCCTAAAACGGTGGAGCTGAGGTTAGTATCTCGTTCATCATCGTTTGGATATATCAGGGAATATACAAAGGTGCCAGACCACACGAGAGTATAGAAGGAGAGGCACCAAACGGTGATAACATTGCAATACTCAACGACTCTTAAGAGAAGACATGTACGATAAGAAAACATAGACACATACTACACAAGCATTAAACAGGATAGCAAGGCGAAAGAATTGATTACTTCCTCTACCTTTGTAGAAGTCATTTTCGATCAGAACAATAATCTCCTAATGCCCACTTGGAACCAAAGACCCACTGATCATCTTTACAATCCGTTTAAGACACTTACTTGTCTTTAAGATAGTAGCATGATGTAGCTAAATTGCTATAGGCCTAAGATCTCTTTGTTATCGCTGAAGAGGATGTGCAAGACAGGACGAGAGCGCAGGCATAGACCACCAGTTCTTTGATTCATGCGTTGACGAGGTGGAAGGATTGTACGGGCAAGATCATAAATTCGTGAGTAAAGTATAAACGCTCTATGCAGTTTCCGCCTGCATCTGTAGCGTGTCTTTCTGCTTTTCTGTCTCCTTGTGTGCTGTTTCCTTCTCCTTCCTCTCTGTTTCCAAAGCCTCCAGTTCTGCCAGTCTTGCTGCTGTCTTGGCCGCTTCTTCTCGTTCCCTCTTTTCTCTGTCTGCCTTTTCCATAGCTGCAAACTCTTCGTCTACGTCTACCTCGTCGACCTTGGAGGTGTTGGCTTCGTTGATCACGCGGCCCACCTCATCTACATTCTCCATTTCGTCTCTCAAGCGATCTACAACTTCCTCGACACCTTCTGTGCCGCCGACCTCTGCATGCAGACTCTTCAATACATTCGTAGAGGCAGACATGGCAGACACTATAGCGACTTGATCTGCAGCTGTCTGAATGGCGGTAAACGTCTCTTCTAATTGTGATAACGTAGCACTGCGGGTGTGTAGAGTTGTTTCTGCTAGCTTNTTGCTGCGCAGGGCTGATTTGGCTTGGATGGTGCGTTTCGCGGCGACGGCTTCGCGGGCAGAGATGTCGAGGGTGGTAATCCGGTCTGTGAGAGCCGAAACCTGTGTTTCCAGGGCTTTGATCAGGGTGCGTAGGTTTGCAATGTCGGTGTCTTGTTGAGTGATGGGTTGGGGTGTGGATTCGGAAGCAGATTTGAGCTTGATGGTTGTCGAGTTGAAGGAAAGGTATGGTTTGTCGCGGGATAGGTAGCGGAGGAGGATATCGAAGTCTGTGGTGCTCAAAGCAGCATCGGGAAGATGTGCCGGGTCGAGGACGTGAGCGAATTCTGATTCGAAGAGGGGNCGAGAGAAGATGAGGGAGGTTGTGGACTGGTCGAGTTGATTTGCTTTGGCGATGATTGCATTCGCTGCTTCCNNTGTCGGACTCGAATCAGCGCATGTTGTAAGATGAGAGTGCTAGGGCAGTACCTCGACATTGGCCAGAACGACCAGATTGCCGACTGATAGTTTGTCGGATGCACCAAACAGCGAGGCAACTCCGACCTGTTTAAGACCCCAGCTGACGACCTGCCACGGTGAGGGGATCCAGCTCTTTGCGTAAACACTCTTTGTCGCACTGAAAAAGTCGTCCAGGGGGATAAACTCGCGCTTGTCGACAGCATCTTGAATGACAGCACCTAGAGCCAGCGGTCGACCCCATTGTGCAGAGTTCAAGGCGCGCGACAGGTCCTCACCACTCCCAAAGACGACGTGACTGGCTTGGCCGGATGTTGTTGAAGCGGGTGGTAGGCGACCGGCGCGTGCAGCTGCAGTCAGACCGCGCAGCCATGCTCGAGAGTTTGCTTGGTATCCATCAGGGTTTGATGTCTTTTGCAGTCGGAAGTCCGAGTAGAGAGATTGGAGGCGGTTGCGACTNGCCGTGGCTGTCAGTGGTGTTCTGGCTGGCGTGGAGAGAGTTGACAAGGGTATATACCTACGGAATGCCTCCTCGTGTGTGCGCAAGAACTCTACAAGGTCGTTCATGTTGTTGGATGTCGGGTGTTGTGTTTATGTAGGTTACAAGATACGAGTCGAGCAAATGGGCAGAAACAAAATGGGTAATGACGATGATTGGCTTGGCGTTCACATGCATTGCGGTTTCCTTTCCGCGTTGTTGTCTCTCTTCAACATGCATCTATCAACGTCCAGATTGTAAACATCTCATCCGAAACATGCCTCCCCTTCTTGGCCAATCCTGGGCACGTATCTTACAACCATCTAGCATCGGGTTCCGTGCTTCCCTTGTCCCATTGGGCCTCAGAGCCCTCTTCTCACATTCTGCTCACCATCCGTCTTCAGACTTGGCCCAGGAGGAGCAACAGCCGCCATGTCAGCATGATCCTGAGTATCCTCAAGAACATCCAAAGTCGCGGCACTCAATCTACTACGCAAAGCATAGGGATGAAAGAAATAGACGGCGTCGCGAGAAATACCATAATGATCCTGAATATCGCCAAAAGTTATTGGACGAAAGGAAGGCTTTTCATGCAGATCGATACAAAGATGTAGAGTGGTATAGACTTTCTGAATATGCTCGGGTCAAACGCTCACAAGACCAAAGACTGGCGGACCATGCTCTCCGCCAACAACACAATGCCCGTACGAGTAAACAGCAACGCCAGCGTCGTCAGACCGATCCTCAACTGGGTTTCTACCAAGGCCTTCACACATGGTACATGTATCACAAACATCGGTTCCATGAATATGTCTGGGAACACTGGCAGCCCATCGTTTATCCAGAAAAGGTTGAGAGAGCCTGCGCTGCTTGTACACACACCAGAATCAATGGCATTCGCCTCTGGGTACGTACTTCTCTTGTTCCTGTTTGATCTTATCTTATCCTCTGAGACAAGAGACATGCTAACTCTGCTCTTAACCGCTAGTTCGAACGTAAAAGGCATTCCGACTCTGATCCCGTCTTATACGATTGCTTTCAATGCTACTCCAAATCCAAGTGGTCCAAGATTGCACCACTGAGAGCGAGTGGTAAGTCGCGCTTCTATCGACCTAGCAACCCAGCAATTCTCGCTATGCTCGAAGCGCGAGAAAAGGAATAAGTCCTGTGCCCTTCCATCCAGAAACCACCCCAACTACACGAACCCGTGGTCCTCAACTCGCTGAAGGCGAGGAGTTGGACCAAACATGTTTCTTATCAAAGTCCCTGCATTCGGTTCAGCCTTGCGAAGATTGCCACTGCTTCCATAATCGTCGTGATTGGGCACTGGGCTTGAGAAGCGCGTGGGCCAATTGACGCCCGAGAAAAAGCAGCAGCAGAAACACAAAGCATTGTGCAGCTGTATCCAATCGAGCACTGTTTTGCCGGGCAGCTGCTGGTCGCGCTGCAGATCTGTGTCTGAGCAGCGATGAGCGTTGGGGTCATTGGAAGCGGCGTCTACGCGGCCCAGACGCAGGAAGCGCAGGTCGCAAGTGCAGTCGTGTTTCTTGCGGTGCGAGATCAGCGCTTGAGCAATGTTACTGCATATGGTGCTGAGAGCGGTTTCGGAATCGGCGTTCGGCAACCTCGACATACGCTTGCATGTAAATAAAAGGTTCGGGTTGGGATCTGGACCGGAGGCATTGTTGACTTGATCGTGTGTGTTGATGGCTCACTGTGTTGAGCCACAATACTCGAGTGTTCTGCGCCATACCCCATGACCTTTGTGCCTCCAAAATTCTTCCAACTCNTCTGGGGTATAAGGGGGTGGACAATCAGTCCCGTATGGAGCCGTAGTCTCCTGGCATCTAGAGGANCCATTACTCGCAGCAGGCGCGAGAACCCGCCAAAGNATATGGAAATGTGTTGTTCCAGGACGCTGGACGAAAGTGCCGTCCTTCATGATACCATCTACTTGCTGTCTGACCATCTTGGAACAAAGGGTGTGTGATTCGTGATGATCGAGAGACTTCAGAGACGAGGTTAGTTGAGTGGAGAGCAGGGAAAATCAACCTGGATTCTTAGTCAAGGTCTGCCCAAGAGCTCGAGGTTTCATCCTTGAGTTAAATCATGCCAAGCTGACGATAGAAACTCTCAAGTCCTTGCAGGTGGGCAGGCGAGGGTATACGCTGGTGAAACCCTACAGCGTGTATCAACTGTGAGCAGCCCACAACCCATCGGAACTCTCTTCTCTCCCCCATGATACTAAACAGTGCGATAGTATACTATAAAAATACACAGTGTTGATTGCATCACACGTACGGCCACAGAGACAGGTCTACGGTATCTCTCCTTCGGTATTAGCTTGTATTATGGTAATATCGTGCATTTACGTAGGCTGCTATAATCGTGTTAAGCACATGGGGAGAAATGAGGAAGGGGCAGGGTTAACGCACGATTGATTCTTCTCCCATGATACCAAACAGTAGCTCAGTATACTACAAAAATGCATAGTGTTTGACGTTTATGGCGTGTGGCCATAGAGATGATTATATTGTCACACATCTCCTTAGAAATCGCTTCATGTAGGCAAGATATTGTGAATTCTTATAGGCTACCACTACAGCAAAAAGCATACGGGGAGAGACAAGACAGCAAAAGAAGCTGCCTCTCCCACGCCAACGAGTAGTAAATTGTATACTATAAAAATGCACAGTGTTCACTGCATTACACGTGTGGCCACAGAAACAGCTCCAGGATAACGCCTCTCCTTGGATCTCATTTTATCTCGCAAAGTAGTATGCACTTTAATAGCATACTATTACACTCTCCATCACATATGGGAGCAAGAAAAAAAGAAAGTATTGTGTCTGGTTTACATTTTCATTGACATTTCTTGAGCTTTGCTTGCGTTTGCTTATTACTACATGCTTATTTCTGCCCGTTATTTCTGTAGAAGCTACCAAACTACCTTCCCGGTATCAATCCAAGACGCCTAGATATAGACATCTCTCTCCACGATCCCGTAGCCTTGCTGTTCTCTGCTAGACTTTGTAGTCACAGAGCCGTTGATCGTGCTGTCCGCACGCGGAGAAGTCAACTCCATACCACGCAAACGCTGTGCCGAAGCAGCAGCAGATCTATGCTTTCTGTGGCGGTTATCCATGTATTTGCGATACAGCACACGCAGAGAAGGCAGACAGGCAGTGCTGATTTGAACGGCAGGCTCGATGGTAGTCCAAACGGCAGGGGCGACGAGGTTCCAGGTGAAATCAGTGCCTTTGTTGGTAAGCTGTACCATGACAGCCAAACGCACGACGCCAAATATCAAAGAACTGTGCAAGTCAGTAAGCGCAGTAAGCAGAAGGGAAGAAACTTACATGACCCAAAGCAAACAAGTGACCGCAACACCCAACTTCTGCTTCTTCGGCAACTCCAGCCTCTGAATCTCGCGAAAAGGCAGTAGCAAAATACACAGATCGGTAACCACATTAGGGATCTGCATGCCATAGTAAAAAGGGACCAGACTAATGCACTTGCCAGGAATAGCAGGATTCCAGACCTTGGCGATGGGCGTGCACATAAAGACGCCAGTAAACATGACTGCAGTGCACCACATGACCATAATGGCAATCAGGAACGAAGTCATGAGTTTAAAGTCGTGGTTGGGGAATAGGCGGCGATATTGGTAGAGGATGGAGACTTTGATGAAGGTGACGCAGAGGGGGTACTGGATGGCGCCCGTGTACTGAATCTTAAGGAACTCTGTGATGTCGGGGGAGCTGACGGTCTGGACAGGGCGACCCATGCCATGTTCGATGACTGAGAACGATATTCAGATTGTGTTACGAGGAAGAGAAAGTGTCGGAAAGCAAAACTTACGCAGAGAGCCGCTGATGTCGAGGCCGATCTTGAAGAANCTACAATTCCTATATCAGCAGAGTATGGACAGGGAGGCAAGCCATGAATTTACCCAGGCAATGATGATGAGCCAGTCGTCAAAGTAGAGGCGGATGCGCAGGACATGTCTGGCGAGCAGGCGCAGAACGAGGAAGACAGTGGGAAGCACAATGGCAATGACGGAAGCAGCGATCAGCTGGTGAGCGTGGCTACCATGGTGTACAGGGCCATCAGTAGGAGCAGCGGCAGTCGACATGGTGTAATATCGTGTCTATAAATTCGTCGTCGAGTGTCGATGATGTCGTCGATGCGAGTGCGCCGAGACGAAAGAGTTAAATAGACGCCGAGAAGCTCGACGGAGTTTGAAAGCGGGTGCGCATTCGTGTCAAGTGAAGCTCGTCAAGAACAAATCTCACTGGAAGCTGGTGAAGGAGTGAAAAGATTGGGCTTGTAAGCATAACCTCCCTTCGCCTTTTAGAACAAGTGACGAGATGATATCAAAGTGGTGTTCCCGAATAAACTTATCTTGCAGACTCAACCCACGCCTTTTCTGTGGGACCACCGACCATTTGAACTTCCCTGTGTTGGGTAGGCGTACTGATCAACGTATACCCGAAAGAGAAGCTGGGATATATGTACAGATCAGAATAATCAGTTGGGCCTGTCGACGAGTAGGTCCGGTCAGAACCAAATGGAAGGGATCCTTAGGTACTATTTGATACTGGGATAGGAAGCTTGGTTGCGTGTCCGTAATGAGAAGATCTTTCCCGATTCAATGGCACCGTAGGATCAGAGACTTTGGGGAGAGTATGCCGACAACCGCGTCAGGGCTTACATGAGTCCCATCTATTGGACCCATATCACAGTGGCCAGACACATAAGATTTTCGAACCAGTCGAGCATGCATAGGTACATAGGCCCATCTGTCGTTGCTGCATGTAAGTGACAGCTCCTGCAGGTCTTCACTTTGGCTCCACGCCGTCGCCGGGGAACGAGAGAGTAGCATCGGACTTTCAGCCAGGCATCTTGCATTGACGAGACTGTCCTGATACCGGCTATGGGCTTGACTGGAGGTTGCAGCGAACTGTCTTACAGGCGTCGTGCAGCAGAACAAAAGAAGAAGGAAATGTGGTTTGCAGGCTGACAGGGCGTTTGTCGATCACAGCCCCTCGGTTACACCTTCCACTTTCCGCTTGCTACTCGTCAAGCTTGCTGCACGACATCCGTTCAGGATGCCTGTGTATGACTTTTCTGAGAAGCGTCGACAGAGGCAGATGAGCAAAAGATATGTAGGGGACTGAGGAAAGACAAGTTTATATATGCTTCATCTGCAGCTATGGTTGAACAAATTGAGCGTTTTTGTCCTACACCTTTAAACTGCCATCAAAGCGCCTTTACTCCAACTCTTTACTCTAGTCGCATCAATCCCGTCCTTGACTTTGGCTGTCAGGACATCCAGAGTGGTCGCATCCACGTCACCAACTTTTGCCCTCTGGTCCAACCAAGCCAACACGCCCGTCCTAGTCACCAAAGACGTCGCTCCACCCACAGCAGCAACCCTGTAAACCACCTTAAGCACTGCCTCTTTAACGCCTTTGGGCGCCGATGGGCTCGCAAACAGATCCAAAACCTTTTCCATGCAATTGCGTGGTAGCAATAAATGCACATCTGCAAGCGTCCTTGTGCCCTGGCAGAAAAAGTCGAGCACGAATTCAATTTCTGCCCAGTGTTTGTCGTCTTCTTCGGGGGTTTCGAGAACAGTCTTGTCGATCCAGTGGTTTGCTAGTTTGCCAATGTTCCAGACGGGGCCTTTGTTGAGATACTTGTTGATCTTTGGGTACATGAAATGAGAAGGGTCTTGCAAAATAGCCAAAGCTTGTGTGGCAAACACAGTAGCCATGTAGGGAAGTGGTTGTGTAGCTATCGGCGGCGAGAGTTCGGCAACGGTTTCGGAAAGCTCGCCGAGCAAGAGGTATATTTGGTCTTTGTCGTCGTTTGTGGATTCTTTAACGCGGACCATGAGTTTGCGGATGGCGGCGTGAGCTTGCAAGCGGACAGAGCTGTCTTGTGAAGACAAACATAGGATAAGTGCGTCAATGTCTCCGTTCTGTAGAGACTCGTCTAGGTCCTTTTGTTGCCACCTGCTCAGTTCGGGATGGTTTTGCTTTTCAACAGGAGGCTCTGAGAACGCAAGAGGCTGTCTTGTTGATTTCTTATTAGAGGACGATGCTGGGCCTGAAGTCTTATCGTCATCAGATTGTCTGCGAGAGGTGATGGAGCGCAATGTAGGTTCGAGCTCGACCGATGACACAGCAGGCAAATCCGTAACTCTTTGTCTGATGAGCTGCAACAACTCAACATCCTCGCCCATCACCTTGAGTAATTCAAGGAAGCGAGAGAACCACATCAACACATTTGTGCGATCCGAATTTGGTAGTTTTGAGGTGAAAGGGATCTGCTCCAAGCATACCATGACCAACACACTGAGAGTTTTGCCATGACCAGAGGCACCAGCCAACTCATCGAGATCGTCGAGATACTTGATTGGTTTTCTGACCAGACGGCCGAGACAGTCGTCAATAAAGGTATAGAGAGCTTCACACGGCTTCCAAGCCTCATCGTCCGCAAGACTAGCAATCAAGGCGTTTACAGGCGGCTCTTTCGTTTGCTGTTGCAGGATACTGTGCTCATCAATAACCGACTGGAGCAGATTGATGAACTCGGACCCAGTAGATTGGTCCACGGGCGTCTGTGCGCTCAAACGCAGAAGCGTGGTGAAGGGGGAAAACTTGAGCGAACCCTGTTTGTGCCACCAACGCATACCCGCAGAGCATTGAGCAACGACGAGCAAATGCTGCAGCTCCAATAGACGGAAAGCGTAGTTCTCGCTGTCTGAAGTGACTGTCTCGGCTCTGGACATGGCGACTGTCAATGCCTGGGAGACGTCGAATTTCTCCTGTAGAGCAGCCTGCGGAGTGACTTGGTAATACATACGGAGCAATCTAGAGATGGCCTCCTTTTGGAGGATATTGTCGTCGGAGATTTTGCGGAAGGCAGCAATCACGTCTTTGACTGGAGGACATCTTTGACAGAATTCGGCAATCAATCTGATGGATCCCTCTTTCCAAAGCGGGTTGCCCTCAGCAGCTGCAACATTGAATGCTTGCAAGACATGCTGCAACTTCTGAAAAGCAACAACCAGAATGCGGACAGCAAAAAGAGTGATGAGGTCGGAAGATTGATTCAATGATTTTGTCAAGATTCTCTGAGTTAGGGGTAGAGGAAGAATGTTTTCGATGGCGATTGAGACTGGAGGAGGACAGCTTGCGTAGTGATCTTGGGCTCCGAAGTACTTGGGGAAAGGAACCTGGACGGATGAGAAGAGGAAAGATGCATATCCAATCCAGGTATTTGTGAGCTTGGGTTCGAACGAGAACTTTTCTCCCCTTGCAAAGTAGTAGTCTGCGATGATCTCGGGTGCAGCAGCAAAGATTGAAAGCAGGATATCTCTTTCCTCCTCGCTTGCGTATGGCTTCAAGGTTTGCGAGAAGCCAGAAAGGATAGTGTTGCGCACAGTGACTTGACCTTGGAACTTGTTGTACCAGTCGACAGAATCAAGACCAAGATCAAGCGCGAGGTCTGTTTCGACGTCGTCATTCTGATCCCTGGTGTGACGTTCGCTGCCGGGAGGGTACCAGCCGCTGGGACGAAGAAGACCAAGAGAAGACGTAGTACTGACAAGTTTCAAGAATGACATGACTGCGTTCTTGCCACGAATCAGAGTGGAGTCGTCGCCTGTCGGGCTTTCGGTGGCGGCAAAAGTACGAAGAGCAGCAAGGACGCCAGCCAGAGAACGCTCGCTGATGATTTGAGTCTTGGTTGCGCGAGGGATTGTCTCATCGCGCAGAATACCAGTCTCGAGTACTTTGAAGATTTCTTGCAGAGCATCGGCAGAGTCATCCTTGAGGTGGTCAAACAAAGCCTTGGTAATGTGGCCATTCTTGAGAATGTCGATTTTAGCACCCTCTCCTTGGTACTTGAAATGCGCAAGTAGATAGCGGACAGCATTTGATCGGACCGAAGGACCAGAACCGCTCTTGACCAGACAGAGGTTGCGAGCAACGATTTTTGTCTCGAAAGTGAAATCACGCTTTGCATAGACCTGCTTGGCCATGAGACCGGCATCGAAGGAGACCATCTCGGTAAGAATACGCAGAGAGGGAGAGATGACGTGTTCCTTGTGTTTCGGAGCAGACACGCTTCTTGAGATGAGCTTGAGCTGGGCATGGTTTAGTAGAGTCTTGATGAGCAGTATGCCATATTCGCGAGATTCAATTAGAGTTGCGATTGTCTTCAAAAGCAGAGCCAAAATAGAGGCTACGGATGTGGCCAGGTAATCATTGTTCGTCTGGTTGGCAAAGCCCCATGCCTGCATGAAATCAGGAAGATATTCAGCATCCTTGTCACGGGCAGCTCTTAGTTTGGCAGCATCCAGGTAGTCGTTGAGGATGTTGATTTTGGCCGGACGGTTGGGCTCATCGGTTTGGTAGAGAATAAGTTCCAGGAATTGCTTGAAAGATTGGATACCGTTTCTCAAATCCTGGACGCCATCTTGGCTGAAGGAAAGAAGTTCCTGAAGCTGACGAGCGGAGAAGATATCAGTGGCGGGGATTACGGCGACGGGAGGTTGTGTTTTGGGACGCTTGTTGTCTCTGACTTGATGGCCGTCGGAGTCGGCGAATCTTTTGACATTTTATATCTGTTGGTGAATATGCAGATAGGCAGGCCTTGCAGAAAACATTCACATGTCTCTGGCTCGAAGTCTTGGCACCAGATTGAGGAAGTTTTTAGGGTTTGGCGGAGACGGCGGGAGCAGCCGACGATTGGAACGGGCTCGGCATGCGTAGAGCGCCCGGACATTTCACATGGAGAGGCGGCCGGAGAGGCGTCAACTTTCGGAATTGATTCTGTATACCATCTAGTCCGACAGAGTTACAGGGGGAAGACGCGCCATTGTTACGTGCCGCAAAACGACAAGAAACCGAAGCTGGACACAGATCTGACCACCACGTTCCGCCGATCGACAGCGCACGCGACAGTGTTTCTGGAATGAGCGATCTGGACAAGGCCATCGCGCAATTGCGCTCATGTCGCCCCATCCCCGAAACCCAAGTCAGGGAACTCTGCTACAAGGCCCGCGAGTTGTTGATTGAAGAGGGCAATGTTGTCACAGTGAATGCGCCCGTCACGGTGAGCTCATCTCTCTTACTCCTCCTCTTCCATGTGCTCATGCGCGCCAGANTATGCGGCGACATCCACGGCCAGTTCCACGACCTGATGGAGCTCTTCCGCGTCGGCGGCGATGTCCCCGACACCAACTACCTCTTCATGGGTGCGCTTCTTATGATCACATCAACTCCTGCATCAGCTCACATCCTCCAGNGCGACTTTGTCGACCGCGGCTTCTACTCGCTCGAATCCTTCCTCCTCCTCCTCTGCCTCAAAGTCCGCTACCCCGATCGCATCACCCTGATCCGCGGCAATCACGAATCGCGACAAATCACCACCGTCTACGGCTTTTACGATGAATGTCTACGAAAATACGGCAGCGCCAACGTCTGGCGATATTGCTGCGAGGTCTTTGACTACCTGGCTCTCGGCGCTCTGATCCTCGGCGCGGCTTCAGAGCTTGCTCCCACTTCTGCAGAGCTGCCATTGGACGCTCAACAACCCTTCCCCGAATCTCTCGAAGACGTCGAGATCGAGATCATTAATTCACACAATCAAGTCATGAACCGCTTCCCTCGCCCGAAACCCTCTACCGAATCTTCCGTACCGAACAGTCCTTCACACACCGGCCCTGCAGGTACAGGCGCAACCTCATCGAGCGGTGGATCCGCCTCAAATCAAGGAGGTGCCGTGCTATGTGTTCACGGCGGTCTGAGTCCCCTGATCGACAGCATTGATAAGATCAGATTGATCGACCGCAAGCAAGAAGTGCCCCACGAAGGCGCCATGTGCGATCTCCTATGGTCCGACCCCGACGATATCGACGGCTGGGGTCTGTCACCACGAGGAGCCGGCTTCCTTTTCGGTGCCGATATCGTCAAGCACTTCAACCACAAGAACGATCTCAGTCTAATAGCCAGAGCACATCAACTGGTCATGGAAGGCTTCAAGGAGATGTTCGACAATACAATCGTTACTGTCTGGAGTGCGCCCAACTACTGCTACCGCTGTGGAAACGTCGCTGCAATCTTGGAGTTGTCGGAAGATGGTGCCAATGGCGGATATACACCACGCAGCAATGGAGAAGTCGAGAGGTCACCGGGTGTTGTCACAGACATGGTCTTGAAACAAGGTCCAGGCCGGAGGTATCGTGTCTTTGAAGCTGCGCCGCAGGATTCGAGAGGAATGCCTGCAAAGAAGCCAGTTGCCGATTATTTCTTGTAAGAGAGGCAAGAGAAAGACTGCATTTGACGAAACAAAAGAACCGCATTTTCAATTCTAGAACATCACGGCATTTGGCTTTTCTCGCATTCTCTCCTTTCTCGGCGTACAGGCACGCAAAATCACAGACACGAATAACCCTTCATGGTAGATACCCCACTTGACATAAGATTCGATGTTTTCATGCTCTTGACTTTTGTTCTTGCTAAACACAACTCTTATGAGCCCAGAGCAACAAACCTTCGGATAGATTGACCTAGCTCAAGCAGTCTGGGCCGAAATAGTTGTACCCGATGAGGTAGTTGTCTCGGTCCTCGAAGTTGATCGGAGCCAGACATAGCAATTACCCCTTTGGGAGCCATCATCGGAGTTAACAACCATAAAGCACAACGACTACATCCCAGACTACTCCAAAGGACATGATATCTCCGTAAGACTTCTCTAGGTGCATAGGTACTGCTACCTATATGAGTCAAGGCAAATTCGCTCGAAAAAGACTTCCTCTCTGTTTCAACAAACTCCAACATCTATACATCCAACCCAACAGCAAAGAAAATCAACTATGATTATCCTCCTCACAGGCGACACAGGAAAAACTTCCCTACGTCCAGCTTCCCTGCTCCACTCGGCTGACATCCTGGTCCTCTTGACTTCTCGGCGTGGCACCTCTACTACCTCTTTCCCTTGCGTCTCGTTTGACTGGAACGACAAAACCACTTGGACANACCCATTCACCGCAGCCACCGATATAAAAGCCCTCTATCTACTCAGCGGCAATCTACATGATCCAGCCCCCATATTAAACTCCTTTATCGATTTTTGTAAAAGCAAAGGTGTGAAAAGATTTGTGCTTTGTTGAGGCAGTTCGTGCGCAAAAGGCGGTCCTTTCCACGGAAAGATATGGCAGAAACTTGAAGATGAAGGGCTGGAGTTTTGTGTGCTGCGACCGAGTTGGTTTATGGGTAATGCTCCCTCTTCTCTCTTTCTACTCAATCCCCTTACTTGCTGCTCACCAATGCTGCAATTGACTGACACAGCTGTGAAAACACAAANNAATCTCTCAGAACCAGGACATGGACATTTTGAGACCATCACTGGCTACAACAAGATCTTTACCGCAAGTGGCGATGGCAAAATCCCTTGGGTGTCTGCAGAGGATATCGCGAGTGTGGCGTTCTCTGCTCTCAGAGACGAGAAATCACACGATTGTGCTTACCGCATCTTGGGCCCTGAGTTGCTTTCCTATGATGAGGTATTATCCTCCATCTCCCTTGGCCTCGTTTATTTGCTCTATGCTAACCCACCTCAAAAGATTGCAGAAAAATTGAGCAAACAGCTAGGAAAACGCATCGTGCATGTGAAATTGACACAACAGCAGAGGGCTCACGGGATGATGAATGCAGGGGTACCAGAGGAAATGGCAGGTTTCTTGACGGGGCTGGAAGTCATGGCGAAAGAGAGTAGAGAAGCATGGCAAGGCAATGACGTGGAAACCGTGACGGGCAAGAAAGCAATCTCTTTCGACGAGTTTGTTGTGCTGAACGAGGGAGCTTGGAAGTAAGATGATAAGGCAGATTGTGTTGATAAATGATGTTAGTTCTTTGTACTGTTATGGAGTTTTCTTTTGGGTGCTCGTGTTTTGTCTTTCACGCATATCTGATGATTTCTGGTGAAGAGGTATGAGAGATTGAGGAGATGGGTGACCAGCACTTTCTTGGATAACAAACAGAATGCTCGGGAATCTACAGATGTTCTAGTAAATAACGCTGTACAAGCAAATCTGCAACACACACAACTTTCGTCTACTCTCCACGCAAATACTTGTACACCACCGAAAAGTCTTTGCCCTTGTACTTGTCGTTCCCCTCTATCGCCGCATAAATAGACGCAGCCATAGGACCCAACCTCGGCTCAATGCCAAACTGCTGCGCTGCATGCATAGCCAATTTCAAATCCTTATTCATCAGCGCTGTGCCAAAGCCACCAGAGTAGTCTTTGCTAGCAGGGGCATCAGGCATAACACCAGGAACAGGGTTGTTGACTTCGCTGGGCCAGCACTTGCCTGTACTGGTGTTGATCATGTCTGCCAGTGCTGCGGCATCTAATCCCCACTTTACACCCATATTCATGGCTTCGGCGGTGGCGATGTTGTTTAGTGCTAGCAGATAGTTGTTTGCGAGTTTGCCTTTGAGGCCAGAGGTTTGGGGGCCGAGATGGATAACGCGTTTGCCCATTAGCATCAACACTTCTGTTGCGCGAGAGACTAGTTCGGGNGGTGCGCCGATCATAAAGGTGAGTTTTCCTGCGGCGGCGCCGACGATGCCGCCGCTCATTGGGGCATCGATGAATTTGCCTTGGCCCGAGGAGTGGGCGGCGTCGGCGACGTGGGCGGAGGACAAGGGGTCGATGGTTGAGCAGTCGATGAAGAGGCGTTCTTGGGTGACGCCGTCGCGGAGCAGGGTTGGTGGTTTGAGCATTGGTCTGAAGACATTTTGTACATGTGATGGTCCGGGGAGTGCTGTGATGATTGTTTCCNNTGCGTTTCTGATCAGTTCAGGATATGGGATGAAGTGAGTGTGGTCATGGAGTCCGATAAAACATCTAGTAATGCTAGACATATGCATGAAATTCAAACTTACCGATCTCTCAGCAACATCTCTGACATCTTCTGCAACTTCTACATTCGAGTTCTCCTTTGCGAATCTTGCCGTCGCTTCGGTGTTTACATCGTGGATGATCAGGTTATCGGAACTGGGCAACTTGGCTCGTAAATTTTGAGCCATACGATAGCCNTTGGTTTGGAGTCAGTCATCACGATACTAAGGAGTCGGTCGTAACTACACACCCATCTGTCCCAGCCCGATGAAGCCATAGGTCGCGTGCCGTTGACTTGAAGTGGAGAAGCATCGCTGTACAGGAGCATCCACAGCACAAATCTGTCGTCTCAAAGCATTCATCTTTGCAACATCAACCGCAGTCTTTCGCGTGGCAAGGGTGCAAAGAAACAGAGGCCAAGAGAAACAGCATCACTCGGTCCTTATCAACGGAGGAACTGAAACCACGCATCATCACCGTGATTAGCGAAACAGATCGGCTTCGGGCAACCGAGGAAGGGAGCAAGGTGCCACGGATATCCGGGGCTTGCGGAGACGGGAAAGAGGGAAGGTTAGTTTGCAGCAACAGCCTCGTCTATTTTCTGGGGCAGCGAGTCGGCAGCGACTGTAAATATCCCCGTCTGCAAAAGTCTGTTACCTGTGTAGCTATTGATATACGCAACATGGGCAGTATTTGCTGGGGAACATCAACTCGACAACCTCTGTGGGAACCCTTCTTGCAGTCTTGAGCGATGCGTGTATCGTCATGGCTTGAAAGTTGGCATATCGCTGTGAGAAAAGAGTTGTGTGTGACAAACCGTGAGCCCTTGAGGAGGAAGAGCTGTGTTGGTGAAATGATTAATTTGGTGTTGGCCAATTTAGCCGAGTCTCATTCGATGCTGCGAGCACATGTTTGCATGGGGTTTGCTGCACAATGCAGTCAGGAACAGAAGAGGTCTGTCGAGCGGTGTGAAAGCGTGCCATGGCATTCGCTAAACATAATCGTGTTTCGGATTACTGACTTGACCGTGACACTCCAGACAAGAATGTGCCTACTCATGCGGTGAAAGAAGTTGTGCACGTGACGGAGTTTTGGTGCAGACGTCGTGCTTGAGACTAGAGTGTTTCAATCTCTACATCGAGTGGATACCGCATCGTTGCATTAATTATGACCAATTCACTTGTATAGGTAAGAGGGAGTCTGTGGATGTGGCAATGTCACTGATGGCGCATGGGTGTGGCGCACGAGTAAGGCTGAGCAATGTCTAGCGCTGCTCGCGTCATTGGCGGCGGGCGTGAGGGCTTTTAGCGACGAGGCAACCGCTTTCAGTAAACCCCTACTCCCATTCTCGTCTCTCACCACTTCAGAAAGATACCATACGATCAACATGTGCGGCAGCGACATCTTTNTGGGCTTCCTGGCCATTCTCTTCCCTCCTATCGCTGGTGAGTGAATACCGCATAACCCCCTTCTCCACACGACCCGCGCAGCCGCTGGTGCAGCATGGACCAAGCACCCCTCTCTACTTCTCTTCTCTTTCAGAGTAGCAGTCGCTGATGTAGCTTTGNCAGTATGGGTCAAGCGCGGCATCTGCTCGGCCGACTCGTTCATCAACATCGCCCTCTGCTGCCTGGGTATCCTGCCCGGCCTCATCCACGCCTGGTACATCATCTCGCGCTACCCCGACCCGACGTACGACGAGCTCGCCCAAGAACCCGAGGGCGGCCGTGTGACATACTACTATGTCCAGCAGAGCCACCGTCCTTCGGTGAGCAGCTCAAGGGGCCCTGGCTACGGCACTATCGCTGGCGGTCCCAGCAGTCAAGCCGAGGGCTCGCAGCCCCAACAGTACCGTCAAGACCAGCAGATGCCTAGTGCCTCGAAGAAGGGCGATACTGCAAATCCTCCTACCTACGCCGAGGCTGTCAAGGGCGACAACAAGACGCAGTCGCACGACTAGACTGCCACTGCACGCCCCTTAACGACTTTATACCCATACCCATAACAACTTCTATCTGGAGGATTGCAATACATTTCGTGTACTTTATTCCGCTGCTTTTTATTTTTGATGCTCTGCTATTCCGTCGCGTGGACAGAGAGATACAGCGATGGACGGGATGGACTGGCGTGTCTATGTTATATCATTTGCAACAAACAGTTCTGCCCATCAACTTGACCACACCCTGTCTGTATTTTCCAATTCGTGGGTGCTGGGCGCATCCTTGAAGGCTTCGTCTCGGTCACGTCCTTCCAAGGGAGCATCCGGCTCGTCGGCAAACGGAGTAGACTCGTGACTCTCTGTCGCAAGTACAGTCGGCTCAGCACCTGCAGTTCCCGCATCGCCTGTCTCTTTGCCCTCTTCTCTTCTTCCAATAATGACACTTCCAGCGACCAGCATGGCAGCTCCCAGCAACCAGAGGCCAGGCAAAGTTTCGGAAAAGATAAGCACGCCCAGAACAGCGGTAATCATAAAGTTGGCAGACGTGTTGATGACACTGACTCTTGTCGTACTCGAGGCGAGGGTCAGGGCGCGTGTGAAAAGACCCCACATGATTGCATTGAAGACGAGGTTCAAGACGAAGAAGAGCTAGTCATGAGGAATCAGGATTTGTATTCTAAGCAAGTAGAGGCATTCACATACGCCGCGAACAAGAAATTCAAAGAATTTGTTGGGACCCGACAGGCCAAAGACGTGAGATAGTGACTCGGCCCATGCTGTGGTCAGATGGGTTGTGGTGNNCTGTAGGGGTGAGTAGGGGTGGTGAGGAGGACAAGCGCTTTGAGTGTCTCACAGCTTGGCAAAGACACCGTTCAGAGCAGCACAGGCTCCGCTGGCGATTGCAAAGAGCAACCACTTGGGCGTCGACGTCGACATGGTTGATATTGACTTGACTTGTGCTGTTGATAAACAATCACTGCGTATAATGTCGCGACCTTGATGATGCCAAGACTGCGGCAGCGCGACAGGCAGACGGAGATTGCCGTGGCGCATCATTGCAGGTTGCCCGAAGCGTCACCTCCAACGTCGCAGTGGCAGACACGAAAGATATCGAGTAGACGAGAAGATATAGACAACATGGGCGGTCTCACTCACGGCCTCTATGGCGCAACCACTGCCCTGACTGTCATCGGGCTCNTGTACGTAGACATCGCCCTACTGGATCCCCTATGGAGCCAAAGCTAATACCGCGCCTTAGACATGCTGTTCAATGGAGAGGGCGAAGCTTTCAACGTACGCCTGCCTGTCTGCCTACAATCACACACACGTCTAACACGCCTCCCAGNNGTCGGCGACTTCCTCCTCAGCATCTCGCCCCACGCATGGGCTAGCACAGGCATCGGCCTCTGCATCGGTCTCTCGGTCATCGGTGCTGCATGGGGCATCTTCATCACTGGCGCCTCCATCCTCGGTGGTGGCGTCAAGGCGCCCAGGATCAGAACAAAGAACTTGATCTCCATCATCTTCTGCGAAGTCGTCGCCATCTACGGCGTCATCATGTCCATTGTCTTTTCGGCAAAGATGGCCTCGGTCGGCCCTGACGCTGCGAGATCTGGCAGCAACTACTACACCGGCTTTGCTCTGTTCTGGTCTGGTCTTTTGGTCGGCGCTTGCAACTTGGTCTGCGGTGTTTCTGTTGGCATCAACGGTAGCAGTGCTGCGCTCGCCGATGCTGCTGACCCCAGCTTGTACGTAGCCACGGCCCCTTCTTCTCTTCTCCAAAACTGACTCGCTTCGCAGGNNTTCGTCAAGATTCTCGTCATTGAGATTTTCAGTTCCGTCCTTGGACTCTTCGGTCTCATCATCGGCCTCCTGCTCTCTGGTCCTGCCGCCGACTTTGCCTAGATGCCATTTACAAGAAGAAAAGGAGGAGTCATAATGTAAACAATACCCACAACAAGAAGACAAGGGTCGGCCAGAATTGTTGCAACGAATAATTGTCGCAAACAGGCTAGATCAGCATTAGTAGGGCGTCCGGAGCGAAGCAAATAGGGAGCCATGTTTTTGTATTGGAAGCATCTGAATTGTGGCACATTACCACCCGTGTATAGACATTTGTATAGCGAAATCATTCCATTCACCACTACAAGATTAATTACAGACACGTGCAATCCAAGCTAGGTTTATTTGTGTCCTGATAACAGATTCCATGCATTGCGAGGAATGAGACCTTGTCCGCCTGAGTAATCCGCTCTTGTTTCCACGAGGTTATCTCCGCAAATCACTCCCGCTCCGTCAGCCTCAACCTCACACCATACATCTGGCGCATAAAACATCAAATATCAAAAACAATGGCCTCTTCACAGCAAAAACTCACAGCAGCGATCCTGATAATATCAGAAACCGCCTCCAAAGACCCTTCAACAGATAAATGCATCCCCACCCTCTCACAAGTATTCGCCGACCTCGGATCCACCAACTGGGCCATTTCAACCACAAAAATAATCCCCGATTCCATTCCCGCAATCCAGCAAACTGTTCTTGAGTGCTGCGATGGAGGCGTCAATCTCATCATCACTTCCGGCGGCACTGGGTTTGCTGTCAAAGACGTGACGCCAGAAGCCGTGCAGCCATTGATTGAAAAGCAAGCGCCGGGCTTGGTGCATGGTATGTTGGCGAGCAGTTTACAGGTCACGCCGTTTGCGGTCATGAGTAGACCTGTTGCGGGCGTCAGGGGTCAGAGTTTGATCATCACACTGCCGGGGAGTCCCAAGGGCGCAAAGGAGAATTTGGAGGCCGTGTTTAAGTTGTTGAGTCATGCTTGTTTGCAGGCGAGTGGTGGGGACTCCAGACAGATGCATCAGGGTGGAGTCAAGAAGTTGGAGAAGGAGGCGGGGGTGGGTGGGGTGAGAAGGNTTGGTGGACATGGGCATGGACATGGTCATGGATGCGGTCGTGATCATGGTCATGGAGGTCATCATGGTCCCAAAGCGCATACTGCACCCGAAGATCGGCCACAACAATCTAACGATCCTTCTCAAGGGCCCAGCAGAAGATACAGACATTCGCCATACCCAATGCTCTCGGTCACCGACGCTCTCCAGCAAATCGACCTTCACACACCTTCACCAACCATCATCACACTCCCGGTCAACGAGTCTCTGGTCGGTCATGTTTTAGCCGAGGACGTGACAGCACCAGAATCTGTTCCCGCATTCCGTGCCAGCATCGTAGATGGCTACGCTGTCATCGCCGGCCCAGAAGCCCCCAGCACAAAAGGAACATTCCCAGTCGCCATGATCTCTCACGCTCAAGCCGGAGAACACCAAGAGCTCAAACCAGGACAGATTGCCAGAATCACCACCGGTGCTCCTCTACCTCCCGGAGCAACCAGTGTCGTCATGGTCGAAGACACCACCCTCGTCTCCAAAACCGACGACGGCACAGAAGAAAAAGAAGTCGAGATCTTGACCTCTGAAATCGAAGTTGGAGAGAACGTCAGAGAAGTTGGTTCAGACGTCCAATCCGGCGACGTGATTATGCAAAAAGGCGAAGGCATTTCTGCTGTTGGCGGAGAATTTGGCTTGCTGGCTTCTGTAGGCGTCAAGCAAGTGTCTGTGTACAAGAAACCTGTCGTAGGTGTCTTGAGCACAGGCGACGAAATCGTAAACCACGATCGCGAGGGCGGGCTCAAGCGAGGAGAAGTCAGAGATACCAATCGTCCTACCTTGCTCACAGCCATCCGTGGCTCCGGCTTTGAAGCCATAGACTTGGGCATCGTTTCCGACAAGTACGTAACTCCTTCCTTACCTCTCGCTTATATCATCCTCAGGAACACTGACACCAACGCAAAACAGANNCCAGGCGCCTTAGAACAATCCCTCCGCGACGCGACCCGCAAAGCCGACGTCATCATCACCTCCGGCGGCGTCAGCATGGGCGAACTCGACCTCCTGAAACCAACCCTCGAGCGCCAACTCGGCGGCTCCATCCACTTTGGCCGGGTAGCCATGAAACCCGGCAAACCGACTACTTTCGCCACCATCCCTGTAAAGGCCAACGATGGCTCTCGAGTCGACAGAGTTGTCTTTTCGTTGCCGGGAAACCCTGCTTCGTGTGTGGTGACCTATCATCTGTTTGTTTTGCCTGCACTGCATAAGTTAGCTGGTGTGGAGCCTAGAGGTTGTGTGAGGGTTAAAGTGTGCTTGGATGCTGATGTTAAGTTGGATAGAAGCAGAGATGAGTTTCATCGTGCTGTTGTTAGGGCTGGGGGTGATGGTTTGTTGCATGCTGTTTCCACTGGCGGACAGAGGAGTTCGAGGATTGGTAGTTTTAAGGGCGCGAATGCGTTGTTGTGTTTACCTGCTGGTGAGGGTGTGGTCAAGAAGGGGGATATGGTTGAGGCGTTGGTGATGGGGAAGTTGGTTGGGTATGTTTGAGAGGGGTGTCGCTGTAATTTTTCATACAAGAATCAATGGTATTGCACCATGAGGTTGTGACATCACGCGGTGATATGGGTAGAGTTGTCAGACATGCGTTCATGGCATGCCCGAAGCGATACAATATAGATCAAGCATGAACAAGTCAAGATGCGCTGATCATCCCAAACGGTGTGTTTTGTTGGGTTTGCTATACAAAGGGCTACATAGAAATTAACCCACTAAACTATAAGTGCCAAAAGCCTTCGTACTCGGTTTCAAAAATGTCTTGTGTTTTGGCTTTGGCGCCTATGCCATCATCGTTTGTTGTGCCAAAGGTTAGATACATGTCATCCACGGTTGCAACCTCGCCAAAATAGGCCCAAATATGGTCATCTCCTGGAAAGCCATTAGGTGGGAAAACTTCGAGGGAAGTAGAGTTACATTCCTGTGGTAAGTCGCTATCTTCAGAGCTAGACATCGGAAGGAGAGTGACTTGGTCGCCAGGATCTCGAGCCTCGAGAGGTGGTTAAGAGATGAGGTCTAGATTCGGAGGTGTTGCAGGATCGAAGATTCCTGGATTTGTGTTCAAAGAATGTATCCTAGGACCAACTGAAGGCAAAACCTCCTGCTCAGACCTGTCCGTTCTAGTGCCGTGTTGCGCGAGGAATTGGCTACGGATGATTAGGAGCCGGGTCTTAAGGTCATTCAAGTCAATAGACTGCCTCATTAACTCCCGAAGTCGTGTTTCATAGTCATCAATAACAGAAGACACTATGGAGATCACTGGGTCTCGGAGATCTGCAGTCGTTAGACCATAAAAGGCAATTAGTACTATATATACTTACATGGGCAAGGTATGTCATCCGAATTAGTGTCAGGAAATAGCCACCGATATGCGAATCGCCACTTTTCTGCGCCCTAGCAACCTCGCAGACGTTGGGCGACTTCCGATAGTAGAGCTAGGCGTTTGTCTTGAGCGATCCATTGTATCCGTTTCACAGCGGCCAATGGCACCAAGGGACAGGGTTCAGGAACTGTTTGATGTGCCTGGAGCTCTTCAGAGCTACCAAACCCGGTTCGAGTACACCTTTGACATTGCAGCGGTTGATCAGAATGTACTCGTTTCAAGTGGTCACTATCTCGGGTTATTGATTGTTGTTATACAGTGTGTTGAATGAACCACAGTGAACTCACTATGGCTTGTCCATGTTCTGGAAGTCGTGCGTCCCACAGATCTCAAACTTCTTGTGTGTCTGGGTGTTTAATCTATACATCATAGGATCATACTTTTAGTAAAAACAGGCAAGTCGTGTCTCGGCTGTTGGCTTGGACCCGTCCAAGACGCCGCGTTTTCTCTTGTTCCCTTGATTGTCTTGGTCGCTCAGGTCATCGCTGCTCCGCTTGCCACTACGAGAAGCTCTATGGAATGAAGTAGTCCTCGAAGAACCAGAAGCAGAAGATGACCATAGAACAGAAGAGTTTTGTGGTAGCGATGCAGAGGATCCACCTTGTCCACCTGTTGGTTGATTTTGGAAAGCCAGCTCTGTCCTAGATCGCTTCAAAAGCAATCTTCTGAGCTTGGAGATTTCCAGGTCAAGGAAGATCTCGTGATCACTGGCTGATGTCCCGGAGCTCGTCGGTGAATCCGAATCAGATAAGGAGCCGACTTGACTGTTGTCGGATGGCTGTAACCCTGGTTCTGGTGCAGATTCGCGAGCCCTACCATATACATTTTTCTCTGCGTGGTGGGTTCGTATCGCTGCCACGTTGTTTTGTTTCGCAGAATGAGTCCACCCACGTAACACTTCCTCTTCATCCAGTGGTGGTGAAGCAGATCTGGTCGCCACGTTGGTATTTTCGATAGGCGAGCTCAAGTTGCTATAGCTGTCATCGACTGTATAATCGTCCGATGGGGAGGGCATTCCAAGGTTCGCATCCAGTTCGAAGAGAGAGAAAAGTTGTCAGCAAATTCTGTTCATACTCATGACAACAGGTGGGCCATTCATTGATTGAAAGATGGTGATAAACACCTGAGTGTTGTTATTAGCTCCTAAGTAAGTCGCATACCTTGTAAGAATGCTCTATGATACTGCCTTCGGCCCGCGTGAGGAACGAGTTTGCAAACTTCCTCCGTCCGTGCTGCCGCCTTCTCATCGCCAATAAACTGTGCTCTATTGCTGATGCCCAGGGTGCGTCGGTGCGTCCTTTTTTGGTTGCGCAGCTGTACTATCGTATTCCCAGAGGCCCATCTCCTGTGAATCTGATGCAGTTCTATCGCGCAATGGACCACTTGAAAAGTGACCTTGTTTTGTTCCTTTGGAACCGATGCTGTTTCGCGATACTGGTCGGGATGCACTGACGCCAGAGGAAGAATCGACATTCGACTCGCCATCATGACTGATGGATTTGAATTCGACCATGCTTGGTATGATCAAGAAAAAGAAACTGGTGTTGGTTGGGGAAATAGGAAGGAGTATGATCTCGGGGATTATGGAGGGTGCTGTGGAAGTTGTAGGCAGGAGCTTGGGGGCTACATTTACGCAGCTGCGTAAATCGCTCCTTCCGTGGCTGAGCTGCATGACAACCTGCATGAAGTATCTTGACGGGCCTGACGAACGGACAAACCCAGTTCACGCAATTGCGTAGAAGCTGTTTGAGGAACTCGAGTTCTCCATTGTGTTCTATACAGCCAGTGGTAGAGGGTCTTCATAAAGCATGCATCGGCCAGATTTGAGACTGGCGCAGAACCCGCAACATGTCAGAATCGAAGTCACTGATAAGATGGAACATCGTTCGCAAAGCGACCAATGGCCTCTACTACCTGGAGTATCTGGAAGTCGAACCTGAATCTTCAGGAGCAGCGGTCTTCGCCAAACTTCAACAGCTCTGCTTACTTCCAGCCAATACTCTGCACACAAAGGGATTGGCTCTCTTGAATTCTCCAGTCGTGTATACAGTTACTGCGATCAAGGCAAGCAGCCTGCGTTCTCAGCATATGCCCATGCTAACTCGCGCAAAGGGACGTACATCGACTGACAGCAACGACATCGAGACTCAAATATTTATTCACGAGGTCTTCGTCAAGAATCGGCGTTACAGCGAAGCATATACCTTGGCGCTTCGAAATCCAGCCGTACTCAAAGACACCCCAAACTTCTTGGTCAATCGTGCACAACTCTGTGCGAACAGCCCTGATCAGGTTGTGCACGCCCTTCTGGTGGTACAAGAGGTCCGACACGCCAAAATCGTCGTCATTTTTGGGTCATTGGCTCTTTCGTCGGTCGTGATTGGTATTGCAACTGGAAAGCTGAGCGGGGATGCAAATATTGGGTTGAGTGTGAGTGCAGGGTTGTTCCAATTTGTGACCATGCTCCAATGGTCGTACATCTGGGACGCCAGGAGATGAGTGTTAAAAGCGGTGGTGTCGGACCTTTTTGGCTTGAGAGCAGAGTGTACCTTGCTTATTCGGGCATACTGCCTTGTATTCATAGTGGGCTTCTTCAATGGTTGTGTTTAGTGTCTTCCCTCTTCGGATAAGCAGACGGTTACTTTCAGGAAATACCGTTGCAACCAGATATCCAGAGTCTATTTGCTTCCTGTCATTTCTCCTGTCTCTCAGCCTGTCTCGCAGCCTGTCTCGTAGCCTGTCTCGGTAGTCGCGTCGCCTCTCGAGTAGAGGAGAGTGCAAGCGCCGCTGCGAATAGATTACCAGAGATCGCATAAGCCAATACAGCGACGAGGACATATAATCCCAGCCGCCCGCCACAATCTATACCGCGAACGATTCCAGTATTGTCCTCAAAAGCCTCACATCGGTCCATGGCGATGTCCCAGCATGATTCTCCAAAATGGTTAGTCCAAGCTACAAGGCCAAAGAGGCCGCCGAGGTGACTGAAGGCTCGAGAGGACGTTGGAGCCTGAGGATTCAGGTTGACAGATGGCACTGCGCTCTTTTCACTGTTGTGGGACTTTCCAGTCATGGTTGATGGATTAGATGTTGTTGATGTGATGTGTATCGGAACCTGGTGGTTAGTAGATAGAAATTGAGGCATGTCACTCTTCTCAAAGGGAAAACAGTCTGCCAAGCTGTGCTCTGTGCTTCCCGCTGTGCACTCGAAAAGCCATTGAGCAGAGATGTCTTGAGGCTGTTCAGATTTATCAGGTACATTGATGATGAATATCGACAAAAGGTGGCATGGCTGCAACGGCGTCTATTTTCGGCAGATACGAGTGTTGGCAGAGTACGTACTTTCTGTATCGCTTATCTTGCAGTTCATGTCAATACAGCCGTTGAGTCAGGTATGAAGAGTCGCGCCGTTGATGTCGGCAATCAGCTAGTCAGGCATGTCGGAGCAACGTCATGTAACAAGGACTTGAATGTCGGGCGATGCGACAGGCAATATAACAGCCGCCACCGGCGTCACGATAGCTGTCCGTAGGGAAATTGTTTCAGAGTGGACTCGAGGGCAAGAGAAGCGGCACAATGAGGTTGAAAGCGTCGTCAGCCGAGAGGGGAAAAGTGGTGGTCAGCGCAAGGGGTCCCTTGGTCTCGGCAGGCTGAAGAGGGCCCAAGGTTTTGCGGAGAGACTTTTAGCGTCGCGACAGTTGCAACTTCCAAACAGGGTGGATGATTATTGTCTGCACCTGCCACTCGACCACATTTTCTGCCATGCGCCTGCCATTGAGATAGCCTCAGCGCATCTTACCTCTCTTTCTCGTCTTGCAATCCCTCCGACTCGAACAAATGGGCAAATGTACAATTCCGTTGCGACTGACTCTTATCGCAAACAAGACTAATGCCAGACAGGGCGATATGGTGTAATTCTGGATGCCGGATCATCTGTACGCATCTCTACCAACACACGGTCGCCGCAATACCACGACTAACCTACTCAGGGCACCCGAGTGCATATATACCGATGGCTCAATGCCCAGCGAGCCCGCAAGGAAGCCACTGACCTCGAGCTCAAGAGCCTGCCCACCTTGGTGACCAAGAAGAAGTGGACGCTCAAGATCAAGCCCGGTGCGTTGTCCTGATGCGCCGTCACGCACATGTACACCGGCTGACACGATCCAACAGGAGTCTCGACCTTCGGAGACAAGCCAGAACTCGTCGGCCCTGACCACCTCAAGCAGCTCGTCGACCACGCCCTCGAGTACATTCCCGACGACCAAGTCCAAGACACGCCCATCTTCCTGCTCGCCACAGCTGGCATGCGCCTACTCCCCGATGTCCAGCGAACCCAAGTCCTCGACAACATCTGCTCCTACCTGCAACGAAATACAAAATTCCAGCTGCCCGACTGCGCCCTACACATTCAGGTCATTCCTGGCGAAACAGAAGGACTATACGGATGGATTGCTGCAAACTACTTGCTCGGCGCATTTGACGCTGACGCTACCCAAGCACACCACCATGGCAAGGACCACCACACGTACGGTTTTCTGGACATGGGCGGCGCTTCTGCCCAGATTGCCTTTGCTCCCAATGCCACCGAGGCCGAGAAACACGCCGAAGACTTGAAGTTACTACGCATGCGCAAGGTCAACGGCGACCCCATCGAGTACAAGGTCTTTGTTACCACTTGGCTGGGCTACGGTGTCAACGAGGCCCGTAGACGCTACATCGACTCGCTAACGACAGCAAGTCCTGGAATCGCCGAGCTGCCTGACCCCTGTCTTCCTACTGGTCTGGAAGTCACCAAGTCAGGACACGCCATCTCCTCCAATCCTCACGAGGCTGCTGGAAAAGAGACATACCTGCTGGGAACAGGCAAGTTCCCCGAGTGTCTATCAAGAACATACCCCTTGCTGGACAAGGATGCGCCATGTCTGGATCCTCCCTGTCTGCTTCACGGTGTACACGTCCCTGCAATTGACTTTGATGTTAATCATTTCGTTGGTGTCTCCGAATACTGGCACACGACTCACGAGATTTTCGAAATGGCTCACAAAGACAAGGCTTACGACTTCAACACCTACCAACAACGCGTTCTGGAGTTTTGCAGTCAGGACTGGAAGTCAATACAAAAGGGTGTCAAAGAGCAGAAATGGGGTGAGAAGGTTACAGAGGAGAAGGTTGCCGAGGTCTGTTTCAAGGCCAGTTGGATGATCAACATGCTGCACGATGGTATTGGCATTCCCAGAGTCGGTCTCGAAGCTACAAAAGGCGGTCACAATGGCACAAAGGCTGTGATTGATGGTGCGAAAGAGAAGGGCTTCCTGGATCCATTCCAAGCCGTCAATAAGATCAACGATGTCGAAGTCAGCTGGACGTTAGGAAAGATGATCTTGTACGCTGCTTCACAAGTCCCCGGCCCGGATGACAAAGCACTGGCAGTCGGATTCGGAAGCAACCTTCCTGGACCCAACCTCCCCAAGGACTTTCAATTCGCTGGTGGTAGTTCCAATCCCTTGCCAGCTGACCTAGAAGACGACGACGTCGACTGGCACGACAAACTCTTCACCTCAAGCTCCTCTCGCAGACTACCTGGTTTCCTACTATTCCTAGTCATTCTCCTGGTTGCCGCATTCCTCCTCTGCGGCCGCGAAAGACGCAACTCCCTTCTCCGAAAAGCAGGCTTCTCACCAGGCAAAGGCAGTAAACGTAGGCCCAACGCTGTGACCACCAGCATAGGCAAACTTTTTGGCACCAATAATTCTGGCCCTGCATACGAGCGCGTGCTAGAAGGTGGCATTGGCCCCGACCCCTCGGACTTTGAACTCGACGACATGAATGGCAATGACTCTGATTCGGACAATAGCAATGGCCGCACTTCTGGCTGGGCGACCCCCAAGGCCAACAACAATGGCTTTAGCAGTCCTGTCTTGCACTCTTCACCACGTTCTGCGCGGGTGAACCTTCATAACCAAGGATCGCAACCCTCAGCGGGATACTTTGATGGCCCAGCCACTCATGCATCGAGTACTTTATCTCTTGGTACTACGCCGGGCTTACAACTGCCTCACGGCGGTAGAGGAGGTTTGCTGGCCAGGACGGAAAGCAGAGAGCAATTGGCTACTGCGACGCTGAGGTCTGGGAGCAGGAGTCGGGCGGCTAGTCCTAGTCGGATAAGAAGTCCGCTTATGACGCCTTTGAGGGAGGCCTGACGAACACGATCTCTTACGCTTCGAGTACTTGGTAATGGGTTATAGAGTTCCTTTTCCTGTTGGTCTCTTCTTTCCCTCGACCTCTTGGATTGGGTTCTTGTTTTCTTGTTTTCTCTCACGGGATGATGTTTATTGTGTATCTGTATTAGCGTCGGTGTTTTATCTAAGGCAAGGGTTGTTGTATGAATACTCTATGGAAACCCAATTTCTTTCTTCTTTGAAATTTCTGAGACTGTTTTGCTTAGAGCCCGATGTCTTAGTGAGCTACAGAACCAACACGATAAGCTGTAAGGATGTATGATTGTGCTGAGCTAAGGAGCGAGGGAGCCGGTCTCTCCACCTTTCGGCGATAAGAAAAGCATATCTCCATGCATGCATTGTAAAATCCATGTCCAGCTCTTCAACTCTCGCATCAGGTCATCACTACCAAACACAAACATGACACGCACCAAAAAGAACAAGCCCGGCGGCGGACAAAGAGTAGAGAAACAAAAGAAAGCACCCAAACCCGCTGCACCAAAACCCTACACGGCGCCCACCATAACCTCGTCCACCAAAATCCCGCACTGGAAACTCGGCCAGCCAAAAGAGTTTTACACCAACTTTGTGCACAAGCGTCAACCCGTGATCATCCAGGGCAAGCTTGAGGACCTCGACTTTGTCACCAAGAATTGGGCTGATGTCGAGTATTTGCGCAACACTGCTGGCGATGCGCGCGTCAAGGTCGAGCCCATGCATAAAGAGAAGAAGCGCTATGGCACTGATGTGCAGCGTGTGGACACCACTTTTGGCGCTTTCCTCGACTCGCTGAAGGAAGACAAGGACGAGTACGATTATCTGACTACCCAATACTCGGATGACGAAGACAACACGGACGACGAAGACGACTCAGACGACGGAGAAAACGAAGACGCTCAAGACAACGAGATCAAGAACGGCACTTTCCCTCAACCCGTGCGTGCTCTGTTGCGCAAAGACGTCCCCATGCGTCCCGCTCTGATGGGCAATCTCGTGCTCCAACAAATGAACATCTGGCTCGGCAAGACAAAATCCGGCACCAGTTCTGGTCTGCACCACGATTTCCACGATAACCTCTACATTTTGCTCAAAGGTCGCAAGAGGTTTGTCTTGTATCCGCCCTCGGCAGTCCACCACCTCGATACCTATGGCAAGCCCCAGAGAATCCACCATAATGGCTTGATCGTGTACAAGCAGCCCGGTGAAGACGATGATGTTTCCGAGGAAGACAACGAAGCCGACGCCATCAGAGCAGATGGCCTTGTCGAAAGAGATGCCGCCGCCCTCAAAGTCCAAGCCCTGGAAGAAGCAATGGACAAACTCGAAACCAGCAACGACAAACAAGCCCTCGACGCCATACAAAAGGAATATGGACATGCCGTGGAGCAATTGATGAAATACCAAGCCGCCGACTTTGGCGAGCTGGGCGAAGACGACTTTGACGAAGTCTCTTCAGAGGAAGAATCAGACCCTGAAGACCTCAAAGACCAAGTGCTTCGCGACAATGTTTCCAACAGCAAGAAACGTAAGGCCGAGGACGAGCTGTCGGCAAGCAAAGCCACCAAGACTGTAAAAGCAGAAGACGATGATGAAGATTCAGATGCCGCCGACGACGACGACGACGATTCAGACGCCGACCTCCTCGCCGCACTCGAGCGCGCCCAAAACGGCCAACGCGACGACTTCAATGACTCAGACGAGGACTCGGCCTCCGACCTCGACGATGCCTTCGCCCACGCCCAAGGCGAAGACGCCTACTTTCCCTCTGAACCCCTCTCTTTCTCTCAACTATCCACCCAATCCCTACATTCCCATCTCGCCCTCACAACCCCGCAAACCACCTCTCCTTTGCTCCAANAAGCAGGAACACCATATATCGTCGACCTCCACGCTGGAGACATGTTGTATCTACCTACATCATGGTTCCACGAAGTCACTTCGTTTAGCGATGGAGACGGCGGCGATGATAATGTGCATATAGCGCTTAATTATTGGTTTCATCCTCCTGATGCCGTGGAAGCTGGGTTTGAGATGCCGTATACTGATGCAAAGTTGTGGGGTTTCATGCAGGAAAAGGTAGAGAGTGCTTATGAGGGCTTGGTTGCGGATGAGGAAGAGTAGAGGTTTGATGACAAGTTTGGCATTGGTGTTTGTGCTAGATGCTACTGCTCCCGATGAATGATTTCCTGGTTTTTCCGTTCTGTTCCTTTTCTTTCCTGCTTGCTTTTGGTGCCGGGTTCTATGTAATGGCTTGTTTTCTTTTTGCGGTGGAAATGCTTTTTGATGCTTTGAGTGCTCTTTCGCTCTATAAGAGCGTTTGGCGACTTGCATGTCTAGCAAAGAAGAACGCAACAGAGAGTGTAATCGACATGATGTGGACCAGAATACTTTCTTCAATAGCATGTTATGTACAGTGATGTATGACAGCAAGAATGCACAACCTTGGGAAAGCAATGGAGGGTAGAAGAGTATGTTGTTTCCAATATGTACAGACGGCAACGAGCTCCCTAGCAGCCCATGTACCTATTCTCAACCCATCTCTCCTCATAATCATCGACAACCCTGCAAGCAACAACATGGATGTCAGGAAAAACGGTCATCAACCTATTGAGACCTCTCTTGCCAGCAATATACGTGACAAACACAATCTTGCTTTCCTCGACACCGTGATCCAGCAACACACGAACAGCCATCAACGCCGCACCACCGCTAGACATTTGCGGATCCAAGAGTAACACTTTGTTGTGCGTGGAAATGTCGCCCGCCATCTTGAAGTAGTGCAGCTCGGGCTCGCCCGTGCGGTCAGAGGTTTGGATGAGCATGCGTCCGGTGCGGCAGTCGGGGATGACGCGCCTGAGACCAGTCTCAAGAATGCTGCCACCGCGGAGGATGACAACGGCGCTAATCTCGCCAGACACACACAAGCCATTGTAGGGATGGCTGTGCGGTGGAGGTGTCTTGATGGTGATGGCGTCGAAATTTGCATTTTCGGTTGCGCGCTCGACAAGCAGGGCGGCGAGACGATCAAAGTAGAAGACAAAGTCCTCGCGCGTTGTCTTGTCGCTGCTCAGCAAAGTGTTGATGCCCGTGATTTGCGAGGGNCCGTCGAGGACGGCGACGTTCGGTGAGAGAGGAAGGTCCTTGGCTTGTTTACCCAGGCGCTTCAACTCTGCTCGATGCTCTTCTGACTTTGTGTCTAATGTCTTGTGGATGCGGTCGGCCACCATATCAATGGCAACCTTGTTCTCGATGCCGCGAGGCACGATGATATCTATACTCGATAGTCAGCATCAGGCAATTTCAAAGAAAGGCTGAAGATTGAGAATTGAGTGTGGTAGATCAGATAGGAGCGAAAGATGATGGTATGGTTTATCAACACGAGTATTCTGTTGAACTATGCTATGGTTGTTGTATCATCATGAAAGAAAGGGTGGAGAAAAAGAAAAAAAGAAGCACATACCAGCTACGTTTCGCTGAGGTTCCACAAACTTGTGGAAGTTTGGCTTGACAAAGGTGAACCATTGCTTGATGCAGCCATCAATGTCACGACCACGCTCCTTGATATCGCGAACGATTCTTCGTGAAAGACAGAGGTCCCCATCTGCTTCACAGAAGATTCTCAGGTCGAGAAGATCGAGCACGCGCGAATCGTGGAGGGCAAAGATACCCTCGAGAATGAGCACGTGAGGCGAGTAGATTGTGGTGGTCTTGTCCAGACGAGAATGCTTCTCGAAGGAGTAGACGGGAATCTCTGCCTTTTGCTACGAAGAAAGTCAGCAAAGCTTAGTGATGATAGGGGACACAGATAATACACACCCTTCTTTGATGTCTCTCAGTCTTTCAACCAAAACATCAAAGTCGATGGCATCGGGCGAGTCGAAATCATATTCATTCCGGTGAGCAGCTTGGATCTGATCCGGAGTGAGGGGACGGTAGAACGAGTCCTGGAGGGAGTTGGCATAACGAAGGCGCGTTCAGGGGCCAAAGACACGAACCATTGACAGGATGACAACCCAAGGCAGGCTCATTTGCTTGATGATGGCCAGAGCAAGCGACGTCTTGCCGGAACCCGAGCTGCCGGCAACGCCAATGATGCTCGTGTTGGCCCATGGCGGAGAGTAGTGGGAGCGCTCCATTCTCTGGAGAGCATTAGGGGCGGCCATTCTCAGTCGTTGACGAAAAATCGTGACTCGACCATGGCGGAGCAAAGCAGAAGAGATAGCTTGAGCAAGCTGAGAAGTGAAGAGTGACGGTTGCGAAGAAAAGGAAAATGTGCCAAATTCGGGATGGAAGATGCCGTGCAGCGTCGGGTCCGAGCACAACCGAGCGCAGGAACAGCTCTTTTCTTCACCACCGCCGAAGCTTTCTTCTCTCACCTCCATCACACTCTGCTTTGAAAACAATTGTGAACCGTAGTTGCTCCAAGTCCGTCATCCAACCTGATGGGCCATTGCAGCTCGACTCATCCACAACAATGGTACGTCACGACACGCGCACAGCGCAATGCGCACTCCTCCAATCTACAACCCCAGCAGCGGCTAACCTTTTTCTGCAGAGCTCTTCTCTTCTCCCACCACCTACGTCCCTGCGGCATCCATTCGATCGCCGCGTGGACGAGGTGAAGCCATCCAAAGCGTAAGTCTCTTCACCACTGCCCTCCTCCACCCCTCCATCGAATGATGTTGATTACACTCAAAATGGGAATCTCTCCGAAATCTATGTGGAGAACTACAGTATTTTGTCCTTCTGACTCGACCACCTCACTACTCCACTATGCAGACTTTTCTCATGGAACCTTCTTGACTGACCTTCAACAACAGAGACTTGAACTTCCTCATCATGGACTATCTGATCAATGAAGGCTATCCTGATGCCGCTATGAACTTTGCCAAAGAAGCCAGCATCGTTCCTTCGGCCGACGGTGAGGCCATTCAAGAAAGAGTAGACATTCGTAACGCCATCCACACCGGTGACATGCAGCTTGCCATTGAGCGCATCAATGAACTCAACNCCACAGGTCAGTCCTCTTCCTTTGCATCCTCCCCTCCACACCATGTTGTTATGATTATACGGTTTTTCATGCACCACGCATAGCTTCGGGCATTGATGATACAAACCACACACACTTCAGTCCTCAGTATGACCCAACAACCATACATCCATCTCATCACCACATCATCTCCTTCAGAGACTGGATGCTAACGGATGTCTGTACAGATCCTTGACAATGACCCGACACTGCACTTCCAGCTCCTCCGCTTGCAGCTGATTGAACTCATCCGTGAAATCGTCAACGCGCCGGGTCCTCCCTCACCCACTGCCTTTACACCTGCTCTTGAGTTTGCAACCTCGCAACTTGCTCCACGGGCTCCAACTTCGCCTGCCTTCCTGCAAGACCTCGAACGCACAATGGCCCTGTTGATCTTCCCGTCGGACAAACTCACTCCCCAACTCAAACAACTTCTCGATCTCAGCCTGAGACAGACAGTGGCCAGTCAAGTCAATGAAGCCATCCTGTCTTCTCAAGGCCAGAGACGAGAGGCGCGCATCCGCAATCTCGTTCGCCTAAGAGCATGGGCCGAGCAAAGAGCGCGCGAGTCCAAGAGTGCTGCCGAGCTGCCTAACAAGATTGGCTTGGGCTTGGAGACTCAATCAGACGATTATGCCGATGGCGAGGCAATGATTACGTGAACACATGATGAATCTTTTCGACTTTGCTTGATTTTAGCGTAGGCGCTGGGGTTTTGGGACTTTTGCATTCACATGGTGCATATAGCATTCTTTTTCAATCATGTCCTTAGAGGAACAGTATTATCCAGCACATTTCATGTCTGAGATTTCTTCGAATCTTGTGATACCCATGATCCGCTGCCTTAGGAAGGCGCGACCGAGGCAATTCTGAATTTGCTCGTTTAGCATGGTCTCATTTTGGCAGGGTTCGAGTAGCTGTACAAGCAGCCGTTCCTGCCACAGATGGGGTCGAAAACAAGCTCTCGGAGGATGTTGAGCGACGCATACGAGCACACATGAGCAGCTTGTTCCGGAGGCATCCGCAAGCGTCATATCAAACAATGCCGCATGTCTGGATGTTGCTAGAACAATCTTCAACATCTATGAAAATCAAGCACATGTCGCTGCGAGTATATTGAAGACCACTTCCTGAATATTAAACATGTCTCTTCCCAGGTATGCGCCTGAGATTGCCCAGCTCGGCGGAGTTCGTGGGCCTGAGTTCCTACCTTTTGCTCTCTACAACTTAGCTGGGATACCGAGCAGATATATCGAGAGTCTGGAGGCTGGACTTGATGAGAACAACATAATTGGGACTGAGCCAAATGCGATTCACCTTGTCAGCCTTGCTCCGGAGTCCGTGCTGCAGCAAGAGACCTTACACGATGCTCTCGTTGCCCATATCCAATACTGCACTGCTCACATGGACAAGTTGGACTATTTTCCATTCGGGTTTTTGGCCGCGCACGATAGGTGCTGGGACCGCCAGGGACTCTATCTGGTCTACATTGATTTTGAGGAACCTTTCGAGGTTACTGGATTCCGGGTTCCATTAGACGATGTTTCTACTGCTGTGAACATCTTGAGAGATAATGACAACGGAGCTAAGGAGGTACGCGACATCTACGATATGGGTATGTTGAAGTGATCACCTTGTGTCGTGATATATCGAGGAGTTGAACTAAACGTTATGCGCCTAGGGAACCACACTTGAAGCTTCGGCACGATTTCGATGTTTACATAGAGTCAAAACGTAAGACTGTTTTCTACTAAATGTATGTAAAGAATTCCCTGAACTGTGTCAATGTGGTATTCAAATATATATAATTATGGGTTACCAGTTCCCCAGACGTGTAACATAATGCTTGTCCCTGCGTCAGGTTTCACAACTTCGAACCCTCCAGCCAATGCACAGCGGGAAGTGCTACTTACAAAACATGATGACCCTTCTTCCCTGCTCCCTCCCGCTCTTTTTCTCTCCAAAGCTTCCATTCTTCGACTATCGCAATCATGCTGTTATCCTACGGCCTCCCGAAGTCACGTCTGCTTCGTCGTCAGAATACTATCCGTTGAGAACTGCCACACCGACTTGTTCTCTTAAACCTTGTGTGCCGAATTCAGAGAGAGCATCTCAAAGACTAAACGATCTGCTTGAGAGACAAGATTCCCCAAGCAAATTCGAGCAACTGGTTTTCTTCACTGCCGTTTTGCTAGCGCTTGCTTAGTTCTTCGACCTGAAATCATTGGACCTGAAGTTTTCGATCTGGACTTATGGGATCCGAAGTATGGAGTTCGCGGTTCGACACTTGGATGGAGTCACAAGCCTGAGGTGTCGCCTTCCTGCCGGGTTGCTAGAAAGTTCACAATCGAGCTTGGGTAGCCCACCTGTCGCTTCTTGGATATTGGATTGTGAATCCCCTGGGTTCGGATTGGCCGTGGATGGGGATCATTACCGTATCTCGGACGGTGTCAAAGCTTTGTCCAATCTTCCTGACCAATTCTCTCAAGCTCAGAGCCTAGTCCATCAGTTTCGCAGTAAATTTAGAGCTCTCGCCGCTCCATACGATTCTGATACTGGTTCTCCATCGTTAGACTTGTTGCTCGATGCCATGGTCAGCTACAATCCTTACATTTATATGGCTTTGCGTCGTATTAACCAGACTTCGACTGAGACACTGTTCTCGCTCTCGCTCGCGGTCGAGACCTGACAGACCGCGAATGAGGGTGTTTGGTGCATCTCCCACTGGCAGACCTCGCGGCAAATCAGTGTCGCGTCATACTTTTCCGCATGCTTTCCTAAGCGAGCGATGTTCGTCTCGTTGCTGGCTGTAGTCAATATCCTCTTGACCTGGTTCGGAGTCCCGAGTTTTCTTTTTCCTGAGCCTATTGTTCGCTCGATTGCGAGGAGAGTCTGGGTACCATCTGGCGAGTCGTTCGATACCGATTTCAGGCGCGGCATATGCAAGATGCCTTTGGTCCCGAGAATCTTGACCTGCAGCGGATTATCGGAAACGGAAGTCTCAAGCGAAAGTCTTGTTCGACGCGCCATTCCTGGCATCTTGTTCGCGTTGTCAGAGATCTCAGATGCTGTCGATGAGGTATTGGATTCACTCGAGGACATCAAGAAAGATCTGCACGAGTTATACAAAGACGTCTCCTCTCAATCAACCTCTCAATATACTGACTTCTCGACCTCTATCCTACCATGGGAGCCATACCGTCCAACACGCAATGAAACTTTCATGTACCTCGTCGACACCACAAGCTGGCTGGAGACCCACATGATAGAATGGGACGTCGACAAGGATAACCTGCTCACTGTCTTACAAAAGATGCTCACCTCCGTCGATGTAGAGCACGAGTATATAGTAGGCGAAGTAACAGGTCTACGTTACCATCACAAGGTCATACCATGGTTGGAGATGCGCAAGACTCTCGAAGGCATGTTTGAGAGTATCACAGCTCTGTTGAATGTCATGCGGAGTGAGGACGTCGACAATCTGGACGGTCTCCAAATTCTCGGGGGCCTGTCTAAGGGATGGGGCAACCTTTTCGAGAGGGTCGATGAGCTGTCAGACTCGGAAAATTGAGAAAGCTGCAAAGAGAAACGACGTACTCGCAAAGGCTCAGCAAGTACGGCTCCTCAAACGCTTTATACTGTGGTCTTTACCTTTCACCAATACCTCCCCACTCAGCAACAATGTAAAAGATCTGACTCCAGTGGAGAGAAAACATCAGCTACTCAACAGAATCCGCGACATTCATCCCCGATTGCAAGCCATTCACGCCTCAATCTCCAAAGCACACACCTCCGCCACTACAGTCAAAACACTGATCAAGAAGAAGAACTTTTGGCCATGCAGGTTATTTGGCAGAGACGAGAGGTTCAACGAGGACATGATGAATGGACTCAAAGAGATGAAAGGGCTGATACCCATGTTGATGGAGCAGAGGAGGGGTCAACGCGCGGATAGAAAGTACAAGCTTTAGGCCAGTGTAGTGAGGATACCTGGAGCTATAGCCTAATATCAGTTTCACGCTCGGTAACTCTACCAAGCGTGTCTTGCGATATAGGACTTTCTTTGTGAACACACTAATATGCCGATGGAGGTTAGAAGGCGAAGCTTTTTGGCGACCATGAGGCGTCGATCATGACGATATTCCAAACTCTACCACCACCTCCGCTCGTCCATCGTAACTTGCATCCAATTAACACTTTTCAGATACGGTTCAATGGCATCTTCAGATCTGTGGGGATCCCACATCTCGATGGTGCGGAGTCGCTTTGCGATCGATAATCGATTCGCCATCTCGCACCTGTAGCGGAAACCCCATGCATACGCAAAAGCAGAGAACTCATGAAAAATTCTGTTGTCAAAACTTGACGAGCATTGGATCTTTCGACCTCTTTTGACAGTTTCTGCGACTGAGCAAGGCTGTTTTCTAAACTTACAGATGTTCTTTTGCAGAACTCACAATATGCGTAAGGTTGACCACACACACTCACGCGGCTTATACGATCGGAGATTCCGGAAAGCAGCACCAATCGCTGGTTCAAAACAGTGTCCAGATGCCGCGAGTGCCGCTGATGTATAAGAAAACTACATGACGTTTTTACCAGACTGGTACTCCTCCGCACCTCCAGTCTTCTTTGTAAACGCACCCTTAAGCTTCAGTATACTTGTGTCGAACGATTGGAGGTTGGCTTTGCATCCCTTACGTCAAAGATCTACAAGGCGCATTCAAGAGTATTTATGCCTTCGCTTTCTTCACTCCTTTGCATGGGTATTGTTCTCCGCTCTATCGAGATTGGACATTGTTCTTCACAACCATGGCTTTCTCTCATGTTGGATTTCTGGGTGACAGGATGACGGGCAAGGCCCTGGAGATAGGCGTTTGTGCTACGGCTTCTGCAGGATTTCTCCTTTTGGTTACGGTAAGCTCTCGACATTGCTCTATGGTTTCTGAATGTTTGAGGCTGATTGTTTTCATCGCAATAGACCAGGGAGTCATGTCTGGAATCATCACAGAACCAATGTTCCTCGACACGTTCCCAAAGATGGCGGGAGATTATAAACTCGGCTCCATTCAAGCGCTCGTTGTTGCCATTTATGAGATTGGCTGTCTTTTGGGTTCGTTTGTTATTATTGGATATGGTGATAAGCTGGGTAGGAGACGTGCGGTGCTTGTTGGTGCTTGCATTATGCTTGTTGGGACAGCCATACAGACTTCTTCCACGACACTTGCTCAGCTCATTGTGNGGAAGGTATGTGTTCTCCGAACTGTTCATAGCGTGATTGAAGTCTCCTGTTAAACAGTTCACAGGATTGTCACTGGAGCTGGAAACGGTATGAATACTTCTAGTATTCCTGTCTGGCAATCTGAAATCGCACCACCAAAGATCAGAGGCTTTCTGGTGCTCTTTGAAGGCGCTTTGATCACGGCTGGAGTTATGTTATCATATTGGGTCAACTACGGATTCTGGTTCTACAATGCTAGCTCTTTCCAATGGAGGTTCCCTGTGGCCTTCCAAGCCTGTAAGTTCAGCGAGGGTCCATGACACAGATCAAAAGCCCTTGAACGGATTTTTGTCTGCTGCATCCCATCTTTACATGACGAAAAACTTGCTAATGATGCTCTTGCGTCTANNGTCTTCGGGGTTATCCTCATTTTGGGTATCCTTGCATTCCCAGAGTCGCCTCGATGGCTACTCAAACACGGCAAAGAGAAGGAAGCAACTCAGATCATGGCACGTCTCAAGCAATCCGATGTCGACGATGAGGGACTGAAGAGAGAGATCAACGAGATCAAGCGAATTAACGAGATCACAGCAGGCACGAAGCTTACATTCAAAGAGTTCTTTTCAAATGGACCGGACATGAATCTCTGGCGCGCCTCAATCGCCTTTGCGGCTCAGGCCTTTCAGCAAATTGGTGGGATCAACTTGGTCACCTATNTGTAGGTTTCCGCAGGAGTGTTTCGTTGACGGAGTGTGTTGCTGACCAGACCAGATGCTACCGTGGTTTTCGAAGATTCTTTAGGTTTTGATCCCACATTTGCCCGACTCTTGACCGGCGTTCTGGGTACCGAGTACTTCCTGGCTGCTCTAGTCGCTCTCTTCATTGTGGACCGCGCTGGAAGACGCCGTCTCATGATGTGGAACGCAGGAGGCATGGGTCTAGCCATGATGGTCGCCGGCATCGGGCTCTCGCAAGGGAACAAAAGCGGCGCCTATGCAGCCACAGTCATGATCTTCCTCTTCAACACCTTCTTTGCCATCGGCTGGCTCGGCGTAACCTGGCTCTATCCCGCCGAAGTCACTCCCATCCGCATCAGAGCTGAAGCCAATGGTCTCTCCACATCTGCCAACTGGCTCTTCAATTACGCTGTCGTGCAACTTTCGCCCATCATGATCAACTCTATCGCCTGGAAGACTTATTTTGTCTTTATGTGTTTTAACTTTGCTTTTATTCCTGTGGTCTATTATAATTTTGTGGAGACCAATGGGTATAAGCTCGAGGCTATGGATGCTATCTTCCAGGAGGCCCATCGAAATGGAGAGAACCCTGTCAAGGTCGAGAAGAGGGTTCGTAAGGGCAACACTGACGGATTGGGAGAGCTGGAGAAGAGATCATCCGTAGGCAGTGAGAAATTCGAGGATGAGAAGAAGGAAGATGTTGATGCAGAGTAGATCTTGTAATGTTAATGTATCAGATGGTCATCTTTTGTGTCAGTCTTGATGACCATCAGACTAAGACCTGTCTTACCGGTGAATGAGACAGATTTGTCTGCAGGTGATATATGAGATGTCTCAACCAGCCTTGCACCAGACGAGTGAAATCAGAAGTTCTGTTATTGTCCACATGCATGACACTGTAAGTTATTGAGAAGATACAGTGATCTTTGTCAAGCGTCAGCCATGAGTATTGGTAAAAGAATTATCCTCCACGGTGTGAGCCCTTGATCAAACCCATGCTCAAACACTTTCTTCCATCCTTTCCATCTCTTTTGCTGCCTCTCTTGCAAGGCCTCGACAGTGATCATCAATCCCGACTTGCTCCGCCAACGCCTCGAACCTTTGTTTGACCTGCACCCATCTCTCGCGATGTAGATCCTCCCTACGCACAACGTTGCTNTGCCGCAGCACCCTCTCCTTGAAATAACGTTCATGCAACACTTTTCCGCAAATCGATATCCAAACTGCAGCAGGAGGGATATACATTTTCCACTCATCAGCCATCTCCCTACTCTCATCAAAAGGCTGCAATATCTCCCAAAAAGCAATGTTTGCATAGTCCATGCTGGAAGTGAAAGTTTCGGTTCGTGACATGAGGGTTGCGGCGAATATGTTTGCGTTGAGGAGACCTGGTGCTTGGACATGCCATTGCTCATAGCTGCAGCCTTCGGTATCGTAATCGAGACCNTTTGTGCTGTTTGTCAGGAACAACGCATGCAAGGAATTAGGATGACAAAGAGTGTTTGTACCAATACCGTGTTCAGCGAATATCCAGCCCCAGTCGGGCATTTCGCGCCAAATCAGTTTACCGCTGTACTTTATCGCGTATCCAGCTTCGTTGACCACATCGGGAAGTTGTTTGAGAGCGACAACGAGATCGACCAATTGCTGCGTGTGCGAGGCCCCGAACCATCTCGTGCTGTCGGATAGAGTACCCCAGAGCCAACCGACACCAGCTCTATGGCCAGATATTAATCGAGGAGCAAGGATATCGTCCATACGAGTCGCAGTAGCGAGACCCGAGAGTTGATTATGTAGCAGTGATTCAAGAGCTGTTATCACTAGATTGTTTTCTTCTTTTGTAACTTGGTCCTTTGTAAATTTTGCATTCGAGTCGCGTCGGTTCTCTATCCAGGAAGATATAGTGGTGAACATGATTGAGGATGGATGATTGTCTGATTGTCTGCATTCTTTGTCTGAGATCCAGGTGATTTTGTCTTTACAGAAAGATGAAAGTGGCCGCGGTGATCGTTTTGGGAAGGATTCGAGTCACTGGAACCACATGTCGTGGCTGTATACCTACCTATGTGCTTCCTAGCCTTGTTCTGAGCACACAGCTGCATCACCTCTATCTATGTCTCTTGTGTGTAAGGCAGTCTGCATAGCACATAACAATTGGTGATGCGATGTTGAGTGCGGACTTGAAGCTGGACGAAACTTCTTTCCCGACTGGCCAAAAGTCGTCATTCGTGCTGCCCACCAACAAAACGTTGGTCTCATGATCGCATAGCAATGCTCACCACCTAGAGCTCCTGTTGAGAAATATGTATGTGTGCGTGTGAACATAGGATGAAAGTAAGAATGTATGATTGAAAGCTAAGTATGCGAGAAAAATGATTGACCTGGGCAAACTCATCACGCTGCGTGCGCCCCNCATCGGATACCATTCATCGTCTTATCCTCATCCTTTCCAGGCCACATGACATTCCCTTTCCTCACAGCTTGAATATGTGCAATCGCACAAACAATCCACATGATGACCAATCCAATAGTCAGCGCACTGCAGATCCCGTTGATACCAGAGCTCTCCAGAGCAGCTCCAGCTTGGATCGAAGCAAGCGTGAGGCCAGCATTAGGAAAGACAAATGCCCACCAGTTCAAAGTAAAATCCATTTTCTTGATGCCTGCAAGGACCGAAACTGCCGAGACGCAGAAGAACCAGAAGGAAAACAGGATCACGAAGAATCCAGCGAGAATGCCGATAATCTTGATCACGTCCCCAACAGGAAGTGTTGTGATGCCGAAAATCTCACCATTACCAAATACCTTTGGCGCTTGGCGACCCAGAGAGATGAGGGCATGCGCAGTGTAGCCAGCAGGCCCCACACTCACAAACATGCCAGGCCTGGTAGAGGGATCCGGCAGAGCGCTGACCATCAATCTCTGCGTGTAGATGGCGTACATCATGAGAGCGACACACCACCCAACACCCTGGAGCATAACTCCACCTATCCAGATGGGTACAGCAGCCGTGTGTGGTTGATCCGGAACTAAGGTACTTGCCAAGGGGCCGACGACAAGCAGAGGATAAATCGGAAAGATCCAAGCAGGCATGGCATTGTTGACCTTGAGGCGCTCCAGCTGAAAGAGAATGTAGTATTGCCCAATACCAACAATCAATACCGTAGCGCAGTACATCCAGAAGAGAATCTCAAGAGCCTTGATGAGCCAGGGTCCAGTACTCGGTACACCGTACAGTTGCATACAGTTGAGCAGAAGACTGACTGTTACCCAGTAACTTCCGAAGAAAAGCGATTCGACTGGATGATGCAACGAAGCAAGAAACTTTTGCGGTACCAGGATGAAACGGAGTGTGATGATAGCAGTGAATGCAATGAACAAAACCAGAGCCAGAATGAAGAAGATTTTGCCAATGGTTTGCAGGCCAGTGAATTGATTTGGAGTATTAGACAGTACTACCGCGAGAGCTCCTGTAGACATTGTGCATGCGAACCAAGGCCAAGTAAAGTGAGCGATGCGATCTCGCCATGTGACAGTTTCTGGAGGGGAGTGGTCGGTTCCATTGGGGCTCTCGGCGAGCTCAGGATCGTCACATTCTCCGTAGCCATTGCGTTTGCGACTGGAAGTTGCTGTGGTTGCCGATCCGTTGTCTGACATTGCAGGCGGCATTTTACCGTCTGGGAGGTTGCGGTTGGTAAAGAGGAATGAAAGACTCCTAAATTGGTATTAGGGGCTCCTAGAGGTAGGAGTCTGGCAAGCTCGAGGGACAACTCGTCATGCCTCTTGTCCGAAACGCTTCAAAGAAACACGACTCAGCTGAACCCAAGCTTGCCCGGATTGAACATGGTTTTTTTCCATGACAACTTGGCACTTCCGAAACTCTACCAGACGTCATTACAGATTGGCCGTTGAGCCCAATACATGGATTCGATGCCGAACGCAGGTGTTTGTCGCGTGACTGCGGAAACATGCTCTCTACTCTCTGCCCTCCAGAACAACACTCATTGATCGAGCCCTTCCGCGCCAGCTTTCACGATTGAAGTTCTCAGGCACGACTCAGGAGATTGCAAAGGTGATGCTGATCAAAAGATCTGTTGATCGACGCGTCGTATTGCCAAGACGTTCAGGGTCGAAGGGCAGGCTATGACGCGACCCGCGGGCCGCCGAGGACAGCCGGAAGCCCTCGGGCGCACAGAGAAGGAGCGACGATGAGTTTGTGGGTTGCGACTCGCGACGATGGTGTTGATTGTTGCTCGAAGACAGTAACGACGACTGCTTCTCTCTGCCATGGGAGCAACGATTAAGGCCTAGGTACGAGGCAGATGCTAGACCCTGCCTCGTCGACATCAGGAAGCCTTGGAACTGTTGACATCTTGTCGCGTCACGACATCTGTATCCTGGTTACGTACCGCGACTCGTGGGAGCTTTCCAGAAATCGCCTTAGCACAGGGTCTGCGACTATCAAAGTCCTGTTGAGATATCGACCTTTGATCTGAGAAGAAAGAATCTTCCAGGGCTGATGCATGAGAAAAGCTGATGAGGGCTGTCGTTGTTGTGGCTGTGTTCGACTCCCACTTTCAACTGGATACCGCCACACAGCTAATCCACCGAACAACATCCATCGAAATTACGTCCACTGCTTCAGAGAGTATCTTAGGATAGCATATAGGTAGCTGGAACGACATAATGGCACGGGCGGGTCACAGAAACCAAAACAACGAAATACTCAGCAGACTGCACATTGGACCATGTCGAATCTCATCCCGAGACCACAACCTGGAAGACACGACGAGTCCTCAGCACCTGTCCAATATCGCCAGAAAGTCTAGTATCGCGTGCTCGACACAAGCTACCACGCGTCGATGCCCAGCTTCTTGTTATCCTTGGTCCAAGAAGTTGCCCAGCCTGTCGAACACCAGGGCTTGTCTGTCGCAAACACGTGGAGACGTCGAACATCGAATTTTCGCAGCAAATGCAGTATTTATCAGCCAACTGGAGGCTAGGCATACCATCAAAGATTTTACATGCGTAAGCTGACCAGTACTCGCATGCTTTTGTGCCTGGTGTGAATTCTTCCGAAGTCGCGACCCTTGGCAACGCCATCCCAAGAAGTCAAGAACGATGAGAGTTCTCACAACTTGTCCTGTGCAACTTGGCTGTTCTTTCCGTACGCGCGACTTTTCTACCAGCAGGTAGACACAATAACGCCTCGTTCAAAGGCAGTGATGAGGTGATTTGACTTGGCAGAGCAAGGCCTTTGATAAAAGAACACGATTCTCAGCAAGGAGGCAGGCCAGGAATAGGACCGGCTTCTGTCGCAAATATCATCACGGCACAGCAATATGTCAGATTCGAAAACTGCTTCTCCCGACCACTATCCTACACCTAGGGATGACGAGGAAGGGTTGACAATCGAACGCGATTGGACGGAAGAAGAGGAAAAGAAGGCCAAATGGAAGTCAGTCAATCTTATACCATTCCTCGACTTTGTCATACTGAGACGATCGCAGGNNCTCGATCTCATCGTTATGCCGATTCTGACGCTTGGCTTCTTTTGCCTGCGTAAGAGGACTCTCCTTGTCTCCTCATACGAGTTGAGCTGATACTTCGTTCAGNAGCTCGACCGAGGAAATATTGCAAACGCCATCACCGATAACTTCATGAAGGACATCGGCATCGTCCAAAATCAATTCAACGTTGGTCAGCAAATGTTGTCACTTGGCATTGTTCTGTTCGAGATTCCTTCCAACATGATTTTGTATCGTGTTGGTCCTGGAAAATGGTTGACACTCCAACTCTTCCTCTTCGGCATCGTCAGTACTTTCCAGGCCTTCCAAAACAACTATGCATCTTTCATTGCGACTCGATTCCTCCTTGGCTTGACCGAATCTGGCTTTATACCTGGCGGTCTGTGGACCATATCTACATGGTATACGAGACGTGAGACAGCTAAAAGGGTCATGGTGTTCTACTTTGGTAATCAATTCGGCCAGGCTTCGGCTAAACTTCTCGCATATGGTATTCTTCACATGCGTGGGGTAGCCGGCAGACCTGGTTGGTTTTGGTTGTTCGTTCTCATGGGTGGCTTCACCTGCTTCTGTGGTTTCATCTTCGGCTTTTTTCTTCCCGACTGTTTCCGGAATCCTTGCTCGACATTCTTGCCTGGACGTGTATTGTTCACGCCCAGAGAGATCCATATCCTCAGGAAGCGCGTTTTGCTTGATGACCCAGCAAAGGGGAAGAAGAAAAGAAATATCGGGTTGACCGCGTTCAAGAAAGCGTTCAGTAACTGGCGCATGTGGGTGCATTTCCTCATCACATTGACCAACAACGGCCCTCAGCGTGCTTTTGATACATACGCACCTTCCATTGTCAATGGCTTTGGCTTCGGAGGCTTGTCTGCAAATGCTTTAGCAGCTGTGGGCTTGTTCTTACAGATCCCTGTCTCTTACACATTCAGCTATATCTCAGATCACNTTGTAAGTTCAGCATTCCGATCAATATCTACTCGTAGCGCTCTTTGCTGATATGGATACAGTTCACGACGTGGTGAAACAGTCATGGCAGGTCTGAGTCTGCATCTATTTGGCTACGTCCTCAATCGCATATTTACCGAAATCGACAATCGTGGCGTCCGTTACTTCGGTGTAGTCTGGACGCAGACCTTCGGCACTTTCTCTCATCCTCTCAACATCACCTGGATGTCACTCACCTGCACAGATTCCGAGGAGAGGGCTCTGGCTATGGCAATGGTGATTATGGGAGCCAACATCGCGGGCATCTATGGTGCACAAATATTCAGAGCAGATGATCGTCCAAGATATCGAAGAGCGTTCAATGTCAACATTGCTGTGCTGGCGGTCGGGCTGTCGCTTGCGGTGCTGAGGTTCCTGGATGATAAGCTGAGGAGGAGGAAGATCAAGGCTCGGCTGCCAGAGCCGGAGACTGGTTCAGAGACACACAGCGATGGTGTGCTCAGGGCATCCTTTCCTGCTAATGAACAGCCAAAAGTTGGTCGCAGTGAGTGAGCGAAAGCTTGCGTCGACGAACCCGAGTACCTGATGAAGAGGGCGGATGGTGTTCCTGCATTTGTAGTACGATGTTGTTCGCAAGCTGGTGCTGATAGATCTCGCATACAATTTCGAAGACGCGTCATCATTGAACCTATGTCATCATCGTTATTTCCTTATTTGTTTTTGCTATCGACCGTGTCTTATTGTGAGAATGGGCTGTTGTTGCGGCAGGAGCGAGCCATGTTTCAAATCTGCATGTTTGGTTTTGGAGATTTCATCTGCACACGACCATAGACTTGTCCAAACCACACAAAGAGTTCATACAGTCTAGGTTTGACACATCTGAAGCAAGTCTCTAGATTGCGCCCCATCATTGTCGTCGGCTCACCAGGTACAATCAATATCGACGCAAAAAGCATCGTTGCGCATGTCACCCTGACTCCATTTCTCGACTCTCGCACAAAGGGCTCGGACATCTCAGCATAATATCGCATAATTCGGCCGAACCGAGCATCTCCTTGTCAATAACAAAACTCGGCCGTGTTCTATCGAAGGTCCGCAGAAAGATATTTCGACTGCAAGCTGGGTTGTTCTTCTTCTTCTTTCTTCTTCACTGCCGAAGAACATCGCAACAATAATGCCTGGACGAACATGGTTGTGTTGTTGCTTGGGCTTGCACAGCTCGATCAAGTAAATGCAAGCACCGACGCGTCATGACTCCGACAACACTTTTCGCTCAACGATGAGCAAGAACCGCGGCAGTTCACCAATCGCCGTACGAAGATATCCTGCGACTGGCCCTCTGGACCATGACCGCCGGGACAGCCCTATCTGGTCTTCAAGCATCTTGTGCGCAATGTTCTGGTTTCTCACGGATACCGACTTCTCAAACCTTGCAACGAATACGAGGGCAGTGTCGCGTCAAGTTCTGGAAGCGCTGTAGCCGACTCGTCTGGAATTCACGCCGACGGCCGACTCCAAGTCGGGAAAGCAGGATGCAGGATGCAGGACCGGATCCGATGTACGAACCGCGTTGAACGCATTTCGAAGTCTGATGTGACTGCGTTGCGATAACTTCGATTGAGCCTTTCAGCGATGAGATTGCATTTTCAACGCTTGTGTGAGGCACGTCGCCAGATGTCACCATCCATACATACTGGTTACGTTACAGGCTTGTTAGGTCGAGGCGTGATAAAATACATGAGGCACGGACAGCCACCTGGAGATGAGGTTTGATGAAAAGAATACTGCTCGTTCTAAGACTGCCAGTCAGAGTTTCCGAGCCCATTTGCGCCATATTAGCCCAGCCCTGTTATGGATGAATTTCTGGATCACGCACAGCAAGCTGCTTTCCCTAGGATTCCGAAATTTCGATGCACCAAGCAGACTGTCACAGTAAGTTTGACAGGTAGGATGTCTGCCTTTTGTGAGAGGATGATAGTACACTCCGGCGGGGCAGCACAGTCAGCTTTTACAATAACGATTTTCTGCGCATCCGTTGCGGGGCTGTTGACTACTTGTCTACTTCCCGTTGTACAAAGAACTGTTGACGATTGTCAAGCCATCTCGAATCACGAACATCGAGGAGCATCATTTCGTTACCATTCTACCTCAGCAGCTCATCAGCCGGGAGAGACGTTTCCGGCTCAAGCACCGCCGTGTGGTTCGGACTGTGGAACGAAGGTTACGTCTCAGCCACGCGCGCGCCAGCCGCTGACAAGCTCACCCGAACTAGACCGCCGTGTCCAATCAATGCAGCTGCCGAAGCCGATCTAGCATCCGCGATCCTCTTTTGTGGAGTAATTTTGCGGGGTGCTTGCGGAGGGAAACAGCTGCATATCTTCAGCCAGAATGGCTTCCCAAAGACGTCTGCTTCCGATCTTTGTTTGGGAGTCGAAAGGTTGAGCCTACCGGTGAGTTTCAGTCTATGACCGCTCGATTTGCTGACACAGGAACGGACCTTTTCTCGGAGCATCAAAACCACAGGCGGAAGCGGCAGGCCCAAAGAGGTAAAGCGCCGAGGAGCGTCTTATTTAGGCTGACCAAGCGACAAAAGTATATCTAATCATTTGCAAATCAAGCACCCAAGGGGTCGCCAAGCGAATAAAACCGAGCTCCGAACCAAGCACGGTGGCAGCACCAGTTGGGCGATTTTTGACCTTTGACCTACAGCCTCGCCGGCCACTTGGGTCTTGTTCGCATCCGCTCTGTTTGCTTACAAGACCTCCCTGCCTTGTAGCGTTCGCCTTCAACAATGGACGAACAGAGCATCAGGTCGTCACAACGTGTATCTCGGTCATGCGTCGAGTGCAGCCGAAGGAAGATCAAGTGCGACAAGAAGATCCCGTGTAAGCCATGTGTGCGCCGAAATCTTGCCCACGAGTGTCAGCGGCCCATCACCCGCGTCCGAGGCATGCTTACAGTGTACGTTCCTGNNGCTTCAACACAGCGTCGTGGAACTGTGTATACTGCAGCACCTTTGACCGTTAACTGATCATGATAGGGCGAGCACCGTTGATCGCATGTCGGCAGACACCGAAGACAACACCGTTGACGAACTANNCTCAAGGAACGCTGTGCCCTGCAAGCCCAAATCGCAGAGCTAGAAACAGCTTTGGCCCTTTCCAAACCATGCGGACACACTCATGGCAGCAAACCCGAGTCGCATCGCCAGGGTCAAGTACCGATACCCGCTTTCGAAGACCTCGTACCGGCTCTTGAGCAGTTCGATCTGCAAGTTTCGCACGACTCGGATCCTGTCGCCATGTCGGAANAAGACATGGCCGATCGTCTATACGAACCCTCTACCGACCCCGTCTTCCTCCTGCTACCCTCTAGAGAAATCAGCGAGCAACTAGTGACCTTCTCCCTCCGCACCTTGGGCTGGCTGCATGGTGCTGTCAACGCGCCCGAGTTTGTCACAGAGCACGAAGAGTTTTGGAATGGAATACACAGCGGTGTCGCTCTCGATGTCAAAGACCGACCATGGCTCGCACTATACTTTGCTGTTCTGGCAACTGGTCTACTCTATCTCGATCCCGAGGAAGTGCCCGCCATCTCGGAGTTGCCACAGCTAAATCTCCATCAATATCAGCAACATGACGAGATGGGATATGCTGTTCATACGTCGCGTCTCTGGTATGAGGTAGCGCTTAAAGAAGTCGAACGTTACGGATGTTCTGGATCACCTTCTTTGAGGATAGTACAAGCCTTGTCGGTGCTGACTCTTTGTCACTCAAATTTTGGCGATTCTCAGAGGGAGTGGCTGTTTACTGGATGGGCGGCCAGCATTGCGCGTTGTCTTGATATGCACCGTTTGGGCAGTGAAGTAGCACACGCGCGAAACTTGAGCGCCAGACCCGAGTGGTCGTCTTTTGAAAAGCGTGAACTCGGTCGTCGCGTTTGGTGGACTTACGTCATTCGAGACTGGTACGTGGATACAGATTTGGTTCGATCCGATCAAAATGTGCGCCTTGGGCTAATCTGATCGTTTCTAGGCNTAGGAAGCTGGTCTCGCCCACCGTCAATCACACCAGCCAGTTTCTGCTGCAAGTTCTCGACCGAGAACGAGGCTAACCACGACGCGATTCTCGAAACGCCGACACACACGTCCAGCCCGTCCNCCCTGGTCTACCAATCCGTCATGTGTCGGCTGTCGTATATTTTCTACATTTATATCAAAGTCAACACTCATCAGAATGCTTCCAAGTTCATCAAGGCATTGGAAGAAATTGAGATTGTCAAGCGAAATTTACCTCTGCACTTGTCGACCAAGTTTCCAGCAAATATTGACGATGAAGAATGGGAAGCTACTCACCCCTGGATCACCTTTCAGCGCTATCTCATAAATACCGCCATTGATTTCATGATGCTCAGTATTGCACGCACTCTGGCGATGGGCAACATCGGCAGCGAATCAAATCGTTACCGCGATGCGGCCATGGCATCGGCCACGAGTATCATACACAGCTACTTGGCTCCGGTGGCGCGAGTATACAAGCTTGTATGGACAGTTTCAGCCTCGACTGTTGCCGCTGCGGTCTACACATCTCTGGATATTCTCATGAACCCTCAAGATTACACACCCCAAAAACGACAGGAACACGTTGTTGTGCTGAAGCAAGTTGTCCAAGAACTCGGCAAGTATTCCCATGTCGCCATCCACGCCGCGAAAGGATCAGCCTCAATACAANAGCTGATATCCCGTCTGGAGCAAAACTTTTCCATGTCACATCTTTCCGTCCACGATATTCTTCGCCATCTCACAACTCAAGAAATGCCTTCAACCTCAACCAGAGGCGTCGCAGAAGGTTATGTCTTGCCAGCTCAAAACATGCCAGTTCCTGTCGATGGTTGGAACGAAATGATGGTCGGACATGACATGACCATGCCGCACATGGATCAAGGGCACATTGATGGCTTGTTAGGTCCGTCAGATACATGGGACAGCTTTATGGAGTTCCCGGCATTCCAGCCTCCTGCTCAACACCAACATCAACACCAGCACCACCACTATGAAGGGTGAGAAGACTTCTACAAGCAACGACACCCGTCAGATGTGCGCAGAAACCACCGCATGGTCGCTTGAGTCGCCAAGTACCAGATCCGCCTCGTCGGACGATTGGACCCACGGCTTCGAACAGCTCCGCTGTCACAACGCTACTTCTTTGGGCATCGAGCCCTATCTGCAGCGTACAGCTACAGCATTCTGATCACCTTCTGCATCCAGGAAAAGTGTATGACACGTCAGCTGAACCTCGCGCATAGCCCAACATCGTTCCGTACACATCACCCCTTTCAAAGCGCGGAAGACAGTTCTTAGGACGTGAACTACAACCTCGAATTTAGCTTGGAACGATACGGAAACAGCGGTTCATCAGTAGCTGCAACGCCACCCGAAACAGAAGGGACACAGTTCCCAACATCAACAACAGCACAACGACCATACCCAGGCCTTGGTTGGAACATCTCCACTCAGACTCTTTTGTACATCTAGAGAGGCTGTATCTTGAACTACCAACGAGGTGGATGGCTTGAACTCTGTCAGTCTTTAACAGACTTTCACTGCGTCCACAGATTCCTCAGCGGCCGGGGTAACCTCTCTTGTGCAAGCAGCCTGGCATCTCGACGGAGCTTCAAAGTCAGTATTGAGCAGATGGAAGATCATCTATAGATTATTTCTCGATACCAAGTGCTCAGGCTCAATGACTGAGTCGCACTAGGACAAGAACTATTAACGTTAGATGGTTTCGAAACATCCATCGAACAAACTAGCCACAAAAACTATTTGTCAAGAATGCTATATGTTCCTCATTACCTGGAGATCTGGAGTGGTTATATGACATTTGAAGAGGTTGTCTGTCAAAACCGTCGGCCTAGGTATTCAACAAGTTAGGGCTTCCGGAGTTCGGTCCATGATCGTCAGGGTCCACGGCGGTGCTCGGTCGAGAACGGCTGAGTACCCCTCCCCCATCAACAAAACCCTCCGCATTTCGTCTTCTCCTCCACATACCGATAAAATCATCAAGGTGGCAGTCGACACATCCAAACAATGTCCAATACACGTATGAAGCAGGCAGCGGCCGGGTGCGGTCGAGAAAATGATGTCCCTACCAGATGATCCACCCTGTGAGCCGCAACGACCTCTAGCATGAGCATTAGGGCAATCTTCCGTCCAGGCATATTACTTCGCTCCTCCGCTGCTGTGATTCCTCTCACTCACACCCGCACATTCGCATCCACCATGCCTGTCGCATTTCAAGTCGCAAACACACCCACTAAGCCGCCGACCGTTGGCGACAATGGATACCAAGGCTTCAACCCTCGCAAGGAGACCCTGCCCAAGGGTTGGAAGTTCAGAGAGGATGCTCGTCCGCTGTCCGAAGACATGATTGCCGAGCATGATGTTGCTGTCAAGGTCCGCGATGGATGCACATTATATTGCGACATCTTCAGACCCGTTGGCAGCGATTCGTCTGGAAAGGTGCCGGCGATTGTTGCTTGGAGTCCTTTTGGCAAGAAGCACAATGGAATCGAGATGATGTCGAAGGTGAGGATGCGAGAGAACTGGACAGAGAATGACTTCGACTGATATGGTGCAGNNGTCAAATGGGGCTGTGGTGTACCCAAGGGAGCCCTCAGTGGTCTTGAACGTTTCGAGNGACCCGATCCTGCTGAGTACTGCCCTCGCGGGTTTGCTATTGTCAACGTCGATGCAAGAGGTGCTGGAGATTCTGACGGTTCGATTGTCATCATGGGCAAGCAAGAGNGAGAAGATGGCCACGATGTCATCGAGGAGTTGGCCAAGATGGAGTGGTAAGTCGCGTCTCTCCTACTCGATTCATGCAATCCACTGACAAGTACCTAGGNNTGTAACGGCTCAGTCGGTCTCGCAGGAAATTCGCATCTCGGTATCGTTCAATGGTTCATCGCTGCCCAACAGCCGCCGTCGCTCAAAGCTATTGCACCCTGGGAAGCATGTGGAGATCTCTACAGAGAACAATTCGTCCGTGGCGGTGCTTGGGACAACGGTCTCTTCGACTTCATCATCGAGCACGTTATTCGTGGCAAGAGAGGTGTCGAGGATTTCAAGGAGATGTACCGTCGCTCAAACACCATGAACCCTTACTGGGAGGACAAGCGCGCAGAGATTGAGAAGATCAAGATTCCGACCTACGTCGTTGCTTCCTACTCGAGTTTCGTTCACACCATGGGTTCTATCCGCGGCTGGATGCAGGTCAACACCGAGAACAAGTGGCTTCGATGGGATCCCTACCAAGAGTGGTTCGATCTGTGGTCTGTTAGAGAATCGGTTGACGAGCTTGCCGAGTTCTTCGACCACTTCCTCAAGGACAAGAAGAACAGCTGGCAAGAGACCCCCAAGGTCAGAATGGCCTCGCTGCCTTTCGGCGATAAGGAAGCCGTCTACCCCATCGAGGTTCAAGATTTCCCTATTCCTAACACAGACTACAAGAAGCTGTATCTCGGCGAGAAGAACAATCTCCTTGAATCCGCGCCTACCGAGAAGAGCGTCGTCTCGTACAATTCGGAGTCTGGCAGCAATCCCGTTGCCCACGCAGCATTCAACCTTCGCTTCGACGAGAAGACCAGACTGATGGGCTTGCCTAAGGCAGTCCTCTACATGTCCTGCGACGACCTGGATGACATGGTCGTCTACGTCCTGATCCGCAAACTCGACAAGAACGGCAAGGCCATGATCGCAATCAACATTCCTTGGGAAAACTGCCCTTACCCCGACACAGCATCTATCCCCGAATCAGACTACAGTAACCTGATGATCTACTTCGGCCCCACCGGTATCCTGCGCGCCTCTCACCGCAAAACTGATCCTGCGAGAGCCATTCACCCTCAATACCCCTTCCACACTCACGACGAGGTGCAGAAGATCACACCCGGCACTGTTGTGGAGTTGGAGATTGGTCTTTGGGCCATGGGTATGGACTTTGAAGAGGGAGAGAGTTTGAGCGTGCAGGTTTCCGGCGAGTATCCGCTGGTTGATGAGTTCAAGGGCAGAGGACCCAAGAAGCCTCAAGTGGAGGAGAGAAACAAGGGCTTGCACCACGTTCATCTCGGTGGCGAGTATGCTAGTCATATTATCTTGCCTTATGTTTGAGCGCAGAAACATATTTAAAATGAAAAAATTAGATACCCCCAGAAATAGATTAATTACTTATGACCTGACTTTCGTTCGATCAGGCGACATTGGCTGTGGTTTGTCTGTTGCCCAGAAGCAATTCAACCCAGTTTGGGGCCTACGCGCAGCAAAGCAAGGCGAATCTTGCCCGGCCCTGCGAAGCGTCCTCTCAGAGGGTCGAGCCGACGACCTTGAGGCTGACGCCGCAACTTCGGCTACCGCTGAGGAAGCTTCTGTGACGCGCACTTGGAGGCTCTGCGTTTCTTGGGCTTGCTCTCTTGCTCTCACGCCTCCAAGCTTGCTCACTCTTTCGGATTCTCGCGTCAGGATGTCTCGGCTGCAGGCCACGCGACTCAGCCGCGACACATTTGCTTGTTACCATGGCATATCGTCTATACGAATCTTGAGGGGGGAAGATGCTGCACCCCCGCATGTACATCATGAAAATCATGGAGAATGAGGGAGTTCCTGGCAATCTTATTTAGCCTGATCTTTCATCATGTATGACTGATCAACATGATCAACTGCAGCCCGACGTGGCAGGGGACAGCATCTCACGCAGAAAGCTTCAGGACTTGGTCATAGGATAAATAGCTGGCATCCCACTGCGTGCACGATGCTTTTGCCGACCAACATCGCACCTCGATACTCAAAGCAAGATGAAGGCCGTCTCGCTATTCATTGCTGCCAGCTTGTCCAACATCGGCTACTGCCAGCCGGTCAAACAAGAGAACTCGACCATTTACAATCCAATTCTTCCTGGCTTTCACCCTGATCCATCATGTGTTTTTGTCAAGGAGTGGGACAATACGTTCTTCTGTGCAACATCGACTTTCCTCGCTTTCCCTGGTATACCCATCTACGCGAGCAAAGACCTTCAAAACTTTAGGCTCATTGGACATGCCTTCAACAGACCTGAACAACTTCCTGCTTTTGGGAATATTACTGGACAGCAGAATGGTTGGTATGCGCCGACTCTGAGGTACCACAACAACCGGTTCTGGATCATCAATTCTTGTGTTGGTATGTTTTCTATAAATCTGTTCTGGGAGTCGAGTCATGCTGACTCTTTAATCTTGTTTAAGNGTGCTGCGACTGGTTACTGGAGCACTCCTGATCCTTACAACAATTCCGCATGGACGAACGTTACTCCAACTGACATCCCTGGATACGATCCCGACCTCTTCTGGGATACCGATGGCACAATCTACTCAGCCTTTGCAAAGACAGTACTGAGTGATCCATTCACGACTGAAATTCATCAGACGGAGGTATCTATGCCTTCTGGAAATACAACCACAGATCATTTCTTGTGGAATGGTACTGGTGTACAGCCTCCGGAGGGCCCACATATGATGATCAAGGACGGCTATCACTACCTGCTCCTGGCAGAGGGCGGTACTGCGCAAGCTCATCAGGTAACTATCGGCAGAGGCAAGTCTGCTCAAGGACCTTTCGAATCTGATCCGGCAAACCCGATCCTCACAGCATATAATACAAGTGAGTATTTCCAGACTGTTGGTCATGCAGACCTGTTCCAAGACTCCGTTGGAAACTGGTGGGGTGTTGCACTGTCTACTCGTTCTGGTCCAGCGTATGAGACTTGGCCAATGGGCAGAGAGACTGTCTTGTACCCTGCCAAATGGGAGAAGGGTCAGTGGCCTGTCCTAGGAGGTCCGATCAGAGGCAAGATGGAAGCACCTTTACCTCCTGTCAACAAGAACATTCGTGGCACTGGCGCGTTCGTGAAGGACCCTGATCACTACACTTTCCCTCCTGGCTCGTCTATCCCATATCACTTCTCTTACTGGCGCTTCCCTCAGACCCAGAACTATGCTATTTCTCCCAAAGGCCATGCGAACACTTTGAGGCTACTTCCATCCCGCGCCAACTTGACTGGAGATGCTGCCTTTGTCCCTACCGATGGCATTACTTTCATCGGCCGCCGACAAACCGACACTCTCTTCACCTACAGTGTGGATGTCAACTACTCACCATCAGAAGTCGGAGAAGAATCAGGTGTCACGCTGTTCCTCACACAAAGCTACCACATCGACCTCGGTATTGTTCGTCTCAACAAGACTGGCAATTATCTCCGCTTCCGCGCCGAGGGTCCCAATGCACCAAGGGAGACTGTAGTCGCCATCACCCAGAAATGGTGTGACCAAGGCATGCAATTGCAGATTCAAGCCTACAATGTCACACACTTATCCTTCTCTGCTGGACCGAAGGGTGGGCAAATCAAGCAGATTGCCATTGTTCCTGCTACTATTGTGTCGAACGGATTTACTGGTGAGTACAATGTGTTTTCCAATGCCATGAACAAGGTAGCTGACATGAAGTAGNGTTCTTTCGTTGGTGTTTATGCGACCAATAATGGCAAGGCTAAGGGAAAGACTCCTTCGTATATCAGTAATTGGGTCTACCAAGGTCAGGGACAGTACATCGGTAGTGGAGAGTTCTACCCGAGCAATGGTCAGAAATCAGGCGCAGGATACTAGACTGAATCTCAATGATAAGAACGACATTTCTGCCCGTGGAAGTCTTGAACTGAAGCTCATCGGTATATGATATTACAATAGCCAGAATCGGTTTTGGAACGAAAGTTCATGTCAAAGCCCGAGATCGACATGACCCCAAAGTTGATCATCGCATAGGCTAAATTGAGACGGTCAAATGTCCCCTCCAGATCTGCATCCCCCACATCATCAGAGTGGTATGCCGTCTGCGGTATATCGTCCGACGTCACCCCGCATTTATTCTATATAATGGAGACCTATATCCAGAGAACAGGAAAAGACAGCTCACCCTTACCACCTCGACATGCACCTTCTTCCACTCTTCACAGCCTTCGGGCTAGCTCTTGCAGAGACTGGCATAGATGGCTGGTTACGATACGCTCCATTGCCATCTTCAATATCATGGCCGTCAGTGCCGAAGCACATCGTTGTGCTCAACACCACCAAGACGAGTCCTGTCTACACCGCAGGTCAAGAGCTACAGCGCGGTATTCAGAGCATCCTTGGTCAAGGCTGCCGCTTCTCGAGCAAAGTTCCTGATGAATCCATCATCGTGGGCACACTTGACGCATATGTTGCTGCTTATGGCAATCTCAGCCAACCCGTGAATCTCAAAGAAGACGGGTTCTGGCTGAGCACCGAAAACAACACCGTTCAGATTATCGGACAGAATGAAAGAGGCGCACTCTATGGCGCGTTCGAGTACTTGTCCATGCTGGCTCAAGCAAACTTCTCGTCTGTTGCATATCAATCATCTCCAGATGCAAACATACGATGGGTCAATCAGTGGGACAATTTGGACGGCAGTATCGAGCGCGGCTACGGCGGAGCATCGATTTTCTTCGCAAACGGCACAATCGTTAGTGATTTAACCCGCGTGGCTGAGTATGCACGTCTTCTGGCTTCAGTAGGAATCAACGCTATTGTTGTCAACAACGTCAACGCCAATGCAACCATCCTATCACCCCATAACATTGATGGCCTCGGAAGGATCGCCGATACCATGCGACCTTATGGTGTGCAGATTGGTCTCTCACTCTACTTTGCCTCTCCCACGTCTGCAATCCAAGGTCAAGTCAATCTTACCACGTTCGATCCTCTGGATCCTGGAGTAGTCAACTGGTGGGGGAATGTCACGGATCAGATCTATGGGCGCATTCCAGATATGGCTGGTTATCTTGTCAAGGCCAATTCAGAGGGCCAACCTGGTCCTTTGACATACAATCGCACTCTTGCGGAAGGAGCAAACCTGTTTGCCAAGGCTCTACAACCACATGGTGGTATTGTGATGTTCCGCGCCTTTGTCTACAAGTGAGTTTACCATCTATCTCCCAGATCATAAGAGGGTTACTGACCATCTTCCTTAACACNNAGTCAGCTCAATGAGAGTGTATGGACAGCAGATCGAGCAAACGCCGCAGTCGACTTCTTTAAACCTCTGGACGGCAAATTTGACGATAACGTCGTCGTACAGATCAAGTACGGACCTATTGACTTCCAAGTCAGAGAGCCTGCATCGCCATTGTTTGCGAATCTGTATCATACAAGCACGGCGATTGAGCTGCAGGTCTCGCAAGAGTATCTGGGTCAGCAGACTCATTTGGTGTATCTGCCACCTTTGTGGGATACAGTGTTGGGCTTTGATATGCGAGTCGACAATCAGACATCACTTGTCCGTGATATCATCGCCGGAAGAACATTTAATCGATCTCTAGGTGGATATGCTGCTGTCGTAAACGTCGGTACCAACCAAACGTGGCTGGGAAGCCACCTTTCGATGGCAAACTTCTACTCGTATGGTCGACTTGCCTGGAACCCTGCCGAAGACACTACGAAGATTCACGAAGACTGGACGCGATTGACCTTTGGTCTCAATCAGAACGTCGTCGACACAATTACTCATATGGCACTGGAGTCCTGGCCTGCATATGAGAACTACAGCGGCAATCTCGGTATCCAGACTTTGACCGATATCCTATACACCCATTTCGGCCCAAATCCGCAGTCGCAAGACAACAACGGCTGGGGTCAGTGGACACGAGTCGATCACAATACCATTGGCATGGACAGAACAGTATCCAATGGCACCGGGTTCTCAGGAACCTACCCTCCAGAAGTCGCAGTAATGTACGAGAACATCGAAACCACACCAGATAATCTGCTTCTGTGGTTCCACCACGTCAACTATACCCAAAAGCTCAAATCTGGCGAGACGGTGATACAACACTTCTACAATGCGCACTATGCAGGTGCAGAGACAGCGCAGACATTTGCTCAGCAGTGGCAGACTCTGGCTGCCGACATTGACACCCAACGATTCAATGAACAGTTGTATCGCTTGAACTTCCAAGCTGGCCACTCGATAGTTTGGAGAGATGCCATTGTAAACTTCTATCACAACGTCTCTGGTATAGCTGATGAACTGAATCGCGTCGGCAACCATCCATACCGCATCGAAGCCGAAAGCATGACGCTCAATGGCTATAAACCATATGTCGTGAGTCCATTCGAAACAGCCTCGAATTACCATGCTGTGGTCCTTAGCGACAACAGCACTACTGGCTCTGTATCCACGACTCTACACTTCCCTTCTGGCACCTATGATGTAGGCGTCAACTACTACGACTTGTATGGTGGAGAGTCAAAGTATGAGATGTTGATTGACAACAAGACTGTTGCCAAGTGGGCTGGGGACAGCGAAGACTATCTCGGGCACACGCCTTCTATCTACCTGGATGGACATTCGGCGAGAAGAATGACGTTCAAAGACATTGCTGTGAAGGCAGGCGATATGCTCGAGATTGTCGGTACGCCGGATGGCGTCGAACCAGCGCCTCTCGACTACGTTGTCTTTTTGCCTGAGGGGTTCTTGATTGATGAGCTGATTGATTTGTTGATTGATGAGTTGATTGACGAGTTGATTGATGAGGATAGCGAGTCTTGACGAATAATGAAGGCAGTTCTCCAAGAATGATTGTCTGTACATGAACAATCTATTGTAATTGAGTAACCCGAATCGCTTGTCCTGGGTCGAGGAATTACGCCAGAGTAACTTGTTGACACCACAAATGTGTGCGTTAAGCTCAAGTCAGGGCACTCTCAATGGTTCAAAATCGAAACCTGTGTTTGAGTCATATGCTTTCGTTACCCTAAGCACTGATTGTTTTGATGACTTTGCCTGCTCATACAAAACCTCTCAGCCGATAGCGTATCCAAAGCATAAATAGTACTGTCGTGAGAATCTCACGTCTCGACTGTACTGAACAGCAGGGTGTCAAGTTGCAACCATAACTCAGGATCCAGAGGAAATCCATGCCCAGTCCCTCCCACCGCCTGTCCTCCGGTGACAAGTCCACACCCGCAGGTTGACCATGCTCACCTGAGGTCAATCCAATTGTAGTGTTTGCATTATTGTACTCAGGTCTTTCCAGGATACAAGACAGTTCTTGCTGCAGTTCCTCAAGAATGATACTATAGCGCAAGCTAGGAGAATTTGCGTTGGTGGCCCTGGCCAGATGAGACTGTACTGATTTAGCCAACTCGAACAGGGCCATCTCATCGTGCTCGGTGGAGATGATGGACAGGCGACCTTGTTTCCGCTGCATGATCCAAACGTAGACAATTGTCAAGGCGTTGAAAGTGACGTATTGAGTATTCCAGAACGCGGGTATCAAATTATTATCTGCCGCAAGATCGTGTACCAGGTCAAGGACGAATTTGGCAGCGGACAAGCATTTTTCAATGTGTGGCTGCATCACCGTCGGATCTGTATGGTGGCCTAAGAGCAGTGGTCTAGTGATGATCATGACAGCGTGTGCGCATCCTATCTGTAACACTGTGAGTTGTCTGCGAAAGATGGGGATCAAACTCGAAGGATGGATGCCGCCTGAGAGGAACAGTGGCAGTTGCTTCTTCCACTGCTCCACCTCGGACCCCAAGCGTTGCGCTGTTGCAGTCATATGTTGATCACGAGTAGAATGAAGTAAAGCCTGCTCCTTGGAGGCATCTTTGACGATACGGGTAAGCTTTGCATGCATGACAGGAGCCGCTTGTATGCAATCTTTCGGGTATGGACGAGCGATCGTCCCAGATGAGAGTAGATCATTGTCGTCAATGATGTCAGGATACCGTTGGTCGATGTACGTGTCGTTGATGTAAGGCGGTCTCCCAAGCATCACGCTTAGGTACGTGTCGAGCATATGGACAGCCCAAAAACAACGCCTCTGACACTCTCGGATGATCTTACTCGGCTCCGCAGAGCTCGGGGTCCGTGATCGATGTATTCCTATAGAGAGCGCAAGTTGATACGTGTTACCGAGTGTGNNCCACGCTTGGTTGAGTCGCGAGGTGTTAAGTTGGTAGAGAGACGTGGCGAGTCGTGCCTGAACAGATTCCAGGCAGGGCTTACCAGTCTCGCCTACGATTTTCTGTTGTGCTGCCTGGTAGAATGTCTCGCCCATACGTAGATATTTGTGATTCATCTCGGCCTTGCGTGTGTCGAGCTCATCGTGAGGCGGTGCGTCTGTTTCATCTCCGGTCTCGACGTTATACAGACATGCAGTTGCAAGAACCATGAGTACAATAGCTTGGCGGGCAGGCTGGAGAGTATCTTGATGGGACTCATCCTGTTCGTGATAGCTAAGCAGCCACGATTCGAATGTTGGTCGATGCAGGAAGCGATAAGTTGGAGCAGCGAAGTCAAAGTACCGGACAGTCATGGCGCGTGTAACACCACGATCTGGAAGTTGGGATACAGTCGAGGAATCCAGCGCTGGCGCCTTTCTGTCACCATAGGCAAATATCGAGACCTCTTCTCTGGCATCCTGGCTTGCATTGGACGGCTCTGCCATGCCAAAGCGACGCCAGGCTTTTCGAAGAAACTAGTCGAACAGTATCAGTAATGGAGCGAGGGTACCAGGTCGAGTAGGACTCACTGAGAAAGTGCTAGTCGGTCCCTGGTAGCCTGCGGACGTGAGACCCTCTCCGTTCGGCGAAGCAGCTCTGGAAGTGTCGTTGGTATTGAATGCATCTCCAGGTCTCAACACAGANATCGTTCCCCCTGGCCATTGAGGTTGCACACCCGAGCCGGCTGTATGACTTGGAGCATCAAGGACAATAGTGTTGGAAGGTCGAGAGTCCTGATGTCTGCCATGAGGCGTGATGTAGGTACAGATCAAGCCTTGCGAAACGCACAGAGGACATGGTTGCTCTCCTGAGCACTTCCGTTTGCGTGATTTGCAATTATCGCATGCGCGCTGGACCTTACGTCTCTTGCCACTTGGAGCATCTGATACTGCACCAGAGCTCCCGCGACGACGACTTTCTGCACTGACATGTGGACCATCAATGCGACGGGTCGCAGGCGTGAGAGCCATGGTGGAACGAGGATGCGGAAGCTGCGACTGGTAAGCGGGGTAGGTAATATTGATGGACGGCTGCGGTGGCGGAATCCGGCGAAAGTGGAGCTGGGGTGTGCGGAAGATCCACTGCTTCCAGCTTCCGCCTCATCCGCAGCTGCGGAAGGATTGCGGATGTGCAAGACGAGCCTTCCGCTGGCCGTGGACACATTGATGGTCAGTCAGAGCTCTACTCCGCAGTAAACAGAGCAACAAATAAGTAGACTGGCCCAAGCAACTTCCCTTTGCTGATACTATTCCGCCTCGTTGCTTCCACTTTTGATCATGTTACCCGAGCACTTCACACTCAACACTGGCGCAAAGATCCCTGCCGTGGGCTTCGGTACCTGGCAAGCCGCTCCCAATGAGGTCGAACGAGCTGTCGAAGAGGCGTTGAAGCAAGGATACCGTCACATCGACTGCGCTGCCATCTACCGCAATGAGAACGAAGTTGGCGCTGGCGTCAAGAAGTCAGGCGTCAAGCGTGAGGATATCTTCATCACTGGCAAGCTATGGAACACAAAGCACAGACCCGAAGATATCGAAGCTGCCCTCGACAAGTCTCTCAAGGATCTCGACACCGACTATCTCGATCTTTACCTGATGCATTGGCCGTGTGCCTTTGCTCCTGGCGACAAGTTCTTCCCTCTTGACGACCAAGGCGTTTTCAAGCTCGACAACATCGACCCAGCAGAAACATACAAGGGCATGGAGAAGCTTCTCAAGACCGGCAAAGTCAAGGCAATTGGTGTATCAAACTTCACGATCGAAAAGCTTGAGGACCTCTTGAAAAAGACATCCGTTATTCCAGCTACCAACCAGATCGAGGCTCATCCCTACCTCCAACAACCTGAATTGCTCAAGTTCTGCAAAGACAAAGGAATCCTCGTCGAAGCATACTCTCCCCTCGGCAACAATCAAACCGGTGAACCACGCACAGTCGACGATGCCCAAGTACACGAGGTTGGAAAAGAGCTGCAGATGGACCCAGGAGTCGTCCTTGGTAGTTGGGGAGTACAAAGAGGCACAGTCGTCCTGCCAAAGAGTGTGACCCCTCACAGAATTGCATCGAACCTCAAGGTCAAAGAGCTGCCGGCTGGAGCCTATGATAAGCTCAATGCACTTGAGAGACATAAGCGATTCAACTTCCCAGCCCGATGGGGTTACGACATCTTTGGCGAGAAAGGCGACGAAGCAGTCAAGAAGATCGCGCAAGAAGCTGGAGAAGAGAACAAGACCAAGTTTGTGGTTTGAGGGAGGGTGCTATTTTTATTCCCGAGTTATGTATCCCTACGCAAGGGTCGTTGTAGATTTGGATAGACTATGTATGCGATAATCTTATCTGAGTCAGAATCTGGATCCTGAAATTCGAATCAAGTCACTCAAACATTTGCAGTCACCTCTGCCTCGTCAAATCTCGGAACTCTTCGTGCATGCTCATTCTATTTGTAACCACTCGTGCACCGTCCTGCTGCTGTTCGTCACATCTCGCTAAGTATCTCAGTCGAACCTCGACATTTTGGCGTGTATCCTTAGAAAACTCGGAAATCATGGATCTCTCCCTAGAATAGCTACATTGAAGCAGAGCAGTGGCATGTGGAGATCTACAAATGAGCATCCAAGGTCATGGAGGAATATAGCGGCTTGAGTTCACAAGACGAGACACATGCAGTGGACCGAGTGTACTTGAGATGAGTCGTAAACATTGAGCTATATACAAAAGCCATAAACGCCTAACATAATGATCCGGTTAAAAGTCATGATACAGGTCATTTCCCCACTTGCGTTACTTGACGACTTCCTTTGCCACCATCCTAGAGCTTGTACTTGAACAACGGCGATTTGTCTCCCATCCTCTGCAACTCCTCCTCACTGTACTTCTCCCTGACCTCGGACTCATCCAAGGCATCCCTCTTCTTGTTGAGACGCATGTAGGAGAGCTCGAGGATTACTGTGCTGAGAAGAGTGAAGGCGGCAAAGCCAAGTCCGATGCCAAAGCCGGTGGGGTACCCAGGCTTCTCGTTATCAAGGAANCTGTCGATATATGTCAGTATATTGCTCGAACAATCGAGGGGCGGAAGATTAATGCTTACGATGTAGGAACCGACAATGCCACCACAATTTCCGAGAGCGATGTTCAGCGCAATACCCATGGCTCTCTTTGATTCGCCAGCAAGGTTTGACGAGATCCAAGCAGAGCCGGCAGGATTGGTTGGGTATTGACCGATGCAAACAAGCACGACACCGATGTAGCATGCGGGAATCTGATGCTTGATGTTCGGTGCAAGGGCAAGAAGCATGGCGAAACCAAGAGTCACGATAGCCATCTGACCAAAGATGAAGGGAGCACGCCATTGGAAGCGATCTGAGAGCTTGGAAAGTCCAACCGCGGAGATGGCGCCAGCGACGTAGGGAGGAATGGTCATGAGTTGAGCTTGCGAGGAAGTGTAGCCCATCGACTTGGTGATAGAGGGCATGGTGAACTTAAGACCGTAGGCGCAGACGGAAGCGGTGAAGAGAATCCAAGCTTGAAGGTAGACCTTGTAGTCTGTAAGCAAGTCCTTGAGGTAAGACCATTTGAACTTGTCGGCCTTTTCGCCATCGTCAGATGTGCCACGACCAGCGTTCTTGATAACGTTTTGGAGGACCAAATAACGTTGCTCGTCTGCGTTGAGCCATCTACCGGATAGCATAGGTGTGTCGGGCATAATGAAGAAGCAGGCAGCACCCACGATGACTGTGACAATACCCNNCTGTGAGTAGGATAAGTATGCTGCTTTGTGGAAAGAGATCAGAAGTATAGAAGCCTGCTAGGACACAACTTCTGCCATGGGGAAGACGTACTCAAGAAGGAAGATCCAAGCCCATCCAGGTCTTCCACCAAGCCCGTCCATCTTTGAGATGGCGAAGGCTAGAAGACCTGAGCAAGCACCAGATAGAGCGGAAGCGCAGTAGAACAAGGCAAGACGAGTCTGGACTTCTCTTTGAGCATACCAATGAGTGATGAGGTACACAGCACCAGGAAANAAGCCTGCCTCCGCGATTCCAAGGAGCACTCTGCAGACCATGAGGCCAGCAAAGTTCTTGACAAGACCGGTCATCGTCATGATAGTGCCCCATGAAACAACCAGGATACCGATGTAAGTCGAGGGGCGTTTAAACTTCTTAAGAAGGACGTTGGATGGTACTTCCAGCAGGATGTAGGGGATGAAGAAAATGGAGAGNACTGTGGTTGGAAGTTAACTCATGGTCGTCGTATAAAGAGACAGATGGACTTGCACTATGTTATATTGAATTCCCGACATGTTTAAATCGTCCATCATACCCTCAATCTTTGCATTGCCGATGTTGGCTCTGTCGATGTGAGAGAAGAGGTAGAGTAGGGCAAGGACAGGGACGAGTCTCAAGTCGACCTTTCGGATCAGTGCCTTCCTCTGCTCTGTAGAAAAGTTCTCGAAGAAATCGGCCTCTTCGTGAGTCAGGCCCATGCCTGCATACTTGTTGTACTCGTAGACCTCGACCTGCTCTGGGTCCTTGGCAATTGAGGATGACGATCCTCCGCCATGCTTGAGGTCCAGATTGTTGAGCATATCTGGTAAAGAAAGAGATGATGTTCGTCTGAATAGTGAAGAAGAAGCAGAAGAAGTGTCGCGAGGACGTGATCGAGGAAGTGATGACTGGGACAGCAGAGATATAGCTGGCCGATGAGAACGCCGGTCTTGGTTCCCCCGCTGCTAAGGCCAGAGTCTCGCGTCGTTAAGTACCGAAATCTGCGCCCAGCAACCCCGTATGGGGTCCCCGCTATGAAGATGAAAATCTGGAGGAGTGCGATGTGGGATTCAGACTCTCCACCGCACCAATCGGAAGGTGTACTCACAGATGTATTCTGTGGGCGGAAGGTGAACATGGCGTTGTTTCACTCCTTCCGCAAAACTTCCGCAAGCATGCTCTGGTACGCCGTTGGCGGAGACTCGGATGTTCGCGCCATCATCTTCCGCCTCCACCTTCCGCATCGTCTAAGGTAAGTGGAACGTGATCTGGAAGCGGGGTCTCGCGGTTCCATGCCTGATCTTGAGACCGCTGCCTCTATATATGGCTTTACACATTGTCCAAACTGGCTTCAACCAATCTACAATCTCATTAATTCACCATGACCGACGTGCTTTCCCTCTCGAGCAGGTCTGCTACGCTGGACAGCAAGTATTCAAGCATCAGAGTATCGGAGGCTCGCACTCAGCAGGTTCTCACAATCAAGACAGCCACGCCTTCGACTGTCGACGAGCTCATCAAGTTGAGAGCCAATCAAGAAGGAAAAGATGCTCCCATCATCGCTTACCCTGAGCATGGCACAGCGTATGCCGACCATACCCCCTGCCAGCTAGACAGATACGTCGAAAGAGCCGCATCGTTCTATGCGACGACCATCCCTCAGAGACGAACATCAGATGATTCCGTGCAGGTCATCGGACTCTTAGGCCCCTCCGACTTTAGCTACTTGGTAGCCTTTCTCGCTATCTCTCGACTGGGTCATTCAGTTCTGTTGCTCTCGACCAGAATCACCGACGAAGCTCATGAGTCTCTTCTCTCGACGACAAAAGCCACTGGACTTCTTTACAATGAAGCTTTCCAGCCCACCGCATCTGCGCTGATGGCACAGAAACCTGACTTGCGAATCATCGAGATTTGCGACACCAAGTCTCTGCCAACTACAAGTGCAAACCTCAAGTCTGCACGATTGGACTCTGCCAGAGAATCTCTTAACATCTCCTTTATCATTCATTCAAGTGGTTCGACAGGACTCCCGAAACCAATCTTCCAAACTCACAAAGCATCTCTGTATGCTTACTCTCAACATTTTAATCGAGTCGGCCATATCACTCTCCCGCTCTATCACAATCATGGCATCTGCTGCCTCTTCAGGGCAATCTGGGCTGGCAAANAGATCTACATATACAACGCCAAGCTTCCTCTCACATCGCAGCACCTGCTTGCGACGCTCAAGGAGCACCGAGATATCAAGATTCTGTACGCTGTACCTTATGCTCTCAAACTTCTCAGCGAGACCGAGGAGGGCCTAAAGCTGCTCAGCGATCTCGACATCGTCATGTTTGGCGGATCAGCCTGTCCCAAGCCTATCGGTGACAGGCTTGTTGAATCTGGCGTCAATCTCGTAGGACACTACGGCGCCACAGAACTCGGGCAGCTCATGACCTCCTTCCGCAACCACAAGGAAGACAAAGGTTGGGACTGGCTACGTGTAGGTCCTCATCTCGAGCCCTATCTCAGAATGGAAAACAGAGGTCCCAATCTCTTCGAGTTGTGTGTCATGGAAGGCTGGCCTTCANAAGTGGCGACCAACTGCGATGATGGATCGTATGCTACCAAAGATCTTNTTGAACCTCACCCAACCATTCCAAACGCTTGGCGATACTATGCTCGTCTGGATGATACCTTGGTACTCGAGAATGGCGAGAAGGCTAACNCCTTGATCGCTGAANGAGTCATTCGACAGAGCGAGCATGTAGCTGAGGCCGTCGTCTTTGGCGCTAACAAACCTCGACTTGGTGCGTTTGTCGTTCCTTCGGCTGCATCAGCACTCGGAGACGAGGCTTTGCTGGACGCAGTCATGACCTATGTCAAGGAAGCAAACAAAGTCGCACCATCGTTTGCCTATCTCTCGCGGGAGATGATCAAAGTGTTGCCAAGCGATGTTGAGTTCAGGAAGACTGACAAAGGTACTGTTATTCGTGCCGCTTTCTACCGCGATTTTTCGCAACAAATTGACGCCGCATACGCCGATGAGCAGTCCGGAACCCTCGTTTTGCCAAAGAATCAATTGCTCGAATATCTTCGTGAACAGTTCACTCAAAGAGTTTCGCTCAGACCAGGCGAGTGCTTGAACGATGACACTGATCTCTTCAGTCTTGGTGTCGATTCTCTCCAAGCTATCCAAGCAAGGAGCAACATTATCAAAACCCTTAACGTTCAGGCAAAAGATATCGGCCGAAATTTCGTCTTCGACTTCCCGACCCTGAGCGAGATGACTAACGAGATTCTGCGACTCCAGAATGGTGGACCAAAACAACAGAAGCTCAGTGTTGAAGAACGCATGGCAGCTATGGTCGAGAAGTATGCACACTTTGAGCAACATCAACCTGTTCAGAGACCAGCCGATGGCGCCTACATTGTAAGTTCATTCAATCCCCATATTTGACTCCAACTAAGATCCAACAGGCTGNTCACTGGCGCCACAGGCTCTCTTGGCGCACATGCTATCGCAATCATGGCAGCGCAGTCAACTACTCGAAAGGTTTATTGTCTTGTCAGAGCCAAAGACTCGGCAGATGCACAGAGAAGAGTGTGGCAGTCCTTACGCGAGCGACGTCTCTTCCATACTCTCTCCGCAACTGCTCGATCGAAGATCATGGCCTATCCGTCCAACTTCGCCGAAGAACAACTTGGTCTTAATGCTCAGCAGTATGGAGCAATTTCAGGAGACATTACACATCTTCTCCACCTCGCATGGTCGGTCAACTTCAACAAGAGTATCGAAAGCTTCGAGGCAGATTGTATCCGGGGCGTACGCAACTTGACCAAGCTCTGCTTGCAGGCTAAGAGACCTGAGCCCGCGTCATTCAACTTCTGCTCTTCGGTCAGCGCCACTGTCCGTACCCCTGGTGGCGTCGTACCTGAGGCCATCGCCGAGTCTTTCGCCTATGCCCAAGGAATGGGTTACGCTCAGTCAAAATCCGTTGCCGAAAGTTTGTGCGATCGCGCTGCGAAGCAGACCAACATGAAGTGTCGCGTTCTCCGAGTCGGCCAAATCATTGGGGATACTCGCCACGGTGTTTGGAACGAGACAGAAGCCATCCCACTGATACTTCAGTGTGCAAAGTCGACTGGCACACTGCCTGCTCTTGATGAGAGTCCAGCATGGCTTCCAGTTGACCTTGTCGCATATGCTTGCACTGAAATTGCACTTAGCAACGCAGATAGTGGAGTGATGAACATCGTCAACCACAAATCATTCCACTGGACCAGGGACTTGCTTCCGCTTCTCCAGGAGGCTGGTCTCTCCTTTGACGTTGTCAACCAGCGCGAGTGGATCAAACGTCTCCGAGCTTCGAATCCTGATCCCGTCGAGAATCCTTCGATCAAGCTTGTCGACTTCTTTGCAAGCAAGTACGACAATGAGGACGCGCGCAAGTCTTTGGTGTTTGCATCTGAGATTGCCCGAAGTCATTCTCCTTCCNTCGCAAATGCCGGTGTCATTGATATCGACATTATACAGAAGATTGTCAGTTACCTTGAGACTAGGTACACGTCGCGAGTGGAGTCTACGCCATTGGGTACTGCGTATGTGATCGGAGGCCCATGTGGCACAGGGAAGTCTTCCCTTGCGGAAAGACTTTCGATGACACTGTCACTGCCTGTCATTGAGGGTGACGAGCTACATTCCATCGCAGCTCGCATGCAGATGAGTAACAAGATCCCGCTCGAGGATGCAGAACGCATGAATTGGTTAGCTCACCTGCGCGGTGCCGCCATGTATTCCCTCACGACTTCCAAGGCCTCGGGGGTGCTCGTCACATGTTCAGCTTTGAAGGCGACCTACCGCAACGAGCTGAGGAAGCTCAATGAGCTCGCAGGAATCAAGATCGTTTTCCTGTTGTTGACAACAGATAACAAAGACGCCATCAAGGACCGTATGAGCAAGCGGGAAGGGCATTACATGGATCCGTGTATGGCTGACGCGCAAATGGCGACCTTCGAAGAGATACTGGATTATGAAGTTGATTGTGTTCAGCTTGACGCCATGCAGGACTTGGATCATGTTGTGGCTCAGGCGTTGTGTGTAAAGGATCTATAAGGCGATTGGTTCATCGGGTTATCTACATTAGGGTGTCTAGATTAGAATATCATCCTCATCATTAATAGTTCTCCATCTTCCATTACCATGTGAATCATACTCTACAAATAGACCTTGAACAGGGTGATGCCCTGATCCTGAGCCAATCTCCTGCCAAAAATACACCGAGCAGCTTATTCAACAAATCCTCACGCTACCTAGTAATGAACATGTAGACTAGTTCGTTCCCATGAGTGCTTTCCGTCTCGGACTCAAGTCGCACCCGATAGCATTTCGTAATTGCCCAACTTCCTTCTCCAGCTGCCTGATATAATCACAAGCAGCAAGTAGCACCTCCGCTTTACTCGGCTTTGGAGTCTGGCCAGCGCGGGCTGGCTGCTGTGTTGGAATATTCGGGACTGTGCTGGCAAGTTTNTGGAATTGGCTGACGAGGTTATGGCGATATCGCCGCTCTATATCTGAATGAGTGGAGCGGCCACGGTGTCGACCCCTGTTGATCCTAGTTGGAGAACCGGAAAACTCGTCACTGAAGACGGGAGATTTCTCAAGTTCGGGAAAGGCAGGCTCCCTGATGAGGGGTGGTGGTATTAGAGGGTATGTCTTCATGGACCTTGGGCTGCGTACTGGAGATGTGTGTTGGGAGGCAAAGGTTTGGAATCGCTCGGTTTGTGTGGTGGAGGTGTTGCCATGGGCGGAAGCAAGCATGGAGTCAACATCACAGTAGCCAGTCAGAGTGTTGATGCCTGCGTCCATTGATAACTTGCTTATGTGTGCGTCGAGACTCTTGTAAGAGTCAGAGTGCTGATATCTGGAAGGCAAGACAGGCATGGATTGTTGCTGGCGCAATTGGGGTCTTGCAGGCCTTGTCTGCGATGGTGTACACGCGTATGTGGGNGTGTAACATTGCTGCAGTCCAGAGAATTGTATTGGCGCATATGAATGCGTGTTGATGGGAAAGTGAGATTGGAAAGCACTCTCGAAGGGATTGTTTGGCCCGCTTGCGTAGCCTGAATCTTGAGGAGGTGGGGAATATACAGCATCGAAAGTGCCGCCCGACTTAGGAGAATAGGAATATAATTGGAAAGAGTCCATGCTGACAGAGGTGAAGGACTGCGTGACTGGTGAGTTGGTGCAAGGAAAGCTTCTCGCAGCAGAGGATTCTGGACTACTTTATTTATGTTCCAGTGCGGAGACTGATTTCAGCTGTAATGCTGTAATAGGTGCGTGGCAGTACAGATTCGTCCTGTTCGCAGTGAGGCCGTAGAAGATGCCACAATTGAAACCGTTCTATTGTTCTTCATACCATAGCAGGGCCCGTTACTCCAGGGCTTCTATAGTGAGTGTCAGATCTTCGATCATTTTTGAGTTTAGACACGCTGCGGACTGACCTGAGACGAGGCTCATGTGAACTGTCGCATCTTGAAACGAGATGCTTGGGCACTGATGCGGCTATGCCATGTGATGCTTGATAACACTGGTACCAGCATTAGAGATGTGAATGGAAAAAGGAGAGTCTATCATCACAACTAGAGTGCGCATCGAGCTTGGATCTCGAACCTCGTTCAAAAGTTGGCGACCATCTCCACATCATCGAATAAGATCAGCCACAGCGAACAAGCGTTCGCGTCGAGAGAAGTGTTCGGAGACACCGAGGGCAGCAGCCTCAACGGTCGGCTGTCCCAACGTTGAAACGACGAAGCTGAAGTTCTGGACAAAGACGCTTAAACTTGCCATGGAAACACCTTCGTGGTTATAGCACTACGATGTTTCACTGATTATATATGGTTTAAGGTCGGGTTGAAACTTGCAACCTGGACTCAAAAATTCATGCGCCGCTTGTTGTTTTCAACCGCTTGCACGGCGGCATATGAGTTTGAACCTTTCTCCATAACCTGAGGTTCATAATCAACACGACCCCACATGGCGGAGCAAGCGGTCGACCCACGAGCGCCTCGCATGCCACCAATCACCGCAAGTCAAGTATGAGCATGAATATTCTCGATTGACTTTTGGATATGGCAAATTTGTGGAAGTACGACGTGGACGTACGATGCAAAAGTCGCCTCAGTAACCGGGGTCAGCTTCCTCTTCCAACATAGCGTACTTGCCATTGCGAATATCTCAGCTGCACTCTGTATCATGCGCTTCCACTATACAGCCATCTATTGATTTGGTGTGCCACGATCGGCGATGTGCAATCTACTGATATGGAAAGTAGGAGGAAATGGATAGCATTATCAAGATCCCAGAAGCCTAATCTCCATATCATACTTATTCGTCATGTTGTGGACTATAGTGTATATCTGTAGTCAGGATGACATTGCCATTTCTGGGACAGTGCTATCACCCTTGTTCCCACAGCTGTGTTTTCCACTCTGTTGTCCTCATCACTGGCGTGATCGAGTTTCCTGTTTCTCCAGCTCAGATAGAATCGAAGAGTGGTCGCAAGTGCAATGCAAGCTGCCGAGAACGCTACATTGACGACATTGGCTTGCCAGTATCGTGGTCCTTGCGACGCTGGGTAGATGTAAGACGCGTATATTGATGCAAGATTCGATCCGGCGTTCACAACAGCATAGGCGACCGCGCGCTTGGAAGATGGACGGGATAAGGTGGAGGATACCCAGGATAAGATACATCCGAAGCTACCATAGACGGACATCATCATGAAGGTTGCGGTGTATCGTGCCGCGGTGTTTAGTGTTACTGCAGAGATAATGAAGCCTATACTGCAGAACACCTGGGGCCAGACAACATGAAGCCAACGTTCCCGGGTCTTGTCCGAGTGCCATGAATTGGTGATGCCCAGAATGGCGGCAAAGACATATGGTGGAGCCGACAATAACAGAGTCTGGGTTCTGTTGTATCCAAGAGTCTTAACGATGGTCGGGAAGAAGTTGGTAAAAGCCGCTGCGGTATTCAAGCTCAACTGCATGAACCACAAGATGTACAGTGAAGGGTCGGCAAACGCCAGCTTTAGTCCTTCGCGAGAGCTTGATTTGTGAACATCTTGTTCGTTTGCATCTTCAGCGATTCGGAGTATGGCAAGGTGTCTTTCTTGCTCAGTCAGNCCTGCACGTTTGTCAGCTGGTATTCTTGAGGGCAGAGTGCTAGCATCGTACCACTTTGTAGTGTCAGGGTAGTCTGGCAGTACAAAGGCAGCTACAAAAGCGATTGGAATCGTCGCAGTCCCTTCGATGATGACTAAGAAGCATGAGTACTTGACAACAGAGGATCGAAGGTCCGGGGAGAACTTACAGAGCCATCGCCAGGCAGCGAGTCCTGCTTTACCTTCCATGCCACCCATAATGGCACTACCTAGCAGTCCTCCAAAAGCACCTGCCATCTGCCCAGCCGCGTAAAGGATTGAGATACGCTTCGCAAGCTCTTTCTTGGTGTACCACGAGGAGAACAGGAACAGGGATCCGGCTACAGTTTTATGATTAGTTATGCGACACCAAGCAATCCAGAAGACACTTACGAAANNGAAGGGCGCTTCGACAAACCCGAGTAAGAAACGTAGGGCAATCATACCGTGGTAGTTCTGCACCGCACCAGAGCAGGCACTGACAGCTCCCCAGCAGCACATGATAAAGGGCAGGAAGACAGAGGGCTTGACTTTGTCCAGAATCATGTTGGTAGGTACCTGCGTCAAGATATATCCNACAAAGAAGATGGAGATGATGGTGTTGTACTGAGTACCTTGCAGACCAAGGTCTTTCTCAAACGAGCCAAGACGAGCAACAGCGATGTTATTGCGATCAAGGTAATTGAGTACATCTTCCCAGGCCTTACGTCAGTCGATGGATCGGCGGCATCAGCACGAAGGGCAAGACGTACAGATAAGCATCATCATTGGCATCATCCTCATATCAATCTTCTTCAAAAGCTTCTTTTCCTCGGCGATTCTGTCACCGAGAAAGGCATCTTCCATATCATCAATCTTGTCAAGATGGACAACATCTTGTAGCTTGGTTTTGGAATCCATCATGTCTGAGTTGAAAAGAAGAGGTCGGAGAGATGAATAGGAAGATACGCTGAGCGATTCTCCGCCTTTATATACAGCATTTTAGACTCTCCAGGAAACGCTCTGGAGAAGGATCTGGGGTCTCCACAGTTTCCCCGCCGCTCAACTGTTTGGATGGTGTTATATGCTGGAGAATCCTCATGCGATGACTGGTGCGATATGTTATGAAGGTACTCCGGTCGGCTCGGATATGTTCTTGGCTGCAGATCACCTCCATTGCACCTCGCATGGGGCATGAACGCTGCGGGGTCGGCCTAGTTGAGCTTTGGTTCAAAATATACCTCACCCCAGATGTGTCGTGCAAGGTAGTATTAACTCGCTCGACATCTCATTTCTCCAAACAGTGAAGATCCAAGTTCAATCTTCTGATTCCTCCATCTAGATTCGAACATGCCGCTGGAGAACAAACCTACCATACTGTGGATTGGTGATGCAGTCAAACACAATCCAGCTGTCTACAAACGTCTGGAAAGCCAGTTCAGAATCATTCGGCCAGAAGTTGAGATCCGCCAGCGTCCTGCGTTCTTGCAAGCGCTCCGATCAAAGACTTGGGGAGAGTTCGATGCTGTTCTTCGACCCTTCTGGGTGACTGGTGGTGAGATGGGTCGTTGGGATACTGAGTTGGTCCCACTCCTCCCCAAATCATGCAAGATCTTTGCCAGTGCAGGCGCTGGTTATGATTGGGCCGACGTTGACGTGCTTGCCGAGCACGGCATAGTGTATTACAATGGCGCACAGGCATCCTCGGAAGCAGTTGCAGATATGGCTATATTCCACATCCTGTCAGTCTTCCGCAATCTTACCTGGTCTCATCTGGCGGCTCGCTCAGGCGATCCTGAGCAATGGTTGGACGCGCACGCAAACGCTACCATGGCAGCTCACAATCCACGCGACCACATCCTTGGTATCATCGGACTTGGAAACATTGGCTACACCATCGCTCAGAAAGCATTTGCTGGGTTCGGCATGAAGATCCACTACTTTGACGTTAGTCGGAAATCACGTCAACAAGAGGAAGTCATCAATGCAACATTTGTAGACGATCTCGAGTCTTTGCTGGGCAATGCAGACTGTGTTGTTCTTGCAACCCCATTCGGTGGAAAGAAGGTCATCGACGCCGAGAGTTTGGCCATGTTTAAGGAAGGATCTCGATTCGTCAACATCGCAAGAGGTACTCTGGTTGATGAAGACGCTCTTGTGAGAGCGCTGAAAAGCGGCAAACTCTTCGCTGCTGGACTGGATGTGTATGAGAACGAGCCGAATATCCATCCAGAGCTTTGTAAAATGCGCAATGTAACCCTCACTTGCCACAATGCTGGTGGAGCCATCGAAACCAACTACGGATTTGAGAGATTGGCGATGGAGAATGTTGAAGCGATGTTGCTTACCGGCAAGGCACTGACACCCGTCAATACGCATCTGATGAAGAGTTGAGGGTTGGATGTCGCTACGACGTTTGGAGGGTTCTGCTACAGAATGGATGAGCCGAAGGAGATATTCACTAGCTTTAATCAATCCTACATAATAAACCTCAAAGTCGATCGAGATTGTGCACATAGCATTGTATCGATTGGTGCTTGTCGATTGTGCTTGCAAGCTGGAAGCGTACGTGTGATGGAAGTTCCCGGTGTCGGTCGTGTTGATTCAAGAGGTTACCAATAGTAGTCACGCCGACTCTGCTTGCAACGGAAGGATCAATGGCGTTTTGTCGAGAGATGTAACTTGCGTCGGAGGCTGTTGCCGTGCGCAGTAGTTTCGGTCGGCTCGCGGCTTTCTCGCCGGCTCGCCAAGACGGGTCGCATCGAAGACGGCCGGCGAATCGGTAGCTTAGCCGAGCAGGATCCGACCAAACCTCCTCGCGGTCTCCTTCGTCAACCGATACCAACACCCGTCCGTCGTCGCTTGTCACAACCCTCCATGCCATGACCCAAAAGCACCCCACGGGGATGATCCACACTGCCGCGGACACGAACGCCTCTTCCTGGAGTGATATATGATCGACCATCCCTTTCCGGTACGCATCCTCCACCGTCTATCTATCTTCAATCACATTTCACACGCCCCGAACTTCCAAAGATGGGTGGCTTGCATGCTGTCGAAGACCGCCCTACGCCCAAGGAGGTGTACAACTGGAGATTGTATACAGAAGCTTTGATCATTGCGACCGGATCCTTGCTGTAAGCTCTCAACAGATGACCACAAGAGCATGTCTGACAAAGCCTAGCTNTTGGTTACGATTCAGCATTTGTCGGCACGACCATCGCTCGTGCTAGCTTCAAGAGCGACTTCGGAATTACAAAAGCTACGGCTGCCGGCATCTCGAGCAATATCACCTCTGCGTTCCAAGCAGGAGCCTTTNTTGGCGCCCTCTTCTGCTACTTCCGTAAGTGGCCTGTCATGCCCGATCTTTACCGCTCAGGCTGACGAATATGCGCAGTCACCGAGCGTGTCGGCCGTAAATGGGCTCTTCAGGCAAACGTCGTAGTGTTTATTGTCGGCGCCGTGTTGATGACTGTGGCCACTCATCAGCTTTCATTCATTTNNGTAAGATACCCATGCCTTCCAGCACGGCTCAACTGACAGTATGAGACAGATGCCGGACGTGTACTCACTGGCCTCGGTTGTGGTGCAATCACAGCTACGGTCCCAAGTTATATTGCCGAGCTCTCAGTCCCCTCTATCCGTGGTATCTTGACTGGACTCTTCGAGATCGCCTATCAACTTGGAAGCCTCGTAGGCTTCTGGGTAAATTATGGAATCAACAAGAACATGAATGTCAAGTCGTCCTTGAGCTGGAGAATTCCTATGGCTATACAATTGATACCCGCTGCGATCCTGCTGGCCGGTGGTCTCTTCTTGCACGAGAGTCCTCTATGGCTCATGCGTAAAGGCCGTGAGGCAGAAGCAAAGGAGAGCCTTGTTCAGCTGCGTCATCTGCCTGATGAACACGAGNTGTGAGTGCATGCGCGTGCGGCTGTCAAGACGACATACTGACTGCATCTAGACCTTCAAGAAGATGTCCAAGATATGCAAAACAGACTGAATGAGGAGGCAGCAATCGCAGCAAGTTATGGCAGTGGCTCATTTGCCTTCATCCGGGGTTGTTTGAACGAGCTATCCCGCCCCGGCATGCGCAACCGTGTTCTTCTTGTCTTCTGCGCTTTCGCTTTGCAGAATCTCTCTGGCGCCTCGGCCATCAACTACTACTCGCCTACACTATTTGGTTCTCTTGGTGTCACGGATATCCCATTATATACCGGAATTTATGGACTTGTTAAGGCTATCGCTTCGATCATCTACTACATCTTCTTCATCGATGTGCTTGGCCGTCGCAACCCTGTGCTGGTATCCTCGGCCGCTTGCTCGTTCTGCTTGTGGTTTGTTGGAGCGTACGTCAAGGTTGGTCATCCAGCAGATGCCATTGCTGCGGGTGTACCTTTGTCAGCCTCTACAGCTGCGGGCGGCCGTGCTGCTATCGGCATGATCATGATTTATTCCATCTTCTGGTCTTTCGGTTTGAATGGGATTCCTTGGATTGTGTCGGCTGAAATCTTCCCTGGATCGCTTAGAGTTCTGACTGGAACCTATGCTGCACTTTGTCAATGGCTAGTCCAATTCGTCATGACAAAGGCTTTGCCGTACATCTTTAGTTCCTTCGAATATGGCACGTGGTTCTTCTTCGCTGCTTGGATGTTGATCGCGACACTTTGGACGTACTTCTTCATGCCTGAGACCAAGGGCTTGACGATCGATCAGATGGATGCATTGTTCGGCTACCAGGGACGCGCAATAGCAGATAATTCAGAAATTGGAGTGAGTTACAAGCAGGGCATCGACTCAGTGGAGAAGGTTGGTGCAACCACGACGGAGTACGCAGAAAGATCGTAAGATACGTAATACATTGTTGAGACTTATGCATCAAATATATCAGGTGCTGTTATCGCCTGTGGCAACATGTGGACAAAAGCTATGCGAGGGTGGTGTTTTTATATATCAGTGAGAATCGCCGAGCTGATTTCTATGCCTGACGATAATCTCGATGAAGATCCTGATGATATCTCGCCAGACACAAACAACGCGATTAAATCTTTCACTTCTATGCAGAAGCCACATGCAGTGAAGTTAGAGGGTCCGAAAGAAACGATTTACAAGCAAAACGCAAGTTGTACTCGAGTAGAGCCCAGCCGAAATGTTGTGCCAGGGTCGTAGTGCGGTCAACCTAGGCCGAGATCGGAAGCCTACGCTCCACTTCCGCGATTTATCGGATCTCACAGAAACATCTCTCAATATGAACGACCAACGTGCACAGAGCAGGAGCAGCAACACGTCACGATTGGGCAGGTCACGACTCGGATGTTTGACGTGCAAACGGAGGAAGGTGCGATGCAACGAACAACGGCCGAGGTGCTCGCACTGCGAGCGACTCAATCTCNAATGCTTATGGAAGACCAACACGACACTCGCTCATGCTGCCGCAGAGAGACGCCAAGCACCTTCACAAGGTCCGGAAACTCAGCAAGGAGGCGGCAACATCAATGCGACAAACAGTGCTGGTGGTGCGACTTCCTAGCTGCTCTCAACGAGTCGGCGTGGCCACNTGCCAGCCGTCCTTGAATCGGTCGCGACTTCAACATCGCCGGCCACAACACAAGATGTTCCTGCTGTTGACAACTTCTTCGACTACGCAGGATTCATGTGGGACAATGCAGAGTGGTGGCAGCAGTTTCAGCCCTCTGACGCGCTTTTGCCCATCAATCAGGTCGATCAGACCATCTCCCATCTCTTCAGCTCGCCCAGTACAAACTCACCATCTTTCACAGCCGCCAACGAGGCACGCCAAACTGAACGCATTGTCATGCATCAAACGCAAAGTGGAACCAAGCAAGCGGAAAGAGCGCAGGGCAACATGCAGACAACACCGACGGGAGATCAGTTCTTGCTCGATTACTTTGGACATAGCACCGTCCCTCCAATACTGGCACCGGTCGAGACACAGCAGCAGTGGTCATCAATGCGACGCCATCTTCTCGTCTTGGCTCAAGACTCAGAAATGGTACGCTCTGCTCTTCTCAGCTTCTCCAATTTGCTGTTGCGTCGCGGCCGCCAAAACATACACACCTCCACCGAGGGACAAATCCGTCATGAAGAATCAGCTCATGAGCTGTTGAAGCACACTGAAGATCTTGAGTCAGGACAGCCAAAACGTGAGCACCTTCTGGCAACTTGTTTTTTTCTGAGCTACGTCGATATCCTTGAAGGCAGGACAGAAGCAGCACATGGTAGCTTGAAGGTTGCATATCACATATTTGACAAGGGCGAGAAGGCGAGCTTCGGTTCCTTAGAGATACGCACCCTCTCCTGGATTAGGTTGCTGGATGGGAGAGCTGTCTCTGCTGGTGGTGAGGGCTTGTTCTTGTCTGATGATGAGGCGACAGAAATGCTTGTGCAGCCCTCGCCAGCCGGTTTAGACTGCTTGCCGAGCGGCACGGACGCCACAAACGATGCCGACCAAGGCGCTGAGATTGAGGATGCTCTGTTCCAAGCACTTTATCAACCAGGAGCTGTGTTCTTTCAGAAGGTGCAGTCATTTATGGGTCGCATATCAAAGATTGATCCATGGCATAGAAGCCGAGGTACGGTAGCAGACGAGACTGAAGTGATGATTGTTGCTGCCAAGATCACTCGAGATCTCGACAAGCTGTTCGATAGCCGACCTCGACTCATGGACTATGCAGCGAAAGGTCAGCTTACACCACAGTATCTCAGCCCTCACCTCTCCCATACCATTACTCGAGCATTTCGAACCTATACAAGTAATTTCTATGCAAGCAAAGTACATCTCCATCGAGTTGCCTACAAGACACTGCCTTTGGCCATGGATACTGTGCTGGCGCTCGCAAAGATCAAAGAGCTTGCCAGAATGATGATTGACACACCATCGGAACATGGTATCGAAGGCGGTGAACCATTACCCGTCAACATGCTTTGGCCACTTCTCATGCTCGGATCAGAAGAAGAGGATGCTCAAGAACGACTCTGGATCAGAAGTCAGATATGCAGGATGCAGGAAGTGGCCACAAATGCAGATATGACAGCACAAGTCTTGGACGAGGTCCAGAAGATGCAAGATTTGACAAAGACAAGGGTTGACATTCGCAGCATCATGCACAAGATCTTTGATGCATGCTTTGCCATTGTGTGATCGAGTCTCACGCACATACGATACCTCTGTTTGCAAATTTACGCGACTAAACCGACCATCGCAACGAACGCCCGAGCAATGCCACACCCGACATAATCGGTCGCTATCGGACATTGCTGCTGCTTGGTCGATTCTCCCCGTCGGCCAAGTCCTCGGCTCGCGACTTGAAGCCGATCGGCTGCTCGAGTGGAGCTGTGGAGCTGCGGGGTCTCATCGCGAGCAACGTCCACCCCACAATTGGCGAGCGACAACAAGTCAAGTGTTTACCAACGCTGCCGAAGAAGTGGCCTTGACACCGAGATTGGTTCCGACGCGACCATTGATGGCGATCATGCCAACTGCCTGAACAACAAGATGTTCTGCTTCAGCATGTAAGCCCGCCTCCCCCGGACCTTCTTCAACTATCCATCTCTCTATTCTCTCAAACTTCGAAGTTGCAGTACCCCAAACTGTCGCCATGGTCCACAGCACTGCATCGGTATCATTTCCTCCTGGAATTCACGTACCCAGTCTGACCTGGTTCGCCAATGATACCACTCAAGAGATTGACTGGCCGACACAAACTGAGCACATCAAGTTCTTGATCGCTTCTGGCCTCCATGGCGGTACGTAGGTAGACTATCCTGTCTCCCCAATCCATACTGACCGGTTTCTCCCGCAGNTCGTACTCGCTGGTACCAATGGAGAGGCTGTGACTCTGTCGCCAAAGGAGAAGTCCGACCTTGTCAGCACAACTCGCAAGCTTGCCAATGAACTCGGTCGACCAGATGTCATCATCACACTTGGATGTGGAGGACAAAGCACACGGGATGTCATTGCAGAGACAAGACTTGCTCAGGAAGCTGGAGCCGACTTCGCACTGGTTCTCGTGCCGAGCTACTTCCATTTCGCAATGAACGAGGACGCCATCGTCGAGTTCTTCCAGGAGGTGAGCATTGCAGTCTCTTTGGGATCATGTTCATTTCTGATTCAATCTCCAGNNCTTGCCGATGCCTCACCCATTCCANTCCTGATCTACAACTTCCCTGGTGTTGTTGCTGGACTCGATGTCAACTCCGACATGCTCTCAAAACTCGGCAGCCACCCTAATATCGTCGGAGTCAAGCTGACCTGCGGAGGCATTGCCAAGGTAGCTCGCATTCGTGCGCAATTCTCGCCTGCCGAGTTTTGTGCTCTTGCTGGACAAAGTGACTGGCTCGTCCCAGCTCTGGCTGTTGGCGCGACTGGAACCATCACTGGCGTCGCAAACCTGTACCCGAAATACTGCATTGAAATCTACAACTTGTGGACGCAAGGCAAGACCAAGGAGGCCGAGAAGGCACAACTGGAGCTTGCAAAGATGGAGTGGGGATTCGCAAAGGGTGGTATCAACGGCACAAAATGGGTTGTTGCGAAACTCAGAGGATACTCGCTCAACAACTGCCACTGCAGGCGGCCGTATCCCAAGTTTGTTGACGCGAAGAAGCAGGCGTGGGTTTTGGATACTGTGAGTCCGCTACAGAAGCAAGAGGATAACCTGGTTTAAACATATGCTCATTACCGCCGATGCTTTTATTTCGTCTGTCTTCCGCTCTCCATCTTCCCCTCTCCCCGCTTGCTGTCTCGCCTTCTTCATGAGCGTTCACACTAAGCTGAACTAACTCTGATGAATCATCTTGTGACGCATCTACCACCCTCCTCCTATATCTCAACTGCCAGAAGAACTACCAATGGTTGTCAAAGTAAGAAGGTTGCACAAGAAGTGGTAAAAGCATTGATCATGACAGGGAAACTATCTACCGAGGTCAAGAACAACGACGGGCTGCTCATTCTGTCCTCAAACAACCAAAGACGAAAACACCTTACGGCCAAAAATGCCTTGACGGTTCTCGAGAAATGCATGCAATGTGTCTAACAATCAATATTCGGCAGCCCAATGGCAACACTTGGAGCTTCAACGTCCCTGCCCTCATTTCCGCCCTCATCATTGTCCTCACTGAGCTTGCCCTCCTCATGCTCATCTTCATCCTTAACAAGGTCGACTCCAATGACAGGCTCGTGACCCATTAGTAAGTACATCCATCGGCACGGTTGCTGATACAAACATCTGCAGCACTTCTNTTGTTGCTACCAAGGGCACGATTCGGCCACTTGTTAAANTCGACAGCACTCAGCGCGTCCGAAACCATCTGCTGTGCATAGTTGTGCGTTCACGACTCGACCGCCGATCAGGAAATGCAGGCATTGGAGCCATCGGCATTGTTAGACCAAGACCTAGGCGACGAAGGGAAGTTGGCGTAAGCAGCGTTTCCAAGCGCACCATATAGGATCTGGACGGCGCCGTTCTTGGTCACGTGAGCGGCACTACGAACCCAGCTCCATCTGGAGCGTTTCTCGACGTCCACAGAACGCTCGTTGACTGCGTTGAACGCGGCGCAAGAGTCGACATTTGCCGCCATGTCACCGCTCAACTCGTTGCATATCCAATGCACGTCGGTGGTTTGCTCTGCAGTCATGGTTCCTGCCATAGTGACGTTCAGGAATGCCGTTAGGACATCATCAGTGGCGGCTGATGCCACGGCCGAAGCGTAGCTCTGGATGGCTTCGATCGCCAGCGAGGGTTCGGGCGAGACATGGTAGTCGAAGTCGGTCGCTGGTGCACCAAAGACGGTAGTCAAATCGTTGGATAGATAGATGAAAGCTCTGGGGATGCCTGGAGCCTCCCTCGAATAGCAAGGAGGGACTGTATCTGCGGGTAGAGCCGTAGCGCCTGGGATCTGGTTGTAGAGAGCTATGCCGATAGCAACGCCAGCGACAGAGGCAGCTGCCTGTACCACTTTTTTGCCAGACATGATTTGATATGTGGGATGAATTTGAAGTCAAGTAAAGAGTATGTGATGAATGCAGAGGAGATGGTTTGTTGGTTTGTTGTAGAGCATGTTCTCCTCAGTGGGACTTCATCTCCATTTATATATGTAGATGGAGGACACTGATCCTAGACCGTTTGACTACATCTCCTAGATACGGAACTCATAACTCGGCCCAGATGATAGAACACCCAAGGGGACTTCTTGAGTATTGACGCCATGCTGTATATGTCACGCCAGACCAGAGAGAGGCGGCGTGGCGGGAGCGAAAAGGCGACCGGATGAAGAGCGGCAGAAGAAGGGCAGATAGGATATCATCACTGCATTGTCCAAGATTGCAGGTTTTTGACACAGCGCAAGAGTCTCTCTTGATCTTGCAGACCAGACAAGAAAGAGAAAGTGCACGTTTAGCAGCTCCAGCTTTTTTTCTTGCAGAAGAGATCATCCAAGCAGGCAACAAGAGCTGCCAAGAGGAAACAAGAAATGTCAGAGGAGCACAGAAGGCCACAAGACTCGACAAGCAACGACAAGAGATGGTCAAAGCGAGCAAGATGGTTAAAGCAAGCGAGATGACCGAAGCGTTCGTATCTTGCAAGGTCAAGGAGTGGCATCGATTGACCTGCTGGGTTTCTGGCGTTGACTTATACTAGGAGGGAAGGTAAAGTAGAAGTGAAGTGGAGCTTGAGAGAAGCGCGAATTGACGTTTTGGAGGTTTGGAACCACTTACGTGCGTAAGCAATGAGCTCAGATTAATTAATTACGGCCAATACTACAGCGGGAGTTTGCTCCGCCTGAATTGCACACAATGGAGCCGGACGTGGCAACAGGCCGAACAATGTCAGACGACGAAACAAGGATAGAAGAACAACCACAACAGCAATGGCTTCCCGAATAAGGAATGTCATCTACGTATTATAGTACAAACAGATAATGTGTATCTAGCTGAAAGTCGCCTACGAACTAGTGCCAAGAGAAATCTGCAACAGATACAGTTTATCTGAAGATCGTAAGCCAATTGCCCCGATAATAGACATGCTAGACAAGTCTCAAGAACAACTATCCGAGCTGATGAAACCAGTCAGATCAGTCACGTTGGTGCCCAGCCCCGGGCCAGAGACCTTGAATTGATTCTCCGCGGGCAGCCCTTTCTGGCCATATACATTTCCCAAGGGATAGGCGTATCCCGCGGCCATCGTGATGTTGACACATACAGCCCGTCCGTTGGTTGCACTGCCGTATGGATTCTCCAACGTGAACGCCGCGTTTCTTGGAGTGGATGCGTCAGAGGGGTTACCGCAAGGGAATGCTGACGTGCTGCCGATGTAGAAGTCATCACGATTGTCAGCAAAGAGATCGCAGAATTGGTAAGTGCCAGAGATTTTGGGCACAAAGTAACCAATGTAGACGGCGGTGAAGTTGTTAGCATTGACGGTGATGCCGCCCAGGTTGATGGCACCTGAGTAGTATTGCACGCCGTCCATACTGTAACCTCCATTCGAAGGTGGTGACACCTTTGCGATGTTCAGCGTACTGATGCTGCCGGTTTCCAATGGCGTTGTACCGAGGTAGTAATCAGGGCCCAGACTGCCAGGGCCGAAACTGTCGCTGGATTTGATCGGATTGGCGTAGTAACGAAGACGGAGGTTCCCCGTGCTACAAGTTCCAGGAGCGAAGTAACAAGCGCCAGCTGGAGGAGGCGCGTATATAGTGATCGGTATGGTGCCAGATGCTGTTGCCGTGCCGAAAAAGTCGAACGAGTAGAGCCACCATATGGCGCCGTAGTGAAGGACAACACGGGCACAGTCTGGCTCCTCGTGATGGGACAATCTACATTGTAGAACGTCCAGTGCTGGAAACTGGTTGGCGGAATGATCTGAACGTCTACTATTGTCCGATCGAACAACCAGCAGTTCGAGCCATCGCCATCAGAACTGATCCGGCCAGAACTCGTAGGTCATACAAGCCGGGTTGTTCATGCAGTCGGACTGGTAATCACTGATATCGGCTACAAGGAAGTTGTTGATCGGGTCTGTGATGTATTTACCAGCTCGAGTTGTACAAGTCTTTACAACAACTACACCTGGCGTAGTACCGCTTGGCAGAACGGGCGTGGTTGTAATAGTACCATGGATCGAGGTGGTTCCAACATACGAAACAGTCGTCGTGATTTAAGAAAATGTGCCTGGTGTTTCAATGAACACAGTGCCTGATAATGTACCTGAGGCTAGGAAAGTACTGGTGTAACCAGTTTGTCCAGGAACCAATGCAGATGTCGTGGTTACCAGGTCTATGCTCGACGCAGGCGTGCCAACAATAACGGTGCCAGGGATTGTACCGGACGATGGGATGGTACTAGTAAAGCCCGAGGAACCGGGAGGTACTGTAGTGATAGTGGTATCGTAGCTTGCTGGAGGCGTAACGATGATAACAGTGCCAGGCGTGGTGCCTGATGGGGGCAAAGTGCTGATGAAACCAGGACAGTCAGGAGGTAGAGTCGTAGTTGAAGTCACGGCATTTGTGTTCAAAGCGGGAGCGCCGATGAGTACGATTCCAGGTATAGAACCTGATGGGGGCACGGTGCTTGTAGATCCTTGGTCTCCGGGACTCAAGGTCGTAGTCGAAGTTATGAGTTCGGTATTCGAAGCAGGTGTACCAACAATTACGGTTCCTGGAAGGGCACCAGAAGGAGGCACGGTGCTGGTAAACCCAGATTGACCTGGCGGCAGTGTGGTGAACGACGTCTCAAAGTTGGTGTTGGATGCTGGAGTCCCGACTACGATAGTTCCTGGTGGACGGTAGGAGGCTGTCCCATCTGGAAGGCTGAAACTAGTAGAGGTATTCCCCGCGAACAACGACGGAAGTCTTGACGCTTTGAGAACCGCATACCCCCATTCCGCGGTCTCCGAGGACTGAAGCTTCTCAGAATGAATCACGGACACTCCGGCAGGGATAGCGAGATAGCGGATGTATTGTTCTCCTGTCCAGATATACGCGATCTGTCCTTATCAACCACAGGCTGGGCCATGGAAGAAGACAGTGCGTTGTTACCAAAGCTGGTGCAATGTTTCAGCAGTAAGAGCGAAAAACGACTGCGGCTCCGATCACTGCGATTGGGTTATGGATTCTTTCCCATCGAATCATTGTCGGATTATCTGTCAAAACTCATAGATTTCGTGGTGCTCGAGATGACAGACCTGAAGATGCATCGATAAAAGAGGTTGTGCGCAAGCGACAATGGCCAGACAGAGTTGTGTCGTGCGAGCGAAGGTCGATATTGAGAATTACCAGCAACATCTGCCTTTTCGACTTGTTATCTTGCGGTGAGGTGTCTAGTCCAAGCAAGCCGTCCAACTGCCATGCCATGCTCGAGTCTCTGCGGACACGATATATGTCTGTCAGCCCTGCAGTAGTCCTTCAAACTTGGCACGACGATGAAATAACCCAAGCTCGCCACGATTACGACCCCGTTCGTCACGATCAGAGTGTTTGTGCCATTGTGTAGCTTTTGAATATCTACGATTCTTTGCAGAGGTTGAAAATCAGAATGTATCATACACTCGTGTGTGGCCAATCGAGAAAGGCGGTTCGGTGAAATCAGCACGGGCTAGGCTGTCGTGTCTTCTCGACAGTTGCAGAATTTTGAATCGTTTCTCGGAAGGCGAGCTGATTGACTCGCCAATGGTCACGCTGGTATTCCTGAAACTTTTGTTCCAAGACGCCGGTAACAAGGGGCAAAGGCGACAAAAAGTTGATGTCGTGAAGATTGGGCATGGCACACTGCGAAATTTCGCAGACGACTTTCCGTTGACCCAGAAGAGACCTGGCCACCTTGATGGCTTTTCTCTCATGTGTACACATCCGAATTAGTGGAGAAAGGGTTCACCTGCTCCGCCAAAATTTGACCCCGCTCTGCAGCTAAAAAGTTAGAAAGTTAGCTAGTTTCCATCACAAGACAGGCATACGGCAAACATGTGTATGACTCGTGTTCCTTTGTGCCGACAGCACTCCATGGCACATCTGTCTTTGTCTTCGGAATAGTGGTCTGGAGTAACATGGCACTGACACAGGCTGATACTACATACCCTGATACCCAGGATTCGATCCTATCTTGGCAGTCAACATCAGTGTAACTGTGCTTGTTGAGTCGAACGTGAGAGTTTCATTAAAGTGAAATGACATGTTCGGTGTGTGATTAGCTTTGAGATTGCCTTGCTTGGACTTTTCTCCGCATCTCCAAGTCATGGTCGGCCTCGGTTCATGTGAACGCGAAATGCTTTCGGAAGGCGGGGTCAAAGATAGATAACTCCAGACTTTGAACAACCTGTAACATGTGTGATTCATACGATTCGATACTACTCTGACCAACCCTTGTGATTCTCAGAAGTCATTGAAAGAAAGTGCATCAACAACATGACTACTCACGTTGAGGGTCGCGAATACGATGTCATCTTCGCAGNNGGTATTCACAGACTATTTCGCTTGCTGATCTCAGTACTAACAAACAATAGCGGTGGTACTGCAGCATGCGTGGCTGCTGGCCGTCTAGCTGCGGCGGATCCCAGCCTGTCGATTCTTCTTGTCGAGNGGGGCAAGAACAACTACAATGATCCGACCGTCGTAAACCCGGCCATGTNNCTGGTCCACCTGGCTCCAGGCTCTCAGACAGCATTGTTTTATGAATCGAACCCCGAAGAAGCTCTCAATGGCCGCAAAGCCATTGTCCCGTGCGGCATTCTCGGCGGAGGAAGTTCCATCAACTTCATGATGTATACTCGTGCACAAGGAGTGGACTTTGATGACTGGGAGACTGAAGGGTGGACTGCAAAGGATCTTTTACCTTTGATGAAGAGGGTAAGAAACCGACATGACATCGCACTTAAGAGAACATAAGCTCATCGCCACAGCNTCGAAACATACCATCTCACAGATTTAGACATTGATCAGTCGCTGCACGGACACGAAGGCCCAGTACACGTTTCCAACGGAACGTATTTCCAAGAAGAAGCGGCGCAGGATGTCCTGAATGCTTCAATCGCCACAGGTCATGAGGTCACTGCTGATGCGCAGGATCTTTTCAAGGATATCAGAGGTCTCAAGGGAGTGGGCGTCTTCTCCGTAAGTCTGGCGTGTACGTCGCTGATATTCTACGTCTTCGATCGTTCTCCAGNNAAATGGGCCAAATATATCTCTCCCGAAGGAAAACGCCAGGATGCTGCACACACGTATATTCATCCCTTGATGCAATCTGGCGGTTATCCCAATCTACACCTCTTACTCAACAGCAAGGTGACTCGAGTGACTTTCGACGATGACAAGCGAGCTAACGGTATTGAATACGTTCCAACACCGTCATCACAACCTGTTGGTGGCGTCAACAGCACTGGTCCCTTCCAGGTTACCGCAAGAAAAATGGTTGTCGTATCCGCAGGAGCGCTCGGTACGCCGTCCGTCCTGGAGAGATCTGGCGTTGGGAGCAAGGAAGTCCTTGAGAAGCTCGACATCCCGGTGGTGAGCAATCTACCAGATGTTGGGGAGCACTATCAGGATCACCATTTGATCCTCTACCCCTACAAGACCTCTTTGAAGCCCTCAGAGACTCTTGATGGGCTGCTCAGTGGCCGCAAAGATTTTGGTGAGGCCATCCAGAACCAGGATCCAATGCTCGGATGGAACGGTATCGACGTTTGCTCGAAGATCAGGCCTACTGACAAAGAGATCGAAGCCATGGGCCCGAACTTCAAGGAACATTGGAACAAAGATTTCAAGGACCGCCCGACTAGGCCTGTGATGCTGACAGGCGTCGTCCAGAGCTTCCTTGGAGACCACAAAGTCTTACCTCAACGCGAAGACGGCGAGCCACAGCAGTACTGTACGATGGGTGCATATACTGCCNACCCGTATTCTCGTGGAGATATTCACATTACCTCGAGAGACGTCACGACACCAGCAAGCTTCAATACTGGCTTTTTCAAAGCAGAAGCAGACGTTCAGAAGCAGATCTGGGCCTACAAGAAGCAGCGCGAGATCTATCGTAGGACTGATGCATACAGCGGTGAACTGGACCTCGGGCATCCCAAATTCCCTGAAGGTAGCAAAGCCGCGTTGCAGGATGGTCCCGTTGCGAAATTTGCATCGCAAGAAGATCGAAACAACCTTCCGGAAATCGAGTACACTGCCGAAGACGATAAAGCCATCGAGAAGCACGTTCGCGACAATGTGAACACAACTTGGCATTCGCTGGGCACGTNNCGCATGACGCCGCGCGAGCAGGGAGGAGTGGTCGATGCCGACCTGAACGTATATGGAGTCACTGGCTTGAAGTTGTGTGATCTTTCCATCTGCCCTGGCAATGTCGGTGCAAACACAAATAACACAGNNCTGCTTGTTGGCGAGAAGGCGGCCGATATCTTTGCCAAAGATCTGGGACTTGGAGAGGTGGGACAGCCCCTAAGACGCATGGACTCAGCAGATCCACGATCAGAGAAGGTGTGAGAGGACGAAAGTTGAACCAAGTAGCAATGCCAGGAAGTACTCTTCGACTGTCATCACACGCCAGCTTTTTCTTCTTGCTCCCCTAACTGGGTGATTCGANNGAGCTCTATTTTCCCCTCCCAATTCGCCATCCATGCACCCGCATGGCCTTGATCAGGCGTGTATAAAGCGCCTTCAATATCTTGACACCACCTGACCATCTTGAGGCGATGCTGTGCTTCAAAATGTAAGGTTAGCATTCGCAGAAACAGATTGACACTCATGCGACCCGAGAAGCCTGACTCAGCACTCAACGCCTGGGGCACTGTTTTGCTAATATTGTCAACGGTCGATTCCACGGAAGCAGCGATGAATTCGGGGTCTATATTGACCTCAAGAGGTAGTCCTGAGAGCAGTAGAGTCAAGCAGGTTGTTTGGATGAGGTATAGATATGTCCAAGCTNNGGCAAGATACCAAGCGTCGTTGAAGTCTTGGAATGCGAATGCTGTGCTCAATACGTTGCACCCTATCAAGGAATGATAAGTAGGGAAGTTGATCTTGTCACATGCGTGTTCGAGGACGATCCTCGACCGGTGAAACTCTGATATCCATGCCTGTATCTCGGAGGAAGTCGTTAAGAGGTCATGGAAATATGTCCGATACTCTGACATGTTTGTTGGATTAGAAAGGCGGCTTGAAGGTGATCATAGTTCTGGTATCTTGGTACCAAGATCGATAAGACGTGTCTCGTGATTGACGAGAGGAGCAGACTCAGACATCCACAACCACTCNTTGCCACTGAATGGAATTGATTGTTGATGAAATATTCCCCAGAGTATTGAAGCTTGTTTCGCATGATGAAACAGCACGGTCTGATACCGAGTCTCGAGACGTCGTGGCCCTCGGTCCTGAAGGAACTGGATTGCGCCTTGAACGAGAGCCCAGCCACCAAATTGCGAGATTGGACGAACGGACNNTTTGGTACTTGTGATCAGTACACAGACGATGAAGTTTGTGAAGCTGGAACATACCTCAAGAATCGAGAGCACCAGAATGCAGAGCAGGATATCATCATGGTTGTAGAGATGAGAATCAGCCAACGCTGCGTTGAGATTAGACAAGCAAGCGGTATATCGACGGATGGCAGCGAAACCAAGTCGAACATCGGCCAGAGCCAGCGATGCTTGAACCAATGTAAAGGAGTCTATCGCCGCTGCAAGGAATGGTGATTGAGGATGGAAGATCGCACCATTGAAGAGGTTAAGAAATGTCAGTTTGGGGTGTTCATGTTCTCCTCGATATTCCTTAGGTTCATTGGTNGGAAGATAGTGATACAAGGCGGCGATCAACATCTGGGAGCGAAGCGTCGGGCCAGCATCAACAGAAGAGGGTATTCGGGTTTGTTTTGATGTGTTGATCGCACGATATCGAGTCTGTGTTATCGTTGAATGTCTTGGTGATGGATTACAGTCGGATGAGCTCGTACTGGTATTTTTAGAACTAGGCTTCTTGCGCGTCATGATCGAACATACCTTGAATATGAGTATACCGGACCTTGTGTCTCCCGAGCGCGACTTCGGGCACGGTGCTGCCCTTAGGAACATATTCAATGGGATCCAGGCGGCTCGCGGCTGACGATCGCTGTGANNGTGATTTATTGGAGGACCGAGTACTTCATATTCTTCGCTGATTTTTNNGTCGTTGACTTGCACAAACTGCCAAGCTCGCTGGATCCACGAACATGTCAATTGTCGCCTCTCACAGTAACCGCAAGTGGGTTTGTGTTCATCGCATTTGATTTTCCTCCTGCGACATTGCGAACAGCCATTGGTAGAACGTTCTGCTCGGCGCAATGGACGTTTCACTCCTTAACGAGATGCGACACCGGACATTCGAGACGTGGGAGCCCGGAGGTAGGTCTACTGCCTATGTTGTATAGGATGGGAAGGTTCGAGTCACGTCCGCGGGCGCAAGCCGATGGGTTGGTTGACGTGAGTGCGTGCGCGTCACTGGCAGAGGAGATTGTAGACCCTGCTTCTCCATCTTACAAACGAAGATTGAAGTCATGCGTTAGATTCATATAAGAGTGTGCTCGTTGGTGGTCCGAGCCATAACGTTGAGATGTATGTCGTCAGGCAACTGCCTAAGTCTCAGTTGAGCCGCCAGTCCCCGAGACTGCGAAGTCGCCGTCACGCTGGATCGCCGGCTTTTCCGCCTCCGCAATTCCTCCGCTGATGAAGCTCACTTGACCAAACCAGTCTTGTTGGTATCGAGCGCATCAAGGACCGTCGAGATCTTACCGTGATGCAGTCGCATCTATTCAACCATCGCCCCGGAAGCCGGACACCGTCGTGTAGTCGCACGTCCCCCAGAGATCTCATCTTGATCGCGTCTTCGAGATCATCCTGCGATCCTCGTCACTATATAGTTGCGGGCGTCGGCATCCTTATCGATAAGACACATTTACCTTCTCAAGTCTTCACACCTGCATTCTACGTGGACATGCAGCATGACCGACTGCGGTTTGGTCTCAACGTCTTTGCAAACCATCTTTCGACGTTCGTAAGTCCAGAAGTATGGCCAACGTACCAGGCATGGCCTCACGCATCGAGTCCAGTATCTCGACAGCTGCCAACACACCTTTGCAAGGTCTCTAGCGCCTGCGCATCTTCACACCCGCCGCACTCGTCGTCGCTCGCTCATGATCATGTCCCCATCTCATCGCTGAGAGTCTTAGCGCCATCGTCCGTTTGCGTCACGCCCGTCGCTCTGCCATACCGTCAGCAACCACCATCATGGGAAGAGAGAAGGAGACAGCCTACTCGCTAGGTTGCGCAATGTCCTCGACACTACACGCACTCCTGTCCCTGATCAACCATTCGAGCAGAAAAACACGAAGAGAAGCAAGAGGACGTCTGGATTGCGGAGTCGGCCTTGGAAGTTGTCTGAAGATCAATCTCAAGAGAATCTTGAACGACGTAAGGAATTGCTTCTTCAGATCTAGCCGTCGCTGACTTCAGGCCCGCTCTAGTCAACGATAGCTTTCTGTCAACATCTGCCTCGAACAACGTGGACCCCACCGACAATCATTGGCCTTGCTCATCTGCAAAGTCTCGGGTACGTGTCCCGATGACAAAGCCGATCTGTTGTCTGCAAACAAACGCGAAGTCTTCTGGAGGGTTCAATCAAGTCTGTACGCAAACTCCATGGTAAGAAGACCCGTCCAGCCCCAAATTAGTCGCTCTGATCGAAGGCGGTCTTACCAACCCGAAGGCGGCTTCCGAGCGCTCCATCCAGAAGCATTGCGAGTGCAGTCCGCGATGACGCAACAATTCTGCGACATGCCTAGGGGCCGATACACAGGTGTCATTTAGTATAATGCAGGCAGAACCACTCACGAACTCATTTCGAGACATTATCGAAGACTTATTCGATGAAATTAGTTTGGGCTTTTACTGAAAAGTAACTTGGCTTATTTTCTGATCGGCAATGCGACGTATTACTTGAATGTCACGCTTACCACTACTCACCGCGTAGAGTTGGAGAATCTCGCATGCAATCGAGTACAGAACATCGACTCTAGATGCCTAGCGCTTGAGATTGACAGTGGCACGCTTTTCACAGGCGCATGAAAAAAACGAATGGTGACGCTGTTTCTGTCTGTCGACTTCTTTCTAGGCTCACCTGATTAGTGTTCTAATCTGGCTATAATCGAGCTTGTAACATTACCTGACTTATGAGTCAACCCTTGTTTGACTGGAGACACGTCCTTATAGCATCATGGACGGATCTGTGTGATTTCACCTAAGAACCTGGCATAGCGTTCCCTTCACTACTGCCGCCTTCCTGAATCTTTGAACCTTCGTACATTTGACTTCCTCAAGCTACTGTATGATGATATTCGATAAAGTTCCCGCGCTCATCTTCGCCTCCGTGTCACTAGAATCTGAGTGCTTCACTTGAGTAGCGATTTCTAGTAGCGATCCATAACCAATTGCGTCTTCGACGAGTCCTGCTCAATGAGCCAGCCATTCTCTCGAAAGAGTACAATAAATTTTTCACGCTGTAGTTTAGCCTTTGCGGCACTTTCTGATTTAAAAGATGCCTCCACAAGTTGCACCGTTTCAGTGGCACCCTTCTCGCGTATGACAGTCCATGCCTCAACATCGACCTCCACATCATTCCAAACCCGATCCATCGTCTAGCTAGTACTGGACCAAAGATGCGAGAGACTTTGAGCATGTCTGTCCCCCAATCCCGTATATGGGGCCCAGTTCCTAAAAATGTCAGGCGCTTCGCCAATGAGCATATTGCGCGATGCCATCTGAGTAGGCAATAGCATCTCGCCCCCGGCTTCATCCAACGCAGACTTCTTTCGGCTGATCGACAATGTCATCTGCTCGTAACCCCATTCGAGTTGGATCTTGAACTTTTTTTCCTTCATTCCCGAACCCCTCATCATTTGCTAGCCAAAGCGCAGCATTGACATCAGTCCCATTGATCGGATAGCGCTTGTACGTAAGCTCGAAGTCGCTTTTATCTTGCATCTTGCGGATACGAGGCTCCATCCTTCGTTGTAGATTGTCTTGTCGCTGCTATCGAGGAATTGAATAGCCATCTGCGTCGCACTCGTCTTTATGCCTAGTGCCGAACGAAGCTTGCTCACAAGCTCGTCGTCGGATGCCAAGACCTCGGGATTCAGAAGAAGTTTGACTTCGACTTCGACTTCGAAGCTTTGCTCCATCGTTGAATGCACCGGCTGAAGAGATCGAGAAGTCGTAGGTGTTCGAGATTTTGGCACATCACTTGTTCCAGAATTGACCGAGTCGATACCTCTATGGATCGTCATGTCTGCTACCGACCGAAGAGGGAAAAGAAACGTGGCTTCTAATTTTCTCCAGGTCAACGAAGAAGCAACGACTATGGGCAGATATATCTATTCGAGCTCCGAACAAAACGCTCAGGGAGCAACGCTCACATCGCTGATCCCCGCGCCACATCCATACCTCGTTCAGCTACGC